ACCCTACATTGGCCTTTTTAACCGACTGGCCCACCCCCCAGGCCTCACCCTGTCTCTCTAGCATCACTACCCTCCTGTCCAAACATGCAAATCAAACCAAAGAAGTCACATTACCTTCTGGACCCAATCCGCTAACCTCAGGTTACTATCTGGCCTTGATGACACTTGGCATGGTGGTCAACCATCTTAAGACCTTTCTCTGTACCGAGTCCAAGGTCTCCACTCTCAATACTGGACCAGAAATGGGTCGAAACAGCCGTCTTTTTCGATCCTTGATGTGCGTTCGAACCATTTTTGCATTTTGCGACTTTTTTACCATCACCACCCACTTCCTAATCGCACTACAAAATGCCCGCTGCACTCCTAATCCATTTGCCAACATTGGGTAGTGCGATAAGTTGAAGTGCCATTTGTACACTAATGGAAAATGGTGCAATGCATTACGCCAGCTAAGGCTAATTCTCGCAACCGTCTGTATGCTACCCTCGAGTGTCTTGTCCCAAAAAAAATGTCCAGGCCGTGTACGACCACTTTTGTTGCCCGATACCTGCCTTTGAGGATTCGCTTTCCACCGTCTGCCACCCGGCCTGAGGTCATAGCGGTGAATGATGCGGCATTATGTCACTCAGCCCTCATCCGCCTGCCTCGCACCCACACCCCTGAATATCATTCTCGCACCCTCATGCAGGGATTGGCTTGCCACGTCAAAACGTCGCAAGGTCTCCCTCGGGATGTCTTGCGACAAAAACCTGACTGGGACTTTGCACTGCGACTCACTTGCGACCGCCTGGCTAGGATAGCCTGGTGCCACCTGGCGTAGTAAAACGTGCAGTAGAGCCACCACGCAGATTCCTGTAATGCGCTTGAGGTCATAGATCGCGATCAAATTGGATTAGAGTCCTTATCAGTTCTGTCCCACCGTATGTGGATTTCACTCGTGTACGCAAGTTAGAACCCTTCCTCATCTTCAGTCTTAAAGGCTTTGAGCGGCCCTCAGCATACGCTCAAACTGAAATCTGGATACGGAGGATCTTGAAGACCTTGAGCAGTATCTGGTCCTCTGGCAGTCTGAGTGGCCTGTCTGGTTACGCTTCTAGGCAAATGGACGTCCAGGATGTGGATGGGGCCATCAATGTCCTTCAGGGACGTCAAATGGAAAAGGCCCGCCTTGGTTCAACCCAAAGGATGGGTTGTAGGACGACTCACAGGGTCGTGCGATGTCGTGCATGCCAGACAGTCGGTATTTTCTTCTACGCCAATATGGCCTGGGCTTGCTGCTGGTATGATGTTGGTCGGTGACAGGTGCACACTGTGACGGCTGAAGCACCGCCGTATATACAGGAAGTACTACGTCTAAGAATATGCTTGGTCCAGTCTTACGAGGAAAGGATACGCGTCTCCGGCCAAGGCCCCCTCGGTTTCCCCGGTTCTTTAACGGAGAGCTTGCGATTCCCTGCCACCGACCCTGCCTGCTCCTGCGCCCTTAAGGAATCATATCCGCTCCTTGTATAAGGGGCACACCCCGTCGCCGAACAGTCTGGCAACCTCCAGATGCTGTTCAACAACCCTATGGTGAGCCCGACGCAGCCTAGTCAAAGATTCGGCTGACGAAGGTCCCCTCGTCGGGGGCAGGCACATCGACGAGCGTGCCATGAATGCAAGGTGATAAATTCAGACAAGGTTGTGTCTTCAGACGGATATAAGCAACCAGGAAACACTTCACGTTGAACAGGGTCTTCCCACTTTCTGGTGAGCTCCAAGTGCCGATCGCGGCAGCTAATTGGCGTCTCCCCCTTGTCCTGGAAAACCTCTTCCACAGCTTGCGCAGCGCCAGAAATGGCCAGAAATGTGCACGGACGCGTTTCAGATCCTCTCGCCCTTTTGGGAATCCCTTTCCCTGTTGCGGTTTGCCTGTATCCTCAGAGCAGCCCCGTAGTTGAACGAGCCTGGCAACTTGACAGTCGCGTAGTCGTACACGTCAAGGAGCTTGCATGTAGCTGGCTCGAGTCGGCCAGTCAAGGGGTCTCGGATAATGTCCATTCTGACCTTGTGCCGATGGTTCCACAACCCGCGTCGTCCGAATCCACAGCATCAAATGCATCTCGACGCCGTACAATCGTTTGACGTCCTCGTCGTTTGACGTCCTCGATGACAACCTTGGACTGGTTTACTGGGCATCAAGCCTTGCGCAACGATAACACCCGTGTTAATGTAGACAGTAACTAGTTCGGACGCTTCGGTGGGCGTCATTCGGAACGCCGTGTCGACGGCCTGCTGCGTGGTAATTTTGCCATCGGTGGCAATCTCCAGGAGAGCCAAAGGCGAGACGGTATTGGCGAGACAGAAGTCAATAAACCATCGGCGCCCATGATATCAAAAATAGCATAATGATATTGCTGGAGCCCAATCTTCTCCTTGATGCCATACCTGAAGTGCAGGTGCCCCACTGGCACGAGGCCGATAAGGTTCTCGCGATCTAGCGGGGTACCTTGGAACAGGTAGGCGGCGTAGATGGACAAGGGAGTGCTCCAGGGTGATACGCCTGGGGGGAGGAGGGGACGCGTGATAAGAACCGGAATGCTCACTCGGATGGCGGATGCTGAGCGCGGGGGTGGGGCAAGGGAACGGGGAGGGGGTAATTCTTCCTGGTCCTCGAGGGAAGCAAGTTGAAGGCCGTGGGGCTCTCCAGAAGGAACAACAGGAACCCCTGGTACAGGCCCGACCCGCGAGATTCCGGAAACAACTGGGAATTCGGTGCTTGCAGTCTGCTAAGTGGATGCGGCATCAGCTTTATCCTCCTTGGCAGAGAGGAATGGTTGACTCACCTCCTGCGGGGGCAAGCTGGTTGGGGATCGAACCGCCTTTGCACGTCTCTGCCAAGCGTTAGGGGCGGCCTTGAGGAGAACAGGGGCTGTGGTGGGGCTGGGGGATGCAGTACTCACGGTGCTCGCCGCCGAATCCTTGAGCTTCTTGGTAGCGACGGCCTTGGCCGCTCGTGAAGGACGGGTAGGCGGCCCCTTGAGGTTACGGCCTGCTGTTGGTGGCGGGACGACCTCCTCGATAGCTTCCAGGAGTGGAGCGACAGAAGGGAAAGGACGAGCGCTGGACTGAGGAGCGCCGGTCTGGTCCATCAGCCGCCGGTGGCAAACAACAGTCAGCCGCCCCCCCCCCCTCCCCATTCCAGCCAGAAGAAGGGCAGTTACTCACGGAGGTGTGGTTGCGGGCCTTCTGGCCACGGGAGCTGCAGCGTGTGCGCTAGACGCTGTGTCAGACCGGTTCAAGGCGGACAAGATGGCTGGGTGAAGAGGGCTACTCACATTCGAGCGCAAGGAGGGAAGCGGTGCGGAGGCGCTGGTATCTCCACCCAGCATGCTCCTGGAGCGAGTTTGGGCGGGCATGGTCCCGCGGTAGTGGTTGGGGGCGGGTGGGGGGGGGGGGGGGGGGGGGGGGTGAAGTATGTGCGCAAGACGTCGGAAGAAGATTTGGGGAGGGGGATGGATGAATGAAGCTGGGGAAATGGGAACGGGATGAGTGTGGTGAGCGGAAGGAAGGTACCTCCAGACCCCAAACGGCCTGGCACTTGCAAAAGGTGGGCGCGTCGGAAAGAGCCACTACATAGTCCCAGATCTCTATGTCGCTCTCTCAGCCATATGCCGCAAAACATACACCCGTTAATAGTTCAACAATATGGGGATGGACGCGGCGCCCAACCTGCATGCACATCCTGCACTGCATCACAGTTATGGGGTAGTCATTGTGGTCGCTTATTGCTATTCCTCCAAGCACCAGACTCCCGAGTCGGACGGTCGAATGCACAGACCCTCAAAAGTGCTAAAAATATTGGAATAAGAAGCGCATAGGATGCGAGAGCGTGTGGCAAAACGTACTTGCTCGCAAGCGTAGCCGCGTGAGTTGAGAGCACCAAAAGAAGAAAACACACTCTAGTCATCACGGATACGCTGAAATTAGACAAGCGTTGTTGGCACGCTATCCCGAGAAATAAACCAAATTCATACATCCGTGGATCCGTGAATGAGTTTTTCGTCTGGTGACAATCACACACCCTACATAGTTTACTTCTTATCCACTCTAAGCCAGAACTGTCCAGCATGTCCAATCTGCTCTCACCCGCGGGCATCCCCCAAACAGTAGCTCATGTCCGCTCGCGGAGCAATACAAGCAACTTCCCAGTGGCCCAGTCACCAGTCTTCTTGCCATCCGTTCTACATGTCAGAAGAACCTTACATATTTCTGCAGGTGAGGAACAGATACATACTTTAATGAGGTCTGTACTCACTATTGCCTCAACGTTGCCAGAGGGAGCGAGTCTTTTAGAGTGGAGCGGTCGGGAGGTACTCCTTCATGTGTTTGAAAATGAGAATTGCCATGCGAACCGTGTCGGCGCGGTTGGCGCCGTCGCGACGCGTCTTACGCTTGCGCTTCTTCTCGTATTGCAGCTCCATCTGAACGGCCTGCCCGTACGTGAATGACAGGAGCAGCTTATTGGTCGGGGCATGGAATACCTGGATGGCGCTTGTATCCGGGTCGAGGCGGCCAGACACCGGGTCGGGGGCAATGGTCATACGTACAGTCGATCCGACCAGCTTAATCTTGTGGTTCTTCTTCACGAAGGCTCCACTTCCGTGAGGAAATCTCAGTCGGAACTGCACTGGCACTTTCAATCCATGGAGCGCCTCAAAATCGTCTCTCATCATCTGCGAGTGGACAACAGTGACGATGCCGTCGACGTCGTTCGGGTCCGAGTAGCCAGCCGTTAACTGGAAAATGTTAGCTTTGGAACCACAATGCCGGTACAGCACAACTCACCACATAGCTTGTTCCGCCCGTCCATCCCGGCAGTTTCGTCTTGGCCCACGTCGCTCGGTGTTTGACTTTGTTGGCAATCTTGCCAACAATCTTGCCCGCGGCGGCGCCTGTCACTGGGTTGAACAAGCTGCCGCATCGCGCCAGCGGAGAACCACGATTGAAGGTGTTGGCGGTAAACGGAGCCAAGAGCAGGTCTCTCTTGGAGGCTTCTTGGACGATGAGAGGTGAACAGTAGTGGCCGAGCGCTGTGAACACGACAAACTCGCACCTGACGACAACGCTCCACGCAATGCGGGCCAGGTCCGCTTTGCCTTTGAACTCGGGGAAATCGGCGATCTTCGTCACGATTTTGTCGAGTTCCTCGAAGCTGTACATCTGTACGTGAGAGAAGAACCAGTCGATGTTGTCGAACTCGGGCAGGTCCATGCCCTCCTTGTACAGCGCCATGCCCTCTTTGGCACGCCAAACAGGGCAGGTGTGCCGCTGGATTCTCTTGCCGACTCCCCTCTGCTTTCGGACCCTTTTGGTTACTTCTGTTGCTGATCGGGCAAACACCTTGCTCCAGGATACACCGCCGTACTTCCCCGGGTAACCTGAGGCTAAGAAACGAGCCAGGATGGCACCTTCGAGACAGTAAAGCCCCACGACATCGGACTCGGGCCCGTTGCCAACCCGCGGCACTGAATCGAGGGCTTTCTGGGTGATAATCCGCCCGTGAAGGGCTTTTTCACGTAGAGCTGGCAAACCCACCAAGGTGCCCAGAAGCCAATCGACCCAACCGTGCGGTCCTCCAAACGCTTTGGCCACGGCGAAGAAGTACTTGTGATGGATTTTCTTCTCCTTGATACCCTCAAGGTAGTGGACGATTGACAACTCGAACATGCCAACGAGGTTGGGGCGACTGAGAGGAGTTCCAAGCAACGCCCACGCGGCGTACCTAGACCTCTCTGTGGCAAAATCAGACGTGGGCGGGTCTGCAACCGGGCGCGGGATAAACACCCGCAGTGTCGCGCGAAGCCTCGGCAGTGGGTAAGAGTCACAAGGTATTGATGGCTGTGGGAGAGAGCGCAGCTCGTCCAGCGAGAGTATGCCAATGCCGTGGGGGGGGTGAGTGCCGAGATCCACGGGTACAGGTGGTTGGGGCCCATCCAAAACGATATCGATATGCTTGGGCTTGGGGAAGGCGGTAGTGGGCGACCAAGGCTTCAGAGTCAGCAATTGCGTTCCCAAGATCCTGACGCTACACGGGGACTCGATCAAAAAGGACTCACGATTTCGGGCATCAACGGAAGGTCAGCTGTGCGTGTGCGGGCCGCGCGAGTAGCCGTCGCAGTGGAGATAGTTCTCCAGTTCGACATGGAAGTCGGGGGTGTCATGTCACTTTGGGCAGTTGTCCCCGAGGTGGGGAGGCGGCGTGTGGCCCCAGACGTGCTGGGAGTGACAGTCCTCCAGTGGGACCGAACAGTCCGACTGGGGTTTCTGCGCACCGCGACCGCCTAGTCGTTATTGTCAGCTCCATTTTTACGGCAGTCGGAAGGCAAAAAGGATTAGAAGTAGACTCACCTCCGCCGTGACTGCAGTGTCGGGGCTGTGGACATCGTGGGCTCGAGTCGCCCCGGTAGCACTTGGCGTCGAGGAACGGTAACGCGACTACCAAGCCGTTAGCGGTGACCTTGAATAGCAGGAAAGGACAGCAGACAGGCCACATGGAGGAAGCCGTTCCCAACCTCCCAAAAGAGAGAGCGTGGAGGCCGCGGGAGTTGGATGGGGACGTGAGGGGGATAATCGCTTGTGGGGTGAGGGATGCAGTACTCACGCCCGATGCCTTGATCTTGTTGGCCGCGGCGACTTTAGCCGGGCGAGGAGGACGCCTGCCCTCGACGGTAGCACCCTCTGTGTTGACGAGGATGTTGTCGTCAATACGGCGGCTTCGGGTGGTGCCCTAAGTTAAGTCAGATAGGCACAAACGCAGACAGGATGGCAGGGTGGCGGGGTACTCACAGACAAGCTCGCCGATGGCAGGCCGGTGGGAAGCGCTGCAGAAAGGACACTATCGCCACCCAGCCTGCCGGAGCGTGTCGAGCTGGCATGGTGGAGGAATGCCGGTGGTAGTTGTGGTAATGTGATTAGGGATTCTGGGGTGGATAGAGGTAGCTTGAGGATTGGGATGATAAACTGCGGGAGGTAAACGGAAAGGAAGATGTGGATGTGTGTGTCCAAATCACAAACGGCCTGGCACTGCCAAAAGACAGGCGCGTCCAAGACGCACTAGTCTGAGATCTGTGTCGGTCGCTCCGCCATTAGTACAATCACCCGACCCAACGCCAGCCCTATTCCGCAAGATATACTCCCGCTAATGGTTTCACTTGGGGATTTGCGCAGCACCCAACCGGCATGCCTGCACTGCACTGGGATCACGGGTATGGGGTAGTTGTCAGTGCTGTGTACATTATCGCGCAATTATTGCCATTCCTCCAAGCACTGGACTCCCAAGTTGGACGGTCGAATGCAAACCAGACCCTCAAAAGTGCCAAAAATGTTGAAATAAGAAGCGCAGCGTGCGGGAGCGTGTGGCAGAACGCATTTGCTCGCAGACGTGGCCGCGTGAGTTGAGAGGACCAACAGAAGAACACACTCTCGGTGGTGCGGACGAGGACAATTGTGTGCAGTGACCGTAATAGTAATCAAGGATCCGGGTTGAGGCTGAAATGCCCATGCTTGTCGGTCGTGTGGCAGTCGCCATTCCAATAATGAGGCGAGCGAGCCAAGATGTACCCTTCTTGAGTTGACTTCCCTGACTACTGACAAGCGAGTTGTTGGGCCGTCTATCCCGAGAAATAAACCAAAGTCATTAACCAAGAACCCATCCGTGGATAAGTTTTTGGCATGCCAACTATGTAATAACACTCTACGTTGGAATTTGAATCCAAACCGCACCGAGGGACCCTGGCAGTTATCTTGAAGGTGCGTTGGATTAGCAATAGAGTGAAGTTATTCAAAACCGAGACGTATAGCTCACCACTACGCCTGGCAAGTTCCCTAGCAGTTCCCTAGAAGCTTACATCACTCTAGGAGCTCTATGTCTGAGATGCATGGTGTTCCACAACAGCATCATTGGGATAAGGGCGAGGTTCTGCTCAGTGACATCGCTGTGGCGGAGAGTGAGGTCGTTATCGTTGCGTTTTTTGAACAACTGATTGCTAAGACGCTCATTGACTCGGCGGATTGCAATGAGCACCAAAATCTCCCACCAGCACGGCTAGCCCTTGCCTTCGGGAATCAAGAAGAGATGAGCAAGCATCAGCAAGTAAAACCATAATACTGTACAGGGGTGTACGTTAAGTCTTTGACCACGCGCGGGTGCGCGATGGTCTTCCAGGGTGAGAGGAGGTTGAACCTGATCGACAGACTTCGCCCGGGTGAGTTGAGAGGACCAAGAGAAGAAGATACCGCCGGAATGACTGTTACTCGGATCCCCCAGAACGGGGCTATCGCTCGGCTGCAGAGATAGTCATTGCGGGTTACGGTTGGGGAGACGACACTGTCGCGCTCGAGGATGTTCTAGCGCTCGGCATTGAGTCACTCGGAGAAGGAGATGGGTCCTGTCCGCTGGAGGTCAGGAATGGGAAGTACTGGCTCCAGTTCTCCCATATTGAGAGTATCCCTATCCAGTTCGACAAGCAAGAGCCAAAGTGTGATCCCTCCTGGGATAGCAGCAGGAGACCAACAAGTCCGACACCCAACCTCAAGGCCGCCCCATCGACGGCAATCGTGATCATGCCATGGCTGTCGTCGGAGCTCGTGCATCTCCTTATGTTGACCCTCTCTAAGGTGATACACACACGTGCACAAGATTGCTCCGCCACAGGCGGGTATCCCATACTGTTAAAGAGAAAGAGTAGTCTCATGCCAAAAGCTCATCCACGGATGGGTTTCCGGTTAATGCTCCGCTTCTTATTTGCATGTTTGACGGGGGGGTTTTTTTGAGGGTGTAGCGTTGTGTGGGACGTCCAGCTGGGGATTCTGCTGTTTTGAGGGATGCCATACTCGAGCAATAATTGACAACACGAACGACAGCAGCATAGTCATGTTGCCTTGTTGCAGGCATGCAGGTTATGTGCCGCGCACAACCATGTGAACCATTAGCGGGGGTATCTAAGTATACATGTTTAGGCAAGTGCCCTGGCCTATGGTGACTGTACTAATGGAATCTGGGTAGGACGCGCCTGCTTTTTGTAATCCCAGCCTAGGTGGTGTGTGTAGGCGCTTGCCGTCAACATCTTCCTTCCGCTCACCACACTCAGTGTCCGTCGGGTCACGTCCCATCCATCCACACCCCCTCAACAATCCCAATCTCACTACTCCTGGCTCTCCTCACCGAAAGCCATCCCATCCAGATGCCTCCAGTCACTCGCTACCAAGCGGGTGGCGGTGGCGACACCCACGCCCCCCTCATCTCCGGCGGTCTCGTGTACAGTGTGGTGCCCCTGGCCGGCACCTCTGTTGTGAGTATCCCACCACCCTGCCATCTTGTCTGCGTTTAACGTAGCTGACACATCCATCTAGGGCTCAGGCGATGGGCGCAGCCGTCGTGATGGACAGAGCCGCTGTGATGGACAGTCAACAAACACATTACCCGTGAGTAAACACTGTTCATCCTGCCGGGGTGACTGCTCTTTGCCATCAAGGACTAATAAGCCAGACGAGTAGCAGTCCTTTTCCCTCGCTGTCACCACTCATCGACGCGCTCAACGAGCCAAACACGTCGACGTCCGAAGTCACCCATGCTGCGTCTCCAACCCTTGCTCCTCGTGCCGCCAAGATCGTCGCTCGGGATGCCATTGCAAAGACGTCCATGACCAGGAAGGTGAGTACTACCTCTACATTCAGCGCCTCCGCGGGAAGGCCGGATCTGCCACCTCTGAGGCCTCGCATGGCCAGAGTTTGGGGTGTGGCGACAATGAAGCTGACGTTGCAGATGAAGTCCCCCCCCCCCCCCCCCCTGCCCGCGTCCGGCCGGCGATGGGTAGTACCTCCCCCAGCACTTGGTGGTTACTTCGGTTCCGCACGCAGCCGGGCACCCAGGAAACCAACGGGATACTCCGGTCTCCCTCTCAAAGGTGGCGCCCACCGGCTCGTAGAGCATGAGAGCCCCGAGTACTGGTCCAAGCACGGCTCCGCCCACTACCTCTACGGGCAGAGTCTGCCTGAGCTCCTCCACCTTCCGCGCTTCTTTCTGCATGCCATTGCCATGACATATGAGGAGCTTGACAACGTTACCGAGGGCATCAGCCAGTCTTCTCTTTTTCAGATCCAACCGAGGGTGGTCCTGATAGAGATGTTTCTGCTCACCCGAATCGAGTGGCTGTTCGCAACGGCCTTGGGCTTCTACGGAACCCCTTTGATCTACTCTGAAGTCTCCCGACTTGGACTTGTACTGGCCCCGGAAAACAAGTCGTCGTTCAACAGAGGCTCGCCGATGGCCCACGCAGGCAACGTGCTTGACTCCGCTACGGCTAAAGTAGTAGGCAGACTCGGAGGACTTGCAACCGCCGCAGCGAAGCGCAAGCAGTGGGCGCTCGACCTTGGGGTGGATGACCCCAGCTCAGTCACCTGGAAACAGTGGATGACATGGGCTAAAATTCACCAGCCTAAGACATACGACGATGAGATGGCCAAGATGATCAAGATGGGCCGAGTGGGAGGTGCCGCAAAGGAAAGGATCAAAAGCCAGAAGCGCGCTATCGACCTTGGCCTGGACGATGGCCACCTCGTGTCATGGAAAGAATGGCTAGAGTGGTCGAAGGTGAACCAGCCTCAGAAGTACATGGACACCGTTGCCAAGGTGAGTGTTGAACTGCTTAGCCCGACTACGGCGGCTGACATTCAGGCGGCCCTCAACTCTTCGCGCACAAAGTGGGCGCGGGACAAGCTCCCGGGAGGGGGAGGACATGGCCACACTGTAAGTTATAGGCGCCAGTATCCACCTATTTCTAAAGCTAACAGCGAAGTTAAAGGTCGTCTCCACCAGCACCCAGGACACAGAGGGAATGCTCGAGGTCATCATGTCCCAGTTCATGTGTCACCAGTTCCTCACCATGTACAACCGAGTCCTTCCATTCCGATTCCGGCTTCGACTGCCTTACGGGACGGCTTCTTCAATCTGGGCACGACACGGCATAGACGTCTTGGGCCGAGTGGTCCGAGTCAAAATTACTCGCGATCCCTTCACAGGCAGATTGGAACCGGCGACAAGCTGGATCGAACTCCATGACGTCCAGACTGGGAAACATTTGACCTCCTTCAACTACACCACTGCCCTCGAGGCCCAGGCCAAGCACGATAACATTCCCAAGCCACGTACAGGGGAGATGACTCGAGCAGAGACGGTATTCATGGCCATCCTGGTGTTCCAACACCTCGAGGCGCATGTCTTGGCAGCACCCCAGACAGTGGAGGAGGTATATCAGGACATCGCGGACGAGGAGGCCGCAGAGGAGGGTTAGATCCCGCTCGACTTAGCACGTTGGTGGTGTTCCGCTGCGGCGACTATCAGTGGCCCCGTTACTCCTGTAGATGCAATAATGCTTGAGAGAACGTGTAAGGTAGACTGGAGATGATACATTCGCTAGAGAACTAGCCGTTGACCGGCCGCTGCCGCGGCCGCAGAAAAGGGGAAAGGGCGTGTAGGGCAGGAAGCAAAATTGAAAATCAGAAATAAAGCAATATGTAGATCGAGGTTTGTGGCAATAAACAAATGTGTGTCCCTTTTAGAAGGCCTACCCAGTCTTGAAGGCATTGGTACACCAAGGTCTGGAACATCTGTGTCAGTGACCTCAGTGCCCAATGACACTGCCCATGCAGTACCGAATGTCACAACCATGACCACGACCACGAACACCGTCACTGACTTTCGTCCCAAATCCCATTCCGCTGCCGATTGGGATTTGCATCCGCACAGTCGCCACTCTGCCACCCACAGCTGCCGCGCCGGTGTTTTCGATAACCCCGGGGCAACAGCGGTATGCCTTCCTTTATGCCTCATCACTTCTCAGCCTGTGGCCTGTGGCCTGTGGCCTGTGGTCTGTGGGGTTGCTGAGAGTAACCTAATGGAGAAGAGAATGCCGAGCGAGGGAAGCAAGGGCGCAGACTGTTAAAACACTCGGTAAATGGCCTGTTTGGTGCACCAACCTCCAGCCGCCCCGCCAGTTCCACTGCACAGCTCAAGTCCTTCTGCGCGGCCTTCCACGCAACAATGACCTTAATGTTCTACTACAAAGCCCCTGCCAGTACATCTCGCGAAGGGCGTGGGGAAGGGAATGATGTGCGCTAAGAGAAAGTAGAGTGCTTGATACAATCGGCATTGTGTTTGGTATGTACAGTACAAGAAAGCTTGACCAGTACTTTCTGGCTAGCGTGCGGGGGGGAATGGTGTGTGCGTTAAGATAAAGTCTTGGGATGCTTGATACAATCAGCATTGTGTTTGGTATGTACAAAAACAAATCGGCCAGTACATTCTGGCTAGCGTGTGGGAGGGAATAGTGTGGGTTCAAAGAACAGAATTCTTGATGCAAGGAGCATTGTGGGGAGGAATGAAGAGATGGCGGAGTGGACACGAACTTGAGGGAGGGAGCGTATCTGTATCCGAGCGGCAGCGTAGTCTGGGCAGCCAGCGCGACTTTTCACACATTTGCAGAGCGGGGGGTCATCGTCTGGGGTCTTGTCAATTGCCTTGACGTCGAGCTGAAGTCTCAATCAGTAAGATAACTCGTCAATCAAACACGCACTGGTGTGTAAACAATCCAGGAGGGTGCCATGAAGGTTGACGAAGCTGATGAGGACCTTGAGCATGACCTGCGACGTTATCACCAATGCTGTGTCGAGACACGCACCATTCCCCCGCCACCTATTTTCTCCCAGGAGAGATTGCGGTACTGATCGTCATGGATACGCCTCGCGAGGTTAAGAGGGAAGGCCTGTAGGAGAAAGTAGACAAGGGCGAGGTCCTTCTCCGTGTCATCGCTGTAGCGGAGAATGATGTCGTTATCGTTGCGTGCTTTGAAATGTCAGTGTTGAAACTCAATGGTCAGGAATTACCTTTCCACAGAGCCTTGAGATCCGCAAAGCTCCTCCCAATGGCGACGAGAACGGACATGCGCAATGAGTACTTCCGAGTCCAGTCGCCTACATGACTGTACCGCTTCTGTTGCAGCCAGCGGGCGACAATGTTCAGGGCTGACAGGTGGTCGCCCAGAGGGTGAAGAAGTGGCTGACGACTTGCCACCTTCCTTTGAAGTATCATCGTAAAGGGGCTCATCGACTTGAAGAACGGCAATAAGTAGCAAGATCTCCCACGAGTACCGTTTGCCCTCGCCTTCGGCAATCAAGAAGAGACGCGCCAGCTGGCATCAGTAGGTGAAACGATAATAGTAGAGGCTTACACACGGCTCCAGGCCCAGTTTTGCTGCAGCCTGTGCTTCGGGTGTAGGGAGGAAGCGAACGGGGTCCACAAACTTGAGGGCACAAAGGTTCGTGAGTGCGCATCCCACTTGGGAATTGGTTGGGGCAGCTGGATGTTAGCGCCACATGATATGAACTACAGGAAGCTTACTGATGTACTCGATGTCACTGAAACCACCACCGGCCTTGACAACTAGTTCGTGGGTGATCAAGGTAAACAGCGGATGGGTGAGGTCTACGCGGGTGATGGGCACCTGTGCCTGGTACTCGTCGCGGTCCAGGAGATCTTCCGCCGTGTATGCGTGAAAGACGATGCCTGGACAAGAATGAACATGAGAGTGAAAGAAACCTGGCTCGGTTCGTCCAACACGGCCGCCCCGTTGCTTGATCTGCGCTTGATCACACTTGTATGTTTGGGCCCGGTATGAATCTGTGCTGGGCGAGTACAAGGGGCGCTTGAAAAAGCCACAGTCGATGACATGTGACAGGTTCGGGAATGTCAATGATGTTTCCGCCAGGTTGGTGGCAAGAATGACCTTGATCACCGGCCAACGCTGACCACCGACATCGACGTAACGCTTCTCGTCCAGAGCCTTGGTCGCCTGGGACTGGGCGTCGCGGTAGAGCTCGATGACTTCGAGGAACTGACCGATCTGGTTGTCCGGGTGGTCGCTGTCATGGTCCCAAATGAAGGTCTTCAAGTTGTCGTGGATCTGCTTGATCTCACCAACACCGGGACAGAATGCAAGAATGCCTCCAATGTGCGGATCATGGTGAAGGAGCAACTGCGAAATGACGTCCACAATCCAGTCATCGTAATATTCAATGGGCTGTTCGGTGAAGACGTGGGTGAGCTCCTGTGGACGACCCCCCAAGTTGATATCTGCTGTGGGCAGTCTACACCTGTCCTGCAGAAAGTCCTTGAGGGCCTTGCTGTCTCCGGTTGCAGACATAACAATCAACTTCATGTCGGGTCGCTGCCTCAACAGCTGTGTGATGTCGTTAGTGTTGTCGCGAGCCAGCCGCGAGCCAGCCTACGTAGAAGTTTCTAGAGGTGGACCTACCAGGGGTACAAGAGCCAAGAGAATGTCGATGTTGACCGAGCGTTCGTGGACCTCGTCTAGGATAATGACTTTGAGGTCACTCATAAACTTGGGGTCCCCTAAGCGCTGGATGAGGAGACCATCGGTGACGACGACAAGGCGAGTGCTTTTCTTCGGCATCTACACCCTGCCACGGCGCATCAGGCGCATCAGGCCTGTCAAGACCTCTCCCAGATTGACGTCCAACTCAGCGGCAAGCCGCTGTGCTGCGCCATCGGCAGCAATGCGACGCGGCTGGGTCAGGTATACCTTTCCAGGAGTTGCCGAGTGGAATAGATCCCACACTACCGCTTGTGGAAATCTGCAAGTTAGCTTCGCGTCGCACCCGCTCGCAGAGTGCGTGCTACTCCCAGCACATACTGTGTTGTTTTTCCGGAGCCGGTAGGGGAGGTAACGATTATCGCCTGGTGGGTGTGGAGCTGCAGGTTAGAGTGTTGTTGTACGCCTGCACTTACGGCATCCAACAGTTGCTGGAGTGATGCCTCGGCAGACGCAGGGAGGTGAAGCCTTTACTGGAGAATGTCGCACTGGTTGGCGGACCAGGTGACGTGCTGGCCGGTTGCAAGGGCGTCGGTTGCCAAAGCGTTGTGGGTGGGGTGGGTCTGGAGGTGTCAATTGCTTGTAATAATGGGCAACACACAATATACGCCAGCAACTGGCGGGCTGTGAGGGCATGGTCGTGTTGCTGGATCTGTGCTGTCAGACACTGATTGGAAAGGGCCATATGGTCATATATTGTCACGCATACGACATGTTAGAGGCAGAGGGAGGGACGGTTGAGATGCTTGATTGGATGAAATGTAAAGAAGGGTCGAGGAGAGGTGAGAGGAGAGACGAGATGAAGACGCTACGTGGGGAGCTACGGAGCTATATATGCTATATTGCTCCACAGTGCACACAGCACAGGTGCACAGAGCTCAGAGAGAGATCCAGAGATCTCAGAGACCACGTGGAAATGTGCATGTGCATATGTGCATATGTGCATGTTTGCGCATGTTTGCGCGTTTGCATGTTTACCTGCAGCCTGTTTGCCTGTTTGCCTGTTTGCCTGTATGCGCGTTTGCACTGTTTGACGCGTGACGGCCTGCGCGCCTGCGTGGATCTGTGGATCTGTGGCCTGTGGCCTGTGGCGCTTTGGCTCTGTTTTTCGGCGGGTGCCCACGGTACGCGGTGCCACGGTGGCCCCGCGTGTCATCAATCCACTGGCCACTCATCCGCTCAACCGCCTTACAATCTATCCTCCCTTCTACCACCCCCTTCACTATCTTCACAATGTCCAACGACCCTCAACCTTTCACATCCAGCTCCAGTTCCAGCTCGGTCCCAACCAAGCGTACCGCCCACCCCCTTCCTGCCAATCCCAGCACAGGAAAACTCCCCAAGCATGCTCGAGATGCTCCACCGCCTGAGTAGCTTGCACCCAATGAACCTGAGTACATCCTCGTGAGACGTGGGACAGCAGTGCCGCAGTGGACACAGAGACGAGCTGACACCGCAGTGGCACAGCACTACTGGTTTGTCGACCACCTCAGTGGCTACAGGCTGTGGCGGTAGAGTCGTTTTCGTGGTACATACGACGCCAACAAGCGCGAGTGGTTCGCAGATCAACGCGGTTACAGCCAAAACGGCATTCATGCCTCGGTACAAAGCAAGGCATTTTACCACGACCACGAGCGCGCAGGCAAGTGGATGTTCCGCCAGCTGGAGGGCTTGCGGCCCAATTGTGAGTGATATGAACGGCTTGACAGTGCCGCACTGATCTCTGTAATACTGTAGGAGGGGGCATTCCATGTCTCTATTGGTGACAAGGACCACATCACCGTCTTCTTCGAGGAGCCAGGGGGAGCAAAGGTGGCATTGGCACTGGCGAGTACTTTGTGTTAGGTCAGGGAGCCAGGTAGTAGTGCTAATGCAACAACAGCAAGCCCCATGTTGTGACCTCCAGAGCTCGGGGGACAACGGCAAGAGGCAACGCCAGGAGCTCCTGATGTTCGTCAGCTACTACACCCTCAGGCGCTCGTCTGGGTGGAGGCTGGTGGCCAAGTCTGACTACCACATTATGAGGCGAAGGCAGTGTAACAATGCTCAATACACTGCCCTTGCGGACCGCTGGCGCTCGGGCTCCCCACCACCCCCACCTCCACCACCACCACCGGTTGAACGCGGCCGACTGCCGAGCAGCCTCCGACCTTTTACCGACTTGGATGGCGACGGCATCACGCCTCCAATCTTCGGTGTTTTAGCAACTCCCTGGGCCGACATTGACACGAACAATCTCCCCATCGACGCTCTCCGTCTACAAACTGCTAGTCTGCTCCCAGAACTTCCAGTCCAATTTACGACGCCGAGGGATTGGAGTGATCGGCCGCCCGAGCCTATTTCCTTCTGCAACAACAACCAAGATCACCAAGCCTTCTGGGAGACCATGGTCCACAAGGACCCGATCAAGCCTTTCAACCCTGTGGAGGGGATGGGACTGCGGACTGCATCCGTTCCTAACCCCTTCACTCAAAAGTTCGGCTCACCCTCAGAGATTGGTAAAATCATGTCCTAGTCTTCAAAAGACAGTAGCAGCTCATGGCTGGATGCCACGCCCCAGCAAGATGGAAGTCCACGGCAACTACCTTGCCTACGAAGTCGCGCGGTACAAGGAGAAGCGCCCAGGAGAGACGACCAAGCCGCTCTGGGGATCCAGTTTTGATATCAAGGCTCAGAGGGAGAGGCTGGAGAAGCTGTCGTTGATCGACAGGGCTGAGGCGACCGCTTTGAAGCGCAACTACTACAGGGACCTGTCCGTGCCCATCAAAGACATTCTCCACGCGTATACCTCAATGCTCCCGATCCCAATCCCCGAAGATGAAACCCTCGAACATGCGCAAAATGACGAACAAGCTCATCGAGATCATCGAGAGAGTGTCCGCACGGAGGGTACCCTCGACGTGTTTAAGGCTGAAGACGGAGACCGCATCGGCGTCAAGTTCAAGCTTCCTCGTGCTGATGGCGAGGGGAAGAGTCAAGGCTACTATCATACCGTCACCTTCGTGCCGTTGGCGGCAGGTCTGGGCCAATATTGTTCTTGTAACCCTCTGTCCTTCGCTCCGCGTCCACATGCACTCGAACGCGGACAGTAACATAGCAGTGTAATTAGAAGCCGGTTTGCGTCTTAGCACTTGTGGCCCAACATTTTAGGCCCGTCTTCGTCCATGAGCACCTTCGTGTCGAGACAGCCGAGATGGTGCACGGGTCCATATGCTGTCATTCACTGTTGAATAACTAACTAGGCCGCCTTGCCAAAGTCATGCGATCCACCGCCCTCGCGGCCAGTCTCGCCGCGAGGTCACCGTGGAACCGCCACCTCTTGCACGACTTGGCCTTTTCTCGTCCCCCGGCCACGTCTGTGGACATGGTCTCTCCGCCACACGAGGCATGTCGCCCGCTTGTTAATATGTACATCATTTACGGCCATTTTTGAGAGGTTTGAGGGTCTGGTTCTCCATCGGACCATCCAACTCGGGGCAGTCGCTTGGAGGGATACGATGCTTGTGCAAGAATGCACCACACAGCCAACTGCCTCATACTCATGTCGCAAGCAGGACGTCGTTAGCGCACAGGGATTGTGGGAGACCATTAGCGGGAGTATATCGTAAATACGGTTGCGCTCAGGCACCGGTGACTGTACTAATGGAACGGTTTGAGAGATCTGGGGGCGTGGCTCTTCTCGTCTGCGGCGGACGAGGCTGCCTTGGCCTTGGTCTTGCTGCCACCTTCAGTGGCGTTTACGGTGAAGTGGCTTTCTCCGCGACACGGAAGCGGGCGTCAAGCGCTGCTGGAACCTCCCGCCGGAAGGAGGTCCGCGCAGGCCAACGGGTACAGTATCATATGTGTCCCATCTGGCGGGCCAAGTACTTTAAGAACGCTCTCTACCGCTATGGCATCGACCTCAAGGAGTTTGACGGCCTGGAGTTTGTCTTCACGCACGCCCAAGTGTACAGCTTCGAAGAGCTCGACCGCATCGCCGAAAAAATATCGAAGTCAAGTCTGTTCCGAGGCCCAGCCCGACCTTCATCTAATAAAGTGGGCTTTCGTGACGCGCAGCGAATATGTCATGTTCGCAGCGCCTGGCTGGTTCCACACGCCCCTCATGGTTGAGGAAGCGGCAAAACGTGATCTCCTTGTCGCACCGCACACTGGCAAGTCACTCAACAGAGGGTCCCCGCTTGCTCCCGCGGGTACATATGGACGATGAGACCCGCAGACAGGTCAATGCAGAGAGGAGCATGCGCTTTTGGCTTGACAAAAAGCTACCGGGCTGGGAAGGAGGAAACTACTCGGTGAGTCATGCTATGGCGCTCGCCGTGTGTCAGGTCTAACCGTCCCCAGCTCAAAGTTAGTTGGTCATCGTACGGCGATATTGACGGCATCATTACTGTCATGGATTCCGAGGCTATCATCAAGGCGATCAACACGCTCTACGGATACACCCTCGAGAAGCAGCACGCCTGCGCCTTCCCCATGGGTCCGGCGAATACGTCAGGCGACGACACAATGTCGACATTGTGGGCACCAGGGTACGCTTGAATATTACGCGGGACAAGCACCCAGGGCGCATCACCACCAAAAGCGCCATACAAATATTTTCCAGTGACACCAATCTGGTGTTCTCTTGATTTCGTTCACGTCAGCTTCAGCCCAAGCCGTCAAAACGGAGCGGAGGTATGAGATCAAGAAGAAGCGCAGGCACCGCAAAGACCGCGAAAACAGGGCCGATACAGTGCGGATTACCCTTCTCATATTTAAATACATCGACGAACATATCCGCAGCCTGCTGTAGTGTGTGTACAGTATCGGCAGGGCACACTGCTTGGCTCGGGTTCAGGCACCTTCGTATCGTCCGTGCGTCTCTTTCTCTCGTATTCTTTATGTAACCCGGTTCAACGGCAGTTGTACACACGGAGGCCGAAGGTGGAAATCCCCACCGAGGACGCCGAGGACGTGTTGGGATGGGACCGGCGTCAACTTCAAGTTGCCCTGGGCTGTCGATGGCGAGAACGTGAGCCAAGGCTGTTGTCTCACGCATTTCCTGCCACATGCGCACCGACGCCCCGCAGCGTCTTATTTTAAGTAATTATCGACCTTGTCAGCTCGTAACCAGTCCGAGAAGCTGCACGTGTGCCTGGTAGCCGAACGTGGTGTTTTTATGCAATGAGCATTGAGCGTAGTGAACGTGATGAAAATAGAAGTGCATATGTCCCAGTCCAAGCCCATTTCCTCCCCCTCGTACACAATAAATTACAAAATATGTATCGTATCTTCCTCGTTCAAGTTTCGTCAACTAGTCTCCCTCCTCCTCTCTCATCCTCTCGAGCTTCTCTCAAGCTTCTCTCAAGCTTCTTTCTTTCTCACGCATGGCTCCTAGTCCTAGCTGCCACGCCTACAGGCTTGGGGATCTCGCCTGCTGACCCGGTGGCATTGTTCTCTTTGCCTCGCGTGGTACGTCTCGTGGGGGCCGACTTGGTCTCGGTTGGGATGACTTCGGCCTTCTTGCCCTTGGTCACCGGCGCGGCGGTGGCCTTTGCCTTTGGCTCGGCCACAGCGGCCGACGCGAGGTCTGCCTTGGATGCCTTGCGGCGTGCGGTCTTGGCCGGCGCGGGCACTGGCTCAGGCTTGTCCTGGTCGGTCGCCTCGGCCAAGGCCGTGCGGCCCTTGCGCTTGGACGTTGATGATGCGTCTGTGGCCGGCTCGGTGGCCTGCCGGGTTCGGCGGGTCGGGGCTGACACAGAGCGAGCAGTGCGGGCGGTCCTGCCGGTCGGCAGGGATGGGACCTGTTCCTCCTTCTCGGGCTCACTGGGGGCGGCCGACTTGCCACGAGTCCTGGTGACGCGGGCGGGCTCTGATGCCGGTGGGTCGACGGGGTGTGCGGCGGTACGGGTACGGCGAGCCGGCTCGGACAGGGTGGTGGTGGTGGGCGCCTCCTTGCTTTGTGCGCGAGTGCTTCGCTTGGGAGCAGTGGTTGGCGGCTTGACCGGGTTGGAGACTGTTCGGCGGGTGGAGGTGGGAAGTCGAGAAGGACGCTTGGCCAAGGGGTTCGGCGAGGACTCGCCAGATGAAGGGAGAGAGATGGGCTCTGGGTCCTGGGGCTTGTCCTCGATGGGCTCGGGAGCGTCGTTGACCGGCTCTGGAAGGTTGTTGACCTCGTCCTCCTCGTTCTCGTCCTCCTCAAGCATCTCCTTGACACCTTCCATACCCGGAGTCTGCGGCACATGGCGTCCGGCAAACATCTCTTTGACACCGTCAAACCTGGGTGTAGGCGCCACCGTGCTGGTACGGAACATGTCCTTGACACCGGCAAGCGACGGCGTCTTGGGCTCCACGGGCGGCTCCCTCAACAGCTCCTTGACGCCAGCCAGCATGGGCGTGGCCTGCTGTTTGGGAGATTGCAGCATCTGGCGGACACCGTCAAGGGCGGGGGTCTTGGGGACGACGGGAGTGTTGAGCATGTCACGGACACCGGCGTACGACATGGACACCCGCTTGGAGCGCTTGGGCGTGACCTCGGCAATGACCTCGGCCTCCTCCGCCTCGTTGGCGTCTTCGTCACCCGTTGCCAGCGCGAGCATGGGAGCGTCAATGACACCCGCTGTCGGGGTAGGAGGGAGGCTCTCGCCATCTGCTTCATCGATGACGTCGACACGAGGGGCGGCAGGAGCGCGACGAGCCGTGTGGGGAGCAACCTGAATGTTGGCGTTGCGCGAGGGTGTTTCGGGCAGGACAAAGCCGACCGTGGCACGACGGGCAGGCTGTGCAGTGTTGCCGGACGCACCCAAGGACTGGCGCTTGGCACTGGCACTCTTGAGTCGGAGAGCACCGAGACGACGCTTGATGTCGTCCATAGGAGTACGGGGCACCAGAACGTTATCCTCTTCCTCCTCGTCAACATCAACGGGCACAGAAGGTGGCGAGGCCAATGCACGGTGAGTCGGGGTCGCCATCAAGTTTGTTAACGGGTGCTGGTCCTTGACCGGGGAGCGGAAACTCTTGGGAGGCTCAGGCAGCGCGCGAGGGGTGGCGAGCTTGTCGCGCTGGCGCTGGGTCATGCCAGTGCCCGGAGTCTTGGCAGGTGTGGCCGGGACGTTGGGAGGCGGCGTAACGGGGGCATCCTTGGAAGGTGTAAACGAGCTGCGAACAGGCTTGCCGAGACGGCCGGGGGTAGTAGGCACTTGAGCCTCTCGTGGTGGTGAGATGAGTGGCGCAAACTGCATGGCGTTGCTGCCAATGCCCGCAAGCGACATGCGTGCACCGCCGAGGGCGGTCCTCTGAGGCTGAGGAGTGTAGAAGCGGCCGGCGAGGGGAGGCGCCGGGCTGTCGGGAAGTGGGATGGCGGCGGGGTCGACCTGCATGGTGTTCACCTCGACTTCAAAGTCGCCGTCGACGTCGAAACCATCGTTGTCTTCGAGCTCGAGCGATTCTTGCGACGAGTTGGCGTCCACGCCAGCAGCATCGTGCTCCTCCTCGTCCTCACCACTCTCCTCCTGGCTGTAGGCCAGCTCCTCCGAGTTGGGGGACCAGCCACGCGTTTCAAAGGGCTCAAACTCCTCGTCATCTTCTTCGTACTCAATCTCGTCCTCTTCCTCTTCCTCGCTGTCGCTGGGTTCCTCGACGTGGTTGTGAAAGTCGATGATTGATTGGCCGGGCTGCAGAGAGTCAGTTGCCACGAACACCAACATCTAAAACTTACGATCATGAAATCCGCGTCCAGGCTCTCACGGTCCGAATCCGAGTCGTCAAATTGCGAGACGTCGGCATGCTGGCCGTCCTCGTATACCCACTGAAGCCCATTCTCCTTGTCAGAGGCATCTTCCTCCTCTTCAGACGACTCGGAGTCAGACGCGACATGTGGCGGGACCAGGACGGGGGTGAGACTCTTGCGCGGGGAGGCGGGCTTGGGGCTGTTGAGTGACTTGCGACGGCGGCCAGTCTCAATGAACCCGTTCGCTTCGGCGCCGTCAATCCCTTGCGAGTGTGTTTCTTCCCAGACCTTGCGAGCGGAGCGGAGGAGAAGCGACTTGCGGAGCGAGTCGGAGCCACGCGGAGTTGAGTAGGCCAAGCGAGCAGAGACCGGGGGCGCAGGGACGAGGTTGCGACCGGGAGTGGTGGGAGCCGGAGCCTCTTCAAACTGCGCGTCTGATGCAAGAGGGAGAGGGACGGGGCGGGAGCGAGGAGACCAAGGGACGGTTGATGGTGGAGGGACGTCCTCCTCTTCTTCTTCTTCCTTGTCGTCCTCTGGCGGGGGGATCACAAGAGTGTGTGGGACGGCAGTTGTGTGACCCAGCTCAGCCTTGCGCTTGGGCTGAGGAGTCATGAACGGGTTGAAGCAAGGTGCTCCCTCGTCTTCCTCTTCTTCCTCCTCGTCGTCCTTCTTTTCGAGGTAGAGTCGGTCACCCTCGTCACCCTCGGCAACGTCCACGAGCTCCTCAAATTCCTGAGGCGGCTCAATCTCCTCTGAAAGTGTCGACTTTGCGGGGGTTGCTCCATGCATTAGTCCCAGGCCACGAGGTTTGGCAGGGGAAGGCATGAACCGCTTTCCTTGAGGAACAATGCTGAGGCGCATGGACGTGCGGCGTCGCGGGGTAGCTGATTCACTGGTGCGCTTGGGAGCAGGGGACATGTATGCCAGCGGGGTGGCTGGTTCGCCATAGGTGAAGCGACATTGCTTTTTGCGAATGGTAAACGTGTCGCCGTCGCCAAGTAAGAGGACCTCGGGAGGGTTGTGCAAGGTTGGTTTGCCACCAGCGGCGCAGTAGACCACGCCGTTGTGGCCGTGTACGACAAGTGATGCCTGGGTGTGTGTGTCAGAGCGCGGTTGTGGAATGGTGAGGTCTGGGCAAACTCACTGCTCCTGATGCTACGTCAATCAAGACCTCGGCATGGAGTTTGGAGACGTCGGGTTGGTAGATGCGGATCTGAAGGGGTCAGCCAGAAGGAAAGCCGTGTTGTGGCATGCTCACGTCGCAGTCATAGTCGCGGCCAAAGGTGACTCGTTCTGCGTCGATTGGGAAAGTCGAGAGGACCTTGCCCGACTTGCGTGCCACGAGTTCTACTGTGCCGTAGACTGTGCGAGACTCTATTGGGGGAGAGGCGGCCCTCATGGTAGGAGGAGAGTGGGTTGCTGTTTCTGTGTTTCCGAGTAGGTTGATGTGGTTGTGGCTGTCGTTGTTGGGTGAGAGTTTAAGATGTGTACCTGTGTTGTGCGGGGGTTGTTGGGTATTTGTTTGTGTACTCTGGGTTTCCGTGTCCTGCCTGATGGCCTGATGCGAAGGCAGTCGCGTGCGGAAGCAAATGGAGTGGGTGGGTTGGTTAGCAAAGAGGGGGGTTCATTTAAGCCACGGCGCGACAGCCTGAATATAGTGACGGGTATATATTTTTGTAATTAATCCCAGTATGGACCATTCCGCCGCCACCCAACGACGATGGGACTCTCTCGGTCATCTGCGATGTGTGGTCCCCCCCCCGCTCTGGTGTCTGCCCTGGACTGCGCGCGCGCGCGTGCGGTGTGTCCGGCGTGTATGCACTGGGTGGGTGGCCGTGGGTGGTGCCATCCGAAGCCTGGCGCACGCACGGGTTGCGTATGAGTCATCTGTTGGAGCCGTGTTGGCCGGTGACGACTCTTTCTGGCTGTCTGGCTTCTCTTATCGCGCGTCGCCGGGTAGCAACAGTCTGCCCCCACACCTCTCTGTCGGCGAACAACACGTCTCTCGTGTCTCTCTCTCTCTCTCTCTTTCTCTCATACAGATCATCTAGACACACGTACACTTTTGTGCATACACCCACACCCCCACACTCCGCTTATACCCACCAAGGCCGCCGGCATAGGACCCCGCCAAGCAAGCCCCCGCGCCAGCGCACAATTACACAGCAACCTCACCCCCCTTTCTCCAGCCTCAGCCTCCCGCTCGCGCCACCACGTCGCGGGCACCTCACATCTTCGCCATCCATGGTGCAGAACTACGGGTCCACCTCTCCCACTCCCCCCCTTTCCCCTCCTCCTCCTCAGCACTCCACCATCATGGCGACGCGCTCCCACCGCCGCCGGCGGCGTGGAGACAACGCGACGGCTCCCGGTGCCAGCGTCCTGTCGTCGTTCTCCAACCTGGCCAACACCATTATCGGTTCCGGAGCACTGGCGTTCCCCGCAGCGTTTGCCAGCATGGGCATGATCCCCGGTATCGTGTCGTGCATCTTCTCGGCATGCACAGCCGTGTTTGGGCTGTGGTGTCTCAGCCGCTGCGCGACGCTCGTGGGCAAGCAACCCGGCGACGAGGGACGAAAGGCCTCGTTCAACGAGGTCGCCCGACTGGCCTTTGGAAAGGGCTGGGTTGTGCGAGTGTTTGACGTGGGTACAGGAAAGAAAGATACAATGAGTGGTGCTCACACCCAACGCAGCTGGCCATTGCGATCAAGTGCTTTGGCGTGTCGGTCTCGTATCTCATTATCTGCAAGGTGAGCAACATCGCGTCGATCCTCACGCAGAGCTGTCGGCGAGGCGAGCGGCTTATCCTTGCTTCGCATGTGTGCTGTGTGCTGTATGCCGGACCCCGGACTCCCCTTTCTGACTCTCTTCAGACGCTTCTCCCTCAAGTCTGCCTGACGTTTGGGCACATCTTCAAGACGCCGATTGCCGAAGACTCGATGCTCCTGAGCCAGACCTTTTGGCTGTTCATGACGGCCGCCATCGTGGTGCCTCTGTCGTTTATGCGCACGCTTGACAGCCTGCGCTTCACGAGCCAGATCGCCCTCTCGTCAGTCGCGTACATGGTCGTTGTCGTTATCGGATGGTACTTTGTCAAGGGCCCGGACCCGAAGCGCGGCAAGGTCGAGCTCGCGCACTTTGGCACCAACACACTCGCGTCCTTCCCCGTCCAGGTGTTTGCGTTCACCTGTGCCCAGAACCTGTTCCCCATCTACAACGAGCTCAAGGACAAAACGCAGAAGAAGATGAACCTCATCATTTCGAGCTCAATCTTCTCTGCTGCTGGCGTGTACGAGGTGCTTGGCATTGTCGGATACCTGACGTTTGGCGACAAGGTCGGCTCCAACGTCATCGCCATGTACCCTGCCGAGTCGCTGGTGGTCGCCATTGGCCGCCTCGGCATCGTCTTCCTCGTCGGCCTCTCGTACCCGCTCCAGGCCCTGCCGTGCCGCTCGTGCATCTACCTGCTCACGTCGGGAATCATCAAAGGCAAGAAGCACAAGCTCGTTGTTCCCGAGCCCGAGCCCGAGTCAGAGTCCGAGGAGGACGATGACGACGAGTCGTTTGACTCGGCCAACGAGAACGACCGTCTGGTCCCCAAGGTCGGTGATGGCGCTCACGGGCCCTCGACGCTGGAGATGCCCCGCAAGAAATTTATTGGGTTCACCATCGGTATCTTGGTCTCGGGATACCTGATCGCCTTCCTCGTGGATGAGCTCGATGTTGGTGAGTGAAGTTCAGTCGAGGTTGCCAATCGACGTGCCGAACGTCCATTGTGCTGACAACCTTGCAGTTCTCAGCTTTGTCGGATCGACCGGCTCGACGACTATCAGCTTTATCCTTCCAGGCTTTGTGAGTTCTTGCGCCCAGCATATGGTCCACTCCACTGTCCACTCCACTGACAACCATTCCCAGTTCTATTTCCGCCTGTTCCGCTCGCAGGCCGGCAACACCAAGTGGGCCGCCTTGGCACTGGGCATCTACGGTGTGGCCGTCATGACCTTTTGCCTGACCTTTAACATTATCCACCTCGGCAAGGGTGGCCGCGCGGGACACTAGGACGCGGCACTAGGACGTTCTGGACGCTCCATGTGACAGTTATATATAAACCAGTGGACACCAGAGAGGGTGGGCGCGAGGCCGGGGCGGAGCCTGGGACGTTTGCCTTTTGTTGTTGGGTGAGGGTGAGGGAGGACGGTTTTAGACGGACCGAAGAGCCGAGTACAGTACACCACATGTATGCAACCTTTTTTTTTACAGCAACTGGACGTCGTCTGTCAACATTGTTCCGACTTTGTTCCTGCAACCTCCTGGGATTCAGTTGCGTTGCTTTTCTTGGCTGTTGTCTCCTACCTGTGGCTGTTGGAGGCGTACAGGCCTGTCCGAGACCAACTGGAATCCAGACCCCGAGTCTTCTGTTCCTTCCTTGACTTTCCCTTGACTTGTCGTCGTCGTTGTCGTCGTATTTGTTGCCCTGCTGTCTTGGCAGTGGGGTGGGGGGAGGGGTGCAACGAGGAGCCCATGCGATGCCATTACGGGATGGGATGTGTGCTCTGATTAGATTGGACCTTGGGCAGGCCCTGGTGGCCGGGTGGGGACGGGTGCCATGCGTCCGACTCCATACTCATGGTCGCTCGCTACCTGATTCACAAACAAAGGCGGATATCCGCCCGGGGTTCCCTTTCTCCTCCCTTGACACCCCGTGGCCACCTTGCCTTCCAATGTGCTGTACGCATGTGCGTGACATTGGCCTGGAGCCGTCTCCGCCCCATGCTGGGTGCTTGGCGCGGAGACACCTCGTGTGTGCGTACGGGTAAGCGTGCTGCATATTGCAGACCCAGCGGCCACAGCCGCCGACGGGACCATGGGTGGCAGCGTGGCATCGTGGCGGCCACGGGAAAGCGGCCAGCTCACGGCAGCATCCCGCCATGACCTGCCACACAGCGACAGAACAGAACGTCGATCTACGCGACAGAGTAGCACGGCGACTCCGTCGTTAGACATGTAGCATGTGGGGCGCCAGAAGAAAAGCAACGTCTTTCCTTTTTTTCTTGGTAGTACGTTGCCCCTTCAGAGGTATTTGTTCTGAGATTCGGATCGGCTTTTTCCGCCCGTGCTGTCGTGTTGCCTGCTGGAATGTCTGCCTCACCCGGCTTTTACCGCCTCCCCAACCAAAAAGGAAAGGATGCTGAGACCAGGTGACCAGGTGCACCCAGGTGCCAGGTGGGCGACAGCGCGGACTGGTTAATCTGCATATGGGGGTGGGCTTGTTCGCCGGGTACATAGCTTGGCGGCGGGAAGCGAGGAGCCAGCCAATGCCGGCAGCGAGGTCGGCAGCGGCCAAGAGCGTAAAGTATGTACATAATTTGCGTGAGAGCACACATTTGGGGCAGGTACAGTACAGATCTGGAGGATGAGGATGGGCATGCTGGTTTGGGAACAGGTGGCGACATGTGTACGGCGGTGGGCTCTGGATCTCGAATGCATGGTCACCGATGACGAATACGACTGCTGCTGCGCTGCTGTGTGGTGCACGCGCAGGTGGTGTGGGTATTGTGGTCGTCCTGCTTACATTATGCCATGACGACTCATCCTTGGAATTGATGGTACTCGGCTCTGCGCGCTGTACCGCTTGGCTCTTATCCTAGCTTGGACATGTTACGGGAGGGGACCTGCCCGAACGGCCGCCGCCACAAGTCGGGCAACTCGAGGCTCTCGAGGTCTCCAGGTATGGGTGCCATATGAGATGTGCGCCACACTTTTTTGCCTTGCTGCGCCTGCGCACAAATCACATCGGCACAGCGTCAGCATCGGGCAACTGCAGGTTTATACGCTTTCTCAATAAACTGCTGCTGCTGACGCCACCGGGCCATTGGGTCATAGGCCAAGCGCCACCCGAGCTGTAGCTAGCGACCGCACGCCACCAGGCTATCACGCTCGTGCTCATCGTAATGTTTTATGACGCTCCGCTTCATTTAGAGGTGCGTCTTTACGTCCACGTCAGACCAACGTGCGCTCGTGGAGCCATGGACCCGTGCCCGGCCGGTCCCATATGGTCCACCCCTGCGCCGTTTTCTCGGCGCTCTTGGGTGCTGCCACAGCTGTTGCGGGCCGTCTTAGCGTTTTTGTGCGCAGTGTGTGCTGTGTGCGTTGCGTGCTTACCGCCACGGGCCTCCGCCGCAGTCACAATGTCCAGGTCGCGGCCTGCCGACCTCTGCCAGCCTGCTGGGTCGGCGAGTGCACATCGTTTATGATCGCCACGCCGCCCCCAAAGCGCCAAGCTCGAGGACCCGGCTAGCCCACAGCCAACCACAGGCGGGGTGTGTGGGGATTGCGGAACATGCGGAGGGTGTTGCCGAGTCGAGTCAGACTTGCTGAGTGCCCGATGTCCGACGCCGGACGGCGACGGAGGCGGAGAGGGGCTCGGCCGTGCAGCCGTGGCCAGCCAGCGGTGTTGCAGGAAAACACCGGTGGTGTTAGCCAGGGAGGGAAAAGAGAGAGGGTGTTTCCCTGGCATTGAGTGACACAAGTCCAATCAGTGAGGCTGCTAACCGTCGCAGAAGGTCAGCTGATCAGCTGGAACAGCACATGCTCGAGTGCCGCGGCGCCGCGCCTTGGGCTTCAGGCGAGGTGAGGATGATTAGGAAATGGGGGAATTTGAGTGAGGCTGGCAAATAACAACAGACGTAGCCAGAGGGGGGCGGGAACAGGGCAGAGGCGCAGAGGAGAGAGGGCAAGGATATAGTGATTGATGCAGGGATAGAGAGAAGCTGTGGACCATGATCGATTGGGGCTATCTAGCGATCTAGCAGTTCTGGCCGAGACGTATGCAGCCTAGCTGCCAGCTCGTGGCGACAGAGATCTGATCTCGGGACGGAGAATGCGCATGCCAAAGCCAGGCATGCCTCCGATGTGACCTTTTTTTGCACGTGTGGTGCTGGGACTGCTCTCGATCTCTCGGGGACAGTCGGGGGAGCGGGGGGTGTGCAGTCGCCACCATCGTGGCTCCTTACACACGTTGACCGGCGGGGCATCTGTTCGGCAGCGTGGTGTCTTGTGGGGGGGTATATGGTATCATGTGGTGCCAACAGTGGTTGTGACCACCCGGGAGGTCAGGAGGCGTGGAGAGAGGGGCATTTACACCCAATGGCAGGGCCCGCACTGAAGCCGAAAAGTGTCATTTGGGGGGCCAAAACGCACGCCGGGCAGCTGAGCACCGCGCGTACCGCGTGCGTCCCTTTCCTTTTGGCCTTTTGCCTCTGCCGCGCCTGCCGAGAATGGGCCATTTGGGCCTTTTACCGCTGCGCACGCAGGGGTTGAAGGAGAGGGGGAGGAGGGATGCATGTGGGGTCTCCTTCAGAACCCAGCCAGGAGTACAGGAGTGGCCACTGGCCACTGGCCAGAGTGGGAGAGAGAGGGGGACACGGATGATGGGATGAATGCAAGGGGCAGCGGCAGCACGAGGGGTGCCATAGGGAATCGGGCCAGGCAGCAGCAGCAGCAGCAGCAGCGGCAGTAGACGCTACAGCGTGTACACCTGTGCACCTGCGCACCTGCGTCAGCTCTTCACTGCCTCGAGTCCTTTTTGTACCTTTGTGTGTCGGCTCCTGTCGTGTATTGAGCACGTTTTCTTTCTTCTTTGAGCAGACCCCAGCGGCCAGGCGCACGAGGGGGGCAGACGCACGATGATGCTGTGGTGTGGATTGCGTGGTGTGCCTGTCGTGTGTCTCAGCAAGCAGCAAAAACAGACAAGAGGAGGAGGGGGGAGCGCCAGAGCGAGAGCAAAGAGTCCAGTCGTGTGCCTTGATTACAATTTTGATTTATTCGATAAGCCAGCAAGTCTTATGTATTTGATTTTTGTAACCACAGCCGCCGCCGTTTTTGTATTGGCAGCGTCGGTTGCCCATCAGACGGACCCAAACCCCGGGTCAAAACCATAATCCAACGAGACCTCCTGTACTCCTGTCCCCCCTGTCCCCCCGCCCCCCCCTTCTTCCCCGATCCTCTGGGTGCACGCGCGACACGGCAACCCAACACACACGACTCAAATCGCCCTTCCGCTCTCTAGACACGACTCTACTGTCCACCCCCAAACTCTCGTCTTGTCGTCCATCTTCCAACATCCACATTATATACCCAAGAGCCCCGTCTCCTCCGAACCGCCTCGTGCGACCCTCTCCCGAATCCGTTAGCAGAAGAGCAGCTCGCCGCCTAGCGTGCGCCACGCAGAGCCTGCGTTCGGTGGAGCCCCCCTACAAGGAAGAAGGGCAGCAGCTCTCTGTCTCTCTCTCCCTCCCTTCGCCTCCCTTAGCCGTCGCTCCCCTTTGCTATCTGCCAGCACGCCATTACAATCTCATAACGACTACCTCATTCGTGTTCTCGCACCCACCCACACCTTCACCCACCTTCCCCCCCTGGTCCGTACTCGCCTGGTCGCCTGGCGTACACCGTTGTCTCCCTCACAAGCGAACCACACTCTCCCTCCGGTTTCTTTGGCTCGTTACAGCAACCACTGCCGCTACTGCCTTTGTCGCTCCCACTGCTGCGGCGCCCGCACCCACTACCACCACCCACCGAGGACCGCGTGGTACCCGCGCCCCCCGCACCGGCGTTGCCTGGGTTTTGAGTCACTCCTCTCCGCAGTAGAGTGGAATCGTAATCAGCTCTCGCTGCTGCTACTACTACTGCCCCCGTCTCATCACCCGACTGGGTCTTGGTGGTGACTGCGCGCAACCCCACATCCCTCCCCCCCCTCCCCTCTTTCCTTCCTTTCCCCTTCCCCGCCCCGTCAGCGTAGCCGAGCACGCAAGCGCATCGCCGCCCACTGTTGCCGCCGCCGCCGCCGCCATCGCCGCCGCTCGTCAGACGCCATTCTACGCTTTTGTGTTCCCGACCAGGACTCTTTGATCGCCCATCGCACATCTCCCACACACATCTCTCTCGCACACACACATACACACACGGCATTGCACCACATACACACACACACACGCACGCACCACATCGGCAAACACACACACACACCCCACCAGTTCCCTTGCACCACGTCTCTGTCTCGCATCGGTCAACCCATCCCAATCTCTCTCTCACACACCGCCCACCCCGAGCTAGCTGCCCATCGCTGCTAGCCCGACTCCCCCCTCCCACACCTCTTCTCGCCGCTGCCATCCACCTGCCCCCGGCTGCGGCACGATGAGTGGGTACGACCCGCCCGTCACACCGGCTGCCATGTCGCCCCCTCGGCGTCATACAGACCTCGACAGGTCGCCTTCCCCGCGCATCGGCCGCCTGAGCACTCCCAACGGCGGCATCCCAGCTTTTACACGCCACCAGCCGTTTGAGATGGACGACCTCGCATCTGGTCCTAGCAGGATAGCTGCGCCAACAAACACAGTCTTTGGCTTTTCCCCACAGCATGGCCACTCTGGTCTGCCTGGCACATCGCCCGTCGCACCGCACATGCTCCTGGCCAAAGCTGGAGCCGCCCGTCCAGTGTTATCGCCACAGCTTTCATCGCCGACAACCGAGACCCACTTCTTCCTGCATGGCACAGGCACAGGCGAGCCTGGCAGTCCACGCATGTTCACCGGTTCGCCTCGCGCACTCATGGGAGAGCTTCCTCGGTCGCGTCGCAACTCGGCAGCGATCGTCTCGATCTCCTTGTCGTCGCGCTCTAGATCCCGTACTCCGCGCGGAAGCACCAGTGTGCTTCCGGCACGCTCCGGTTCTGGCACTCCGTCAAAGGCGACAACACCCAAGGGTGGTGACCCCGCCCCGGGCTCGTCGCTCGCTGACGCATGGGCACCCGGTGTCGACGACATGGACGACTGGCAGCCGGCCGGCGGTGTGCTCCTCGACGCCGACGAGTCCGCCACTGGAGGAGATGCCTTTTCGTTTGACGACGACTATGACAATGGCCGCTCGTGGACAGCCGAATCCGAAGCGTCTCGCGTCGCCGACGTCCTTCGCCCCGGTATGGTCTTTGGAGAAGGTCTGGAGTTTGAGGGCGACGTCATTGAGCCAGCGGTTGGTCGCGTGCAGGTGACGGGTGATACTAGCGACGTGGGTCTGCCTCTCCGCCGTGACGGCAGCCAGGTCGGTGCCAGCCGTGCACCCAACCAGCAACGTCGCAAGAAGACGTACGAGGTGATCCGTCAACTCGGCTCTGGATCCTATGCTGTCGTCTATCTGGTCCGCGAGCGCGGCGGGCGCAGGCGCGAGTATGCGCTCAAGTGTCTCTCCAAACACGACCTCGAGGAGGAGCAGCTCGAGACCCAGTTGTTCGAGGCGACCATCCACCTGTCGCTTCCGATCCATACCAACATTGTCACCCTCCACGAGACGCTCCAGACCAAACACTGGCTCTTCCTCATGCTCGAGCTGTGTCCTGGTGAGGACCTGTTCTACTGGCTCGAGCGCTCGCGCGACGCTTCCCCGCCACCAGTGACTACCAAGCTCCCTGCAGCCATCGGCTACCACGACCGCGAACGCCACGGCATGGACATTATGTCGTCGTCGCGCCTGTCCTCGTCGGCCATCCCCTTTTCCTCCAGCCAGCTGTTTTCCAACTTTCCTTCGTCGTACACCAACTCGCCCAACGCGTTTTCGCCCAACGGGTTCAGTGCATCGAGCTTTTCCCAGTCGCCTGCGTCGCTTCTGTTCGCCCACCACAACAATGGGCAGCACGTCCACGGCCATCACTCGCCCCTGGGTTCACACGCGGCCACCCCGCCTACCCCTTCGCTCCTTTCGGCCTTTTCCGCCAACACACTCCTTACCCAGCGCCGTCTGCGTTTGATTGCTGCCATGTTTTCGCAAATGTGCGAGGCCGTGGCCGTGTGTCACAACGCCGGTATCTCGCATCGTGACATCAAGCCCGAAAACTTCATCTGCTGCGACTCGGTCGAGCTCGAGGCGGTCGCAGAGGTCGGCGACGATAACGACGATGGCACGTCCAAGCCCGATTTCGGCCCGCAAGCCAAGCGCAAGGTCATTGTCAAGCTGACCGATTTCGGCCTCTCGACCACCGAGGAAGAGTCGGGCGACGTCGAGTGTGGCTCCAAGCCTTACATGTCATACGAGTGCCGCAACAACCTGGGACCCACGTACCGCCCACCCCCGGCCGATGTGTGGTCGCTCGGCATTGTGCTCATCAACATGCTGTTCCACCGCAACCCATGGAAGGACCCTGTCGACGAAGACCCCAACTTTGACACGTTCCTCTTGGACCCCATCGCCTTTTTGACCACCAAGTTTACCGGTATCGGTAAAGAGGTCGCCACGTATCTCGCCGAGCACGTCTTGTGCGTCGACGTGGAGCAGCGTGTCTCAGCCCACGAGTTTGGCCAGTGGATTCGCTCCTTGCCGGAGATGATCGGCGGACGTCGTGCTGTCCATGCACTCAAGATGGCTCGCTTGGAGGCACGCGGCAAGTCGGGCGCCGGCGGCGACAAGGCTGTCTTTACAAAGTCGCCCGTGGGCCAGGCATCCTTCATCAAGACTTCTGGCTTTACTTCGGCACTTACATCCACGCTAACTTCGACGGCGCCAGTGCCTGTTCCCGCCGCTGCCACCGACATTGCTAGCGCCAACTACGCCACGCCCTCGCTGTCGTCGCTGCCTCCACCGTCCGAGCTTGCTCATGCCACCCTATCTTCCTCCCAGACAACGTCGTTGGCACACCCGGCGCCAACACCAGATTTGGAGCGCGACGAGGTGCGCTCTGCCACAACAGTGGATGACCATCCGACGCCGACGGACATGAGCACGCTTGTGTCCCCCGAGCCCACCGAGTCTGGCGAGACCGACGACACTCGCAACACGGACGACGGCAACGAGGACACAAAGGACGACGACGAGCGCTCCATCTCTACCCACAAGCGCCGCAAGCGCGGTGCCCGCAAGGGCAAGGCTGCCCAGGCAGCTGCTGCCGCTGCCGCTGCCGGCGCCGTGTCTCAAGAGGAGCGCGAGGCTTTCCTCGCCGAACTTGTCCTCGCTTCAGAGGGTCTTGCGCGTGACCTGAGCAAGAAGAAGCCGTTTGATGCCACCCGTGCTGAAGACTTTCCTCCGCTCGGCTCCTCCCCCGCTCAGGTCAACGCAGCTCGCAAGTCGAAATGGAAGGACTTTCTGGCAATGTCCAAGGGCAACCCGCAACTCGAGGCCCTTGCTCGTCGTGTGGCCGAGCGCGACAACGAGGCAGGTGGCACTTGGTCTGCTCCTGCCAAGCTCCAACAGGGTGTCAACCCGGCTTCGCGCGTCCACCTCGTCAAGCACACGGCGACTGCGTCGTCGGGATTTTCGTCCCAGCTGTCCAGCATTGCCGCCAGCGAGTCGTCGGCTTCGTCGTCGTTCGTTGTTGGTGGGCCCGACGAGGACGACGACTGGCGCCGTGCCGCTCGCCAGCGCGAGGAGGACAAGAAGGAGAAGGAAACCGAGGTCAAGGTCAAGCGCCCCTCTTCTCGTCGCGCGACCGAAGACTCGACGAGCCGCAGTCGCCAGGCCGCACTGGCCGCCGCCGCCATCGCAGGTGGTATGGAGCCCATGGGCTCGTTTGGCAAGCCATCCCCGCTGGGCGGCCGCCCCGTGCCCATCAACAACCGTCCTGCCCACCCTGGCCGCTCGCCGCTCGCTCAGACCGACAAGACCAACGACCGCTGGGCGCCGCCTACCAGCAGCGTCGCCATGCCTCTGCCTCCCCAGTCCGAGACACCCAAGCCCTTCCACAACCACCACAACCACCACGCCACCCCCATGGCGATCAAGCCGCTCAATGATGTCAGCAAGCCCTCACCCAATGGGTCGGCACACCACCTGCCCACAGCCAGCTCGGGCGCGAGCCTCAGCACCATCACTGGCGGCTCGCCCATTGCTGCGCTCAACGCGTTGCCTCCCTTGGCATCGCCAACAGCCGAACTGTCGCCCAACAAGCCCAAGCTCAAGGGCCAGATCAGCTCGCTGGCCAAGATGCTAGGCGGTCTCAAGACCAAGGGCAAGGACTAGATGGTCCTCTCACCCCGTCGAGGCCACCATGTAACACTGTCTCTTCTTTTGCACGCTTCAACCGCACACCAAACCCTCCCGCCCCCAACTAAACCTGCCCGACAACACACACACACACCCAGCAAACTGTTCCCGTATATATTTCCATTTGCATCGATAGGAGAGACAAGGGAGTAGACATGCTTGCATTTTATACGGAGTAAAGCCAAATCACAAAGAGAGAGAGAGAGAGAGGGAGAACGAGAGAAGATGTAACACATATCAGGAATGAGAGCAATGCATTGGCGACGGTGGTAAGCAAACGTCACAGCACTAACCGGCTGAGAGAAACAGTTGGCAGTGGTCACGTGGTGCAAGTGCAATCCCAGTCTTGAGGCACGCGGCTGACTTCGCGGAATCAAATGTGCGGCCTCTTCGCCAAAACACAACACAACCACACGACCTCTCTCACCATCTTACTCATATCCAACCCCACCCACAACGACCCACACATCCTGCACCATGACGGCAGATGCACCTCCAGGACCGGCTGCAGGAGCAGCATCCACGCGTCCGCGCTCCCCGCCACCACCGAAGAAGGACAAGGTCGTCCCACCCCCCCCACCTCTGATCATCCGCGACAAGGCAAAGGGCGTGTCGTATACCCGCGCGGGGTTTCTTGGAGAAGTGCGTGGTGACCATGCAGACGGCTCCCTCACACCTCTATCTCTCTCGTGTGGTGATGTTGGTGGCGATGGCGTAATGGAGGCAGGGAGGGGTGGAGAGAGAGAGAGATGGAGGGAAAGCGCCGACTCTGAAGAGGTCAACATGGCCCGTGCTGACTATCACGCAGGGAGGGTTTGCGCGCGTGTACGAGGTGTTTGATGACTCTGGCCTGCGGCGTGCTGTCAAGGTCGTCAACAAGGCCAGCATCCGGACCAAGAAGAACAAGACCAAGGTGCGTTCAGGCGGCGGGTTGTTTGGCGTGATGGAGGTGGTCCTGCGTCGGAGTGTTTATGCCCGTTCGTTCCTGCAACACTTGCTCACACCGTGTCTCTAGCTGTGGGCCGAAATCAAGCTCCACCAGATGCTCAACCACCCGGACATTGTGCGCTTTGACGACTGCTTCGAGGACGACGAAAACGTCTACATGATCCTCGAGCTGTGCGAGAACGGTTCCCTCATGGACCTCTTGCGCCGCCGGAAACGCTACTCGGAGCCCGAGGCGCGATATTTCCTCGTCCAGCTCATCGCCGCGTGCCAGTACATGCACGACAACAATGTCATCCACCGCGACCTCAAGCTGGGCAACCTGTTCTTGGACGGCAACATGAACGTCAAGGTCGGCGACTTTGGGCTGGCAGCGTTGATCGAGAACGAGGGAGAGCGCAAGAAGTGAGCAGGTGATGGAGTGTCAACACAGCTGACATGGACAGGACAATTTGCGGTACTCCCAACTACATTGCACCCGAGGTGCTGTTTGACACGGCCAATGGACATTCGTTCGAGGTGGACATTTGGTCCGTCGGCGTCATCCTGTGAGCTCTTTCGCTCCTTGCACAGCTTACACCGCAGGTACACCCTCCTCATCGGCAAGCCGCCTTTCCAGACCAAGGATGTCAAGGCCATCTACCGCCGCATCCGCGAAAACCGCTACGACTTCCCCGCAGACAAGGAGATTTCGGCCTCTGCACGGGAGCTCATTGTCTCGATCCTCAACTCTGACCCCGTGAAGCGGCCCACTCTGCAATCCATCCTCGACCACCCGTGGTTTATGGAGGGCCAGTTTCCTTCGTACATTCCCAACTCGGCCAACGATATTGCTCCCGACTACTCGCACCTTACTCTGGCGCACAGCAGGCGCAACTTTGAGGCCGTCAAGCGTCGCGCGACCGGCGAGCAGCAGGCCACCACCCCTCCCACCAGCACCCAGCGCAGCGGCCTTGCCCAGTCCATTGTCAACCAGGAGCGCGACTTTAAGAACGCCGTCCAGCCCGACTCGCCAATCTCGGCTCTGCTCACATCCGCCCGCCAGCCCCTTGTCCAGGCTCCCGCAGCCATCAAGGAGCCTTCCCTCCTCCGCAAGCTCACCGCCGTTGGTGCGCAGAGCACCCTCAGCCCCGTCCGCCGCGGCACGATGCGCGCGCCGCCCACGGCTGTTACCGGTCCTGGCCCATCGAGCAAGGCGCCCGAGATGGACGAGGTGATCGAGGAGGAAGACGAGGAGGAGCCAGAGTCAGAGCCCAGGCGCGGCTACAACGTCGGCGTGCGCGACCGCGAGCTCGCCGCTCAAAAGGCCCGTATTGTCAGCCAAATGGCCGGTATGCGTCTCTCGGACGACCCAGACAAGGAGCCGCCGAAGGCGACACCAGCTGCGTCTATCACGCCGCCTCGCAAGGCACCTCTCGGCGAGGCTTTGGTACCCCAGCGCCAGGCGACGGCCGCCACCGCCCCCGCGCCGAGGAGCAGCGGGCGGAGGATAAACTACGACGCATTTGAGCATAACCTCGACTCGGGCCTCAAGTCGGGAGCAACGGGCGCGTTCCGGTCAGGTGAGTTAAGAGGGACACACGCTTTCTCTAACTCGGCAGGACTCGAGGATGAGCCTCCCGCACCCAAGGTGTTTGTCGTCTCGTGGCTCGACTACTGTGCCAAGTATGGCATGGGCTTTGCCATGTCTGATGGCACTGTGAGCGTGCATTTCAACGACTCTTCATCGCTCGTCCTTGCTCCAGCCAAGATGTACTTTGACCACATCACACCCGACGGCGACAAGGTCCACGAGCACCGTCGCTCCTATGCTGCCGACACGTACCCTTCAGACCTCAAGACGAAAGTCTACCTCTTGCACCAGTTTGAAAACTACATGCTCAGCCGGCTCGTGGGCAACTACGACTACACCTATGTCGACAGGGACAAGACGCGCGGCATGGTGTACATTGAAAAGTACCTCCGCATGAAGCATGTCATCCTCTTCCGACTCTCCAACGGTATCCTCCAGTTCAACTTTTACGACCACACAAAGCTCATTCTCTCCGACGACGGCCTCGTCGTGTCCGTCATTGACAAGCACTATTCGCTGCGCACTTGGAGCCTCGACGCACTGTGTCGTCCCGTCCCCGAGTCCGAGAGCAGCAAGGAGAAGCGCACGATCGAGCGTGTGGTGACCAAGCTCCAGTATGCGAGGTGAGTATAGGAAACCAACCACATTGCCGTTGCTGACAGGTTTTAGGGATATTCTCGCCAAGATCCGTGCACACGGCGGCATGGGCATGGCCGGTCGCGCTGCCCGCGAGCGTGATGCCAAGGACGCAAAGGACAAGGAGCGCGATGCTGCCGTGGCAGACAAGCTCCCCGAGTCTCGCTCGGCCACATCACACCGCGAGACCAGGGACAGGGACGTGCTCGACCGCGACACACGCGAAAACCGTGAGCGCGAGCGCGACTATCGCGATCACGATAGGGTGGAGCGCGTCGACCGCGACCGTCCCCGGCCGATCCGCTAGGTAAAGCCCTCGCTCGCCTTCTCTTGCTCTTCATTCTCTTGCATTTTCTCTCGTCGTTGTCGTTGTACTCTGTTTGGACTCTGCATTCATTGGCTATCATGGGACATGTGCCGTCACGCACGCACATATGAACAAGCAAGGGTACGGAAGTGGAGACGGACGGTGAGATTGCTCTCAGCCTCCAGCCGTGCAGCTCTCATCCGTCCCGTCATCTCGCTCCTTCTCAGTCATCAAACCTCATCGCCTTCTTAGTTCAGTGGCTAGAATTTTTCACTAGTAGTGTCGCTCAGCGTCTTGCTATGAAAGGGTCACCCGTTCAATTCGGGTAGAAGGCAACGACGAGCAGTAGGTCCTGGTCTCGCTCGCTTCCACCGCGGCCGCCGCGGCGGTGCGAGCGAATGAGACGACGACAGCCTACCCTATGGCTCAGTTGGTTAGCGCGTGGAGCTGTTATACCACCAGCAACTCCGAGGTCCCAGGTTCGAGCCCTGGTGGGGTAGAATGCTCTCCTTTTTCTTGTCCTGTGCATGTTGGAGGCTCTGGGAGGTGTTGGTGGGAGTGGTGGAGACGTCGGACGGTTGCGGGCGATGAAGAGAAGGTGAGAGGATCGACGATGTTGATTTTGGTTCCGCCGCCACACTGACCCTGTCGATTGGGGTGTGCTTTTGCACTCTCGTACCGAAAAAACGTGGGCAAGGTTGGGCATGCATGAGCAACTACAGATTTCAGAGCTACATATGCATAGGTAGGGGCTGCCTGGGGCTCTGCAGTGAGGGGGGCCCTGCTAAGACACCTCGTGGCAGCACGAACCGCTTGCAGGTTGAGCAGAGGGTTCCAACCCCACCGCCTGGCAAACCGGCAAACGCATAGCGTCTGTCGCGGCGTCTGCCATTACGGACGCAGTGTGTTTCTCCGGGTACAGAGAAACACCACAGCAAAACGAAGTTTCTCCACTATGCGCGACTCTGTGTGTTTCCGCTGACTGGGCAAAACACACTACGGGCTACAAGTAGTATTCCCAGTATAAAAACGGGGTTGTGTTGATTTTTCGGTTGTGGCCACCCGCGGCAGGTAGAATGGACCCCTTGTATCGTCAGCGATCAGCTTAAAACGACCCAGACTCGCCCCCCATTGGAGGTCTTTTTGTTGCCACCAACTTTGTGCGCGTAGACAATTGGAATCAGCTTGGAGTTGGGGTACATACCAACCCCGCTTCTGCACATGCCACCAAATCACCCACAATCAAACATGCATTTTCTACAAAGCTCATCAGGCTCTGCCACAGTCCTCTACCCAGACAAGCCAGCCCAGGTCCACCCACGGGCAACGACAATAGTCGCTGTTTGAGATGGGGGTGCTGCCGCATGGTCCCGTAGCTCCACGTTGTACTCTCCCTCGTGAACTCGCCAGTGGCCATCACTGCCTCCTTCCCACTGGCTGAACGCGTCCGACCCAAACACCATCTTCACCGTGGCGCTGTCGCCGGGGACAAGAATGCGTGTCTTGCCAAACGCCTCAAGAGATAGCACCGGGCGACCGCTGGCCACGTTGGCAGGGGACACAAAGGCCAGGACGGTGTGGCGACCGGGGCGGGATCCAGTGTTGGTGACGGTGACGGTCGCGCGCAGCTGCTTGCCAGCTGTAAAGGACTCGACACCTGCTATGGTGAAGTCACTGAGGGCAAACGCTGTATACGACAGGCCGTGTCCAAAGGGGAACATGGCCTCCACATCCTCGGTAACGTAGTGCTTGTATCCAACCAATAGACCCTCCTCATAGTGGACCGTTTCGTTGGTGCCCGGGAAGTTGCCAAAGGAAGGAGTGTCTTCAACCGACTTGGGGATAGTGACCGGCAGACGGCCGCTGGGGTTAACCTTGCCGCTGAGAATATCCGCCAGGCTGTGTCCAAGCTCTTGGCCAGGGAAGAAGCACTGCACAACTGCGTCGACTTCATCCAGCCACGGCATGCTGATCGGCGACCCGGTGTAAATAGCGACAATGACCTTTGCAGACGACTTGGCAAGGGCGTGAATAAGAGCGTCCTGCTTTCCGAGCAGGCTCATTGTTTCACGATCGAATCCTTCCGTCTCATAGTCCTGCCCTGTCAACCTCTATAGCCTGATTGAAACTCACGTTACCATGGCCAACGCACACCACCGCGGTACCGAGCTGTTCGGCGGTTGCAACAGCTGAGGCGATAACGTCCGATTCCTCTGTCTGCTTGAGGAACCCAAAGCTGTGATGGTCAGTAAGCTTCTCGAACGATTTACTCACTAAACACCGTTAAGCTTATAGCTTGTGGCGTACAGCAACTCTTCGTTGGACTGAAGGACGATCCGCACGCGGTAATTTCTCTTGCCCTCCAACGAGAGAGTGGTCTGGGTGGACAGCAGATCAAGACGCGCCTGAAGGAAGTCCTCGCGGCGGTTGGGCGTGGCAAGGGTAGAGCAGATGAGACGGTCGTCGAGGTACAGATCAGCCTTGGATGGTGCCGACATGAACAGGAGGTGTTCCCCAGTGGTCTGAGGGCAGAGCGTAAATGTCATCGTCGCCGTCCATCCGGGCGCCAGGTTTTGTGGGTATTCATCGAGGCAAGTCAACCACGGGCGGCGGAGGACACGCCTTTCGACGACTGAGCCATCCGCGTTGCGAAAGACGAGATCGCATCCATCCTGTCCGTTCTCGTTGGTGGCTACTCCAGCAGTGGGCGTCGGGGGAATGAAAAATGCGGGAACGCCGGGAACGAGTTGAACATGGTCAAACTGCCCAGACAGGCCCTCGAAGGGAGACACTTTGCGGTGGGGGTTGAGGCTCGCCGAACCCCCACCATGGGCAAGTGGAACCTTCGCAAAAACACCGACGGCAGCGACGGGTGTCGTGACGTTGAGAGGGAGGATACCGTTGTTCTTCAGCAGAACACTCCCTTCAGCGGCGGCGGTGCGAATCAGGTTGCGAGTTTCGGGGTCGTCATCAGCGACTTCCTCAGTCTCGGGCGGCAGGTCAAATCCCCCCGAGCGTTCGATACAACCAAGAATGTTGGCAGCGCGCTCTTTGACGGCGGCGGCCAGTGCTTCATCCTTCTCGGCAGCCTTCTTCAGTGCGTTATCGCCACGGAAGTGACCAAACGGCATTTCCACTAAACTTGTCAGGGCCACTAACACACCCTGTCCACTCGTGGCCACTCACAATCCATTCCTGCCAGGACGGCCGCCTCGAGCGAGTAGGTGCCCCACCAGTCGCTAGTCACAAACAGGTCTTTCACTCCCCATTCGCCCCTCACGACTCCCTGGAGAAGACGCTTCTGTTCGCCGACGTACGTCCCATTGACCTGTTCAGTGTCAGCAGCCGACGGCTGACGTGACGTACCTTGTTGTACGAGGTCATCATTCCGTGTGGCTGGGCGGTAGCGAACGCAATCTGGAATGGACGGAGATAAACCTCTCGGAGGGTCGTTTCGTCGACAACGACGTTCATGGTACGGCGAGTCTCCTCGGAGTCGTTGCAGATAAAGTGCTTGATGACAGCAGTGACACCGTGCTCCTGAAGGCCTCGGATGTAGCCCGAGGCCATCTTGCCCGACAGAACTGGGTCCTCTGAGAAACTCTACAGCGTCAGCCGGGACAGGGCATGTCCTGCTTACTTCAAAGTTGCGACCACCGAGGGGCGAACGATGAATATTGACCGTTGGACCGAGGAGAACGGAAGCGGACTTTGACTTGCAGTCCTTGGCGAGCGCAGTTCCAACAGCAAAGGCAAGCTCGGTGTCAAAAGTGGCCGCGAGGCCCACGCCGGCCGGGAAGAGAGACGCCTGTCGTCAGTAGCTGCCAACCGGATCGATCTTACGGTCGCTCCATCGATAAAATCCTTGCCTCTGCGATATGAGCTCGTGGTTCACGTCGATTAATAACTCACCGGCAACCGTTTGGGCCGTCGGACAGCTTGAGGCCAGAGGGCACACCGAGGCGCGGTACGCCACTGAGACGCCAAAAATCGGCGCCGTGAAGTAGCGTACTGGCCTCCTCGAGGGTGAGTTGTGCGGTAAGTTCAGTGCAGTCAAACATCTTGAACATGGGGAAGCCGATGCATCTCCCCGGCCATGCCTCTTATCTACCTTGTCGGTCCCGCCGTTGACTGAAATCTTATAACCGGAGGTGGAACAAGGAAATGGCATGGCCGTCGGATCAGAACACGGAAATGGCATCGCCGAAGAGTACACGGAAGTGGCATCACCGAAGCGAATACGCGAATACGTCCAGACCCCACCTTGGGTATTGTACACCATGGGGCACCATTGTGGGTTGAAGGTGGGCAAGGGACGACGATTCCTGACAGTAGCCTTATCACATGCATTCTCAGTTCATGCAGTGGGGAATGTCGGTGCAAAATGTACATATATATCTTGCGCAAAGTTGATCGTTTCCGTCAGTACTTCTTCCCCCCCAATCACCTCAGCGTCACCATGGCTACCCTCAACGAGAAGAAGGATGTTGACGGTCACGACTCCTTGGTCAAAGTTGTTGACCACATCGAAGTTGCCGACCCTGTCGACTCGGAGCCACTGTGGCATTACATCAAGCGCAATCGCCGTTCCGTCGGCTGGAGCGTTTTCATCTTGTCGTGAGCCACACTGGCCCATTGGTCATACTGACGTCGTCAGCCTCATGGTATCCTTTGGGTACGATGCGCTCCTCACTGGATCACTCATCGGCGTTCCCGCTTTCAAGCAACGCTTTGGTGTCTACGACGAGAGTGCCAACATGTACATTGTCAGCGCCATGTGGCAGTCTGTGTGGTCAGCCATGACCTACGTAGCCATGACGCTGGGTATCTTTATCACAGGCCAAGTTCACGGTCGCTACGGCGTTCGCGTCACCCTCATCGCCGCAGCCGTTCTCAGCGTCGGTGCCATCATCTCTGAGCAGCTGGCTCGTAACCCCCAGCAGTTCTTGGGGGCCAAGATCATCGCTGGCGTATCGTACGGCCTTCAGACAGCGACGGGCCTCATGTCTCTCCACTCGTACGCCCCAGAGAGACTCCGTGGCCCCCTTGGCACTTGCTTGAACAGCTTTATCCTTCTGTGAGTTGGACGTTTTGAGCGCTGCTGACATTCCAGTGGTGGCTGGCTTGCCAGTGGCGTGATCACCGGCACTGGTCAGGCCTACTTGAACTCTTCCCTGGCCTACCAGATTCCTTTCGCGCTGCAGTACATGTGAGCCCGATTTGAAGCGATGAAAACTGAGACGTAGGTTTGTCCTCATTTTGATCGGAGGCATTGTCTTCATCCCCGAGGCCCCCTCGTGGTACGTCCGCCGCGGCGAGCTTGACAAGGCCCGCGCGTCATTGGTCAAGCTCTACGGCAAAGACCAGCAGGATGCGGTCCAGGCAGAACTTGAGAGGGAGCAGACGGCGGCCGAGATCGAGCACGCCGCCAGTACCTCGGCTCCCGGCCTGCTTGAGCCCCTTCAGCGCGTGAGTTGTCACCTTAACAAATGTATGCTGATCAACAGAAAAACCTTCCCCGTACCATGATCAGTTCATGCCTCTTTGGGTTCCAGCAGCTGGTTGGTGGCAGTTTCGTCACCACCTACCTCACCTACTTCTTGTAAGCTTGGAGTCAAGGTGGTAGTTGACATTCCCAGCCAGGTGGCAGGCGCCCCCGAGACAATTTCCCTGAACCTTGGGATGATGTCGTTCTCTGTGCAGCTGCTGGGCAACATTTTCAGGTTGGTGGCAGCTGGATAACCAGGCGCTAACTACAGCTTCTTCCTCATTGACCGACTCGGCCGCCGCACTATTCTCGTTTGGGGCCTGTTCAGCATGACTGTGGTTCTCATCGTCATCGGCATCGCTTGGGCGGTGCGTACCCCGGCCAGTCTGTGGGTCATGGTAGCCTTCATGAGTGAGTTGCGCATACACGGGACACGACTGACATGACAGCGGTGTGGGCGTTCCTGTACCAGGCTTCGATCGGTGCCGTCGGCTATGCGTTGGCCTCTGAAATCCCTAGCGCTCGCCTCAGACCCGCGACTATCGGTATTGCTGGTCCTGTCGGTCAGCTCTGTGCCCTCGGAATGGGATTTGCGACGCCTTACGTACGTCCACACCGCATTCAAGGACTGACAACGTCTTAGATGATCAACCCCGACGAGGGAAACATGGGTGGACTTGTGGGATTCGTGTTTGCCGGCTTGTGTGCCATTGCTACCGTCTGGGCCTTTTTCTGTGTGCCCGAAACCGCTGGCAGGACTCGCGATCAGATCGAGGCACTGTGGGCCACCAAGGTACCGGTTCGCAAGTGGAAGGGTTACCAGCTTGACGCCGCCGGCGAGACCGTCGCTTAACATGGCCCATGAGAACAGGGGTGGCGAAAGACAGATTGTCTGCTGAATTGTTTTGTCCAAAATTGGGGAGTTAACAGATGATGAGTGTTAGTCGCATGCAACGTTTTTTGATTGTGGATCCTGGTTCCGACCACGTTCATCTCCTGTATGTCTCAGTCGCAATCGGAAAGAGTGTGGCCTATGGCCCTGCTCAAGTGACCAGCTCGGACGGTTGAAGGAAGAGGTTGAGCAGCTCGTCCAAAGTCAAGTCAAACGTTTCTGACTCGGCCTGCTTCACCGCATACTCTTGCCGAAGAGTGTCTAGGGCCGCCAAGGAGGCAGCAGCAGCATTCCACGATTCCGACAATTGGCTGAGGTAAACAACGAGTCGGTCCAGCGCCGCCTGTGCCTGCTCGTGCTCGTCTCGTCGGTCGGGCTGGTCGTACAAATCGGCCAGGACCAGCGTGATGTAGGCTGCCGAGATGTACAGTATCTGCCCGTCAGTAATCAGTAAACCGGCGCGCAGTTGAAATTCTCACCTGTGACATTGTGATCGGCGCCTTCCGCAAGGTAAACCGGTCGTCATAAATCCTAGCCAGCTCGATCGTGTCCAACGCAGCCCGCCAGCTCTGCATGCCTTCCTCACCGTCCAACATTCTGCGATGCAGGAATGGTCGGTTCAGGAGGATGAGCACGGCGTTATGGAGTGCCAAAACGCATCTGTTGTCAATTTTCGGTGCTCCAATGTGACTCACATGGCAGGCGGCGACGCTGGTGTCTCAAGTGGCCGGGGGTCAAACCGCGCACGCCTGGTATCAGCCCCAAGCAGCTTGAATCACTCACCAGGTTCGTAGCCTCTTGCGAAGGTCTTGAGCCTCGCACAAGGTGTTTCGCTGGTCCTTGCGGACGTTGTAAAACAACCGCATCACTTCTGTGCAGATGTCGCAGAGAGACACCATTGCCAATTGCAAGCCCCGGTCGTTGGATCGGCACTGAATCAACGGCTGGAACTCGGCCACCAGGTGTACATCATGATCCGTGCTGCTCATGGACGGTAGGCGCCCCAAGAACAACGCGAGAAGCCTTGACGTCAGCAAGCCATAACGGGCAGCAAACGCACTTGTCGTCTACATAGACCGTCCAGAACGCATCGTTCCGCAGCCGATGGGCCAGCGGTGACATGGTGCCGCTCTCGACCATTGGTGTGGTGTTGACATGGAGCCCTATCGCCAACGCAATCCGGGTCGTGACCCCTAAGGTGTTAGGTTACCTTTACTCAACTGCTTACCAGACAAGATCCAAGCTGAACTGGAACCAGATTCACTGGCCTCAAGAGAGAGAAGCACCATGGCAATGACCGTAGTTGACTTGGGTCGATCTATTTCGGAAGCCAGCATCGTGTAGGCTGCTTGGATGAACACAGAGCCGTACTGCTGGCGGTAGGGCGATATGTGCAAAGCCGTCGACAGGATGCAGAGGTGCAGAAAGAGGGAATAACCATCTGTTGGGGCGCCTTTGGCGATGCCGAGTCGGAAAGCGTCTTCGTCAACGAACCCGTTGAAGCCGTTCAAGTGGGTAAAGTAAAGAGATAAGAGTTCGTCGTGGGCGCCAACTGTCAGGTTGAAAGACGCAATCAAGTCCTCATGGAGGTACGGGTTTAGCCATTGATAATCTGATGGTCAACTTCACACCCATCGATCCACGCACCTCACCGGAAAATAGTGCATTGGGCTGGATTTGGCGAGGCGGAACGGAAGTTGGACCCATGTAAGTGAGGTCTCCGTTCTGGGCAAAATGTAGGACCTCAAACGTGGAGCTGTCGCCGCCTGGAGCCTGGGCGGTATCGCGCTCGTCTGGTGCTGTAGACTGTGCGGGCACAGCCCGCCGGAATCCCACCTCGCTGCTGCCCAAATCGCCATTCTGCAGTTGCGTGATATGGCTTTCGAGCATGGCAATGTGTCTCTCGAGCTCTTCAATACGTCGGTGCGGTCGGTTGCTGGGTATCAGAATGCCGTTTGCTTGGATCTCTACTGTACCTTCGGCGCCCGTCGACAGACTGCGAGTAGTCACACGTGCTGCCCCGCCCTGTGCATGGCCCGCATGACGGCTGGACGGAATCGCACTTGATCTTTCGGTGCCGACAGTTGCTGCATGCAAATGCTGCGTTGCGGCGGCTGGGAGGCATGGTGAAGCGTTTGCGAAAATGAGACCGAGTGTACAACAATGAAATCCAGGGGAGATCCGCCAGGAGTTGTGGGGCTGCAAAAGTCGCCGAGAGCTCTCGTTTTTGGCACCCGAATCACGTGCAACATGTCCTTTGTGCACTGGTGTTCTCTGATATCTCATCGTCGTGATCACCACAGCCCTCGCATCACTCTCCCATCTGCTACGTCGGTACAAACTATAACCCATCGACAGCCCATTCAAACTGCACACCCAGGCCTTGGAAAAACTCCTTCTGATAAGCGACGGGCATCACTGCCATCACATTGGGGTCCCTGAATGTCAGCCTATGACAGAGGCGAACGACTCACATGAAGGTCTCAGTGTCCGCGAACAACGCTGCTCCAGCACTGGAAGCAGCTGCCGCAGTGTAGTGCTTCTCCGACTTGTAGACGTACACCGAGATGCTATCGTACTCGGGCAGTGAGAGGCTGTCCCCCAAAAGACCCGAGCGCCGCACTGGAAGCTGTATGTACTTGAGGATACCAGGCATCTTAACAGCAAGATGAAAATGGACCTGTAGTAATCAGCGACTTGCGTCACCCCCTGCCTTACGTTGTGGTAGTGGTGGAGGTACTCTTCCAGAGACAAGCTTGGAAGGCGCTTGCACATGTAAACAATCGCGAACAGCGAGTCCTCTGGCTTGGTGGTGTCGACGGCCATGGCAGTGTTCAACTTTCCTTTGGCGGTACTGAACAGGTCAGAGCTCCTTTATTTGGATCAGCTCGATGCTCATGGGTCAGAAGTAACGGCCTCCAAGTGTTCCCAACTGAGCCACCTCCGTCAGGATAGGGTCGTCAGTAAGACGGCGATGACATTCCCGCCACGGCGATGGCATTCCCGCGTTATCGTGTACAGAGTGAGAACGGAAATGCCACTTCCGACGTGAAAGGCCGGCAACCCATATTTCGTGCGACTACCCGACTACTTAAGGCAGCCTTGCTGTGCTGTGTCTCCTCAGCACTACACATCTCCTATACCGATACCATGTCTTCTCTCCAGTACTTCTCCTACGAAAAGGTCGGCAAGGAGCTCGAGGAAAAGCACGGCTTCTGCGCTGCTGTGCGCGTCGGCGACACGATCGAGTGCTCCGGACAGGGTGGGTCATGACCGCCGCCGCCAGACAAGCTAACAGCCAGGTGGCTGGGACCCCAACACATTTGTCATCTACCGCGAGATCAACGCCCAGATTGATGAAGCCTTTAAGAACGTCGACCTCGCGCTCCGCGCCGCCGGTGGCAAGGGCTGGGACCAGGTGAGTCTGCACCTCCATTGGGTATGCGCTGACAGCGGTCAGGTCTACAAGGTTCGCTCGTACCACGTCCCCCTGAACAGCGAGGCTATCGAGGCTATGACTAGGAACTTTGCCAAGTGGATGCCCAACCACAAGCCCATCTGGACCTGCGTCGGCGTGACCCGTCTGGGCGAGGACGACATGCGCGTCGAGATCGAGGTGAAGGCATACGACCCCAAACAGTAGAAGGAGACTAGAGTCACTCTCTAAAATGTAACTTGTGCATGCAACACCTGATCCCGAGCCCAGGGTTGCCTCAGTGGGTGATTAGAAAGCTGGAGATGAACCAACGTTAAATGCAACCTTACAAGGTGGCCATCGGCTACGTTGAGGGAGGGGAGAACTGATTAACGTTTGGCATCGGGCTCTTGGCCTGCTCTTGGGCTCTTGGGCTCTGGACGTGTTAGTAAACATATAAATGCCCCCCTCTTTACCTTGCCCACTGATCCACGTGAAACACATTAGGGATGTCGCCGCGTTTGCCATGACGGACGTAGTGTGTTTCTCACTGCACCCAGAAAGACGACAGCAAAACGAAGTGTCGCAGCTGTCGGCGCGTCCATGTGTTTCCGCCGACTGGCCCAAACACACAATGTACACGACAGAAGTAGTATTCTCAATTTAAAAACGTAGCCATGTTGTCGTTTCCGGTCTGCCATCTCCAAAGCGTGTTCTGTCAGTGGTTCAGTTCAGCACCAGTCTGTACAGTAAGTACAAGTGGTGATCATATCCTCCGTTTATCTATGTTGCGGGCCCCGTCATCACAGTCCCCTGCTCCTCACAATACCGGCAATACTCCTGGTGGCCAGCTCGAGGAACGCAATACCGTCGGCAGCGGCATTCTCCAGCATGCCCACGGCACCGCCTGCGTCATCGAGCCTGCGGAGGTTGCGACGCAGCGTGACGAGGGCAGCGGCAAGGTGGGGGTTGCCCTCAGCTGTGGTGGACTCTGCATCTGCGGGGTAGGGTTGCAGGAGGTGGGATTCTGGTAACGAGTGTCAGCATCGCACCACGGGTGAACACCATGAGCTGGATACCCAAAACACAATGCTACTCACCGGCCGAGAGGTAGGCGACGGCAAGGCCAACCCTGGTGGTGTACCACTCGACACCCGCGCCACGAGGCTCGCGCATCACGCCGGTGCCCTTGTTGAGGTGTGCGTCGTACACGGCGGCATCGGCAATATCCCATGCATACTTGAGGGGTGCAGCGGCGTCAAGAGTCGGGATCGGAAGACGACCACCGGTGCGTTCCAACAAGCTAGACGCCGCACCCGAGCCAGAGCGCCAGACGGCCTTGGATATGGGTCCAGGACCGTAGAGGGGGACAGAAGGCAGGCGAGCGCGCAGAGCTTGCAGGACGAGTGGTGGGAGGGGCATGGATGGGGTTGAGGGGGTGGACATGAGCGCGTACGCCTCGACGAGGTGCTCGCCTGTGGCGGCCGAGTGCTCCAGTCGACGGGCAAGGACACCTTGGACGCCAGATCCCTTCTTCATGTCCTCCAGGCCGGCCTCGGCGAACGCATTGACGAGCTCGCGCGGGCCAGCGGTTCCGGGACCAAAGAGCGTGTCGATGACGGATTCCTCGAGCTGGGGCTTGTAGTCTGGGTGGGAGGGAGGGAGGGATGCGAGGGACGTCGTGAGGGCTGCACGTGTGAAGCTTGTGCGGCCGAGGTTTGGGATTGCGTGTTTGAGAATAGCTGTCTTGAGCGACATGGTGGGCGGTGGACTGGACGAGTGGGTGTTGTGAAAGGAGAATCGGCGCGGGTGTCGCCGGAAATGATCCGCCAGGAAAAAGTCGAAACCACTCGGATCCACAGAGTCTGTTTTTATCAACAACAACCACTCTCCCCCCACACACCATGGCCGCTCGCGCTCTCTCCCGCGCGGCATCACGCCGCGCTCTCGCATCAGCGACACGGCCACAGTTGAGCTACGCCACAGCACGTTCCGCTACTGCTACCGCTGTGGTTGCCCGCCGCTTCAACTCGACAACCTCCACTCTCAAGCCATTCACCCTTCCAGCTGGTAGCCTGCGTGCGCACAATGGTGCTCGCTCGACCATCACCCATGAGATTGAGAACCTCTCGTCGTCACTCGTGGGCCAGCCCATTGTAGTTGCGGGCTGGATCGAGGCCGCTCGTCGCGCCAACGACAAGCTTTCGTTCATCGTGCTCCGTTCATCGGCAGGCAGCGTCCAACTGGTCGTCCGTGACCCCGCACTGGCGACTGAGATGCTCTCGTGGCCCCTCGAGAGTGTTATTCAGATTGACGGCAACGTTATTGAGCGCAAGGCCAAGGGCAAGTCGTCGTCCTCACCCACCGATGACATCGAGGTTGAGGTCTCGCGCGCTGTCCTCCTCAACCCGGCCGAGTCCCTTCCCTTCCTCCCCACCCGCACTCCTCTGGCCAACGAGGACCTGCGCGCAGCCCACAGGTATCTTGACCTCCGCCGCCCCGAGCTCGCCAACAACCTGCGTACGCGCTCCAAGGTTACCCACCTCATCAGGTGTCACCTGCACGACCTTGGCTTCACAGAGGTCGAGACACCCGTGCTGCTCAACTCGTCGCCCGAAGGTGCGCGCGAGTTCCTCGTCCCCACGCGCGTCTCGTCTGGTGCCCAGCCTGCATTCTATGCCCTTCCCCAGTCGCCTCAGCAGCCCAAGCAGCTCCTTGTGGCCTCGGGTGCTGTACCCCGCTATTTCCAGTTGGCCCGCTGCTTCCGTGACGAGGACGGCCGCAAGGACCGCCAGCCCGAGTTTACGCAGGTTGACCTCGAGATGGCCTTTGTCGACGGTGCCGCACAGCCTACTGCCGAGCTTCCGGCTTCCGGTTCTGCTCCTTGGCTGATGGGCGGTGGTCAGGTGCGGGACGTGATCGAGTCGCTGGTCCAGAAGATCTGGAAGGACGTCAAGGGTGTCGACCTGCAGCGTCCTTTCCGCGTCATGCCCTATGAGATTGCAATGGACGTCTTTGGATCCGACAAGCCCGACACTCGCTTCGAAATGTACACTCTCCCCATCGGCTACTACCCGACCCTTTCTGATGCGAGCCTCGACAAGGTCCTCGTGGACGAGAATGCCAGCACCGTCGAGTGGATGGTCACCCCGGCGGCCATTGCCGAGGGTCTTGACGTCAACGCGTTTGCGACCCAGACTATTGACTATGTCCGCATCACCGAGAAGAACCAGTACTCGTGGCTCGCAGAGTCGGTCCTCACCTTGCCACTCGGCCTCAAGCTCGACTCGAGCCTTCCCGGCGGCGTTCAGCCCGGCGACATTGTCTGGCTCTCGCGCCGGCCCAAGATTGCCGAGGGCGGATGGACAAACCTCGGCAGGCTGAGGGTGCAGATCATGGAGGACCGCGTCGACAAGGGACTCGTGACTCTTCCCTCTGAACCGCATTTCCTCTGGGTGACGGGTTTCCCCCTGTTTACAAAGGCCGACGAGGACAAGGACTTCCTCTCTCGTGGCCGCTGGGCATCCACGCACCACCCGTTCACCGCGCCCGTGGCGGAAGACCTGGCGGAATTGGAACGCGGCGAGGTCGCCCGCGTCCGTGGCCAGCACTACGACCTGGTCCTGGATGGCCAGGAGATTGGCGGTGGCAGCGTGCGTATTCACGACGCAAAGCTGCAAGAGTATGTCATGCGCGAGGTTCTCCAGCTCGACGACCAGGAGGTCGACCGCTTTAGCCACCTGTTGCAGGCGCTCAAGTGCGGTGCTCCTCCCCATGGCGGTATTGCCCTCGGTGAGTTATTTGAGTTTTAGTCTCGCATCAACTGACATTTCTCTCTCAGGCTTTGACCGGCTCATCGCCATCCTGTGCGGCGCAAAGTCCATCCGCGACGTCATTGCCTTCCCCAAGACTGGTGGCGGTGCTGACCCCGTCTTCCGCTCGCCTAGTGCAAGCAACGACGACGTGTTGGCAGAGTATGGCATCAAGCCCAGGGCAGAGGCCCCAGCTCCCGCTCCGGCTGCTGAGGCTGCTGAGACTGAGGCCCTTGCCGCCGACGACAAGTAGTAAGGTTGCCCAAAACATCTAGATTAGAAACTGTTTGCTCCCATGTTCAATCTGCACCATTCGCGACATATGCATTCCACTCGTACATGATCATCATCCAGTCCAAGAACTGTGCAGGGGGAGGGGGGGGGGGGGGGGGTATTGAGGGTGGTGAGGGCCGACTATTAGGGAACGGCTCGGGAAATTGCTGGTGTTGGGGAAGGGTAGATATAGTTGGCTCTGGCTCTTCAGATGCTGCTCTCCGGGATGTCTCGCCACATGCGTTCATGTGGCGTCCACCGCGTACTCGGATAACGTTGCCTGCTGGTCTCGATCTAGAACTCGAAGCCAGCCGAACGGAACACGTTCAGGTCAGTGCCGGGACGAGCCTGGTCGGCGAGGGCGGGCATGTCGAGGGCCACGAGGGCGCGCCGCAAAGTCGCCCAGAGCGAGTATGCCTCGGGCGCGGATGAGCCGCCATCGTTGGGCTGGAGGGCAAGGGCAGCAAGGACTGAAGGTGTGTGTCAGCCAAACACGTCAAAAGAAGCTATGGCAAATACTCACAATGCTCGGCAGCCTCGCGGTGCACACCAATGTTGAGGCACGCGACACCGAGGTTGGCGATCGCGCGGGTGAATGTGGGCTTGATCTCGAGGGCGCGGCGGTATGCGTCGACGGCCTCTTCGGGGTCACCGCCGTTGGCCAAAGTCGCGCCGAGACGGTTCCAGAGCAGGTAGTCGTCGGGGCGCTCGCCCAGAGCAGCCACCCAGCATGAACGGGCCTCGCCATACTCTCCTTGCATGTAGTAGAGCGTGCCGAGGCCGACCTGGACATCGGGGTCGACGGAGCCACCCTTGGCGTACTGGTCGCGCGCGAGGCCGAGGTACTGCTCGGTCATGCGCTGGTGGAGCGCCCAGGGGTTGTCAGACGAGATAAACTCGGAACGCGAGGGCTCGGGCCCAGCGTGGGTCGGGTGGAGGACCTGGAGGAGCTGGTGCAGGGTTGTGAGGGCAGCCAAGTCGAGCGACTCGTTGACATACGAGATGGCGAGGTTGGTGAGCAACTCTCCGGCGGCACGGTCGGCTCCAGGCTCCATGATGGTCTTGCGGCCTTGTTCAAATGCCGCAAGTGCCTTGTCTTCCATCTCATTCTCGGCCTGGGTACGGCCAAGGACGGCCCATGCCTGGGACCTGGTTACGCCGGCCTGAGCAACCTCTGCGTCGGTCGCGCGGCGCAAGAACGTCTCAATCAGCAGGGCGCCGTCCGACAGCGCGCCGCCAGCGGACAGCACGTTGGTGGCCTCGTGCCATGCCGCGACGGGAGCAAGCGAGTCGTACTTGTTCGGGTTGGTAAACTGGTACTCGACGGGAGGCGGGAGGCCATTCTCAGTGAGGGGGGCTTCGTCACGAAGAGCAGCGCCGGTGCCAAACTCCATCTGTTCGTCGAGACCCGCCTGTCCCAGGTCATCGCGCTTGAGCTCGTTCTCGAGAATGTCAAAAGTGTCGTCCTGGCCATCGACAAACTGGAGGCGTCAGCAATGTGAACGCCATGCGCAGCCTATGGCCAACGCCGACGAGACTCACCTGGCTAAACTCGGCCTCCCACTCTGCAAGCTGGTTGAGACGCTCGGCCTCGGGCTTCAGGCTCTCCCAAACGGCGTCCAGGTCGCCCTTGAAATCCGTCTCCGTCACCTCGGGCTCAGACTCGATCGGCTTCTCCTCGACTGTAGCCTCCTTGGCCTCTGCCTCCTCTTGGACGTCGTTTTGGGCACGCGCGTCGGCGAGCGCAGCCTCAAACGCCGCCTCCATCTCAGCGTGACCGGCCGGGATGGCAGTCGGCTGCTGGAGCTGCTGGGCGTACATGGGCTGCAGACGGGGCTGGTACGTCTGCATACCCATGCCACCGGCAAACGGGTTGGGCGGCATCGAGTACATTTGCTGCTGCTGCTGCTGGAGCTGGTGGGCTGGCGAGTCAAAGTCGACCTGACGGCCCTTGCCCTTGCCAGTGGAGAATGACTCTGCCCACGCCGAGCCGCCCGACACGGGAGACGGGGCAAACTGCTGTGGCGAGGCCGAGCCGTTTCGGGACCACTGGCCCTGCTGCTGCTGTGAACGGAAGCGTTCCCACTCGGCGTTCATGTCGGGTCCCGGGACGGCGCGCTGGGGCTGGTGCATCGGCATTTGCATTGCTGGCCCAGGCTGCGAAAGCGCCTGGGACAAGTGCGAGAGGTTGAACGGGTGCGGGACGGCCGACGCCTGGCCATGCTGGGCAGCCTGCGGGACACCGCCGAGGGGACGGAACGCAGCTTGGGAAGAGGAGCCAGCACCGGGGGAGCTGACGCGGTCCTGGACAAACGGTGTCAGCGGCGAGTGTTCTTTTGGTGTGGGGCTGTGGGGCTTTGGGGAGAGACGCTTACGCGGAAGAGAGAGTTGTCGACGCCCTCGCGCTTGAGGACTTGGTTGAGGGGGTTTGACCCGCTCGAGCAGTCTGCGCCGTTGAGGAGGGACTGCATGGTGGGTGTGGTGTTGTGGTTGTGGTTGTGGAGGGAAAGGCTGATGAGTAATGAGCAATGGAAACGGGAAGCCCCAGAGCGTACAGCGTAGATGTGCGTGGAATAACCGTGCCCGGCGCTGGCTGGGTGGGGTGTGGGTGGCCTGGGTGGGGGGCCGGCGTGTGGGCCCGGGTATGTCCGGTTAGCCACCAAAATGCCCCCGCGCGCCGACGCCGATACCACCGCGCGGGGGGCGGAAGAACGGACTTCGGACCTGGCCGCCGCGTGTGGCCTCCGCCGTGGCCGTGGCCGTATGGCGCGCGCCGTCGGTGTCACCGAGGACAGCACAACCTTTCTCTTTCTTAGGGTCAGATCGCTTTGTAGGCAAGCGGTTCTTAATGCTTACCTTGCGTTCACGCAAGCAAAAGAGGTTGCCGTCAACAGCCACCGCCGGTTCATTCACTGGAGCATGTCGTCCCATGCCCATGCTCAACTCAATCGTCCCCAACCAAAAGTCACCTTTCCACTGTTCCCCCTGTGCACATGCCTGGAAAGCGACACCTTTTCTTCTCCACTTGACTATCACTACTGCACTACAAGGTACAGAACAAAAAGAAAAAGACATGGCCCGCCCACTGATCACGGACTGGCCGCCACTAACCGCCGACCGCTCTCTCCCCCACAGCGACCCCGCCTCCACCCGCGACGATCCGGAGACTTTTGCCGCCCCCAGCCGCCCGCCGCCCACCTACAGCCAGAGCCAAACACAGGATGGTCGTCTACCACCAAACCAACTATCAGCCCCACTACTTGTGTCTTGGGCTCCTGCATCGGCCACCTCGTCCATGGCAACACTCGGCTCCAAGCGCCGATATGATGATGATGACGACGACGACAAGGAATACACACCACCGCCATTAGAAAAGCGCAGGAGGGACAATGTCACTGGTGAGTGATAACATTGGCCATTGGACTGTTTGCGCGACACTCGTGTTGACGTTTTGTGTCCAGTCGAGCATCCAGATACCATCCGTGTCCATCTCGACGTGGTGAGAGGATACAGTCCTACATATGATGTCGCCCCCGAAACGACTGTGGACAAGCTACTCGTGAGTTATTGTCTTCATTGGATTGGGCATAAACTGACTGGCGGCCGACAGAAATCATACGCCGCGAGCCGTAGCTTTGACCCAAGCACGCTCCAGGCAGCCATCTTCCTCACATCTGGCAACCAGAAACAGAACCAGCTCAAGTTGGTATCTGCTGACAACACGGTCCAGGATGTGGTGGAGATGCTGCATGAGAACGGCTATCTGGCGTTTGGCGAGGGGATAGAGTTGATTGTCTTTGAGGACAAGTCTAGAGCGAGGGCAACTGTCTGACCTATCTAACCTGAAAAGCTGGGTGTTGTATTCATCCCACCATCCGTACCCCTGCATAACCTCAGTGTCTCTGCAACGCATTGTATCCGAGCCAAAACATAAACTACTGTCGTCGCAGTTGAATGGCCCGACCCCAGTACTTTTCATATCGTGCTGCTACAAACGGGACTACATATGTACAGAGCTATTAACCTCCAGTTACTTCAATGTCAAAGTTCCGCCGTCGTTTGCTGTTCCACTTTGACACTTGCACTTGCGTCTTCTTAATTGTGGTGGTGCTCGCGAGCGTGAGTGGGCATGTTCTGCCACTTGCGAATGTCGAACCCTTTCCAGATGAGGCAGGTGAGGAGGATGAACCCGCCGCCGGCAACGATGGCTCCCTGGGCACAGTAGCAAGCGATCCAGCCGTCCTTCAGTCCCCAGTCCATGAGGAAGAAGGGGACCACAAACCCCCACATGTACTTGCAAAAGTTGAAGACAGCCTGCGTGTCCATGCCGTGGGTGATGTACGTCTCGAGCGTGTAGGTGAGGATGACGGTGGTAATTCCAGAGAGGGAAAAGAAGCAAATGGCACCGCCGACGAGGTAGCACATCCAGTGAAGCCGGAGCTGGACACCGAGCCCACAGAGGAGGAGGCCGAGGAACATGAGTGGCAACATCGGGTAGCCAGCCCAGAGACGATCCTCGGGTTGGCGCTGGCCGTTCTTGCGCTCAAAGTAGGCCACAATCTTGTCGCTCACAATGCCGCCCGACCATTTTCCAAGGACACCGCCGATACCAAACGCGAGGAATGCGGCACCGAGAGGGAGCAACCCAAATGAAAAGGGTGGTTCGGCAAAGATTTGAGGGAACACAACAGTGATGCCGACACTTAGCCAACCTAGACACATCCCGTAATAGAACGAAGGGACCACAATGACAATGTAGTGGAACATAATGATTGGTGACAGGACGAGCTTGCCAAACCTTGGCCAGTCATGGTGAGGCAAGAATGTGGCACCCACATGGCCAGAGCGAGTGTGGTAGTCGGCGTGGTACGGATTGTCGAGGACACTCTCCTTCAAGGCGGACTCCTCCTTGAGTGTCGAGGAGCGCCGGGGGTCGTGGTCATCCCCACCGGGGGTGTCCACAGCCGCAGGAGAGTTGTTGTTGTGGGTGGGTTCGTCCCAGTTCCAAGTCGTCTCCGGCACGAGGAAAAGAACGAGGAGGAACTGCAGTGCCGCGAGGCCGAGGTTAAAATACCAGAGGTTTCGCCACGAGTGTTTGCGGACAATGGCCGCAGCGAAAATGGGCACAATAACAGGACCAATGACCGTGCAGATGGCGTAGGCACTCATCTTGGACCCACGAACTTCCTTGACGTAAATGTTGGCAATGGACGACGGGGGGATGGTCTGTGACCAAGACGTGACGATCCCAGCCAACACGCGGCCGCCCACAAATGAATGGTACGTCTTGGCCTGTGCCTGCCACACGCAAATGGGCATGAAAATGAACGAGCCTATGAGGTATACGGGTCGGTGTCCCACAGACTGCGATACCGGGTTCCAGAGGACCGAGCCCAGTGCACAACCGAGAAGGTTGTAACCGAGGGCATTGGCAATGGCACCAGGGCCAACACCGAACGATTCGCCGACGAGGCTATACCAGGTGTAAGCGGCAGAGTGTCTTGTATGTTTGTTCTGCTCACCCGAACGCCACGTTGGCGATGGCAATGGAAAAGTTGCACAGGAAACCGGCGTATGATAGCGAGAAGACGAGGCCAAACTTGCGCCACTTGCCCATCGCATTCACCGGGTGGTTGGCCGGGAGTGCACTATCTTTGCCGGTCTTGATCCTCTCCTCAATTGTCTGCTCGACATGCCCAACCGGCTGCCGTTCAGCGACATCGCTGGTGGTGGGGACGTGTTTCTCGTCTAGGTCCGTCATGGTGGAGTGAGTGGCGATGGGTGTACATAACTCTCATGAGGGACGTCGAGGCTCCTTAAGTATGTGGGGCTGTCGACGTCCAACGACGGCTAAACCTCGTCTTGACGGAGGTGTGCCTCCCAAACGCGGTATTCTACATATATCTCGTTGACACGACGAGTAGTTTAAGTACCTCCAACCAGAATAGGTGCACAGCAGCCACGCTGCATATTACGAGCACGCGGCCGACGCGAGACGGTAAAACCAAGTAACGTCAACAAGGTTGGCTTCCCGTAGCTGCCCACACAGGACGTTCGCGGAGGGAGGGTCAGGCTATATCGAGGGAGTGGAATGAGACCTGGACCTGGACGTGTCAGGGCATTTGGTGCAAGGATGCAACTGAAGTCGTCTCGGATGCAAGAACAGGTGACACTTGCATGTCGTCAAACGCGTTTGAGGCGACAGTTGGCAGAGAGCAGGTTGGGAACAACGGTCCTGCTGACCCACCGTTGTCCCCCGTCCATCAAGCTCAGATCTCGGACGAAGGGTAACACGTGCTCGTTACGTGATAATCGTCCGCTAGTGCTATTTATGTAGCGTCTTTGGTCTTGTCAACAAGAGCACACGGGTTATCGGTTAGCCTAGCGTGAGAGTTTAGGTCACATCCAGTGGCGACTGTTGCCCTCGGTTAAACCTCATTCGCACGGGAGTTTCAACAGTGGTGTCCTTCGATGTCACCTGGCCAACAGGTAGCATGTGGAACATCTCTCTGCACCACCGTCCTTCTTGCTGTTCAGAACGGTCCATACCCTCCCTGATCCCTTGGCTACGTGCACCCCCAAAAGCGACCGTCTCACGTCGGAGGTAGCTCCGCTTTACAATCGATTGACCTACAAAGCGATTGATGTCCATTCAATACAACATTTTTGTAAGGGAAGATAAGGTTGCTTCGACCCAGGTGCTTTGACCTCTGCAGTCTTGTCTTCTACATATTGGGAGGCTCGAGTTTCCAAACCTGACGGCCGACGAAATCAAACCCAGTTTCAGGAGCCTAGACGAAACGCAGAGATAGGAACTGATTACTCCGGAATTTATAAAACTTCCGACCAGTTCCTAATTCCCCCCTTTTTTGTGTTCTCGCGAGGCTGTGCCACCAAACGTTTGACAAAATGCAAAAAATCGCCTTTGACAATGACACTTTCAACTCTCAGGCGCTTTTCGTCTTCAAAACAGCATGCAAATAAAAGAAAAATTGTGTAGCGGTGCTGAAAGAGCCCCAAATGTTACCAGCTATGCGTGTGGGAGCCACAGGTACATCCACCGTTGCCTCAGTGGCCTTTGAGCCTCTCCACATCAACCACCTCTCTCGTCCACCTCCCCCTTCGTTTGCCTTGTCTACGTCCGCTTCCAAAACCCAGGTCGTCGTCTAATCAATCCCTGAGTTGCCCAATGACAACCTGCGTTTCCAATTTTTTCCCGGCGGCGTTCAGAAGGTGACCGAAACTGACTTGGGCGCGCCATTCGAACACAACTGTCTTCAAACTTGCCTCGCACCGTGTCCTTCCTTGTGTCACAACCACCACCCAGCAGACCGCTCGCACCCAGGGAACTGTCAACCCTTCGGAACCTCGACTCGCCGTTGGACAAGCTGTAACGTATGCGCAAGCATACGCAGCGATCCAAGCCGGTGTTCCCGGGAATGCACGGTGGGCCCGGCACGGGCCTGCCTTTTGGAAAATGCAAAACCTCAGACACCTTCTGCACCGGGGTCCTACCACACTGCACGGCCTCGCATCACTACGGAAGGTTTGGAACCCATACCATGGCACCTCGAGCGTCCCAAAAGACAAAGCGGCAATACCAACGGCGATCTTCTGACTGGGAGACGTGTAAGTGGATTGAGAAGCGGCTGTGACTGATAGGGGAGCGGTGGACTTTGCCCCGAGTCCCAGTGCGACGCCTAGTGAAACCTGCTCGTCAGATTACGTCTCGACGTCATCCGAGTCGGAATGCAGCGAGTACGCTACAGACAACCAGAAAATACCTACCGAGCGACCGTCTGTCCTATACCGCGCACAACGTGCAGCCCGTCCTCTTCCACAACCGCCAACTGTCTTTCTTGACATCTTGAGCGAGTTTCAGCCGGGCCATTTTGGGTACGACGCGGCCAGAGAGGTGTCTGCTAGCTCTCCCACCACTGGGTATCGGGCGAACGCCTACAGCCAGGAGGCCGGTCTATCTCGTCAGCGGCAGGCTTCAGAAGATATCAGCCACCAGCCGCAAGCCCCCTTCCTACGCCAGGCCTCAGAGTATGAAGATGTAGGTCAAACGACAAAGGGTGCGCACAGACTGACAATCAGGCTCCATCTTGGAGAAGCCAATCCAGTGGCGTGGCTCGAATGTACAGCCCTGGTGACATGGGGCGAGAGAATGCAAGGGCAGAGGCAGATAGGTTGATACAAGAGTACCGACTCCAGTATCCCGAACACGACCTGGAATCAGAGGACGAGCAACCGCCACCACTCACTCGCGGCCAAACGCCAGGGTCCCGAGTCGACAGCCCTGCGTATTCTCCTACCTGTTACACGCCAGTAGAATATCAGGAAGAGCTGCTGGGGCTTGAGGACGATGGCTTCTCAGATGTCGACGACCTGCCCTTGCATCGCAGCTGGTACCGAAGGATAACGCTGTCTCCCGACGACTCGGAGGAAGAGATTGATGAACTGGATTCGTCCGACCACGACCGGTCAGAGTGCTCCGAGGAGGTGGCGCGGCCGACCTGCAAAGCCGATGACAGGTATACGTACGCCGAAAGTCAAACCATGCCCATCAAAGGGTACCACATCTCGAGCGACGGCGGCATGGACAAGCTCCTCGAAGGGTGGCAGCGAGTCCGATCGATGGAGGGCGGGAGCCGATCGGTTGTGGTCCAAAACTTCTTTGGCTCACCCAGAGTCAGCCACAACGAGCCTGTGACTATGGACCAGGTCAAGCAGCGCCAGTTGGAGGGCAAGAAGCGTCCCCTACCACTCTTCCGCCTCACTCTTGATAAACAGCAACAGTTCAAGGACACTGTGGAAAAGGACGACCCCGAGGCACTCAAGGCGTGGACTGTGCACGGAACACATACGACCAACCTGGCGTCACACAACGAGTGAGTCGATGTTATTCTGTGGCAGTTAAGCTGATATAGCCCAGAACCACCGCCGATAAAGCGTTGCATCACATTGCGTGGGAAATGAGAAACTGCAAGAAGCTCAACATCCCAAAACTGTGCATCCAGTGAGTGGCTGGCTGGCACGAGCGTGAGCTAACGGCCAAGTCTTGGCAACGCCCCAGGCAGGGGCGACCTCGACATCATCATTGAGCGCGTTGCCGGACGTTTGAGGGAGCTGCTCGACCAAGTGGACGGCGTAACTCTCGCACTGGAGAACATGGTGCAGCAGAGTGGCTGCAGCTCCAAGTCATCCTGGAGCCTCAACACGCTGCGAAAGATTGTCGACAGGGTCGACCACCCACGCCTCAACGTCTGCGTGGACATCTGCCACGCGTACATTTCCGATTACGACCTGTACGAAAAGGAGAATGTTGTGCGGCTCATGGACGATATCCGGGCCTTTGGGCCGGGCAAGGTGGCCGGTTTCCACATCAGCGACAGTGCGAGTGCGCACGGCCAGCGATGCGATGGTCACTGCAAGTGAGTACAGCCAGTGGCCAGTGGTGAGGCCGGCCCCGCTGACATTCGACAGCATCGGCACGGGGCTCATCCCACACGAGGCGTTTCGAGCCATCCTCAGCGACCCAGAGTGGCTCGGCAAGGTGCCCTACTTTCTGGAAACACCAAACTACACCACCATCCGCCCTGGCCACAACGAGGTGCTGCGGTACCTGGAACTGGAGCGTCATGTGCACGAATGGCGGTGGCTCGAGGCCATCATCTGCATGACCGATACCGAGTTTGAGGGGGCCGAGTTTCGCACACGCCAATCGGCGTACAACCGAAACAAGCTGCATCTCGAGGGCCAGATCAACAGGTATATCAAGACCCGCACGCAAGATGGGTCGTTCCAGCACAAGTGGAAGGCCGACGTGCGAAGGAGGAACAAGCTGCGAGGGTTTGTGTCTCGCGTCAAATTGAGCCGGGAAGGACGGTCGTCTCGGCCACACTCAACTGCCAACAGCAAAAAGCGCACGCAGCCGGAACACCTCGCGGTCACTGAAGCGCTCGACATGGGAGCTTGGGATCCAGAGGACCATGTGACGGACGGTGGTGCTCTGGAGTCGGGGGTGCGGTTGTTACGCAAGAGGCAGCGCGTTCCAGACTATCGCAGCCTCGACCTCCGCAGGCCGATGGCCGCTGTCGCGAGGCCGCTTGTGGACCGCCGTGAGAGGGGTGTCCTGGGTCCGAGGGCGGCGGACACGGCTCGCCGGGCCACTGCGACGTACAGGACTGGTTCGGGGCGCCTAACCAACCGGGTCGTGTACACTTGAGCTGTTGTGTCGTTTTTTTTTTGGTATTGGCACATGATGACACTCTTCATTCACCTCTACATACTACTTTCCTTTGCCTGCATCCAGCCCTACACCTGTGGCTTCTTGGCGCGGATAAAGCAGCTCATAGCCGCCCCGTCAATCGCTGTCAGCTGTGCGTCTGCGTCGCTGGGCTCGTCGACGCCGCTGACAATCTCGCGCGCGTCGTCGGACGAGTACACGCGCGTGACCTCAAACTCGATATCGGTAAACCCGGCGTTGGCGAGCTTGGCCGCATAGTCTTCGCCGACGAGCGCGCCGGCAATACACCCTGCCCAGAGCTCGAGGCTGCGCTGCGTCGCGGGCGGGAGGGTGCGCGAGAGCACAATGTCCGACACGGCCAAGCGGCCCCCGGGGCGGAGGACACGGAACGCCTCGGCGAGCGTCAGGTCCTTGTCGGGCGACAGGTTGATGACGCAGTTGGAGATGATGACGTCCACGGACGCGTCGGGCAGCGGCACGGCCTCGATGTGGCCCTTGAGAAACTCGACGTTGGTGGCCCTCGCCGTGGCGGCATTGCGGCGCGCGAGCGACAGCATCTCGTCCGTCATGTCCAGGCCGTACGCCTTGCCCGTGGGTCCGACGCGCTTGGCGGACAGGATGACGTCGATGCCGCCGCCCGAGCCGAGGTCGAGCACGACCTGTCCCGCGGTGAGGTTGGCCAGTGCGGTGGGGTTGCCGCACCCAAACGACGCGAGGATCGCGTCCGAGGGCACAGAGGCCGCCTCCTCGGCACTGTACAGGTCTTTGGTGATGGGGTCGACGCCAGTGAGCACCCCGGACTTGGCGCCGCAGCACGACGCCTTGTCCGTCGAGTTGGAGGTGAGCGCTACTACCGACGAGCCGTACTTGTCCCGCACCATGTCGCGCGTCGCATCGCCAGTGGTAGGACGGCAGTCTGGAGAGTTGGCTCTGGACAGAGTCTTGTAGCAGCCTTTTGCTTACCAGCCATGGTGTTGTGTTGTTGTAGAGTGAGTTTAGTGGACAAGGTGTGGGAGAGCCGGCACACCGGCAACGTTGCTTCTTGTAGTGCGTCATAACATCAAATTCATCCACACCGGTATGAAATTGCCACCGAGTAATGTGCTTATTGATCATCAAAACACAATTGCAGAGCAACAGTACTCTGCAGTGCGCTGTGACCTGGGTGCCTCGAGTTGAGGAATGGTACGACCGCCGCCACTGCAGCGTGGCGGGCTATAGGAGGCGTTTCGGTTCGTCACATGGACACGCAGCGAGCAACATTGACCTTCTTACGTTTGCATCACAGCCTGCCTTTACGGATATCCCTGCCCTCACAGAAACCTGTTCTCCTTGAGCCACGCCTTGACGTCCTCGGTGTCCCGGGCCAGCCAGTCTGACGCCGCCTGGATACCCTCGACCGTCTGCGCGACCACGAGCTTGTACTTTTTGACATCTGCAAAGAGATGTTCAGTTCCCTGGGCTGTAGGGTACTCGGTCTGCTGAACTCACCGTGGGCGCCAAAGAAGGCCGACACGCGCTCGAGGTCGTGCTTGCTGGACAGCTTGCCGAACGCGCCGCCAATAGCATTACGCAGGCCAAAGGACGCGTTGTAGCGTTCGTTGAGGGCGACCCAGTTGTCCATGACGTACTGTGCGTTGCGGTGGCGGACGGCGCGGTTGGCGCCGAGGCCCTTAAAGAACTGTTTTCACGTCAGCTTGGTTTTCGCGAGAAAGCGCTAGCTCACAATGTACAGGTCCTGGTCCTTGATGGCCTTGGTGTCCGGGAGCATTGCAAACGTCCTGTCGATGAGCGCGGGTTCCTGCGTGGCGCACAGGGCGAACATGGCGTCCACTTTGGTGCTGGGGTTGGACGTGGGAGAGTTGTACACCTCGAGCATCTTTTCATACTCGGCCTTGCTGCCCTCGCGCACCGCCTTTGTGAAGATGGTGCGCTGGAGGTCTGGGGTGATCCCCGAGTCGTCGTTGAGGGTTACAAACGGCTCAAAGCGCTTGACGATCTCTGCCAGAACCGTCTCGTCGCCTGCAGCAGCCGCTGTAGACACGGCAAGGGCACGAAGCTGCTTGACGTCGGGCGGGTCGTCCTCGGCATGCTCGTAGCCCATCTTGTCGACAAGCGGGCGGAAGATGTTGGCGCGGACCTTGTTGATGGCATCGTGCACCTCGTCGTCCTCCCACCACACGCGTGCGACTGTGCCGAGCAGGTTTGAGATCTGCGAGAAGGGGAGGTACTCGGTCTCGGTGGTGGCGACAGCAGCGGCAAACGCCAGTGCGGCTGACGTTTTCGAGTACCCTGCCGACGCCAGAGCCGACGCGTCCGAGAGCAGACCCACACGGTCATCGACAGTGAACGACTGGGCCTGTGCGCCGAGCTTGGCCAGACGTTCGGGAGTGTACTGTACGCGGTAGAGACCGATCGTCTCTGCGTTGAGCTTGAACGAGTCGGACGAGACCTTGTACGTGGCCGAGCGGTCCGAAAGGATGGCGTCGTGGTCGACGTCGGTCTTGCCGCCGTTGACCGTCTTGACCTCGAGAGGGACCCACCAGAGGGTCTCATTTTCGCCGCCCTTGACGTCGTTGGTGGACAGGAAGCGGTTCTGAGTGAGCTTGAGCTCGCTGTCACCGCTCTCCTCGACAGTAATGACGGGGAAGCCGACCTTGAGCGTCCAGTTGGCCATGACCGAGCCCATGTCCTTGCCGACCGACTGCGAGATGCCTTCCCACAGGTCACTGCTCTGGGCATTGCTGTACAGGTGTTTCTTGAGGTAGATTGAGACACCCTTGAAGAACTTTTCCTCTCCGACGACGCTCTTGAGCATGCGCAGGACGGACGCGCCCTTGGAGTATGAGATGGCGTCAAAGATCTGGTTGATCTGCGACGAGTCCGGGCACGCGACCTCGATGGGGTGCGAGGAGCGGCGGCAGTCGAGGTCCATGGCGCGGACCCAGTGGGTGTCGATAAACTCCGAGTTCATCTTCCACTCGGGGAAGATGCGTTCGGGAAGCACCAGCGAGCCCATGAGTGTCGCAAACGCCTCGTTGAGCCACAGGTTGTCCCACCACTTCATCGTGACAATGTCGCCAAACCTAAACACGCCGTTAGATGGGTGCACCTCCAAACCAAAAGGAAACAGACACCCAACTCACCACATGTGCGCGAGCTCGTGCAGCTGGACGGTGCCGACGCGCTTCTTGGCGGCCAGCGACGACCTCTCGTCGTACAGGTAAGCTGTGGTGCGACCGGTAATGAGACCCCAGTTCTCCATTGCACCCATGTCAAAGTCGTGTGCCACCAGTGTGTCGAGCTTGGGAAGCGGGTATGGGATATCAAACAGCTCCTCGTAGATGGGCAGCCCCCACTTTTTGACGTCGAGGCCGAGCTGGGCCTTGTGGATCTGGTTGGCCGTGGCGTAGATCTTGAGCGGGATGGTCTTGCCCGTGAGCTTGGAGTGGTGCTCGGCTGCCAGGTGGGCAAAGTCGCCACACGCAAATGCGACGAGGTACGTGGACATGGGCGGGGTGGTGGTGAACTGGGTGACGGTCCACGAGCCAGATGACGACGCGGGGAGGCTGGACCCGACCGTGTAGCTCGCGTCGAGGGCGGCTTCCGACGACGACAGCGGCGCCGCGGGCTGCCATGGTACGGCCGACACCGCGTCCATGTTGGCAAGCACCACCTGGTCCTCGCGCGCAATCATTGAGAGCGCATAGGTCGCCTTGTGCAGTGGCTCGTCCCAGCACGGCATGGCGCGGCGTGCGGCCGTGGGCTCAAATTGGGTGAGCGCGTAGCTGGTGGGTTTAGCAAGTGCCCGAAGGTGCGTAACCCACATTGGCCGGTTGCCGTGCTCGTCGGCGTCACCGTTCGACTTGTAGTATCCCATCATGTTGCCGCCGAGCTCGGCCTCCCAGCGGACAAAGAGCTTGGCGCCGTGGACGCCGGCCGTCAGCCCACCACCGACGGCGCCAAGGTCCAGCGTCGCGCGCTCCGTCTCGGCGTCAACGCTCAGCGCGGAGGTGGGGATGGCCGTGGCCTCGAGGTCGCCCGAGGCGAGCGCAATGTGTGTGACGCTCAACGACGGGTGGAGGTTGAACACGATCGAGGACGTGGTCTCGTCCACGGCGAGGTCGATGATGGCCTCGGCGCTGAACGACGCGGGGGTCGCGGCGAGGTCGGTCTTGACGGCCAGCTGGTAGTGCGTCGGGCGGACGGTGGTGGGCAGGCGGTAGTCTGCCATGGTAGCTGACTGTAGGGAATGGAGGAGAGGAAGGGAGAGGTGAGGAGAGGGACAGTTGAGGAGACAACGAGAGAACCAGCTGGCTAGCGAGAGAACAAGCGTCCCATCAATGCAGCCATCAGATGACGTCGTGTGCGCGTCTCGCGGCTAGATCCGAACCCGTTATATCCGGGGGGCGATCATGTCTAACGTGCCATCCATCCACTTGCCACAGAGGCCACAGAAGGCTACCGTGCATGCCACCGTACAGTACAGCGTCTACCTGCACCATGCTCCGGGCACGTAACACCAGTAGCATGCGCCCGTTGGAGAAAAAGCAGCATTCGCGCGCACACGGTGCCGCAGCGACCCATGTGGCCTGTGGGGACAGCGTGGGCCGTGGTCGGACGAGGCCGAGCGAGAGATGGGGGCAAAGTACATAATGTTCGTTAATTATCAATCTAATCGTCGTTTTCCGCCCTCAGATCAAGAGATCCCAGATCGCGTGGACCTGTGGGCCAGTGATCCAGTGACCCACCCCACCCCGAATAACACAGGAGCCACAGACCGTCGACGTGCGGGGTCGCACCTCGTCTATCTGTATCTGTATCCGGATCCCGCAATCGACAGAGGCGGAACATGTCGTGATGCGCAGCATTTCCCAGCGGTATCGACGCTGCATGGCATGGCATGGCATGCACTGGCGCCTTGACGACACCCGGCGGCGCCAGCGTCGGGCAGGACAATGGTCAGAGTCGATGTGTCGGGTGTACGGTACGGTACCTGTACGACACCTGCTTCAGCGGCCACTCCGCTTCCCGGCGGCGGTATTCCCGGGAGCCAAAGCCACACCCCTCACGTCCACCGTCCACATCCCCGCGGCCATGTTCCAGGCTCACGTCCAGGCTCCCCAGCTCCCACTCATATAACTCACTCTTTTCACGTTTCTGCGGCCGCGGTGTTGGGCTGGCCCACTCGCCGGCCTGTGGCCCCGCTGACCTCTGGCCCTCTGGCCCTCTGGCCCACTGACGTCTGGGCCATACTCCCCGCATAAAACGGTCTGTTCCTGCCTCTGTACCTTCCCCACCCCCCACCCTCCTCCTGATACATTCCAGTGACGTACGTGCGTACGTGTATTGTGACCGTGTGTCAGATAAGTGTATTTTATGTATTGTATTCTGCTTGTCTTGGGAGCTAGACCGTCCGAGTCGTGGTTGGGGGGGGGCATGCATTTGCACAGATGGTACATTGGGGGATGGTACAAAGGGGAGAGACGAGCCGTCAGAGTGTCCATGGTAGAGATAAGGGGGTACGGGGATTGGGCGTAGGGGGAGGGGTGGGTGGTGGTGGTGGTGGTACAGAGAAAAGCGATGGCAGACGGCTTGGTTGGTTGGTTGGTACAGACGAGACAAGGGTTTTTGGTTAGGTGGTGATCAAACCCAAAAAAAAAGGAAAGTCCTAGATGCGTTCAAAAGAAAATGGGTGGCAAAGTGTGAAAGACAAGACAGCAGTGTTACGACCTGGGAACACTGTTCGACCGCGGACCACTGCTGGACCTGCTCTGGCGCCTGGGCACGGCGGCAGTGTAGTCTTCGCCCTGGCGGACGATGGAGTAGTAGTCATAGTCGCTGTTGGTGTGGACCGTCGGCGGACGGCTGGGTGTGGGGAACGGGCCCGACATGGCGATACTGCCCCCCATGATGCCCGGCGACGGGAACGGACCCGACATGGAGATGCGCGAGTCGCCGCTCACATGGCGCGCGGCCGATGGCCGTGCCGAGCGAGGAGCTGTCGTCGAGGGGGCGAAATGGGTCGTGGCGTGTGTGGCGGATCCGGGCGGCGAGTCAATGTCAATGAGACGCGCGACGGACGGCGGCGAGTCCATCAGTGCGGAATCCATGAGCACCTGGCTGCTGGTCGACTGGCGACGCTGCTGCTGCTCGTGATGGTGCGCGGTGTCCGGATAAAAGTCGGCAAACGGCATGGGCGGCGACGCAGGGTCGGCAGTGGCAAGCAGGCCCTGGTGGAGACTGGACCCGCGGGCGTGGTTTGTAAACGACGACGCACGCGTGCGGTTGTTGGTGCTGCTGTTGTTGCTGCTGCCGTTGGTGTTGGTGTTGATAACAAACGAGTCTGATTCCTTGTTCCGCATGTGCGTCCCGTCGTCCATCTCCTCGGCAAGGGGGTCGAGACGCAACGTCGAGTCGTCCGTGGCACTGCGGTAAGATTCATAGTCGGCGATACCGTCAATGTAACTCTTTTGGCGCAGAGTCTCCTCGTGCTTGCGGCTGCGGACCGTCGAGATGCTGTGGTGGTACCCGTGGTCACTGTCGCTGCCGTTGTTACTGCGACGGTCCATCTTGTACTCGACCACACCGCCGGCGCCAAGTTTGCGACGGAGGCGGAACCACCATGCGCCAAACGCAATGGCCGCAAGGACAAAGAAGCCAATAACGGAGCATGCCGCGATAATGGCCGTGGACATGACGCGGTGGCTTGCAGCGTTCTGGGCCGCGCCGCCTGCCGACGACTGGGTCTTGGGACCCGAGCCCGAGACGGTGCTGAGCGACTGGTGCAAGTTGCGGACGGCGTAAAAGTCTTGCGACGCCTGCGACGCGTTGGTGAGGGACACGAGGCCGACGGTCGGCTGCCATGTCGACGAGCTCTTCTTCTGGTCCGGGTACTGGTAGACCGAGTAGACATTCTTGAGAAACGACGAGCCAAGAACAAAGTCGGTGGATGTGCCCAGGTTGGTCACATACTGGATGGCACCAATGCACGTGGCCATGCTCACGTCGTCCGGGTCGGTCCAGGACATGTCCAGCGGGTGGATCGGGTAGTCTTCGCCGCCAATGGTGACTGTGTATGCAAGCTGCTTTGTGCAGGGCATGCGGTAGAGCCCGTCCGAGCTGGCGACAATGTTGTAGGCCGCATACAGTGCGTCGGCGTAGGGCTTGTACCCGACCAAGATGGCCACGCCACCCGAGTCGAGGACGGCGAGAGGCTCAGTCTGGGACGTGTCGACAATGCTGGGACCGAGGGTAATGTTCTGGGTGGACGACCCGGTCCCTTGCTGGGCGTTGTTAAACGTCGTGGCCGAGATGCCATCCACGGGCAGACGCCAGTGGAGGTAGCCAGTCCTGCCGAGGTTGGCCTGGGGCACGATCGGGAGAAAGGCGGGGTTGCATGGCGATGGGCAGTAGTCTGGGTCGGTGGTGCCAATGGCCAGCGTGGACGTGGTGCGCGTGTCATCGCGGCGCGCCAGAGACAGCGCAAACAGGCGCTGCGTCGGTGCCGACGACCCTCCGCCATACAGATTGTCCAAAAACGTCGCACCGTCCGGGGACGAACCGGTTGTACCTGGAATGGCGTCTTCGATGAGCGAGTTTGCAGGAAGAGCCAAGCCAACGAGTCCCGTGTAGTTGCCGCCGCCCAAGTCTTCGTTCTGGATGGTTGATCCGCGGACAAACGCCTGGTACCCAATGCCAAACGATCCAAACGTGACCTGCTCCCACATGATCTCGCCTGACACTGTTCCCGTCTGAAACTTGAGCGCCAGGGACATGTCGGTGTCGAGCGAGTCGGTGCCGTTGTACAGATAGGGGGCGCCCTTGCACGACGACGTGGTGCACAGGTCGGACGCGACCCACATGTCCGACGACCCCAGGTCGACCTGCATGTTGAGGACCTGGCCCGTGATGCCGTCCCAGTCCGAGCTGCTGGACGCCCGCCGCCGGTCGGACGTATAGTCGCCGCTGGCTGTTTCGTGCCCAAACGTCATGGGCAAGCTGTACACGGCTTGGTCATCGGTAGACCCTGCGAGGGTGAGGTTGAAGACAATGCCGGGGACGTAGGTTGTCTGGGAAGCGGCTGTTCCCGATGTGGTCTTGGACGGGGTGGCTGTGTAGGTCCATGGCTTGGACTTTGTAAAGACATAGCTGGATGCAGACGATGCTGTAGATGTTGCCGACGAGTTGCCCGTGGTCGACATGTTCAACGTTGCCGTGGTGTTGTCTGACAAGGTGGCGTTGGTGGGCAAGGTCACGTTCAAGGCGGTGGGGGTCGCTGTGAGGGTCGTGGTCGTATCCCAGTTGGAGGTGGTGGTCAAGGTCGTGACCGACATGGCGTCCCCGTCCTGTCGCGGTGCTACGAGATCTCTCATCTTGGCACCGTATCGATGAGGTCTCACTGGCACGGGGGAGCGGGGCGCCAGAGGGTTATGTGACCGTGGCGGTGGTGGTGGTAGAGAGGATGGTGATGGGGATGTTGGTGAGGATGGCGGGTTTGCAGCAGCTGCTGCTGCCGCTGCCGCTGCAAGTGTCCTTGTCCTCGTGCTTGGCCCAGCTGCTGGCCACTGGGATGGATCTCGCATGGCCGAGTCTGCGTTGAGACTGCTGCGACTGAGCGAGACGGTGAGAGCGTGTGGGGTGGGTGTGTGGTGTGGTGTGTGGTGGTGAAGGTTGACACACTACTTCATTGCCTGTGCGGGATCCGGTGGACACGGAGACGGCGGCGGGGGCGGCCGGCGAACGTGTGGTTGAGAATGAGAATCCTCTCTCTTCCACAACAGAGAGGAGCACCTGGGGTGTGTGGGCTTCGCGGGCCGACGAACAGAGGTTGAGGTGGGTGGGGGCGTCGCGGAAAGTGCTGCGGACAGGTTATCCTCAAAAAGGGTATGGATGGACCTTGTGGAGGACGGGGGCCGCGATGTGGGGTGGCTAGGGATGGGAGGTGGGTGCTGTGCTGATGGCGTGCAGGAGAGGGGATGGAGAAGGGGTGGGTGTGATGATGGATGGATGGAGCGCCCAACGACTGGCTGGCGACGACGACGAAGGGAGGGTGGGTGTTATACCTGATGTATGCCTGGGGGCCCACCCAGAAAAAGGAGCTGAGCGGGATGTGCGCGTGCGCGTGTGGATGTGGATGTATCGTGTCTATGTGACGTGGGTAGCCCGAGGGGGATGGTTGGTGTCGTAGGAGTGTGTTTGGCGGGTGGCCAGAAACAGAAAGAGAGTGTGTGTATGTGTGTGTACGATGCCGGCGGAGGGGGGCCTAGGGGGGGGACGCCGGATGGGATATGATGTGCGGGCCGGCGGGGGGTGGCGGGTGTGCAGGGAACCGTCGAGAGTGGACAGACAGAACGAGATGAGAGTGGGAGAGTGAGTGAGAGAGAGACAGTGACAGACAGCAGCAGCAGCAGTAGTGTGTGATCGCACAGAGTGTGTGGAATGGTCGTCGTCGCCGCCGCCGCCGCGGTGCGTGCCGCTGTACCGTGGTACCGTGGTCTGCTCCCAAAGCGTTGTGCACCAGAGCAGAGGAGAGAACCGCACCGCCGGAATTCTGGGCGTGCATACTCCCCCCATCCCCCTTCTTCTTTCGCCCATCGCTCTTGCATTCCGTGTTGCTCGTCGTAGCGCCGGTTGGGCCTGTAAGGGGGGGACCTGGGGTGGGATGCCCCCCCTCCCACCATATGTCTGCCTGTTGCTCTCTCTCTCTCTCTCTCGTCTCTGCCCTCTCCCTGCTCCCTGCACATGCATTTGTCCATAAATCTTTTTCCCTTAACGTTATCCTCATTAGGCTATACCCCCCAACCCCCGGTTGCCCATGGCCACTTTTTTTTTGCTTTCCTTCTTCCCTCTTTCGGCCTGGGGGGGCTGTGTAGTGCAGGCAGGCATGGCTCGCGAATGAATACAGGATATTGTCTCTCTCCATCGCTCTCTCTCCACCTGAAAAGCACATCCCTCTCAGCAGCAGCGCGCGCGCGCCATCTACCCGCCAAGCCATGTGTCTCCCGTCAATGTCGGCCTGTCGGCACGGCCGGCAGCGGGGCAGCACAGCATCCTATATACCCCGCCAGCCACCCCGCGTCCACCACACCAACCATCCCAACGGTTCAATGCAATCTTGGCATTGCCATGTTTCAGTCAAACATTACTACGCAGCAGCATACGTACACGAGTTTGAATAAATAGACCTACAAACAGTCATGCAGCCCGCGCCTCGCTACTGAGCTACTGATCACAAATAAGCATCCAGCAAAATCCTAGCACAGCAACCTAGCATCCACCCACACAACCTCGTTGGCGCGCTCGGGTCCTCGTCACCCCCCAGCCCCCGCCGCCGCCGCCCCCCACCGCCGCTGACGTCCAAGCCGTCCACACACGCCTGCCCACCGGCCACCGGCCGGCCACCACTGCATGGCGACGGAAGGCGAGCGCACACGGGCACACGGGTACACGGGTACACGGGTACACGGGTACACGGACACACCACAAAAGCCAGAATGCACTGTCTTTATTCTGCCACAGGAGCACAAGGCGCACGCCACACCCTCTCGTTCCCTCAACACACCCTTTTGGTGCTTGTGCGACGAGTGGGAAACATGCGCCGAAGCGCTAGCTGCGCGGTTCGGAGGCTATGCACAGTAAAGCGAACATGGGTGGAAGCAAAGCCACCCGCCACTGGGCCACTGTGTTCCCGGTGTTGTTGGATGTTGGGCGACGAGCCGGTGTTCTCCGGTCCTCACACGCGCCCGCTATCAGGTTTTGCCGGTGTTGGGCGCAGGTGAAGCATCATGCAGAGAGAGGACATGGCCACAGGCCACACGAGACCAAGAGAGGTGCACGTTGGCAATGTCGGCTTCGGGCTACAGGCTACAGGCTACAAGCTTGTGCAATGCAGTAAGTAGGATCTCTGGGGCGGGCAAAGATCTGCACACGCAAGGGCCAATCCTGCCTCTCCAGAAGCGACGCGACGCGTCTGCCATATGGATCCATGGATCCATGGACACGCTAGACGCTAGGGACTGGCAGGTTGACCAAGAAAAGGACAAGCACAGAACAGAGAACAGAGGTACAGGACAGGACAGACCGTACAGACCCCAGGTTCCGATGGAACCTGTACTAAAACGCCACTTGCAGAGAGTGGGCCCTAGCAAGCAAGCACAGTGGGTCCAAAGATCCAAACTGACTCGACTCGATGTGGGATACCCCCCCGGGGAATGGTGCACCGTTGGAACGCCGGTTAACGTAAAGGCGCGGGCGATGGCACGGCTGCTCGCCAGGACCACCCACCTGGCCACCTGGGGATGGGTTACAGGATATCCGGGACCCAGGAGAGACTACTGTGTTGTTGATATTATTGTTGTTGTGGGCTTTTTGATGTTGTTCGTCCTCCGTTACCCTTCTGTGCATCCTGTGCGTCCTGTGGCCTGTTGCCTGTGGCCTCCTGCCCCCTGGCCCCTAGATTCCTATGGAAACGCGGGCACTGTTCCTCGCCGCGACAGTCCAGAAAGAAGAAGGGGGCGAAAAAGAAAAGAAAAGAAAAGAAAAGAAATGGTTGATGCGTTTGCGTATACACCGGGCCATTCGGCGCCGGTGATGAGAGAGGTAACGGGCAACAGAGGTAATGGTGGTGGGTGAAAGTCCAGTGTTGCTTGGAAATCCTGCTGTTGCTGGTAGGCACAACAACCCTTTGCTGAGCCGGTATTCGGCGAGAGGGAGGAAATCAACGGGTGGCTGTATCAGTATGGGCGCTGTGTCGAGGCCACGAGTCCTTGGCTCGCTTGGCTGCCCGCCTGCCGCTTTGCATGCATGCATGCATTGTGTGTCTCACTTGCAGTCACTTGGCTCATGGCTGCTCGCCTGTTGGCCTGTTGGGTGGCGCGTTTGTGGCCCCGTGGAGAAACAACGACGACTCGGGTCAAAGCCCGCCTAAATTTCCTAATATACCTGCGTCGCACATGTCCGACAGCGGGGGGGCCATCCATCCCACACACTCTGGCGCTCTGGAGTGGGCAACGGGCCCAACAAAAGCTTTTTACTCACCTTCACACTCGACCACTTGTTTCCATCCAACACTCACCACTCCGTTTCTCAACAACTCAACACCCCATTCACCCACCCTCCTGGGCGAACCATGTCTCCCATCTCCCGCACCCTCCACCGCATCGCATCCACCACCCCCGTCACATCCAGGCGCTCCATCGCCGCCGCCGCGCTGGCCCCACCGGCCGGTTCGCGCGGCCTGTGCCGCATGATGCTCCGCACCGCAAACTCGAACAATGCCGGGCCCGCACCCCCGTCCGCCGCGGACATGGACACGTTTGACGAGCTGTCCAAGTCGGCCAAGCCGCCCAAGGACGCGTTCGACCTGTGCGAAGACCTCACGTCCGAGGCCGCGCTGGCGGAACTGCGCCGCAAGAGCAAAAAAGTAGCTGGCCCGCCCGTCGAGCAGCAGCACCACCAGCAGGGCAGCAAGCACAACAACTGGAACACGTTCCACGACGTCGACCCGTTCAGCGGCGAGCCAAAGTCTCCCCGTGGATTCTTCTAGGCAGGTCCTAGGAATCAGCAAACGAAAACGAAAGAGCTCTTCAGTCGTGAGTGCACATGGTGGTCGTGTGAGGAGTCGCTTTTGCTGACGACCAACAGTCTCCCCCCTCAACGTCCTCACGCCCAACGTGCCGCACAGACACACCACCCATACATCCATCCACCCATCCATCCATCGTTCACGACCTGTTCTCACTCTCCCTCTCTCGCTCTATCGCTCGCGTCGCCACCCTCCACCCTCGTTGTAACAACCCCACCATACCCCTGTGACCACTGCCGTTGTCCCCCATCAGCATGGCTTGTCATGTATCCCTCTGTACCCATTTTGCCTTGGCAAACACATTGTGGCTTTAAAGGCACATTGCGGCTGCGGCCACGGCCCGCCCAGCATGGCGCCTCTTGGGGTGCCGCTGCGTTTGTGACTCGCGCTCAACTGCATTGACAACAAAGTGTTGGGATCGCTGGGTCACGCGAATCGCTGACCCGTTCTGACAGACACTGGCGCTTCGGGATCCTCGTCTTGCCACACTGACAGCCGCTGAATCCAACTCACACAGACCGCAGACGACTACGTGCACGATGGACAGGCAGTCGCCACTGGGGCCAGCTGAACATGGCCAACCGGGTTGTTGGCTGACAGTCGCTGTTGGCACTCGGCTCCACCCACCGCACTCGGCCACTCTATTTCCAAGAGAGCGCGAGTACGTCAGTCGGTCATTCTGGCGAGTGTGGGGGTGCTTTCTGCGAGGTTCTCTAGAGTCTGCCTGTCTGTCTGTCGTGCACGAGCGTGCCAACGTCCCGTCCCCTGCGGTCATGCTGTGGAATGTACCCAGCGCTGGCTGGACGTGGACCCCAAGGCGCAAGAGATGGTGTTGCCCCCACCCCCCGGTCCCACTTCGGATCGGCGACAAACAACGAATAAACGAAGGGGGATTCAGGCACATTCACCACCCACACCTGTGTGCGGGGAATGGGAGATGGCAGGCGACATTTTTGATCCCGCTTCTCTCGTCCTGGCCCGGCATATGGCGGGGACAACGACGTCACCGCTGGCTGCTGGCGGGTCAACACCGCCAGCAGCGTCCAGACTGGTGTGTTTCTCTCAACTGGCAACTGGACATTCTCCCTCACATTTCGCTTTTCTGGTTCTTTTCCTTTTGTTTATACCTCTCGCAACAATGGCAGACACCCTCCCGCCCCACTACTTTTACTTTTTCTGGATCGGAGAGCCCGTGAGTGACACGAAAGAGGACTCGTCCTATCTCAACCTCCGACCACCTATACTCTCCACTCTCCAACCTTCCCTGCCGCTACTAACCCACGTCACAGGTGCTCACCCTCGCCGGCGCGGCCTACGCGGCCTTCTGGCCCGAGACGTACGCGCGCGACCTCCTCCCGCAGGGCATCGAGAACTTTACCAACATTGTCGGAAACACCATCCGCGGCAAGGAACTCGTCGGCACGCTGGCATCGTGTATGTTGGCAGCAATGCCAGAGCAAGGGTGTGACCGCTGATACTACCGCACCAAAGGCTATTTTCTCATTGCGTTGATCTCGCTGTCGTTCTTCCCCGTGTTCAAGTGGCAGGTCAAGGACATGGTCCTGCAGGAGCGTCTCGTGCGCGCGCTCCTCGTCCCGCTGGCGCTGGCCGATGTGAGTGGGCAGCTGGGACAGTTGTTGAAAATGCGCATCCAGCTGACAGAATACAGGTTACGCAGTCAGTTGTCGCATGGGTGACCTAACGCAACCTAAACCTAACCACCCCCCCAGCATCACCATGAGCCTCCTGCCCCTCCCTGCCGAGCTGCGCTGGTCGTGGACGAGCTGGACGCAGCTGATCCACGGAAACGTTGACATTGTCGTCTTTGCCTTGACCCTGCGGTAAGTTTGCTGCAACTGTCAGCGCGGGCCAGAGCCCGTGGATGGGTGGGGCTGGCGGCAGCCTTTCGCCGCATTGACAAGTCTCCGCTGACACGAATGCCCACTCCAGCCTCCTGTGTATCTTTGGCATTGGCCGCGAGACGGCGGCCTCGCTCGCTGCCAAGGACAAGCCCGTCTCCAGCCGGACCCGCGGCGGCCGTCCCAAGAAGTCGATCTCGAAGGATGAGTAGATAGATCTCTACGCCGCACCGATTATCGGTCGGAAGAATGTAATCTCCCTGGCCCCATTTCATTAGCTCATTAGCCTTTTGGTGATTAGGAAACCGGGGTTGTTTACGTTGTCATCTATCGGCCATGTCACGTGACGTTGATTGTTGCTGGAGTGTTCCTCGTGACGCGATGAGCATGCGGGGCAGACAGTGCAGGTCATGTCGTGCAAAGACAGACATCTTTCTTCTTCAATTCCAACCCCCCCTCTTTCCCCAACCCACTGACAATCTAACCCACCATGGCCGACGACTTTGAGCCCCTCGACCCCACCCTCCAGAACATTCTCGACCAGAAGAGCCTCAAGTGGATCTTCTGCGGTACGTCGTCGCGTCGTCGTGGGCGTGGTTTCACCCTCTCGTCTCCACCACCCATTGACTCCCCGGCTGACTTGCTCCAGGCGGTAAGGGCGGTGTCGGCAAGACCACCACCTCGTGCTCGCTGGCCGTCCAGCTCGCTGCTGTCCGCGAGTCGGTCCTCCTGATTGTACGTTTTCGTGGAGAGGGGCTTGTATGCACACGTCCATCCGCTGACTCCAACAGTCGACCGACCCCGCACACAACCTGTCCGACGCGTTCTCGCAGAAGTTTGGCAAGGACGCCACAAAGGTCAATGGCTTTGACAACCTCTACGCCATGGAGATTGACCCCAACTCGTCGCTCCAGGAGATGGTCGAGTCGGGTGAGTGCGAGAGACCCCAGTGTAGTACTGGGAACTGACGGCTTTGCAGCGGACACGTCGGGCGGCGGCATGGGCGGCATGATGCAGGACCTGGCATTTGCCATCCCCGGTGTCGACGAGGCCATGGGCTTTGCCGAGGTCATGAAGTGGGTCGACACTGGACGCGTGGACGAACACTGGCACTGGCACTGACACTTGTCCTTAGGCACGTCAAGTCGATGGAGTTTTCCGTCATTGTCTTTGACACTGCGCCCACGGGCCACACGCTGCGTTTCCTCTCGTTCCCCTCGGTCCTTGAGAAGGCCCTCGGCAAGCTGAGCCAGCTCTCGGGCCGCTTCGGCCCCATGCTCCAGCAGGTGAGCAAGCACGCTGAAAGCTGTTCGTCGCATCGCAACACAGCTGACATGTTTCCAGATGTCGTCCATGTTCGGCGGCGGCGCCGCGCCCCAGGAGGACATGTTTGCCAAGCTCGACCAGATGCGCGAGATCATCACCGAGGTCAACACCCAGTTCAAGGACCCTGTGCGTAGTGCTGTTGCTGAGGTCTCCTCCGCGGCTCTCCAGTCTGCTGACACCTCGCCTCGCAGGAGCTCACCACCTTTGTCTGTGTCTGCATCTCCGAGTTCCTGTCGCTCTACGAGACCGAGCGTCTCATCCAGGAACTCACCAAATACGAGATTGACACGCACAACATTGTCGTCAACCAGCTTCTCTTCCCCAAGACGGGTGAGTTCAAGGGTGGAAGCCATGTGTCATGGGTGTCTCCTCCCCTCCTTGTTAACTTTCTTTTTCAGGTGACAACTGCCAGCAGTGCAGCGTGAGGCAAAAGATGCAGCAAAAGTACCTCAGGGAGGCATACGACCTGTACGAGGACACGTTCCACATTGTCAAGCTGCCCCTCCTTACCGAGGAGGTGCGCGGTGTGGATAAGCTCAAGGAGTTTAGCAAAGTGAGTGGTGGAGTGCCTCTGTTCAAAGAGCCACAGGTGCTAACACTACCCGGCAGATGCTCGTCACCCCTTACACTCCCCCAGAGTAGATACATAGCCCCCCTACAACGTAGATACTTAGCCCCCCCTTTCCTTGTACACAGAGCATGCATCATCGCGTCGGAGCAGTAGCGCAGTTGGAGGTGTCCGGGTGCGACCGTGGGAAAGTGCACGTAACAACTGTCATGTCCACAATATCCCGAGAGCCGACCACTTATTCTCAACAACACCCATATATCTGTCACCAGCCATGTCCGTCCCGCGCTTGTTGGTTGTTGGCGGAAACGGATACCTCGGTGGGTCGCATCCTGTACCGCCTTGATCTATCGTGCTGACCCTCAGGCTCGGCCGTGTGCAAGGCCGCCGTCAGCCGTGGTTGGGAGGTCGCGTCCATGAGGTAGGTGATGCCCTTGTCTTCCGGCCACCACCTAACGTTGCCCAGCTCGTCGGGCAAGGCATACACCACACCAGCAGGCCACACGCCCAAGTGGGTGCACCGCGTGAAATGGCACCGCGCGTCGGCGTTTGAGCCCGCGTCGTACGCCGACCTCGTCGCGTCGTCGTCGGCCGTCGTGCACACCCTCGGCATCCTCCTCGAGGACGGCGGGTACAAGCAGGCCGTGCGCGACGGCGACGTGTTTGGGATCGCCAAGGCGCTCGCCATGGGCCTGACGGGGTCGGGCGCCGCGTCCAACCCGCTCAAGACAAAGGACGAGCAGCGCGCAACGTACGAGTCGATGAACCGCGATTCGGCAGTGACGGTCCTGAAAACGATGCTCGCCACGCCGCCCACGCCCGCAGCGGCCGAGGCCGAGGCCGAGGCCGGCCCGTCGTCCACGTCCAGGTCGTTCACGTACGTCTCGGCGGCGGGATCCATCCTGCCGGGCGTGCCGCAGCGCTACGTCCAGTCCAAGCGCGAGGCCGAGGCGGCCATCCTCGACAGGTGTACCCCGACGTCTGGCGTCCACCCCATCATCGTTCGCCCAGGTACGTCACGTTGCCGCCGCGTCTCCGTCCTCAAGACCCCCACTGACACTCTCCCCAGGCCTCATGTACCACGCGCACCTCCGCCCGCTGTCCACCCTGCCCGCCTTCGCCCTCTCGTGCACTGCACACCTGCACGACTCGTGCGGCGGCCAGCGGCCAGCCTTCATCCCCAAGGGCGGCGTCGTCGACCGCGCAGCGGACAATTTCGCCACGCACCCGCTGCACGTCGACCACGTCGCGGACGCGATTGTGAAATGTATTGCAGAGGACAAGGCCGGCGTGTTTGACGTGCAGACCATGCGGCGGTGGGCGGGTTTTGACGTGCCGTCCCAGACGGGCGAGGCGCAGCCGGTGCACGCTTGAGCTGGCCTAGAGGTAGCGGGAGAGCACGGTGGCAGGCGTTATAGAGAGACAGAGACAGAGGGGCAGAGTAGGAGAAGCGGTACTATGGATGACTACCCACTCACCATGGCTGTCCACTGACTGTTTCGCTGACAGCATGGGGATATGGCGCACGTCTCCAGTGAGTGGTCAATGAGGCAATGGCTAGTGGCGCCTTGGCAGCCACGGGCCAGTAAAACCATACCGCTGCAGCCAGAAAAGCGCTGCGTCGTGACGTCAATACTCGTGATAAAGAAGAGCTGGGCAGGTATGGGTTACGGGGAGGGGACCCCGCTGGAGGCAAGTGTGGCACCGGCGAGCCGACAAGTGCAGGGCGGCTGCGAGAGCTTGCGAGACCACGATGGCCTGTACCCCAGAGTGACCTGCACATGATATGATGTACGTGTGGCCGAGGTAGGAGCGTCTCGGGGTCCATAATGCCCGCCCCGACCGTGGACATGTGGCGCGCGGCCTCGGCCAACCATGTCAGTCTGGCCGCGTTGGCCGATGAGCTCATGAGCTACATGCCGTGCCACATGCCCAGCGAATAGCTCTCGAGCGCGCTGTGTGCTACATGCTTGTTCTGGAGAACCGGCAGGTGTTTAAGAGAAGGAAGCGGCGATGCACCGCACCATTCGAACGTTCAAAGTGTCATGGGCCTGTGACATGTTCCAAGTGGCCCACGGCCAGCGGCTAGCAGCCAGTGGCCAGTGGCGGACTCGGCCGCAAGGACACACCTTCCCAAGTGGCTCGCCTGAGATAACGGCCAAAACGCGGCACACACGGATCACATTTTCCGTGCCGACCAACGACGATTGCCTCTGCTATAACCGGGGCCGCTGGGCCTCCACACCCCACTTTCATGCAAGCGCTGAGCAGTGGGGTTGGGTTACAGCTGTTGTTGCAGTTTGCAGTGGTTTGTGGGGGGCAAAGTGCGGCGATATTCGCTCTGGATCCGGCACTCGTCATCTGGCCCCACACTGCTCTGGGGATATGTCGGGATCTCGCAACGACAGGCCCCGCAGTACCACAGTGTTCCTAATGAGTGGCCACTCTCTATTAGATCCTGTGCTAACCGTCGGTGTTGCCCGAATAGCCCACACCGGGCCCCACTGCTGCCAAGCGTCGTCCACCCCGCCGGCACAGTGCCAACCGGTGTGGGTGCAATCAACCGGCACGCGGACCCGCGGCCCCGAATTACGCCCGTGGGCCCGACACCACCGCCGCCGGCGAGGTGGATGTCATGGCCGTATGCACCGGCCGACAGGTGCACCAGGTGACTGTCTCGCGCTCTCTCTTAACAACCACCAACGGGCAACAGTCGATCTTTTTCCTCATCTCGTTTCTCATCCCATTTTCGCATCACACACACACATCACAAAATGGCCGTCGCCCGTATCCAGTCCATCGCCAACCACCTCTCGGGCAAGGACAACAAGTCCAAGCTCCTCGCCAAGAACCCCGATGACAGTGAGTGCAGGCGACGACGTGCAGTGTGTAAACCAGCTGGCTGACAAGACGTTTCTCAGTCGTCGTCACCGTCGCCAAGCGTACTCCTCTGTGCAAGGCCCGCAGGGGTGCGTTCAAGGACGCGTCGTCGGACGAGCTCCTCATCGAGACCATGAAGGCTGCGCGTGAGAACATTGGCATCGACCCCGCTCTCATTGGCGACATTGTCGTCGGCACCGTCCTCACCCCCGGTGCGCCCTACGCCGCCCGTGCTGCGGCCCTCACTGCGGGCTTCCGTGAGTAGACAGGCCCCAGAGGCCAAGCGAATGCCCTGCGCCTCGGCTAGCTGGCTTTTTACCAGCGTGTGCTCCGTTTGAACTTTTGCTGACCCTCGCGCCAGCCGACACCGTCCCCGTCCAGATTGTCAACCGCTTCTGCTCGTCGGGCCTGATGGCCATCCAGTCCATCTCCAACGCGATCCGCAACGGCGAGATTGAGATTGGCCTTGCCGTCGGATTCGAGGACATGTCCAACAACCCCGACGACGGTGCGCCCAAGTACGCTGCCGAGACCATGGCGCTCCCCGTGGGCCGCGACTGCACCATGCCCATGGGCTGGACGTCGGAGAACGTTGCGGGCGAGTTTAACATTTCGCGCGAGGCGATGGACGCGTGGGCCGCGCAGTCGATGCAGCGTGCCGAGGCCGCGCAAAAGGCCGGCATCTTTGAAGCCGAGATTGTCCCCGTCACTGTCCCCCAGAAGCAGGCCGACGGCTCGGTCAAGCACGTCAAGGTCACGCGCGACGACGGTATCCGTGCCGGCACCACTGCCGAGGGTCTGGCCAAGATCAAGGGCGCGTTCAAGCAGTGGCCCCCTACCCAGACCACCGGCGGCAACGCGTCGCAGATCACCGACGGCGGCGCGTTTGTCCTCCTCATGACCCGCCGCAAGGCCCAGGAACTCCACCTCCCCATCCTCGCAAAGCACATTGCCACCGTCACCTCGGGCCTCGCTCCCCGCATCATGGGTATCGGACCCTCCGTCGCCATCCCCAAGCTCCTCAACCAGCTCGGCCTTACCACGAACGACATTGACCTCTACGAGATCAACGAGGCCTTTGCCTCCATGATGGTCTACTGCGTCGACAAGCTCGGCCTCGACCCCAGCAAGGTCAACGTGAACGGCGGAGCGATCGCCCTGGGTCACCCCTTGGGCTGTACCGGTGCTCGCCAGGTCGCCACAGTCTTGAACGCGGCCAAGAGCCGTCCTGAAGCAAAGCTTATTGTCACCTCAATGTGTATTGGTTTAGGGATGGGCGCGAGCTCGCTGTTTTATAACGAGCAGGCGCTTTGATAAAACAATTTGCAGCGCGCTGTGGACGTCTGGAGATGCAGAAGAAGCTTGTACAATCATAATGAAAGTGTTATGGACCAACTGCCACACTCCGACGGGAGCAGATCCTGGGGGCGCAAACAAGGTTCCTGAGAGGGCGCAGGGGCGCACAAGGGAGCAGATCAGTCCAAAAAGAACAGAGCCGTCGACGACCAACGTCGAGATATAGCTGACAGAAGAGAGCGACACGCGAGGAGGCAGTCAGCAGTTGTTGCCAGTTACATGCCGTCCACGTAGTCCATAATGCCCATTAAAGTGGCGCAGTGTAATAGGATTATGCCAGGCTACAAGAATAGTATACATGCAGACCGATGCAGGGGGTTGTTGGTGAGATTGAGAGCAAAAGGGTTGGGACAAGAGCTCAGATGTGGTGTAAGTGGGGTGCCACAGCGGGAGTATTTTCCGCTCTCGCTGCAACTGTCCCGCGCCTCTGAGTGTGATGTCTGTGGATGGTTCAGGCATCGTCCAAGTCGTACAGGGAGGCCGGGACAGAGGTGCTAGGGACATTGCGTATTCTACAAGAGGAGGCGACCAGCGCCAAGTGTGAAATGCACACGTTGTTGGGCGCGATGTGGCGGTGCGTCAGGTTGATTTCAGATGCGCCGACAACAACGATACAGAAGAGACTGAGGTTGAACTTGACGAGGTGGTAGCCGTCGCGCTAGTGGGTTGTCTTTGGGTTCTCAAGGCCAGGTGGAATTGAATGATCACCAATGGGAAGACTGATGGCACGACAGCCAGTATCGGCTGACGCTGAAAGCAGCTGTGCGTCCCAGTTAACGCATCACGAGTGACCGCGTGGCCAGAGTTGGGGAGGAGTGAAGTGGAGTGCGGTGAAGAATGTACATGGTGGGGCCTTTGTGGAATGGTACGTGGAGTCACCGCAACCGGGACACAAGGGAGTGAACTGCGATGATCAGCAGGAGACGATAACGAGGATACCACCTCGCCATGACTCACGGCTCCCTCGTTCTCTGCCAAGAAAGACACATCACCCGCAGGATAGAGTCGGTCTAAGTTACTGTGGAAGCACACGATAGCAGTGGTGAACAGCAGGCGTTGTCGTCTGCCTGGTTTTATTACAGGAAGATCGCGAATCAAGCCTGTATTTTGTTGAACGTGGTGGCGGCCGAACATTCCGCCTCGTTGGTCTCGGCACCAGGATTTGCGCCTTCAGCTTCGGCTCAGAGAATGCCCAGACTGAAAGGGCTTACCTGGCCAGAGCTGGAGGTGGCAGCCGGCGAGCGGGTGGCAAATGGCTGATCAGTGAGGCTGGGAAGGTTGGCCGTGGCTCCGGCCGTAACGATGGCAGTCTTGTTGGTACCAGGGTGCTCTGCTGGGGGAAACGCGCTGGGGATGGCTTGGCAGAGGGTCCTGGCATCGTGGTCCGTCTCGTCCACCCGGTGCAGCACCATGTGCGAGAGAAGCAGCCAGCTTGTAAACACCAGCCAGACTGGACTGTGTACTGCGACCTGGACAATGGGGTCGTGCTGGAGCTCATTGAGGTCTTTGGCCACGATGACATGGGTGACGTCGGGAGTCAGTGTCGCGGTGACGCTGCCTCCGAGAGTGAGGACCATGTTGGACAGCTTGCGGACAAAGTCGTCGTTTGGAAAGCCGACAAAGACCAGCTTGAGGTCCTTGAGAATGTCGGCCATGGTGAAGTCGGCAGTGAGAATCCGGTTGACAAGGTGATGTGGGCGTTGGGTCAAGTTGAGTCGAGAGCACTTACTACCTTGTGCAGGTTGCCATGGAGGAGCGCACATCCTTGTGCCCACGGGGCATGGGAATGACCAGCAAGAGCCAAGATAGTGTGACACTGTCCAACATATCTGATCGTTGAGGCATTCATGTACACTGCAGCCAAATCAGTGATCAAGTGCGTGGTAACGGAGCCACGGAGACTCCCAAATCGCTGGTCGTTGAGACTTCCCTCGCTAAATGGTCCCACACCGTACGAGTTTCGCCTTTGTCGTCCGGCATGGTGGGACATGGGAGGCAACACGTACCCAGACACGCACTCAATGCTGCACACCGGGTTCGCATCTGTATCCCCCAAGGTCCGAGGGCCACACACCTCCGGAAAAAACCTCTTATAAAATCCCCCGAAAATCACTGCCACAACTCATTCCGCTCACTCACCATCTCACACCACTTCCTCGGCGACCCAACCAACCCTCCCGCACACGTCCATGCATGTCCCCAAGGCCCCCAGACGTCCAAAAAGGTCACGACGGGGATCGAACCCGCGATCTCCTGATGATACTCAGTCGTAGTCAGACGCCGTACCATTTGGCCACGCGACCGGAAGATGCAAGTTCTTGTGGCCTTGTCGCTGGGATCGTTGCGCTTCAAGCCGCTCTGCAGACAGCCCAGGACTCTCAGCAGACACGGCCGGGAGGTCAGATTGTAGAGGTAATACAGACAGTCAACTGGGTCTAAATAATGCCCCAGTAGGAGGTGGGATGCGGACGCGGTTGCGGTTGCAAGGACATTGAGCATATTCAAAACACCGAACGCCATTTTTCGTCTATTTTCCCTGGTTTGATCCTTTTTCGTCTCCGTTACCAGAGTCTATCCCTGTCACCGTCTTGCGCATTCTTGGAGTCGCCGGCGGCCGTGTTGGCCTCGAGGCCAGCGAGCGACTTGTTGTCCTTGTTGTGAGCCTTCGTGGCGGCGTCGGAAGGTTGGTTCTGATTTGTCATTACGAGGTCCAGCCTACATACTCTGGTGGTGATGACAGCCTGGGTGGTGCGAGCCTTTTTGTAGGAGCGAGCGTTGATCTTGGTGTCGTTCTTAAGGAAGTGCTCTGATGTAGTTGTAGAGAGCTTGAAACTCATAGACGTCGAACGTGGGTACACGAACCAACCCATGCCACTAGGCGCTGGTTGGCGCGACGAGGCAGTCGGGCCCTCATTGTGCACCCATGCCAGACATCAACGTCTCTATGGCTCTGGATCAACGTCTCTCTGGATTTGGTGCGCATTGGCTATGGAAACAAGGATGCCGGTCATAGATTCTCTAGTGTAAGGAGTCGACGATGGCCGCCACTGTTAACTATAATCGTTCACTTTTGTCAATTGGGTACACACACGTCGAGCAGTTGTCACCAAAAATACCCCATCAGTACCTAGCTCTACCCGACCAACCGCACAGCTACCAATTTTGGAGAACATAAAACACTCGTAATGCATCAGCCGGCCCTAACTGGCAACGGCTGGAAAAGAAGAAGACTAACAACTAAACGACTACAGCGGCGAGAGCCTTTTACTGGCCGCCACGCAGACGGAGGACCAGGTGGAGGGTCGACTCCTTCTGAATGTTGTAGTCTGAGAGCGTGCGGCCGTCCTCGAGCTGCTTGCCGGCGAAGATCAGGCGCTGCTGGTCGGGAGGGATACCCTCCTTGTCCTGAATCTTCGACTTGACGTTGTCAATGGTGTCGGACGACTCGACCTCGAGAGTAATCGTCTTGCCGGTCAAGGTCTTAACGAAGATCTGCATACCACCACGGAGACGAAGGACAAGGTGCAGGGTCGACTCCTTCTGAATGTTGTAGTCGGAGAGAGTGCGGCCGTCCTCGAGCTGCTTGCCGGCAAAGATCAGGCGCTGCTGGTCAGGGGGAATGCCCTCCTTGTCCTGAATCTTGCTCTTGACATTGTCGATGGTGTCCGACGACTCGACCTCCAGCGTAATGGTCTTGCCGGTGAGGGTCTTGACGAAGATCTGCATACCACCGCGGAGACGAAGGACGAGGTGGAGAGTCGACTCCTTCTGGATGTTGTAGTCGGAAAGGGTGCGGCCGTCCTCGAGCTGCTTGCCGGCGAAGATGAGACGCTGCTGGTCGGGGGGGATACCCTCCTTGTCCTGGATCTTGCTCTTGACGTTGTCAATGGTGTCCGACGACTCGACCTCGAGGGTGATGGTCTTGCCGGTGAGGCTGGAGAGTGATGTCAGTACAATGTGCCTACGGCGTTGATGGGGTCTCGCTACTCACGTCTTCACAAAGATCTGCATACCACCGCGCAGGCGGAGGACGAGGTGGAGGGTGGACTCCTTCTGGATGTCTGATAAAGAGTTAGCCGCAAGCCCCAGCAGGGGTTGACAAACTCTCAACTCACTGTAGTCGGAAAGGGTACGGCCGTCCTCGAGCTGCTTGCCGGCGAAGATGAGACGCTGCTGGTCGGGGGGGATGCCCTCCTTGTCCTGGATCTTCGACTTGACGTTGTCGATAGTGTCTGAGGACTCGACCTCGAGGGTGATGGTCTTGCCGGTGAGACTGCGGAAAGGGTTAGTAAGTGTGCGGTGCCGAGCGGTGCTGGAAGAGGAAACGTACGTCTTAACCTGTAAGAGTGGCGTCAGCTTTTGCCCACATCACGCGACCATCCATGGTGTCCGTCCTGTCTACTTACGAAAATCTGCATGGCGGGTGAGGTTGTGTGTGTGTGTGTTGTTTAGGAGAGAGTACGCGAGCTGGATTGATGGAAAAGAGAGAAAGGAGGGAGGCAAGTCGTGTCAGCACGGGGCACCATCAGGCTCAGGGGGGAAACGTGTGTGTGGGTGGCAAACACTCCGCATCCGCCGTCTCCTCGCCGCAGCATCCATGCACGACCCGGTACTCGCTAGAACGCGGTGGTGCAGAGGTCATGCAGTGGGATGGCACGGCGTCAAGGAAGACGGAGGAAGGTGAGGGAAGGAGAGAAAGTGGGGATGACAGAGACGAGGTGGGCAAGGAGACACAGCGCTGTGGGTGGCAAATTCCCACGTGTGTGAGGGCAGAGTGGGTGGCGAGGAGGCCGCCTAGGGTGGGATGGGAGGGGTTGGATGCAGGGGAGGAGGGTGGATGCTTACTGTGCTGGTGTGGATGAGATGAAGTGAAGTGAAGAAGAGGAGATGGATGGAGTGAAGGATTGAAAGATATATGCAGTTGCACGCGCGTGAGGCCGTAGAGTGTGACACACCCACACACACGACGCCGTGTCGGATGGGCCCGGAAGAATGGTGCTTGTTGGGGGACAAGGCGCGGCCAGGCGGAGACGGCAGAGCCTCGGATGTGGATTAGGGCGGCAAACGACGCGAGCGGCCGCAAGGTGGATCTGTGGACGGGGGCGCAATGACGTAGGCGGGGGGGCGAGCGCACAAGACGGACAGAGCCGTCACAGCGTGACTCAGCAGCACACACTTCTCGCTTGTCACTCTTCAGCCACCACACACAACACCACACACCGGGGCGCAGCGGCCCGCAAGAAGCCATGCGTCAGCGGCGCGTAGTGAGTGGACATTCACGCCTATTTATTTTAGAAAAGGCGCGCAGAGATGTAGGCTCGCGGAAGAGTGGTCCTCTATGTGTTACGTAATCTATTTTTCCATCAGTCACACGAGTTCCAGGCCGACCGGTCGTTCAACGTTCAAGTCTGCTTCCGGGAATGCGCGATTGATTCCCCCCCGCACTGGCCGCCGTGTCATGGCGGAGAGGCTCCAGCAAGCAGCGAGCGGCGACGGGGCCAGCCAGAGACAGTGGGTCCGAGACCTCTGGCTGTCCATCCCACAACTCCATCACCTGGCGCTCCCAAACTTACACTCCACACCATCTCTCTCCTCTCTCTCCACACCCTCCTCTCACCCCTCCCCCCCCCCCTCCGCCGCCGCTCGCCCCCGCATCTCTTGCCGCAGCAGTCGGCATACACACATATACATCACACACCCACACACACAAACGCTCCCAAACCACACCCTGCATCGTTCTCCTCGTCGGTCTCCTTGTTCCCTTCAACGACCCTCACTCTTTCGACGCCGCGCACATTTCTCTCTCGCTAGCTCCACACGCCCTCCCTCTCGACCCACAACAACAAAACCATCACACGCACACACACACACACACACACAAACATACATTCAAAGACCTAGCACACACAAACCAATAACACATCAACAGTCACCTACCCGTCATGTCCATCTCACTCCCCAACGGCACCCTCCTCGCCGCTCCATCCTCGTCGCAGCCTCAGGTGTCCGCCGCCGTCACTCGTATCCTCCACCTGGCAAACTTCTCGCCCGAGTGCGTCTATCAGGAATCTTGGCCTGGCCTTGCTCTCCCTGTCCCCTTCCTTGCTGACAACCAAACAGGATCAAGACACGCGACATCCAGGTCATCTTTAAAGAATGGGAGTCTGAAAAGGGCGGGTTCCGCATCAAGTGGCTCGACGACGTCAACGCAATGGTCGTGTTCAACGATGCCAACGTCGGTGAGTAGGCCCCTTTGGGTTCTGTCTTGTCTTTTTGTCTGTACTCTCGACTTACACGTCATGTCTAGCCAAGCGCGCGTACCTCAACCTCATCCTCAACCCCCCTCCCTCGATGCCCCTGCCCGCTACCATTCGCCCATACGATCGCCCCGACGCTGCCCAGATCATCCAGTCGCTCGCAGCCCGCGCAATGGGCCACCGCGCCTCCATGTCCGGCGCTCTGACGTCGGGCAACTTGGCCAACCTCATCCGCGAAGACGGTGGTGCGCGTAACAGCGGCCATGTCAGTGTCCAGCCTGGAAGCAACAGCGGGCTCAACGGCTTCAAGATGCCTCTCAACCCTTCGTTCTCGTTTGGCGGCTCCACAGGCCAGCCCGGCCAGCCTGGCGGCCGTGCGGGTCACCACGCACAGCGCATGTCGTTCTCGGGCGGCCCCTCGTCGCACCAGCGTACGGGGTCGGCATCCCAGTCGTGGAACCGTGGAGCCCTGAACGGTGCTCTCGGGTTTGGCAACAACAACCCTCCCTCCCTCGGCGCCGCTCGTCTCCCCACCCACTCGGAGCTGTCGTCAGGAAACCCTTCTCGCTGCACTTCATCCTCGGGCTCGGGCAACGACCCCATCGTGGTGATTGACGGCAGCGCCCAGCTCAAGAGCACCAGCGCGTCCTTGGGCCGCACCAACGTCCCAAAGGCGAGGAGGGAGAGTGTCAGTGCCGACAAGGCCCTGCGCGAGGTTGAAAAGGCTCTCCAGAGCGTGGAAGCGCAGAGTTAAAGCAGTCACTCCGCCGTTTCTTCTTTCTTCTTCTTTTTTTTTGTTGTTATCCCGCCGGATACGGTCCGTACGGCACCATGCCTTCTTTCTCTCTCTAAATCCTTTCCTATGATGACCTCCTCCACCCCTCCACCCCTCCTTTACTCTCTCACGCTCTCTCTCTCTCTGTAGGTACGATGCATGTAGTATTTACGGTCAGGAAGCACTCCCCCCGGCGGCCTGAAGAGGCTCAATCGAAGAAACCTGTCTGCGTGTGTGGGGGAAGGTCCCCCTCGCGGTCTATATTGACCATGGACACCTCCCTCTCATGACCATGACCATGGGGCTGCATTGACATTTTCGCAAGTGTCACACCGGGGGACCGGGTCATTCACGCTTCTAAGCGTTGGGCCATACGAGCGGGAGCTGAGATCACCAACTGCTCCCCGCACACTGATGCTACAAATTCAGGAGCTACCCCCGACTGCCGCAATGGTTCAATACGTCATCCACGACCTTGACATTCCTGGCCATGGGGCCATGTGGGCCATGTGGATCATCGCCCGAGGCTCACATTCCAACACATGAATGGACGTGTGCCACAGGCCACAAAAGACCACAAACAAGCATGCGAGACGATGGTCGCTCGATGCGGCGTCGTTCTGTCGCAGCCATAGGCCATGGGCATACAAGCAGTGTCGCACCTCACGCAATGTCGCCAAAACAGACCACCAGACCACGGCGTCCACCATGCCGCGCCCACATAGACCACCTGTGCTCACCGTCTTGCCCCCCAGGCCGCCGGCGGCAGGGGTGCCATCTGCGACGTCGGCGCGGCACCTACCTGGGTATGGAGAGAAATTTGGGTCAGGGGCATGGTACATACCGTCGGGTATATGTAGCCCCCGAGGATGAGCACACCAAGTGCCAGACTTGGTCGGTTGACCCGGACCAGTCATGTCTTTGGCGCTCGCGGACAAGAGCCTCTCGGGACCTAGACTGTCGAGACTCTCTTCACACACAGAGCCAGTACTGGAACTGTGTGGGCGAGTGGGTAGATTGTTATTGTTGTGCGACTGCCTGCTGCGTGTCGTGGTCGTGGTCGTGCATCGAGCACTAGGGCAACAACAATGTGCAGGCGGCCAGGCGGTGTAGTGGCGCATAAGTGGCAGATCAGCGCGTCGTACTACTACTGCATCGTTAGCCACTGGCCACTGGCCTCTCGTCAAGGAGCTGCTGCGCAGCCCTCTTGGCCAGGGAGCGCCTCCGCGAGGCCGACGGCTGCCGCCTCTAGGAGCTCTAGGAAATGGGTCGAGAAGGGAACAACGGCAGCGCTGAGGTGTGCGAGGTCAGTGGGCAAGACATGTAACTCACCATGCGCATCGGCCATGTTGGCGCCACCCGTCGCTTAAGCAACGCCACGGCCAATTCGAGCTGACCAACCAGTCCCTTGTCCGTCTAGCAGCGGGAGATGAACTGGTCTACGTTCTACAGGAGCTCGGGTGGCAGGAAGTACTGAGTGCGCAAGACACCGGCATGCCACTGAACCTCGCCGAACAATCACCATGCTCCTGTCGGAAACCACAAAGCCCCGGTTGGGTCGTTTGCACCTCCTGAAGAAACGGGACATGCTCTGGACGTACGTCGAACACAACGTCCCGAGGACAGCCTGGCCCGTCGCTTCAGCATGTGCGAGCTCAGGCATATACATGGACCTATAATTGGGCAGAAAGCGTAGAGTAGGGGTGGTGGGCAGGCCACCGCACAAGCCTCTCGTGGCGTGGACGATGACCAGTACATAGCGAGCTGTATTGTTGTGCCGACACCTCGCTACGCTGCACGTCAACATCGCCCCAGAGGGCGGAGATGGGATGCTTCGGCCTCGACTCACTGGCGCTTAGTGTTGATGTCAAGCGACAGGCCAGTGATCCAGTCAAGTCTAGGCTCTGGAGGGTCCAGTATGGGAGAGCCAGGGTACACGACGGCCCGGCCCCGAGCGCAACAAGGCCTGGCTCACAAAGGTTTGCCAACGTTAAGGTTAGTTACATGGTGGCCTATGGTGGGCTCGTTCCCGAGTACCGGCACGGTCGGTACCAAAAACACTGCATTTGTGTGTCCTGTCGTGGCGGCTGCAGCCATCTGCTGCTTATCGTTGCGAGAAGTCGGCGGCGGCGTGCGCCGCGGAGGGAACGAATATTCCGGTGAGGGACAGACCAGTGGTCCCGAACAGACGTGGGCCCGAACTGGGGACCAGATTCGTCCAGGCTCTCGCGGCAGCCTGAGAGCCCTCCCCCCCCCCCCCCCCCCCCCCCCCTGGATGTGGCGAGGCTGTACATGCGTCCATGGACGGCCACAAGCTGAACCACCTTGATGCGGAGACACAGCGTGCTGTACACAGCGCTTCAAGTGGCGCCACTGCGCAAAGAGGACGTATGCGAGGTGCCTGTGTGTGATCCTCCGCCACACCGAGTGTCACGCAGCGGACGCGATTTTGCGGCCGAGCCTGCCCTGGGTCTGTATTTCAGGTCGACCGTACGCTCAGGTCAATCGTACGCCTCACACGAGGAGACAATGGTTCTTCTGCAGCTACTGACAACTGCTCGTCCAACCAGGCAAGCAAGCAAGCAAGCAAGCAAGCAGCCCTCTGATGGATGGGCCTGTGCCCAGGACCTGGACATAGGAACCCGGAGCGGCCGGAACGGGACGCCACAGCTCCAGAACTTTGTATGATTCCTACTCCCAGCTCCCCAGAATACACACCTACGCTCAGCTTTTTGAACGGAGGACCATGCAGTGGCGACTTGAATGAGACAGGGTTACTGCCGCCACGACATGGCTGCTCAACTGGAAGAGAAGGTCTGAGCTGACAGGGATGCCTGCTGGGGAGGCGCTGTTGCTCGGCGTGGTTTCTCGCACCCCACGCTTCTTCCTGCTCGATGTGTTTCTGAGAACTGCTTAAAAAGGCCGGGGTGTGGCCATATGTCTGCTGGGTTTTCTTTCTGTCCAGGATACACACACACGACGCGATGCTTAGGCGCTCCCTCACTGCCCTCGTGGCTCTTCTCCTCGCTGTTCCCGCCACGGCCCAGCTGTCGGTCATCGCACCCGCATATGTCGGCTGCATCCTCCCGACCGCGCTCCCGGGGGATGTCAAGTCGGTGTCCTCTGCAACGAGCCAGGCGCTGTGTGACGTGAGTATCTGGGAGACATGCCAAAGGCTGACCTCTAGACGGCCTGCACCACCACATACCAGTACAACTACTTTGTGTCGTCCACCTCCTCGTGCTACTGCAGCAACACGCCACCCCCAGCCACCGCCCTCCAGACGGCTTCCAACTACCTGGGCACATGTGCCTCTGGCCAGGCCAAGGTGAGTCTCCCATCTTGGGCCAAATGTGGCAGCGCGCTCTAGAGGCAAAACTGACATTCGGCACAGGCGCAGAAGCTCGCAACGTCGTACCAGTGGACACAGTGCGGCAGCGCAATCAACTACTACCAGGGACCCCTCTTCGGCAAGGTGGCCGCCTCGGCCTACGAGTGCATGCAGTGGTGCAACAACGTCTACCACGATGTCACGTGGGTGTTCGCCTCATACTACCCAGCCGGCAACAGCAGCAGCGGCGCCTCTGGACCCTGGTGCGACTGCTCGGGCTCGATCGGTATCTACTACGCAACGTGCACGTCCAGCAGCGTGTACACGTACATGCTCGAGCGGTCGCTCACGTCGTGGGTTGTCCGTCGCGACGCACGCCTCAAGCGCGAGCAAGACGCGCGCTCGCAGCAGCTCTCCCTCGGCCTGTGCCCGTACCCGCTCGAGGCGTGCATCGTCGGCAACAACGGATACGAGTGCATGGACACGCGCGCCGAGCTCGAGGCTTGTGGCGGATGCGTAGACGGCACGCTCACGATGGACACGGACGGCAGTGCCGGTTCGCGCAACGCGTCTGCCAACGTCGGCACAGACTGCCTCGCCCTCCCCGGTGTGGACCCCAAGCGCACCACTTGCATCAGGGGCCAGTGTACTGTCGCCGGCTGTCGCGCAGGCTGGAGGCTCGTGGATGGCCGTTGTGTCGAGTATCGACCTAGGTACTTGTAATTTAGATGGTTTTGTGTTATTTTCTGGACTAATTTTTGCTGTGGCTCGTTTATCGCGAAAAAAATGGATTTCTTCACTTTGCTAGTTGAGGCAAGCGTTGGTGCCCGGAGGTCAGTCGCCTTGAAAAAAATGAAAAGGCGCTTGAGGTTAAGGAATTGATTTACTCGAAGGAGCGCTGTTCGAGGACTTGCAAGCATAGGACATTGGAGCGCAATCTGCGATTGGCGTAGCCACAACCCATTACTTGAGCTCCCTTTCAAGCTAACCTGCAAGTCAAGTCCCTGGCGTATACCTATTTGTATTTGTGGTCAACGGAGTGTGCCGTAGCTTAGAAACAAGGGTGTCTTGTTTATCTGACACAAACTCACGATGGCCTCTGTTGGATGCACACCCCGCGCATGTCCCTCTACTCTCTCGCCTCACAGTCGGTGAACAGCCATGCAGTTGACGCTCAGGCACGCAAAAGCCACGTGGTCTGCGGGATTGGCGGTGTCTCTCGGCCTGCGCGCGCGCGCTGACGCTCGGACCTTTTTCCCGGTTGCGCACTGCCAACACGGCCCAGAGCACCAGAGCCAGGCGGGGAGAGGCCAGCAGCGTCGGGTGACGCGCGCAGCATTAGTTTGGGACGACGGCGTGAGTGAGTGTGTGCTGCTGCTGGCTGTCATTACTGGCCACATCATCTTTCATCCATCTCTCAACAACACACACACACACCCATCCTCGCCTGCATCACATCACACCAACCACGTCCATCTGCTCCACACGTCGCCCTCGCCCTCACTCCTCCCACCTCTCCATCGGCCCCATCTCCATCAATCCCCAGCGGGGCGAGCGCGCGCATGTCCCGCCCAGCGATATCATATCCCATCCCTTCCGGCACCAACGGTGCGGACACACTGCCCCCACCCTCCATGTATGATGGCGCAGCCGGAAGCGGCGGAGGCAGTAGCAGCAGCGGCGGCCACATGGAACCCAACATGGCCGGCGCCGGAGCAGGCGGAGCAGGTGGTGGCCAACCGCTCGCTCGCATCCACAGCGGTGGACCGACCAGAGCACCGGTGCGTTGCTTGACAAGCCCAACAAGGCGGCGCTGAGACGACTGATGCTGACATGCGCGCCTCTCCCTCTCAGGCCTCTACTCTCGACTCGTTTATCACGCGTCTGCTAGTCGTCACAAAGCAGTTGCTACAAGGGTTGGATCAGTGGTCACAGGGCATGTTGTCCGAGGAGGATGTGAGCGGTGGTGTGGACCTGCGCTGCTCAAGACGACGACACTGACGTATTTCAGGTCAGCGATATCTATGTCCGGCTCGGTAACGGCTTTGAGCTGTGTGTCGCTGCGTTCCGACGGGTCGGCATATCCACAGCGTGAGAGCCTTGCAAGAGTATACACACCGAGTTGCTCCTGACCTCTTTTCCCAGCGACCTCGACTCTGTCCCCCGCGACCTACGCGAGATTCTCGAGCGTGCCCTCGCCGAGGAGCCCTCGCAGGACACGCTCAACCTGTACCTCCCGGACATTCGCGCCATCATCTTCAACCTGCTCAGCGGCCTCAAGAACAAGCAAATCTCGTACAAGCGGTTGCTGGCCGACAGGCAACAGTCCGACCCAATGCCTGCACCGACTCCAAGCAGACCCCCTCGTGCGCTTTCGAGTTCTACGATCGCGTCTGCCGAGGGACATGTGAGCCCGTCATCCATCTCGTCCCAGCTCCCGCCCGGCGGTCCCCGACCACCATCGGCGACTGCGCTCGCCGAGAGGAGCCAGCACCGCTCAGCAGGTCCGCGTCCTGCTCCCCCAGACGCGTTCCGCCCCACGCGCACACGCTCCGGCGAGAGCTCGAGGCAGGACACGCACTCGTCAATCTCGTCGCAGCTATCCTCGCCCGTCGACCCGAGACGTATCCCACAGCCACCCCCAGTAGCAAGCACGGCCCCGCCAGTGCCTACTGCCGGACCTAGCCGTACCGCTCGTCACCCCGACCGCGTCAGCCGCGACAGCTTTGGTAATGTCACCGTCACATCCCGCTTCTCAGCAGATTCGGACATGTCAGCGGGCTCGACCAGGACTCCAGCAGCCGCAGCTGCTGCAGCAGCCGCAGCAGCTCCGGCTCCGGCTCCGGCTCCGGCACCGACAATCGTGACTGTCCCCTCCCCAATCCCGGAAGCGCCAGCCGCGGCAGGTGGCAGGTCGCCCAGTAAGGACGACGACTACTTCTCCCCGTTGTCTGCCACCAAGGAAGACCCCTTCATCCCGCCAACCACTGTCACCCCGCCTGACCAGATCCAGCGCGCGCCAGTCGTGCCGGTTCTCAATGTCCCTGGGGGTGGTAGCAGCGACTCGTCGCCGCCTCTTGCCTCCACACCCGTCAACGACCATGCCGTGCGTCAGTCTCTGACCCGCCTGCAAAAGTCGGACGCACTGGAGAGGCGAGCGTCCAAGCGTTTCTCGAGCTACACGTTCAACAAGATGTTGCCCGGGTCGCCCAGTGGAAACCGCAAGAGTACGCAGAACGGCAGCCCGCAACGGCCCAGTCGCCGATCGGACCGTCTGCCGCCCATGCCTGCGGTGCCAGAGGACGGCGCGCGAGCCACCCCTCCCGACATGTCTGTGGGTGATAGTACCGCGCTGTCAGTGTACGCGCCGACCGCTCCGTCGTCGCCCACGGCCAGTAACCGGACCATGGAGGAGATTCCCATCTCGGGCACTGGAGCACCCACGGCCAGCCCTGCGGGTCTGGGTCTCAACATGGACATGGGCGATGCCTCGGCCATTACGCGTCAAGAGTCCAACACTTCCGGTGTGGCTCTTGGTGCCCCCGCAAGCGTATCGCCCCCGCCGACGTCGCTCTCCGCGTTCCTCCAGCTCGGCCGTCAAGTGAAAAAGGCCACCATCGAGCTGCCCCTGACCATGTCTGCGCTCAGACTGCTGTTCATGGAGCGCTTCGAGTATGATCCTGGAATGGAGGATTTCCCCGACGTCTACATTCGCGACAACCGCACAGGTGTCCAGTATGAGCTGGAGGATATGGACGACGTCAGGGAAGGTGTTGTGTTGACTCTGGATATTGAGCGTGAGTTGAGCCTCCCTGGGTGCTGAATGGGCTGACTGTTTTCACAGCCTTGGACCAGGTCAAGCAGCACTTTGACCTTACTTTTGCTACCCTCGCGCAAGAGATCAAGGACCTCAAGTCGGCGTTCACGGCCCCGCGCCGCCAATCGATGCAGGTACCCGCCGCTTCACTGCTGAGTGTCTCTGCATCGGTGCCCAACCTGGCGGTTCCGGCCCCCGCTATTCGAGTTGCTGTCCCCGAGCCTGTTGTTGTCCCCGAGCCCCCGCGTCCTGCCCCCCAGCGCACTGCCTCGGGATCGACCATTATCGCCCCAACAACCGACCTGCGCAGGCACCACGACGAGGTGCAGAGCTTGCGCCGCGACCTGGCCATTATGCGCCAGCTGCACCTGGATTTCCTCAGCCAGACGAAAGAGTCGTTCAACGCCCTGCGAGCGCAAAACTCGTCCATGCGCGAGGTTGTCAATACCAAAATGGGCGGAAGCCGTGCGCTGCTCGACAACAGCAAGGCCAAGCTCGAGGGCCAGTGCCAGGACACGATCCAGTCGGTCGAGGAGGTTTCGGACATTATTGACGGCGCGCGCGAGGACGCGCTTCGTCGCGGTATCACGCCCTCGCGCACCAAGATGGACAAGATTCGCGCCGACCTGTCCAAGGCGACCAACTATGTCGAGATCTTTGCGTCGGACGTGACGCTGGCCGAGCCGACATGGCGCGCCACGTGGCTCTCCGAGCTCCAGCGCGTGACCGAGGAACAGCGCCTCCTGGCGTACCAGAACAAGCTCGCTACCGACCTCAAGAACGACATCAAGGACGCGACAGACATGCTGGACAATGTCCAGGCGTTTGTCGAGCAGCGACAGGCCGGCGGCGGCGCCAAGAAGGGCTTCCGCCCGCCGTCGCCTGACGAAGGGGCCGGCGGCATGTCCAACCTCCTCATGGAGATCCGCACCAAGGAATCCGACCCGACGCAGCGTCTCCGCGCCATTGAAGAGCAGCAGCGCGCGCGGGAAAAGGACCTGGCGAACCGCACGGACGACTTTCAGAACGAGCTCTCGGGCTTTGTCGAGGGCAAAAAGCTGCGCAAGACGGGCGGGACGGACGAGGCGGACCGTGTCCGTCAGAGGCGCCAGGATATCACCATCAAGCGCATGTTGACGGGCGACGCGCCCGGGTCCCCGCCCAGTGTGGTATCGCCCCAAGTCACGGGACTCAGCCTGCGCGATTAGAGGTGGTCTATGCATATACATGATGTGCTGCTAGCTAGCTAGATGTTGATACAGAGCTTACTATACTCTCTACTCCTCTTCCTCCCGTGCCATCGCCTTCTCCATCTTGCGCAGCAGGTCGTCGAGGCGGTACGGCTTGACCACGACGTCGGTAAAGTCTGCCATGGCCTCCTTGATCATGGCCTGGCGCGCGTTACCCGTGAGGGCAATGATGGGGCTAAAGGCCAGCACGCCGTCCTTTTCCAGCGAGCGCACCAGCCGCGCCGCGGCGTACCCGTCCATGATGGGCATCTCGAGGTCCATGAGCACGCAGTCGTACGGCGTGCCACACCCGGCGGCCATGTTCTGCCGGATCTTGTCCACGGCCTCGGCGCCGTCCGCGGCTGCGTCCGCCGCAAACCCCACATGCTTGAGCTGGCGTAGCAGGACCGTGCGGTTGATGAGGTTGTCCTCGACCACGAGGACGCGTGCGTGGCCGGCCGGCTCGGTCGGGCGGGTCGAGGCGGGCGACGAAGCAGCCTTGGACACGACCGCCGCCACTGACGCCCGAGTCGGTGATGTCGGGGCTGACAAGGCCGCTGGAGGCGTCGCGACGCTGGCGGCGGCGGCGGCGGCGGCGGTGCACGCGCGCGCCTTGATGAAGAACCGGAATTCCGAGCCTTTGCCCAGCTCGGAGACGACGTCGATCCGCCCACCCATGATTTCGGCAAGCTTGCGACACACAAACAGGCCCAGACCCGACCCGCCAAACATGGTGTGGATCTGCGGGGACGCCTGCGAGAACCGGTGAAACAGGAGCTGGAGCTGGTCGGGGGTGAGGCCCGGCCCAGTGTCGGCGACGGACACGTAGACGAACACTGGCCGCCCCTCGGTGCTGTCCTCGAGCGACTGGTCCAGGCGCAACGGCGGCGGGGTGCAGCTGTCGTCTGTGGGTGGCTCCAGCCGGACGTCGAGACACAGCTTGATGAGCCGCACGGGCGAGTTGGCCGTAAACCGGATAGCGTTGGACAGCAAGTTTGTGATAATCTGGCCGAGCCTGACGGGGTCGGCCATGAATGACGACACGCCAAGTGCCTCAAACCCGGCGCCAACTTGCAGCGACAAGTGTACACGCTTCATGCGCGCCTCGTTCTGGAAGACGGACGTGATCCGCTCCGCCTCGTCGATGATCCGCGTCTCGACATCGTACATGTCCAACATGTTGAGCTGCATTCGCCCCAGGGAAAGCACGTCGTTGCTGATCCTCTCCTGTGTCAAGCTGCATTGGTAGATGCTGTCCAGCGCATCGAGGTCCTCGGACAGTGTCGCAAGGAGCTGGTCGGTCGGCAAAAACGGCCGTTGGTTGTCGATCGCATCTTGCATCTGTTCTTGCAGGACGAGGAGGTTTGTCTTGACCAAAGACGAGCACTGCATCAAACTGCTCGTTGGGTTGCGCATCTCGTGGCTGCAAGTCGTTAGCGGGCCGGGGGGTGATCACCACTCACGATGTAATGTCAATCAGCAGCTCCTGCTGGCGTTTCGCCTCTTCAGCCTCGGCCCGCCTCTGTTCCGCCTCGACCATGCGCTGCCGCTGCAGTTCTTCGTTGAGCTTGCGCTCAGTCACCTCGACCGAGCACCCGATAAACCCTCGCAGGCACCCCGTGGGTCCCCTAAGCCGCAGAGCCGTGGTCACCACCCAACGGCCATTCTTCCACATGTACTCGGCCTGCACACTGAAGCCTTCAGACGGCACAAAGTTTTCCCACACACCACGAACGTAGTCTTGGAAACCCTCGCCAATATAGTCGCCCCAGTCGGTGATCTTTTGGTGCATTGGATAGCCAGACACTTCGTACCATGCCGTGTTGGCGTACGTCACGTAGCCGTCCGGCGAGCAGCGGAAGATGCCAACGGGCGACACTAACGGGGGTAAGCTCCTCCGCCCGTGCTTTTGGTTTTATACTTACAGTCTGTGAGCACCCGCATGTCTGCAGTGCGCTCCTCAAACAGGGTCTCCAGCATGAGCCGCTTCTTGCCAAGCTGCAGCTGCATGTCGGCGCGCGCGAGAAGTTCCCTTCCGTTGTAGGGTTTGGGAAGAAAGTCTGAACCGTCAGCTTGCCTCTCGATCCCGCAGCTTACCGTCTGCTGCCATGCCATCGCTCGTCGGCGGCGGCGGGTCTTGGGTCGTAGTGAGCATGAGGAAGGGAACAAGCTTCTGTTCGCGCGTGCCCTCACGGAGCGCTCTGAGCAGCCCATTGCCTCCAGACTGCTACCGTTAGTCGAACAATCTTGATTGTTGTAGCACACTCACGTTTGGCAGCAACAGGTCGGCAATGACGAGATTCGGATTACACGATGCCCAAAGGTCAAGCGCCTCTTGCGCGTCCCGCGCTTCCACGACGGTACAGTAGGGGGCAAAGATGGACCGGATGTACCGTCTCGAATCGGCCATGCCATCGACAACCATGATAACGTCGTCCTTGTGGAAATAGAGAGTGGTGGGTTCAATGGACCGTGTGCGCTTGATGGTGGTTGTGGTTGTGACAGACTCGTCGAGAGGAGGGTCGTTGAGGTCGAGCGCCTCCATCTCCTTCTGCCAGTCGTGGGCTTCGGGTGCCGTGGTCTCGTGGATTGCGTCAACGGGGAGGTGCGCGTGTCCTAGGCTGGGGCAAAGGTCAGCGAGGTGCGAACCAGAGGCCTTACCTCAGGCGAACACGACAGGTGGTACCATGCGAGCCGTCTGCTGACTCTGCAGCAGTCTTGCTCTGGACCTCAAACGCACCACGGTGGAGCTGAACAAGTTGCTACATGTCAGCGGCATTCCACGCTTCCAGACTCACTTTTGTAAACGACAGGGCAATGCCAGTCCTGTTGTCCGTCTCCGGCACTGCCTCTCCCGGACCAACCCACTCGCCCATGGCCTGAAGCTCGGCTGCAGGGATACCAATACCAGTATCTTGGATAGACATGACAGCCTCGGACGCATCATATGAAAGTGTAACGTGGACATGGCCCTCGCGAGTATACTTGACAGCATTGCCCATGAGGTTGAACAGGATGGTTTCCCACTTGTCCCTGTCGACGTACACGTCACGGTCGGTAGTATCGCACTCGAGGATCAGCTCAAGGTTCCCCTGCTGGGCAGCCTTTTTGAACAGCATGGCCATGTCGCGAGTAAGGAGTCCCAGGTTGACGCGCCGGAACGAAGCCTGCATTTTGCCAGCTTCAATATTGCTCACGTCCATGAGCACGGTGGCCAAGCGCGTCAAGCGGCGCACATGGCGGCGAGCAATGAGGAGGTTACTGCGGTTTTGCGTCTCGCTAGTGCTTGCAATTACGTCGTCGAGCGGTCCTGCAATGAGGGCCAGTGGCGGAAACAGCTCGCGCGCAACGTTGGAGAATAATAGGCTCTTGGCTTTGTTGAGCGACGCCAGATCTTTCATTCGCTTGACGTCTCGCTGGGTGTCACGCGCACCGACAAGGTGCGTTGCGAGGAGGGGCACCAGTGCATGCTGCACGTCAGCTCAACCCATGACCACTCTACCGCTCAACTCACTGCCAGCTCGTCAGTCTGCTGATTGAATGGAGGCTCCGCGTTGAGACCCAGCACGAGGATAGCTGCCGGTACCGGGTCTTCCTCGGGGCACGGGATCACCGGAAGCACAATCGCACAAGTTTGTGCCATGGTGTGGGTGAAGGCGGCAGCCAGCGTCGAGCAGTCGTCGATAATGGCAGGGGCACCTGACTGCAGCACTTCCGCCAGCGGCCACTGCTCATGCGTGCGCCAAAGTTCTGTCTGTGGAGACTCGGAGCCCGCCGTCGACGACGACCCGCTGTCATTTCCTGAGCCAAAGGCTTCCGCAATCATAACGTTTGGTGGGTCGACGATGGGAATGATTTGCACCTCGGCTGCTGCTGGATGACCGTCTGGCACGTTCACGCCACCAACGTAGGTCACGCGAGCACTCTGCTCTTTGCGTGGGTGAATTCCAACACCTATGCGTACGTGGGGTTGGACGTTACCTGTAGGGGTGTCAGTTACAGAGGCAGAACGTCAGTCAACTCACTGATTTCCTCGACATGGTAGAGCATGCCAAAGGCAACGTCCGCCGAGCACGCCTTCAATGCATCAATGACAGCATTGTGGTAGTCGTCAACGCTCCTTGCAGCTCCTGTCACTGTCAGCGCTTGGCGGCCGCAAACAAACTCACCTATGCGCATGCATAACTGTTTGCGCAGCACAGTCTCGCGGTTGGCGAGAATGTGGTTAGTACTGTCGCTGATTTCGCAGAAGCAGCCAGCAAAGTTGCCGTCTTCGCCGCGCAAAGGCATCCACGTGGCGGCGCCATATTGCTGATATGTCTTGTTGTCCTTAGATGGCAACACATTCCACTCTGAAGCTTGTTAACGTTGTCAGTGGCCAACAATACCCACGGTCGTCTTGTAACACTGGTATTCCCGCCAGAAGAACCTCCGTCAAGGGCCCAAGACTGTCCAAGATATCTACTTCGTTAGCTCGTAGCGCACAACCTTCTGCTTACGGTCCCATGACTCCTTGCCACAGCGTCCGAAAGCCTGTGGATGGTCTGGGAGAAGCTACTGTCAGCATTTTGGCGCTGGGATTCCTGTGACCCACATCCGCGTAAGGTTGGTTGTAGATCATCGTGAGATCCTTGCCCGACCAAAAGCAAGCACGTTGGGGGTTCAGTGTGAGCAGCTCAACTGCCGCTGTCAGCAGATGTTGCTTGCTGCCCAAGACCCACCAGTGTTGCGGAACGTCTTGTCCCATGACGACCTAGGTCCCAGCGAAGTCTTGGAAAAGTCAAACTCTTCCAGCAACTGGGCAACCGGATGAGCTCGTGCCTTGTCCTTGAGACCGGTCATGAACGTGTTGCCGTCGGCATCGCGGTGAAAGTGAAGGGCTGTACCAGGCGTCCATTTTGGCATGTTGGTGAGCACCTCTTCTATGGTTGACCAAGAGGTAGCGGTAGCGGGGGACCGATGAGGTTGGAGACGGCGGACTGCACTCGACGACTCGGCGGGGCTGGAACCGTCGCGCGTTGACGAGAATGGATCCTCGACGCTGAATGCCATTGGTGTTGTAGTCGCCCATGTCGCTGCGAAACGAGGCACGGTCGTAACAACGACATACGATTTGGCATTGGTGGAGTCTTCACCGTCTGGAGGGGCAGGTGTGATGGGCAGAGTCGTTCGCGTCAACTCGAGGGTCGCCGGGCCAGACGGGAATGTAAAGTCGAGCGTCGTGGTCTCTGGACTGGATGCGCCAGTGACCCATGCTTCAAACTGTCGTGTACCCTCCAGCGTCAGAAAATCGAGAACGGAACGCCTGCCCGTGAGCGTGAGCCACTTGGAGTTGGCAAAGACGGGCGTAAACGCGGCGCCTGCATTATGCTCTGTCGGCAGCGCCTGTGAAGATGGGCGAGCGCAACAGTTATGCCGATGCGTGTCCTTTCTGCTTGATCCTGGAACGGCGCAGACCAGCACGAAGGCTGCATGCGGGTAAGCCTTATCGATTAGCAACTGACCAACTGGCACTCCAACAGCACCTCACCTCAAGGAAGGCACGCGGATAGGCGAGTGATGGATCGGATTGTTGTTGTTGAGAGAACGAGGGTTCTACTTCGGACAAAAGTTGTGTTCCTAGTGGAAATGCCGGGGGTGAGATCTCAGGAGAGATCCCCGACGACGGGGTCGCCTCTGGGACCGATGCGTCGCGGGACATGGCTGCTGTCCCTGCATGCGACTGTGGGCGTGCGGTGTAGATGTGTAGATGTGTAGATGTGTAGTGTGCAGAGAGGATAAAACGTTGTTTGCGGAGCAACAGCCGTTTTACGAACCCACTCGGCTGTTGTAGGGTCACCGACGCCGTATTGTTTGGAATGCCGGTCCATTTGACGTCATTTAAAAATAGCCAAAGCACAAACAAGTCCTCTGCTGGTTCTAAAGCGTAAAGCGCACCACACACACACTTGCATATGCAGCAGAATGGCGAGCATTGGGGCTATATGCATGTACAGTAGGGTTACCAGCCCTCCGCATCGGACCCTTCCTCATCGATTCCCCTCGACAGTGTCCTGTGTGGGGCCGTTCAGAACGACTTTATTGAATTGCTGGAGGACGACGAAAGTCTCAAGTTGCTGTTGCGTGTGTCTGGCCTAGGAGGACAAGCAGCCCTTGTGTCCGCATACCCCAACACAGGCAAGGACCGTGCGTTGGGCAAGTGTGTGCGGGCGGGTCCGTAGAGGAGCGCCTAATGCATGCCTTTGACAAACCGGTCGTGTGAGAGGGATTTGTTCGCGTTTGTGGCCGAAAAGAACGTGTAATGGACGCCCTTGTGGCCAAGGGGATTAAGGCATCTCACTTGTATACAGCAATATGAGAAGATCGGGAGTTCGATTCTCCTCGGGGGCATTCAGTTTTTGCGACCGGAGCTGTGGGATCAGGTAGTGGGAGGAAGGAGCACTGGATTCGACGTATACGATACAATGAAATGGCCTAAAAGGGAGGCAATGACGTTTTCCGATGGATAAACAAGTCGTCCACAGACGCGAGGTTGGTGGCGCACAACTGAGGACAATAGAAGCCCGTTCCAATGGCGGCCGAAGTGCGCTCCCTCCCCTATGTGTTATGGCTGTACGCCACACTGGTGGACCCGCAGATGGTTGCAGAGTGATATGGGGGACGTATTCATGTCCTGTCACATTTCTTGTTACAGTACAGCCCAAAATTGACCACGAGTCGCAACGAGTTCGTGGTGGTAGTAGTCGTTCACCGCCCTTTCAGCGAGACAGAGGGAGCTCCCTTCACGTCATTGGGGCCGGCGGTCCACCGTCCTAAACGACATGTACATACCCTCATCAAAGATCCATAAGCGCTAGGCACGGCGCCGCGTGGTGCGACAAGGTCGATCAAGTGGCACGCGTCGCAGCATGGCACATCATCACCAGAGCCCGGCATGTCAGTGATCGATGACCGTGTGCTCCTCGCGACCGCCGCCACAGTTCGGAAGCTACAGAGTCATCTATCCCCACACACCTTCACTCTTCGTACAATATGTACCTCTGCCGGCGACTCAAGCCTTGTCATTTGCAGTACCATTCCTCCATTCTCCCCTCCGACATACTTGTGCGGGCGTCGGACAACGAAATGGACTTGGACGTGGACTCCCCCAGGGCGATCCGCGTGCAGGTGAGGTGAGAGCTGTCGTTCTCCACTTCTGGTTGGGCCAGCTCAATGTGAACCACGACAAGTACATAGCTAACATCAACAGCGCCATCCCTGGGATCCCGGCGACCATGGTGAGGACTCGGCGGTCCTCGGGTCAGACTCGGACGAGTCGAGGGGTGGGTCGGTGAGTAATTATTTGTCGATCTCATAGTTGACTTTCAAAGCAGCAGGTGGCAGTGACCGATCTGCTTGCGGGCGACAGTGGCGTGTTCTCGAGGATCACGGACTGTCGTTGTTCAAGCGCAAGGTTCGTTTCAACATTATGTACACAGGACCCCACCACTGGTCGCTTAGAGCCCCTAACCAGCAAAATCCAAGCAATCGACTATGCCACCACCGACGTGCTTCTCCTCGAGATCCTTGATTACCAGACGGCCTTGGCAATGGAACAAGCTTACGCCAAGAAGACGAAGCGCAAACACCGTGTAGACCGGGCTTCTCGGCCCGACACACTGAAGCTTACCATTCATGTGTTTCAGCATTTAGAGGAAAGAGTGCTGAGTGCACCCCAGACTGTCGAGGAGGTTGCAGAGGCCATGGCAGACGACGAGGAGGTCTGGTAGAGATACCCACTAGACACTCATGCCATGCACACAGCCGCCATCGGCGAACATGGTTGCCACAGTGCCCCCTCGTGCTCCTTTCATCTCCTCTTGTATCCCTGTGTTACTGTACGTAGCATGCGCAGCGTTGCAAAACGACGAGTTGTCGGGTAATTGTCAGTTGGCCTCATCTCGAAGTCTTCTGGTCACTTGTCGAGCACCCAGAGTCCAGCAACCATTTGCAGAGGATCAGAGGATTTGAGGGCTAGCCTCGGCTCTTGTGGTACCATTCCTCGGTCGTCACACCCCCACAGCCCACAGCATCCACTACAACGTGCCCGCCGTCCGCCACCGTCCATTCCTGACCTTTCCTCCAGAGTTCATCCGCGGAGTATCCGCTGCCCCACTTTTTTCACTGCCCATCTCTAGATCTCTAGCCACGTCCACCACCACTCGCACACCCGAGTCCCAGGTGCGCCAGGTCTTCAGAGGATCAGAGGGCCTCGCGCGGGGATGTAACCGTCTTTGTGGCGGAGCTCAAACACCATCCAACGCAGCCGCCTCCTGCACGCACACAATAACTACGATGCAGAGCAAAAGAACAGACCCATGGTTTCAGTATCCAGGATGTCACATGAAGCATAAAACACTACCTACCACATCCGTGGTGGTGGACGAAACCAAACAAGAGATGGACGATGTATGCTACCAACCTTTCCAAACGGTACAGTCCCAATTGCCGTCTACAGCTGCTGTCCCGCACGCGCCGACGCGCGACGCTTCAACTGGAGCACGTTCGTCCTTGCCAACTGGGCAACTGGGCAACTGGGCAACTGGGCAACTGGGCAACTGGGCAACTGGGCAACTGGGCAACTGGGTATTTGCCTCCGCACCACACCTCGGCGATCAATTTGGATTGCTGGCGTCCAGCCCCAGGCCCACATGCCGTTAGTTGTCGTCTAGCTCGGTGAGACCGGCTCCTTGCCGATCAGCCGGTGTAAATACTGTACGTCGTCGCAGCCGTCCACCTGCGCCGGCGGGGAGACTACACGGCTGTTCATGGCTATGCGTTAGGCTGTCGTGTCGTCAGCGCAGTGGCCAGTGGCCAGTGGCCAGCAGTGGATCAGTGCAGTGGACACCTCGACACCACCCCCACAGCGCTCCTCCTGACCATGTCCTCGCCGCCCCTACCTAATGACATGTATGCCATGGCCCGCTACATAAATACAACGACGATGCTACTCCACTCGTGCTCTCCTCTTTCCATCATCTGCGACGCCTGTGGGCATTGCTGCCCGCAAGCTGTCCACGCTCCGCTCTTCCCGTGTGCGCACTCGCGGTGTGAGCGGTTTGACGTTGACGGCGTCGACGGTCGGCGACGCGACACCTGCCGACGACGCCGTCGAGAGTGGCCGTGACCGGACCACTGCGGGTGACGGTGCAGACGAGTCGCGTTTGAAGATGCCGCCCACAAACGACTTGATCGAGCGCGAAGACGAGGAAGCAGACGCAGCCTCGTCTGGAGGGTGTGACGGCGCTGCGACGTTGTCGTCGTCTGCTGCTGCTGGCTCGTCCACCTCCATCTCATCACGTTGTCGTCCCCGCCCGCGTTGCTCTTCACCCTCCTCTGAGCCATACTCGGACTCTTCTGCCACGGGCACTGGCGTAGCAGGCTCCGAGTCCTGTACGGGCGCAGGCTTGCCTGCGTCGGGAAATGCACGGAATGGGGACACTTCAGGCTCGGGTGCTTGCACAAAGCCGCCATGGGAGCGGATGAGCGAGGTGTAGTAGCGCTGCAACAGGTCTGCGTTGCACTGGGGACACTGTCAGCCAACGCGCGTGGGACCGCAACAGAAGAAGACTTACACAAAGGGCCCATCCTGTCACCCGCAGAAACTCTCGCTCGAGCGAGTTGAGCTCGTTGACCTTGATACCGCCGACCTTGGCATAGTGTGAGTTTGTGCAAAAGACATCACACTGGGCCTTTGAGCCTGCGGTCACGCCCGCAATGAGGAAACGGTGGACTGTCAAGGACGACAGTGTAAACGTCGGGAGGTTTTGGCATGTCAGGTCGATGTATGCCAGTAGCGAGAGGAGAGGGATTTTCTTAAAGTTGGGGTGAGCATAGGGGCACGGACACCGGGGGACACATTGCAAGGCACTCCTCCTACTACTACTACTCACCTCGAGGTTGGTGTACTTTACTATACGCCGGAGATAGTCGATGACGGTGATGTTTGGCGGTGCGCGCGAGTGGAAGCGCGTGAGAGCGTCCGGCGTGAGCACCACCTGGTCGTTGTGCTGGCAGAGCAAGTCGAGCATGTGGGCTATGAGCTCGACGAGTGTGTCGCAGGGACAGTCGATGAATGCCCATGGGACCTCGGGCTTGTCCGCAGACGAGCCCGTAGGCGAGACCCCGCCGCGCTGGTCGGTCATGGCGTCGGGGGGGAGAGAGGGCGGGGGGTTCACACGGCGGGGACCATGTGTTCGGGGACAAGAGAGAGGAGGGGGTGGGGAGGGTTAGGTGCAAGTTGGATGGTGATATCCAAGTGACGGAGTTGCCAGAGGTGTCAACGACGAGTGGACAGATTTGACAAGGGGAGGATGCGGTTCAAATGCCGGCGCGCGGGCGGGAGCTAGTGATGCTGCCAAGAAGGGGGGGCGGAGGGGCGTGCTGCGTGTGCGCCAGAGTGGAGGGATGCAATGGGATATGCAGTGTGTGGTGGTGGTGGGGGGGGGGGAGTGGAGAAATGCAACTCTTCTTTTGCACTCGGTGTGTGCGTTGTGGTGTTTTTGGTTGGCGTTTGACCGCCGAGAGCGCGGTGGGTTAATGGGTTGTAGCGAGCTAGCGAGACGAGCGGGAGACACGTGCGCTACAACGGGCGGACTGGGTGGGTGGTGGTGTGTACGGTGTGCAAAAGGTTGTGCGCCAGTGGTGTGGGTGTGAGAGCCTCTCCCCCTCTCCCCCGCTCAAGTCCCGTCCTCCCCCGCATTCACCATCTGGCCCACACAGCACGTAACTCCACTTCTGCGCCGCTCTCTCTCTCTCTCTCTCTCCTGTCCGTAATACGTATCTGAGCGGCGTGAAATCCATTTCCTAAAAGCATTCCTTGTGCAATAGCAAGACGGCCGCCTCCCCCACACACGTATCAAAAAGCTGCCTGCTGTGTTTTTTTTTTTTTTGGGCTACAAGACTCTTTCCCCCCCGATGTGAGCGGCTGTCGCTTGTAGAGCTGAGATCGGCGTCCATTGCCGAGCGTCTGCGCCAGGACTTGCTTGGCTGCGCAGCGTGGCCAACGACGACGACGAACAGCGCCATGCCAGCGCCACGGCGTCTGCTCTGCCAGGCAGCCAGGCGGGGCTCATGTGCCAGCTTTTGCCAGGCAGAAACCACCTGGCCGGCGATGCCGGCGTTTTTTGCGTATGCCGCTCGCACCCATCCCGCGGCCAGCAGCCAGCGGCCAGTGCGACCAAGGGTGTCTCTGTACTTTTCCTCGTTTCAATCTCTGGTCAACATACCCATCTCATCCGTCACTCCCCCTCACACGTGAGTACCCAGTCCTTCCCCCATACAACACCTCCTCCTACATCACCTCCTCTCTCGACCCGCCCTACATCTTTTATGATGCTTAATACACTGAAAATTATGAAACCCGGTGGCTTTACCGCGCCGGGTTGACGCTTCAACTTATATCAACACCTGATCCTTTCCTTCTGTCTCCCTCCCTTGCTATACACTTTGTTGCGCAGTGGCTGACAAGAAACACAGACTTGCGCATGCGCTGTACAGTGCTGCTCTGATCGTCAGACGCCGATAGGGTGGGAGCTGGCCTCTCACCTTTTTTTTGTATCTGGTAGACGTGTAACTTTTCCCCGCTAGTTTGTAGCCCCGCGTCATGATTCTTTCAACTCCACTGCTGTGCCTCTCCGTTTCCAGACCCGACGAAGGGAGGAGCATTCCTCGGACGTTGGCCTCCACGCGTCTACGTACTCCACGTCTTGTGAGCAGAGTTGTGCATAGCCTGCGATTAGCGCCTGGGCAACGGCGCCTCTCAGTCTGTCACCTGGGGCGACGCTGGCAACACAACCTGTAGCCACTCCTTCGTTGCTCAGATGTCCATCTGTCGGGCGCCGACGACGTAAGGGCCTTGACTGTCTATAGCTGGGCTATTCCGAACAGTCGAGGGTGCGAGGAAGGAGATGCATGTGGTGGTACTGGCCAGGTAAGCGCCGTGTCGCATGCTGATATGGACTGTACAGTCGGCGGAGTCCGAGGAAACGGGCGACAGGTATAAGGTACCGCGTGGGTCAAGTGACCGGTCGACGCGGGTGGAGGTTGCGGGGCGGATCATCGTCTCGTGAGTGAGCTCTCTCGAGCAGCGACCTCTTGCGTTCACCAGTGGGCAAGTAACACTAACATCGTCCTTGGTTTTTCTTTCTCTCCCACTCTCATACTCAACCCCTCTTCGTCTCGTGCGCGACCACCCGTCAAGCACCACCCACCGCGTGCATAACAGCGCGGCTCCTTCCCGACCAACATATTCCGCTCCCCCAGATTGTCTGCAGCCATGGCTGTCTTGGACGCTCGCGCAAAGCTCACCGCATTGCGCGAGCTCATGCGCGAGCGCAACATTGGCGTCTAGTGAGTTGTAGCAGATGTTGAAGTAACCAACTAACAAACAGTGTCGTCCCCTCTGAGGATGCTCGTGAGTAGCCGATGGTAACTCACACTTGTTCTCACTGCTCACATCAGACTCGTCCGAGTACCTCGCTCCCTGTGACGCCCGCCGCGCGTTCATCACCGAGTTCAACGGCTCGGCTGGCTGTGCGGTGATCACCCAGACTGAGGCCCTTTGCTGGACCGACGGTCGCTACTGGCTGCAGGCTGGCAAGCAGCTCGGCGAAGAGTAAGTGTTTGGGGCTGACGCAGAGACTGACTCGTTTCCCAGCTGGACTCTCATGAAGCAGGGCCTTCCCGAGGTTCCTTCTTGGAACCAGTGGCTCAAGGTGAGCTTGGAAGATGGATGTCAAAAGCTAATGCTCCAGGACCTCGGCCCCACCACCCGCATTGGAATCGACCCGCATGTCATCTCCCAGGCCGAGGCCAAGCCATTGATGGAGGCCATCACCGCCGACTCTACTCGCGCGTTTGTTCCCATCAAGGACAACCTCGTTGACCTTGTGTGGGCAGAGGGACAGCCTGCTCGCCCCGCCCACCCAATCTTCCGCCTCGGTGACGAGTACGCCGGCGAGAGCGTCGGGTCCAAGCTCGCCAACATCCGTGACAAGCTCATCAAGACTGGCTCGCCTGGTACTGTTGTCAGCAACCTTGACGAGGTTGCCTGGCTGTTCAACCTGCGCGGCAGCGACATTCCCTACAACCCCGTGTTCTTTGCGTACGCCATCGTCACCAAGCACGACTGCACCCTCTTCTGCCAGCCGGCGAGCCTCACTCCAGCCGTCCGCGACTACCTCCATGCCAACGATGTCGTTGTCCTCGAGTACTCGCAGGTCTGGGGTGCCCTTGAGAGCTGGCGCGCGCTCCTCAACAACGAGCGTAAGGAGGCCGAGGCCAAGAAGAAGGCCGACGCAGAGGCTGCTGCCGCTGCCGAGCCCAACGAGCAGTCGCCGGCTCCCGTTGCTGTCCCCAAGACGCCGACTCCCGAGCCCAAGCTCGACCCCAAGGAGAACATTGTCAAGACCGACAAGGTCATCATCGGCAACAAGGCCAGCTGGGCCGTGGCCAACGCGCTGGGCGAGGACAACATTGATGTGCGCAGCTCGATGATCGAGGCTGCCAAGGCGAAGAAGAATGCCACGGAGATTGAGGGCTTCCGCCGCTCCCACATCCGTGACGGTGCCGCGCTGTGCCGCTACTTTGCCTGGCTCGAGGAGGTCCTCGGCAAGGGCGAGCAGTGGAACGAGTTTGACGCCGCCACCCAGCTCGAGAACTTCCGTGCCCAGGGCAAGCTGTTCAAGGGCCTCTCGTTTGACACCATCTCGTCCACTGGCGCCAACGCCGCCGTCATCCACTACTCGCCTGCCGAGCAGGGCAGTGCCATTATCGACAAGGACCAGATCTACCTCTGCGACTCGGGCGCTCAGTACATGGACGGCACGACCGACGTGACCCGTACCCTCCACTTTGGCACCCCTACTGCCGAGGAGAAGCGCGCGTTCACCCGTGTGCTCCAGGGCCACATTGCCCTCGACACTCTGGTCTTCCCCTCGGGCACCACCGGTTTTGTCATTGACGCGATCGCCCGTAGCCCCCTCTGGGCCGACGGTCTCGACTACCGCCACGGTACCGGTCACGGAGTGGGCCACTTTTTGAACGTCCACGAGGGCCCCCAGGGTGTCGGTCCCCGCCCGACCTACAACAAGGTCGGCCTCGTCGAGGGCATGGTCATCTCCAACGAGCCCGGATACTACGCCGACGGCAAGTTTGGTATCCGTATTGAGAGCGTCGTGGTCGTCCGCAACGCCCAGACCCTCAACAACTTTGGCGACAAGGGCTACCTCGAGTTTGAAAACTTTACCATGGTGAGTTGATACCGCGTGCTTGCGATGCTAAACTCACTCCCCAGTGCCCCATCCAGACCTCCCTCATTGAGCAGTCGCTCCTGAGCCCGGCCGAGCGCAACTGGATCAACTCGTACCACGCCGAGGTCCAGGGCAAGGTCGAGCTCGAGCTGCGTCAGTACGGCGACGAGCGTGCTCTCGCTTGGCTGCGGCGCGAGTGCGTCCCCATCTAACGGGATGGAGGAAAAATACTGCAGGAGAGGGGGGAAGAAGGAAGGAAGGAAGCCATAAACAGTAATGTAGACCGGCTAGACCGGGAAGCTGACCTGGAGGGAATACGATCTTTGGGCAGTTTTGAAGCGTCTCATGTATGTCATAGGCTATCGAGCGGGATGTCTGTACAGCGGGGCAGCAGAGGGCAAGGCCATTAACGACGATATCGGAGGAAGCTTGCCACTCGTTCCGTGGAACCGGCCGCCCGAGTCTGGGCCGTTGGCGCACGGCAGCGTCGTACTCATTCCAGTCATTTCTTACACATACGCAGACACGTGGGTGTACAGGACACTGCATAGCTGCATGCCGCGTCCTTGTGTCTCAGTGTGAGGAGAGGAATCGAGTGGCACATGGCTGGAGCCCTGCCAAGTGGCACTGCGTACTACCACTGGGGTGTGTGGATCCCCGATTCCTGCAACTCTCTGTCGGTTGGTCACCTCTTGCTGTTGTTGATAGCATTTCATCGTGTTCCTCTCTAGCACCCTTTGGCCCTCGGCCTGGACTTTACCAAGTTCTGTCTGGTAAAAGCCCCAGGCGAGTAGGTGTTGCGAATGAACTCACGCGGTCCCCCGTGCGAGTGCAGGGTTTTGTCCCCCCCCGGCTGCAGCCACCCGTCCACACGTCCACCTGTGGATGGTTCCAGAACCTGAGCGCCGGCTGTGTTATTTCTTGCTCTACCGGAAAGTACCGCATATGGAGTTGACAGGAGTGACAGGAGGGACAGTCTGACCGTGTGTGGCATGTTGCGTCAAAACTGCTGCGGGCTTTGCTATTACGTTGCTACTGCGCGTGTGGTGCACGGATACCTCGTTGACACGCATGTGGCTTTCCAGCCATGCTTCCGCACCATTCTGAACCCCACCGTGTCCACACCCAGCTCCCAGCCACGGCACTGTTCACCATGGTAGCGTGCGACTGTTCCCACCTGGTACACCTTGCTCACGACGTCCACGATCACGCCCTGTGCCGCACGCGCAGAAAAGCCACCACACGGACGCCATGACATGTACATATGCGCACTGACGTGGATGGGGCCGTGGCAGGCCTGACCGGCCCTCCCCCACCCGGAAACGCCTCTAAATTAGGGGGTGTGGCTGTCGGAGATCGCAGGGCCCTCTAAATGCGTCGGATCAACAAGTGCGCGCTCGCGCTCTGTTTGTTCTCCCTGTTCAAGACATCCGACATCCGAATGGACGACCCGAGGGCCGGGTGGCGCCTTTGGTCGAGCGTGGCGTCTCTGGGCATTGTGTCGGTGGCGCCTGGGCCGCCTGGGCCCCTTGAGCACAGTCGTTCTAGTGTGTCGGTTCGTCGGCCCAGCCCCCCCCTGCGCCGTGCACCGCCGTCGGATGCTAGTTTCGCTTGGGGGTCGAATTGTCCAAGTCGTGTGTGGACCGCATGGTCGCGACGGAGAGTCCGAGAGTCCGTTTGTGGGTTTGTGGCGCAGGACAAAGCTGAAGCCCCAGCCAGCAGCCAGGCTGATCGTGGCGCGCCACTCTCCGTGCACGGTTGTGTGGAGTGTCCATCAGAGCGTGATGGGTTCTCAACGACTCAAAACTCACACATGTGCTCATCACTCAGCGGCGCCGGCTTGGCCGCTTCTGTGGTTCTTCTGTGTGCATCTGTCTCACAGAGGCTGTGGGTTCTGAACGTGGCGTCAGAGAGGCAAACAAGTGGCAGTGACGTCAAGCAAAGGCAGTCGAGATTGTTGGTGACAACAACGCAGTTTAGCGCACTGGGACGTCGCAAGAGACCAGCTGCGCCAAAGTAGACGTTTGCACAGAGGACGGTGGTCCGCCTGACGCCAGCCGTGTCAGTGAGCGACTCGCAAAAGGACATGGCGTCAGGGCGGACACGCCAGACAGAGCAGGTCGCGCACCACAAGGCCGTAGACGCGTGTGATGGCGCATTATCAAGGACACGGCCGCAGTGATCAACATAAAAGGGTGACAGTCCAAGTGAGTAGCATGGGTCAGCCACAATAATGCAGTCTATACGTCCATCTAAGTCTTAATCCAGTTCCTCTTCCTCGAGCTCGCAGTGTTCCCGCCACACCTCGACATGGTCGTCGCCTTGCTCTCCTACATCCGCCTTGGCACTCACTCCACCGCCCAGCCCCACAATGACGACCAGAACAATGAACACCACCATGGACCGCCACAGCACGCTCTCGCCCTTGACCTCTTCGTCCAGCCTTCCCTCGTTCATCCTATGGCGCGCGTTCGCGCCCATACCGTGGCCCTCTTTGCGGCCCCACCGCGTCCCAGGCGGCACGCTGCCCGGTCCGCTGCCCATGCCCATGCCGTGTCCGAGGTTACCGTGCTGCCGCTTGGGCCCCGTATAGTGTGCGCCCGGCGGCGGTCGGCCGCCCCATGCGCGATGGGGGCCGGCGGCAGCGCGCGCCTGTGGCGAGTGCGGGTGGAACGACGACGACGACCCGGGCGTGCCCATCCCGCCGCCGCGCTCGCTTGCTGGTCGCGTGCTGCTGTCGTAGGCGGCACGGCTGGCCGCGTCGCCCAGCGTGGCGTACGCGTCGTTGATAACGTGGAACTGTTCTGGAGAGCCGCCGGGTGCATCGGGGTGGTGTTTCTTGGACAACTGGGGCCGGGTCAGTAGAGGGTATGAAGGGAGAGTGGAGACGCTGCGCGGGATGGAGCTGACAGTATATGAAGGCTGCACGCGACCGGTTTGGTCCCGCATGGCCATCTACGAGAAACACACTAGTAGCGTGTAGGCAAAGTACGCGCCGTAAAGAAACGCGCATGGTGTGTTTCCGGCCATCCCGTGAAACACACCCAGGTGATCAGGAGATCAGGACAACGTTTTGCCATGGGCCATAGTGTGTTTTCGGGCAACAGCAGCCAAGCGGCAAAATACCGGTAACGCAGTGTGATATATCGAAGTTTGGCACGACGGCAGGAAAATGTCTCGTAGTGGGTTTCTCGGCGCGCCGAGAAACCCATACAGATGGCAATTGCCGCGCCACTGTGGTGGTGACTATGCGTTATGCCGCCGCCGCCAGACGTTCCATCGCGCGCGCGCGCGCGCGCCATCGTAGGAAACCAATGACCAATGGTGTTGTGCCGATGGATCCGCATGTCGAGCCCAGGTACCCATGCAACGTGCATGTAGGCCGAGGGTGCCTCTCAGCGGCCACGACAGTTCCACCCTCCAGCCAGACCCCAAGACACCAAGACACCAACACACCAACACACTAAACCGCCCACGTACGTCTCCCACTCACCTCGTAAAACCTCGCCTTGATCTGCTGCTTTGACGCGTTCCGCGGGAGCTTGAGGGCGCCATAGTGGTCGACGTGCCGCGCAAAGAGGCGCGGACAGGTGGAAAAGGGTGCTGCTCGTGTGCTGCCTGTGCTGCTGCTTCCCAGCATGGGTGTGCGGAAGCGCACGCGGCAAGCGGTCGTGGCGGCGGGGCACGGTGGGACGGCGCGATACCGTGATGGACCCGCCAGCGCGCATGGTCGGAGTGTTGGTGGGCGCATGTGGGTGGTGGTGTAGAAATGTGGTGGTGGTATGGACGAGGAAGTTTCAGTAGAGATGCGTTATTGTCGAGAGATGTCGGCGCTCACCATTTCCAGGCACGCGTACCTCCACCCACAACCGGCTCGCTCCGTCGGCCGACATCCATCATCGTGTGACACGCTAGTCATAATGTTCACGCACCAGACTCGCTCGATACAGTGATTCATTGCATTTTACCATCGTCACTCTCTCACTATCTCTAGATCCGGGGGGAGGGGTCACCGACACGTCGCGATACCCCACGCTCTCTCGCTCTCTCTGTCTCTGTCTCTGTCTGTGTCTCTGTCTCTCTGTCTCTCTGTCTCTCTCTCTCTCTTTCTGATTAACTCATGTCAAGTACGCTTCGCCAACGCGTTCACTCCTTCTCCTTCTCGGCGTCGGCCATCTCGACATCTTCTTGTTCCTGCTCCTTCTCTGGGGCAGGCGCGGCGGAGGCTGACGCGGCCGATGCCGATGCCTTGCCGCTCTTGTCGCTGGCAGTGCTCAGAGGCGCCTTGGGCGATGCCGACGGACGCTCACGCTCACGCTCGGCGGCGCGCTCGGGCGACTTGGTAGCCGACGTGGCCGCCTCGGGGGACCGCGGCGAGGGCTTGGTCGTTGGGCGCGCGGGCGACTTTGGCGACGCAGATTTGGACGCAGGGTGCATGGGCGCATCTGGGGAACGGGGAGGGGGTGACTTGGCGCTGTGGGGCCGCATCGAGTCGTTGGCAGAGTGCATGCGGGGCGCATTGAGAACCTCAATCTGGCGACGCTCTGGGCCGGGATGGTTGAGAACCTCAATGACAGTGGTGCGCTTCGCGGGGCTGGTCACGGGCGGCGAGGCGCGCGACTTTTTCTCCGTGTTGGGGCGCGAGAGCTCGGGTGAAGGAGGAGTCGCGCGCTTTGTGCCGGCCACAGAGCTGGGAGGCGAAGTCTTGTCAAGAGTGGGAGCAGCAGTGCCAGATGGGAACGATGTCGACGCTCGGCGGTCAGAGTGGAGGAACATGAGAGCGTCCACACCCTCGTCGTAATCTTCATCCACAGTGCGGCTCGGGGGCGCCTGGCGAGGAGTCGAAGCCTGTTGGGATGGCGCAGGCGACGCGGCAGTGCGAGGAGACGACGTGCCGTCGCCGTTCAAGCGCTTGTCCTTTTTGAGATCGCCCTTCTTGGCAGGAGGAGGCAGTTGCTGCGGTTGTTGGGGCGGTGGCGCCTTGCGCTTTTCATTGTCCGAGGCCTTGCGCTTCACAGAAGCCTTGGAGCTCGTCGACGCCGCGGGACTCGGCGCACGCCTGTCGGGAGGGAGTTCGCGGGACAGAGACATGCCGCGGCCGTTCATCGGGTGGTCCATGCGGGGCTTCATCTCCTCCTGGTACCGCTCGTCGCGACGAGGGTCGTAGGGGGGTGGGTATGGAGCCGCAGGGCCGCGCATATGATGCTGCTGTTGCTGTTGCTGTTGCTGCTGTTGTTGCTGCTGTTGCTGCTGCTGCTGCTGCTCGTAGCTCGGGTACGGGTAGCCCTCTGGAGGACCACGCTGGAACTCGCGGGGGTCGCGGGGGTCGGGTCTAACCTCTCGGGGATCGCCGTGCGGGTCGCGGGGGTCGCGCATTTCACGGGGGTCGCGCATGTCACGAGGGTCGCGCATGTCACGAGGATCACGAAGGTCTCCCGACGGCATACGGTGCATTGGCGCGCGCGGGTCCTGACCGGGGTGGCCACGCTCCGGGAGGCGAGGCGACGGCTGGCGGGGATCGTGCTGGGGCTGCATGGTGCGAGGGTCCCGAGGGTCCCGAGGATCACCACCGCCGCGGCGCTCCCACTCTTCGCGCTCGCGATAGCCTGGGTGAGGGGGAGGATAACCCGGGTAAGGCTGAGGCGGGCCAGGCTCGGGGCCGGGGCCGGGTCCGGGTCCACCGCGACGGCGAGGAGAACCAGGCGACTGGTGACGGCGGGCAGCGGCCTCGTGAGCTGGGTCGTAGCGAGCACCCATGGGAGGGCCACCACCGTTGTATGCGGGGCCTGGGCCATCGCGGTACGAGTCACGAAGGTCGCGAGGCTCGGGTCTGTCCGTGTCGATCGGTGCCAGGCGTGCAAGACCCGACATTGCGCCGCGCGACTCGTCGACCTGATTGAGGGGCGGCGGCACGGCACCGCGGAAGGGTCCACCTGCGCCGGGAGAGTGTGGCCTGGCAAACTCTGCAGGTGGCGCAGGCAAGTCGCGAGTTCCAGGCTCGGCAATCTGGCGGTCCGGTCCACCTCCAATGGGCCCAGGGGGAGGTGGAGGGCCCATGCGAGGCGAGTCTCCGGGGCTGCCATTGGCGCCGTACTGGCCACCGCCGGGCTGTACCGTGTACTGCGAGGGGTGAACGTCGATGGGCACAGGAGGAGGGGGCAGCTGCTGGTTTCCGCCGTGCTGGAGAAGCTGGAGGCGATGCTTGATGATTTGGTTTTGGGGGTCAAGCTCGGCGGCACGCGAGTACGCGTCAATGGCGTCGGTAATCTGGTTGTTGCACGACTCGTAAAGGCTGCCAAGGTTGGACCACACCTCGGAGATGTAAGGGTTGATGCGAATGGCGCGCGAGTAGGCATCCAGGGCGTCACGGTACTGGTTGATCTGGAAGTAGAGCACACCAATGGAGCACCAGAACGTGGGGTTGCGACCGTCACGGTACACTGCCTGCTGGTACGCCTCGTACGCCTTGTTGAAGCGGTTACCAGCCATAAACGCACGGCCAAGCAGGTACCAGCTCTGGGCGTCGTTGCCATCGGTCTCGAGACTCTTGGTGAGGTATGCGACACCTTGGTCCTGGTTGGCAAACGGAGCCGCCGGCTGGGTGTACAGCCAACCAAGCTGCTGGAGGACCTTTGCGTGGTCGGGCTGGTGGCCCAGAACACGCATGTAGGCGTCACGCGCAGACTCATAGTCCGAGTCGAGCTCAAAGACGTGACCAAGCTGGAACCAAATATCCCACGACGTCAATGGGCGCGGAGGATTGTTGATAATGTACTTGAAGCACTGGAAGACAATGTCAGCGGTAGGCAAGGTAACGAACGCGCGCTACTTACGTCAAGCGATGCCGCATACTTGCGCTGATGTTTGTAGATGATACCCAGGCGGAAGTAGATCTCGTTTGCCTTCTCAAAGCCTTTGTGTGTCAGCCTCGTGTTCGTCTGAGAAACGGGAAGCGAGAGGTGGCCCTCTGGCCCTCTGGACTCACTAGGGTCCATTTTAAGCACGCTTGAGAATGCCTCCTCGGCATGCTCAAACGAGCCGTAACGGTCGTAAAGGATGCCGATGCCGTACCAGAGCTTGGGCTCTTTTGGGTTGGGAAGGTAGTGCAGGCCTGCTGGTAGGCGGTGTACGCCTTGGGGAGGTCGTCCTTCATCAACAGGCAGTGACCCATGGATCCCCAGACCTCGCCATTGTCCTGCTTGATGTTGAGGATGCGCTGAAAGTACTCGATGGCCTTGTCAAACTGGTCCCTGCTGCGGGCGATCGAGGCCACCGCGTTGAGACCCAGGACCGAGTTGGGGTTGTGGCGTAGCGCATTCTCAAACGCGGCCAGCGCGCGGTCCTGGTCGTTCATCTGCTCAGACACAGCACCTGCGCACAAGAGTCAGCAAACGCCGCCCGTGGTCCTGCACACGCCGCGCGCACGCCCTCGCTCGTCCTTGTACTTACCGATCAACATCCAGGTGTTCTCGTTGGCCGCAGCCAACTGCTGAAGAACGTTGTCCTGCTTCTCCTTGCCTGCTCTCGCCGCTGGGCTCAACCCAGGAGGGCCAGGTGTGCCGTGGCTGTGGCCGTTGGACACGGGAGCTGGAGGAGGCGGGACGGCCTCTGGAGGGGGCACGGACATGGGCATGGAGGGTGGGCCGCCTACAGGCATGGGCGGACCGGGGGGACCTCCGACAGGCATAGGAGGGGGAGGGGGTCCGTTAGACCTGGACGGGTGGTGGTGGTGCATCCCGGGATGCGATGGCTGGGAGCCATAGCCAGGGGGTGGGTAGTTGGCTGGGTGATGGGACATGCGCGAGTCGGCAGGCATGGCTAAAGAATGAATGTCAGTTGCTACTCTCGAGGCAATGACGAGTATGTTGCGTGGGGGCGTGGCTGTAGTGCACAATGCGTTGTGACTGCCTCCCCCGGGACCAATGTGCTCACAACAACCTCGGCAACGACGAGGTGCGGGGGTGGATGGTATAGGAATGGCAGCAGGTGCGCGCTGTGGATGTTTGTCTCCAGAGTCGAGCCCAAGCAGCGCGCGGTGTGCGGGGGGCGCCCAGTTGCACGAGTGCGTGCGAACGGTGGCCAAACAGGGCGAGCGAGGGAAGCAAAGCGCCCGGGGAGGAACAAGTGGTGTAGGGCAAATGGGAAGGAAAAGAACAACTCACCTGCAGATAGATGCCGGCCAGCGGGCTGCTTGCGCGATGAGGCCTTGTAGAGGCTCTAGGGGGATAGGGTACGAGGAGCGGTGGGGAGGGAGTGTGGTGGATGCCGACTGGATGGATGATGGGGGGTGATGGGGGTGATGGATGGTGCAGTGGGTGTTGTGTCGGAGAGTAGTGATTGATGGATTGGATGGGAGTGATGGACTCGGAAGCGCGGCGAGGGAGATGTGGGATTGTAGAGAGGGGAGAGGGGGGGAGGGATCTGTGCGTGTTGGCAAGTGGGGCGGGGGGAGGGGGGCGCAAGGAAGGAAGAGAGGACGAGGGATTGTGTGGAACGGAGCAAAGGCCCCTTTGCCAAGGAACGAGACGAGAGACGCCCGCAGCGGCGAGGTGCGCCAGAGAGGGGAGCCGAGCCAGCTGCTGGCGCGCGCACACACTGATTGCCGTGGCGGCCGGGCTGGCTGGGCTGGCTGGCTGGGCTGGCTGGCTGGCTGCCTGTGCGTCCGTCCGTCCGTCGTCGTCGCGACTCTCGTTTGCTAATCCACTCTCTCTCTGATTCTGATCATTACTTACCTGTTCAAGGATGATCGCTTTTCCTCAACTTGCGCGCGCGCACTCAGCACTGGACTCGAGATAGATGCAGTGCAAAAAGGCGAGGTCGCTGGGCAGATGCGATGAACGGCCCAAGTATTAGGTGTTGTGGGGGTGGGGTGTGGTGTGGTGTGTGATGTGGGTGTTGGTTGGTTGAAGCACAACACCGACGCACAGGTGCAGGCAGTCCGTGTCCCGGGTGTGTCGTCGCAGCTGAGCGCGAGAGAGAAAGGGGGCTGACGCCGGGGCGTTGGACGCAGTAAGGGGGAGCCCGTGCACAGAGAGACGTGTATATGTGGGTGGGGTTTCGCGGTCGGCTTGTCGGAGGCAACGACTAAACGAGACAGACAATGCCCGAAAGGCAGTGTTTTTCGTGTGTGTGTGTTTCCTTTTCAAAGCGAGGACAACCACGTCGAGGCGTGGCCGTATCTTCTGTTGGGAGGATTAACGTGGGGGCGCGCTCTGTCAAGTGGGGCGGCGCAGGGGCGGCGGGGCGGGCCACGTTAGAAGGAAGACAAGAAAGGAAGGCCAGGAAGCCCGCGGGGGGATAGTCGCGCGATGTACCGATGTGGGATTGTCACTTGGTCGCTCTCCAGCGCGACAGCAGCGGAATGTGGGTGATGTGTGGATGGATGACCGAGGTGGTGGCCAAGTGGTATGGGGATGGGGGACAGAGGAGGAGGGGGGGGGAGTGGATGGGGGATTGAGTAACGGAATGGAAGGGAGAGAGTTGGGGGGAAAGAGGAGGGGGTGTGGAAGAGAGAGAGAAACCGAAGCGCTCAGGCTGTGACGGCTGCAGACAGGCCCACACAGGTCTCTAGGATCTCTAGCGTTCCACAGCCGAGACGTTGCGGGGACAGGAGCGAGAGGGAAGAGAATATAGGGTGGGCCATCGGTTGCGGACCCATAAGAGAGAGACTGGGAGAGAGCTCGGACCTGACGCGGGGGGGGGGGGAGGCGGCCGGCGCGCGGGGGGGGGGGGGAGGAGGTTGCCTGCTGGAGCGTGCGTGCGTGCGTGCGTGTGGGCGTGCGTGTGCGGGTTACATCTCTGTGTGTATGGACTCTCTGTTGGTCTGTCCCTGGCGAAATGGCGCTCGATTCGGCTGACGCCGCCCACAAGCCCCACCCTGAGCGTGCGGTGTCTCTCTCTCTCTCGGCAGCGGCACAAAGTGGCGGCCCTAGCTCTGGCGCGCTGGAGCCGTTGTGACCCCCGCCCCGCCCGTGGATCTCTCCTAGGCCCGGCGGGTCGGGAATGTGGGTGTGTGGATACAATATATAATATACCCAAAACAGACACGCACCACCCCGGCCACCCCCCTCCTCGTAACATACCGGGATTCTGTACACCGTACATGACCACTTGCCCCCTGTCTTCCTCCAGGGCCACCCCCGTCTGGCCCGTCGTTGTGCTCCAATTCCATGTAGACCTCACACCCCATCTCGGGACCGGATTGACCAGGAGCATGTATGTACTCGTGTGGTGTGCTTATTGGCGGCAACGGTCATGATGACGAGGTTGGGTCAGCATACCCCCCGGCGAGACGCTCATATGGACGACGCCATGGATGTCCTTCTTTCCTTCCTTTCCATCACACCACCCAGCGTGCGTTGTTGCGGCAACGTGTGCGCGCGTGTGCCAGCCATGCAGTCACCCTGATGATCCAGGACGGAGAGGACGCCACCAACGCCATGGGCGTGGGGGGCGTCGCACGTCTCACGTCGCATGTCTCTGTGTGTTTGAATCTGCGCTTTTTTTAATACTCCGACAGAGTGGTCCCTGGCTGCCCTCCGACCGCCCGCGTCCAGGTCCCGTCCACGGGTGGTGGTCCTGGCCTGGCCCCCACCCCCCCCGGTCGTGTGTGTGGTGGTGGTGGGTGGGGTGGATGTTGTGCCTCTTGTCGTGTCAGCCAAAACTGCCACAGCAAGCGCCAGACACCGGCATCGTCACCGGCTTCCGTCGATCACAAAAGGGGCGGGAACGATACAGCACACACACACCACGCCCCACGCAAGCCCCCCACCCGCGCGCCCCGACACGCGGATCACACTCTGTACACTTAGCCTAATGGAAACCCCGAGATAATGGTGGGAAAAAAAAAAAAGCAAAGCGCACATTCAAACAATATTGCGGTGCTTTTGGCTGGGCACACCGTCCGTCTGGGTGTGCAATAAAACGAATAGGTACTGTAGCCTGTAGACTGTAGCCTGTAGCCTGTAGCCTGTAGCCTGTAGCCTGTAGCCTGTAGCCTGTAGCCTGTAGCCTGTAGCCTGTAGCCTGTAGCCTGTGGCCTGTGGCCTGTGGACTAAACAGGCACGCCGAAACACCACCACGGTACATATACATAGGTCTTGGCACGTCTTTCCTTTGCGTCATCACCAATGTCCACTGGGTCACGGGGCGGGCGGGGGGGGGGGGGGGCGATCCCATCGCGGATCCCACTGACAGACCCTACGCACCAGGTTGGCCTGCATGCATACGTGAGGGAATAAAACACCCATGCAAACAAATCACATGGGCCTCGGGGTGGTGCTGCGGCTACATGGAGAAAGGCATCCCCGCCCACAGTAACACAGTGTACAGCGTACGGTGCACTGTTCGGCCCAGCTCGTGCTTTTTAGCACCCGCCTGCACGCCCCAGGTCCCGTTGAAACGGCCCTGGGGGAGCGGCTGGAGCGGACACGAGGGTGACCAACATTCCTTGGCATGGCGCTGGGCGCTGGCCCCGCCGCCGCGCCTCTGCTGTTTGTGTGTTTTTGATCACAGTTGTCGTGCGTAGTCCCCACGTCCCCACCCGACGCCACCATGTGCCACGACTTCTGGTCTCTCGGTGGCTTCTCTCTCCCCGGCGCTCCGAATTGATGGGTTTCGGGCTGCGTTGAGCCGAGCGACAAGAGCGCACGCACCACAGCAACACCCACATGCCACAACCAACACACCCGGGCACACCCACAACCCCAATCTGCTTCCCATGGCACGCCCGCCCGCACGCCCGTGCCGTCATGCCGTCATTGCAGAGTGAGCACAAAGAATGGGCCAAAACCTGGGGTCCCCACATCGATCTCTTTCTCCGGATCCAACGGAACTTTCCTGGCACAGCAGCCCCAGACGCGGCGCCAGACGCCAAGACCCAGGCTCCTCCATATCTCCATTACGCCATCCACCCAGTTCCTACCACCATATACACAACACAAATGGCCGCCCCACCCTCCCTCCTCCCGTTTGTCCTCAACGCTGACAACTTTCCTCACCACACGGGTACATACCCTACCCACCACCCAGAGACCAACGAGCACTACACGCCGTTTCACGTCGCTGCAGCCGACCATGCCGCCAAGCTCTACCCAGTCGGCCTGCTTCGCCCGGCCGTCCTCATCGCTCTCGTCGTCGAGGAAGGCGCCGAGGGACCGTACGAGTTTGTGCGTGACCCCAAGACACAGGATATCGAGTGTGTCGCGTTCACAGCCGCGGTGCTGGCCCAGGGCCACGAGGCCATGAACGCCGCCATCGCCGCGACAGCGGCGCGATGGAAGCAAGCGGGCAAGTTCCCCGAGGCTCTTGATGGTGCGTTGTCTTTGTATCTCACACCCGCTCTCGCCGCTGATGGATTTCTTAAAGGCTGGCGTAACGAGCTGTACGCCATCTATGCCTCGCCCAAGTCGGCCGCCCTCACAAATGCACCCCGCGCTCCCTTTGGCAACCTTGTGTTCGGGTGTGAGCGCGCTGCCTGTGCCGTGTTTGGCTTTGCGACCTTTGGCGTCCACATGACTGGTAAGTGTAACCAACTGCCCGAGGGGGGGGGGGGCACAGCTTACACGTCTCCACAGCGTACGAGGGAGAAGGGCAGGACATGAAGATCTGGGTGCCCCGTCGCAGCCCGACCAAAGCGACCTGGCCTGGCATGCTGGACAATGTAAGCTATGATTGCCCCAGGCGAAATCGAGCTCACGACAGTCCGTCGCTGGGGGTATCGAGATGGGCTACACGCCCTTCAACACCATTGTCAAGGAGTGCGATGAAGAGGCGTCTCTCCCTGCAGATTTTGTCAAGAAGCGCTTGAGGTGAGCCTGTTGTCTTTGCGGAGGGTTCAGCACCAACAGTCCAGGAACGCCGGTGTCACGACCTACTTTTACATCACCTCGGCCGGGTTCCTGCAGCCAGGTAAGCTCAGTCTCTTGTACCAGCTCAGCTAACATGTTCTCAGAGATCGAGTGAGCCCCACACCACATGGAGTTCCCACTGACGTCAAGGTACATCTACGACCTGCCCCTGCCCCCTCGCGACTCGGCAGAGTACGTCCTCCCCCGGCCCCACGACGACGAGGTCGAGTCCTTCGAGGTAAGTTGTCCATAAACTCGCTACAAGGCGCTTCTGTTGACCACTTTGCCCCAGCTCAAGACTGTCCCCGAGACAATCGCCGCACTCCAGGCCGGCGAGTTCAAGCCCAACTGCGGCCTCATCCTCGTCGACTTTCTCATGCGCCACGGCCTCGTCACCCCCGAGACGGAGCAAAACTACCTCGAGATCAGCTGGCACATGCACCGCCGTATCGGCGTCGGGTGCCCCGCCTAATGGACAGGTTGGACATTGTGCAGATAAAGGAGGGCTGGGGGGTATACATGCAGGGGTTACAAGATATATATATATTGGCCCCAGAAAGGCCATTGTTTTCCAAATATGTGGTGTGGTGCGGTGTGTAAAACTAGGCCTTCTGCGGCTGCTGCTGCTGCTCCTGGAGCTTCATCTGCATGACCTGCACGACGCTCTGGGCGTTCTCCTGCTTGCGCTCGATCGTCTTCTGGAGCGTGTCCAGGTTCTGCTGCACAAAGTCGGCCTTGGTCTTGTAGTGCGAGTTGGCCTCTGCCCGGGTCTGCAGAAAACAAAAACGCGCGTCAGCGCGTGGCCTTTGGGGGAAGACAGCAGCTCCCAGCTCACCTTCTTGACGTAGTAGCCCGTGCCGACGTCGACGATGACGTTGCTCACGTCGCCCAGGTTGCCGGGGACGTACAGCGACGAGGTGAGCGGGATGAGCACCTCCTTGTCTGGACGAGCGTCAGGAACAGAACAGCCGAGAGATAAAGGGTCGACGTACCGGTCGTCGCGGGAGTGAGCTCATCAATGTCCGACATGCACGAGCGGAACTTGGCCTGCGCCTGCTTGAGCTGGCCAAACGAGTTGGTCAGGTGGTCGAGCTCCTGCAAGATGGGTGAGTATCGTGTGCGCACCGGCTGTGCCATTCACAACGCACCTCGTCGAGCTGCTTCTTGACCTCCTGCAGCTGCTGCGGGTCAAGGTCGGTAATCTGGACCTGCTGCTCGGCCATGTTTTGAGTCTGGGTTGGAGCTGTGTTGTTGGAGAAGGTTGGCTTGTCGTCTGGAGCGACGGCGATCAAGCTAGAACGTCGAGCGCGACGGAGGTGCGCGACAGTGATAACGGAAAGATCCAATGACGTGTAGTTTTTGTCTACGCGCCGATCCGGACCTCCACTTTAACTCGACACAACCGTCATCCGCGAGCCGATATACCTCTGTGTATGCAGTTGGCTGTGCTCCCCTTCTCTCACAGCTACCCACACCCCATTTGCCACCCATGAAGCTCGTCACTGTCGCGACCTGCCAGCTCAGGCAGTGGGCCCTCGACTTTAAGGGCAACTATGAGCGTATCCTCGCGTCTATCGCAATCGCCAAATCAAAGGGCGCGACGCTGCGTGTCGGTCCCGAGCTCGAGATTCCCGGCTATGGCTGTCTCGACCACTTTCTCGAGGGTGCGTTAATAGATCAACTAGGCACATTCTAACGCTCCAGGCGATGTAGTCCTCCACTCGTGGGAGATCCTCGCCCAGATCCTGAAGAGCGAGGAGGCCCAAGGCATCGTGTGTGACATTGGCATGTGAGTAGCACCCTACAGTGGTGGGGGAAGACAGATGTGCTCACGCGACAACCCCAGGCCCATCGTGCACAAGAACGCCAACTACAACTGCCGTGTTATCATCTACAACGGCAAGATTGTGCTCATCAGGCCCAAGATGTGGATGGCCAACGACGGCAACTACGTGAGAGCCAACAACACTATCAATTGAGTATTGACATGTGTTTCCATTTCAGCGTGAACTGCGCCACTTTACTCCTTGGGACAAGCACCGTACTACCGAGGAGCACTCGCTCCCCGATATCATCTCGAACGTTACCGGACAGGTGAGCTTGCACTTCTTCGCTTTAGCTGACAGTCTCAGCACTATGTTCCCTTTGGCGACGCCGTGGTGACCACGCGCGACACCTGTATCGGCGTCGAGCTCTGCGAGGAGCTCTTCACCCCCAACTCACCCCACATTGGCATGGGCCTCGACGGTGTGGAGATCTTCACCAACTCGTCGGCGAGCCACCACGAGCTGCGCAAGCTCAACCGCCGCGTAGAGCTCATCAAGGAGGCCACCATGAAGGTGCGTTGGTGCTGACTTCCTGATGGCTAACGCTCAGCTCGGTGGCGTCTACCTTTATGCCAACCAGCAGGGCTGTGACGGTGACCGCCTGTACTATGACGGCGCGTGCATGATTGCCATGAACGGCCAGATCCTCGCGCGCGGAACCCAATTCTCGCTCAACGACGTCGAGGTCGTCACTGCCACTGTGGACCTCGAGGCCGTGCGCGCCCACCGCAAGAGCTCGAGCCGTAGCCACCAGGCCGCGCAGAGCCCACCGTACGAGCGTCTCCGTATTGACATGCGTCTCGACGGCGGTCTCGGCATCCGCGTTGGCGAGGACGAGACCTCGGAGAAGGGCATGACTTACCACACCCCCGAGGAGGAGATTGCTCTGGGCCCAGCCTGTTGGCTCTGGGACTACCTCCGCCGCTCGCGCACCCAGGGCTACTTCCTCCCCCTGTCTGGTGGTATCGACTCGTGCGCTACTGCCGCTATTGTTCACTCGATGTGCCGTCTTGTTGCCAAGGCTGCCTCGGAGGGAAGTGAGTTGGCTGAAACCCGTATAAGCTCACAAACTAGACAAACAGGTTATCGACGACGCGCGCCGCATGACTGGCGAGCCCGACGACTCGTCCTACCTCCCGACCGACCCCAGGGAATTTGCAAACCGCATCTTCCACACTTGTTACATGGGCACTGAGAACTCGTCCGCCGAGACGCGCAAGCGCGCCAAGGACCTCGCCGAGGCCATTGGCGCGTACCACGTCGACTTGAACATGGACACTGCCGTCAGCGCCGTCAAGGGCATCTTTTCGTTCATCACAGGCCGTACCCCGCAGTTCAAGGTCCACGGCGGCTCCAATGCCGAAAACCTCGCCCTGCAAAACATCCAGGCGCGTCTGCGCATGGTCGTCGGATACATGTTTGCCCAGCTCCTCCCCTGGGCGCGCGGCAAGACTGGCGGTCTCCTTGTTCTTGGCAGTGCCAACGTCGACGAGAGTCTGCGTGGTTACCTGACCAAGTATGAGTGAGTTGTTATGCGTTTGAAATAGCCAACTCACAAAAAACAGCTGCTCATCTGCCGACGTCAACCCCATCGGCGGCATCTCCAAGACCGATCTCAAGCGCTTCATCGCGTACGCCGAGGTCGAGTTTGACATGCCGATCCTGAGGAGGTGGGTACCAGCTGCTTGACGATAACTCACCCACCAGCTTCCTCGACGCCGTCCCGTCGGCCGAGCTCATCCCCATTGAAAACGACAGCGTGCAGTCTGACGAGGTCGAGATGGGCATGACGTACGACGAGCTCAGCGTATTTGGCCGCCTCCGCAAGGTCGACAAGTGCGGTCCTTTCAGCATGTATGAGAACCTCGTGCAGAAGTGGGGCACGTTCCTCTCCCCGACCGAGATTGCCGAAAAGGTCAAGTTCTTCTGGTTCATGCACGCCATCAACCGCCACAAGATGTGAGTTTGGCTCGCACCGTTTTTCTTGCCCCTGGCTGACCGTCAAGGACCACCCTCACGCCCTCGGTGCACATGGAGAGCTATTCGCCCGACGACAACCGTGGGTACTCATGCAACAAGGTGCTAGACTGACCCACCCCGCAGGCTTTGACCTCCGCCCGTTCCTCTACCCGTCGCGCTTTGAGCACCAGTTCGCCAAGATTGACGGCCTGGCTGCGCAGCTCCCGGACCGCGCGGCCAAGGGCGACAAGGCCAAGGTCGATTAGAAAAGACACACACACACGTAGACCTCACCATACGATGGGGTGTAGACCTTTGCAGGATGAACAGCTAGCTGCAGTACATAGTCGTCGGGGTTCGTTCAGGGGGAGTTCTTTGCGGGGAGGGGGGGGATGCGATGATGTTGTGTACTGCTCCAGATGTTGTGGTCGGGCTTGACTGTGGCGTTTGACTTTGACAGGAGGGAGAGATGACGCACATGCGAGGACGGTTTTCTGTACCAGTCTGCATAGTCGAGCAATTTCTCATATATATTTTTATATTGACATACTGAACATGTGGTATATCCTCAGACCGAACGGACCTTGCCACTTGGGCATACCCGGACATCAGGCGTTGCTGAAAGGCTTTATAAGAGTATAGTGAACTGTCCAACCTGGCGAGGTTCGCATAGTCATGTTATGCGCATTTGTAGTTGCCGGTGGCAGACGGGCAGGAAGGTCGGAAAAATGACAACAAATGGTCAGCAAATGCAGGCTTGCTGCATACAACCACGAAGGCAACTGCTACAACACCACTTTCAGTGGGGACAGGATAACAGATCGAAAGAGGTTTAAAATGCACCATTGGCCAAAGTGGAGGGCCCGGAAGTGACGGAGGAGGACGCAAAAGACATGATGCCCTCACGCGAGGACGATGCCACTCATGTTTGAGATCCTGTAACTACAGAGTTATACCTCGGCGCCTCTTCACCTCCGCGGTCTCCATATCGTCCGACCCCTTTCACATGTACATTATTGACCTACAAGAGGCATGGTGCAGCGCAGAGGACGGACACGACAAGTCCAGACGAGCGAGGACAGCTCGCCTCCACTCGACGTGTCGAGAAACAGCACCGTCGTCTACCCTATGGCTCAGTTGGTTAGCGCGTGGAGCTGTTATCTTCAACATACTCCGAGGTCCCAGGTTCGAGCCCTGGTGGGGTAGTACACTCTTCTTTTGCATCCCCTGGAGCTTCTTTTGGGGGTTGGGAGTGGTGTTGGACGATGCAGAGGGATAGAGACGACAGAGAAGACCGGTCGGAGGATTGTCGCGGCTCGTTTTGTGGCGGGTAATGTACATTGCCACACTTTACGTCTGGCCTGTACGAGCCCATGTTGTGCCCCCCGTGTGGTCTCATTTGTATGGGTTTCCTTCAGTTTGATGGGGCAGCTCGGGATCTTCAGTTGCCCTGCCTTTGCCTGCCTAGAAGGACAGGCCGCGAGTCTAGAGCCGGTACCTTCTCCAACAGCTGGGCTACGCCACATTGCCTTCCTCTCCACCGCTCTGCTCTTCCCGCACCTTCGCCGGCAAAGGTAAAAGGGGGAAAACTCTCTGCTCATGCAGCATGGACAACGTGGAACCAGAAGGTCGTGGTTGCAGTGGTTGAGAGCGGCAAGCCCACCTGCCACATTCACGTGTGGTGCCACCAGGCTGTTCCGCCAACAGCCCGAGATCCACAGCGGCATGTCCCCAACTCCGTCGCCGTCCAGCAACGCAGCAACCCTTCCAAGACGCGTGTAGATGCCGTTGCCGCAGCCGCAAACTGGACGCAGACGCGTCTCGTCAGGACCCTGTATGTACATGACTGAACCCCCGTAGCTGTGAGGGGCCCGGATACCCGTTGACGCATCCCTGGGCTCACACCTCCTGCGACCACGGGACTGCGCCACATGTCGACCGAATCCCTGCATCGCGTCTCGCACCCCTCGTTTTCGCGCTGCAGCGTCATGTAGGGGAACCCACCGCGTTGCTAATGCTCTGACACTCTGGGAGCCTGTGTATTGCATGTGCAGCAGTTTGGTGCGCGTGGCCAGACTGCGCGCGGTCATAGCGGCGTCTAACCATTGCGGTGTCGTTTGTCCACCTGCCACCGGGCGATGGCTTGACCCCGCCAGCTGACCTCCCGCTCCCACGAGCAGCGACATTCATGACGCAGGGAACTGCACCGCGACGCGCTCTAAGACACCCACAGGCCTGACCGGGTCGGGTCGCATGCACCTGGCCACGTAGGACGTGGGACGCGTCGCAGGATCCCGTAAAACCCCTCCTTCCCCCCGCCCAGACCGTTGCCTACGCCACGCGGACAACACCCTCGACCAGCCTCCAGACATGACATGGCAGTTCTGGCTTCCTGCACCTCCATGGGTCCACCGTGCCCGCGAGAAGAACCCTCGACCAGCCTCCCGAGATGACAAGGCGCGCGTGTCCCCCACCTCATTGCTCTAGCCACAGACCCGGTGTGTCCGAGCTCGAGCTCGCAGAACTTTGTGGCCTCGGTTCCCTTGACCAGCCTCCGCAGATGACATTTTTGATCCCCCCCCCCCCTTCCCCGCCGGCGTGGCCGTGGCCCTCGTTTCTGCCCCTGACCTGCGCCCGGAGATCCAGAGATGACTGGACTGCATTGTTGGATGACTGGACGTCGGTGGACTCTTCCGCGGATGACTGTGCCGCGCTGGTCATGATTAGTCAGACGGTCAGAGGCAGGTGGTTATGCGACGACTCGTGGCGATGTTCCTGTCCAACGTCGTGTGCTTGCTTGAAGCAGGTGACGTCGCTCGTTCCAAGCTGGGCCCATGTCGTGGTCCCGCTTCTCCTCTGCCTAATCTTATCGCCTGCTGCTCGGTGTCCATGCAGCTGTGTTGGGGAAGAAAAATGTCGCATACAATACCAATCTATCAAGGGATACACTATAATAAAGCCGCTCACCGGGGGCTCTTTACGCTATGCTACTGACTCGGGCTCCGTTTTAAACCTAAATGTTGTTTTAGAAGTCCTCGTCGAGAGCGAAAGCGCGCTTGGCAGCGGCGACCTCGGCGGTCTGGCCGACGGCCTGGTTGACACCCGACTTGGAGTAGGCCGAGACACGCGACTCGAAGAAGTTGGCCTTGCCCTGCAGCGAGATCATCTCCATGAAGTCGAAGGGGTTGGCCGAGTCGTACAGCTTGTCGTTGCCGAGGGCGACGAGCAGACGGTCGGCGACAAACTCAATGTACTGGCACATGAGCTTGGCGTTCATGCCAATGAGCGACACGGGAAGGGCGTCGGTGAGGAACTCCTGCTCAATGGCGACGGCCTCGCGGATGATCCTGTTGATGGTGTCCGGGTGGGGGCGGCGACGGAGGTGGGTGAACAGGAGGCAGGCAAAGTCGGTGTGGAGACCCTCGTCACGCGAGATGAGCTCGTTGGAGAAGGTGAGACCGGGCATGAGACCGCGCTTCTTGAGCCAGAAGATAGACGCAAACGAGCCCGAGAAGAAGATACCCTCGACGGCGGCAAAGGCGATGAGACGCTCGGCAAACGACGAGTTCTTGTCCGAGATCCAGTGGAGGGCCCAGTCGGCCTTCTTCTTGATGCAGGGAATGTTGTCAATGGCGTTGAACAGGTAGTTGCGGCGGGCGTTGTCACGGATGTAGGTGTCGATGAGGAGCGAGTAGGTCTCGGAGTGAATGTTCTCCATCATGATCTGGAAGCCGTAAAAGGTCTTGGCCTCGGCAATCTGGACCTCGCCACAGAAACGCTCGACCAGGTTCTCGTTGACAATGCCGTCAGACTGAGGGGAGTGGGTCAGCAACTGGCCTCGCTCAGAACGCGTCTTGTACTCACAGCCGCAAAGAAGGCGAGGACGTGCTCGATAAAGTAGCGCTCGTTGTCGTTGAGCTTGTTGTCCCAGTCGTGCAGGTCGGCAGCGAGGTTGATCTCCTCGGCGGTCCAGAACGACGCCTGGGCCTTCTTGTACATCTGCCAGATCTGGGACGCGTCAGCACCAGGCTTTCTCTTGCTGGGCCAAAAAAACGCAAGTACTCACCTCGCGGTAACGGATGGGGAAGAGGACAAAGCGGTCGGTCGACTCCTTGAGGAGGGGCTCCTCCTTCTCGGCACAGTGGATGTCACCGACAAAGCGCTTGCGGAGCTCGGCGTCGGTCATCTTGGGGGCGGCCTCCTCGACGACGACGACCTTCTTGGCGCCCTCCACGGGGGACTCGGCGGCAACGGCCTTGAGCTTGGCAAGCATGTCCTTGCCAGCCTCCTTCTTGGGAGTGTTGATGGAGATGTTCTCGAGAGCCGAGGCAGCGACCTTGGAAGGGGTGACGGTAGCCATGGTGGTTGGTGGTGGTGGTGGTGGTGGGGTGGGGTTGGGGTAGTGGGTAGCAAACGCGGGGGCGGAGATGCAAGAGAGGGGGAGAGAGGGGGAGGTGTCTATAGCAAAGAGCAAAGAGCAAGAAGCGCAGGCGCGGGTGTGGGTGTGTAGAGTGTGTTGTGTGGGTTGGGATGGTGAGATGGAGAAAAGAGGGGATGGATGGGGGAACGAGACGTGGTCTTATATGCAGGAGAATCTCTCTCTGCGTCGTCGCTTTTGCGCTGGGCGGGGCCACAGCGCGTGCGCGCGCGTCGCGTATACACCGTACACCGTACGGGTGGCTGGCAGTGTGTGGGTCAGGGGCGTCCTCTACCAGTGTACGCGACTGGCAATGTTTGGGTGCGAAAGTCGCGTCCAAACGGCCAAACGACATCAATTCACGTGACCTGGAGCTGGGAGGCGCGTCCCCCCGGCCGAAAAGAGAAATAGGTCGCGCTTGTCTAGTGTACCCGCCCTGGTTGACTGGACTTGACGTCAACCAACATCCCTGGGTATTAATGGCGTGTACTTTGTTATCAACGTTGGCCGCCTGGCTCTGGTGCGCGTCTGGTGAGACGCCACACATGACCGCGTCGTTCAGGTGGTGGCTGTTCAGGTCGTGGACATGGGCGGGGGACGCGTTTTGCATGTTTATTGCCTTCCCACGACGGCCAGGGGCTTTTTACCGGTCAATGCATGCGCGCGCGCCAGGACAACAAAACAGTCGAGGACAGCAGCGGCGACAGAAAGAGCCAACTGCGCCTGAGCGCGCCAGGACACACGCGTTGTGGTGGAGGGCCCCTCTGGCCCCTCTGCACGCACCACCCGCCCCGCGCCCCCTTTGTTGCTCCGCCTGCCCGTACACGCGCGCTCGCGGCTGATCTTCTTCTTTCATTTGCGCTCTACGCGTTCCCACCACCACCCCACCCCGTCTCTACGTGTCTCGTCGGCCGACGGAACACATTTCCACACCCATCCATCCTCCTTTTGTCCTCTCAGTCTCGTGTCACCCATCCACAGCAATGGCACGAAAGGCAGAGCAAACAGAGCCAAAGGCGTGAGTGACTCGACCTCCCCCCGCGCCAAGCGCAATGTTGACCAGCCCCCAGCGTCCGCCAGACCACCCTCGCCTCCTTCTTCGGCGTACCCAAGGCCGGCCCACCACCACCAAGGTCCACCCCGGGTTCATCGTCGTCGACAGCAGCAAAGAAGGCCAAGGCGCCAGCACCACCACCAACCGCGGGGCCGTCATCGTCGTCTCCCGCGTCATCCCTACGCACACCTCCATCCGACCCCCCTCAACCCCAGTCGTCGCCGCTCAAGCACCTGACCAAGCCCATTATTGTCGATGCCGACGATGAGCCAGAGTTTAGCCCCCCACCCGAGATTGTCGCGCCCAAGAAGTCGGTCGTGCCAAAGGTGGCCAAGCCAGCTCCCAAGCCTGTCAAGCAAAAGACACCCGAGCCTGACAGTGACGCGATGGATGTCGACGACCCCGAGTCGCCATTTGTCCCCGTGAGTGTCTTCCTCGCCTTCTCCCAGCGTCTTCCTCATCTTACACTCCCCGCCTTCCTTGCTGACCCTCCAGACCCGCAGGGGCAAACGCAAGGTGATCTATGCGGAGTCGGGCTCGGATTCGGACAGCGATGTCCCTACACCAGTTGCCAAGGGCCGCAAGCCGCCTCGCAAGAGCCTCAAGGTTGCTTCAGACGACGAGTTTATGGTTGATGACGATGACGAGGCTTTCCGTGAGTGTTGTATATCGTATGTCTAGCTGACCTTGCAGTTGCTGCTGCCGACGCGTACGATGCTTCAATCGTCTCTGACGCGCCCTCTCCCTCCATTGCGTCCGAGCCGTCGTCGCCAGTCAAGAGGCCCGCCGCCAAAAAGTCCAAGGCAGCTGCTACAAAGTCGACCCCACTCTCCTCCCGTCCCATCTCCCGTGAAGGCTCGGGTGGTCGCAAGGAGTCGTCCTCCGACTTTTTGCTCACCGCTGCCGAGCGCAAAAAGGTCCAGGCCAAGGAGGAGAAGCGCGAAAGTGAAACTTGCTTCGACTTCCTTGCCGATGTCAAGGACAAGGACGGCAACCGTCCCGAGGACCCAGAGTACGACCCACGCACAGTCTTCATTCCAAAGTCGGCTTGGGCACACTTTACACCCTTCGAGACCCAGTTTTGGGAGATCAAGCAAAACCACTACGACACCGTCCTCTTTTTCCAAAAGGGCAAGTTTTACGAGCTGTACGAAAACGATGCCATGATCGGCCACCAAGAGTTTGACCTCAAACTCACCGACCGTGTCAAGATGAAGATGGTCGGCGTCCCCGAGCAGTCTTTCGAGTTTTGGGCCGCCAAGTTCCTCGGTGCCGGCTACAAGGTCGGCAAAGTGGAACAGGTCGAGACTGCGCTGGGCATGGAGATGCGCACCAAGGCCGCCTCGGCAAGCAAACAGATTGTCCGTCGCGAGCTTGCCCAAGTGTTCACCAATGGCACCATTGTCGACGGATCCTACCTCACGACCGACGAGGCCAACCACTGTGTCGCCATCCAAGAGTTGTCTGACGGCGCCACATCCTCGTTTGGTATCTGTGTCATGGACGCGTCGACTGGCGAGTTCAACCTCTCGGCCTTTGACGATGACATTTGCCGCACCCGTCTCGAGACCATGTTCCGTCAAATCCGTCCCAAGGAACTCGTGTTTGCAAAGGGTAACCTGTCGGTTCCCACGACACGACTCTTGCGCAACATCCTCCCCTCGAGCACGCTCTGGCAGTCGTTCAAGCCCGGTAAAGAGTTCATGTCTGCCGAGGACGCTCTCGAGGCTGTCAAGACCATCTTTGCCGGTGACGACGGTGACGATGACCAGGAGGTCGTTCTCCCCGAGGCCATCTCGAGCATGCTCGACAAGCCCTTGGCCATGGAGGCTCTCGGTGGCATGGTCTTCTACTTGCGCTCTCTCAACCTTGACAAGGACCTCATCTCACAGAAGAACTTCAACGTCTACGACCCGATCAAACAGGGCAAGAATCTCATTCTCGATGGCCAGACTTTGGGCCACATGGAGGTTCTCATGAACAGCGAAGGCGGCGAGGAAGGCACTCTGCTTCAGCTCCTCCAGCGCTGCGCGACGCCGTTTGGCAAGCGCCTCTTCCGCATCTGGCTTACTTCCCCGCTGCGTGACGCAAAGGCTATCAACGAGAGGCTTGACGCCATCGACGACCTCATGTCCGCTCCCACGTTTACCGGCCAGTTTACGCAAATGTGCAAGAAGCTGCCCGACCTCGAGCGCTTGGTATCTCGTATCCATGCCGGCTCGCTGCGCCAGAGTGATTTCATCAAGGTCATGGACAACTTCTCCGCCATCCAGTCGTCTATCGAAAGTCTCACCAAGGTGGCCGACAGCTTTGACTCGGCCAGCGTGCGCGGTCTCTTGCGCACCGCACCGGATCTGGAACAATACATCACCCACGTCCGCGCCATGTACACGGTCGAAAAGGACGAAAAGACTGTTGCCATTCTCCCCACTCCAGGCGCCGACGACGAGTGTGACTCGGCTGACGCCGAGGTCTCGCGTATCGAGGACGAGCTGGAAGACCTGCTGCAAAAGGCCAAGCAAAAGCTTGGTCTGGCCAAAAAGGACATTTCCTACTGGCACAGCGCCCAGGGCAACAAGGAAATCTTCCAGCTGGCCATTCCCGCCAGCACAAAGGTGCCCTCCAACTGGACCAAGTGTGGTGGCACCAAGGCCCAAGCCCGCTACATTACGCCCTACACCCAGCCCGTCATCCGTGAGATGCAAGAGGCTCGCGAGACCCAGTCGATCGCCAAGAAGAGCTTCTTCCGCCGTCTCCTGGCCGAATTTGACAAGGACCGCGAGGTCTGGCTCAAGATGGTCCGCATCGTCGCCGAACTCGACTGTCTCGTCTCGCTTGCAAAGGCCTCACACGACATGGACGAGCCCAAGTGCCGTCCCGAGTTTGTCGAGTCTGAGCAGGCATTTGTCGACTTTGGCGACCTCCGCCACCCGTCAATGTGTCTCCAGCGCGACTTTATCGCCAACGACGTGCAGCTCGGCGGCGACGTTGCGCGCACCACGCTCCTCACTGGTCCCAACATGGCGGGCAAGAGTACCCTGTTGCGCATGTCTGCTGCCGGCGTCATCTTGGCACAGCTTGGCTGCTATGTCCCGGCTGCTCGTGCCCGGCTCAGCCCCATTGACAAGATCCAGACGCGCATGGGTGCTTATGACAGTGAGTTAAAGTAAAGACGGACACAACTGACAGGCAGACATGTTCGCCAGTGCCAGTACGTTCAAGGTTGAGCTGGACGAGTGCTCGAAGATTCTGCGCGAGGCTGGTCCCAAGTCACTCGTCATCCTTGATGGTGAGTTGCCTCGTTGTCCGTGTGGCCCAACTGACCATTCAGAACTTGGTCGTGGCACGTCCACCTTTGACGGCATGGCCATTGCCGGCGCTGTGCTTCACCACATCTCGACTCATACCTTGCCCCTGGGCTTCTTCGCAACCCACTACGGCTCGCTCACGGACGACTTCCAATACCACCCCAACATTCGCAACATGCACATGCAGGTGCACGTCGATGACAGCGAGGGTGTCATCTTCCTGTACAAGCTCATCAACGGCCACGCCGAATCGTCTCACGGCACGCACGTCGCCAAGCTCGCTGGAGTGCCCCAAAACGTGATTGCACGTGCCGACGAGGTGTCAGCCCAGTTCTTCGAGGCGTTCCAGAAGAAGCTCTCGTCCCGCCGCCAGAGCACGCTTCCTCTTACAGCCCAGGCCGATTTTGCCTGGCTCATGAAGCTGGTCAAGAACGATGCTCCCGTCACGACCGCCACGGTCGGCCAGCAGCTCGACGTCGTCTGCCGTGCCGTGGCCACCTATGCCACTGCGCCGTGAGTCACCAAGCATTCAAATTCCAAGGCAGTTGTATACATATATACCAGGTTCTCTTTACTATGTAGTGTAAATACAGGATGCATACAGTCAGGAGCATACGACAGAGTAGGACAGACAGCAAGTTGGATCGCCACGCACCGGTGTACCAGTGTGAGCATGACGTCAAAGGGTGTGAACGGATTTGTCCGGCACCGCGCCGTCGCTTGTTTTCATCCATCCACTCACTCTCTCACTCAACTCGCCGACCATGTCACAACTACGTGCCACCGCCAAGTCGGCTTCCTCCACCTTGCGCGTGCTCTGCTTTGGCAACGAGTGGACCTCGGGAAGGACGCGGCACTCCTTGGGCCTGTGCTCCATGTTGGAAAAGCAACAGCGAACCTCGTTCCCCGTGCAATCAGTGGTCTTGGACCCACAGTTTCCCAAACCACCACCCCTGTGCAACAACCTCAAAGACAAGATCTACCACCCATACGGCCAAGCACTCAAGACGCGGCTTGATATTTGGGCGCAGGAAACCCACCCGGGCACGCAGGTCAAGGTCGAGTGGAATGGGGAACCGCAGAGCGTTGGAAGCGTCGAGTGGGATGAGAGGCTCAGGAAAGCTCGTAGGTCGTGTGTGGCCTGCCAAAGGCGTGGTGTGCTGGTCCTCGTCGTGGCCCGATCTGACACTCTCAGTGCACGTTGAAGAGAAGTGGGACTGGGTCGTCATGCTCGGCAGCCCTTATGGAAGGTGAGTTTCGCTGTGGTCGTGTCGACACAAGAGAGGACTCCTTTTCTCACAACTGTCGCAGTGCCGACCAACTGGCAGCGAGCCTGCGCTCTCGTGTCGATCCTATCCGTCCCAATCTCATAATGGACGCCCTGAGCAGGTCATGGGCCGCAGCGCTGTCAACTGGCTCCAAGGTGTTGGCCCTCACGATTCCCGATCACGACGAGGCTGCCGGCCGGCCGGTACCACACGAGGTCAACTGCATGATCATGGAGACTCGGATGCGTGGCCTGTGAGTGATTTCCGTCACACGAGACCGTACAGTATATTAAACCACTGTCCAGCCACACTTTCAACCTCAACACGGCGATCCCTTACTACCCCGTCAACACTGTGGCGCACCGCCAGTACTGGTCTGACAAGTCGAACCTCACGCCCGAGGGCTACGACTTGATGGGGTGGTATATCGGCGAGGCACTGGCCGGCATCATGGACAACAAGACGCCCGAATGGATCGAACAGCTGGCAGTCCGGTTCGAGGTAGAGAACGAGATCAAGAAGGAGCAACGACTTGCCCAGCAGCAGAAGCAGGAGGAGCTGGACGCCGCTCAGAGTACACAAAGGCAGCAGTCTGTGCGGCGTCCAGCCCCGCGTACACCCGACTGGACCGTGGAGCCCGGCGACCGGTTTGAGGATGAGAAGGATATAATGGAGGCCGGACGACTTGCCTATCAGCAGATGCAGGAGGAGGTCGACGCCGAGAGCGAAAAACACACGCCTAGGGGGGCGAAACAGTCTGTGCGGCGTCCGACTCCGCCTGCATCCACGCCTGCACCTCGGCGTAAGAGGTTCGGACTCCAGCAGAGGGACGATGATGGCGACTTTCGACCTCAGCCGCGTCGCCCCGAGGCGGCGCCTCAGTCCCCTCGTCCATCGTATCGGGAGAGGGAAGAGCAGGTCGAGCAGGACGACCATCGACCTGTTCCGCGGCGCCCCGAAGCTCGACCGGACCAGGTTTACATGAACAAGGGCTACGAGGACGACTCCGACGCCTACCCACGTCCTCACCGCCGGCCTCAACCCGCTCGCGAGGAGAACCGCCCCCAGCGCAAATCCTCGTTTTTCCTGCGGGGGAACGACCAGGAGAACCGCGCATCCCACTCGCCGAGGCGGCAGTTTGGCTTTGCTAGGGAAGACGCCGAAGAGGACTTCAGACCCCAGCGGCCGTATGGTGAAGAGAGGGACCGACCTCCGCACCGCCAGTTTGATCACGGGGGAAAGAACCCCATAAGCCAACGGCGACTGGTTAATATGGGCCTAGTGAGAGGGAATGACCAGGACGACGAGGACTTCGGAGAGAGGTTTGTGCAGAAGATGCTGGCTCAAGAGAAGGCACGGGACATGCTCAAGGCGATGGACGATGACTACGATGAGCTTCGACCTAAAGCGGCCCCAGGCGGGAAGGAGGGCGCCGAGGCTCATCGCGAGGCCCACCGCAGGTGGAACGTTGTGTCTAGGCAGCTTGGTCTGGGTTCAGGCAGACCTATGGAGCGAAGAACTCATAACTTCGGCCCCAGGAAGCGATAGATATTGGTAGACCGTGTAACCTGCATCCCCAACTATGTAAACTAGAACACTTGCACACTTCCATGCACGAGCGGGTCCTTGCGCCTTGACTTTCCACGCTTCCGCCTCTTATTCTCCACCACACGCATCTTCTCGGCCTTGTGTGCTTCTCGCAGCACACCCGTCCACTCGGCCTCGACATAGTCTTCGCCCCATCCGCTGCCGCCGCCGCCGCCCTGCGCCGGCCGAAACTTGCGTCCAGCACGGTCACCTGAGCGGAACGCAAACGCCGTACCGAGGATATCAACCTCGATCTGGGGACACGTCGCAATGTGCTCGCTCAGGTCGGCGTCCTGGTCGCCTGGTGCGGGTGTATAGGCCGGGAAGCGGAGGATGAACTGGCTGCCGACTTTGGGGACGACGCGGACCTGCGAGTCGCGCCCGAGCAGGCGGAACGAGCCTGCTGTTTCTTCCACGACGAGGCCCGACAGGCCCTTGAGCGAGGCATTCTTGGCAGAACGCACCTCGAGGCGCGCACCGGTCATGTCGGCCTTGACGAGCTTGCTTTGCAGGGACTCGGGCGACAGGCCCGGAAGGAGCGACGGCCCACGGACAGACGGTGGGAGAGGTCCGGTTGCCGACGCCGATTCGCGCGTCGGCAGAGCGCAAAGCTGGGCCATGTAGCGCACGTGTAGGTGGTGAAGCGGGAGAAGCGAGTTGTAGCTGCACTCTGTCAACGCCCGGTCCAGTCTCAACGTCCACGTCCTACTCACTCGATCCTGGTCGATCTGCGCGTCAGACCGCCGCGCTTCCGTGCGCCGACCATTCCCCGCTCCGCCGCAGCCTCCTCACGCTCCCTCTGCTCCGCCCTCACAGCTCGCTTCGCTGCAGCGTCCCCGCGATTCCGTTTCCGGCCAGTGACAAGAGCAGAGGACGACGAGGTCGTGCCCGGGATATCGGTGAGGAGCACCGTTTTGCCGCTCAGCCGGGACGAGTATGTGGCCGCGTCGAGACCGATCAGAGTGGGGAGGTCGGTGCTGGTGCTGGCACTTCCTCCATCTGCGTTAACCGCGGAAATGTGCTCGAGTGGGCGCTGAGGTGTCAGAAGCCATGGTACACAAGCGTAGTGGTTCGTCTCACAGTGATGGCGCTGGCAAGAGGGCGGTAAATGTCCGTCACCACCTGCGGGGCAGGGCTGCCCGTACCGGACGGCCCGGCTGTCATGGGGGTGACGGACCGAGCCTTGGGTGTCAAGGACCCTGTTTTCGGTGTTGCTGAACGCGATGAGCTGGCCGATGCCATGGTTGGAAAGAGTGGGTGAAGGGGAGGTGTGGAGGTGCTGTCGGGCGTCAACAAAAATCGTTTTCGCGTTCCTGGTGAGGTCATTTATGACTGTTTCCTAATGCACTGATTAGGGCCATTAGATGTCAGCGAAATGGGGTAGTAATGTGGCTCTGTTAACGACAACTCGACAGGCGAGTTTGCAACGCGAGCAAGACGGTGCTCAAGGAGCATGTACCTATAGAGGAGACCCTATGCATGTGATGATGTGTAATGGATGATCTACGACTTTGACGTCTCCGTCACCTGTACTCCCTCGGGCTTCTCCTCGATCCTCGCTTCCTCCAAGGTCGGCGCAGTCGACTCGACACTGCTGCATGCCTCTTCCTTGCCCCACCCTCTCCGGCGTTTCACCCACTCGGCAAACGGAATCGAGTTGGTCACAAGCCCGCTCAGTGCAGTACAGCAGCCCACCCACACGGCGCCATACGTGAAGCGGTTGTTGCCAGCCTCGATGAGGGCACTGGTGATGACCGGTCCCACCAAGGAAGGTATGGCCATGACGGTAATCAACATACCAAACCTCATACCAGCTTCGTGGACGGGCGAGATGGCAGCGGTGGCAGATGGAACGAGGGTGAACCATGAACCCGAGATGACGCCGTACGAGAGCAGACCGATGATTGTCAAGGCCTCGGCACCGGGACCGCCGTTCATCGGTGGCAGCCAGAATGCAAACATGACGATTGAACTGATAAAGCCCACGGTTCCGTAGATGCGCCACACACCGAACCGGTCGGCCAAGAGCCCAAAGGCAATACGGCCAACGATCGAGCCCGACATGCAAATCGTCACGGCATACGACGCAATGTGGTCCGGAAGACCATTTTCCGTGGCATAACTGATGGCGGTGAAGAATGGGGCCAGGATGCTGTGCGGCGTCAGAAAAAGGGTTAGAGGCTAGATCTAGAAAACTTACTTCATGCCGTAGAGGACTGAGCCGATGACGTGCACGACATACTTGGGCTCATGCCACGGGCGGAGCATGTCCTTGAGTGGCGGTGGACGGCGAGGAGGAAGACGTGTCTTCATCCAAAACACGCCGGGAGCCATGAGCACAAAGTTCATTGCGCCGATAATCAACATTGTGTTGCGATACGCTGTAGGTCAGCTTTGGCTCATGTGTATGGTGTATGACCTACATGTCCTGACGAACAGCTGTTCCAGCATGATCGGATAGATCAGACCACCGACACTGCTACCGCACACCACGATTCCCACAGCAAGGGATCGTCTCTTGGCAAACCAGTGCGAGACGATTGCACCGCTCGGGGCATATGTAAGAGTGCCCGCGATACCAAAGAGGAAGAACGAAAGGAAGAACTGGTAAAACTTGTATGAGACTGCGGCACTTGTCAGTAAAGTCACACGGAGCGGTGACTCACAAGCCATGCCAATTGTCGCCGCAAATCCCAGCACTGTCGCACCGCTAACAAGCAGTACAGGGCCATGGACGTCAAGGTACCGTCCCGTGATGAGAGCAAAGGCAAATTCGACAAATGACTGCACCGAACCGATCCATCTGGGTTAGGTTAGCCAACGAATGTCTGGAGGATGGAATGTAATGGATGTGGTCATGAGGCTGAGCTAAGCACTAGGCGTTCACATCAAGCCCGGCGCCATCGCGACACTTCAGCCATTTGCAGGCCGTATCGCTCCACGCTCCCTCCTTGCCCGGTCTGGTCGGAGAGGGGACGCTCGTGACTGTTGTGGATGCCCTGAACGATGGCAACCCCGCTCTGCCCACCACTTCGTGGTCAAGAGAACTCACGCGACCGTAGGCTTTTGGTACCCCTCCAGTTGATTCGCGAGGTAGTATGCCTGCAGGTTGCCGTTGCAGTTGACTGGAGCATGTCAGCTTCCGAAGTTTGCCGCGTTCGTCGGCTGGGCACTCCTCACTCATTCCGAAAATGCAAAACTGTTGAAGGAAACCCGCCAGGACGGTCAACCATGCTTGACGACCACCGTCAGGTGGGGGGCCAATGTCGTCCTCTATCCTGGCAGTCTCCTCCATGGCTTCCACAGAGCTCGCTCGTCGCTCCATGCTCAGCCGCTCGTGTGGAGGTGCCATGGCCACGGCCGACTCCATGAAACCATCGCCAATGGGAACAGCCGAGGTGTAGCCCGCCTCCTCGATACGGTGGATGTGTTCGGCCTCTTGCTCGGCGGTGTGGTGCACCGCCGTGTGCCCGTCAGGTGGTCTCATGTTGGTGGTGAGAATGTGGTGTGAGATACTGGGTGAAAGCAACCCGCAACTTTGGTGTTGGTCCGCATTCTACTCCATTGAGACGGTGGGCGGCGATCTTGGGCGCGCAAAGTGTTAGTCTCGGGTAATCGACATCGGTCACTTCCCACCACTGGCCACTCGCCGCCTGCTGGGTTGCGTAATGACGGGCAAGTCCGTTGCGGCGCGCCGCCGCGGCCAAGCGGGCAAAGCGGCGCTCGGTGGGGCCGCGGTACCGCGGAAGAAGGGCGGTTATTAGGACAACTTGGCAAATGTATTAAGTGCACACAGCGCTCTGCCTCTAATTGGTATTTGGATACGGCATTCTTAAAGCCTGTGGCCGACGTGATAGTCACGTCAAGTGGCTCATGTTACTGGTCACAATCGACGTCTGCAATCCCCAAAACAATACTTTGTTGGCATACCAATAGTCCTTGGCACATGGTTGATGAGTGGGTCGTGAGGTCTCCTTCCCCGCGAGTATCGGGTCTCTTGCTTTCCGGGAACCCCGTCTGCAGCGTTCTCGGTCACTCCGGGCGTACACCAGTCCCTGGCGGCACCTCCGCCACCAATGGCCTCCTCGTTCAGCCCCACTACCTCCAATCAGCACCAGTACTTGAGTCCACATGGAGCGGTGGGTATCTAGACAAGAACCGACTGGGCATGAGCGGGGGGAACACACGGCAGGAATATGCCAAGCAGATGTCGAGGCCCACGTCCTTGTGCCCTTAAGGCTGTCGGTTGGAGTCGGCATGGGCCACTCGGAAGCCTCTGGTGGCCTTGGACAAGTCCGGGGATGCTGACCTGGCGGGGTACTTTCATGACGTTCTATACTGGGTATGCTGGATAATGTGGGGATGGGTAGAATGACGCAACCATCAAGACTCCTCATGGCGGGTCAGCTCAAGCTACAGGGTATGAGTCCCTTAAACAGATACTTGCATGGAGCTATAACGCTATAACCATACAATTTGGATTGACTTCTCACGCACACAGGCCCTGCATTGGCACCACCACCACCACCACAGTCTCCTCCTTCTCTCCTCCTCAGTATACATACTGGAAGTCTGGATTCTCAAGGTCGGTCTGGTCCTCGAAAGCGTGTTGGTTGACCAGGTCACCCTCGAGACCGAGGGTCTTGGTGTACTCGGCCGCTTCCTTCATGGTCATGATAGACATGTCCTGGAGGTTGGCGATACCACCAGCTGCCTCACGCCGGGCGGCCTGCCGCTTGTTGAGAAGCTTGAGGTAACCGCCCATCACGAAGCACATGATCACCAGCCCGGTCCAGCATCCGATATCGGTGTAAATTCCGGTAAAATAGTACGGCTTTTCGTGGTCGAGGTCTGGTTTCTGTCAGTGCCACTCGAACAACCAAGTTGAAATACTCACAGACTTGGGGACCGGCGACATTACCAGCACATTGACACACAAACAGGAAGGCACTGAGGACACGCTGCTTGGTCGTACCCGCAGCGTTCATATTGGCCCAGGAATAGAGGAGAGGCTGGATGCACGAGTAGAGTTGAACAAGGTAGTAACCGGCAAGGAGGTTGCGTGGGTGTGCGCGGTTGATGAGGCGCAAACCAATGGCACCGCCAATGGGGAAGAGGGTGACAATACTGGGGGCTGTTAGGCTTATCCACTCCTGGTCTCCCTCCTACACCACACGTCACACTCACGCAACGATGGGGAAACGTATCTTGAAGCGGTTGATGCACCAAGTGGCTCCCAGGAGCACGACGGCTTGCATGACCGCGTACGGGATCTGGAAGAGGATAGTCTGAAGCGACGTAAAGCCAAAGCCCTAGAGGTCAGCAATGTCGACGTTGCGTGTCGCAGCCCACCTTTGTGATCAGGCCCCCAAACGTCCCGATGCCACTGGAAGGAATGGCCGTGATCATGAGCATAAAGCCCCATCCGTACGTCTTCGGGTCGGTAAACACCTCGCGGACCTGGGACCACTTCCACACGCTGGTACGAGTTCCAGTGTTGTTGACACGGAGACGCTCGACCACAATCGCCTTTTCGCGCAAGGTGAGGAAGCGCGCCGAGACAATGTCATCCGGCATCATGTAGAAGATGAGCGGAATGAAGGCAAGCGTGATGCACCCGAGGAAAAGGAAGATGCTCTGGTACGGGACCAGGTGGGCGGTGTGAATGTGGCCGACTGCAAAAGCGAGGATAGGGCCAATCTACAGGTCAGTTTTGGGCCAGTACTCCTTGAAGAAGGAACTCTGCTTGAAGAAGGAACTCTGCTTGAAGAAGGAACTCTGCTTGAAGAAGGAACTCACAAGACTGGCAATCGGGCTTGAGAGAAGCCAAAAGGTGTTGCGGTACGTCTGTTCGCGGCGTCTCCACCACATCTGACAGATGGAAATGAACGTTGGCGCGATGGTGGCCTCGAAACCTCCCACCAAGGCACGTGTGATCATGAGACCTGTCCAGTTCGTACAGGCAGCCATGCAGCTGACCGCGATGCCCCCTGGACCAGTCAGCTCAAAACTCCACTGCTGCAGGGTTGGGCACTCACACCCGAGAATGTTGAAGCAGATCCACTTGGCGAGAGGAAGTTTGACGAGAGCGACAGCACTGAGTGGCTGAACAACCAGTTGGACGAGGTAGACAATACTTCCCAGCCAGGCATACTGTTTTCCCACGAGATGGGTCTCCTTTTGAAGATCCTGACGGTCAGCGAAAGTCGGAAGGAAAACCGGAAAATGGGGAAAATTGTCAAAAATGCCTATAATTGGCCATCTGCTGCTCCGTCCTGCTTTCTTGCTCCCCAGAACCAGCTGTTGTCGCTACTCACGAACACAGAGCCGTAGGAAAGGGCGTTCTTGTCGAGGTGGCAAAGGGTATAGGTAATCATCATGGGTACTAATCGTCAGTAGAGCAACGGGGGCAGGAGGCTACTCACTGAGGACCCAAAAATCAATTTTGCGAAGCAGGCGCTTCTCCTCTTCAGGATCGTAGTCAACCGGGCCCGCTTCATCCAGGATGCGTAGGGCATCGTCTTCGAAGCGCGTACGTGGCTCCTCAGTGTGGCGTTCGGCATACTCGCTGTGTACCACAGCCTGCTTGGTGTCTTCGGCGATCTGGGGAGGCATACGGTTGGATGTGTAGCTAAACCTAGGTGCCGCTCAAGGCGAACCCTTGGCAGCTATTTATGCGTCTTCCAGACCGACCGACAGGGTGTTCCCACAGCGATGTCTTGGCATTGCTTTCTCTATCTTCTCTATCTCTTGCGTACCCCGCCCTCTCCCACTTGGTGACCCGCGGCGCCCCGACGGCCCGGAGGCTCCACAAGGTCTCGTGATCCCCAAATGACCGAGGAGTATGTAGAGACCGGTATCGCTCTTTGCACTCCTAGGTTAAAGGTGTCTCTGAAGACCGTCGCCGCAGAAGCACAACTCCGGGCCGCCACGGGGGCGACGCCGATCGACGGAGCAGGTGACTTGTGATGACAAGTAGAAAACCGGGCCGCTGCGGACCTCGGTCCAGCTTTCCGCAGTCCGTATACTTGGTGGCGCTGCAGTTGACTCCCAAGCAGAACCGGGTGGGCTACAGGGAAGGGTTGGATGTACGTCGGTGGTTGTGAAGGTGAGAAGCTCCTGATGTTGTAGACTTGCGTAATCCAAAGTCAACGGAGCTCGGGCCTTGGTTCCGACGCACGTGGATTTCGGACTTGCGGCGCCGAGTACCTCTTCAGCTCGTGTGCTTCTTGCGGGGTAAGTACGGAAAAAGTGGTTCCTCGCGACGTGCTCGTGACCTATGGCTGCGGTCCGCGGTCCGCCGGGCCGCCTTTGGTGCAATCTCGTCGGTGTTGGTGGATCATGTTCGGGGTCTTTGGGGAGTGTCGGCGAGGTTGTCGTTCTTCGCCCCTATAAATCACCGGTCAGCGCGCGTTATCGAGAGGTCCGCAGCACAAGCCCTTCAACATGACTGTCTCCCATTATAGCAGTATCGAGCTCACATCCGAGAGTGTCGACGACCTCGTCAGTCGCATCACCACTGCACTCGTCAACCTCCAAGGTCCCGAGCAGTACAAGTACAAGGCGCGAGATGGACGTATTGTGGACTCGATTTCGTGGAACTTTTGGGAATGGCAGCAAGCGATTGGTGAGTGCACACTGGTATCCTTATTCTGACCACATAGGCCTTTACGGGCTGGTCAATTACTATGCACTCAAGTCGGCAACCAACCCTAATGACCCGCACGCGGTGACCACGCTCCGTCTGGTCAAGGACTGGTACGCAGCTCGAGCGGCCGAGGGTTGCACCACCAAGAACATCAATACCATGGCCGTGTTCCTTTCTCTAGTGACCCTCATGGATCTCGACAATACCCGCGGTGGGGTCTTCACCCCTGTGGAGCGCGAGACGTACCTCGGCTGGATCGACGAGTGGGGCGAGTGGGCCATGAATGACCTTGACCGCACCGAAATGGGAGGGTTTCAGCACATTACGTTCCGGCTCGTCAACGAAAACCAGCTGTGGGATGACACCCTCATGATGACTGTACTGTCCTTGGCCAAGATTGGCAAGCTTCTCAATCGACCGCAGTACATTGAAGAGGGTGAGTGTGACATGTGGCGATTCGTGCTGACCTCTCAGCCAAATTCCAGTTCCTCCTGCATGCGCAGTACTTGATGGACACCAAGACGGGTCTGTGGTATCACGGCTGGGAGTTTACCGGTGATGGCAGTGGTAGTGGCCACAACTACGCCGAAGCGCTGTGGGCAAGGGGCAACTGCTGGGTGAGTCTGGCGAATTGGACACAGTCTGACGTCGGCAGATCACTCTTGCAATTCCCGACTTTTTGGAGCTCGTCAAGCTGGAGCCGTCAGACCCAGTGTATCGTATGCTTGTGGGAACCCTCACTCGCCAGGTCAATGGAATGTTCGGACGGCAGGATCCCGCCACTGGACTGTGGCGTACGCTGGTCGATGATGATGGCAGTTATGTGGAGACGAGTGGATCGGCAGGTTTTGTGGGTGGTATTTTGATGGCTGTCCGACTGGTGAGTGTACGCGTGTTTGCCTGCCTTGCCCTCTCTAACGGTTCTAGGGCCTACTCGACCGTGCAAAGTACCTTCCCATGGCACTGGCTGGCCTCAAGGGCTGCATTGCACAGGTGCAGCCCAATGGCGAGGTCGCCAACGTGTCCAAGGGAACGCCTGTGGGACTTGACCTGGACTTCTACCGTACAATTCCCAAGCTTACGGTGCCGTATGGGCAGAGTCTGGTCATTTTGGCTCTGGGTGAGTGGTTAAGGCTGCAGGAGGCGGATGCCGCGGAGAAGTAGAGCCGCATGGTGATATGGTGGTACGTTTTGTGCAATGTATTTGCTTGCAGCATATGTGGAGGGCCCGTGTGTGTCTTTGCGCCCTCGTACCAGCGGTGCACACACACACACATACCCGTGACCTCATGGTTCTCACGGCCAACCTTTGACAACCACAACATCCTCCTCAACAAACTCGCCAACAATGAACCCTCCTCCCGCAGCAGGCTCGTCGACGGCCGCTCCGCCAACTCTACCGCCTGACATAACGACCGATGCCGAGTACTTCCACGACCTGCATGCCGGCCCATTCCGCCGCCCCTTCCTGTGGATGAGTACGCTCAGCAAAGAAGACAAATGTCAACTGTACGACGACGTTCGCGCATTACTGGCGAATGATGACCTCGACGGGTCGGTGCAGAAGCTTCTCCACGCTGCTGGACCCGGTGCCACCTACCTTGACCTCGGCTCCGCAGATGAAGTGAATTCGGGAGTCAACAGACCCCTTGTTACCCATCTGCACACCTTCAAGGTCCTCGAGGACGTTTACAACCATCACCGTCGTCCGCCGTCCGACCCCCTCCATCTTCCACGCTTGCCGCTTACACTTAACTACTTTTCGGCAGACGAGGTGTGTTCCACACAGCCAGCCAAGTGGCCCCCATATCCAGAGTACTGACTGGTCTGCAGCATCAACACCGCTTCTCTCGCCTTGTTGATCTATACATTGTGCACAACAACGGCCTCCTGTTCAACCCGGCCAGATTCGTCATGTCCTTGTATGAAGTCAAACATGGCAAACCAGACTTCTATGCATACTACCCGGCGGGGAACGGCGGTACCTTCTACGACGGCATGCACCTGCCCGACGGTGTTCGCGCTTCGCGTTCTTCCATGCAGAGGGCAGTGTTCGACGCAATGCGGTCAAAAGGTCTCCCCCTCCCCGATCTTCCAACTGGTGTCCCCAGTGGCGTAAAGGACATGCTTTACCGAGGGTAAGTGTTGCACAATGCGGCCTTGACTGATATCCCTTGCAGCCCTGGCGGTGTGAAGGATCTCGCAGTCGTTGACGACGACACCCGCAAGGAGGTCGAATCATTCATCAAGCGAAAGAACGCAGAGGGCCACTCTGGCACCATCCTACACGTTTCCCTCGCATTCGAGTATGGCGTGCGTGCCAACACAATCAACAGCGGCGGCCGCCAGCTTGTCACGTCGCGTCAGAATGCTCAAGGCAAGCGAAATGGTCTTTATGGCACCCAGTTGAGCACGGCGATTACCGAGCTCCGCCAACGGTTCGAAAATGACAACATCCACAAGAATCTCGCCCTTGACAAGCGCTTCAACTTCTCCCAATATGATCTCGACGAGATGCTTCAGGTAAATTTGGACAAGTATGGCATCATCGAAGGCCCTATCCGCGAACACATGATCGCCCATGCACTGGCCAAGGGCTGCGTCGTGAGTTACCTGGAGACGAAGAAGTGGATACGAAAGATATCTACTGACTGATGTTTAGCACGAGGGCTATGAGCGCTCCATCGCCAAAATGGCTCAAACGGGCCTCGTCACTGGTGTGTGGGCCATTGACCCCCTCGAATTGGACGACAACAATCCCTTCGTGTGTGCGTACCATTGGAAGGCCACCACTTTCCTTATCCAGTGAGTTCATGCAGCCGAATTGAATCTAACCCCTCCAGCCCCGAATGCTTGGGTCTCGACAAGGTTGTAGCCACAGCCCTGCTCAAGAAAAAGAACAAGGACTTCCTCTTCAACGTCGTCAAGGGCGGTGGGTGTGGCGAGCCATCTTGTCCTTTCGCCACACTTTACGGTGCTGCCATGTGGACCGACCCAACCGGGCAGCAACTTGCTTTGTGCGGTGGCTGTCATAGTTGGTGGCGGGCCGAGCTTCCCGGACTCCAGCAGAAAGGTACCTGAAGTATTGAAGTCCTTTAAACTAACAATACAGGAGCTGAGGCTATTGCCAAGGGCGAGGTGTATTGTATCGACAGCAGACGCAACTATCTCGTCGACTGTGCCACCTGTGGACAGCCGTGCGCGGGAAACAATACGCAGTCAAGCAGCCGAGACCTCAACAAGCACGGATATGTCGATTCGGACCAGGAACCATGCTGCCGGTCCTGCTTCACCAACACTTACAATGGACTGGACGTATCTCCTACACGCTTTCAGGAGATGTATCCCAGTACCGGCGCCGACATTCTCGACCGTGACCTGCTGGACGCCACCTCCAAATCTCTGTTTGACGTTATCGCGGCCAACAGGGGTGATATGGACACGATTGAGACCGCGTTCCTGAACGCATCAGTGAGCCTCTGCCACTCTGTTGCTCCGCGTAAGTATATCACATAAAGCCGTCCCCCGAAAAAGCAAACGCTAATTAACAGGCCCGATATCTGTTAGCATTGCCCGCCATGTGCTGCACAGGCATGTCACAACGAATATGGCGCCGTATGCCAGGGCTCGAGCCTTCATTGAGAGGTACATGTCCGCCTAAACGGCCCACCAGGAGAAGGCACCACCCGACCACAAATTGAAGCAGGCCCCCGTGTGTACTTAACCGAGACGCCTCACCGCCGTCCTGCCAGATGCCTACATAAAATCACGCGTGTTCATAGCATTGTAAAGAGGAAGATCTTCCAGAGGGCAGAGGGCTCCGATGCATACCAGTTTCGGACAGACGAAGGGTGGGATCGAGTCAATCTCTCTCACTCTCGAAGAAGGCAAGGCAAACGGTTGGCAATAGCGGTCACATTGTCAGTTCTCCAATACACTAGAGTTTGGTGTGATACAGACGAGAGAGAGTGGAAGTTGGTTGACCGCCAATCTCAATCGCGGAGGTTTGCCCCTCGAGTTAGTGGAAACAGCCTCAAACAGCTGAAGCTCACCAAGCCCGACCACCCGTCTGCGCTGCTGGGCAGCTGACCTCCTGCAATGACCACCTTTGCCATGTCATCAAGCCAGGGGTGCTGGTCGTGCTTACCAATTATCCCAACAAGGGTTTGAGGTGGTCGTCACGAGGCGACTGACGGTGGACCGAGGTTTCGAAGGTTCGGGGACGTGTTCAATCGTGAGCGAGATTCGAAGAGGTCAGCTCATCCGCAGCTCGTACACATCCGCCAACTTGCGAGACGCACAAAAAGACGCCGCCACAGCGAAATCATATCTGCAGAAACGGCACACACGGCGGAAACGCGCGCGCACCGGTATAGCCCGGCTACACTTCCTACTCAAAGACAAGTCCTATCCACTGACCAAAGGTCATTCTGTTGACATTTTGCAGTCAACACAGTCGAGCAACCACAGGGGGTTTGAACCTGCAGCAACCCTTCGATCCCTTAAGCCTCTTCAGGTCACTAAAAGTCGAAAGCGATGCCAGAAAAAGCATACAGTGACAATGACGACCACTGCTGCTGAGAAGCCTCGTACGGGGCTCGAACCCGTGACGTTTTGGTCACTCATTGCCCAAGAGGGGCAAGAGTAAAAGCCAAACTATCTACCGACTGATATAACGAGGCTCTGCTGGGAAGATTCGTGTGCTGATATGTTCGGGATCACAGTGGACTACCGGTGGCATTGTTAAACTCCATCGAACATAGTGAAAGCGTCCAGGGCGAGCTGGGTCGGGGCGAGAGACACGAGGGATTCACATTTTGTTCGCAGGGCGCACCTTTCACATGTTCTTGTGTTCCGAAGGTGGACATGGGGGCACAAGTCCAATGTAATCTCCTCTCGTCGATCTGTTTGCTCTTTAAGCAGTGCTAAGTCGCTCATTCCACTTTGCGATTCGAATGCGGTTGGAGTTTGTCACTCTGCCGCGCCTGTGATAGGGCCGTGAAGAGATAGGTCGACTTGACCTAACTTTGCCCAATGCCACCTGGCCCACCTGTATGTAGGGTGTGTTCGCTGGTCTAGTTATCCATTTCCCACTCCTTGTGGAAGTACTGCCGGGGGCTTGAGGCACACGTATGTACTTACATATTGGTGAGCCCCTACAGTGCCACAATCACATTAAGCATGACGGCCGCTTATCCGATGAACACCATGCACACATTCACATTCACAGAACAGGTGCGAGCATGAAACCGAGTCAAAGAGGTTGCACGTCCTGCTGAGCCGCTGGGGCGGTGCACAAGTATCCGACTCATCCCACCAATCGTGGACACAATAACAAGAGTCCCCAACCCATCAGTGTTGTCTGCAACATCGCCCTCCCACATTCCACCCACCGGTGTAGTCTCAAATCCCTGACCCCATTACCGTGCCCGGTCATTTCAACCCAAGCTACGTTGAAATCTGCACTGGAGGCCTTCACCGTCATGGAAGCGAGCTGTCTCCCACATAGTCATAGCGCATTGACCCCCATACCCATCACTCGCCCCAGTCGGCCCACCTCCATTGTCGAGTCGGAGTGTAACACCAATGAGACGTTGAGTGATGGCGAGGGGAACAATAGGATCATTGTCATGGGTCCAATGGATCTCACCTCGATTCACCCAGTCCTTAATGATCATCCCTCGCCACCCACCATGAGTCTTGTCAGCATACCCCACCTCCTCGGCGAGAGTAGGGCATACAGCCCCGATGACGAGTATCTCAACCTTGCCGACCTTAGCCTGGACGACCTGGACCTCAGCGATGTCAACCTGCTGGACGATGAAGAGGGTGAGTGGCTGAGGATTGCCGGCCTGACTCTGGGGCAGACGACGAGGATGCGCTGTCAGTGCATACGATCAAGGTTCGATTCCTATGTGAAGACGGCGATCGTCGCAAGATCAAGTTCTGGAGCTCGGCAAACATTCAAGAGGCTCTGGTGAGTGACCGACAAGCCTTGGTATAGATACTAATCTTTTCCTAGGCGCAGTATGCCGCAAAGAGGCAGATGGACAGCCGGGGTTTAGTGGCCAGGCTTGCTTCCACCGGGGTGGCATTACGGCCAAGTCGCTGCCTTGCGCAGCTCGCAGACAAACATTTGGTGGTAAGCCTAACTGTCAGTGGTGCGTTGATTGGGCAATAGAAGCTGCTGACAAAAGAGTGAACGCAACGGCCCGCAGGATTTGGAACACGAGCCGGCCGCTGTTGCTCCGACAAGTACATGAAGTTGACCAATGTTAGATTCAGTGGCAGGTGGCTGACGAGGGCGATTGGGCAAAACACAACCACGTAAACCACGTATATACATGCATTCCAGGCTATCAACTTGTGGGGCCTGTACAGGTCGAACGATTTACCGACGTGTTGCCGGCAGTGTGTCCTCTGGTGATGTTTGTCGGTCATTTTCAATCATCGCTTTTTTCTTTTCTTTCATTTTTTCTGCTTTTTCTGAATTTCAGCTTTGTGGCTGAACAACGACAACCGCTGTGGTTGTCACGCAATGAACGGACACAATTATCACATGCCGTATCCCCAGTCATGCGATCCGGCGCAGAGTGCATGCAACTGCTGTGGCTCAATGAAAAAGAGACGTTGTGGCATATCGTGATGGGCGCCAATCGTTTTTAAAATGTGATTGCAGACTCCTCCGGTGCCCATAAACCCCGACTCTAAACCCGAACTAAAATTGATTTCTTATTCCTTTTCAATACGCATCGTCACCCCCCCCCTCGTTTAGGTGAGGGACACATACTTGGGAAGGTACTGAATGCCGGTCCTGCAGGCGTTAGAAACTGAGAGACACACAATCACTCACGAAGGGCAAGTCGAGGCAGAACCGACCGGGGCAGCGGGAATGATGTTGCCAGAGGCAATACCACCCTGAGACTGGTAGTGGTACCTGAGGACGTTAGTTGTGTCTGGCATGATGGGACGCTGTTACTCACCAGATCTCGTCAAAGACCTTGCCGTTGCAGTTGACGTTGACGGCGTAGCCGTGGTGCTTGGTCAGAGTGGCTTGGATCTGGGCAAGAGTGTATGTAGCCGTGAGGGACGGCACGATGCCGTCGGCCGCGAGCCAGTCATAGGACGGGAGGGTCTTGAAAAGCGACACCGCACGGTTAAAGTAGACGGTAACCTCTTGCTGTGGACATGTTAGGCACAAGTTGAGCAGCATGCAACATACCTGGGGGGCATAGAAGTTGAAGCAAGTCGGCTCCAGAGACGAAATACAAGTTCCGTGCTTGTCCCACTCGTGCTCCCAGAAGCTCTCATCGTCACCTTGGTAGTCCTTTTCAAATCAGCTGGTAGGCTGTTGGAAGAGACGCACCTTCCAGTAAGTGTTCATGTAGTCGAGCGTGGCACTCTGTCCGGCAGCCTGGAGAATCTGGGTGATGTTGGTGTACTCGCGGGCTGTGTCGCAGTACTGCTGGTAGGTACCATCACAGCTGAACTCGTTAGCAAGACTTCAATACAAATGCCAAACTTGAAACGTACTTGTCGGGCCAAAGACCTGTAGCTAGTCAGCAAATGGGCCTCATACCCTCAGTCTGGACTCACCGTGGAGAGTCCACGAGTTGTTGGGTCCAGTCGAAGTCGAACCAGTGTCCCAGAACTGAGTCTCTGCGTAGCGTCAACACGCATTCCCACCAACCGAATACGGCTCCACATACGAAGGAGGTGGCCTCCGGGGGAGTCTGTGCAGCAAGTGTTCTCGACAGTGTCACTCGAGCAAGAGAGAGGGAACGAGGTGATGTCCGAGGCCGAGCAGACGGTCAGGCCAGTGCCAGTGGGGTAGGCAGTAGCGGTGGTCTTGGTCTGGAGATGTTGTCAGTCATTTGTGGATACAATCTCTGCTTACGGCAGTGGCACTGGTAGTGGTAGCTGAGGTGGTCGAAGTGGTGCCTGCAGCATAGTTGAGCGTAAGGCTGACAGCGTGGCTAGCACCAGTGTAGACGGTCTGGCGGGTGCCGCTGGCCGGCACCTGGTCGGCCGAGAAGACGCTCGAGCCAGAGTAAGTCAGGGTACCATCGGAACCCTACAGGATGTTCAGTATCATGACACCACCAGCTATCGCAAATCGGGCTCACAAGGGTAAAGGTGGAAGCGGTGTTGCCCGACGCACAGCTCAGAACACCGGCGGAGGTGATAGTGCACGGACCCTTGCTAGTGGAAAGAGTCGCCTGCTCGCCCGTCACCGCCGCGGTGTACGTCGCACAGGTACCTGCAACGTCAGATATCGAGGGTTTTTCGGGAGAAAACATGACGCCGTTATCTATGGTACTTACCACCGACGTACCAGGTGCCATCCGAAATGACACATCCCACGGTGGTGGCACGCTTGCGCGAAGAAGCGCCCTGGACAGCGTAGAGGTAGCCTTTGGTGGTGGTAGTCGGCGTGCTGGACGTCGTTGCACGCTTCTGCGCATCGTTGTCGAAGTTGCGCTTCGGCTTGAGGGGGGCTAGGCCCCTAGCGAGACGCTGGCCATTTGTCTCGACATCAGCCAGGGCTTGGCGAGGAGCAGGGTTGGCAGGAATCGACCTCGCAACAGCGAGGGGCAAAAGTGCCACGATAAGAGGAGTGAGCACAAGCATTGTGTTGCAGTGTGTCGTCTAGCCTCATTTTGTCCATGCCTCCTTATATACATGCTTACCGTATGCATCACGTTGCGCATTGCGGATGCCATGACGCCCAACTTCGGGCCGACTGTCCCCCGCGGCGGCCGATGGCTTGCGTCACTAGATATAGCGAAGCTAAAATGCTTGGCAGATACGAAACGTACGAAACGTGGGTCGAACATTCTCCGCTCAGGGTTATCAGTCGGCAAATGGTCGGTCACCGGCTTACAACGTGCGCTTCTTCACATGGGTTCTTGATGCATGAGGAAGGTGGGCTGATCATTCACCAGCAACCACACAATATCAGCCCACTCAGTATCATGTCCGGTCCAAGCCGCGAAGAAGGAAGTTGCTCGTGCGTTGTTCTCCACCCGATCCAGTCGGACGTGGTCAGCGGTCGGCGACAAGGTCACACGTGCTGCACAATCTCGAGCGATCGTGCTTCACTGCCGCACTGCTTCCTATGCAGGCATGAGCCGTGTGTCGCAAAAACAGAGTTTACTTTCGTTCCTGGAGCGAAGCAGCCGGTTGTGACGTACAGTATGTGCAGCACGCCGAGGCACTTTAGATTTGCATATGGGCTGTCCGTCGCGTGGAGGACTCGGAGGAAGCTAGGAAATAAGTTATACATTGGGTTTTGAGGAAATCAATGCACAAGCAGGTGTCAGTGTCTTACTGCGGGAGAGACAACCATACTTCAGACGGCCCTAGCCCACAGTCAGCGCATTTCATTGACCACTTGGCCCAATGATGATTTATCTCATTTTTCTGTATTTATTGCTGTCAATACCAAGTGCCAGCACAGGTGGTTCAATGATCGTGGAGACCCGGAAACACCTGCCTCAAGAACTTTTAATATGAACCATGGTGAATACCAGAGTAACGATTGGACAAGGCTCCACCAACAGCAACCTGGCCATTAGGACCAACACTCAAAAACGCGCGCAGCTGCAACCAGCCGAGCAGAGAAGAATCTGAAGCTGGCCGGCTTCAAACAATCTGACCGGTGCTCCACGGTTCTCGAAAGCTTTGAAGACATAGAGGAGACATTGTTCAGGTTTATACATTCATGGTTGAATGTTGGAATTGAGATGGTCAATGCGAGCTCCATGACTTCAGGTCGGAATGGAGCGAACGCAGTGGCCGGGGATTATGCAAAATTGTTGATTGCGAGATGTCGAACTGGGGCCCTTCCCAGCAACACACACACACACACACACACATTGTGTAAGCATTCTCAGCGACAATTACTGGCTCCACGCACGAGTAGCACTCCTTCTTTCCTCACCACTGTCGCCCTCTCACTCTTGCTTCAGTAAACAACAGTACACCACGGTGAGCATCCGCGCAACGCCGTAGCCCTTTCGATCCTCAAGCAATCCCCACTGTCTGTTTCGCTTCACCTTACGGGCCCGCCATTACCTCACAGTCCGCTCTCATCATAAACACAGATCATGGAATACGAGCAACGAGTGAGTCTACACTCTAACCTACGCCCAAAGAGACCTCGAGTTTCCGGAGCCGCGTTATGCGCGGATACTCGTTCTCAGCAAGAACATGAGAAAGTCATTGTAGACGACACGACTTGGAATGAGGGCGATTTCACCCTCATCAGTTCAGACAACATTCCTTTCAAAGTCCTCTCCCACCACATTCTGTCCACTGTGAGTGGCGAGGCTGGCCAGAATGAAGTGATATTGATCCTCACCAACTGAATCAGAGTACTGTCTTCCGACACGGGCGTGAATACGCCACCAGTGGCCACGATACCATCGAGTTCACCGACACCACCTTTGAGACTGCGGTTACCCTTCGCGACTTCCTCCGAGCAATCACCCAGGGACACTTTCTGACCAAATACTATCCACACGCCAAAGGGGAATGGATCGGAACGACAGCTGCTGTGAACCTTTCCGCGTTCTTGGGCAAGTGGGAGTGTGAGGCGGCCCTTTCCTCATTGAAGATTCACAGCCTTCAACGGCTCAGTGAGGAAGACATCGGCCCGGTGAAGTTTTTCGTCGTTGGTTCAGTTCTCAACGACTCACACATTTGTTACAAGTCACTCCTCTCACCCTACTGGCACCACAACAGTACAGGGAACACTGGCCGCGGTTCAAGCAAGTCCATTGCTGCGAGATTCCCCAGGCTTTCCGGGCCCTCGCTTGATCCTACGGCCCTGTCATACGATACGTACAATCAGATTCCTACCGCCTACATGTGGGCACTTACGCGTGCCTGGGCAGAAGGCAAGGATCCCAAGGATACTGCCCAGAAGTTCTTGGGCTTTATTAGTTACACGAAAGGGATGTCGTCGAGTATCAAGCGTTGTTGCATAGTGACTGACCCTCAGCGCATAAGGGTCTAGCAAAGTCAAAGGCCGATGGGTGACAGTCGAGTTGAGCTCCCCAAGTGTTCCTCTGGTCTCTGGGTCTGGGAGGAGGTCACAGATATCGAGTGTGGGATACAGTAGAGTAAATGTACGTGGAGACTCATTTGCACAGCTGATGCATAGCCATTCACCTGTATACGCAGTACACCTCATGCACACACTACTGTACACTCTGGCACACCACGGTCGACCAGGCTAACAGCAGAGGTTCACAGACACTTGTGCCCCAGTGATACCGTAACCGACGCAGTTAGCATCGTGCATACTCGTGTACATCAGCAGCGTAAAGCTCATTGCCCACGAGACCAAGTCCTGCCATTAGCCATCTGTGCGCAAACGTCCCAACAGTTTACAGTTTGCAGCGCCTAGAATGTGGGCCGGGGGGGTGGTGTGACCCACAATGCGCCCCTTCTGATGCCGCACCAAACAGAAGGCTCGAGCCACAACACACAACTTTTGTAACCTCAAACAGCGCACCGCTTTCGTCCTCCACGACACCTCTTGCACCTCTTCATCCCATTCCATTCCACGGGGTGGTTTCAGTCATGAGTGCTTCAACTACCTTGGCGGGTTCCATGGCCACCCCCGACAGCATCCCTCCGCACATCAACATCAACAGCAACGTCGACAATGACATCGACAAGCACAACCCCGACAGTGACGACTCCGACTCGGACACCGAGTCCATCACGGACAACGCACTCTGGATTGAGGGCGACTTCATCTTGATCAGCTCGGACAACACCCGCTTTCGCATCCAGTCGTTCCACTTGTATGCGGCTGTGAGTGCAACATGAAGACACTGTCTGTAGCTTCCACTTACACCGCAATCTAAATCAGAGTCGTGTTTTTCAAGATGCCAAGAGTTTAGCCGTCGGCGAGCTCAAGCTTCACCTGACTGATCCGACTACAGAAAACGCGGACACTATCCACCACTTTCTCCGCCTCATCACTAGCGGTAACGGCCTTGGGTATAAGTACCCTGATGCGTGGATCGGACTCGAGAAGGCCGTCAACCTCGTCGCTTTCCTCAAGAAGTGGGAATCCAAGGCAGCTCTGAACTCTGTGGCCTATCAAGCCCATCAAATCCTTTCCGACCATGGTATCAGTCGCATGGACTTCTTCATTCTTGGAGCGGTGCTTGACGATCCATACTTTTGCAGCAAGGTGCTCAAGTCAACTCCTCAGTCGTACCAGTCCAGCTTGGGAGGACCCAAGTCCTGGGAAACGAAAGCCTTGGTCGACGGCAGGGGCGACGCCGATACCGCGGATCCTACCGCCTTGCCGTACGATACATGGCTACTCATCCCCCCCGACTACTACTGGGCACTTGTCCGCGCCTGGGGAGAGTCCACCGGCAACAAGAGCAACCTTGCTATCAGATTCCTTAAGCTCATTCAAGCAGTGAAAAGTGAGTTTGATGCCCGTCATTTTGAACTAACCAAGTTCCAGGTCAGAAGCTCCATGCGGCGCCGTGACGGATGTTCGCTACGTCGATCACACCGCATACTGTTTCCCGGCGAAGGTTATGGCCCGTATCTACCCTCTCCGCCATAAGATTACTACTGGCTCTACCCCTCACTCGACTCTCGATCCCTCAAGCCCTTCTCTGAGACCCGCAAGCCTTCGTCTAAAGCCGGTGGGCTCGCGCACCTTTCTGTACACACCAGTACCCTCCACCCACCAACCACACATGAGGCTTCCCCTCTCCCCTCTCCCCAACCCGACCGACGCTCGCCCCACAAGCAGGGTATATTATCATGCAGTCTTGTAAATACATGAGAATGTGAAACACCTGTAGCCCGACACAAACACACCTGTACACCATTTGACTGATTCCGTCCCATTTTGTCCTTGAGAAAGCCCGCCACATGGAACTCTTGAGACAGGGTTCTACTTTAAGCCGTGGCCCTTGTGACCGGCTGCATCTTAGGCTCAGTTAGGTGCAAGAAGCATGCTCCTAGGCCCGTCTGGGTGCACGGTGGAAAGGTGATGGTGGCTCATGGCCCAGCCAATGGCGGGCGGGAGCCTGTATTGTACACGAGCTCGCTGGCGTGGGCCATGGTTGTGGGGTTGGTGATGAGTGGGGGGTCACTGGCCGGATCCCAGTCTCACTCCGTTCTCAAACTACACTATTGTACTGGATTTGTGCGCTCATGGCTTGACGCCGTCGTTGATGATTTCAAGGTAAGACAACAGACCGCGACGAGGCAACTTGGAAACTGAAAATCAGGAAATTCAAGTCAATCACGGAAAATAGTTTTATTCTCGAACAATCAGCCTGATCTGGTGTCCCGCCACCATCAAACCACGTCCGCATTGTCAGTCGCATCTCGAAACGCCAACAGAGACTACTGGCCTACTGGTCGCCCCCACAGGGTGCAATGTCGCGGCGGTACTGTTAAAAGCCACTGCCCATCGTGACTTACTCTCAATTCATCCACAACTTACTCCACTCCAACTGCGACATGGAAACTCTGGAGTCTGAAACCAAAATGTCCGTCCAGCCTGATGGTGACACCATGGAAGACTCAAGAGATCAAGTTGAGGACCATCCTGACTGGGTTGAGGGCGACTTCACCCTCGTCAGTTCCGACAATGTCCGCTTTTGCATTCAGTCGTGTCATGTCCTTTCTGCGGTGAGCTGCTTTGTGTTGATGTGGACTCGGTACCATAACTCACTACTTTCTCTCCAGAGTCACATGTTCCGGACCGCCGGTCGCCTTGCCACGACTGGCGACTCCACCATCGAGTTCACCGACACCGTTCTCGAAACGGCCACTGTCATCAACAACTTTTTGAGGACGATATCCACTGGGAATGGGTTGTACTATACCTACCCTGTCACTCAGGATGATTGTGGTTGGCTGAAGGAATGGATCGGGATTGGCCATGCGATAAACCTTGTGGGATTTCTCAGCAAGTGGGAGTGTGAAGCCCAACTGTCCTCCATGCGGCTTCAGGCTCGCTACTTGCGCAGTGAAGCCTCTGAGTGTAATTCACACTACTTCTTCATGTTGGGTGCGCTTCTCGACGATCCCGGCTTGTGCTTCCAGGCCTTGGAGAGTTTTGATATCTGGGATGACGGGGATGACGGCAACGAGGGAGAGTTTGGCGGCAGGGTGGGTTGTGCGATGATTGATCCGACGGCTCTCCCCTTTTGGGCTTGGTCCATTTTGCCATCGAACTACCTTTGGGCTCTCACGAGGTCATGGGGACACGTCAAGACGTCCCGCAGGTCCAAACATGAGGTCGAGACGGTTGAGGACACTTTCCTTCGCCTGATGAAGGCCATCAAAGGTATGTCCCCTTGGAACGCAGGCAGGCCCTGATGCATTCCCAGAAAAGAATACGCCTCACACAGAGAGGGGCAGCTGAGACCGATGGTTCCATCGAGGACGAAGACTCCGAAGACGAATAATGAAACTCGATTATGTCACGCTGTCGTGGAGCCTGTTGATGTCGAGATCACGACCAATTCTTATGAGATCATGAGATGTCTGTGTCACTTGGAGGACGTGTCTCCATCTGTCGACACCACCAGAAACGTCTTCATGACCTCTTCGCTAGTATATCGGTTAGTATAACCGCCTCTCAACAGAGAGAGCCTTCTTCACAAGGAGCATCGCGGTAGAGCAGGGTTCAACTCCCTGGCGGAGAAGACAAGCACGTCTAGGTGCTTATCTTTTGGCCAAGAATCGACCTGGACGGATACAGGGCAGGGTGGCGAAGTCGTAAGGAAGTATGACCAGGTGGCGAAGGCTGGGCTTGACAATGGCTCGAGTTTCCTCCCAGAACTGAACAACCTGACGTCAAGACTTGGCCAAACTGTACTTAAATACAGCCTCTCTCCCTAAAAAGCATGTCGTTTATCGCGCGCAAAGCTCAGCTCAGGTCACAGGGTTGCGGACAGACATGACGCATTCCCCGCCACATTCCTGGATTGAAGTCAAAGAATCAACTACTTTTACCTTCCAAGAGCATGACCACGTACCGTGCAAGCACCATGAAGCTTGAGTACACTCCTCCGGTCCATAAACACCATGCATGCTTCCTAGATGGATGCTTCGTAGCGTGTGTTACTTTTGACAGGTGGCCACAAAGGCTAGGGTGGCTGGCGAGCCCACAGGTTTGTGGACATGATGACGGAAGCAAATCTGCAACCGGCCCGTGTGCTTCTTGTTGTGTTGTTGACGTTCCTCTGTTCCCGTCGTCATCAACTCTCTCGCATCATTCAACAACTGACCGCAGTGTCGTGTCGAGGTACGTCTAGACCCATCACCACCCATCACTGCCCATCACCAAGAGCCTACACCCCCATATCCCCTCTTCACGGCCTGGATGGCTCCCACTGCGGCCCTGTTTGGTCACCAAGGACGCGACTGACTTTCCTTCAGCACCTCGCCATGCCTGTGCGTCCCGTGCCCCTCGCCGCGCGCACGCGGTCCATGGCACGACGTGTATCCACGGATAGCGCGTCAAGCTCCATGTCGAGCTCGGTACCTCCGACAAGCACCCAGTCAGCGGTGCGCGCAAGTCTGAGCAAGCCACCACCCGCGAGCCGCATCCCAACAAGGAGAATGGGCACGCGCCGTACCCCGGCCCCAATGTCCATGTCCGTGTCCGTCCCTAGTCCAGCAATTCCTGCCGCAACTACTCCACCTCCGCCTACTGGATCTAAGAGGAAGGCAGATGATGCCCTCGACGCGAGGAAGAAGGCGCGCTGTGAAGATGCCGCGCCACCCGCTATTGCGCAGACATCAACCGACTGTGGAACCCCGTCCGCACCAGCGGTGGCGCAGCGGCCTTCAACACCGGGCATGGATGTAGACTGGACCAGCACTACCCCTCCACACTCGCCATGCCGCACATTCGTACCAGTGACACCGACATCTCGCACCATTGCACCCCTCCCCCGCACGCCAACCGCGCAGATTGCAGGATCGCGGGTTTCTGTTGCTACCACCACAGCAACCGCCCATGACGTTTCCCGCCCACACATCACAGAAGATGAGAAGCCTTCCGCCGTCCCCCAACCACCTGCACCACCCTCTGTGATTGAGCGTTTTCCGCACAATGGTATCCCAGTCTTCTCCAACTCTCTCGCAGCCCAACATGTCACGCGATCGCCTGCGGCACGTCCCCCACTCCTGGCGACGGCCTCTCCTTTCTACCAGCCTCAGCGGGTACCCGCTTTGATGCCGAGCCCCCCGAGGACTATGCCGTTGGCCCATATGACAATCCCTATTATCCAGGTTACCGACACAAACGGCGACTGTGAGATCATGGGCGAGGAGCCTCCAGTGGCGTCCGGGGTGACCCACGAACTCCAGGTTGCGACCACTTCCGCCGACGCAGAAATGCAATCCACCTCGGCCGATGCTGTGCTGCACACGCCCGGGACCGCGCTCGCCATCACCGACAATGTGACCCCCAGCGAAGACATGGACATTGACATTGACGTCGCTCTTGAACCTGCACCCATGCCCCAAGTCGAGATCCCCGAGACCATCCTCGAGGCCGCTGAGCCCGGCGACACCCCGGACACCAAAGTAGCACCGGTAATCCCTCGCTCTGCTGTTGCCGGCCCGTCACGCTCTCGCCCACCTACGATTCTTTCCTCTTTGCCAGTTCGCCGTCCATCGACACGTCCCCTTTTGCATGCTGCCCCTGCAGAGACCCTCACGCAGGCCGTTGTCACGGAACCCATCCTTCGGCGCAAGCCATCCTATCCTTCATCCCTCGGCTCTGGACCGCTTGCCCGCCCCACGCAACGCGTCGTTTCCAACCCTATGCGCATGTTCAACCCTCCTCCAGCTGTGGATAATGACCCATCACCGACCTCTCCTCGCTCCGTGTCCGAGCCCGTTCGCAAGCCTCAGTCAACACGTCCTCGTATGAGCCTCAGCATGTCGACACGTCACCAGGACACTACGCGGAACCTAGCCGGTCTAAACGATGCCCTCGCTAGGCTTCGCATTCCCTCCGAGACGCGTACTCGCCGCCCACCGTCGGTGCTCATGGAAGAGCGCCCCTTGAGTGCTTCCGCTCCTGCACGCATGTCCAACCCTGCTGCCCGCAAGCTTGGCGAGAAGAACCAGAACACCAACGGCGGCCTGGGCGATATCAAGGATGCCACTGGGACATTCCTCAAGGGCGTGGTCGCGTATGTCGACGTGTACACCGCCGAGGGCGACGATGCCGGCAGTACGTTTGCCGACATGCTCCGCAAGTGTGGCGCGAGAGTGCTGGTGAAGCGCCCAACTGAAATGTGCACCCACATCATCTACAAGGGCGGCCGCTCAGCCACAGCCTCCTTTGTCCGGAAGCTCCCTGCTGAGAAGCGCCCACATGTTGTGGGCATCAAGTGGGTGACTCGCTGTGCGGCGACTCGTTCGCGTCTGCCCGAGACCGAATTCCTCGTCAACCTCGACACCGAGGATGTGTTCCAGGTCCGTCGCAAGTCGATGGAGCCCAAGAGCCTCGTTCCTGTCAAACCTCTTGTCTACAATGTCCCCTCCGGAATCAGCGGTGGCCTGCGTGCCGCGCTCGCCCCGTCTGCCGCCCAGAACCAGCAACGTTATGCCCGTGAGTTGATTTTGCTGTGGGTCCATGAGGCAACGCTAACTCCCGCTTCAGCCAAGATTAGTTCGCCACTCAAGAAGTCGTCCTACGTGCCTTATGACGATGAGAATAGCATGTAGTTTTATGTTCAGATGAGATGTACGGTGTTTATTGTTTATGCATGGGTTCTTGCTTCAAGCAGCATGTGTCACGGCTGAGAAGCAATTCCTTGAGGCAGGTCATTTCGAAAACACACCACGTGTGATCGGATCGCCTGGGATGATCGAGGGTGATCGTAGTGTGTTTCTCACAAATTTACTTCCGTCGCCACCGATTGTTGTTCCACCCTCAACTCGCCGCGGCCGTCCATCCTCATCATCTTGAACCCAACTCCCTGCCATGTCCGAAGGCAAGATCTCATTCTCGTTTGGCGGCAAGCCAGCAGCCAAGAATGGCGCCGCCGCTCCTGCCGCTGGTGTCGCTGCTCCCATGTCCAACATGGAGCTCCTGATGGCCAAGGCCAAGGGAGGAAAGCCAGCGGCCAAACCCGCGCCCAAGCCGATCGGCAACCTCTTTGGCGACGACGATGACGACAACGCGCCGCGACCACCACCAACCGCTGGACCGTCGAAGCAAAAGAAGCCCGCGGTCGCCATGATGTCACGCGCCGAGCGCAAGGCGCAGCAAGAAGCCCTCAAGATTGACCAAAGTGTGTTCGACTATGACGGCGTGTTTGACACGATGAAGGCGGCCGAGCGCGAGCTCGAGGAGAAGCAAAAGGAGGTCAACAAGGAGAACAAGCCCAAATACATTGAGAGCTTCCTCCAGGCCGCAGCTACTCGACGACTGGACCGGTTGCGCGCCGAGGAGAAGATGCTCTCCATCGAGCGCGAGAAGGAGGGCGACGAGTTTGCCGACAAGGAGAAGTTTGTCACCGAGGCATACAAGAAGCAGATGGAAGAGGTCCGCAAGGCCGAGGAGGAGGAGAAGGCGCGTGAAGGTGAGCTATGATCTGTCGAGCTTGAGCTAACAGTCACAGTGGAGGCGCGGAAGGGCAACAAGGGACCCGGTCTCACGTCGCTCTACAAGACAATGTTGGACGACAACGCCGCCAAGCACTCTGCTGCCATGGCGGCGACTTCAAATGCGGCTATCGGTCCGTCGCTCGCCATTAAGCCTCCCTCTGCTCCGGCCTTTGACGACGAGGAAGAGTACGACCCGTTGCTCGCCGCCGAGGCGAAGAAGTCCAAGGCCAAGTCTGGCATCTCTGCTGAGACTGGCAAGGAAGTCGAGATCAACGACGAGGGCGAGGTGGTCGACAAGCGCTCTCTGCTCAAGGCCGGCTTGAACATTACCAAAAAGCCCCAGCCCGCTCTCCCCAACTCGCTCCTGACCGGCCAGCGCTCCACAACAAACACCAACGACAACCAGCCCTACGTCTCTCGCGCGGTGGGATCAGCAGCGACCTACCAGGAGCGTATGGCACGTGAGCGCAAGCGCCTGGCTGACCAGATGCGTGCTCAAGAGGAAGAGAAGCGCGCAGCAGCGGCCCAGCATGCACGTGACGAGGAGGAGGCGGCACGTAGGCGGCGAGAAGGCGATGATGGCGAGGCTGCGCGCAAGCGAGCCGAGGCCAAGGAGAGGTTCATGGCACGTAAACGCGAGAGGGAGGAGGCCGATGCGGCCAGGAAGAGGCACAAAGAGTAGTCACGAGTAGTCCCAATCATATAGCCACCGTTTGATTCCGCCTGGTGCAACCACGATGGACGCTGTGCCGCTGTACCGATTGTTATCACTGTCCATGCAACTCGAGAAGGCCAAGGCCATCGAAGAACGCGAGCGGGTTGAGGAGTAGCTGTAGCCCGACGAGCCCGACAAGGCGCCTTTTGAATAGGCTTCACGGATCGCCGCCAACCACATGGCATCCTGGCGGAGATTCCCTCGCCGTTGCCGCCGTCTTCTCCCACGCCGTCCAACACGCTCCGACGGAGGATCCCTTGCCACAGCACCGCCAGAGCTCGCAGGCCGGTTCACCCCCCTCTCGAGAATTTCGACTTCATCACCAGCAAGACAGAGGACTGTCCCCGCACCGGGACCCATTTCCAAGTTCTACCGTGCACGAGGCGGATTTCTCTGCTGCCGCACATGCGGAGAACACGCCCCTTCGTCAAGCTCGGCACGACGGCACCAGTTGGGCTTCCCTCGGCCGCATCTTCCTGACCATCCGCCTGGAACAGCGTGTGCCCGCTCGCTTGTGACATGGAAGTGTGGCACCAAGTGCGGATGTGACAGGGAGAAGACCCACACAGCCAAGGTTCTCTTCTCAAAGTCCCAGGCAGGACGATTCGTGAGTGGCCGTGTTCCTACAAAGACCTCCTGCGATCCTGATTAACACGTTTCAGATTTGCCAAGAGTGCTTCCACCGATCCACCGATCCACCGATGGTACCTTGAGAACGGCCGCAGAATACCTCCACCTCGACGTCCTACAAGCAAGTCACTGGTTGCCAAGCGGAACTACTGGGCCAGTGAGAAGGTGGTCTGCTATGACTGCAACATTTGCCAAGTTGTACACCCTCCCCGCCGCAGACTTAGGCGTTATCGGTGCCCGCTGGTGCCGACCATGCCATAATCGGAAAAAGGGCATTCACCTTCAAGACGGACAGACATGTGCGAGCTGCCCGCGTACCTCATCCCCGGTGTGGAACCTGGTGTACAACGAACAGGGGAGGTGGTGCCAGAGAAGAAGTTGTGGGGACCGTGCTCCCACAAGCGCTACCGCGCATCGGCCCTCTCTGGGCACACCTGTGCCAAGTGCAAATGTGAACACGGCGTGCTGGGTCCAGACTGGCGACATAACTGTAAGTGCAGGGCTTGCAACTCCGAAGGCATACACAAATGGCTGACTATGGAAAAAGGTCTGTCTCTGGTGTTCTAACCAGCAACAAAACGACGCCACGCGTGCTGAGAGAGCCGCTGCGTCGCGTGCCCGCATCGTGGCGCAGATCCAGGTCACCCAGAACACTCACCGGGCTGCAAAAAATGGCCCAGCCGCTAAACGCAAAGCCGATCAGCGGCCATGACCGCAAGGGTCAAATCGTTTGTTGCGAGTGCGACAAGTGCGATCCAGACACGGACTACATCACCGCCTCGGTCGACGGCACGAAGCTTGTATGCTCGTCATGCTACAACAAGCGCGCCTGGGAGAACGTGAAGGTGGGCTTCGCCTGTGACACGTGCCTCAAAAACTGGACGTTTCTCTGGCTGGATGTTGAAGACGACAAGAAGGGGGTGCCTCACTTGCTCCCGCGAGCGGAATAAGACTGCCACGCTCCTCGCCCACCTTCACGACGTCGTGGCGCAGCTCAAGGTACCGGCACGCTCGTTCCAACCTCCATCCAGCTGCATCTTTGGCCGTGAGACGTCGTCGCAATGGGCCAACTTTTACAAGATCGACAACGCCTATACACCCTCAACTGTCATGGTCTCAAGTCCACACTGCAACGACTCTGCAAGAAACGTGCTTGGTCTCCGACTTCTGGATTGTCTACGCCATTTCGTTCCCAGTTCCCACAAACGTTGTTCCGGGAGTCTAGTTTCTCTACACGAGGAGACCCATGTATAGTACCAGGTGTGGGTCCTTGCCGGTTGTCGGGCTGCAAGGTGGCATCCACCAGTACAGGAGATTCCGTTATTCTGATTGCTCCTGCTGCGCTTTCTGTGCTTGTAAAAACGACAGTAAATGCGATTCAATCCTGCTGTACCTCCATTTCTGTAACTTCCCCCTTCCAGGTTCCCCAGCAGACAGACAGCCTGTAGCGTTCCAACCGCCATGTTGTTGTTGTTGTTGCTGCTGCTGCTGGCGATGATGTTGGCAGTGCCATTGAAGACTGGTGTGAATTTGGTGCCCCACACTGTGTGGTGCCCCGCGCTCCACCTGCGACCGCTTGGATCGCTTGGACGGCGGAAACGGAGGAACGCGGAGGCACAATCGCACACGTTTGACCGCGTTTAGAAATTAGAAATTCCAGAAAAAAATGGGGCTCAGCAAAAACTGTGTTTCTCCCCACTCTGGTCCACTTTGGTGCTCCTTACCATGGGGTCTCGGTGTCACTCTGTAGCATGGCCATAGCTGGGGACCATTAAACACGATACAACGTTGATGGAAGCGCCATTACTAGAAGGTCCTGGGCTTTGTGTGTCTTTACCGTCTTCCGAATCCACCGTTTGGCACCACCACAGTTGTGACTCGTGGCTAGTGGCGCCGTTGCCCTGTGGTGTCTACCGAGGGCAAACACCGACGTGGGACCACTCTGTCTTTGGTATCTGGGAGCGCTGTTGTGATCACGTCGACAACGTGCCATGGGGCCATTGCAATTGGGAAGTGTCGTGGGCGAGTTTTTCGGCGGACCGCGCTTGGTGTGTGTCGCGAGCCCTGCCAGCTGCCAGGATCCCTGCCAGGAGCCCTGGTCAGCCGTCCGAGCGTCTGAGCTTGGCCAGCGTCCATCACGATATGCACAGGGCTCTGATCTCTTGAGGGTGACGCCACTTGGCCAGCCGTTTGATGTCATGGGCAAGGCCCATTTTGCTCTCGTATGATCCATTTGAGGGTGTGTGGCCTGTATCGGCTCATGTGCCCAGCACGCCAGCGGCCAGCCAGCCCAGCCATTTCGGAAGGGGCAGCACTGGCCCAAGAAGGCGTGACCCTTCACACGTCGTGCTAGTAAAAAGTAATTTCCAACGGCCCAACCTTCCAGGAGCGGCCAGGCGGGCAGGCTGGGGGCCTGGCGATTTGATCCCGCCGCCCGGACACGTTCGCGGGTGGGAGTCGACCCACTTTATAAAATCCACTCCCCCGCGCATCTCGTCTTTTTCTTCCACCACACCCCCCTTCACCCCCCCCTCTCCAACTAAAAACATCTTCACAATGGTCGCTTCTGCTACCCTTGGTTATCCTCGCGTGGGAACCGGTCGTGCCGCCAAGAAGGTGAGTTGTCATCAGGCGTGCTGCCTGGAACTCGACGGAGCATCATAGCTGCAACGTGGAACCCAGAACATGTTGCTGACTTTTTCTCCAGGCCATCGAGGCCTACTGGGCCGGCAAGATCTCGGAGGAGGACCTCCAGACCGCTGCCAAGGCTATCCGTCAGGAGCGTTGGGAGTCGCAGAAGAACGCTGGTGTCGACCTCATTCCCTCGGGGTGAGTATTTCCCTTTCCCACCACTTTTTGTCCACCCATTCCTCGTCATCTGAACTCCCTTCCACTTTGTTACTCCTTTCCTTCCTGTTCATTGCTTCCTTCCTGTTCACTGCTAATTGGATAGAGAGTTTACCCTGTACGACCACCTGCTCGACCACTCGTTCAACTTTAATGTCATCCCCGAGCGCTTCACCAAGCAGGGCCTCTCGCCTCTCGACACATTTTTTGCCATGGGCCGTGGTCACCAGGACCGCGCCAAGGGCATTGACGTTGCCGCCAACGAGATGGGCAAGTTCTTCGACTCGAACTACCACATCGTCAAGGTCGACCACGCCCCCGAGACCGAGTTCAAGATCAACCGCAACCAGGCTCTCGAGGAGTACGAGGAGGCCAAGGCTCTCGGCATCGAGACCCGCCCCGTCCTGTTCGGCCCCATCACCTACCTCTCGCTTGTTCGCAAGTCGCGTGACGCCCCCGCCGAGTTCAAGACCCTCGACCTGATTGAGAAGCTCATCCCCGTCTACGTTGAGATCCTCGAGTCGCTCAAGAAGGCCGGTGCCGCCTCGGTCCAGCTTGACGAGCCCATCCTTGTCACCGACGCCGGAGAGGAGCTTGGCGACCTTTACAAGTCGACCTACGAGAAGCTCGCCGCCGCTGGCCTCCCCATCACCCTCACCACCGCCTACGGCCGTGTCGGCAAGTCGATCGAGTTCCTTAAGGAGCTCCCCATCGCTGGCCTCCACCTCGACCTTAACCGCGAGCCCAAGCAGCTCGACGCCGCCATCGAGGCCGTCAAGGACACCAAGATTGTTCTTGAGCTTGGTCTCATCTCGGGCCGTAACATCTGGAAGAACGACCTCAAGGCCTCGCAGGCCATCGCCGAGAAGGCCATTGCCGCCCTCGGTGCCGACCGCGTTGTCATCTCGACCTCGTCGTCGCTCCTCCACACCCCCCTGACCACCAAGGTCGAGACCAAGCTCACCGCCGAGCAGCTCTCGTGGCTCTCGTTCGCCCAGGAGAAGTGTGCTGAGGTCGCTGCCCTCGCCACTGTCCTCTCGGGCAAGGAGTCGGAGCTCTTCGAGCAGAACACCAAGGACATTGCTGCCCGTCGCGAGTTCGAGCGCACCTCGGACTCTGCCGTCCGTGACCGTGTCGCCGCCATCACCCCCGAGATGCTCTCGCGCAAGGACGCCTTCCCCGTCCGTCGTGAGGCCCAGAAGGCCCACCTCAAGCTCCCCAAGTTCCCCACCACCACCATCGGCTCGTTCCCCCAGACCAAGGAGATCCGTGTCGCTCGTGCCAAGTTCGGCAAGGGTGAGCTCACCCAGGAGCAGTACGAGACTGCCATGGAGAACGAGATCAAGTCGGTTGTCGACTTCCAGGAGAAGGTCGGCCTCGACCTCCTCGTCCACGGCGAGCCCGAGCGTAACGACATGGTTCAGTACTTCGGCGAGCAGCTCACCGGCTTCATCTTCACCCAGCTTGGTTGGGTCCAGTCGTACGGCTCGCGTTACGTTCGTCCCCCCATCATTGTTTCGGACGTCTCGCGCCCCACCCCCATGACCGTCCGCTGGTCGTCGTACGCCCAGTCGGTCTCCAGCAAGCCCATGAAGGGTATGCTTACCGGCCCCGTTACCATCCTTAACTGGTCGTTCCCCCGTGCCGACGTCTCCAAGGAGGTCCAGTCGAAGCAGCTCGCCCTCGCCCTCCGCGACGAGGTTGTTGACCTTGCCAACGCCGACATCCGCGCCATCCAGGTCGACGAGCCCGCTATCCGTGAGGGTCTCCCCCTCCGTCGCGAGGACTGGGACGAGTACCTCACCTGGGCCGTTGACTCGTTCCGTCTCTCGACCTCGGGTGTTGAGAACGACACCCAGGTCCACTCGCACTTCTGCTACTCGGACTTCGGAGACATCTTCCCCCACATCCAGCGTCTTGACGCCGACGTCATCTCGATCGAGGCCTCGAAGGCCGACCTCAAGCTCCTTGACGTCTTCGCCAAGCACGGCTACTCGAACGAGATCGGCCCCGGTGTTTACGACATCCACTCGCCCCGTGTCCCCTCGGAGCAGGAGATCAAGGACCGCCTTGTCGCCTTCGCCAAGGTTATCCCCGCCGACCTCCTTGTCGTCAACCCCGACTGTGGTCTCAAGACCCGTGCTTGGAAGGAGACCGAGGAGTCGCTTGCCAACCTCGTCGCCGCCGCCAAGTGGGCTCGCGAGAACCTTTAAGCGTCACCTCTATTCAATTTAGAGAACGCAACCCCCCCGGGACAAGACACGTCCTATAATGTCTTGCACCCAAAACAATAACACATTAACTTTGCATTAAAAGGACCTCAACCGTCCACCACAATCCCCACCCCCCAAATTCCATCACTTTGATACCACATTTGTGTCCACAGCCGAGTTGTTGAAAAAAGCGATAGTCGTAACAGAGTAGCAGCAGTATAAAAATGAAAGCCTGTTCAACCGGCACAGATATTTGATGCAGAGCACACACCTGGAGAGGAGTAGCACTGACAGGCGAGTGGGAATAAATGGTGTCTGGACAGTGATGGCGGCGAGCCTTCTGCCTGTACGAAAGCGTGGAAGGAATGCGCAGATACCTTTGGAGGTACTGTACCTGGAGGACCTTGGCATCGCTATCAACGTGCCTGTGAGTCTTCATCGTGCAGAGACTGGTCCTGTGGCCTGTGGCGCGTCGCAGGTGCTGGTCAAGACGGACGCGCATGGTGCGTGGCCGAGGTGAGACATGAGAGGGGGGGTTGTGACCAGGTGACACAGGTGACATACCGAACACCGTCCATGGGCAGTTGAAGCGGCGGCCATCGCCGAACACATCGCCCCCCACACCAAACACGCCACCGCTGCATGTGCCCACCCAGTTGCCGTCGTAGCCGCGGACGCGCTTGGTAATTGGTACCCGTTCTGCGCATGGCGTTCTACGCTGCCTTGCCATGACACGGCGACTGGCTGCCGTGCCCGAACTGTCAGCCCGGCCAGCCCAAGCTGCAGCCAGATGCAGCCTGGCAAGCACGCCTCTGCGTACATGTGTCGCGCGGTCTTGGCCCCGACGTGCGACACGGCCTCGGCAACACGCATGGGCATGCGGGGCAGTGACCCCAGTGTCATGTTAAATACCCGGGCGCCCATGGGGCCCAAGTGGTGCAGCTCAACATCCTCGCGTCTCCTTCTCCTCTACAATCAACATTCTCAACATGCAAGGTGTCGCCCTCGTCACTGGTGGAGCTTCGGGTGTGAGTGCCCCTTGGGGACCGTGGCAGTCATTGCAGCCCTTTGGTCACTGACACGCCTGCAAAGATCGGCGCTGCTACCGCGCGCAAGTTCCTCCTCAAGGGTGTGGACAAGGTCACCATTGCCGACTTTAACGCGCCTCTGCTGGCTTCGTACGCTAAAGACCTCGAGGCCGAGTTCCCCAACGCGCAGATCCTCCCCATCGTCACCAACGTTGCCGACGAGAAGGACATCAAGAAGATGGTTGACGAGACGGTTGCCGTGCGTACCGGGGAAGGGACGAGGAAGGAGGAAGGAGGGGACGCGTCCGCTGTGGACTGACACGTCCTGCAGAAGTTTGGCCGCCTCGACTACTGCGCCAACTGTGCCGGTATCAGCATGGTCCACCCCATCAACGAGTTTGAGACTGCCTCGGTACGTCTGGCGCCATGCGAGCTCGGCCCTCGACGCTGCCTTTGCTGACCTTGGCGTAGTGGGACAAGGTGATTGGCGTCAACCAGAACGGTGTCTTCTTTGCTCTCCGTGAAGAGATTGCCCAGATGCAGAAGCAGGACCTCGTCCCGTGAGTTTCTCAACACCCAGCTACACGTCCCTCTTGAAGCTGACACCCAAAAGACACCCGGGACGTGAACGCGGTGCTCGCCGCGGTGCCATTGTCTCAATTGCCAGTATCGCCGGTCTCCGCGCCATGCCCCACAGTGCTGCCTACGTTGCGAGCAAGCACGCCGTCATTGGCCTGACCAAGACTGCCGCCATTGAGAATGGCCCCAACGGCATCCGCGTGTGAGTCACCGTTCGCAGGCCTCGTTCTCGCAAAGCATGGGACTGACGGAACAGCAACTGCGTCGCGCCCGGTATCATCATCACGCCCGTACGTCCCCCCCAAAAAAAAAACATTCAGACAGTCTTGATCTAACACGCCGTGCAGCTCACCAAGGCCGTCAACGAGGTCAATCCCCAGTTCCTGCCCATGGCCACCAGCACGATGGCCACTCCGCTCTCCCGTGGTGGCCAGCCCGAGGAGGTCGCCGACGTCATTGTCTTCCTGTGCAGTGACGAGGCGTCGTTTGTGTCGGGCTCGACGTGGGAGATTGACGGCGCCATGACCGCCAAGTAGAGTCTTGTCCGTCCACATAATGCGAATGAATGAAGTCTATGTTGCAGAGCGCAGAGCGTGCCAGCCAGTTGTCCCATCCACTTTCTGCCCTTGTCAACAACACCACGTAACCGCACACCGAGTGCCCCGCATGGTGCCCGGTAATGGGCGCTCCGGGGCCCGGCGGCATTTGCGGCAACGGCAGAATCAAGTTCTACTGACACAATCCATTGCGTTGGGGCGGGGGGCAAGCGTCCAGAGTTATCCCGTGCACGCAGACCATTGCCCCGCATCGCCGCGGCCTTAACAGCATGTCCAGTTAGTCACATGAGCGGTGCGCTCGCTTCCGCAGCAAATGTCAGTCGGACATGGGCAAGACGCAAGACGCAAGCCAAGGCAAAAGGCAAGGCACACCTCGCCGCCACGGCTTCCTAGATGCCAACTTTCCGGTCACACGGCAGCGCCTTCAATAGCTCAGTAGCCGACTGCAAGACACTATAAAGTACCTCTAAACCAGAAGCGTCGGCTCACAGCGTTCCCGAACTCTCACCTATCACTGACATTGTCTCAACCATGGTCACTCAATCCACAACAAACTCAAACGCAGTCGCTCTCGTTACCGGTGGCAGCAGCGGCGTGGGTACCTTTGCTGCTTCCCATCGCTTACCCTCTCAGATCGGTGCTGCGTCCGTCAAGGCCTTTTTGGCCAAGGGCGTCACCAAGGTCGTCGTCGCAGACTACAGCGACAGCCTCACCTCGGCCGTGCAGGCGTTCAGCAAGGCGTATCCCGACGCCGAGATCGTCGGTGTCAAGACGGACGTGTCCGACGAGGCCCAGGTCAAGGCCATGGTCGCGACTGCCGTGGACAAGTTTGGCCGTCTCGACTATGCCGTCAACTGCGCCGGTATTGGCCTCGCTGCTCCGTTCACCGACACCACGACCGAGCTGTACGACAAGGTCACGGGCGTCAATGAGCGCGGCGTCTTCCTCTGCGTCAGGGAGCAGCTCATCCAGATGCTCAAGCAAGACTACCAACCGTGAGTACAGGGGAGAGGTCGTCGGCTTCTTGCAGGGAGGTGGCGGCAACGGGCCGTGGAGGTTGGGTTCTGTTGTGAGAGCGCCGACGCGACGCCCATGACGTCCTGTGGGCGAACCTTGGCGTCGCGACGATGCCTTCTGTGCAAGCCCATAAGCTATAAGCCCTATCTCGCTATCTCACGCCCGAACGCACGCCAGTGGCCAGCGTACCAGCGGACTGTCATGTCCCTACTGCGCGAACCTTACTGACGCACAGTTCGCGCGACGACCGCCGCAAGCAGCGTGGCGCCATTGTGAACATTGCGTCCATCCTGGGCCAGTTTAGCTGCCAGAGCACCACAGCGTACGTCAGCAGCAAGCACGCCGTGTGCGGCCTCACCAAATCGGCCTCGTTTGAGAACTCGTCAAAGGGCGTCCGCGTCAACGCCATTGCACCTGGCTGGATTGACACCCCCGTGAGTCGGATGGGAGCCGGCGATAGGCGATGGCTTATAGCTGTCCCCGCTCAGCCAGTGGTACACGAGTCCCACAACTGACAATCCAGATGACGGCTTCGGAAGGTGCCAACCTCCTCTTCCAGTGGGGCACCACGCCAGACCGTACCCCGCTCGGCCGCGGCGGCTACGCCGAGGAGATTGCCGACGTTGTAGTCTTCCTCTGCTCCGAGGAGGCGTCGTTTGTCACTGGCGCCGTTTGGAACGTCGACGGCGGCTACTCGACTGTCTAGGCGGTGTCTGTTGCTTTGGTCGGCGGGAAATGTGTCCGGAACAGTTGTGTGTGTTGTGTACGGAGAATGCGAGAAGGAAACAGGGTCCCCGGATTGTGGTGTGGCACGTCGCTAAAAACATTCGAGAATTCTATGCAAATCAGGTGCTTGTGGCTAAGGCATGCTGATGTGGTCCAAAACTTGCAACTTGGCACCGCAGAGCAAGTCTGGCGCATGCCACTATGCACGTGTCTAAAGTGCAACGTGTTGACGGGAGTGTGGCGCGCAGGCAACCAGGGCCACTTTCTCATTTCGTTGGAACGGCCGATCAATCTACGTGTTGCCTTCAGGATAGCAACGATTTCCAGAGCAGTACTACGCTCATGTGGGGCCTGCACATGGCCATTCTAGTGTCATAGTTTGCATCGAGCACCACACAACTAGTAAACGCATCACGGCGGCAGATACCTGCAGCCCGGCCCCGACCAGTTCTGCAGAACCCGTGTGCAGCGTTACAGTGGCCTTGCCTGTATTTAGAAGAGGTTGAGGGCAATGACCTGAGTGGCGACGGTGTAGATGGTGCCGAAGAAGAGGGCTGAGGAGGTCAGTGTGTTCCCCTTGCTCCCGAGCATAGCAACGCACCGATCGACGAGAGGCCGGCGAGGGCACCGAGACCACCGTTCTATAACGTCAGTAACATGAACGCACACGCAAGTGTCATTCTTGAAGAGGACAGCTCCTGGGGATAAACGTACGCGGGCCGCAGGGTTGCCAGTGGCGTAGCCGAGCTGTCACAGTCAGTTCACTGTCTACGTTCAAAGGGCAGATGAACTCACAGTGTAGAAGACACGGCCGAACGCCCAGGCGCAGACAACGGCGGTGGCGGGCTTGGGGTGGAAGACACCAGTGTAGGCGAACATGCCCATGATGTAGGGGATGTACTCGAGGGTGTTGGCGTGGGCGCGCTGGATGCAGTTGAACTTGAACTTCTCGGGGTCGGCCTTGGCCTCGGCGGCGTCGGCGTACAGGGCAGGGTAGGCGACTGGTTGTTAGCGACGAGAGCTGGGGTAGAGGAGAGGTTTTGCTATAGGCACTCACCCTGGGCCTTCTTGCGCTGGCCCGAAACCTTGAGGAGCTGGAAGACCTGAGACGTTAACATGACATTCAACCAACGCCGTCGCCGATCAGCCACAACCGGTTGCCAAGCTGGGATGCACGGCTTGGCGAGGTCCAGACATCCTGCGGATGCTTCCACCTGGAGTTGGTTGAAGCTGAGAAGGAGAATCACTCGGAGAGGTATTCCAATGTGCCCAATCCAGCTTGAACGAGGCCACGTAGCCGCGCAACTGAGCCCGGAGGAGGACAAGAGTCTCGGTGATTTCACCGGCACAGTTCACTCACGTTCAGGAAGGTGAGGGCGAGGAGGCCGACACCGGTGATGGGCCAGTCATTGGGGAGGGCGACCATGATGCTTGGAGTGGGGGGTTTTTTTTGGGGGGGGGAGGGTTAGAAGAAGAGAAGGTAAGAGTTAGAAGAGAGAATGTGGGGGTTCGTTGCAAGGCGCTGATGTGGACCAGTGACGATGCGCTTTATTTACCCTTCAGTGGCCGCCGGCCATGGCTTTGGGACGGGCGGCGGAGACCGCTTGCCGGACATCCGGCCCACCATGTGGGGTTGAGCTTGTTGGAGAGCCTCCTCTTCATTGTGGTAGAGAGATCAAAGATGGTACATTGAAGAGTTGAGGTCCGTTATCTTGTCTCTGGATCTCTCTGGCCAGGTCCGCCTCAGCGCCTCACCTTTCGGATCCGCGCTCGGTGCGCGCACGAGTCTTTGTTGCTATTTTATCGGGTCGTCCTGCGGGGCCTCCACAGATCCACAAGACGTCGTCATATCACGCCAGCAGCCACCGGCCGACAGACAACCTCGTGGTCGCAGCTTTGGCGGTTGCGTATGCTGCGTTCAAAATGGCAGTGCCATTATACATTGCAGTCGGTTGGGCCAAGCAGGAGCCGGCGAGGAAACGCAGACAGTGATAAACAACAACCGCGGTTGTGGAGAAGGGGACAACAGTTACCATTTGCCGATCGTGCCGAGGAACTTTTCATTAGTATTGGAAGGTAATCAAACTATGGTAATCGCCAGACATTTATTTGGACCCCACGTTTAGCGGCGAGTGGAGGGCATGACGTTTGTCTATCCATCCATTGTCACTACCACGAACAGAGCGACGTCGCAACACCAACCACCACCACCACCACATAATCCATGTCCCTCAACCTAAGGCAGGCCATCCCAGGCCGGCCTCTAAGGGAATCAACTCGACCACTTGCAGGAGTATCCATCGAAGGAAGCGCGTATTATGTACGTCTTGGCGCCAGTGGGCACGATAAACACATCGCGTCCGGCTCCATCCGACCGCACAGACAACTGACCTTTCGTTCACAGGCATATCCGTCGGCGACAGCCGTCATCCTCCTCACCCCAGCTGGAGACCTAAGCGAGACGCTCCCGTTCTGGGATGCTCTCCCGCATCGAGCAGGCCCGAGCGGCGGCCGTGACGTGGACGGCGTTGTTGCTCGCAGCGGGATGGTGAGTTGTATGATTTGTGAAGGAGCTGACCACCAGGTCGTCGCGTGGAGCGGCATTCACGTCGTGCTCTGGCACCGAGAAACGAGTTGGAGCGTGCACTCTACGATTGTTGCGTCGACACAGATTGGCAGCGTCGACTATGTGAACGGTGAGCATGCGACAATTCTATCCAAGCGGTTTATCGGGGACGGTTCTGACCTTGTCTCCAGGCGTTCTTGCGGTCGGCACGCAACGAGGAGTGGAAGTCTGGCGTATGGATCCTGAGGCCGATGTGGTCGTCTGGGACCGTGTCTGGTCAAGGTACGGCTCCATGACTGGTAATCAGCTGACCAAAACAAAGCCATACGGCACCCGATCCGCTTGTCTCGCTGCCCTCGGCCCAGAGCCATGTCGCTTGGTACCACAAGGTGGGTGCCAAAAGTTCTGCCAAGGTGTCTAACAGACAGGACTCGAAGACAGTGTCCATTCAGACTCTGGGTCCCAAGGGTACTGGTATTGGCGAGCCTCAAGACATCCGCCAGCCTAGGACGGTTGACTGGATTGGCTGGCGTGCCTCGTCGAGGTGAGATTAGACCGTACAGGACTTGGCTGACAGCAACAGCGGTGACGCTCAGCTGTACGTTGTTTCGACAAACGCAGTGTTCCGTATCTACTCGCCCGTGTTAGATGACCCGTCATGGTTCCAACTGCTGTACTCGATCGACCACCGCGCATTCCGCAACCCAGCACACAAAGGCCAGAGAAGCGGATTCGGTACCTTTTGGATCCCCGATGGTGACACTATACGCGCAGCCACCAAGACGGCACTGGCACAACGCGACAAAGGTGTCACCTTCTCCACCAAGGTGTCCAAGATTCTCGACTGCATCGACAATGAGGAGATGGACCTCGTGGTCTGGTTTGGCGCCGATGACGAGGTCACTGTGCGAGCTATTCTTAACCTCGACCGCAAACCGCCCACCTTGATCCAGTCCGAACCCATTGCATTCTTGGATGCCGAAGTTGGTGCAGACTGGTCGGCCCAAGGTATCCTCATTGCTGGCGAGCCACTGCACCTGGGCTTCCCACCATCGGCGACCAACCCCGATGTCTCGTCACTGTACCTTTCCCTCACAGACCTGTTGGCCGGCTCAGCAGACGCTCTTTCCCTTGCGTCATCACCCGTCGACTTTGAGACCATGTCGGTACTTTTGACTCAGGACATTGACTCGTTTGTCCGTACACCCAACGGTCGCGGTCTCCTCGCTATCGGCACCGGCGGCGAGATTGGCGTTTGGGAGAAGCGCCGCATGGGGAAATCACGATTCGGCGATCAGAAACGACTATGCCTGGTCGGCAAGGGCCAGTGGAATGCCCCAGCCGTACCTATTCTATACGCCATCTACGCCAAAGGTCGCGGCATCGCCTCGTACTACAAGGGACCCGAGGGCCCGCGTGTCGTGCTGCAACATCTCGACCCAGGCGACGGTCGTCCGACGGAGGAAGTCGTGCTACCACAGTTCCACCCCAAGGAGGGCGACGACATCAAGATGCTTCTGGCGGTCTCGGACATTGACGACGGATACAGTGCGCGCAAGCGCCGAACACGTCGTGCAGTCATCATGGCTGTGGCCGAGAGCGGCGAGGCGTGGGTGTGGCGCATCGACCCAGCGCCAAGTTCACCTCACCTCGAGCTTTCGCAGTCACAACTGGTGCCAGATTCACCCACTCGAGGACGTGTCGAGCCCGGCAGCGCAAGTCCCGCGCACCGCACGGTCAGGCTGGCCGAATCGGTATACGAGTCGCCCAAGGGCCGAAATCGGATGCTGTCAGAGTCGCCAGACACGTCGCCACTGCGCGGCACATCATTCACGGGCTCGACTATCTATCGCTCTGAGAAGCCCATTGTCACCCTGATATCCCACTCGGTGTTGCCCATCGAGGACGGCGAGAAGCCACGCTTGGTCCTCCCTGTCGACCCTATGGGCTGGCACCAGTCCACCGTGGACTGGGAGACGGACACTCCTCTCCAGGACATGGTGCTCACCGTTTCGCAAAGCGGTGTGCTCGAGTTCTGGACGCCCCGACTCGGTCAGCATCTCCCTGGCCGGCGTCGCGGTACAGTGTATGGCGACATGGCAAACCACGCGCCATCAGTCGTGTCTGCATGGACAAGGACGGGCGTGGTCAGGACCGAGAGGAAGAATGTCATCCTCGCGCGCTGCAGTTCGCGCAAGAAGACTGTACTCGTGGATTTGATGCCCGATGGCTCCCACGAAGTGTCCATTTGGGACTCGAACGTGAGCGAATTTAGCACCGGCCTGGAACTCGCGCACAACTTTGGGTAAGTAGCATTGGACCATGCTTGCCTGTCTAACGCGCAGAAACGGGTTCCTGATTCAAGATCTTGACTGGACGACCACCAGCGACCTCCAATCGGTCCTTGCCGTCGGCTTTGCGCACCACCTCGTTCTCATCTGCGAACAGCGTATGAGCTATATTGAAGTGACCCCTGGATGGGCGCCGTTTATCCATATCGACATGCGCAAGTACACGTCGGTCCCCATCAACGACTCGATCTGGATCGCTGGAGGAAGCCTGGCCGTTGGTGCCGGCAACCAAATATACGTGTTCAGCCGCTTCCTCGAGACCGAGCCAGAACTTGAATCGGACGACGAGGAGGAGCCCGAGGATATTTTCGAACTCATCGCCCACCGCAACGGCCCGCTGTTTGACTACCACCCCACAATGCTCTCCCAGTGTCTCTTGTGGGACAAGATCGACCTTGTCAAGCGTATCTTGGTCACCCTCGTCAAGAACCTGCGCGAGTGTGAGCGCGAGGGAAAGCGTCGTCTTGTGTTCGAGCGCCTTGACCCGCTCGAGTTCCATACGCCCAAGAAGCAGGAGAAGCAGACCAAGACGGCAGACTACTCGAGCCTCTTCGCCGTCACGCCAACTGATTTCAGCGACGACGACGAGTTTAACAGCGATCTGGTTCAGGAGCTCATTGAGCGTCTCGACGGCTCGGTTATTATCCCGCTCACGCAAAACGAAAAGACCATGCTTGCGGCCCTCGTCCAGGCAACGCTCGAGGTTGACCAGTCCCGCCGTTCCCTCGACCTCTGCGGTTTGCGCTACCTCATCTCGATTCGCACGTTTGCAAATCGCGATATCCGTGGTGCTGCCCTGTCTGGAGCAGCTACACCTTCCGCCAACGGCGTCCTCCCGAGCCTCGCCAAGGTCGCTGCCGACTCTGGGTTACCGGCTATTCCTCGTGCCCATGTCAAGATCTCGTTCCGTAACATTGTCTGGGCCACGCATTCCGAGTCCCACGAGGTGCTCTTGCAGGCTGCAACAGCGTCTTGCGAGAACAACAAGATGACGTGGAAAGACGCCAAACGACTTGGTGTGTGCCTCTGGCTCCGGTCACAGGATGCAATCAAGGCACAGCTGGAAGTCATCGCGCGTAACCGCTTCATGGCCGACGACGACCGCGACCCGACCAGCTGTTCGCTGCTGTTCTTCGCGCTGGGAAAGAAGCAGGTTGTCCACGGTCTGTGGCGCCAGGCTCCCGGTCACAAGGAGCAGGCCATGATGCTCAAGTTCCTCTCCAACGACTTTACCACCGACAGGTGGAAGACTGCCGCAGCAAAGAATGCGTACGCCCTCCTGAGCAAGCAGCGTTACGAGTACGCCGCTGCATTCTTCATGCTTGCTGGCGACGCAAAGTCTGCCATCACCGTGTGCCTCCGTCAACTGGATGACTGGCAGCTGGCCGTCGCCATCGCGCGTGCCGTCGAGGGAGATGGTCCCCTCCTCCGCTGGGTCCTGACGGACACGGTCCTTCCCATCGCGTTTGGCGGTGGGCACCGTTGGCTCGCGAGCTGGACGTTGTGGATGCTGAACAGGCGAGACTTGTCCGTCCGAGTCCTCATTTCGCCCATGGAAGAGGTCGCCGAGGCATGGTGCCGCAAGGGCCCCAAATTGCCCGTGGGCCATCCCGACAACGACGACCCGTCGCTGCTGCTGCTCTTCCAGTTTCTGAAGGCCAAGACGCTCCAGACGGCAAAGGGTACCAGCGAGATCTCTGTCAAGCTCGAGTTTGACTTTGTCCTCCACAACGCACGCGTGTTTTCTCGAATGGGTAAGTGTGCCAGTTGAATGTTTCGTCAACTCGACTGACCTTTTCAGGATGTCACCCACTCGGTCTCGACCTGGTGCGCTCATGGTCGTTCGAACGCCCCTACTTCCCTCCTCCCAAGGCCCGTCCTCCTCCTATCACCGTCAGTGGACCACCGGGATCGCGTGCAACATCGCCCGTCCGTCCCAAGACGTCGCCTTTTACACCCCGCCGCCGTACGAGCTTTATGCTCTCCAACCCGACCGCGCGCGAGAACATGCGCATGGACATGGACGTGCTCGCCGAGGGCACCACCGAGCCGCCCACGCGCGCATCCAGCCCTCCCGCGCCCCTCAATGGCCAAGCCACGGTTGGCGACAAGGCCGCCGACTTGTTTGCCGGCAGCGGCCTGTTTGGCGGATTCAACTTTGGTAATTCGGCACTGCTGGGAGGGAGCGCCATTGTCGACACGCCGGACGTGTCCCCCGGCCACTCGCAGATTGCGTCCCAGGTCGTGTCCCGGACAACATCGCCTGAGCGCGTGTCGAGTCCCCTTGCCGGTGTCGTTTCAACACAAGTTCCGGCCACTGCACCGGCAGAGCCTGAACCTCCACGCAAGGTCGGCAACTTGATGAAGGACCTGCGTAACGACGTGCAGCAGGGCGGCATGGCGTTTGACATGGACAGCTTCTTTGGTGGGCCACCTGCAGTATCCCCTGTTGCTCCTCCTCCTCCTGCACCTGCACCTGCACCTTCTGAACCAGAGCCAGAGGCCGAGGCAGAACCTCCCCGCAAGGTCGGCAATTTGATGAAGGACCTGCGCAACGACGTGCAGCAAGGCGGCATGGCGTTTGACATGGACAGCTTCTTCGGCGGGCCACCTTCCGCCGCACCTGTGGCTGCTCCAGCTACCCCTCCGCCAGCCGCTGCTCCGGCCCCTGCACCTGCTACTCCTCCTGCACCAGCACCTTCTGAGCCAGAGCCAGCGGCTGAGGCTGAACCATCAGCCGAGCCAGCAGCCGAGCCAGAGCCAGAAGCCGAGCCAGAGCCAGAAGCCGAGCCAGAAGCTCCGCGCAAGGTTGGAAACCTCATGAAGGAGCTGCGTAACGATGTGCAGCAGGGTGCCATGGAGTTTAACATGGACAACTTCTTCTAAGGCCTATCTGTCTGACTTTTTGTGATCTCAGTCTCCTTCTCGGATGGTAGCATAGCAATTCATAGGACGTACAAACATGACATATGCGTAACGAACGATGACACCGAGAGTTTGAGTAGCTGAGACCGCCCTCTGTAACTGGAGCGGCAGAGCGGGTTACCTTCGACGAGATTCCCTCCTGCACATGGTTTTCCGATGCCAGAGGATGATTGGTCTCTCATACAAGTGACAGAACCGACCATTCAGAAGACCGAGATAGGTAGGAAAGCAGAGACGGAATAAGTTGTGCGCCCGTGTCCACGAATCTAAGACAGGACTGAAATGACTGAAATGAACTCGAGTCCGAGACACGAGGACGGGGGGCGGGCTGGACGCACAACTTGTATTGGTCGTGCTGTGGCACAACATGTGACAGCCGACTTCTATCCTGGGAGTCCATGAGGGGAGATTAGATTGTACTTCGTTGATCGTCGTTGATCGTCGTATGGATCGTCGCCAAGGAAAATGATCAGAAAATATCCGATATTTGTCCTCAGCATCAACAATTACGTTCACCCCCTCTCGACACCGTTTTCCTGGCTTCTGGGTCACGGTCAGCTGCAAACGCGTTACCTAACCTAGCATACATTCATAAAACGTGTATAGTTTATACGTAGACGCCACAGAACCTGCTATCCTCGCTACCATGTCGGTTTATGCCATCACTTGATGAGGCAGTTCACCTTCGAGCTCACAACGCTTACCAGCGTCCACCACCACCACCTCCGTGGTGGCCGCCGCCGCCGTGGTGACCACCACCACCGGGGCCGCCAAAGCCACCACCGGGGCCGCCAAAGCCACCGCCAAAGCCACCACCACCACCACCGTGGTGTCCTCCGTGATGGCCGCCACCGCTGTGGTACGTTAGTCGCGTGGTCTTTTCGTTGCTGTTGCCATCTTCACTCACCCGAATCCACCACCCATACCACCGCCCATCATGCTGTTGCCGCCGCCGCCGAAGAACGAGGGCATGCCCCCGGGAGAGTTGTAGCCGCCCATGGACATCGAGTTGTGCGACTTGTTCTGCGAACAGGGTCAGTTTACGTTTTCGAATGGGGGGGTTTCATTTCGTTCTGCAGGTCGCGAGGGGAGCAGACGCGTTTGGCAATGTGCGAGTAGCAAGCACTCCCTGACCCATGATGTTGACGACGAGAATGTCGCCCCTTCCCGGGTCAGGACAACGCCGAAGCGCACCGCATCCGCAGCGAGGACCCGCGCACGCAGTACGCGACGCGCGAGTTCAGGCGCACACGGGACGTGACATGCAGACGCCAGCGTTCCAGTTATGCGCCAGCCAGACACCACCAGCCAATGTCGGGCTGCGCAGGGAGGAATGGGCTGTGCGCCGCTGACGCGGGGAGGAGGCGTTGGGGGGTGTAACGCCACAGCGGTGGTGCCCCCCGTCCTTCCTCGGGTTGGCAATGTCGCACCGTCGGTCCGCCTGTTTCCGGCTGGGGTTTGGTTTACAACTCACCTCGAGGAGCTTGGTGATGAGGGCAGTGCCAAGACCGCCAATGGCGGCACCGCCGATCATCGAGCCGGTCGAGCCACCAGTCATCTTGCCGGCCATGGCACCAGCGCCGGCACCGAGAAGGTTGGCACCGAGGCCACGCTCATCCTCCGAACCGGGGTTGGCGGTCGCGCCGGGAGCCTGGTACTGGCCGGTCTGCTGGGCGGTCTGCACAACCTGGGCGGCGTGGACCTGCTCGGGGTGCGCCTGGCCGGCCGTAGCGTTGGGGTGGTTCCAGGTCGTGGTGGGAGGGTTGGTCGAGGGGTTGACTTGGAATGGTCAGCGATCACGTCTCATGTGGCGTGCACCGCCATCTCAGACGGTGGCAAATGTGGATGGCAACTCACTGTAGAACCAAGTGTTGTAGCTGTGGAGCACAGGTCAGCGACAAAGGATCACGGTTTGCAGCATTTGAGGGCACGGCACGCACTTGTTGTCCCACTGGCGGATCCTGAGACCTGTTAGCTGCCGAACGAACTCGCAAAAACACAGCAACGCTTACCAGGGGGCCGGGAGGTCGTCTGCAGAGCTGTTGGTCATTGTCATTGTGTGTGTGTTGTTGTTGGGGAGAAACTGAAATCAAACAGAGGGTGCAAACGTTTATATCTATCCGGGTGAGATGGCCGCCAACTGCGGACCGACTGCGGGATGTGGCACCCGGAAGAAGAAGAAGGGAGAGGGTTGTGACGTCGTCGTCGCTTCACCTCTGCCTCCCTGCGGTTATGCCTGTCGCCCCCTGACAACTAGAGCATACCACGGCGCCTAACTGGACGGCCGTGGGCCGCCTGGGGCTGCCAAGCCCTTGTAGCATCCTGTAACCGGGTCAACGCCGCAGGCCCCGCAGCTGGCATCGTACAGCTTATGTTCCGAGCCCGCGGCAGAGAGGGGGCGATCGGCAAAGTAATTCCATTTTTAATTCGGGGCGCCGGGCAATTCCGACCGCGTGGACACCGCAATAACATCAGCAATCTCCACCTTACCCACCCTCAGACCACACACACCATGGCCGCCATCATCCGGCCGTCGCCGTCCGTCGCATCCTTGCTGCGCACACAGTATGCGCCGTTCAAGGTCGCTCGCACAGCAGCATATATCGCTCAGAGGGCAGGACCGAGCGCGGAACAGACCCGGTCCTACGGGACCCGACAGCTGCCGGCGCCAGTCGACCTCGCCTTCGACGTGATTGAGCCCAAGGATGTCCGCATCGCCGACCAGAGCATGGTCATCTGCCATGGCCTTTTTGGTTCCAAGCAGAACTGGCGAAGCCTGGCGAAGGCGTTCGCTCAAAAGCTGGGGATGAACGTTTACACTCTGGTGTGTGGTGTGCTACAGAATAGACTGTTGAGGTTCCATGTTGCTGACTACATCGTCCTTGCCCACCTCCGCTCCCTCTCCCCGCCGACCTCCTGCCGACCTCCTCTTACCGCTCCTCCCAACGTATGCGTCTACCTACAACCGGCCATGAACGGACTCTCGCCCACAGGACATGCGCAACCACGGAGTCTCCCCGCACGTCAAGCCGCACAACTACGACGCCATGGCAGCGGACATTGCCCTCTTTGTGGAGAAGCAGGGGCTCAAGAACGTCAACCTCCTCGGACACAGCATGGGCGGCAAGGCGGTCATGGCGTACGCGCTCAACAGCGACCTCAACGGGCCCCTCCGTTCCCTCATGTCCGTGGACATGACCCCAGCTATCGGCAAGGTGTCTCCCGAGTTAGTCACCGAGAAGGATGTACCTGATCCAGTCGGGCTGACCATTTGTCCAGGTTTGAGGCGTACACCGATAACATGCTGGAAATTGAGCATGCCAAAGTGGCGAACCGTCACGACGCCGACAAGATCCTGCACAAGGTCGAGAAGGTGAGTGCCACTGAGCGTGCAAGCTCTTTCTAACAGCGCAGAACAAGAGCACCCGCCAGTTCCTCCTCACCAACATGGTGTCCGACCAGGACGAGTCTGGCAAGTCGTTCCTGCGCTTCCGTCTCCCCGTCCAGCTTCTCAAGGAGGAGGTGCCCTCCATCGGCGAGTTCCCCTACACGCCCCCTCCTCCCGTGTCGGCCACGTCTCCGCAGTGGATGGGCCCGGTGCTCGTCCTCAAGGGCGCGCAGTCAAAGTACGTGAACAGGCGCAACATTCCCATCTGCGAGGCCTTCTTCCCCAACTGCCGTGTCGAGATTCTCGACGCTGGCCACTGGGTGCACGCTGAGAAGCCTGCCGAGACGGTCGAGCTTGTGGGCCAGTTCATCCTCGATGGCAAGTGATGCAACATAGATAGATACAAGGCAGCGCCCATCACCCGTCACGGCGCCCTGCGTTGTGCGTGTTGACAGAATGCTTCGCGAGTGATGGGATCAGCGCATCAGAGGATCAAAGGGCCCCTGGGCTGTCAAAGGGGATATGATGGAGCCGCCCCCCGGCTGTCCTAACATGCTCCACTTGCACACCACTCACTTGTCGTTACTCACCACCCATTCTTCCTTTTGCGCCCACACTCCACTCCCCTTCTACACTCTCGCAATGGTCACCCACGATACACTCGTACGCTGTCTCGCGGCTCATTGACCCTACTGACACCAAGGGTGTCATGGCCGAGTTCCTCGACGACATTTCACGCGCAGGCCCGCACGTTGCTGTCCTAGCCTTGGATAACACCCGGACACACCAACGCGTCATGCACGTCCGCGCGCCCGAGTGTTATTCCAACAAGGTTCTCAAGGTCACCGTCGAGCTACAGGGCAAATACCCGTGGGTTGCTCCGCCATGAGTTGGAGTTGGACACCCAGCTGACTGTCAGGCTCGAGCCGCCAAAGTTCTTCCTCGACCCCGTCCCGTTCCACCCCAACGTCGCAGTCGATGGAAGGATGTGTGAGCTAAATGGGTTATCTGACCTGGTAGTAGCTAACCCTACAGCACTCTACGTACGCAGCCGAGCCGTGGCCTTGTGCTGACGACCAGATACCAAAAGGCGAGCACGTCTGGGACCCCACCATGTCACTGTTTGAAATGGGCCTCCAAGTGCGCACCGTCCTCGCCACCGTCATCGGTCACCGTGCCCCGGCGCACCGTGCGAGCTTGCTCAACCTCGACGCGCTCAATGCCAGCAAGAAACTGGGGGGAAACAGCACCAAGGCAATGCGCCAACTGGCGTACTCCCGGCAACAGTTTGACAGCGTCGCTGCGGCGGGCTTTGACATGCCGACAATGGGACTCATGACCCCGCCGCTGACCGGCGAGACGGCACACACGGTGATGAAGAAGCTGCGCACGCACAAGATGATGCGTATTTTCCACGTTGGCAAGCCTCTGGAGCCTTACGAAGTGAGGGACCTGGTGCAGAGGATCGAGCTGGGGGCCATGGACAAGGACGAGGAAGGCTGGACGAAGCAGGCTCCTGCCGCTCTTCCTGCAACAGGTCCAATGGGGAACGTTGCCGGGATGATGATCATGTCGTTGGCCCAGAGCTTTGCGCTTCCCCAGCCCCAACCTTCTTCGACCTCGACATACACTCCCAGTGCCGCGACGGCGTCCACGGGACCGTACATTGCGACACCTACAGCTGTCGCCAATTCGACTTATCCCACCACACCGCCGTCCACGATTGCCACACCAGTGCCTCCATCAAGCACACCCCGGTCCAACCCTTCGACCTCGCTCACGATCGACACCCAGGCTTCTCCAACGAGACCGAAGGCCTCTCCCACAAAGCCCAGGAGGTCTCCAACAAAGCCCAGGGCGTCTGCAACAAAGACTAAGACTACGACCAAAGCAAAGTCGCCGGCCAAGACCAAAGCTGCGACCGAGACGCCGACATCAGCCAAGCCGAGGAAGCGGAGCAAGGTCGCAGACGACGATTACGAGGGTGGCAATGAGCCAGTTGTGGACACTTGAGCTGTGGGCGATGATGGATGAGACATACATGTGTATTGCATCTTGTAGCCTGTGAAGTATACATGCCAACCATGCAACATGCTTGTGATCTTGTACTGGCCAGGACTGGGAGGTGACCGCTCCGATTCGCCACCCAACGACCAGGTGGGCCAAAAGCCCGGTTTAGTCACCCGGTTGCTTTGTTTTGGCCATTTCCACCGTTCCTCCACCACCCACCTTTCTACAATTTCATCCATCTCTCTCCGCGGGGTCATGTAACCCATGTCCTTCGCCTCGTTTCGCCTCGACACGCTCAACTTGGCCCCCGACCAGCTCGCAGCGTGCACACGTGGTAAGCATCTTGCGGTTCACAGCTGCCTGCTACCTCGCACGCGTATTCACACGGTGGTTGAGCTCACTTCCACCCTCTCCTCCTCCTGCTGACCCTCCAGCCAACCTCTCCACCGCATCCGACGTCCTCCTCCTCGCGCCTGCCGACCTCTCGCGCAAGCTCCGCAATGCGGGCTCCAACCTCAGTGCCCCCGATCTCGTCCGCTCCGTGTCGCGCGCGATCGTTCCAAAGTCCCAGCCCCTGTCGACCCGCGCCGACGCACTCGTGATCCGCACAGGCGACACGCATGTCGACGCGCTCCTCGGCGGCGGGATACGTGCAGGCTGCATCACCGAGCTGGTGGGCGAGAGCGCTGCGGGAAAGTCGCACATGACGCTGCTCCTCGCGCTCGCTGTGCAACAACCTGCCCTGTGTGATTCCCCCGGCGGGGCGATCGTCATCAACTCGGAGCGCGTGCTCGAAACGCAGCGGCTGGTGCAGCTGGCGGGTGTGGTGCGCGAACGGCATCATGGCGGGCCGCCCACGCGCGAACTGCTGGATAACATCCACACGTCCCGCGTCGCCGACGTCGACGCGCTCGAGCATGCCCTGCAGTTTGTCGTTCCGCACATGCTGGCCGAGCGCAAGTCCTCGTCTGGGTCTGCGCTTCTCGGCGAAGTGATCGTTGAGGGTTCTACAACGCCAGCGCCTGCACGCGGCTTGAAACCTATCCGCCTGCTCATTCTCGACTCGCTCGCAGCCCTGTTCCGCGGCGACACCGAACGCAGCCGCAACGGCCTCGTCGAGCGGTCCAAGCACGTGGCCTTCATCTCGGACAGGCTCAAAGCCATGGCGGTGGAGTATGGTGTCGCTGTCGTGGTCGTCAACCAGGTCAAGGACGTGTTTGGCTGGAGCGGCGGCCCGGGCTCCAGTGGTTCCCAGTCCTCCCAACCTGCCCTCACAAACACCCTCCCACCAGCCCCTACGATGCTGTGGGCCACCCAGGCCCGGCATTTCGCCCAGATGGCAGGCCACAACAAGGAGGCGGCACTCGGTATTCCGTGGGCCAACGCGGTCAACACGCGTCTCATGCTCGCGCGGACCGGACGTCGACGCATGGTCACCCTCCAGGACATGGTACGGGCTCCGAAACGGCCTCGAGCAGGAGCGGCGGCGAGCAACGACGATCCCGACGCGCCGTTTGTCCCTCCACCGGGGCTCGAGGTGGACGAGTCCAAGGCAACGCTCATCCGGCGCATGTGTCTCGTCTTCTCCCCATTCGCTCCGCCCGGCACCCTCGACTATGTCCTCACGGGATCGGGTCTGCACGCGCTCCCCGGGTCGTTCCGCGCCGTCGACCTCGGCCCGGCCCTTCGACGACGAGACGCCAGGTTGCGCACGGCATGGGCTAGCAGGGAAGAGGAGAGGGCAGGGCACAGGAGGGAGCCGCAGAGCACGCCTCTGCCAGCCACGCAGGTCGACGACACGGACGTGTTCGACGACCTCGGTGACCTCCCACCCGAGTTTTGGGAAGGACTGGATGCGTTGGATGAAGAGCCCATGGCCGTGGGTGTGGTGGATTGAGGAGGGAGTGGGATATGTGATAGATATATGTATATTACTTCACTCTAGCATCTGCTCTTCACGACCTCGCATGGAAGAGAGCTCCAACTGAACGTACAGTGCGCTAACTGTTAGTTGTGGATGTCGTGGTGCCTGAAACATGATACCCGACGCGACCTCACGACCCGCGATCGTCGTCCACACCTCCGCGCCACTGGCGTCACTACCACCCACTAACTCTCAACCACATTGATCATGAGAGGTGAGCTATAAGTGCAGGGCTATACAGCTGACGTTCCACAGTCCTCGTCACAGGCGGCTCGGGGCTCGTCGGCTCGGCTGTGCGCTACATTACAGAGCACGAGACTGGGCGGTTCGGCGGCAACAACCAAGGCGCGGAGGAGTGGGTGTTCGTCAGCAGCGCCGAGTGCGATCTGCGGTACGTATCGAGGGAGTAGACAAGAGCGATAGGGAGAGGTGGTGCTGACGCCTGTGGAGCGACTTTGAGGCCACCAAATCCCTCTTTGCGCGAGTACGGCCTACACATGTGTTGCACTTGGCTGCCAGAGGTGGGTACGGGAGAGCATACAAGTGACCCAGGACGACATGGCTGACGGTCGGCAACGCTAGTTGGGGGCCTGTTTGCCAACATGCAGCAGCCGGCCGACTTTATGCGGGACAACCTCGCCATCAACGACAGCGTCCTCCAGAACGCCCATGACTTTGGGGTGAGCGTGAGCGCAGCGGGGCTGGGGCTCGCACGTCGGGTACGGGGACTCGGCACGGCTCGTCTACCCGGCTACCTTCCCCCACCCCAGCTTCGTGAAGCAGCCACCTAGCTGACAAGACAGGTAGAAAAGGTCGTTTCGTGTCTCTCGACGTGTATCTTCCCGGACGCCGTGAGCCAGCTACTATGGTCTCGTGAAGCTGACAGGATCAAAGGTAGACTACCCACTCACGGAAGCGAAGGTCCACCTCGGCCCGCCGCACGCAAGTAACTTTGGGTACGCGTACGCAAAGCGTATGGTCGACGTTCAGAACAAGTACGTCTGCAGCTGCCGAATACTGGACTGAATCAAGCTGACCTACCAGGGCGTACCACCAGCAATACGGCGACATGTTCACCAGCGTGATCCCCACCAGTGAGCTCGCGCCTTTCGGTCGAGCCAAACTCACAAGCTCACAATCTTCCCTGCAGATGTCTTTGGCCCCGGAGACAACTACAACCTCACCTCTGCGCACGTCATCCCGGCCCTCATGCACAAGTGTTACCTCTCCCTCAGCCCCGGTGCGCCGCCGTTCGTGGTGGCCGGCACCGGCCGGCCGCTGCGGCAGTTTGTGTACAGCCGCGATCTGGCGCGACTGATGGTGTGGGCTGTGCGCGAGTATGTGGATGTGGAGCCCATCATCCTGAGCCGTGAGTTCCCACGGCGGAACGTCCGAGTATGGGGGCGGGGCAGGCTGACCCCACTTTACAGCGTCTGAGCATGACGAGGTGTCCATCGCCACCGTCGCGACTGCCATTGCGCGGACTATGGGCATCAACGCCCCGCTTACTTTCGACACGGCCAAGCCGGACGGTCAGTTTCGTAAACCCGCGAGTAACGCAAAGCTCGTGTCTCTGTTGCCAGAGTTCAAGTTTACTCCGTTTGACGAGGCACTTAAAGAGTCGACAGAGTGGTTTGTGCAACACTACGACAAGGGCGCGAGGGTGTAGCCACAGGCAGGCAACGCGTTCGGCTAAGGTGACATGGGTACTGGCATCCTCCGCTCTCTGTATCAAACCCCTCCCTCTCTCTCACTTCATGTATCGCCTACTTCTCTCCTTGGTGTATCGTGACGGGTCACTGTTTTTGTCTACTTGGACGCCTCGGGTGCGGCAGCGGGAGCCGAAGTCGACTCAGTGACGGTGTACCCGTCAGGGGGAGCGGGGCCGGTGGGCTCGGCGACCTCGGCAACCACCTCAGCAGCCTTGGCTGCGGGAGGAGGAGGAGGGGGGGCAGTAGTGGGGGTGGTGGGGGAAGCAGCCTGGGTGGCAGCGGGAGGACCACCAGCGGTACCGAGCGAGTCGATGGTGTGGCGGGCCTGCTCGCCCAGCGCGCCGCCGACCGCCACAGCCGCCGCGCCGAGACCCTGTGCGGCGATCGTTGCCTGGTGCCACGAGTTGGACGCGAGGGCCTTGAACTCGTCTGTAGGGCTTGCGGGAGCAGCGGCCGGAGCCTGTGTGTTGGGGGACGCAAGGGTAGCAGTGTAGCTGTAGGTTGCTGGGGCGGAGGTGGGGAGAACAGGCTCGGCGGCGGCGCGGCCAGTGAGCCTTGACGCAAGGGCGTTGCCGGCCCAGAGAACGTTGGAGGCGATGCTCTCGCCCCATCCGACCTTGGGGCCGGTGATGGGCCCGCCGGTCTCGTACTCGTCGTCAACGAACAGCATCTTGTCCTCCCACATGTTGTGGGCCTTGAGCTCGGCCTGGAGGGCGGTACAGGCCTGCTCGGTTGCCTCCCACGCGTCGGGGTTGGTGCTGAGGTGTGAGCATGCGTGTGCGCGGGGAGTGTGCGCGGGGCACAGCGTGTGGCTGCAACATCGACATCGGGGTGACAGTCTTCAAAACAAGTGCACGAGACAGTGGCGCGGACGCACGGTCGGGTCGCCCCGGACAAACCGGCGGCAACTTGTTCACACAGGAGCTCCATCACAACTCACCTGTCCTTCATGTCGATGCGGACCTGGCCAATGCTCCTGCCATCGTCGCGGGGGGCTGGGGTGAAGACGAACGACGGGTGCTCGTTCTTGGACTTGGTCTTTTGGACGGGCGAGTTGCGCGCGAGGACAAAGGCTGACGAGCCAATGCTGAGAGTGAGGACCTCTGCGGGGCGCGTGGGAGGGGCGGCTGGGAGGAGGGAGAGGGCGAGGTCGCCCTGTGCGAGGGGGACGGGAGTGGCTCCTGGTGCTGGGAGGTGGAACGCCGTGACGGCGGGGATGGTGATGAGGGTGGTCATTGTGTGTACGGGGTGTGGGGTGTTGTTTATATGGAGAAGGAGTGATATGGAGAGAAACGTATAGAGAGTGTGAAAGGGAGCCAGACGAGCGGCGAGTAATGCGTTACGTACGAGGCGTGCGAGCGGGTGAGACATGTGCGCTGGCGGTGACCGCTTTAGACTGTGGTGCCCCGCGTATTAGACAGCGTTTGTTATTTCCTAAAGAGGAAGTGAATTCCCATCTAATACGTCATGCCATACCCGCCCACCCACCCAGCGAAAGCTGTCTCAGCAGCGTGAAGTGTTCGTCAGCAACAGGGCCTAGCCCAACGGTCAAGCCGCATCTCTTAAAAGAAACCCATCTGTTGCTCGCTTTCGTTCTCTCCCACGCACCGTCCGCTTTCATGGCAACAACCGCATCCATCCGCAACACTTTCCATTCCACTCGTCTTCTCCACACATCTACCCGCCGCGCCTTTCCCTGCGCCCTCCCCAAGAAACAGCAACAATTGGCAGCCTTCTTGCCCCAGCGTCCCACGACTAAACTTCCCACGTTCACCTCTTCGTCTTCTTTCTCCACTTCATCCACATCCACCATGGGCATTACTGACTGGGCCGACAAGAAGGATGGCGCTTTCAAGCGCCAGGTGTCGAGCTTCCGCGACCACATTGAGCCCAACGGCCAGTTCCCGCCGGAGAAGGGTTAGTCACGGATTGTTTGTTTTGGTTGTTTACCTGACCACTCTTTGATCAGACCGCTACCACCTCTACGTCTCGTACGCATGCCCCTGGGCCCACCGTACCCTCATCGTTCGCAAGCTGAAGGGTCTGGACGAGTTTATCGGTACGTTTGCGTGGCATCCTGTTTAACACGGCTCTTAACACTCCCCGACAGACGTCTCCGTTGTCCACCCTCAGATGCTCGATGGCGGCTGGCACTTTGAGACCCCTGAGAACGCCGAAAAGGAGGCCAAGCCCGCCTCTGCCCACGACTTTGACTCGTTCCCCGCTGCGACTGCCGACAAGCTCCACGGGTTCAACTATGTCTCCGAGCTGTACAAGAAGGCGCAGCCCGACTATGCCGCTCGCTTCACCGTCCCCGTCCTCTGGGACAAGAAGGAGAACACGATCGTGAGCAACGAGTCGGCGGAGATCATCCGCGACTTGACTCAGGCGTTCGACTCGCTCCTTCCCGAGGGCGCTGCCAAGGACCTCGACCTCTACCCCGAGGAGCTGCGCGGCGAGATTGACTCTTTCAACGAGTGGGTCTACGACGGCATCAACAACGGTGTCTACAAGTGCGGCTTCGCTACGTCCCAGACGGCCTACAGTGCTGCTGCCGAGCAGCTCGCCAAGTCGCTGGACCGTGTCGAGGACATTCTCTCGGATGGCCGCGACTACTTCATCGCAGGCCGCCTGACCGAGGCCGACGTTCGCCTCTTCACCACCATTGTCCGTTACGACCCCGTCTACTATGTCCACTTCAAGTGCAACTGGGGTCTTAGTGAGCTCCTCGTCGCGATCGGAGATAGCTAACAGCAGTCCGCCACGACTACCCCAACATCAACCGCTGGCTCAAGAACCTTTACTGGAACAACCCTGCGTTCAAGGACACCACCAACTTTGAGCGTGAGTAGCAGGATCTACCTATGTGTAGTCCTCATTGAACAGCTGCTGACATGTCCAGACATCAAGGAGCACTACTAGTGAGCTATCATTGCACTTCATAGCTGACCCCACAGCTACTCCCACGCGCAGATCAACCCGTACAGGATCGTCCCGTACGGCCCCAACGTCGACATTGAGCCCCTCGACGACAGCAAGCGCAAGCGTGGTGACGCCGGCGACGGCGCCAACAAGGCTGCCAAGAACGCCTAAGTGCGCGAAAAGGCGGGATGCAGGTGAAAGGAGTATCGGTCCGAGCTCCGACTGTGGGGCCTGGAGCGTTGAGTGATCTTCGGTGATTGTCCGTCGCGATGCAGCTGTTCCCTTTGTGCGATGTGGGAAGCCCGTTCCACTGATTGTCGTGTACGCCCCGTCACCGTGCCGAGGGGTGTCAAACATGGCTTTCTGACGCGGCTCCAGCAGAACAAGGCTCCTGACAGTTGACCACTCTCACTCACCCTTATCATCTAAAACCATGGACAGGCCATCGGTGGACGTACCGCGCACGCCCACGCCCACACTTCGCTCCACCTACCTAGCTCAAGACACACCCGTCCAAGAGCGACACTACGCGCACTACAACACCCGGCCAGGACCCAGAGGCAACCTCCATCGCAACCTGTTGCGTGATCTCGACGGCGTCGCCCATAACCACGGCGAGGCCATGGACGTACACCCCTTTGTGCGCGCGACGGCCGTGTCGCCCCGTAACCCCAGGCAGCGCGAGTACTCGCTGGTCGAGCGTGCTGTTCCCGGGCGGCAAAACACCTTCGACTTTGGCTCTGGACACGCTGCACCAGCAACATGCACGCACATGGACACGGACTCGCGCTTCCTCGACCCGCGCGATCCGGCACCCACTCCGTCACCCACGCCTCCGCCCAAGGACCGGCCTCGTGCACCGACTCCCATCCCGATCGTGAGGACCGCTGACCTCCTCCGCCCCCCGCACGCACTGGCGGCCCGTCCCAGGCCGAGGCCGAGTATGCCGCATTCCGTCCATGCGTCGGAGGCGTCTCCGTACACCGCGGCCACCGGCTTTGGCGTAACGGGCAGAACGGCGACGGTGTACAATGCCAACCCGCAACGTGGTGGTGTCCCTCTCCCTCCTCCTCGTCCTGATACCACGCCAACGCCGCAGGGCGAGCTGTCTACCTCGCCGAGGAGTAGGAAGTGGTGGACGGTCGTGTACGCGGCGTCAGAGCCGTTTCTGCGTGTCGTGCTGTCTGTGGCTGCCACGGTCGTTTTGGGCGCCAGCCTTGCGATGCAGGACGCTGGCACAACCAACCCAGCTTCTGGAGATGCCACGCTTTTGTAAGTGTGCCGCTAGGTTTGTTATTGCACTAGCTGACAGACTCAGTTGCGCTCGGCCCCAAGTCACGACCACGCCCCCACTTTCCGCCACGGCCGCAGCGGTCGTCGCTGCTGCATTTGGCCTGACAGCGACACTCGCAGCGGTGCATGTCGCCACGGCAAGCCTGCACGCCGTGCTGTTCGTCACCCTCGCCCTGCCTTGGGGATACCTCGCGCGCGCTAGCTCTCGGAGTGGCACATCAAAGTCCCGGGCGTATCGAGCCCCGTCACCGCCATTCTGTACGCCGGAACACTCGTCCAGCCCTGCTCTAAGGCCACTCAAGCTGGTCCCGCGGGCCACACTGGCTCGTCCGTCTACTGCGGGTGCGAGATTGGCCTTGGCCGAAGCTTCTCTCCTCCCCCTGGCCCACCGGCACGATATCGGCTGGGCGTGGTGGGCGTGGCACGCTCATCGCCGCTCCCCGCTTGCCCACGTGTTGGCCATGTTGGCGTGGTGCGCGTGTGTGGCTGCTGTGAGTCGGATATGGACGGCTGGGTGATCCCCTCGAGGAAGAAGTCATGGCTGACAATCAAGCTTGGGGTGGGTCTTGCCGCAGACGCCCACGGGACAGCCGCATGGCTGGTCGTGGTCGCCATGGTGCTCCTCCTCGACGCACTGTGGCACGCTGCCACATACCTGTTCCATCTGGTACGTCCTGGACCTGTGAATTCAACACTCACGTCCGCAGCGCTCGTCCTGGGCAGCATTCGCCCACCCACCCGTGCCCCCCTTCCCTCGGCATCCTGACACGGTCCTCGCGGCTCAAACCGCATGTGCACCGCGCACAGTCATGTTTGGCTCGCGGACCGTCAGCGCCATCCTCGCCAGCGAAGCGACGACACCGCGGTCTGCGGCGCGTTCGATCCCGACAGTCGGCTCCTTGCTCTCCCACGCGTCGCCTTCACAAGTACCGCCTGTACCGCCCCTGCCCCGCTCGACGGGGTCGTCGGCGTACGCCACGCCTTCCACGACGCTCACCCCGCCGTCCCCGTCGGTCGCATCGTCCTCGTCGTCGACATCGACCTCGCAAGCCTCCTCCTCGGCAAGCGCCACGCCCACCGCGCAAGCAGCAGCGTCCGCCGCCAGCCTCGGCATAGACCCCAGCACCTGGCCGGCACTGTACGCGTCCGACCCGCTGCTCGCGCCGCTCCTCGCCGCCATACTCCGCGGACCGTCCATGTCGCCCGGCAGCACCGCAACCGACTTTGCCCTCGACGACGACGGGCTGCTGTACCTCGCCCCCGCGCCGTCGGGGCGACATGCCCGTGTCCTCGGCCAAGGTCGCGCCCAAAGGCACAGCCACAGTGTTCGCCTGGTCCCGCCGGCGAGCGCGCGAGTGTGGCTGCTGGCGTATTCAGCCGAGAGGAGCACGGCTGCGGACGGCGGGCTGTTGAGAGCTCTGCCGAGGGCGTTCTGGTGGCCCGGGATGGAGGCGGATATCGCCGCTTGGGAAAGTGTGGATGCGTAGGAGTGAGATGGTGTAAAATTGGGAGGGAGGCTCGAGCAGGCTCTCGACCACCCGCCGGTCCTAGTGTACTTGACATATATCCCCCGCTCTCGTGGGGGCCTTTTCTCCATGCTATGTTACAAAACCTACACATATACACATGACGTACACACTCTTCACCAATGCTCGTCCATCTCATCCATGGGCGCATGTTGCTGGCCGGGACCGTTGTCGGCGGCGTCGTGTTCGTGGCTGTCTGCACCGTGGCGCCGGAGACGTGCGACGTTTAGTGCCGCGAGGAGACGGTTGGTCTCTTCGTATCCGACACGGACGGCCTCGTGGTCGTGCGTCGCTGGGGAAGGCACAGGACCCGCTGGCGGTGGTACAATGGCCGGGGAGAAGGGGACGGGGGAAGACTCGTATGGGCTTGAGACGAGGCCCGGCGTAGCTAGCGGAGTACGCTGGGCGTAGCGGTATGGTGTGGGGACAAGGCCGTAAGGGTTGGACTGCGGTGTGGTGTGGGTGTTGTACACTTGTGACGCTGGTGTCGGTGGATCGCTGGTGAGTGGGCCGCCGTCCACTCGTGCGCGGTGCTAGAAAGATGATGTCAGCTAGGGAAGCAACCTTTCTTAACAACAGCTGACTCACCAGAGAGTACAAAAGGGCGTTCTGGGCCGCATACTCTGCTCCCCACTCGCGCATGCGTTCATCTTCTGTCCACTCGTCGTCACCGCGGAATGGAGTGGACGATGGCGGCCGGTGGCGCACGGGGGAAGAAGACATGTTGGCGGGGTGGGTCGCCGCTGGTTCGGGGGTCTGTGCGGGCTGGTGCAGTGCCGACGCCGACCTCGCGCGAGCGTATCGGGCAGCTGGAGAGCTCTCGATCTGCATTTGCATGTGCATTTGCATTTGTGTTTCGGGTTGAGAGTGCGACTGAGTGTGGGTTGCTGCCGTCGTCGTCGGCGCGGACGCAGTGTTGGGGACGTTGCTGCTGGTCGCTGGGTTCTGGAGGTATTCCCAAGCACGCTGACGGCGGCGTTCGACACCTGCGCGGCGCATCCATGCCGTCGAGCTTTCGGCCATGTCGTCGTCGTCGTCTCGGCGACGCAGTGGAGAGCTTGTGGCTGCCTGAGAACTCGACGCGTGAGCGTCATCATCGCCTTCCTCGATGTTGCGTGAGGTGTGTTGATGATGACTGTAAGGGTCTGGACGCCACACAGGCGGCGGAGGGGGCGGCACAAACATGCTGCTGCCGCCGTTGCTGGTGCGAGAGGTTGATGCGGCGTTGCCAGACGAGGTGGTCCACTCTCCTCTTCTGCGTCTCTTCAACAACACCTCCAAGGGCGAAGCAAGAGTGTCGCCTCCATAAGCCGGCGAGGGCGAGCGAGCCCGCTTACTGCGCGACGGGGCGACAAGGTCGGCCATGGGGGTGGCGACGCCCGGCGCAGGAGGCGGGTTGGGGGTAGGAGAGTGCGTTGGTGGGGAGGGAGAGGAGAGGGGGAGGTCGTGTGACTGTGCTGATTGTTGTGGGCGATGTGTAGAGAGACCAAGTGTGTTCAAATGTTGCAACCACAAGAGTGTTGTTGGTGGCTGGCTCATGACCTTCGGATATGACACACTCGGCCAGGGCGGCGAGCAGCGGCGTCATTTCCAGTGGACATTTTATGACGTGTGATAGATGTACCATGTCCGCCACTCGAATAAACCGGGGGGCAGTAATAAACCATATCCTGCCGGATGCAGGTCGTTGCCTTTCCCTTGTCAAAAGTTGGCCACCTAACTGCTGCTGCAATCAGTTCACGTCAACATTCCTCCCTCACCGCGCGCACCATGGAGGACGAATCATTCGAGGGCGACACCTCTGCCTTTGTCACAGGCGATGACTTTATTGGGTTTGACATCCCAAGCGCTGGGCCCTCGCGCAGCCCTTCGCCCGATGCCGCCTCAACTCGCCCTCCTTCCGCCAGTTCACCAAAGGGCAAGAGCCGAGCCTACGACCGCGAAGGCGAGGCGACCGACGCGTCGACCGACAAGCCCAAGAACCGTTCTGAGAAACGAAAGGAGAGCAAGCGTAAGGGAAAGGGCAAAGAGCCCGAACCCAAGCGTCCCAAGGTCGACGAGGGCGACCGTGTCGGTCCTCGCAACTTGAAAGAGGAGCGCAAGGCTGCCGAACGTGCCGCGCCGTGGGCCGAGGATGTCGACTGGGAGGGATGCACCAACCCTGCTGAAATGTGAGTTGGACGTGGCTGGCTTGAGCCTGCACTAACTCTTCAGGCTCAACGACGAGATCCACGCGTTCTACCGCCTCATGTCTCCCACGCGTGGGGAATACGAAGTGCGCAAGACCATGATTGAGCTCATTTCATACACGATCCGCCGCGAGTGGCGAGACGCCGAGGTGTCTGCCTTTGGATCATGGCAGACCCAGATGTACCTTCCGATGGGCGACATTGACCTGGTGGTCAGCAACCCGCGGTTCACCGAGAGCTCCAAGGTCAAGCTGCTACACGAGCTCGCACGCATCATCCGTCACAGCGGTATCACCAACACGGTTGCGGCCATCACAAGGGCAAGAGTCCCCATTATCAAGTTTGTGACGACGGACGGACACATCAACGTCGACATTTCGCTCAACCAGGGCAACGGCGTGTCTGCTGCCCATATCATGACGCACTATCTTGACGCGCTGCCGGGCGCGCGCGAGCTGATTCTCGTTCTCAAGTCGTACCTCTCGCAGCGGTCCATGAACGAGGTGTTCACTGGCGGTTTGGGATCGTACTCTGCCATTTGCCTGGTACTGTCTTTCCTGCAAACCCACCCCAAAGTGCGCAACAGCGAGATTGACCCGCACCGCAACCTGGGTGTCCTGCTTGTCGAGTTCTTTGAGCTGTACGGCCGCAACTACAACTACGACGACGTCACCATTGCGGTCCGTCGCGGTGGAGGCTACTGCACCAAGCGCAGCCGTGGATGGAATAACCACACGCAACCGTACCTTCTCTCGATCCAGGACCCGCAAGACCCCGTCAATGACGTTTCGAAAACGTCGTTTGGGATTCGCCAGGTCAAGCTCACTTTGGCTGGGGCATACGAGCTCCTCACTGCGCGCCTGTTTGAGGCCGCCGAGGTCATTGCGACGCGTGCCAAATCAAAGCGTGATCGCGAGCCACTGGACCCGCAACAGATGACCATTCTCGGCAAGATTATGGGTGTCACAAAGGAGACCAACAAGTTTCGTCGCGAGATCGAGTACCTCGCCACCAACCGGATCCTGCAGCGTAAACTCGCCGACGCGATTGCGAGGTATGGCCCGATCCGCGACGACGAAACGGTGCATCCCAAGCACCGCGACACCACGTCTGCGCACCTCTCGTCGGCCATTACGGGCGTGCGCTCGTCGTCGCCGGATGCTTCGTTGCCCAGCGACGACGACGCCGCTGTCGGTGCCATTCTCGTCGACGACGACGAAGACAACGACATGGATTCGTCAAACAGCGAGTTTGAGCTGTCGAGCATTAGCGGGATGGACGAGCCCCTCCCGCGCCCCGGCAAGAACAGGTACATGAGCGTCAGCGAGGACGAGGTCGAGGAGTCGCGCTACGAGATCGCCACCAACAAAAGGGTGAACGCCAATGGCAACGGCAAGAGCCAGGCCAATGGCAATGGCCATGCCAGCAGCAGCAGCAACCGCGCGGCGTCGGTGCCCGCTACCAAACCCTCGCGCGAACCCACGCCGAGGTTATCCAAGTCCAAACCCGCGTCGCGTATCCCATCCCCACAGGCCGGTGCCACGGCCGCCGACGCGCCATCGCCGCGCGACAGGGCTGCCGAGCGCGAAAGGCTCAAGCGCAAGCAGCACGAGAGGAAGGCGTTTTGGGCCTCCAAGGGCGTGCTGGAGGCGAGCGAAGAGTCCGAGGGGAGCGAGTAGAGGCGAGGCGAGGAGAGGAGAGGAGAGGTCGTGGGCAATGGCACACGGTGGGACGAAGTCATATTGACCATGCATCTTGTCACCTGTTCATCTTATCGCCTGTCAGTGTGGACACTGGCTGTGCTGGCTGATCTCGTTACATGCGTTATCGTACAAGTGTAATCTACTGCTCTCGTCGCGAGTGTGGCACGCGGGGGGCCACACGCTACTAGTTTCGTCCAATGCCGGCGCGCTCGCCGAGCTTGGCGGTACGGTCTGCGAGGTTTCCGGCGTACGTGTTGGCCAAGTTGGACAGGTTGGCCATGAGGCCGCCCGAGTTGCCGTGGACCTTGACCTGTGGGTGTGTGTGAGCAAAAAAACGGTGGGCAAGAAGGGGTACACAGCCTCGACTGGACTCACCATGATGGTCGGCTCCTGCGGATCCTGGATGCCTTCCTCCCTTGCCTTGCGCCTGATCGTATCCATGACCTCGCTGACCGCGCTGCGGTCCAGGTCGTCGCGGGAGCGCATGATGCTGTCCACAAAGTCGAGCTGCGGGCCGTGCACTTTTGCAAACTTCCAATAGTCCATAAACACCATGTCCGGGGACGCAGACAGCATCGAGGCCACTTGGTCCATGACGTCAAACGACTGCTCGAGCTCGGCGGGCTGCTTGTACGCCGAGAAAAAGTCGAAGGCCTGGGAAATGTCGTTGCGGATCTTTTGGGCGGCGACGGGCATGCGCAGTGCGTTGGCCGGGGCGCGGCGCAGGGCCGTGAGGTAGACGATGAGGAAGGCGTCGAGCATGTCCTCGATGACAATCTCGTAGATGGACGGGTTGAGGTGGGCGCTATAGTCGCCGAGGTAGTCGCGCATCGTCTCGACGATTTGCGGCAGCAGGCTGTCGGTGTACCACTGCGGCGTGATAAGGGCGCGGGTGGCCGGGCGGAGGTCGTTGAAGACAATCTCGACGAGCGCAGACGTACACCGCTTGGCAACGTCGAGGTATCCGTCAATGGCCTCGTTGAGGCGGTCGGCAATGACGGCCTTGTACTTGTCCGACACGAGCGGCTCGAGACGGTGCTGCAGTGCCTCGGTGTAGTCTGCGGCGCGCAGCTGGTCGTTTGCCAGGGCAATGACATACTCGACCAAGCCGCCGGCCACCTCCTCGGGTTTGCGCTCGGCCTGGAGCCGGGCCTCGTCGGCGACAATCTTGACCCATTCGGCCTGGACGCGGCGCATGACTTTGGCGCATTCCGTGACGACGCGCGACAGGACGGCACCTTGGTTGGAATCGAGCGCCAGGTCGATCTGCTGGTTGACAAGCTGGAAGAAATCGACCACGCCGTCCATGCCAAACAGGCCGTCGGCGCCAATGTTGGGTTCCGACGCACGCCATTTAAACTTGCCCGTCTCCTCGCGCTGGAGGTTGATGGTCCACTCGTCGAGTTTTGTAATGATGAGTCGCACATAGTCTTCAATGAGGTCCTGGCTCTTGCCGTCCAGCAGGGGAGGCTGGAGCCATTCCTTGGGCACCTCGAGCTCCTTCATGCTCTGGCGATACTCCTTTGTCCACGCGTGCAGGTGCAGCAGGACCTGGGCCTCGGGTGCGTCCGCCACGACTTTACGCAAAATGTCGTTCAGGCCCTTGTGGTACTTTTTGATCATGCGCTGCACAATCTCATAGTCGGCAGGGAACAGCGGGTCGACGTCGTCCTTGATGCGGATAATGTCCTTGTAGATGAACTGGAGCTCGTCGATAAACGTCATGAGGTCGTCCCGGTTGGCGTCATAGTGGCGCTGGTACGCGTCGACAATGGCCTTGTCCAAGGCATCGAGAAACTTGTGGCGGTAATTCTTGATCACGCGCGCGTTGGCCTGCATGGAGCGAAACTTGGCAGAATTGTCGGCCGTCCCCACTTTACGCATGAGACGCAGGGCCACGGCCTTTTCGTCCTCTTTGCTCTCAAACGCAATCACCTTGAGCAGCCGGACCACGGTGCCGCCGTACCCTCGGCGGGCGAGCTCGACGACGTTGGATGAAATCTCCCACATCCACGCCTCAAACTCCTGGCCCACTTGGTCCAGAGGCTCAAACCACCGTGTAAGGATTTGCTTGTCGGCAGCGTCGCCGCGCTTGGCCTCGTGCATCGTCTCGTTGCGGAACGCCTCGAGCTGTTGCAGTTGGAAATGGATCGGGAGCAGGTTGGGTGCCGACGAGATGGGGCCATGGGACCGGTCGTCGTCGAGCAGCGCGCCCAGGTACTGCACCTTGTCTGCCATGCTCTGCAGCTGGCTGACCATTTTGGCCGTCTGCGAAAAGTTGCGGTGGACAGACGACACGCGCGTAATCTTCTCAAACGTCTCGCCTTCATCCTTGTCGCGCTTGAGCTTTTCCACCTCGATCATCTCCTCGCGGATGAGTCCAGCGGCCGCACGGCTTTCTTGCAGCTTGATCAGGGCGTCGCGCGTCGCGTCCAGCTGTAACCGGACACCTTCTTGCAACTTGGCGTCGAGCGTCGCCTTCTCCTTGAGCAGCTTGTTGCGGTAGGCGGCGAGCTTGACAAGGTCGTCGGGCTGTCGCAGCACCTCGCCCACCGCGGCCGAGGCGGAAAAGGTCGCCATCGTCGCGGTGGGGTACGTGGGGGAGAGGTTGTGTTGAGAAGTGGTGGGAGGAGAGTGGGTGTGTGTGTGTGTGTGTGTGCTGATGCAAAGGTGCCAGCTGACCGACCACCTTGAACAACAGTCGCAGCTGCGGCAACGGGCGCTGTGTCGTCACGTCGCGGCCTCGCCGTCCTCCTGAACGCGTGGTCTCTGCGTGGCACACGGCACACGGCACAGTCCTGTATCACCTCCATAGTCCATGTCATTGTCTCTCGGCCAAAGCTCGGCACAATCTGGTGCGTGACAGCGGTGGAGGCCAACGGGCTGGGCGCGAGAAGCATTACTGCGACAAGCTCTGCATCTCTCTGCATCTCTGCTCCCCAATCTCCCTCGTCTCTCGCCGCCACCTGGTTCACGACCTTTTCTTATGGACGACATCCTTCCTTGGTACGGTAGAGACTGCGGTGTGCGGATATGGTCTGCGCGCGCGGTCTCTGCCTGTTCACCCCTCAATAGCCGCACCACCCACACACCTGCTGGCCGTTGGGTGTGCCGGATGGCAACAGCTGGTGCTGGCAGCTGGCAGCCGGCGTCACAGGCTCGCCTGCAACATACATATACTGATGGCCACCTGCGGCAGCCCCCCCACAGCAGCAGTCAGACGTTGTGCAGCGCACCCAATGTCATGACGAGACTCGCCACCACGGCCACCACCCAGAGGAGGCCCCTTCCCCCGACTGTTCGCTCTCACCCGGCCGAGAAACCAACAGACCCAGGTCTGTCAGTCATCCAGGTTGCGGATAGTGCGGATTTCTGGCCCGACATTGCCCGATGTGCAGAGGCAGGGCGGTCACGGCATGTGCCCAGGGCCCCCAGGGTGTGCAAGCGAGCGTGTGTGCGTGTGCCACAAAGGGGGAAACGCCGGGCGGGCCTTCGTCATCGCCGGATAAATGACGTGTCGAGTGTCCGTATCAGCTGCAGCACCCAATGTTTGTGTGCGGTGATGGGTTGTGTGTGTGCCCCGCCGTCAGAGTCAGAGCGTGTGCAGTGTGTGTGCATGTGTGTGTGCCCTCATGCCTCCGGCAGCGCCCGCGCCTGGCTGGGCTGGGGGGGAGTGAAAAGGCGGGACGGTGCGCCAGGCCCACGGCGGCACGAGCGGCGCGCGCATATATAGCCTGGGGGCTCCCTCAAAGTGGCCGCGGCTCTAAATTCCCCCCCTCCACAACCCGTTTTGCGACGTTTTGCCGCCCACTCCGCCCCGGCCGCCGTCATCCACCACCCCGCGCTCGTCATCGTCGTCGACTAAAAGTCCCCCCTCTCTACACACACCCAACAACACACCTAATTGTTGCCATCCATCCATCCACCCAACCCATCCATCCATCCATAATACCAACCCCCATCGCATAGATACCCCCCCTCCCCTCCCCCGCTGCCATCCCCTAGCATTCGCACCCCCCACCCCTGCATATACCATCCCCAAGCGTCCCCGTGCGCGCCACCTTCCTTTTTAAACAACAACTCCACACTCCCCCCCCACTTCCTTCCTTCCCCGCCGGATAACCTGGAGCGAACGGGCCGCACCTTCGCATCCAGTCACATCCGCGCCAGCGTCCAGTTCTTTTTAACAAGGTGTGTGTGACCATGCTACAATCAACACCCATCATGCATGAGCCACCGTGTCATGCTCTCCCCAGCCAAACTACCCCCCCTCCGAAGATGTCAATATTTGTGTAACACGCTGACACGAGGTTTCCCTGCCCTTTTACCTTCCTTGCGCGGTCCTCCCTTTTTATATTGCACCCCTTTTCCTCTCTTTGTCACCATCCACCCCCCTCGTTACACCCACAGCAATGTCTGCTGAGCCAACTCTGAGCACGCCTCCGGCGTCGGAGCAGCCAGTGAAGGCTGAAGTGGTCGTCGCCCCCGTGCAGCTGCAGGAGCAGACGGCTGTGGACAGCAAGCCTCTGATCAACCCGCTGCAGACCGACACGCCTACCACCTCGACGATTGTGGAGCCCCCCAGCTCGCCAAATGCCCTCAATCCGGCATCAGTCCAGGAGCCACCGTCGGCGGTCAACGGCGACACTGAGCCAGCCAATCCGCTCACGCCCGTGTCGCCCGCCCCTCCAGCCGCTGACCCTCCGGTGTCGTCGTCGCTCGCGGCGCCGCCTGTTCCTTCTTCGTCCGTTCCTACTCCACTTCCAGACGCCTTCCCTACCCCAGTTGGCACCACCTTCGACCCCGTTACCACTACCTCCCCCATCCCCGTCGCCGCCCCAGCCGCGCCCAAGGAGGAGCCTCCCGCTCCATCCCCCGCACCAGAGGCCGCCGCCAGCACGCCCATGGACGTTGACGGGCAGGGGTCCAACGTTCTCAAGCGTCCCGGAGACGACCTCGCATCAGAGGACGTGAAGCGTGCCAGGGAGGACGGCACCTCTGCGCCCACCACCCCTGCACCTGCACCTGCTGCTGCTGCTGCTGCTGCTGCTACCGCACCGCCCGTCACCGCTACCCCCGTCGTCGACGCTTCCGCACCAATGCTCGACGCCATGGGCCAGCCCGTCGTCTACCCGTGGACCAATTACGTCGAGCCTGCTCCTCGCAACCCGGGCCCTACCACCCCTCTCACCCTTGCGCAACACAAGTACTTGTCAAAGATTGTTGGATCCCTTTTAAAGTCGAACAACTCGTTCAACTTCAGGGAACCCGTCGACGTTGTTCGTTTCAACATTCCCCACTACCACCAGGTGATTGCGTACCCGATGGACCTCGGCACTGTCAGCACCAAGCTGCATGCGTCGGATCCCCGAGGACCACCCAAGGACAAGTCCAAGCTCGCCAACTGGGACACCTCCAAGGGAACATACACCTCGGCCTCGCAGGTCAGCAAGGACGTCCGCCAGATTTGGGAGAACACTCGCAAATTTAACGGTCGCGATCACGTCGTGTCCCAGGCCGCTGGCAAGCTCGAGGAGCAGTATGAGCGTGCCCTCAGGGGTCTCCCCAGCGAGGTGAGCAGAGAAGAGAGCAAAGGGAAAATATTTGACACAAAGCTAACTTGTTTTGTAGCACGCACCCGCCGCCGCCGCTGCCGCCGCCGTGTCATCCCCAGCCAGCGCCGGTCCCTCGTCTTCGTTTGCTGCCCGCCGCGCGTCCGTCTCACAACCTCCTGTCATCCGCCGCGCCGACGACTCGTCCCGTCCCAAGCGTGACATCCACCCTCCCCCTTCCAAGGACCTCAACTATGAAGGTCCCGGTGCTCTGCGCAAGCCCAAGCGTCGCAACGACCCGCAGCTCCAGTGGGCCGCTCGTACCCTCAACCAGCTCGAAAAGTCGCAAAAGTTCTATGAGATCGTCAGCCACTTCATGTACCCGGTCTCTGAGATTATCGCCGCCATCCCTTCCTACACCACGGTCGTCAAGAAGCCCATGGACCTGTTGATGGTCAAGCAGCGTCTCGAGGACAATGCCTATGAGGAGGTTCAGCAAATAGACGACGACATTCGCCTCATTGTGTCCAACGCTCGCCTCTTCAACCCTCCCGGTGACGCTGTCCACAACGCCGCTGTTGCCCTGCTGCAGCTGTGGTCAGAAAAGTGGCGCTCGCTGCCTCCCAAGCAGGAGATTCGCGACGTCAGCGAGGACCCGGCTGCTGGACCCGAAGAGTTGGACGAGTCGGACGACGAGGACAAGGACACTGTCCGTCTGCGCGAGGCCAAGGCTGAGCGTGCGACCCTTGACCGGGAGATTGCCGACTTGGAGCAGAAGATTGCCCGCAAGCCAAAGCGCAAGGCAAAGGGACCTCCCAAGGGTGCTCGCGAGCCCAAGCAGCCTGCCCAGCGCAAGTACTCGACCAACGCCAGCAAACCGTCGCCCAGCGGTGCTGGTGCTGGTGGCGTCAACGGCAACGGTGTCGCCAAGAAGCCTCGCAAGCCCAAAGAGCCTGCGTACCGCGACGACGACGAGAGCGACGACGAGGTCCAGACCATTACCATTGCGCAAAAGCAGGAGCTGGCCGAAAAGATCCAGATGGCCGAGGCCGAGGTTCTCAGCCAGGCTGTGCAGATTATCCAGTCGACGACCAACATTTCGGGCGACCAGGAGATTGAGCTCGACATTGACTCGCTCCCGCCCGGCACGGTCATCAAGCTGTACAACCTCGTGTGCCGCGGCCGCAAGCGTGGAAAGAAGTCCAAGCCTGCACCGCGCAAGTCTGGCTTTGGCGGCGCTCCCGGTCGCAAGCACCTCAACGAGCAGGAAGAGGCCGACCGCATCCGCAAGATGGAGGCCCAGCTCCAGTCGTTTGAGGGCGGCCGTGGCCCCACTGCCAACGCGTTTGAGGACGAGTCGAGCTCCGAGGAGGAGTCGAGCGACGAGGAGTAGAAGGTGGCGTGTGTGAGTGAGTGTAGTACATATAGGGCGAGAGAGAGAGAGAGGAGACAGTAGGCAGTAGTTATAGCGCAACGGCGGCGTGCGCGTGCCGTGTTCCCCCCCACCGTCACCCCCGAGTGTGTAGATCAGTCCTCGGGTCATATACAGAGAGATGCAGGCAGATCAACAATGTCCAGGAGGTGCTGAGAAGCGAGGTAGGCAGCTGGCTGTGCAGGCAGGCAGGCAGGCAGGCAGGCAGGCAGGCAGGCAGGCAGGCAGGCTATCGTTATCGCGATATCCAGTCGGGAGAGGCTCGGCAGGATGCTCGGCTGAAGACTCCAGGCTCGGTACGTCAGCAAGACAAGACATAGCGCTGCACCCTGTCTGTTCTTTCCGAGCCGTGTAAGGTGCCAGTCCGGAAGTGCAGAGGCACATACGGAAGCAAATGCTTGATGCCCACATCACCCGCACGTGATGGAGACCCCGTAGGCCGTACCCCGCCTTGCTGTGTGGTGGCGCGTCGAAATGGCCGAACTCGAGGTGTTGTTGTGCCTTCTAACCGTCCGCACCGGCTTTATCGTGCTTACCGACGCTGTACCATTGCTCTACGTGCACAATCCCATCCATGGTGTCATCATCATCGGCATCAGCATCTGCAGGGCCATCAATGCAGCCAAGACAACAAGGAGGTTCTCAGCATGGCCAAGGCCAACAACAACAACAACAACAACGAACACGTAACTTGTCCAGCCGGTATCCAGTCCGCATGCTGACTTTTGCAGATAACGATGACAGCGAGAGGCCCGGCGAGCCACGACCGTCTAAGCGGCGGCGAGACACCGACTCTGAGCGCCAACGTGTTGAACATAGCTGCGACCGCTGTCGGCAGCGTAAGCGCCGGTGCCTCCGCCCCAGCGACACTGAGCCTTGCGCAGGTTGCCAAGAGGCTGGAACAGAGTGTCTGGTCACGATGCCACGGCGGCAGCGGGTGTACACCACCGTCGACCAGCTGTCCATGCGGTACCGGGTGCTCGACTTGCTGGTCAAGGGCCTCTTCCCAGACCACGACGTAGACTCGCTGCATGGCCTGCTCGCGCTGGCAGACGAAAAGGGCATTGAGGTGCCTCAGGAGGAGAGCCAGATAGCCCCTCTCGACCCGCGGGGTGCGTCAAACGGAGAAGGAGCCTCCGATGCCCCATCACCACCTGTTGTCCAAGAGCAGAGGGACGACCCGTCGCTGCAGGACAACAGCGTCGCACCGAGTGACGACGCCGCTGTCCCCGAAGGATGGCTGGTGCCAGCTCCTAACGGAGGATACCATTACATTGGCACTGCGTCGCTGGTGTACTTTGCCCACACGGCAAGACGGCTGGTGTCCAAGTCCAACCTCGCCACAATGCCTTCTTACGATGAGGCGGGGCTGCGCACGTTTTTGCGCACTGCCGAGTTTACGACGTACCAGGTCAGCCATGCCATTGCGGACAGCCGACATGGAAACCCTCTTGCTCCCACCTCTGAAGGTGCGGCAGATCTCGACCAAGGCTCTAGCTCTTCTGGACCCACGTCGCCAATGTACAAGCGCCCAGTCGACATGCTCCCTGACCGGGCGACATCCGACCTCCTGGTTGAGGCATTCTTCAACCACGCCCACCCAAACTTTCCCATCTTCCACCGCGGAGCATTCCAGGTCAAGTACGAGTCGACATGGCGCAACTCTGGCCAACAACCTCTCACTCAAGACCCGGGGTGGATGGCGTCTCTGCTCATGGTGTTTGTCATTGGAGCGCAGAAGCTAGAGGGAGACCTAGGTGGACAGCCTCAGGCGCTCCATCAAAAGTGCCTCTCGATTCTGTTCCGGGACGGCCTCGAGCGCATCGTTCTCAGCTCGACCCTCTCCAACGTCCAGGCGCTGCTTCTCCTGTCCCTTTATCAACACAACGTGGGTGAGCGCAACTCGGCCTGGCTCCTCGTCGGCCAGGCGGCGCGTTCCGCTATCGCGTTGGGTATGCACAGGGATGGTGGCGAGGACAGCAAGTTTGACCCGTTCGAGCGCAACACGCGCCGCCTCGTCTGGTGGACGCTGTACATGTTTGAACAAACAGTGTCACTGGCCCTGGGCCGCCCGTCGTTTACGGAAACCGTTTCCGTGACGGCCAGTCTTCCCGATGCGACGTTTACCAGCAGCATTGTGGGCCTGCCACCCAATTTTCTCCAGCATTCCATCGAACTTTCTCGTTTTCACAAAAAGATCAGGCGGTTCATCGGTACATTGTCCCCCCATTATGCAGCCCCAAGCAAACTGGCCGAAGCGTGTCCGACAGCCAACAGGCTGCTTGCCGAGCTGTCTCGTTGGCGCACCAACCTTCCGAGCCAGCTTGCGCCATCGTATGCCTTTGTGAATGCAGCACAACGGCGCGCCGTCCTGCTCATGCACATCTGGTCATACTATCTCGAATCCATCATTGCCCGCGCCTTCATCCTCGGCCGCGTCGATCATGACATCCCTTCCATAACGACAGCTCCAGCCCCAGCTCCGCCGCCCTTGTCCAGCAACGTTGCCGAGCTAGCAGAGCGGTGCGTCCAGGCCGCCCATTCGTCGGTGAAGCTACTTTTGGAACTGGAAGCGTCTGGCCAACTCGAAGGCTGCGTCTACCTCGACTTTTACGCCATTTACCATGCGACCATGATCATCGGTATACACTTTCTCAGCCGACCACTGGGGTTGGACGCCGCCGACGTCGAACTAAAGGCGACCATCTCAACACTGCTTGCCCGCAGCAAAGGTGTCAGTGTGGCACCCACCTACCGGATCCTCATGAACATTGCAATGCCTCTGGCTTACATTGCCGGTATCGCACCCGAGACCGTCGAGACCACCGATACGACGCCGGCTGCCGCCTCATCCGCAACAAACCTTACCCCAAGCGACGAGCAATGGCCCGGACCGCCTTACAACATGTCCCCGCAGGCGCATCCGCAACTGTTCCCACGGGGGGAACCTTCAACCGCGTTCAGCCATTCAGCTGCGATTGGCAGAGACCAACCAACTGCCAACCTCGGCGACCCCTCGTCGCTGACTGCGCTAGAGCAGCTGTTTGGACCCATACCACAGTTCCAACAGAGCGATCTGCGCCTGGACGCAATTGCCGACCTGTACGCAATAGGGTTTGACCCAAACGATGTCAACCCGCGGACTTTTGCAATGTGATTGGCGAGTAAGACCCGTCTCTTCACATCTCACAGCGGTAACGGCAGCTGGCACTATTGCACTGGACGTATGCATACAATTACTCGGATATTGGCTGCTCCACTCCATATTGGCCTGCTCCACGCGACTTGGTACATGCTCCAGGAGCGCAAGTTTCTCAATCTACAACCATTCCCACTCTCCAGCCCCGCTTAGATTGGTCCCTTGCCCATCGCTCCCTGCCTGGTCAGTTTTTAGCCAATACCACGTCACTTACGCCGTCGACAATAAGAGTCTCTCCAGTGATGTACTGGCTCGCGCGGGAGGCAAGGAAGACGGCAGGCCCAGCAAAGTCGCGCGGCTCGCCCCAGCGGCCCCCGGGAATGCCACTGAGGCGGTTGGCGTACAACTCGGGATTGCCGCGCAGGTCCGTGTTGCTTGCCGAGTGTCAGCAAACCAGAGAAACCTAGAAAACGGGTTGCGCGATAGCTTACATGTCTGTGGCGATGGATCCGGGGGCAATAGCGTTGACGCGGATGTTATGCTTGCTCCACTCGTTGCTCAGCGCCTTGGTCAGGCTCGTGACTGCCGCCTTGGCTGCCGCGTACGAGGCGACACGCGAGCCGCCGACAAACGAGTTGAGAGAGGCCACGTTGATGATGGTTCCGCGTCCCTTGGGGATAAAGTGCTTGCCTGCCGCCTGCGAGAGGAAAAAGAGCGAGTTGAGGTTGACATCGAGAACCTGCAAGCGGTCCTGCATTAGCCGCCTATTCGAAGCGTCTCTGGACGCGTCACTCACACTGTTCCACTCGTCCACCTCAATGTCCACACTGTCGTTGCGCCTCAGAATGCCACCGCAGTTGACGAGGATCGACACGTCGGCCACATCCAACGCACGACCAAAGACCTCTTTGGCGTCGCTCACGTCGCCCAGGTCGGCGGCCACAACTTCGGCACTGCCACCGGCGGCACGGATTGCGTCGCGCGTGGCAGTGTTGTTGACGTCCCGCTGAGCGATGATCACGGCTGCACCCGCCTGTGCAAGGGCGATGGCGATGGCGGCGCCGATGCCTGTGTCTGTCAGATTATCTGACACCTATAGTATGGCTCACTCACCCCTGGAGCCACCCGTCACGAGGGCGGTCTCGCCCTTGAGCTGGAAGAGCTCGAGAGCCGGGTTGGAAGGCGTGGCATCGAGTGCGGTGGCAACCATGGTGTGGTTTCGAAGAGGCCGAGATCGATATGGGTGAGGAGAGGAGGCGTGTTGGAGACACGCAGCACGTTACAGCTTTTGAACCGCATGCTCGTCCACGGTGCCGCCCCCACGCATATGACATCGGCCATCGGGCCCGTGGTTGTGCCGGCGCCGGTATTGTTGACAGCACCCAAACTTCTGTCGGCCTGGGCCGGTATCTGGCGGAGCGTGGCGGACGTGTGGCAAAGGTGGAGGCGGAACGAGTCCTCCGACAACTGGCGGTTCAATCCATCCGCGGCACTCTGCACCACAGAAGCCCATTATCGGGACGATGCATCCTGCCGGGCCGGTGCTTCCGTCAGTATCAACCGTGTACGTGACGGACTCGCACTCGGTTCATCGGACAGCGTCATTCCGAGTCCACACATAAGACGCTTGCAAGAGCCTGCTAGGCCAGCACCATCTTCCTGCTCCTTTCTCCACATCAGTCCACTATGACTCGTTCAGGCAAGCGCTCCGTCCTCGTGATTAACGGTCCCAACCTCAACCTCCTGGGCATCCGCGAGCCACACAGTAAGGACCTTACAGACTTGAGACAGCGCCGCAGACGCTGATACTGCAGTCTATGGTGCCGAGACTCTCGACGACGTTTCGGCCGCGGGAGAGAAACAGTCTGCCGCCGGTGGCTCGCATGTCGAGTTCTTCCAGAGCAACTGGGAGGGGGCAGTCGTCGACCGTATTCAAGCGGCACGAACAGACGGCACCGACGGCATTGTTCTCAATCCCGGAGGTTGGACGCACTACTCCATCGCCATCCGCGATGCCCTCCTTGGTGTTGACATTCCGTTCATCGAGGTACGTCGTGTCTGGACACGGTGAGGTACAATACAAGCACTGACACTCTCCAGCTCCACGTCGCCAACATTCACTCGCGTGAAGACTGGCGCCACCACTCGGTCTTCCACGACAAGGCTGTGGCCGTGATTGTAAGTGGTGTCTCCCGCACCGTGTCGCAGCAGCGCTGATCGGGCAGGCTGGTGCTGGGGTCCTGGGCTACAAGTACGCCATTGACCTGGCGACCACCAACGAGAAGAAGTTCCCGTCCAAGGCCGACGTTCAGTAGGAGCTGGAGATTGTACATTGCTATTTGACGATGCAGCCGAGTTGCCTTTAATACTGTACTGTACACCTCCCAGACGAGACGGTTTTCCTGTCATATTATCGTGCCTTTTAGAAAAAGAGGAGTTGCAGGCACGGGTAATGGGGTTGTGCAGCATGTGAAAGGCTCAGAATGGTTCTCTCGCTGTCAGTTTGAACGATCACTGCACCCAAGTTTACCCCCCTACGTAGTGTGAAATTAACCCTCCTCCAAAGAATCGTCAACCCAGGGGAAGAAGGTGGTTGAACGCAGAGGATGGTAGCAGCTTCCTTCCTTCACGAGCAACAAAGTCAACTGACCGGTCCCAGAGTACCCGCTACATACCATCATGAATATGTATCATGGCACCGTGTTCATTCAGATGTTCAGACCAATCTCGACCACCTCAACACTAACTACTACAGAGTCTCAACTGGAAGTTCACTACGGATCGGATCGCTCTCATGCCAGCTCTGGAACATCGACCCAGGCACGCTTGGCCCAACTTTCAAGACCGAGCTCGGTGATCTGCACACCCTTGGCACCCTCAAGCAGGGTGTACTGCCAAGGCTCGTTGAGCACGATGTGACGCAAGAAGAGCTCCCACTGAACCTTGAAGGCATTGTCAAACACCTCATAGTCGGGCACGCGGGACCAGGCGGCCAAGTGATCAATGTCGCTGTCAACGTCCGGGTTCCAAGTAGGCCGGGGGGTGGCCGACTCGTGCTGAACGACACAGTCGCGCAACGTCGCCACCGCACTTCCCTTGGTGCCATCGACCTCGGAGACTGTCAGTGTCTGATACAGCTGGAAATGTCGCGGTGACTCACCTGGATGGTCAAGAGGTCGTCGCGACGGACACGCGTCGTCCAGCTCGAGTTGAAGTGAACAATGACACCAGAGTCAAGCTCAAAGGTGGCATACGCTGCGTCGTCGGCCGTGCACTTGTACGTGTTGCCCGCCTCGTCCACGCGCTGCTTGATGTGGGTTGCCCCAAGACAGCTCAAGGATTTGATAGAGCCAAAGAGGTTGTGAATGACATAGCGCCAGTGGCACAGCATGTCGACAATGATACCGCCGTCGTCCTCCTTGCGATAGTTCCAGCTGGGGCGCTGCGGGGACACAGGTGTCTCTCCGGTGAAGACCCAGTAGCCAAAGTCTCCCTTGACGCTGAGAATCTCGCCGAAAAAGCCCGAATCAATGAGTGTCTTGAGTTTGCGCAGGCCAGGCAACCAGAGCTTGTCCTGCACCACGCCGTTCTTGAGTCCTGCCTCGGTCGCCAGCCGGTACAGCTCGTGCGCGTCCTCGGTGCTCGTAGCAGTGGGCTTTTCGCAGTAAATGTGCTTGCCAGCCTTGATCGCCTGCTTGACGGCGTCGGTGCGGCGCCCTGTCGTCTGAGCATCAAAGTAGACCGTGTCGTCGGGGTTGGCCAAAGCGGCTTCGAGGTCGGTGGTGTAGCGCTCAATCCCGTGGGCCTTGGCGAGCTCGGCAACCTTGGCTTCGTTGCGGCCGACGAGAATGGGGTCGGGCACGAGGCGGTCTCCAGAGGGGAGGCGAATACCTCCCTCGTTGCGAATGGCGACGATCGAGCGGATAAGGTGCTGGTTGGTGCCCATGCGACCGGTGACACCGTTCATGATGATGCCAATGCGGCGGTCGCCTTTCAGAGGGGCTCCGTTGGAGGCTCCGTTTGCTCCGTTGGTGTGAGTCATGTTGATGTCGTTGCTGGGGTGGAAGACTTTGAGCGAAGGGGAGGAAGGGGAGACGTGGGTAAGCAAACTCCAACAGCCGAGCGTGTCTTTAAGCGTTTGCCAGATACCATGGCCGGCGTCACCGGCTCCGCGGCGCGTCCTCGTGCTATCGAGTACTGGCGGGGTCTATGGACCTCGGCGTCCACAGGAGAGATTGTCGAAAAGTCGGTCCGCCAGGCACCACCACCAGGACATGCCGGCGGATGCACCCTTCCGCCACCCCATACAATTGCAGCCCACCCTTTGAAGCGGAACGACACAACCGCCAGCAACACCTCGTGTCCTGCTGCACAATCTAGGCGGTGGCGGGCTTCCGTTGCTCTCGTAACCCCGGGGGGTCCCAGTGACTTGGCGCGGGGCCCATCTTCCGCCGATTAGAACACGCTCCGCAGAACAACAGCCTTGCCTTTGTCCACTTGCTCACCACCTTTTGCGGGCTGCTGACTCCGCCTTCCCATTCACTCCACATAGCCCTACACGGTTGCCAAGGTTCTGTCAACAGCCCCACTCTCCAGCCAAGTGTAACATCCAGCGCATCTGCTCCGGCCCGGGGCAGGAACGCTTGAGCCGCCGAGATCCACGTGCAGCGAGAGTCAGCCGACATCATGTCGCAGGAGCAATCACACACACCATGGGATAAGGTATATTACCAGACCCGTGTGGAAATGGAAGGATCTCTACGGAGCTTGAGCACCAACACCAACACCATGTCGCCATTCAACTCTTTCAGTACGTTGAGATTGAGACTGGGCTGACAAGGCAGTTGCTGGCCTTCCTAGGCTCCCACCCCGGGAGAGTCGAGTAAGTTGTTCGCCATGGCTGCTCCCCTGTCAATACTCACACAGCTCAGCACCGAAGCTCCAACCCCTTCACTCTCTTGGCGTCACTCACTGCGATGCAGTGGGCCTTCTTCTTTTCCGGGTGGTTTGCTTGGGTTTGCGATGCTGTCGAGTGAGGACTGCTGTTGCAACGTTGGCAGGATCTAACACTTTTTCAGCTTCTTTGCCGTTTCACTCTCAACTGCTCGTCTCGCTACCCAGTTTGCCAAGCCGGTCGGCACAGTGACTCTCAGCATTACGCTCACCCTCTTGTTTCGTCCTTTGGGTGCCTTCATCTTTGGCATTCTTTCTGACCGTTATGGCCGGTGAGTTGGCTGTCAAGTTGCACAAACCTAACGGACCAGTAAATGGCCACTTATCGGCAACCTTCTCTTGATCGCTGCCTTTTCTCTTGGCACCGGCTTTGTCCAAACCTTTTCGGCCTTCCTTGCTCTTCGATCCATGGTATGTTTCAGTACTGGCCAAAATACATACTTACAAGTCAGTTTGGTATTACAATGGGAGGTATCTGGGGCCTGGCGGTATCGATGTCGCTGGAAAACATGCCCGTGGAGGCGCGCGGTTTGTTTTCCGGATTCCTGCAGCTGGGTTACCCCGTTGGCTACCTGATCATTGCTGCGGTCAACCTCAACCCCTACATCCAGAAGCAGCAGCACTGGCGTGTTCTCTTCTACACCGGCGCCGGCATGTCCCTCTTCGCCGCCGTTATCCGTCTCCTTCTCCCCGAGTCGGCATACTTCAAGGAGCGCCAGCAGTGCCGGGCAGAGCTCGAGGCGGACGGCGCCATCACAAAGAGTGCCACTATGACTACTCTACGCGAGCTTGGCAAGACCCTCAGAGTTCACTGGGCGCGTTGTGTCTGGAGTGTCATCTTCATGAGGTACGTTGACCGTACTGCAGCCTCAACCCTTCCACGCTGACCATCTCAGCGCTTTTGTAAGCTAGTGATGTTCGATTGTAACCTAACCGCAGAACTTTTACTCCCACGGGTCGCAGGACCTCTATCCCACGTACGTCCAAATCGACAAGGGTCTTTCACCCCACCTCGCCACCGTCACCACGATCATTGGCAACTGTGGCGCGATTGCAGGCTGCACCGTTGGAGGCTTTGTCTCGCAATTCCTCGGCCGCCGCCTTACCATTATTGTCATGGCCGTCTTTTGCTGTGCCATGCTTCCACTTTGGCTCCTTCCGACGTCGTTTGCCGGTCTGGCTGCTGGAGCGTTCTTTGTGCAGGCGGGAGTCCAAGGGTGAGCTTACTTCCTTGAGCTGTGAGCTGACACTCAGCGCCTACGGTGTTGTTCCCGTCTACCTCAGCGAGATCTCACCTGTAGCTTTCCGTGCCACTTGGCCAGGTGTTGGTGAGTAGAACCGCTGACCAAGTTATCAATACTTACAGCTAACTGGGTGTTTAGCCTATCAGCTGGGCAACATGGTTGCTTCTGCGTCGGCTCAGATCGAAGCCACCGCTGGCGCCAAAATCAAGGACCCCACCACCGGCAAACCAGCCTATGGCAAGGTGGCCGCCATTCTTATCGCTGTGTCCGCCGTCGTGCTCATTGCTTGCTGTCTTGTTGGCGCGGAAGACCACGGCGCGCACTTTGAGAACGGTCGTGCGGCATTCGAGAATGACGCCGGACTCGACATTGGTGAGTGCAACCTGAAAACATTCCGGTGTCATTAACCCCCCACAGTCGAGGACCCCGAGAGGCAGCTGTCCAAGGTTGTGTCCAACGGTGACCAGAAGGACCAGGTGAAGGTCTACCACAAGGAGCATGTGTGAGGGTTAATTCGGAAGGAAACCAAGGGTTGTGTTGTGGGGGGCCTGTAACAAAATGAGCCCAGATTTGTACTTGAAGGGAGGTATGGATCATGTCAGGATTCGCTGCGACTGTTAAGGGGCTTATAGGGTGACGAGGCCACAGAGCTACGAGTGACCGCACGAAACGGTCCGGCCAGCGCCGGTAAAAGCGCCCGATACGCCGAGAGAACAGCGAGCACAGTGCGCAGCTTGGCATCCATAAGTGGCCGAGTAACCGCCGCACAAGCGCACAGGCCCAACGCCAGGCCCCAGTTTACACTCGTGCACACGCGTCGACAGGACGGATGGAAGCAAAAAAAAAGTCATGTCTGCCTCTGCACCTGGCCGGTAGTCTGGCACGGATATCGGTCGGGCTGGGCGGCAACAATCAGCCGCTCAGATCCTGGCAAGACCGGCGGGACCGGGCCGCAGGCCGCAGGTATACATTGCCGTAGGGATCAAGAGGCAGAACAAACCAGAAGCCAAGCAGTTGTAAACGACGGTGACTTACCAACGCGCATGTGGCACAGACTGATGCATGTGTTGGTTCTAGAAGACACCCAGTGGGCGAGCGATGCTGCTCGGATCATATACATGGGACCCCGTTCGCTATGCACCGACGGTCGCGCACGCTCGCTTGATTGCCACGTTGTAAACCGACGGTTGGCCGCGGGTCGGCCCCATGTGGCACCTGCTTGGCTGAATCACGCCGAGTATGCTCCGTGATGGCGGCATACGAGTCTGCCCTGAGCGACTGCCGGCGAGCAACCATCCCACGGCTATACCCCGGGCATCGAGCGCAAGCAAGACAAGCCCCAGCAGCCCAGGCCCCCGCTCGCTGGGCTTCTTAAGCAGCGAGACCGGCTGCCGAAGCTCGCTCTTCTTTCCTCCTCACTCTCCTCCCATCACAGTTGCCCATCCTGTTCCGCACTCTTGCTCGCTTCTACCCCAAGACTACCACACCCCGCAAAATGACCATCGCTACCCACTTCACCCTCTCGGACGGCCGCAAGATCCCCTCCATCGGTCTCGGCACGGTGAGTACGAGCAGCGCTGGCAGCGCTGGCACAGGCGGCTGTCGCGAAACGAGAGCTCCAGCTGACCGGGTCGTTCTTAATCCCCCCACCACCCGCCCCATCTCGCTCCTCTCCTCCGTCACATCGACCTCTGCACCCCGCTCTTTCACGCACGTTCTGTCGCGGCCCCACCCCTGTCCACGGACTCCAACGAAATGCGTCTGACGTGATCCGCGGCTCCGTAACATTGATTCACACACACAGTGGCAGTCGCCGTAAGTTCCGCTTGTCACACCTCCTTTTCCGGACCTCCAGCTCACACTCAACAGCAAGGGCCAGGTCGCCAAGGCCGTCGAGCACTACATCAAGGCCGGTGGCCGCCACATCGACTGCGCGTGGGCCTACGGTGCGTAGTGGACAGTTGAAGCTCTTGCGAACGATACTGACATGGTAGGCAACGAGGCCGAGGTCGGTGAGGGTATCGCCAAGGGCGGTGTCCCCCGCGAGGAGCTCTGGATCACCTCCAAGCTTTTCGAGCTCCACCACCACCCGGAGCACGTTCCCCTTGCCATTGCCGACACTCTTAAGAACCTCGGCATCGCTTACCTTGACCTCTACCTCCTCCACTGGAACGTGAGTTGACAAAATGGCTGGCGAAGGTGGTCCCCCACCTTTCGGAGCGTAATCGGCGAAAAGCACCCCGGTCCGGGGTTCCGCCGCAGGGTTCCTCCGCAGCACCACCACCCCCACTGGGGCTCTGATTTTTGTGGTCCATATCGCTGACTGCTTTATTAGATCAACTGGCAGGTCGACGCCCCCGAGGGCGTTCTCCCCCAGTTCGAGCACGTCAAGCTCTCGGCCGACGGCAAGCGCCTCCTCGACGTCCCCCTCTGTGACGATGTCCTCCCCACCTGGCGCGAGATGGAGAAGCTCGTTGACCAGGGCCTCGTCAAGTCGATCGGTGTCTCGAACCTGAACATTCACCGCACCCGCAAGCTCCTCAAGGACGCCCGCATCAAGCCCGTCGCCAACCAGGTCGAGCTCTCGATCCAGTGCCCCCAGTACGAGCTTGTCGAGTGGCTCCAGAAGCACGACATCCAGCCCCAGGGCTACTCGCCCCTCGGCGGTACCGACGGCGAGGCGCTCCGCAACAACCCCACCGTCCTCAAGATTGCGGAGAAGTACAACGCCCAGGGCTCCAACGTCCTCATCTCGTGGCTCATCAAGCGCGGTATCCAGCCCCTCCCCAAGTCGGTCACCCCCGCCCGTATCGAGCAGAACCTCATCACCGTCGACCTCACCGACGCCGAGTTCCAGGAGATCGAGGCCCTCGCCAAGAGCCACCCCCCTAACCGTGTCTGCGACCAGTCGACTCTCTACGAGCCCTTCTACGACATCTACCAGGAGAACGACCCCGAGTTCTCGGACAAGGTCCAGTTCGCCAAGGCCGACTAAGCGGCCGCGTTAGACGGGGGCCACAAAAGAGCGTGGCGCGTGACTAGGCGTGCTCCGTTCCTCGAGGTTCCTTTGGGTAGTTGGTGGGGTTTCTTTTTGTAGTAGACTCTTGCGCAAGCTGGCATAGCATGCGGGATTTGCATGCAGGGATAGAAGTAACGCACGATGTGGTTTGCTGTGGACGCTGCTGTCCTGTGCACGGCGAGACTAATGCCTGGGAACGAGGAGGGGTCACGTGATATGCGGAGGTCCCGGCATGACTTGCAGAAAGAAAAAGAAAAGAAGAAAAGAAAAGAAAAAAGGAGTTGGCATTACTACCACGCTTCTCGACGGACCTGCAGAGAGTGCATGGGGTGTTCACACAATAATAATCCACACACCTCGTACAAGCCCAGGCGCTGCATTCGAGTCATTGACCCCTCCCTAGCTGGCCCTACATCCATCGTTGCGCCGTCCACCTCGCCGCTAAGCCGACTAGAAGAGCTGGTCGTTATAGCAGGCGTGGCAAATGTACTGAGAGTAGTGTCAGTGATGTTTGATAACCGGTTGCTCACCTCCTTGCCAGGCTTTCCGGTGGCTTCCTTGTGCCAGCGCACCGTCCTGGTGCCCTTGCACTTGGCACACTTGTGGCCAGACGCTGCACCCAGCTTCTCGAGCTTGAGCTGGTGGGCGTTGCACAGCTGATCCGTCAGTCAACAAACAAGGATAACCGGGTCAAGGTCGCTGCCAACTCACGTAGTACGCCTCGCCAGGCTTGAACTTGTGCTTGAGCGAGTTCTTCCTTGCGTCGGCGGGTTGCCAGACGGAAGGGGTCGACTTGTCACACCTGCATCCGAGGATGCAGGTGGGGTTGTTGGAAGTGGTGGGCAAGAGGGTACCCGAGGCAATGGCCCGCTCGGCGGCAGCAATGTCTGCGTACAACTTGGTACGCAGGACACGCTTTGCCCAGCACGTGCCGCAGAGCTTGATCGGGATGCCGTCGGGGTCGATGGCGTCGACCCAACGCGCCGGTCCCTTCACGCCCCCGAGGTCCGCACAGACGTAACCCACTTTGCGGTTACGTTTGCGTATCTGGTAGCAGGAATCGCAGACCTGGATGTCAGTTCTGCCGTGAAAACTCAGAGACGTACATATGTGTCCGTGACCTCGTCGCACATGTGCCATTGACACGTCGACGTGGTTTTGCACTCGTTACACGCTGCATGCGCCTGAAGTTCGATGTTGACTTCGTCATCCACGTCCACAGCAGCCCACTCTTATCACCTAGGTCATGCTTGGGAAACTCACGTAGCACTCGACACCCAGGTCGAATCCGTACACCATGTCATCGCTCCGCTTGTCGCAAGCGGAACAACGACCGGCGATGGAGGTGGTGCGGCGGCCGCCGCGGGTCATGGACTGTTCACATTCTTTGCACATCTGGGGGCCAGTTAGGTGTGGCGGCGAGTGGTAGACTTGCAGCACTCACGAATTCTCCAGGCCTGTCGGCACTCTTGCGCCAGTACATAATCCGTCTCGCCCGCCATCTTCACACAGCCACACAGGCAGCTGCAGATGCGTTCCACCATCGCCAAGGACCTCGGGTCCGACGCTGGGCGGGGACGCTTGCGCAGCTCGAGGCTGCCCTCTCCCGTCCTATTCGCCTCCAACAGAGCGTCTCGTTGACACTGGCGGCCACGCTGAGAAAGTCAGCAAAGAAAGCTTAGCACCACCGCGCCGCCGCAGCCGCACGTGACTTCCATGTATGAAGTGATGTTGGCCGTAATCATGTCTTGGACAGCAGGCGGAGCATCCGTGACAGGGTGGATGCCGGCTCAAACAGACCCAAGAGAAATCGTGGCCGGGGAGTCGAGGACGAGGGGGGAGCGAGGGCAACGGGCTGACGGTTCTTGACCGTGTCGGGCGCAGGTTGACGAACGTCCTGGTGACTAGCTTGGACAACCTGGGCCGCAAGCTCTGCGGCATTCGCATGGCGACGTTTGAGCGCACATGTCGAGCAGTCGCATTTCTTGCGGTGTCCGCTCGACTTGCAATATTCGTATTGGAGACGGGAAGCTCGGGTGGGGTTGAGAATGGCTAGCTCGATCGGGTGGAGGGCGTTCATAAAACCCCTCTTTGACGAGAGTAATGGAGGAGAGGCCCATGGGTCGGGGAGGTCGCAAGATTCGTCAAGAGATGTGGGTGGCGAGGCGGTTCACAGCTAAAATTGAGGGCGCCGCTGCCTGGAGGCCATCTCGGACTGAGGAGCTTCAGTTGAGGGAAGGCACGGAAGGAAGGCGAGGAAGGAAGGCAAAAGGAAGGCAAAAGGAGAGAAGACTTGTTGTTGACAGTGGTATTTATCTACCATACAGCCAGCTGCATGGCAGCGGGAGCAGGGGCAGAAGAAGCACAAAGCATTGCGTTGCGTTATTGTGGGGGAATCATTTATATTTTGAAACACACGCACCTTGCGGCTTCGTGTGGTTACGCGGTCACTGGCCTTATAATGCCCGCACTCGAGACAGTCATGAAAATGCTCTCCCACTGGGAGTGATAAGTGGGAGCAACGACAGCTGCGTGTCTACTATGTCTACCTAGTGGTCAAGAGATACTCAGACAACTGTACTGCAACGTTACCACTGAACGACGAATGTGTGCAGAACCGTGAGACTCGGGGGCATTAAAATGCTCCCAGTGACCGAGGTACGGGCCACACAGTCGTCATACTGTCACCTCTCGTCCTCGTCGGCCATGTTGCAGTCCTCTGATCGCCTCCAAGGACAACTTGGAGCCCTCAGGACGCGGCCGTGCTCCACGAACAGGACAATATAGTCTCTTCGCTAGTATATCGGTTAGTATAACCGCCTCTCATTAGAGAGTTTCTTAATAGGATCATCGCGGTAGAGCAGGGTTCAACTCCCTGGCGGAGAATCAAGCGCTTCTAGACGCTCCCCTTTTGCATCAGGACACTCCTCTTTTGCACCAAGACACTCTTATTGATGCCTCCAATGGTCCAGAGGGGTCGGCGTGGCAAGGTTGGAGTGATGGGGGCGGTGGTTGATGGTCGGAAAGTGGACGTGTGGCCTGGTGTTTCAGTTGATTCTGAGACGGATGATGAAAAAGGGGGAAAAAACGATGGGAAATGACCCGAAAAAGGCCCCGGCACCACTGATGGCCGCCACAGACAAGTATATCATCAGATCACTGCCGCCCCCTCCTCTCACATGCATCTTCTCATCTCACACTCTCTCTCGCTCACCACACACGCCTCCGCAACCATGGAGTTCCATATGGACGACTTCAAAGTCTCATACGATGCCTCTGGCGCCATCGTCATGGACGTGTATGCCAAGGACGTCCTCATCAAACTGCACCACGACGGCGCCGCACGCATCGTGCGGGTTCGCTCCGGCCGGTCGCTCCCCATGACCCTTGTCAACGAGGATCTTATTGTGCCCAGGTTTGCAGACGCGCCTGAGGACGTTTCCTCGCATCCGGCCACCTCACCTGTGGTCAAGAGCAATGCGTTTACCGGTGCTGCCAAGAGGGCGTCGCCCGCTACGGACGACTACATATCCGAGGTGGAAGACGAAGAGGAGGTCGACGAGCTCGATGACGATACTATCTCCAACACGGACTCCAGGACGTCGGTGGGCAAAGTCAGGTCGTCGGCGTCCATCGATCTGTCCAAGGCTGCCACTCGCACTCCTTCCCCCTTCCCCCCAGCCAAAACTACACCTGCCAAGAGCACTCCCGGAAGCGCGCACTCCTCCCTCCTCCCTCCTCCTCCTCCAGCATGGCACTGGTCCTCGCCTGAGAGCAAGCTCCGCCGCCTCCATCTTGTGGCCGAGATCGAGGAGAAGAAGAAACGCCGCAACCAAGAGCTCAAGGCTATCGAGCTGGCCAAGAGGCGCAAGCTTGCCGAGGCAGGTCGCAACATGCGTCTCCGGGCGTTGAAGGATATTGAGGACCGCAAGGCTGCTTCTGCGGACCGGGCGGCGTCTACCCCGCCCAGGATTAGTGGCGGTGTAACTAGCCCTCTGGCGGCCATGTGGGCTAGCTCGCCCTTTCAGACAAGTGCAAAGCATGGAGAGCGCTCCAAGGTGATGGTCAAGATGAAGTCGCTCTCCCCTCCCAAGGTTGTGGACGTCTTCTGCGCAAAGGACCTGGACCAGGACTCCGACGACTCCGACGACTCCGAAGACTCCGACGACCATGACATGGCTGTCGACTCGGACAGTGACGAGGAGGAGGCAGACGACGAGGGTGGCCGTGACGGTCGCATTTCTTCCACCGCCAAGAAGGGCGACTCGCGTCCTGTAAAGTCCATGTCCAAGAAAAAGGGCGCCACAAAGGGCAAGGCCAAGGCTCAGGCGAGGAGCAGCAAGTCCAAGTCCAAGTCCAAGTCTGGCAGTCACAGGAGCAAGCGCGAGCGCCGGAACTTTTAGTTTTAGCAGTTTCGGCTTGTGGGTGGATAAGTATATAGCGCGAAATGGATGAAGTCTTGTGCGATGAAAATACCACCCCAAGAACGATGCTACCGGAGTACCATTCAATTCTAGTTACAAATGTGGGGCCACCACCGCGCCGCGTTTGTGTCACTGCGTGCTGCGCGCAGTAGATCAGTAGACCGTTGATCCGTTGAGAGGCCAACGTCCAACGTCGCTGGCTGGGCGTACGAGCGGATGCTTTTCGTGTAAGCCTCCCCCCCCCCCCACTTACGCACGGACCTCGTGTGGCGGCTGGGTGTTGACTGTGGCAGTCCTGCAGCTCTCCTCGCGTCCGGCCTGAGCAATCCACCGGCCACTGGGCGATCCCTCGGTGGGTGAGTGTACGCGCGCTGGGTGCGGCGTCGCCGTACGCGTCTCGTCCCCCCTACTCGTTCTTCTCTCCCGTTCTTGTTCTTCTTCCATTCCCCCATCCACACCCCCCTCTCCCCCATCCATCCACCTCACCCCCGCCACCACCATGCCTGCTCCCGCTGGTCCATCTCGGGCCAGCAACAAACCCAAGGCCAAGAGGAGGAGGTCGGCATCGTCGTCTGACGACGATTACACCCCTCTCCCTTCCCGCCGTCCTCCCCGCCGCCCCGTGAGCACCAGATAGAAGAGCTTGCTACCATCCAGCCCAAGGGTGAACGCTGACACACTCTTAGGCCACAGGCTCACTCCCCGGCTCCCTCCCCCCCCCCCCCCCCCCCCCCCCCCCCCCCCCCCTCCCCCCCTCCCCAGGTGAGTAGCTGTTCTACGGCCTTCCCTTCTCCAAACCCATGCTGGCCGTGTTTGGGTGGGGTCCTTTGGTTACTTTTCATGACCTTCTCCCCACTCTATCCATCCAACACGAGTGCATCCAGGGTGTACATCCAGCGTGTTCTGAGTTGGCAGAACGTAGAGTGGCGCTCGCCTCGGCTTGAGGTCTCTGGGCGGTATCCTTCGTCCTGGACCTTGCTTCATCCGTCACCGGTGGCAAACACTCAGCAATGGTCTTTGCTGACGCACACAAGCCCACCTCACGTCGCGAGCGCGACTCCAGCTCGCCTGAAGTCGAGCTCGATGACGTCTTCTTGGCTGTTGACGCCAGCCGCCGTCAACCTCGGGCTATGTCGAAGACCCACTTCGACTACGTGCCCGAGCGGGATGCTGAGGGAAATCTGGAGCGCCGGTCCACCAGGGCAGACGCCAGGCATTCCCCCCTGGTAAGCAGCTTTCTGGGTCTCAGTCCATAGATGCTTTGCTGTCAGCCACTACTTACCTTAAAAGGCTCCCCACCTTCCCCTCCCCGGCCCTCTCTGTCCCCGTCGGTCCTCACTGTCAGCATCCCTGGTTCTCCAGCAGCCGGACGATCCCGAGGATTTCCGCCACGCCATCAAGGCGTGGCTGGACGGCAGTGGACCTGCGCTCCACTTCTCTGACGACATCGTCACCCCCGGCAGCTCGGTGCCGGTGAAAGTGGAGAAGGTGCTCAATGTGTACCATTGCATTGTGCACACATCCGCTTCGCCAGATCTCGTGCGCCAGATCTGCCCACTCCTCCGTGCAGCGAAATCGCCAGATTTTGCTTGCACCCCCTGCCCGTGCCCTCTCCACATGGGGCACAATGTCCGCCACACCCCTTGGACCTACAACAGTGCTAAGAGAGGCGGGCTAGACCTCGTGGCGCTCCTCACCATGTTGGCGATTCTGGAGCACGGCCACGACAACGGCGAGGTCGACAGCATCACCGCGTTGATGTGCCGCGTTTCGGAGCACCATCGTGCATCTGCGAGGCGCACGTACATTTCCGATGCCGACAAGATCCGCGAGCTGGCAGACTGGAAGACAGTGAAAGAGGCTCTGGGAGGTAAGGGCCCTTGGGCCGCCCAACTTCCACCCTCAGACATTGAGAGGGAAGTTTCCCGTTTCTCGCCACGTGCCTCCAAAACCATTGTCGATGACAGCCACGAACTGCTTACGGTGGCCATTGACACCATCCGGTTGTTCGAGCGGGCCGAGATTGCGCGCCTGCCAGCGCTGGGTCACGCTGCTGTCAAGATCCCACGAACAGCGTGCGGTCAACTTTCATCGCTCGTCTTCTCGTCGGCCACGACCGTTCATCAGCTGGCAAGATACATGGCCGTCCTGAAGCTGCGCATGGAGAAGCGCTGTGGACCAATTTCTCGCCCAATCCGAAAGACGACTATGGCAATAATTCTGTCATTTTCAGCGATTCGTCCTCGATAACGGGTATGTCCGAGCGGACGGGACGGTCGGCGTTCGCTGCCCGCGGTTGGGTCTCTTGGTAACTGGGACTGATACTGACGACCCAGATTTGTAGCGCCTGCTACCGTCGGTTCCGCAAAGCGGCCAACCCAACCGAGAAGCCGCCGAAACGTCGTGGAAAGGCCCGTGGTCCCCAGCAAGATTACGTGTGTTACAACCCGCAGTGCCAGAAGCGGAGCGACAACACCAGTCGCTGGTCTGCGGTCCCCGGGATCCCCGTGTCCCAGGCGCCTTTGTGAGCTGCATGGCAGGCGACTACTAACGTGGACAGTACTGTCGCACTGTCGCAGGTGTGAGCTCGTACGCGGTGCGGCCGATGGTCGCTAAGGTGTGCATCGTCGACGGTGGTGCCAGGCCACACAACCACGGGGGAGTGGTATAGGTTGAACGACTAGGGAGACTATGTGAATGTCATCTAAAAACATTTTCTAAGCCTCAACAGGCCTGCAAGCGGTGTTACGATGTTACGACCTTCATGTGGCCGAGGCTGTGCAGACCGGTCACAACTGTGGGCCCTGCGGCTCCCAGAGCATGGGCTGTCGAGAGCACTGCGGAGGAAATCCCGAAGGCTGTGGAGCCCTGCCACCAAGCACAATGATGCGGGCACAACCATGGCCAAACGACAACACTGACAATACCGGCCGGAGCACGTTCGAAGAGAACAGCAGCATCCTGGACCCAGAGGTTATCGGCGATGGGTATCGCTCGCCGTCCGGGTGAGTGCAGTTGCGTCTCTGGAACGAAGCTGTGGTGCAAACTCTTAATACTCGTGGCTGTATATGTACATAGTTCCATATAGCTCCCCGCGCCGCGTCCGCATGTATATCAATTGGAATCAATAGCCCATACAGGTTACTGTGGTCCAAAGCCGTCTGTCATGTAGGGAAGACGTTGGTGAGTCCCGCAATGGCATGCTTCGCCCGCACATGAGCGAAGGGACACCGGTGTACTCCTTGGCAACACTCTTGGCAGCTGACACTGCCGGAGACGTGGCGCCCCAGGAGATCATTGCAGCAGCTGTCCATTCGCATGTATAGCAGAGAACGCTTCAATGCATCAGGCCCCATAGATCGGTGACATCTTGCCCGCAGCATTCACAAAAAGATCCGCATAGTGCCCACCCAAAAAAAAAGATCCGCGCCACGAGTGTGGCACTTTTCAACTCATTCTCCACTGTCACGTCGCCATCTCTTAAGTACATAGCTTGCGTCACAGAACAGCCATGTGTGTCACAAAGAGCCAGGCATGTCACAAAAAGAGCCAGGTGCGTCACAGGACAGCTGCACAGTATATGGTGCATCTGTTGGCTACCAGAGGGGCAGAATGTACAATGAGGTCGCCCTGAAGCCTTCCTAAGCCATTGCTGTTCGTAAAGACGCTTAGGCCTTGATCTTGAGCTGACCGAGGAACTGAGCCTTCTCCTCGAGCGTTTGCCATTGGGTGTGGCCGCGTTTCGCTATTGTGATGTCAGTTAGATGCTCTCAAGAGGATGGTTGGAAGAGGGAGATGTAGGACGAGTGGAGGACGAAGGAGCCACCAGGACGCGGACGATCCGCACCGGAAGCAAAAGCCTCCGGCGGTCGCCACGTGGCCCTGACGGGAGCAAACCCAAGCGGGAGCAAACCCAAGCCAGGGTCGAATGTGGCACTTCCACTCCATGCGATTCCTCGCGACTGGATGGTGACTTCAGAACAAGAAAAATACGTACACGAGGTGTCAATGAACTTGAGGTCGGTCTGCTCAAGGTGCGCACGGCTGGTGTGGGTGCGGAGAGCCTTGCGGAGGGTGATGACACGCTTGCGAACACCGGGGACGGAACCCTTGATGAGGACGAAGTCGTTGACGACGTCGGGGTAGCGCGACCAACCGCCGACGGGGTTGATGCTCTTGGGGGTGAGGTCGTACGAGGTCGAACCAGAGCCCTCCTCCTTGGCGTTGGCAATGCGGAAGATCTTGTGGTTGATGGTGGTACGGCGGTGGTAACCGTCCTGACCCGAACGGGCAACCGAGAACATGACCTTCGAAGGGTGCCAAGCACCGATACAGGCGACCTTACGGAGACCACGGTGGGTCTTGCGAGGAAGACGGGTAACACCCCAACGAGAGATGACACCCGAGTAACCCTTACCCTTGGTAACGGCGATCAGGTCAATGCACTCGTCCTTCTCAAAGACCGAGGTGACGTCGACGGTCTTCTCGAAGTTGGCCTTGGCGAACTCGACCTTGTCGGCGATCGAGCCACCGTTGACCTGGATCTCGGCAAGGTGGGCCTTCTTCTGCGAGAGACCGGTGAGGTGGAGCTGGGTGTGGGCGAGGACGCGGACGACGGTGGCGTACTTCTTGATGCGCTCAAGCTCGCGGGCGACCGAAGCACCGTTGTTCTCGGCGTGCTTCTTGGCGTAGCGGGTGAAGGCCTTCTTCTTCGACTTGTACCAGTTCTTGTAGAAGCGACGCTTGACCTCGTCGGAGAGGTGCTCAGCCCAGACGGTGGTAAGCGAACGGAGACCGCGGGGGGTCTCGACGTAGCCGACAACACCGACAACAACCATGGGGGGAGTCTCGATGACGGTAGCCGACTCGACGACCTCACGCTTGTGCATCTTCGAGCCGGGGCGGTCGAGGTCACGGACGACGTGGGTCATGCCGACCTTGTAGCCGAGGTGGGCGGTAAGGTGAACGGGCTTCTTGGCGTCATCCTTGGGGAACGACTTGATGTAACCACGGTGCTTGGCGGCACGCTTGCGGGGAAGGAAGGCAAGCGAACCCGAACGCGGCTCCTCGTACTGTAGAGAGTCAGCTGAATGCCCCTGCTCGCCGTTGCCAGGTCGGCTCTCTAGTCATGGTCGTCTGCCCCTCCCATCGCACCCTAGCTCAAAATCTTCGGGACTGCCACCCTGCTGATTCTGCTAGCGATGGCTTCTGCTCCTCCCGAGCTTCACAACGGCAGCGTTCGTGACCATGACAGAGAGACGTTCCCGGCGCGGTTATCGATGTCGAGCTACGCACCTTGCGGTGAGACATTTTTGTGGTTTTGGTTGAGGGATGAAGCAAGAGACAGCCAACGAATTCTTCAAAGCCAACCGCACGCCTCCCACCTGCCAGCCAGTCCCAACGATTCGCAACGGAGTTTTTCAGCCAAAACGCCGACTCTGCTTCCGCCCACCGATGATGTGGCACTTTGACGAGCTGAGAAGCATCTGTCGCATGTTTATGCATCGGATGAGGCTGCCAGAAATACAGAGCACCGAGTTGTTCATGTGGACCGTCGCTTCACAGTCTGATAATACCAGACTGGATGGTGGCTTGGAGTAGTTTCGCTCGAAAGGTACAATGGAGCGACGATCATTCCTGTTGACAACCCGAGAAAAAAGTGGCCACTCTGCACTCTCAGCCGGTAATGATTTGGCAGGCTCCCAGCAAATGATCGGTTCACTTGACCAGATGTACAGGTGCATGCATTCAGGCAGCCTTCCAGCGTACCGACGTAGACCCTGTGTGCTCTGTGGTACTCTCTGGCCGCAGCTCCTCACTGATCACTGATCACTGATCACTGACTGGGTGCAGAGCAGAGGGCTTGCCGCACGAAGACGGAAGCTTTTCACGGAGACGCATCTCCGCTTCTGACTGTTTTGGTGGCGACGGCCAAGGCCTCAACAGTAGCTAGTTCCGTCGCTCCGCGTCATAATTCTCCAAGAACAACACTTTCACTCAACACCTTGCATCCCTTCGTCTACAGGCGCAACAACATCCACAAAGGCGTCTGCGGTTACTGTTACCGCATTGCCGCTGGATTCACAGCGTGAAGCGCCAACCCCATTTCTTCCTTTCGCACCCACCGGATCCTTTCCTTCCCTTCCCCCCACCAACCTCCACCATGTCCGGCGTCGTCCCTGCGCGTGCATCCGGCTCCCGCAAGGCCCAGAGGATGGATGTCGACGACGATGCTCGATCGGCAAGCAGTGGCTCTGCCAGTGACTTTGCAGATGTGGCTGCGGACGACTCGAGCGGGGTCGATGACGACAGTGGCGACGACTATGTTGACGAGGACGATGGCGCACCAGCCGCCGCTCAACCAGTGGAAGACGACGAACCCAGAGACGATGCCATCTTCCAGTGAGTCGATGATCGCAGGCATGGCTAACAGTCAGCCGTATTGCAGGCTATGTCTCTGCCAGTATCCCCGGAGAAGGTGGCATTGGTCAAGGCATCGGCGGCGAATCGTTCCAGCTCGACCTTGCGGCGATCGACGACGAAGAGTTGCCACAGGCATCCAAGCCTCGTCGACGAGTAAGCCAGTACACATCATACCAATCTGACCCCAGTTACAACGAGTCCACCGTCCCACATACGAGGTGCAGCAGCTCCTGGGTCGCGCCAACATGGCGTACATTACCCAGAACCACGAGGAAGCGGTCAAGCTCTTCCTCGAGGTCATCCGTCACGACCCTCAAGTCCAGGCCTCTTGGACGACTCTTGCGTCCGTATACGACGAGATGGGCCAGACCGACATGAGTCGCCAGATGCGCTTCTGTGCCGCCCACATTGAGGAAGACCCAGAGACCTGGCTCGACCTCGCCGAACAGTTTCGCGGTGAGGACAACACTGCGCAGGCGCTCTACTGTTACCGTCGCGCAATCAAATTGGACGGATCCAGTCCCAACCTCATCTGGAAGCTCGTTGATATCTACCGCCAGACCGGTGCCAACAACAAGGCCGTTGAGGCGCTCAAGAAGATTCACCGTGTCGAGCCTACCTTCCTGCGCGATTTCAACATGCTCATGGAGGTCCACCCAATCATCACCGAAAGCAAGCAGTTTGCGTTCGGTGCTACTGCCTTTGGGGAAGCGTTCGTTTACAACTTTGCGACATTTGACAAGCCCGAGGACCAGGCACCGGAGAACACTATGACGATTGAGAACATTGTCATCTATGTCGACTACCTTCTCAAGTCTGGTGACCCTGAGACAGCTGTCAACACCATCCACCGTGGACAGCGTTGGCTCCAGGGACGCAAGATGGAGAAGGGATGGGACGCTGTCGACGACGACAGCGAGTACTACCCACCACCAGAGGACAACGAGGAAGACGCCGACGTCGTCGAGGCCCGCCACACTGGTTACGAGCTTGACAATCAACTGCGTTACCGTCTCGCCATTGCTCGGCTGCGCCTGGGCCAAGACGATGAGGCCATGATCCATATCAATGTCATCTTTGACCTTGACGCCATGATCCACGGCGACATGTTCAAGGAGCTCGGCGAGGCGCTCATGAAGCGTCAGCTGTGGGAGACGGCTCTGGAATGTTGGGCTGTTTTGCACGACCGCGACCTCGAAGACGAGCCCGACGTCATCTTCAAGTTGGCCGTGTGTCAGCATCAGCTGAAGCGTAACGCGGAGGCTCATGAGAGTCTCAAGTGGGTGGTCGAGGCGTCACCAGCCAACGTCGAGGCGCGTCTCGAGCTTGCCTCAGTGTTGGAAGACATGGGCAAGAGGACCGAGGCACTGGAAATTGTGTCTGAAGGTAAGCTGCGGCCCGTGTGCGGAGCTAACTCCAGTCATTCGTTGGGGTGAAGGTCGCTCGCAGGATGGCCAGAGCAAGGGCGAGCGGGTCCTCGCCCAGAGGTTGAACAAGCGCGTGCTCGAGGCTCAGGCGTCGTCTACGATGAAGGGTCTGTGGGAAGACGTCCAGGCTGCCGAGGAAGGTATCAATAACGGTGAAGCGTGGGCGCTCGACAAGTTTATCCACGCCGCTGGGACTATGATTGAGACGTACCGCCTGGCCAAGAGCAACTTTACCAAGAACCGTGGTATTACGCGTGTCGCCAAGCGCCGCAAGTATGGGGCGAAAAACGACATTGCCTCGCAAGCCCAGGCCATGCAGGACCGTCTCGAGCGTACTCTTGGCTTTGAGGACGACACACCCATGGACGGAAATGACAAGCACGATTACGAGGTCATCCGTCAAACCCAGTTCTATGGCATCGGCTGCGAAGACTGGCTCGCGTTGACCATCAAGGTGTGTACAACATACCTGTCATGACACCACTGACATCCAGTACTGCTGTGTCCTTATGGTCAAGAACGAAGAGGACGTCGCCATGGACATTCTTGAGCACGTCGTCTGGTCTGGTCTCTTCAACACCCGTCGCTGCGAAATTGCGCTTCGTCTCGCGATTGTTGCATGTGCGGCTCGCATGAGATCGTACGACCGCATTGCCGACAATTGCAAACGTCTTTCGCAAATGCACCAGTTCCGTCCTGAGCCACTGCTCCTTCTCCTGTCGGCCCTTGGAGGTGGTTTCAAGCAGCAAGCCATCTGGTCCAACCTGGCCCTGCAGAAATTCCTCCACCGTGAGGTTCGTATCTACGACGAGGCTGTGTGCGGCGTCAAGCTCCGCTTCAACAAGCGCCACTACCGCTGGGCCCAAATCTTGACAACTGGCCAGTCGCGGCGACTGGGAGATATCATTGATGACGGCGAGGACGACGATTCCGGCACACCTGCCAACAAGTCGCAGTCGCGCAACCCCGAGGCCGGCGGCGATGAGGATGACGACGGTTCGGACGATGACGATGGAATTGAGCACGACGGCGAGCTCGATGAGGAGGTCCCCAAGCCCACCAAGCACTCGCCCATTTTCAACACTCTCTACGGCCAGAACATGCTCACTACCAAGTCGTACCAGAGCGCTCTCTGTAGGTTATCCGCTGAATACGCCTTCTAACCCTACCAGTCTACTTCCTACGCGCATACGAAGTCAACGAATACGACCCGTTCCTCTGCTTCCTTATTGCCCAGGCATACCTTGGCCGTTCTCTGAACCGCCAGTCTGACAATCGCCATTTCCAGGTTGCACAGGTTGGTTGCCATGGAAATTACCTTGTGTAATGTCACTGACTCATTAGGGCCTTGCGTTCCTGACACGCTATCGTAAGCTGAGTCCGCAAGACCCGCAGTCGCTCGAAGAAGTCGAGTACAACTATGGTCGAGCATTCCACAGCCTCGGTGAGTGATGACGACGGGCGGTGACTGGATGGCCGTTACGGCACGACCGGGATTCACGTGTTCTGAGGCGCTGACACCTTTAACCCTAGGTATCACACATCTTGCTGTGTCGCACTATGAGCGGGTTCTCACGTCTGTGCGGGAGCGCATGCACGAGACGGACGACTATGAGGAGCGAGAGTACATTAGGTCGAGCTCGCTGGCCTGGGAGTCTGCGCACAACCTCGTGCTGATCTACACTTCGTCTGGGTCGCTCGACCTGGTCCGGAGCCGGTCTGAGGAGTGGCTGGCGCTCAGAGATTGAACGATGGGGAGTCCTTGGAATATAGTATTATAAGGCCTTTGTTATGACATACCCTGTGCATTAATCCATGCTGTGACTCGTTACAGAATGCTCCAAAGAAGGAGAATGCATCAGGCAATCCGTGGCGGCCCCCTGGTCATGAGTTAGCGAGGTCGATGGCCTTGGTGTTGCAAAGAGTTAGCTTGCCCTTTGAGGGGAGGCGGATAACTTCTGGCCTGCCCGCGGCAGGTTCCTGCACTAGGAGGCTCTGAGGAAAGGCGTGAAACAGGCACACGATGGGTGAAGCTGCTGCGACCAAACTGGCTACCAGACAGTTTTGCGGTCGAACAACGACGCAATGGTCATGGAGAACAGCAGATGAACAGGGGGGCCAGGACTCTCGATACACACAACCAGCTGCGAGCGAAAGGGGGTTCAGATCCTGCAACCATACGAGGGGCATATGTATAGATAGGCTTTGAGGGTGCTGAATGTTCCAGTCCAACGTTTAACACCCTCTGGACCGGCAACCCGTTTTCGGTGCGAGCTTGCCCCCTATCCCCCCGTCACGGATTGCGGTGCCGGCATCATTGCATCACCAGCCGAACACGGGGTCGGTGCCAGGCTGGAACGCTGGAATGGTGAAACGACAGTGCAGCTTTTTGGCTCTGACACTTACATACGTCTGGGGTGCGCAGCACTACACCATTGCGATGCTGTTTACGATCACAGGATCTCACAGGACAAGATTTTCGTATGCAGTCCACGACCCACGTCGCCAAAGTGTGCAGTGTGCAGTGTGCGCGTGTGAAGCAACGCAGGCTGAACACTTTTCTAATTGTCTAACAAATAGGCATGCCGTCGACGCGTGCGTTCGTGCGTGTTCGTCTGCTTGCCACTTTGCATTTAGATCCACCTGAGATGTGCCAAGAGGCCCACAGCCGGGACCGCGTCAGAATGCAATAGAATGGGGGTGCCCTGCCAGATGTGCCAGAATGGTTTTAATGGGTGGCTGAGGTTAGACTTTCCCTGCAAGAGTGCGGGGGGGGAAGAGCAAGGTTAGCTGTGGCGCGTGTGGCTGACGGCCGCGTTGTTGTTTTTTGACCGGGCGAGCAACCGAGCTTAGCGTTGTTCATTCGTATTCCGTGTGCTTTCTCTCACGCTTGATGCTGGACCACGCAATCCCGGCTGTCCCAGTGGCGACTGGCCTCAGTGGTGGCGAGTAGCCTGCAGGCCTGTGTGCCCAGCACGTCCCGCCGTTCCTCAGTGCCGTCTCCGCGCGCGTTCCTGCATGCAGCAGCACGGTCGCTTGGCTCTCAGCCGCGATTCAGAGGAACCACAAGGATCACGTTGGTAGTGCAATAGTGGCGTACCCCACACCCATGACAGCCCTGCTCGATCCAGGAAACGCGTTCAGTGCCCAGCTGCGGTGCTGCGGCCATCGGCCCGTCAGGAGGTCAAACGAGAGAAAGGTGTGTCCCCCGCATTTTTGCGGACGGCATTCCTCGACATACACTTTGAACAATGCCTTGGTGGCGCGCAGCACGCAGGTCGCGGCCCAGAAAGGGCAGGCAAGGTCTAAAAGGGGCTGGTGGGGAAGTAAGCGACACAACAGGTGTTGGCTGGTGCGCGAGGCCAAAGCTGGAGCGAGAGGGCCAGGGGACACAACAGGGGGATCATGGGGGAGATGCCGAGTCGGGCCCGACATGCCGTTATGCATCTGGGCCTGGGGCCTGGTGATGCAGGGATACCGTGTCCAGCAGAGTAACCTTTGTCCACAGGCCACAGGCAGTCAGATGTTCATCTGCCAGGCTGGGGGGGCCATGCAGCGTGTGCCTCTCCTGTGCTCGCGACCCACACACAACGGCACAGCCCAACCATGCGGTGATCAAATGTGCTGGCACGAAACACATCTGTCTTCTTGACTGTCTCTCATCATCGTCAAGAACCATTTCGTAGAACCTTGAGCTGGCCGTCAACTGGATTCGAGTTTGGCGACAACGACGACAACAACAACAATAACAACAAGGGGCAAAGAACACCGCGCTTGGTTCTGCCTCCCTCTCCAGTATCCGCGCTTTGGCCCGCCACCGTTATACGCCAGAACGTCTCGTGCGACCTGACGGACCGTGATCCGTGAGTAGCTGGAGAGAAACATTCATGCGCCGGACAGCCAAGACGCGGATGTGGAGAGGGCGGGGCCACTGTATGGGAGGCGCCTCGAGACGCCTCTCGTCTCGGTGGTCCTGAACGCCTCCCCCGCGTCTGCCATTGGAGCAGCGGCACGCCGGTATATGGTGTACACACCCGGCCCACATGCATCACGAAGAAGCAGACAGCAGGTCCAGCAGGTAAACTGACACGAGCGTTATGCAGGCTGCTCGAGAAGAACAGGATTCCATCAACGACGGGACAACACATTCACTTGTCCATTATCCATTACATCTGCCATGTCGGTCGGGATCGACTTTTCCCAACCCCAAGCTCTCGAGCTCGGCCGGACACCGTCCCAGCCTAGCCTTACGAACACTTCAACAACCGCTTCGGACTCGGACGCGGCCCGGCCCCACATTCCCATGACCCCGCCCATGCCCAGCATGTTGTCACACGAGGTGTCCGAGGAGCTTGCACGTCGGGAGCAAGAGGTGGAGAGGTGGGGTGAGAGAGATGTCTCACCCTCGCCCCCTCTGCGGGAGACCTTCACTGAACGGGCGTCCAAACGCCTTTCTCTTTCCCGCTCTTTGCTCAACCTCCGTGACATGGCAAAGTCGGACAAAGGGCGCCGCCGTGCCAGTTCAATGTCGGAAAAGTGCGTTACCCACCTTGAGCGCAAGGGCGACCGTGCTGCCGTTTGAAAACAAGCGCCAAGACCAAACACAGCTGACCGCATATAACCACAGAACTCGGCCCGCTGTCCCCTCAGACCTCCCACCTGTGCCCTCCATTCCCGTCATGTACAAGACACCGGCAGTGCCCGCGGGTCTTGCCATGTCTGTCGTGCCACCGGCAGGCCACAGTGACCATGAGCAGCGAAGTGGCGGTAACACTGGTGTGCGGGGTGGCCCCGCAGGGCCCTCAGCGCGTAGCACCAAGGGCCTGTCAATGTTCTTCCGCAAGCTCACTGGCCGTGGCAAGAAGGAGGCAGAGCCACCACTGCCCACCTACACTACTGCTCGCCACCATCACCACGCACAGTACCACAACAACACCGCCGCCGAGCCTGTGGGTTCCGCCTCAAGGAGAATGTCCAGGCGCGGCCCACCAGCATACCCCGTTCCGCAGGTGTCTGCCCCGGCTCGCGTGCGGGGTGTACTCGCCGAGATGGACGCGTCGTCGGCAGCAATTCAACGCCGCCACACGGCCCGCAAGAGTATGATCAAGCGCGTCCCAGTCCCCAACTTGGGTGCCAGTGACGACGAGGAGCAAGAGCCCATTGCCGATCCAGATGACACCCCTGCACCCATGGACCCACCTGTGCAGCCTGAGAGCGCTGCCGACGCTCGCGCGGCGGCTCTCGCCGCTCTCGAGGGCACTCCCCGTCCCCGTGCCCAGCCTGTACCGCCACACCGCACGCCCTCTCCCGGACCCATGGCCAGTTCTGTTCCAGACACAGAGGCACCGGTCACGCCCCCGTCCGAGGCGATCGAGGTGTTCCAGCAGGCATCGGTCGTTAGCTCTGAGATCGAGGAACATGAGGAGCGCCAAGCCCGTCGCCCACTCCTCGAGGTTGGCGACGCCGCGTTGCCAGAGGAGCCCATCCTCAAGACGGCCGTCATGGCATCACCAATCCTTACCCAGGTTGTCGTCATGGAGCCCCATGACGTGGACAGTGCGGCCGCCGTGGACGCCCCGGCACGTACTCCGCAGATGAAGATTGTGTCCCGCCGTTCATTCTCTGGACAACCAGTGGGTCCTGGCGACTTGGGCACGTTCGGCGGCAGCCTTGGTCGCCTGCCAAAGGGGCGCAAGAAGCTGTCCGACTTTGCGTTTGACAAGCCTGCCGCCGACTCGGACGACTCGGACGACGAGGGTGCCGACGTTGTCCGGCCCCTTCAGCTGCGCATCCCGCCACGCTCGGCGACCTTGTCAACGGTTGGCTCCTCTGGCGACGCGCTGCGTACCCCGCGCACACCTGTGAGCATGAGCGGCGACACGCCGACGAGCTCTAGCTTTGACCACGCGTCAATCGCCGGCGGCCACCTCAGCAGTGTTGGCCATGGCTCAACCGAGACCACGTCGGTCGCTGCCACCGGCCGCAACTACGGCAGTAGCACAGGTCACTCGATCTGGGACTCACAGCCGACCTCGCCAGTGACACCGCTTTCAGCGTCGTCGCCTCGCGATGTGCGTTTCGCAGGCAGCTCCCCGCCCCGTGTCGCTGCTGTGGGCGACGGAATCAGCTCCGACAGCCACAGTCGTGCTGCGCGTTTCCGTGCCGCAGGCCAGAGCCTGGGCCGCAAGCTCAGCACGCGGCCCGCTGCCCCCAAGCAGCCACCCACGAGCCACGACGCGTGTGTCGAGAAGCAACGCCAGCTGGCCAACCGCCGCCAGAGTTGCCGCCCGACGCTCCACTCGAACGCCAGTATCGCGGCAGAGATGCGCGAGGTTCGCAACAAGGACGATGTGCATACCATGGAGACGTTCTTCATGTCATGAGGCGAGAAAGACACGGACATACGAGAAAGCAGAAAGAAGTACGATCACGAGAGACAGATCACAACGAGATCTACGACGCACCATCGAAGCAGCAATGTTGTACACTCCAGCCGTGTTCTATACGGCCATCAGATAGGTAAACATATCAGTGCCCGTCATCACTCCATAGCCCCAGTGGTGCCGCCCCACTATAATGCATTGGATCAGTTCCAGTTCAAGTACCAGTGGACAGGTTGCAGCGTGCGTCTGGTAACAGGATTTTGGCTCATGGGGGGCAAGTGGCCTGTGGGGGACCTGACATGATTCATGGGTTCATGTGTTCTGTGGAGCGAGCAAAACTTGGCACTGCGTTGAAGAAGCCGACGGAGGCAGGGAACGGCATGTCCGCTGGTAAGAGGCTGCGCAACACCGACCGACGGGGCATCTCATGTCCGTATCCAGAGGACAGGATTTGCTCGCGAGATGGGTGTGGGCCTGTATTGTGTCACTTACACATCGGATGGCGGTGCCACACAATGCGTGCACACTAACGACTCCTGCTGGCACCACACATCCCCAATCTCTTGGGTGGTCCGTGATCCGTGGATCTGTGGCGATTCGTGGTCGTTGATGATCCTTGCTTAGGCCTCTACTTCTGAGACGTGCAGTCCCCCGTCGCTGTGCCGTGTGCAGTCGCCAGGAGAGTTTGTCGGCCCTGCTGTGCATGTTGCTTGTTGAGCTGCATACAACTCGTGGCGTGCAGGCCCTCAGCTGCGTGGCATAGCTGCTGGCGGCTGGTAAACGAGGCTGCCGTGCCGACGGATCTCAGATCGACAGCCGCCATGCACAGGTGGGCAGGAGGATGGATGGACAGTAGGCAGTTGTCTCAGTCGTACCACCACTGGCCACTGGCGCCACTGGCCACACGCTGCTGGCGGATCGTGGCCTCGTGGAAAAACGACTATGCCGCCCGGTAGCACTCCTGATTTTGCCCACCGTGTGTTTTTCGCCCCTTCGGAAATCACACTATCAGCCTAGCAGCCGGCCAGGACAACTATTTTCAGCGCCATAGTGTGTTTCTCGCCCTGTCGGGGTTGGGATCAGTCATGCAGATCACAAACACGCAAACATGCAGCATCCGACCCAGCATATCCAGCATCCTACCCATCATGCGGTACCGGCGGCCAGTACGCGTGAGGCCATGTAAGCCCTCATCCCCACTGGCCACTGGCACCTCCATGGAACCGTTGGGGCAAGTACGACGTTAGGGTGATCGTGACCAGACGTTACAATACATGTCACTGATCACTGGTCAGCGGGTCCCCCAGATGTCGCATCGCGTCGCTACACCAAAGAAACACAGTGATATGATCATATGAGCTCTCAATGCAGAGTCATTTGTACTTTGTACAGTCTTGCGTCACGGTCACTGCTCGCGGAGCACCGATATCACTGATATCACTGACCCGCTCTCGGGAGGTCAGGTACTCTCCCGGATACAGGAGCCGCCAACGCCTGTTCGTCGGTTGTGTGCAGGTGCATACGGTAGCTCAAGGATGTTGTCAATGTGGCCTCATCATGCGTACATTAGCTAGAACCCGTCATATGGCAGTGCCTCGACCCGATGCTCGGCTGGTGGATCCCAGCCGGAGGAAGTCGTCAATTTCACCACAGGATCACAGGAGCCGTCCAACAGTTCTGTCTCTCTCATTGTTCCAGCATTGAACCCAGACCAAAAGGCATCGGCAGCGCACTGGTGAACTGGAGGAGAGGATGGGGACTGCTTGCGAGTCGACCAAGCGCCACAAGACACAGCAGCCGACATGAGGACCGATGTCGCTGCCAAACGTCAAGACAACAACAGCACAAGAGCACAGGTCTGTGCGTGGGAGATGAGCGTCGATGACGCAACTTCCCCGCATTCAGTTGGTGGTGACCCCGCCCTCCCTCTTCGTCTCTCCATCGCGAGTCGCGAGTACAGTCTCTCTCTCTCTCTCTCTCTCTTCCCCTCTCAATCGCTCTTACACTCACAATGGCCACCCACCGCATCAGGATGGCCCGCATGCTCCCTCTCCTGGGGATTCTCACTCTCCTCGCCCTCCTCGTCAACGCCGACCCGTCCGTTGACGGCCGCAGCGAGCAGACTGTCTTTGCAACCACAAAGTCGCCCAAGCGCGTCGCCATCGTCGGCGCAGGGGCAGCGGGTACCTCTGCGGCCTTCTTCCTCCGCCGCGCAGCCCGTGTGGCTGAGGAGCGTGCGGGTGCGGAGCCCGGCGAGTTCCTCGGCGTCATTGACGTGTTTGACAAGGAAGACTATGTCGGCGGCCGTGAGTTCAGCGTGTGAACGGGATGAGTGCTGATGGGGAAAGGCAGCACAGTTGTGTACCCGCACAGCGATCCTAAGCTCCAGGCTGTTGAGCTTGGGGCGAGTATCTTTGTTGGTGCGAATGAGAACCTCGTCAAGGCTGCAAAGGTGGGTTTATGTCGACGGACCAATAGCTAACCCACGCAGCTGTTCAACCTCACCACCGCCGACCCTGGCTTTGCCGAGGCCGGCATCGGAATCTGGGACGGCTCTCAGTTTCTTTTCACCACCACTACTACCAAGAGTCGCTGGTCTGGGTGGTGGGACACTATCGCGGCTCTGAGGCGCTATGGCCCTCTGTCCCCTTACCGCCAGAACAAGGCTGTCAACGCACTCCTCACCAAGTTTAAGCACCTGTACGACTCGGCATGGCTCGCCCAACGCGGCACCGTGTCCAGCATCGAAGAGTTTGCTGCCACGCTTGAGCTTGGCGCCGAGCTTACGAGTCGCACGGGTCTTGACTGGGCCAAGAATGAGGTCGGCGTCAACGATCGTTGGGCCAGCGAGATTATCGAGGGCAGCACCCGCGTGAACGTGAGCTTTTCGAGGCCAGCTACAGCTCACACAGCAGTATGCCAGAGATCTTGACCAGATTCATGCCCTTGGCGCAGGCGTCTCACTTGCCACGGGAGAGGCTACCTCTATCGAAGGCGGCAACCGTCGTCTGTTCAGCAGCATGGTCAAGGACAGCGGCGCCAATGTCCACCTCAACACGGTGGTGACTGAGATCAAGGTCCTGGACGAGGGTGACGATGTACCGTCCTTCCGTGTGCTCACCAACGTAAGCGACAACACATATGACCAGGTCTTCTTTGCTGCTCCATGGCACCACTCCCCCATCTCAAAACACCTTGCAAACTCGTTTGTGAACCCCATTCCGTGAGCTTTCCTCATCCGGCCCGTGAGCTGACAGTCAGCGACCAGGAGTATGTTACTCTTCACGTCACGCTGTTGGCTACCACAGCACCCACTCCTCACCCGAGCTTCTTTGGCCTTCCTCCGAACACCGCCATCCCCACGACAGTCATCACCTCTGCGGCAGCGTATCGCGCCGACCCGGACGCTGTTCACCCCGCGTTCCAGTCCATCACGTACCATGGGCGAGACGTCTGAGGGTTCGGGCGAGTACGTCGTCAAGCTCTTCTCGCTCTCTGAGATCGACGACTACACCCTCACCACCATCTTTGGGTCAGAGCCCACTTGGGTCTATCGCAAGGTCTGGCAGTCGTACCCTGCTCTCGCGCCCATTGCCACCTATGCTCCCGTCGAACCTGTTCCGGGTCTGCACTATCTCGCGGCTCTGGAGCCATGGGTGTCAACGTGAGTTTTCCGTATTGGATACGAACTGACGCCAGTATGGAGACGCAGACTCTCTCGGCGCGCGAGGCTGTCGCCCGCGTCGCGCAGCGTTGGTGGGGCATCGGTCCTGGCGAGTGCCGCGAGGGCAAGGGGCTGGGACCTGACCTGCGCCGAGGTGTGAGCGTCAAGGACGGCAGGTTGAAGAACATGTCTATAGTTGTGCATTACGAGGTGTCTTAACGTTTGTCTATCATATCTCTATCTCTACTCCTCTGGCCTGAGAGCAGGGTCGGCGAGCACCTTGTCCATGACCTCCTTCCTCAGGATCAACCTCACCCTCACTCCGCTGTTGTACCACTTGTCCTCCCTCCGTCCGGCCGCGCCAGGGACATCCATGGCCACGAGCAGCCCATCCACGGGGGGCATGCCCGGCTGGACCACACTCGGTGGCCCAAACCCGAAATCCACATCGTAGCAGCCGGCACCAAGCCACGATGTGGTGAGCACATCCCTCTCGCCGAGGAAACAGTTCCACTCGCGGACGGGGTCGAGGGCGAACGACATGTGGTGCAACAGTGCTGGCACTGCGTCGCTGGCTAGCGAATCGACGGCGGCACGGACGGCCCTGGCGCCACTGGAGAGTGTGAGAGATCCAGCAGAGGAGCTGGACATGACGTTGATGAGCGGTGCGCCGAGGAAGGTGTCGTCCAGAGGTGGTGTGACGCGGCGTCGCAGGTCGACAGAGGTGTGCAACCTGACCTCGGTGGTAGGAGGAAGGTCGCGTCCGCGCACGACAGCTGCCCAAACGCAGCCGAGGACGGCGTCGAGGCGGGACGTGCCATCGCCTCCAGCGAGACGGTATGCGGCCTCGACCTGCTCTGGAAGAAACTCGATAGTCCTGTCCAGAGTAGACTGGTCCCACCGCCAGTCGTCCCACGGTACCCGCCGGCCCCTCCTCCTCCCGCTCGCCACGTCCTGCTCGTCGATGGCAGCAGCCGGCGACCGTGGAGATGAGAACCATGCCGGTCCGACGTCCTCAGGATGGCCTGGGCGTTGGGACCAAAAGTCGAGTCGGAGCTGGGGGATCTGCAGTGCGGTGGTTTCTAACTGTGCGTCTGCCCACTCGGCGTCCACGTCGCCTGCCGCATGTACGTCCAGAGATAGTGGTTCGTACGTGCGCGGTGACGGATGCGCGCCGCGTGCACGTGTGGCCCAGTCGCCCATGAACAGTGCTAGAGCGCGCGCGTCAAGCAAGACATGCTGAGCGGCGACGCCGATGGCTAGGCTGCCGCAAGCAAACTCTATGAGCTGGATGAAGACTGCCGGGCCGCGAGTTGCAGGTTCAGGGCGGAGCTTGACCATGCTGCTCGTATCGCACAGCGATGGCTGGGTCGAGTCCCACACACCTGCGCCTAGATGTCGGGGAAGGACAGTGTCCAATGGCTCAGCATGCTTGGCGATAGCGAAAGAGACGCCCGGGTCGGTATCGAGGCCGTACGTGATCCACACTCGACCATATCGCTTCGAGTGCTCTGGTGCCGAAGCGGCCGACAGTGACGATGACGAGCTGAGAGTCAGGGTTCCGCAGAGATGTCGATATGTATCCAATGTCTGCTTCAGCGAGGAGACGAGGTGGGGGATGTCGTATGGTCCAGTGGTTGGCCGCGGGAAGAACCAAGTCCCAGCCGTCGGCGCGTACTCGGCCACCGCCGAGTCGGCAATCGAAAACCGGTGTTGTGATGGGTTGGCCTCGAGAGGCAGGATGGAGAGCGGTCGTTGAGAGGATCTCAACGCTGGCCGCCATGGTCGTGCCGAATGTCCTCTAGCCTAGGTGTTGAGATGAGAAGGTCAGAGGTGGGTGAGTGGATGCCTTTAAGAGTGAGTTGAACAGCAGCACGCGGTCAACAGTTCGGAGCCGAGGCACGGAATGTGAGTCGGTTATCAACCGCCGTCCGACCCTTATCCATGGATCAATGTCGAGCGTATCGCGGCGTTATTTGATTTGCCTTGGTACGGGGAGCTTAAGATCGTGGAGGAGGGCAGGCAAGTACATCGTACACAGTATGATAGTTGAGGTACCCTGGTGTATATCCCTCACCACCGATTCGTAGTGATCTCAGGGGTCGATGTAATTGCCTGGTTGACCTGGCGGCGGTTGTTCGAGTCACGGGTTGATAGTCAAGAGCACTCTCATCCGCTGCTTTGTACTCGGCGAAAGTGGAGATGACCTCAACAAGTCTCATGGCTGGATCTACCGACTACTTAAGAACACCTTTAGAGACGCGGGTATCGAATGGCCCCACCGTACTTAGATCTGGTTGAGCTGAATCCTGTCACTCTCCTCCACACAGCGAATCCACACATCGTTCTCCCACTTGGTCTCGATATCCCTCTTGTCCTGGGTCGTGGCCATCCTGTTCCACACACCCGCCGCGAATCGCTTGTGCGACTCGAGCGAAGGGTGGAAGCAGTCAGCCGGCGACAGGGCGGTAAGTGGCGAATTCTTAATGTTCACGAGCGAGCCCGGCTGGAAGGTGACGCCAAAGTGCGGGTCATTCTCGGCCTGCCATCCGCGCACGACGGTCCGGATGGCGTCGTCGTACTGCGAGGCGAGGGTGTCCATCTTGGAGCGCTTAATGTCGCCGATCGCACCGGGGAAGGACGCGCATGGGCACTCGATGGGCGGGTGGGGAACAATAGGGAAAAGCGGGTTCCAGCTACGCGTTTTAGTGAGAGTCCTGAGCCTCAAGAGTACATACCAGTAGGAAGAAGTGACAGTCTTGGCATAGATGTCCGAGACGTGGAACGTGCCGACTGAGAATGGGTCAGTTGATTGTGGCGGTGAGGAGCAAAAATATGGAAAAAAGGCCCAGCAAATACCATTACTCACTGACGTTGACAATGAGCCTGGGGACAACAGCACGAATCTGCTGAACGGCATCCCTGATTCCCGACGCATACTCTTGGGAATTACCGATACCAAAGTCGGCGGCGGCGCAGTACTGGCACATGTCGTTGGGACCGATCATGATGTTGAGGAACGCCCAGCCGTCGGCCTTGGCGAGGTTCTTGTACTTGGGCACGATCCAAGCTGACATTCAGCTCTTCCACCTGGGTTTGACGAAGCGCGCATAGAGGGAGGGACTTACAGCTTGCCTCAAATGGCAGGTTGGAGGCGTGAGCACCGCTAATGGCCGAGTTCAGGCCATCCGTAAGTCCCCAGTGAGGGGTACACAGCGGACCACCAGCGGCACACAGCGTAACGAGGTGGGCACCAGTGGATCCACCGACGTTGGGCGTGTAGTTGTTCATAAAGTTGGCCAAGGTCAAGGCTCCGGGGTCGCGGCCAGTAGCATAGCTGACGCCACGGTATTCAAGGAGCTGCAGTGGGTTCTTGGCTGATATGTCAGTGAGGCGTCGGGGGTGTGGCAGCGCACCTTTGGCAAACATTGCTGCGGTGACAGAGTCACCAAGCGCCATGACGACTGTGATATCGTCGAGACGACTGTTTGCGAGATGTCAGTATTGAAATCAAAGTGCTCGCCTGTCTCGAGTGTACTCACACATCGTGGGCATTGTCGGGAATGGGTCGACGGGTAAGCTTGGGGCACTGGCTGATATCCTTGACATAATTTCCGGGAACGACGTCTCGAATGTAAGGAATCGACGAGTTGTACAGGCTAGGGTTGTAGTTTGGGTCATCAATGCCGCGGCCCCAAGGCGAGGCCTGAGCGCCGATGGCGGTGAGGAGGGTGAAAAGGACCGAGACAAGCATTTGGCGAACAAGTTTGGGGATGGGAGAAGAGACATGGGAGTTGCGGTTGTTTATGTACTGTAAAGTCTGCTCAGTACTGATTCTGGGGGTGAGTGGTCATGGATGTGGAAGTAACCGGTAGGTGCACACTCTTCGTAGCGAAAGTAGTTCGAGGTCTGTCTGACAATGCCGCGTTGAACCGTGTCCAGTGTCTGCAGTGCTAGGAGTGCTGCCGCATACGAGCCTGTGTCTTGCACCCCGCAAAACACCATCTGCCGGCTATCGCTTACACGAGGACGCAAGGGCTCTGCAAAAGTATCCCTGTTGGTGCAATGTAAGCGCGTCTAGAATGAAGGCACGCAGACCTAGCGGCAGTCTCGGCCGGTGACTACACCACAGTGCCGGGCCACCTCCATACCTTCTGTCAAAGATCTCACTGATCCGGGCCACCGTCTACGCTTGTTTTCCTTAATGAAATGGAGGTTGGATTTCCCATCCTATCTGCAGTTCGGTCCTACCGTCTGTCGTCGTTTTGGCTGCCAGCAATCTCAATATCCAGGTTTACGAGCTATCAGCGGCCAAACTACCGGGTTTGACATCACGTACGGCTCTTTCCAAAGAGCCACGTTCAATTCGGGAGACCATATTCAATGTTGGTCCCGAGTAGTTTGTTTCAGGCGGTCTCGAGTCCTAGATCCCCATCGCCACTACCACGCGTGTCTTTATAACGGCAAGTGCCTAGCGATCTCGGTATCGGCAACATGTATCCTCTTCTCAACCGGACAGTGAACGTGTTGACCAAGGTCCGGGACATTGCATAGCAAGATCCGACCAGTCTTTCCGCGTCTGACATCCATTCTCGCATCCTGGACTGTTGGCTGTCCGAGATATCACCCAGGCAATTGGCATCAAGAGCTACCATAGCCCCACCACCTTTGTCCCAAGGTATCCGTGAAAATACATTCCCTGTCTATGCGGCCGTTGGGCTAGTCGTTCCTCTGCTCCCTCTGCTCCTCCGCCTCCATCTCAAAGCTGTAGTCGTGGTTATCGTATGGGGTCGCTCCGGCCCCGGTCGTCCGGGCATTACGCACGCGGGTAATCACGTCGTTGACAACGTGCACACCGCGAGTCTGGGCCCATGCAAAGCCGTCTTCCAACAGGTGCTCGAGAGAAGCATCGGGCGGGCGCGGGGTAGCCTCCCCCGCGACGCTGGTCCATTCGCCTTCCCAGGAATTGAGGCGGGAATGGTTCTGGTTTTGAGTAACGGCTTCCTTGTGCTTTTCAGTGGCTTCGTGGCGCAGCACGTCCTTGATAGTGACCAGGCCCACGAGCTGGCCTTCGTGGGAGACGAGGATGACGCGCGGTCCCATGCGACGGAAGAGCTGGAGGACAATCTCAAGGGGCATCTTGGGCGACACGGTGAGAGGGGTCTAATGTCAGCTAATCCCTGTATTCCCTAGCTCACCTCGTCCACGTAGAGGCCAAAGTCGACGCGGTCAACCATCGCGCGCGAGTAGGGGTTGTGATCACTCGCGGTGGTCGGCGGGATAACAATGTCAGGCTGGGGGAAAGTGCCGTCCTCCTGCTCAAGCGCGTCGGAGCGTTCCTGGAAGGTACAGAGCGCGGCAGACGAGATGTGATGTGTCCTGTGAGCGCGGTCGAGAGCGTATCGCAGATCCGTCTTGCGGATAAAGCCAACAATGGTGCGGTCCGTCTCGCTGCGTACGACAGGGAAACCCTGGAAGTTGGTGCTCTGGACAATCTCGTTCACTTGGGGCAATGGCAGACCAGTACAAGGCATGACGATGACGTCCTTGCGCATGATGTGTTGGACTATTGTCAGTTAGGTCCGCTGGGCGTTAGACTTACTCGGCTCAATGAATGTCTTGTCACCCGCCTCGGCATCTTCCTTCTCCAAGAATGGGAAGCCGTTGAAACGGATCATCTGGTCGGCAATGCCACCTTTGCCGAACTGCTCGCCAACAGCCTTGGTGACGAGGACGACAAGCATGGTGGGGAGGATGTACGTGAGAGCACCTGTAAGCTCGAACATGATGACCACGACGGTGACTGTCAGGCCGGTGATACCACCGAGAGCTGCACCAGCACCGAGGAAGGCGTAAGTTCCGGGAGTGATGCATGGTGCGTCCGGAGCGCACGCAGCCGCAAACCATGGAGCGTTGGGGTATGCCCTGGTGGGTCAGCACATCGAAGCGGAATCTGTACCCACTGCTGCATGGCCTTCATGGTGATGCCGACCATACGACCGAACGTGGCGCCAACGGCCATCGAGGGCACGAAGATACCAGCAGGGATCTTGGTACCATACGAGACGATGATAAAGCCCGTGCGGAGGATCGTGGCGAGAAGGAGTGAGTTGACCATACTCCACTGCGACGAGGCTTGGCACAGACCATCATGGTCACCACCACCCTCGCATTCGCGGAAGAGAATGGACATGGCCTCGGTCATGTCGATGCGGAGGAAGCGGTTGAGGTACTGGATAAAGCCGGTGATGCACGCGAGGATGACTGCTTCGGCCACTCCGTGTGTGGCGAGGTGCTTGCGACGGAACGCGGCGACTTGGAGGTAGTACTTGGACACGAACGCTCCGTAGCAACCCTGATAAATGTCAGTCGGGACAAGGCACATGGAAACTCACGCCAAAGACGCCAATGAGGATGTAAGCGGGCATCTCAAAGTAGTGCCAGTCTCGGTCATACGAGACCTGGAACAGAACGAGCTTGCCAGTGCGGAAGGGGTCCATGGACTGTGTGTGTCAGAGCATATTAGGCACCAGCAACTCACAGAAAGGGTGAAAGTGGCCACAAGTGCACAGATGAAGCTGCGCCACATTGTGCGAGTTGAGAATGCCTGGTTCATTTCCTAGCCTGTCAGTTCGACGCAGTCGCACAAATGCTCACCTCGATAGAGAACAGCACTCCTCCGATAGGAGAACCGAAAGCGACGGCGACACCAGCTGCACTAGCCGCTGTTAAGATTTCTCTCATCTTGACTGAAAGATCAGCTTGGTCAAACTACTTGGACACTCACGTTGGCTATTCTTGTGTCTTGGGAACATGCGAGCGACGACGTTTCCGACAGCACATGCGACATGGACGGAAGGTCCCTCCTTGCCGACTGCCAAACCAGATCCAATAGATAGAGGCTAATGTTAGCTCTATATCGCAGTGCGATAACTCACCATTGTCATCGCCTTGATCAACAGCGTCTCGATACCGAGATAACCTTTGATGATAAACCCTCCAATAATGCACTTGATCTCCGAGATACCTGAACCTGCGGCGTACGGCGCAAAGCTACGAACGAGATAGGCTGCGGTGAACGCAAACGCACCCTTTAACGCGTCAGCATTGAACAGACTGCGCTATACTCACCGCAAACATGACGTAGGCCATCCAGGGGAAGGGCTGTATTGCTCCCCACTGATGCCACTCCTCACAGGTGTCCTCGTCCGAGATCTCAAGACAACAGAACTTGCGGTTGAGCCACCAGCCAGTTGAACAGTGTCCGAGCTTGATGTCTGCCAGCCAACTGGTCATGATAGACATGATGGCCGCACTGACGCCAATGCCGATGCCTTGTGCGTGTGTCAGATACCAGAACGAGGGTTACGCACACGCAAACTCACCTGTCAGAGTAATGATCACGTAGCTCTCGCCGTGCTCGAGGGCCCGACTGATGGCGCGCCACATGTATCCAGGCGCGCCATCGAGATTGTTCAAGCGGTCTGTCACAGAGTTTGGTCGGAACGGGCGTGTCTTGCGGTGACGCTCGCGAAGGGAGTCTTGGATCCAGTCTGGAAGGAACATGGTCAGTTTAAACAAAGTTGCCCAGGTGTCCGATAACACTTGCCGACTGTGCTAAAGTCTTCGTAGCGTCTGTTATTGTCAGCTACCGTCTTTATGTTTATCAGACCCACTTGATCACGTCGAGCTCAATCTCGTCGTCTGGACTGCCGACGGTTGCCGAGGAAGAACGGCTTGGGCCTGCGAGCATTTGGGCGTTCTCGTCCTCGTCCTCGTGGAGCGCGGCGGATGCCGAAGGGTACGACATTGCGCGCGCCAATGACTTGTATCGTCGCAGTGGTTGTTGTTGTTGTTGTTGTTGTTATTAACGAGCGAGTGTTGCTGAGATGTTTCGATGGACCCATCGGCGAGCGCGGCGAGCAGAGCCCTGTGCCATCGTGGACGGTGACGCCTGCATAATGCATCCACCCCTCGCTTGGATGCTCGGCGGCAACGCGTCCTCTGTGCTCCGTCGGAAGATGATCGTCATGACGACACGTGTCAAACGGAGGGGGCCGGAAAAAGATGCGGGATCAAAAAACGTGCCACAACTGACGGGGATTGGCTGTTGGGGCACAGGCGGCGACGTGCTGCTCGGTTGGCCACCCGCCCCCGTGTTTCCTCGTCTTTCCCACACGTTCCACCGCACAACACCTCGTTCTCCCATCACCTTATTCTTCTAACGGAGCCACCGCCCTTCTCCCCCGTAGTGTGCAGAGGCCTGCAGAGTGGGAGACGTGTACCAGTTACTTCGTAGACCTCCCCTTTACCTTTGAACCCCCAATCTCTCTCTTCCGTCGTCTTTCTAAGACTTCTCTCGGTGTCGCAACAGGCTTGCTTTTGCGCACTGGACTACAGAAGAGTCCCGAGTTGGTTTTAGACACATCCACCCTTCCATCAACAGATGGACGCCTGGTCGGCGCTTGAGAAGTACGCGTACGCATTTCTTTCCCTTTAGATTCGTGCTAGGAGCCGCACTCACGCGACCTCCCACGCTTCATCATCTCCCGCCCCACCATACACACACCTTCCACCTGCGAAATCAACCCCGCCCTCCCCGCCCCCCCATCATACGTCTTCTTTATCGCACCCCTACAGCCAGAGCGGAGAACAGCTTGTCTGGCTCCAGCATCAGCTCGCAGCGCAGCCGCTTCTCCCAGGTCAAGCCCCCGAAGATTGGCTTCTCTGGCGCACTCGCGTTGCCGAGGGCATGACCGAGATCGCCGCACTCCAGTCCGTCGCCCACGACAATCTTCTCCGACACGAGCAAAACCAACTTCGAAACAACATCAACCAGGCCATCGACGGCTCTTCCCAAGCCTTCAGCAACGACGGGCTGTTTGGTGAGTACTAATACCCCTCCCCTAATTTGTTTTTGCGCAGCATAAACCCCCCTCCCCCCGGTCCCCTCATCTCGGAGGTCCGCCCTGCACCAGTGGCAGGTTCGGCGTTCAAGACTGGGAACAAGATGAACATGCCATTGCGTTTTTGAAAAGCTCCCCAGCCCAAATGGCGTCTGCCTGCGTGCAAAGCCATGAGACCCTTGTCGCTGTGACTGCTCGTAAGAGCGTAATGAACCGCGGCGTTGGCCATTCGAGCCATAAGGCTCGACCTGTTTTGTGCCGGACAACGCCACTCCCTCTCGAGCGCAGGCAGGCACACGGAGACACAAACGCGGAGGCGAAGGACGTCGGAAATCAGATTGTAAAAAGGGGGGACCTTTTCATTTTTGTTTCCGTTAAGCGCACGCCTAAGGGAGCGGTCACGCTCGCCTGTTTTTGGCCGCTCGCCTGTTTTCCGATTCCACGCCTATTATTCCCACTGGTCACGTGACCGCGTCCCCCCCCCCACTTGTGTGGCACTTTGAAGCTGACACCATCAGAAATGTTCAGCGACCCCGTCAACCCCGTCAACCCCACAGCCCCACCATATGGCTTTGTGAACATGAACAGCGTTTCTGCAAACCCGAATGGTATGGTCATGAATGGTGTCAATGATATCTTCCAAGCCATGAACAACTTATACCCAGCGAACGCTGCGGCTGGTCCTAGCACTGTGCCTCAGGCGCAAACCGTCCCAGTAACCGGGTCGATTGCGTCCAACGCCATCGATGTGGACATGCTCGACAACCTTGTACCACTCCAGAATGAAAAGCCAAACACAGTCTGGAACCTCACACTCTCCGATGTTCCGACCCCCCCTGTTGGCACCACCACTCCCGCCATGCCTCTCCAGGCTCCTAGGGAGGCGACGCCGGTCTCGGCCAACCCATTTGAATCGCTAGGCGGTTCACCCGCCGGTCCCTCCCGCCAACCCACACTTCGCCAGACCACGCTTCGTGTTGTGCCTGCGCCTGCCAACAAGATTCCAGTCGTCCCTCTAGCCACTCCAGCTGAGGTCACGCGCGCCACGGCCGCTGGCAAAATGGACTCGTCCTCAATCTCCCTTCCTGTAAAGCGCCCTGCGCCGACAACGACAACGACTGAGCCCAAGAAGGAGCGCAAGAGTTTCAGTGAAATCATGCGCTTCATTGAGCCCCAGGTCATCCAGATGAACAAGCCTTCAGGATTGTTCAAGTTCTTCCGCATCCGTAAACTGGAAGACGGTTCCGAGGGGCAATGGTTCACCCCGACACCCCACGAGCTGGCCAGCATCCTCGACGCGCTCGACAAGCATGCTTCAACGTCATATCTCCAACTCATGGCAGACAACGCCCAATATACGGAGGTCTTGGCTCGTTGGCTCAAGCAGTTTATTGCCGCACCGCAACAATGGGAGCCTGCTATTGCACCTCTCCTCTTGGTCCTGGGCCGCACGGATATGGCAGTCAACTGGATCGAAGACTACCATGTTGCCAAGCGTGCCAGTAGGGTCGTTACCAAGGCTGAGGAACTTAAACTCCATTCCCTCCCTGCCATCAAGAAGGGCTATGCTCGCTACAGCCAACACTATGAGAACGTCTTGAAGCCCAAGGACCGTAGAATTCGCGACGACTCGGATTCGGACTCGGACTCGGACGCTCGCTCTGTCAAGAAGCGCAAGACCGAGACCAAGCTGCCAGCAAAGACCGAGCCGAAGCTGAGCCTCGGTGCCAAGCTCGCGTCGCAGAAAGCAGCGGCCAAGCCCTCGACAGCAGCAAAGCCCTCGTCAGCAGCTGGTCGCACCGACATGTCCTTCTTCAATGCGCCGGTCGCCGCCAAGCCGAAACCTAAGCTTCCTGACTTTAAGAAGGCTGCACCGGCACCAGGCGGCAGTAGTCTACTGGCCTCGACTATGAAGAAGCTCAAGAAGGAGGACTCGCCACCGGCGCGTGCCCCGCCGTCCGCGATGGATGCCAGACCTGGTGTCAAGCCCGAGGTTAAGCCTGAGGCCAAGGCTGGTCCCAAGCTCAATAAGAAGGGCCACACCGTCCGCTGGGTCGACTCGGTGCCAAACCCCCCTCGTGTGTTCGAGGCCATCAAGGAGTTTAGGCAGGAGGCGTTCGAGTTTGAGTTGCCGCCATGGCAGGAGCCCGAGGTGAGCATACCGCTTGGCTCTGAAGAGTTTGATCTGACTTTGCAGGACGGCGTCCACGGTCTCTCGAGCCACCAGCTTGACATGGACGAGGGTCGGCACATGCACCGTCACAATGACGAGCTCGAGGAGGAGATCAACTGGTACGAGCCCTACCACTACGAGGCCTCCGACCGGCCGCCGATCATTGCCAGCGCCGAGGCTGCTGCTCAGGAGGAGCGTGAGCGCTCAATCTTGGCGGCCACCTACCTCATTGGCGACATCCCTTTCACTCCCAACGACACCGGTGTCCGCACCGTAGCCGACGGCCCCAACACGCGCCAAATGAACACCAACCCTACCCTCCCGCCCAACATGCCCGGTGCTCCAATCGTCGTCCCCCCCTCAGCCCTCCCTCAACAGAAACTGGGCGAACTCCTCCGCACCCTCAACCTTCCACCTGCAGCCCCAGCGCCTGTTGTCCCCCCGCCTCAGCCCCAGTACGGGGCGCCATCGAGTTACAACTCGCAGGCAGGCTACGGGCAGCAGGGCTACCAGTCCCAGGCGCCTGGCTACACCCCATCTGTGACCGCACCCCAGAGCGGGGGTCGCTGGGGCGGCCAGCAGCACCAGCAGGGCTGGAACAACCACCACGGCAACCAAGCCCGCCCTCCTCCAACTGGCCCGGCCAACGGTGGCGGGCGTTGGGGGGGCCACGGTACACCATCGCGTGGCGGCCACAGCATCGCCACGGCCCACCCCCACGCGGCTTTCCGCGTCAGGCCATGTAGGTTCTATCAGCTCGGCACCTGCAACGCCGGCGACCAGTGCACCTTTGTACACCCAGAGCCTGGATCTGGGCGTTAACAGCGCAGTCTGAGCACAACCTTGTGTGTGCACAACTTCCCCTACCGCATTCTCCATGTTCAAACACCCCACATACATCCGCACAGCAACCCCCAATACAAGCCATCTCCATCGGCAGTTAATGACCGCATCTTGCATGAGACGACCAAACAAGCACAAAGCACTCGACTCCCATAGCATTCCATCTCCCCCCCCCCCCCCCCCCCACATGTACAGAAACAGCATTGTTTATGGTATTAGCACTTTCCTTAGCAGCACGTATACTAGAGAACCTCTCTCGAAACTGCCAAACGGCAGTAGTAGTCTGTGCCAAGAGAAAAGTCAACCGAGAGGGGAGAGTTGGTGTGGAGGGACGTTGCTGTCATTCCGATTTTCGATTAGTTTAGACAGATGTGATTCCTTTCGTTCCATGCTGCAGTGGGGGCAGAGACATGACTCCCAGTCGCCAGTGAATTACCAACAAACGTTATACATGTCCTACAAGCGCTACTAACAATGGAGCGCGCGGACCAGCCGCAAACACCGTGCTACCTTAGTCGTCATACTTGGTCTTGCGATGGATCATCATCTCGGCCATGACCTCGCCATCGGCCTCCTTCACATCGTCCAGAGACTCGGCCATGAAGAACGCCGCGATGAGGGTGGCGTGGTCCTCGGTCATCTCGAACAGCTCACGGAGGGACCTGCGGACACATTCCTTGAACTTGTCGCGGACCTCGGCTTCGGTGCTGTCGGGCGTCATGTTGAGCGCGTCACGCGGCAGTCCCTCGAGGTTGACAAAGTGGTACATGCGCGGAACGTCGTCTCTGATGGCGTGGGCAACAAGGTCGTAGCAGAAACCGCGGACGAGGGGCTCGAGAAGGCCAAACCGGTCGTCGAAGAAGCCATAGTCTTCGTTATGGGGCACACCCCAGCCACCGTCGTCATCCTCATCCATCTCTTCGGACGAATCAAAGTCCTCGCCGTCGTCATCTAAATCGTCATAGATATCGGGGCCGTCTTCGTCCTCGTCGTCGCCGCCGACGTGGTAGCCTGCCGCAGCCAACAAGCCGTCACTCTCATTGTCGCTGTGTTCTTCTTCTTCTTCTTCATCTTCTTCTTCTTCAGAACCGCCATCTTCCAGGGCGCCTCCGAGGAACATGCCACCCTGTGGACGGATTGGGACGGCAAACGAGAGGTCTTGGTGAAACGCGTCGTCCATCCCTCCAAAGCCCCACTGGGGCGGCGTGGCGTCGCGGTGTGTACGCCAGTAGTGTTCCGCTGACGTAGTGTTGAACACGAGCTTGACGGCTCTCACGCTCTTGGGGAGAGAATGGGGCGCCAGGACAGTGGGCAGGAGACAGTCCTCGTTGACGTCAATGTTGACGGTCAACTGAAAAGTGCCGTCGGGCACGTTGCCGATCTGCATGTATCGCGGACAGGCAGGGACGATCTCAATAAACTCGACAATGTGGGCGGCTCGGATGGGACATTCAGGGTAGGTCTGCGCTCGACGCAAAAGAATGACGTTGTCCATGGCCAAGAGCAGTTGCTTGTCCACGAGGGGTGCCCAGTAGTCGACCATTCTAACCTTGCTCGCAAGCTCCTTGCGACGGGCGCGCTCCGCACGGCCCTTGGGTGGCGCTAACAGAGGCTTTAGTCCAGGCAGAGGTCCAAGAGGACCGTTGAGGCGGGCGGGAAGAGTGAGGTTGCTCCGACAGTCGTCACTGCCGTACTCGTGGTCGTAGTCAAACGCGGCCGTGACGTTGAAGAAGAGACGGACGTCCGCGGCCTGCTGGAACTGCGAGTTGGTCTGGCGAAACGCGAGGAGTACCTCGTACGACGCGTTCTCGAGGATGGCCTCTACGATATGAGGATACGCAGCACTGTCGAGGAGCATCTTGGAGCAGTCGATGGAAGGACCCTTGGGCTCACGCTTCCTGCGCTTGGGGGAAGGGGGAGGAGGGCCGCGTTTGTCGACACGCGGCTTCTTGCCCTTTGCGGCACGCTCTTCGCGGTCCTTGGTGCGTGCGCTCTTGCGCAGTGGAGCCAATCCGGTCATGATCAAGTGGTGCGGTGGTCTCGCGTCAACGCTGTTGGTGTGACGAGATGGATGGTGAGAATGGTGAGAGACGCGTGGTTGACCACCGGAGATTACAGTTGTCAATAACAATCCTCGCCTCGACGCGGCGCGAGCGCGGTATCCAGGCACCATCCGTCAAAAATATACTTCCGGCTGGTTCCTGTGAGTGGCGAGTGGCAAATGGCGGGGAAACCACCAACGTGACAATGTATCTGGACGTGCGCAATGATACTCGGTTCTCCGGTCTTCAGCGGTAGCGGTACATATTGCACAGCTCTCATCTACATGGCGTTTGCTGCAAGCAATGTCCCCAGCTGGCGAAAGTCGGCCAGCCTCACCTCGTTCCCTTACACACAAGGTCATAAACCCCGCATTGGGCCTGATTGTGGGATTTGAATCTGCGGTGCAACACACACCTCCTGAGAGGCCATCTTGTCCCCTTATGGGGTTCGTACACGGCATCAGCGCTTTACTTCCACGGCCTCACAGGGTCGCAGGCGATCTTCCACTGCCGTGGCGCCGGTGTATTTTCTCACGAGTTTGTCTAACAGCCCGCCAATATTCGCATGTCTGCCGCTGAGGTCACTGAACAGCTCTTCACAGCATGCGACTAGGCAGCGGACAGACATGTGTTGAGATTAGGGCTCAGCAAGATCCGAAGCGATGCCCGTGGCGGTGCATTTTCGTTCCTCCCAGCAAGACTGCACCTGCAGCATCTGTACTTGCTCGTCAACTTCACACTCGTCCTTAAAATCAGACATCATTTCCAACAACATCAAAGCAGTACAGGTGGTGGACGCGTGACACCAACCAGTCCGACGTGATTCTGGAACGACCATGGCGCCCTTTTGCCACTCGGCTACGGCTCACACCATCCTTCGTACCGTGTCCAATGCGCCGCTCAAGGTCAATGTGGGCCGCGACGGCAGCAATGTGGTTCTGGTCTCTCGCATGGTGGACCAAACGAAGAACAACATTCTCGCTGGAGTCCTTAGCACTGTGCTTATCTTTCCTGCTCTTTTGATTGTGGTTATCGGCGTCCTATTCCTTGTAAGTGTCGTCCGTTGAGAGAGACTGATAGGGTTGTCCGAACTGTGGTATCGGTATCAACGGACCCAAGACAGGCAGCGCCGCGGTCAACCACAGGACGGGTTCAAGGGTTGGACCTCGAGCAAGTGTTTCACCGTCTGTGGCATATGGGCTCGTCCACGCTCCCCGTCCAAAGGTGACGACTGTTCGGTGGCGGAGGGCAACTCCACTGCGTCCACTTTGCCGATGTACGCCCCCGCTGCGGGGAAGCAAGTTTGCGAACCGCAGGCCAAGTGAGTTAGTTGTCTTGATCCAGAGAAGCTGATCGCCAGTCCCCCGGATGACACCAACCTCACGATGCCCACTCGACCTTCCAACATACCCTCCGTCATGGCGCCCAGGTTCATTCGCGGCCTATCCCCTGTCCCCGAGGAGGAAGAGTTTGCCCACATTGGTGATGTCGAGAACGCCGCACCCAACGTCCGTTACCACACCCAGATCCCCTGTCCGTGTGTTCCCGATCGCTCGCCCCAATACCCTCCACCTATCTCCTGACATACGTCCCCTCATCCAACAGAGCCTTTCCGAGAAGGGAGCACTCACTGAGAACAAATTGCCCACCACATTTATGTACAACGGGACGCTGAGGCAGCAGTTGGAGGTCGGCGAAGGGCAGTGTGGATAAGAACAGTATAGAGTTTATTTGTGTCTATGGACAATCTCCGAAGATGCTCCGCCTAGTGATCACCAGGCCCCCCAGGTGATGCCACGGAGTGTGGGACGGACAATCTCTGGATCATGACGCATTTATTCCCCGTTTACTCCGGGATTGTTCCGTATGTTGCCGCCTCCACCTACCAACTCCACCGTCATGGGGTGGAGGAGGGGTGGAGTGTGCCGTAGCCAAGAACGGTATAAAGCGAAGCGAGGCAAAGACGGCAACTTCATCCCCATCACTACTTCCGTCACTACTCACACACTCTCAATACTCTTTACTATGACTGTCAAGCTCGTCAAGTTCCAGGACATCGAGGTCCCCGCTCCAGGCTTCGGGTAAGTTGCGTTGCGCCCACCATCCATCGGGGATTATGTGTATCACCGTCGCTGACACCACATTGCAGCTGCATGGGTTTCTCTATGGGCTACGGTCCCGCAGACGACAAGGTCTCGCACCAGACGATGGCCAAGGCTGTGGAGCTTGGTTGCACCTTCTGGGACTCGGCGGTCGTCTACGGCAAGGGCCACAATGAGCAGCTCATTGGCGACTTTTTCCGTGCCACCAACACCCGCGACAAGGTCTTCATCGCTTCCAAGTGTGGTTGGGACGTGAGTTGTTAAAATGTTTAAAACATCAAGCTTACAGCCAGTGTATGGATGTCGGTACTGGAGGTCCTCTCGGCGGTGTCACCAACAAGGCCGAGCACATTGCAACCTACATTGAGGGCACCAAGGAGCGCCTCGGCTCGTACCCCGACCTCTACTACCTCCACCGCATCGACCCGAACACCCCGCTCGAGGAGTCTATTCCTGCGCTCCAGGCTCTCAAGACTGCCGGTAAGACCAAGTACATTGGTCTGAGTGAATGCAGTGCCGCCACTCTCCGAAAGGCCTGTGCCAGTGAGCTACCCCTAAGCCGTCGAACGTAGCTGACCCTGCAGTCGCCCACATCGACGCCCTTCAGATCGAGTACTCTCCGTGGTACACCGACCACGAGGAGAACGGCCTCATCGACGCTGCTCGTGAGCTTGGCGTCACCATCATCGCCTACTCTCCCCTCGGCAAGGGTATCCTCACCGGCCAGTACCGCAGCCCCGAGGATTTCCCTGAGGGCGACGTCCGTGCCACCATCCCCCGCTTCAGCAAGGAGAACATGCCTCGCAACCTTCGCATTGTCGACGAGTTCCAGAAGCTGGCTGCCAAGAAGGGCTGTACCTCGTCGCAGCTGGCGCTTGCTTGGGTCATTGCCCAGGGCGCCATCCCCATCCCGGGTACCAAGTCCAGCTCTCGCCTTGCGGAGAACTTTGGTGCCAACGGGGTCAGCCTCGATGACGCTGAGCTGAAGGAGCTCAGGGTGCTCATCAACGATGCCAAGCCCGTTGGTGACCGTTACAACGCTGTTCACATGGCGATTGTCGGGCAGTAGGTAACAGCAGTATATGACCACGGTAGCAAAATGTATTCAAATCATTGGTGCATCGCACACATACATCCATTTACACCCAACTACTACTTTACAACCTGCAGTTTCTCTTCTTAGTACGACGCAACGTAGGGCGACTGGAGCCACTTGGGGTGCTTGAGCGCCTCAGCCTTGGACTTGGACGTGGGGTCGAAGTACGGCTTCTCGGCAAGCGACGAAACGCGAGTACCGTGACGCTCGCCGTCGTAGTCGTAGGAGACGGTGTGGATGGTCGAGCGGTTGTCCCAGATGGCACTGGTGCCGGGAGTCCAGTGCCAGCGCAGCTGAATGTCGGTGCTGCGTTCGTAGATGTTGTGCAGGTAGTCGAGGAGCAGGTCGGCCTCGGGCTGGTCAAAGCCCTCGATGCCGACGGTCATGGCACGGTTGACCCAAAGCGACTTCCACCCAGTGACAGGGTGGGTGCGGACCAGGGGGTGGGTGCGGAGCACAGGCTCGGGAATGGCGTCAGGGTCGTCGCTGTTCTTGTACTTGTGAGCCGAGCGGTAGATACCGTTGAGACCGTCGATGAGCTTCTTGAACGCCGGCGACAACTTGTCGTACGCAGCGTAGCCGGACGCCCAGAGCGTGTCACCGCCAACCTCGGGAACCGTGTCCTGGTGCAGATGGGTGTATCCGGGCGGGTAAGCCTCGTGGACGAGGTCGGTGTGCCAGCCAAACTGGCCACCGCCGTAGGGAACGCGCCAAGAGCGGCCCTTACGGAAGGCATCACGGCGACCGTCCTCCCAAATGAGAGTCACGCCGCCACCGACACCCGGGACCTGGGCAGCCTGGACATGGGTCTCCACGAGACCGTCACCGAGGTAGAGGCCGATCTCCTTCTGCTTCTGAGGCGAGAGGTCCTGGTCACGGAAGAAGACAATGTGGCGCTCAGCTACGAGGAGGGCGAGCTCATCGCGCTGCTGGTCGGTAAGGTCCTTGAGCTGCAGACCGATGATCTCAGTACCAATGTGGGTGGTGAGGTTGTTGACCTTTTGAGCAGCGGCAAAGAGAGCCTTCTTTTCGGGGTCGGCACGGCTTCCCGGGTCGACGTAAGGCTTGTTGTCACGTGCATCCACACGGACCTTGAACACGTCCTGGACGAAGTCGGGCTTGGGTGGGAAGTACGGGTAGCCCTGGCTAAGGTCGATGCCGGCCTTCTGGTAGCGACGAAGAGTGTTGTCGGGAGGCAGAACAATGTCCGCGTCGTTGAGTTTGATGCCTTGGAGCTTGGCCTTGAGCTCGGCAATGTCGTTGGTGGCCGGAACCTCTGCGGTAACAGCGTCTGTAGCGATGGGAGCCATGGCGAGTTGTTGGTGCGGTTGTCTGTGATTCAAATCCTGTACCGCAACATGTCTATATAACAGACGTCGCGTACTGCATACTTGGAGGGGCTTATGTCAGCCAAAAGGAATATGGCTTGCTTTGTCACAACAGAAGCACGACAACCATGATGTGGGCGACACCGATCCGGGTCCTGAGGGCAGCCGTAGACAATACTTGTAGTGACTTGTAGGCTTTTTGTACTGTAAATGGCGTGCTCCTGGCAACACAAGGCGCATCGGTTATTTACAGCCACTGTCATGGCTCGGCATTCGCTTGGTTTTCTCCAGTATTCCTCCGAACACCCTGACCATTCATGCAGCCTCGGAAGCTCGGTCTTGAATGCTGGAACCATGGTGCATGTGGTTGTACCAATAGGCTTTGAGGGATAGATGCGATTGCGACAATGAACGGAGCGATGACGAAACCGCAGTCACCCTCGGGCTGTGGTTATTTCCCCACGGCATCTACTTCCAACGCCAGTGGCATTCTCTGACGTGCGGAACGATGCTAGTGGCATCATTGTCGTGGCGGCCGACGCAACATCTTGCGTCGGATCGGCGGGCCCGGTCATGAGTCTGCATTGTCTTTTGAGCTTAGCGAGGAAAGTGAGATGAAATCTGCTTCGGCGAGGTCAGCTAAAATGAGAACCTTTGAGGGTGAAGAAACGACCAACCCCCTCACACGCTGCCTACCATGTCCACTTCTGCCTCCAGCGATCTGGAGGGAGGCAAAGCCGTCGACCTCCACAAGACCATCAAGACAACATGGAAGGGCAAGATCTGGGACACGTTTGACTTGCCGCGCGATGAGCGCAAGCTCCTTGCCAAGGTTGACATGTTCCTCCTTACCTTTGCCTCACTCGGCTACTTCATCAAGTAGGTGATACCATATTGGGAAATGGCGCAGTGTGGCTGACGTACAGGAACCTTGACCAATGTAGGCTTCCGTCACAGTACCAATCATCGGGCACTAACTCCTATCAGCCAATGTCAACAACGCATTCCTGTCCGGCATGGAAGAAGACCTGGCCATGTACGGCAACCAGCTCGTCACCTCGACCTCCATCTGGACAGTTGGCTACGTGATCGGCCAGATTCCTTCCAACCTCATCCTTACACGCGTGTCACCTCGCTGGGTGATTCCTTCTGTAAGTCGTCCTCCATGACCATGTTACTAACCCTTCAGCTGGAGCTTGGATGGGGTATCTGTACCCTCGCTACATACAGGGTCAACAGCTACAAGTCCCTCTACGCCCTTCGTTTCTTCGTCGGCCTGTTTGAGTCTGGCTTCTACCCCGGCATTCACTACCTCATCGGTGGCTGGTACACTCCCCGCGAGATCGGAAAGCGTGCTATGATCTTCTGGCTCGCAGGATCGATTGGCACAATGTTTTCCGGTTTCCTTCAGGCCGCTGCCTACACCAACCTTTCCGGCGTCGGAGGGTTGGAGGGTTGGCGCTGGCTGTTTATCATCGATGCCATCATCACCATCCCCATTGCGCTCTTCGGTTATATCTTCCTCCCCGGTATCCCCCTCCAAGACAAGAAGGAGTGGTGGCTTACCGAGGAACAACACCAGCTTGCCATCTCCCGCCTCAACCAGGTTGGTCGTGCTGGCCGTAGTCCGTGGTCAAAGGCAAAGGTTCGCAAGCTCTTCTCAACATGGCACATCTACATCCTTCGTGAGTACAGGCGGCGGTGTTTGTCCTGACATCCAGCCTTCCTCTATGTCATTTGGAACAACGGATACCCTCAGAACCCGATGGGTTACTACCTCAAGAGCTTCAACAAGACCCCCGCCCCGGTCCCCGGTCGCAGCTACACTGTGTCACAAATCAACAATCGTGGGTTCACTGGTCACGCAACTGAGGCTGACAATAGTGCCCCTCCCTGCTACGGGTATCTTCATTGTGGTGTCGCTGGTTTACGCTTGGCTGTCAGACGGTCCTCTGCGTGGTCGCCGTTGGCCCTTCATTTACGTCGGTGCCGCCTCGGCCCTCGCCATCGCTATCCCTCTCCGCGTCCTCCCGCTCTACAATAATATCCCTGGCCACTTTGCCCTCTACTACCTGGTTTCCATTGGCGTGAGTGGGAACACTTCGGATCTCAACTGACAAAACTAGCAAGGTGCCGGACCTCTCATCTTATCCTGGATCAACGAGATCTGTAGCCAAGACACTGAAAAACGTGCTCTCCTCGTTGCCATGGGTAACGATTTTGCCTACGTCGTGCAAGCCGTCGGTCCCAACTTCTACTGGAAGACCACAGACTTCCCAGCCGCACGCAAGGGTTTCACTGCCGTCATCGTCTTCCAAATCCTTCTCGGTAAGTCGCTAGATGTGATACCCATCTGTGAAAGGGCCGCGCTGACGACCCAGTCATCTGGACCACCCTCATCCTGTACCTCCTCAAGCGCGACAAGCGCAAGGGTGGCGACGCGGACTCCTTTGTCAGCGACGAGGACGTTGATGTTGTCACCACCCTCGAGACTCCGACCAGCGTTGACAAGAACTTTGATGACCTTCACAAGCCGTGACGCCAGACAATCGGAGTCGTTGATGGGATGCCTAGTTAGTTGGGAGGCGATGTTTGTATGGCGAGTTTGGTAGAATCAAGTACAGTGTCGTGAATTGGGTATGAAGCCATGTTCGCTCGAATGTGGCACATTGCAGAACTCGCAGTTGAGGCAAGTTACATTGATATATTACCTTTCTTACCTTCCCTCCCTGGCTCCATAAAAAGGACAATTTGGGCCTCTGGAGAGGTCCAAGGTGTTCCAGGACGCGGTGGAGAAGCCAAAAATGACGTTTGACGGGGTCGAACCGCCGACCTTGTGCGCAACGCTTGACTGTTGAACAGTCCTAGTGTTAAGCACACGCTCTAACCAACTGAGCTAAATCGCCGATGAATGTGACGCTGCTGAGGTAGATGATCAGCGAATACTGTCAATTTACAGTTCGCCTGCAAGACCCTATCACTAGTTATCTTCTCTACGTGGAGAACAACTGAAGAGTAACAAGACCTATGGCTCGAAATTCGGCATAATTCAGGGCTGCTGACATCAACGGTCTATCGTCGTCTACATCTGGAGCATAACACTCTACTAGGCAAGCACAGGAGCGGCTGCGAGTGGAGCAACCTGCGGAGATGCCTCAACAGGAAGCTCGGCGGCTGCATTCCTTGCCTTTTCAGCCGCAATCTCGGCTTGAATCTCGGCAAGGACAATGGCGGGATCCAGGCCGTACTTGCGGAGAAGCGAATGCTGCAAGCGGTCACTTGCTGCAAGCCACTCTGGGGTGTGACCCTCAACCTTGTCGGCGCCAGACCACTCGGCATCGCGGTTGAGCCACTCGACCGTCTCGCGGACGTACTTGCGCTCGTTGTCCTTGTTCATGAGGTGCGAAAACTTGCCCTCCCCGGTCTGAGCCACAAGTGCCTTGTACGCCGCCCGCCGGCCAGCCTCGTCGGGCAGACGCGCCGTGCCAGTGTAGACGCGCACAATGCTCAGGGACTGGTATTCAAAGAACGAGAATGCCGAGGTGTTGACACTCAGGCCGAGGAAAGTGAGGGTCGGGTCGGGCACGTAGAAGACGTCGCGGTAGAGGTTGAGAACACCGCCGCCGTCGGTGATAAGAAGCCTTGCTTTGTCGTCGACTTCGGGTTTGCCAAGCACAGGGTCATGGTGGAACTGGGGGAGGAAGGGAGTCGAGTACTGGAATCTACATGCGTGTAAGCGAGCGCGCATACCATGGCGAATAAGCAACACCTACCCAGTGGCAAAGATGATCACAGACAGACCGGAGATGATCCTCCCGTCCGTCAACTCGATTTGACCGTCCTCGAGATCCGAACCGGGGGTGGGGGGGAGGAAGCGCTTAATCTCGGGTACAGCCTCGCCGTTCTTGGGGACCATGTAGCGCTGGAACTTGCGCTGGGTCTTATACGCGTCGGGCCCGACAGTTTTGTTCCTTCCCACCAGGTACACCTTGTTGGCCACGGTTGCAAGGTCACGGGCAATGTCGATACCACTGGTACCGATACCGATGATGAGAACATTCTAACTGGTCAGTGATTTCCTTCTAATGCATGTTCTCACCTTGCCGGTGAATGGGTCTGGCTTGCGGTAGCCGCTCGAGTGCAGGACACGAGTAGGCCATTGGGCTGCCCACTCGGAAGACCCCTCAATGTTGGGAATGAAGGGAGCGTTATAGTGGCCAGTGGCGACGACCAGTGCGTCAAAGTCCTGTACGTGGTCAGCGCGCTCTGCACACTACCAAAGCCTGCACCCACCTGAACCCAAAAGGTCTCCTTGGCCTTGTCTGTGCCCTCTGATTCCAGCTTGCGAAGCGTCAGGCGCCATTTGGGTGGAGTGGACTCCGTTCCCAGAACCTTGACCGCCTTCTCAACCCTTGTGTTGTAAGATGTAATCTTGTCGAGCTCGAAGTGTTCGGAATACGATTTCAGGTAGCCAGCAAGCTCCTGGTGTGGGATGTTCTCGGCCGTACCGGGCGGGTAGGGAAAGTCCTTGAACTGGAGGTTAGCGCATGTCAAGCTCCATCAACTCACTGCCATGGTCGAGGTGGGCACATTGTTCGAGAGCGACCAGTAGACCGGGTTTGGTGGCGAGAACCGGTGCCTCAGGTCGCCGTCTGCGTCCTCCTTGATTGCCGTCTGCGGCTCCGAGCCAAGCTCAGCCGGAATCGAAGGGAAGAATGCGCCTCTGGAAGGAGGCGGGGTTGGTACAGACAGAGGCTTGGTGATTTCTGGGCTCCAGTTCCAGATTCCACCGGCGGTGGGCTGACGCTCAAAGACTGTAACATCGAGCCCTGCGTCGCGGAGGTGACGAGCTGCCGGAGTGCCAGATGCGCCAGAGCCAACTACCGCGACGCTGCGGATAGGGTGGTCGAATGTGTGGTACGACATGGCCGGTAGGGAATTGAGAGGAAGATGGGGAAGACTGCCAGATGGGAGAGGAGGACATGTATCAAGCCGAACGTAACGAACGTCTCCTCTCCGCGGCCATGATTACTCAACGCTTAGCATGAGCCGCTGGCCGCACATGTCCGGAGTCCCCGATGTGGACAATGACGAGGTCATTGTCGGAAAATGGCTTGAAGAAGGTCAACAATGTCACCATATTGCACACGATGGACGGTAAGCGATGGAAGCAACAGTAAAAGGTGGGCGTGTGAAAACGCCCACTGTTGCAACATCGAAGGGGCGGATGGCGACAACAGACATCTTAAGTTGCCGTGGGGCCCCGCATTTCGGCAAGTTGGACATCACCGCCACAGAAGCACACCATTTGGGCAACCGAGCACTCTACTCGAGCACGCGCACTAGACTACGGGTGAGGAACCGGCTTACATAGGCATGAGAACAATGGGTGGTGTAAGAATGAAGGACGATAGGAGATGTCCGACGGCCGAGGACACGCTGACATGAATATCGTGGGTGGAAGTCGGTTGGTCTCGTGTCCCCAAGCCGCACCGTTTCTACTACACCATGCCCATTGCAACCTCACCCAAACTCAAGGTCGCCATTGTTGGGGCGGGCCCAGGTGGTTTGGCAACCACCATTCAGTTCCGCCGTCTGGACAATGTCGAGGTGCAAGTTTTCGACCAGGCGCGCGAGTTGCGTGAGGTCGGAGCAGTGAGTTTGAAACGGGCAAGCAACAGCCGTCTGATGTGTAGGGAATCAGCATCAACGACAACACATGGCGACTGCTTCAAGATCTTGAAGCCGCAGATGCCTTGGAGCAGTTTACCAGCCGCTCTGAGAAAGGCGTTGTAGACTCACAGCATCGGTAAATCTTGGTTTGCTCTTCTGGTCTAACAGGCACAGCAACGGTCGCACCGGCGAGCTCCTCGCCGAATCTGTCCACACTGGTGAGTATCAGCTGAGCATATGATGCCTCCAGGACTGAACCTTCAGGCCACACCGACAAACCTCCCCGTTCCAGGATTGAGCGGTACAAGCTTCAGAATGCCCTCCTGTCGCGCCTTCCCAAAGGTCTTATCCAACTCTCGAAGAAGCTCGCCTCCATCGCCGAAACCGACAAGGGTGTGTTCCTCACATTCACCGACTCGATCACCGCCGGCCCTTTTGACTTGGTGGTCGGAGCGGATGGTATCCGGTCTGCCGTTAGGCAGCACATCTTCCCCGACCACCACTTGTCGTACACTGGCAAGGTGGCATACCGCGTCCTGATCCCGCAAGAGAAGGTCGCACATATCCCCGATGTCCCAAAGGCAAGCGTCTTCTGGCATACACCAACCACGCACGTTTACACGTGTCCTCTGGACAACGGGCTGTTTGAGATTGCAACCCGTGCCATTGAGGATGAGGAGTACGGCTCCAAGGTCTCCTGGGGTCGAACTGTGACAAAGGACCGTGTGGTGCCCCACTACGAGGTAAGTCCATCAGCGACTGTCACAAAGCTTATGACCAGGGATACTGTGACACGATCCGAGCCGTTATCGACGCGCCGGACGAGTGGCTCGAGTTTGCCATTTTTGGCGGCCCACGTCTTCTGGGGTCGGTCACCTCCAATGGCCGTATTGTCCTCATTGGCGATGCTGCCCACCCCTTGTCTGGAGCATTTGGTTCTGGTGCTGCCTTTGCATTTGAGGACGCATACATCTTGAAGCATGCTCTCGAGTATGCTCAAGAGAAGGGCAAGTCCACAACATACGCACTGGACCTATTCGATTCGATTCGTAGTCCCCGCTACGAAGGACTTGTGAGTTGCTGCTAGCTGTCAAACATGGTACTGACGATTCAGTACGAGGTCCTCGACCGCGGTCTCGACAACGTCAAGGACGTCAAATCCCAAACTCTTCCGCCCGACGAACACGTTAGCGAGGTCATCAAGCGCAACTGGAAGGGTGGAGAGGAAGGGGGATGGATTTACGGATACAATGTGAGCAAGATGGTCTGTATTTGGAATATGCTGACCTGGTAGATCAAGGATGTCTGGGCAGAGCGCAAGGCCGTGGAGGACGCCAAATTGGCGAAGGTGCCACTGCCCACAGTCTCCCACGCGGAGCAAGTTGCGACTGTTACTGTGAGCGCATAGTTGTCTGTCTCTGGTGGATACCTTTGAATCTTATGTACGTATGCTGTTGCTGTGTATGATGGTTGTTTGGACAGGACGCAGTCTTCTCTCGACGTCCATGGCGGGTGTTGCAGTTGGCCGCTGGTCGCTGGCAGTGGGCGACCGGATGATGTCATAGCCAAAGGGGCCCCCCATTCACTGTCTTGGCAGGAATGAATCCGGAAGTGGCCGCGTCTCGTCGTTGCCGCGCGCGCGCTAGTACTGTCACGGCGGCTGCCGTCACGATTAATTGGCTTCAAGTGTCATTCACAGGTCACGCATCTCGTTGTTGCTGTTTCTCTTCATCCCATCCACCCCAGTCAAAGTTCAATCATCCAGTCTCACCGACATGTTCCACACGAGCAGCAATACGCTCGCGCCCGTCAACCCTCCGGTCGCTGTGTACCCTCACATGGTCCGCAATGTACCCGTGACTCTCACGCTCCGGGAGAAGGCTTGGTCGCTCAGTGGTGTGAGTGCCTTGCATCAAGAGACGCTCCCCACAGAAGCTGGACTGACATCCTCAGGACGACTTTTCGATCAAGGATGCGTCCAACAACCAGAGCGTGCTCAAGGTCAAGGGCAAGACCATGTCGATCCACGACCGCAAGTGTGAGTATCCGTTCTCGTCGCGTTGCTGATGTCCGAGACATGTACGACGCGCAGGGAAAGATGCTCTACAACATGGCGGACAAGATGATTGCCATCCACAAGACCATTGTCTGTGAGGGCGAGCACGGCAAGGAGATTCTCACCGTCAAGAATAAGTGGAGCAGTGAGTGCAGTGTGCAAGGGCGCTGAAATGGCGCTGACGTAGATTCTCAGCGGGTTCCAAGCTCAAGGGAGCCTTCCTCGACCACGAGGACAAGGAGCGCACCATCGAGCTCCGCGGTGACATGTTCGGCACCTCGGCCAACATTACTTTGTCAGATGGCACCAACCTCGCCCATATCTCGCGCAAGGTTATCACTGTTGCGGACATGGCTGCCGACAAGCAGACTGTAAGTACCTATCTGCTGCTCTACATCCCCTGGTATCATGACCGAGACCCAAACAATCGAGATGCCGAGGCGATGCAATGACGTGCTGCTGGACCCCGGCTGACATCAATCGCAGTACCACGTCACAGTCGCGCCGGGCGTTGACCCGAGCCTCATCGCTGCCGTCTGCGTCTGCTTCGACGAGATCGAGAACGAAGAGGACAAGTAGACCGAGGCTACTCTTTGGTCAGTTTCGTTAGTAGTATTAACGGGCGTATACATGCATGCCACGATTCTTTTATGCGTTGATGCTATCGTCGTCGGCACCGTCGGTTATCTGGTTACATGACTGAGATGCCAAGCACGGAAGCTGTGCCCCACCCGGCAGCAACATTACCCAGCACCACCTTGCTTTGACCTTCTCTTTGCCATCGCCGCCATGTCGAGCAACGCAGTCCCGCTATTGGGTCACCAAACACTCTCCAACCAGTCAAACCCTCCATTCCAATCCACCCCGACCTTGTGCTTACCTGTACCGGCCCGCAACCTCAAGCTCACCCAGCTTCCTCCCCCTTAGTGGTGTAAGTGCAGGTCGATCGCAGGACATGATCCGGCGCCATCCGTAGCTGTGCCAGGCCCATCCGCAGCGTTCATCCTCAGGGATACACTCGTCCCCACACCTCCACCCCCACACGCTGCTGACGTCCACTCGCAGTCCGACTACAGTTCCACGGACTCGTCGGGAGTCGAGATTCTCCAGTATGCTGGGGCCGCAGCAAAGCGTAAAGCGTGGCCCTAAGGAGAACGAGCCGGCGCCAGAGCCTTACGCGCTAGAACTCCTGAACTGACAGGCTTAGCCATTACGGAGACCAAGACGGGCCGAACGCTTTGCCACATCACAACAAGACGTCCCTCAGGTCCGAGCTGTTCACAGCCACCAACGCCGCGGGAGGGACGGTACTGACCGTCAAGAGCAGGACTGGGAGTGGGTTCCTGCAAGCCAGTTTGTAGCGAGGACCAGCGGGTACTAACACTTGTGCTCACTGCAAGCCACATTCTTCATCACTGCTACCAGCTCGGAAGTGAAGGTCAACCTGACTAATTCACATCATGATATGCATTGCACACAGGGACAATAACGGCGGTTGTCTGAAGCCTGTCTGAGGTCTCTTTTTGATTTAGCCTTCAGAAGGCTGTGGTATCTGGAACGTCAGCGACAGAGCCATGTTTGAGGGGAGAGGGGGGAGGGGAGTCGTGACGCGCATGGTTTGACGACCATTGCGTGATGGGGAGGGAAGGGAGTAGTGGAGGTGATTACAGGGCATGGCATGCAGATCACCAAGCAGACGATGGATCGAGTTGTGTTGAGCGAGGGGAAGACTCACGATTCTGATATCCTGGTTTTGGTGACGTGGGTTTTATCTGTCAGAGTCAGCGACACATAGTCCAGTGAAACTCACAATGCAGGTATGCGGGAGTTTAGGCCATTTCGTTGGAGAAGACGTGAAAGTATTCGGCAATGAAACATGCGACAAACGGTGTCACCTTGGTAGGGTAGACCTTGACCTCCTCGGCGGTGGCAGTGGGCTTGTCCGCAGGGAAGTCGGGCTCCTTCGTGGACTCGGCATCAATGAGCTTGGAAAGACGATCAAATGTGTCAAAGTACGCTTCGCCCTCGCGAGTCGGAACATGGTGAACGGTGGCGGTCTTGGGGAGCATATGGACGTTGAGAATGGTCGATTCGACTTCAGTCTGGCTCATGATCTTGGTAATCTTGGCCTCGGGGATGAAACGTTCAAGAGTGAAAGACGGCGTGCTGCCGAGGAGATACTTCATGACTCCGTTGCGAATGGGAGACTTGACCATGTTGGGCTGTGCCCGCCAGCCACATGTGCACTCGGTGGAAAGGAGGTTCTTGGGATCCCAGTTGTACTGTTGTTTGAACCACGCGATGAACGGATCAGTGCGCCCAGGGTGCAACGACTTGTGGACACGCGGATCGGCACCGCAGTCGAGGAGCGCCTTGACGAGTGGTTCGTCTCTGGTGTACTTGCCAGCTAGCTTACGGACAGTGGCGGTCATGGCTTGTGGGTTGGGAGGGAAGGTGTGGTAGAGGGTGTGGACAAAGTCCACGGGGAGTGTCTTTTGGGCGATCATGAGGTATGGGCTGGGATCACACGGGCCGTTGGTGATTGTATAGAAGCGGTTGCCTGGCTTCTTATGGAGAATTGAGAGCGCATGGCGGATGGTGTGGACGTTCCGGGCAAAGTGCAGGTCGAGAATGAAGACAGTGCGGTCCGGCTTTGACTCGCACAGCTTGTCCGTGATAAACTTGGTGACGAGGTGCGCCACCCATGCACCCGTTTCAGCGACAGGTAGGTTGTCAGGGCGGAAGGCTTCAAAGATGGTCTTGGACGTGGCAGGAAGGGACTTGGTTGGGGATGCAAAGTGAATCTGGTAGAGTATCTAGTCCTGTCAGCGAGGAAGGTGGGGTCGACGCACATGACGAGGAAGCTGCTCCAACGGCGAGGTGCCAGGGACTCGGGGTGGTGTGTCGTCCACATCCATCCCCTCGTCGTCGGAAAGGATGCGTCGGATGGCCTTGGTCTTGCCCTTGGTCTTGGTCTTGTTCTTTTTGGGCATGTTGAATGAGGGAATGGAATGGATATGGATGGATGTAAAGTGTGAAGATGAAGAGGGTGCATAGTTGACGTGTGTACGCGTGTGTTTGTTTGTCGCGCTCGAGCAAGGGAAGGAGAATGTGCCACCGCTGAAACCGACGATCGTCGGTCCAGTCAACCTCCGTCAACGGCAAGGCCGCCTGATCCAGCAAGGATCCGCTCAGCAATGCGCGTCGAGGTCGCAAAGCCTCCCAGTTTCAACTGGAACACAGAATCATCCCTCGTCCATCCATAACCGTTTGCATTGGCCTTGTGATAGAAGGGGCGTGCTGGGAGTGCTGGGAGTGCTGGGAGTGCTGTACGTGCTGGGCGTGCTGACCGTGCTGGGCATGCTGACCGTGCTGGGTGCGGGGGGTGTTGCAGGGGATTACGCGTGACTGGGGCGGCAATGGCCATCGGGGCGGGGGATTTGTTACGCGACTTCAAGACTTCCTTCTGGCTGCTGGGGGAGACATTGGTTCGCCTCCTCGCTCGGGTGGACAGCTTGACGGTGGACGGGGTTTGGGCGTTTGGGCTCTCTACTCCTTTGCAGTCACCAAGAGTTTGCAGCCGCTTGAGAACGCGGCGCTGCATCGCTTTCAGACGGTGACCACGGACTGCTGGACCACCGGTCGCCTGCAGGAAGCGACCATGCAGCTTGCGAGCCTTGGTGTTTACCGCCGACTGGAATGCCTTGCGACGTTCCCGAAGCGTCATGCGTGTACAAGGTGGTTTCGGAAGGTGAGCCATTGGCGAGTAGTGGATGATTGGAGCTGTATAGAGGGGTAGAAGAGAGGCAGACACTTTATCGTCTTGCGTGAGAGAAAACCAGACTGTTCCACATTCCCACATCCCCCATCACTGACCACAAGTTGTGTGAAAGTGCGACTGATGGGGCGCGGGTGTCCTTAAAAGAAGCCAGGGCTTGTAACACATTGTACATAGCTTTCAAAATGTCTACTGAGCTCATGTGGCACGTTCCCAGCACTGGAGGTACTCTGTCTCAAGCAAAAACTCTTCCACACCAAGTGTGGCACGTCTCTCGTCCAGTGTTTGGAAACCGATGGCCATAAATGTGTTCTTGGGTTTTGATGGCGACCGCGACCTGATTGCGTTGCGGATATGAACCAAAGCCTCCTCGTACGTTGTACCAGTGTGCAGCCCCATCAGGTGTACAGGGATACCCTCGATACCGACCAGTGTCAACTGCTGCCTACTGCGAGGGTAGATAGTGCGTGACCGCCGAATGGACTCAATAGCTGGGGCGAGAATGCCGAGATACCCGTCGGGCTGTCGGAGGGTCGACGAGTGCTTGCGCAGAGCCTTCTCTGGAGTGAAGACGTACACAAAGTGACAGCCTTCTGGACTATGGGTTACACGCTCGTGCACGCCAGCAGTGACTCCCACGTCGAGGTCGTAAGGGATGTTGCAAGACCCACGTCTTAGCCATGTGTTGGGCCAAAAAGCCATTGATCCTGTTCCCCCACGTCCAACCCGTGTCCGTCCGTCTGGCAAAGTCCACAAGCTTGGTTCCGCGTGTCACCAAGTCTCCTCCGCCATACCTCCTCGCCACGGGAGTCGACAAGACAGCCCGCAGGAGGCGCTGTTGCTCGGTCTTCGCCTTCCTGCCGTCGTTGGTGTAACAGAAATCGGAGGACACGATGTGGCTGTACGCGGCCACTCGCCGTCGCCAGACCGTCTTCTCCAGCTCAGTGACTGATGGGTCGAGAAACTGCATCCCAGGCAATCGGCCGCGAGTTGATACCAGCTCCAAAGTACCAGTACTCGGTGACCGCTGGACGACAATGTGGCGGAACATGAGCTCATCGACCTTTCTCTGCCAAAAATGAGACGTCTTGCGGAATGCCAGGAGAACGTCATGCGAGGCATGCGAGAGGATCGTGTGGACAATGGCCGGATAGGCGGTGTGATCTATAGTCGGCGGCGTAACGCCTCCAGCCACCTCAGGTGCACGTCGTGGGGGGCAGAGGAAGTCGCTTATCGTAAACGGTCGCGTGCGTCCAAGGAGTGAGAGGTGAGGTGGCAGGACAAGCATGGTTCTGTAAGGCATGGTGAAAGCGAATGAACAGTGAAGAGAGAAGAGCGAGTGTGCAAGAGTGGAGTGCGAGTGATGGCTTTGATGGCGACTCGTGGACAATGCACACAGAGTCAGTCAACGGGGTCCGTGTGCAAAGTAAGGAAGCTCTCCCAAATCCGCCGAGTTTCACGCCCAGAATTGGGTACCAACCTTGATCAAACGTCATCCCGAGAGGTCTCCGAGGAGCATGCAACGAGCTGGATGAACGAACCTAGTGCACGTCTGGATCAATATAGTCCAACACCTCGGAAGCGCATCTCGTCTCAAGAGCAAACTCGTCCTCTCCGATCTCTGCGGCGTACTCCCTTCGGGTGACAACTCGGAGCTGGTGTCCAGACGCGATTGGTGTTCCTCTGACTTCGGCGAGGCGCCGTAGCTCAATCACTGCCGCAGCGACAAAGGCTTCCTCCGTCCCATCCCGTAATGGAAGATGCACGAGCTCACGATTGACATTCTCGAGGCCGACAATGGTGACGCGAGGGGTGCCGTCGAGGAGGTTGGCTGCGATGCTGGCAAACGGGCGGAGGAAACCCAGCCGAGGAATCTCGTCAAAGCGATGCAACGGCGGGGCAAGCGGCCGGCGCGTCTCCGTAAATATCATGACTACCTCCTCAGTGGGCCGGTATTCAGCGACAGAGACGCGGACGTCGCAGAGGCGTGGGAGCTCCAGATGATAGTGCACGCTGATGACACCCTTTTGTGTACCAGTCGGTAACGCGGCTACAGCCACGGGCGGCAACGCGCGCCACCCTCGCCGAGGGGTTATGAGCACGAGGTCCACAATGGCGGGTGCTGGGACCGTGTCGACGTGATAAGTGTCGCTGAGGCGTCGCACCACGCGAACGTTGGTCAACGCCGCCGTGACTTTGTTGGCATTGTGTACAACTCGGGCCTTAGTGGTGTCGTTACCCGTGTGGTCTGCGTCACCTGTATCGGTCGCCACCTTGGCATGAAACGGCCCGACTTGGGGGCAGCGGAATGTGCCGCTCGGCAAAGTATGCGAGCTATCTAGTGAACCGCGTGCTATCTGTGAAGCCGCTGGTCGCGGCCCGCAGGCGCTGGCGCCCCCGCCACCGCCATTGTACTGAGCACTGAGCTCGCTGTCGCGTCCGGTCAGCAATCAAGTTGGACAACCGGTTGCGCAACGTTACACACCAAGTTTCAGGTAAACCATTGTGCTGGACGCTCCTGCCTGCCCCTTGCTGCCGAAGAGGCAGGGTGGGATGTCGCTTGTAGAACTTGGGGCGATACTCGACGACCCTGGTGTGTCTACGCAAGGCTCGCAATGGGTCCAACGGATGGACTTCCTGATCCCCGTGCCGATCAGCTCCCTGGCCATACTGTCCATTCTCGGGAACAAGCGTCCCTAAAAGTGGAAGAGGACCCTCGGGAGATACGATGGTGTACGTGTCTGAGGCCTGGGTGATTTCCGTCAAGAGAATGATATCGCGAAAGAGCCGTGCGTCTACCATCTCCTGGCAGTGGCTTGAGACGCGGCGCAGCGCCAGGAGACATGCGCGGTCCCCATAATCAATTACCGACTCCAAGAAATGTGGGAACCGGTCATAGTCGAGAGTGACCAGCTCCTTGCTGGAGGAAGACATGGTTGTGAACAGGAGACAGACGAAGAGAGAATGCTAGAAAGCGAAAATGAGCGAGCGCTGGTCTGGTATTTCTCAGCGTCACTGACGTAATTGGAGTTGAACTATGTGGGTCCCCACTATTTGCCACTCAGTTGTTTGTTTTGTGAGTCTCTCGAGCTTCATTGACACAGCAGTGGCGCAGTGAGACTGAGGCAAGGGGGTATAGCATTAAAGCACTACAACTAGAAGTATACACAGAGCACTGAAAGCTCAACTAAGTGACAACGGGGGAATCTATTATGATGGGGGTGGTATGGCAGCAAGTGACGCGGTCACTGCTCAGTCTCCAGGGCATACTCGACAGGAGACATCTGCGCCTGATACTCGGCAAGGGTGAGGAAGGTAATGGTGTCCGGCACCCGCATGGCGACCTCTTGCGGAAAGAGGATCGAGCACTCTTCCTGCACCGCCGCCACCAGGTGTTGCTGCATCTCCTCATTCGTGGTGTTGGGTGGCAAACCGAGCAGGGCACGGTCAATCTCGTCCATGCCCACGAGTGTGTGCGTAACAGAGGGTACGCGGAACGCGAGTTCCTCAATCAGGTGATGGAGCATACCGAGCTTGGGGAGCTTGCAGCCGACACACGATGGTGTTGGTGCACAGCCTGTACGGTCGGGTCGGGGAATGTATTTGATGACAGCGTGGCTATTGTCGGGACAGTAGCCGAGTTGCAGGAAGCTGTGCATGGGCACACGGCGGGGGCTGTAGAAGACGTTGGTGACAGACGTCTTGGCGCCGGCAGGTACGTCAAACGTGAACGCGGACGGACATTGGCATGGGCTTCTTGAAATCGAAGAGTCTGCGTGGGCATGGGAACCTTGGTGCGGGGTAAGGAACGCGAAGTCGATAATCTTGGGAGCGGGAAGGACTGGGGCGGTGGGTTCGAACCTGCGAACCACCTGAAGGCCAGTCAAAGCCTCTGCCATTTCGGCGTCCACAGTGGCGAGGTCAACGCGAGAGTGATAGTCGAGAACACGGACAGTGGCGAGATGATTAATCATCGTCTCACGCTCAGCGAGAGTCGCGTCTTCGTCCTCCCAACAGAGGCCAGGGATACGCCTGCCATGGACGTCGCGCAGCTGTGGTCTTGTGGAGGTGGAAATTGAAGAGCGCACCGACTTGGGACTGGAGGGAACCTCGACAACCTTGAGCTCGGCAACGGCAAGCTTGGGGAGCGAGGAGGAACTGGAGGGCGAGTCCAGCTCGACCACATTGATCTTGACGCAGTACTCGCCGCACGCGCCGTACTCGTCCACCTCTGGGAGTTCAGGGAGCGAGCCTCGCCGGGAGGTCGTGTAAACTGCCAGGTGGTCGTAATAGAGGCTGTCGATGCGCTCACGGAACGCTCGAGAGGTGGCACGGAGCTGGTGAAGGTCCGCGGGGTCGGAGACCTCGATGATGTGGTCGAGGATGTGGGGGAAAACAGTATGGTCTATACAACTGGACCGGCCGGGCGTCGTGTCGAGCATGTCGCGAGTGGTGTTGGTGTTGGGGGTGGTGGTGTGAAGTGGTGTGAGAGTGTGTGTAATGCGCAAGTGAGAGAGGACAGTAGCCATATGAGGACAGGCGAGTGGCGCGTCGCGCAATTCATTAAGCGTACGTCCATGCATCACAGCAGCAACATCACGCGCCGCCGACCCCGACTGCGCCTGTGGAAGCATGGACCACCGAACGCCACAAGGGGGTGGCTAAAGTGGCGGGGGGTAGCAATGGGGTGTCAACACGTTCTCGGCACGTGTGGCACTGGCCCACACCCTTCCGAGACGTGGCCAGAGTGAGGGATTTGGCGCCTCGGCCGCACATATCCGTCATGGTGGGTTGCGTTTCGAAGCACCGGTGATGGCCCCGGTGGCCGGTGGGTTCGAATGCACAGCCGCAGCCGGCGGTGACGGGTGAGCATATCAGCAGTCGGATAAGTATGGGTAGCGACCGACGCATCCCCCGTCCTCACCGGAGACGACGAGCAGCCTCCTATACACGCACCGCTGAACACACTCGCAAATGCGTGTTCTACTCATGCACTCCGCTCCAACTCAAGTGGCGTCGTTGGCGCAAGCATTTATGACTCGTGGTCCGCTCGGGGGCGGCTGAGGCCGCAGAAGCTGCTGACACCAGTCGTGGAGCGAGAGAATTGCGCCTCCCTTTCGGCCCGATTGAGGCGGACACTCCTCAGTTTATAATGAAGCAACTGGTCTTGCTCCGTGTGCGCGTCGTATTTGACGAGCGACGTCACGTGAAATATAGAGGACGACGTCACGAAGGGATCGGGTGGTTGGTTTCTTTCTGCAGACCTCGGGGTATCCATGGTCTCCATTCAGCCTCATCTCAGCTACACCGGGCTGCTTTGGCGATCGTGTAGTACCCCCGTGTACCTTGATAGACGATGCCGGCTAACCATGTGCAGTCTAGATCAGCAAAGCGTAGTGCGCATCAGGGCCAATTGAGGGTCACCCCCATCGGCCGGCTCTTGAAGAAGACAGAGTGTGCTGTAGGGTGGACGGACGCGTTTTGGACGGGTTTCCCTTGGTCACCGGCTTCGTTTACTGGTCGTCGCATAGTTCTCCAAGGACTGACCATAGAGAACTGACCCCCCAGTATAAGCATGCGGTATTTTGGCAGATTATGCAGCCTATCGGCAGCTCGGGAGCATGCGGAGTGTGCTGGATAGAAGGTCACGGCGAATGGAATCCCCGCGAGCCTCAGCCACCTCAGCCACTTGGCGGCAGGGAATAAGGAGTTTCTGGGCACAGTAAGCACAAGGCCAAGGATCAAACCAAAATCGGTCATGGCCGCGGCTCACAGGATCACAGGGCTGATACGCCTCACTATCTCGAGCCCTGGGACGAGGGGGGGCGGTGGTTGCCGGTCTGTCGGTTTGTAGACATTTGTATACGGCAGGTCCGCCGGTAATTAATTAGCCCAAGCCTTTGCAGTAAGAAAGGACAGGCACTGCGCGATCGACCGCGCTCGTGACGTCTTGTCATCGCAGCCCCATCCCGCTAGTCGGTCTGGCTGACGACCAGTACCTCTTGGCTGACACCGAACGCCAAAGGTGATGTTATTGACCGCACTGTAGTACTCTAACGCGTGGCCTCATTTGCCGAGGAGGTCTGAGAGTCGCCGTTTCGAGCGCCAGTGGCGGTTCCGATCAAACTGCAAACTGGAGTTCAGCCTCATAAGCGTGCAGCTTTGGCCGCGGCGGCGAGTCCGAGCGCCGTGCATTTTCGTCTTGCAAACTGAGAAACTGAGATCAGATAGCCGTATACCGACAGATAAGGGGAACTCAAAGGGGCGGGTGCAGAGGCGTGACGCGTTGTGGCGAGGAGACGTTTGACGCTAGTGACACCACCCATGGCAAACCATCTTCATTGGTATTACCTGACACACAGCCGCCGCTTGTCTACCCTTGTAGCTTGTCGCTTGTGGTGACGGTTAGTCCGGGCCTTGCACGGGTGTGGGGGTCAATGAAGACCGCTGTATGAGAACGCGGCGGGCTTAGCAGGCGGTGAAGTCAAGCAAGCGAGCGGGACACGGAATGGGCCACGGGGTAGTCCGCTCATCAGGAGGAAATGAGGTTATTGATACATTGGGAAGCATGTGAATAGCTCACCCCAGAGTCTGAAGCTCGAACTGCTGATTGCCAACGTGACTTTGGTACTCTTCCAGCGACATGAGCTGGAAAGCGTCCATGGCACGGAGGAGCTCTGATTCGGTCTTGTCGCGACTGACCTCATTCAGCACAGCTTGTGCGACCGCGGTCCGGAACTGCTCTGGTGAGGTCTCCTCGGGAAGCCCAAACCACACGGGGTTAAACTTGTCGTCCAGGACGAGCGTATACTGGATGTTCGGGAGTGTCGAAGCAATGCGCTCGATGACACTTTGCAACATTCCGTACTGTGGTGGTGGAGGCGGAGCGTCGTGCGATCGTTTGTACCCGCCATACGAGTGCTCGGTGACGAGGATGACCATCTCACGCAAGGTCTCCGCAGCGGCCGGCTGTACCACGAGTTGTATGATGGCAGAAGCCAGTCCAGTGTCGCGTGTCTGATACCGTGCGTTGACAATCCAGCGGCGTACACCCTCCTGTGCCAGCTCCGCCTCGCACTCAGGCGGCTGCCGCCAGCGCATCTGACCTGCCCAGATCTCCGCCCGGCAGTGCATGTTGACAAACTCGATGTACGTCGGGAACGAGATCGGGTATGTTTGTCTCGTATGGCCACTCCAGTGTCGCACTGTCTGAACATTGCAGAGCCCATCCATGGTCTCTTGATCTGGGAGGCTTGCAAAGTGCGGTTCGAGGTTGTAATCGAGGATCCGGGTGAGCCCCAGGGCCCTCCGTCGAGCTATCGAAGCGGCCTTGGGGTCCTCTCCTGGACCAGGAGAGCGTAGCGCAGGTACTCGCTGGTCGCCGGGAGTCGAGAGCATCGTGCTGTCGTCTATAAGCCACAGGGAGAGGTGTCTGGAAATCCGTGCGTCGACGCGATCCCGGTTGGTGCGACACGTCGCCCGAAACGCGAAGAGGACATCTCGGGAAGCGTAGTCGAGAATGCAGTCAAAGATGCCTGGGAACATGTCATGCTGGAGAAGGGCGGGCTGGCCCGACATTATTGTCTAAGGTCACTGTCTGGCTATCGAGCGGTGATGGTTTAAAGAGGTTGGGTGGCGAGACGAACAAGCAGTCGTCATCGGAGCGGTCCGTTGTGACTGATGGCGGATGGACGGGGTAATCCGCGGAATATCTGTCGGAGGTTTGTGTGGCTCTGTGCTGTGGCCGTCCCACCCATGTGAAAAGCTCAGTCAGGCTTTCATACCGCTACAGACGTAACTGTGACCATAACACGAGAGTATGCGGATAATGGTGCAATACAAGGAGGAAGGGGGGGCGCCAGGGGGATAAGGTATCTCGAAATCATGCTCTCAGTCTAGCAGTCACTGGACAGTCTCGACGGTATCCAAGAGGAAGGTTTCGTAGCCGACCTCCGCGCAGTACGCCTCGGCAGACATAAAGGAAAGGCTCTCCACAGCACTTTCTTGATAGTTTATGCCCCAGCCTAGAAGGTTTCCACTGCGGAGCACAAGCTGCGTAAACTTCAAGGCGATCGCTTGGGGGTCCAGGGCGGGTTGCCAGAACGCATCCCGCGAGAGCTCGAACAGGCCGACGACTTTGATTTTGAGACCTCGGCGAAAGTAGAGCGCCACAAGGTGACAAAGGATGTCAACAAAAAGACGGTTCACCAAGGTAGCGTTGAGAAAGTCGGAGAGTGCCTCGTAGTGCGCGTCAAGTGGGAATGGTAACCGTCGGTAATCGATCGCAGACTCTGGGTGGAGGAAGAATACGACCTCGTTGACGCTGGGTGGCATGTGGCTTTGCGGGACCAAAGTCTCAATGCACTGTATGCGGCGAGTGCAGGACAGGTTGACGACAAGTTTCTCACAGCCGTGTATGAACCGTGGTAGGTTGATCATGGAGCACACGGGCCAAAAGTTGGGCGTCGAGGTGAAGCACACCACGACCCGGGGAGCGACAATGGCGTCAAAGAGGTCGGAATGGAAGTTGTGTATCCTGAGGACGTCCAGATTGCTCATGGAAGTGAGACGACGTTGGATACGATCGAGGTTGTTCGGAAGTGGATAATGGGGTAGCCCCTCCAGATCGATGATGTGGACCATGGCTCTTGACTGTGGCTTGTGTTTCCAGAAGATATCAGGAATGTTGCCCAGGACCGACTCAGTTCCCCGGGCAGTGTTCATGAAGAGGTGATGCATGATTCGAGCCTCAGCAAGGTTCTTGGTATGACCGGAGGCTTGCCGGAACTTGAGAAGAGTGCTGTAGTCGGCATAGGTTACAATGAGGTCGAGGAGGTGAGGGAAGGCCGTATGGTCAAGTCGCACCGGCTGTTGTGTGTCCGACGTGCGGTGGGAGAACGCCGGAGGGGTTAGGGGCGGCATGGGAGGTGTCACGGGTGGCTCGAGGAGGATAGTGTGTTTGTCCATTGGACACAAGATTGTCAAGATGGGTTGAATGTAACACCAAGAAGTGTGGTTGTATGTGAATGACAGGAGAGAAGTCGAGGGAAGGCAACGGCAGGACGTGGATCCGCGCAGTACTCGCCCACCACACCGACAATCCCCACGAAATTTGGGCACAATAACACAGACTCACAAGCACATATATAAAGATGCACAGACACTGGAACGGGGTGTTCATCATCGAGACAGGAACTTAGGAAGCGACATTCACAACTACTTGCAGCCGTTGGATGCCACACAAACAACATTACGTCATCGTCCGTGGAGGTCATCGGTCTTCATCGGCGATCTGCGATGCGCAACAGCCGGTCGGTTGAAGACCATGGCGCGCGACACTTTGTCATCTCACTGCTCACCATGTCCGACACCGATCAAGCCAAGAAAGTTGCTGTTCTCACCGTGTTCACCTCGGAGACAGCCAAAGGCAATGCCGCTGCCGTAGTGATTACGCCTGAGCGTCTGAGCTTTGCCGAGAGGACAAAGTTGGGAGTGTGAGTGCCTCCCCCACTTTACCGTGCGGGTGGACGGTTCGCCAGGACTTTACACTTACAGCACAGCGAGCTGGCTGATCCCGCTACAGCCACTGCATTCATCTCCCACCCTACCCTCCTCCAACAGCTCGATGGCGCCGACTTCACTTCACCCCGCCCGACGATCTCATGGACGCGCTACAATGGCCAGTCCCTTCCCCTCTGTGGGCATGGAACCGCTGCTGGTGTCCAGTACCTTCTCCAGAATGTCCTCAAGACCACTTCCAACGTAACCTTTGACTACTACTTTGGTGACACGGCCGAGACGGAGACGGTGCGGGGAACCATTTTGACACTTACAGAAGGCGTCAAGTTTGGCGTCGACCTGCCGGCTGCCCACCCTGGACGCGACCTGACGCCCGAGGAGCAGACCGAGGTCGAGTCTGTGTTCTGCTCGGCCACTGGGTTGTCTCCAAAGGACATTGTCGCAACGGTGGCTTCCATCTCTGTGAGCTACGATCTGCACCATGAAAGCTGACGAACAGGGATACAATGGTCCTGGGCTTACTACCAACGTGACGATCCAGATTAAGCCGTCGGTGGATCTTGGCGCACTCAAGCTTGACTATGACAAGCTGGTGAGTCCTGAGTACACCTGACTATGCTGATCTCAGTCTACCCTACGCTTCCGTGGCATCTTCGTCACCTCAGAGTGGCCGGAACACCGCGCTGACTCGGCATTCCGCTCCCGCATCTTCTTCCCCAAGACGGGCCTGTTGGAGGACAACGCATGCGGGTCCGCGCACACCTTCCTCGTACCTTGGTGGATATCAACATACCCCGCCAAGTTTGAGAGTTACGCTGAGAAGACTGAGGATGGAGGCCCGCGCTACCGTGTTCCAGCGGACCAGCCGAGTCCCCTTGGGGCGAAGATGGAGATTGTGTGGGACGGTAAATGGCGCGATGAAGGCGGTCGGTGCATCCTCATGGGCGAAGGGATTGGTGAGTCGTGAGGTCAAGGAATCCGCTAACATTTCAGTGCTGAAGGAGTTCTGAGATAGTTCGCTCGAACGTCAGCGAGGCTGTCATCACGTGTTGTATGCAATAACAATGGCGGAAGGTCAAGGAGTGAGAGTGCACCATCGACTAGGGTTCTATTGTCGAGGGAGAAAGGGATGCTTGGTCGTATGTCCTGCAACTCACAAGCGAGGTACATATGGTGATAGGGCACATTCAGCGACTGAGATGGAGTACACAACACCGGAGGAGTCCTCCCTTTCGGCCGACCATGGAAGGGGTCCCCACCTCATGGGGTGCTCCTACTTTGGGTGACATCATACCATCGTCGAGTAGCTTTGTTGACCTCGCGAAGCATGTTGAGCACCGCGCGCCCTGAGGGCCTGTAACCAGTCAGGAAAGCTGACGACGCACTCCCCACTGTCAAGGCCAAACTCCATTGATCGTGACTGAGCATCAGGGTGATTAGGAGAGTGGTGTGTTGGACCGGCCTCTTCCCAAGCCGACGATGACTTCGCAGAGAGGATACCCCCCGGCCTATTGTCGGTGAATAATTGGAAGCTTGTACGAACTGCGAGTGCAAAGGACACAAGACACACGTTCAAGATGAGTCCGGCCCGGACGGTACCACCGGCGCCGTCGACGGACCGTCGAGCGACAAACTCAAAAGGTCAGATGCGCGTCATGTGCCCGAGGAGGAGGCTTTGTACAAGTCAGCACAGAACACCTACCTCCAGGACATACCATGACCGTTGATCACTGGGGCTCCCCGGGGGCCTGACGGCCCGGCGGACCGCAGAAGAGAAAGAAACACGAAACGCCTCGCACGTTGAATCTCCCGCCAGCCCAAATCGACTAATGGTCGGTCCGGAGCGGGCCGTGAGCGGTGACATGGACGCACGACGCGATCGTGTTGGAGTCTGGTGCATGGTGTGGACTGACTCTTTCCCAAGACGGGCCGTATATCCATCTCCTCAGGACCAGAATAGCCCTCTGGCGTTCAGAGGAACGTCCCCTGCGGAACTTGGCTTTCTAACATGGGGCCATGGGGCCACACCGGGGCAACGTTCACGGAGCGGGGGTGGCATAAAACCGCGCCAAGATGAAGAACGGCCCACACCCACCTTGCCAACCCACAATGCTTTCTTCCGCTCTCATTGCTCTCCTCCCAGTCCTCGCTGGAGTTGTCCAAGGCGTGGCCGTCGAGCGCAACGGCCGTTGGGACAGTGATAGCTGGGTATGTGCCTCCAGGTGACATGATGCTGACAGCCTACAGGGCGTCCAATCTCAAGGCCATGGCCATGGGTTCTCCAACAGGTGGCAGAACCCTGCACTCGTCACCTGCCAGGCCCTCACGGCCAACATTCTCGATGGCTGCCCTGAGGGTACTCTGCTCGTCGACGGCTCGGGCAACTGGACGACGTCCACCAACTCTACAAAGACTCACGGTTCAAAGGCCAGCACCGCGACGTTCACCACCATCCAGGCAGCCATTGACTCGATCCCTTACGCCTCGTCCAAGACGTACACCATTCTGATCACTCCTGGCGAGTACAACGAGCAGGTCAACATTACTCAGAATGCGGCCATTACCATGCTTGGTGTGACCAGCAACGTCACGGACCCCACTGCCAACACTGTTACCGTCTACCGCGAGCTTGCCAACTACAATGTCAGGTACACGGACAATGTCTGGACCGCCAACCTCATCGTGGCACCGACATACAACTCCTCTGCCACTGGCGCTGGTCCTTCCGGTACACCAGTTGCAGCCGATACTCCCTGGGGAAACAAGGACCTGCGCGTGTACAACGTCGACTTTGTCAACAACTACTCGCAATACTCGTCTGGACCTTCGCTTGCGCTCTCAACTGCGTACTCGTATTCGTCCTTCTACCGCTGTGGTTTCTACTCGGAGCAAGACACCATCTTCATTGGCAAGCGCGGCTCGGCCTACATGCACGAGTGCATCATTGCCGGCCAGACCGACTTCCTGTACGGCTTTGGCACCCTCTGGGTCCAGGACAGTGAGATCCAGATGCGCGCATGTGGTGGTGGCATCATTGCGTGGAAGGGCAGCAACTTGACCGACAGTTTCGAGCCTGGCACCTACGACAGCAACCACTTTGGCTGTTACATTGACAATGCCAACTTTGTGGCTGCCAACCAGACCGTCTACGACGACTGGCAGGGCAAGTGCTACCTCGGCCGTAACTGGAACGAGGGCCACCGCTCTGTCATCTCCAACAGCTACATGGACCACACCGTTGCCGGCCAGGGTTACGAGAAGTGGACCGCCAGCATCCCGCTCCCCACCCCGGTCTTCTTTGGCGAGTACAACTCGACTGGTGACGGCTTCAACCTCACTGCGCGCGTTGCTGCCAACATCACGCACGAGATGACCGCCGCCGAGGTGGCAAAGTACAGCTTTGCCAACGTGTTTGGCAGCAAGAAACCTTCCTGGATCGACTCGCACTGCCTCTAGGGGAGTTACGGATGATGCTAATAACTGAAGACAGGGGGGATTAGGGGAGAGCTAGAAAGAAGATCAGTTGGGTTCATGTGCCATAATGAACTTCAGATGCAGTACTGCAGTTCAGTGGGGAAACGCTAGTTGCATGGTCGTCCCATTGTCGAGGCTCTCCATCCCAAATCACTTGCGGTGCGGCCGGAAACACGTTCACCAGCCACTGCTCCAGACATACCGTCACGAACGCTGAGGGTTCCACTCCAGCCTAAACTGCTTGTCGCCAACTTTTGCACAGTACTCGTCGACAGTGAAGAACCGAACCCCACGCGGCCACCTTCTTTCAATCTTGGCGTGGGAGTGGCCGGTCATGACTTTGAACGCGTGCCTGATCCCGTTTCGAAGCTGCCCCAGTCCGTCGTCCTCGACACCGTCCACATCGTCAACGACCTTGAGTGCAGGCTTGGGGGCGATGCCTGTACGGTGCCAGAGCTCGGTGCCGACTAATGCAACCTTGAACGCAATGTGTGTGGCGAGGACGCAGCCGACCTCGTAACCCAAGGAAAAGAGCAAGGTGCGAGCTCGATACTGTGGAAGGTGACCCGTCGAGTCTGGAACGGACGCCGAGGGAATGATGAAGATGACAAACTTGACCATGGGGCCCTTCAAGTGCCGCGGCAGGTGGACATGGCCGTACGGAGTGCAGCGGTAGGGTACGATAAAGTTGACGACAACCTTTGAGAGCTTGGGGAGGTAATGCGCCTCGTCCCCAATGCTGATTGGAATGTCGGCCCAAACGCCCCCAGCGCTCTCGACCAGTGGACGATGGTAGACGATCGTCCGCAGGTTGCGGTACAGGACGTGCCGCTCGCCTTGCCTGAACACGCGCAGGGTGCGAGCGCGGTCGAAATCAGTGTACGCGACGCCAGCGCAGTCGTCGACGACGCGCACCATGTGTGCCTGCCGCTCGATCCATGGCCGGCCCTTGTCCCACGAAATGCTCCCCATGTCGGGTCCAATGTGCAGCTCGCGACCAAAGCGGACGACGTGGGTGAACAGCCTCGCATCCACGACTGCCTTCAAGTCCTTGGAGACGCTGCGGAGCAGCAGCAGGGCAGGAAGGTCGCATGCCGCTACTATACCTTCCAAGATCTCCGGATTCCAATCGAGGTCGAGCGTGGTTTCGGCCTGTGGTGGGGGTGTCGAGGGGAAGAATTGTGCCAGCCACGACAGCATCGTGCTACCGTGCTGGGGAGGCGGCTTGGTTCGCTGGCTTCAGTTTTACTCGTCGGGGGCGAAGGGCAAAAGCATGGCGCTCGTCATTGCCAGGCATGGAGCAATGTTATAGTGGTTGAGTGAGGAATGCACACACAATGAAGGCTGTGCCCGCCTGTGGTTCGTTGACTGCCAAGAGACGGCGCACGGCACCACCACAATTTAGCAATTTCGGTCGGTTTCTCCGATCTCACAGCCTGTCCGCGAAGGAAGTGGGGCCAGGGGGGGCTTGGCTTCATGCATGTGACAGTTGTTTATGTTTCAAGCCCGCTAGTCCAAAACCGCCATGGTTATGACTGTCAACCGAATCAGCACTCGAGGCACAACTCTGTCAGGGCGGCATCCAACGCTGAAGACGCCGACTACCACTCCATCTCCAACGCAGCCTGTTTGTTCAAAACTTCCAGGCGATACTTGTTATAGCTCACAAACCGGACGGCGCGTTGGACGTGCACAGTCGGCCATCCCATGCCCTCCGCCACCTCAGCAATCAACCTTTCCAACAAACGTAGCTGTCGCAGAACTGTCGTTGTCCCTGTCGCCATGCCTGTTTGACCAGTTGGTCTCTGGCCTCTCGGGGCTACCATAGCCCTGGGCGGCCAAAAACAAAGGTTCCGTTTGGAAACGTCATGAGATTTCACTTTAGCTCGACCCTCATTCTCACTTTTGGTGTTCATCATCATCCCACTCCATCATTAAAGCTTCTAGAGACCTAGAGACCCAGTAGTATATGGTCCATCTGGAAGGTATCGCCTACGCACACAATCGTAGGCAGTTCAACCGACCATGAACAGCCTCCTTCCTGAGCATCCCGGGACTGCAGATCCTCCTGTATGTGTCACTTGGTGTGTTACGGCTAACCTCAAGGCTATTACTGCTATTACTGCACCTGCACACCCACCGCTACCGATGAAGATATGCAGTGGGCACGTGCCTACTTGACCCATTGAATAGATGGGTCAGGTAGGCCCGTGCCCACTGCATATCTTTATCGGTAGCTATGGGCGCAGATGCAGTAATAGCGTTGAGTATTGGTCCGCCACGACCGACAAAACGATCGTCACGCTGATTGTTGCGTTACTATAGCTCTTTATGTGCATCTTCCACACTGAAAAAGGTCACAGCGATGCATGTAATAGTAGTAGTCAGTGTCAGTCTGTAACCAAGGGGAGGGGCAAGGGCGCGGGTCATGGCCTGCAAGTAAAGTGTATGCAGCAAGAAAGTTGGGTCATGTCATGAATGGTTGTATCCATAAAAGTTTGCTCTCAGCTATGGACGGTCGTTTTCACTACTATACTAGAATGCGATCCTTGTGTTGTTCTTGTGTTTATGTTTGAATGGGGGAGAGGAAAATGCGAGAAAATGATTTGAAAAATGCGGGTATCGTGTAAAAAGGGCGACTTAGAGCACCTCGTAGCCCTCGGTCTCGCTCTCAGTGGCCGAGGCGGAACTGCGTGTCCACTCGTCCTCGTCGTCGGTCTCGCCGCGCTCACGGCGCTCCGAGACCTCGTGCCAGCGCTGGTCGCGGCGTGCCTCGAGCGACTCGAGCTCCTTCTCAATAGCGGCGACCGTGTCCTTGCGGCGGCGGCGGATGGCGCGGTCGCCGTTGGACTGGACGCCGTCGGCCTCGAGGATGAGCTGGAGGAGCGCGTTGGCCTGTGCGTGGTACGGCGTGTTGTAGCGGTTGAACAGGAGAGGCGGCTGGTTGTGGTCTGGGGTAGACGCGGCAAAGACGAGACGGGGCGGGAAGGTAAAGCTGGTGTTGAGGGCGGCAAACTTGGCGTCAATGGTGTCGAGCTGGGCCTCGGCGACCTTGCGGGCCTCGGCCTCCTCGGGAGTCTCGGGGGCGGCAGGCTCGGTGGCCGTGGCGGCCTTGCGCTGCTGGCGCTCCTTGCGGCCGGGACGGTGCTTCTTGGTCTTCTTGTGTGCGGCGGCCTGGTCGTTCATCGAGCCCTCGACAGCGGCGAGAATGTCACGGAGAGCCTGGGGCATGTTGGCGTAGTTGTCGAGCGTCGACGTGAAGGGCGCGCCCTCGACAAAGTCCTGCTGGGGCTGGGGCTCCTGGGCGCGCTGGAAGTCTTCGCGGACAACAGGCGGCTCACGGTGCGGGTGCGGGTGGACGGCGACGCGAGTGGGCAGAGCAGGGACGTGGCGGTCGGCCTCGGCCTGCTTCTGCTTGTTGGCCTCGTAGTCGGCTTGCTTCTTCGCGTCGCGGGCGTGGATGGCGGCAAAGTCCTCCTTGGCAATGTCGGAAGCAGTGTTGACGGCAGTGGCAAGCTTCTCAGCCTCGCCAAGCGCAGGGTTGCGGGCAGCGGCGTCGGCGGCCTCCTCACGGTCGAGGCGCTCGGCGATGCCTTCAGCCTTGGCGAGCTGCTCGGTGGTGGCGAGGTCCTGGGCGTTGGACTTGTCGTGCTCGTACTGGGCGTCCTCCTTCTGAATGTCCTTGGCAGTGTTGACAGCGGCAGCGAGCTTTTCAGTCTCGCCAAGTGCCGGGTTGCGGGCAGCGGCGGCAGCCTGCTCCTCGGCAGCGAGCCTGGCGGCGATGCCCTCGGCCTTGGCGAGCTGCTCGGCGGCGCGGACGTCCTTGGTCTTGTCGGCGGTGTAGTGGGCGTCCTCGGTGGAAATGGCCTTGGCAGTGCCGACGGCGGTCGCGAGGTTCTCAGCCTCGCCGAGGGCCGGGTTGCGTGCGGCGGCCTGGGCCTGCTCGTGCTTGGCAATGTTCTGCGCAATGCCCTCAGCCTTGGCGATACGCTCGGCCTCGCGAATGTCCTCGGTCTTGCGGGCGTACGAGGCAGACTGCTCGCCAGCGATGGTGCGCGCAGTCTTCTCGGCCGCGGCGAGCTTTTCGACCTGCGACAGGTCCTCGGTGGCCGACTCGTCGGGGACAAACTCGAGACCCCAGCGGCTGAGAATGTCGTTCAGGTTGTTGACGGCCGAGCCGACGACCTGCTGGCTACCAGAGGCGGCCTTTTCGTCCTGGGCGGCGGGGTCGACCTGGAGGCCGAGGAAGGCGTTGAGGAGTGAGTTGAGACCAGGAGGGAACGATGCGTCGTCTTCGGCAGTGGCAGCGGTGTCATCGTGCTCGGGAACAAAGGCCTTGGCGGCGGGGTTGAGGCCGGCGTGGGCGTGCTCGGCAGGTACCGTGAGGGCGGCAGCGGTAGCGGCGTTGGGTGCGGCAGCAATGTCACGCTGGGGAACCTTGGCAGGCTCCTGGGCCGGCGGGCACTGGCAGCGAGCGTCGAGCTCAGACTCTTGACCGCTGCCAATGTTGAAGCCGAAGAGCGAGCCGAGGAGCGAGTTGATGCCGGCGAGGTCGTCGTCGTCGTTGTCTTCGGCGGCAGCCTCGCGGGCGGCAGGAGCGGCAGCCAGGAGAGGTGCACCGGGGGCACGCACGCGCTGCTCAGCTTGAGCACGGGCGTGTGCCGCCGCGTGGACCTGGTGAGCCTTGGCCTGCGCGGTCTGCACCTGTTCGGCGCGGGCGCGGTACTCTGCCAGAGCACGCTCGTAGGCGTGAGCCGCGGCGACCTGGCGCTGGCGCTCGGCCTGGACAGCAGCTGCGATCTGGTCGCGGCGGCGCTGTTCGAGGGCATGAGCAAGCGCGGCCTCGCGGGCACGTTCGCGCTCGAGCGCCTCCTTTATTGCACGCTCACGGCGGGCACACGCGATGGCGCGGGCCTGCTGCTCGCGGGCGGCACGGAGGGCAATCTCGCGCTGCTGGGCGGCGGCGGCGCGCTGGCGGGACTCGATGGCCGCGGCGGCCTCGGCGGCCTCGCGGCGGCGCTGGACGGAGCGGAGGTACGCGAGAGCAGTACGTTCCTCGGCTTCGAGGTCGGAGACGGTGATGGGCGAGGCGGCGCGCTGCTGCTGTTGCTCAGCCGAGGCCTGCTGGGCCTGGGCGGGGCGGTAGTAGCCCTGCTGAACGGGAACGAAGGGGTGGCCGTAGAAGGACATGGCAGTGGTGGTGGGTGGGGGGGGAGAGGGGGTGGGGTAGGAGTGGGAGTGTGTTGGGGAGTGTTGGTGAGATAGGAGTAGTAGTCGTGAGAGCTGATGAAGGAAAAGTCAGTGACGGTGAGAACCCATGGGCTTTATACATCCAGCATGGCTCGACGAGGCCGACGGGCGGACGGGCCGCGTGTGTACGGCGGTGTCAGCATCAGCATCAGCAAGCATGTGACGTGCGTGTGCGTAGTATGGGCCGTTGAGTGACGAAGGCTGCCGGGAGAGAGCACGAGAACAATGGTGTGCGATGAGCTACGCTGGCTGACCGAGCGCGCGTACGTTGGAAGCCTCTGGCGTCATTGCGTCGATCCTTCCACCATACTCCGGAATCTTCCACCCTGGGACCACGTGGCTATCTCCCGGGGTTCCCCGGGATTCCATCTCCCTCCATCGCCCACCAGGCCACCAGGCCACCAGCGTCATCCGTCTCAGGAAAAAAGGACTATTATCTAATCACCGCAGGGCCATGCATGCTGACTGGAAAGATGGTTCTACACAATCTACACCGCGCCGAGCGGGTCGACGCCGACGGGCTGCGAGGCCGAGACCGACCGCGATGCCGAAGCCGAGCCCGAGCCCGTCCCATGCCCACCACGCCCACCACTGGGCGGCGTCGACACGCGCCAGGCAGACCGCCTGCGCTCGTGACCGTGACCACCGCCCACCGTGGTGATTGATCCGACACCAAGCCCCGCCAGCGGGTCCATGGCGCCACTACTTGCGGGTGCGCCCGGGCTGGCTGTGGTGGATGCCGATGCTGAAGAGATTACAGAACCGATAGGCGGCGAAGATATACTAGATGACATGGGCGGTGACATGCGTGATGCAGACGCAGACGCAGACGTGGACCGCAGCGGCGGCGGTGACAAGGCGGGCGACGAGCGCGCACTCGAGCTCGCTGCTGGGAGTGCGGGCGAGAGGAGACCTCCCGAGGAGGGCGGGTACGCTGTGCGAGGCGACTGGATGGGGACGGGGACTCGCGACAGTGCCGGCGCCGGGCGGTCGTTGCGCGCTGACAGGTACAGCGTCGGCTTGGAGCTGCTAGGTCCCCCGGTCCCAGTCCCAGGTGGTCGTGCAGTGACCGGAGGACTTGCCAAGGGCGACGGGCTCTTGGGCAATGATGCTGGTGCTGGTGCTGGTGCTGGTGCTGGCACAGGCGGTGGCGCCGCGGGGAATACCGGGGACCCCATTTGCGCGCGCAGTGGCGCCTTTGGCGTCTCGAGTAACACCGTTTCATTGTCTGGTTGCAGAAACGCGGCGCGGGTCGGGGTTTGTGGGAGGTTTGGCTTGACTGACGGCAGCGGTGACGTTTCATTCACGGGTGTCGGGCCTGCCGAGGAAGACGCGCGAGAACGCGAGCTGTCGAGGTCGTCGTTCCACGCCCAGTCCTTGACCATGTCGTCAATGTCGCGTCCTGGCGCCTCGAGGAGACTGTCCCTGATACGCTCCACGCCGCTCCACGCCTGGGCAATGGCCAGAGGCCCACTCTCGGGATCTCGGATCGTGTCCATCCACTCGCCCATCGCCTTGCCCATCGTGACCATGACGAGCTGCACCTCGGCCATTTGCCTCTCGGCGTCGAGAAGCGTCTTGGTCGAGGCACTGCTTTCGGCCGACGCAATGGGCAAGGGCGGAGGGCGCGGTGGGAGAGACGCAGTGGAGGAGGGGATCGTGGAGAAGGGCGAGTTGCCGCGGCTAGGAGGAGTGGGCGAAAAGCTCGGGAGGAACGAGTAGGCCGTGGCGGCGTCCGGGAGGTTGCTCTGATCATCGTCAGCTGGGGAACTAATGTTTTAGCTGAAAAACGTACTCGAAAGTCTGCAATGGCCTTGTCAAGACCAGCCTTTTGCGCGCGCTCAAACAGTCCAGCTGCAATGCCCGACACGCTTCCCTTCCCCTTGCCTCGCGCCGCCGAACCAGGTCTCGAGGTCGGGGGTGTGCCGCGGCCACCACGCCAGTTGGAGGTATCTATGTCGATACCGGTCGGCTTTTCTGGCGGGTTGGCCTTGATGCCTAGCAGTTCCTGATTCTGGAGGACAACCTCGACGCCAGCAGCGGGGGAGATGTCGTTTCGCAGGAAATTGGCTTGCGCAAGGATGAGTGCTGGGTTGAAGGGATACTCGTCCGAGGGGGCGGGATAGTGCAAGAGGTGGGTGAGGAGGGTCGGGTAGTCGCCCTCGATGACTGGGTGTGAGCTCCATACGGCAAAATCCGGCCAGCTCACGTTCATTGCGGATGAGAAGCAGCATGGCGACGCACACAAAGTCAAGGATGCCCAGTGACGGGTCCTCGGCGAACATGCCGTCCCATAGACGGAGGGCGAGGTGGAATGGAAGCTCGCGCGTGAGGATCAGGCGGATCCAGCGACTGAGTAATGTCAGTTGAGATACGACCAGAGACCTCCAACGAACATTGCCCAGATCTGGGCCTCGACGCCTTCTGTCTCGAGACGCTCCCAGAGCTGTGGGTCGATCCTGCGCAAGAGCTGGGTGTGGATGTGGTTACACCGTTCAATGATAGGTGCCTGGGGAGCGCCGATAATGGCCCGTGAGGCCTGGGACTGTAAGCACAAGGAGCTGGGCGGGGTCGCTTGACAGCATCCACCACTCACTGGACCTTCCTCGGCTCTCCACTCGTAGAACGCCTTGGCCGGGCGCATGAGTTGCTGGAAGAGCCCAAACGCGTCGTGCTCGACGTAGTTGCGGTCCAGGGTGGCCTGCATGGCTGCTGAGATTTGCGGCGAGACGACACGGCCAGACGTGGTACTTGACGGAACCGGCGTCGATATGTCGAGCGAGTCGCGGTCCGTGACCAACATGCATGCCGCGAGGAGCTCGTGCATTCCCTGCGAGTCAGCCAGAAGTCGCCTGTTTCTTTACTCTAACTGTGCACCGCTTACCTGCCTGTACCCGACATCCGGGTTGAGGACCGAGAACAAGAACAGCATGGTCGTCAAACTCCGGCGCACGCGCTCGATGCCAAAGTATGGGATATCGGGAAACGTCCTGTCCACGTCCTGCCGAATGGTCGCCCGCAGGTCGAGGTGGGCAAACCACGTCTTCCACGGACTGTCGCCGTCGAGCGAGAGCGGGTCCCAGCCTGCGCCTCCGTCGCTTGAGCCTGCTTTGGTCGAGGAAGGCGCGTACCCTTCGCCGCCAGAACAGTCTGCCGCCCACCTTCCGTCGGGCGCGACGAGGAAGCGCGCACGCAGCTCGTCGTATACCTTTCGTTCTGTCGAGAGCGCCGGAGGGAACAGGTCGAGACTTGTTGGCGGGGGCAAGAGGCCGAGGTAGAACTGCAACGAGAGAGAGGTGTTAGCCAGGGGTTTAGAACCGTCAGCCGAGCAGAACGTACACGCCAGTAAACGGATCGCAGGGTGATGCCGCCGTCATCGTCTGGAGCTCCCAGTCCAGCAGCAGCCACGGCCTTGAGGTTCTGGAGCGAGAGGAGCGGGTCGGTGAACAGGTCTGTCCACGCCGAGCTGGTATCGTTTCAGCTGCTTGTGATTGTTCGGAGGGCTCCCTTCAGCGTGAAACCTACGAGATCTCCGAGGGAGCCGGACGCGTGAAGAACGCGGCCTCCGAGTCCTTCATCGTGGCTGCGATACAGAAGGGTGAGCAAGAGACACCGCGTCAGGATATCGGCTTTGGTGTTGTTGGTTGTCGCTGTGTGCGATGACGATTGCTGCCGTCGTCCTCGCTTGGTGTGCATGGGTGTGACTGTCGGCGCGTCAGTGGCGCGTCGGGAAGAGGTCACGTGATCCGGGTTGACAGTGGTTAGTGTTCATTAGAAACTGTGCTCACACGACCGTCTTATCGGATTAAATGTCCGTTTCTAATAGAAGGGTTGCTCCGTCCAGACACGACTTCCTCGTCCTGTGTGGCACGCCGGCGGGCCGGCGGGCCGTGTTGACCACTGTGAGTGAAACTGACTCGCTCCCGAGTGTGCGAGAACTGTGGGAAAGAGGAGGACCGGAAACCACACCACAGTGGAGAGATATAAGGCCACAGCCATACCGACTGTTTTTGTTCTCTTGTCGCTGTCCGCCAAAACCAGCGGCCACTGCAAGGTCGCATACATTTGCAACAATGATGATGCAACCTTGCAGCGCCATGATTAGCCCCTTCGCCTTTGACCTAGTGAACCATCCGTTGCTGCTGCACGTCATGGCTCACTTGGGCAAAGACGAAGCGGCCAATTGTTGTTTTGGCCACCCCACTGACGTCTCATGTCAGGTTTAGTTGCCGATCGATTTTACCACCAGCCCATCTCGTGGTCTCTCACCACCACGTCTCCCCAACCTAACACCCTCATCCCATCTCAACGCGTCGTGCCCCCGCGACGTCCAGTTCTAGTAATTGCCTTGCTGGCGCTCGACACGTCGATCTGTGCCCTTTGCACGATAGTGGGATCGTCGTTGCTTGGGCTGCTGGCGTGTGACAAGCAGACGCCGGCGTGTTGTCTGTGCCCTCGAAAAGGCAGTGACAACACAGACCCCGTTTTATCTCACACGGATGTCGGTCAGGCCGTCTCCCAGTCTCGACAGTGTGTCTGCTTCGAGTCCTCTCGCGGCATGTGCCGCCGTCTGTACCTCCGTACCTCTGTGGATCCGTGGCGCCGCCCCCCGCTTGCTGCGCCTTTCACGTTCTCGCACTGACCACGCCATGTACGCACAAGGCCACAAGCCGCCAGCCGCCAGCCCTCAGCATGCCAAACTGACGTATGACGCATAAAGCTTGCAAGCTAGCAACGTCCAGTGCAACCCAAGTGCAAGCTAGAGCTAGCCCCCAGATCCCCAGAGCATTGATCTGCAAGATCCCAAACTGGAAACGCACATTTGGTCGTCGATGATCGATGATCGTCTGGTCCACAAGACCGTCTCCCGATATGGAAAGGCGCAACGCCTGTCCCGGCGCCCTCAGGCGACACACACACACACACATGCACGCCTCCACCCGCACTGCCTCGCGCGTCTGGAGGCTGCAGGAAGGGCTGAGAGGGTACTTGTGTGTGTCCTCCTTTGCGGGCTGCTCGCTGCTTCCTGGAGTGACAGCCACCGTCCTCGGCCTCCATGGGACACTGTCACACATGGCCCAAAGGACCCCCGGACATGGCCGCCAGCGTTGCAGCGAGAGATGGCGCGATGCGCGAGCGAGCGGCCGGGCCACCGAGCGTTGCGAGTCGCGCGAGTCGCTGTCCCGGGCACGCGAGGGAGCCGGGTGTTCCATTGTTGCGGTGGCTGCGCGGCGTCGTGGTGTGCGCTTTGGACAGGTTCGCAGCTCGCAGCAGTTCGTCATGGAGCGAGCGAGCGAGCGCGTTCACGAGCCCGAGCGCGCCGAGCGACGACGAAAGGCGGAACACGCCGCGAAACGTTTGGGCGCGCGCGAGAGTGACATGATGCTCGCTGGCAGTCGCCGGATCGCCATGACGGCGTGTTTTGACCTGTGCATCTTTGGACGAACAGCGACGGCGACGACAGCTGTACGAGGTTCCAGGCCTGTGCGCTGTTGTGCGCCAGTGGCTGCCGGAGCTTCGGGAGGCGCGCGGGGGCCACAGGCTCTACAGAACAGTCAAAGCGCCGGCCCTAACGCTCGTGCAATTCGTGCATGTGTGCTTCCCCTCTCCCTCCTTCCCCTGCTCGCCAACCAGCATCTGTCGGCGTCAATCATGGCATGTTGGCTTCTGGCCTGTCACTTTCGAATCACCACTACCGTTGCCCCCCGGTGTTCCCACCGACGGTCCGCGCTCGAGAGATCCAGAGAACCTTGCCTTGCCCCGAAGCCAAGCCAAGCCAAAAGCCCATGTCCGAGATCTCGCAGCAGTATGAGAGTGTGAACCATGTCTTTTCCATGTCTCTTGGCCCAGATTAGGTTTTTTGCCTCTGGGACAGGAAACGGGAACGGGGGGTTCCGGTGCTGCTGGATTTGAGGGCGGCGGCGTTGCAGGCGCTGCATGGCGTCTTGCCGCGGGTGGTGGACGGGTCCGAGCGGCGCAGAGGAGGGCGTGTGTGTGTGTGCGTCGCAGGGGGGGGGATCTCTCGGTGAGGGGAGGGGGGCAGGAGACAGACGCAGAGAAAGGTGGACATGCGATGGACGGAGTGTGGCGAGCAGATGACAGACGAGCGCTGGCAGGGGGGAGGAGGGGGAGGAGAAGGAAGGAAGGTGCGCGCTAGTGACGGGGGGCGCAATGAAAAAGGTCTGGATCACCGCCCACCGCAGGGCTAGCAGGGGGCGCGCGCGCGCGTGTTCAGTCGCGTCAAAGCGTCCAAGCCTTCCCTCCTGTCCTTACTGTCTCTCCCGCGTCATCGGACTGTTCTTCTGATCTTCTGGGTCATGGCTCTGTGCGCGGGCCCTCCCCTGTCGCCTCTCGTCCTCTCGATCAACAAGGATCGCTAGATGAACACTTCTGTATCGTGTCAGTGCTGCCAGCGGCCAGCGGGCCACTCCGCCTCGCCATGTTGTGAATTGGTCTGTCACGCCAGTGTCGACCGCGCCGTTGTACCGTTGTGCAAAAGCGACGCGTCGTGTGTCTCTTTTTCCATCGTATACACTTTTGCACCTCTCCCCTCCAACCATCCTTTGAGCTACACCTAAAAGGACCAAGCAGACGCCCACCTGGCCGCCTGGCTTCTGTACTTCGGTCTTGTCTTGCCATCCCCCCCTCACCTTCCTTTCAACCGCCGCCGCCCGCAGCGTCCTACTTCTATCCCCAGATTCACCACATCGCATCTCTCTTCCCCTCCTACCTGCCTCCCCCTCATCATAACCACACAACCCACACATCCACACAGGCACACATCCATCAACAAGGCCTCTCTTCTCTCCTCTCGTTACCCCATCATCCATCCGGCCTGACCAGAAACCCACACCAATCCTTTGACCCCCCCGGGACCACCCTTCATCACCCATCAGCCCCCATCAGCGACACACCCGGCGGCACTGGCAAACCAACCACCCTTCCGCAGCCACACTCTGCCTCTGCCTTCATCACCTAGTCACATACCGCGTCCACCGGCCATTTCCGGCTCACATACACTCCACTCATCCTGTGACCTGCTTGCTCGCCATCGCCTGCGATAGGGCATCACACTTGGGGTCAGGCTACTACTACTCCCACCCCTGCCTCTTCGCACCTGGGCTTGCCCGCTTCGCAGAGAGTGCTCCACGGTCAAGTGATTGCGTCTTGACAGCACAGCGGTGGGTTTTGCGAGTGCGCTTCGGACGGACGCGAGAGACTCCGTCAGCTGACTGACTGGAAGCCGACAGCAGGAAGCGACAACCCTCTCGCCCTGCATTCACCCAGACGTACGAGAGTGCACCCCGACAGCAACTGTCCCCTTGGGTCCTGTCCCCAGGTATAACTACTGGGACCCCGCTTGCTCTCTGGCCTTGTCTTTTCCACCACCGCTCTCCTTCTCACATACAAACCTTCCCCCCCTCTCTCACAACCATCCTCTTCGCCTCCATCACTCTCTTCTGTACCCTACCCCCTCTCATCACCACACCCTTTGGCCCTTGCCATCGCTACAGGCCGTAGTAGTAGTATACACTACCTCCATAGTCCCACCCTTTCCACACCACCCACCTTCGCCCCAGCCCAACGTCATCAAGACACATCAACATGGCCCGTACCAAGCGTGTTCGTGCCTCTTCGGAGGACTCTTACAACGGCGGCCCTACCACCCAGACGGCCACTCCGTCTCCGCCCAAGAAGGCCCGCACCACCGAGCCCGCGGCTGAAGGCACTGTTGTGCGCAAGAAGAAGGCCCGCAACGTCCGTTCGGGCAACTGTTCCAACTGCTGGTGTAACGAGGTGAGTTTGGCTTCAATGTTCGGGACATGTGGCGTGCCGCGCACGTCCACCGCCGCCACCACCGTTACCCAAATCCATCAAAAGACCCTTTGCTGACCGCTTGGCGCAGACGGAGACCGACCTGTGGCGCAACGATGTCGACGTACCCCTTGAACACAACGGCAAGGATGGCTTCATGGTGTGCAATGCTTGCGGGCTTTGGGTGAGTCACTCGAGCAAACAGCTTGTTCGGATGCTAACCATAGCAGCGCAAGGATCACGGCACCAAGCGCCCGACCCATCTGTGGAAGCATTACAAGAAGCGCATTCCTCCGCCCGAGCTTCTCGCAAAGGTCGCTCAGGCTTTCGGCTGGGACCCTTCCAACTGGGAGGCCTGCGTTGCCGCTCCTGCTCCCCCCGCTTCCACCAAGGCTACCAAGCTTACCACATCCCCCGCACCCACCACGCCCCTTCCCAACGACAATTCGGAAGTCATCACCCACTATGGTCTGATCACCCCGCCCAGCCGCAGCGACAGCGAGTCTCCCGCCTCTAGCAGCTTGTCCGAATATGACAGCCAGAGGGACCTGGAGGGCGCGGCCACCCTGATCGCCCTGCACCATCGCGAAGAGGTGAGCCTTGATGGACCGCGTCCCCATGCTCATCATCAAGCTGACATCACCTCCCAGTTCACTCCTCCTCCTTCGCCTCCTGCGCGCCACCGCCACCGCGAGCACATCCCGTGCACGCTCCTTGACCAGGCTCACAAGTCGCGCTACGAGCCCTACTGGGTCAGCCGCGACCGCCACGCCCCGCGCCACGACTATACTTCCAACAACATCTATCCCAACGCTGGCCGCATGTACCTCCCGGCTCCTCCTCCCCGCCACCGCACGGTGCCTCTCCCGTCCATCACCGAGAGCTACCCTGCGTCCCACTACGGTGTTGTCCGCCCGCACGTCGGCAACCTCCTCAACTCGCCCCGCATGGATGCCTATGCCCTCTCCATCCCCGACTCGGTGCCCAGCCTCACCCGCGAGTCGTTCTGCTCCGAGACCAGCCTCGGCACGCCTGTCGCCGAGTCGCGTGCTCTCCCTTCCCCCGTCGTCGCTACGGGCGAGCAGGACGGCTACCCCTGGGGCCGTGACAACACCTACGAGAACCGCAACTATGACTTTGTCAAGTCACGGCAGTAGGCACACGCTCGCAATTAAAGGTCTCCCCCAAGTCATCACCACTACCTCCCCCCGCATACCATCCTCACAAGTTGTCCATTAGCATGTCCGGCCCCGTTCTTCATTTCATCTATACCAAAAACGCCAAAAAAGGGCCAGAAGAAACACCCACCCCCGCCGGCCTCCTTGTCTCATTCTTGTCATAACTTTTTACCATATAGGGTTGTACCAGCGCATGTCGTTCATATGTGTGTAGAGAAACAGCCTCGGGACAGAGAAGAGAGAGAGAAAGAGAGGGAAGAAGAAACACGAAAGAAGAAAGGTTTCAAATGGAACTCTTAGAAGAAAGAAAGAAGAAAACATGAATTGTGTCCCAATACAGTGGTGCGTTGCAGTGTTTGTTTGCCTTGGTGCCGGGTCGAATTGACTTGTGGGTGGGACTTGGATGAGCACCTGTCGGTGTGTTGATTCGACGGGGGGTCAGTGATCAGTGATTGTTTACACAGTGATTGATGGGCCGTGGCCGGGTCCATGCCGCAGAGATCAGTCGTTCAGAGGCCATACGACGTACATCTCTGCGGTAGCCATGTGCTGCGCAATCCACTTACACTGACCCGGCGCAAACATTGTACTGGGTGGGCCCCACCAGCCCCCCATCCTCTGATGGGCCGATGCTTCTTTCCACATTGCACGACGTGTGCTGCGCACGTCCCCGTCTCTGTCCCCGTCCCCGTCCTCGCACGGTACATGTACACGTACACTGTGTCCATCTGTCTGTTCCCCGCCAGTGGCCAGCGGATGTTCATTCGTCCGCTGGTCATTTTTCAGATAAATTCGGAATAAATGCGCATAAATACAACGAAATGGGGGCCGTGTGGCGAGACATGCCGTGATCGTCTACTCGTCATGCTCGTCAACTGGATCACTGGATATTACTGGATCATTCGCTCGGCACGCCCAACGAGGGTGTGTGTGCTGTGTGGTGCCTACATCTGACCCTCTGAGTGATGAGTGATGAAGGGACCCCAGATCCATTATCCACAATCTCAATCTCCAAACCACCATCAGGCGTATCGCACCGCGCCAGCGCCAACGCCAAGGCCACGCCACACACGGGGTACATGCGTCTGGTGTGTGATGACAGACCTCCCGTACATTACTGGTCCACTGGAGGCCATTTCGGGCCCTGCCAAGGGCATCCATGCACTGGGTCCACAGGACAGGGCGTTTGATGTGCCGAGCCGAAAACGTTGGTGCGGACACTGGGCAAGGGCAAAGTCCGTCGCGGGGCTCTCGGCAACCCGGGCGTCTCTATTGGCCAGTAGCCAGTGGGCCCCAGTGGTGGATGGGCAAAGAACGGACAGGAACGATATCGGGGTGGACGGGCAGGGTACCATGTCTACACGAGTGCCCGTTTCAGGAGGTGCAAAGCCATAGGGCCACTTGGTGTGGACGCTCCATGGCTCGGTGTGGCATTGTGTGCGAGGTGGGACGCGGCCGGGTGCGTCAGGAGCTTGAGAAAGTCTTGTAGCCAGTGGCCAGTGGACGCAAGGGTACCACAAACTTTGACTCGAGCTCCAATCCCACTCCACCGTTACTTCTCAGTAATCATGCAGTGGTGGCTGCGCTCTTCACACATGCGTCCAGAACATGCCGCGGCCATTTGCAGGAGTCGCAGTGTCGCAGTGTCTGCTCGTGTTCTCAGGAGTGCCCGCTGCATACAGTGTCCGCTGCATGTCGCCGCGTGAGACAGAGCAGAGCAGAGCAGAGCGTACGGGGTTCCTAGATCTGTCCGCCGCCGTTCGTAGCCACAATGTATTGAACCACCCAAGAATCCCGCATCCACCCAAGCCGCGCACATTTCCACCGTCCTGGACACTGGTACACTGGACGTTCTCGCCCGAATTCCCGGACTCGACGCCCCGGGGCGGAGCGGAGTCCGAAACGCTGCTGCCTGTGTGACGGCGCGTCTCGGTGTGAGACGGCGCACACGGCCGTGAGACAGACGCGATCGGGCGCCGGACGGGGTGTAGGTGTAACATACAGTACACACCCTCGGCCATGCGCGGATCGCATCGCGAAACCCCCTTTTCGCAATGGATAAGCCTGGTTATTGCACAATCAAAGCGAGGCGCCCCGACCCGCCCCCCCGCCCCGGCTCGGCTCGGACGGCCGGGGGGATCAAGCATAAACCCCAGTAGTGTCTCACACGCGCGTGAGAAGATGGATCAGATCAGATCCACGTGCGATGCCTGCGTGCATACTGTATGTACCGTGGTTCCATCCCACCGGAATGCTGGCCTGCAACCCGCGTGCGTACCTGCGACAGAGGCGGCGCGCGGCGCGCCACATACCCGCACGTCCAGCGGGACGTGTCCGACGGCGTCGGGATGAAACCACCACCAGTACTCCTTCTACAGTACGCCGCCGCCGCCGTCGGCGAGCGGGCGGGCGGGTGGGCGGGCAGGCGAGCGGGCACTAACTGCAGTAACCACCTTCTCGACCCCGGTCACTGGCCACGAGCGAAGAATGATAATGAACACCACGTCCCCCACAAGAAGCGGGGAATCGCACAGTGGTGTACCGTGCCAATGCCGTTTCGCCGTGTCAAGGGTTTTGGCTCTGTGTGTGTGTGTGTGGTGGGAGGTTGTGTGAGGCGCTGTGTGTGTTTGGCGTTTATTGCTGCGTCGTTCCGGTCGGGGATACTCCGCGGAATCGCGGAGGATCACCCTCCGCCCACCGCATGTGTGGGGCTTTCTCATGCCAGGCTTGTGTGGGTCGTGAGATGTAGGTTTGGGTTCAAGTTGGATGCCGGTTTCGGCATGAGTGTGTGCACTGTCTCTCTCTGTGGACGTGTGTGGTGTATGCGGTGTGGTGTCTTGGCGGGCGGGGAAAACCGGCCGGCCATTGGACGTCCACATAACTGGTAATCTGCAGGGCGTCGAGCTCTGTAGGAAGGTTTCCAACAGGAAAACACAGTGTGCAGAGGGATCCGAGAAGCATCACCCTGGCAGGTGAGGGGCGGCGACCGTTGACGGAGTTGGTCCTGGAGCATGGGAAAGTGCGTATCTGAGAGTGGGAACGGGTAAGTGGTTTCTGGTCAGCCTACGGCCAGATCTGCCCATATTCAGTGAACACCTGACAGTGTGCCAGGCGGTAAGCACCACGACCAGCAGATTGCCTTCCGCCATTATGTAGCACATGCGTGACCCAACACAGTCGTCAAATGGCATCTCGGTCATCTATCCGGACATGTCGCGCTTACGCCCACGCATCCGCACTGTAGCAATGTCAGTTCAGTGTCAGCGAACGTAAAAACTCACCCTCCTTGAGCTTGAGCTCGATGGGCGCCCACTTCTTCTCTCCCAGGCCCTTTGCGTACGCGTCAAGCACCTGGTTGTCAGCGTGAAGGAAGACTACACAAAAGCTGCGAGGTCAAACAACAAAACACTTACATTGGCATACAGGCCTTCGCTGGCGGGGTGGGTGCTGGCGAACGCGCGCTCGAGGACGTACAGATCCACGGCGTAGGTCTCGGCGATGGTGCCGTTGGCGGACAGGCCAAAGTCGATGAGGACCTAGGTGTCAGCAAGGCCGCCGATGAGGACATAGCTGAGCTCTACAGGTGAGAGAGAGTAGCAGCTATCGCATGGGTGCCGCAGCTGCGCGGCCCAACACACTACTCACAATTTCGTACGGGTGGGCAGCGTTCGGGGTGAGGCGGACCATCATGTTACTTGTGGTCAGGTCGCCGTGGATGACGCCCGCGACATGGAGGCGCGCGAGCTCGGTGCCAATGTGGGCCATGAGATCCTGCTGGCTCACGCCCAGGTTGGTGAGCGCCGCGAGGCCCTCGCTCTCCACCACGACCTCGTCCCCTGTTGCGGCGGCGGGACCGTCGTCGCCGACCTCGCGCTCGACCTCTTCGGCATGGTCAATCTCCACCTCGCCCTCGGCGCCGCCGCCCAGCACCTCGCGCACACTCCAGCCCTCCACGCGTTCAATGCCCAGGATGCCGGCCGGCTCGTCCACCAGCAGCACCTTGGGGACCGTCACGCCCGCGCGGCCGGCGCGCGCGAGTGCACGCGCCTCAAACTGCAGCCGGGTCTTGGTCAAGGATGCGTCCAGGGTCGGGTGGCGGTACGTCTTGGGAAAACGGTGCTTGAGGATCACGGGGGTGGGCGCCGGTGTGGACGAGGTGGACGACGACGCCGGCGTGGTGGGTGGCCAGTAGATGCTCGGGGTCGGGAGGAGGGAAGGGAGAGAGTAGACGCGAGCCTCTGCTCCTTGCTTGATGAGCTCGGACTGAGGGAGGAGCAAGAGAGACGGGGCGGTGTACTCGTAGGTCATGGTGGTGGGTTGTGTTGTGATTATCGTGACAGCAGTGGACCACAAGTTGGTCAAAACGTCAGCGAAAGTGAGTTGAAAGACGGAGTTCAATGTCCGTGAAAGGGGTGATAAGCAACGTTCATTAGGAAATTCCACGTCATGAAGGTTTGTTGACTCAATTGAGCAAATGAGCGTCAACAAACGACAGAAGAGAGCGAGAGCGCATGCTGGCCAACCTTCGATCCTTCTTCCCCAAGTGATCAGTTGCCAAGCAATACCCTTATACATGCCTTGCCCAGCGCGTGTACTCTCAAATCGGTACCTCTCTCTCACACACTCCCATTCTCTGGGCCTGGCTGGACTAGGCCTCGCTCGCGCCCGACACGGCCGACACTACGCTGAGAAACTGAGTCTCGACCGCGCCGCCATTCTCGAGCCAACCGCCACCATCTGCGCACCAATTCCACCAAGGAAGGGATCGCTGCGTCTGGCACCGCTCCTGATAAACTACTGTATTGGGACAGAGGGAAAATTCCAGACGTCGAATGGGAGTGGTCTTGATGGTGCAGCGTGGGCATGCCCCGATTCCTACCAATCTTCCCTCCCTGGGAAGTCCCAGCAGACCAGCAGCAAGGGCGACTGACGCGAACTACTCGCTGCGGGCGCGGTGCCGCCATATGCTGTTCTGTGATGCCGTCACGACGGAGACCACACGGCCGTAGTGGCCGTGCGGGAACACGCCTCGCCCGTCCGATGGGCCGGCGCTATCTCAAGTACCCGCGCGAACGCTACAAGGCCACCTATGCCACTCATGAGCGCTCCTGCGGCCAGCGTCCAGCAAAGGATTACTCGCTCCCTGTCCCTGTAGGCGTGTTGTTGCCACGCATTCATTGGGAACATTACACACTCCGGCACTCCTACAATCCACCGTTGTTCATATCCTGGACACGTCCCGTTCAACGTACCAACCGACGGGGTGCGGGCCCTGGACGCCGTCGTCTGCGTTTTGTTCTGGTTCGTCCAGTGTCGTTTCCTTCCCGGATCGGGACGCCGGCGCCTCTCAGCCTCCAGTCAAGCTCGGCCCAACCACGCTCCCCCAGTTCACAGACTGCAAGCTCTGCCGAGTAAGAACATATGAGGGTTTGTCACCCAGCCCCCGCCACAGCAATGCGGCCGTGAACGCCCATGACGTTTGGTTGCAGCTCGTTGGCTGCTGATATGCGCAAGGCACCCTGCATATGGCAGAAGCAGGGATTGCGGCGTGCGTAGTGGCCGCAGTGGGGGAGTCTGCGGTACGACGGGATGAGGTGATCCAGAGGGATGGTACCAGGGCGGGAAACCTTGAGAGTGGAGTCGTCAGCAGATATGGTGCAGGGAAAGCGCGATTGATTTTTCTTTCGCACTGTTGGCAGGGGGGTCGCTCCATGCCAAAAAACAACTAGTCATCTTTGGACTGCACTGTGAAACCTACTGCTGCGTCACTGTGGTGCTGTGACATGTGACACAGGTGGAGCACAGTGTCCGAGCGTCCACGCCGACTGTCGCCAGCGGCCAGTAGCGCGCGCAATGAATGGGACGGCGAGTCCGGGAGGATCGACAAGGTCGTGCGTTGGAGCATAATTGCACCGAGAAACGCGACGCGCACCGCACAGCACCCGCACACCGCCCGCCCGCCTGTCCCCCGCCCTGGACGCCACCCACCGCAGCGGCGCTATTATGAGCCCATGCCAGCCTTCGTGCACCTATTCATCTAAATCCTACATCAACAAGCTCCTACAACACACGCCAAGGCATGCAAGCATCATGGCAAGACCCCCCGCTCCTGCATGCTGACTTGGATGCCTGAGCGCCTGAGCCGTAGTCGCCGGTCGCCCCCAGTCTGCGATCCCGCGGCTATGCGACTCATACATAGAGACGCGGCCGGTCACGTTTCTCATCTTCCTTCCCCCCTCCCACTCCACCCCCCCATTTCATAGAGCCTGGTGCTCTCTCAGCCTTGACGGCCCCCCCACTAGACGTTTCGCAGACCTTGACGGTCTCAGCACGACACTCCGGCCTTGACGGTCGGTTCTAGATCCTTTCCACCTTCACTCTCCCCACCCCCCCGTCAACAAACATGGCGCCGGTCGCCCTTGCCGCTACTCTTCTGCTGGCGCTGTCCACCGCTGCCCCAGTGGCCGACGCAGCGCCGTCCCTCCCTTCATCCCCGCGCCTGGCCCGCTTCCTCCGCCGATTCTACTATGGCGACTCGGAGGGCCTCGCTCGCCCCGCTGCGCTGGTCGACCGCCGCTCCACACTCCCCGATGGCTGGACCTACGAGGGCTGCGTGACAGAGTCGAGCGGGCAACGCCTCTTGCAAGGCTTTGCCTTTTCCTCTTCGTCAAACTCCCCCACGCTCTGCCTGACGGAATGTGCCAAGCGCGGATACACCATCGCGGGCACAGAGTATGGCGATGAGTGCTACTGCGCGACGGACCTGGAGGGGTCCGGCGGCGTCACCGTGTCTGATTCCTACTGCTCGTCCAGCTGTGCTGGGTCCAGTGGCGAAAAGTGCGGTGCGGCGTGGTACCTCTCGCTCTACACTTACAACTCGACACTCGGTGGTGTGCTGTGTAGTGCTGGAGGGAGCAGCAGTACTGGTACTGCCTCGCCCAGCGCGACATCTACCACCACCGAGTCGACGTCGAGCACGTCGGTTCCCTCCTCAACGAGCCCGACAGCCACTAGCGAGCCGACTGTGTCGGCTTCGAGTGGTCTTCCCACTACCTCGAGTGACTTTCTGACGACCTCGAGTGGGCTTCTCACCACGTCCACTGTCGAGCCGACTTCTACTGAGCCCACTTCCACGGCGCCGACATCCACTGAGCGGACTTCCACCGCTTCCCCCTCGGCCACAGGGTCATCGTGGACGCTCATCGGCTGTGCGCTCGACTCTGGTTCGCGCCTCATGAACGCTGCTTCCGAGCAGAAAGTCACCAACATGACTCCAACCTTGTGCCAGTCGTTCTGTGGCGACAAGGGCTACCCGTACGCCGCCACGGAGAATGGCGAGGAGTGCTGGTGCTCCTCCACGCTGCCTGCGACTGTCGACTGGACGTCGGCAAGCTGCAACGACCCGTGTACCGGTGACAGCAGCGAGACGTGCGGTGGACAGTGGGCTCTCCAGGTGTATTCCAAGGGCTCGACTAGTGGTGCTACCACCGGTTCTGCCGCGAGCACCAGTGGCTCGAACACGGCAACAACCTCTGTCGAGTCACAGTCCACCGGTATCGCGGAGACTGCCATCAGCACGACGCTGGCGCCTACGAGCGCCGCGTCGTCGCAGTCCACCAGCGAGGGTGTCTCGAGCGGTTCCCCGTCGCTTTCCACTACTGATGGTGTCTCGAGCACCAGCGCGGGTATCTCGAGTACCAGTCAAGGTGTGACGAGCACCAGCGATGGTCTCACCACCACCTCGACAGTCATGCCTACGTCAACCTCTGTTAGTGAGCCCGCGACCACCACCTCAACCGTTGCGCCTAGCACAACTTCGGTGCCGGCCTCGTCGGCAAGCCACTACGTCTGGGCACACCACATGGTGGGCTACACGTACAGCTACTCGAGCTCGGACTGGACCGAGGACGTCACCAACGCCAAGGCTTATGGCATTGACGGCTTTGCGCTCAACATGGGCTCCGACTCGTGGCAGCCCGACCGCATTTCCACTGCTTACGCCGTTGCCGAGTCTGCTGGCAGCTTTAAAATGTTCCTTTCGTTTGACATGACGTCCATGTCGTGCTCTTCAGCCAGCGACGCCACCACGCTGGTGAACCTCGTCAAGGCCTACGCGTCCAGCTCGGCCCAGGCAACTGTCAATGGCGCAGTCCTCGTCTCGACCTTCTCGGGCGAGAGCTGTACCTTTGGCACCGGATCGCTCAACGGCTGGCAGACTGCCTTTATCGACGTCCTTTCAGCCGGCGGAATCACTGTCGAGTTTGTCCCAGCAGTCTTCTCCTCGACGTCGAGCTTTTCCTCGTACACGTGGATGGACGGCGAGTTCAACTGGAACTCGGCCTGGCCCATGGGCGACTATGACATTGGCACCGCCTCTACTGACGCGGCCTATGTCGCTGCGCTGGGCACTAAATCGTACATGCCCGCAGTCTCGCCCTTCTTCTTCACCCACTTTGGCGCCAACTCGTACAACAAGAACTGGCTGTACCGCTCCGACGACTGGCTCTACTGCACCCGCTGGGAGGAGATCATCGCCATGCGCGCCACCTCGACCATGACGGAGATTCTCACTTGGAACGACTTTGGCGAGAGCTCATACATCGGCCCCATTCACGGCAGCCTGCCTGGAGACTCGGCCCAGTGGGTCGACGGGTTCGCGCACACTGGCCTCGCTACTCTGACAAACTACTATGCCACGGCCTTCAAGACCGGCAGCTACCCGACCATGGCCACCGACTCGATCGTGCTGTGGTCGCGCCCCCACCCTGCCACCGCCACGGCCTCTGCCGACTCTGTCGGCCGCCCGACCAACTACGCCTGGACCGATGACTACCTCTACGCAGTCGTCCTCGCCACCGAGGCCGCGACCGTCACGCTGACCGCGGGAACCAACACCGAGACCGTGGCAGTGGCCAAGGGCCTCAACAAGATCAAGGTCGCCAGCTCCGCCGGCAGCATCTCGGCGACCATCGCCCGCTCGGGCTCGACCGTCGTCTCGTACTCGTCGGGCTCGGACTTTGTGTACACCACCACGCCCGTGACGTACAACTACAACTACTTTGTGGCCTCGGCGTCTGGTTAAGTGAGCAAACCCCTCTCGGAGGCTCGCAGTAGCTCTTGGTGTCTTTGTTCTTTGCGGAGCCTGATGGCAGCGAGCGTCGAAGGAGGGTGTTCGGAGATCCCGTTGAGATCGAGTTTATCGAAATCTTGTAGCCTAGTGGTCTGTAGCTATGTAGGATGCACGTCGTTGGTGGTAGCGCGAAATAGGACAGTGTTGCGGAGAGAGTGGACACGTGTGCATGTGGGGTTGTGGCCGTTGTGGGGCGGGCACTTGATCAGGTAGAGTTGGCGCCAAACGGGCAACAACAATGGGGGGGGCGAATGTGAGATCTGATGGACCGCCCAGGATCCGGGAAAAGGACGGATGATTTACCGGTGGATCTGTGCACGGGAACTTTGCCTTCCCCTCTCGGCGCCAAATGACCGCGTCGTCATAAGAAACATCACCCACAAGTCAATAACAATCCAAACCCTCCCTCTGTCCTCCCACACACTCTCTCATTCCCAGCACACCCACACATACCCCACCCGTACCAACCATGTCAGCGCAAACAGCACCAGCGCCCGTCAGCCACCAGCAGGAGCACCTCGAGAAGGAGGTATGTCGCAAGAGGCCCCGCAAGGGGTGGGTGGGGTGGGGGAGGCAGGCCATGGCAGGGACGTGGTACCAAGGCTGTACTAGGCTAGGTGCAAACCCACCCACTGGCCAGCGCCGCTGGCCCCACTGGCTGCCCCATACCCAGCTGCCCCGTTGTTGAGGACATGTAGCTGACACCCGTCCAGCTCGCCTTCTACGGCTCGTACCACTCGAACACTATGAACAAGATCATCCACTTTTGCTGCATCCCTCAGATCTGGTGGTGGGTGTTGCCTCGCTCCTTCCTCTCCGTCCTTCCCTTTTTTGTGACTGCTGTCCCTCTGGGGTTGGGCTTGACCTAGGCCTGGACCACGACACCGCGTACGCGGCTGGCGGCTACGTGTGTCGGCCGGCCAGCTTGTAGTGGCCAACGTTGCTAGCCCGTCGGTCGGCTCGCCGAGCCGCAGCCATGAAACCACGCGTGCGATGGCCAAGGACCGGCCGCCTGTCGTATTGGACTTTGGAGGCTCAACGCATGCCGTCCTTGTCCTTGACGTGGTGGGCGGCATACGCAACGCTTGCCCCCTCCCACCTCCGGTCTTTTGCTAAGCCGGGCGCAACGTGGGTCGGGTGGCGCGGTACGGGCCGTTTGGATGCCGACGTGCCGAGCAGAAACAGAAGAAGACCATCGGTCCTCTACCACGAGCTGTGGGAATCGTCCCCAGCGCGGCCATTTGTCCTGCGCGCACTGTTGAGCAGGGGTGGCGTGGCGGAAGCCCATGCAATGCAAGCAAGAGCGTGGCGAGGCCACCAGCGAACCCCAGTCAAGCCGTCATGACCCCTCGGCAGCTTCCACTACTGTCGACCGTCCTTCATTGACCGCCTGCGCCGCTCTTCCATGTCTCAATGACCTCTCGCTAACCCGCCTCCAGGTCCACCCTCATCATCTTTGGCCACGTCTTCATCCCCGAGTTTGTCAACCATGACCTCGCCCCGTACCTCTCGGCCCGTCTCTCGGTCGGCACCCTCTTCGCGATCGCGTTCCAGCTCTACTACCTGATCCTTGACCCCTTCATTGGCGTGAGTTCTTGGTCCTCGTAACTTCTGGCCGTCGCTGCAGGAGAGATTTCCTGTGCTTTTAAAGCCCAGTCGAGAATCACTGCCCGGGGTCCACGACTTGCCCCAGGTGGCGTTGAAGAGCCCCGCAATTGTTCGTTTGGGGTGTGGACCGCGCCACCATCCAATGTCCAGTCATGGATTTCAAGTGGTACATGGTACCACTGTGGCATCTGAGCTGGTTCCACCCTACCCCACGGCTTTTCAGATCACCCTGCTGACCCAACACCCAGGCCACCTACCTCCCGGTTATGCTCATCGAGTACTTCACGTCGGCATACTTTGTCGCCCACCCTCCCGCGTGGCTGCCGTGGCAGACTGCTTTCGGCCCCACCCCGTCGTCGCTTCCCTTTGCGTCGGCCATGTGGGTCAGCGCCTGGATCTTCCAGTTCATTGGCCACTTTGTCTTTGAGGGTCGTGCCCCGGCTCTCACTGAGAACCTCACGCAGGGTGAGTGAGATTTTGGGCAACCCTGTGCCATGGTATCCTGCTAGAAGGGGAGCTGTGCCGCTGCCTAGCGGACAAGGGCAGATCCAACGACATGTCTGTGAATTCCACCCACCATGCTTCCGAAGCCTTAGTGGACGTCACAAGCCTCGTTGCCACACAGGCTCTACCGGACTCCCCTCATTGCTTCTGTCAATACACACACACACACACACACACACACATACTGACAACTACAGCCCTTGTTACTGCGCCGTTCTTCGTTCACATCGAGACACTGTTTGGTGTCTTCAACTGTGAGTTTCAACCTGTGCAACGGCGGTGTTTCCTCTTGCTTTTCCACACATGCTCACACTCCACAGGGAACCCCACGCTCCACAAGCGTATCAACAACGCCATCTCTAAGCGCATTGTGGCGATGAACAAGGCCAACCGCGAGAAGGCAGCCAAGAAGGCCCAGTAAGGACGTCCCCCTCGCAGAGAGTGTACTCGCCTCGTCGATTGCGGATCCTGCCGGCCGAGGGCTGCCACACTGTCCCCATGTAGCAACTGCCCAGCGCGCGCGGGTCCTCGTGTTCAAGTATTTTAAGATCCAGGCCGCCGCAGTGTGTCAAGGTTCATGTCTGTGACTGTGCCTTGTGCAGGCCGCGGCAATGTCCTCGCCATTGGTGAATATCCGAAAAGATGATCTCGTTCCATTTGACAGAAAGGTTGTGATGATGATGCATTGGGGTAATCAGTCACAGCTGTAACCTGCAGTCCACGCTTACCCCCTACTATCTCGATACCCATGCAAGAATCTCAAACAACGCACCGCAAAACCGTCTCCCACAAATGGATTCCATCACACGCATAAAGTCCCTTGCGGTGCGCCCTTGTTCATAAACAGCCACGGGCGGTGCGTCATTGTCACTGTGTGTCAACAACACCCGTACACACACGGTCAAGTGGATGGATATGCGGTACTCCTTTCTCCGGGTAAGTAACTCGAACCGATAATCTCCCACAGCTGGTCAGCAGTACAAGAACCCTTGAGCTTTGCTGCCTTGCCACTCACCCACCATCCTTCTAAACCCATCACCATGGTCTTCAGCATCGCCCGCCATATCGCGACCCAGTACCCCCATCTTCTCTGGGGGCCGGCCGTTCCATGCTCTACAGTCGAAGACACCACTGTGGCACCCGACATATCCATCACCAACTCGGACACCGATATCGAGTCTCTTTCCTCGTGCGAGCCTTCAACCACCATGCCGCCGTTACGTCGTCGGCGCGACAAGCAGGTCTCGTTCCCCGCCGCCCCCCTCGATAAGGGGTCTCACTACTCTACCTCGGCCCGCTCGTCGCCCACGGCCGTGAGCTCGCTTGAGCTTGACCGTGACCTCGGTCAGAACCCTGCCAGCGAGACACCCCCGCCACTCGCTCATTTCGCCACCATCATCTGCAAGCATGCTCAGCACCACCCCCAGCCGCGTGCCACCTTGCTTGTCCTCCGCGCCATCTCCCGCTCGTTTCGAGACGCCGCGGACGCCGCCCTCGTCCACCACATCGTGATCGACGAGCAAGGTGTGCGTGCCCCGCATGGTTGGATCCCACGACGCGGCTGGGCCAACATCCCTCGCCTCGTCGCTGCCGTCCGCACAGTGCATGTATTGGGTGTACCCCTTCACCTCGTACCCAACAAACGCCCCAGCCGGCGCATGAGCATCGACTCGGACACTCCGCCACACCTCCCCGACCTGGTCGCTGGAGTTACACAAGATGCCGTGGTCGACCCGAGGCTCGGTGTGGATCTCGCCGCGCTCCTCGCCTCGCTGAAGCCAGCAACCGTGTTCGTTCGCGCTGGTACGGCACTCCCGCGACCTATTGTGGGCCGTACGCTCGTTGCGTGCCTCGCTGCTGGTACCTCACCGGGAGACGATACCACCCCGACCACTGCACGTCGCCCCAAGAGAACCATGGCGGGCACCAAGAAGAAGCCCAAGCCACAGCAGAAGGAACCCTCACGCGTCCCGGCTGTATGGTATGGCACGCAAACTGTCATCCTCGTGTTTCGGTCTGGACGCGGTGCTGTTCCCGTGGCGCCGTTCCACCTTCCCGCGAGCGTGCGCCACGTCGTCGTCGTGTTCGAGGACGGCAACACGACGCTGGCGTCAGGCCATACGAGATCGCCGCCACCCATGCCCGACGACGACATCGACATGCTCAAAGCGAAAGCGCGACTCTCGCCGATGGCCAAGGCCCTCTCCAGGCTCGACACGGCGCTCATGGCCGCCACGGCCGACATGTCGCTGTTCTTCCCCTTCCCGCTGCCCCCTCTCCCGCTTTCCGCATTCAAGCTCCGGCCCCGTTCGTCCCCTTTACTCAACGACACACTCGCCTCCCTCGCCCCCCTGGTGGCGACGCACATACACGCCAACCCCAAACTGCGGTATACCATCGTCAACGCCTGGTCTGCGCAGGAGATGGGCGCCGGAACGAGTTTCGGCTACGGCGAGTTTTTCGGCGCAGTGGTGAGGTTTGGATCCGAGGCAGGGTACTGGAAGATGGGGGAGGGCGTGTACCGCGTCACTCACACGGTGAGGGACATGGGTATGGACGAGTACGAGAGGATCAAGGGGGACGTCTGGGGGTGGTACCAGGGGAAGGCCGATACGAGCGGAGGTGGGCGAAAGAGCAAGGACACGGGGCCTCGGTGGTGACTACGCTCTAGGGAAATGGTCCTGTATGGTAGAATGACATCTGGAACTGGATATTGCTCGTAATGCAAAGTGTATGTGCATCTTATAACACCTTGAACGTTCTTAGCTAAGAGGAAGAAGCTGAAGGGCACCTCAGTAAAGCAAGCACCGGCCCCAGACCCAACCCGCGCACAGCACCACACATTACAAAACTCGGCTTTTAACGTCCCTTTCAAATCCGGGGCTAGAAATCCGGCTAATTGAACCCTATCTCCGGCTAATTGTATCACGCGAGCAGTTCCTGTGTGTCACGCCATGGAACGAGTTTCCAACTTTTCGGGCCACGTCCTACCAACAACAATAACAACACATCTCTCTCCAATCCAAACTTACTCTACACAATGAGCATTCTCGTTCTCGATGGCGGCATGGTAAGCTGACTCGGACGTACATAAGCTGACAAACAGGGCACCACGCTCGAGGCTCTCGGCATCGACGTGAGCACATCCCCTCTGTGGGGCTGTGAGCTCGTCCACACCGACCCCGACTTTATCAAGCGTGTGCACTCGGGCTACGCCACGGCTGGTGCCGACCTGATCTCGACCGCGACGTGCGTCTATTGAACACACATGGCTACTCTCCACGCTGACACGCCAACAGGTACCAGCTCTCCGTCCCCGCGCTCGTTGGCATCGGACACTCTGAAGACGCCGCTGCGTCCATCCTCCGCAAGGCCGTGGCTGTCGCTGGCGCGTCGGCCGGTGATGCCCAGCTGGTCGTCTCCCTTGGCCCCTTTGGAGCCCACCTCTTCCCAGGCCAGGAGTACACTGGCTTCTACCCGCCTCCTTACGGCCCTCAAGGCTACTCGGCCGACGGCCCCAGCACCAACTACACTGCGCCCGGCCCTGTTCTTGACGGCTACGAGGCCGCGCTGGCAGCGTACCACCTCGACCGTCTGCGTACGTACGCTAGCGACGAGGCCACTTGGAAGGCTGTGGGGTGGCTCGCATTCGAGACTGTGCCCGTGCTCTCAGAGGTCCGCGGTATCCGCCGTGCCGTCGCTCAGTTGTACACCGAGCTGAGCGCACGATGGGGCGAGGCTGAGTGGTGGCGTAAGCCTTTCTGGATCACCTCGGCGTTCCCGGATGGCAAGCACGGCCAGCTCGATGCCGCGGGTGAGCACGTGCCCGTGTCTGAGGTTATCGGCGCCATGCTCGGCCCCATCTCGGGCAACGCTGTGGTCCCGAACGGTGTCGGTATGAACTGCACCAACCCTTCGTTCCTTGCCGGTCTCGCGGCTCAGTTCACCGACGCGGCCGCGGCGCTCAAGCTGGAAACGGAGCCGCGCTTCGTGCTCTACCCGGACGGAGGCAGCGTGTACGACGTCGTGCACAGGTGCTGGTCGGACGCTGCTCGTGTTCCTCCAGCAGACTGGGCGGAGCAGACTGTCGCGGTCGCTCGCGGGGTGGTTACGGACAGTCCCGTCTGGGGTGGCGCCATCGTTGGCGGCTGCTGCAAGTCGAGCTTTGACGAGGTGTCAGCACTGAGGGCGGTGGTGGGTGAGCGCAAGTAGAGTTGAACAGTAGCATACGGTCCGCATGGGGCATACAGTTGCCGGCATGTCAGAAGCATTGCACCTTTTGGCTGACTGAACCGACCTCGTCTGGTTGAACTGAAATCTTCCCAGTGTTGGACTGTGCATGGGTCTTCTGACCCTTACAAAGCTATCCGCTGCACACCTCGGCACAGCTGGGCGGCAAGAGTACAGTTTGGATTCTGTGGAGGGCTTACGGGTCGCGGGTCTCCTACTGACCTCGTGGTCCACTTACCCCATCACTCATCTCAGGACCATTACAAAGGCAGTCACGCTCGCACTAACGCAAACCAACGGCTTGCAGACTCGAACTGGGTACACCAATGCGGTGCTTGGAATCGGCTCGGTCCAAGCAAGACGGTGTACGACTTCCTCGTCATCAAGTTGCGTCGACCGCATCATTCCAAACTTTAAATTCGGGCCACCACCAGAGTCGGCGTCCTTGACAACAGCGTATCCACAAACACCTGATGTTCCTGCCCAGATCCCAGCCAGACTTAGCGAGCGGTCAGCGGAGCTAAGCGTAGATGTGAAAGCTTAAACGTCGCGTTTTAGACTGTAACGAGCTGTTGACACAAGGCAAGCCGAGTATAGCCATCCGCGTGAGCACATGTTGCAGAGCGTCACTCATGGGTCCTGGGGCCGTCAGATGAGCGACATCTCCACAAACTCCTCGTCATCTCTTTTCGTCAATATGAGTTGATATCGCTCACAGCGCGTCATATCCAGCTGACAGCGTGTCTAGCGGTTGACGGAAGCTCCGTTTTGGTATTAATAGCGGTCCACGCTCCCTCACATGTGCTTCCCACCTCCATCCCTTCCTGTCCCAACCGACACTCAAATCGACCTCATCTCACCATGCCGTCCTCTTTAGAAGCCATGTTCCAGGTTCAGAACAAGTTGAGGAAGGACCTCGGACTCCACAAGGTCAAGGTAATCCACAACAAGAACTACAAGGCTTCAGGCGGCAAGTCGTATGTGTACCTTCTCAACCGCTTCGGCTTCAACCCCACCCAGCCTTGCGAATACTTCCATGAGCGTGTTCCGCACCAACGCGGTTTGGCCCACAGCCACTTTGCCATTGGTGGTCGCGTACACATGACTAGCAACCTCATGAAAAAGGTCGCAGGCGGTACAGGCACGAGCCAGGTGACTGCCGAGGACCAGCAGAACGACTCCGAGTACCTTTGCGAAGTCCAGATTGGCACGCCGGCCCAGACCCTTCTCCTCGACTTTGACACTGGATCGGCAGACCTTTGGGTGAGTTCAATTTACTGGGCATAGTGGACTGACATTGCAGGTTTTCTCTACCGAGCTCAGCAAGACATTGCAGACGAACCACACCGATTTCGCGCCCACCAAGTCGTCCACATGGAAGGCCATGCCTGGCTACACCTGGCAGATCACGTACGGTGACCAGAGCTCGGCCAGCGGTGATGTCGGTACCGATGTTGTCTCGCTCGGTGGCTTGGCTATCGAGAACCAGTGTGTCGAGATTGCCAAGACCCTCTCGGCACAGTTCGCCCAAGGTACCGGTGACGGTCTACTCGGTCTTGCGTGGCCCAGCATCAACACGGTCTCCGACAACGGCAAAGCGGCCCCGCAGCCCACTCCTGTCACCAACATGATCACCCAAAAGGACATTCCTGCCGGCGCCGAGCTTTTCACGTCTGCCTTTTACAGCACGCGCGACGCCAACGCCACGTCGTTCTACACTTTTGGCTACATCGATCAAGACCTTGTTACCGCCTCTGGTAAGCAGATTGCCTGGACCCCCATCGACAACTCGCAGGGGTTCTGGATGTTCCCGTCCACGTCGGTGGTCATCAACGGCAAGACGACCACCGTGGCCAACAACACCGCCATTGCCGACACTGGTACAACCCTTGCTCTTCTCTCGGACACTGTCGTCAAAGCACTGTACGCCCAAATTCCCGGTGCCACGTACAGCTCTACCCAGGCGGGCTACATCTTCCCCAACACCGTCACGGTCGACCAGCTCCCAACCTTTACCGTTGCGGTTGGCGACACCCAGTTCACAATCCAGAAGGAGGACCTCATCTTCGCCCCAGCCGACGCCAACAACGTGTACGGCGCCATCCAGTCGCGCGGTGACAATCCGTTTGACATTCTCGGCGACGCCTTCCTCAAGTCAATCTACGCCATCTGGGACCAGGGTAACACGCGTTTCGGCGCTGTTCCCAAGATCCAGGCGGTTCAGAACCTCACCTTCCCAGCCGGCTCGGCCTAGTGATGAAACGCGACCAGCCAAAGAGGAGAGACAAAGGAGACACGAAGCGCAAGTAAGAAGTCACGTTGAAGACTAGTGCCATGTATATGCCACGCGATACTGGTGCAGAATGTAATACATATGCTGCAGATGGTCATTAAAGCGCAGATTTGACGTTCTAGTATCACTTGGCTGGCTGCATGACAGCATAGTGGCGACAATGACCTGAGGTGTGCACTCAAAGGCGATGCCGATGGTCCGTGTTCATCCATCATTGTCCAGCTGTCCAAATCGGTTTGCATGCCCGACTCCCCTGCGATCTCACGTTTGACACAGTCGCGAACCCTGGCAGTCTTAATACTGATATACTGAGGTACTGATTGATTGATGGGAAATGGCCTCAGTTCGCGACACTCCCTCCTGGAACAATAGGGCCATCATCAGTGGTGATGGGAAGGTGGTGGCATATGCCTACCCCAGACCTCCAGAACGAACTAGTGTCCCACCCGTTCATTTGATCACCACTTGCACCTACCAATCTCATCACACGTACATTCCTTAGGTCGCAAGCTATCTCTATGGCAAAGCGCTCAGCGGAAGAGCCGCTTGAATCAGATCGCGTACCGCTCGCAGAGAGAACCTCGAACGTGAGTGAACTCTGTCACGCTTAGGCAACGATGTGACACTTGACTGACCACGACAGCAGACTGGGGCAAGTATGAACAACAGCAATGCTCCGTAGGTTGGCCAGGCGATCTGGGCTGACTGGGCAGAGCGGGAGTCTTTGGAGCGTTTCCTGTCGCTGGTTCGGCGTCGGCTTCAGCGTTTAGAGGGCATGCAGGAGGGTCTGCCTTCGCTCAGCAGGGTGTTACCACCCCATCCGTTGCATGCGCTAGTGCACCCACTGCAGCGTCAATCTTCAGCACGGCAGGTGTCCCTACCAACCTGTTCGGTCCCAACGGTGTCGCTGCGACCCTTGCTTCTGGCGAGAATGCCGTCAGCACTCCAGGCGGTCGCAGTTGGGGTACGGCCTCGACTGGGAGCGTTGGCTCAGCATTCAACACGCCCAGTGTTGTGGTGACCAACGCCTTGGGAGAGGTGGCTCCTATCTTGAATGGTACTTCCACTAGTTGGTCTTCACCATCTGGTTTTGCTAGCTTGTCCAGCTCCACCAGTTCCATCCAGTCCAGTCAGACCTCGTCGGGCTACTCCACCAGCGCCACAACACCACCATCTACTGCTCCCTCCACCCCTAAAACTGCGCAGCAGTACGAGCTCGAGCTCAAGCAACTACAGGACAGCTTGAACAGCACATTGGAGCTCGCGCGGAGCGCTGAAGCAGACTGGCTGAACCAGGTGAGAAGTCTCAGAGTTGCACCGTGCTGAGGGAATGGCCGCTGACCTTTGTCCAGAAGGCCCAGCTGATGAACGAGGTCACCCGCTTGAACGCTCTCGTTGCTCAGCCCACGGTACAGCCTCAACAGGCACTAGTGTCTCAACCACTGGCTCAGCAGATCTCATCATCGCAAGGCGAGCCTGTCCTCCTCCTCAGCCGGGAGTATCAACTCGTGTTCGACAGGGCGATCAGTCTCACAACGCTCACCTGTGAAGGAGGAGTGATGGCTACAGTCCAACGACTCCACAGCAAGAACCCCGACAGATCGGTGTCAGAGGTCCATAGGAAGCTGACTCTGCTGAAGACTGCAGTTGGCAACCTGGGAAACGCTTCTCTGTTTGTCAATCAGACAGCGGACGGGACTGTTGGTGGACAAGTCTACGACACGTCAGCAACTGGCTTTGGGACAGCCAGCGCATCAAACCCTTTTGCCAGCGCTGCTTCGTCGGGCGCCTTTGGAAACGCCAGCGGACCCAGCGCATTGAATACCACCAGCACATCCAACGTTTTCAACAACCCTAGCCCATTCGCTGCTCCCCAACAATCAGCATTCGGAGTGACAGCACCACCGGCGGCCACTGCTCCATCATTACTATCCAGGCTGGGCGGCTTCTCCAATGCCGAGCCACAGGCTGCAGCCCCCGCGACAAACCCTTTCGGTCAAGTTGGAGCCTTCCAGAACACTGTTGGAACGAGTGCCCCTCCCCAGGTCTCCCAGTTTGGCGGTTCCGCAGCGATGAGCTCCATGAGCCAGGGACAGCCAGCAGATGTGAACGAGTTGAGGCGCCAGGTTGACCAGGTGCGTCCTTTCCAGCTGTCAGGAACTTCAGCCATACTGAAATCTGCCACAGCTGCGCCTCCTCGTCGAGCTCATGATGCGCCCCATGGTCCCGTGCATCCAGTTTGCCCTAGCTGCTGGCTGGGCCGCTGCACCCAACGCGATCATGACCGACGAGTTTGCGTCTGATCCATTTGTGGCTGTTGGTCGGCCGGCGTTTGCAACCATGTACAGTGTGACCGCCCAAGCGATGTGGGCTGGCTTGAGTGAGTTGCAGAAAACGGGCACGTAGCTGACCATCAGTCGAGGATCCCACAGTGGTAAAGCAGTTTTGATAGAATAGGGTATTGTCATAGAGATGCCAAACCTGTATACATCTAAACAGTCTCAGTCAAGGGCTGGTGTGGCACAGGACAGGTGAGACGAAACTGACCTCGGCGAATAAAAACGGACCTCCGCCACATCCACAAACCTCTTCTTCCTTCATCCACATCACACCTCCCAGCCGTCCAAACCCTCCCAGGACCCCGCCAACCCCACCAGACATCAAAAGAGATGGTCCCCTTGTCCTAGACAAGGGTATTGGAGCCAGAGTGGATCGAACACCCGACCTAGCGATGATCCTGAACATGGACTTGTGGTCCACCCTCGGGAGTCCTGATGACTGTGAACTTCAGTCGCTCGCTCTCCCAGCTGAGCTATGTCTCCAGAGACCATGTGTGTGACGTTTGACGGGGTCGAACCGCCGACCTTGTGCGCAACGCTCTACAGAGAACCGGTGAAGGGACATCTGTACGAAGTGTTAAGCACACGCTCTAACCAACTGAGCTAAATCGCCTTGATGGTGGCCTGTTGCGCGGCAGTTTAAGGCTTGGAAGGAAGACCGTATGCAGGCTATGGCTTGATGATGAGTACAGGCTCGAACGTCTGGCTGGTTTGTCAGCCTTGTCGAGTTGACGGCGAAGGACTGATGAGAAATGGTCGTTATGGCTGGATTTTTTCCATGTATTTTGTGCGTACGCCACTCCACATCCTGGTTGAAATCAACCTCGCCAACCGTCAAATATGGCAGTGCTACACAATACATCTGTAACATGGAGCTCTACATGCCTCTATTATGCTGTATAGGTTCATGTATGTACGGGGTGAACACAAGTTGTGTGTTCACTCTTCCTCGTCTGGGATCACCTGCTCAACGCGAGGCAGGGTTGCAGCCTGGTATGTGACAAAGAATGCAATCACCATCTCGATGGCGTGGCGAAGGGCAAGGCCATCCGTGTCAAAGCGCTGTCCCACAGCTGGTGTCTGGTAAACGAGCTCGATGAGCATGATGCCTGCTTGACAGGCGGCGCCGAGTGCATAAGAACCAGCAAAGGTGCCGGAACGTGCGTTGACAATGGCTTGCAGTATCATGGCAGTGGACTCCGCTGCAGCGTAAACGGTGATCGCATAGTGCAGGGGGCGAGGGGTAGGATCGGCAGCAGGGTCGATGCTTGGCGATTTAAGCATGAGTTCGTACTTGCCGCATATGAGGAACACGCTAAAGGTCACGAGGAACACCTGCGAGTCAGAAACCAAGCCTCACGTGAATCACTCACCCCCAGAGCATACAGCCAAGATGGGTCAAGACGCCTTGTGGCACGCTCGCGATGGGTCCAGCGCCACCGGCGAATCGTCCACTTGGATCCTTCCTTGGCGATTGTGAAGGGCTGCACCGCGCGGATCTGCAGGAGGGCCACACCGCTTCCCAGCAACCCACTGAACACGACAAAGTACCAGACGGACTCGTCTTCCCACACAAATTCAGTCACGGAAACCAGCACAGTGCCCATGACGCTAATCATGGTTCCCGTTTGGCTGATGCCTGTTGTCGTTTGGCGCGTGTACCAGTAGATAACGAGAAGGCCGAGTCCCATAAAGCTAATGATCCCACTGCTGTTAGCGTGCAATCCGGCGACAGTGTGACATACTGGATCGTTGCCAAGACGAAGCGCGTCCACGCCTTTGTTCCTTCAACGGGGGCGACTACAATACCATCTGAACGTCAGCCAAGGGGTATGGCAGTACTGTACTCACGCATCATCCTCCAGGCGTCCTCACTGGCCTGTAGCTCGACTTCTGTTGCGTTGTGAAGGTGCGCGTCTGGGTACTGGTCCAACGTCAAGCCGTTGATAAGAGCGAGACGCCAGGGCTTGTATGAGGACAACATGACGGTCAACTTGACATCCACTGCGTCCAGGTCATCCGGGAGGCGCATGTTCTGATCGGTTAGCAGAGGGCCAGGATTCCCCATACTTACCTTGTAGTGACCATGTGGGGTGGTTCCAAGATACGGGCCGTATGCCAGGCCAGTGTCGGCTCCGTCTCCCTGGTCGAGGTCAAACATGGTGCCAAAGTGACCAATAGAGCGATAAGTCTCGGAGGTGTCGCAGAAGAAGCGCGATGCCACGCGTTTTCCAAAGTGCTTATGCACACACTGAGAAGAGTCAGTCGGTACAGGTATATGCCAACCACTCACAGCGTCCCGCTTCATGGCTGACACGTATTTTTTGAACATGTCAGAGTTGAGGGGGCGAGTCTCGTTAACGAGGTAGAAGTGTGACCTAAAGTCAGTTTTGATAGCTGTTGGTGGCTCACCTAGTGCGCAGGAAGGGGTGGAGCTTGCCCTTGGGGCCTGCACTGTCCATGTCGCCTAAAGTATTGTCCTTTTCTTCGCCCTCTTCCTCGTTGACTGTCGTGGCATTGTCGGTGTCGCGGAACTCTTCCGAGAAGCGGACAAGCGGGACGGAGGTGGCCAGCCGCTCGAGAGCGAGACGTTTAACCGATCCAGGCTCGCCCAGACGGCCATCAACGTTGAGGCTAGTACATTAGCACAGCCACATAACTACTACTCACGCCGGGTCCAAGTTTGGCAGCATGGCAATGCCGTCAGGAAGGACTGTTGTGACATTGGCGACGTGCTCCAGGAAAGAGGGGTCGCGAGGAACGAGTGAAAGCGCAGCCCTGACGTCATTGATGTTGATGAGGCGATCCGAGCTGCCTGTCAGAACTGGCAAGATGTGTGGGCCACTTACAATAGTCTCTTGAGAGGAAGTTTAAAGTCGACTGTGACCTCGCGGTGTTTGCTGGCGAGGGAGAAGTCTTCAAAAATAATGTCGGAGTAGACCGCGACCTCCTCGGGTAAGTATAGAGCGTCGGCCAGCGTCGTGGGTCCGTAGAGTGCGATGTGGTGCGCATCCGAGTTGTTGGCCTGATCACCGCCGCCCCATTCCGGGAGATACCGTTCGGGGTGTGCTGTATCGCTGTTGGACTTGCGTACCCACACCGTCAAGGCCACATCAAACCGGCTATCAGGTCCGATGAGAGGGTAAATTTTGTTGCTGGTGCTGTCCAGGTCGACCACGATATTCGAGTGAGGAGAGTATTGGAAGAGTTTCCATGCCCAGGGGACAGTGAGCCACAGGAAAACACCAAAAATGAGTGTGCCAATGGCCCCCATGGTGATGAGACAGCATCTTGCTGTACAGGGTCTCCGCCTGACGCGGTCTGGCGGACGTGCCGCGTGGTCGTCGATATCCATTGTGCTGAGCGAGTCGCGGTTGAAGCTTGCAAGATGGCTCAGCCGGGGAGTGGATCAGGCTGTTCTTGGTGAGAACGTGTATGATTGAGAGAGAGAGAGAGAGGAAGAGATGAGAATGAAGTGGATGACAAGGGGCTGTGCGGTGCCGGTTTAGCGCCGTCAGCGGCCGTTCCCTATTGTCGAATCGATGACTGAACCACCTCCACCGCACGTATCGTCTATTTTAAGGCACGCTTGCGTCTCCTTCGGCAGGCTCGGCGCAGCACTCGACCACCTCGTGTCCAAGAATCCTTTTCAGCTGTCTCGCTTATGTTGACACACACACTACAAGTTGCCCTTGATGGTGAGGTACTGTTCCTCCCACGGCTGGACCTTGAGCACAATTCCCTCCTTCTTCTCAATGTACTTCCAGGCAGGGCGGCTTCTCATGGTCTCGGTGTACTTCTTGAGGTTGGGGTGCTGTCCCGAGAGAATGTCGATAAAGCCGTCCCAAGAGAGAGTAGCCGTCATGATAAAGTCGACCTCGGTGGGCTCGTCGTCGGACACGAGATACTTGGACTGTGCGAGCTGGGCGTCGAGCAAGGCATAAATGCTGTTCAGGCGCTGAAGCGTCAGTAGGCGGATTCCGTGGGCGTATTCGGGGTTGGTCTGGTCCTTGTCTGCATACATCCAGTCACGGAGCGCTGGGAGGAGCGAGTTGACGACATATGTGTGCGTCTCGAGGAACTTTGCGCGAGAAGGTGTGCCGGGAGCAGGAGCCAAGCCCGACTTGGGGTGAAGCTCCGAGAGCAGGAGGCCGATCGCACCTGTCTCAGTCACCGGCTTGCCGTCGACGATCAACGTCGGCACGCGTCCCTTTGGGTTGATGTCCAGATAGGCTGCCTCCTTTTGCTGCTTGTGCGGCAGGTCGACGTCAACAAACTCGTATGTGACCTCTGACGATGCAGCGAGCTCCGCGAGGATCCAGTGAATGCCAGTCGAGGCCGTGTTGCCCCAGCCGTAGAGCGTGTACGTCGGTGCCATTGTGTGCGGTATGTGTTGCTGGGCTGAGAGTCCGAAGATGGGAGATCTGTGTTGTTCGTGCCAGCGCGTGTCTTGTGCGGCTGAAGGATGGAGATCAAAAGCAACTTGTGCAACCCCAACGTATGGTGCCCCCACCAGTCGGGTTCTTGGCAACGGCACCACCGGCGAGATGGATGCCGAAGTCATCTGACAACGGATCAACGGAGAGACCGAGCAACATCCCGGATTTGTCAAAAACGCCAACACCCCCTTAAAGAGTCGAACGCTCCGTATTGTTGAAATACTCTAAACGACTTGACATCAACTGCCACGTGGTCAACAGCGAAGCCGCCGAAGCTCCTTGCTTTTGCCTCGGCCCCGTTACATCAATTCCATGAAACCTCCTCATCCATCCATTCAACTCCACAGCGACTGCATCGTTACTTCTCGACCCTCCCTCACCTACTCGTACATCTCGCCGTTCATATCCTCCTGCCCCTGCAAACGCTCCAACTCGCGAGGACTCGATACGGCCCAACATGCCTCCCCAGGCTTCCCGAACCGTGTTTGGTGTGTATTGATGTCGTTACCATCGCAAGACCTCCAGCTGACTCTTGTGCAGTGGCCAACATTCCCTAGTGCGTCGTCCCTCTCGACAGTTGAATACTGTGCTGACCTATAACCAGTGATGTGTCCGAGGAGCAGATTGCCAACGTCTTCTCCGAGGTCGGCCCTGTTAGCAATGTAGAGTGAGTCATGTCCTTCCTTCCTGACGCTCGGCTGTCCACTAACCACTCCAGGATCAAGTTTGACCCCCAAACTGGCCGCTCAAAAGGCTACGCCTTTGTCCAGTTCTATGGTGAGAGCCCTCGTTGCCGTGTCACGCTAACTCGACCAGATGAGGCCACCGCGAACTCGGCTGTGCGCAACTTGCAGGACGTGCCAATCAACGGCCGCCCGGTGCGTATTGAGCTCTCAACAGACGATGGCGGCAGGAGGCGAGGTGGACCTCCCGGCCCCGGTGGCCCAGGCGGCTTTGGACGCCAGCAGCAGCAGCAGCAGATGCACCGCGATCAGACGCCGCCCCGCGGCGTCATGGGTGGTGGCGACCAGCCTCACGTCGACTTGAGTCTCCTTCCTCCTGGGCAGGAGCCGCCTATGGGCCTGAAAGGGACAGACTCGATCACCAAGACTCTCGCCGAGATCAACCCCGGGCAGATGCAGGACGTCATGGCCAGCATGAAGGCCCTCATCACGACCCAGCCAGACCAGGCGCGTGCCCTCCTCAGCAGCCAGCCTCAGCTCGCCTACGCGCTCTTCCAGGCCATGCTCCTCATGAACATTGTCGACCCCTCCGTCCTCCAGCGCATCCAGCCTCTCGCGCCCGGACATACCGCTACTGCTGCTGCCGCCGCAGCCGCCGCTGCAGCAGCAGCAGCATACCCCCCACCTGGCAACGCATACCCTCCCTACCCTCCCCAAGTCCAGCCGCCAGCAAACTACCCTCCCTATCCTCCGGCACAGGGTGGCGGGTTCCGCCCACCTCCTGGCCCTGCCACATACAATGCTCCTCCTCCTCCAGCTCCCGCGGTCGGCCCTCCTGCTGCCTACGGTGGCTACCCTCCTGCCCCTCCCCCCATCGCCCCTCCCGGCCCAGCACCGCTCCCTCCTGCCACCCAGGCGGCGCTCGCCGGTCTCCCCGAAGACCAAAGGGTGGGTAACATATGTCTGTGTTTGCTAACCCATCAGACTATGCTCGTCCAGGTCCTCCAACTTACCGCTGACCAGATCAACGCCCTGGACCCATCGCAGCAGGCGTCTGTTAAGCAGCTGGTGAGTGTTTACGAGACGATCGCTGCTGACCTTTGCAGCGACAGCAATTCCTCGGCGCCGCATAGACCCGCTGTATACCTTCTTCGTTACGTGTGTGAGATGAATACGCATTCGCATCGCGCAGGTCATCTCAGCGCTCCTTCTCACTATGTCCTTGAAAGAGTTGCTCTCCAGCATTTTGTCCTGGTTCTGACCTCACTAACCGCTGATCCGCTGAATCCCGTGTCCCTCAACGCACATGGTGGTCTAGCTGTCACCACCCCCAGTACATCGGCATCCGCAGAGCTGTAGTTTTGATACAGGCGTTTTGTTGACAGCGCACTGGCGCACTGATCACTGACCTCCACCCCCAGCTACAGTCACCGTGACGAGATCCGTGCCGGAGGACACGGACCGATCGGCGATCACCAGAAGCATGCGCTGGCGCCAACAGATCCATCGGCGCTGGCTCAAAGGATGGGCTGGAAGGCTTCTGGGCTGCCCGACGGTTGTCGCCGCGCGACCACGACCAGCATCCTTGTCACTCATGTTCTCCGCAGCTCCTTCTCTTCACCATCGTCAATGTGACTCGATCCAACTGGTCCCCACCCGTCGCCTTCTCCCTTGACCCCACCATGCGTTTCCGTCGTGATACCAACCCCCGCCCACCACCCCAAATCGACCACCAACGCTTTCCAGGCATCATGGACCGAATCATGGTAGACTGTCCCCGGCAGACATCGACTGACCGTGCCCAGATGAACGCACCCAAGGCCTCGCTCCTGAAGCTCCGCTGCACCTCGCGCGCCGTCAAGACGTACATTGACCTCCTGCTCGTCCGCCACCTGACTGTCGAAGGCGGCGTCAAGTGCCAGCCCCTCATCACTGGCGGATACGGCAAGCCCCCCATCGGCTCTGACATTGAGCGCGTGTTCAGCGTACCGTGGGGCCGTGGCTGGCTCCCGATCCTTGCGCAGACGCAGGTCGTCGACGTGCACGCGACGGCTGAGCGTGCCGACCTCTTCGTGCTTGCACGCTCCTTTGTGCGCACGCAGGTGGTGCGTTTCGACGACGCCTTCTTCCTCCACTCTGGCCGTGACACGACAATCCCACACATTGCGCCTTGTGCCGTCGTCTTTTCGTGGCGCAACACGCTCGAGGGCGAAGAACCCGTCGTCAAGCAGTTTGCGCCCGGCCTGACGCGCCTCGTGTTCTGCTTCAAGTCGCCGCCGCCGCCGTCGTCGTCGTCCGGGGGCCACCTGGCGTTTCCCGACGTGCTCGATTTCCCGTCCTCGCTCCGCCACATGGTGGTCATCGTCGCCATCAACCCCGACCACGGGTTCGGCGCCAACCCGCACAAACCCATCAGCGACCTGCTCCCGCGCCACCTCGTGCCCCGCGTCGCCGAGCTCCGCCGCCAGCTGCCGTGGGTCAAGTTCATCATTGTGGGGCTCGAGGGCCTGGGCGTGCACACGGCGCTCGGCATGATCAAAACGTTTACGGCTGAAACGCCGCCACACCGCACACCCATCAAGTTTCTCACGCTCAAGCGGCACAAGCGCAACGTCGGTGATCGCATGTTTGCGCTCGAGACGGACGAGAATTATCAGCTGTAGAATAGAAACACGTCCATGTGCATTGCATTTAGTGATGGCGTCCCGTCTGGATGTACATTTTACTGACCCTTCAGACCCCTTTTGCCTTGTCCACACCTCTCTCTCGGTCAGCTCGTCCAGCTGCCTGTTGCATCAATCTTATCAAAACCGCTCATGCATCGGATCCTCAACTGCCCCTCAGCCTTAACCAGATCCTGCATCTCCATATCCTTCTCACCCCACTTCTTAGTCCACAGGTCACCGACTCGCGTCGCCTACATAGCTTGCCCACGAACTGGTGGCGTTTGCGGCAAGCTGGGCTCGGTCTCCAGGCTCAGCTCCTTGGCGGCAGCCACCGCGGCCTCGACGAGCGCTTTGAACGTGCCCATGCCGGGGGGCGTGGTGCCGATGGCGGCAGTCGATTCGGATGAGGGAGGGGTTGGGGGAGCGGTGAAGGGAGGAGACGGCGGCGCGGGAGGCTCCCAGTCGACAAGGTGCATTCGACCGGCGTGGCCTAGTTGCGAGATGGGTTGCGGTGGGAGCAGGCACCACACTGCGCCAGGCTGCTCCCCACTCATCTCACAGACGGTGGCGACACCGATAGTCGACTCGGAGATGGTGATAGAGGGAGTGCGGGATAGAAGCCAAGGAGAACCCGGAGGTGTGGGAGGGAGGGTGTGTGGGCGGTTGTTGCAGCAGGTTGAAGTCGTGGTTGGCTGTGGGGGCAGGCACCACACGGGATACACACCGTGCTCGGTGATCAAGGAGGTGATTGGGACGGACACGATGCCGGGGAGGTTGGCGAGAACGCAATCCGAGTCCTCTTCGGGACTGGGTGGGTCCGAGACGTAGTCTGGGTTTCTAGAGTGGCGCTTGGGCGGCGTGAGGTACTTTCCAAAGGGCGTGGACTCGTTGGACTTGGACTGGGACTTGCCAGACTTGCTCTGGGACTTGGACCGGCTGGAACGACGGTATGACCTTAGGATCAGTCAAACCTGGGGAGGGAGGCCTGGACTCACCGCTTTGTGGGGGGAGCCTCGTCGACGTTTACAGGAGGTAGATCCTCCTCGGGTGGGAAACACAGCATGATGGTCGGCGCCGGGATGGCCATGGTGTCGTCCACGTTGATCACGTAGTGGGAGGGTAACGAGGCGACTGATGGTGTGTGAGAGGAGACGCATGTAATATACCATCACACACGTCACACAGGTTTTGACGCCGGCTCAGATCCTCAGACGGGTGATGCGTGCTGGTTCCTGTGTGTGTGTGGACACATTGACGACAAACAATACGCCTCCCCAGGCGATCAGCCACTGGGATGACACTTCTGATGCCAAACAATACAGGAGCTGCCTCTCTTTGCACGCCGGGGGGTCAATAGAGAATGTCTCCCAGGCCGTTATGACAAATACAGAGTCGCTGCCTCCTTTGGTCCAAGCGGTGCGTGCATGCACGTCTAGTTTGGGGGTGACGACCAAGAGAACATGCCGCCGAGGCCGTGTTTGTCACTGCAGCGGCAGGATGAGTTCAGGGGGCTGTGTAAGCGTTGATACGGGATTGAGAGAGCAGCAGAACCCTCCTCTGCATTAAAGCGTTTTGTGGACAGTACCCTGCCCATCACAAACACAGACGTTGACGGCGGGGTTGCTTGTGATGGGCCAAAAGTAGGCAACAAATACCGTGAAAAATTAGGTAAAAACACTGCACCCGTGAATGTTTGGTCTTTGGCCGGCAGTAAATCTTTCAGAAGAGGATGGGCATGCATACACGTCTACAGAGCTGCATAACACACACGAGAGGGAGGGGGACCGAGCATGACAGAGGGGGACAGAGGACAACGGAAGAAGCAGCAAGAGCCACAATCCCAGCTCTCGAAGAAAGATCGAAGACCTGCATGGCCACGTGATTTTCAGTGTGCGTCCTATAGTCCCATGCGGTCGTGTTTGCAGGGCGGCTAACTGCAAGCAGCGGGTGAAATTCAGACTCTATATGGATTTCAGTACCTATATCCGACGGCCGGGGCCATGAACCGAGGTTCGATTCTGAAGCAGCACCTGATGTATAAAAAAGTACACGGGCTCCCCGGGAGGGCGGCGCCGGACGCTCTCTCGCTGTGCGACCAGTTCAGAATCACTTGGCTGGGACCTTGAAGGTGCCCAGCCCAAGTCCCCTAGGCATACCACACACATCACTACTTATTGTGACGTGGGGGGATGGAAAGGATTGGGGGTTGGGTTGGTTCAATGTCGTTTTGGCCAGTCTTGTCTGTACACTCACACACACTGTGTGCCCAGAGCGCTGGGAACCCAACTGATCCACAGACTCGCACGGCCTACCTCCTCTCCACAACTCTAGAACAGGACCCCGTCGGCTGGTCACGGTTGTGCACTCTAATCCGAAGAGCAGCTAGAGCAGCACCCTTTCCCGTCGCCACTCGCCTCCGCCACAACACTGACGCGGCTGCTTCGATTTGCTTCCATCACATCCCTCCACTTTTGGCTTCTCCGTTCCTCACAGATAATCACCGCGTCATCCACAAAGTCACACCGCATCCATCCCACACCACCAACTACACTCTGAGGATCCCCTTGGCATCAGCTCGACAAATGATGTCCAGTGCGAGCGCCGGGCCATCGCGCCCTGGTCCACGCGCCGCCGCCGCCGCCCCGAGCCAGGCTCCCCCTCCCACCGGATACCGCCCACCGACACGCAGCCTCAAGCAGCCCATGACGCTTGGTGTGACTGAGCGGCCGATGCCTGGGCAAGTTGCGGCGGCGGCGGGAGTGAGCGACGCTGCAGCGCTGCGGACTGCGCTGGAGCGGCGCGCGACGGCGGCGCGGCGGGCGGAGAAGTGGATGGACAAGGCGATGGAGGAGGTGTTGAACCGCGACGAGTTCCAGAAGGCCGTGAGTAAATGGGGAAGAGGTAGTGACGATGTATAGCTGGCTGACGCGCGACTTTCCGCCCTGCTCCCTCGTACATACATGACCTGCAGCTCTCATACATGCACGCTGCGCAGTACACCGAGGTCCAGCACGAACGCCACCTCAACGGCCTGTGCTCGTACCCTCTGTGCGGCAACCCTCCTGCGGCGGCGTACCGCTCCGCCAAGCGGTTCGTCGTCTCGACCGCCAAGCGGACCATCACCGAGACGGACGGCAACGCCGACGAAGGGTTTTGCTCGCGGCGGTGTGCCGCGCGCGCACACTATGTCGCTGCGGGGCTCGGGACCGAGGCGACGTGGCTGCGTGGGACGGGCGCACGCGTGCAGCTGCTGGAGGAGAGGGAGGAGCGCGGGGATGTGCGCTGGGCCGGCCGGCGGGGCGATGTGCTCGAGTGGGTCAAACCCGAGGCCGCCGCCGTCGGCAACAAGACGTCTGTCCCGAAACCCAGTGCCGTGGCGGCTGGAGCGGCGCGGTCGGCACCACCACCACCGCCGCCGCCGCCCGTGGCCTCGGAGGCACAGCTGCCGCCACCACTCGGCAGCACCGCGCCGGCAGCGTCCACTTGTGGGAACGGCACTGCGGCCCGCGAGCAGCGCGACACAGGTGCAGCGGGGACGTCAACCGGGGCGGGGGAAGTGGCCTCGCGTGTCTCCGACTCGACCATTCAGACAACACCAGCGAGCACGAGTGCCACGCCTGCCGCGCCCACAGCAACCATCCCTCCCAGCGCTCCCACCACCACCGCCCGACCCCTGGCAACCCCGAGTCCGCCCCTCCCGAACGTGGACGGCATGAGCGGGCTGATCGCCGCGCTGTCCATCGTCGAGCGCGAGACGCCGCGTGCCAAGCCACAGCCGCCATCCAAGGCATCGACGTACGTCGAGCAGGGCCGGATCGTCGGCGGCGGCCAGCTGGACCCGCAGCCCGCGCCCGCCCCGCAGCCCACGGCGGGAACGACCGCCGCCGCCGCGCAGACCCGGCGGCAGGGCTCGTCCATGCTCTCGGCCAAGAGCCAGACGCTCGCGTCCGTCGTCCTCGCTGCGGCCAAGACGGTGACGGTCCCCGTGGGCGAGGACGAGAGCGACGCGAGCGAGGAGGAGGAGGACTGGGCGCGCGAGATGGGCTGGGGCGAGGGGGAGGATGTGGACCGGCTCTTTGAGGAGGCGCGGCTCGCGCGGGAGATGGGTGCGGAGGAGCAAGGGCAGGGGTAGGAGTACGAGTCATGCATGTGGTAGAATGGCAGATGGCCGAGGCCGTGGAGTGGCTGGCGGCCCGGGGGATGCGCCAAGTGAGACGCTGATGGTGAATCGCAGAGGCAAAGTACACATGCGCAGGACTCTGGGACGGATGGCGTGTGTGGTCAGAGACAACCGCGTGGCATTGTGGATGGTACATGGTACATGGCAACGTGACAAGAGGCAGGAAACGGCCTCTCGGAGATACGGACGTCCTACCCGACGTAGATACGAGATACGCTAGATACGAGATGCGAACGAGATACGAGATACGAGATTACGATGGGAACACGGCAGCCCCCCCCCCCCCCCCCCCCCCCCCCGTGTGTTTTGCCGACGGCCACTCGGCCTGGTTTGTGGGCTGTGGCGCTTGTGGAAGGATGGTGGCAAAAGGAGACCAAGGGGACCCCATCGTTCACGTAACACACTTGCTTCCCCACCAGTTGCAGTTGTAGTGTGGTGCCATGCAAGATGAACAGGTTTGACACGAGCGTGCCTCAATTAACGACTTGGCAGGCAACAGGCAACAGGCAGGGGTTCGCGGCAGGTCCGCAGGTGATCAAGTGAACGAGTGAGCGTGTCCTCGAGCCGGGCCGGTTCGATGTGGGTATCACGGCAACGACGGTGTCCATGGCGGAGGTTGGCACCGAGAGGGGTAGGACAGGACCGTACACGTTCGCTCGCTCGCTTGTGTGGCGGTCAAGGCGGCTCCAGGACGATACATGAGGCCAACGAGGGGGTCCGCACCGCGGCGAACCCAGGAGATCAGGAGATCAGGAAACACGACGTTGAAACGCGTGTGGCGGAACCCACCGCGCTGCGGCACGACGGGGTCGTCCGTCCCCGTGCGTCGTCCGTCAGCTTCAGGTGTGGGGCCACAAAGTGCGAGCGAGTGGAAGCGAGGTGCAACGAAGGAACGGTGTTGTATCCTGGATGTCCCAGTATGGTGCGCAGAGGTGCAGAGGTTGGACGTTTGCACGTTCACGTTCCCGCCTGGTTCCTTTGCTTCCAGTCCCCGGCCTGTGGGCCTGTGTGGGGATGTGAAACGCCCGGTGCCGTCCATACCTGTCGCACTCGATCGCGGATCCAGCAGGCAGGATATGTGTCATGCCGCATGGGACACAGGGACGTGGGCGTGGACGTGGACGTGGGTAGGGAGACGGCGCGAACAGTCCTTTGGGCAGCATGGTGGATGCGCCGGTGTCATGTCAGCCAGCGTGCAGCTGTGGCAGAGGCAGTGGTGGCAGTGATCGTCGCCACAAAGTCGCCCGCAGATCACAGAAGTTGCCACTGGGACAAGTGGGAGGCGCCCAGCCGCACCCAGATCCCAGAGGCAACCAAGACCAATGGACCCCAAGCTTGACCCACCCACTCCAGCCAGCCAGCAATAACGTCCAACACGACAAATCGCCAGACCTGTTACAGTAGTGCAGTACCACCTCCAGGCACCATGTGCACGTTATGCCACACAATGTAAGGAACACGAGGCGGGAGGGAGGCAGGGCCAGCGGGGTCTGGCCTGTGGCCTACGGACACAGGGGAAACACTGGCCGCCAGACAAGACGATGGGCAGCCGCATGGGTTTGTCGGAACGGGGAGCGGCTTATCGAGCGCGAGCGGGCAAGGAGACCGGGGGGGAATCTGCGGCCACGCGCGTGGGATTCTGGTGTGGATTGTCACGAGGAGAGCGGGGTTGAGCTACTGTACACGGTAAGTCGGTGGGGAATGGTTTCCCCACCGACTTACCAAGGCCCAAGGAGCGGACACGCAGCTGGCCTGTATGGCCTGGCCCAGCTGCCACATTTTTCATACCGACTGCCGACGTGCGCACGCTGGTGTGCCTCGGAATCCAGTCCAGGAACGTCACTGTCGTCGTGCCAGCCGCCACGCGCCTTGCGATGGCCGGCCTCGTTTGGTGGCCGGTGTCCTATTGGCCATTGGGGAAAGGGACGTCTGGATTGGGATCGGACCCAGAGCCGTGTGTCATGTCAAGTACACACGTCGCCCGTCGCCCCCCGCCCGCCACTGCGCCACTGCGCTGCCGGCTGGCCGTAGTGGGCAAGCACAAAGTGGACAGAGTGGACGGGACCCGGCGTGTGCGCTGGAGCGGGCTGGGTGGACGTGGCTGTGCCGTATGGACGCAGTGGACGTATGGAGATGCCACGGTCGCTGCCCGAACGGACGATACCACCGGACCACAAACCAACACCACCGAACATGCGTAACGCACCATACCCACCCACTGCAACGCAACGCACCTCCCCGCTGGAGTCCAAGGACCCAGGTCCCCCCCAGGCCCCACCCCCAGGCCCCACCCCCAGGCCCCTCCCAGGTCCTCACGCCCCAGGCCCGCGTTGCCCAGACCGGTGGGACGCGACGACCAGGCCGTGGTCATTGACTATCGGTCAGCGGGTTTGGCGAGTCTAGTGGGGGTCATGGGCTTGGTTTGGTGGGTGGGTATCCACGTTTTCCATCGTTTCCATCGTTTCCAGTTCCCGCCACGCGGTGCAGTCGGTGCCACGGTACCATCCGTGCTTGGTGCCGTGCGCGCGTGCGCGGCGCCGTGCCACCCGTGCTTGGTGCTTGGTGGCCAAGTTCCAGCCATGCGACATACCGGCCAGTACTGCAGTACGGCCGGTGCCGCTGCACAGCAGTACAGCACGCAACTGCACAACCACGCCACCCAGCAACCACCACCACGCAACCGCGCAACCACACAACCACGCAACCCAGTAAATGCGGACTGCCAAGCGTCCGTCGTCCGTCAACAGTACAAACAGACGTCAGCGCGCGTGACCACCGTGGCACAGGTGTACAGTGCAGGTGGCGAGCCCAATGGGCAAGTCCAGGCCGGCCAGAGCCCCCGCGACACGAAGAGCACGTTTGTGCAGCATGCCATGAGACCCAGGTCCATGGATCCATGGGCACAGCCGTACACCCGGCCATGGCGCCACGGCCATCACCGCCTGCCTTGCCGAGCCGGCACGTCGGCACGTCGGCACGTCGGTAACAGCGGTACAGCGTTGGGTTTGTATTCCGCGGGATACGTGCCACTTGTCCTTGGCGTTGACCTCGGCCTTGGGCTTGGCGACAGCGAGTCGCTGTATCGTCGTAGAGTCTGGACTGCTTGGGTCTGGAGTCTGGAGTCGGTCTGGAGGCTGGACGCCGGACGCTGGACGCTGGAGTGTGTTCTGGGTCTGCGTCGTCGTGTGGGATTGGGATTGGCATTGGGATTGCCGCGCGCATGGTGTGGCTTGAACGTTGCTCTGTGCCACCACCACTCACTGCCACTGCCACTGCCACAACCACCACCACTGCCCACGGTCTGACCGCTGCTGCCACTGGACATTTGCGCTGTGACATCACATCCCGCCTGCCCGGCTGGCCGCCTGCCCGACTCCTGACTCCTGACTTGTTAATCGCCCGGCTGGCGCTGGCTGGCCGCCACCGGTTCGTTTTGGTACAGGTTTTATTATTATTAGTCGTTTATTGAACTATTTTTCGCTCACGACAGCCCCGCGCCCCGGCCACGCCCCCCGGCCGCGCGCGAGAAAAATACGCAAAAAACACAATACGCAATACGCAGTATCCATACGCCATGTACGCATACGCATACGTATACGATCCGCACGCTGCGTGCGCAGGAATAAAAGGGATACAGGAAAGCAATACGATCGCGCGACTGCGTGCTGCGCCGCGCGCGCGCGGGCCTGGATCCCACCACGATACGATGTCCACGACATCCCTACCATAGCGCAGTCCCGTTGTTCATGTTTCGCATGTGGTGCATCCTGTGTAACAATGCCATATGCTATCATTCGCCGCCGTCGACGCCTCTGTTCCCCCCCCCCCCCCCCCCCCCTCCCCCTCCTCCCGCACGCGGCGTCCTCGTTCTAAGCTGTATGGTTGACGACCGGAGGGGAGGGAGAAGCAGGGGCAAGGGCAGGGGCGGGCAGGGGACCACCGACCAACGAGGCCGGCCTCGTCGATATGGCTGATGGCTGATGGGTGGGGTTGGACGCGGGGGGCAGGGTTACAAATGTCCATGGAAAATCAATGGTACAAGGGAGGGGCCGCCGGGGCGCGGCGGGTTGTTCATCGCGTGTCATGAATAGGGTGCAAGGTGTAGGTCGGCGCGCAGTGTCCTGGGTGGCGTCGGTCGTGTACGGCGTGTGTGTGCTGTCTGTCTGTCTTGTGTCTTGTGTCTTGGCTCTTGGGTCTCTGAGTGTGTCTCTTGGTCTCTGGGTTCGGTGCGGTTCGGTCGATTCGGTGTCCGTTGGGTGGCAGGGGGTGGGGGGAGATACAGTGAATTGGAGAGCCACGGTGCCGGTTTCGTGTGTTGGCGATGGATGGCATGGTCGGGGGCTGTCGGGGTGGTGATGATGCGCGCAGTATCGGCATATGCACGCTGCCCACGACGTTGCGGTGGACGGGTGTATGGGTGCACGGGTGGAGGACTTTGTGGCGCAGGGGCGAAATGGACGGCCGCAGCGGTGATTCTCACGCCAGCGGCGCAGGCCCGGCCGGGCCCCTTTGTGGGTCTCGGTCCGACACCGATCCACCGGGCAACCAGACTTTGGAGCCACACCGAACATTTCAATATCCTCGCCAGTGGGCCAGTGGCGCGCGCGCGATGGCCTCTGTACCTCGTGTGGTCTGGCTGCCTCATGGCCCTCATGGGCCCCCGCGGCCCCCGTGGCCCCCGTGGCCTCTCTCTCTCTCTGGGTCTACTCCTCGAGCGCGTGGCGGATCATTGCGCGGCGTGTCTTGATGCTCACTGCGCGGTCTGCGTCGGTGCACGCGCGCTGGATGCGGATGCTGGCGTCCACAATCTGCTCGAGGACACGGCCGTCGATGACCCCGCGGTCGTACAGACGGACGAGCTCGCCGTCTGTGATGCTGTCATACTCGTGTGGCTCGAACAGGAACAGGTCCGTGTACTGTGTGCTTCGCAGGGCCGCGGCCTGGTACTGCATGTGCAGCACGTGTGCGTGCTGCGTTTCGGGGACATGCGACGACGACAGACTGTGCGCGTGGCCCGGCGCAAACTGCAGCGAGTTGGCGTGTTGGTGGTGGTGGGGCAAGTGGTGCGGGAGCGTGTTGGGGGTGACGGGTGCGCTGTCGCCGTGCGTCCGTGGTGGTCCCGCGGGCACAGCTGCTGGAGCGGGTGGCGGCGGGGCCGTCAGGGGGATGTGGGTGGTCTGGAAGGGCGATGTCGGTGCCGACGAGCTGGCAAGCGACAGCTGGTCGGGAAGGAAGGCGGTTTGTTCCACGACCTGCGGCTGGCGGTGGCGGTTAGCAACGGGGGCCGGCGTCGTTTCCAAATTCCACTACTCACCGTCACTGGCAACGACTTGAGGTCGGCCCTGCTGTCGTTGGACGCGGGGAGACTGGGGGTGCGGCTGACGCTCCGCGAGCGTGTCTGTCGAGGCGACTGCATTCCCGGCATGGTGTGTGGTGGCTCAGACTGGGGTTTTCGTTAGCAACCACGACCCTCTCCCCGCCCAATTGTACCACTTACAGAGCAACGCGAGAGCCCCGGGCTGGAAAACGACGGCGGTGAGAGCTCCTGGTCGTCGTCGTCGAGGTCAATGTCGACAAAGAACGATGTGCGTGCGGTGTGTGCAGCTGTCCACGGTGTGCTTGGCCCAGCGGCGACGGCGTACAGGTCCGAGTCTGGGGTCTGGGGTGGTGGCAGGGGACGTCCCGCGGTGTGCCGGGAATTGGTGGCGGCAGCAACGGGCGTTCGTGGGGTTGGAGTGGTTGCTGGCGGTGGTGGTGGTGCTGGTGCCGATACAGTGGCGACGCGGGCAGCCATGGGGGAAACGAGGGGAGGAGGTTTGTTGACGGGGTTGTTCGTGGTGGTCATGGGGGAGACTAGCCTAGGACGAGTTGGGCAGCGTCTGGGGCTGTTGCACCTCGTGCTGCGAAAGCACAGAGGGGGTTTTGGCTGCTTTGCTATGGGTGTGGAGTTGGCGGTCGCAGCAGTTGCAGTCTTGGGTGTGCGTGGTAAGAGGGCAGGTGGGGTGTAGAACGGGTCGCTGCGCGGCGAGCGTGTGCACGCAGAGCAGGCGGGGTAGGTCGGGCGGGGAATGGTGGAGACGGGGTGGGGTTGGGTGTCGCGTTTTTTGTGATGTGAAAGAGTAAGTAGATGGTGGTGGTGGTGTGTGGGTCTGGGTTGGGGATGCCTGGTGAATGCGATGTGTACGGTACAATGAGCACGACGACAGAGGACGCGCGGGTGGTGGTGGTGGTGTGTGTGTGTGTGTGTGTGTGTGATGGACGATAGAGAGAGAGAGAGAGACGGTTGGGGCCAAGAGAGAGAGAGAGAGAGAAGAGAGAGACACACACAGTGCGATTGCGTGCCGAGCGTACGTGCAGCATGCAGCATGCAACCCCCCGTGTGGCGACGCCGCTCCGAGGTGACTGGACTGTCAGCGTGTGTGTCTGGAACTGTGCTTTTTGGTGTGTGGCCAACAAGGGTCTCTGGCCGTTCTGGCCGTTCTGGCCGTTCTGGGCCCACACACACACACACGCAGAGGAGCGACAATCACCCCCTGCCTGGGCCCAAATAAAATATAGGAAAAAAAGGTCTCGGCCCCTCCCCTCCCTCCCCACCCAAAAGGCCTGGCCCACATAGCCTGGGCACCCCCCCCCCCCCGGCCGAGCGCTACGAGCGACACGCGGGAGAGAAGGAGAGAGAGAGACCCAGGCCCCGCGGTCACACTCTGCCGCCGCCGCCGCCGCCCCGCCGCCTGCCGCGGAATGGCATATGCTCACACAGTTTACGCCGCCTGCCGCCTGCCGCCTGGCCTGCCGCCCCGCGCCCGCCGCCGACGTAACCTGCCAACAACGATACACCCAACGAGACACCCGTACACGGCTCTACCCAGACTGCGATATACTGTACCAGGCTGCAGGCAGCACGACATGGTCTCCTTTTTTGCATATATGCATTCGTTCCTGGTCTCTCCCTCAACAGCACAGACGGACAAGACCGAAAAAAGACACTACACGGGTCGGGGCCACCGCCCGTCGCCACCCACTGCGACAGCATCATGTCAGATAGATCTCTCTGGTAAAGATCTGCCTCGGGTCTGTCTGTCTGTCTGTGTCTGTGTTCCTTTATGGTTTGCAGTGGTGTGCTCTTCCAGCAAAACGCTGAGGCTAATATATCCAACCCACCCACCCAACCATAGGCCATAGGCAAGGTTGCTCGTGGCCGGCCGCGTCGCTCGGCATTGGTCGTTTCCGCAGCGTCTCTCTCACACTGTGTCGCGCAATCTCGCGGCCACTTTTTTGTTTGCTTTTTCTGATCGCTTGTGAGACATATTGAGCGAGGATCCACTCGGGCCGTAGCTGGCCACAAAACTGAATGCCCGTTGCATGTGCCACCCCCCCTGGTCTCTCCCCCTTTTGCCTGGCTTCATGCTCCTGCTGCTCCTTGTCGACCTTTGTCCTAAGCGATAAAGAGAGGCAAAACGTGGTGTATGCAGCTGGAACCTGGCCCATCCCACCCCTCGTTCTCCTGTTCCTTGTCGCGTAGCAGCTGTCTGTCTGCATGCTGCAGTATGTCCTTGGGGTTGTTCCTGTCGCGTCCACTGAAGTCTTGCCCGCGAGAAGGGGGAGCAAGGGGGGGGGGGGCGTCGGAAGGGCCCGCGTCGGTCGCGTCGGTCGCGACTCGAGAGTCGACCGTGCCACCGTCAACCCGCCGCCTCGCCGTTGGGGCGTGTGTGGGGGGTCTGGAATCAGGCGCTACCAGTGTATGTCCCCGCCCGCGATCAACAGAGCCCCCACGGTCTGGAATTACAGCGAGAGGGTGCAGACGTGCGGAGAGGAGGGTCGGACCCAAAACCGTTCTAGCGTCATGGCCTGGGCACATCCCACGCGCACTGGAAGAAAAAAAAAGAGGCCGATCCATCGGCTCGTCCGGGCTCTTGGCGCCAATGCCTGGGCCGCCGCGGCTGGGTGCCAACCCGTCCAGCAGCGTCCAGGCTTTGGTGCGTTTGGCAGGCAGGTTGGCCCTGTCTGCGGCCACACACGACACGAGTACACGAGATGGACACCGAAGGTCACCCCTCTTGCGTGCACGTCCATTCCCCCGCGCCCCGCGCCCCCCACACCTCTTTCGATTGTATCAACATGCAACATGGCCGTGGTGTTTTTGAACAGTGTACAGTGCAACAGTGCCGCAGCAGGGGACCGCCTTTGTGGCAGCACAACCTCGCCCCGCCAGCGCACCTCCGCGCCTCGAGCCAAGCACCAGCCAAGCAGCCAAGGTCGGATACCAGAGCAAGCCTCAATGAGATCAATGATCCAGCCATGCCAGCCATGCATGCATGGTCAACATGCCGGGGACGCGACCAGACCGCTTCCCACTCAACCCGATGCGTGCCAGCTGCCAGCCTGCCAACACAGCAAGACCCAGCTCGCAGCGGCGCGCAGCGCACAGTACATAATAATTTGAGCGACGAGGCGACTGCGCGCTGCCAAGATGCCGCTGCATGAGCTACGCGAGCTGCGCGCGCAGTGCCCTTGGGATCCAGAGTAACAGAGTACGGCAGTGCGCAGTGCAGTACGGCGCACGGCAAAAGTACTGGCGCGCGCGAAATAGACCGCACACGCGCTCGGTATCTCTCCGCTCTACGTTTTGCCCTCCACTCGTCCACTCCACTCCACTCCATCTCTCATTTTCAGTCCATTCTCACTCACGCACTCAATCAGACACATACATACACACATTCCGATCGCGTACCACCACCGCAAGGCGGGTCCCCCTCCTCCCCTCCTCCCCCACCCGCCTTCCGCCATGTTCCTCCCCCCGATCCTTCGACGGCTCTTCTCGGCCTCGCCCATCGTCGCGCCGCTCCTGCTCGCCCTCACCGTCATCACGCTCTTTGTGGGCTTTAGCGGCGTGCACCAGCACGTCGTCCCCACGGCGTGGGTGGGCGGGCCGGGCGTCGGCGGCGCCGTGCAGGCCGGTGCAGTCGCGGCCAACAACAACGGCGCCGGCATCCCCACCCCGGCACCCCCCGACGACGACGACGACAACCGCCTGCCGCCCGCGTACGCCGCGTACTTTTCCGACCTGCAGCTGCCTACCGAGCTCGCGTCCGTGCCCGTGCTCGGCGCGCGGCTGCGCGCGTTCCTCCGCCGCCCGGTACAGACGTACGCCGAGGCGCGCGAGGGCAACGACGCGCACTGCCCCGCGGCGCTGGCGGACCGTCTCGTCAACCCGGACCAGCTGCGCAACGAGGGCGCCTGGTGGGAGGCGCTGGCGGCGGGCGAGGTCGTGCGCCGCCGCGCGCAGCTCGTGGGCGCGCTCGCGGACGTGGTGCGCGGCGGAGGGAGCGTGGTGGGCGAAGAGGGGACGAGGGGGATTGTCATGACTGCGGGGAACAAGGTGGGTAGAAGGACGGAGCAAGCAAGGAAGCAGGAAGCAAGCAAGGAACAAACGTCATGGTGGAGGGTTACTGACACTTGTTCCCCAGGACACCACCGTCCGCCTCCTGGCGACCCTGCGCGTGCTCCGGAAACTCGACGTCGACCTCCCCGTCGAGGTGTTCCATTACCCGGACGAACAGGTCAACGACGGCCAGCGACAGGAGATTGAGGAGCTGGGCGGGACGCTCGTCGAGGTGAGTGTGGGGAGTGTGTGGAGGTGGTGGAGATGGACATGGACATTGTGCTACTCGGCACGCTTCTCGCGTCGCTGCTGCGCGGCGCGGCGGTCGCGGACGGGCGATCGTGCCGTCCCCGGGTCCCCCTACACCCACCCCCACGGCCCACGGACTAGGGCGCCCAACCGTCTCTTCACTGCGGCGCACAACCGTCTCTCCACTGCGGCGCACACCCGCCCTTGAACCCCCCCACCCCCCCGCTGACGCCCACAGGCCACGGGCGTGACCAAGACACCCGGCCAGTGGAAGAACTGGCAGATCAAGCCGCTGGCGCTCATCCAGTCGTCGTTTTCCGAAATCCTCTATCTGGACTCTGACAACATGCCCCTGCGGTCCCCGGTGCACCTGTTCGACGCACCAAACTACGTCGCGGGCGGACGCGCGGCGTTCTGGCCCGACCTGTCCAAGGACCACGCCAAGAACGCCGTGTGGCGCGTCATGGGCGAGGCGTGCACGCTCGCCGAGTGGACGTTTGAGAGCGGCCAGCTGGTGGTGTCCAAGGCCGGAAACCAGGGGCTCAACCTCGCGGCCCTGCACATCGCCGCGGCGATGATGGCCGACGACGCCGGGTCGCCGCATTCCGGTAACGGCGACGACGACGACGACGCCGCGCACCTCTCGGCGCGCGGGTTCTGGCTCAAGATGTGCGGTGGCGACAAGGACGCGTTCCGGTGGGCGTTCCGCGCCCTGGACATTGGGTACGTGCCCGCGCCGCGGTGGATGTCGGCTTTGGGCTTTTTGAACGGCGCCGACGGCCGGTTCTGCGGGCACACGACGCTGCAGCACGACCTCGTCACTCCCACGGGTTACACGGCGCCGCCGCCCCTGTTCGTGCATGCCAACCTGCTCAAACACCTCGGCGGCGGCGGCGGGTTCGGTACGGGTCCGGGCCGCCAGCGGCTGTTCTCGCACGTCAAGCGCATGGCGCTCGACGACGCCGGGATTACGAGCCTCAACTACGCCCGCATGACAGTGTACACGGGCCCGCGGAACATGTGTCTCGACCTCGGCGTCGAGGACAGCGCAGAGGCCGCAGAGGGCCTCGGCGAGAACAAGGTCGAGACGGTCGAGGTGGCGGACCTCGAGGGCAACCCGTTTGACGGCTTTGAAGACTTGTTCTTTGCCGCGGGCGGTAAAGTCGGCGGGTGGTAGGAGCGTGGGTGGGGGGTGCGCGCAGGCCGCGGTAGATCAATATACAGCTGGGCGAGAGAACGAGCGAGAGTGAGATTTATAGTCGGCGCGGTTTATAGTCGGCACAATCTCAATGTACAGTATTTTGTTTTGTTAGTCGTGTCAGTTGTGTGTGTTGCCGTTGCACCCTGGCCCGTTTGCTCGCTCCCCCGTCTCAGACACTGCTGTCCATGCCAACTAGTACATGCAGCCATGCTGCCATATTATCCTTACACCCCTCCACCCCCGCGCCTCCCTCATCCCACCACCACCGACGACCTCTGCGCCGCTGCGCCGCTGCTCGGGGTTCAACTGCACGGCTGGGGCGGTACAGTCGACATGCGGAAATTAAACGCCATCAAACGCCGTCCTCATCGCCATCTTCATCGCCTCGCCATCGCCTCGCCATCGCCCGCCGCTCGGCCGTTCGGCCTCGCCGCCTACTCCTGGGTCTGCCACAGACCGTACGACTTGCCCGGCTGGGTCTGCCACAGACGGATGGTGCCGTCCTCGCTTCCCGAGGCATACACCTCTCCGTCGGGCGAGTACGACGCGCACAGCACCGGTCCGTGGTGGCCCTTGTACACCTCGCGCTCTGCGCCCGAGTCGAGGTCGTACACGCGCACCCAGGGGTCGGCGGTGGAGCCGGCCACGAAACGGTCGCGGAGGAACGGGTGGAGGGACGCCGAGGTGACGTCGTGCGGCAGCTTGATGGACACGGGCGGGTGCTGGCGGAGGATGTCGAGGAAATGCACGTTCTTGCCCGCGGCGACGGACAGGGTGCCGCCGCCGTGCGCGAGCTCCATCGAGTTGATGGCGTGGCCCAGGTCCACCTCGCCCACCTGCGACAGCGAGCGCAGGTCCCACCAGCGCACTTTGCCGTCCTCGGCCGCGCTGACGGCGACGGACCCGCCCTGGCCCTCGTCCCAGACCAGGCTCCGGACAACGCCCTCGCACGACAGGCCGTCCGGGTTGGAGCCCAGCACCAGGGGCTGCGCGTCGGTGCGGTTCAGGTCGAACAGGCGGATCTTCTTCTCGTTGCCGCCCGTCAGCAGGTACTGCGGCGTCACCTGCGGGTTGAGCGCCACAGAGCGCACAATGTGGTTGTGCGAAAACGAGTGCAGCGCTTCGCCGCTGTTCGTGTCCCAGATCTTGCTGTGCGGGGTCAGCAATGGGTTGTGGAGGAGTACCGGAGCGGAGCAGAGGCCGCACGGATCTCGCTCGCGCGCAGCAAGCGCAGCGCAGCCGGAGCAGAGCGGAGCTGCCCACGTCGACCTTTCACTCGACCTTTGACTCACGCAGAAAAGTCGGCACTGCCAGTCACCGCGCGGGACGCGTCGAGCGAAAGCTTGGTGGACCACACGGCACCCTTGTGGCCTGCGTCTCGTCAGCTGTGGACCATGCGGCCAGACCAAACACCCAAACTCACCAAGGAAGGTGCCGATCCAGTCGCCCAGCCAGCTACGCAGCATCGGGTTGCCGTCCTTGCACGCCGAGATGAGGAGGTACGAGCCGTCCGCGAGACTGTGAAAGTGTATATCAGCACGATGCACAGACACGAGGGGACGCGTAAGGGTGCGGGCAAGGTACCGCAGGTACAGTACAGTTCAGTACAGTACCGTACAGCACAGTACAGGACGGTACACTTCCCGGGATAACGCGACGCTACTCACAGGTTGGAGAACTGGAGGTGGGGCACTGGCCGGGTGTGGCCAGAGCACAGCAGCGGCTGCACCTTGACGGCGGCGGCGTTGGCAGCAGGGTTGACCACGGAGCCGTTGCCGTTTGTGGCCTGGGGCCCGGCGCCGACGCCGACACTGGAAGGAAAGCCGTTGGTGGGGTACGCGACCATGGTTGTCTGTGGGCGATTCTAAGTTTACTTAAAGATACGGGGGGGATTCAACGATTTGTGTTGTGTAGGTCGCCAGAATTACAGGTGACGCAGGGGGGTTTGGAACTAGCGCGGAGACGGAGAGTTTGTCAGACGAGATGAGGCTTGTAAAAAAACAAGTTGTTTGTTTAGCACGAGGAGGGAAGGAGGAGTGATCGTCGTTGTTGGGGGAGTTTGATACGCGTCGCGTTGTTGGTTGGTTGGGGGCGTGGTATCCGAGAAGAACGTGGGCAAGGTTGGTTCGATGAGTGCAGGTGGTGTTGTGGGACGTGTGTTGGGGCTCAGCCCGGGGAGGAGTTGGAGTGTGGTGGTGGTGGTGTCTATGTGGTCAAGGTTTGGAAGCGCGATGCTTCGCGGATGATGGTGGGGTTGGAACGCGTGTGTGGGTGTGTCGATGTGGATTGGTGGAGCGAAACGGTGGCGTGAGCCGAGTGAGTTGGGTATCTGGTGTGTGTGTTTGGGGGATTCTAGATGCTGGGAGATGGACAACGGAAGGGAGACGTGCGGGGAGGCGAAGAGGGAGGGGAGGGGGAAGGGGGAGGGGGGGAGAGGAGGGGGACGGTGTGGATGATGAGGAAGCGATAAATGATGACGAGCTGCAACCCGGAATGGCCCCATCTCGCTGCTGCTGCCTGCCAGCTGCCGACGCGGGCGACGCGACGGGCGATGCACCGCACAGCCAGGAGACGCCGTCAACCCTCCCCGCCACTCGCCGATATCGCCGCAAATCCCCGGGCTCGTTCAAGGCACCTCCATCTTGCAAGTGTGCTGCACGTCCACCATATCCGTATACCACAACAATCCAACACATATACACCAAACAGCTCCTAGAGCTACCCCTTCTCACCCAGCCACCGAACTCGCTTTCCGACTCCGTCTTTCACGATGAAGCTCGTCAGGTGAGCTGAACGGGACCTCACACATCTCGCGCAAGCAGCTCACACGCACAGGTTCTTGATGAAGCTTAACAACGAGACGGTCACGATCGAGCTCAAGAACGGCACGGTCATCCACGGAACCATCACTTGTGCGTTCCGGCATGCGGGAAGGGGACGACAGGGAGTGCTACTGGATGTCGTATGGAGTGAGCGGGTGCTCCAGGACCGCGTGCACGCGCTCTGATGGCAACGACGCATGGTAACATCAGTTGTTGTCGTGCGCGCGTCTCTGGCATCTCCCCTCCAACTCCTCTCTGGGAGGACGACATTGCCGCTAGATGCGTCTGGCACGGTTACCTGTGCTTGGGCTCTGGGGAATAACAAGCTCTCCGCCAGACGCCGCCACCGGTGTCGCCTGCAACCTCCCTTGTCTGCCTTCCCTCCCGCAACTACGCACCTGTAGCTGACACTCTCCCCAGCCGTCGACCCCCAGATGAACACTCACCTCAAGTCTGTCAAGCTCTCCCTCCGCAGCCAGCCCGCCGGCACGCCCCCACAGCACCTGGACTCGATCGCCGTGCGCGGCAACAACGTGCGGTACTACATCCTGCCCGACTCGCTCCCGCTCGACACGCTGCTGGTCGACGACGCCCCGCGCGCCAAGAAGCGCAAGGAGGGTGCCGCCGCCGCCGGCCGCGGAGCGCGTGGTGGACCCCGCGGCGGTCGTGGTGGTGGCCGCGGTGCGCCGCGTGGCGGCCGTGGCCGTGGCCGTGGCTTCTAAGCAAGGGCAAGGGAGCTAGAGAGGGCGACGGCGGCGGGTAGAAGTTTCAAGAGAGAGAGAGGAAAAATACGCAACGCGCGCACACGCGTTTCGCTTTGTTTTGTGACGACGACGATCACTAGGGCACAGACCGATTCCCATGCCCGGCATGTATTCCCATGGCTCTGTACACCAGCGGCAGCATTGCACTTTGACGACCACCACTGACGGACGTCGTCTCTGGGCGTGACTGGTTCATACATGTTTAGGCTTGGCTAGGTTCTGGAGCGACCTCCTTGCCTTCACACATCACGCTCTCGTTCCCATGTCTAACGTGGTGTGGAGGGATGTGGTGTGGAGGGCAGACGCATGGCACGTCCTGGACCGCTCACGTCATTCTCGCTGCGAGACGCATCCTCTTGCCGCCCTTTCTCGTCCACATGCTCTTGTCGAGTCCGTCGCGTGCCCGTTCTGCTTCTGCCCTGCGAGCCGGGGGTTCCGAGTGCGCACGACGCGGCCAGAACGTTTCGTTGGCAAGGTTGAGAGGGCAGGAGAGGGGCACACTGCCATCTTGCGGTCTTTGGCTTTGCCCATACTTGCGACGTGATCTTAGCATAAACTCTACGCCGGGAGTCTCCGTGCCACTCTGATAGCTGCGGTTTTCCACACGTTGACGCGAGGGAGCCGCTACGCAGCGGCCCTTGCGGACAGTGAGTGGTGAACAACAGAACAGCAAGTGAGCGTCAATGAGGTGAGTAGCGTGGATCTGGTTCACTCCACTGCGACGCCGCATGTCACGTCGCACCCAGCCTCGCCATTAGTCGCGGACAAGTCCTGCGCCAGAACTGGAATCTAGATATACATGCATTTGAGTCGTGCGATGTGTTGAGAATGGGGGGGAGAGGTGGGGTCTAGACGGTGGGCCTGGTGGTGGTGGTGGTGTTGTTGGTGACGTCCGCGTCAATCTTCCGCTGCTCGCGCTCCAGCGCCTTGGCCTCGGCGGCACGCGCCGCGAGCTCCTTCTTGCTTGGCTGGTACTTGGGGCCGGCAAACCTCTTGGTGCCGACGAGGTTGCTGTACCACGTGCTGCGCTGGTGCTGGATGAGCGCGTTGCGCTCGACCACCGACAAGCCCTGGTACCACTTGGAAAAGGTATGCTCGGTGACGCCCTTGGGGGCCATGGGGCCAAACGTGCCCAGCGAAGGCAGGTTTATGCTCATAAAGGTGGAGACGTAGGGCTTGAGCTGGAAGCAAAGGTTAGCATGGTGTCGCGCGGACGACAAACGCCAAAGTTGGCTGCGGCGGCGCCGGGGAGGGGACACAAAAGACGTCGATGGGCCAACCTGTCCGTCCCTCCAGACGCTTCACCACAAGACACCCACAGTAGTGTTCTCAAATGCCTCGGCACCAGGACCGACGTAGAAGCGGACCTTCTCGTCCTCGACACGGAACTTTGCCTTGCCGCGAATGACGTGGTGACCGGGGACACCTGTCCTGCGACCGGGCTGGCCGGGGACGTAGGCCTGGCGGGTGCCCTTGTAGTAGTCCTTGTTTCCGCGCTTGGTGGTGAGCGGGAGACGCGAGGCGCCCTGGAGCGAGAACGTCGGGCGCATGGTGGTGGTGGTGGTGGTTGTGTTTAACGAAGCTACGCGAACCAAATGTCAAAGTGCGTTGAGCGTTCGGGAAAAGTAGAGATGGAGGTGCCTGGAAATGTCTGGTAGGCGTGCGGCAACGTGGGCGGCGGGCCTATTATTATGTAATACATAATTCACATAATTCCACCGACGACGATGCCCCCTCTCGCTGACAATGAGAGGAGCGTGTGGCACAAGAGCCCGGATTCTTCTTATGCTTCGAAAAATCAATAGCAGGCTGATCGCGCGACATGGCATCGGCTTCTCGCCATCACTCTGATCCCCATCGCTCTAGATTTATATCTGAAACCACATCTCACCCCTCTCCCTCGCAACACTCACTCAGTCACCTGCATGCCACCTGCAGAAACGACACCGCCCAACGTGGCACTGCGCGCCACCCTGTTCCTCAACGAGGGAGTCATCAAGGCGTTCTGGTGAGCTCCAAGCGACATCAAAGCTCACACAAAACAGCACTGGGTACGGCTGCCCGACTTGCCGACTCGGTGACGGCGCCGAGGTCGTCCTCGCCCCCTCGGCACCCCTGCGCAAGGAATACTACGAGGTGGAAGCCTCCTCGTGCCGGGACTGCACGCGCCCGGGGGGTATGTACCGCGTGTCACACTGGGGCAAGCGCCGAGTGTCCGTTGTCAACGGCGAGACTCAGGTCGCCCACCTCGTCCGCGTACACCGCAAGAGCCTGCTCGAGATCAACCCCGACGGGTCGGCCCCACTCTCACGCCCGGCATCGCCACACACGCCCCCCACGTCCGACCCATCGACGTACCCCTCTGGAAGGCAGAGCACCGAGCCGACTTCCCCGTTCCGTCTTGGGGTGCCCCTCAAGAAGAGCAGTGGACGGCGTCGCGAGTCTGAGCCGCTTCCCACGTCCCCCGCACCACCCAAGGCCGCGCCCCTGCCACCGAGCAGCCCGCTGCCCAAGACTCCCCCAAGGGCCGATCCGCCACGGTATGCAGCTTGACAACTGCCTACCACAGCTGACGCAACCCCACAGAACTAGGACCGCGAGCCACCCACACCCTCTTCACAGCTACTGGTCGCCTGAACCCACGTCCATCACGCCTCCTCCGCGACCATCGGGGCCCAAGCCGCGTCCGCCACTCGTCGGCCCGTCCGCCCCGCCATCGACCCCCCGAAGCGAGCCCACTGCCCGCGACGTCCGCCACTGTTTCCTCCTTGCTCCGGCGTGTCGCCGAGCTGGAATCCCAAAACATCGCCCTTCAGCGGCAGCACCGGGCACTGGAGAGCGACACGGGCGCCCAGCTCGCCGCTAAGCACGCCCTGCTGAAAAGTACGCTCAGGGCGAGCGCCGTCGACAAGGCGGCCTTGGAGGGCGAGAACACCCAGCTCAAGGCGGACGCGAGGCGGCTGCGTGCCCAGCGCGACGCGCTCAGTGCCAGTGCCAGTGCGAATGCGGTCGCGATGGGCGAGATGGAGGATAAGGTCGCAGCACTCGAGGCGGAGCGGCGGCAGTGGCGCACCGACAGCGACGAGCTGCGCGGGACGGTGAGGCGCCTCGAGGGCAAGTTGGCCCAGTTGCGGGTCATCAAGGAGAGCATGGGGGCTGAGGTGGACAAGGTGTTGAATGGGGACAAGGTGGTGAATGGGGACAACAAGAGGAGGTGAGTGAAACGTACGCGCGAGAGAATCCAAAAAGAAAAAACAGGAAGCATATTGGCGGTTATTTCTTGAATTGGCCTTTGTAACGAAACGTGTGGTTTATGGATGCACCTTGATGTTTATGCGTGGTATACTGGAGCATTCATTGGCTTTAAAACAGTTCAAGACAGGCCAGTTTCGCTTCACGAGGGCAGGCAAACGTGCTGGCCGCGCTGGCTAAGGTTTGTGGCGGCCGTCCGATGCGCGCCGACTCACTGACGGCTCACTGACCGAAACCCTCGCCACGGTGGGGTTGGACTGATCGTTCTGTTCGACTTGACACACGGCTGGACACGGCAACTGGGATACGTGATTATACATGTGCACTCCCTGCTCCTCACTGGATCACTGACCACTTCATGCCACCTATATCTTCTTCATGTCGCGAAACGAAACACACCTCGGATCTACCCATGAGCCTGACGTCCCCCGCCGACCGGAATGTCGCTGCTCGACGCGAAACACACGCGAGACAAGGAAGGAGCCTGCCTTGCAGGCAGTCACTGATTCATATCTCCTGACGGGTCGTCCACGGATCCCGCGACATTGCGAGATCTGCCAGACATCAGAGATCTTAGCCCGGTGACACCCCTCCACCCGCTCCATGACATGCGGCCTCGTCGTGTGCTCGTGAATTGCCCTTGGGCGTTGACTGCACGTGTGTTTCACTGCCGGGCGACTTCATCGCTGCGAACGTCCGTCGTGCCACTCGCCCTCCAAACCCGCGCGCGTCGTCCGATGCCACGCTATGCATGTCATTGTTTATCAGAACAGAGGATAGATAGATGCCGAGCCTGTAATTTGGGGAAGACTTTTTTGGACACTTGGTCAGTCTCCGCTTGCGGTTTAAGCGCCGATCAATAATATGTCGGCGCTGCTACACCCTCTCTGTCACTCTCTCCTCAATGCAGTTTCGCCGTCTTGTCCGCCACTCTTTTCTCTCATCAATCTTCTCCACTCTGCCACCACCTCCCACTCCACCTCCCACTCCTCCTCTCCCTCCTCTCCTCCGTTTCTTCACTTGGGCTCCGCGCGGAGCCCAAGGTCTTCTGCCTTTCTCTCCGGTTGTGGTGTGCCGAATCAAACAAAGGGGGACATGCGCCGCTTAGAAGAGCATGTCCTGGAGACCGGCGGCGTCGAGGCCGGCGTTCTCCTTAACGCCGAGCTCAAAGTAGCCGTAGATGATGGTGACGGCCATGAGGATACCGGTTCCCGAACCGAGGGCGCCCATCATGTCGGCGGCGAACGAAAGGAGACCGAGGACGGCACCGCCGACGGTAGCGGCGGTGGGGATGACGCGCTTGAGCTCCTTGTAGATCGAGGCGTCACGGTGGCCGGCAAGGGTCATGGACTGGTCCTTGAGCTGCTTGGCGACGTCGCGGGGGCCCGAGCCCGAGACCTCAATCCAGGTCTTGGAGAAGATGGCGCAGGCAGTGACAATGAAGGCGAGGTAGACGACGGTGTGGAAGGGGTCCGAGAGGGCCGACTTGAGGCTGTGGGGGGCCGACATGTAGTACGAGATACCCGAGATGGCCGAGAGCTGGGTCGAGTCGTCAAGGGGCTCCCAGACACCGAGGAGGCGAACAAGGAGGTTGTTGGGGAAGCGAGCCGAGAGCATCTGCGAGACGAGGAAGACGTTCGAGGTGAGGGCCGACTGGAGCATGATGGGCATGTTCGAAGTGTAGAAGAGCTTGACGGGGTAGACCGAACGCTGGCCGCGCATCTTGGACGACTTGATGGGGATCTCGATGCGGAAGCCCTGGAGGTAGATGACGGCGGCAAAGACGGCAATGGTGGCAAGAACGTTCATCATGTTGGGGAGACGCTCGCGGTAGAAGGCCTCCTTGAGGGCGCGCGACTTGTCGTTCCAGGTGAGGAGGAGGTGGAAGAGGGCAATGACGGCACCCTCAAACTCGGGGCCGCGGCCAGTGTTGATAGTGTTGGGCGAGAAGCACTTCCAGACGATCGACTCGCAGATGTTGGTCGCAATGAAGAGCGAGATACCCGAGCCAAGACCGTAGCCCTTGGTGAGGAGCTCGTCGAGGAGGATGACAATGAGCGAGGCGGCAACGAGCTGGAGGATAAGAAGGAGGCAGACACCGGCGCCGAGCGACGAGGGCGAGCCGTAAAGGCCAGTGAGAACGTAGACGGTAGCCTGGCCAAGAGCGATAATAAGAGCAAAGACTGAAAAGCATGGTCAGCCAACAAACGTGACAACACAAAACAGCCAGCTGCACGACTCACGCTTCTGGGCCGAGCCGAAGAGGGCGCGGTCGTCCTTGAGGCTAAAGTCAACCTCGATGAGCTGGGCACCGGCGAGGAGCTGCATGATCATGCCCGAAGTGACAACGGGGGTGACACCGAGCTCCATGAGGGTACCACGGTTCGAGGCAAGAATAACACGGAGCCAGTAGAGGGGGTCGGACGAGTCAGACGACATGATACCGTAAAGGGGAACCTGGGCGCAGACGAGGAAGATAAGGAGCGTGGTGGCCGTCCAGAGGACCTTGTGCTGGAAAGTGACCTGTAGAGTAGGCGTCAGTTGTGGATGTTCCACGCGGCACGCGAGTGGATGCAGCGGTAGCCGGCCAACGTAGGCAGCTCATCCAGCGCGCGCGCGCACCGGTATAGACAACAGCATCAACGCACCTTGCGCTCAGGAGCAGTGACCTCTGGGAGGATGCTCATGAACGGGCGGACGAGCTCGAGGAGTCGGACTGGTACAATGTCAGCACATGTGTTCCCTTGGTCTCTCTTGCTCGCGGTTGCTGGAAAGCGAGTTTCGAGACTGCGAGGACAATGTTACGCACAGCCCATGTTGGCGAGTTTCCGTGGGGGTCAGGGGCCGTAAACCGAGAGAAGGGGGGGGCGGAGATGGTCCTTGAAGAGGATGACAAGGACTGTAGAGGAGGGGGTTGTGGACAATGTAGATGGAAGAGGATGGAAGAGGACGAGAAGGGGGGGACCGACGACACGCTGGCACTCGCTGGCGCGCTGGAGCCTCTCCAGGGGTGTGAGGGGCGGTCTCTCGCCGGTTACAGGGAAAACAGCCCACCCAGGCCACCCACCCATGCGTTTGGCTGGTGAAACATGGTATTACGTAAGATATTTATGGCCCTCTGCCTCCACACGATCCATCCACCACCACGGCCCGCACGCCCGCCGTCATTTATTTAGGCCCCGCGTTTCGGCCCGCAAAAGTTGGCGGACAGTCAGGCAGGCTTGTGGTGCAAGCTTGCGAGGTGGATAGATACGCGACCGTCCGCTCCAACCTTCCGTCCATCGCACTCTACTACACACAATGGCAGAGACAACAACCCAGAACAAGCCCGACAGGGAAGACGACATCCGCGGCCGCGCAGGTGTCGCCCCCGTCAAGGCCGAGTAAGTCGCCTCCCTTGCTCCGTCTGCACCTTTGCCGTGTCTGACTCGTACAGGTACATTATCGAGCGTCCAGGTGGCGAGTCGTCGCGCGGTGCTCGCCAGGTCGACGATGACGCCGCCGAGGGCCGCTCCGACGACCGTGGCGACTCGCGCAACAACAAGCGCCAAAAGACCAAGACGGGCTGGAAGGCCCGCCAGGCCGGCAAGGCCCGTCCCACCGGCGAGGCTGCCGTCCGCATCTGCAAGGCCTGGGAGACGACTGGCGAGTGCTCCCGTGGCGACGCGTGCAAGTACGCCCACTCGTGGGCTGGTTACTTTGAGGTCAAGCCCAAGGACACGCACTACGAGGCCAAGGCCGGTTTCTTTGAGGAGGAGCCCTTTGTCCGCTCCACTGCGTCGCCACTGGTTGGTGGCGAGGACGTGATCGGCAAGACGCTCGACCTCACCACCGAGTGCCCCGTGTATGCCGATCTGGGCTATTGCCCGTTTGCATGGCGCTGTCGCTACCTCGGTGGCCACATCCGCAAGGTGACGGAGGCTGGGCCAGACTCTGTGACTCGTCTCGGCGAGTGGGAGCTCGCCACCAAGTCCGAGGCGACGGAGCCGGGAAACAAGCACAACGAGGTCAACTGGCCCTCGTCCGAGATGCTCAGCCAGCTCAAGAACAACAAGTACGCCTGGCGCTTCTCCCCTGTCTACCTCCACCATGTCGAGCCTGAGAAGCCGTTCGCTCTCGCCATGCCCAAGGGCTCCTTCAAGAAGGGCAAGGGCGGCAAGGTGCAAGCCGTCCAGCTCAGCGAGGAGGACGCCATGAACGGTGCCGAGGAGGCTGCGGCGAACGAGGAGGAGGAAGCTGCCAACGCCGAGCCCAAGGGCCTCGTCCCCGGCGAGGCTGAGGCCATGGACGTCCCCCTCCGCCCCGAGGAGAAGCGCCGGCTCAACTGGGAGAACGGACTGTACCTCGCTCCCCTGACTACTGTTGGCAACCTGGTAGGTAGGCTTCAACAATCTCAAGCTAACCTTCCAGCCCTTCCGTCGCTTGTGTACCGACTACGGCGCGACCATTACCGTCTCCGAGATGGCGCTCGCCCAGCAGCTCGTCACCGGCCAGACTGAGGAGTGGGCGCTTGTCCGCCGTCACCAGAGCGAGAAGATGTTTGGTGTCCAGCTCGCCGGCGGTTTCCCCAACCGTATGGTCCCCGCGGCCGAGGTTATTGCCCGCGAGCTCGGCCCCACCGGTGTCGACTTTGTGGACATCAACATGGGCTGCCCCATCGACCTTCTCTTCAACCAGGGTGCCGGCAGTGCTCGTACGTGGTGCTAGTCTGATGAGACGCTGACCACTGCAGTTATGGACAACGCGGGTCGTCTTGGCAGGATTCTCATTGGCATGAACCGTGCTCTTGGAGAGAGTAAGTGGTGCGAGTCTGAACGACGAGCTAACATCACGCAGTTCCTCTGACTGTCAAATTCGTTGGTACCCGCCCAGTGTGTTTGTTGCTGATCTCAGCGTACCGGTGTCGCGGCTACCAAGCCCAATGCTCACAAGCTCATCCCCCGTTTCGCCAGCGAATGGGGAGCGAGCGCCATGACTGTGGGTATGCAGACCTTGGCCGCAGTCTAACCCACCAGCTCCACGGCCGCTCTCGCCAGCAGCGCTACTCCAAGCTCGCCGACTGGGCGTACGTCCGTTCGTGCGTCGACGTCCTCCGCGACACGTGCAAGGACGAGGGTCTTGCCCCCATCCCCATCTTTGGCAACGGCGACTGCTTCTCGGCCCAGAGCTACTACGAGGAGAAGGAGCGTTCGGGTGTCGACGGCGTCATGGTCGCGCGCGGTGCGCTCATCAAGCCCTGGATCTTCACCGAGATTGCTGAGCGTCGCGAGTGGGACATTACCGCCACCGAGCGTCTCGAGGGTATCCGCAAGGTACGTGCAGCTGCATTCAATGGCTTCCTTGTAGCTGCGACTGACGATCCAGTTTGCCGAGTACGGCCTGTCGCACTGGGGTTCCGACACGATGGGCGTCAACACCACCCGCCGGTTCCTCTGCGAGGCCCTGTCCTTCCAGAGCCGCTACATTCCCATTGGTCTCCTCGAGCGCATGCCCCCATGATGAACGAGCGCCCACCGCAGTACCGCGGCCGTAACGAGCTCGAGACGCTCCTGTCCAGCTCCAACGTCACCGACTGGGTCAAGATTTCGGAAATGTTCCTGGGCCCCGTCGACGCCAGCTTCAACTTTACCCCCAAGCACAAGAGCAGCGCCCACGGCGAGGAGGCGCAGGGATAGATACAGTACAGTGCCTGCCACTGGCCACTGACACTGCCACTCATCACATTTTCACGTTTTAGACCATCATGCAACCAATGTTTTTTAAAAACCCCATAGAACCAAAAACAGATGTGCATCTAGATATAAGACCCGAACGCAAGTGGTGCTAGTACCCCTTGGCAGGGTCGACGGTGTTCATGGGCTTGCCGCCGGCGCGGATACGCGTCACGTTGGCCACGAGCATCTCGGCTACATGGTCAAAGTATTCCGACGTGTCGGCGCTCGTGTGCGGCGTGACGACGGCGCGCGGGTGGGTGAGCAGCGCGTGCTTGTCCGGCAGGGGCTCGGGGTCGGTGACGTCCAGGCCGGCGCCTAGGAGGCCGTCCTCTGCGTCCAGTGCGGCGAGGATGTGCTCTGGGAGGAATGTCAGTTTGTTTCGCTCAGCACATCACGAGCCGCAGAGCGGAAAGGGCGAATGGACATGGACGTACCCGACTTTGTGAGGTCGCCGCGGCCGACGTTGATGAAGAGCGCGTCCTTGGGCAGCGCTTCTGGATGGTGTCAGCTTGTGGGTTACAGCGTCGACACCACTCCTACTCACTGAAATGCTCCTCGGTGAGCAGGTACGTCGTTGCTGGGGTACTCGGGAGCGAGGCGATGAGGATATCCGACTTGCTCAAGAACTCGTTGAAGCTCGCGGGATCCTGTGTCGAGTAGTATGCGCTGGGGATCGTGCCCTGCTCGTCACCCGTACCGGGGACAATGTACTGTGTCCGAGTTAGCTTGACGGCTGCCGATCGGCCAGCTATGACAACTCACGCCATCGTCCACACGGCGCTCGCCAGACGTGTTGGCCGCAATGACGTTCACGCCCAGGACCTGGAGGACACGCGCCGTCTCGCGCGCAATGTGGCCGTAGCCCAGCATACCGGCCGTCCGGCCGCGGAGGGTGTACGAGCCTGTCCTGCCAAACGTGTATGCCGAGGTCGAGGCGTTCTCGTCGAGGGGAGCGCGGTACTGGAGCTCCTGGCGGCGGGGCCAGCGTCCCTTGGCCTGTGGGTGTCAGCTGCAGTGTCGTCGCGAGGGCCGCATAGCTGGAACTGCAGTACAACGTAATGGGCAGCCCCTCGGCGTGTCAGTGGGGCTAATAACTCACCCTCGAGATGTACACCGCCGTGTGCAGGTTGGTGTACAGACCGATAATCTGGCCAATGATGTAGTTTGGGATGGTGTGGACGTGGATGCCTGGATGTGAGCTACGTGGATGCAAAAAAAAGCTCTTACCAGACGAAGTAGAGATCGAGATCTGCTTCCTGCCCTCCTCCGTCTCAAAGATGCTGTGGTTGACAGCGAGGTTGGCGCCAGCTGTAGGTGAAGATGGTTCGTTCAAAGGGCATGAGATGAGCGCATCACGTCAGCGCTGATCATCTCCAGCCTACACCACCACCGTCACCACTCCACTCACCGCTAGCAAGCTGCAGGACCTTGGTCTTGGGGACCTTCTCGAGCGTCCATTCCGCCGGCAGGCCGAACCATTTACAGTACCAGATTTCGACCTCGGCAGCGAGCTCGTCGGGAATGTCCTCCTCCGGGTAGTAGTGCACCGTCGTAAAGTTGGAGCGCAGGAGGTTGAGCGCGTAGTCGGAGAGGGGCAGGATGACGCCACAAGTTTGGAACGACATGGGTGGTTGATGTGCAAGTTGGGGAAATGTGGGCAAAGGGAGAAGCGAAGCTACCGAGGGATCGTTAAAGTGGGCAGCACCGAACGACGAGGTGTGGGCTGCAAGTGTTTTGATGATGGAGGGAGGGGTCGACGAGCTTAACGCGCCAGTTTATACAGCTGGAAAAAAAGAAGTCGTGCACGAAGCGACGTTGATATCGTGGGTGGAAAGTTGGCAAATGTCGATGACGGACGGACGGGCTTCGCTTGCAACGAGAGGATGGTGGGGGATCGCATTTGTCAGGCTTGCGACGTTGCTCTTCTTAATCACGAAAATGGCCGCACAAAGGCACGATAAGAGCTGCAATCGCGTCACCGTCGGCCATGCCCGACAGACGCGTCGCGACGGCCCATCCCTGGTCAAAAGGATCAAGAAGGCTGCGGAAACACATGCGCTTCTCGCTTCCATGGATCTATGGAATTATATGCATCTTATCGCTGTCGCTGCTCGGGAGGGTCCGACCCGGCGGCAGTGACACACATGCAGACCTCGTTGGTGTATGCTGGGTCCCGTTTGGAACGGAGCGAAGACATTCTAGGCGCCTAGGCGCCGGCGGCAAGCCACGCGGATCTTGCAACCATGTCCCCGGACACACAGACTGGCGCACTGGCGGCGATTGGCCAACTGACCGGGGACAGCATGACATGCATGGCATGAGACTCGTATGATCTCGGCTACCAGCTAGCGGCCGTTGTCTCAACCCGGATCATGGCCGTTGCACGATAGCGATGGCGTACCCTATGGGCGTCGAGGTCATCGGGTCAGCTCCCCATGCCAAGACGCTGGCACACTGGAGGTCCTGAGGCCTGGGTCAACGGTGTTTTATGCAGAGGCTGATATGGGTGATATGGTGGTGGTACTATGGCAACGGCCTGTTTCTCCAAACTTTAGCCCGGTCTCTCCGGTCCAAATGTCTCATGGCAGTTCATAAGCACTCGCATGGGCCAGAGAACGATACAATCATTGCGGTGTGTTATCGAGTGTAGGCCTTTGCCAGTTATCCTAATGAGCCTCTGGATACTCTCCCCTCTGCCATCATGGCGACCTCGTTGACGGCCACCCATTGACGTCAGCGTGAGTCCGAAGGGCGCGCGTGCCACACTTCTATGAGGCAATGTGTACATGCTGCCAGCCCTCAGGCATGGACAGTTAAGAGTCTTCCCATCGGAAGAGAGATGTGCATGCCACACCACCTCACAGTCTTGATATCCCAGATGTCCAAGACCACAGCCCAACACGACGAGGCCGACATTATCGTCCTACCTCATCAACAACCCGGTCCGCCACAGCCGGGAGTCTGGACGCCGTGGACGGTGCACGATGGCGAGTTCTACCCTTCTTTCTATGCCCTCTGGTGAGTCCCCAGCATCACAGCTCCCTAATAACGACCAGCACGAACGTGTACTGCACCTGCAAACATCACGTTCATGACACCAAGCTGTTCATGGTGGCGGAACACGCGCCAGGCGGAGACGCCGTCGGGCAGCGGTACCGCGCGCTCGCAAACCAGCCCACCATGTGTAACCGCGTCGGCGGTATCTTTCGCCCTGACGCAGTCCGCTCGGTGCCCGGTGGACCCTGCTTTGTTCGCATCGCGGACGGGCAGGTAACGAACCCGGACGGCACCACCGTCGCCTCGGACCAGGAGGAGAGGGACGCGCAGGAGATCAGGAATGTGGTTCGGATCAGCGCCCAGAACGACGAGAGGGAGAGCAACAAGGACGTCATCGCGGCCCCGCATGTCATGAGGTGAGTGTTGTTGCTTTGGGCGCCCGCGAGTTGGGCTGACGGTCAGTCACGAGCATCGCCAGCACGCTGTCCATGCCGAAAACGTGGCTCTCCACGAGGCGCTCGCCCGTCGTGACAGCAGAGTGGCAGAGTTGGAGCACGAGACGCGTGTGCTGGGACGTAAACTCAAGAACACGGTCGACGAGATGAGCGACCAGGTGGTCGACCTGCAGGAGGAGGTTGGGCAGCTCAAGCGTGCCGCTGCGGAAAGGGCGCGTGAGATGTAGTGGAGAGTGTGTGATGTGACAGATGTGTGGGAGGAGTTTGTCTGCGCGAGCTGTACAGACCTTCCTTGTGAAAACGGTCTGAAAACGTATCGGAGAATTACCTGCTGAGGCACATTAGGACCCGATTTTGAACGGCCAGCGCCGAATTAGACACTGTAGAGGCGGTTCTAACCAGACGGACTTGTCAAAGCAACCCAGTCGTCGTTTCCAGGTCCCACCCAAAACTCTCTCCTACACATCTGTCGACCATTTGTCAATCGTCCAAGCCGCTGGTCCTCATAACAAAAGGCTGCACTGGGGATCGAACCCAGGTCGCGAGGAAGAGAGCCATCAAAACCTCGTGTGCTACCCCTGCACCATACAGCCATTTTGGCATATTGTTGACATTAGGCTAATGAATTATTGATTCCGTTGCTATTGTTTGAGGCGCTCATTAGGTTAGTGCTCTCCATACACGTGCTCTGACTTGGTCTCGATGCCACATTTCTCTCTCCATCGACCTCCCAACCTGCTGCTACGCAGCCGTCTACACCGTCTGGAGAGTGCTACGAGTATCCTCTTCACACATGCCGGGGGAACATGCGTGAGGTCAGTGCATCTTGTTGGAGTGTTGGATTTAGAGTGTCGGATTGGCCCAACGGATCGTCGCTGCTCCGCTCCGCGCAGGCAGCTTTCAGAAGAGGATGGCTATCACCTGGGCGATGCGCGAGAATGACACTTGAGTTGTCGGACACGGCAGCGAGGGCATGGCGGCCTCGGGGTATGTTCGTCAGCGCCTTTTCCACCACAACCGCCACAGGCAATTTGGATTCTCCGCCGACAACTAGTGCTCGCCAAACTACCTCACCGCCTGCTACTTCATTTCAATGCACTGTGCGCGCACGTAGTGGGCCCAATAGCAGCAGCCCAAGTTACGACTGTCTCACCCTATGGAGGCGCTATAATGGGGCAACTGGTTCATAAAAAGCTATGAAAATGCTGGGTTCGAAATATGTATGGAAAAATTAAGACTGTGTATATTCACAGGCTGGAGGGGGGAAGATGCAGGGGAAGATCTGGGCTTGTTGTTTCGTTTCTAGCACTGTACGGAGCACGGTACTGTACAACAGACGCGCCTGCGTGGCGACGTCTGTACACTTGTGTCGTTGCGGGGAACGGGACGAGGCTTAGGCGACAGGCGGGTAGAGCGTGACGGCGCCAAAGGGTCCACCCTCGCGCTCGAGGTAGTAGAGCTCCTCCTGGGCCTTGCGGTCCTGCTCAAACCAGTAGCTCTGCTTGTTGAAGAAGGGGAGGATGTAGCTCTGGTAGCTGGGGCGGAGGGCGCGCTCGATGGCACCCGCGTCGCCGCGGGCACCGGCGACCTCGCGCTTGACCTCGCGCCAGAGCTCGGGCTTGTCCGAGATGACGGCGGCAATGCCCCAGCGAGCACACTGGAGCATGTCGTCGCGGTCGTTGACGGTCCAGGTGGCAATCTCCTTACCGGCCGCAGCGCAGTCGGCACGGAACTTGGCACCTTCGGCCGTGTTGAGGGCATAGTACCACACGCTGAAGCCGTGGCAGTGGTCGAAAAAGTACTGGCGGACCTGGGGGATCGACATGGAGATGCAGTAGCGGCGGAGGAGGGGAAGGTACGCGTAGGCGGGAGCGATGAACTTGGGCTGCGACGGGTCAGCAAGTGAACACAACAGCATTCGAGGTTTCTTTCCAACACTCACGTGCCAGAGACCAAGGACAAGACGAGGAGCGAGAGCGGTCTGCCAGCCAGGGAAGCGGGCAAGTTCGGCCTGGATAAGCTTGAACAGCTTGGACGGGTCGTTTTCGACCTTGCAGTCGATCTGCGCGCGGGCACCAAGGGCCCACTGTCAGCGCGCGGAAACGCTGTGAGAACCAAAGCAAAATACTGACGTTGACTTTGACGTGCATGTTCTCGGGCTGCATCAGAATGTCGAGCACCTCGGAGAACCGAGGGATCGGCTGGTGAGGAGCCTTGATAGTGCGAACGTGCCTGGAGTGTTTGTGTAAGTGGGCTGTATAATGACGACCGAACCACGGGACAGTCGGTGTGTGCATGCCAGAAACTTACTCGAGGACACCGTGCCAGGGCTGCGAGTGGATCCGGCCGGTGCCATCAGTGGTGCGACTGAGCTCGGGGTCGTGGAACATGACGAGCTCATTGTCGGCGGTGATGTGGATGTCTTGGACGACTGTCAATTGCCGACACGGAATATATTGGCATGATCGACTTACCCGTCTCGATACCGTCAGCGCCGGCCTTGCATGCCTCGATGAACGACATGCGAGTGTTCTCAGCTAGACAGGTCAGCACAATGCACCTATACTTGCTGCTTGATACGCACGGAACGACGCAGAAGCCTGCGACAGTCAGCATCCACGTCACTGCCAAAAGCTCATCACCGCCACACCCCGCGCCGGTTTATGGCCGCCGCCGCAGGCATGCGTCTGACTCAGAAGTGGCTACTCACTCCGCGGTGGCCCCAACACTCGGGCATGCGCCAGATGGGCTGGGAGAGGTCCAACTTGTCAACGGCCTCGAGGGCGGGCGAGACGAGGGCCTCGAAGACGGGCGAAGTGTTTGTGGTCGCGACCAGTGGAGGGGTGGCGTCGATAGCGACAAGCTCCGGGAGAGCAGCGCTTCCGTTGGCCTCTGCGGGCGGGAGAGGGGGCAGAGGGGTCATGGTGCGGTCAATGTCGGCCATGGTGGAGATTGGTGGATGTGAGGGATGCAGGGGAGAGAGTGATTGATGGAATTTGTCGCCTGGCTGGTTAGATATTATAGCCAGAGAGAGTCACACACGGTCGTGGGCCGGACGAACGTGCGCCTCGCGACGGTGGTTGATGGGACGGGTATGGGCCCCCGGATTCTAATGAGACAGAGAAACCAGACTCGTGTGAATCGGTTGCGAGGTGTCCGAGTCGACTACTTGTCGCCTGGGATGGATGGAGCGGTGTGGTCACAGAAAAGTCGACTGTGCGAGGTGGCGTCTATCTCTATCGGGATAGACCACTAAACACGTCGGTGGAGGCGGGGAAGTAGACAGGGGAGGACGCGGATTTGCTCGGTGATGGCCGGCAAGTTGCTGTAATGCACGAGGGTTGTGCTGATCAAGATGAGTGTGCTGTTGGTGAAGGTGGCAAGATGTGGGCAGTGATGAGTTATACGACTAGGAAGATGAGACGGCTTGACAATGCAGCAGCAGGTGTCATCCCCCCGCCGTCTCCCCCGGGCTCCGTCCACGGGGTTTGTTGTTGTCGTGGCCGGCGCCTGGGCGGCAAATTTGGTATTGACATTTGGGACGCGCCACCCCGTTTGCATGTGGGCTGTTGCGCCGGCCGACATGCCCGTATGCTTTTTTGGCCACTTGACACAGCCCTCTTCCTCGATGGCCCCTATGTCACCGCCCCTCGCACAGAATTTTGGAGGTCCGCGCAAAGGCAACAGCTAAAAGCAAACGAGCGAGGACCGCCCGAGAGCCAAACTCGAAGCCTGGAGAGATGACTCAGGACGCGCCAGGACACCGATCAGGCATAACTCCTGAACCGCGGAGTGCAAGCGGTAAGCGATGTCAACCGGGAATGAAATCCGGAGAGTGAATACCAAATGCACCGGCAAAAGCTGGCATGAACACGACCGTATGTAGCGCGCCACCATTGCTCGGCATGTGTACGGCTACGGTGAGTCTAGAAGAGCCGGAAACGATGGGACGAGCAAAGGCAAGACGATGCCAGACGAATCGGGTTGTTGCCACCTTTGCGCCATGGAATGGAGAGTCACCTGCTTATTGCCGAACTGCAGAAGACCAGAGAGAGGGAAACGAGACAGAGGAGAGTGTGTGGAGTTGTGCACGCCACTCGGCCCCTTGACTGTTCCGAACGCACCACCGATGTCGGCCTTGGCAGGTCCGTCGACGGCCCCAATGGTCCTGTTGTGGAATGCTTGCGCGGAACGACCTTTGCCAGTCGCGCTGGCCACCACAACAGGCGGCCGATCAATCACATGCCCCCCAGGCACAAATGTTAATTGTGATTTTCTAATTGATTTTCGGAGATCTCCGGGAATCGCTCCAACCAAACACCCAATTTACACAATCCTCAAATGAGATGCCGGCCCAGGTGCAGGAGCCTCGCGATAAACGTACGCATTTCATCCATATCGTTCGCTAGGTACAACCCTTTTCGTCCCTATGCTGTGCTGCATGTTCTGCCATTGCCATCTGTACCCAAGAAACTTGCCTCCTACTGCAGCCCATCGTACAGCGCGCGCTCAAACTCATCCGTAAGCCCAGCGAACGGCTTCCACAAGTCAACCAGCTGCGTCCCGCAAAAGCCCTATACCGGTCAGCCTGTATTCAACGTGGGATTTAGACTCACCGCAACACCAGAGACCGGGTCGATCCAAAAGCGCGTCTTGGCTGCACCGCTCCACCACGCCGTTCCCTTCTTGCGTCCGTGGACAGAGTCGAGTTCAGTCAAGCACAAGGCGAGGGAGTGAGCGTTGCCCGCGCCATCGGGGTTGGTATACTGCTCCTCGCTGAGCCCACTGAACACCATCATGGCCGCGAGGTCCTCGTAGATCTGTTGGGAGGACTGCTCCGAACGTGCCGGGAGGGCATTGGCAAACACAAGGTCGTAGCCCTTACGCGAGAGCACACCGTCGCGCTTGCCGCACGCGAGGACCTCGCGTAGCACCGTCATGTACGCGCGAGCGGTACCGAGCAGGCCCGCGCCGCCGAGGTAGAGCGTGACGTCCTGGGGCGTGAGTCCAGGCACTTTGCGCAGGCCATCGGCCGGCGCGAGTCCGCCGTCTGGCTGGCGGCCAAGCACCTCCATGAGGCGCTCCTGTACCGAGTCGGTCGGGAGGAACGTCATGTCCTCCTTGGTGAGGCCGATGGGCGCAAAGATGTGCGTCTGGAAGTAATCCTCGAGGGTCGATCCCGAGACACGCTCGACGAGCACACCCGCCCAGTCCAGACCGATGCCATAGGCGTACTTGGTGCCCGGCTCAAAGAGGATGGGCTGGGCGAGATCCGCGGCCGTGGCCCCGGGCGCAAACGACTTGGCACCGCCATGTTCAGCCTCCCACCGGCCAAGCAGGGGCGAGAGCATGCCGGATCCCAGGCCGCTGGTGTGGGTAAGGAGGTGGCGGAGGGTGAGAGGCCTTGTGCGGGGCGTAAAGACGGCCGTGTCATCGTTGTACTCCTTCAGAATGGGCTGAGTCACGAGTTCGGGCAGGTGCTTCTTAATAAGGGCCGCGTCGTCAAAGTCGACAAGTCCGCGTTCCCAGAGCTGAATACAGGCGATGGAGGTGATCAACTTGGTCATCGAGTACAGCTGGAGGGCTGACATGTCAGTATTCTGTAGAAGGAAAGGGAGAGCGTCAAGGTATCGGCTGTCGCGACCGGGAGCCAGTAAGGTGCTTGGTTCGAGGGCTCCCACTGTGAACCCCCCACACCCCGAGAAGTTGTCTATGGGTCTACTCACTCGTCTTGTCGTCCACCTGCCCCTTGCTGGGGTCAGTATGCACTCGGTCTCCCTTGCAGTTGAAGTAGATCTCGCCGTCGGCGGTCGTCGCGCCGAAGAAGAGCGCTGGCCACTTGCCTGACGCAGACGCAGAGGTGAGAAGCGCATCCAGGCGCTCCTTTCCCTGGGCAGAGAGTGTGGGCGATGTCATGGTGGGATGGGTGCAGGTGCGTGGGAGGCTGGGAGGTGGTAAGATGGAGAACTAGTGATATGTAGTGCAAGGTGGGCGAGCGCGACGGGCGAGCACGGTGGGCGAGCGCACCAGTGAATCAAGCCATCAACGCGCGTGCTCGTCATCGGATCGTCGGATTGTTGAACGCCGGGTCGTTTGTGATCACCGGCGCCTCTCTCGGCAACCTAAACGGCAGAGCAGTGTCGGACACGGCCGAAAAGGGTTTACAATTCAAAGTGTGCATGCAGATGGATGTTGAACCTGGCCACGGCAGTGTATTCTGTTGTCTCGCTGAGAACGTTACCGCAAGCAAGCTCCTTGCGAGCGCCTTGGACGCGATTCCATCAACGAACCGCGCGCCATTCAATGGGCAGGCATATCGGTGAACTGACCCGCAGAGCGGCACAGGCTGAAGACGGTGCGAGCAAGCGAGCGAGTACGTCAATGATGATGTCTGTCGCAACGTGTATTATGTAGCCTGGGGCAGGCTGACTCTGCGGTCACAGGAGGTAGAATCATCGGCGTGCAAACTCAGCAAACCTGCATTGAACCAGCCCACATTCTTCCGACCTTTCTTCCTATTACGACAAATATGCACTACCACTTCACCCACGCTATTTACTCTGCCATTTCGATGCGGAACTGTTCGGGGTCCACCCTCTTTGTGTACTGTTCAAGAGTGATAAAGCTGAACCGTGCAGTCCCGTCTGTGGCCACCGTGGCGGGACGGCCAACAATGACATCGCGGTCCGGCCCGTCCGCCTCAATCATAAACTCGACAATCGCCTGCGGGATGCTGGTATACTTCTTTCTTGGGTGCAGCGGGTTGACGACGTGTTGCTGAGGGATATCAGGACAGTCGACGAACGTAAACTTTTCAATGACCATTGGCGTTGTGGAGCGCAGCCGCGCAAACGACCACAGCAGCGGTTCGAGGACACCGCGGGGCGATGCCACATACCGGAAGCCTGCGCCCGCGGCCGCACAGCCTGGTCGGTGTCGGAACCGAATGACAAACTCCAGGATGAGCTCGCCGTCGTATTCAATGTCCACAAAGTCTGCGTGCCAGCGGTTGAACTCGGCAGAATAGTCGAGGTTCAACACGATACGGGCCACACACTCGGGGACGATGAGGTGTGGGGTTGGGACGTGGACGTTGCCAAAGAGGACAAGAGTGGAGAACCGCGAGCGGTCAAGGTGCGTCTGTGTATGTCGCGTCTGGATACTCTGGAAGCGGCGCTTGGCGCATGTGTGGTGCAGGAGACGGATAGCGTAAAGGGATGTGATCCTCGTCTCCTCTGGCGGCAGAATGTCCTTGATGCGCTGCACCTCGTTGGCTGTCGGAATGTCCAAGATGCGCACATCGGCTGTCCAAAGGTGCGCACTGCCCTCCTCGCGCCGTGTTGTCCACTCATCCACACCGCCGTAAGCGGCTCTGGATGCCGGTGTACGCCCTCCAAACCCATACGGAGCCACAGTTCCATTGCTGCGGACGACGACATGGTAGTTCAGGATCTCGTCTACGCGGCTGCGCACATCTGTGCAGGTCCCACGGAGCCGCAGTAGTGCTGGAAGAGACGAGTATTGAAGTACGAGGTCGAATATGCGTGGAAACGTTTCGTAGCAGAGTACGCCACGCCCATAGATGTCCGGGGTAGACGGTGCTGAAAGGCTTGGTGGGGCTTGGGGGAACGGAATGACCGGAACGACGGAGATAACCACTGGCAAGCGTCCCTTGAGGTCCTTTTCTGGCAGGGCCGGCGGCAGTGGCAGTCGAGGCAAGTCATAGTCGTCGGTAGGGGGTGCACGGAAGCACCCTCCAAAGGGGAAGACAAAGGAACGCCGCGCTACGCTCATGGATGCGGGTTGTGGAGCCTAGACGAAGAGTCCTTTTCGTTGTTGTTGAGAAGATGTGGTTCGGTCTAAGAGTTGGGGGTATGGGGGACCCGCGGGCACCATACTTTAAATGCGAACTCGCATCGGTGATGTGGGTTTCCCAAGAATAGCCTTGGCATCATGCGCAGCAACGCACAGCGCACACCGCAGAATCCGATCTACCGTTTGTTGGAGCGCATGCGTCCACTCGAACGCCGTCCGTCCACGCATGATTTTCCCACCACCGCAGGCGTGGGAACACGGTGCCCATGTTTCATCCGCAAGAGGCGAGGAAGAAGTCTACTGCTGGAACGTTGCACCGTTTCACCATTTGAGAGATGGCACAATTGGAGCGCGCATATGCCAGGAGGGGCGGAGGAGACAGAGGACACAAGAGGCAGTGCCGCACACGCACAGAGGGCGAGCAGGAACCGCTGTCAACTACGGACGAGACGAGTCTCGGATACCAGTAGCACCACTTGCGCCCAGCTCTTGTGATGCGCAGCCCGTAGCAGACACTTTTAGACATCGAGTGGAGTCGTGGAGTCGCGCAGTCGCTCCAGAACGACGGGGTACAAGTTATAGGACAGAACGACGAGGGCGGATGAGGTCATTGGGTGTGCGCAGAGGGGAGAGAGGTGTCGTTTTGCCGCCAAATCTAATGAATGACGTCGGGGGTTGAAAGGACGCCATCTCCAAAGCCTGTAGGTCGCCGGCTCTGAGCCTGCTTTGACGCTGTGGACCTAGCGATCCCATGACCTAGTGATCCAGTTGATCCACTGTGAACAGCGACACGGTACACGGATGGCCATGCATGCAGCGTCCGTCGAGATGCAGCGTCCGTCGAGATGAAACTGTCTCATGCACCATGCCGAGCGCGCCGAGCGTGCCAGCTTAAAGATCCGGAACCTCCGTGAAGAGCCGGATCCGAAACTTGTAGGCCCGCGAATTTTAGGCATGCGGTGCCTGTCTCAAAGATTGTTGACATGGATAGGCGGGCGACAAGAATTCGAGGCAGCAGACGTTTTGCCGCCCACAACATCTACAACTTGTTGCAACACTCTCCACTACTCGCTGTATCCTTACCCGTGAGGCCAGCATCATCGACATGTCCGAGCCTCCTGCCAAGCGGTCCAAGACCTCCACTCCTGCCGGCGCATCGACGCCCATGGAGAACCCTTACCTGTACGCCAGCTGACAAGACCTCCCCCCCGATGCCGAGCTGACAATCCTCAGCGCCCACCAGAACGGCAACTCGAGCGCCAACGGCTATGCTGGCAGGGTCGAGAACCCCCTGTCGGGCATGGTTCCCCGCAAGGTCACTGTTGAGCAGTGCAAGAACATTATGGACGGCGAGGTCAACCCCTTCAAGGGTCTTGTCCCCTTCTCGGACAAGTACAAGAAGATCCTCTCGGACCGCAAGAAGCTGCCCGTCTACCAGAAGATGGAGGAGTTCCTGAGTGTCTTTGAGGAGAACCAGATCACTGTCATGGAGGGTCAGACCGGTTCCGGAAAGACCACCCAGATCCCCCAGTTTGTGTGCTACGCCGACCTGCCGCATATGCGCGGCAAGATGGTGGCGTGCACCCAGCCCCGTCGTGTCGCTGCCATGTCGGTGGCGAAGCGTGTCGCCGACGAGATGGACGTCCAGCTCGGCAAGCAGGTCGGTTACTCTATCCGTTTCGAGGACATGACCGAGCAAGGCACCACCTTCCTCAAGTACATGACCGATGGTATGCTCCTCCGTGAGGCCATGAACGACCCGCTCCTCGAGCGCTACTCGACCATCATTCTCGACGAGGCGCACGAACGTACCCTCGCCACCGACATTCTTATGGGTCTCCTCAAGGACGTGGCCAAGAACCGCAAGGACCTCAAGATCATCGTCATGTCGGCTACCCTTGACATTGAGAAGTTCTCGCGCTACTTTGGCGACTGCTCCCCCACCGGTCTCGCCCCCGTCGTCCGCGTCTCGGGCCGTACCTTCCCCGTCGAGACCTTTTTCACCCAGGAGCCTGAGCAGGACTACGTTGAGGCCTCAATCCGCACGGTCCTGTACATTCACCAAGCCGAGGACGAGGGCGATGTGCTGCTCTTCCTGACTGGTGAGGAGGAGATTGAAGACGCGTGTAGAAAGATTAGGGCAGAAGGCGAGGAGCTGGCAAATAAGGGCATGGCTGGCCCGTTGCTCGTTGTCCCCCTCTACTCGTCCCTCCCTCCTCACCAGCAGCAGCGCATCTTCGACTCGGCACCACCTGCGACCAAGGACGGTCTTCCCGGCCGCAAGGTCGTCGTCTCCACCAACATTGCCGAAACCTCACTCACCATCGACGGCATTGTGTACGTTGTCGACCCCGGTTTCTGCAAGCAGAAGGTGTACAACCCCCGTATCCGTGTCGAGTCGCTGCTTGTTTCGCCAATCTCCAAGGCGTCGGCCATGCAGCGTGCTGGTCGTGCGGGTCGTACTCGCCCCGGCAAGTGCTTCCGCCTGTACACTGAGAAGGACTTTGTCAAGGAGCTCGAGGAGCAGACCTACCCCGAGATCTTGAGGAGTAACCTCGCCAACACTGTCCTCGAGCTGCTCAAGCTCGGCATCAAGGACCTTGTCCACTTTGACTACATGGACGCTCCTGCTCCTGAGACCATCATGCGTGCGCTCGAGCTCCTCCACTACCTGGCCGCGCTCGATGACGAGGGCAACCTCACTCCCCTCGGCACCATCATGGCCGATATTCCCCTCGATCCCCAGCTCGCCAAGATGCTCATCACGTCGCCCGAGTTTGGTTGCTCGAACGAGATGCTCTCGCTCGCTGCCATGCTTTCGGTCCCCAACGTCTTCATGCGTCCTTCCAACGCCCGCAAGGAGGCCGACCAGGCCAAGGCCCAGTTCACCCACCCCGATGGTGACCACCTTACCATGCTCAACGTTTACCACGCGTACAAGAGCAACGAGAACGACGCCAAGAACTGGTGCTGGCAAAACTTCCTCAACCACCGTTCGCTCCTCCAGGCCGACAACGTTCGCACACAGCTCAAGCGCAGCATGGAGAAGTTTGACCTCGAGCTCGTCTCCACTGCGTTCGAGGACAAGAACTACTGGAACAACATTCGCCAGGCGCTCGCGTGCGGCTTCTTCATGCAGGTCGCGCACAAGGAGGGTGAGAAGGGCTCGTACTCGACCATCAAGGACAACCAGGTCGTCCGCCTCCACCTGTCCTGCGGCTTGGACCACACCCCCGAGTGGGTCCTGTACAACGAGTTTGTCCTCACCACGGCCAACTTTATCCGTACCGTCACCGAGGTCCGCCCCGAGTGGCTGCTCGAGTATGCCCCGCAGTACTTTGACCCCGAGTCGTTCCCCGAAAACTCGGAGATCCGCCGCGCGCTCCAGCGCGTCATTCTCAAGAAGTCGGGCAAGTCGAGCTCGTCGGGCGACAAGGACAAGAAGAAGAAGCGCAAGGAGCGCCACTAGAGTGTTGGCCGCCCTTCCCTTTAGCCCAACGGGCTGAGGTTGCCTCGCTTTTGTGGCCTACCTAGGCCACACCCCTCGCTGCGCCGCCTGATAAGCGGCAACCAGCATCAAAAGACCGTATCGAAACGTCTATCCATACCACATCGATACAGATCCTGCAGTTCATAGTATGCATCACAGCCCAACGGGCATAGATTTCATGACACATGGCCCCTCAGCTCTCTTTCCCCCTCCCTCTCTTACTAAACACCCGCTCTTACTAAATCTCGCCCTCCTCGCGATCGTCCTCCTTGGTCGTCGCGGTCGCGGAGCGGGATTCGGACAGGCGCCGGCGCTTGGGGTCCCGGGGATCCTCAGGCTCGCGCTCGCGGTTATCGCCACGTTCCCGCGGCCTGCGGTCGCGTTCCTTGTCCCTCTCGCGCTCCCTCTCACGGTCCCTCTCCTTCTCCCTCGCGAGATCCTTATCACGCTCTCTGTCCCTCTCCCTCTCCCTCTCTCTGTCGCGCTCCCTCTCGCGGTCCCGGTCCCTGCCGTCGCGGTGCGAGGAGCGATACTCGCCTCCACGGCGGTAGTCGCGGTCCCTGTCGGAGCGATCCCGGTCAGAGTCACGGTACTCGCCACGACGGTAGTCCCTGTCCCTGTCCCTGTCGCGCTCGCGATCGCGGTCGGAGCGACGACGGTGGTCGTGGTCATCCACGTCCATGCGGTGGCGGGAGCTCTCTGCCTCGCGGCTCTTGTCCTTCAGGCGGCGGATGTGCTTGTCAAACGCAGCGCGGCGGTCCTCCTCGTCGACAATGTCCTTGAACTCGGGCAAGTCCTGCATCTTGGGCAGGGCATCTTCATAGGTCGTCTCGGGCTCGATGGTGCGGACCTTCTTGAGGGCGTCGCGCAGATCCTCCATCCTGTGCCGGCGCTTACGCTCTGCGCGGCGCTGTTCCTCGGCAGCGGCGCGGGCGAGGCGGCCGTGGATCACTTCGTAGGCAGTCTTGCAGTGCTCGGGCGATTCACGGATGTTGGCTTCAGTACAGAGGGCCTCAAACTCGTCCAGCGTCGTGTCAAGCTTGGGGGGCTCCTTGCCGGCATCCCTGAGCGCGTTCTCGACCTTGCGGGTGACCTCCTCGGCCTCGATCTGCAGGCCGTCCACCTCGTCCATCCACAGGTCGAGCGGGCTGCTTCCCGGAAGACCAAGGAGGGCAGTGTATCGCTCGTCGGTGCGGAACTTGGGCAGGGTGTCCTTCCACTTGGAAGTGCGGTGGAGCTCGCCCTGGGTCTTGAGTTCGCGCAACAGGTCCTTGAACCCGTCACGGGCCTTGCGAGCGCGGCGCTTGTACTCGGTATGCAGGCGGCGAGATTCGTCGTCGTGTTCCTTCTCCAGCTGGCGCGAGTAGTTGTCGTAGACGTTGAGAATGTCGATCGTCTCCATGCTCTGCAGCGAGGGATCCTTGCGGAACGCTTCAGAGTGAAGGATGGTATCATGCGCAGTCTTCCAGCGAGTCGTGACCGTAATGTCCATGCCCTTGATAAGCTTGGTCAAGGCGGAGATGTTGGCCTCCTTCTTCTGACGGCGCTGCTGTTCCTCGCGGTTACGCAGCTCGGTGGTGTAGGCCTCGAGGAGCTCGCGGCGGACCTCGGGCTCGGCGCGACGCCAGTACTTGTCCTGCGTGAACGCTTGGTTGGCCGTCTTAAGCGTCGAGTAGCTCTCGATGATGCCCGAGTTGGCAAACAGGCGCGTGAGGTGCGGGCGCAGCTCGGCAATACGCGCAGCGTGCTTGGCCTGCTTCTCAGCCGTGAGCTGCTGGAGCCATTTCTCAAACGCCGCCTTCTTTTGCGCCAGAGTGTCCAGAGCCTTGAACAACGGATCCTGGACAATGCGGCGCATCGTCTGGTCCCAGGTCCACTTTTCATCGATACCCTCGCGCTTCAGCAGGTGGATGAACGCCGCCTCAGCCTTCTCGTGTGTCGTAAAGCCACCAGGAGGAATCACGACCGTCTCGACCTCGACCGGCGGGGTAGCGCTGCGCGAGTCGCGGTAACGCGTGAGCGCGCCTGCACCAGCAGGGGATTGGGATCCCGGAGATGGCGAACGCGAGTCGGGAGGCGGGGTAGGGCTGAGTCGTCAGCAATCGTCCAGCATAGGTTGTCGTCACTCACGTTCCCTGGCCCGTCACCTTCCTGTGCTCGCGCTCGCGCCGCTTGACCGCTTCAGCCTCGACCTGCTCCTTCAACTGCACAAGCTCCGTAGGGAGGTCCCACTAAAGTGTCAGCTATCTCCGCACCTGGACCAGCTTACAAGAGTCTCCTTGGTCGACGAGTTGACATAGTACTCTCTGCCCTTCGAGTTGTACTTCTTCCAAGCCGTCTTGGCCATCGCGCGCTGCACTGTTAGCTTCCCGTGTATTCCTGGTGTGGACCAACCTCAAAGGGCGACTGTAACATGTCAGTTTAAACTCTTCATACACATCCTGCAACTCACCTTGAGATCCTCGGGCTTCTCCCACACCGACTGCTTCGTGACCACATGGGACCAATACACTCTTCCTTCGGCGTTCTTGTACTCCTTCTGAGAACGTGTAAGCTACGAGACAGCACAAGGGAAACACCTGGGCACGTACCCATTGCTGCTGGCCCTCGGGGGCGGGTGAAGCCGACATGGCAAGACAGTGGATGGACAAAGGCGAACGAGAAGCGACAGGAGGTATAGATGGATGGATGGATGGTGATGCCGCTTGTGGTTGGCATTTGACGGCAGGCAGACAGGAATTTTGCTTCCGTCGACGCATAACAAAAGGCACGATAAGATGGTGTTTGTTTTGGCCGTGTGGACACGGGGTTGCGGTGAAGCAGCAGTCTCACAGCTCATGATATGTACACGGTCTGATGGAGGGCGAGATGAGGAGAACGAGATTGCCAAGGTCGAGAAGCAAAGGGAGGATAGACCTATTATCATTGTTGGTGGCCAACAGGTCGGACTTGCCGGCTGGGGAGACTTCATCAACTGCTGCTCACCACCGGAGGCGTCAGGCCGTCTATTCTGCTGCAAAGTTAGTGGGCTTATTAGGACCAAGCTGTCGAGTCTTCATAATTCGCACAACACGCAGAGAACTATATGCATCTCGATCTTAATGTCACGGACTGTACACGTACACAGCAGTATGACACCAAGGTGGAAGGAGAGGCATGGGGGACACAGAGAAGGGGGCAGCAAGGATACAGGGTTTGACGAGTCGTGGTCCGCGTGGGGTGATCGTTAAGTAGGTGGTCTCGCGGCGGCGTGGGGCATGCACCGCCTTTGTTTCGTTCTCGTATGCCTGGGTTGACAGAATAGCAGGGGTGGGCAAAGAGGGGAGGGGATGATGGAATTGGCTGGGGTCTCGCTGGTGTGGTGGTTCCGTGTGGGTCCGGGATGGTGGTGGGAGTGGCAACGGAACAGTGGTGGCAATGGGTTGACCACGTCGCAGGTACATAGAGTGAAGACGAGAGGAGGAGCCGATCAACGCCTCTGTTCCGACTTGATGTGGAAACGCGGGGGGCCGGGCTTGCTCATTGGAGCTTCGTTCTTAACCTTTGGGCCTTCGTTCTTGACCTTTGGGGCCGGATACTTGAAGGGCTTGGTTTGGCCATATGCGGGCCCGGCCCTGGCATGCGCAGATGGAGGGGCAATCTTCTCGGCAAGACTGCCGATGAGGACGATGAAGATGCTGATGGCGAAGAACCCAACAGTGACGGGTACGATGAGGTCGTTGAGGTAGAAGAAGAACACGCCAATGCAGATGAAGATGAGGCCAGCAATGACGTCGGCGCCGCTGGGGTCGTCGGACATGATGAAATGGGTAGTGGATTCGAGGTTTTTACTGAAGAGGAAAGAAGGGGACTGGGTTTCGAGGTTGGAGAGAAGGCGGTGGATGTATAACGAAGCGGTGAGACCCAAAGCCTTCCCCCCCGTTTAGTGGTGCGACGGACACAATGAAAGGCAGTCGCCACCACCCCTCTGTTTTGGACCGCTTTTGGGCGGTGGGCCCCCACACATACCAAAAGAACGCGTCTCGCTCGCAAGTCGCGCATCGCAGAGCGTGCTGACTTCAAGATGGGACGGTTCGCCTTCTGTACATGGCATAGTGCCACTCCACGTTCCACCTCGCATTTCACGAGTCTCGACTGCGTCGACGCGGGCGGCCACCAACTTGAGTGCCGATCGGCAGACGACTTGCAGTCGCCACTCGGTGCCTGATCGCGGCAAGCGGCGGGACAACCGAGACCAGTCTTCGACTTTCGCTTTGATTTCCACCACATTCATCCTCTCTTGTCAACAACACACAATGCCACCGCGCGCTTCGCCAACCTCGGCGCTGCGGCTGCGACGATTCTACACGTCCCGTGCGGCAGTGGATACACCCCCGCCAGTATCTCACTCTAGGGGGGCACCGAACGGGTCCTCCGCGTCGCTTCCCCCAAAACGCAAGCAACGCTCCACCTGGACCCAGCGGTTGCTTGTCCTTGGTCTCATTGGAGGCGGGGTGTACGCCTATGACAAGAAGTTCAATGCGAGCGCGATCACTAGGAGCTTGCGGACGGGATACATTGGGTGAGCTATGACGATCTTCAGATGAGCTGACAATAGGCTGTTGTGTACCTTGGACTGTGGGTGAAGGAGCAGGATCTCTCTGACCCTTTCAGACAAGCTCAACTTCTCGCCCGAGAAGGCCAACGAGATCAACGAGCTCCATGAGCGCGTTGCCAAACGTCTCCGCTGGGTCATTGATACTAACCAGGGACTGTACCTGAAGCTCGGACAGGCGATTGGTACGTCCGCCGTCGCTCCTTTGCTGCTCCCTTGCTCCATCTAACATCCCGTCCAGGTCTCCAAGCAGCCCTTCTCCCCAAACCCTACCGCGACGCCTTCTTCCATGTATTCGACAACGCCCCCTCTGTCCCGTACGAGCAAGTCGTCCAAGTCTTTCGCTCCGACCTCGGCATCGATCCCATGGACGTCTTTGGCGAGTTCTCCAAGGAAGCGCTTGCGTCGGCGTCCGTCGCGCAGGTTCACCGCGCCGTCTTGAGGCCAGAGGCCGGTAATCCCGACCAGGTAGTGGCTGTCAAGGTTCAAAAGCCTGCCATTGCGAAGCAAATGGAATGGGACTTGTTCAGTTACAAGTGGGTGTTTCTGACGGTGTCGTTGCTAACCCGCACAGAAGCCTGATGTGGCTCGCGCAGAAGGCCTTTGACTTGCCTTGTAAGTTGCTAGCTATGGCATAGGGACACCCGGCTGACCCCCCTGCAGTGTATTTTGTGTACGTGGGGAGTTTCTGCGGTCTGCTTACCTGTATCACAGCGCCGACTACGTCTCCTCACAAATGCGCTTCGAGACAAGCTTCACTATGGAAGCCGCCAACGCTCGCAAGTGTGCGGCACTCCTTGCCCAGACGCCCGAACTCAGAGACGACGTGTACGTGCCACGAATATATGGCAAGGAGGACGGATATCCCGAAAGCGACCGTATCCTGGTCATGGAATGGGTTGATGGGTGCAGGTGAGCTCACTTAGTATCGTCTGGCAAGCTCACCTCTAGGTTGAATGACAAGAAGCAGATTGAAGCATGGGGCCTCGATCCGCGCGAGGTGATGGACCTTGCCATCGGTCTTAATGGCGCCATGACCTTTTCATGGGGCTTTGTCCACTGTGACCCGCACCCAGGCAACATTCTCGTCAGGCCGCATCCGTGGAAGAAGGGCAAGCCTCAGATTGTGAGCTGGGCAGACATTGCGCTTTCAACCAACTAACCCTCAGGTTGTCCTCGACCACGGCCTATACATCACCCTCCGTCAGTCGTTCCGCGAAGAGTACGCCACTCTCTGGCGCTCCATGTTTGTCCTCGACATCGACACAATCGAGAAGATTGGCAAGAAGTGGGGCTTGGGCCTGGATCCTAACATGTAAGTGGTGATCTCTAAACGTGCTTGGAAGCTGACCACCCCAGGTTTGCTTCTGCGATTATGCTCCGCCCGACCCAGGTCAAGCCCACGGGCAAGAAGGGCCCCCACCCCAAGAAATCAGAGTACGAGCTGCAGCTCGAGGTCAAGGCCCAGTTCAAGGCGATTCTCGAGAGCGAGCAGCTCATTCCAAAGGTAGGTGGGTTGACGTTGTGCCGACATGCTCACCCGGCAGGAACTCATCTTCCTCACTCGCTGCCAAAGGATGATGCAAGCAAACAACCAAGTGGGTGTCCCAGGCTGCTGGTCTCTAACCCACCAGACACTCGGCTCTCCGTCCTCCAGAGTAAACGTGACTGCACAGGTACGTGGTCGTACTGGCGTTTCAATCTCGTCGTACCGCTGACCAACGGCCATCAGTGGGCTGCCCGCGGCTACGCCAACTCGCTCACGGGTTCTCGTGCCCTCTCGGCCGTGGGCTTCCAGACCTGGCTCAAGGACAGGTTGCAAATGGTCGTGTTCAGGTTTACCCTTTGGGTGATTGACGTCGCATTCTGGTGGACCAAGCTCAAACAACGTAAGTGGAGTAGGAATATGATTTCGGCAGTTGGTGGGCTGACCGCTTTTTTCTTCTTCGTTCAGGATGGGGCAGCAGCGACGCGCTTGGATGGGAGGACCGCCTCCAAAAGCAGATGGAGTCGTTGGCGCGCGACGAGTTTGGTATCGAAATTGACGATACCGTGTTCCTCGGCTAGACTCCCAGAAGGACTCTCTAGAACCGCAGACAAAGCGTCTATATTGTTATATTGTTGTAACGGTACTTCATGCGATGGTGTAATGCTGTCTACAATCCCGTCTAGGACACCTTGGCTGTGTCCATCCTTCTTACGTTGGTCCTGCTCATTATCCTCGGCTTCTCTCTCGCTCTGTCTCTGTCTCTTTCCCTCTCTCTCTCTTCGCCATCCACTGGCGGGGAGGGCTACAACGAGATGAGCTCGCCCTCACACGCCGCACAGCAGTACATGATCTCGTCACCAAACTGCTGCGCCCTCGGCACCCGCACCTCGACAGGGGTGGTCGCTCCGCTCCCATCCTCGGACAGCGAATCGAGCGTGCTCGTCCGCCGACCAAGTGACTGGCGCGGCTCCATGCGCGCCTTGAGAGCCGTCAATGAGACGGCACGCTTATGCCGCACGCTGGCGGGCAGGTTGGCGTCGACGCTGAGGCGGGGGTATGCGCTCGATGGGCCAGAGGAGACGGGAGATGAGGGCGCGAGGAACAGGCCGGTCTGGTCGCGCTCGCGGAGCAGGTCGTGCGCGGCCTTGACGTCTGTCAGTTCCTTGGCGAGGTCGTGTGCACGGCTGGTGGCCGCGTGGCTCGTGCTCTCCAGTTGCCGGATCTTGGCCTTGAGGTCGGAAAGCTCAAGGGCGTGGGCCGCCTGTGCAGACGCGAGGGCAGCTTCCGCGTCGGCGTTGGAACTCAACGCAGACGCGGCTGTCGCCTGCTTGGTGCTAGCAGTAGCAAGGTCGGCACGGAGGGCGGAGATGGTCGCCTCGTGTGCGGCGCTGGCTGTTGCCTGGTGGGCGCTAGCAGTATCAAGGTCTGCACGGAGGGCGGCAATGGTCGCCTCGCGCTCGCTGACTGTGGCCTGCTGTTCGGCGCTGGCTGTAGCAAGGTCGGCACGCAGGGCGGCGATGGTCGCCTCGTGCTCGCTGGCTGTGGCCTCCTGCTGAGTGCTGGCGGCGGCAAGGTCCACATGGAGGGCGGCGATGGTCGCCTCGTGTTCGCTGGCTGTTGCCTGGTGGGCGCTAGCAGTATCAAGGTCTGCACGGAGGGCGGCAATGGTCACCTCGTGCTCGCTCGCTGCCGAGATGGCAGCGGCCAGGTCTGCCTTGAGTGCCGAAGCGGCAGAGTCTGCGATGGATGATGATGAGCGCAGTGCGTCGAGGTCGGCTTGCAGCTTGGAAGTGGAAGACTCGTGTGCAGCAGTTGCGTCCGCAGTGGCCTTGCGGGCGGCTTCCAAGTCGGCACGGAGCTTGTCGACAGCATCGGCACCAGACTTTCGCGCATCCTGGGTCGCGGTGCGCGCTTCTTCAAGGTCAGACTGCAGAGTAGACGCAGTGTCCTCGTGCTTCTTGGCAGCAGAACGGGCCGAGTCGAGGTCCTTCTTGAGCGAAGCGGCAGTCTCCTCGTGACCGCTGGCAGCCGCAGTGGCCTCCTCCTGGGCGTTCTCGAGCTCGGTACGCAGAGCCTCGGCAGCCTCTTCGGCGTCCTTGGCCGCATCGCGCGCCGCTTCGAGCTCGGCAGTGAGCGACGACACGCTCTCCGCGGCGCCACTGGCATCCTCCTTGTGTGCCGAGGCAGCACTCTCGTGCTCCTTTGCCGCACGCTTGGCAGCTTCAAGGTCCTTTCGCAAGGCCTTGAGGGCGGCCTCGCTCGTCTTGGCTGCCTTTTTGGCCGCGTCCTTGGCTGCTGTCAGGTCCTTCTTGAGGGTCTGCGCAGCCGTCTCGTGCTCCGAGCTGGTGTTGCGCGCCGATTCGAGCTCGTCTTTGGCAGAAGCGGCGGCAGCGTCGTGGGCCTTCTTAGCCTTTTCAAGGTCAACCTTCAAGGACGCGATAAACGACTCGTGTTCGGAAACCTTTTGCTGTGCGGCCTCGAGGTCCGACTTGGCAGTTGTAGCGGCGGTCGCGTGGTCCTTCTTCGAGGACTCGTGGGCCCGCTTTGCCTCATCGTGGTCCTTCTTGGCCTGAGCGAGTTCCTCTTTGAGAGAGGCCAATGTCGCCACATGGTCCTTGACAACTTTCTGAGATGCTTCGAGGGCAGACTTTGACGATGTTGCCGCAGTCTCGTGGGCCTTCTTGGTAGCCTCGAGGTCCTTCTTGAGGTTGGCGATGGATGCCTCGTGGTCACTGGCGGTCTTCTGGCTGGCTTCGAGGCTCGCCTTGCTAACAGCCGCAGCCGAAGCGTGCTCCTTCTGGGCCTTTTCGAGGTCACCCTTGAGGCTAGCGATAAAGTCGGAGTGCTCCTTGCCAGTCTTCTCAAGAACAGAAGCATGCTCTTTCTTTGTTGCGCTGAGCTCGCCGTTGAGGGCCGAAGTTTCGGTCTCGTGGTCCTTCTTAGCAGCGGAAAGCTCCCCGGTAAGGGCGGCGACCTTGGCCTCGTGCTCTTTGCTTTGAACTGCCAACTTGGCCTCGAGCTCCTGCAAGATTGAGGCGACCTTGCTATCGTGTTGCTGAGACGCGGCCTCGATGTCTTTCGAAAGAGCGGCAATCTTGGTCTCGTGATCGCTCTTGGCCTGGGCGAGGTCGGCGCTTAACGACTTGGCCGAAACCTCATGCTCGGTAGCAGACTTGCTCGAGGCCTCCAGCTGCTTTGAAAGGGAAGCGGCCGTGGATTCGTGCTCCTTGGTCAAAGCGGCAACCGTGCTCTCATGATCGGCGTTGAGGGATGCGACCTTGTCCTCGAGCTCCTTGGTGAGAGAGGCGACCTTGCCCTCGTGCTTCTTGGTAGCGGCAGCGTGGGCTTTCTCAAGCGCTGCAGTCTGGCTGGCATGGTCTTTCTTGGCCGCCTCGAGATCGGCAGTAAGCGCCGTGACCTTGGTACTGTGGTCCTCGGCAGATTTCTGGGAGGCTTCAAGATCCTTCTTGAGCTTGTCAACGGACGCGTGATGGCTCTTGGACGCAAACTCGAGCTCAGACTTGGTCGACGCCACCTTCTCTTCGTGCTGCTTGCTTTCGGCAAGAGCAGTGGCCAGAGCGGTCTTCAGCTTTGCGCCGTCATCCTCGAGCACCTTGACGTTTTGCTTCGTCTCCTCAAGCTCCCTCCTTGTACACTCGAGGGCAGTGTTCGACTCGCTGGCCGATGTTTGGACCGTTTCCAGCTCTGCACGAACGTCCTTGAGAGACTTCTGGTGGCCCTCGATCGTTGCGGCGGCAGTGTCGGCGTCAGCGCGCAGGGAACGGATCATGTCGGACTGGTCGGACGAGTTGGACTGGGCATTGTCGAGCTCCGCGCGAAGGGTACCAAGGGAAGCCTCGTGTTTGCTAGCCGTCTCGCGAGACGTGTCAAGGTCAGACTTGAGGGTGGCGTGCTCGCCGAGGAGCTTATCGTGGGCGGTGGCAGTTTCGGCAAGCTTCTCGTTGGACACGGTAAGCTGGCTGACCTCGGATGACAGCGACTCGACGCGCTCCGTGAGGCTGGGGACCTTTTCGGCCTCAGTCTGAATGTGAGCAGGTGACGCACAGCGTGTGGATACGCACTTTTGCTGCCGAGAGCTCTGTCTCCAATTCCTCCTTTGTCTTCTCCCAAACCTTGTTCTTGCTCTCCCAGCTCTGAACCTGTGTGACCAGCTCGGCCTTCTCATCCGACGTCTTGACGACCTTGCCGCGCACCTCCTCGAGCTGGGCGACGAGGTCGGTGTTGTCGCTCTGAAGGGCATCACGCTTCTTCTCAGCAGCTTCGGCTCGCTTGGTCGTCGCAGCCAGGTCCTTCTTGGCCTTGTCAAGGTCGCTCGACGTGCCCTTCAGGCTACCCTGCGATTCCTTGAGCGACTTGGAGGCAGTGTCGTGCTCGTCCTTGAGCTTGTCGTGGGTCGAGGAGAGGTCGGCGTGGGTACTCTTCAACTTGCTGTGATCGTCCGACAGCGTGCCGTGGTCGCCCTTGAGCGCGTCGTGTGCGGACTGCAGTTCCTTGAGGGAAGAATCGGTCTTGGCCGACGTGACCTTGAGCGCGTCGAGCTCCTGCTTTGTGGACAACAGGCTCGACGATGCCTCTGAGTGGTTCTGACGTCAGCCTTGATCAGATATGACCGGCTCACCTGTTTCAACCTGCCAATCTCGGCTTCCAACGAGCCCTCACGCTCTCGTTCTCGTTCAAGCACCTTCTCCAACTCGGCTACACGCTCGCCTTCTTTGCCCTTGTTCTCCTCCAGCTTGTCCTCGAGTGCCTCCTGGGCCGCGAGAGCTACATCCGTCTCCCTCTTGGCAGTCTCGAGCTCGCCGCGCACCTTCTCGAGGGCGGCCTCGGTCTCCGCGGTCTTCTTGGCCGCCACGTCGGCAGCGTCGACCTTGTCTTCAAGCGCCTTCTTCTCCTCCTCTAGCCGTGCTATCAGCGTACGCCCTTCGTCCAGGAGGGACGCATCCGACTTGGCCGACGCCTCGACGGCTTTGAGGCGCGTGATCTCGGCTTGCAGGTCTGTCCGTTCCGCCAGAAGGTTGGAGACTGTCTCTTGCAGGTTGGCTAGGCTGTTGCTGGAGCGTCGAGAGCCTTCCACCGATGCACCAGTCTGCTCTTTGGACGTGGAGGGCTGCAGCTCGGCAACAGGCTCGGCGTCGTTGTGCGATTCCTTGCCGTTGGCATCCGCCGTTGCCGAGCCGTTCACGGGCTCCTGGCTGGCCTCAACAACCGCTGATGCTGCACCCTTCCTGTCCTCATTACTGAGACTCAGGCTGGGACGCGGACTGTCCGCTGGCGTGTCCACCGCCGTAGCGGGGGAGGCAGGCGTGGCGGTTCCCGAAGCAGCAGCCTCGGCGGCCTTCTTGCCCTTTCGTCGTTGTGCGAGCTACCATTAGCATATGGATGCGATAGATTCCACGTCCACGACAACCCCCAACGTGGTAACAATGACGAGGACCGAGTCGTCGATGGCCTTGGCGCATGTGTGGGCGTTGGGGGCAAACAATGCGGCCCTCGACGCCGCAGTCGCAGCCACAACGAGGGGATGGCGTGGGCCGCTCCTCCGCTAGCTTCGGCTGGGAGCAGGCAGTACGCACCAGCTTCTTTGCGCGCTCGGCCTTCGCCTTGCGCTCGGCATCCGCGTTCTCCGCCATGTTGCGAAATGCTGAGGGAGAGGTTATGGAGTTGGAGATGAGGTGCGCACAACAGCTGAGGTATGCTTGTATTGACTTTCTGGATCGACGTACGTGTAGGCAGCGCTCATGACCACGGTGAGGGCCAGAGAGCGCGGAGGCAATCGCGCGCGTGGCCACGCGTGGAGGGCACGTGAAACATCACGTGACATGTATCAACGTATCAACCTCCCACATTCCTATCACACGTGTAAATTGGAGAACGCAGTATGGGAGTCCCTCTTGTAGATTTGGTGACCAGTATTAAGGCGTAGTGTGTTTCTCTTCAATTCGATATTCGGATGTGGGTTCGAGCTTTCCAGCCTACACAGTAACTTCACAATGTGTAGTTGCACTCATGCTGCACTCATTCCGAAAATCAGGATTAAGGAGATGTTTACCAGTTATTGCGCGTGCCATTCACGAGACTGAGGATCTCGTGCGCAATTAAACACCTGACCGTGGTTTGCGTGAAGCAATGGTCGAACTCTTACCAGCGTCTCATGCTGCATCTTTAGCTTGGCGGCTTTTGAAGTTAGCCTTGTGAGCTTGCGAGCTTGCGAGCTTGCGAGCTTGCGAGCTTGCGAGCTTACGGCCTCGTTCCGAAAATGCGTTTCCCACGATGCATCAAACAACACTCTGCGTTGACGATCTGGTCCAAAATATTGGTAGGAACGGGATTATAAATGCCAGTTGCGGAACCACACAAACAATCCTACTGCACTACTGTTGTTACCTTCGCCACCAGCCACCTTCCCGGTCATCACCCACCGGTCAGGCCAGTCACCTTCCATGTCATCCCCACCTGTCCCCATCCCGCAACCCATCCTCGACCGCCTCTCGCACTTTTACGTCCCCCGCCTTCCCTGCACTGCCCCCAGACGCCCATCAACTTCAGTAACTCCGCCCATCAACGAGACTGTACCGAAGACGTTTCAGTTCAAGTTGACGCTTGTCCATGAGGCATTAAACACACCCTATGTGCGATCTTATTTCGCGGCACTCAAGCTTTCCGAGTTGTCAGACAACGGGGCTGTAGGCTCTAGGTTCATCTACGGTCATCGCGCTGCGCAGAAAAAGGAGTTGGACCTAGAACTGGGTCTGACAGGTGTGTTGCTGGAGACGTACTTTGGCGCTGTCAATGAGTGCTTGTTGGCGGATGACCCTCGCAATGATGCGCACAAATCGGACAACGTGCCCCTCGGCTGCCGGTCATATGGCCTCGTCGGAGGAGATTCATCAGGAACACCAGACATAGACCTTTGTGAGCTCCGGAGGCTTCGCCTTGTGTTTGTGGAGGTGAAACCGGACAATGTTGTTCCCCTCGGTGCGCTGCAGGCGATGGACAATCATGTGTTAGCGGGCGCTACGTTCAATGGTCACATTGTCTCCCTTGCCTGGCCGACGATCTCTGAGGAATCGGCGTACGACAACGACATTGAGCGGGTTTTACGTCAAGTGAGTCTCTCCCATTCTTGTCCAAGCACTCACACAGCACAGACCCAAGGTTTATACCCAGTTCGCGAAGTGTGATTCTGTCAAATATGTCCTCCTCACGACCGACCAAGGAGGCAGACTCTTTCGGCGCATCCCCGAAGCGATTCAGATGTCCCATTTGATTCCTGCTCGCGGCCAATGCTCGGCTGTGGCGCCTGTTAACAACCTTTTCACGGTCATCCTGGCACTGGCGGTCCTCCCCGGCGCTGACCTCGCCCCCAACATCCCATCACTTCCGGGTCGTGTAACGCGATCTGCCACAAACAATCCTCAGCTTCCGCTGCCCGTCGACCAAGAGGAGAATCAGGCGGCGACTTCCTCGCTCATCCCAGAGGGTTTGTTGTCATTGTCGCCCGAGGTGAAGGTAGTCGACGTGGCTCTTCCTGTGAGTATGGACGAACGACGAGCAGCCTCCTAACGCCAGTATCTTCCGGATATCCTCGACTTCACAGTCACTGCAGCACGCGACACATGTGATCTCGAGTACCATGCCGCCTTGTTTTCACGCGACCTCGAGTCCGTCCGCCTTCGTGGTCCCGTCTCGCTTTCCTCCTTGTCGCGTCTCTCGGCCTCCTCGGCCCAGCCCACCCTAGAGCCCCCTCCCATGGTCCCCGAAGCCACGGTTACCATCGCTGTCTCTGAGCGCATTGGTCAAGGGGTTATCTGGAACGCCTTCCGAGGCGAGCTAGGACCCACGCGTGAACCCGTCGTCGTCAAAATCTGCCGTCTTGGCCCATCAGAACTCGACAAGGACCGGCACCGCCACGTCAACGGGGAACTTGCTGTTTACGCAAGGCTGGCCGACGTAGAGGTTGTCCCGCGTATCCATTCCGTCTGGACGGGGGCGGCACACTTTGGATGGGTGTATGTGGGCGACGAACGCGTGGCGCAGGAGGAGGTGGTGTGGGCCGTGGTAATGGATGATGCCGGGCGACCTGCGACCATCGCAGAAATTCTTGGACCTCTGCGGTACGTGTCTCCGCCACCCTCAAGCCGCTGACATCAGATCGGAAATTCTCGCAGCTTATGAAAGTCTGCACGGTCACGGAATCTTGCAGAATGAGATTGAGCCAGACAACTGGCGTGTCGACAGAAATGGACGCATTCGCCTGATCGACTTCAGCCATGTATCGCTGTTGTCAGCTGGCAGTGACGACAGCCGAGAGGAAGTGAGTCGTGTTCGTTCTGCTATGTTGAGGTTGGGGCATGATGCCCACAAGTAGTATAGTGTGTGAAACCATGCATGCAGCAAGATAAATGAGGGGCTCGGAAACGCAAACATCGCAGTTGCAACAGTGGAGCACGTGCGATTTACTTCTGAATGGGATTCCTAATGGCCGATTAAACTGATTTCTGATACTCCGGGCATGAGTGGTATTTGGCAAATCATGGGGGTTTAGGAGGAATAAATGACCTTGTGCCATCTTTGAGCTCGCTACGTGTCCGCGCAGTACAGAATTCATGGATTTGGAAGGTCGTCTTGGTTTCTGAGACGACACAGGAGACCCATAGAAGTTTCTCTGCTACCAACGCCTTTAGAAGCCAAAGACGTCCCCAAGGGGCTGTCGATATGGTGAAGAGGGAGTCCTGGGATCTGGGAGTCCCTATGAGCCGATAGAGCTCCCTGTGCTGTGCAGATCCCAACGCCAAGGCAGGAGGACTCCTGGTTCCAAAAAAACAGGGGAGACGGTCCATTTTCCGACCTGGGATACTCCTGCGGATTCACACAGTTATCGTCGCAGGCCGCAGGGCTTTATGGAGAAAGAAGAGACATATTATCACTGGATAATTCCCTACGGACCTTGGACCACACATAGGCACAGGTCGCTTCACTGGCCACTGGCCACTGGCCTGGCCCGCTGGCCGCTGGGGTGGACCCGGCAGCAAATGTCCTCTCGTAAACAGGCCCTCTGGGGCTCTGGGCGTGGCCAGTTGCTGACACCACTTGTCCGCCACCAAATCTGGGCCTGTCTCCGCTGTGAGACCATGTACCAACGGATCGTCTGTTCCTCCGAGTTTTGGGCGGCCGTTGGTATGGGACGTCGTAAGTCGGGTATTGTGGGGAGGGCTGCACCGCAAACAACCTGGGACCTCGACGCAAGTACGTAAACATGCAACCTTTTATGTATAGCGTTGCAGGGAGACAGCCCGGTCCGAGTCTTTTGGGTTTACATTAAGCGTTAGAACACGTTACAGATTTACGGCAGGTCGTTGAGATTGTGCATCACGCCTCAGTTGTGAGTATGAAGGTACAACCTGCATGGTTACATGCTTGCGGTTATGATGGAGCGTCCACAAGTAATGTATCGCATAGGTATGTGCCGCATAGCGACGCAGACTCCTGATCTCCTGAACCGATGAACAGTGGCTGCAGCAGTTCGCGCACCGCGGCGGGGTTGTTGTAAAGGTATCTCCGAGGAGAGCACCAGCTGTAACAGCATTCTATTTGGGTCCTCTCGGGGTAGGTTTATCTTTTTAGCGCTTTGGGCATGATGAGATCTATGTGTCGTACATGGTACAGGCATGGTGCCACATGCCCATGTGAATGGACCGTGGCCGCCACGGCGGCACACGAGGATTCGTCGATTCGCTACGTTCAAACTTCCGCCCACCGACAGTATAGAGCTACACTGGCCGGTCCGCCATCGTTGCTGCCAAATGGCACACGTACACGATCTGGGAGATCTGTGGATCGGTGTGAATCGTTGGATCAATGCAGCAGCTTGTGTTGCCTGTGTGGGTGGGCAGCTGTGGCGTAGTGGCTGCTGGCTGGACGACGACGACGACGACGACTACGGGGCACCGAAGTGGCCGGTACGACCGGAGACCGGTAACCAAGGCTACATAGGCTTGTTGGAAACCAAGCAGTAGGAACGATACAGTAAGTACTTGTTGTCCTGTCTCGCCGCTGTCTTTGTGAGAGAGGCCATGAGAAGATCAGTGCATGTTGCACGGGAGAGCATGCCCGTGGCTGTGCGCTGCACTACATACACCCATGAGGCTTGAGGGCACATCACCCACGCCACCACGCTGCGGATCTCTCCAGGCTGCTGCCGCCATCTGCCGCGGCATACGCGCGCGAGGAATGGCGTCGCACATGCTCACGCACACCACAACATGCCAACCCTCTTTATGGGTGCACAGTGTGTGCATACTGTACAAGCACGTAGGCGGCGGCTATTCACGTCTTCTGTCGTCGTCAATCGCATCCGGCACTCTCTCTCTTAACCCGACGGTACTCTTTTGATCGTCTCTTCCTCGATTCTTCCTGCATTCGCTCCTCCACTCATTCACCGCCCGCCTACACAAACCTATCTCTTGGTCAACTTTCGTCTCGCTGCCCGTCTTCGTTTATCGTCAAGCCGCGTTTCGACTCACGAGCGGTTCATCGCGTAACCCAACTCCTCCTCTGCCTTGCCCTCTCCCCCATCCATCTGGCCCCCCATCCTACACCTTGTCACTGGATCACTGGCAACCACTCGTCAACATGGGCCTGTGCGCTGGCCTCCCCTTCCTCCTCTTCCTGCTCGCTGCCGGCCACCTGGGGCTTGCCGCCGCGACACCGGTGCGCCTGCAACCACAAACCATTGGTGAGCTTGTACCCATGCATCCATCCCCACCTTTACCCAAGCTTACAAACAGGAGCCATTGCGTCGTTTGGCGGCTTTGAAGTGTATTCGTACGACGATGCCTACGAGTTTGACCCAATGATGCCTCTGGTGCTCCTCGTAATCGGTGCCTCGGCGGCCATCCTGGTCATGGTGCTCATGTAAGTCACTCCTCTACGACCGTAACCACGGTGCCTTGATCGCCTTGAGAGCGTTGCTGTCCCCGCCATTCTGCCCCCCGTAGCAATGTCGGTTCCTTGCTCACACTCCCAGGTCATATCAACCATTACGAGACCCCGAGACCCACCCTTTGCACCACCCGGCACCCAAGCGCATGTCTTTCCTCAAGGTATCAGGCCGGTACGTGTGAAGGTTCTCAACCCCACCCACCCACACCCCAACGACGGATGAAAAGTCCCACATTCCCAACGGCAGCCTGTCTACGGCCCGAGTCGTCAGTTGTTCCACTGGGATCTAAGGATACCCCCCGTGTGTACCCTTCAACCACGAACCGGTATTGTCTGGTCCCCCACAAGCGCATGCAGCGTGTGAATCCAAATACTGACAAGCAAACAGCGTGCGACCCCCAACCCCCGCGGCACTGGAAGAGATGGTCGGCGGCCCTCCACTCGGTGTCATTGACGAGCATGCCGAGTACTGCTACAACGTTTCGGCAGCAGCAACGCGCCTCAACACAGGCAGCCGCCGTTCTAGCAAGTGATTCCCAAGCCTCCGCCTCTTTGGCGTCCACAACTCCTACGCCAGTGTAAACTTGTACATTCAGTATCTCACGGGTCTTTGGCCCACCCACGCTCCTCCCTCTCCCAGCTTGCAACCCCTCACGAACACTTGGACTCTTTCGGCCTGGCCATTGCCGCTCGGCTATAGTCTCATGGTTGGCATCAAACTCGGACACCGCCGCCTGCGGAGTGATGTACCATGTCCCAAATCATTACACTACACCTCCACAGAAAGGCCGTACTGGGTCCCACAGCCTCATTGCTGCGCCCAGATACTCATCAATGTTGACTCAGAACACGTAGATTCCAAAGAAGCACGAAGCATGACGACGACAGAGAACACAAGGATGGTGTTGGATGAGCTCACGCCCAAAGTCACAATGCACCGAAATGGTGGCGAGAAGAGCTTGTGGCGTGACATCCGCGAACCTAATTTGCCACGGGTTACATGGCGACGTCCCGATGAGTTACCAAGCTTAACCGAATTGTACTGTACACGGCGCGCTTCTCTTTCCTTGTCTGGGTCTGCGAGGCCTTATGGATCGGAGGTTGACGACGGGAGGCACAGGTATCTTGCAGCGATTCATATGGCGGGATACAAGACCGCCAGTGTGACCGAACGAGCCAGGGCCGGTGACCAAGTGGCGCCAGTGACCACGACCGCCAGGCGGCAGTGTAAGTGGTGTGGCGACAATCAATCGCAACACGTACCTTCAGCAGCCATGCTTTTTTTGAGATCAGCCTACCACAAGCATTGTATTCAACATTTTCTCTAACCAAGTACTTACTGTACAGGGCTGCTTCCCATTCATGCTGGCCTTTCAGATACGATCGTGCTGCCCCGGAGTAACTGAGGAGGAAAGACGAGTAATCGGGACTAGACAAACAAAGCTTTCAAGTATGCTATATTGGTCCTCGCTGGTCCAGAGACGCTGCTCGCCACCACCATGCCCATGAGTGTGAACGTGTGCAGTTCAAGGACTAACGGGTTCTGGAAGTATGGGCATGGTGACATGGCCGTCCTCGTCGCATGGGGGTTCCGACCCTCGTCCGTGGCTCTCGCAGCCTCATGTCCCCTCATCTCGTCGCTCTCGCTGGCTCCGAGGATCGCGGCGCGACCACACCGCCAAGACCTAAGACCTCGTCGCCTCACACGCGGCCTGTTGTGTGTAAGTGTTGCAAGGGTGCCTGCACCGCTCGGTCCTCGATCCCTTGGATCGCAGCACGGTGCCACGCAGCCTCGCCCTCACACGTCGCCCCCGGTCTCCATCCTCCCACAGCTCCCAGCTAAAGCCTCGCTACTGAGATAGATGAACGGAATTCGCACCAGTAGCAAGGGTAGAGTCACTCTGGTCCACTACGCCAACACACGCGATAGCATCTGGCCGCGACCGGTCTTATTCAGTGCGTCGTCTGGGGTTCCAGGTGCAACAACAGACCACCATGCCCCGTGTGCTGGAGAAAAGACAACGATACACAGACGACGCGGGGACGTGTGTGTTTTCAGCGGTAAACTTGTTTGCGCACAGGTCAGGCTGGCATTGGCTTGGGCCTATACTCTGATCCTCTGAGATCTGATCAGGTGGACAGAATATGTGGGCACGGACAGGCACTAAACGCCAGTGCGAGCTGGAACCCCGAGTCTGGCCGTTGTGGATGTCTGACAATGACCGACGTCGCCCACCGCTCGGGAGCGGCCGGAGTGACGGTGCGAGTTCACCACGGCCGCCATCTTAGACAACAGAGGACACAGGCCATGTATGAGACCAAAGTCGATAAACGAGGTTTGTGCAAAGTAGGAGGCGAAGAGCAGCGACGAGACTATGAGAAATGGACAACGGGAATTTGAAGAGGGTGTGGCGTCGTGCACGCGCACACACGAGCCCATGCCCCGAACCCCTAAACTGAATCTGTACACGCAAGGTGCTTGTCTCGACCTCGACTGAACATGTATACAGACCTCTCGCTCACAGATCCCACAGGCGCCCCCAACTGGCCACCGGCGGCGCAAGTGACTTGACCCCCCCCGACGACACCGGAGGGTCGGAACATACACACAGAACTGGGTAGGTGCGAGAGCTTAACTACGCCTCGTGTGTGCGGCGCTTGGAATGCTCCGCTCGACAAAGACCTGTGAATGACCAACGGGACAGAACTGGGGTCTGGCGTGGCGTCTGCGATCCCCCTTTTGAGATCTCAGAGTAAGAGTTTGTTTTCGCACGTTACTGCACTCGAAGGTGAGAACAGGCCGTGTGGAATGCCAGGCGGAGACCAAGGCTCCGCCCATGAGGAATACGGTGTGCGCTGCTCCGGCAGCTCATTCACTATCACGGCTCGCAGCCTATGTGTGTAGTGCTTACGCAGGGCGTGCAGTTGTGGGGATGAGGAGGAGGATGTGCCGACTTTTGCTTTCGTTGTCACATTCACGTTTGCGGCCTCGACACGAGGCCACGAGGCACGCCGACGAGCGCAGTGGATGTGACGAAAGAAATCAAGCGGGGCTTGCAATGTTTCGGCTAGCGCATTCAGTCATTATCGCCAGTCATGTGCGGGTGCCACATGCCCTTTTGGCTACTTGGCGGGTGAAGCGGGTGACCTGCGCAAGTAGAATCCAGTGGGGGACCTCAATTGTTGGTAAGGTTTCCACGATGCAGAGAACAAGAGGCATGTTGGGATGTGTTGCTTTGAACAATCACAAGTTAGCTTGCCTCGTAGCTTGCAACTAGTTGTTGGGGAACGGCGTGACATGAATTGACCCCGAGTGAACGTCTAGGATGGTGCGCTGCACCTGACATTCGAATGAGCGGATGCACGCAACGGCCGTACGAGAGTGCAGTACAGGCCGTAAGCCAAAGGGAGATTCTCAGGAAGACTGACGTGGGGAGACGCGGCAAGAAGCTGATGTTACAAGCGTAGGCCCAGGGCGAGAGCCTGAACGTCGTGCATCCTGACAGGCCCACCACGTTGTATTATGCATTCCGCAGCCCAAACGATGGCGTCGCGGTGTGGTGACCCAGAAGCATGCCGAGAAGGGTCGCTGCAGCTGAACAATAACGCTCTGAGCAGTGGATGCAAGCGAGCCTTCGACATGTTGGTTTGGGGAAGACTTTCTCGGCGGTTAGTTTATCAGTTGAAGGTTGGGGGTGGGGCAGAGGGCTTGGGGAAGAAGCCGATGACGATCCTTTTTTTCAGAAGCAACAAAACGACTGCGCAATGAAACCGAAGCAAACATGCCCTAATCGAAGCAAAATCAAAAAATCAAACAACCGTCAGCACGGCTGTCCTCTTGGTCCAGTTCGACGTGGGAGGGCCTGGACGCAGAAGAGACGCGAAACAGGACCCAGGACATGAGCTTGCCACACGTAGGAAGCATAGGAAGCAGACCATCGTCCGAGAATGATAGACATGGACATTCGCCATCCCCACCTTCCTTCCCTTGCCTGGCAGCTCCATCGAGGTGCTTACGTTGCCAGCCCGGGTCGAGCTTTTCTTTGGAGGGCCACAGGGTTGAATGTGGTCGATGACATGTTTGCAATATTAGTGCAAGTCGAGAATGCGGGTTACAGACAAGCAAGTGGTGAGACCTGACCGCCGCAACTTATCGAGTCAGTGTCGTGGCGACGTGGCACACCAGGCTTGCCGGCCCCCAGCCTGCAAGTCTGACAGGTCTTGACGTACATGCTCTACCCCAAAAGTTTCTCTCGCAATGTATCAGCTGACCATATCAGTGGTCTGTGGATAGGAGACATTGGCGTTTCCAAAGGAAACTGTTTGTAGCAACTGTGGCGTTGAACACGTTTTCTGAGCAGTGCCTCAATTAGCCGTGTGGACGTGACGCGCACGCCCAAGCACTCTTCCACCCTTCGCTAACGGTCAGCACAGCATGGAGTGCATCAACAGTGGTCTTGTGCAGCGTCGGTGTCGCCCTCTTGTGTGGCCTTGGCGATAAAAAAAAAAAAAAGTGCGAACCTTGGAGAGGTTTACCTGGACGGCCATTTTCGCGCTGCAGCGCCACCGTCGAGCCCTCTGCAGCAACCCTCCGGCCACCCTCCAGCGGCATCCGAGACTCCGCTGTTAAGCGGCAGCCATACCGCACGCCATGGCGCGGTGTTCGCGTCCCCGCGTTTCCTCTCGCCAGGCCAGGCGCCCACACAGTTCGCACTCTGCGGGGCTCAATTGCAGGCAATCAGTTTCATTTTGCACAGTGCCTCGTCACTCCGAGGAGGCCCCCGGCTGGGCACGGCGTTCCTTCATACCCTCTCTGCCTTGGAGAGCTGCTGCGGCGGCGCGGAGCGACACGTCACGTCCCATCACACTGGGTCCAACGGGGTCATGGCGTACGCGCTCGGCACCGCGGCGCGGCGCTACGCCGTGCCGTGCGCCGGCCAGACAAACACGAGGCAAGGACAGCCGACCTCGGTGTTGAGTAGTTGGCACATCCATTGGGCAGATGGTGTCTCCGGCGGCGTCCACGCCCCGTAACAGCGCCGGCCCCGGTGTGGCGCTTAATTTGGAGGAGGATGGGACAGACAGCTCTTGTGTACCACTTCTAACCCCTCCCGGTCGCTCAAACTGGGAGTCGCACAGCCTGCATCAGGTCCAGGTTGCTACCTGTGGTGTACGTGTCGTCTCGTTTCGGTCGCCCCTCCCCCCGTTTACGAGGGCGCGTGCGACTGGCTGAAATGATACAGGGGGGCTGGCCGTAGGTGTCAGTCACCGTGGCGTTCCTGTGATCTTCTTGGGTCTGTGTCACATGTCTGTGTGAGGTGAGGGTGGGGGGACATGGTCGGGGGACAAAGCGCTTCGTGAGCGATTTGGTATTGGGCAGCCTTGGCCTTTGATATGTGACCAACGTTGCGCGCTTTGTTGGTATTGCAACCACAATCTCGCGCACGTTTGGGGCGGGCGGGGTCAGTAAACCCGCTCAGTCGCACTCGAAGGTGTATACTGCATGTTCCTCTCTGCACAGTCTGTTCCACCGACAAGGGACCATGGACGGCTACCGTGGAGCAGGTCGGTCTTGCAGACGAAGCGTGGCAGAACACAGTCATGTTACAATGTTACGCGTAATGTCTCATTAGCGTCCACCCCCTCCACTTCCTCACTTTTCTTATGCTCCCACTCCCTTTGAACGCGTTGAATTTCTGAACCACCCCCACAGTGAACCCCACATTCGCCTCGTCATAGTACCCTTTTTCCCCGCCCCTTACGCCAGGCGGTGACTGACCAAACCGCAAATGTACGCCATCAACTTGAGGGCGACGTGTTCGACAGGTGAATCGCCCGCGGCGCGCGGCGCGGGATGGCCCACTACGGCGCAGCGGAACCGATCGCATTTTGGAGGCGACGACGACGACGAGGGGAGAGGGAGGGGGGGGGGGCAGTGATGTGGAGACAGAATGGCGGCGTCGAGGCTTGCCGTGGAGTGGCTATCAGAAAGAACATGAGCATTCAGCCCACAACCAGGTACCAAACTCAAAAAAATGAGAGATAGCCGTGTGCTGTCCAAAATTAACCGCGGCGCTGCCAGCACGACACGGCCAGCCGCTGGCGGCCGCCACTGAAGCGGCCAGTTCTGCCAGTTCTCTGGGCCACAACTGTTCAAAGCTGGTGCGCAGTGTGCAGGTATACCACCACAGGCACTGATATGAGACGCCACGCGATCGAGCCGGATGACGCCAAGGTGGTCTGATGGGCTTGCACGCCCATGTTTTGTTGGTAAACTCTCCGGCGGTTGAAGGGGCTCGAAAGGGGCCACCGCGGGCCACTGAGGATCAGAGGGGCAGGTGCACGTTCTGGGTATGACAGTGCGGCGTCCGTTGAAAAAGGCTTGGAGGCAGTTACGGAGGGCATCTACAGGTCCTGTGATCCTGTGATCCTGTGTCCGGCACGCAGGCAGTGTCAGCTGTGGCTGATGGCCACACTCTCCGGATCCCTGGAGAATCGTGTACACCTCTTCTGGCTGGGATCGTGGCGTCCCCGCGGCCCGCATAGACTTTCCTAGACTGACAGAGGTCTCAACGCCTCTCGTTAGGTCGCAGGATTCGCAGGATTACAGGCTCACGTCAGACACAGAGGTTCTTGCGACGCTCGTCCGCTTCTCTTGATGGGCGGGCTTCCATCAGGCCGAGAACGGAGAGATGCCCACGTTGGTTCTGGAGATAGGCAGCCGCCGCCACGCCACCGCTTCGAAGCCTGTTTCGCAGGCAAGTGATGTCTTACCCAAGCCCAGTGGTCGAAAGCGTCAAGCGAGGGCTGACCGGAGTAGTCACCCCGCCCCGTCACCATCAGCGATCACAGATACATGTGGTGTCATGGCACATATGTTGCGAGCGAGCGCGTGATGAACGGGGGCTGTCTGTGATCTGTGATCAGTGACCTGAGGATGCACATGAAACGCGAGCTGGGACTGAATCGTGAATGAGATCTCAATGGGTCGCAGCTGCCTGGACTCAGGCCCGAGTGTTGCGTAAGCTGCAGGGCCATGCAACGCGCCGGCGCCCCCCCGGATTCTGGTAGTTGGACCATTCGGCCGGACTCGTATCCACGTCCCACCGGCTGCTCCCGAGGAACACTCCGGCGGCATCTAAGCGAGAGAAGCAGTGATAAGTAGTGAGAGCAGCAGTCAGGTCGTCAGGCGTGGCACAGTAGCGTCTCACCAAGTCGTCATACACAACAACCGCGGCTGGCTATTACAACGCCCAGCACAATGATTACACCTTCTTCCAGTCTCAGCCTCTGTAAAGCGCACCCTGGTTCGCAACCCCCGCCTTCTTTCTTGCGCTCCACACAGGTCGCGCACATTCCGCCAGATCCTTCTTGCTTGATATGTGTCCGATCGAAAGTCCGCTCTCTCCCACCCAACGCCGGTCTAATGGCGCCGCGCCCGGGGGCGGGGCAGCTACCAACCGTTCTCTTTGACGATTTGGGCTTCCTCGAGAATGTATCGCCCTGAGGACGGAAGTAACGAAGATAGGAAGGACGGGCAAAAACGTGTGTGGTTCAGCTGCAGTGCGAGCAAGATGGAAATAGCCAACGGAGCGTTCGACGTGGGTGGCGTCGTTTGACAGTGGCCGGTACTGAGACCAGTGCGCGCCACCGTCCGGTGATTGCAACTCACCTTCCTTATAGCGTTGTTCACCGTTAGGGGCCTTGATATACATCCAACCCAGCTCGGCATTGCATGCCGCGCAGTGGAGGTCAGCGACAGTATGCTTGCCTGTCCTGAAATGCACGTCAGCTGGGGTCGCGCGTCGCCCTCGCCGTTCCCTGTCCAGAGGCTAATGTCCACCTGCTGCGACGCCAGGTAGCAGCGGGTGTCGGTTTGTGGGGTTGCAGCTTTTCCCTACAGTGATGCACCAACAGTTCATTTGGCTGTGGCCGGGCGTGCACACGCACGCTAGCGCGCCAGGGACTCATTGGGCAACTCTCTCACTCTCACTGTGGAGTGGGGGGGGGTGGATACGCACATGAGCTTTCTGTCCTCCCTCTTGCCCAGATTGGTGTTGATCGTCGAGTTCATTAGACTGTCAGGTGTGAGCATGCTGGCTCAAAGCACTCTCCCTGGCAGGTGATACATACTATGCGCGCCCAGAACGGCCCATGAACGCCTTGGACACAAGTTCGTCCTGCAATGCCTGCGGGCGCGCGTTAGCCTGTGCACCGCTCCGGCTGTTGACTGAATCCACTCTCTCTCTCTCTCACTCCACCTTGCACTAGTGCCAAGGAACGGAGAGCGGAACCTGCCTCCAAATTCAACGCACGAGCACTTCAGAGCACTTGACACAGGAGAAAACGGGGGTTCCGTCGGGGACGTGTGCGAGGTGGAGGGCAGAGACCGTGGGCGGCGACGAGGACGACGAGGACGACGCAGCGGCGGCGGCGGCCGCAGAGGGGCCCGTAGGTGACTGCATCTGGGTACGTTGGAAGGGATGGTGGTGTATGGAATGGACCCGGAGGAGGGAACGAGGGACAGAGAGACGAAGACGATAAACGACGACGACGACCACGGCGACGACGACTAGCGAGTGAGCCAGATGGAATGCGACGAGAGACGAGGAGGTTGCCCCATCCCACCGATGATCTCATGATCTCACTCTGCCAGGACTTGTTTCCGCCCGTTCACATGTCAGGCACGGAGGCAAAAAGGCGCGGGGGTGGCACTTGTGACGGCTCGCGGGGTGTGGGTGTGGCGATTCAAAAATCTAGTCCATGTATATCCGGCGCGGGGAAGGGCAGTGGCCTGTGGGGGGGGAGGGTGGTCTGCGGCTGCCCGTGGCGTTTTCCTCGCTCCCTCCTGCTCGTGCTTGTGCGTTTCTGCACCTGTGCGCGCTAGACGCCCAGCAAAAAAGGTGCCTAGTCCTGTCCCAGCTGGCCAGCAGACCCCTACCACACTCAAACTCAATCGTTGGCGGCGCCGGCGGCGGCGTGCCCCACTCCGCTCCGTCCGCTTGGTCCGCTCCCTCTAGGCCTCTACACACACACACATCCTTTCGCTCTCCAATTTCACCTTTTTTTCGAGGCTTGCTCTGCTGCTAGCCGCATCCTCCTCGGACCCAACGCGCCTGAGGCCTGCATACGTCGACGTCCCGCCGGAATCCGGGCGAACGCGCCAAGGACACCCTACCACACCAGAACTCTCCCACTTAAAAGACATGCCATCCCCAGGCCCGCCGCATGGATGGCCAGGCAATCAGGCGCCGAGACTGGCGTCGCCCGGCCGGACGCCACCACGCATCTGACTTCGATACGCCCTTGCCTCGTGTTCAGGTAACCGAGAGCGGAGAGAGCGGAGAGATGACGCCGGGCAGGGGGAGGACGGGGGAGACGAGGGGAGAGACGGGGCAAAGAGTGAGAGGGTGCACACACACACACACCTGTATGAAGGCACCTTTGACATGTTGCAGCCGCAACAGAAAACAGACAGTGTGGGGAACCGCGCACAGGCCGGACGCCCCAGAACGAGGACGTTGCCACGACCGATGGCGCCTCCTTCGCGCCACGTCTGGCACGCTGTCTGGCACACCTGTGTGGCCTGAAGCTGATGCACCTGTGTCTGGCGTGTCTGTCTGTCTGCTGCACTGCGAGACAAGTGCTGCCCCTTGGCCGCTGCCCATCAAAAGTGCGACGGAATGCGGGGGTGGGGGGACCGCGCTATCACCATGTATAAGAAGGTACCGCACTTTTCTTGTCACACCTATCTCCAAACACACCCAGCACGGCACAGAGCGACCCAGGCCTCCAAAGCATCACATCCTCTCCCGCATACATACATACCAACATAACACCCATCCATCCATCCAAACCCCACTTTGCAAGCATCCACCCCCACCACCCTGCAGTGGACAAAAGCCGGCACACCTTTAAGCTGGCGCGGAACCTACCCACCTCTTACCCCACATACCTCCACCGCCCAGCTACCTTTTCAACATACCGTCGATCAACATGGCTATGCGCCGTCAACCCATTTCGCTCCCACCTCCCGTCTCCTTTGAACGTGGACGACCGTACCCCGCCCGCCGTGCAAGCGACAGTGACAGCAGCATGTTCCGCCCCCCAGCCCAGCGGTCTACTTGGGTCACGGCACCTCGCAACCACTCGGCTTCTCCGTGAGTGCAGAGTGTTTGTGCCTTTTTGGGTGCTTCGGGTTCGAAGCAAAAGAACCGGTCTGGCAAGTCACATGACCAAGTGCTAACCCATCCACAGCCCGCTCATGGCCATCTTGGAACACGGCCACGATGGCAAGCGCATCCACCCCGAAAACGAGTACCACCGCCGCCTCAAGGCTGCATCCAAGCGTGACCGTCACAAGCTGGCCAAGGAGGTGAGTCACATTCCGGCTTTCGTAGCCTTTCCCGCCTACATCACACATTTCGCATCCCAAAACGCAAGGGAGGGTGGTGGGGATTGAGGGAACCACAAACGTCGAGCGTCGAGACGCGAAGGGGTGATCGATGTGCATGTGTGAGGTCCCTGTTTGCAGTCTGGGGAATCTGGCCTTTGATGCTTGATTATTTACGTTTTTTTCCCTTTTTCCTTGGGATTGGCGCGTGTTTTGGAGCGGGGGGGTCGTTTTTTTTTACCCTGGGGGGGTGGCACCCGGCACTACCTGTTACCACCCACCCACCCCACTCTGGTTCAATTCAAAAGCCTCTTCTCCCTTTTCATAATCCCTTCCAAGCCTCCATGGCGCCTCCTCCACACAATCCCTTGCTATGCTCCACCCACCCCCGCAGTCGATCGCGATCAGAAGGGCTGCACTGACAATTCAAACAGGACGAGTATGCACTTGACCGCTCTCTCGCGCAGGTTGCTCCCGAGCACGCGTGTGCACGTTGCAAGTCCCAGCGATGGCGGTGCTACATCCCTCGCGACCCCCACTCGCCCCGCCGTACTTGCCTGCCCTGCGGAAAGAACAAGTGCACGTTTGGTGGATCAAAGTCGCGCCCACCCACCGTCGCAGAGGTCGCCGCAAACGCCACATCCATCACACTTCCTCTGCCTGTTGCCACAAGCCAGCGCCGCGCATCAGTGTCGATTGCGTCTTCAGCCTCGAGCTCGTCGAGCTCCTCCGTCTCGTCAACGTCTGACCGCTTGGGCCTCGACATGGTCGACAACAAGCTCCCCCGCCCGCGCCTCGCGCCTCCCCGTCCCACGCTGCTCAAGAGCGAGTTCCAGTCGTACCGCTCCCTCGCACCCACGCCGCCACACACATCGGCCTCTCTCCCTACTCCACAGCTCTCGCCCGCCATCAGCGCCGACGCTTTCCAACACTCGCACCTCCCCACCTCGCCGCGTGACGGCTTCTTCCTGCCCCCCACGAGGGACACTCGTCCGCTTCCCCCGCGCCACATCCAGATGCCAGAGCGTGGGCAAAGTGACCGTCGCATGTCTGTCCCCGCCCTCCTTTCGTCGCCGACACCATCCACCACCTCGCCCACGTCCAGCGCCCCCGCCACACCCGCGGCGACCGTCATTGCCCCGCCGGCAGAGGACGCCCCCACGCCCTTCGACCGCGACAGGCGCGAGCGCGAGCGCAGCCACTCGCACTCGTACCACCCGTACCAGCCAAAGGAGTACATGCCCAGCCACCACTCATACTCGCACGGGTCGTACCGCGGCTCGACGTACGGCAGCGCCGACATGCCCCCTCCCACCGAGGACCTGCGCCACCTCCTCCTCGACTGCGCCGAGCGCTCGCCGCGCGACCCGCGCCCGCGCCGCATTGCCGAGAGCATGCTGGGCGGCGTGCGCGAGCAGTGGGTGTCATCCATCATCGCCGCCCAGCATCGCGGCGAGGCGCGCAGGCACGACGCCGAGGCCCAGTTCCAGATGGGCAGGGGCCTGCAGCAGGCCCGGGACGCGTTTTCCCGCGTCATGGACCGCGAGTGAGGGGGGATAAGGAGCGAGCAGAGGACGAGTCGAGGACGAGTCGAGGACGAGACGAGGAGACCAAGGAGACCGAAGAGCAGGCCACTCGGCCAAGAGAAGTACACCCCCCAGAGCGCCAGTGCCACAGTGACACCTATACACGGTAATAACCGTGGCCGAACCACCCACCCACCCACCCATGACCGCTGGGACATTGCCGTCGGGCACGGACAGTAAAAAGTCTCCCAACCGGATCCGTGGGCTGAATACCCCCCCCCCCCCCCCCCAACCCCCCCCCAAATGTGTGTAGTAGAGATTGTATACCAGTAAAGCCAAAACCACACACGGTCCGTAATACCGGCAGAGTTGTGCATGCACCCGTCAGACGTAAGCAGAGAGCAAAGGGTGCGATCCAGCGAGCAACGTTCCGCCACACGGTCATGGAGCACAGCAACGTCAACGTCAACGTCAACGCACCTGTGCCCGACGGCCGGAATAATGGTCCGGACCCGGAAAAATCATTGTCAGCATACACAAACCCCTACACCCCCCTGGCCGGCCGATCGGCGGAGGGGATGGAGTTGCGCCGAGTGGATGCGGATGCAGTGCACGCAATGGCCGAGTCACGAGCTATAGCGAGGGGTCGCGAGTGGAGGCTCGGTCAATTCGCGTGCACCTGCCCACCCCGTCCTCTTGGTCAGCTGGCTGCATGCTCCATACCTCTGCAGGCTGCACGCGCCGGTGGTGTGGCAGCTATTGGGTGACGGTGTGTCAGCTGGTGCTTTTGCTGACCACATGGTGGCGCGCTGCGCAGTGATATCGAGAGCAACGCCTCCCAGTGACTAGCAGGGTGGGGTGCAAAGTGGCAGAATGCGAGGTTGGACGTCACGAGGGGGCCTGGGTGGACGGAAACGACAATGCAGAGGGGCAAACTTAGTGTGTATGTATGTGTAAAGAAGAATAGGAGGGAGCGTTTACAACGAGAGACGACAAACAGGGTGGAGATATGGGGGTTTGATGAAATTGGATTGGTCCGGGTGGGATGTGCAAAAAGACAATATGCTGGAGAAGACGGGCTGGATTCTTTTTACACATGCAAGAGGGCGGGCGAAACGGTCGAGGATGCGGGCTGGGAGTGAACGTGAGGCCCAAGGTGTTGTTGGGTGGGGTGGTGGTGGTGGTGATGTTGGTGTTGGTGTTCGTGGTGGTGGTCTATGGTCATAGGAATGTGTTTGATGTCGGTCATGTCGGCGGCAGTGGCACTAGCAGCTGCTTCTGCCTCTTGCCCTTCTTTGCCCTCTGCAGCGGCATCGGCCTTGCTGTCTGGGCACTGGCTTTGGGCGTCGGCACAAGCAGAGCCGAGGTCAAGGTTGCCAAACGGCAGGTTCAAGTTTGTGGCTGCAAGCATGTTCTTGACGAGCCCGACGATTCGGGGGCGTTGCACGCCATGTTTGACAGACATGGCGACGTTGATGACGTAACAGGCGTACAAGGCCGAGACGAGCTTGTTCTCGTCCACCTTGGTAGGTGCGGGCGCACCGGGAGCAGCGGCGGAGGTGGTACGGTCGGCGGGAGGAGCGGGGGGGAGGGTCGCCGGGGTCGTGGCGGGAGAGGTGGGGTCAACGTCCATTGCGTTGGACGCGTCGGGGGCGGCAGCGGCACATGCGCGAGCACGCTTGCAAAGGACTGGTGATTTGTTAGCAATCTCGACTCCTATCTTCCCCATTCGAAGTACAGGGGCCAGCAGCGTACTCACATTCGTCTCCAGAAGCCGAGCAAGAGCGCTTGAGGTGCGCCGAGGGCCGCTCAGCACACGGTTCCTCAGAGGGGAGAGGTCCGCTTACGCCATCTGACTTCTCGCCGACGGCCAACGTCGCGTCTGAAGTGGGAGGCAGCAGAGCCGTTGTGGACGTCGCTGGCGACGTATGCGTACCCGTACCGGCAGCACTGGCATTGCCAGAGTTGCAGACGCTTTCGCATCCCTCGCGGCAGGCGCGACGAACCTGGGCACACCACCGGCGAATTGAGCTCACGCGAGCGGATTCGTTGGGGTCCTCGTCCGTCTCTGCAGACGCCGTAGTTGTGTCGTCGGCCGCACCGCCGCCCCCAATGCGCTTGGCAAACCGCGTCATGAAGCAGTCGCGCGCAGCAGCAGCTTTGCCACTGCCGGCGAGCTTCTCCCTTTCCCGGGCGGCATCGCGCTCAGCGAGCCCTCGGCGAAAAGCTGCACAAGCCTGTGCGCGTGCCAGATCGTAATCCGCCACCATGTCCCAGTACGCGAGCTGCAGGACTCGCCTGCATGGCTCGCTGTCTGGGTTCGTCGCGGGTAGGTGCGCAGACAGCGCTGACACAAACGCCGAGACTTTTCGGAGTGCCGCTGGTGGGAGGTGGGCGAGGAGGGCGGTGACATTGGGTTTGCCAGATGGCGCCGATGCACCCGCAGCCGGGCCGGAGGTAGCCGTTGGTAACATTGTGCCCAAAGTCGGCACTGCCGGGGTGGGCACATTGTAGTTTGCAGGCGTGACTGTGGCCATGGGTGGTAGTGGTCGTGTTTTTGCCTGTAGGGCGGAGATTGAGAACATGGTGGCGAGAGGGGGGGGGGAGGGGGGAGTGGTGAGAAGCAAACAAGAGGCAAGAGAGAGAGATGTGTGTGGATCAAGAAGTGGGCCAAGAAGAAAAGAGTTTGACTGACATGGCCATCGGCTGCTTATCGAGCCTCGTACTGCCATGATCCCTGGGTGCCCGCCCAGCGGCCAGCGGCCAGCTGACAGACACACAAATGCGCAAATGCACCCCCCACCCAACGCCGTCGGGCCCGCCGCCCAACAGTCTGCGCTCTGCAATGTGTGGTGGAAAATGGCCCCCACCCCCCACGGGGGGAAATGCGGCCCGCCGCAGCCAGGAGACCAAAAGCCGCAAATACGTAATCACAAAAACGCGTTGGCCGACGGCCTCCACACACTCGGCATGGCCCGGCAACCGAGTGCGTCTGGCGTCTGGCGCGTGGGCGCGCGGATCCGTGTGCGCCGTGCGTGTGTCTTGGTTCCGTCGGATATATGGCCAGCGCGGTCGGACAATCAAACCGGTTAAATTAATAATCACACGCCATTTTTGTATTCAGGCACAATTGGCATTTTGCTCTATCAATGACGTCAATGGGGTTCAAAATCACCCATTGTCTCCACAGGCCACAGGCCGACAATGGACGCGAACATGCTAGAGACCTCGAGACAGAGAGCCTTGGTGTGGAGGGCTATACTCAGCGATAAACTGAGGCTTAACGGTCTCCAGAAGCTTCTGAACAATAACCCTTTGTAATGACCATTTGCTGAAAGCAGCGTTGGATTGGGGAAACGACAGCGTCCACACAGTTCCGCCCGTTGCAGCCGCCACCTTTCCAGACTGCACGCTGTCGGCATTCCGAGTGGTCCATCTGTATACACTGCAAAGTGGTGCTTTCTAGAGTAGTGTCTAAGGTGATTCAGTTAGCAGCAACAATTACTGCCCGCCGTCTATTCATTCCGCCTCCACTGCCTGTGCCAAGTCGGCAAAGGTGCCTCCAGCCCCCGTAGCCACCTGCGTCAGGATACCCTCCCACAAGCGGTGGACGCGGTCGACCTCGGCCTTCGTGGCCGGTACACCCTCAAAGAACGTGGTCGTGAGTCGTAGTCCGCCATTGTGACCAAAAAGACTCCCGCACAGTGCTAGTGTACAAGGGTGGTTGATCTGGCTCCACAACGAATCGGTCGCACCGGGCGGCAACGACATGGCACCCAGGTTGGACACCATGAGGCTGTCGAAGAATGGCGCAGCGGCCGTGGCCCGCATGGTGAAGTATCTATCCCACCCCGTGATGCCGTCTTTCCCCGGTGTCGGGTCTGGCATCCACGCAAGGAGGCCGATGGTGCGGCGGCAGGTGTCAATGGTGCTCGGGTCGGTGAGGTGGGCGGACAGTCGCTGCGCCTCGTCCCAGAAGTTGTGGGAACCACGAGCGATGCCCTTGTCTTCCAGCACATTGACGTACACCGAGGTCACTGCCGAGTGTCCTAGAGTAGGTGTGCGCTCACTGCGGGGTGCCGAGGTGACAAACGTGAGCTCGTCGGCGTCTTTGTGGAACACAGCCCACGAGGCGGCTACGTAGGCGGTCTGCAGCACTGGGTGGAGAGTCGGTACACCGCGAGCCTTGGCCGTGGCCTTTAGAAGGGCAGTAGTGCTGGCGGAGAGGGAAGCGAGGGCAACATCAAAGTCGCGGTTCAGGGGAGTCGGCTGAGCGCCGGGCCACGTTGAGGAAATGACTCGTTGCTGCAGCCAGACCGGTAGGATGGGGACAATGATTTCCTGCCAGAACACTGGGATCATAGTCTTCAAGGTCGGTTTAATGTCGACAGTATTGTCGTAGAGGCTAGCACCGAGTGTTTCGGTAGACAAACCTTCCATTCCGTCTGGCTGGGTGAGAGCGGCAAGGAGACGGAGCGACCCACGTCCATCCATGATGACGTGGTTTGTGTTCAGGCCAAGAAACGACGTCTTGGCGCCGTGAATGAGGTCGACCGACCACGCTGGCCGAGTATAATAGTCCACTCGCTGGCTTCGTTGCAGTTGACATTGAATGAGCGCTGCATCGTCGCCATCGTCTTCGGTCTCGGACAGGGTCCTCTCTCGCACAATCTCGCTCGGATGCCAAGGGTCCCGAAGCTCGAATGCCGGCTGCGTGGTGTGCCCATCGACGATGCGAGCTTGCAGTAGAGGGAAGAGCTGCTGGACCTTCTCGACACGAGATTTGATTTCTGCAAGATCCGGTGCTGATTCGTGGTCGTACTTGATTACATAGCTGATGATCATCGGGTGCCCAGTGTTGGTGCTCGACAGGCAGTAACGTTCAAACAGGGACACTGTGGGTGAGCAGAAGGGGAGAACCAGCACCTACGCCTGCGGCGCTGTGGGGCGGTCGACATGGTGGGTAAGCCCGATGGCGTTTAGCTCAGCACCTATAAGGCTAGGAGTAAGTGCACTGGTCGTCAATGGAGAGAATGAAGGTGCACAAAGGATGCCGTGCAGTGACGCCCTTGCTGTTGTTGGCGCCGGATGTCAAGCGGCCCTTTCCCCACAGGCACCGATGGCTTTCGGCCTACTCGCTGCTCACAGACTGCTGCCGCCGCCCACAAGGTCCAGTGCTTGCTCAAAAGGAAACATGGACAGTGCACAGTGGTACTGCGAGACAGGATTGCAGACCTGCAAGTGCGGATTTCGTGTGCATGGCATGTATGGGCTCTGTGCCAGTGGCCAAGGGGGGCAACGGTAAAGGTTGCGCCGTACTCCGGGCTTGTGACTGTTCTCGCCCTCTTTCCGACTCGGGATCTATCAGTCATGTACTGAGTAACGATGCCAAGGCCTCTTTGCTTCAAGTCTCATTGGACTACCACCCAGCATGTCATGTATGTATGGCCGGCACCGGGACGTTTGTCCGCTGTGTGGGATGGTTGCATCGCGAGTGCACCGATTTGCCGATCTGACCGCGTCCGAATCGACCTAATATCTCCTCGTAACGAGCCCAAAGCCATAACCGAGATCAACGCGCACCGTAGATAATCAACAGCAGCACCCAACTTTCTTCGCAAACTCCTTTCATCTTCACCTCTTCCTCAGCCTGCAAAAGTTCCACAGCCACCATGTACCGCCCTCGCCAGCTTGTCATCAACTCGACGCGCCTCATGGACACCCTGCACAAGACGTGCGTGTGGGGTGCGGCCCACCGGTACGGACCGTGAGTACTTGCCTTCCTCGTGTTCCGAAAACCCCATCAGTGGTCACTTTTTCGCTGGCGCGGAGAGTTGAGCCTACCATACCTCACCCCAAGCATACCTCTAACCTGACAGTGGACCCACTCAAACCGGCATGGCCCGTCTTACCCTCTCGGACGACGACAAGAAGGCGCGCGACTGGTTCGGCGACGAGATGAGCTCGCTCGGCTGCGACATCAAGGTAGACACCATGGGCAACATGTTCGCCGTGCGTCCGGGAGAGAAGACTGGAGCACCCACGGCTATCGGTAGTCATCTCGATACGCAGCCCACTGGCGGCAGGTACGACGGTATCCTCGGTGTCCACGCCGCAGTGGAGGCCATGCGCACCATCCACGAGAGCGGGTACAAGACCCAATACCCGATCGCTGCTGTAAACTGGACCAAGTGAGCTGATTGTGGTTGGACAGTGAGCTGACGAACAGCGAGGAAGGTGCGCGTTTCCCCAAGTCGCTCCACGGTTCGTCAGTTTGGTCAGGCGACTTTACTGTTGAGAATGCACACGCCCTCACCGATGTTGCCGACTCGTCAATCACGGCTGGGGCAGAACTCGAGAGGATCGGTTACAAGGGCACGCTCGAATGCTCGGCAAAGGCCAACCCGCTGGCAGCGCACTTTGAGCTCCACATCGGTAAGTCTTGGGTCACCTTGCTAGATGTTGGCAAGCTCCTGACAAACCAGAGCAGGGACCCATCCTGGAAAACAACAAACAAACCATTGGCATCGTCAACGGTGGTCAAGCGTACAAGTGGTTCAACGTGCGTGTCCACGGCCGTGACTCCCATGCTGGTACTACCCCGATGAACCTCCGTGCCGACCCGCTTCTCCTCTCCGCGCGTCTCATGGTCGCCGCCAACGCCGTTGCCATCAAGCACGGTGGCTGTGCCACCACCGGCATCATGAGCCTCAAGCCCGGTAGCATCAACACCATCCCCAACCTGATCGATTACACCCTGGACATTCGTCACCCGGACGACGCGGCGCTGGCAGCCATGGAGGCCGATATCCGTGCTGCGGCCGCAGCGCTCGTAGCTGAGGAGAGCCGATACAAGTGCACCATCGAGCTGGACAAGATCTTTGACTATGCGGCAACCAAGTTCCACCCAGACTGTATCGGGGCTGTCCGAACAGCCGCCGAAGCTACGGTCGGTGCTGACATGGCGCGGGAGATTGTCAGTGGCGCCGGTCACGACTCATGCGCTACATCCAAGCACTGCCCAACCTCGATGGTGTTCATCCCCTGCGAGGAGGGCCTGTCGCACAACCCCCGTGAATACGCCACCCCTGAAGACTGGTGAGTCTTTGCCTGTTTGGCCGTCGTTGCCAGAGTGCTAACACACATGGTCCCAGTGCCCTTGGAGCGCAGGTTGTGATGGATGCGGCCCTTCTGTTCGACTCGCGCCGGCAAAAGTGATGCCAAGCACGGTTCCAGTAGCAGCGACTCAATAGATGTGAAACATGCATTTGGGTCCATCCGATGTCACTTATCGACAACTGCAGGGTCTCTGCTGGCAGTCCGTGAGACGCTATTTCTGCATTCTGCTTTGTTTCGCTACATGTGGAACACTCTCATCCAGCCCTCCCCAGCCCTCCAACCCTCCAGCCCCTTCCTTCCACGTCAAGCGGGAGCTTGCGCCGTGGGTGCCTTTGGTTTAAAGTCTTGCGGACAGGACAGCCTTCTTTTCAAAATGGCTGCGGAACAGCACCGCCCGAGCTCCGAGATTACAAGAGGAACGTTCGAATTAGCGCCGATCTGTAGACCGGATGCCTTGACCAGCTTCGGACGCATAATGGTTTAAACAATGCTGGATTAGCGGAATCTAATTCTATGGGTGCTCTCTTCACACACCCTTCCCTTTGATGCCCCCCCTTCACAACGGCACGAGCAAGAGGCACATCGATGCAACCAGGATACAATGCCCATGCCTGATAGCCCAGGCCATGCACAGCAGTCGAGCGATACAGCGAGCGTGTGAGCGACAGACAGCACGATGGAACATGCGGAACTGGTCTCGACATCACTGTATCTCACTCACTCATGCTGCATCACTTGGCCAACGGCGTGATGATGCCACGACGATATTGGCGGGCCACAGCGTTCCTGGGTGTGTGCACCGTGCTCACCTTTCTCGGCGTGCAGCAGCAGGTAAGCTTTGCTCGCATTCACTCTACCTGGCTCTCGCTGGCCATACAGGATTACTGACGCGCGACCACAGGTGAACAACTTGTCCTCGTCGCCAGAATACGACACCCAGTGGCGACACGACGCTTCTGTACCCCAGGGTCTGCTGGTCGATGAAGAATCGGATGCTGTGCGTCCGGATCTAGGGGAGGCTAGACGAGGACGTGTGCTCGTGACAGGCGGCGCGGGCGTCATTGGTGAGAGCCGTCGCCCCGTGTTGTAGGGGTGGTCTGACCTCTCTCTCCACAGGCAAGCAGGTCGTTTCCCGACTTCTCTCCGTCAACACTACTGTGACAGTACTCGACATTGCACGCCACAGCGACGAACTCGAGCATATTCAGGCTCAGTACCCCAATGCAGACCTCCACTTTGTCCAGGGCGACATTCGCGATCCAGTGGCGCTTGCGGAAGCCATCGGCGATGGCGTTCTCGGTACCATCCACCTTGCTGGCTACAGCCGCATCCAGTACTGTCTTGAGAATCTGAGAGACTGCGAGGACGTCAACGTCGATGGTACCGATAAGCTTCTGCAGGCCCTGAAAGGTGACGGGTGGTTCATCTTGGCCAGTTCAAGCGAGGTGAGTGACTCGTTATCAGCATGTTCCGATGGAACCTTGCTGACGCGTGTCTCCAGGTATATGGCGACGGCGTCGAAGTGTATGGCCAGGCCCCTACCTTCCCCGTCCGAGAGGACGCGGCGCTGGTTCCCGTGAATGCATATGGCAAGACCAAGATCGAGGCCGAGGAATGCGTGCGCGTCTATGTCCACGGCGCAGCCGTTGCGGACAAGAACATCAATGCGGCCATCCTGCGCCTCTCAACCGTGTACGGTTCCGCCGCCGACCACCAGGAAAACTTTGTGGTGGATGCCATGGAGAAGGCGTTGGCTCACCGTCCAATACAGGTGGCAGGCGACCCCGTGGCCGACCTCATCCACGTCCAGGACGTGGTCAACGCCATTGCGGTCACTGTGAACCACCTCAACAAGCTGACCTATGTCGAAGAGCGTACGGGCGATATTGAAATCTACAACATTGGCACCAAAGAGTCCATCAAGGCCACGGACTATGTGCGCAAGATAATGTGGCTCACCAACTCGTCTTCGCCTTTGCAATCTCTCGAGGCCGATCCCAACTTGCCCAAGCGCTACGAGGCCGACGTCACGCGCGCCAAAGAGGTCATGGACTGGGAGGCAAAGATCACCATTGACGAGGGTCTCCACCGCCTCGCAAAGGTGTACTTGGCCGACACTGTCGAGTACCTCAGCCGCAAGCAGCAACATGAGTGCCGCCCCCACCGCAGCTACGGTATCAACGACCTGCTCAAGCTGCACGGCTGTTCAGGTACACTCGCTGCCGATGTCGATGGCCAGCCCTTCTACGCCTTCTGGGACCCAGACATGAAGGAGGACCCCAACAATGGCAAGCAGGCAACTCCGGCAATGTACGGCTGGCGCGACGACAGTGGTCCCCAAGCATGGGAGTTCCAAGTCCGGAAGAAGGGCAGACGGGCCCAACTCAGTCTCAAGCGCTTCGTTCCTGACAGCAAAGATGGAGATGGCAAGGTCGTTGAACCGGGCAAGTGGATCCAGTTTGAGGCGATCAACCCGGAAAACCCACTGCGCCACGAAATTTACTTCACAGCCGACGTGGACCCAGACACTGGCTATGTGAGCCTCAGCTTTCCAAGCGGTCCTATGCTTGTTCCCTGGGTAGCACTCCCTCCACCGGGCGGTAAGAACGAAGAGATGCCCGATCATACCAAGACGGCACTGGGCGACTTTCGTTTCCGCCTCACACCATTCTGCTGCCCCGGTCGCCAGGCGCCGTGGCCATTCTTCCGTGATGACCCAGTCACGGCAAACGTTCTCGACTACCGACTGGAGAAGACCCGTGTATTCAATGCGTCTCAGATCAACATGCTCTGCTCGCGTCTCAAGGATGCGCAGGGCCTGGCAGAGGTGCGCCTTGAACGGCTCAAGTCGGACCCAGCACCGCACAAACTCGAACTTGCACCTTTCCCCATGGGCAGGCCGTTCGACTGGCGAAACAGAGGTCGTGATGTCTGCACCAACCTCTGCGACCACCCTACCCTGTGTGTGGACACTGGTAACTGCGCGTGTGGCCAGGCGGCGTGTAGCACAAAGCCTCGTTTCCCGTTTGCTGCGTTTGCCAATCGCCGCCTCAACACGACCTCGTATCCGGCTGAAGTATCTTGGGAATGGGATGGTCTCACAGACGACGCCCAGACACCGTCCTCTTCACACACTTCGCTTCAGGAGCGCGTAAACGAAGGCTCATGGCTGAACGTTCTTCACCCTTACGCTCGCCGTTACCTCATGAGCAACCCGCACTACCACCCAGTCACCGTCACGGCCATTCCTGCCGAAGAGGAGAAGGAACGCCTCAATGACCCGGACAAGTTCAACCGCGTGCAGACCGAGTGGCACGGCTGCTTCTCGGCCGACAGTGTCATGGAACGCGCCACACAGCTCATCTCGACCGAGTACAAGAAGGACAGCTCACTCGTCTTCCTCCCGTACTATTCGTACACCCAGCGCTTCAAGCCCGTCGAAGAGTGGGCGAAGAATGCCCTCCAGCACAACCTCCCCAGCGGCGTGGATGTCGCCGACTTTATCATTCCTTTCACCTTCGACTTTGGCAAGTGCAACACCATCATCTTCGACCTGTACCGTGTGCGCGACTGGAGCTCGGCTCCTGACGTGATCGAGCGTGCCTCGTCATGGCAGACGATGGGGGATCTGAATTCTCCTTGTAAGCTTTACTTGTGGCTGGAGCGTTACAGAAGCTGATTTCAGGCTACGACATGGACCAAGATGTGGTGATCCCGGCTCGCACATGCAGACAAGAGGACCTGCGCTCCACGTTTAGCTTGCTCGACAACGTCAAACCGTCACATCAGCGCTCCACTCTGGTCTTCTTCAAAGGTGCACCGAACGGCGCTGGTGCATCTGTGCGCTACAAGGTTGCCTGCGAGCGCCCGTACCAGGACATCAGCGGGAAGCTGACTGGCGCCAATGAGCTTGCTCGATACTGGAACGAGTACAACCCCAACACCAAGAAGTTAAGCGACCCAACGGCCTACGTTGAGACCCTCGGTGACACCGTCTTCTGTCCCGTGCCCCGCGGGACGGCCGGCTGGTCGCCACGTATCACAGATACAATCTACGCGTGAGTGCACTTGGGTTAAAACGGAGTTGCAAGCTAACGCATTCACTCAAGCGGCTGCATTCCCGTCCTCCTCGGCGACCAAACACACGAGCCGTTCTGGGACATGCTGGACTGGTCCAAATTCTCAGTCCAGATCAACGACTACGAGATCGAGCGCCTCGAGCAGATCCTCATGTCCTATTCGTGGGCAGAGGTTGAGGAGATGCAAGCCAACCTCATGCTCGTCCGCGAGGCGTTCCTGTACCCGAAAGAAGGACACATGGATGACAACCTCAAGGGCCACGGACCGTTCTTCTTCGCCATGCATACCGCGAGTCTCCTCAAGCGCACCACATTCCCAATTTAGCATCCGCCAACACACTTCTTCCCAAATCAATCAACTTTCTCAAACCACGGCTTCATCGGTAGATAGGAGGAGGATGAGGTGAAGGTCGCATAGCGCATAGAGCTGCGTTGTATTACTAGTTATGTCCAGGTATGGAGCTTGTGAGGCCCTGTACGGTGGTGCTGCGGTGGTTGATTGGTGGACATACCAGTATACCAGTGAAGTGGCAGCATCCGCAATGCTGTCTTTCCAGGACGAGGTGCTGGGGCCTGGGATGGTATGGCTGGGCACCTTGAGAAGTTGGTATCCTGACATGCAAGGCATCTGCGGTGCCATTGCGGATGTGGTTCACAAGAATTCACACCATGAGGGTCAGAATCCACAATCAGTCATTGTGTATGCGTTTCCACGCCTGGGGCCCTCAGATCGCCGTTGAATGCGCCCTCTCTCCAAGTACACTCACCTCGGCTCACCTCGTGTCACACCTTCCTTCTCACAACACTCCATCACTCATATCACCATCACATGCGTACCAGGACAACCCTATACAACTCGGACGGTCCACCCAAGGGCCATGAGGACAACACTCGTGGCCCCAGCACGCGCTCGCGATCGTGGCTGCGTTCGGGAACAAGCCGTTTGGATACCAGCGACGACACCCAGCCTCCAGCCGTCATCGAGAGTCAACGCGGTTGGACGCATGAGGTCAAGCATCCAGCTCAAGATTATCACTCGCTACGTCCATCGACGCGCTCTGTGACAAGGGGCAGGATGCAAATCGATCACGAGGCGGCGACCCAATCCATCGTCGACGACCGCTTCTTGCTGGAACCAGTTACTGAAGACACCCAGCATCTGGATGAAAAAGGCCGCGAGCGCGCAGGCAAGCAACAGCGACGCGACGTCCAGTCCTCACGCAGCCCTACCCCCTTCAGCACCAACGGACACGCGGTTACCATTGACCATCGCTTCTATCCTCACATTATCGATTCAGTTGTCGACCACCTTCCCTATGGATCTCAGCTTGTCCTCCGTGGCGCCTCCAAGAGCTTTCGCGACAGAATCAATGCGCTTCTCGTGCAGCACCTCCTCCTCTCCTTTACTGGCATCACCGCCGCTAAAGGTCCCATTCCCTTCATGCCCGACTATGCCACTGCGAAGTCCAACCCCTCCAATATCCTCGCCGCTGTTGCGGTCATCGACCTCTGCTGCTATGAAGACTTCCCCGTCCCGCAAGACACCAAGGAAACCCTTCAACAACTCAATCCTCGTGTCATCAGGATCCATAACTGCGAAGCCAACCTCTACCTTCCTCAACCATGCAACGCCAAAGTTCTAGTTCTCTTCCTGGAAACTGTCACCAAACAGTGCCGGTTTATGGACATTCCCCTGTCGCTCGACAAACTAATCCTCCACGTTCGCTACGCATATCCTGGCTTTCACGGCTGTGGACCCCCACACTTCGCCGGCCCCCTTCCCAAGGAAGCGGTCTTCGTCTTTTCGTCCTCGGATGGCCGCAACGGCCGCGGCGAGGACTACGGAAGCAAGAAGAAGAAGTGTGCCCATGTCGTCGGAAAGCTATTTGAGTTCCTCCTGCACCCTATCCTTGAAGCAGTTACCAAGGGTTACGCACCGACTTTGACCATCGTCGACCTTCCAGTCGTGGACTTGGCATGGAAGGACACGGAACCCCGAGCACCTGCCCTTCGCCGCGAGGCCTGCCGGCAACGTCTTCGCGAGTGCCTTATCCCTTATACGGCCTTTGGATACCTACACAGCCCAGCGCTCATCAACGAAGTCGTCTCAAAGCTCCGATTTGTCTCTCGAAAGGAGTACTCCCAGATGCTGCCACGTCGCGACTTTCTGCTTGAGACGAGGGTGGTCGCTCGCGACTGCAGCCCCTGAATGCAGTTGTGCATGATTGATAGTCGTATGTTTGATAATTGTACAAACCCTCTCAAGTCACATGCATGGAGATGTCTCATAACAACTGTTCACCGTCCACCGTCCACTGTCGACGGAGAGTGCCACTTGGGGGGCCACGGCAACCCTGTGGCCTGTGGACGGCTCGTACATACCTCGCTCCCAGCACCTGCCTTTGTCTATTCGTCCTGATGCCTCTCTGCAGTCTCGCGTCTGAATTCTGCGTCTTTCCTCACAACAGAAGCACTTGTTCCAGCCTCTCGTCGATCGCACATTGTGTGGTCCACGGGTGCAGTTCACCCAGCACTTGGCACCGTCGGGTTGTTGGAAAACACGTCGCTAGCCGCCCATGCCGTCCACGCCGCCCGCCCAGGCACATCACGCGGTGTATGCGACGCGGGCCCCACACGGCAAGATCCGACGAGAGTTGCCACTCCACTTTCGATGTTGGCTATCTCACGCCGATTGTTCGGAATACAATCGCAACCGGCCATGCGGTCACCTGCTGTATCACCAGCGGGATCGACCCCGTCGACGGTGCGCGCTGTCACGAGGACTCGTCGACGCGAGAGATAGAAAGGTGGACGGACACGTTGGCATCCCTCGACTTATCACACTCTCACCAGCACCATGACCGCCTCGTCCTCGACCACCACCACTGTGCGCGAGCAGTCGCCGCCCAAGCGGTACTCGCTCCAGAACGCAGCTGGTCTCTCCCTCCTTCCTGCGTCCGAGCCGATCGGATGTAACTCTCTCATCTCGTGTCTCACTCACCTCTCGCTGTCCTCACTGCCCCCTTCGCCCACCACACCCCGCACTCCTGGCACGCCTGGTCGTGGGCCGCGGGTGACGCGCTTCCCACCTGCCCCCGACCCGCGACCTACCTCGGCGCTCGGGACGCGTGAGGAACAGCGCCGCATCTACCTTGGACCAAAGCTCAGTGACCGCGCCACCGGCGGTCCCGACGCCGGACCGCTCATTGAGCGCTTCAGCTGTCTCTTCAAGGACCGTGAGTGTCTTGTGTCGACAGTTCCGGCTAACCTGACAGAGTACAACTGCAAGACCAACCCGCGCGGCATTGTGTCTCTGTAAGTTTGTGGCCGGGTACATAAACTGACTTGCCAGGGGTGTCGCCGAGAACTTCCTCCTCGAGAAAGAATGCCTCGAGTACTTCACCCAAGCCTTCGCCAACAACTTCCTCTCGTCCGATCTGGGCTATGGCGACTCGCTGTGGGGAAGCCGCAGGATCAACCGTGTTCTCGCCGACTTTCTCAACGAGTAAGCTTTGCAGCGACTATCCACAGCTGACATGATAGCTGGTTCAGTCCCGCCGAGGCTGTCCAGCCTGAGCAGCTCATCACCGGCGTTGGCTGCTCTGCAGTTCTCGACCAGCTCTTCCACACACTCATGGACGAAGGCGAGGCAGTCCTGCTCGCTGGACCTTAGTGGGTGCCTCTGGGCTTGCGCATACACTAACCCACCAGCTACACGGGCTTTGACCGTGACCTGATCGGCCGCGCCCGCGTGCGTCTCGTTCCAGTCGAGGTCCCCGAGGGAGATGGTGCCTTTGCCCCAGAGACGCTCAAGGCGTTTGGTGCCAAGATGGACGAGCTAGCCAAGGAAGGTGTAACCGTTCGCGCAGTGGTTAGTTGATCGACCATGTGGGGCGTCCAACTGACGACAGATCGTGTGCAACCCCCACAACCCGCTGGGCCGTCCTTACCCTCGCGAGACGCTCCTGTCCTACGCCAAGTTCTGCGAGGAGCGGGACCTCCACCTCGTCAGTGACGAGATCTACGCCTTGAGCGTGTACGACAACCCGTCCTTCCCCGACGCTGTTCCCTTCACCAGCATGCTGTCGCTGGATGTTGAGCGCGAGCTGGGTATTCCCTTTGACCGCGCGCGCGTGCACGTCGTGTACGGTATGAGCAAGGAGTGCGTTGTATTTGGTCGTATGGGCACGTTGCTAACGCTCAGCTTTTGCGCCAATGGCCTCCGTGTCGGCAGCCTCATCTCTCAGGCCAACCCCCTGCTCCTCCGTGCCATGGCCAACACTAGCATGCTCATGAAGATCTCCTCTCCGGCCGACGTCATCTGGTCGACCCTCCTGGCGGACACCGAGAAGCTCACCGAGTTTGTTGCGCTCAATCGAGAGCGTCTCACCGAGGCTGCTCAGTTTGTACGCGACTGGTTCGAGGCGCGCGGCGTCCAGGTCGCCAACTCCAATGCGTAGGTACCATTAGCGTCATACCGCTGCTGACCTACCAGCGGCAACTTTGTCTGGGTGGACCTTGGTGGTCACCTCGGGTTCCGGCAGCAAGCCGAGGAGAAGCGTGTCTTCCAGCAACTCCTTGACGGCGGCGTCTACGTGGCTCCCGGGTGTGCTTACCACAACCCCACCGCTGGGTGGTACCGTATCACGTTCAGCGTTGCGCGTGACAACCTCGAGGTGAGCTTCCCACCAGCCAACAGCAGCTGACAACATCAGGTCGGGCTCGGCAAGATGGAGCGCATTCTCGGCCTCTCTCTCATTGCGTAATCTCTACTCACAGCTCTCCGCTTTCCCATACGAGCCGCCGCTTCACAATACCAGGATAGGAATGTAACTATACGAAACAGTGTGCATATGTACGATGGTGATGATACAACGTCAAGTCGTATCCAGCGTTTACTTTCTAGCGTATTAAAATTCCGCAAAAATATAGATAAACAACTGGTGTTCTTATTAATGGATCTCGTTCCACAAAGCCAAGTCCAACTTCCATTTTGTCCTTTGTTTGCAGCCTCGTTACTTGTCCTAACGCTGGGTTGTCCAGCGGAGGCCAAACCACCGCTTCTTGCCGTCCTTTCCGTCCTTGCCGTCGGATACGTTCCGGAGGGACAGCTTGCGCCGCGAGTTGCTCGGACGGCGGACGACCTCGACCATGTCGGTGAACGAGTAGTTCTTGTCATCGGGAGACCCGGAAGTGGCGGCGGGCTCGAGGAGCTTGGTTGGAACTGTAGCAGGTGTAATGGCCACCGGCGCCGGCGCCGGCGGCGGAGTCGTGGCGGGGCTGGGGGCTGGGGTGTTGTCCAGTTTAGTCGGCGAGGGAGAGATGGAGGGCGACGAGGTTGGCGCGGGGGTCTTCACGGCAGTCTGCACTGGCGCTGCCGGAATAACAATGGTGGTGCTTGCCGCATCGGCGAGGTGGACATGCATCTCGTTCTCACCCGACTCGGCGCTGTGCTCGTGCTCATCTTCGGTGTTTTCGGCGTTGGCGACGTCCACCTTGTGCATGTGGGATTGTGGGTGGGGGCCGATCGGGTTGCTGTACCAGTCGTCATCGTCGAGCGACACCGAGGCCATGAGCTCGAGGCCAGCTGCGATCATGGACACGAGTGACGGATGACGTGACGAGGGAGGAGACAGCGTGGATGGGACTGAGAGTGCGGACGAAGGGGAGGTGGGAATCTGGGAAAGTGGGGAGGAAAGGCTTGGGGTCGCAAACGAGCGTGGGGGAGACGGAAGCGAGGCGGGGCCGGACGTTGAGGGAGTGGGCTGGGTGGTGGACGAGACCGGGCGAGAGAGCGGCGACGGCGGCTCGATCTCGGCAGGTGGTGGCAGGGTTGGGGTATCAAGCTGAAAAGAGGACAGCTTCGAGAACGCCTGCTCCTGCGCTGGGCTGGGTTCAACAGCCGGGGGAAGAGAAGTTGCCGAGTCATAGGCGCTGCTGCCACCTTGCTCCTGCTGGTCATCGTAGCAGGGCTGGGGTGGAGCCTCGTCCGCGCTGGAGCTTGAGGGGCAGGCCGGCTGCCCAAGATCCAATGCCGGGATGACATCTGATGTGGGACCAACCTCAACGCCCGGCATGGAACCGCGCAGATCTTCCATGGCGCGGTTCCACACGTCCTCGGCTGCGCGCAGGTCGGCCCATCCCTCACGACCGAGCCTATCGGCCTGAGCAATGAGGGCGGTTGTGGCTGGAGCGGAAAGAGTGGGCGAGGCAGTGGCCGTGGCAGTGAGAGTGGCTGTGGGGGGCGCAGCAGCAAGTGCAATGTCGACCGACTGGGTGGGCGGGGGAGGCGCGGGGTAGTCGGGTACCCAGGACGCGCGCCTGCGGGACCCCTGCGTAGCGGTAGTGTGGGCATCCAAAGCCGCCTGGGCTGTGGCAGTGAGGCTGGTGGGGAAAGCGGTCGTGCCGAGGGAAGGGGGAAAGCCGATGCGGGAGAAAGGAGGGAGTGTGTGGGCCTGCTGGAGATTCACAAGGCCAAGTGCAGCCGCGGGTTCTGGCAAGGTGGTGTTGGCATTGGCAGCTTCCATGAGGCGGGTGCCCCAATCGAGACTCTCGTTTGCCATGGCCCGCATTGTGTTGGTTGCCTCGCCCATGGTCTCGGCATGACGAAGAAGGGTTGCCGCGTGCGTGGTGAGCATGTGGGAAGCCAAGAGAAGGAGTATCTCGGGGCTGCTCCCAGGTGGCGGTGGGTAAACAAAGGTGGAGCAAGGCGAGGTCGAAGGGACAGTCTGGTGAGTCTCGTGCGTTGTGTGTTCAGAGCTGGAACGGGAAAGCTCGGGCGTCCCACACTCGTCCATCTCGACAGGCTCCAAGGTCGTCTCGGCGAGGAGGACTTGTCCAAACGTGCCAGTCGACATGTGTTTCTTGATAGGCGTGACATCGAGCTCCTTCTCGCCGTCATCGGACAAGATGACGGTGCGGCCGCTCTGATCAGAGTTGGCTGGGTATAGGACGCGCGCCAGTGCCCCTTCGACGATACTCCCATCGCTTGTGCGCCTGTGGCGGTGGTGATGATACGGGTAGTGTCTAACACTGGACGTGTCCGACCCATCATCTGGGATGCCAAATGCCCCAGAAAGGCGGACTGCGGAGCGTAGAGCCGAGGGGCCGATGTCGCCCTCCATTTCCGGCAGAGTCGTCACAACCGACAGCGGGGAAGGAGTCGGCGACTTTGTGAGTCTACGTGCGGCGTCTGAACCCAGCCGTGAGATAAGCGACGAGAAGCGCAGCGACCTCCGGCGCTTTGGCAGGTCGGAGGCAGACCGCGTTGCTTCGTCGTCAACGGGCGTAAAGGAGCCAGGAGGACCAGGCGAGTGCGACGACATGGAAGAGGTCCGGCGCGCACGATCGTGGCGGTCTGGCCGGTCCTGCCTGTCCATGCTGGTGACAATCCCAGCCGCACGCGACGAGACATCGATGCTGCTCTCGCCGCGTCGCAAGGTGGCCATCAGCGACGCGCCCCCTTGCTCCGCCTTGCGCGAGTGCCCCTCCAGCAACGACTTGCCACGCGTGAGGGGCATGCTGCCTTGGAACGACAGAGGTCGGGCCGAAGGAGTGCCCGCCATGGGGCCGGGGCGCGGGAGGGGCGGCGTAAAGTGCTGTGCGCTGACCGGCCGCGGCTTCTTTGGCAAAGAGTTTGGAGTTGCAGAGCGTTGGGCATTGACGACCTCCAGGTCAACACGAGGGGGACGCGATGCAAAGGCAGATGCGGAGCGCGGTCGCACTGCGTCGACGTGGGGGCTGGGAGCGGAGCTGATCGCAGCAGCTGGGGGTGTGGCGCTCCTCTTTATCGTCTCGGCCGACGCCGATCCTTCGGTCGTTTCCTCCTGCCAAAAGTTAGCAACCAGCTTTACACTGAGGTGCTTGGGAGGCGGCTCACATTGACCACAACACTGAGAGCATTGACAACTGGCGACGCCGCGCGAGGGCGACCGAGGAGCGAGACGGGCAGGGCCGAAGGCAGAGGGTGGCCTGTGCGCACGGGAATGGCTGAACGGCCAGGGTTGGGGCGAGTGGAGGCCGCCGGCTGCGGACGGGGTGACGGAGTTGAAGCAATTGGAGAGGAACGACGTGGGGAGGCCGAGCGGTAAAGCATTGAGTGTGGAGGAGGGCTACTGGGAATGGACAAGTTGGGCGGGGTGGTAGCCACAGCGCTTGTTGACTTGGCGGTCTTGGACGCCTGCTTGACCTTCGTAGTCTGCAGACCTGGTGAGAGCGAGCGGTGCAGAAGGGGAGATGGAGGTCGCGCAGTCGGTGTCGGAGTAGGTGTCTTGGTACCACGGTCCCCAGCTTGATCGGCCGCCGATACAAGCCTGCCTGAAGAGGCAGAGTGTGGACGCGCGAAGCGAGTCATGCGCACGGGCGTCGCCGAACCTTGGCGGGAGCCTGGACGCGGCGTCGAGGCGGCCTCTCGATCGTCAATCATGTCACGGTCGCTTTCACGCTGCCGTTGGCGGCTGCTGGACGTGTGCGGCATGTTTGGGAGGCGGTCCTCGGAGTCTGGCGACGAGCTAGTTTTGCGTGACGCGCGACCATTGTGGAAGAGCAAGGGCATGTCGTCGTCGCTGTGATCGAAAAAAGTGGAACTGTCTGGGGTCGTCACGTTGCTCTCGGTGATGGGAGACAGTGGACGGGGTGTAGCCACAGCAGCCATGGGTGTATGAGCTGTTGCTGGTCGGCCGCGGGCCGTGGGAACTTGAAGGGTGCAGCTCGCACAAGCAGTCAAGATGCTGAGACGGAGGGGCGAGAACCTCGCTTATCGATGGCGGGCACGACAAAGGGTTGCAAAAACTCTCTAGGGGTAAATGTCGAACTCGATGGTGGGGTGATCGTCGGCGTCGTGCCGGGACAAGAATACCACAACAGCGACCAAGTCAGTGGTTATAGGCAATGCGTTGGCCAGCGCGGGATACATCGCCGGGCGACGTCAGAGGGTTATTGGAGGCCCGGAGAGGGGTGAGTGGGAAGCAAGTGTGCACCGTAATCCAGTACCACAAACACGACAGACAGGTGGAAGGGAGGGGTGGAGGAGGATGAGTTAGCTTGCAGGAGGAGTGAGGAGATCCGCCGTCCACCTGCCGCGCAATGGATTTCGCTGGCGGACGTACGATCCTATAGGGCCGCTTCAGCATCTGGATGTCTTTTACCCACCAACGTGCACATGGTGCACACTGCACTGGCTCGCAGCAGTAATCTCGGCACACTGCGCGGGAGATCTTGAGCAGGTCATCGTACCATAGGCTGTGCCGTCGTAGTAAGGAGGAGCGAAGTTATCTACGCCCAGGACGCAGATGGTATACACTACTGAACCCTGCCAGATGAGTGCACATGGAAAGCAGTAAGGCCCCCGCAGCAGCAGTCCTGCCAAGTTCACCGACGGACATTCTGAGTGATGGCTCAAAGCCAACTCTTGGTCGTTGGAGGTGAGAAAGCACAAGACTACCAAAAGGCAAGCGTGCGATAGTGACGTCCAAAGAACGGAGGGAGATGCCTGTCCTTGCGGTACACGGGGCCACAATTTCTCCTTGTTGTTGTGAGGGAGGTGGGGGGAGGCTGTGAATGGGATGGCAGAAACAACCTAGAAACAGACTCGAGTGACGCGCCCTTTTGTCAACAAACAAAGATGAGCCGCCTCTGGACATTGTCGACAGCCGGACAAGGTTACTAATAGTCAACCGTGCATGCTAATTGTATTTGATCCCGCGTTCAAATCACATTAGACCCTGTGACGTCACTGACATCTGAACCGGGATCGCCGAGAAACTGGGGCGTCCTCTGTTCACATTTCGCAGCCTTTCCTGTATACGACGAGGGTTGGTCGACGTATCTCACGCACATGTCGCCATCTTTCCAGCGTTCACAGCCTCGAGACGACTTTTGGGGGCGAAACACCAGACAAAGAACTACAAGTGGTCTTAAGCCGGACCCAACCGCCTGAGGAATGACGACAGTGTGGGTACTTTGTTACCGACTTGGGTAGCGATGTAGACGGTCGACGTCATGCTCCCAGTGATTCATTGCTGCCTTCCGAAGCGTCAGTCCGCCGGTCCATGGCTGCCTTCCGAGCCGACGGGCACCGACGGGTCAGTCTCAACGTCTCATGACCGGAGGCCATGTGCAGGCCGCGCCAGCGATACGGCTTGGGTCGACGCGACCATCTGTTTAAAGACATCGACGTGTGCTGTGCAGCTCGCCCTCACAGTCGACAAGACACACTGACCCGTCATGAGACTCGACATCCTAGTACTGCCTCTGCTCGCCTCTGTCTCGGTCGCACGCCCGCTGCTCAGCCTTGGGGCCTTGACCGAATGGGCGTTCAACTCTGCCCAGTCACTCTCGAGTGATGTCGACGACCGCTCGGAGCAGACAATCTGGGAGCAGCTCCAGGCCGACGAGCACTACACGCGCCTCGTCAAGCTTCTCAAGGTGAGCTGAAGAATGAATGTAACGGCATCCGTCGCCTACTGACGTCGAACAGTTCGAGGGAAGCATCCTCAAGGACTTGGACAAGACGCAAGACAACAATCTTTATGAGATCACGTTCTTTGCGCCGACCAACGAAGCTCTGCACCCCCCGCACCGTGGTGGCCGCCACCTCCAAGACGATGAACACACACTCGCGACCTTGTCCGACGTGCTGGAGACGAGCGAGCCGTGGCTGCTCGACGACAAGGGAGACGATGACGATGACGAGAAGAAGCGTCGTCGCAAGATCTTCAAGATGATTGTGCGCGCCGTGTTGGAGTACCACATCCTCCCATTCAGCTTCTCTGGCGGCGAGCTTGTCCACAACAAGACGTACGAGACAGCCCTCAAAATCCACAGCGCCATCGACGGCCTCCCGCAGCGTTTGCGCGTTGAGGGTACCTTGCTCCCACCGGGCATCTTGATCAACTGGTACGCTCGCATCGTGGCTTCGTCCGAGGCCAAGAACGGTCACCTGCATGCCATCAACCACCCGCTCCTCCCACCCGCATCCATCTTTGACGAAGTCTTCTTCACCACTCGCTGGGCGTCGACGACAGCTTCGGCTGTGCAGCGTGTCCACGGCAACCGGTTCATTGACTATTCGTGGCACCACAGCAACGAGTCTGGCAAGTCTGGCTTCCACGGTGCTCCCATCGCTACCTTTTACACTCCGAGCAACGAGGCCTGGGAGCGGCTGCCCCGCGACCTGCACTTCTTCCTGTTCACTCGCTTCGGCTACCGTGCGCTCAGGAAGGTTCTGGCGTACCACTATGTGCCGCACACGCTCGTCCTGTCCGAGCTCGTGCACCACAAGGACCACGACAAGAAGAAGGAATGGGTCGAGGACCACCTCGACGCGTTTGCCGATGACGAGTTCCACCACGAGTTTGAGGTTCATTCCGGTCTCGGACCCAAGGCTCCGCTCAGTGTTGTTGTTGACAAGAAGAAGATCCACCCAATTCCTGGTCAGTATGCTCATGAACCCCCCACACCTCCACCGGGATGAGCGTCGTTGGTCACGTTACCGTGTGTGAACAAGGGATACGTTGCTGACACCAAGTAGACGGCTACCACACGTCGATGACGGTCAATGGCGTCAGCGTCAAGGGCCTTGACATCAACGCTCGCAACGGCGCGTGGCACATTATCGACCGGGTCCTCTGTCCGCCTCACCACCACGGCGACGGCGGCGACAAGCTCATGGACTCTGAGGACCCCTGGGCCGATTGGCAGAGGTATGTACCGGCAGCGGCGGATCATATATCCCACCATTGCCCGTCCGCACAATAGAGTGTACTGAGGGGCAGGAACCAACCAATTTGCTTCCTGTGGCCTCTGGGAATGGGAAAAGGGACAGGGGTGTGGGGGTGGACGGACGGGCGATCAGGTACCCTTCCAAGCGCTCCAAGCCCAACCACTCTCCCACCCCTTGCTGTTTTCGTCAACGTCTTGCTTACAGGAACACAGCTGGCTCCCGGCCTGGGCTGACGAGGAGCTCGACTACCAGTTCTGAGAAGACCAAAGTAGTTTACACAAAACAAAAAGTAAAAACTCTGGGTACTGCGGCTCGGAGACAAAACCCAAAGACAACGGCAGTTGAGAAGCAACGTGTCCTGCGCGGAAAACGAAAAAGTCAAACCAAAGATCGTCTTGGCAAGCGCGGGAGGAGTTCGTGGGACGAGGTGAGAGAGAGCTCCGCGACCACCAGTCCCCGCGGGGTCTTTTTTTCCTCGTCGTGGCCCCTCATGAGCCACCCACCTGCTGAGAACGGAAGGAAAAAGTAAAAAACAAAGTCCAGACATGTAAAGGTCAGGAGTGTAAGACAGAAGGTACCGGCCGAGCGATATGCACCCATGCAATGCAATGTGGGCAAACCAAAGCACCAAAGTGATGCCGCTTCTGAAGTGGGCAGGATGTTCGGACAAAGCCGAAGGCCAATCCCCCCGTCCCCCCTCCTCAACCATGACCACCACGGCGGGCCGTGTGCTGAATCCCGAGCTGAATACCGAAGCAATGGACAGCTTGAATTGAGTCGAGCCGGGCCAAGGAGTTGTGCCAACCGCGGCTGAAAGTCAGTTGAAAGCCCCCGCGGGGGTGGTGGGGGGGCGTAACGGTGATGATGTGATCCAACAGTGACTGGGTGCGGAAGGCACTTCGCAAGGTCCGACCTTACCTCATCTCGATGTACGATTTGTGTTGCGGGGGTTCAAAAGAGCAAGAACCGGCTAGACACGCTAGCCGTCAGCGCCCTTGTCGTTGAGGAATGCAGGCCGCACGCTTTCGGTACCAGACTGAGCCCCGAAATGCTTGCCGCCAGCAGTAGTCTACGGAGCCTGCACGGAGTACTATTTTGGTTCCAAAAGACCGCGTATGCAACAGGGACAATAAATGGGTGAGAGTGGCATCGCGTGGTGCACCACTTAGCTCGCCATACACAGGTGCGTCGACTGCACTGCGAACGGGGGCGGCGTCGTCGTTCACAAAGTGTGGCTGCACATACGAAATAACGAAATCCCTTCGGACGGCCATGTAGCCACGGGCCACGGGAAAGACACGTTTCTGCACACCTCAAAAGATCAAAAAGGCTTAGCACGCCTACCCCTTCACAGGGTGGTCCCGGCCGCTTTGCCTTTGTTATTGCGAGACAACGGATCTTGTTCGAAGCCCACCGGTTCCATGGATCGAGGGTACCCTGCAGTACTTGGAGATCGTGAGATGAAGCTGACAAGAGAGAGAGAGAAAGGGTGTGAGGGTGTGGAGGAAGGCAAAGGCCATCCATTCCAGCCGCGGCTGGGTCACCAGGCCATTTTATTGGAACCACCAAAACGTCTGTTCCAGCAATTGAAAGGGGGGTTGGAGAGGGGGGTTAAGAGACGCCTGGCGCTGTCGTTGTCGTAGTTACAGTTGCCCGGGCGATCAGGCGATCACGTATTGCCAAACGAACAATGGCAAAAGCGCTTCCGAATTTGAGTCAGAAGTGTCCATCCAGATGTCGGCGGAGATGCGACGCGAGGAACTAGATCTCGCTTGCTGCGCAGGCCCCATGTGGCACGGCCAGAGTTCAGTTCCGTTCCAACCGACCCACAGCCGGCCACTCAATGGTATCAGCCTCATCGCTGGCGGAGCGATGGACAGGTGTGGCTGGGAGGGGGGTTCATTGCGTTTGGAGTCATAGCGTTCGGAGTCGTCAAGTGATCGCGTGCAACAAGATTGAGGGGTTTGCGAGTGTGGGAGAGGCCCTTTGCAATGGGATCTGTTCGACGAAACGACAACGACATGTGGCAACCGATCCACTAGATCAAGAGATCCGGAATGCAACAGGATCCCCTTGCAACGTGGCTTTCAGCTGAAGTTGTGCCATCTGCGTCCGCTGGGAATTCCGTCGTGGGGTGCAAACGCGGACTTTATTATGGGGTTGTCACGACATTAGCACAGTCGTCTCGGTCATTTGACTAGGCAACCATGTGCCGAATTTCCGCCGCTAATTGAAGCCGCCACAATCGTAAGTAAGAAGTGAGTGTTTAAATGTGACTTGACTACTGCCGAGCGGTGTGGCTCGCTGCGAGAGTCTTTTGAGGCAAATTTACTCGACGACCTCCTACAATGTAAACTAAACTGGTGGGGGCGTGCTAGACCTGCACCAAGCGTCACCGTGACTCACCACGGACACGGACATGAGCGAAAGAAAGCGGAACGCGGACGAGTGGGGGTGGGGTATCGAGGACGACGCGTCTCGCCGATGACCACTTTCCGCAGCCGGATTACAGGACCCAAGCGGATATGCAAAATGCGTTGAGAGGGGGGAAAGACTCGGCAACGCAATGACGATCGGAGTCGGTCACTGCACGAAATGCACAATGTGACAGAGCGTAGCGTCGGAACGGGAGGGGGTGAATGGGCCAAACTCCAGGAGCCGACGGGGACGGCAAGACAGCGTACAGTAGCGCAAACGCTGCCTCGAGTGCAGATGGGCTGCCCACCTGCATGCAACCTGCCCACTTTTCATTTCTCAGAGTCTAACACTAACAGAATCTGGGGTAGGTTTCCTTCTATAGCCAGGACACGTTTTTTCTCTTTTCTTTTTAGGACACGGAACAGGTTGGAGAGTCTCCAGCGATGCAAATGCAGACGCGTCCCTTTAACTTCCCTGGGATTGCTTACCATATTGGCTTACTGTGATCACGGCAGGGGGCGCCAAAAAGTCACCGCAAGACAGAAGAAACAAGCACACACCGAATGGGCGGAAAAGGAGCGCTCGAAGGGGAAGAGGGTGCGGGGGTTGGGGGCCTGCGCTGCGCTCCGCGGGGGTTGGGAAGGCTGAGGTCAGCTGACACGCACATATGACCAGCCTGAACGTTTCTCTCCGTATCCTGGAAAAGACGTGCTTGCTCTCTCTCGGTACTGTGCGTTGCTGCGTGTTTCCGCCCGAGAGAGAGAGTGGCCGCCCTGACAGCGAGGCATGCGTTGTTGCTGCGGATATCGCTGGGGCAAAGAGGAGGGGGCAGGGGGCAGGGAGAGCGGGGGAGCGGGGGCTGTCGTCATGAATGGCATAGGCCGCGGAGTACGGCGGGACGCCGTTTGGGCCATGATGGCGCCATACGGGCGTCTCTTGGCTTTGATTTGAGCCGCGGAGGCATGTGTGAGGTGGTGGGGGTGTGCGGGGCCAGAGATCGCACAGAGATCAAACGATTGAGATGTGTGGGGGCAACAAGAAGAAGAACTGGGCTGAACGTTACGCCGTCTGCCCCGCGCTCCTTGTTTTTGCCACCTGTTGGGTGGGTCGCGCGGGGGAGAGGAGGGTAGGACGACGGACGACGGACGGGCTTGGCTCCTGTCACAGGCGTCGTAGACTCGACCCTCGGCCTCGTACAATGCGCGTGATGCATGTCAGACAGCCGACACGCCGAGGCAGCCGTGGACCGTGTGCGCTGCGCGTAGTGCTGCTGCCAGCAGAGCCTGACTCTCCGTCGGGAGAGGGATTGTAAGAAAGAGCACGAGAAAACAGCCTAATGGACCGTCGCCTCTCCTGTATCCCTCATCCAACCCGCAACCCCCGCCCCCCACAGCCTAGCCGTTTATCGTTCTCGACGTTGTCCATCCAGCCCTCCCCACCCATACACATCTTCCTTTCACCTCATCTCATCGCACTCGCCCAACATGATAGCCCAGTAGCTAGTCGCCATTCTCGCATTTGTCCATTGCCCACATCCTCCTCCAACCCCACACACATTTCTCCACACCGCGCACATCGCCTCCCCCAAACAACACTTTGGCTGTCCATTCATTGTCATCGCCTCCCCCCCCCCCCCCCCCCCCGGGTCTCAACCACTGCTACCCCGCTCTAGCCCTCACCGCCCCCTCCCCAGCCACACACGCATACCTGGTAGCATTACGCGCCCAGCCCAGTCCCCAGCCCCGTCGCGACTGGTTGTGTGAAGCTGTATTCTGTCGCCCCGTCTTTTTCAACCGAGTGTAGCAAACTCGCCAAGGAACCCGGTAGTCGGACCGCCTAAAGGAATCAAGGACTGCGTCCACTTCTTCCCTATCCCCCCGCTGCTGTCGCCGCCGCGTCCTACACACCTGCCCACCCATCCCATCCCTGCGACTGCATCTCATTTGACCTCGACGTTGGTCTGTGCATCGTATACGATCGTGTTCCTCGTGCATTGAACCGAGTACAACCCCGGTCACGCCACCTGTTTGTGTGAGTCTCCTGCGCCCACAGTGTGCCATTCAACCACTCTTTCATTACAACTCGTGCTGACTGTGCCCCCCCCCTCCGTTCCCTCTTTGCACCCTCTTCCTCTCTTCCACACACACACACATACACACACACCCTCATCTACACCGTCCCACACTACCACTTGGCCACTTGCCTGCCCTTGCACGTCTGCTCGCTTCGCCAACGGCCATCTACGTCACACCAAAAAACGTCTCCTTGTGGACGCGCGCTCTCTCCTTATTTGCACCCGTGGTGTGCCCTCCGCCCGCCTGCCCCCCGGCGGTGACCGTCATCGCACACATTCCCCTTTTGCACCCCCGCCGCCGCCGCCGCCGCCCCTGAACACACCTCACCCAATTCCGCCTAATAATTCACTAACTGTCCCAACAACCCGCGGCCTTTGCACCGCATGCTTTTCTGGCATCGTTCTGCATCGAGGGGCCCGTTTCCTTTTTTCTTTTTCTTTTTTTTGCTGCTTGACCATTGTCCATCGCATCTCTCGATACCCCCCTCTCTCCCAACCTCTCGCCCTTGCTGCCAACCGCCGCCACCCGCAGGCGTGTCGTGCTGCGTTGATACGGTATCGTCTCCGTGTCTCGTCCCTCGTCTCCCACGCCAGCAGCAGCAGCAGCAGCAGCGACGTGCTTCTTTATTGCCCGCGTCTTCTCCGGCCCCCGGTCCGTGTAAATCTCTCTCGTACCCGCGCGCGCCCATCGTCCAAGCCAGAGGCGTTTTGAGGCACTCTGTTGGTGAGCACCTCATCCTTCCTTGTCCTTTTGCCTGCTGTGTCTCCCCGCCCCCACATCTTTGTATTCCCGACGGGCTATACCCCGGACGCCCCGCACATACCACGCCACCACCCTCACTCCTCGCTCGTCGCCCGATGTGGGCGGCGGCGAGAACAGGTGTTGCGCTTGGGACGCCTGTGCCATGCAGTCGCCAAGGGATGCAAGGGAGGGAAAGGGAGCCCCCACCACCTCCCCCATCTACCCCCCGCGTCCACCAACGCCTCTCGAGTGAGGAGGCCCATCCACCACCCCTTGTCTTATCCATCGACAAAGGGCCATATGCCCACCCACTCCCACCCATCCATCCATCTCCCACCCCCCCCCAATCCTTCCCACCCACACACATCCCACACACAGAGACTGCCAAAAAAACGCAGCTCGTCGATTTCGATCGCTGACCTCACTCCCCCTCCTCCCCTCGTTGCCCATCACAACCATTGTTTCACGCACGTATCCCGAAAACCCTTACTTCTCTTTGCCCGACGCTGGTCCCCGCACGGTTTCACTCCCTCCCTCTTGTCCACCCTTTCCGCCCATTACCACTTGCTCCACTACTCTCGTCCCACCCAGCAGATCCAGATCGCCGCGTCAAAAGAATAAAGGACCGCGGACAGCGCTTGCCGCTTCTTGCCAGTCACTCCTCGTCATCCTTGAAAGCTTTGTGCAACATTCGCCCCAAACTCCCCATCCTCCCTCGTTCACTCATCCCACGATGGACATGGATATGGACCTGGGATGGTGCTTGACGTGCTCGAAGCGAACAGTGAGTACTTGCCCGGCGTCACTGTTACTAACATACCGCAGAGTGACCAGCGTAGCCATTACTGCTCGGAGGCGTGCCGCACGCGCGATGTGCAGCCATCGTCGCCCTCTCGACAGGCTGCTCTTATCACCTCGCCCCTACCACCAAAGTTCGTCCCTTTGCCGTCCACTACTCCTGGTGGGCAGCGCGTCGACCGCCGTGGTTCGCTCCAGTCGACGAGCTACCAGATGCGCATCGATGCCGCACTCAGGCAGCCAGCGACTCCCGAGTCCCACCCCCGGGATCGTCGCGCATTCTCGTTTCCAGCGTCCGAGGCATCGGTTGATGGCGAGCGCCCGGCCCTCCCCTTCGCCCGCAAGGCAAAGGCCGTCAACTCGTCGACACCGCGCTCGCTCAAGCGGCCCGGCTACCTCTCCCCAGAGATCACCAAGCTGTCCTTGTCGACTGGTGCCAACACACCCAATACCCCACTCGACTCGGCTTTTTACTCGACCTCTGATAGCGAAAAGGATGAGCCCGCTCCCAAGCGCAGCCATGTGACCGCCACTTCACCTCACCTCCCCCGGCGCCCACTCCCCATGACCACCATGGACCACGCTGCAATGTCACAAGCCACGTCGTTGTCGTCGCAGCTTCACTCCACTCGTCCGTCACTCGAGGCCCGCCCAGCGACGTCGCCTGTGACCCGCATGGGATCGTCGTCGTCGCGCAGCAGGGAAGACATTATCTCGTGGGCCCGTGGTGTTGACTCGCGCTCCGACAACATGCCCCGTGGTCGCCGCGGCCGCCGACCGGACGCGCTTGACAACCTTCCGCCTCCCAGCACCGAGTCGATGGATGAACACACTAGCACCACACCCCAGAGCGGAGCATTCGGTGCCCTGACCATGACCAGCGTTGTGAATGCCCTTCGCAACGTCTCATTCAGTCCCAGCGGCGCCAACGCGTATGGCTCTCGGGAACAACCATCTGCTCTTGGTCTCCAGACTGTCCCCGCCCCCGCAGCTGTTTCCCGCGTCGAGATTGTGGTTGGCACCCGGACGACCGAGGACATGGCTCCCTTCTTCGCGGAAGGTGACACGCCGACCCTGTCCACCATTTCCTTTTCCGAGGCCGTCGACCCTTCCACCACCGACATGGGTGAGACCATCGAGTCCACCGCTGACGACTACTCTGTCGTTTCCTCCCACGGACGTGGCTCGTTCTACCCCCGTGCCGCGCCAGCCACCACCACCACGACCCCCTCCCCCTTGGACAGGCCAAAGTCGACCCTGCCCCTGCGCCCCATTCAAACTACTGCTTCGGCAATTTGGAACTTTTCAAGCTACCTGCGTTCGCTGGCCCCATTCACCGCCCCATTCACCCTCGCCTCGCCGTCGTCGACCCCTACTCCAGAGCTCGCCAAGTCGGACTTGGCCACCCCCGACTTGGTTCGCAGCCCACTGCCAGTGACGCAGGCTACACCCATGCCCGCTGCTCGTGTCGACTCAACCGAGTTCCCCATCGACCCCGCCCAGGAACTCGTCCGCAGTGTCCCCATGGACATTGTGATCGCCATGGGCTCCAAGGCCCAGGCAATCACGGAGGAACGTGCCCGTGAGCGCGAGGTCATGGAGTTCCTCGGCCCCCGCAGCCGAAGCCGTACACGTATCGGCGCTTCGCGCTCGCCGTCTGTCGAGGCCCACCAGCCCAAGGCCAGGACCCCGCAGCCTCTTCCCCACACTCGCCAGCAGTCCTACGACGCTGACCAGAGCGAGTCTGGCCAAGACAGTGCTCGTGGTCGCGGCCGTCGGCGTGCTCGCTCGCGCGGCGGCTCACGTAGTGCTGCCGAAGAGGAGACAACTCCCGGTGTCCCAACGCCTGCCGAGGACCGTGGCCGCCGACGTGCGCGTGGCGGTGAAAGCCGTGACCGCAGCTGGAGTGCCCACCGCGGCCGATCCTCACACCGTGCAGCTGTGCGCCCATAGAGGCTACACCCCGGTTCCAACCGCCACGACCCCATACCCCCCCTCTCCCACACACACTTTTCCGTCTTCCTACACCACGAAATGTCTGTACCGCTACCCCATTTTCCCCCGACCCGACTGCATTGTAAACACCCCCCACCTCTACCCCGGATTGCCAAGAAGAAGAAGAAGCAAGAAGAAACGAAGAAGCACCATCGAATCAGCAGCAGCCCTCAGGCCGCCGCCAAAACAGAAGAAGAACCGTCACACGCTGTGCGAGGGGATGGCGCCCAAAATTGATCCACAGTCTCTGGCGTGTCGCCAATGATCCTATCACATTGCCCATCCGCATTCATATCACCTCTAGGCCGGCCAAAAGGCCAAACTTGTCCCGTACATGTATAGCATGGCAATTTGGATGTTTGTAATGAAGCCTCCCCCCCCCCCCCCCCCCCTAAAAAAAGCAGCACAGCAAAGCACAGAGCACAGCACAGGAGCAGCAGCGCACAGCCAGTAGCATCCAGTACCGAGCTCGTGATCACCTGTGGGATCTGAAGTCCGTGTCTTACTCGCCGCGTGGGTTGTTGGCGCCGCCGAGATCTGCAACGTCCGCATTGGACCCACATGATACTCTGGCGGCTGCCGCATGTATCGCACAAACTGCCGCAACAGAGATGCTCCGCGTCTGTTGAAGGCTGGTTCCTTTGCTCCGTTGCAACGCATACGCATGCCACCTCGAAACCAATCTGAGACCCGTGCGCACAGCACCTTCCTTTGGGTTGTCGAGGCTGTTGGCGTACCATATCGTTGGCGGTGGCATCAACGTGTTCTCTTCCCCGCACTCTTGCTCGATGCAGACTAAGCACGCCCGCTATCCCAGTTAGGTAGGTAGGACACGGCTGCCCAGTTGGCCAGTAGGCCAGTAGGCAGGTACCGCGGTGGCTCGCAGCTCGCAGTTGTCAGTCAGTGCTAGGAGCCCCGTGTCCTGTGGACCTGACCACACTGGGCCGCGGGGGTTGGGTCTCTCTCGCGCGCGCTCAGCGATTTTCGAATACACTCCGCCGCCATCACTCGACGCCTCTGCGTGCTTGCAGCCACAGCCAGACGTTGGCCGACCCGGGACACAGGCCGGCAAGTCGGCAGCTAGGCTGAACAACTACATAAGCGAGGGCAGGAGGTGCGTGCGGGCAACTGGCCAGCGCGCCAGCGGCCCCGAGCCCGTAAGTCAAAAAAACGGGTGACAGGTGCCAACATGCCACACACAGGTCACAGAGACGACACAAAAGGCACATTCCAAGCCACATCTGGACGCCACCCCCCAGGACCACAGGCCACAGGACCACAGGACCACAGGACCGGCGCCGTGGGCAGCAGCGTGGTGTCGTGCTAGTTGTCAAGTCCGAAGCATGGGTGACGAATCTGGCTTGGTCCGAAGCCCGAGATTCGAAACCAACGTCCAGGAGAAACTCACAGATTATCCTATCGTTAACTGTCACAGAGATGTTTACCAACCCCGAACTCCATGCCTGCCTTGCTGCGCAAGTGGGCAGCCGAGGTGATGGCCTGGTCGCTCAACGCCCCCCCCCCCCCCCCACCCCCACCCCCTCTCTCTGTGCCCATGGGGTCCCCGCCGTGCGCCATCAAGGGCTGTGTTGGCTCTGTACGTGGGCTCGGAGGCGCTGTACGTCGGCCTCGGGCATGAGGGACAATAAGGATTGTACTGCCCGACAATACATGTGCATGAGCATGAGCAAAACGGTGGTTACGTGTGCCACTGAAAGGTGGACCGGGATCCCGAGGTGCCACGCTCTCGGGTCACACACGCCCCAACGACAGGAATTTAGCCTCATTTTCCGACCTTTTTTTTTCTTTTGGTACTTCCCTTCTCGTCCAGCACCCACAGCTTATCTCCATACACAGCCAAAACACTACTCTTGTTCAATGTTCCCGGGTCTAGCGGCGCCAAGGTGCGGGGCGGGCTGAGACACGCCGTGCGCAGGCGGCTCCCAAGGACGACGGAGGTTTTGGGCTGCGGCACAGGGTCAAGAGCCCAACTGACTGGGTGCGCGGGTGGGTGAGGCTTGGCGACGACAGGTTTTTGGCCCGTGCGCACAGACACGAGTGGGCTGGCCCATGCTTCGGAGGCGCGCTGGCGCTGAATGGCCGCGAGCTTGTCGGTGCATATGGTACGAGGAAGCCATACATGTGTGTCTGCCAAACGGTCCCGTGGTCACCTCTACGCGTGACGTACGGACGGGTCCGGCATCATTGGCGTCCTTGGCGTCGTCGTCAGGTGATACATAAACATCAGTCCAGAAAGTAGCCCTACACTCCCAGAGGACGGGACGTGAACGTGCTGCCAAGCTCATGTTCTGCCATGGCTGGCATCACGCTTGGGCCTCTGGGCAGCGGTTCTGGATACCGGATCATCGAGACAGTGGCCTGCACCAGCCAGCCACAAGATTGCGTGTGCACTCCAATGCCTTGCCGAGTGGCACACCGAGCGAATGACTGATGGCGTCTTCTGATGCACCTTTGAATCCGACACCAAATGTGACGGACTTTGTGAGCTCCACACAGTCGTAGGCGGCCCTCAGTACCTGGCATCTCCTGGGTAACAAACATGGCTCCATATTCCCGATGTCCGACGTCGGTCGGCCATCGGTTCAAAAGACTGTGTGTGCATCACGGATCACGGAGTATCACTTTGAGGGGCACAAAGCAATTCAATGGATCACAAGCCCCATGGTTTGTGTTGGCTTACACAGCCTATGCGCGTAGAGGGCCACTCATTTGTGCATCGTCACTACAGATAGAGTGGCGCGCGTGGTGACTCCAGTGCACTGGAACAAAGAGCAAACTAGTGCATACAGCACAGTGCACAGCACATGGCGCTCCGGGCGCCGGCGGACGGTGGCGTGCGCCTGTGGGCTGTCAACGATAGACGGTTCAGCTAACTCTCGTCCTGAAAAGATCTCACGCTCTGTTCCTGCTTAAGAGGTTGCTTTCTAATCTTGAAGTTGTGCCGTTGTGTGTTAGTGGTGTGTCAGTATGCACATTCGGCAGCGAATGATGAAATAGGGGGATGGCATGGTTGCTACACACAGCCACAAGGAACAGGGCTCAAACGATCAAACGAGCAGAGGAATGAATGTGCTGCGTCCTTAGTGACGTGGGGCTGCTGGCGACGTCGGCGGCCGCGAACCTCGTGTGGGACTTCGTAGATGGATTAGAATTCAGCCCATGTCCTGCCGGACGGCGACCATACGGGCCATCAGACTAGTGTGGCGGCCCGGGTTGGCTACTTGCTAGCGAATTGCTAACCTGTTTGGCTCATGACGGCCAGAAGCAATGTGATAGCGAGGCACAGTGTAAGTGGCTCAAACTTGAGGCTGCTCCTGGTGTGGAGCTTGCCCAACTACACAGCAGTCCGTCGACAGTGTTGGCGCGACTGCAGTCGGACAAATCTCTGAACGACCAGAACCAAAAGGGCCTCGAACAAGAGGTACCGAAAACGATCAGCTGCACGGAAGCCTGCCACGCAATCTGACGCGTCGGCCGTTCTTTATGGCGTATGGGGGAGCAAGGTAAGTTTGGAACGCGTTACGGTCAGGCTGGGTGGAGCTGAGACATCACCATGGCGTAGTGCGTCCACCACGCCGCGCACAAGGAAGGAAAGTGTCGAAACAGCCCCAAGATAGAGTTTGGGCACCGCTGCGTCTATCTATCTACTGCTTGTCGGAATTGTCGGTCGTTCAGCGCACATGCCCCATTCACCTCCACGTGGTGCACAGACCGTCGCCGATTGCTGTTTGTGTGTAGACTGCAGCGAAGACGCACGTTGGAGCAGCATGACACAACAACCACCAAACACCAGGCCTTTTTTCAAGGTCTCAAGGGACGAATGCTTCTAGCGCTTCGCTGGGTGAGCGTCGGCGGACCTTGCCCGCAACAGCTATATGTCACCTGACCTAATAGGTGATCTGAACGCCAGCTCCGCTGGGATTCCGACAATGGTACAATGGTACACAATGGGCACACTCTGCGCGATGCTCGGAGTGACCGGCCGGTGGCCAAAGATGGACCGCTGTTCATGGCGGTGCTGTGGGTCACTTGATGCGGCTCACCTTGGCAAGATCCCAGCAGATCTCCAGCAGTGTACACCATGCCCAAGCCAATGTCACGTACATCTGAGCCAACGCTTACGTGCGTTTACTTCTGTCTGCCATCCTCAAAAGATCCAATGTATGTACCTGCTGCCAGCCCGCCAAGGCATCACGCGCATTCGATTGCGGAGCGCACCACTTGGGGGTGGCAGTGCTGCGATTCAAACACGGCGCCTGAAATGGATATGCCATGCGGGTGATGTCATACGCCCTGTTGCTGGACGAGAATTCTGCCGCGAGATTACCAGACGAAAACAACACCTGGCAATCTTGTGCTGCATACAACCAGCCGGACGACTCTAGAGCGTCCATCAGCAACGGGATGCAGATGTAAGAGGAGCCATGAGCTGTAGTCTGATGGCGAAGGAGGCGTGATGGGACGCACATGCCGGTGCGTGCGAATCGCCGGTGCAGCGAGAGAAGCACAAAGAGGGAAGACAACGGACGGCATCTTCTCTCGTTTGCTTTCATCACCATCCCCACTCCGTTTGTCATTTCCATCTTCCAACCACCCTCCCGCTGACCTCTTGCAGCACTGATATGTCTGACGACGTCCCCACCAACACTCCGTGGGTTGCTCCACGCAGGCGCGCGCGTACCGGGTCGCTTGCACCGAGCGCGTCTCTTCCCGATGTTCGTTCAATGTCTCTCGCCCCGAGCAGCAACCCATACAACAGCAAGCGCGCCTCTCTTCCCAGCGCTCTCACCTCGAATCCTTCTCTGAGCCTTCCTCCTCGTCCCCCGTCCCCTCTCGAACCCAACCACACCGGTTCGAGCACGTCGTCAATGGCCCAGCTCGCTTATCTCTGTCCTTCCCCCGTCGAGGCCGCGCCTTCCCTCCCCGCGACGAACAGTAGTCGTCCGCCTTCCCTCCCTCCCAAGCCTGACCACCTTCCCTCCAAGCCGGCCGCTGATGCCAATGGATACGGTGGTTATGGATTTGGTGCAAAGCCTCTACCTGAGCTCCCTCCCTCGCACTTGCCCCCCAAGCCAAGCAAGCTGGACACCGTGGAGACTCAGGCTCCGGCTCTCCCTCCCAAGTCGCCCGATGGGCCCGTCAAGATCGAGCGCTGGACTCCAGGATCGACACCCGCCCCGGTACCCAAGGACACCGACCTCATGCCCCCACCTCCTGTGCCCAGCTCCTCCACTGGAGGCAGCTCTTCGACGCGTTCAAGAGGTTCAAGCATCTACGACCACAACTCTTCTTCAACGCGGGCGACATCACTACCCAAGCGCCTCCCAATCCGACACTATCTCAAGCGTGGTCGGAGTGATAGTGATGATGAGGACCTCCCCGAAGCGACACCTGTCGACATTACGCGCGCACGCACCGTTACTGTAGAGGTCAAGCCCCACCCTGATGGCCCGGTGTCTGTCCTCCCCACGCCGCTGCCCAGTAAGCGAGCCAAGAAGAAGGGCGCATCGCGTGCCCTCCTCCTTCCTGTCGAGCAGCTGCCTGTCTTCCCTCTCCCGCCTCTTCCCGCGATCGAGGACCCCGAACTCCTCAAGCAGGTCTTCACCCACTCAAGCCTCTTTGAGTACTCCCGCGGTGTCTTTGAGGAGCCGGAGGACCGCCCAGCCCGTCACTACGAGAAGCTCGAGCACGTTGGCGACTCGATCCTGGGCATGATTGTCACGACATGGCTTCACGAGCTCAGGCCCAACCTAACCTGTGGCACTGCAACCGTGGGTTCGTCTGATTCTTCGCCGCTAACCCACTAGAAACTCAAGGCCCACCTTGTCTCCAACGCAACACTATCGCACATCTCGGGCATGTACAACTTCCCCCAGCGCCTCAACGGCGACCCTCGCCTCCTCCCTGTTCTCCGTGCCCAGACCGACGTCCGCGCTGCCCTTGTCGAAGCCTACATTGCAGCGCTCTACTTTTCGTATCCCGAGGAGACGCGCATGACTGAAGGCTTTGCTAGTGTCACGGCCTGGCTGCGCGAGATGTACGAGCCGCTCTACGACTTCTTCTTCAGCTACATGAAGAACTCCCACAACCAGCACTACTCGGCCATGGGTACCGGTCCGGATGGTATTGTCGAGGCAGCCTCGTCACCCGAGGAGCTCGACAAGTTTGACGAGCAGGCCGAAGGGATGGGACTCCTTCTCAAGATGTTTGCGACCCAGCGCGAGCGCGTCGTCGAGTACGACTCTGAGCGCTTCGAGACCAGCGTCGGAATCCTCTGGAAGCTCACTTGCCTCGTTGACGGCGTGGAGATGGGCGATGCCACGCGCGCGTCCAAGTACAAGGCCAAGAATGCCGCTGCCTGGGAGGCTGCTAAGAAACTTGGTCTCACCGTGAGTTAGGTTCTCCAGGGTATCAACTGACAACAAGGAGGGCACCATCTAAGCGTCCACCACGACCGCGCCATTCTGGCGACGAACCGACCAACAAGAGCCCCAACGACCTGTCCCCATGCCCCTGTGCTGAACTGATATCACTCATCATGCCCCTTACATCTAGCACCGTGCTGTGCTGTACCAAGTGTCTTACCATCAAGCCGTCCGCCAGATCCGACCCACTACTGTACCATCATCCATGATCCTCGCGCCTTCTTCCGCGTCTATTCGGAGCATGGAGTCGTCGGCACACCACTGGCTCACCACAGTCACTGTGTCTGTACCCACAGTGCTGTGCCGGCCAAGTTTGCCGCCTGATCTCTGAGCGAATAGAACACGCGCGTTGCGCTTCCCCTCCCTCCACACCGTGCCATTGCCACTGCGGTGTTTGTCATACTCCAATCGTCACCTCATCGCATGCCCTGTCCACCTTCCTGTCTGTCTGTACATACGTCTGCTCCATGTCATGCTATGGCCATATGGCCCACTGTCGTCACTGTGCCCCGCTCGCACTCCAGCTCACTGGTCCCGCCGGCCGCCGGTGAGTGCCACCACCTCGGTCTCGCATTTGGCTTTCCGTCATTGGGATCACCGTCCAAAAGTGTGGGGCCGAGCGGTGGACCTGGCCACCTGTGACGAGTTGGTTGGCATTCCGACCCCTGTCGTCAAATCCTTCTCGCGTTCGATACATTAACAACATTCGTGCCTTTGCCCTTTGCGTGCGAGCGGAGCGGACCGCGATCAATGTTGTGGAGCCGGCCAGGATCGATCCGCCGTCAGCGTCATCTCACTGCCGCACCAGTTCACCGTCGGCCAGGTGGCACCACTTGCCCGACGCAACCATCGTGCCGATGGAAACAACCAATGGGCCAAGCCTGCACCTGTTGCTGCAGAAGTTCAGGAATCGACTTCGTTCACCTGGCGTAGCAGGTGAAAAAGTGTTTTCCCCCATAAAATGTGGTGGGGTTCTGGCCGTTCTGGGTGCCTCTAGAAACGTAAACAACACCGGCGGCCTCGTAATTAGGGCGGCCGCTGCAATCGACTTTGCTTAAGGGAGCTGGATTTTCCGTTAGCTTTGATGTTGTTTACTGGCTGTTTAGTCGCCGCAGGGGAGCGACGTGCCCATACCCAAGTGGTTGATGGCCGCATGCATCTTGTTGGGCCCAGACTTGGAGCAGGGTTTAGGCCTCAGGCATCAGGAGTGGTCGAGGAACCTAAGGTATGCCAGGCGTTCAGTCAAGTGGAAAGTGCAGGCACGCGTACTACGTAACTTGTCATTCGTTGCTCACAGTTCCAGAACTCCAACGATACCGGTCATCGCATGTCAAGGGAAATGGATCATAATGTCATCAAGGTAAAGTGCTATTACAAAGGGGGGAGAAATGTCCAGTGCTTCGAAATGGACGATGAACTGCAGCGTGAGAGGAAGGGCAGCAGATTATAAACATGTGGGCGTTGACGTTGGTAGTTGAAAAAAACGATTGTGGCAAGTTGGGTTTGGTGGTCTAGGTGGGGGAAGTACAACTTGGTGGAGGCTGTAGTGTAGGGATTTGCGCTTGCGGGTCGGCCTTAGCCAAGACGGTTCATATCGCGCTTTGTGCGGGCGAGCTTGCTGCCGACACGGGTGACATCCTGGTCGAGATGTTCGAGCAGCTCGTTCTGGACGGCAATCTCTTCGGAAATCTCCTCGCCCATACGACGCTGTTTGTGAAGGAGACCAGAGAGGGCGGTGAGCTGTTCGTCCTGCTGCGCCATGGCCGTGTGCTGAAGTTGAACGAGGCCGCGCTCGTCGAGAGGACGAGTCTCCGCAGTTTCCTGGGGTGCGGCCTTCTTGCCGAACACGCGTCCCCCCGTGGTCGCTGGCGTCCAGGCCGATTGCTGCATGCCACCCGGCATCGAGGCAGTCATGCTTGAGGACGATGATCCGGGGCCACGGGCCTCGGGAGGTGGCGTCATGTTGCGTGGGGGACGGTAACCAGCCTCGGCTTGACGAAGAAGATTTGCGTGCTCCGTACGCAAGGCGGCGACAAGGTCATCACGCCTACGCCTCTCGCCGTCACCCAGGCTAGACACGGCCGGGGTGTCGAGTGCCTCAGCAAGCGCGTCGATACGCGGGCCAGCGTCGCGAATGAGTTTCCTCGCCTCGCCGCCAGCGGCGCGGGCCGCGGGGTCGGCAAGTCGTGCGAGCGCGTCACGCTTAAGAAGAGCTGCACGGGCATTGCGCAACACGCCTGCCACGGCACTATTCTCGGTCAACCACGTTGCCGCCGTCATCTTTGTGAATTGCGTCGCTTGGGTCGTGTTGCGCGATGGCACACCCAAAAAGTCGGCGAAGCCAAAGGTCTCGCGCCACCTTGCATCCTTGGTCGTCAAGACAGTGCGCAGGTACACTTCGAGACCGACTCGACGTTGGCGTATCTTCTGGGGAGGTCAGAAACGTTCGCGTGGCGGAGGTTGACGGAACATTGGTAGAAGCATAGGTCATCACCATGCCTCTCCGACGGCTGGGGCACCGCGGGGGGTCCTGTGCATGACACATCCACCCTCACCGGCCGCGCTCACGACCACCCTCGACAAGCAATTACACTGGCGTGGGATTCGGGGGTGGGCACACGACGGAGAATGGAGGCGCTTCGTGTGGCTGCAGAAGACCACTAAGCGTCCCGCGACTCCCGCGGCAACGGTCTGGACCGATCCCGCCCCGCGACGGGCGGCGCGCCCCCCATTCACGCCGACGTCACGTTGACATTGTCAACACCCCCGAAACGCGGTGCGTGTTCTTGCACCAACACGCATTCCGTTTTTGGTAAGAATGCTCACCTCTTCATCATTCATGGTCCTGTTGAACCAGTGTTTGGGTGGGAGAGAAGCAGGCGGCTCTTTACTTGTTGCGGACCGCAGTTCGGCATCAAGAGCGACAAAGTCATTGTACCGCCGGTTCACAGACCATGTACGCGTTGGTGTAGAGACTGAGCATGAGTATACACTCGTAGACTTGGAATGTTGGCTGCAGATCGACAGTTACTGGCCCGAGCGGGGCAGTGAGTCGAGATAGCCCCATCACCAAAGCTCAAGTGGTCCGTGCGGCTGCGGGCGGCGCGGGCGGCGGCGACGGCGAGTAGGAGGGGTGGGATTCACGACTCTGAAGCTGCTGGCACTCACCCTGTACGGTATATGCAATATGCCGTGCTGGACGATGGACAGTGAGGGCGTCGGTGATGGCGATATTGTGGATCTCTGTAGCCATGTTGGTGGATGGAGAGGATGGGATGATGACGATGAAGTCAACCCCAGCCCACAGCGATACCAATAATAACGCACACCACACACACGCTCCACCGACCGCACGTGACGCGTCGGCGGAACCAAATAATGCACAAGAAAAGCGGAGATGCGCGGCCTCGTGTCCGTTTTCTCCAGCCATACGCGTCACCACCCTGGCCGAAGGTCATCGATTGTCGGCGAGGACGATGGCCGTGAGCCAAGCTGGCGAAGCGTTGCATCGACAGTTAACATCCTTCTCAACACATCTTGGCCACCTACATCCTCACCCCCATCTCCCTCAACAATATCTACAAAGAACAGACATACAACTACTACAACCATTCGACAATGTCTGGACAGGTGAGCTGAATGGCCTTCACAAGCAGCAGCTAACTCTCAGACCGGCCGCGTCCAACTCTATGTCTACGATCTGAGCCGGGGTATGGCCAAGGCTATGTCCCTTGGGCTCACAGGCAAGCAAATCGATGGAATTTGGCACACCAGCGTAGTCGTCTTTGGCCGTGAAATCTTCTATGGCCGTGGTATTATGGAGGCGACTCCCGGCACTACTCACGTAGGTAGCTGACCGCATTGTGGCAGCTGTCTAACCCACCAGCACGGAACCCCTCAGCAGATTATTGATTGCGGCGAGACTCGTGAGTTGCCGCTTGGATATTCCCAGCTGACGACAGACATCGACGATGAGACATTCCAAGAGTACCTCTCCTCGGTCTCCGAGCTGTACACTCCATCCGCTTACCACCTCATCGACTTCAACTGCAACAACTTCACTGCAGACGTCATTGGTTTCCTTACAGGTGCCGAGATTCCCTCCTGGATCAGCGGTGAGAAGCCAACTAGGCCATACATAACGCTATGTATACTAACGTACAGGCCTTCCCTATGAGTTCCTCGCCACGCCTCTCGGGCAGATGCTCAAGCCCCAAATCGATGCCATCTTCGGCGCGTCCAACTCTGCTGAGCACTCGGCCTTCAGCCCCCTCTCTCGAACTCCTGCTCCCGCAACAACCCCTCCCCCAGCACCCAGCTCGGTCAACTCCCAAGACCTTGCGTCGACCCTGCTCCAGGCGTTTGCTTCTCAGGCCGCAGGTGGCGGTGCGTCCGTTGCCAGCGGGTCTGCGGCTCCGCCCAGGACCAACCCGGAAACGACGCCCCTCACGCTCGTGACGTCGCGCACCAACTTCAACTCCATTCTCTCAAACAACCGCGCCGTCATTGTCAACTTTACAAACACGGCTGGCTGTCCTCCGTGCCGAGCGATCAAGCCTGCGTACGAGTCCATTTCCGAGGAATACTCAGCGGTGTACGGCCCCAAGGGCACACGGTTCCTGGAAGTCGAGACAGGTGTTGGGGAAGGACAAGGTATCGCCGGTGACCATGGAATCACTGCCACTCCCACGTTCCAGTTCTTCAAGGACGGCAAAAAGGTCGACGAGATGAAGGGTGCCGACAAACGTGGTCTCGAGTCGCGGGTGGAGGCGTTCCTTGACGACTGCTTCCCCCGTCATCCGCACCGTCGCCTCTTCCTTCCCGCAACCGAGAGGCTCTCGACCCAGCCGATCAGCGCGACTGCCACTCCCGCGTATCCTGCCCTCCTTTCTAAGCTGGGCAGCTTCAACGGCGCCACGCCTGACCACGTCCAGGTGCTCAGCTCCGAGGTGGTGCCCTTCCTCGAGGGCAAGGTGACGCTGAACGACGCCCAACTGCAAGCTCTCGTCTCCAAGTGGACGGCCACCACCAATGCCCTGCTCCTCACTCTCAAGGCTGCCGAAGCATTCCCCCTCATCGACCTCTGGCGTGTGGGTCTAACCAACGCCCGCGTGTCCGCTGCTCTCGGCCTGTTGCTCACGCCCGGCGCAACGGGTGCCGAGCCTTTGGGCCCGATCCTGTCTCTCACCGCCAACGCTCTCAAGGCGGACACTGCGACCACACCGCGTCCGCTCCTGCTTACTACTCTTCGACTGTCCACCAACCTTCTCGCTCCTCTTCCGCTGGCCAACCTTGTTCTGTCGCCCAGCGCAGCCCTCCAGCCTGATCTCCTCGCCGTCCTCGTCGACGCTCTCCTCCATCCGGAAGTGAGCGTCCGCAAGGCCGCTGCCGATGTAGCTGTCAACGCTGCCGCTTGGCGCCATCGTGTCGGCAAGGAGCGCGCGAGGGCAGAGGGTGTCGCAGGCGAAGACGACTTTGGAGAAGAAGTGGAGTGGGAGGCCGAGCTGCTCAGCGCCCTGCTTGAGGGCATCGGACGCGAACAGGACGCCGATGTTGGTGAGTTTTGACCAGCTGGTGGCCACGAACAATACAACACATACTAACGCTCAGGCCACCGTCTCCTCGCGGCGTCGGCCCTGATTATTTACCTTTCTCCGGGCTACGACAACACCATCAAGCCCTTCCTGGACGTCCTCGGTGCCCGTGCGACACTCGAAGCGGCAGGCAAGCGCTGGGGTAAACCAGATGCGCGCAAACTCGCAGATGAGGTGGCGTTCAAGCTTTGCTAGCCGTCTATCTGTACATGAGCGCCCGACATGTCGACGCTCCTGCACGCCAGTGGTGGTGGTGGTTGGTGACGACGCCTACATTACGCTTGGCGTTGTGACAGCCAACGTCGTATGCAAGGGGATGGGCTGTCTCCGCAGCCCATTGGTAGAAGGGGATTGTGGCTGCAGGAATAAGGAGGTGACCTGTGCGGAAAGCGCGTAACGCAAGCGTATCCCATAGCCTGGAGGCGTCCTTGCAGCGACGCCAGGTAATGTCGTGCTGCCCAAGTGGGAGATGGCGGACATGACCGTTTCCGCAAAGGGCGCCTATCATCACATGGGATCATGGGGGAGCTGGGGGAGGGGCTTTGTATTTGCAAGAGGAGGTGACGCGTGACGGTGCACAGGAGGTGGTGCTGCGGCCTGCGGCATGTATAGAGCGTACTCCTAGATGTATGGCTGGTTGTATTGGAATCTCAGGACCTTGGCATGTTGCACATGAGGCCACGCAAGCATGCTCGGCCGAGGCCGGGAGAGCGTGTGGGGTGGGTGGGTTTGGCTGGGTGTTGGTAACGACGGCTGGAGGGGAATGCCTTGGCCGAGACGTGCAGGCACGGGCCATCACCGGAAAAGACAGTCGCGTCGGACAGTTCCCCCTCTCCCCCCGCCGGCCCACCGTTCCGTACACCATGCACAGGGCGCGTCGTCGTCGTCGTCGTCGTCGTGTGGCCTGCGTGCGCGGGGAGAGTGGCCACACAATGCTATATCGTCGCGCACACAAGGGAGTGCTCGTCTCTTCACATTCCCACTCCTCTCCAAACTCGGTTGCTCTCGCTCGTCGTCACGATAAACACACGCAAACCAAAGCCCGATATTCGGCACGGAGACAACCAACACCTCTATACAGGGTTTCCAGAGCCAGCGTAAACAATCCGAGACACTCGCTCCTGTCATCATCCACCTCCCCCCTCTGCACATCACCACTTATCCCAATCCCCCCTCCTCCTCGCCTGACGGCGCAGTCTATCCCCTACGACTGTTCCCGTCATCATGAGTATGGCCCCACCACTTCCCCCTGCGTCCCTCGCGGCCGAGTCCTCATCGAACCGCCGCGACCCGCTCTCGCCCGCGCGTGTCGTTCGTCCAGCGAGTGTCTCGACGCCGAGCATCACCCCCTTTCTCCCCCCGCCACCCATCCATGGCTCGACAACGACCACCACTGGTCACGGCCCGGTCTCCAAGGCCTCGGGGACTGCTACTGCACCGACCTCGGCAGTGCCGGCACACCGCCAGCTCGACGGCAGTGCAGTTCCGCTCACCGCACCAGACTCGCCACTCGCGAGCCACCCGTACTTTACGCATGCTGCATCGCTCAGCGGCAAAGCAGCTGCGTCGGGAGCGACACCGGTACGTCCTCATGGACGCGGGCACCGCGTTACTCGTTCCGTTGGCTGCTTCCCCGTCTCGCCCATGGGCGACTTTGGGGTCGAGTCGCCGCGCCCAGCTCAGCGTGAACCTCTCCTTCCTGTGAGTACTGTTTGGAACGGATGACTATGATGATGCTGATGAACAGACCAACCCCGCACTCTGGACTCGTGAGCTATTGAGTACAGAGCACTGAAGCTAACGCCCAGCATCTGAACTCGCCCAACACCTCGGTTGGTCGCTGCGAACCGGCGGCGCGGACGGCACAGGACCTACGCTTCCCTCCCCCGTGGTCGAAGACGTCGTGACCTGGGTGTTGCGCTCTCGCATCGCAGGCAAGCAGTTCACCCGCGGTATCGACGGCTGGAGGTGAGTTTCCACAGTCCCTCGTCACTAACTCTACAGCGGCAACCGACCTCCTCCCTTTCTTCCCGTCCTCGCGCAGATGTCGCGCCGCTTACGCCGTACGGTGCGCGGCCGCCGCGCGTCCAACTCGTTCTCCGAGGCCGACGCTGTTGAGGAGGATGATGAGGACTCTGACGGTGTCACTCGCGTCAAGCGTTTGGCCAATGCCTTTGACGCCATCACCTCGGCCTCAGAGGCAAGCGACTCAGAGCCCACCCTCTCCTTCCTCCGCGCCCAACTCACTGGCGACAGTGTCGAAGGGTTTGGACGCGTGACTCCCAAGACCAACGATACCCCTGTCTGGGCTCGCCGCGCGCGCCGCGACTCGACTGCCTCTGCAGTCTCCACCATGTCGGCTGCCAGCGGCATGTCGACTGCCTCGGGCCCCATCTGGTGCGATCGCCGCGATTCTGCTGCATCCGCTGCGAACATTCCAGCGTGGTCTGGCCGCGAGTCCATGATGAGCGATGCGATGATGGACGAGGCTATGGATGCGGTCCCCGACAGCCCCTCGCTGCCGCTTGCGAAGAAGAAGCCCGAGTTGGAGCAGAAGCGAGTCAGCGATACTGAGACCTCGCCGCCTCCCCCTTACCACAGTGACGCTGGACCTCCTAGCCCCACACGAACTGGCCTCCTCTTCCCTTCCGCCGCCGACACTGCTCCAGGCACGCCAGAGAACAATGACAGCCGGTCTGCCTCTGTCACTCCTCTGCATGGTGCGGAGATGGAGAGAGAGGAGAGCGACCACCTTCTCCGCATGGCTGCGCACAGAGCGGCCGGTGTCAACCCGTACGCAGCCCTCCGCCGCGAGAAGGGTCGTCCCAGTCTCCCCTCCGTCTCCATCCGTGCCGAGGACCCCGACGATGATGACGATGATGATGAACCATGGCCCAGTCTGCGCAAGGTGACGGCTCGCCCGCTGGCGGTCGATGCCCTCGCCCCTCCCTCGCCTGCCACCCCTGCCAACGTCGCTGGCATGCGCGTTCCCTCAACGCGTTCAGTGTCTCGCTCCGCTCCATCCTCACGTCGCCGCCGTGAGCGTGAGCGTGAGATGGAGAAGGAGATGGCTGTGCTCACGGATCGCATCCGCGAGCTCGAGGAACGCCTCGCAGCCGTCGAGACCCCGACTCCTATCCCCACTCCTCCCCTGCTCGTCACGCCAACCCCAGCCTCGCCAGTCAAGGCACCCATGACACCTGAGGCGCCGGCCGCCGACATCACGGATGTGTCGATGACAGCAGCGCACGTCTGCCCAACTTGCAGCAGCCCAACCCATTCTGCATCCAACTCCCCGCCCCGCTCCCCGGCTCCCGCCCCAGACCTCACCCCAGCCGAACGCAAGCGCTCGTGGCTCCGCAGCTTCGACCTCGTCGACGACGAGGGCGACCGTCCCCGCCTCCTTGACATGCCCATCTACCTCTTCCTCATGGGTATGGGCGTTGGTGTCGGGTTCAGTGCGGTCGTTGTACGCATGCTCTTTTCCAAGGCCCGTGGCTAGAGCGACTTGCATCCACACCCCATTCACCATTTCTCGCATTTCAGCACATCCCTATCAGGACTATTGCCATAAGCACCCCAAACCAATCCGACAACGGACAGGACCTCTTGATATTCATAAAGTCATTCCACCCCCCATTTTGTTGTTTAATACAGTCTGATTCATTGCAATGCCATCTTTTAACGCCAGTCGCTGTTCTCTGGTATGTGTCTGTGGTCTCGAGAGAGTAGAGAACGTGGATGGCCGCGGGGATCCATGGGGTGGACTGAGGCGTACACGGTAACCCGCCACCCGCGGGGTGGTGTGGCGGACGTGTTTCAACCTCAAGTACCGCGTCCACGCGAGTCCAGTCACCTTTTGATCTTCCTTCCTACCACTCACCCTTTCTCTCGACCCATCCAACACAACGCATCCATCAGGCCTCGTCCACCATCCTCACACTTCCTATACACCGTGCCTCCGTGGGCTGAGAACCAGTTGACCCACACTTGACCTAACACTCCACCGATTGGGGTGAGGCTGAACGGTTGAGGCCATCCACATCCATCCTCCTACGCCGACAATACTCTCACACGTCCACCTCAACATGCCCTCCAGTGGGGACGATGACAACCGCCCCCGTCGCCCGGGCAAGAAGAGCAAGAAGAAGCCCAAGACCAGGACCAAGACCAAGACCAAGACCAAAGGCGACGTTTCCCACTCGCCTGTTTCCAATATTGACCCTGGCGCGGCTGCCAGCGGCAATGAAAGTAAAAACAACGGTGGTGAGTGTTCGCAACTGGTTTCCCTTTGGCACCCATTGACATCCCCCAGGAGAAATCAATCCCAACGCCAAGTCCGAGTCCTCCCACGATCTGCCAGCGCATCCGGCCAACGTCATTGACTATCAAGGCTTCCCCCACATCATTGATCTGATCCTCCAAAACCCCCAGACTTGGCCCGTGATGCGACGCACCTGCAAGGCCCTGCGCGACCGTCTTCTCTACCGTCATGTGGTCGTCACCCTGGTGCCGGTGCGTCTCCGCGGCTACTACGACAACCAGGTCGCAGTCAAAAATGTACCTCGCACCATTACTGTCACCGACCAGGCCACTGGTTTCCAAATCCTCCCTTGTGGACGTACCAAAACGCCGTGGTCACGACCAACGGGCCCACTCAGAGCCTGGAGAGCACCCGCTATCTCGACATGACCTTGCCTATGGATGGGCAATTGATTCGCCTAGTTCATCCTGAGTTTGGAGAGGACAGGATCGAAGTAATTCGACTGTTCTACGATAAGGAATCCTTTACCCATCGCGTACAGACCACCGAGGACGAGCACAACTTGCCCGTGGGCGTGGTCTTCCCTTTCAACTTGCACAGCTCGTGGTTCAGAGGTCACATTAACTGTGACATTATGTCAACGCCAGTCTGTTGCGCCAACACACTCGTCACCAACATCTATTACGCCGCTGAAATCGGACCCATTTTTGGGCCTGTCTGTCCGGGCCTGTTCCGCCACCAACAAGATCTAGAATTTGTGTGCGTCTTCCACTCGGCGGACGAGGCCCACAGGGTTGATCTCGATCACCCCTGCGAAATACTCTTCAACCGGTCACCTGACGACTGGTGGGACCTCCTCGCCCAGCAAGTATTCTTCCAGATCCATTATGCGATTTGGTACAGGGAAGACGACTACTCGACTCACATCACCTTTGTCGACTTCCCTCCGAGTGATGACAGCAGTGACACACCTTCGCGTGTCGACTTTTTCAAACTCGTCACAGACCACGTTACCGGATGGGACTACAATTGCACCGATACCACCGACGACGAAGAGACCGATGAAGTTGTTGACGTTCTCAAGAAAGCGACGTTTCTTACCATGAGCGAGTACCAGGACAAGGTCGGCCTGGATATGTTCAGGCTTCAGACAATCCCCTGGTAGGGTCTGTTTGAAGCTGAGAAACTAAAGCCGATGCAGAGCTGACAGTCCCAGCCGTCCGTCTAAATACATGCCCCAGACTGTTTTGTACTCTTCCCCCAGCCCATTGTGAACATGCGTGAAGTATGACTGGATACACGACCCTCGGAGATGCGGAGTACAGTATGGATGGAAATTCGACATGTGACAGGTGCAAGCTGGCTAGCCACCACTACGGCAGAACCAATTACAGGAGAACCACTGGCAGGCTCGCAGTTATCGCCCACAGAGGCATAGGTTCTGTCAGACTCACTCATCTACGCACTTTATGATGTTGATTTTCACAGTCAGAGATTAGCTAGACCAGCTAGACCGTCTACGTGGAGCATGGCAGGTCTTGTGGGGAGTTTACCTTGGACTTCTGGCATTTGTTTGGTTTATCAGCGGATCAGCGGGGTATGATTTTTGGACAGCACATAATTAGTGCATCGCGTGTCGACATGTCGACATGTGTCCTGCATCGATAGACTGCATGACCCCTTCTACCACCTCCCTTTCTACCAGGTGGACCGTGTATAGATGCTGTGTCGTGAGTACACAGGATGATCAGCGGTAAAAAGGGTCCGCTCGCCCCCACCTGGTGTCCATCCCCAACTCCTCGCTTCTTTTCCCACCTTGCAACCACACTCTTCTCTATGGATCCCGGGAAGGAACTTCCTGCTGGAAGTCGTGGCGCTGGGAACACCCATTCCCTTCCCACCAGCAACGCTGCCAGCCTGGTGGCGACAGAGGTCGATGGTCTGTCCTCCTCAACCGACGGCCAGTCTTATCTGGTGAAACCATTCAAGAGTCCTCCCTCGGGTTACGGCCCAACAACATCCAATTACAAGCCGCTTGACAACGATGCGCTGAATCATATGGGTGAGTCAGCACTTCCTATTGCGATCCTCCGGCCTTTGCCATTTCTCATTCTGTCCCTCCATCTTCGCCCTTCTTTCCCTAGGCTGATGAACCAGTCACCAACTCCAACGATGTATGGCTGGATAGCAATTACTTCCCCCACATTGTCGACATGATCTTGTCCTATCCCGAGAACTGGCCAGCTGTCCGACAGGTGTCCACTGCCTATCTCGCCAAGATCACCCCACTGCTGTTCGAGCACATCGTTATTCGATCGGCAGAACTGAGCAGCAGCGACATGTGGAGTCGATATAGGATACGCCCTGATCCTCCTTTCCCGACCGCGTTCACTGTAACTGGAACCACCGGAACGCAAGTCTGGCCACCAGCTTTCTATCAAGGATTTCCTGAGGCCCCCATCAAACAGCCAGACATGGTTGCCAAACTTGCGCTGCTCGAACATACCCACACAATCGATATCCACTTCGGCTCGGATGAAGACGATCTGAATTGGATCTGCCAAACGGTACTCTGTGCAATTGAAACTGTCCGACTCTTTTGGTGCAGTGCCACGGCCCTTGACGAACGACGTTTCTCCCAATTGCCGCCGTTCGAGCCAAACAACCTCGTATTATTTCCCTTTGATCTGGACGGCAACATCTTCCGTCTCAACGCGGATGAGATAAAAGACAGCTGGACCATCGAGCCTATTTATAAATCCCACAAGATTGTTTCAAACGTGTACATGTCTTGCGAAATGGGTCCCTATCTGACCCCAGCTTGGGACGGTAACGCGTGTTCGTTCGCCAACCACACAGTGTACTACTTCCACGACGAAGAGGACGGCCAGCGACTCCAAATTTTTGCGTCCCTCGGTCGCCGTTCAACCACAGCGGCGGCATCCTGGCAGCACTGGGAGGCAGCCATACTGGAGATCGGATGTCTGCTTGTCTGGGATGTCCCTGACAGAACTACTTTGACCATTGTCAACTTTCCTACAAACCCCACCCTGCCTGTTTTTCCATTTGTAGCGACGGATCCGAAAGAAGTTTTCAAGAATCTCCTGCAACTTGAAATCAGACACCCAGACGACACAGAGAACGAATCGATAGAGTTAGTCGCTCAGGTCAAGTTCCTTTCGAAGGAGGAGTACATCGACAAGGTGGGACGTCAAACATTTGAGCTAGAGACTGTCCCTTGAACGGTCATGGTACTGTATCATTGATGTCGTATCATGTTCTGGTGGGTTTTAATAGGAGGGGCATGCATCCTGTGTACACTACGGACGCGACGACTCAATCCCTCCATAGTTTACAAAACCCAACGCCTATGTACATACAACTCAACCACCATCGCGTAACACAACTCAAGCACTAGCCTTTGCCATGCTCTCAAGCTTGCGCCACAGAGCTGAGCGGTGACCCTCGTCCTGCGCCCACTTGCCCGGGGGGGCTGGCGAGAACTTGTGGTTGAGGAACCTGCCGCCGATACGTTTCTCGGTGTCGTCGGGATTGAGCGCGACCTTCGACAGGGTCAGCAGATGTCCGTCTCCAGAGGCGCATTTACTCACATAGACAGGAATGTTGGCAAAGGGAGCTGTTCCGACCATAAATCCAGTCTTCTCAGCCAGCCACGTCACCCAGTTGAGAGGGAAGGGGAACGCGTCGTGGGTAAACGTCCCATCGCCGACGAGTCCCGGGTGGACGTGGAAGAACTTGAATTGGGGGAACCGCTTGCTCTGCTCAATCATGAACGCGTCAATGACGGAACTGTCGCGAAGCGACTGGGCCATGAAGAAGCCCGTGGTTGTCCAGTAACCCTTGCTGGCGTTCTTGAGGCTGAGGTCCTCGACCTTGAGCGAGTCGAGGGAATTGCCTGGGTTGCAGACGGACACAACGGTGGCACCAGGGGCGAGGGCGCCGCCTTCCACAAGGAGCTGCGAGATGATGAACCGGGAGATTGCCTGGACAGCGAATGCGGCGCCGTCGCTGCACAGTTAGTAGGACCGCTTGATGAAAATCCATGCTGGGGACTCACCCATCCGCGTTTTCGGCGTAGGTCTTGACCGGCACACCGTTTTGGGTCATGACCTAACTATCAGCGTCGTTTACACGGCAGCGACATACAAGGTAGTCGATCTTGGCAGCTCCGGCAGCCTCCTTGACCGAGGCCGCACACGCACGCATGGCGGGACGAGTTCTGCATGGTCAGCCACAACCGGCAAGTGCAGTGCTACGAGGGTCCGGTCCACTCACGAGATGTCACCCTGGACGAACTGTGTATCAATCTTGTTGCTTCCGGGAGCCAGCTCTGAGCAGCTTTCGAGTACAGCGTTTGCGCGGCCTGCGTTCCGGCCAACGATGATGATACGTGAACAGCCAAGACGGGCAAACTGGCGAGCGACAGCCGCACCAACCCCCGTGGTTCCACCCACGACCACGAGCGTCTTTGGGCTCGTGAGGTGCGTGGTCTTGAGCGCTTTGGCGGCGTCAAAGGGCATTGCTGTGATGTGAAGTACTATGTGAGTCGTGTTCTTTGGGGGCATCGTCTACCTACTTTCAACGTCGCATTATATAGTATGGCGGTGGGAGATTCCATCCACACTAAGAGAGATCTCAATACAGAGGAGATCCCACTAAGAGTCTACTAAATCTCCTCAATGAGGAGATTCAGTAGACACTAAGACGCGATGCATACACACTAAGCCAATCCGGCCGTCGGTCTACACGCCAAGTCACCCAGGCCGTCGGTCTACCGCAAGTGAAGTACTTTATGTACATGCCGAGGCCGAGGGTAATGATGTCATGATAGCGAGGCTGTTTGCAGTCTCACCAGCAGCACCGACGACGAGACCAAAACCGGCGCCCGTCGACGGCACTTCCATCGGCCATCGTGGTGTTGGTCCACGCAACCGGCCGAGCTTGCAGTGGTCACACGAGGTCACCAAGATAAAGACCGATTACAGACTTCCGATCCGACGATCGACGGGGCATATATACCGGATCTAACAGAGCGATCAGCTGGTTTGGCACGCCGGTTCCAACAACAGCTCGGTCCGGTGGTTGGGAAGGAGTAAAGTGGAGCAAAGGTATCCAGGAACAATCGTCGTCGTCATTAGTTAAACGAGGCAAACCAAGGATCCAAGGAACAGCCCCCTCTCTGCCGCAAGGTTCAAGCGGAGGCGGATCAAACGGATCAAAGACGAAGCGAGCGTATATTTAGACATTTGATTGTGTGACACCGGCAAGCCGGCTGCTGCTGCGAGTATCAGGTGCAGACATGCAGGGAAGTGTCAAGACGTCAAAAAACAGGGCCTGAGGGGGGGCTCCATTGTGATTCAGGTGACCTGAACGTCCGTTTGTCGGGTCAGGAATGCTTGATCGCCTGTAACGGTCTACCAACATGCTGGATCAAGGATACGCATAGATAATGTGTAAGAGTATGTGCTTAGGAGCTACTGTCTTGAAGCTGAGCCTGTTTGCAAAACTGCAAGCTGGTGAAAGTGACACAATAAGTCGTACTGGGGACGACGTCAACAACAAATGAAAAGGCCCGCCGTCGTCCCGTCCAGTGTGCGTCATGCTATAGGTCGTCCCTCGGCTGTGGCTCGCCGCCGTGCACAGCCAGGTCACCTTACGTCTGCCCCACGCTCGCCAACGCATGACCTGTCCCCTGTGCCGGCAATGAATCCCCGGTCAGAGGGCAGGGAGGAAAAGAGCGGTCGCCACCTGGCCACCTGGCAGTCGCAACGTCTCTGCCCTATACATACAAAGAGGTACACTCCCCCTGCTGGTTTCACGGAGACCCCCCAATTCTCTTGGCAGTTCCATTTCTGGCTTTCTGGCCAAGCCACCGGCTGCACATTATACTGGACGCCACTACAGTTCACTTTCTACTTCCCACCAACATCTCACCTCTACCTCAACCACCATGGCAGAGCATCACCCAGAGCATCACCGCCGACCTTCGGTAGTTGAGATCGCGCATTCGATCGACTCGGACTATGATGACCGCCTCGCTCTGGAGAAGCAAGGCTACAAGGTACGTACTCAACCTGGATCCTACACTGTCGGTCCAACCATGCTGTGGCATGCCTTGCGTCGGACCATCCTTCACGGGTCTCCGCTGTGCAGCTGCGACCGTCTCGACAGGCGGTGGTGCCTTGCACCTAGCGGGGCCATCAACGATGCTCGTTCTTGGATCGGATGAACCTTGTTTGCTACTGGTGCTGACGGCAACCTCTCTTTTGTTTTGAAACTCGTCGTGCGACCATTCCAAACCCCACCCTTTTCTCCGTCCAACCTTGCGTCCTCCCATGTGCGACCCAACATACAGCAAGAGTTCTTACGCGAGTTTGGCAACTTGGCCACCTTCTCGTTTGCGTTCTCGATCATGGGTGTCTCGTCCTCTGTTGCCATCACCTTTACCACCCCGATGATGCTCGGCGGGCCCGCGAGTGTGGTCTGGTGTTGGTTCATCGGTGCCGTCTTCGCCTTCTTCATCGGTACTGCTATTGCTGAGCTGGTATCTGCCTACCCCACTTCGGGTGCTCTGTGAGTGTTCCAGTGCTTGCATGTGGTCAAGTTACCCCCATGGAGAACAGCACGGCTGACGCTATTCAAGGTACACGGCCTCTGCCCGCCTCGTCCCGCCTCGCCATCGTATTTGGGTCGGTTACCTCATCGGTTGGATGAACGTGCTGGGCAACATTGCTGGTGCGGCATCCACCGAATTTGGCCTGAGTGAGATGATCTGGTCTGCATATGGCGCCGCCCATCCCGAGTTCAGTGTGACTCCGGGCCAGACAGTCGGCCTGTTCATCGGCCTGCTATGCCTGCACGGTCTCCTCAACTCTCTCCGTACCAAGCAGCTGGCCTTCTTTACCCAGTTCTTCGTCTTCAGTGAGTCCACGGAGGTGTACGAGCTGGGCTGACGTCAGTCAATGTCGGTGTGCTGTTCTGCACTTTCATCGCTGTCCTTGCCAAGACCCCGCGCAGTGAGCTGCACACGGCCAAGTACACCTTCACGTATCTGGAGAACCAGACTGGCTGGTCGAACAACGGGCTCTCGTTCCTTCTTGGCCTGCTGTCTGTCCAGTGGACCATGACCGGTTACGATGCTACCGCCCACATCTCGGAGGAGGTGAAGAAGGCTGCCATTGCCGCCCCCGTCGCCATCTTCCTTGCCGTTCTCAGCACTGGTATCCTCGGCTGGATTCTCAAGTGAGTTTGGCCCCCACTAAGAGCATGTGCTAACAATTGCAGCATCTGCATGGTCCTCGCATCGGGTCCGCTTGAGGACCTGCCAGGCGCGTCGGACAACGCCTACCTCTCGATCCTCATCAACCGCCTTGGCCTGAAGGGCGCTCTTGCAGTGTGGTCTTTTACCATCCTGATCGCCTTCTTCACGCTCCAGACTGGTCTGCAGGCGAATGCTCGTGCCATCTTTGCCTTTAGCCGTGACCACGGTCTTCCTGATGGCAAGTTCTTTGGCAAGATCAACAAGTACACCAAGACCCCCATCAATGCCGTCTGGTGCTGTGTCATCATTTCCATTGCCCTGGGATGTGTGAGTGGCGTCGCCGCTGCATTGTATGGCTAACACTCTCGCAGTTGGACTTTGCCTCGCCCATTGCTTCAGCGGCCGTCTTCTCGCTTGCCACTGTGGCTCTGGACCTATCATACGGTCTGCCCATCTTCTTCCGCCTCATTTTTGCTGGCAAGGAAGGTGTCGACTTCAAGCCTGGCCCGTTCTACTTGGGTGACGGCCTCTTTGGCAAGTTTGTCAACTGGGTCGCCGTCATCTACATTCTCTTCGAGTGTATTATCCTGTCGTTCCCCGAAAACCACCCCGTCACTGGCCAAAACATGAACTATGCCGGTGTCATCACCATTGGCGTCATGCTCATCGGTCTCCTGTGGTACGTTGTGTACGCCCGCCGCCACTACTTTGGCCCCAACGACATGGTCGAGTTCCCGGTCGACCACAACAACTCGGACGAAGCCGTGCTTCACGAGGAGAAGAAGGCGGGCAAGGCATAACTGAACTGACCAGCATTATTCGAAAACCACACAAAAACGGGCATGGGGTGGTTTGTGCACTTTTGGTGAGCACGCTGTGTACCCCCTGTCATTCCTCCCCTCGACGCCGTTCCGCCGCCTGCCTCCATGGTCTCCCTTCACTCGATTTATAATTATCGTTTTCAAATCTTGTCCTGGAACAACAAACACGCGTCGTTCCGCTTTGAATCACAATTATGTCGGCGCTCGTGTTCGCGGTCGATGCTGGCAGAGTGGCGCGACTGTGGGCCGCCACGGTCGCACCACTCTCCCAGTGTCCTGCGCCCGACCGACAACTCTGTATCTACTCTGCTATGCAAGACGAATGTCTCAATTGCGAACCAGTAAAAAGTATTGTGGTGGTGGTGGTGGTGGTGGTGGTAAAAGGCGGCGCGCCAGGGTGCATGGACATGGGTGACAGGCTACAATACAAGTGTTCCGGGTTGTATATCCCTCGCGCGGAGGCGAGCACAAGTGACGCGAGGGGATTGCTCTAGTATGCTATGGTAAGAGGAACCCATTAGACGGGGAGGAATCTGAATGGTACGGGGTGGGGGGATTCTGTTGGACTCTTCGGTATCTACGGTCGTCCGTGTTTGTGTGTTTAGGCTGACTCCCAGAAGAACAGCGCGTTCATGAGCATCCAGACGATCGCGGCTGGGATCGCGACGGCGATAGTTTCGCGCCACGTCTTGACAAGGAAGCTGTTCCGCGCACGCCAGAGCCAGCGGACGAATCCGCGGACGCGAGAGCTGTAGACAGCGGTCTTGCCCTTGTCAGCGACAAGGCTGAGGACTGAGACGTCCTTTGCGCGCGCGGCCGAGGCCCAGTCGGTTGCCGAGAGCATGCGAGGCACAGCACTCGGGCGGCGTGGGTTGGGCTGGAGAGTGGGAGTAGAGAGGAGGCCGGCGTTGGCGGAGCGAGACATGGAGCCCAAATCGGCGGCGTAACTTGAACGACGGGAAAGGACAGGGGAGCCAGGGACCTCGGCCATCTCGGGGTCATAGTCGTCGGTGTAGAACTGCATGCGAGGGCTCAACAGTGGGGAAGTGGGGGCAGAAGGGGCCGGGGTAACGATACCGGCATGCCTTTCACGGGGCGACGACTTGGCCAGCGCCTGGAGGTGGGTGGCCGAGCGACGGGATGGGAGTGTTAGGGGCAGGCTCGCCTGTCGCCGCTTCTCTTCGGGTGGGCTCATACGCCTAGCCTCAGCACTGGCAGATGAACGCGCCCAGGCAGTGCGAATGTTGGTGATGAGGAGGAACGCGATGGTGAACAAGGCAAAGGGCAGGTAAACACGCGTGTAGACGCTGACCTGGTCGGGTAGGATGCACGGGCGGTCAGCCTGCCCAGAGTTAAATTCGGTGGGAGGGACAAGCGAGAGGAGTTGCAGGCCCGGACGGCGGATGCCAGCAGACGACGAAAAGGACTTGACTGTGACCTCCTTGACACCGTTGGGGTGAGTGACGTGACAGTAGTCATGGTCGTCGCCGCTGAACACAACGGTGGGTTTGATAACTTCCAGGAGGAAACGCGAAGTGTCGCTTCCCAGAAGATTCTGATAGCCGGGGCCCACACCCTTTCTGATTTGGCCTCCCGACTCGCGAAATGGACCACAGCTCAACCCCTCTTTGCGGTTGAGAGGCACGTGCGAGATGAGGATGGGAGAGTTTGGTCGGTCTGAACAAGGTCAGCTCATGTTGCTCACTCACGGGGTCGCGGGGGTACTCACTGCGACCCAGGTTCTTGACAAAGGTAATGACGTTTTCGTCGACTCCGTCCCACTCGCCATACTGAACTTCGGCGTAGTAGCGGCGGTAGTCTTCCTCGATCAAGCCAACGGCATCCAAGAGAATGATGGTGTGGTTTGCAATTTCCACTACAGTGTTGATCTCGCCAAAGTGGTCGGCGTAGCGTTGACGAGCAATCGTGGAGATGTCGTCACCCTGTCGACCAAGGGGAATGTCGTGGTTCCCTGGAACAAAGTACATGGGCGTGTCCGAGTGTAACTTGAAGATGGAACGGAACAGGTCATGGTAGTCGCTGTACCTGTAACGTGTCAGGGCGGGGGGTTCTCACGCTGAAGAGCTAAAACCTACTGTCGGCTGCTCATGGCTCCACGTCCATAGTCGAGCATGTCGCCAACGAACACGACGGCGTCGATACGACCGAGACGACGGACGATGTTCCAGCTCTTGCGCATAAAGAGTTCCTCCATGCGCTGCCTGACGGCGTTGGCCCATGGCGCACCGTCTTCTGGGTGCGAGTAGAGGGGGTGTGGGACATGGGGGTCGGCAATGAGGACAACGTGTTTTGGCGTCTGTCCACCCTCAGACTCGTTGCGAATGGCCGAGTCTGGGAAGCGACAGCTGGAGAGCGAGTAGAAGAACTAGAAGCGCGCGTTAGAGCAGTACACGACATTTGAATCGATCAGGCGGGCCACACACTCACTTCGCCGACCTGCACCCAACGTTAGCTAAAGCATTCGCCGTGGGGGAGGGTGGTATGCGCTCACCTCGTACCAGATGACGAGAACGACCCATCCGAATCTCAGAGCCAGGAGCTGCGTTGAACGGCTGCGAAGTCCCGACCGGCGGCTCCGTATGGGCGCAGGGCCTCCTTGAAGCGCGCCTGGGGCTGGCGAGCGTACACGGGGCGAGTACATGTATCGAGAACGGCGATGTGACGTTTACGAGACGGTGTTGTGGACGCGTGGAGGGCGGTATATACCAGAGGAGTGGTGAAGCATAAAGTGGACGACGGGTGGTGTCTCACTGTGCGCGCCAGGCCACAGGTGTCGTCTCGCGGTGGCGGCCAGAGATCGAGGCTTTGGGCGGGGGGTGTGGCCCAAGGTACGTCTGTGGCTTGAAAAGGGGGGGTTTCTTGACGACCCGGCGGCGCCGAGTGCTGCGTTGCGGTTGCGTTTTTGATGGTGTTGGAGGAGAGAGAGGGAAGGCGTGTCCACACGTTTTTTTCCGGAGAGATGGAGAGGGAGACGCAAAGTGTAACGAGGTGTGGGATGCGAGGAGTAGTGTCAATGCATATATAATGGAGCGCGGCCCACACTGCAAGGTGTGTGTGTGTGTGTTTGCTGTATGCATGTGTGCATGTGTGTATGCACGCGTGCCCAGGCGCCCAGGGATCCAGGGACCTAGTGGTGGCCTAGTTGTGTGTGGGGGGTGTTGCACGCGTGTGGGCAATTCAAAAGGATTCAAAGGAACGGGTTAGGTGGGGGTGCATTAGGGCATTAGGAGAGCCAAAATCTGCTTCCGTTGCCCCCCCGCTATCCCACACCCGGGATTAATGATTATAAAAATGACATTAAACAAATGCACCCACCCAGGGTTCCAAGAGAGTGATGGGCGTGGCCATAATGACGTTTTTTCATGTGGTGCGCGCGTTGTGCACCGCCCGCGCCGCCCGTGTACCGCCAGTGACGCCGTTGGCCGCTGGCCCGCCGCCGTTCTCTCCCTGGCTGCGCGGGACCTGCGCTCCTGGTCTGCTCTGGGTCGTCACCTCGTCCCGCGCATTTCCATGGCAACTCGCTCCTTCTTTCCAATCCATCCTCCACACCCCCACTCATCTTAAAGTCCCACATCCGGCGACTCATCCACACCCTCCACCTAGACACATAGCCTACCCAAGCGTAAAGCAACCTGCCCACCGTAAGCATCGACCTCATCCATTCACTGGCTTGCCATCGGTCCCACAACACCAGTCATCACAGGTCGCGTGGGAAACGACTCGCAAGCTCTTTGCCCGATCATTCCGCTGACCACGCCTTCTCGTCCTCGTACAGATGTCCACTCCCCAGGCTCAGCAGATTACCCAGAACTTTATCAACCACCCCTACGTCCAGCAGGCCCACAAGACCGTCCAGGGCCAGCTCACCTCGCTTGACGCCGAGCTCTCCAAGTACACCGTCCTCCGTGACATTGAGACCAAGACCAAGGTCCCCAAGGTCTACGGCGTCCTCGCTCTCGGTGCCTCGTGAGTGGCAATCAACAGCTGCATTGCATCTGTGGTGGTTGGATGGCCTTGATGGCTTTCTAACGCGGTTCCGCAGCGCTGTTTTCCTTATCTTCTTCAACCTCTTTGGTCTCGCCTCGCCCATCTCCAACCTCATCGGCTGGGGTCTCCCCGCCTACCTCTCGGTCCAGGCTATCGAGTCGCCCTCGACCAACGACGACAAGCAGTGGCTGACTTACTGGGTATGTTTACTTGATTGATTTTTTTTCTTTCTCTCTCTGTTTCTCCTTCGCGCCGGATGATGGATGGTGGCTTACCCGGTGCGATAGATTGTGTTCGGCACCTTCAACCTGATCGAGTCGTTTGCCATCCGCCCCATCCTCTACTGGGTCCCCCTCTACTTCGTCTTCAAGACTCTCTTCACCATCTGGCGTAAGTATTATTTGCATGTTTGCGGCCTTGGCCAGCGCCCGAAACGCCATTCTCACGCTCTCTCTCCGCAGTTTTCCTCCCTGCCACCCGTGGCGCTGAGACCCTTTACTTCAACGTCCTCCGCCCCGTTGTCGCCAACGTCAAGGCCCGCAGCGCGGTCCCCCCCGCGGCTCCCGCCGCTGCCGCCCCCTCGTCGTTTGAGCGTAAGTGGCTGCAAACGCAGGTTTGGAAATGGGTGCTGATGGATATTTTTTTAAAAAACAGACGAGAAGACTCTCTAAACGCAACCACGCTGCGGCAACGCGCCCGTACGGCATGATCAACGACTACGAATACACGATCAGTGGGAGCGTTCACTACTTGGATGCAGTTTTCTGCATGTTATCATGTTCTGAACGTGGCGGAGGAGGCTCTATACAAAACGATGTTGATGGCGGAGCGATGAATGACGATGACGACGACGGTGATCACGATGACGCTCATGTGTGGGTCACAAGCGCACGCGTCAAAAGAAGTACGCCACGGCGCCCAGCCTCTGGCTCGCCCGCGGGTGGGATAACAGTTTGGCGTATCCACCTGTTATTTGAAAGGCCATGTGCGGCCCGTGGCCCGTGGTCACGTCCCTGTGGACCTGGGCTCGTCGCTTCGCTCGGCGGCAAGGATGGGTGGGCTTTTCCGCCAGCTTTTCCGTCCTCGCAACCGCCAGGCGCGCTGAAGATTCTTTTTGTTTGCCTGCAAGCGTAGCCGCGAGCCTGTCTGTGCGCTCCCATTCGGCGGCCGGGAGCCCGCCGGAATGCATATGGGATGCGTGCGTCGCCCCCACCCCTTTGCCAGCCAGAGCACACCTTGGCGCTTGTTGCTTTACTGGGCTCGTTGGGAGTTCTGCCGACAGACAGATTTGCTGCCGCCAAACAAGCCGAACGACCCTGAACAAGAGGTGGTACGAGAGTTTGGCATCGAAGGTTGGTCGCGTAGGCTCGGAATCTTGGATGTCTTTGTCTTCATCGTCATTCGTTCACTTATAACTTCTCGGTCAGCTGTGTAGAGATAGCATAGCTCTCCCACATATCGCCAAGTTTCACTCGACGGAGGACCCGACACACTCTCCTTCCACCTCGCCAGTTGTTGTGCGACATTCCCCCTTTCGGCCAAGCCCGATTTTACAAGTAGCCTAGTTGCCGCTGCCACTGTCAACAATCGCTCTCTTTCCCAGCATGTCTGCTCCGGCTTCCTCGCTCATTTCGCGCCCCACTGGCCTCGTCGACCTCGAGTCGATGAAGTCGTGGGGTCTTGAGAGCCTCTCCAAGGCTCGTTTCTCCTTTGACACGTACGTGCATGGGGAGTCAACGGTCCATGGGCGCGCGCTGACATTTCTCCGACCACGTTTGATTCACAATTAACGCCTTCGCTTCTTTTGGGGAAACATTTGTTCGATCTCGCACTCTCGTGACCCCGTCGACACACACACACATACACACATGTGACGCTTGTTCGGCTTCTTCCGTGTCGCTGTCTCCACACGGTCCTCTTACTGCGACGTTTACGCTTTGATCTGTGCTTTACCGCAATCACCCGTCACTCGTACCACTCGCTCTGCGTACCTGCGTCTGTGCGTTCTGCTACTGCCTGTCGATTGGCACCGAACAGCAAGACCACCGCCGCCACCATCTTGACGGCCATCATCTCGCTCCTTGTCCTTGAGCAGGTTGTCTACCGCTCGAAGAAGGCTCACCTTCCCGGTGACAAGTGGACCATCCCTATCATTGGCAAGTTTACCGACTCGCTCTACCCTTCCCTTGCCAAGTACAAGAAGCAATGGTACTCTGGTGAACTCTCTTGCGTCTCGGTGTTCAACATGTGAGCCCTCCTTTGCGTCCGCGGGTAATGTGGCTCCGCCACACGCCACCGTACATGCTTTGACAGCCACTGACCATCGCTCCCAGCTTCATTGTCATCGGCTCGTCGAACAAGATGGCCCGCAAGATCATGAACTCGCCCAACCACGCTGAGCCCTGCCTCGTCGCCTCGGCCAAGAAGGTTCTCCTCCCCGAGAACTGGGTCTTCCTCCACGGCAAGGTCCACTCGGACTACCGCAAGGCTCTCAACGTTCTCTTCACCCAGAAGGCTCTTTCGATCTACCTCCCCATCCAGGACCGCATCTACCGCCAGTATTTCAAGGATTGGCTCTCGTGGGGTGACCACCGCCCTACCATGCTCGCCATGCGTGACCTCAACATGGAGACTTCGCTTTCGGTCTTTGTCGGCGACTACCTCAACCAGGCTGAGAAGGATGAGATCAACGAGAAGTACTGGCTCATCACCTGTGCCCTTGAGCTTGTCAACTTCCCGTTCGCCATCCCCGGCACCAAGGTCTACAACGCTATCAAGGCCCGCAAGATTGTCATGAAGTACCTCATGCGTGCTTCCGCCGCGGCCAAGATCCGCATGGCCGACTTTGACAACGAGCCCGAGTGCCTTCTCGACGCTTGGGTCCGCGCCATGCTCCTCGCCAAGGCTGGCAAGTCGGAGGAGGCTGAGCTCCTTTCGCGCGAGTACAGCGACAAGGAGATTGGTCTTGTCATTCTTTCGTTCCTCTTCGCGTCCCAGGACGCCATGTCCTCTGCCATCGTCTACGCCTTCCAGCTCACCGCCGACAACCCGCACGTCCTCGAGAAGATCCGTGAGGAGCAGTACCGTATCCGTGGCGGCGACCTCGACGCCCCCCTTACCTTTGACGCTGTCGAGGAGATGGTCTACACCCGCGCCGTCATCAAGGAGGTTCTCCGCATCCGTCCCCCCGTCATCATGGTCCCCTACCTCACGACCAAGGCCTTCCCCGTGTCCGAGAACTACACCGTCCCCAAGGGCTCGATGATCATCCCCGCTTTCTGGAACTCGCTCCACGACGAGACCTGCTACCCCGAGCCCGACGTGTTCAAGCCCGAGCGCTGGCTCCAGAACGAGGACGGCTCTGCTCCTCTTGCCGAGTCCAAGCCCCAGAACTACATGGTGAGTCATGAGAAAGAGAGAGGCGCGCGTGGGAGAGAGGGCGGGAACAAAAAATACTTCCGTCGGCGATCGCCGGTTGTGGCACCCAAAACCTCCTCTACATCTTCACGACACTCTTCCATCTCTTGGAACTCGTTTCTTTCCTCTCCAGAGACGTAAAGACAACAGCTGACGTCCAAAGGTGTGGGGCTCCGGACCGCACAAATGTATTGGTAAGGCTTACGTAATCCGGAAGAAACGCGAAAAACAAGCGTGGAAAGACGGCCTGAAGGTCTAGAGGCTGACTGCCACTCCAGGTCACCAGTACGCGTCGATGCACCTTACCGCCACGCTCGGCACCGCGTCGACCATGATGGACTGGGATCACAGGCGTACCCCCGACTCTGACGAGATCAAGGTCATTGCTGGGTGAGTTGGACGAAAGTGGCCTGGCTGGAACGTGGAAGACAACATCAGTTAGCTGACTCGTCGCCCAGTATCTTCCCCCGCGATGACCTCATCCTCAAGTTTACCCCCCGCGTGTAGGGACCTTATAGAGACACGTGTAGAGGGGGCACGCACGACGCCACGGGGATTGATTCGGTTACCCGTCCCAGTCGATGGAGCAACACCGCCGCCCACACTGTCCACTCGTGCTGCTATTATTTATTACCCCAAACCCCGCCCACAACCCAGATCACATCTTAGTGTCCGTGTGCTGTGACGGCACGCGCTTGCGTGCCATGCCAGCCTTGGGAGTTGTTGCGCCTTAACAATAATGCCATTCTTGACGACTTGGCAAGCGTGCTTGTGTATGTGTGAGAAGCAGGGCCAGTCCCTGGCAGCTGGAACGAGGCTATGTGGCAGGTGCTTCACTATACTAGTTCTCCTGTGCTTGGGAGATACGATATCTGGACACCATTGAGCATTGGCGGGGTACTTGCGCGCCCTCGGCTTTGATGGAGACAGATGCGGATTGTCTTGAACATCATGCCTACCGTTCTTTGCGTGACCTGTACTTCCAGGCATTACCGACAGGTATGAGACGAATGGGAGGAGCGGGTTGACACGAGCTGGGCAGAATGAGTTGCTGGGCCCTGCGTGGGGGCAATACTGACATGTTGTCAGTGGCAGTTGGCTGTAGGAGGGAGCGGAATCCCTGGAGTGTACACACACAGTTTAGATGTGGCAAGGAAGGTGAAACCGGACACAATAATGAATGCTTTTGTCGTTGTACGAACCGTGCGTGACGATTGGGCCTCAGCTAGAGTCATGCAACTGCCAAACACGCTGTGCCCTTGCCACCACAAGGCGACACCGCTTCACCCACCGTCACATGGGTCACACGGGCGGTGGCAACGCCGACGCTGGGAAGGTGGCCAGGTATGTTCGTTCGGCCACAGTCACAGTGCAAGCCGCACCTGGACCGGACGACTCCAACCAAGTCCCGCTGGGACTCTGGGCACGAAGAACACCGGTCCTCAGCCTCGACCGAGGTTAGCGTGGCCGTCCGCAAACCCAGGCCACACCACAGCTTGCAGAGGACCGCCCGACCCCACCACCTTCACCTTGTGTAGTCTCACTGTGTGTTTTACTGTCATATACATGTTGTGATCCATATGGCTTGCTCTGACAGTCTCACAACTACTTCTTCTGCCTTACCTGCGGGGAAATCTTCCAAAACGAGAGACAGTACCGAACATCACTGTACTTGGTCGCCGCAGAGGCGGTAAACTGCGTCGAAGGCGGCGAGGTGTTGATCCTTGGGTGACTCAACTGCAGATGACCAATACAGACACACGGCCACACCGGTCACTTGTCCCTTGGCATGATTGATTCAACGTTGCCCAAAGGCCAGCAACAGGGCCGCTGAAGCCCATGTGAGACCGGGCTGACGCAAGTGCTGCGCCCGCTCCATTCCGTAAACCCAGACGACCGCCCACTTGCCCCACTCCACCGCCTTCCACATAGGCAGTCCTATATGCACTGTATGGGTGTTCTGCGGGGCATCAATGTCGCTCATTTCTTGGCTTGCTCTGATGGGGAGTCAAGCGGCCTGGGTGGAGCCAATCCTTCGAGAAGTGGAGGATATTTCACAAGGGGGGGGGGGGGATCATGGGAAACGACGGGTCGAGTCGGTGATCGATCAGTGATCAGTGATCAGTGATCAGTGATCAGTGATCAGTGAAAGTCGGTGATTCGAAGTACGACTTTCTATGACCCGGGCACGGTTCGGTCCTACCCTACAGAGTCATACTGGGTCATTGGTCATAGTTTGGTCGTCGTAGCGGCCGCATGTACCGTCTGGCTACAACCCAGGCCAGCTCAGTCGACAAACCACGATGCACAACGAGGGCGCCTGCAGGCTGTTTAACGGCAATGGCTGCTAGAGGCTGCACTGCAAGCACCACCCGCATGCTGCAAGCGCGGGGCGGGACGTGCAGGCTCAGACCGCATTCTGCCAAATCTGAAAATCCCAGTGGCGGTTTGCGAATCGGTGCCCGAATTTCGCTGCCTGTCACCACGCGCATCGCACCTGTCTTCTTGCACTGTGCCATCACATGCATGTCGCGTACTATTCACACCTGTGCAAAATACCGCGCATCTCTGGCGTGCCGCTGGTGCTTTGCGCAGTGCATTTACCATGTGTGGAGGTCACATAAAGTCATACGCAGCCGCCGTCGTCCGCGCCTTGTTATTGCAATTGGTGCTGCATGTGACATGGTGACGGGGTGCAGGACCAGAGGAGCGCGCTTTTGCGCACAGGCGACCCCCTTCGAGAGCGACTTCTTGGGGCAGCAATGACCAATCCATGCGACCGTTCTCTCTGCTCTGCAAGGTATATAAAGGAGGAGGAAAGAGGCCATCTTGGCTCGATCCAAACCCCCCACCCGCGCACAAAACCACCTTCCGGAGAGATTCGCGAGGCCCCACTGGTGAGTAACCGTTGTTGCCACCCAGCCGCCATGTAGTCGGTCGTCCTGTAGTCTGTCTGTAGTGTGTGGTCGCATCGCATACCTTGTAGCCACCTCCTTCTTATAGTGCATGCATTGTGCGATGGAAACCTTCGGTGGTCGGTGATGGCAGAGAAACAAAGAACGGGGGTGGAGGCACTCCATCACAGGTCGCTTATAGTCTGCACGCACACACACACCCGCGCACACACACGAGCCACAAAAGTTGCAAGTGCTGATGGCCCCCTTGACAGCAGGATCCACTCTCCTTCCGAGTGGTATCCGACAGCATCACATCCCTCATACATATCACCAACACCGGCCATCCGTGGAGGGACTGCGGCAGCACCTCCACCAGCAGCACCGAGCACTCCAGCATCAAGCCGACTTCCTCCACGCCGTGACTCTGCCTGTCGTGTCGAACCACTGCCTTATCCGTACAATATCGCCCATCTACAATTGCCATACAGTCGGGTACTTTCTTCTATGACCCACGCCCAGAAGCACCGCGAGGTCATCAAGGTCCTCGGCGACTACGGGTGGACGCCTATTCGAGTGAAGGGCAGCCACCAGACCTGGATGTCCGCGACCGGCAGGCCGTTCGTGGTCCCCACTCATTCCGAGGTGTCGCCATACGTTATGCTTCAGCTCAAGGGAGTCCTCAAGTCGGACAACTGCTACGTTCCAGCACATTGGCTCTAAGCCCCCGCCCCTCTGGCCCATGGACACTTCGGAACTGCTCAGACCCGCTCTGATGGCGTCTCATCAAAACAACCTGTCGCCGCCTCGCCTTCGTTCGTCAAGCTCGCTCCCCCCCCCCCCCCCCCCCCCACCTGTCCTCAAGCCTCACGAACTCGGCTTCGAGCCATCGCACTCAGTAATCTCCCTGTACGAGCCTTTGCGCCACACCTTTGTCGTCCTGTATCAACACGAAACCCCGGTTAATGCTCTCTCGATGTGTGTATAACTCCTTTCCCGCCGCCGCCAGCCACAATCAGTGGTCTTCAGTCGAACCGAACCGCGCCGAATTTCAAGTCGAACCCGAAGCCCGTCCCGAACTACCAACTCTGTGTTGGACAAACGGAAGCCCCAGGAGCAGAGTGGACGATGTGATGCATTCCTTGACTCTCGGAACGGCGCCGCAAGCTGGCTAGCCGATGTTGTCGTTTTGCGTTGAGGCATGTGGCAGCCATTGGTTGAGTGAAACTCCATCAGTTCGCGGTAGCAGCGCAGAACATGTTTTCTCCTCGCCTTGCAGGGCTGCAGATACTAGGTGTGCGATGGTCAGCACAGAGGTACAGAGGTGGTGTGCCAGGGCATGGAGAGCGAACACCATGGGTCATAGGGACGCGGGAGTGTTGGGGGGAACCTGATGTAGGGTGAGACCAATGCAACGGGTGGTTAACAGGCCACAGGTGACTGACAGGAGCAAGCACAGTGCGGCGTCGGCACTATATTGCGCACGGCGCACAGACCACTGACTCACATGTGATGGAATGTGGTGACATTAATGTGACCTAGAGGATCCTCAATGGGATGTCAGAGGTCATGGAACGTTCCTTTGACCATCACAACAGCTCCTGGACGCACACTACAAGCGTTGCCGCTTCTCTTCTTAAACGACGTCCATGATCCATGAACGGTTCACCCCCATGTGATATTTCGCTGTCTATGAACAGCTCAAGTCTCCGGTTCGCCCAGACCCCCGAAACCTCATGGGGGTCGTCCTGAGGTCCTGAAGCCCCAATGGTCCAATGGCCTCGTCCAGGTAAAGCGAGGGCAAGTGAACGCGAGTGTCAGTGCTCGACATGCTCCTGGCATCTCTAGCGTGCCAGACACGCAGGTACTGTACGCAGCGCACGCAGCGTAGCTGCGTAGCGTGGTGGTTGCCTGCCTCATGGCTGACCGGTCGGTCACGCACACAAGTCGCTTGAAGCGCCACCCAGTCGGAATAGGCACAAGTTACAAGCCATGGAGGCAGCTTGGGCAGACAGGCAACAGGCAACAGGCAAACGTCCTCGGTTGTACGCACTGCGCATGCAAGAAACAGCGAGAAAAAAAAACCCACCCGAGCTAGCATACGGTGGGTCCCAGTCGGTGGCTTCACTCTGGCGACGAGCGTCAATTTGCCACAAATGTGGCCTTCGGCGGCCTGCGGTAATCACCATCACGCGAGATTGGTGGTCTCATATGAGTCGTCTTTTTTCTCCTTTCTCCCGTCATTTTGGCACAAAGGGGAGAACTGGAGTTTGCGGGAAGGGACAGGTCAAGGGGATGTTTATGTTTGTTCTTGAGTTTACGTTCTCGCCGCGTCCAGGCGCGTCCAAGTGCCTGGAGAGGCGCGGGGATGCCGCTTCCACAGGAGTGGTCAGAGTCAGCAGCAGGAGTGGGTGGTGCGTCACATGGAGAAGAGCGAGGACGGATACGATCACCATCATCATCATTCACGGAACTGGAAACGGTGGCGCCAGCGGAAGGACGCCTGATAGCATATACCTGGAGGGCTGGAGGGCTTCTGGACGCATTCGAGATTCTCGCTGGCCGCTGGGGGTCAGCTGCTGGTGGCGCACAGCGGGTTGAGTCGGGGAAAACGGCGGGAACGATCGTGCAGAACTGGCGCGGTATGCAACGGGTGCAACGGGGCAATGCCAGCAAAATGCTAGGCGGGGAGCGAGCGTGCAAGGCGGGACGACGACGAGACGCGGTGTTGTGCAGGAGAGGGAGACGGAGAGAGCATGGAGAATGCCGCGCCCAATTAATCCAGGGGGGGGAGTTGGTGTGGCCTGGCCTGCCTGCCTCTGGCTCCCATGATTATATGATGGCACTTCTTCTGTGTCTCTCTACTTGCCCGATGCGTGTATGTGTGCGTGTCAGCGTTCAAGCATGTACACGCTTTGAACAGTCGTGTGGATGCATGTGGCTCTTCCCGGTGATATGGGACGCAGTCTCGGCGGATGACATGCACGGGGAGCGCGCGCGGGTCACCCACCTCACCCAGACGACGACACTGTACACTCACCGAGCACCACACAACGCCGCCGCCGCCGCCGCCGCCGCCGTCGTCCACTTTTGACCGTCTGTTCCCATTTTGTGTATTTGCCTCATTCCTCGCTCGACACAAACCACCACCCCCCGCGTATAATCAGCGCGCGCTCACACGCCGCCGTTCTGTCCATCCTTCTCTCGACAGTTCCCCCCCATCCACGCTCTTGCTCGCTCGCTGGTCGTCAGCGCCACCCGCCCCTGTGGCCGCACGCCCCGCACACATCCACGCGCCCGACTGGGGAGAGTCTCCTGCCGCCGCCGTCCTGGGATCGTCACTCGGGAACAAGTCTGTTCTCTCCATCCCAACAATCTGGGCACACAACCATTGCATCCAATCTCCACCCCTTTCACCATCCACATCCGGCACGCGCGCCTGCGTCTCACCGCCGACGTCCTTACACCGCTAGCGCAGTGCATCCTCTCATCGCACCGCCAGCGTCGTCGCCGGCATGGACAATGGAACCCACACGGCCATCGCGCCAAACGGAGGCGACCTGAGCCGTAAGTCTGCCCCCTCCCCCCCTCTTCACTCAATCCGCACTCGACGGCGGCATCTACGCGTCGCATCGCGTCTCCAGCGCGTCCCCAACGCGTCCCCCATATCACGTTGCTCTGCTTGCGGTGCATTCACGCGATTTTGCGGTAGTACCGGGGGGTGCAACCTGCCCGCGCGCAGAGCCAAGAGCGTGGCCGAAAAGGTCTACATCTCGACCTTGGCCACCCATCTTGGCCACCCTGTCTTGGGTGCACGCTCCCGTTCATCTCCGCGGCAGCGCGGGTATGGCAGCATGTACAGCGACGTCGTGTTTGCCACCACCTGGCTCTGGAGATGCTCTTGACGCGCTCGGTGCTTCTGGCGATCTACACAAAACTACAACCACTGACCAAGCGCTCGCAGTAATCGATGCGCCCGCAGACACGCCGAGAGCTGCTTCGTTTGGCATCGTCCCTCTTAGGACACTCGCAGCTGGCGGCGCTACGCCGACAGAGTCGAACATTGCGTCCCTCCTGCCGCCCGACCTCGCCAACGACAGCGCGTCCGACTCTGGCTCGCGTCGTTCCAGCATGCAACCTCGCGTTGCCTCTCGACAACTGCTGCAGACTGCCCTCGACCTCGCTCAAAAGGCTGTCGAGATGGACAAGGGCAACGACGTCGCCGGCGCGCTTGCGGCCTATCGTGATGCCGTGACCAAGCTCCGAGTCGTCATGGAGCGCGTTGGAGTCGATCCCACAGATGGCAAGCGAGGAGGCAAAGATGCAGACGAAGGAAGGACGTTGCGCGGAATTGTGAGGGCTCCATGACATATTTCTGGGGGGCGGACATTCGCTGACAATGGTAGCACGACGCCTACATGGCCCGCATAACTCTGCTCTCGGCGTATGAGGGTTCGGACGCGGAAGAGGCTACGGCGGGAATAGGGACCCTGATGTTGGAGACGACATCCATCAACTCGACACCACCACCAGCACCCGCCCCAAATCTGCATCTCTCTTCTGACATCTCTCCCACCAACGGCGACGCCGGCCCAAGCAACCCCCTCCGTTCACCGGTATCGGCATCCGCACTCAGCTCGAGGCGCAAGAAAAGGATAACCTCAAAGCAGTCCTTTGGGCTCGACGAGGAAGCCGATTTATCCGGATTGGACGGTGTCGACGGCGACGAGGCCAGCATCCAGGAGGCCAGCTCCGTCCGTGGGTTAAAAACCTTGCCGCCAGTCGAGGCATCGCCGCGCACCAGTGCCGAGTCGGATCGCCCTCTGCCTCCCCTTCCCGCCTCTGGCGGCGGCGACAGAACCCGCAAAATGAGCGTCGCAGAAGAGGCCCAGGCCGGCGTTATCGCCAACTCCACCACGACGAGCAACTCTATCAGCAGGAGAAGGCACCAGCGAGGACCGACGGGACAGTCCATGTCATCCATTTCCGAACTCAACGCGTCGCCGCGTGGGTCCATGATCGAGAGCTACGAAGGGTCGACCAGGTCGCGCACCGTCTCGAGCAGAACCTATGTCAACGGCGACGCTTCCATCCCCCCTGTCCCCCCGCTGCAGCCAGCGTTCCGTTCAACACTGGCACCCCCTATTCGTCTCCAGGGCAATGCACATCTCGCACCACGACCCGAGCCACAGCCCACCGAGCTGATCCATCGCCCGTTCCACTTGTTGCGCATTCTGTGCATGTCGATGGACCCCTCTGGTCCAGGCGCGTACTTGACCTCTGCGATCCACATCGACCCCGCCATGTGGAAGCCCAGCAACTGGAGACAACCTGGCTCGTCAAAGTCAAGTAGCCAGCCAAAGCTCGTGGGGCAGGAAGCCAAGGCGCGGGCGTGCGAGGCCCTTATCGGCCACCTCGAGGCGATCAGGAGTACCGCTGCCCCCCTTCTGATGGGCGTGCGTGACGAGCGCTACGGCGGTGAGGGACAGGCACGCTTGTCAAAGCACGAGATGGAGCAGGCGAACCGCGTGGGCGGCGAACTCTCGACGCTGTTGGACGGCCTGGACGACGAGCTCGACGCCACTCACAAAGCGCTCCAGTCCAAGGGTGTGGCTGTCGGCACTTGGAAGGGCAAAACCAAGAGTAGCTGGGGATCGCGCATCTCGGCGCGTGTTGACAAGATGTCGCGCGGCTCTGACTCGCCTGAACGATACGTCGACCTCCTCGGCCAGCTCTTCCTCTCGGCTCAGGTTGTTGACGAGCACCTCCGTTGCTTCACCGGCCCCTGCACCCCGGCATACCACGCCCTCCCGCACAAGACGTACAAGCAAATTGAGACGCGCCTCACACGAGCAGCCCAGTTTGTTGGTGCCGTCATTGTGCCGTTTGTAATGGACGACTTTAGACAATTCATGGTGAGTTGTTTGATTTGATTGTGAAAGCCGAAGGCTGACTGTGGCAGTTGGGATACCTCAAGGGTGGACTCAAGTACCTCGAGGACTGATTGCTACCCGTATCGTTATTCATCGACACCAGACACCACCACCATCACCACCACCGCCGACAGGCAATTGTGAGCCAGCGGTGGCTCACACGAGGTTATCTGTCGACAGTACCCCTTCGCCCCTTATATCTCATGTCCACATTCGTATTTATTAGTTCTTCGGGAGTAGCCTTGCAGTAGTGTTGCGGAAAAAAAAACGCGCGCAGATGCAATAATACTGGTTTGTAACAGCTTGCCCAAGAGGTCGCCTGAAGCACCCAGTGAAAACGCCCGTCAGGATGGGGAGCTCCCCGTTGGGCAGCAACAGGACCTTGGGCCCGCGTCGTGGTCCGCGCGGTTCAAGGTGCCTTGTTAGGCGGGGTCAAAGGGCGGCTAGAAGGAAGCCAAGTCAAACGGGCATGCGGAAAACTCGACCTGGGCCAAGCTCTTTTCGATGAACCCGGGTGCGGGCCCGTGGCCCACTTCTTGCACGCTCTCCATCCTGGCCTGGGCCGGATCAACCACGGTATGACAGGTGGTGCACCAGATGGTGGCGGCAAGGGTTGTGCGAGACAGCATAGCCGGTGCTGTGCGCACCCGGTCGATCACCTGCACGGCACCGAGCAACGTCCCACAGGAAACTTGACGCTAGGTTCACTGCTTTTTCTGCGCCAGGCCAGACGTCGTCGGTGCAAGCGAGCTGCCAGATGGAAGCACAGCAAGGGAACGAACGCAACACACACCTAAACAAAACACCTGACACACGACGCAAAGACTATCTATCGCACTTGCCACTCGCCACCAGCTCTCCCCAACGTCCCGCTGAAGCCGAGCCGATCACACCGGTGGCGGGCGGCGTGGGGCTGTGGCAAGCTTGCTCGTCAGGACGCCACACGCTGCGTGGCGCCTATCAGAGCGTCCCAACCACGGCCACAAACATCTTAGTTGGGAAGTGTGCACCACGTCAGCGGTGGCTAGCAGCGCTCGCCTTGGTGCTCGGCCGCTGGGCAGCCGGTGGATTCGTATGGACACACAATGAGCTTCATAAAAGCTCACTCGTCTCTGCAACTCTCTTCATCTGGCTGTCACTCTCCTCTCACTCTCCCGACTGTGCTGGACTAGACTTCGGACATCGGCAATGGATGCAACATGACACAAAACGACGAATATGAAGGAGAGTGTGTGGTGCATTACTTAAAGTGCTACACCAGCGTCTCACGTCGCGTACCTAGAAATGGTGTCAGTACTGCCGTCTGGAGCCACCAAGAGGAGGGGGGTTTCATTAGACTTACTTCCTGGTCCATTCCCTAGCGGTGGCCTCGTAGCGCGCCCTGTCAGTCTTGTAGGTCTGTCATTGTCAGCCAAAGTATCCAAATCGCCACCTATTGGGACTCACGTGGGCAATCTCGGGGACGAGGGGGTCGTCGGGGTTGGGGTCGGTGAGCATCGAGCAGATCGACAGGAGGACTGCGTTGTCAGCACACAAATACCCTATCTGCATGTCCCGCCGTTTCCAGAGGAGTACCAGCACCAGCAACTCACCCTTTGAGATGGTCAGAGCAGGGCTCCACTGGTCTCGCAGAATGTCCAGGCAGATGGAGCCGTTGGCGTTGATGTTCGGGTGGTAGATCTTGGTGGTGAACGACACCTTAGGGGGCTTGAAGGGGTAGTCGGTGGGGAAGGTGAGGGAGCTTTGATCGACGTTAGCACGACAATTCGGGACGGGACTTGACAAGCGCGCTCCCTTCGCTACAGGCAAAGGCGCTGCAAGACTTGTCCGCTCACAGGAAGAAGACACCGCCCGAGTAAGGCGAGTCAGACTGCGACGTGTCAGCGCTAGATCACTGATTGTGTTTACACGGTCAGAACACTTACAGGACCCATGATCGTCGCCTGCCACTGGAAGAGGTTGTCGCCGATAGGACCGGCCGAGCACGAGCTGGGCGGGTCGCGGCCAAGGTCGATGAGTTCCTGTAGTCGTGTGAGCAGTTGGGGTCTGGGAGGGCGACGCGGAAGGGGGGACGTGCGATCGCTGGGCACTGCCTGTCATCGACGGTGGCGAGAACACTCTTGCGATCGACACGATGCCATCTATGCTGCTTACCTTGTTAATGCGCTTGAGAGCCATGGTGTCTGAGTTGGATTAGAATGGGTTCGTGACTAAAGGACGGGAGCGGTCGATGGAATCGGTGGCAAGAATGAGACACGATTCAGTCAGCATTGCGTGTTCACCAACAAAGGAGGGGGGCCTTGGGCCCAAGCTCGGCGGCCAGACAGCGTAGAGCGGCGCTGCTGGCTGGCACGGAGCGCGCGTGTTACTCACAAGGTGTGTCCGAGATGCTGGCAGACGGTCAGTACGTACGTAAAAGGTGTGACGCCGCGACGTCTGTAGGTGATGGAGAACGTCGGAGAAGGACAGTGGGATGGCGAGGAAGGCAGGGCAGGGCGCACACCACCACAGCCCTGATCCTGCGTGGCCGGCGTTTCCGGAAAACACCGACGCGTGGCAGCTGCGATGATGGTGTTTGTTCTCGTTGTACCGTCCCATGCATGTCACCATATACTCTCTCTGTTATCTGAGTCAGCAAGCAGCAACCTTGCGCGGTTACAAGGGCCCCTCCACGGCCCCACGGCACATCCCTTCCAGTGCGCCAGTTCTGCCTACGGCGAGCCCAAGACATCGATCGAGCCATGCCGTGCTGGCCCTTATCGCACAGCTCTCTCCGCACAAGAGCGCACTGACGATTGACTTTGTTCACAACGCTCTGTCCTTTCTGACGTGCTTGTCTCATGTGTCGACGAGGGGTTCAGCAAACCGCAGTCTTGGCCGCAAAAGCGACCTGCACTCTGATGACAGTGAGCCTGCACGGTGCGCTGCCGCAAGCAGGGAACGCTTTGGCTGTGATCATCCAAGAGCGTGAGGGAACGACAAGAATGGCGTGGCACAGCGACGGCGGCGAACGGCCTTACTACGAAGCGGCCAAAGTATGACTTGAGAATGACAATGGCTGTAGGAAAGGCATGAGGCAGAGTTCTCGCATTGAGGAGAAGGCGAGTGTCAGTTGATGGTCTTGTTTTCTCGCTTTGGGCGGCGCAGACCGCAAGTGCGGGGCGCGAGAGCATACGGAGCGGGTTTGTCATATGCAATGCATGCACACTACACTGGCTTTTATTGTGACCTTCATCTGCACCACCATGTCACCATGGTCACCATGGCACCATTTCACCATTGCACCGAATTTTAGGCGCGCGTGGCTGGGTGTATGACGTAGGCGCGAACGGGGGTAATGGATACCAGCCAAGAGCCGGTGCTGCCGCCGTGTGTGGGTCTCTGGCCGTTGGCCCGACCGACCGATTTGGTCAACCCAACGCGCCGCCAGTCAACCTCGTCCTTCTTCAACCGACTCGTCTCCATCCCACCAACCTCGCCGACCCAGTCCATCCCTTCCTCCACATACAACCACCCTACCCCGTGTCCTACACGGCCCACCGCTTGGCGTATCGCCGTTCTCGTTGCTGTACCCGCTCGCCACCTCACCCCTCCCACCCAGTCCCCATCCCCCACACGCCCATATCCCATCTTCGTCGGGGTTCCGGCCCCTACAGCTCCCAGACGACTTGCATCCATGTCGGTACAGCGCAGATCGTCTTCCCCATTGTCTTCGGCGTCGCCCTCCCCTCTCCAGGCGCCCATTGCCAATGGGGACACGGCTCTCACCGAGCTCAACCTCGGCCCCTCTGTAGGCCCAGAGCCGGAGGAGGACGGTATCATCGGAGGCAGCAGCCCCACAACGTTGACGGAGCCGCTCACCGAGAGCGAGCTCACAGAAGATGAGGGCGAGGCCGATGAAGAGGCCGACGAAGAGGCCGATGGGCCAGCTGAAGAGGGCGGCGTCGAGGAAGCCGAAGCCGATGGCCCGGAGGACGAGGCAATCGATGATGTGGATGATGATGTGGATGAGGATGATGGCGACGACGTCAATGATATAGCCCCCCGTGTCACCAAGCGGTAAGTGACACATGGTGATAAGAGTACTGACTTTTTGCCTCAGCCCAGCGGTCAGCGGCGGTGGTTCACCCTCCCCATCCCTCACTCCTCCTCCCCCATCCGACCCCCCACGCTCCGATGCCCTCCCGTCGTCCCCGCACAACGAGAACGGCGACAACGACGAGGACGAAGACGAGCCTATGGATCAAGACGAGGAGATTGAGGACGTCGACATTGCTGAGGACGAGGCCGAGGCCGGCGACGACGACGGAGAGGAGGACGGCGACGTGACCATGCGCGCCGAGCCCGATGCCGCCGAGGTCGAGGCCGAAGATGGCAGCGACGAAACTGCCATCAATGAAGACGCAGCCGAAGCCGAGGCAGACGCAATAGTGGACGCCAACGAAGACGCTGCCGCTGGTCAAGCCACCGCTGAGGAGGCCGAGGAGGATGCTGCTGAGCAAGCGGCTGCCGAGGATGTCGCTTGTGAGGATGAAGAAGAGGAGGCTGCCGAGGCAGCAGAAGCTGAAGAGTCTTCAGGTGAGTAGCTGGCCCATGACTTGAAGGTTGTATCTGACACTCCCAGACTCGCCTGCCGCATTACCTTCGCGCTCATCCAACACCCACTCCATGCATGCTCCGCCGCCCACCCCCGCAGCAATGCGTGCCCTTTTGGCCCTCGAAGTCAAGTTCGCTTCCCTGCGCGACAGGCTTTACGTTGAGCGACTCGAGGAAGCCGCGCGTGAGGAGGAGATGATCCTCAATGGTAGGTTGAGAACGCTTTTGACTTGTGCTGACTGGCAGGCACTCACCCGGCCCTTATGGAGCTCAACAAAGTGCTCGAAGGTCGTCGCGCGCGCTTGCACGAGATTGCCTTGCACCGCTACGAGGAATCGCTTGCCGACCTGGCCATTTGGCGGGATGTGGAAAAGAAGATTTCCTGGGGCACCTGGACTGTAAGTCGGGAGGTCTGTGTTGCGCTCTGCTAACGTGACCAGGACGAGCGCGACAAATTGCAATGGGAGGAATTCGAGCACACATGGAGCAAGCGGCGCCGCCTCGCGCGTGAGAAGAACGAGATTGAGACGCCAAAGGTCCACAAGCCTGTTCCCAGTGTGCACCGCCCTCCAAAGCCATTTGACTGGTCGGCAGGGGCTGTTCCAAGCAAGCTCACAACAGAGGATGCTCTACATGACCTCCAGCTGATGGACGTAAGTCTCCCTCACTAGGCTGAATTGGAGTGCGTGTCGCTGACCATCCAGCTCCGGAGGCAGCAACAGCAGCAGCAGCAGCAACAACAACAGCAGCAACAACAGCAGCAACAACAGCAGCAGCAGGCACAGCAAGCCTCTCGACACGCCTCCCCGTACGGCAACTATGCGGGGCCATCTACGTCGAGCTACCCCTATCAGGCCAACCAACACCCGGCCAGCTACCTGCAGGCAGATACGTCCGAGGCTGCCGACCGAAGGCATCACCATTATCCAGCTTCACGGGCGCATGCTCGCCCAGCAGCTCAGTCTCAAGCTACCCACGCTGACCCAGCACGACCAACCGCTGGACCGTCGATTTCTGCGCAACCAACCACATCAAAGAAACCGCCTACGGCACATGAGGTCTTTGGAGTGCCGCGGAGAGACCCAGCGCCGGCCCAGAGCAATGGCGACGGCAAGTTGACGAACGGCCATTCACGGCACGGCGCAACACCAGCGCAATCGGCTCTAGGTCTGAACACATCTTCGTCGGCCGCCACCTCCTCGTCTTCTCGACCTATCGAAACTAAAGCCGCGGCCGCTCCCCCTTCCTTGTCCTCCACATCAGCCAATGCTTCACACCCTGCTCCTGAGCGAGCAAACGCTTCATCTCGTTTCCCTGGGCTGGCCGACTACCTCTCAGGCTCAGCAACACCTCCACAGAACTCTTTCCAGCACCATCTGCAGCAGTCCAGTGCAGCCGCATCGGCGGCAAGCAAGGCTGCGCCATCCGCCCCGTCCGCGTCTAGTACTACTAATTCAACCCTTGGTTCGGCTTTGGGTGAGTTTGCTTTGCCAATTGGGCTCGAGGTTTTGTGTTTGTCTGCTGACTGTCCAGGCCGTCCCTCATTTGCCTCAGCGCCGCAGCCCCAGGCGGCCAGTGTACCCCGTAGCTGATCAGCCGAAGAGTTTTCCGGCCTCAGAGCATGTCTGCATGTCACCTATACAGTTTCCAGAGCTACGGAGTGACGTGGCGAGAGGACCAAAGGAGAGCTACTAATCTGTACTGATGTTGCGGTCCAACTACCGCCAGTGTTTTGGCACGTCGACACGTCGGTGAAACTGTTCATTGACGGTGGTGTTGATGACAAGCGGGCTGCATGCACGTAGGGACGCGACCACAAATGCAAACAATGGGTTTACATTGAGCGAACGGCGATGACGTCAGGGGCCACGTTGTTGGGGTCTCCCGCGCCGGCCAGCCGGCTAGGGCGCGCGCCGAGAGCGTGCAATGCCAGGCTGTTGTTGGTGCGTGAACCGCTGACCCAAACGTTTGGGTCGTTGCGCGTGTTTGCACGTTTGACGTCGCGTTGTCACGTTGTCACCTTTCTCATTACAACTGAAAAGCCTTTCATCCATCATGGCCGGAATTGTTCACCAGGCCCTGGCGCCTTTCACGCTCAAGGGCTTCTACCTCCTCACCTGGGGTGCTGCTCTCGGTACCAACCTCTGGCAGTCGCTCGTGAGTGTGGTGTGAATGACAATGACGCTTGCGCTTTGCGCAACGATTCCAAGGCGCCGGTGTAGTGTGGCCTGTGGCTTGGTCGGATCATGTCGCAAGCATATAAGCCAATAACGCCAGCGCACCCCCGACAGCTGCTGACGGTCACAACAGTCGAGCATTGAGCAGCTCAAGTCCCTCTCCCGCGACCAGTTTGTGTCGCTCCAGTCCAAGGTCGCGCCCGCCTACTTTGCTACTTCAACTGCTCTCACGGGAACACTCCTCCTCACCCACTTGTACTTCCACCCATCGCTCTTGTCGTCACCCCTCAAGAGCCCTCACTGGTACCAGCTTGAAGAGGGTGTGCAGGCCATTCTCATCGCGACTGCGTTTGTGCCCCAGCTCATCAACCTCCTCGTTCGCCCCCAGGACTCGGGCCCCTCGCTCGAGAAGGGTGCTGCCGTGAGTAAACGAACGAACAGACCTGCTTGCAGCCATGGTTGTGACTGACGCTCGTTTTCAGGAGGCCAAGCCCACGGCGCTGCAAGGTCTCGCCGCGGCGCTCAACAGTGTCTCTGCTCTTGCCCTCATCGGCCTCGGTCTTGCTGTGAGCATGTAGATGTCTAGTTGAGGATGCATATGAAACATGTTATGGAGTACAGCTGTTACCGCGGACTTGCGTACGACACTACCAGGCTGCGCACATCTAGTGGTAGGTTGGTGGGTACGGGCTGTTGGACTGCGGGTATTGCTGGCCGCCAGCTGGGGGGTACGCGCCGGTCTGAGAGTAACCATCGTTGATGACGTTCTGGCGAACCTCCGCGTCTTTTAAGTGGGGTTAGCATGTGCATTCGAGGGCAGCGCCGGACAACACGTGGATGACTTACAAGGGTCTTGGTATGCCATCTGCATGGTGCGGCTAGGCTCGTCACTGGCGTGGTGCATTGCTCCAGGCATGTCACCGTCAAAGGCTCCATAGGCATCCACACTTGGACGAGCCATGGCGCTGTCCGCAGCGGCAGCACTGGGAGCAGCGTAGCCACTGTATGGCCGGGGAGCCGCCTCACTGTATGGCCGGGGAGCCGCCTCATGCTTGTCCGCAAACACGCTCGCCTCTTCGTCCTCAAGCTGATTGTAACGACCGTTACCACTGTTGAGGCCAGGGGACTCGGGAGGGATAAAGCTCGGCTCGCTTGACACGCGACGCTCGTTGCGGAAGTCGAGGCCAGACAGTGCGGTGAGGGCGAACCAAGCGATGACCGCCAGCCAGTCAAAGATGGCAGACGCCTTCTTGGTGCGGCACCAGCCTGGAAGGGCATTCTTGTAATCGTCGCCGAGACTCTCGTGCTGGTCATTGTCTGCACTCTTGCAGCCCTGTGAAACGGTCAGCAGCCGTTTATGGTGGCTAGTTGCGGCTAGTTGCAACTCACAGCGTTGGTCCATGCGCTGATAGTGACGATGAACGCTGCCAGCAGCATCAGGATGCTTCCAAAGATGTGGAGGATAAACGTCGCACGCGGCTGCGAGAGGAACTGTGCTGGGCGGCGACCTTTGTCCCAACTAGGACGTCAGCTGGTGGAGCTGTGCGAATGACGTACCGGTCGTAGATGATGGGGATCAACAGTAGGGCAAGCGATAGGAAGAATGAAAACAGAAGGAGGACGAGAGTAAACGCAGATCCTCCAGCTTGAAAAGTTAGCATGCGTTGATATGAGAGGCTGTAGACACTCACAGACTCTAAACCACTTGCCCTGGAAACCTGCGACGGCTCCCATGGTGCAGATGGCAATAAAGGTAAAGAAGAGGCAGCAGCAGTGGATGATGAGGTGTGCCCTTGGCAAGCTAGGCTCGCTGAAGACAGTGGCCGGCTGTGAGTTGTTCAACTGTTGCAGTGTACTGCCCTCGCCCTTGTGGAAGAGGCCAGTGACCTTGGAGGAACTGGAAGAGAAGGTGTCCTTGAGCTTGTTCACTGGGTCACAGGTGTTAGTCCCGTGTTTGTGCCATGCCAAGGACAGTGCGGGGAGCGCACTGGCACTCACTTTTGACGACGTCGGCTCAAACAATGCTTTGTAGGGGGATGAGGGAGTTTAGTGACACTTGTGGTCTGGTTGTGGTGGGATTCCAGACGCTCTGGGAGCGGTTGTGAGGTAGAGCCAAGAGCTGGTGTTTGTGCGTCTAAACACTGGTGTGCTGTTAGGCGTGAGTTGGGACGGGAAGTGTGCGTGGAGCACGTACGGACAGAGGATATGGGGGGTCGTGCGACGAGGAAGACGAGGTGAAGGACAAGGTGTGTGTCCGGAGGGGGGTTGTGTTAGACGGTGCAACGGTGGATGGAGCAGAGTGTTGAGAGACGGAGAGAGTAACGGTGTCGAGTGAAAGAAGTCAATGTGTGGCCAGGCGGTGTAGGCGGGCGGTGTGGGAAGGGACGGGCGGGGGACGTGAGTGGGTGTTTGGGTGAGAGACCCTGATCTGTTACTGTATAATATAATATGGCCCATCGGGCCACGCAACCTCAGGCGGTGCGGTTGAACACGGTTGTGTGCGTCATGCGTCAGCCCTCTCGCGCCTCTGGCCTCTGGGCCTCGCGCACACCCCACACACACCCTGTGCGCGGCCCGCAGCATCGTCTCCCGCACACGTAGACGCAGCAAAGATGCCACAGCCCACAACACATCCACAGACTACGCAGCGAGCCTTGGCACAAACGCTCACCGCCAGGGTATACCAGGGTGGGCCCACCCGAACCCGGTGCTGGCGGCTGCGCGCCAGAGAAATGACACACATCCAAAGCGTAATGAAAGAGCTCAACAATCCGGGGACGACGACTGGGTCCGTCACCGCTTTTGCGGCTGTGTCCTTCTGTGTCTGAGGATCGTGAGACTGCGCGTTTCTTCAACACAGAATCCCGTCGGGGACTGATCTGGCGCACGGCTGAAGGGCTGCATGAGTTTCCTTGGGCAGCGTGCATGAGGAATGCCGATCGTTATGGAAGTGCATACATGTGCAAAGGTCGTACCATTGAGACATTAATTCCGCCAGCAGACTATAAGCTCTACAAGCAAAGACAACGGCGGCTCTTGATAAATCTGCTTATGGAAGACCCGACCTCCATGTTGCACCGACTTCGTTCAGTCCCCAAGCCTGGCTGCTCATGTCGTGAACAGTTGTGCGGCGAAGGTCGCGTTTGTACTTGCCCTCGAACGTTCCAGGCAATGCACGGTGGAGCACTGACGTGTTGTCCCAGAGCACAAGGTCTCCCTTGTCCTTCCACTGAATGGGGACAGTGTACTTGTCCTGCGCAACAAACTGGAGGAGTTCGTCTAGTTCCTCCTGTCCTTGTTCCAGAGTAAGGCCCTCAACGTGATGGGCGTGGGCGGCAATGTACAGGTTGGTGCGACCCGAAGGCTCGTGACTTTGCACAAGCTTGTGTCTGCCGAAACGGTGATTCATTGGGTCAAACTCTGGCGTGTTAAACAGAGGGTTACCCTTGTTTGCGTTCCGGCGACACTGGAGCTGCGAGTTCATGACAACATAGTCCTTGATCTTGTCCTTCTTGGCGTCGGGTAGGTCATCGTAGGCAGTGCGCGTGTCGGCAAATTCGGTGTCGCCGCCTGTTCCAGGAGGCGGGAGTTCATGTGCAAGAAGAAGCGATACACCAGCGCGTCGTGGGTTGAAAGCCGAGTCGGCATGGAAATGGAGGTTGCAGCGGAGAAGAAGTGCACGCATGCTGTCGGGCTGGGTGATTGTACCGTCTGGGTTCACATTCGAGACGTCGAAGAGACTGGTTGGTGAGCTCGATACCAACACTGCAAACATACTAGTCTGACGACAAGCGGTTAATTTGACCGAGACCGGTTACATATGGTGCAACGTCATCCAGGTCACCGAACATGTGGGACATTGCCACATGCCGCTCGTCATCGAGACCTGTCTTGCGAAAGACGAGGACGCCATACTGTAAAGTTAGTGTTACCAGCGGTTGTGACCCACCTTGGCCAGTCCAGCCTTGATCTCGTCCACCACCTCTCGCGTAACGCTGTTAAAATCAACACCACTTGCTTCGGCCGCAAATGTCGGGTGTAGTGGTTTATAGGCAATGGTCTGCGTCGTGACAGGAAGCGTGGAGGGTTCCGTAAAGGGAATCAGAGTCGGCTGGGCAGTGGATAGCATGGTGAGAGTGATTGCAAGTTGTCAATGTGGAAAAGACCCCAACGTGCTCTCCTCGGCTTGTTATATGTCCCCAGGCTGCTTGCTCCTTGTGTCGGACGACGCCGTCTCCGGTCACAGAAACTCCAGCGGACTTGTCCATGTCCGTGTTCTCCGTGGAGCTCAGCTGACCAGATGCGAAAGGTACATGGGGAAACGTGGTCGGTAAGCCCAGCGGTATCTGGCGGGGAAAGGCGGGTAGGGAGCCAGTTGCCACCACGCGAATCACTGAAATCTACCGAGGGCCATTTCGTGGACACCGCACCGAAGTGGGCAATGCCACACTCGCCATTCTTTCCCCCCTCCCGCATGGAATTTGTCTGGCTTCCTTCGCACATCGAAACTGAATCACCTTGAATGTCACCAGCTAAATATACATCTTCTCCTCGATTTAAATCTGATAACAGTCTAGTCATGTCCCGTAAGAGACGATGTGATTGGTGATTGCGCTCTCAGGCGAGCTCCATACTTGATGAGGAGGAATGGGGCCAAAGACAGTCCAAATCCCACAGCGGCTACGAGTGTGGAGGCATGAGAGTATCCCATTTTGGTGTACTGGCTAGTCAGCCGCCGCTCAATAACCCCCACTTGCCATCTGGTGTGCGAAAAGCGGGAAAATTCCGGCCATAATGTTGCGCGCAAGGCCTTGAGCTGCTTGCGCCGACGAGCCTGTGGTCAGATTTTGTGGTCAATATGTGGGGCTTACTATATGTTTCGTACGCGTCGGCAAAGTAGTTGCTGGTCGCTCAGTACTGTACAGGGTGGAGTTTACGAGTTACTTACAAGACACCATTGTACATGCAATATGAACCCCAGTAGGAGATGCACAGCATGATGGCAGGCACAATCCAATGAATATTGGGTGTACCGGTCCAGGCAAACACCATGGTGCCCAAGGGAAAGAGAACACCTCCAATCGCAGCCCAGTACAGACGGGCCTCTGGAGGAGCTCGGCCAGTAGGCGACCGCTGAGCGGCACGGCGGTAAAGGTATTCCTGATGGTAGTTTGTACAGGACCCGATCAGTGCCCCGACTCCAATACAGCTGTTTGGGTCAGTTGGTCGCTCAGCATAATATACGTACGCTTGTACAGATCCGGTCTGTCCGTCGGTGAAGCCATACTGTCGGAAAACCAAGATGGTGGCAGTGCCTCCAAGATAAATCACTGCCCACGCAAAGCCGATCCAAATTGAGAGCACAGTGACAATTGGCTCGCCGGTGAGGAATTCTAGTAGTGGGTTAGGGCTTGATCCATACGGAGGTAATGGCCAGCACCCACGTAATGGTCGCAAAGCGGAAACACGAAGCACGGCGAGGAAAGACTTGTGCTCTTGCAAGTCGGCTTTGCACACATGTTTAATACCAGTGGCCTTGGTGAGCTTCTGTGCTCGGCGAGAAAGCAACTTTTCGGCTCGTGTTTCACGGAGGACAAACACGTTGAGGACGACTGAGACAGCAGCCGCAATGCATTGCACCTGTGGGTCAGTTATGCAGTGAAAGGTCATACTCACCGCGTAGCACCACCGGAATCCTGCTTTCTCTCCGACCCAGCCCATCATAAGGCCACCAGAAGCCTGACGTCAGCCACAACACCGATCAGTCAAATTCACCTGGCCGAGGAAGTTGGTCAAGGCAAAGATGTTCATGGGATTCCCGCGATCGTTGGCACGGAACAGGTCTGCGACTGTTCCGCCAACCATTGAGATGCCGACTGAGGAGACCATGCCTTGCTGAAGTTACTATTAGCTTGCAAATATGCTGTTGCTATCGCACTCACAAACCACCTCGCAGCCAAGAACCCCGAAATGTTATGCGAGAGCATTTGAGGAATGAATAATAAAACCACACTCCGTGTAAGTGAGGTTACTGGAGCAGGACGTACATAAAGGAGGTGACTTGATATATCTCATTGCGACCCAGGTTCTCACTTAACGGGGCGAGGACGAGCGGAGTAATAGCTGCCGAAATGTTGTATAATGTCAAGCCGAGAATGAACATCTCGCGACTGCAGTCGAACCACGTAGTCCCCCAGGTGGCCATGATAGCCATTGATGTGGCGTTTAATGCCGTCAGATACGAGATATAACATGTGATGAGGAGAGTGATGTATTTGCGGGGCTTGGACCAGTTGAAGGGGTTCTGCGGCTCAGTGGCTGGTCAATGATCTGGCTTACCTCTGGGTCGTTGTCGTCCCAGTCGATGAGGACACAGTTGGGGCCAAGCGTGATAGAGCCATCCTTTGGTGGATCTTTGCAGGATACAACTGTGCTCCCCTTTTCTTCGTCCATGTGAAACAGCATATAATCGCCGATCCAGTTGGTGCACCAAACGGGCAAGTAGATTGACAGGCTGAACCATCAGTTCATTTGTCACCCTGTGAGAGGGGGGGGGAGAGAGTACACATACCAATAGTCGCAGCCAGACAACAGCAATGTATCACTCCGCACTGTTGGCGGTGGGTAAGGCAGTACAAGAACGAAGATCAGAAACGGATTAGTGGGCAAGAGCACCTCAGTGGTTGCTGGTTGTAGCTCGGCAACAGCAAGTATCTCGCCCGCGCAGCTGGGCCGTGGTCCTATGTGTCCAATGTCCCACGGGTCCTCCTTTATCAAGTCTTAGCACAATGACGCTATGTGCATGTGGTGACGTGTGCATGGATGTACAGTACAACAGCAACGGATAGTGGAATGCCGCTTACCGGATCGTGCAAGGCCCGGATACCAAATTGTGTGCAATAGAAGTAGACTGCAGCACAGTGTGATTAATGGCCGACAACCTGGCCAATATAGTCGTCTCACTTTAACTGTTGTCAATGGTCGTATTGTGGTGGAGACATGGGTCGTATTGTGGTGGAGACATGGGTCGTCTTGTGGTGGAGCCATGGCTCTTGTTACATCTTGGCTTTGAGCGTAAACGGGGCAACCACTGGGGGCTTCCAGTCCTTGCCCCTGTAGAGAATGGTCGATGGAGCCGTGCCGAACTCGACGGGCAGCTGCATTCCCTGGGCGTCAATTAAGGGGCGTTCTTGCACACAAAACTCACCAGCTCGTGACACGCAATCACACGAATCATGGTATAGTGGTGGATGGCGTGTAGAGAGCAAAACCAGAGCTGCAGGGGGTTACCACATCAGCTTTGAATGTCTCTTTGACAGTGCTAGAGGTCTAGAGGGACACTCACCTCCCGGCCAAGCGTCGATTTCAACTCTTGACGCTGAGGCGAGAGCGCGACAACCTCGACCTCGCGCTCCAATTCGGCCTCGAGATCTTCGCAGTCGTGGAGTGCAACGAGACCCTCACGGACCTTGGTCATGGCTTCTCTGCAAGCCTCGACCGAACGTGCGATGCTTTTCCTCGATGGAGGCATAATAGCGTCGTAGTTGATGTGGAGGGCATCATATGGGTCGCTCCGCAGGCTCTGGTTGAAGGCCTCGTACGTCTCGGAAACGTGTCTGAAATGCCTGCCAAGACTTGCTCCGGGAATCAAGGCGCTGTTGTACTTGAGTTGGTCGTCGGACAAGTTGTCCTGGTTGAGAATGTCCAGCCCCGAGTCGATGAGGGCGATGGCGAGGTTTACAAGGTAGTCTGCAGGTTGGGGAGTGTCGGACATTGGCTGCAACACGGTGTCCCTTCTGGAGGCTGTGGGGAGGATGCGAGGCTGATGAAGCAAGAAGGGGTGAGGAAAGGGGGGGGGGGGGGGGGGGCGGTGAAGAGAGATGGGGAACAGACGAGAAGGAAGAATACATTAGATGACCCAATGTGACGTGCGCCGGTTATGCGTGGCCCTGTCAGTCGCGTCCACGATCCCAATACATGACGAAAGCCCCCCGTATCGAGCCGCAGTAGAGCGGTGGTGGACGGAAGCAAACCCCCAACCCCGCGGACCTGCGGGCGACTGCGAAATGCGGAATCGACAGGCGCGCGTGCGTTGCGCCGGCACAGATCGCACAGATCCACAGACCCGTTGGCCGTTGGGTCCGTTTGTATTTGTGCCCCAGACCAGGATAAAGGCCTAAAGGATGCCCTGCTACCACAGGGGGGCCCGCCCAGTCTCTTTGATGGCGGTGCTGCACAGTCTTTCCAATGGACAGACGCCCCTCACAGCTTCTTCTTCCACAGCTCGCTTCTGCACCACCTGGACTGTTTTCCTTTAACACGCACACCCACACATCCATACGCACGTAGTATACTGCACACTCACCCTCACTCTTACACTCTTACTCTCACACCTCCTTCCTCACACATACACATACCCCCCCCCCCCCCACCCTATACAACGTACCGACCCAGCAGCGCCCACCCTATCGGCGCGTCCCATCAAGCATGAACTTTCCAGTCCCAAACGCCCAGCCGCCGCCATATGATACGCAGCGACAGCAACAACAACATCAACCACCCTACGATGATTCCTTCTCATCAGCCATTGCTGAGAAACTCGGTTCGCCAGTCAAGCAACAGAGCCTTGACGACGCTGCTAGCCACTCTATGCCCTTGAGCGAGTCGTCGTCATCAGCGCATTACATGGCGGACGATGGTGCTCTGAAGGGTCAAGGTTACGATCTCCACGGGGGTGACATCAGTCACAATAACAATCAAGACCTATACGGCGCATCAAACCCGGCCATTCAGCAAGACAACGGCTATGCGCCCTTGCAGCAACATGACCGGGCACTATACGAGGACCCGTTCAACCCCGCGTGGCATGCAGGCCAGGGTGATGCTTCGCGACAACCGTGGGATTCCCGCCAGTCGCTGGACGCACCACCACATGATGCCGAACAACAGGGGAACAACATGGAGATGCGCTCCATGGGCAAGGACGGGTGGGACCAGTCGATTGGCGGCATGAAGGACCGGTCCCAGCCATTTGTCAACAACGTCCCCCAGCGGTCCATGGCGGAACAGGTCTTGTTCGCCACCGGCTTCGACCGTCTCCTCCGCCTGTGCTGCATCAGGAAGAGCATGCCTCTCGACGAGGCTATTGCTCGGAAGAAGCGCGACATTGGTGGCCAAGATTATGCACCTGCCGTCTGGATTCTCACCGCCAGTAAGTGGCGTCGTGTCCACACCCCACAGTCGCACTGACATTTCCAAGTCATGACCGGTTTACTGATATACGAACTGGTTGTCTGCGCCAAAGACACTGGCAAGCCTATCGCTACCTCGGTGAGTCACAGTTGGGTCCATGATGCAGGCCGACGTAGGATGGACAAGACAACGTGGCGTCCGTCACTGACAGTGACAGCCTTTCAACTACATGATAGGCCCGTCGTACCAAGTACTGATCAACGTTGGAGCACGCTATGTGCCGTAAGTACGCTTCCGAGAGTCCAAAATTGACTTTCAGGTGTATGAAATATGTTGAGGAGATTCCTCCGACCTTTTTATTGGGATGTCTGAACACCACCTCAAGGTATGTGCGTGCTGAGGAACAGTTACTTACGCGCACTTCAGCACCCCTACCTCGGCTTGCACAATTGAAGAGATCTGTGGCCATGGTGGCTTTGGGGACGGCAATCCGAACCGTGAGCGACCTCACCCACCCTGTTGAGGCTCGCTGACGACCCAGAATCGTGGCGTCTGCTGTCGCCGATCTTCCTGCATGTTGGTGTCATCCATTTGTTGCTCAACATGTTCGCCCAGGTCACCATGGGCTCGATTGTCGAGCGCACAATCGGTAGGTGGACAGTTCGAATGCCAGTGACTCATGTGTCCAGGCTCACTGCCCTTCCTCCTCATCTACATTGTTGGCGGAATCTATGGCAATGTTCTCGGCGGCAGCTTTGCGCTCGTGGGCATTCCTTCAGCTGGTGCATCCGGCGCCATCTTTTCAGCCGAGGGAGTTTTGATTGTCGACTTGGTGATGCACTGGAAGCATATCGACAGGCCTGGCCGTAAGGTGAGTCGAGCCAGATCGGTCGGCAATAACGGCCGAGAATGTGATGGAGTTTTATTAACTTTGACGCTCAGGCTGTCATGTTCCTCATCGAGTTTGTCGTCATCGTCGCCATGGGTTACATGTTAGTTGTCACTACCCCGCACTCGTCCCCTGACACCCCAGCCCGAACGCTGTAGACGGTCTTGCGCACTTGGGGGTAAGTCTGTGCCCTTTGCCCAGAGGGGAGACGGCGCGGTGAGCGCTTACGAGTGTCTACAGGGATTGGCAATGGGCATTCTGCTGGGTATCTTGGTCATTCCGTCCATCAGCGCAACGAAGGGCCACCGCAACGCCGTGTGGGGCTGCCGGATCGCGGCCATCCCCGTCATTGTCTTGGCCCTCATCTTGACGACGAAGAACTTTTGTGAGTGGACGGCGTGTGGTATGGCGTGGGGAGATGGTGGGGTTGAGCGTGGGGGTGACGGGGGGAACGCACGAGCAGATGCGGCAGATGTGAAAGATTAAGAGGGCTAACCAAGGCTCGGACAGACAAAGCCGACCCGGTGAGTGCTATGAATGCGGGGTGATCGACCGAAAGAGGGTGCTAACGTGTGGAGAACGCTGCTTGCGAGTGGTGCAAGTACCTGAGGTGAGTTGTCTCTTGCTGTGGGGTAAAGGCTTACCGAACAGCTGCTGGCCAACATCGTCGAATGAGCATTGTACTGGTACCGTAAGTGGCCGATCCGAGGTGGCGGGAGTGGCGCCGTCGGAGCGTAAAGCCGACTTATTGTTTACCTCCACAGGGCTTAACAACGACATCAAGCTGAGATACCGTGGCGTCTGGGGCAGAGGAGCCAAGACGAGAACAGGGATCTCTGTGCCAAGACCAAAGACCGGCCCAGGAAGAGGGATGTCTGGAGGGGCGGACCGAAGTAGATGCGCATAGATTGGCCGTATCACACTGTGGGAACAAAAAAAAAGGCGCTTGCTCCTGAGCACTTGAGGCGCACGGCGTGAGGCCGTGGGGAGACAGAGCGGTGTATGTGCCGTATGTGAGACAGACGACGATGCGATTTCCAAAGGATACCACAGGCCACAGGCCCCCAGCAGGTCACAGGGGGGCGTTAGAGCAGCCGCCCACACGGGTACAAACGGAGTTTATACGCCATTGTTTGGCCGGCACGCTGGCGTATGCTGGGTGTGTGGGTGGGACATGGTCAGCAATTGAGCAACAGCCGGCAAGGTCGGCAAGCCTGCGTAGCCGGCTGTTCTGGTCAGATGAGCGCTTGGCATTCTGTTCAGGTGACCCAAAAGTGGGGGCATTTTCAGAACGATGAGTCGCTCGGCAGCAACCAACAGTGGCTCGGCCATTTGGCGTGCGTGCGTGACCGCGCTGACCGCCCCCGTGGGCCGTGGAGTGCCCAGCGTCGCGTCTCCCGATTGACAAAAAATAGGTCGGAGCAAATTAGCAACAAGACGAGACGAGAGGGAGAGAGCAGCAGCTCTCAGCAGCTCAGCAGGCATTCGTGTTCTCTATTGTGACCCCGTGCTGCAGTGCTGGGCCCACGCCTGCTGCCCCGGGCATCCGGGGACGAACAACGCACGCGTGCGCGCGCGCGCGCACACATTCAGTAGCCATCTGTGTGTGGGCCGTGTGTGGGCCGTGTGTGTCACGGGCAGGTACGGGCAGCGAACGGCGACGACCGCTCGCGCCGCTTCCCCCCCCCCACCTCCCTTCCCCCCAGGTTCCCCGCCGCGCCCCGCCCCCAGAGCGCCAGAGCCCCTTGTTGGCCCGGCGGGTACGTTTCCTAGTATTTAAGACCGTCCTGTCTCGTCGACCAAACACTCCACATTCGCTCCTCGCTCTCCTCTTTTTTTCTCTCATCCTCTTTTCCTTCCTTCTTCACCACACACCCCCCGTAGCACCACACACAATGTCTTCCGAGGTCCCTGCCGAGGTCAAGCACGACAACAACGTCGAGAACGGCTACAACCAGGGTGGCGCCATCTCGCGCTTCATCACCCCCGGCGGTAACCCCATGGACACTAGCCAGCCCGCCTTCCCCGTCTACCACCGTGAGCTCTCTCCCACCCTCCACAAGACACAAGTGCTAACACCAACCTAGGCAAGTTTGCCAACCCCGCCCCTCTTGGTCTTCTCGCGTGAGTACAGTGCTCGCCAGCGGCGCGATCCTTGTTTCTGAACTCTGTCGCACAGTTTCGGCGGCACCACCTTCGTTCTCTCGTTCTACAACCTCCAGGTCCGTGACATTACCCACCCCAACGTCGTTCTTGGTCTCGCCCTCGGCTACGGTGGTCTCGCTCAGATCATCGCCGGTATCGAGGAGTGGGCCTGCGGTAACACCTTTGGTGCCACTGCCTTCACCTCGTACGGTTCCTTCTGGCTTTCGTTCGGCTGCATCTACATCCCCCAGTTTGAGATCGTCGCCGCATACGGCACCGACGCCGACCAGCTCAACAGCGCTCTCGCCATTTACCTGACCATGTGGGCGTGAGTACAACACATCCACCGCCTCGTCCCCAAATTCCCAGGCTCCGAAGCCACCGTGCTGCACGCCTCGTGGAGCGCGTGGGGGACAATTGCGCACAGACGCTGACCGTTGCCCAGCATTGTCACCTTCATCTTCCTCATTGGCACCCTCCGCTCGTCGATTGCTCTCTTCCTCGTCTTCTTCTTCCTCGAGATCACCTTCTGGGTCCTTGCTGCCGGCCACTTCACTGGTCACGTCACGGTTACCAAGGCCGGTGGTGGCTTGGGTGTTGTGAGTAGACCACAGCCGTGGCCCCTGTGTGTGCGGACACTGATATATTTTTCCAGGTCACCGCCCTTGTTGCCATGTACACCGCTCTCGCCGGTCTTCGTGAGTGTCTCGCTTCCCTGCCCCCCATCCCCATCCCCATCCCCATCCCCCACACACCCTGTGCATCGGCCAGTCCCTCATTGGCGGCTCTTGCGTGTTCGCCCCACACAAAGCAGAAAAACCTGGAGAGGTGGTTCTCGCACCGGCGCGCGCGCACCTGGGTGGAGCCAAACACACCTCAAATGCTCTCCCGTGTTGCGAGTCAGGGCCCGCTGGAGCAACCGGCACGTGAACACGCGCGTGGCGGGCCTGGCGGGCGCCGGTGCGCTTGGCGCGGCATGCGGCGACGCCCCCTATATCCGCCGTACCCTGCCGCCACCAAAAGTGCTTCCGCGATTGTCGTTGGTGGCACCAACCCCCTTCGACCAATCTTCATCACTCCATCTGCCTCATCCTCCTCCTCTTCATCCTCTGCCTTTGGCATCCTGCTAACGCGCCCCAGTGACCCGTGAATCGTCCTACTTCATTATCCCTGTGGGCGATCTCTCCAAGTAATCGCAGCTCGTTCTCGAGGTGCTTTTTTCTCTTCGACAGCAGCGTTTTTGTTCGACGGCGTTTATGGCGAGACTTTAATTGAGTTTTTTTTTGTGTTTCCTCTGCGCAGGAAATATGCAGTATGGATTTGTGTAGTACATTCAGGACAGAGCCTGGAGATGCAAGAGGGGAGACTAGACTGTCTCTGCATCGCAAAACATTGCGACCCACTAACAGCAGGCCGTCATGTCGGTGTCATCAGGACGGCCTGGCTCCGCTACCACAATCTGTTCAACCTATGATGTTCACAGCCTCCCCACCGCCTGACCACTGGCCCTCACTGAGGTTTCGCATCTCCGTATACGCTGCCCGCCTGCTCGTCCTGTGCTCGCCAACCAATGGTTCGGAACTCACAGTCTGCTTTCGCCCGGCAGGTTGGACATGCACGCGATGAAGTACACATGTTTACATTCACTCTGTGCTGCTGTGTACAGTACATACCAAAACAAACGCACTCCAAGCAGTGTCACAACGAACAGAATCCAGATCGCGCAGAAGCTGCAATTACATTTTCGTATTGGGCGCGCTGACAGCAGGCGGCAAATGGCAATGCGCGTTTGAGGACATGTGCCTCGATCAAACGGACAACTCTTGAGACCACTGTACGAGCCACGGGGCCTTGGCTGTGGCGCGGCCAGCGTGGAGCACAGGTGTTGGCGGCGAACCGGGGCATGGGGAGGCCGCCATGTGCGTCTCTGCGGTGCTCCCGCACATAGTAACCTGCGCGTGCACTCTGCGGCATCCGTGCTGGCAAACGGATATCAATATGGGACGCGAGGTGGGCCTCGTGCAGCCCGACATCAACGTAGGGGCTGCCGCAGACCATACAAAGGAAAACAAAGTGGGCCGTCGCCTGTCGGCGCCACAGTAAGCCCGCGGCGGCTTCGAGTTTGTCGGTTGCATCGGAGGGGGTGGGTATCCATGAAAGCGGATCAAGCGAGCGGGCGAGGGACTCGGTAGATGCGAAGGAAGCACACAATAGTGAGAAGTTCTACTGTGCCTGCTGTTGACGTTTCGAATAGTCGTTTATGAACGCATCACCGCAACGTCAGGCACCGGACGAGGCAGTGTGCAGTGTATGCGGTCTGACAGGTGGCAGCGACGGGTGTTGTAGCGGAGATAGCACAGCCGTCTTGTTCTCGTTGGTGGGGGATGGAACCACCCCCCATGCCATCATGCGTCTTGTTCTCGTTGGTGGGGGATGGACATGCCATCATGCGCCTAACTGTCCACCAATCCACTGATGGACGGTAGTCCGGACAGGAAGTGGTAAACGAGTCGCTCCGCAAGGGTTGCAGCAACGGAGAACCGCGCTGAATGGGGTTTCTGCATTTTACACACTAATATGAAACCGCGCGCCCAGTCGCCAGCACTTTGTCCATCTTTCTGGAGCCTCACACTGCGAACAAGTCGCTTTTCGACCAGCAACACGTCACCAACTCTGTTGTCCTAACCAGCCAGCTACTCCCCATGTAGGGCAACGTTCGGCACAGGCTTATATGCCTGAATATTGGTCGTGAGGTTGGTCCTTGAGATCGCGCACGAGGCATGACAACACTTGCCCCTACAACACCAACACCGTCACAACTGGCTCGGTCCATAAAGGCTACATTCCGTCGACGATCACTTGCGTTTTCTTTTGACGCTGGCCAATCGTACAAGGACTCCTGACTCCCGATGGCGCTCAACACACCGTTCAGTCCTCATCGCTCTGGCGGGGCGCCAATGACCCCGCCTCCGTGTTCTGTCGAGGCAAGAGTAAGAGTGGCCAGTGGGCCGGGTGGTGGAATCTCTACACAAGGCCACAGCCCAAGTGCCTCTAGCCACAAACGCGGCGTACAACCTCCTGTTGCACCACTCACCACTGTGTGCTGCCTGTAGGGCAGAAGGTGGAGTACCAGACACGCCCAAGAGTGACGACATTGATGCGACCTTTGTGAGACCGTCCCGTGTAGACTCGGACGTCTGTCTCATCGCCATGTATGACTTACATGGCGAGCTTGGGCGTTTGTGCGTGTGGTACAGATATAGACGGTCCAAGCTCCCAGATCGGCTTGGCAGAAGGCGATCCTGTGGCCTGTGGAATCCTGGAATCTTGGGATATGGGCATGTGTTCCCTTGCTGTGCGGTGAGTCCAGTCTACTGTACCAGTTTACAGCTAGTGTCCCGATCACCTCCCATCCCCCTGGGGTCAACGCGCGCCGGGTGCCAACCGACGTGGCATGCAGGATGCACAAATGCATGCCTGTGTTTGTTGCCCTGTCTCCTCCCCTGCTACCTGCGTGTAGCTGCTTTGTTGAGACTGCCTGTTTGGCCGTGCCAGACGGAGCGAGCAAACGCACCGATCACGCCCCGCTTCCCCTTTTGGTCCGGCTAAATTTCAAACACGCAGGACCTGCGGTGTTCCTATGGCCTATGGCCGTCCAGTTGCCAGTGGCCAGTGGCCAGTGGGCCAGTGGGCCGGTGGCTGTGGCCTGTGATCCTGTGATCCTGTGATCCTGTGATCCTGTGAGTTGGCCGGCTTGTGCAACTCATGCGGTTGCAGAGCAAGCTTGAACGTTTAAACGCAGATTACATAATACATACTACTTTACAATGCAATGAGGGATTTTGCGCATTCGTTGGCGCGATGGCGGGTAAATATGTGCCGCGGCCACAGGCCGCTCGTCATGCCTGTCAGTTGCTGTGTTCGCGGTGGCACCATTTGGGTCCGTCGTCGTGTACGCCTAGCACACACTACGATACGCCAGTACAGGACGTCGTTTGGGGAAGTGTGTTGAAGCCAAGCAAAGGAAAAACAAAGCAACATAATTTGACAGCAAACGTTGCAATCACGCCTGCACGTCATGTGCACAGCACCACCACGGCTGTCTGCCATGACCTGGATGGTTTTGATTTATGGGTTGCGGCACGTGTGCATCAAACATTGCAGTATATTGCTGTGGCGCCAGGAAGCTGCACAGCTGATGACGCTCTGTGATCTGTGATGGTCAGCCAGGTTTTAGCTAATGGTCTAAGTGGCCTAGTAAGTAACTAGGGGTAGCTAGTGGTTGAGTCCGGATCGGTCCTGGCCTGTGTACCCGTGTTAGTACTGTGTACTGTGCTGTTACGGTGTGTCTCCATGATGAGATGGGCCCACACCGTAGGCCAAATTGTCCCACATGAGTTGTCCTCTTGGGCCACACCACGAGGGATCCTCCTCTTCCTCTTCGTCCCGTCCCCTTTCTTGATCAATGGCCTCTCCGCATCTCTGGCTTCTCGCCTCATCACCGGCGGCGCTCTTTGGGCGTTTCTCACCGTTTTTTTCTTTCTTTTTTTTTTGGCCTCGCACCCGCCGGTGTGCTGGTGTGCCCTTTTGGCCCTTTTGGCCCCTTTCGCCTCCGTGCGTGTGCCGTAGTACGGTGGTACGGTGGTGTGCCGGCAAACAAGTGGCGCACAGCTACCGTCTGTTTGTTAACTGTACCCCTCACTTTACCTGCCAGCAGAGCCCCCCCCCCCCGCGGCCCCCGGCGCCTCAACACTGCACCCGTTCTTCCCGGTCTCCCACCTCTTCCAGTCCCCACTTCACCCCAGCTCGCCGCTCACTCGTCTCAATATCCCTCCCCCATCCCCCCATCGAACAGAACCAGCGTCAAGAAACCCATCATCGCCACTCGCGTACTGTACCCCCGGCCGCCCCCTCGCCGCTCCCCGGTGGCACCACCTAGATTGCTTAGCACGCACCAGCGCCCGTAGCATCAGGCCTCCCAAAGGTGCCAGGCGACATACATCGCTGTATCAGTCAGCAAGGCCAGCCGTCTCTTATTGAGCCGCCTCGTACTCGACACTTGCGCTTTCTTGCACGTTCGTCGGCGTTCCCTCCCGCGTACATAAGAGCGCATCACAGTGTCTCTCTATCAGTCACTGTGAGTGGCAAAACGGCTTGCCCATTGCATGGCACAGTGAGCGGAACGTAAGCTGACACTCGCCCCGTGCTCCCCGCTCCTCACCAATTACCGACGCCTGCTTACCTGACACATCTTTCGCCACACCGACTGTTCTCATCAATCGCAGTCGCCGATTAGATTATGGCCTTGTGAGGCCTTAGATTTTCCTTCACATATTAGACGCTTCGTCTCTCTCTACCCCAATACCAGTTGTGACGTTCCCTCACTGTCCACCTTTGTCATCGTCGTCACCTCTGTCACCCACCAAACCCTCTCCTACCATGTCGGCCTTGGAAACTCTCCCAGATACTGCTGACGAGGAGGCCTTGGCGGCGGATAGGCCCAAGGTAAGCCATACTTGTCTGCAAGATACGTCGGTCATGCTGACACATTCGTTGCAGTTGAATGCAACTGCGCCAATCTCGAACGGTACAGCCATCCGTGGGGCCGCCACAACTGCCAAGGTGGACGACAGCCACGGTGTCCTTTCCCTCAACGAACTGGCTGCTCCTCTGAACGAAGTGCACCTGGCGACTCATGATTCCAACTCGGTTGGACCCCGCACTGGCTCAGCTGGTACTCCGGAGCCACTCCCAGATTCGGCGTATCCCATGGCAAAGTGTGAGTGCTTTTGCTGACTTGCTTCTCATGTGTCATCTTCCGTACTTGCAGCCGCTGACATTTCAGTCCGCCCTCTTCCTTCCAGTGCACAGACACCTGGTGCGGCGACCCTCACCCCCCCTTCCATGAACATTCCTCCCCCATCATCGGCGCCCATGTCGCGCAATGTGTCAGCCAACAGCACCAACGTGACTGACCTTGGCACCCGTGCCAATCGCTCCCAGTCGACGAGCAGCAAGGCTGGAGAGAAGAAAGGTTTCCTCGCCAAGATGTTCCACCACGAGTCCAAAGTGGACAGGATGACACCCACTTCCAAGGCCAATGGCGACTCCCCTCCCCTCACCCCTGTTGGCACCGAGTCGGACCACTCTCGCCCTCCTTCTCGCGCTCCGAGCGTGAAGCGCAACAACCACGAAGATCCTCCAGTTGAGCGTCGCCCTTCTCTCCTTGGACAGCGTCGCATGTCTGAAAGGTCAATCTCCCACGGTTCCACTGGTCCCAACGTCGTGGTCGCTCCGGCAACACCTGTGTCTGAAACCGGCGGGTCCAAGTTCACCCTCAAGGACCTCATCGGTGGGGGCAAAGACAACAAACTCTCGCGCCGCCCATCCGGTTCTGCACGCGGGTCAGACCGTGGCTCGACCAAGGGAAGCGACCGCGACTTTGGCGACAACACGAGCACGGCCTCGCTGCTGAAAAAGTACGGTGTCTGCGACCGTGCGGCTATCGGCAAGGGCGCGACGGCTGTTGTGCGCCTTGCCCACAAGTGGGACCGCCGTGAAGAGAAGCTGTATGCTGTCAAGGAGTTCCGCAAGCGTCGCAAGAACGAGACGGAGAAGGACTACGTCAAGAAGCTCACGTCCGAGTTCTGCATCTCGTCGACGCTACACCACATCAACGTCGTCGAGACCGTGGACCTTGTCCAGGACGAGCAGCAGCATTGGTGCGAGGTCATGGAGTACTGTCCCGGCGGAGACCTCTATGCCGCCATCAAAAAGGGCGGCATGTCGTCGGGTGAGGTTGAGTGCTCGTTCAAGCAGATCCTCCAGGGTATCCAATACCTGCACTCTATGGGCGTTGCTCACCGTGACATCAAACCCGAGAACCTTCTTCTTGACGGCCGTGGCCATGTCAAGATTACCGACTTTGGTGTCTCGGACGTTTTCCGCATGTGTTGGGAGAAGAAGACGCATCTCAGCAAGGGCCTCTGTGGCTCTGAGCCCTACATTGCGCCAGAGTTGTTCGAGCACAAAGGTGAGTGTTTTCATCATCGTGGGCTGCTGTGAATGTTGCACGCTGACATGTATAATTAGAATACGATGCCCGTCTCGTTGACGTATGGGCTGCTGCCATCGTCTTCTATTGTATGCAGTTCCAGGAGCTGCCGTGGCGTGTCGCCAAGCCTGGTGACCCCACCTTTGCGACCTATGTCTCGCAGTACTACCCGTCTGGTGCCCGTCCGGAGGGTGCCCCTGCTTGCCCGGCCCCGCTCAACAACCTCATCCCTCGCGAGTGCCGTCATGTCATCAAGCACATGCTCGACCCCGACCCGAAGACCCGCTGGACTGTTGACGAGGCACTCAAGGACAAATGGGTGCAGTCCGTCGAGGTCTGCGTCGAGGGCCGCGAAAACGGTCATTCCCACACGACTGTGGGCTTGGAGGTCAAGGAGATGCTTCGTGGACCATAAGTTTTACTCCTCCTGACCCGTTACCACCACATCCACCCATCGTCCACCCATCCACCCATCCACCCCCCCCCCCCCCCCCCCCCCCCCCCCACTACCTCCTCCTTTCGTACCCCTTATCCCCCGTTCCCCGCCACCGCGTGCCTCGCCCACTCGATTATTCCACCCACACTCGATTATTCCACCCCAGCTTGGGCAGCGCTTCGGCCAGCTGGGGCAACGACTCGGATAGGATGACAAGTTGACTCTAGGGCTACCGATGTTGTTGCATACAGATACAGTTATGAAATCATGTTTGAGAGAGCGAGAGAGATCTAGAGAGAGAGACCCCTGGCTGGCTGCTTGCTGGCTGCTTGCTGGTTTCCGATTTTGTGGCGGCTGTGCTCTCTAACCTGTGGGGGGTTTTGGGTGTTGGCTACGTCATCGGCGCGCATATGCTATCTCTGCCGGCGCGGCCCACCCGGGCGCCCAGGGGACCCAGGGGGGACGTGTTGGGTGTGTCCTTTTGTGTGCGACGGATCAATATCATGGGAGATGACCCTCCAAGCTCCAGGCAAAGGATCGGCAGGCTCTGGGGAAGGGGCGCGGGAGAGAGGCGTGGGAAGCTGTTCAGGGCGGCGCGTCTACGGTGGGCCCCCACGCAGACGGCCGCCGGTGTGTGTTGCTGCTGCTGCTGCAATGACGCGCACGGCACACGGCAACGCACTGCACGCACTGCACGCACGCACCGAGATCGCCCCCGCGCGCTCGCGCCCCAGCGGAAGGTCTCGCGGCCGGCCACACGTTCACGTTCGGATTCAAGAGAGCCAGCCAGCGGCAGCCAGCTGCAGCCAGGCAGGTCCAGCCACTCAAGCCGACGCGTCACACACAGCCTATAGAGCGTGGTCGGGCAAAAAGCACGTCTTGTCCCATTCAGAGCAGACGTCTCTTGTCCGTCTTGGCCGTCGTCCCCTTTTCCCTCGCCCAATCTCTCTCTTTCTCTCTCTCCCCCTCTCTATCTCTCTATCTCTCATCCCCTCTCACCCCCTTGTCTTCGTCTGACAGCAAAGAGCAGACAGCAATGTCCCAGCTCACAGAGGAGAACCTCAAGCAGATGCCGGTCTGTACGTATCACACATCACATCGGAAGGCTTTGTGACTGCGTGGCTTTGCTTCGCGGACAAGAAGAGGGATGGGGCTCTCACTGATTGATAGCGACCCCGCCGTCGACCGGCTCCCGCACCCCGTCGCTCCACCAGCCCACACTCTCCCGTCGCTCTTCGCTCTCTGGCGTCGGTATCGGCCCCAGCCACAATGTCGACACCGCTCAAATCGGCATTCCGGTGACGACCCCTCGTCGCGAGCGCCCCAAGACCCACAAGCGCTCACTCACGGGTGAGAACAACGGACACTGCCAGCGATCCCCCCACCCCCCTAACAGACCACAGGATCGTACTTCCCTGCCCAGCCCGGTGCACCCGATGATGAGGTCCTCCCCGGCGACCCAGAGGTCTGGAAGACTGCACTCAAGGCCGAGCATGTGGACAAGGAAGACACCCAGGCCGTGGCCAACTCGGTTGTTCGTCACGTCACCACCACTCTTGCTCGCCAGGCCGCCAACCTTGACGATGTGAGTTGGCCGGTGCTCAGTTCAGATGTTGACTCCAGATTGCCGCGTACCAGGCAACTGCCCTCTCAGTCAAGGACCAGCTCCTCAAGTAAGCAGTTCAATGTTGAATGTCCGCTAACCCTCAGGCGTTGGAATGAGACCACTACGTGAGCTCCCGATGACATGGTTGTTAATGTGCTGACAAACTATCCAGCTACCACACCAAGCACGCTCCCAAGCGCGTTTACTACTTTTCTATCGAGTGGCTTATGGGCCGCTCCCTCGACAACGCTGTCCTTAACCTGGACATGCGCAACACGTACGAGACGGCTACACAGAAGCTCGGCTTTGTGCGTTGAACAGACAAAGTATGACGCCATTCTAACGCTCCAGAACTTTGAGGACCTTCTCAACGAGGAGCGTGACGCTGCACTTGGTAACGGTGGTCTTGGCCGCCTTGCCGCGTGCTACATTGACAGTATGGCTACTCTCAACCTTCCCGGCTGGGGTTACGGTCTTCGGTGCGTGTTGTACGGATTGTCAGTGCTGATCGCCGGCCAGCTACTCGTACGGCATTTTCAAGCAGCTCATCTCGAACACCGGCGAGCAGCTCGAGGCTCCTGACCCGTGGCTCGACCGTGAGAACGTGAGCGACCTTCGTCAGGTTTGGAACTCACACTGCAGCCTTGGGAGATTGCCCGCATCGATGTGTCGTACCCCATCCGCTTCTATGGCCGCGTCGAGTCGATTCCCAACACTTCGCGCGCTATCTGGTCGGGCGGTACCGAATGTCTGGCTGTTAGTCTTTCCTTGGGTATTTTCTCTGTTAGACTGCTAACAGTGCTCAGGTTGCCTACGACGGTAAGCTTGCGAATTGCGGTCGATGGCATGATGTACTGACGTGTTAGTACCCGTCCCCGGCTTTGCCACCAAGTGAGTGTTTTGATGGATCAATCGGCCGGCGTGGATCCAATCTAACACGTCTTCTAGGAACACTGCCAACCTCCGTCTCTGGGCGTCTCGTCCCATCCAGGGCTTTGACCTGAACTCGTTCAACGGTGGGTAGCTTCTGAAGCGTTGCGCTGACCAGGTCAACAGCCGGTAACTATGAGGCGTCAGTTCAGAGCAGCAGTGACGCCGAGAACATTGTCAGTAAAGGTTTGTCACACAAACGTCGCTGACTTGAACAGACTCGCGTCCTGTACCCCAACGACAACATGTACGCCGGCAAGGAGCTCCGTCTCAAGCAGCAGTACCTCTGGTGCTCTGCCTCGCTTCAGGACATTCTCCGTCGCTACCAGAAGCTCGACCTCTCTTGGGAGCAGCTGCCCGATTACGTTGTCATTCAGAGTCAGTTCCTCTGCTCATGCCCATACGTGCGCTAACAAGTCTAGTGAACGACACGCACCCGACCATCTCGATTGTGGAGCTCATGCGCATCCTCATTGACGAGGAGGAGGTTCCGTACGACGTTGCCTGGAAGATTACCACCAAGGTGTTTGCCTACACCAACCACACCGTCCTCCCCGAGGCGCTTGAGAAGTGGCCCCTCCCTCTCTTTGAGAACCTCCTCCCTCGCCACCTCCAGCTCATCTACCAAATCAACCTCAACTTCCTCAACGATGTGGCCAAACGATTCCCTGGTGACATGGACCGCATTCGCCGCATGTCCATCATTGAAGGTCAGTGTGCCGTTTGTCTTTGCGTGCGTTACTTACCCACTCCCAGAGGGCACCCCCAAGTTTGTCCGCATGGCGTCAGTACCTCTTGCTTTTTTAGAACGTCTAGTGCTAAATAGCTGACATTTCACAGCCATCTCGCCATTGTCGGCTCCTTCAAGGTGAGTTTTTAATCTTCGGTTGTCACCCGCATCCCGTGCTAACAGTCTCAGGTCAACGGTGTTGCCGAGTAAGTCCCAATCCCAAGCACTCATCTGACGTTCAAGGCTTCACAGCCAGCTGCTCCAGTCGACCATTTTCCGTGACTTGTAAGCCATAACAGCGTATGGCGCCCATCGATTGCTAATTCTGCAGCGTCGAGTTCAAGGGCCGTGACAGCTTTACTAATGTCACCAATGGCATTACTCCTCGCCGGTAAGCCCGTTTCATCTCGTAATTTGAACTGACATGTGTCCAGTTGGCTGCTGCAGTGCAACCCGCGCCTTGCGCAGCTCATCACCGACACTCTTGGCTCGGAGCACTGGCTTGTCCACCTCAAGCAGATTGCTCAGCTTCTCCCGATGGCGGACAACGCGCAGTTCCGCGCAGCGTTCCGTGAGATCAAGAACGAGAACAAGACCCGTGTACGTCGCTGGCATCACCGAGTCTATTCTGACACTTCTTAGCTTGCCGAAGTTCTGGCATCAGAGCTCAACATCCAGGTTGACATCGACAGTGTCTTCACCTGCCAGATCAAGCGTCTCCACGAGGTATGTCCTTGCCCAGACATGAGGCTGACGACTGTTAGTACAAGCGCCAGACTCTCAACATCTTTGGTGTCATCTTGCGTTACTTGCAGATCAAGAAGGCTACTCCGGAGGAGCGCAAGAAGTTTGTAAAGCACACTGCCATCTTTGCCGGCAAGGCCGCTCCAGGCTACTACATTGCCAAGCTTGTTATCCGCCTCATCGTCAACGTTTCCAAGATCGTCGTGAGTTTCAAGCGTGGTTCTGAATGGCAGAGTCTGACCTGCAGAACAATGACCCTGACGTCGGCCACCTTCTCCGTGTTGTGTTCATCCCCGACTACAGGTGAGAGAAACCCACTCATCCACTCCGCTGACCTCCAGCGTCTCTGTCGCTGAGGTCCTTGTCCCCGCGGCGGACGTCAGTGTGCAGATTTCGACGGCTGGCACTGAGGCGTCTGGAACCGTACGTTACAACGGCTGATCCTTGCTGACCTGGCACAGAGTAACATGAAGCTCGGCCTTAACGGTGCCCTGCTTCTCGGTACCGTCGACGGCGCCAATATTGGTGTGTTTGAAACGACTGATTTGACACGAGGGGCTGTTTTTTGCTGACATTACGAGAAATCGCGGAGGATGTGGGAGAGGAGAACGCTTTCCTTTTCGGCCACCTTGCTGCGGACGTTGACGGTGAGCACACTGTGACTCTCTCAAAACTGACAGATTCTCAGCTGTTCGCTATGCGAACTCGTACAACCCAACGCCTCTTGCCGAGCGCTCGCCCGAGCTCGCCGAGGTCTTCAAGGCCATCGAGGCCAACACCTTTGGCGACGGCCACATTTACGAGCCCCTTCTCAAGCCTGTACGTGAATCTTCTCTGGCTGTGACTGACACCGAAGATCTACGACAACGACTACTACCTTGTGTCCAACGACTTTGGCTCGTACCTTGCCGCTGAGCGCCTCGTCGATGAGCTCTGGCGCGACCAGGAGGAGTGGACCAAGAAGTCGATTAGGACTGCCTTCTCCATGGGCGACTTCACGTCTGACCGCTCCATCCAAGACTATGCCGACTCTGTGAGTGCATGGGTTAGCGAATCTTCAACATGTGCTAATGAAGTCTAGATCTGGTCTATCGAGCCCGACCCGGTTCCCGAGAATTAAATGGTTTGCTGTTATTATGAAAATGAAAATGAATGCTGTGTTTGGTCTACTTGCTACATCTTGCGCTTCTTCTCGCCTTGCACGTCACCGTCGGCTGCCCTCTTGATACCTTTGCCCACTGCAGCCTGGGCTGCTGCTGGCTTTGCCTTCTTAACCACGACACCCTTCATCAGCGACTTGATGTCCTTCTTCGGGGCTTTGGGAGGAATTCGAGGCTTCACTGCTGATGTCGAGGGTTTCGCCGAGGAGGATGAGGAGGCGGGTGGAACAGAGGTCTGGGGCTCGGCAGCCGCCAAACTGGCCGCATTCTTCTTTGCCAGAGCTCTGAAACAGATTAGCCTTGTTAACTGGACTTGTCCACGCACTCTCTGTAAGCTTGCACTTCGACATTGTCCTCAGCCTTCTCCTTCTGCTCCTTGGTTCGCCTCTCCTTGATCTTGTCTGCCAAAAAGTTGAGCTCCTCGTTGTCTAGGCCACGGTACTGGTTCGACAGCTTCATTCGATTGTCCCACTCTTCTTGCTTCAGAATCTAGGAGGGAAAGAAAGGTTAGTCCGATGGATGCGTTGGCGCTGCAAACCAACCTCTTGCTCCTTCAGTCTCTGTGTTTGTTTAGCAATGGCACATGACATGTTTGCTCACCTCATACAGTGTACGACCATCATCTGGTTGCTCCTTCATCTGTGGGGGTGGCTCCTGTCCAATGCTGGCTGTGGTCAGCGACTGGCAACGCCTTACAAACGTGTCGACAAACCAACATACCGAGCGTACGCATCCTTCCATTCTTGCTCCCGTCGGTCGTTGGCCTCGTCAACGGCGGTTTGGGAGATGAAACGAGCGGCGATACTGCCTGTCGCAAGGGCTGATCCAGACGTCTCGATGTTTTCCATGGTGGCGGAGAGTGGGAGGCGGCCAGATGGAGAGCGAGATGACAATAGTGACGAGAAGACACAGCCGTGTTTGAAGGCATTCCATCCTCGGGCACTCAAGCACACCCGGTGGCCGGTGGCGAAGCGTCGAGGTGGGATAAAAGGTTCCGTCCCAGCTGATTGCGCGCGCCCCCCGCGGCAGTGATCACCTCCACTCGATCCACTCCCCAATGTTGGACGACTGTGCCCATGCACGCAACGCACACAACGTTGTTTTCAGGCATACTTCAAACACCACATACACTCCGCCTCCTCTTTGACCGCAATGTCGCGACGAATCGACCTCTCCTTGTTTAGAGGTGACGACTCTGACGAAGATGACGGCTCGACCCTCACAGTGAGCAAAAGAGTCTACCAACGCAAGATAGCTAACCATACCGAAGGCTGAGCTCAACCCTTTAAAGTCCAAAACGTTGTCTTACGGCGTTACGAAGAAGACCAAGCGAGATTTAGAGCTAGAGGCCGAGAGAAAGAAGAGGCAGGAGGAAGAAGAGTATGTCCTTCTACCGCTGTCGTACAGTGATGACTGACAGTGAAACAGAGCTACCAGGCTGGCCCTTGAGGAGTACTCGCAAGCGTTCTCCGGCCCAGGCCATCGAGCACCAGCGGGCAGTGGTGGATGGAAGTCACAATCTCGCGGGTTTGTTAGAGCCGGCGACAGTATGTGTTGTGTGGCTGCTACTTCATGCGCTGACCACTTTCAGCTGCCATATACAACCCCCCGCGCGGCTCAGCTGCACCAGCGCTGCAGGTACTTTCTTTTTATGGTCTGACCAGAAAACTTATCAACTAGGCTTCCACCACCTGGTCCGCTCCGGTGAGGTTACCTTCTCCACCACCTCCGCCAAAACCGAGGGGCAAGCGAGCAATGGACGCCTTCCTGGAGGAGATCAAAGGGTGGGTGCTCTTGATGTCTGGAATGCTGAACGTGAAGGAATCAAGAAGCACGGGAAGCACGGTTAAGCAAGGTGGCTCAGCGTTAGTCAGCATGACTGGTTTCAGGTGTTAACGCTTCGCCAGGCGAGGGGCTGTCCGTGTCTGCTCTGGCCGGTTAGTAACCACTGGTAAACACCGTCTGACAAGGCAGCGTATGAAGGAGCAGGAGGCAAACGTTCCAGTGAACAGGAGGTGAGGGAGACATTGCAGACGACGTCGAGCTGACCTTTGCAGACGACAAATCTTTTTGTGGTGAGAGTCGGTGCCTTTATGGGACTCACACGTGATACAGGTCAACTTGCCTTTCAGTGTCACAGAAGAAAGCCTAGGTAACCTTTTTGCAAAAATGGGCCCCGTTGGGACTGTGAAGATCATGTGGCGTGAGTAGTAAAGATTTCTTCATTGATTGTGACGCTCACTTTTACAGCTCGCCCAGGTGATGAGGAGTATGGCCCTCCAGGGTTCCGCCGTACAAAGACAGGCCTCACAGGCTTTGTCGCGTTCATGAAGCGGTCTGATGCGGAAAAGGCTCTTCGCGAGTATGACGGGTACGAGTTTGGTGGAAGCACACTGCGAGTGAGCTGGAGTAAACCAGTCTCAATTCCTCATAAAGCAGCTTTTGGTTAGTGAACTAATGCCAATCCTTCTGTCGCTGACAGAATTCAGAGCATTTTGCCGAACAGCTGCGGGCACACTCTCCGTCGCGTCGCCGAGCGAGGAGTCCCAATGCTCGGAGTACATCACCAGCAACCAAAAAGCGTCGCTCGGTGTCTCCAGATGGCCACCAACACTCACGAGTGCGCCAGTACTGGGTCGAGTCTGTACCTTCGAAACAGTCCCAGTTTCTGCAGGCCGTCGCTGAGCGCATCAAAAGCCATGGGGAGGGCTTCAAGTCGATGCTGATGCAACGGGAAATTGATAACCCCCAGTTCGCCTTCCTCTTCGACGATCAGGCAAGTACATCCACAATACGACACTGCTGACCGACTTTCTTAGCTGCCAGAATACCACGTCTTTCGACACTACCAGGATCCCCGATATCGCTTTCCAGCGGCTCCTGTCCAGGAGTTCGACGATGAGGTATGTCAGCTGCTGTTCAGCAGTGAATGTAAAATAACTCAAGTGTAGGGTTACGCATCCATCTATTCTTCCGACTCTGCAGAGGAGTTGGAGCAAGAGGACGAACTTAATACTGTGCTTGGCGCTCTTGCCCACCGTCGCTTCGGGGCCATCCTTCGAGGCATGAGCGGTAAACGTGTCGAGATTGCACGAGCCATGGAATTTGCAGTCAAGAGGGCGGAGGCCGCTGAAGAGGTAGGTTCGTTCGACATCAGATACGAACTCACACTTCCTCCAGGTAGTCGACATGGTCATCCAAAGCCTTTGTATCGACAGCACCCCAATCCCGCGCAAGATAGCCCGATTACATCTCATCTCTGACATTTTGCACAACTCTGTAAGTGCTGAGGTTGTCATATGGTGCGACGCTTACATCATCAGGCCTCGCCTCTGCCAAATGTTTGGAGGTACAGACAGGCGTTTGAGAAACGCCTTCCCGCAGTCTTCGCCCATTTTGCCGACGTTTACGACCGCTTGCTCGTATATTCTGGGACGATATCCGCTGATGTGTTCCGCCAACAAGTGGACGCCGTATTGGCTATCTGGGAGCGATGGTATGTGCAAGGAGTTGCTTCACAGAGGGCTGACAGTTGTTAGGATCGTGTTCACCGCGGATGTGCACGAGAGCTTAAAATCGCTCCTCCACGGCCTGATCACCCTGGAAACACTCAATAAGCCACTGGAGCCGGCGTTCATCGAAGAGCCAATCGTTCAGTCTACTTTCAGGTCCGCAGGCTTCAAGTCGTCATTCAAACGAGTCGGAGGATGCACTGAGTCCGTGTCTACAGCTCCTCCGTTCGTTCCGACCGCCTCACAACAAAACGACGGCGTCAATAGCGAGCCCGTTACAAATGCTGACGGCGAGCCAATGAGCGACGCCCAAGAGGCGGAGGAGGAAGAGGACCTGGACGGGGATGCGATGGACGATGATGGAGACGGAGAGGAGCTGGACGGCCATGACGTTGATGGGGAGGCCATGTAATTGTGTCACATAAATGCAAGAAATAAATGATGGTAATGCAACACGAGTCTATGCGGCGAGCTTCAGGTCCACAACACCGTTCCACATCTTCTCGTTGATCTTGACAGCCTTGTCAAGAGCCACGCGAAGCCGCTTGACTTCATCTTGCAGAGCAGCAGTGTCGACATGGTCTGCCGCCTGAGTGTGGCCAGTGGCATCGGCCACTAGCGTCTGCGTTCCCACGGTGTTGCGGAGCTTGGTAAGGAGTCGAGACTGTCCAGATGGCCTCAGAATGACACCAACTTCCTGGACATCCTTGGCAGCACGCCCGATGCGCATGCGTTCAAGGTTCTTGATGTCCATGACAGTCCAGTCCTCTGACCTGAACGGCCTGCCAACGAGGTCGGCGGGACTGGGCATAGTGGAAAGATGAGAGATTGGGCCGCCATGCGATGAAATGGTGCGCAGGTGCTGGTGAGAAGGAAGAGAGTGGACATGAATGTCACCTGCACGCGTTCCAACCAGTACGTCTGTTGCCGAGAGAGACAGAGCTAGACAAGTGATGGGTGACCTGACATGTAAGCCCATAGCCGAGGCAGTGTTCGTGTTCGACTGTACTCACTCCACACTAATGCAAGCCATTTCAGACTTGATGGCTGCCGAACCTAGTCCTTCTCCGCCAACAGCTTCCACTTGTCCAATTTGTGCCTTGCGCTTGAAAAGCGGGATGTGGTAGACGTTGCCGGCTGTTGAGCCGACGTACAGGAATCGCTCGGCGGGGTCGACCGCAAGCGCTGACGGAATAGTGCCAGGAGGAAGGACAAACGTCGCCAAAAGGTCAAACGGGGCATTCAGTGACCACATCTACGAGGTTATTATTGCTCCGCAATACATAGAAGCACGTACCTTGACAGTCCCATCCTCCGCCGCAGTCCAACACCTTCCACCACTACTCCCAGTTGTCTTGCCCAACGCCAGGGACGAAATGGCCAATGTGTGGTCGGTAAGGGACCCGTAAGGCTTACCGTAAGGCGTGGACGAGTCATCATCGAGAAGGCGAGCCACCATGAAGACGTGCACGGCCGCATCTGGCGACGATGACAGGAGAAGGGTCGAATCGCCGGTAAATGACAGAGAACTAACAGCGCGGTAATGGGCATTCCAAGAGGCAAGCATGAGACCAGAAGCAATCTAACAGTTAGATACGAACGCGTGGTGCACTGTTACTCACTTCCCACAGGTAAATCTGTCCATTTGGAGAACCTCCAGCAGCCCAAACACCGTTGGGTGAGATCGCGAGGCAAGACAGCTTTTCGGGCAGGTGGAGCTTCAGGTGTTGCTGATCCTGTTATTGTTAGAGATGCGTGTCCCTCTTCTACCTCTCACAAATCATACCTTTTGCCAGGCCCAGATTCCTACAATCGCCTTGCCTTCTTGAACAGCCCACACAGTTCCACCAACACCGTCATGGCTATATGTGAGGGCAAGCGAGTGCGCAGTGTTGCTCGAGGTCTTGAACGACTGAACGTGTGCCGAGGTAGTGAGGTCGTGCAGCTGAATGGCAGGAGCAGAGGAGCTAGCCTTGTTTGTAGACGATGACGATGCCTGTGCCGTCGAGCAGGCGGAGAGGATGAGCTCCTGTGGAACCATTGTGTATGTTGTGAAGATACAGAAATAATCGAACGGCGGCCTTGACATCAGCTCGCGACTTTTGAAGCAGTCACGTGACGAGTCCACCCGGCAAAGCCCCGATCCGTTCATTGCAACCATGAAACCCAAGTCCAGCATATATTGTAGCATCGTTTTTTGCTCGTCACTTCTCTAGCAGTGGGACGAGTTATGGACAGTGGGTACGATGTCATGCAGGTAACCCTTCTAGTCCGATAGCTTAAGCAAGCTTCTTGAAGAGCTTGGGAGCAGCGCAGGCCTGTCACGTCAGCATCACATTACGACCATCGGCTCTATCCCCTTGTGGTACTGACGTCGACGCAGTGCATCAGGTGGAACAGCTGTCACAGTCAGCATGCAGAGCACAATTTATGGGACGTACCTCCTCAACGCAGTCCTCACCGTGCCAGCCCTTGCCGGCCTCGACCTGTTTGGTTACATTAGTATTCGTCATTGGCGAGGCCAGGTGATGCCATACCTTCTCAGAGCAGTGCTGGAAGTGCTTGGCGGGCTCCTTGCACTCGTTCTTCTCACAGTCCTCGCGGATCTCAGGTGCTTGCTGAGACTTGTCAGCTAACCGCTGTGACTGGGGTCCAGGTCGGGTCCGCCCACGGCCGATGTGTCGGTTACGCCTTGACAACAAACAGGACACGGCAGTTCCATGCCAGAGGACAAACACATCTGGCCAAGCTGCCTCGGAACTCTAGGCCATGCAGGCATGGCCTGGACGCATGTGGCAGCGTGCGTCCCGCGTACACCAACAAGCCAGTGTCCGGTTGACCGGTTGACCGGTTGACTCCGACAACAGGAATGTCAACACTCACGTCCTCGGGCTCGTCGTCCTCGTCATCCTCCTGAGCCTCCTCAACCTCCTTGAGCTCCTCCTCGGCCTCAGGGGTCGCCTCCTCGGCAACCTCCTCTGGGGCAAGGTCCTCCTTGGGCTCCTCCTCGGTCTCCTCGGCGTGAGCCCTGTGAGATGGCAGATGTCAGCTTGTTGAATTGTTGAGGGAGGCTCGGCGTGGCGACATACGTAGGGACGAAGAATGAGGTGAGAGCGGAGAAGAACGACGTGGACTCCTCGATGGCCATGGTGACTGGAGATTTCTGGGGGAGAGTGGTGGTGGAGTGAGCGAGGGTGGTGGTGGTGAGGGGTCGATGTAGGTCGACTTTGTGCTGCTTCACGGCCACTGGCATTGGCTCGGACGCTGGCCCGCCCACGGAGCGTCTCGGGGCTGGGCCAGCTGGGCGCGGGGCGGAGAATTCGGCATTTAGCCGCTTTGTGGTCCGTGGCACGCCCTCCATGGTGCAAGTCTGTGGATGCATGCTTTGGGGTGGCAAGGCTGCCATGCATGCATGTGGTCAACCAGGCGAGCACAGTCGCGTCCTGTAGACAAGCGGTGTCGGTGTTGCTTGGAAGAAATTCCTGGTACTGGAGAGATTCGCGGCGTCCTGTCCGGACAGCTCAGTCAGATTCAGTGTGCATCACACGAAAGCATCTGTTGGTGCTTGTGTCCGGCCATCTCCTGACATAGCGCCATGTCCTGACCTCATCTCCTTTGTTATCTACCCTCCATCCTTGACGTTGCGCGCAGACCCCCTCGCTTGCTCAACTTCCCCCGTACAACCATTGTAATCTATAGTTGCCGCGCTATGCAGATGCAGTGGCCTCTCCAGCGCATCTGGTGATTGCGGAAAAGCCAGTCGATTCGTAGTGTGCAAAGCCGCAACTGGGTGTGCTCTGTTCAATATGTCTCCAGCCATGGTTGCGACTCCAGCTTTGCATTCAACTCGATGATGCGGAACGTTCAGAAAGCGACCACTCGTTGTTCAAAAGTGAGGTGCCACCTGACGACAGGCTCGATCGACGGACCTCCGTTGGCGCGCTGGACGTCGGCATTTACTTGATGCTAGCAAACATCGCGGTCAATCACATTGAAAACACAACTGCTCCATCCACCATGTCGGCTGTCGTTCCCTCAGACGTTAGCTCGCCGTCCAACCCAACCCTCTACGCGGTCGCAGACTGTAAGACTTAACGCTGGAAGAAGTCGCTGATCGTCAGTCTGTCTCATTCCCATGGGTCTCCCTACTCCCTCCGTCGGTCCCCAGATTGCCGAGTGCCAGCGCGTGCTTGAGCGCAGTGGTCTAGAATACAAGGTAAGCACACCAATGCCAAAACCACTCTAACATCTTGTAGCTTCAGTACGTTAACCGTCGCCCATTGCTTGAAGTGATGGAACTGACTGATGGACAGCGGCTATGGCACCAACATTGAAGGCCCGTGGGACGAGGTCATGAAGGTACAGACTGCGTTGGTTGTTGTTTGGGGGGGAAGACTGACTTAAACAGGCCATTGGGGAATGTCATCAGGCTGTGCACCAGATGGGAACGCCGCGCATCGCTGTGAGTACATGAAACAAACGCCAGAGCTGACACTATGTTCAGACCGACATCCGTATCGGAACCCGCACCGACCGCGACATCAAGTCCGGCGGAAACGACGGCAAGGTGAAGCGGGTGGAGGAGATTCTGACGACGAGTGCCTAGCGGTGACTACGCTGAGCAAAGTGACATGACATGCGGTGCTTCTCATGTTCCTTGTGTCCTTGTTTTCACGGCAATGTGTATACGTGTATGTATGCATGCGGCTACTGCTGCTGTGTGGTCTGTGGGTATGCGCGATGAAGTATGGATGCCTGCCGATATCAACAAAGTCAGTCCTAGTGGAACGTCATGAACGTAGATGGGCATGCCCGCTTAACACACGTCATTCGTGAACCACCCCTGGCTGTCTCTGCATGCCGGGCAATCCGGGGTGCGGTGCCGCGGATTGTGGGGGGCTGTGCGCTGCGCTGTGCGTGTCCTTGTTGTGTCCTTTTAAACACGTTGCGCGTCCCCCCAAACACACCCACATCTATCTTTTTGTTTTTCGCTCTCATCCTCTCTCACCATGGCGCCCGCCACTTCAGAGCTTCTCTTCCCCCGCGAGATTATCCCTGTGTCCATCCAGCAGCGTCTGGGCCCCGATCTCGAGGTATGTCCCGTTTTCGGCAAAAACGCCGATGGTGCTCTGACCAGTTTCACAGATAAGGCCTCTAGCTTCGTCGGACCACTCGCGCGGTCACTTTGAGCTCCTCTCGGTCTTGTCCCAGGCTCCAGCCCTTACCAAGGAGCACTATGAAGGTAAGCCGGCACAGGACACATTCTCGACTAACAGCTGTAGCCCAGTTCGCGTCCATGAAGGCGTGCCTGAACACCTACTATACGGTTGTGTTTGTGAACAAGGCGACTGACCAGGTGAGCGACGCACAGTTTTCGCATTTGCGTGAAGCTGACGGACCATAGCTCGTGGCTGTGGGAAGCATTTTTGTCGAGCGCAAGTTCCTGCGCGGCGGTGGTATTGTCGGTCACATCGAGGACATTGCTGTTTCCAAGTCTATGCAGGGCCGCAAGCTCGGTCTCCACCTCATCAACGCGCTCGAGGAGATTGGCCGCAACACTGGTTGCTATAAGATCATTTTGGATTGCAGCAAGGAGAACATCCGTGCGTCCTTACTGTCAGTACGGTGTGCTGACTTTGAACAGCCTTTTACGAGAAGTGTGGCTTCACGCACAAGGAGTATGAGATGGTCATGTACCTCAACCAGCCACTCAAGTCGCGCATGTAGACGGCACGCCGGTGGACAGTGGTTGCCGCGCGCAACCCAAGCATGTTGTAGTAGATACATCAATAAATCATTCATTATCTGTCCTGACCTTCATGAGTCCCTCCAACGTGATTGGCCACAAACTCCTCGATACGATCAATATATGACTGGCTCAGTCCGTGTTGTTGACCAAAGGCGATGGCTGCCTCATGTGGGTCCTCTAGAGTTGTCAGCGGGATGCAAATCGCGCCACCCACGATCGCTTTGAAAGACGAGTGGAACTGTGGGCTGGTCGTCGCTGTAGAACTGTCAGCTCAATGTCAATGGCGCGCGAACATGCACGCACGCCAAATCAATGTTAATGACGAGCCGCTGCACCTGACTGGGAGTGACATCTGTCTTTGGGTTGTCGACCGGTTGAGAAACGTCTTGTGCTCCATTCGTTATGTTTGACTCGGTCGGCTGAGGGCCTGTTTCGTCTTGCAACGACGACTCGGCACTATAATCCCAAACTCGCACAACACCGTCTGATCCACCCGTGACCACAAGACCGTCCAAAAAGCTGGTAACGGTCCACACAGTTGTGCAAGGGTGTTTCAATACCCTCTCCTGTTGCCCTTGTCGATTCCATACACGCTACAGGATATCAGTTAGATTCCGATGCCACGGTCACTAACCAGAGTGTGATCCTCTCCACATGAGAATAGATGTCCAGTAGGGCTGTAGCGGACTTGATAAACGTAGTCGGAGTGGCCTTCGAGCGTAGCCAAAATGTTGCCACTCATGTCCCAAATGCGAATAATACTTTAAGAGTAAGCGGCCATGTCCATAATGCAGGCTCATCAAAACGTACCCGTCATTGCAAGCACTTGCGAACTCATCTCCACCAGGGAGCATCGCCAGGCTTCGGACTGGCTCGGGAGAGCCCTTGAATCTCTGAAGCTGCTCTCCAGTCGCGCTCCACAGGCGGATCGTGTTGTCGGCTGAAGAAAGATGGAGATAAGTTCTGCAACACCTGTCGACGTTCGATACATCCCGTCACTTACCAGAGCCTGCCATGCGTCAGCGCCAGCGTCTCACTCACTGGTGTAGTCCGTCATACCTGTAAGATACGATCCATAATATCGACCGTCGTCTACAGCTTGCACGTCCCACACCGCTTGTTCGTGACCCTCCAAGACGGCATCGCAGGCCCAACCGTCTTGTGTCTGGGACCAAACTCGAGCCGAACAGTCCCAGCTTCCGCTGAGGAGCTTGCCCAGCTTTGGGTTGAATGCCAGTGCGCAGACATTCAGGGCGTGACCGATAAGACAGTGTTGAGCATCGGGCGCCAGAGTATCCAAGGAATGCAAAAGGATAAGAGACGAGTTTCCACCCGATACCAGCAGTCCTACATCCTCATCCTTGCCTGGAATGTGAGCCAACGAGTTGACGTATGCGTCATGACCGCCCAACAGCGCCTGCAGCTGCAATGGCTGACGAGGATCGTTCGTTTCTTCTGAGCTTTGCCGCTTCCATACAGCGACAGTCGAGTCTCTTGAAGCAGAAGCCAAGAGGTCGCTACCTATAGCGAGAACTGCCTTGACATCTGACGAGTGTGGTGGTTGGAGGTTGCTGAGCAGGTGGTATGGCGGATGACGCATGTTGTACTGTTGGAAGACTGATACAATGACACAGGATGATCTAGTTGCCGGGATCCCGGGATTCCGGTAACAGTTTATCCGAGTCCCACCGTCATACCTTACCACCATCACACCGCGTGCTGCTTGCTACGCGCATTTGCCCACTTTACCATCCCGCACAGCTCACTCACTTGCTTTCCCTTCTTCTCAAACCTCGACACTACCGTTCCTCGTCTTTGTCGTCAATTTGCCCATACTTATACAATGCTCGTGGTTCGCGCTCTTCGCACCGGAGTGCATGGCCGCAGGCTCTGCCCAACCGCCCTTAACCTGTCGTCCTCATTCCGCCATCGTTCGTCCCCCTCATGGTCACCGACTCTTCCCTCCGGCTCCCCTATCATTCATACGCGGCCCATTCATAATTACCATGTTCGTCATGCTCAGCATCAGGAGCCCCCAATCCAAGCAGCCCAGGTGGGTTGCGCTGTCGTACCTTCCAAGACAGAGCCCAAGATTGTTATTCAGTGGGAGGACGGCCGCTCGTCGACATTGTTCGTAACGCTTTAAGATAAATACCTTGATTCGATCAACTAACGTGGATAGTGACAACCAGTTTCTCTTCGATCACTGTCGCTGCTCGGCATGCTTCCACGGCAAGACCAGGCAACGCCTGCGGACACTCGCGAATGTGAGAACTTAGTCCCTTGACTCTCACTGATCTGTTGCATAGGTCCCTAGCAATGTTTCTGTGGCCAGTGCTCAAATCTCAAATGGCAAGCTTCACGTGGTGTGGCAGACAACTCCAGTTCACGAATCGAGCTTCCCTCTCGCCTTTCTGCGGCAGGCGTCGTATGACCCTCCTCTCGCAACCAGAGGGGAACTCCTTGACCAGTCACCGTACGTCGCTCTGGGCCGTCTGAGGCTCTCTGTAATAACATGACAGACTTCACACATGGGGATCAGAGATTGCTCAGAACCCTCCTACTGTCACATACGAATCCGTTATTCCTGCGAAGACAGGTGGAGAGGCAGAGAAAGGGGTTCTCAGCTGGCTCGACAAAGTGGTGCGTGGATTGTGCTATGCGAGTTATCTGCTAACATAACCGCAGCACGAGTACGGATTCTGCTTTGTTACAGGTGTACCAACCACCACCGAGGCCACAGAGGAGTTGATCCGCCGTATGGGGCATATACGCGAAACTCACTGTGAGGAGCCCCTTGTTTTTTTTTTTTTTTCATTCTTGACTGACTGGCCCCCAGATGGCGGCTTCTGGGACTTCACAGCCGACATGTCGAAGGGCGACTTGGCTTACAGCAACCAAGGCCTCCCCGCGCACACCGATACTGCATACTTTACCGACCCGGCAGGTCTGCAGATCTTCCACTGTCTTCACCATCCCATCCCCCCCGGAACCGGCGGAGAGACACTGCTCGTTGACGCATTCTTTGTGGCAGAGCAGCTGTCCGAAAACTATCCCGAGGCGTTCGCCACCCTTTCCCGCCTTGCGGTGCCCTTCCATGCATCGGGCAATGAAGGAACTCTGCTCCGTCCCCCTATCAGCCAGCCAGTCTTCCGTCACGACCACCTGGGTCGCCTCTATCAGGCTCGGTGGAATAACGAGGACAGGTGTGTCTTAGGGGAAGGCTGGACACCAGACGAGGTGCGCCAGTGGTACACTGCCGCTCGTCTGTTTGAGCAAGTCGCCACCAGCAAAGAGGCCGAATACTGGGTCAAGCTGACTCCCGGAACTGTTGTCGGTGAGTTCTTCAGAATTTCAAACCAATTACAATTCTGACTAGCAGTTATCGACAACTGGCGAGTCATGCATGGGCGCGCAGCGTTTACAGGACAGCGTAGGATGTGTGGAGCATATGTCGGAGCCGATGACTGGAAGTCCAGGCGCCGATCTCTAACGAACCAATTCAAGGCTGGGCCCGAGGACAGTTGGTCAATGGGCTGGTAAAATACATACCATATGGAATGAAATGCAATGCAGTTATGCGACCTTCGTATATTCAATGGAAAGCGGGACTGGCCGCTGATCGCTGAAGCGAACCAGCCCGGTACTGCTGATGGTGATATGTATGTGTAGCCACTAACTGACTGCACACATGTGTATTTATGCCCCACTGCTGTCTGAACATGACCACAATGGACAGTGTTGCATGCATCTATATAATCTACTTTACGCCACACGTGGGTGTACGGAAGAAACCAAAGACTTCCTGCCACGACAATATTGAGACCATTAAGAAATGTGCAATTAATTCGGTTACACGTGTGACTGATGAGGCTCCTCTTCAATGTCCTTCCCCTGCGTGGTTACCTAGCAGACTGTCGTGAGCAACAAAACAGTCGACGTATGTAGCAGAGTCGTGGAAATTCGCGTTGCATCGGTCGCGTTACTTGCTTTCCTATGTGCAGCTGTCAAAAACTGCGATAGGGGGTCTGCCCGATACCCTATGTGCCTATGCATGGTATCCGCGGTACTCTGGGTGGATGTTCAGCTTCAGAACTATGTCTTGCACAATTGCTGCGGGGCGGTAACGTGGTAACTGTATGGCAGTTGCGCCCGAGGAAACAATGTCTCGTTAGTTAGCAATATTGGAACTCCCCCACAATAGCCGACGAGTCTTGCACACATGGTCCAGTGCTTTGAAGACGTGTGGCATGAGGACATACACCGCCCCCACGCCGAGGGCATGCCATATCCATACAGGACTGGCTGTTTTGACAACTCACAGACCTTCCCGGATCTTCGACCCCTCACCATTACAGGACTATGTACATAGTAGCATAGCCGGACAGTTCATTACAGATCAATCTGATATTAACAAGATGTCAGTGACCCAAAAACCAGTTACTCGAGGCAATTCAAAAGGTCCATCCTTCCCAATAAAAAGTTACATCAGTTATGTGCCTTTATCTCAGAGATCAGAGAGGACGATATTTCAGCAGTCGAGATGTAACCGAGAAATGGAACCTGCATTCTCGGTGATGCTGCCACCTAGGTTTGTCCCATACGCTGCGACAGTTAGTTCCCGACAGCCAGGTCGCATGCATTCTCTAGTTTTGAACGGTTTCCCGCAATGTCGGAAATATGCAGCTCAGCTCCGCTGATGCGCTGCATGACGAATATGCCTGCATGGCAGCGAAGTGCCACAGTTTCTTGGAGGCCTAGTCAAGTCCCAGGGCTGCAGCTATGCTCTTTCCAGTGGAGTTGACGACAGCATCAATCCATCGACAAATCTTGTCCCACATATGCAGGCAGTGGTCAGGGCACCAGCCCGCCAGCGATCCACCGAGTAGATGTACGTGGATGGATCGATAAACCCAGGAAATATGAAAGGGCGCAATCACTATTTATGTACCGGGCAAGGATGGGTAGAGAGGGACGCGCACTCGCTGTAAGACGACCCTCATACAACTGCCCAGCCATAGTCCACTGCACACTATGCCTGTATTGTGTGGCATTTTGCTTCTATGGATTCCAGGCGCCAAGTTTGACGCAACATAGGCTTGTTGGTAGGGGTTGGAATAGCTGAACTAGTCGTTGGCGAGCGGCGTCGTGTCCCGCGGGGTTCATGCTCAGGTCGATACACGGCGGCGCCATTGTATGTCACGGTGAACATCGTTCAGTCGGTGAGCCCGTTCATCGCCATAGATAGAACACTAACCAAACTTGCCCTTGTATCGCCACCATACAACTCTGCGTGAGCCACATCCCAGCGCCGAGACGGCCTGAGGCACTACATTTTAAGAGGAGTGTCATGGACAGAGGTGGTTACACTTTGCTGCAAGACTCTATAACCTCCAGAGTGGTTGCGACATTTCCTCAACATCACAGGTCCCCTACACTACCCATGTATCTCTGTACATGTGGAAAGTGTTCTCATTCTGCCGCCGTCATATTTCACCCTCAGTGAGCATTTACCACAGAGAGCCAAAAGCATCCTGTGGCTTCTATCTCAGTCGTCAATGGCTCACACTTGTACTGTCTGCATGTGTATTGTTGTTAGTACTTACTTATAGCAAGCAAGTACGTATTGTACCAAACGTCGGTAAGCCTTACGCTTATGTTGTGATTACTTCAACTGATTGTACTGTAAATGTTTATGTACCCTGCCTGCAGTTGCCAGAATTTGGACAATGGGACGTGGGTGTGGAGGGCTGCGGACATCCTCCCAAAGGTCCTCGCATCTCAGAAGCTTCAATGCATTTGCTTGCGGAGTACTTTGCATGGAGCGATGGGTCGGTGGTCTGTTGAATAGAGCCCTAACAGCCGTCTGATTGAGCATTATTTTGCTTCCTCGACAGTTACGTTCTGCAGAGGTGACTAACGATTCTCTTATCCCTCTATGTACCATTCTGATTGCCGCCCCTCAGTACACTGTACCCTTTATTGCTGATGTGGATACAGCGATTAATTAATATGTATGGAATCCCGAAGCGACGGCCAGTCGATCAAATTCCACATCAAAACTCACCATTTTGTAACAATTTGGCGCAGACCGCTTTCTGACACATGGCACGTGTTTACCAGACGTCCAGACGTCCAGTAATAGTTTAGTTTCCCGCTTCCTTTACCCCGTAATTGTATGTCCCTCTGGAAGGCGGTTGCAGTGTCCAGTCCGATTTTACAATCTTTTCAACATCTGTGAAAATCGCATGGTAGGGCTTTCAGAGAACGTCTTGTTTTTGTAAAAAAAACAAAAACAAAATGAGTTTATATCATTACTTCTTTACGGTACGAAGTGCATACCGGAATGGAAAAACAGGTCGCCTCTTAGGTCAGTACTTTTCCGCATACAGGCAGGCCTTTGGGAACGCCTGCTCTCCAGTGTGTATGTATAGACTTTGGAGAAGAGAATCAAGAAATAATTAATTGGCTCCACCCGAGCATTGTTATTCCGACTACAGGAGGCGACAAACGTTGGTCAGTTTGAAAGGTGCTTTTAACCGAAGATAATTCAAAAAAAAGAAAAACTGGAGACGAATGTTTAACATTGGTTGGACTTGGAGCCTTCATACTGTTTCGAGCCGAAATTTTATCCAGCAAGGCCACACGAATTGAACTCTGGATGTCGAAAAGCATTAACAAGATTTGTAGCTGCTACAACAGGATTATTACAAAATGATATGAAACGAGGCTAGCCTCAGAGATCAGAGCTATTGAGACCTCAAAGAATGGGAAGGCCATTGGAAGTACAGTAGAACACTTACATCTGTCAAAGGCTGTTGAAATTGGTTTGATCCTCGGTGGCTAACAAGGCTTTCAGACACTGTACTACCAGTACTACTGGGATATTGAGGTCCGTATTCTCACAGCCCTTTGTGGTGAATGGCTTAATCACAGTTTCTAACTAAGGCTTTGATAGTTTCCGCTACTTCACCCCGACATATTCGCATGTCAAGGTTTGTTCCTAACCAAATATACCATTCGATGTTTCACGATCAAATGGTTGTACAGTACAGTACTGTACGTACATTATCAGTGAACGTATGTGCGGTTCATTGGTGTGTTAGGAAAATTGACTGACACCCTTATTTGGACTGTTAAAGGAAACGTCTCAATTGACCTATCACCGATCACCGACAGGTCATTTGTTTGATCTTCGCAAGTCTGACGCATTGTCCACAATATTTGGCTGGATCGTTGATCCTTCACGACTTGGTGAAATATTTGGCAGTGCTTTGTGGGTATTATGCGAAAGACTCCCGGCAAGGGTATGTCCTGCGTCGTATCCTTAGTCAAAGTTTCTTGAAGTTTGTTCCAGAGTGTAGGCACCTGTACCGTTCCGTATGCACATTGGGTATTGTGGTACAGTCAAACCTGCATTTGTTTTTGAAACTGGGTTCTGGATTGCCACCGTGTGTCTGTCTAGAATGGCGCATAGAGCGATAAGATGAACGAACACTAGACACGTCTACAGAGTATGTCACTATAGATGGAAGCAAAATAAAATAAGAGGCCCAATTAAAGTGGCTGTGTCTCACTGAGGCGCGCCACAATTGCCAGATTCTGACAGTGTCCGTCTTACTTGACGTGCACAATAGCCCTGTCAACGATCGATTTGGTGGTATATACTATTGCGGCGGTACTTACTCTCAAGGAAGGCCTGACGGAGTAATCCGTTCAACAGGGCTTGCGTCCTTCATCCATCTTCGAACACGAGAAGACAAAGACCAAGGAGACCAAGACCATGGGGACATCCCCTCAAGCCATCGGGGCCATACCCAACTCTGCCCATTATGTGGCAGTCCCAAGATCCGAGTGCGCTATGAGCAGGGTGTGGTACGTGCTTGTTGTTTTCCTACACGACCCACGGCTATCTAAGTGGAATCGGTAACCACTAGCCACTGGGTGCTGCACTTCTACGCCAAACGCTCATTCATTTAAGCTTTTTGGTCTTGTAACGCAAGGCAAGACATCCATATGTGCCCAGAACATTACAGTACTTCTCATTTATAGATATTGGCTGAGTCATCTCGAGTTGGCAGGGCTTTTGGCTTAGGGATGCGTGGCGATTCGAGTTTGTGGTCACCTGCAGTGGTAGTCTTGTTTGAACATATGAACTCATGCAGCACTCCAACATACAGTATTTAGCATGTCCTTTTGGCCTGCATTCTGATCTACTGGCCATTGAGTGTGTAATTAATTACCACCATGCCTCCGTTTGTTTAAGTTCGCCCCTCGGCGTGGTCTCTCATATATATGACTTGCTGCTCTGTGAATCCTAAGTGAAATGCATGATTGCTGCTCTATGAATGCTGTGATCGCTGTGAGAAACGCAGAATGTGCTCGGCCGTTTATTCAGCCTGTCGTGTAATTGCAATCGCACTGTTTCTGATCAGGTCGGACCACTCCGTTATTACAGTGACCCTCATTCGCTAACTCATCCAGCTTTATGTATTGATTGACAAGGGTTATATTCTGTCATCAAATATCTGAGGCCCTTATGGCCATTCCGGCTGGGCCCCAACAGCACATCCTGCGATTTGGTCGTGAGGTGAGTATTTTGAAGATGGTAGCGTATAACGGAAATCTGGATATCAAAACATTACGGGTGCATCACCACAGCCTCGGCACCACCCCAGCACAGCCCCACAGTCAAACCAGGGTTTCAAGGCCACAAGTCTAAGAGTTAGTGATGGCGATATCCCGCTTGAATGCGGAAGAGAAATGCTCAATGAATAATCATTTATCGAAAATGTTCGACCAAAGACCAACTTGACTCGGGCAATACCTGTGGGGTGAGCATTGCAGGGCATACAGATAAAGACATTCTCTGATTAGAATGCCCACTGAGTAAAATGGGGAGCTGGTGTGCGCGAAGAAAATATAATCAATGAGCACAGTCCTTCTTGAAGCAGGATATCACCCATGTCGGTGTGCCGGATACTACATATGGATAACAGAGGACATGGCCAGAGGAAGTTGGAAGCTTCCACAGTACCACAGTACTGTCATGGAGTTGATAAATTCCGTTGGTGGCCATAGCCTTGCTGTGGGCATGTATTCAATTCCGCTTCCGTATACCCTTACAATTTGCACCGCTTCACAGTGATTCTGCATATATAGTGCTTGCACGCATTTCCCGAAGAAGTGGGTTGTTGATCGCAGCTGTCACAGCTAGCCATCCCGGTTTGTCAAAAATAGTTCAGCAAGGCGCCACCAAATACACACATATAGAAGGCACCGCAGAGAGGAATCATGGTGCAACTACTCCCCTTGGGACATGTTCAGAAATTGCGTAAGACTTTCCTAAACATGGTCAGGAACTACTGAGGTCGCTCTCAATATAAGTAAGTACAGTCCGACTATGTGAGCGTCATTGGGCACGCCTGATGGGTTTAAATGAGAGCGTATGTCTCGGCGGTGGGAGCCAAACCGGCCTCGATGATAGGGGCACGGTGCATGCCGGCCTGCTCGAGGTGGCCAAGGTAGCAGCGAGCAGCGATCATGGCGTCCTCGACGGCACACCAACCGCGGGCTTGTCCTTCACGAATTAAACTTCTTAATGGTCTGGGAATCCATTCCATTGACGCCCACATCTCGTTCATTTTGAGCATGGGCATCTGGGCTGTCTTCGACATTTACAGCACAGTAGGTGTCATGGATGGTACATAGGGAGGGATAAGAGAAAGGTTAGTCAGTACAATTGCAGTATTCCTCGAATAGGAGGAGTTCCACTATTGGGGTCTGATTCCCCACAATTGTCAGAGCGTATTCGACTGATGTGCATCCAATTGACATTAATTGTGAACACCTCAAGATTGTGAACCATATTCTTGAAGAAGTGTAGGTGAAAGTGTAAAATATCGCAGCAAGTAAGCATGCAGGGATCAATGGCTACCAATTGAATTGACATGACCCAGGTCTAAAGAAGGGGAGGGTGATCCACCTTGAGTTTGGCCTGTAGGGACGTCCACATTTGTCATGCACGCATGATGAACGCTGAAACGTTTTGACATGCGTGATATTTTGTCTTGCTGCATGGGGCAGGCACACAATATCAGTTATGTTGCCAGTGAGTGTGCTAAACGAGTGAGCCAGTAATGAAAGGCAGGAAGTACCGAGTCAGCTTTCGCTGAATTTGCAATCTGTTAAAGGATTGCCCTGCCTGTGTATTTTGTTTTACTTTTGCCCAGGCTTGCAGCAAGCTGTAAGGCATGGATGTCACGTAGATCACTTGTTGCCCTTAAAAATCAACTCAGAAGAACGGTATTGTCAAATAAAAGAAGAACGAAAATGAAAAACACGAAACAAGGGCGTTTGAGGGGGAACAGCGTTTGAGGGGGAACAGAGCCTTCATTGTAAACTGCCGTTCCAGTTGTGCCTTGCTGGGCGGAAAGTAGAGGTGGGCCATGTTGCACAGTAATAAGGATTTTCCCCGTAACATGAGGTCCAACAGCAAGGCAGACTGAAGGCAGGTTATTCCGCCGTCCCTGTCGCAAGGACAGTCACCAGGACGGGAAGTGGGGCTTATGGTCGCGAAATTTCACTAGGAATCCTTTAGGGTCATGCACGCCATTTAAAAGTTTCGGTAGCCTTCAGAACCTTTCCAAAGGTGTTGCAAACCTGGCCGGTCGCATTTCGCCAGATGCATTCTTCAGTGAACTGCCCAGACAGAGTTCACCAAAAAGTTGTTGGGCCTCACTCAAGACAAGGTTGAATTTGAACAGGGTCAATCATAGTCTAATTGGACAAGTTGAGACGGAGTTGCATGGCCGGTTCCCTTGCCAGTTGGTTGGTTCCTCCTGGGGACTGTCCTGTAGAGCTGGCTGCCGTTTCTCTCGTAAATATCATAATGTGCCCGGCTCAGCAGTAGCCATAGAAGTAGTCAGTCTTCCACACCATCCATAAAAGCTGACATTGGGCACTAACGACATCCTTGCAATATCCTTGCCTCCCTAAAGCGTGAGCTTTTCTGAAAGCGACGAATTCGGACGAGGACTAGCTTACTTACGTATGGCTGTCCGTGCACCCGTGCGGGCAAATTAATAGCAATGGGCCCCAGTTGGACCAGTGAGTCAGAACTGGACGCCACCTTTAGAGATTCCATATGCCATACTGCCCAGTCACTTTCTGTCAAAGGTGTCAGTCACTCCCTCGAAGCGCTGTCATGATGAATCCTGCCAGATCTCATTCGGGGCGAATTTTCCATTGCAAGCCCCAACATTTCGAAAGTCTCCAAGAGGGTTTCACGGAGTCGAATCCGATGTCACAACCTTCGGTGGGGCCAGTTATAATTTCAAGAGAAACAGCCCTTACCAATAGAAATGGCTCTTAGTAGTGACAGTGCCTTGCAGCGTTTTCGAAGGGCCAGGTGGTCCGTCAGGCCAAGGCAGAGACAGCACTTCCTTAGTAATTAGTGGAGAAAAGGTACAAGAAAATGATAAAGAGATACAGATATGTACTGTACCGTCGTGTGGTCAAAATGACGCAAAAAGGGCGTTCGCTCTTGTGGTGCACTGATAGGCACTTTACTGACCTACTGGATTCAGAAGGTCGCAACCTTTGATTATGATATGGTCAGCCGACGAAACGTAAGAGCGAAATACTGACCGAACCCAAGGCTACGCACTCCGTGTCCCATCGCCTTACGCACCTCCCGCCCGGACCCAACTTACGGCCTGTGGCGAACCAAGCGCTATTAACTACACACATGCCCGACACATTGCAGCATCCTAAATTGAGATACCAGTCATGCACTCATAGGTGAAAATCAAATTAAGTGTGTTGACGTTTCTGCCAATAAGGAAATTGCAGGACCCTCTAACGAAGCAAGAGTGCAAGTGAGTGTCAAGAATGGTGCATAGAGCGATGAGACGAACAGAAAACACGTCTACAGAGGTGTCTCACTATAGATGGAAGCAAAATAAAATAGGAGGCCCAATTGAATTGGCTGTGTCTTAGGGCGTCATGATCGCCAGATTCTGACAGTGGGCGTAAATTTACTTTGACAGAAACATTATTCTGCGACCAAGTAAAATGAAGTTACTACTCCTCAGCCATTGAATGAATAGCTGAATACCTCAGACACACATAATTCTGCTGTTACCCCCCGACGCCATGTGACAGTGCAGTGCAAGGCGGAAGGCAAAGCTGAACTAGGCGGACAGAAGCATGTGTCACAGGAGTTACAATTTACAGCCCCCGCACTTCGTCTGTTCAGCATAAAATGTCGGGCCCCTCGGTTACTCAAGCTACGATCCCTATGAAGGAAGTTGCTTACAAGGTGTCATTTCCGTCTTTTCTGGATCAAATCTCCCGAAGCTTAGTTACTTCCTGTTTGACCACGGTTACTGCAACATGCATGACCCACGGAGCAGGGATTAAAATTGCTCGTATCCTCAACTGTGTCACCCACCTGTTGGGAAACAATACATCTGTGTCTCTACTGGCTGTCGAAAAAAAAAAACAAAGGTCCAATCTGTTAGCTGCCGTTAGGCCGCGAGCCCATTAGGAAGTGTACTAAAATGTCTTGCTGACACTGGACCTTCCAGCTTGCTCGACGGTCAGTGTCTGCTCTGAATGCAGCACCGGTTCTGACCAACAGGGGAGATGCAACGCATCTCCCAACGGGTAGTCAGTCCGTATACTGACTGGTCTCAGCCACATTATCGGTGAAACTATAAAGCCCATCATTATGTTGCGTTGGTCACATCATCGGGCAGCAACAGCACCATCACATGTCGCAACATAAAGGCTTTGCAATAGAAAATCACAAGTGAGTGCACGGGAGAAGGGTCGCACAACCCAAACGGTCATCGAGATGAACTTATCCCCAACCGGCTTTCAAAGCCTAAAATCGAGGCGGCAATATACATGACCAATGACCTATGGTCGGATCGAAGCACAGAAAATTAAGTTGCCGCTGCCGGAACTGGGTCTTGGCGCAGTGGCAGTTATTGTCTGATGCAATGACGGTTTATCTCATAAAAACTCAATCCCGACCAGCATGCCACCGAACCCCCAAACCCCCCTATGTTGACTACGCTGACAGATCCCTCGCCGCCAGTGTTTTGAAGGCTATGTCATCACGAACCGACGAGTGGGGATTCCCAATTCCCTTCGCTGTTCAATGGCTCTGACCTATCCCTTGATAATCCTCATCAACTATGCTCCTGAGTCGCCTTGGTTCCTCTCCCAAAAGGGCTGTGTTGAGGAGGCTACATCGGTTATTATCAGAATTCAGAAGAAGGGCTCCAAGGTTGACGACCTCCAAGACACTATTGCCATGATGATCCGAACGGACGGCCACGAGAAGATGGTTTCGGCCGGCACCACCTACTGGGACTGCTTCAAGGGCTCCTACCTGCGCTGAACTGAAATTGCATGTGTCGCAGACCTTTGACCAGCAGGCAGACCTCGTATTTGTCCCTGTTGCTTGCACGAACTACTCTTCCACATGCAATGGTGAGCTGCTTGATTGAGCTATGATGACCAATGACGGCACCTACAGTACATACGGAGGACGCGAAGGCCTCCGCATCAAATCGTCCTCCATGCTCTCCCGCAGGAGAGAGAGGTCGACTGAGGATGCAGGCAAGTCTGGAATAGTAACAAGGCACATGTGGGGTTCTCGAAGTGGAACACGAGTAGAAATGTGCTGTACCCGAGAGACTGACCGACCGCTGCCACGTCTGGGCAACGCGGAAAAGAGTTGTAAAAATTAGTGCCAGGGTTAGTCTGGCGCTCAACCCAACTGTAAGGCCATTAAGAAACCCGTGCACACCGTCAAAGAGGATCTGCCGCAGATCGCTTACGCAACTGCTTCGTTGTCGAAGTATGCGAAAACGGATGTGCTCAAACTATTTGCATGCCATCAACGATCACATTAAAACGCCAGCGTCATTGTTCCCGGGAGTCCCGCCAGGCATCTATCTCTCCTACTCGCCGTCGCAAAAAAGGGTCCAAACAGTTAGCAACCGTTAGGCCGCGAGCCCAGTAGGAAGTGTAATAATGCTGACACTGGTCATCACATCACCTGCCAGCTTGCTCGACGGTCAGTGAGTGTCATCTGCTCTGGAGGCACCGGGCACAAGTAACATGGGAGGTGCAACGCATCTCCCAACCAGCAGCTAGTATATCATTTACGGACCGAGATGTATCGCAATTGATGGTCAAGATATGGTAAAGCTTTCTCATTGATCATTTAGTACTTTGGAATGCCCGTCTGATTGATACACAATCATGGTGTGAAACACAAATCACAGCTTCAGGGCCTTCGCTTCAATCAAACCAAATTGAAACATAACGCTAACGAAACGCTGCCGCATATACCACCTTCCACGCCCTTGGACTCGCTGCTCGCCCTGTACTTACCTCCCAACGCTACATCATTCTGTCTGCATATCTATTGTCCTCTCAGGATTATTTGGAAGCAGCCTCTTCTTTGTGTAAATCTCTTCGACTGGGGCCACGTTGCATTCAGCGGAGTGCTCCATACACCAAGCTTGGCGAATGTGAACAATTTAAATGTTCACCTAATCACACGATTTGTTTACAGCACAGTCTTCCTGAACCTGCTCATAGTACATAGTATTCTGATGAGATCCATTCCTGACAACTGTGTAGTGTTATAGACCTCTAGCCTCTGGCCACAGGAAGCGTGGTCACGAGTAGACTTGAATATATATATTAGGGAGGTGTGATTCAGCACCCAACCCGCCAGGTCCCAGCTTGCAATGTCACACTAATCGGGAGGAATGTGCATGTCAAGAGTCAAAGACATATTTTGCGACCGATGATGCAAGACAGAGGCCCAGAGGCGTCCACAGATCCATAGATCTACAGAACGGGAACTAGAGAACACTGAGCCAACAATAGCGCTAATCTTTACAGCTCCCGGTCGGAAAGCCTGCTTCTGGCTGTTATATATTGCCACATGAATTGAATTGCTGAACGGAGCACCACCAGTAATGTGAAAAATAAACGACCCAAGGGACGCCTTTACTGGTATGATATTGATCCTTCTCGTCGCCAAGTAACAGTAGCACGGGTGGCGACAGCGCAGTTTTGCTGTCCTACTACTGTCTCCAACCAATATATGGTCAGAGTATCTTGGAGGAGAGACCCTTGGTTTGCTTGTACTGTACGCCCCGATAGAGGAACGGCAGGGGTGCCATATCCACCAATTCGTCAAACACTGCTGACAACCATGACATATGATTTTGGTGAGTGGCGCAGAGAATTAGCACAAAGCGATCACTCACCCTTTGCACACGTACTGACTTCTCGATTTTCTTCCCTGCTGAACTGACACATGTACACAGAGTGAGTGATACGACTGTTATTCCAGCTGGAACTCAGTGGGGCCTTACCGCCAAACTACGTGCTTTTCGTCGTGAGTGCTTCCTTCACAAACAATGAATGCCACTGCGCAATGTGTAGTTTTTGAAATTCACCTTTGCAACTGGTGTACAGCAAGTACTAACTAACAGTACTAACAGGACACGCCAGTTAACAGAAGTACAGCTTACAACTTAAAGACAGCTTCTTGTTACGATTCAACGCATAGTCCTTCCAATGCCTCATATGGTCATGCTGTCACAACTCACCGTTCACAGGTCCTTAAAGATTCAAAGAATATCGGTTGCAGCCGTTTGTACAACATTGGGTTTGTAAACGTTAATCCTCGTGCCCCTCCGTATTTCCCACACATTCTGCTGAACTCCATTACTCATTCTAACTACATGTGTTCACAGGGGACCAAGGACGACAGACAATATAGATGGATCCATCATGGGGACTTCTCGTCCCATGTATACCCTTTTACTGCTGTGCGGGGCCACAGGGTTGAAGCACCACCAACTGTCGGAGTGGGAACATCTCTGCTTTGCTGTTCTGGACAAGAGGAATGGCATGAGGGGTCACAGTGTCTGTCATGTATCTGGAGAAATAGTGTTCTATTTATGCGGTGGCGCTCACAGGCAGAGGGCCGACGGGGAGTACAGTACAGTGTTCGTTCAACTGCAGTCTTGTGTAATCTGTGAAGTCTTGACTTTGAGTAAAATGAGCAATGCGGAAACTAATATGCCGTACAGCACAATCAACGTGTACAGGCACTGAGGAAGCGGAGTTTAATATAGGGGAGCGGAATTGATTAATTAATTCAATTCGACATCATGAACATGGACCACAATATATATGGGCAATGCTGCAGCCAAAGACAGTATGAGATTGGATATTCATAAATGTGATACAGTACTACCAAATGAGCCCCCTTGGCTTAGCATATAACATCCTCGCGTTGTTTACTGATCTTTGCCACCACGCTGGGTTCTCGCATCCCTTTTTTTCTGTTTATTTTGTTTGTGTGCTGTTCAGCCTGTTATGTTCTTTCCAGTGGCTTGCATCAGGTACAGTGTGGTATAGTTGTAGGGCCATGCAACTGTAGGAAAAATTGAAATCAAGTAGCAGCCCTCTGTTAAATGGATATGGGAATATGGACCCATTCTGACTGATGAGGGCATAAGTAAATTGTAGCAGAAGCATGGACATACTTCCTTTGATCGCCATTGGCGAGGGTTCGGTATATTGCATGCTACATACGCTGCAAACTCCAGAGACCTCAGGTAGGGTAGGGAAGGAAATTAGACTCTCAGCGGAAGTAAAAACAAAACAATTCCACTTTCATGTCTTACAGTGCCCAATAAATTTTGTCAAAGCTGGATCCTTCCAGACCACGCTTCCAAAGTGTGTGAATGTGGCATCCTAAGTAAGATATTGTCAATTTAATTGGGCTCCTTGCTGTATTTTATTGTATTTCGCTTCTATCTACAGTAACATACCTTTATAGATGTGTCTAGTGTCCCTCTTATTGCCCTTTGCACCATTCCTGAGACAATGGGCACCAACGAGAACCGTGCAACGTCCAAATACTTGCTTTTTCAAAGGAGGTAGGTGATGCCAAAACATCAATGGCACATCGCCCAAACGTAAATATGAATCTCTTCGCTGTCCGACGGGTCATTATCAGGAATGACATGAACATTATTCTGCTTCAGGTGATTAAGATGCCAACATTATCAGCATTAGGTTAGGTAGCATACTCAGCGGGCAATGGCCACTATGCTCCACTGACAATAAGGACATTTCCAAGCTCTTGAGGGCTGGCTCAACGTGACTCGTAATTAGATGGCGATATTGCTTAAAGGAGTCCACCTGAAGAGGTGTTTTAGCCCTCAAGAACAAAATAGGAATTCTGTTCCTCATTGTTATGTGCCGTTCTATGCACCCGTCTGCGTAGTTTAAAGTTGAGGCTTCGGCTGGCAACCAACAAATTTCAAATGACAATGCAAACCCAGATGGTCGATGAGTACTGATCTTAAAATGAGTGCGGCAAACGCTTGATGACAATGAATGACATACCAAGTACAATGATAGCCATCCATCACTATTCTCTTTTTTTAAGACAGCATTGCTAAAGAGATGGCTGTCTGCGCTGAAAGAAAGAAAAGGAAGCCCCGCTCCCTAACGAGCATTCAGCCTATGTTTGACAATGACCTCAGCTAAACATAACGTTATATTGGGGATACCCAAACACCAGTTTTGATGGCCACCAGGCAACCAGGCAGCCATCCTATGATCCTATGCACTTCTGATCCTCCACTCTCGGTTGAATTGATTCATTAATTCGGCTACCCTATGTTTAATTCCACTTCCCGGTTGTCTATCCGAGTCTGTATCGCGTCATAGTGGTTCTGCACCGTTATATTACTTGATATAAGCATTTGCCGCCTTCTTGCTGTCAACCTAGTCATATATGTAAAGTACCAAACAGCACCCACGTACCAATCAGCACCCACCGTGCCACGTAAGGTGCATAAGGCTTTATAAAGGCGCTTCCCTTTCAATCACATTTTTGGAAACGAGGGTTTCGACATGTCCTACATTACCTGGCGGATTGATTGTTTTGCGGGTGAAATGCATTCCTTGCAGATCGTCGAAAAAGCATGATGGCCAATACTTCATTCATGCTGAAGCTGTCCACTGGCCACTGGCCATTGGCCACTGCCAAAATACAGCGGGATAACATTAATATGTACCAGATGAATGGGTGGCTGGAAAGGATGGAAGGGTGTGCATCCTAACGGCCCTATGATAAAACACAGCATAAATCATGGACCTAATAACCATACAACACTCTGTTTACACTTTACTTAACGTCGGTTCTCCAACCGTAGTGAATATATGTGGGTCTTTCACCGCGACACGCTCACGATAGTCAGCCTCCTTTAATGCACGCTCTTCCTCATAGCAAGGACTGTATTATAATATATATAGCTCTCAGACTATCTTGAGGACGCTATCCACCATCAACTCATAGCTCTCGTGTCTGCGGCAAATGAATGTTATCTAAGCAACGATTGGCCGTGCTGGCCGTTACAGTTTACAACAGTTCAGGTTGTTCTTAGACACAAAAAAGCACGCCCTATAGGCATCAGTAAATGCATCGCTTGGTCGCTCTGATCTACCTCATCGCTTTGGACATTCTTGCAGTAGGTGAATACATGACTTCAGGAAGCCGAACTGTGAGGGAGCTTTTGGTTTTGATGCAAACAGCAGTACAGCATTGTCTCTCATTGCATTTCATATAACAATGACGATGATTTGATTTTCAGAAGGTGGTCAGATACAGCAGGAAATGGTCATCCATGAGGTGCCAACACGGGCCTTGGTGCGCTGGGTCGGGCCATTCTATTCCGTGGACGGGTGTGGTTGTGATGGTCTGCAGAATATCCCACTGCAATTATGACAAGAAAACTTGGTATTATAAGGTGAGACTTCGATATGAATAATTGAACACTTTTAAAGCGGCCCTAGCCAGCACGTAATTTCCGCCCCTAGCCATCAGTTTCTGCGTGCTACTACTGCTGGAGCAGGCTGTCTAGCAAACTGCTGGAAAGGAGGGCAGGTTCAGCCCCTCCATTTACTTTCAGAGCATCGTGTACGGCTCAAATCATGTGACTTATTTCGGCATAGAGGAGGGTCGCACATTCTTCAAAGTAAATAGATTCCCTCAACGCTCCAGCCGTCAAATGTTGGATCCACAAATGAACACAATAGTGGGGGCCCTCTTCGCTATGTATAATTTCGAACCACTTCCTGCAAACATGTTGGCGCAAGGGTAGGTCGGTAGAAAGCGTGTTGTTGATCTTGCCCGGGCGTTGTGAAGGAGCCATTCAAGAAATACATCACTGATAGGCAGCAGCGAGCGACTCTTTAGGAGGAGGTTTGGAAGCGAAGATGGATTTTGCACGGGACGACAGACGTTTATGTCAAGCCGATACGTGCAGCAAGCACACACCAGTAACATCAGCCTCTTTGACGGTCGGAGCCAGTTTTTTGTCTTCCTTAACACATTCAACATGAGGAAGACACAATGCATGGACAACCGCACAAGATATGTGTATGTAATTATGGCCGGCATCAGGGGGAGTTGTTAAGGGGGACATGGAGCTCGATACAGTAACATTTTACGATGTCGCCCAGACTTCGAGACCTATGCACTCGAAGACCTCTCCTTTGTCACTTCGAATATCCTCGTCACAAAGTACCTCGTTGTCAAAGGCTGGGGATGTGGCGGATGAGTTGCGTGAAAAGGTGGCGTCAAGGATGAGGCCATAAGAGTTGCCACTTTCTTGTCAGCGACAAAAATCGTATGGGGACGTACCCTCCTCCAAATGAGATGAAGCTTGTCTCGCAAAGAGCGATATACTGATTGCGTCCAGTCCACCTGAAGACCCGTGGTTTGCTCTGGCCGGCGACAAACTTGAACATGAACCTGGGATTGTCAGCATCTCGGCCCGTTAACTAGGACTGACGATTCGCCAGTGCCATAATATGTTCCCTCCCGCTTGAGGATTGGCTCGTTCAAGTAGATGCCAAAAGTGTGGCCTTGATTGTCACGGACAACCAAAATGTTGCCGGTGGTACGGTGATCTTTGGCGTGCTTTTCGACCTGGCGATAAAGTGTAGCTAGGGAGGCGCCATGTTGATCTAGCGAGACTGCGAGATAAGCAAAACTCTGCGACAGAACACGTACAGAGAAGGGGCCATGAATCAGCAATGCGCTGTCGTGGCGGCAACAGGGGCCGCAACTTCCTGTTAGCATAAAAGAAAGACGCGGCGGAAGTCACATACTTCTCTGGCCTGCGAAACATCCAGCACAGGAGCTGTTAGCTCCCTGCGGCCGTCCAGGGTAGTGCCGATCCATTCGTCGTCCGGGCTATATTCAGCCGAGGTGGTAGAAGGCTTGAAGCCTGGCGCGCCATCGGGAGGCGCGTAACTGCCTGCAATTTGGTCCACGGACGCGAATGGTGACTTGTGACTAATGTCGATTGGCACGGCCGTTTTACTGTGGGTGTCCGGCTCTACACCAACATGTGGCCCTCGCAGAGACCGCTTCCACCTGGTGGCAAGACCAGAGGTTGCAAACGCGTCGACGATGGACCGAGAGCGGGGGGGAGAGTGAGAGGCGGTAGATGGGTGGGGAGGTTGTTTCCCACTGGCTGCCCAGTCGTCGGACATGCGACGGAGACGGCGGAATTCCGAAGCTGCGTCGTCTTTGCCCCGGATCTGACGAGGGTGGAACACGATATCGGCTCCAGCGTCGGTGAGCCTGGGTGGCGAGCTTGGGCCAGAAAAGCGACTTGGAAACGCGTGTCGTGATCGAGTAGGAGAGGAGTCCAGTAGAGATGAAGGTGTCTGCATGGACGAGGGATTCCTATGGCGGCTGTTGGAAGAATCGACAGAGAGAATGCTCGAGCTGGCGGGTTCGTCTGTAAGGTAGTCGAGGCTTTGGTCGAGGGTCAATGACTCGGCAGGTGGATAGGATTCCTCAAAGTCGTCAAATGAGATCAAAAGGTCGCTGTCGTTTAGAGTAGCTGAGCCTCTAGACGGCCCGACTGACGGGGATGAGGATAAGAGATCGAGTTCGTGTGACCGGGCAGCGAAGGAGTCGTGGAGCGGACCTGAATGGAAGTCTCCAAACTCCGACGAGGGCGAATCCTCATGGGGGCGTTCTCCATTACGCCCTGATCGTTGCACAGGAGAGTCTCCAGGAAGGCCGGACATTTGTGCCATTGAACCGTTGGGCCGTTCGAAGAACCACTGATGAGGGAGCAAGGCGAACGAACGGTCGCGGAAGGCAAGGCTTCAAGGCTGCGGTTAGACGCTTCATGCCGTGACTGATCGATGACTGAGCGACTCACTTGATCGCTGTCGATGACTGCCTGTGTATTCCGTCGTGTTTGGGCAGTCCAGTCCCGGTATGGGTAGTTGTGCACTGGTTGGCGGCTGGGGGGACCCGGGGAGGGGAATGGATCATGTGAAGAGAGCCCGACGATGTAGATGGACAATGACGTTGCGCCGGAACCCGAAGCCGACGGAATCAAACTGATGGACCATTTTTGGATATACATAGATAACGATTGCATGTATTTGTTGTTATGAACAGCGTACATTCTGCTGTCAACATCTGTTCCACCCATGCGCAAACGGTCACGCAAGCAACCCATCGTCTCGACATCGCGTGCACCCCGCACCGCCACTGTCTCTCGAAAAACCACGCAGTCTACCATCGCAACATACCACACGCTCCTGAAGCGGCAGGCATTTCTTCAACGACAGCTTGCAGCAGCAACAGACAGTGCCCGAGAAGGACTGGAATCGCAATTGTCCAAGATCAACAGCGAACTGCAAGATCTGGGTGGTATCGATGGATATCAGCATGCCAGTACGTTGGGGCAATCGTCCCAACGCGGCGGAGACACCTCCAAGGTGTTGATCATGTGGTTGGAAGAGCTTCGCAAAGGGGTTGACGCTCCACCATCAATCAAGTGAGTGCGGAGTCGGAGGCTGAACTGACAGGCGACCTCAGGATGTTGGAGATTGGCGCCTTGACACCAGACAACTATGGCAGCTGCTCTAACTGGATAGAGAACCACCCCATCGATTTGAACTCTCGGTATCCCGGCATTGTGGAACAAGACTTCCTCCAACGGCCGCTGCCAAGCGATGACTCAGCTCAGTTCGACATCATCAGCTGCAGTCTTGTGGTGAACTTTGTGCCCGAACCTAAAGACAGAGGTATGTGTGTTGCCGACAGACGTAGACTGATATATAGGGCGCATGCTGCAGCTGTGTCGGTCTCATCTTCGACCCCGACCGTCGTCTCTTCTCTTCATCGTCCTCCCTTTCCCATGCGTGAACAATTCGCGCTACCTGACAGCGGACTCGTTCAAGGGTCTGGTATGTGCCCTAGGTTTCGAGTTGGTCTGCGAACGTTGGCACCCCAGCAGCAAGGTGGCGTATTGGCTGTGGCGTTGGAAGGAGAGGAATGGCAAGGAGGACCTGGGGCCATGGAAGACCAAGACATTGCTGAATGAGGGACAGAAGAGGAACAACTTCACCATTTTGATCTAGTGACATTTACGTCTATGGCACGTCAGCTATGTCAAAATGACAAGTACGAGGAGCACTATGAGGACAATAATCAGAATGACAATGCACCACGAGCTGCGAGAGTCTATGAGGTCAGCTATGATCCGCCTGGCAATGTATACCTTCGTTCTTGCGAATAAACTCTTGCATTGTTCGTGAAACTCGGGAGAGGCGTGATTGGGTGTTGTCCACACCAGTCGACAGGTCGTCCAACATCCTGGAGGCCTGTTAGATGCAGTGCAGTGCGTACCTGAACTCACTCGCTGTGCTCGGCGACTTCTTGTCCAATAAGGCCAGCTTGTGAGGCCAGAGTCGTTAACGTGCCGGAGATAACACCAAGGGTATCGTCTTGTCGGCGCATGAGCGTCTACCTGTCAGTGTCTTCACGGTGCTGAGGCCCACCTGTTGTTCCTCTCGCTCCCATCTCTCGACTTCCTCGGCATCGGAACTTGCTCGTTGGTTTTCAATGTCGGAGGCCTGGAAGGCCTGCTGATGCCGTTTCTTCCCCTTACCGACCACATCTCGAACTCTTGAGCGAAGGCGCTTGACGGGTTAGCACACTTTAACCGAACAGCACCAGTTCCACGTACCTCAACATCGCGCGTGACTCGGTCAACAAATGAGCGGCGCTGTCGAACCTCGCTCGCCTCTATACCCCAACGATCGCCGTGGCCTTCAACCACCTGGACACAGTCTTCTAAGTCTTGCAGATCCGTCTCCAGAAGGTTCAGCGTGGCTTGAAGCTCCTCGATGGTCTCTGCTATCGCTGAAGGATCACTCGCACCGCTTATTCGGCTATGGGATCCGAGCAGATTGTTGACGTTTTGGATGTTAGTTTCCACCTCGCTGCTCCGTTTAGCTACCAAAACAGGGGGAGGATATGGAAACAGCTCACCCTTTCGCATCGAGGTAAGGATCTCGCGACATGTTGCAATTAGAGGTGGTATGGGTGGATGATGGTTGCGAGATGATTGTGCAAACAGACGGAAGTAGATGTCAACGTCAGCGATGGACCTCCACCTCACCTCTCCGCCCGCCGCTGGCGTGCGTACCTTTGCCACCACAAACCCATTACTTCCTTGGTCCATTTTGCCAACCCTCCACATCCGCTCCATGTCGCCCAAGGCTTCAGCAAGCCGCCGCCGTCGGCCTGAGTTTGCCTTGGGGGTACCCATCGCTTGCCCAAGAACAATCTTGCTGAGCCTATCATGGCTGCTGCTGTCGCTCATCGGGCTGGTTTGCTTCAGTCTCGACCAGGCCCGGTCTGGGTCTATGGGCTGTGAGATGAGCTGGATGTCGCCCACGTACCACCGTCTAGAATGGGATCAATCTACCGAACAGCGGTATTCGGTTTATCTCTACCGTGAAGGGGGGCTTGACCCAGCCAAGGTCAGTGGAGCGCTGGGAACATAGTTGTTGACACGCTCAGCCGTCGGGACTGCCTGTCATCTTCGTGCCCGGCAATGCTGGAGACTTCAAGCAGGTGCGATCAATTGCTTCCTCGGCATCGCGCCAGTTTTTTAATGTCGACGACAGTAAATCAAGCCATGAAGAGTGGGCCAAGCCTCTGGACTTCTTTGCACGTTCGTCTCAACTGAGTGATACGCGGCTGACCTGGAAAGTGGACTTCAACGAGGACTTTTCAGCCTTCCATGCGCAAACGTTGGAGGAACAGGGTCATTTCTTGGCCTCAATCATACCCCATGTTCTTTCGGCATATCGGCACACACCTCCCAACCAGCGACCATCCAGAGTCATGCTCCTAGGCCACTCCATGGGAGGCATTGTGGCCAGGCTGGCCGCGTCATTGGTGGATAACACCACCATTGACGCGATCATAACCATGTCGACCCCCCACCAGAGTCCACCGTTACCTTTTGAGAGTACCATGGAAGACATATATTCCACGGTCAATTCGGCTTCTTATCGTGCCCCGCATCCTCTCTTGGTCTCCATCTGCGGCGGAGTGTCCGACACTCAGATTGTTTCCGACAGCTGTGCACTGTCCAAAGAACTCATTGAAGTCGACGATGGGTTTGCTGTCTTCACTACAGCCATACCTGGCGTATGGACTGGTGTTGAGCACCAAGCCACCGTGTGGTGCCATCAACTGCGATGGCGTGTGGCGAGGGCGATGCTCGACATGAGCATGGAGACAACTCGCGATGCCAAGCTCCTCGCCGCCAGGAAATGGCTCCTCGGAGGTATGCCGACTCATCCTCCGATAGATGCGTTACAAGTCGACGTGCCGGTCACTGCATCCACTATGGCAATCCTTGCCCGCATACCAACTATCACCGAAGAAACACTGGCTGCACCGCCTCTCAAAATCCTGCACTGCATACACGAACGGTGCACCGAGCCACGTTGGTCCCTCTCACGGGTCCCTTGGCCTCGCAACAACAGCGAACCGTTTCCCTTCCCGGGTGAAGGTGCGCGCCCTCAGGACTCGATACTCGCCATAGACATCATTGATCTCGTTGTCGATGGTTCCCTGCGACTGCATGCTCCGCGGGGTACGGAGGTTTCATCGGGCCTCAAGCTCGATAGCGTTGCGAGCAACCGGTGGGGTGAGTACTCTTCTTTTGGGAGGGAGGGGAGAGGCACCTTCCATCTCAAACTGACCCTCCAGTTCATCCGGATTCCACTCCACCGACTCATGTGGCCCTTCGTTTCCTGAATCGCATTATGTCTTCTGTTCTTGCATGGAGGCTAGATGTGACGACCGGCCAATGTTCTGGCAAGTGTGCTTGTGATTATAACTCTGACGTCACAGGCCACCCTCCCACTGTTCAGCACTTGTCAATCCCCGCTGATGAGGCATCAGCCTCGACCGAGTCCAAGTTCTACCCTATTGGCAATTCTTCCATCATTCTGCACTCGCATACCAGTGGGTCGCCCTTTGCAAGTCCTCAGAGAGCTGGGGACATCGACATCCATGTCTATCAGCAGCCCGGCTGCCCCGTCAAGGAGGTAGCAATAGCCGTGGACATCCCTGCCTCTTTCGCCAAAGCTATCCTTCGATTTAGGATTGCGCTTCTTGATTGGTGTTTGGGCTGGTCTTCACTCCTGATTTTCCAACTTTTGCTGGAGCACCACACGTCCGGTACGTTTGAACGATAACAACCCCTGACCCACAGTGAAACCACCGCGCTTGAACTCTGTGATGGAACGCCACTTAAGTCGAAACATTGGTGTTGCTGCCTTGCTGCTCACTGTGGCGTCCGTCATTCAGTACGTGCTTGTGCTCCTTGGGTTGCGATCTGAGAAGTTCTTGCTTGGCATTACGCACCCCGTCCTCATTCCACTGTCAATTGCCGCCGCCGCGTGGTCATATGGTGCAGTGATTGCCGTTCAGCGACTTGTATCAATGTCTGTGCATGTCATGGGAAGGTGGACAGGCCGTGCAGAAAGGTACGTACCACTCATGGCTCACGGCTGATGGCAAGACCCGCTGGTGACCTCTGGTGGCCAATCGCAGCCCGACTTGTCTCTGGCATTGTCTTGCTTGCCTTGGTGAAGCTGTCCATTCCTTCTAAAATGGCTTTTGTTATGCTCTGGGTTGTTCATTTTGTGCTTGCTGCTCGATCGAAAGGGAATGAAGTGAGTGGATGGTTCATTATCGGGCTGACATCAGTCGCCAAACCACAATCTCCTCGTGGGGTCCTTAGTCCTCATGACCTTTCTTCTCCCATTCTATCTTCCTGCTCTAGCTGTTTGGGGTCGAAAGATTTGGGCGAGACAATCGTTCTCCGACGACCATTCCATTCTGGGCCTGTTACCGGTACTCGCATTTGTAGAGGTCTGCAGCCTAGAAGTCGAATTATCGACAAACAGAAGGTCAGTACCCGTCACCCGCCAAGAATATTGACCATTTCCAGATTGTTCAAGGTCGCAGAAGTTGCCACATTGGTCCTGGGGGCAGTTGCTGCTGTAATTGCCCCTCGACATCCGTTCCTCGTCCTGCCAGCTGCAAACTTGGTCTTCATGGCATTATGCACGGTGATGTTCAGTTGGAATACGTAGCAGAGATGTAAACGAATTCCTCTAGTTTGCCATTTTCACGTGGGCTGCTGAGGCATCACAGCCCGCTTTCAGTATTGGTTGTTTTGGGTATGTCTGCGACCATTGCTGTTGCTACCTTTCTAAGCCTTCTTTTACAGCAATCGTGTCTTCGGTTGGTTTGCTGACCAGTTGGATTGTCATACCCGACACGCCTTATAATTTGCCACCCCGCCGTGAACCTGTTTTTTCACAGCCCCGTAAAATTAATGTCATCGGTCCATATATCTCCCTCTCTTGTTCTGTGAGTTGCCGCGTGAGACTGGTGCGAGTACGGTTATAAATCCATCCAATCTTTTTTGACCCACATATATGTACTGTACTGTACGTACAATATCACTTTTCACTCATATTGCCCGTTGATGTAGCGGCACTTGAGCAACGTCTGAGACAGTCACCACAGCTGACCGCAACGTTCAAAAATTATTATTGAAGTGATCCCAACGATGTCAAAGCTCTTAAAGCAAGTACAGGACGTTCTGAGATAGCCCTAATTACCACAGCTACTTTCTTAAATAACACGGGTTGGTTTGTCTACACGGCCTCCCCGAACCGCAAAGGATCCCACCCAAAGGATCGCACCCAAAACAACCTAGCTCACGAACATTGTGTGGATATGGCTGGTGCACACCTGGGAGCGACTGACAGTCCTATCATTAGGCAGTTTATGTCCTACGACTCTCCACACAAAACCACTATGTCCGTTTGCCTCATCGCCACTCATTCGTGTTACACCAGTTCTCGGGCTGCATAGCATTTTACAAATATGTATCTCAAAGCACAACTCTTCGTAAGAAAGTATCAAGAGGGAAGTATACAGCTCTACTTCCGCGCCACACCAATGGACCGCGTCTCCTTGGTCATCTTCCACTGGTCCGCCATGCGCCTGTCGTGTTAGTCTCCAGCTACATCGTGTTTCGAAACTTGCCTGACCCGAACCAGCGCAAGTACAGCCAGACCGACCGCCTTTAGGGTCCTCTTAGGATGGGTAGGTGGTGGAGTTGGGTAACCCATAGACGCAATCGCGCGAAGAGTGGCCTGTTCACTGCGCTGTCAGCCAACAGCCCACAACTGAAGCTTACTTGAGGCTCATTCCGCCTACAAGAAGCAACAGGAACTTCTTCTGTAAGGATAGAGCATTCCTGAAAGTCGCCTCGCGGGTGTACTTGGCCTTGAGGTACTCGATTTGGGCCGAGAGGCGACGGGTCTGCACTTTGAACTTGTGGCGCTGTTCATCGGTGGCGGTTCGGCTATCCAGTCAGCAATGCTGCGTGGCACGATATCGTTATCCGTACCTTTGCGACGCCTGCTCCGCAGCCTGCGTCTCCAACAGGATGCAGCGACTGTCGGCTTCTTGAGCTTGACTGATAGCTTGGTCCAAGCGGTTGCGCGTCCACCGGAGTTGATCTTCCAGTTTGCCCATGTTCGTTACCTGCACTGCTGTCCCATCGGCCTGCTCTTGACGAAGGGTAGCTAGTTCAGCCCCAAACTTGGCACATTCTTGCCTCTGTACGTTGAGGTCCTCTCCAAACTCCACGAGCTCGCGGGTGACGCGGGTGCGCTCTGCTTGCAAGTCCGAGACACGGCGTTCCGCAATCTCCAGAGCCCTTACACGCTGGCGCAGAGTGTCACGAATCTTCCCTGCCTCGTCCCGAGTTTCCGCCAGGGAGCTCTGGAGGAACTTGATGGTGTCTTCGCGTTCAGCAATGGCAGCCGACTGGTCGCGAATACGGTTGTCCTTCCTGACAGCAGCGTCATTGGACTGTTGTGCCCTGGCAAGGTCCTGTTCAAGACGCGTGACACTGGTTCGGCAGACACGCAGCTTCTGCGCTGGTCAGCTGAGGTGCATTTGATGGGCTCTTACGGCTTCCAGGCCATCCTTGTCGCTTCGAAGAGCCTGCAATTGCTCCTCGCTGTCCGTCGCCTTGTCGTCCGCCTCTCGTTGCATACGGACCATCTCCAAGCTGAGTGACTCCAGCTCCTCGTCGCACTTGATCTGCAGATCGCTCAACATGACGCGGAGTCGGCGGTTGTCGTCATGAAGGCGCTCCTTCTCGGCTGACATGTCGGACTTGAGCTCATCCATCTGGGCGCGCACTGCCTCGAGAGAGCGCTCCAACTGGTCGTTGCTTGTTTTGAGTCAATACAGCAATGTGAGATAATAACTCAACTTACGTTGTACGACCAATATTGAGAGACGCCAGAGATTGTTTGTTGTCACGCGCCATTGCGCGAAGTTGCTCTTCAAGCTGAGCAATACGATCCTTTGCAATGGCCAGCTTCTCGGCGAGGTTCAACGCCCCAAGACCAGCGTCCTCCAGTCGGCCAAAGTTGCGGTCCAGCTGCGTGTTGGCGATATCGAGCTCCTGCTGCAGATGTTCCAACTGAGCGCGAAGGATAGACTCGTTAGAATCTCCAATTGTCGTTTGCAGCCATGAGATCTAGGTCATTAGCGTTACAGTTTGTTACAGTTTGCTCTGTACAACTCACGTCTCTCATGGGGCCAGGCGTAGCAGGCATCCGCAGTGAAGCCAGAGCCTTGTTCACGATGGGTGTCGAGGTCATCATCGAGTTGGCCCAGCGGGTGGGACTCGCCACTTCCTTGCCCTTGAGACGCTCCTGCAGCGATAACTTTTCGATCTCCAGGGTCTTGATGCGTGCATCGCGGGCCTCGATGGCCGATTTGCGAGCTGGTGACTCGTTGACCTCGTGCTTCAGGCGTCCAATCTCGCGGTAAGCTTCGTCTAGACGATCCTCGAGGGCCATAACGAGGCTGCTGTCACCGGGGTCACGCAGGTCGTCCGCGGGAAGCTCCTTTTGAATCTGGGCCACCTCTAAATGATTTTGCAAGGACGCAACCTCCTCTTCCTTGGCCGAAACGAGCGCGTTTGCGTGCTCCAGCTCGCGACGGAGATCATCCAGATGCTGTTGAGCCGTTTCAACATCCTTGGCCTGTTGCTCAACAGTGTCTCGGAGCGCCTCGGCAGAATTGCGCTGGCTGTCGACCTCGCGCTCCGTAGCAGCGAGGGAATGCTCCAAGCCATGGACACGGGTCTGGAGCGACTGGATCTCGTCCTCGAGAGTGGCTTCCGTAGCCGTACCGTGTTTAAGGAAGGCAAGCTGCTCAGTAGCGTCTGCCGCCTTTTTCTCGGCAGTCTCTACTTGCAATCGCAACTCGGCAAGTTGGGTCTCGCTGTCAAGCAATTGGTGGTGCTGAGCGCTCTCCTTGATCTCGAGTTCGTGATACCGCGTTTCAGCAAGTTGGAGTGCTTTCTCCGCCGCCTGGAATTGCGAGTGCGTCGAGGAGGCCTGCTCGACCGCCACTGAAGCCTTCTCGGATGCCGCAGAAGCCTGCTCGTTTGCGGCTGAAGCCTGTTCGGAAGCTGCCCGAGCAGCCTCTTGCGCGTAGTTGAGATCCGCACGCAGCAAGTGGATCTCTTCGCGGAGTTGAACCTGCGTCTCGTCGTGGAGAGTCGAGGTTAGGGAGTCGTGTTTTTCGCGGAGGCGATTTGCTTCAGTTCTGGCGGTGGCCAATTCTCCCTCAAGCACGCCAACTTGCTCTTCGAAATCGGTGCAGATTTCCGCAAAACGCTGGGCGTGGTCTTCAGTTTTTTTGGCAAACTGGGCCTGTAAAGCAGCATGGGCCGTCTCAGACTCTTCAAGTTGGGCACGGAGAAGAGTAACCTCCCCTGATCCTGTTGCCTCGGTCCGAAGCTTAGCCATGATATCGTCCTTCTCCTTCAACTGCTTTTCGAGAGCGTGGAGGTCGGATGTAGACGAGGTGTCGAGGACTACACTGCCATGCTTGCCACGGCGGGTCGAGTTTCCGTCGATGACTCTGCCGTCCTCATCCAGTTCGATCCCAGCGACTGCCATAATCTCCATCAACCGCTCGCACTCGTCGCGCCAGTCCTCGGCCTCTCTGGCGAGCTCGGCGTTGGTGTCCAAGAGCTGTTTGTTCATCATGTTGAGATGCTTGTGGATCTTGATGGCGTCGGGGCGATTGTCCAGGTTGAGAGCCAGTCCAGGCGACGTGGCCGAGGCACCCATGAGAATGTTGGGAACTGACGTGTTGCCGCGCTGGTGGTTGTGCGCGCGTGAACCTCGACGGTCCATGGTGAGATCCTGAGAAGAAGCAATGGAGACAAACGACTCGTTTGCTACCGACTGCAAGGTGTCATCTGCCACAAGGGAGCGGGCAAAGGTGATACCAAGACCACTCTCTTCTGCGATTGACTCGGTTTCTGGCGCCAATGAAACTCGCCGCGCTGGGAACGGCGTGCTGCGCTTCTTGGTGCGCGAAGGGAGTGACGATGAGGCGAGCACTGAGAGGACGTGACTTTTACGCCTTTCGGCGTCGTCTAAAGGAGCACGAGGGGTACTGGGGTCGGCAGCAGAAGGCGAGTAGTCCGGGGATGGAGTGTAAGGGGCACGGTTGCGGAATACCGGGGTAACATCCCGTAGCGCGTTGCCGTGCACATTAGGGAACGGTGTGGCCGCAGCTCTTGCCGCCGTAGACGGCATGTCCATGTACCTCATCGCTGCCGGCGTGGCCTGATTGGAAGTTGTGTTTGACTTCGCAGGCGAAACCGCATCCATACCCTCGGTAATGTCTTCCAAGGATGCACGACTCGCCATCGTTGTGTTGAACTCGTAGTTGCCACCGTCAGCGTCGACCGCCGTGGGTTTGGGTGGGGCCTCGACAAAGCGGTCTGGGCCCTCTGGAGTCGTTGCCTCATTATCCGTGCCCGAAAATTCGCTGCGGCTCAGACTGGGTATACGGCTGCCTGTTCCCTCTGTGAGGAGCGGACTCTTGATGGCGGCTGGAGGCGATGCCGACTTGGTACGGGCGTCGAAATGACGAGGGACAGGAGTCGCAGCAAGGGACTGATCAGACAAGAACGAGGGTTGCGGGAGTGACGGATCGGCAAGTTCGGTGTTATCCTGTTGGAGCTCGGAAGCGGCTGAGGGGGCCGGAAGGCGAAACGACGCAGATGTGTTGTCCCAGTCCTCGGTATGGGGAGGAGCGACATCCGAGTCGCGAATCAGGCTCCGAGAGGCCGAAAGGTCCTCCAAGAACGGAACGCTAGAGTTGAACTGCTCCGAATAGGGAGTTGAGGTAAATCCGGCATGGGTGCCAGACAATACTGACTGATCGAGAAGAGTATCACCCGCGGGGAGGGGTGAAGCCAGCTGCGGGGGGGTACGAGAGCGAGGGACAATGGTGGATTCGGTCGGTGGTGGCGAAAGGGAGGAGCGAGGGATGTATGGTGTACCCATATCCTGTATGCGCACACGTTAGCATTCAACAGTGTAAACGTATCGAGGGCACTCACGTTTACATCCTTGATGGACATCGACACGTCGTAACTGTTGTCAAAGTGGTCCGACTGGTCGCTCTCAAAATCAATGTCGTGCTGGAAGCTGGGGAGCGACGGTAGTTCCATGTCTTCGTACTGTTGTACCCTTCTCAACACCCGTGATGGGGTGTCCAGGAGGGCCGCCATGGTGGAGGATGAGGTTGGGGTATGGTTTGAAGGTAGGTGTGGAGTGTGTGAGAGAGTGTTAGCGACGGATAGACCCCGCGCGCGCTCGGGTTGTGTTGTTGACATGGGAATCATTGAAAGCAGTCACGTCTGTGGGTTGCGATTAGACTCCGTCCTTGTGCCACGTGGGGGTGTTGCATTGCATGCATTGTCACGTGACTATTGCCCGCCACAATGCAAAAAGGCGCGCGCCCTTTTCGCCGAATTGGTGCCGCTTGCCGACCGTGGGGTGAGAGAGAGTGAGCAGAGAACAGAGACGACTCCCACACGGCCCCACCCCTTGCGAGCACACCCGAGCGTCCGAGCGGCGGCGACGACGACGACGACAACCACCCACAACCCTCGCAAAGCCCTTACCTGACAACACCCCACACTCTCTCAGTCTCCCTCTTCCTCATCACCATCCTCTTCACCACCATCACCATCCCCCTTCCCACAGTCAACGTCGTCTAGCCGTCACCTCTGCGCCACCACCGGCAACGCGCACACCCCACTCGGCACTGTTTCTGCGCACATATTAGGCGTCGCCACTGGCGGTTCATTGTTTCGCCATGCAGCCCAACCCCACCCCTCCCGGGTCTCCTCGCTATGAGAAGGAGACCCATATCGGCCTCCAGCCCGCCTCGATCCAGGCGCGCATCGCAGGTACTGCTGCGGTTCGTGATTACGAGGACAAACAGACGACGTTAGTTTTATTTTGTGCGCGGGGGACGTGCAATGGCGTTGATCTATTTCACTGACATCTTTGCTAAAGCCTTTCGTCTGCCATCGACGCAACAAAATATCTGGTTGCCGACTTGAAGAACTTCAACCATGGTGAATGGAAGATTCGCTACCCCCACTTCAGCCAAAACGCTCCCAACACGATCGCATCGGACGACGAGGCCAAGTGTAAGTCGGAACTCGCCGTACGACGACAATGAGAATTGCCCCTGACTGTGCACAGCTCGTCGTCCGCCCAACCGCAGGACCCTCACGTTTGCCGACGAGCCCCTTTCGTACACCGAGGTTGTTCTCCAGGAGACCGCCAGCACAAGCAACCAGGTGAAGCGCTCGGTTACATTGGCCCCCATGACAGCGGAGCCCAACTCCATGTCGGAGGATGTCGCAGGGGAAACGGCCAGTGTCAAGGAGGATTTCTCAATCCTTCACCTCGACCTCAACCTTGGTGCCACTCGTCACGCCAAGGCTCTTATTTCTCAGCTGGAGCGGTCTTCCATCTCGGCTCTGATTGACACCCGTCTGACCGCTTCCCTTTCGCACCTCAGCCTGCTCCACGCTCGTATCCATGATGCCCATTCCCGCGTTCTGGTAACCGGTGATCTCAACGCGGGCAAGTCGACCTTCGTGAACGCCCTGCTTCGTGGCTCTGAGGTAATGCCCACCGACCAGCAGCCATTGACCACGCGTTTCGTCGAAGTCGTCAGTGCGGTTGAGAACGACGACAAGGAGGAGATTCACATTCTCAACTTGGACTCCAAGTATGATGCCCTCGACCCGTCGACCTTCACAGTGGCTCCCATTGAGGAGCTTGAGAAGCTTGCCACTGATATGGACAACGACCCTTCAGCCCCTCCTCTGCGCGTCTTCCTTCGCGAGACCAAGAACGTTACCAACCCCTCGATTTTGCACAATGGTGTGGTCGATATCTCTCTCATCGACGCGCCGGGTCTGAACCGTGACTCGATCAAGACCACCGCCAACTTTGCGCGCCAGGAGGAGATTGACGTCGTCGTCTTTGTTGTTTCAGCGGCCAACCACTTCACCCTTTCGGCCAAGGAGTTCATTATCCAGGCTGGCCACGAGAAGGCGCACCTCTTTATTGTCGTCAACCGCTTCGACCAGATCCGTGACAAGGAGCGCTGTCGCCGCGCAGTCATGGAGCAGATCAAGGAGCTTAGCCCCGAGACCTATGAGGACGCCAAGGATCTTGTTCACTTTGTCGACTCGGCCAAGGTCGCCTTTGGCTTCGATGACAGCTCGGATGATGCCGAGGATGTCGACGCCGCCTTTTCTCATCTCGAACAGTCTCTCCGCTCGTTCGTTTTAGTCAACCGCGCAAAGTCCAAGCTGGGCCCCGCTCAGAATTACATTACGCACCTCCTCGCTGATGTCGAGCTCCTTGCTTCCGCCAACACCATCGTGGCTACCCAAGAGCGTGACGGCGCTCTGGCCGAGGTCGATCGTGTCAAGCCCGAACTTGACCGCATGAAGCGCGGCAAGGACACTTTTGAGGATGGCCTCGTTGGTGAAGAGGAGGTCGTCACCTCCAAGGCCATTGTTGCCTCCCAGAGCTCCCTCCGTCACGCTCTCGACAGCGTCGGCCGTGGTGAACTCGCCAAGGGTCTCGACATGCCCGTTTACCCAGGACTTCTTGGTGCCTGGGACTACGCCGGCGAGGTACGCCGTGCCCTCCTCGCGTCGCTGGACATTGCTGTACGCCAATGCGAAGACGACGCTCGTGTCGCCACTACAGAGGCTGTCAAAGTCATCACAACACTTGGCGAGAAGCACCTCCCGGTCGATGTTGAGCGTTCGAAGCGCGTGTTCAACTCCGCCGCTATGTTCTTCAACCACGCTGCCAAGAAGGGCCGTCGCACATCCGGTCTGCAGTACGTCGGTCTCGGTTTGGCTGGCAACTCAGCCCTCTCGCACGTCGCGGTCTCGGACATCTTCGACCTGCAACACCTTCTGTTCTTGACCGACTCGGTGCCCTCTGAGGCTGGAAAGCAGTCTGCCTTCCGCGACCTCATTCCCGCCTCAATGGCAGGTGAGGTGGGTGGCCTTGGTGCTGCTTCATTGGCTGTCGGTGCCTTCTCTATGGCTGGCAGCCAGACCATGGCTCTTCGCACAATCTTTGAGAGCGCCATGCACCTCTCAGACCTTGCCTCCAACCCCGTTGTGCGCAAGTGGGCTGGTCCTGCTCTTGGTGTCATGGCCATTGGTGCTATTGCGTACGTCATCTACGAGCTTCCCCGCACTATCCCCCGCAACGTTGGCCGCCACCTTCGCTCCGAGCTGCTTACTTCGTCGGGTGCCATCGACGACGCCGACGAGACGCCGTTCTTCGAGGCCGAGGCGCAGCGCATCGGTCGCGAGGTACGCAAGGTTATGCGGCTGGCTGCCTGGGACCTGCGTGAGCGCTTCCGCACTGCTCTTGAGGCGCGTGGCGAGATTGTCCGCCAGAGCGAGGAGACTGCTCGCGAAGCCACCCACGCCCTGGAGTGGTTCACAGAGGTTGAGCAGCGCGTCGAGGTTATCCGCAGCCAGGTTGGGCTGAAGCTGTGAGAGTGACTGGATGCCCCCCTCCCCCCCTAAAGCCAGAGGATTGTTGTCACTATTTTTGCATGTAGATTATTGTTTTCAATTTCCCGTGATGAATCCCTCGTACCAGCGTGACATCTCGAACCCCTTGCCTTACACAATGCAAACTGTCTAACCAACAAATAGAACCACCAGACGGAGAGGGCTGGGACTTTACTTGGTGAAGATGCTGACGACATCTTCGTCGTGAACCGCATGTGTCAAACCAACCTTCTGAGGCTGCGGGTTGAACTTGCTCGACTTGCCCCACACCAGCGCGTACTTGAAATGAGACGCCAGGCTGCGGTGAATGCCGTGACAGACAGTCTCGATGGTGGCACCAGCCCTCAAACAAATGGGGTCGGAAAGGTCGGGCTGTACTCCGCGCTTCTTCGTGTACACCTTGACAAGCCCAAGTTCCTGCGGGGCTTAGTGATGCTCACTCGAAATATTGTGGCGTTACGCACCTTCCAAATGCTGTCAAGAAGCCAGTCAAGACCCAGGTCGGCTTCGCAACTGATCATGACAGTCCTGCCATCCCCTGCCCGAGCCATCCGGTCCACAGTCTCCATCGACACGGCGTCGATCTTGTTGATGACGGTGAGCGCTGGAAGATACTTTCGTGTGCCGAGGAGGACGTCGATAAACTCGTCAATGGTGACCTGTAAAAAAAAACGTCAGCACTGCATCGTTCCCTTCTGCATTGCGCACATCCTCGCGAATCATCACGTCACAGTTGTGGACTGAGTGGGGGCGTCAGCACTCGCACGTTGTTCGACGACTATCGGGCAGTAGCGTACTTCGGTAAGTCTGGAGAACGGAACGAATGGTGCGCTCGTCGGTCTTAGTGAGCTTTACAGTGCAGTTGATCTTCCGGGGTCAGACAGCAGTGCGCGTGAAGGTTGTGTTACTGACCGTGATCTTTCCAGCGTCAGCACAAGGGATATTCAAAAAAAAAAAAGTTCGACTAAACTCACTCCACCGGCCGTCTTGTTCTTGAAGACAACGTCGGGGGCTGCAGTGTTCAACCGGATACCGACAGCTTCCAGTTCAAGCTCAAGCATCGCCTTCTGCTCATCTGACTTGGTTGCGTCGACTGTTATACGTAAGCTGTATGCAACAAACTATGCAAACCAAACTTACTCATGATCAGGATGAGGTCGGCAGTCTTGGCCACGGCAACCACCTGACGACCACGGCCACGACCTGAGCCGTCAGACAAGTTCAATGGACATCAGTTGTCACAGGAGACTGACCCTTGGCGGCATCTTGCACAATACCAGGCAGGTCCAGGAGCTGGATACGCGCGCCTTCATATTCGAGCACACCGGGAATCGCCTAGGCATCGTCAACTAACAGCGCAGAGTTCAATTGCACCTACAGTGAGAGTGGTGAACTCGTATGCGCCGACAACCGACTCAGTTTTGGTTGCCTTGGAGAGAAGAGTCGACTTTCCAACCGAGGGAAACCCAATTAAACAGACGCGGGCGTCTAGCAGTTAGCGTAACCAGGAATAAGAACCCGTACCTCCAGATTTCATGACGTCGAAGCCTTCGCCCTTCGCCGCCTTCTTCTCGGGCTCGAGGAGCTGAGCGCGATACTTGGCCACTGAAATGTAAGCAAGGCTACTTCTTCTGGTACTCACGCTTAGCCTAATAGCAAGTCCATGTGTCAGCAGGACGATCATGAGCAGTCATGAACAGTGGTATGTCTCAGTACCTTGAGAAGTCCGAGATGATACTCCGTCGCTGCCCGTCAGTAGCCATCCCCACACGGACATACTCACCCTTGCTGTTAGGATAAAAGAAATAGTGTCAGTAAGAGGTATCGCAACGGAAAGGGCTATCTAACTTCTTCTGCGCTGCAAGAGTCAGCTTGAGCTCGACGGGATGTAGTTGCCGTCCACTCACTCCTGGCCATCTCCTCTGTTGATCAAAGCGTCAGCTGGTAGGCTCCGGTCATAAGCCCATTTCGCCAACGTACTCTCAATATCTTCTATCTTCTGTAGGATACCCATTCTGAATGTTGTTTGCCGATGTCACTGCGCCCAAGGCAACTGATTATGGAGACAACATTGTCCTCGTTCATGTTACGTGCAATGCTCAGACGTTACAGGGTGGTATCAGACGGGAATTTATGCCATGTCATTTCAACCTCCACCTTTCCTAATGCCTCCTAAATCTCGCACCACTCCAGACTTCCCTATCACGCGCTGGCCCGCTTCACCAGGTCGTCCAAAGTGACAGCACGGAACTCGCCGACGTCTCTCTGCGCAAACACCGCATCGTCCCCAAAGTACACGGTGACGCCGCCCTTCCCCTCGATCGTTTTGCCAACGCGGAACAGAGGTTTGCCCGTGACCGAGTGAGACTTGCCAAGAGGCAGCATGAGGAGATCGTTGGAAGCAATGGCTTGCTCGGCAAGGAAACGGAAGGTGATGTCTCCTTGGTGGGCATCCATGGCAACGCGAGGAGCAAATTTGCTCGCCTTGGCTGTGCCGTTTGTCGATTTGGAGCTGCTGGGCAGCGGCTGGAAGTTGGGCTTCCGTAACTTTGTTGGGGCCTCGGGGCCCAAAGCCAGTGCCTCGTCCATTAGCTTCAGGCCAGCGTCAAAGCCATGAGCAATGGAGCGATTGGTCAACACTTCGGTAGGGAAGACTCCCTTCCACATCTCGAACCACTGGGCCACCTCGTCGCCGCTGTAACCTGGATGGACCAACCACAAATAGAGGACATTGAGCCACTTGGGGAAGAACTCGAGCTCGAAAAGTCGAGCATAGGTTGAGGGCCGGATGAGGGGATGCCACGGGAGAACCCAGTCGACCAAGGGCTTCATGTCTTGATTCCTAGGGTTGATTGTGAAATCATCGCGCATTGTCGAACCCAGCTTGCCAATGACATGTTCACTGATAAGCTTGTCCCACTCCGAAGAAGAGTAAATCTGATAATAGTCAGTGGCCGATGGCAAAGGTGCACCTACATCCTTCTTCCACCGGAGGAGTTCCTTGAGGACGCCATCGGTGATGTTCCACTTGCGCAGGACGGATCGGATGCGGCGCTTGCCTTCATCCATAACGCTGTCAATACGCTCCCCAAGAAGTGGCAGCCACGGGAAAATGATTGACGCCAGGGAGATGGCATCGCCATTGGGACCAGGACGGCCAGTCCATTGTTGAACAGCATCCATCACCTTCGGCAGGATGAGCTGGTCGATGACGTTGTCACGGATGAACGAGGGAAGAATCGGCTCCCAGGATTCCACGAGGTGCACCGCTGCCGATGGGTCCCAAGCATCCCACTCGTTGTTGAGAGTGGAGCGCACCTTTGGAAGCCATCGGTGCCAGAGGAGTGCCTCCCATGCCGTCATGGTACGCTCCTTGGACTGGTCCATCGTATCTTCGTCGGCAAGGTTGAAGGCCTTCTTCCAGGGCTTGAGCGCAGACAGCAGTGCGTCGGACGAAATGTCGAATGGCTGCCACGTCGCAAACGCCTTCTTGTACACCGAGTCGATAGAGCTGACCACCACTTCGTCGAGCGCAAGGGTCTTGTACTCTGACTTGAGGCCGACAATCATGTTGTCGAACGCCTCCTCCAATCCTTTCAATGATGGACTCTCTTTCCTTGACTCCTCGGTCGTAAGAGCGGAGATCTCTGCCGCCTTGGCTTGAACGTTGGCAAGGCGGTCAATGGCTGAAACAGTCAGCTCCTTTATAGGTGAAGTGTAACGTACCTTCGGCCGTTGATTCAACCTTTTGGCGTGCGCGCTCGTCTTCTCTGGTGCTCCATCGCCTTCGCTCGTTAACAGACTTGCCCTCGCGTATCAAATTTGCGACCTCGCCCTTTGACCCATCGAGGATAAGGCGAAGGTTGTGACGCAGTTCGGGAAGCTGAGAGGCCTCAGAAGTTGGACCCCAGGGGGAAAGTGATAACTCTGACAGCGACTCGACCTCCTTGATCTGTTTCCTGGTCAGCAATTGCAATTCGAAGTTACGCACCTCTCCACCACGGGCATCCAACACCAGGCCTACACCCGACCTGGTCGTGTCCTCCTCGGCCAGAAGTTGCTCATACGTCTTGTGCTCGACCTTGACCTTGATGCGTTTCTGCTTCTTCCATCCGTCCCGTGAAACAGACGGCCCGTCTAACTTGGCGGGTTTCTTCTTGCCGCCTTTTGGTTTCTCCTCCTCCTCAACCAATTCGCCACGCCGTCTTGCTTCACGCTTGCTGTCCTCGGTACGAATACCAGATTTGATGCCCTCACCGCGGGCCACGCGTCCGACAGCCACGGGTACAGCACGACCATCTTCATTGATACCGAGACCTTTGCCCGGAGCCCAACCTTGTTGAGCGAGCATCCTGGCGCCAAAGTTGTTGGAGATGCTGCTGAAGTGGACCTTCTCAGCCTTGGTGAGTTCATGAGTCTTCCCGGCAGGGCGAGGAGTCGGTGTCGATGAGCGGCTAGGTTGAAAGCTGGAAGATTCTCCGCCTTCAAAGAGCCGCATTGCGGCGACTGACCTGCCAAAGGCTGACGGTGGCTCTGCCGCAGCTGGAGCTGGAGAAGCGGACCCAGAGGCCGCCGGCTTGGCAGTGGCAAACATGGACTTGACTGACCCAAGACCCACGCGTGGACGAGCGTCTTCGTCATCGTAGTCACCGGCGTCACGGACTCGGGGTGAAGGGGCTCGAGTCGATCCGTTGTCAGAGTCCTCGCTTTGATCGCCCGAGTTTGAGTCTTCAGAGTCGGCTTCTGGCTGTTCGACCGCCTCAATGTCGGTGGTATGAGGCTTGTCTGAATCCTCTTGAGCCATGTCGGCCTGTTCAGATTTGGGGACAAACATTGGTGCTCTGTCGCAGGTGTCAGTATTGGGAGCTTTGCCGTCTCTGTTGATGTCGACTTACTTTGTGAAGTCGGTCCGCGCACCATCGCCGCCCTTGGTCCTGCCTCCTCTAGCACCTAGGCCCCCGCGAGAACGATGCCGGGGTGCATTTTCGTCCTCTCCAAAGACGCCCTCCCACGCAGCTGCTTTGCCTGTGCCGCCGGTCCGTGGGCGCTTCCTCTTGTGCTCGAACAAACGGCGCTCGGCGCGCGAGTCCTCGTCGTCTTGAGAGTTGAAGCTGTCGTCCGAGCCGGCGCCTGCTGACCCGTCTGAATCAGACCCGTCGTCGAGGATACCGTTTTTGCGCCTGGCCATGGCGAGTGCGAGTGCGAGTGGTGATGCGGATGAGATGTGCAAGGTGCGTGAGCGCCGCGACGACTTGGGAGATCGCATTGGGTGCATTGGGTGGCGACTGCCGACTGCGGGCGCCTACGGTGTGGGCTCTCTGGAAGCTGGAAGCTGGAAGATGGAAGCTCGGTGCGTGCCGTTGGCGAGCCTACTTTAATCACGTGATCCATCATTAGGCGGGAATTGCTGGAAACGCGTACATGGCGCATGGCACTCACCCGATCACCCGGCGCGCCGGCCGCTCTCTGTCGCTGTACCGCTGTGCTCCCGCGCGTTGTTATGGCTCTGGGTCCCAGCCACAACGGGGGCTATAGTCATATGCTTTGTTGCCCATTGGGACATTCTCTTCAACCTCTCGATCTCTCTCAAACCCCTTTCGACAGTCACAACAAACAACCACCCGCTCAGTTGGCCCCCGGCCCACCAAAAGCGGCATGCGGTAGCCGCCGTGCATCGATATCACTCCTTTCCCTTTGCTGGAAGCAATGCTTGTTGTTGGCTTGTCGCTCGCTCCATCGCATACGCCCGAATTCGCTGCGTCGTCGTCCTCGGGCCTCACCTCGCCCCCACCGTGTTACCCTTTAGCCCTCCCCTCCCCTCCCACCGTATTCGCCGCCGCTCACAATGATTCCTAGGGCTCGTACGCATGCACGACCCTTTCTGGACTCGCCACTCACAGTCAAGACTGCGTCTCCGTTGAAACACCGACATGCAGTCACCCCCGTCCGCCATCCTCCAAAGCGTCGGCGGCTCGCAGCGGGCGTGTCGTCACTTGCGTTTGGCAGCAACAGACTTGCTCGCTCCTCCGACACAGACAATTCAGACCAAGAGGGATATCTTCCCAAGAGCCAGCTCATGTACGCTTCCAGCCCAAGAGCCCTTCCTCGTACACGCAAGGCCCTCGCCAAGCTCCGGGGCAAGAGCGGCTCCCGCGCAGGAGCCGACTCGGAAATGAGTCCCAGGAAACGGAAGCGCTCGGATCGTGGTTCCAACTCGCCAGTAGAGTCAGACAGCTGGGTGGAGACGGAAGACGAGACACCGGATTTCATTGCCGAGGGTGAGTTTGTTGTAGCAGCAAGTGGGGAGGCTAACCTGGTAGATGACCAACACTTCCTCAACGTTGCTACAGCCCATGCTTTGCAGCGCCTGCGAAAGGGCGAGCTCATTCGTCTATGGAAAGTCTCCGGCATGTGGTCATCTGGGGAGGATGACGGTATGAATGCAAGCGAGGAAGACGGCGACCACGGCCTAGGCAAGGCCGAACTGGTCTCTGGAATTATCGGTGCCGTAAGTGTTCTTCTCCGCCACACGGGACTGTTCGCTCATAGCATTTCAGCGCAAACAGTTTTCGGCCGCTGGTTCCTCTTCCAGGCCCAAGTCATCCTCTCTTGATCGCGCATTCTCTCCCAAAGGTCGGCACAGTCGGACCAGCTCATTGACGTCGCCTCCGTCTTCGTCTGACGAAAGCACACATTCCAGGCCGATGGACCTGGACGCAACTCCAAAGGCGCCCCGTCGTCGAACACGCTCGACTACGACACATAGCAGGCTAGCAGAACCGATTGCACTTCGTCCCGCCAACCGCAAAGAACGTCTAAAGGCCAAGGCCCGCCCCGGAAAACCTCGCGTGAAAGGCCTGGCCCAAGGTCGGAAAGCACGCTTCGGTGCCAACGTAAAGAGCCCAGAGCACCACACAGCTCGTCTCACCCGTCGCTCCTCCACACTTTCATCAGTTTACGCTACGACGACAGACGGCTCTGGTGGCGACGAACCATCGACGCCTTTCAAAACTCGCTCTCGGCACCTATTAGAGTCCGCCAATGTTCGAGCGACGCCCTTACTTCATCGACTTCGCCCTCGCACGAGAGGCAACATGGCTTCCAATGCATCCACTGAGGTGGACGCAGATGCCGAAGATAACGATGGGGATGAGGACTCTGGTCCAGCATCGACGTCATCTAGCTCCCGCCCACGCAGGGCCACTGAGTCTGGAATGGGTCGTGACAAGCACGAGAGGCTTGCCAAGCGTGAGGCTCTGAAAGCCATTCGTCATGGCGATGAGCAGTCTGTATCGAGTGACCGTGATTCCAACGAGGAGGGCACGGCAGCAGACGGCCCTGATGAGCGTACGTCCCACGACCTTACGCTTCGAACTTTAGCTAATGTGGTCTTCAGTCCAGGTGCTGAGCCCTATCAAGTCGAGTAGATCGGGACGGTCACGCAAGGCTTCGGGCTCGTCCCAGCGAGTCAGTGAGCCTATCGATATTGAGGATGATGAAACGCAGTCGCCGGCGGCCAGTGTGCGGACTACGCGATCCGGTAAAGTGTTCAGCAACATGGAATTGCGTGACGGCTCCCCCGCGGAAGATGAATCCATGGATATGGATGAAGGAGAGGAATGGAGAAACGGTACGTCTGACACAAAACAAGAATAGGTTAGGTTGACTCTCCTAGACGTGGATCTGGCGACCACCACACTGTCGTCTTTAACTCGCCTGCGCAGAGACCAACTAGTCCACATGTGTGAGACTCGCAGCCTTGAAGTTGGTGGCACGAAGTCTCAGCTAGCTCGCGCGTTGTTTGAATGGGTACGTGATGACGCTGCCACTCCGACTGCTATGCTAAAGTTGACGCGTTGTTTCAGCAAAACGAACAACAACGAGACGACGAGCTTGAGCGAACTTCAAGCATCAGTTCTCAGAATACGGCGCGCCCTGGCACCCCAGAGTCACCAAAGATTGTACCAGCAGTGGCTACCAACACACATCGGGATGGCCAAGCGACGCCTGTGCTTCTCCGCGAACATATTCATGCCACCGACCCGGCGACACCGCCTCGCTCCGATGAAGACTCTGCTCGCTCCACCGAGAATGACCTCAACTTGGACCTGCAAGAATTAGGCTTGGAAGACTTCACCATCAAGCCCGAACACCTGCTCAAGCTCGAGAAAATTGGTAGCGGAGGATTCAAAGAGTGTGTATGTTGGCAAACCAACCACTGACGGCATCCAGTGTCTTTGTTGGTAAACTCAGAGGCCGCAAGGTCGCAATCTCAGAGTTTAGGGGACACCTCAGTGAAAGTGAGTTCACAAAACGCTAAACAGAATGACTGATCACGTTTTCAGTGGACATTCGAGAGCTCAAGCTCCTGGCAGAGTTCAGCCATCCCAACATCGTCCGCTTCGTGAGTTTTAGCTGTCGTGGCAATCGCTAATACCAGCGCGGCATTTGTATCCCTGAAGACTCTTCCCAAGTGCCCTGCATGCTCATTAGTGAGCTGTGCGAGAATGGCGACCTCTTCGACTACATAGTGCGTTATAAAAGGAGCCTCGTGTCGGAAAGCTGACTGCTCAGCGCAATGTCCCTCCTCCGCCCCTCAAGCGGGTCCTGCGTCTCATGCTGGACATTGCCCGTGGCCTCGAGTACCTACATCTCCGCAAACCTGCGATTATCCACAGAGACGTGAGTGACACAAGCTTACACATGATATTCTGACTTGTTTCAGTGCAAGTCTACAAACATTCTCATCACGCGGCAGGGCACTGCCAAAGTTGGCGATTTTGGACTTGCGCGAGTCAAACACAGCACACGCTCGATGATCCGCAGCTTGGTCGGCACAGTCAACTGGCAGGCACCAGAGCTCTGGCATGCGAGTCCACGCTACGACTACAAGGTCGATGTGTTCTCGGCCGCATTGGTCTTTTGGGAGATGCTGTCCGGTTGGGCAGGCGAAAAGGTAAGTAAAGTGGTCTTTGGCCCCAACCCCGTTCCTGACTGACACTTGCTCAGAAGTACCCATGGGAGGGCCACAATGAACACTACATCTATGATGCGGTGGGCCAGAAACAGAAGCGCCCATCGCTGGCCGGGTTGCGCAAACACTGGGGCCCTGAGCCAGTCAACCTGATTGAACGCATGTGGCTTCAAGATCCGGGGGAGCGTCCAACCATGTCCGACGTGGTTGCTGACCTGGAGGCTCTCATTATCGAGTGTTAGTGCAAACTCATTTTCACAGCATGATTTAGCAATACATTGCTTGTAGCTACACAATGTAATCCTAGCGTCAACGTGCCAGTGTACCAGTGTGTAGTTGTGATACGTGTTGGTTGATCTGTCCGAAACATTGTTGGAATTGCTGGTGGCCGTTATTTGCCACCTGATGGTGGAATTTTGATTCCGTGTCATGACCGCACCCCCAACACCTCCCAACACACGCCATGAACACTCGTCGTCTCGATCGCCTTGTTTCCCCTCCAGCATCCCCTGTGGGCATTTACACCACTGCGTTAGACACGCAACTTTTTACCCAGCTACATCGCCCGTAGGACGACAACATGTCCGACCTTGAAAACGAACTTCTGGGCCTGGCCGAGGACGAGCCGGGCCGCCGCAACAAGAAGCACCGCGAGCGCCGTGGTGCTGATCGGTGAGCAACTTTCTGCAGCTGCTTGGAATGGATGGACTGCAACTGACTCATGGGATAGTAATGAGGACTGGGAGGACGACAATGACGAGGAAGACATGGACATGGACATGGACCTTGACTCTGATGATGACTCGGCGGCTCAACCGCGTGCCAACGTCAACCCCTATCCTTTGGAGGGCAAGTACAAGCACGAGGATGACCGCGACTGGTAGGTGTTGTTTCTGCTATAAATGACAACGGTCGTCAATGAGCCTCACACTGTTTGCAGGCTTGACAGTCTTCCCGAAATCGAGAGGGAAAACATCCTCGCAAGCCGACAGGAGGAGATGCAAAAGTACAAGGACTCGATGCAACTCGACGCCATGTACAAAATGGCCGTGGACGAGAACGACGACGACGATGACATGCACCCTCGCAAGCGTGCACGTGAGTTGTTGTCGAGTAACCTTAATGGAAAGCGACACTGACTCCTTCACAGGCAAGCACACCAGTGTCACAACTGAGGCTACGCGCGCCATGGAGGAGCTGAAGAACAGGCGTAGGGCAAAGGACGAGAGGCAGCAGCGCAGGGTGGGTCGATAACATTCACTAACACAATTGCGTAAAGCTAACTATGCAGGCTGCTAGACGTGAAGAACGTGGTCGCGCGCGTTCGGAATCGGTTGCCTCCCATGACGAGGTGTCGTCTGAGGAAGGAGAGATATCGACCAGGGATGCCTGGCGTATGCCCTCACCTTCTCGCCGTGCCATGCGCGACGACAAGGCTGAGCGCGAAGTGGACATTGACGCTGTCCCCGCCAACTTCCAAGAACTCAACTCTGCTCGACTCAGCCGTTATGAGCTAGTGGACATGATGTACAAGGATCAATTCGAGGATGTGATCAAGGGTAAGCGTACTGGGCGTCGTCCATAATGGGTGTGCTGACTGTCACAGGCTCGTATGTGCGCCTGATGGCTGGTGACAATGATGAGAACGGACGACCGAAGTATCGTGTGCACAAGATCACCGGCGTTGACCACACTCGTGAACACGGCAAGTACTCGATCGAGTACCAGGGCCGTCAGATGTCGGACAGCCGCGCACTCATGTGCCAGTACGGCAAGATGGTCCGTCTGTACCGTATTGCAGATGTTTCGAATGGTGACATTGACGAGGTGAGTCATGGGACCATTATGGCAAAATCACTGAGACCCTTTCTTCAGAGCGAGTTCAACCGTTTCTCGCTTGTGAACAAGACCGACAATGTTCGTGCTCCGAGACGCTCAGAGTTGAAGCGCAAGCATGAGGAGATTGTGGCACTGAGGGACCGCGCGATGACCGAGGACGAAGTGAACCGCCAGGTAGAATCGCGCAAGCAGACCAACCCTGCTCAACGACAGAAGGCTGTTCTGCAGATTACGTCCCTGATGTCGTCCAAGCAGCTCGCTCTCCGCCGTAACGACCACGATGCGGCCGATTCTATCACACAGCAGATCATTGACCTGGGCGGCGACCCCAACACGGGCCAGCTACTCTCGGCCCCGGACAGCGTGACCGACTACGACGCTCGTATCCAACGAATCAATGAGAACAACAAGCGCAAGACACGAGAGGCAATGGCCAAGGCTCATGAGGCCGCTCTGGCCCGCAAAAAGACTGAGGAGGCGATTGTCAAAGCCAAGGCGTGAGTCTTGTTTCCAAACCAACCGCCCCAGTGGCCGACCAAACACTGTGCTGACATTTGACAGTGCCAAGAAGGCCGCTGCTGCCGAGGCAGCCAAGGAAGTGGCTCCTACCCCACCCGTGTCTGGTCTGAAAAGAGGCGAGACGCCCCAGCAGTACGTGGCTAGGACTATTACACTGGATCTGGGCGACTTTTAGAGACGGGGCGGGGCATCGATGTAGTGGAGCATAATGTAACAAATCACACAAAGCACATGACATCAGGTCGTCTCTACATTGGCTAACAAAGGGGGTTATCTCAAGCAGCAGCGGCAGGCTCCTGTTCCTTAGCGGACTCGTCCTTGGCACCGACATCCTCAGTGGCAGCCACGACCTGGGTTGCGGAGGGCTTGAGACCCATACGAGTGGAGACATACTGGGTGGGACATGTCAGCACCATGACCACAACTTTAGGCAGGGAGGCAATACGTACGTCTTGGGCAATAACCTCGACACTGTTCCGCAAGATTTCGACGAGGCGCTCTTCGACCCAGTCGCTCTTGTCGTACTCGACCTCGAGCCAGTCGCCAGGTGCAGGTTGGCTGACGGTGGTGAAGCGGAGACCGTGTGAGGGGTCTTGGATAGTCACGATAAAGGAGAGGTGCTGGGGTGGGGTGGCCGGCTTGGGGGCAGACGCGAGGAGGGGCGGCTCCGGCACTGGCAGGGCAGCAAGCACCGGCTGAATCTGGAGGAAGACGGGAACTGTGGTGACAGGAACATCGGCTGTGTAGATGTCAGATCTCCCGTGGCCTGGTCATGCTGTGTGTGGTTGAGGTTGCTGTTGTTGTTCACTCACCTTGAGCTGCCTTGCGGGCTTGGGGGTTTTTGGCTTCGCGGGCCTGGAGAGCCTCCATCTCCTCCTGAGACAGCTTCCAGCCCTCGTCCCAGCCAGTGACTGGGTTGAAGGTACGCGCAGTAGGAAGCTCCCTCTCTGAGGGGGACCACACGACGACGAGTTCACCCGACGCCGTCTGATCCAAAATGGTGCTCCAAGCGCGATAAATCACACCCTCCACACCGTCGTAGCCGACCATGGGATGCGAGAGCCACAGCTCGATTGTCTCGTGCTCCGAGATAGGAGGGGCGACGGTGTTGATGAGCTGAGTGAATGTAGAGTTGGCTTGGGTGAGGAGGTCTTGGCCTGGATTTTTGGGTCAGCAAATGTGGTATGTTGATTGACAAGGGCCAAACCAACAACCCATGCACACATGAAGACATACGAAGCTTGTCCAGGTCGACGTTTCCCACGTTCTTGACAATGCCACCGAGGCGCTCCTCTGCGTCCTTCCTCAGCTTGTTTAGGTCGACACCGCCAACGTTCAGTTGCTCGAGCTGACCCCTCACACCAGACACACCCTCCTCGCGGACCTTGCGGTACTGCTCGTCGGCGACACGCTGAGCAGACTGGATGGCTGAAGTGGCCGACGACCAGAATGAACCCCACCCGGTGCCGGCAGCGGGTACAGCGGTTGGGACGTTAAGCTGAGCATCAGTCTGGGCATCCGGCTGGGCGTGAGCGACGGCAGCGGCGGTGGACGTAGAGCCCGAAAGGGCAGGGCTCGAGGTGCGCGGGGTGGCGGAAGTGGGGACTGCCGAGCTGGGAACACTGAGAGGAGCACGCTTCTGGTTGATCTGAGCCTCGAGGAACGCTAGGGCATCGGCTGCCTCTGCGTCGGGCGCGGCAGCGGTGGTTTCAGCCTCGCCTGGCTTGTTGCTGTCAGTGGACGACCTGCCCGGAGCCTGGGCGGGAGGTGCGGAGGGAGCGTCTTCGGGAGCCTCGAGGTTGTCGAGGTCGGAGAGGAAGGCCAAAGCCTCCTCTGCCTTTGTCTTCTTGGGAGGCATTTGAGGAGGGGGAAGGAGGGAGAGGTGGTGGTGGTGCGGCAGTTGCTGACTGGGATGGGGTAATGGGGACGCCGGGAGGTTGTAAAGAATGAGCGAGAGAGAATGGTGGTGGTGGTGGTGCACAGACTCTGCCCGGTTGTGCCCATGGCGTCACACATATGATGGATGGGTTGGCCCGTTTGTGTTTTGGGCGGGCGGGGGGAACTGCGCGCCTGTGGTGGAAAGGCCTGCCAAGGATCCAGGAGAAGGCGAGTCAAAACACTGCAAAGCGCAATTGACAGCTGACAGGGTACATGGCCACATGGCCATATGGGATGACATTTTGGTTCCGTGCCACACCCACCCACACAGCTGGTGCGCTGGCTGGAGCCGCTCTCTGGCTGGGAGCCGCTGGCTGGAGCCGCTGCCGACTCTCCCTGCCCCCCTCTCTCCCCCCCTGGCCTTCCCCCCCCTCCCCCCCTGCGTCACTGGTCGGTCGGTTGCCCTCTCTTCTCCACTCTGCGCGCGCAACCCGTCGTCAGCTTTGTTCATCCACACCCACACCCACAACCCACCCACCATACCTCATTCCACCCATCCCCCCTTCCTCGCCATCGTACACACAACACACAACCCCTGGCATCGCCAGCAAACAACCCTCCCTCCCCCCCTCCTCCATCCCCTCTGACGGCTCCCCCCCAGCCGTTCTACACTCGCCGACACCGCACGTCGCTTTCAAGGCCGCCTTCACACGGTTTCTCCGCGCCCATCTGCGATTGCACCACCCACCACCCACCACCACCCCTCCACAACTCCGTCCCACTCCTCTATCCTTGTGATCGGTCCTTTTACCTCTTGGATCACCCCACACCCCACCACCCACACTCTTCCACTTTCGTTCACTTGCCACTTCGCCTGGCATGGATCCTGAGGCACCATCAAACCAATGGCGCTTCGCCCAGTGTTTTGGAGACAAGGGCGAAGTTGAGGACATCACAGAGGGTGCGTTCCGCGCTCGCCCATGACCCCAATGGGGCTGCTCTGTACACAGAGGAGTGCTCTACAGCGTCTGCTCACCAGTCGCTGACAACAAACACAGCCGACATCATCTCCACTGTCGAGTTTGACCACACCGGCGATTACCTAGCCACCGGCGACAAGGGTGGTCGCGTGGTCCTTTTCGAGCGCAACGAGCAGGTAAATGCCTCCTACACCTTTGCCCCTGCCTATGGAACTGCAGTGCTGACACTGGCAACAGAAAAAGGGCTGCGAGTACAAATTTTACACCGAGGTGAGCATTCAAACCAAAGGCCATTGCTGGCCAATGTCGCGACAAGCCCGCTGACCAGCCCCACAGTTTCAGTCCCACGAGCCCGAGTTTGACTACCTCAAGTCCCTGGAGATTGAGGAAAAGATCAACAGGATCAGGTGGTGCAAGCGCCAGAACGCGGCTCATTTCCTTCTGAGCACCAACGGTGAGTGAACACGCACGCCAAAGGCGGCTTTTTATGCTGACTCGTTTGTGCAGACAAGACGATCAAGCTTTGGAAAGTCTTTGACAAGCAGATCAAGGTCGTTTCCGAAAACAACCACACCGAGGGCTACACTGCCAACACGGGTGCCATTGCTGCACAGGCTCTCCGCCTTCCTCGCATGACCACCCACGACTCGATCACTGCTGCTGTTCCTCGAAAGGTCTACGCCAATGCCCATGCCTACCACATCAACTCCATCTCGGTCAACTCGGATGGAGAGACCTACATCTCTGCCGATGACCTGCGCATCAACCTCTGGAACCTGAACATCAGCGACCAAAGCTTCAGTGCGTTTTTCTGTTGCCCGCGTGATCAAAGACACAAACCCACTGACTCGTACAGACATTGTTGACATCAAGCCTGTCAACATGGAGGAGCTTACTGAGGTCATTACAGCTGCCGAGTTCCACCCTGTGCACTGCAACTTGTTCATGTACTCTAGCTCCAAGGGCACCATCAAACTTGCGGACATGCGCGAGGCTGCCCTTTGCGACCAGCACGCTAAGCGTGAGTATCGACGCGACAAGCCAGCCAAGGAGTTCTTGTTTCTAACTTGCCCCCCAGTGTACGAGGAGGAGGAGGATCCGTCACAGAAATCGTTCTTCTCCGAGATCATCTCGTCTATTTCGGACGTCAAGTTCTCGCGGGACGGCCGTTACATTCTCTCGCGAGACTACTTGACGCTCAAGATCTGGGACATGAACATGGAGAACAAGCCCGTCAAGACTATCAACATTCACGACCACCTGCGCCAAAAGTTGTGTGACCTTTACGAGAACGACTGCATCTTTGACAAGTTTGAGTGCACATTCAGCGGTGACGGCAGGTACGTACCAAGATTGGATTCTGGTCACGGTCATGTGCTGACATGCCATTAGCCAAGTGATGACCGGCTCGTACCACAACTACTTCCGCATCTACGATGTCAACACGGACAACGACGTTGTCCTGCAGGCCGACAAGTCGGCGTTCAAGGCCAAGAAGATTGGAGGTGCACGTGGCAAGGTTCCTGGCAAGAAGGAAGGACTCCAGACCGAGGGCATCGACTTTGCAAAGAAGATTGTGAGTCTCGTGTGTGTGCGTGGGGCTGTGCTGACCTGCTTAGCTCCACGGCAGCTGGCACCCTCGGGAAAACACTATTGCCATTGCCGCCACCAACAACTTGTGAGTGTTTTTTTCTTGACGACCCCATCGCCACCCCCCCCCCCCCCCCCCCCCGGTAATGCCTATGTGTGCCATTCTGACACCTACCCAGGTTCCTCTACTCCACCCTCTCATAAATCATGTCGCGCGCCACATCAAGATACCCTATTCCGTCGCAACATTCCAGTCATGTCCGGGCCATGGTCGTCGTGCCATGGATCACTTTCCGAAGAGTTCAATGCCGCGGCCCTTGCCTCAGCCATCCTTTCACTCGATTGTCATCGTCCCTACCAAATATCCCCAAACTCCCACCCCACCAACCTCCCCCCCCCCCCCCCCCCCCCCGCGCCAACCCGCCCCCACGTCCACCCAATCACCTCCTTTCCCCACCTTGTCACCTTGGACGACATGCTGTGTACCGCCCCCTTCGTCGCTATGGAGTGCATCCTATGACGAGGAGAGAGTTTGCAAAAGCGGCGTCGTCCACTCCCCGCCGCAACCACGTCTATCATCCTACCAGCTAGCTTGGTTTCTATTTTTCTTTAGATTTTCACATAGGGTTTCCCCACAGGATCTGGAGAGCGTCCTATGGGCGCCCATATGTCGAGGGGCTGTGAGGATGGTGACCACCCTCTGGCCGTGTAGAGAGAGAGAGAAGTGCAGAAAGAAGCCAAAGATGAAATGTTACAGTAGATTTGCTTCCGCTATTCGGCCGTCGCGCGCCAACTGACCGTAAACAACATCACGTGCACGATTCTGGCGGCTGCGCGTTGAATGCAACGAGGGCGTGTGCTTTCCTTTTGTCTTCTCCATCGACATCGTCACCCTCGAACGAGCAGTGAGCCCCGCGCGGCCACCCAAAGGGGGCCTTTACATATCCACCAACGTCCACGACGACGCAGCTACACCTAGCCACCGAGGAATGCCCGCAGTCTGCAGACATCACCTTCCGAACCACCCGGCCCCCACAGCTGTCATCCCGCCGCCCTCCAGCCGTCCCTCAGTCCCACACACAAGCACCACTGCACCACTTCCCCAATGTCCAAATCGCCCTCCACTCCAGTCCGATACGATGGAGCCCGGTCTTCACGTCAACCTGCGTGGGATAATGTTGACCAGGACGACTCTGTCGAGCTCACACTGCCCGAGTTTCACTTCCCTTGGCTTGGAGACAACACCACAACAGCGGGTGCTGCTGCAGCAGCGACGCCGTTGAGCACAACTGCTGTTGCCCTTGTCTCCCGGGAAGGCCGTGAAAATAGGGCGAAGGCGCACCCAACAGCGGCTCATCAGCGGTTGGAATCTTCGTCTGTGAACTCGTCGGCCTCTTCTAGTCACAGACTCCCGCTGTCCGACAACTCGATGGCGTCCGGATCCTCCTTTACAAGTCCTCCCAGCGCTGCCCCAACACCACCCAGCGACTATCACAGCGACTATCGGAAGACAGCCAGTCGCAAGTCTCCCCCCGCTCCCAGATACTCGGACGAAGCGGAGCCCGGCCGACCCATGAGGCCATCAGCTTCACGCTCGTTCCAGCGAGTTGTTTCTGCCCCTGTCTCGGGTTCGGCATTCTTCGACCACGCCGATGACGACGACGACCACGACCAGTATAACGATCCGGCGCATCAACTTGTAAGCAGTTTGGATTACTTTCACCAAGCTAACGTGCTGCAGAAGAAGAGCGAGGATCAGCGGTCTGGACCAGCCGATCACGTTCGTGTCTCCGCCCCTCGCTCTGCGAACATGGTCACCCCTGGTATTGCCCAGAGAACATTAGGATCATCGACCGCGTCTAGCCGTCGACTTGCTGGCCTTTCGCGCTTTGGAGGACCAGCCCGTCGAGTCGTTGCCCCACTTGATCCGGATGAGCTGGAGGAGGACGGTGTGTCTTCCGCGACCGGTGAGTATGGGGTTCGGAGGTCAGCGTCTAACTGCCTGGCAGAATCTCCTCATAACGCTTCAGACCTGCATCAGCCCGATACATCGTCCCACCAACCCACAGGATCATCGTCATCCACGGCTCGGCCATTTGAACATGTACCCTCGACCTATGCAATTCCTGAAAGCCACCCGTCTTTGTACGAAATGCCACGACCTCTCGACACCAAGGATCTCTGGCAAGAGCCACCACTGGGCCTGGATGAACTCCGCCGACCAAAATCACCACCACTGTCCACCTCAGACAGGGGCAACCGACCACTCCCACCTCCTCAGCATGACGTTGGGGGAAAGCGCAAGGGTGACCTCGCCCTCGGTCATGACGAGCGACAAGTTGGGAATGGCCTACAGGATGCCGTGTCCGTTCGAGTCGCAAGTGTGTCTCGCCCACCAGCCCAGGGTCAACTCCGAGCTTCGCGTCCAGCGCCATCGATACAGCCCAGCGTAGACAGGCCATCTGCATCTTCACCGGCCCCCCGTCCCGGCGAACAGTTGGCCACCTTCACCGCACAGCTCCCGCCATCAGGCCATGGAGTGCCCCCATCGTTACCTCACGTTGCGACCGCCCCAGCACCTGCCATGCCCGTTGCCCAACCTCTTCCTGCTGCTCCTCTGTCAAAGAGGTCATTCTTGGTGAGTTGTTTACTACCATTGGCATATCTGACTGGATAGGTCAACGGCGTTCCCTACGAGCGTCTCGGCATTCTTGGCAAGGGTGGCACATCGAAAGTGTATTCCGTTCTCTGCCCAACCAAGCGAGTCGTATACGCTCTCAAGAGAGTTGCTCTGGATCGAGCGGATTCGGAAACATATCAGAGCTATACCAACGAGATTGAACTTTTGCGGCGCCTTCGAGGCCACGACCGCATCATTCAGCTCATAGACCACCAGATCACCTTCAACCAGTCCAACCGCCCAAAGATGTTGATGATGGTAAGTGGCCCAGTTGGGTGGCTGTTTGCTGACGACCCAAGGTTATGGAGTGCGGCGAGATCGACTTTGCAGGGCTACTGGACGAACAGCGAGGGCGACCACTGAACATGAACTTTGTGGGATTGTACTGGCAACAGGTTGGTACCAGCTTACAGGTGCATTGAAGCTGACGCGCGATTAGATGCTGGAGGCGGTTCAAGCAGTTCATGCCGAAAATGTGGTGCACACCGACTTGAAGCCTGCCAACTTTGTGCTCGTCAAGGGTCGATTGAAGATCATCGACTTTGGTATCGCTAAGGCTGTTGCCAACGATACTGTCAACATTCAACGTGATCAGCAGGTGAGTGATGAATGATGACATTCTAAGAGGTCGTATGGCTGACTGGGACCAAGATTGGCACAGTCAACTACATGTCACCGGAAGCGATCCAGAGAATGAATAACCAAAAGGTGTTGAAGGTGCGTAGATTCATGCCTCGGCGGTGTACTGACAGCAACCAGCTCTCGTACCCAAGTGACGTCTGGTCTCTTGGTTGCATTCTCTACCAGATGATATATGGCAGTCTACCATTTCAACACGTTCAAGGCGGCCCGCTTTCAAGGATGAACGCAATTGCAGACCCAACTTATCGGATCGACTACCCTTCCGCAGCAGTCTCCAAGCCATCGACCGCCAATGGGCAGGCATATACCGTGACGGTTCCTCCATTGGCGATATCTGCCATGCGTAGCTGCCTAGAGTACGACAAGGAGCGCCGACTTACCATACCGCAACAGTTGAGGCATCCCTTCCTGTCTTCCAGCCAAGACGCCGCAGCAGCACCAGCTCTCCCGCCTGGTGCGACGTCAATCACGAGGGACCAGATGGCAATGTTGGTCAACTTCGTCCTCCGCGAGAACAGGCTGCCATCGTTAGGCCCACACGACTCGACCGCCGAGGACCTGTTCGCTCAACTTCAGGCTCAGAACTCTATTTCTCAGACCTAGCCTCTCCTCTGCAGGGGTATACATATAAATCGTGCAATGAAAATTACATTGTGACTTTTACAATAACAAGTGGCCCGGTAGAAGAAACATCATGAGGTGTCGTTACCAGCAGTTGCTCGGTAGATGACTGCCGTGCCGGTTCGGTATTCGTTGTTGGGAAAGTAGCTGTCGGTGCGGGGCAGAAGAGGGGCTCCATTGTAATCCGAAAAGGAATACGAGTCATCCGGGTTCTGTTTGAGTGCAGCTGGTGGCAAGTCGAATGACGTGAAATGCAAGCCTCCGGTTGGCGTCATTGGGGAGGACGTCTGTGAAGGTGGGGACGGCAACGGCCTGATAGGTAAGACGCCGTTGTCGGACACCTCGCCCCAAAGTCGCCGAGGCGAAGGCGAAGCGGGTGCGGTAGGTGGTGGGAGCAGTTCGCCGGTAGCGGACAACATGGGAAAGTGGAACACTTCAGACTTGGGCGAAGTATCTGATGAAGAGGAAAAGTGCGAGTCGTCACTCCCCTCAGTGAAGGCCTTAAAGGAGACGGGCTGTGGCCGTATGGGTCGCTGTGGTGTTGGTGGCAATGAAGCCGCCTGGCCCCAGGAGGCCATGAGTGGCTGTTTGGCAAGGGGAGCCTCTGTGTCTACCACTTCGACCTCGTGCCTGCGTTTGTTCTTCTTTCTCCACGATCTTCCCGTCCACATTAACACCACGATCAGAAAAAGTGCAGCACCTGGTGAACATGAGCGCCGTGTCACCTCTGTCAAACACCCACAAAAGCTTAAGCCAACACCAATGGTGAGCTTGTCCTGATTCGACATGCCACAAACGACCCCTTTTGAATCATACGTGTCGCCATACTGGTTGGCAGTTAGCAGCCGTGGGACGGAACGCATGTGGGGCCAGGCTTACGGGATTGTCGTTGTTGTGGAAGGCGCACATTGACCTGGACGACAGAAGCGGCATTGTTGTTGTCAACGGAAAGAATGCAGGTTGTGGGGCAACCTTGGTCCACATGTCTCTATATACTTCTCGGATGAGGGCTTTGTACGGCCACTGCTGACATTACTGAATTGCATTGTGGGAACGCTAGAGAATCAGCGCGTTGGAGCGCGATATGACCCAAAAGTTGGGGGAAGGACCAGCTGAACTACATGGAAAACGAGACCAGCAGTCAACATGGAATGGGACATGTCAGTAAAGCCACAAGACGCCAGCATGCCAGGTGCATTTCCGGCCCTGTACTTGCCATTTGGGAAGTGACCAACTTGCGAGAGCAATCAAGGAGCCGTAGTGCGGTTTGGAAGGGCGGCTCAAGAGTTGTTGCTGATGGCTGGCATGGCTGGTCCTGGCGCCAATTCTGTTTAGTGAATGGCCTCGGTGACCCCTGAAAGGACGACTCTGTCAACACCAATCAGCAGGATGTGTGAGTGCTGGCCCTCCTGGCCACGATATGCAAAGGGGACACAGAGGAGAGGCGAGGGACCTTGTTTATAGACTTGTGCGACGTCTGTGTTCTGTACATAGCTCATGTGTCAGGCAGGCATGAGAGTACCCCTTGTTGCGGCAGGTATTCATCGCAAATGTGGCACCAGCGCAGTGTTCCGCGAATTGACGAAGCGGTCTGGCATTTTCCTTCCAGGACGGCACTATCAGAGATCGATAGAGCCCTCATGTGAGCATTGAAACGTTACGAGCTCGCTCTTCCTGAAACAGTCGCTGCTCCCGCCGGAGTAGGGGAGGGAGCACAGCCAACACACTGTGGCACCAGGAGCCGACTCTAATGGTCAAGCTGGATCTCGAGAGAAAGGATCTCCCCGGCGCACCCGGGCGGTTGCGCATATGTGAGAAAGCGTTGGTGGTCGCCAAGCGCATGTTGAGATCAGACGTAGCTTGCAATAACCCCCACAGCCGGGACACCTGCTCGCAACCGCCTGGGGGGTCTATAATAATCGTAACCCCGGGTATCACCGTCAGTGTGGCATTCCGCAGCCCGGCGGTTACGGTGGTGCCCGCGTGTCTCTGGCCGCTGGGACGACGACAAGATCCATCCAAGATTCCACACCCTCGTCGTGGCCCCGCCCTTTCACCATTACCCTTCACAACAACATGGAAGTCAACAAGGAGGAAGCTCTGCGCTGTCTCCAGATTTCGCAGCGTCACAGGAGCGCGTCCAACTGGCCCTCGGCGCTCAAGTTTGCCCTCAAGAGCGTCTCGCTCTACCCGACACCTGAGGGCAAGGCGATGGTCGCGCTTATCGAGCGCGAAATGAGCAATGCCGAGGCCAACGGGGCGTCGAGCAGCTCAGCCGCTGGGGCACCACCGACCCCTTCTTCCCGACCTAGTGCTGGTGTGAGCTCTTCGTCGGCTCGCGCTACGGGAGTCGAGGAGCACTTGACCTCTGCGCATACCCGTCATCCGAAGAAACAGGCCTCCACCGAGACCGGTTCGGACAGCGACAAGGGCAAGAAGCGCGAGTACACCGTGAAGCAGCTCGAGGTGGTGACGCGCATCAAGCGGTGTCGCGATCACCAGTACTATGAGATCCTTGCGGGTGAGCACACCGCTGTGTATTCAACAACCGGCGTACAACTGACACAACCCAGTCGAGCGCACATGTTCCGAGGGAGAGGTCAAGAAGGCGTACAAGAAGCTGGCGCTGGCGTTGCATCCGGACAAGAACGGCGCGCCGGGCGCTGACGAGGCGTTCAAGAGTGAGTCGTGGTGGGCCCCGTCAGGCAAACGCAACACGCCTCAGGGCACTACAGCAGTAGCTGACTCAGTGTCCAGTGGTGTCAAAGGCGTTCCAGGTGCTGTCGGACCAGAGCATGCGTTCCGTCTACGACTCGAATCCAACCGTGGATCCGACCCAGCGCGGCGGTGGTGGTGGTGGCGGAGGAGGAGGCATGAGCGGCATGCGCGGGTTCGGCGGTGGAATGCACCCCGGCTTCCAGGGTGGCTTCCAGGGTGAAATGAGCCCAGACGACCTGTTCAACATGTTCTTTGGCGGCGGCATGAACAGTGGATTTGGAGGCGGTGGGTTTGGAGGTGGTCCTCGAGGTGAGTTTATCAAGATCGCCCTTGATTTTGAATAAAGCAACTTGGGCTGACTTTTAGTGTACACTTTCGGGGGACGTGGTGGCCAACAGTTCAACGCTCGGCGGCCGCGTGCAGCTGCCGGAGGCATGGCGGCCGACGAGACATCTTCTCCCTTCCTTGCTCTCCTCCCTGTCGCCCTGCTCCTCTTCTTTGTCCTCTTCTCCGTCCTTCCCGGCCTCTTCTCAGCCGACATGGTTCCCGACCCGGAATATCGTTTCAAGCCGAGTACGCAATTCGACGCGGCGCGCACAACCTGGCAGCGCAATGTGCCCTACCATGTCAACAGTGCCGAGTGGGAAAAGTCGAATATCTGGCAGAGCGTCCCAGAGAACCGCCGCGACCGGTTAGACGCCGCCATGTTCTCGTCCAAGCTCCGCGGGTTTGAACGCGGCGTGGAGGAGACCCATATCCGCGCCCTCCAGAGCGAGTGTCACACTTTTAATGTCATCAAGCAACGCAAGATTGCCGAGGAGACGGGGCTGTTTGGTTGGGGTGCCGACTATGACAAGATTCGCAAGCTCCGTGCTGAGAAGAGTCCGTCGTGTGAGAAGCTTCGGGGATGGGGTGTCACACAGCAGGCATTTTAGAATCGTCAGCCTTCGTCTCGCGTACTGGCGAGGAAGGGCAGTGGTAATGTATTTTGTAGGTGTTCCCGGGTACCCATCCAATTCCTGGATGTACGTCTTCTCCTCTTTTGCTTTCGTTGGACCAGACCAAACGTTGCAGAGTGTTACGGCGTGGCAGTGGTTGGGGGGTTACCGAAAACGTCGAGATTGTTCCATGCCGCCCGGCAAGCCACAAAGCAGATGACCGCCCAGATGAACCGCCCAGACTCTCAGCACTGGATACGGTGATCACTATACGATGGTGACCGCCGGTACCGTCGACCAGCCACTGAACCTGTAGAGCACTTAGGCAGTGGACGTGTCAGACGAGTCAGCACGACGTGCCGTCCGCCGGCACAAACACACCGGAGCTGTCCGACAAGTGACGTCATGGACACACGTTGCCACATGCGACGCTGTACGCTGTACGCTGTTCAAAGGCGCACACGCGGCTGCTTGACACTTCTTCTGCTTCTCAACAACCTGCTGTACTTGCATTGTACCTCATCCGTCATTGTCTCTCGTCATGCGGGTTCCCTTCGATATTGCGGCGCTGGTCCTACAAGCAACCGACTGGCTCCTCCCCAACACTGACACCGTTGCAACAAGGCCACTCCTGTCCCATGAGACGCAGGTTTATCTCGGTGCTGTACAACAGCGATGGGGCGTACCCGGTGCGGCAATCGGTATTGTCACTGGCCCCAAGCATACTTTCAAGGATGAGTGGAAGGCGGAGTATCTGAGTTTGGGCATTGCCGATGGCAAGGGCAACCCCGTTACTGAGAAGGTAAAACAAAGGTGCTAGAAATACGGGCTGACATTGTAGTCCTTGTTCTCTATTGCGTCCAACTCGAAACTCTTCACAGCCATATCCATAGGGATGCTGATTGAAAACAACACTATTGTGCCCTCGACGGGCAAATTTCTGGACTGGGATACCAAGATCATCGACGTCTTACCCGACTGGAAGATCCAGGACGAGTACGCGACTAATAACCTGGACATTGTCGACCTACTTTGTAAGGTGGATATGTGTGGCCACGAGGCTTGCTGACCGACAGCTATGCGTTCAGGCTTACCCAGCCATGACCTCCATCACCAGTGAGGACTTGACAAGGTCTGATGTTTGTAGAACACTTCAGTCTGACACGCCACAGAAGCGGTATCCCGCTTGCAGACTTTATCCACAACTTGCGCAACCTTCCAATGAACGCCGAGATCCGCCAAACCTTCCAATACAATAACCAGCATTATGTCACTATTGGACAGATGGTGTCGGTCCTCTCCCAACGGTCATTCGTCGAGTATGTGCAGCACCACATCTTTGACCCCCTCGGCTTGGAAATGACCTACAACCACACTGCAGCTGCGACAACGGGTTTAAGGACTCATGCGTTTGCACATGTGGGTGTTAACCGGACCGAGTGCTTTGAAAAGTCGGACCTGGAGAACGGCGAGATGGACCAGAGTTGTCGTGGAGAGACCAAGAGTTATGGGTGGTGGACAAAAGGGGACGCCATCGACAATGCGGCGCCAGGTGGGATCGTCAGCAACATCGGAGACGTGGTGAGTTGAGAAAATGGATATCTCATTATCTGCTGCTGATGCTGATACCATCCGCAGGTCACCTGGCTCCAGGAACTACTTTGCCCAGTCCACCTTCCCAAGTCCCTTATCGCCAAATGCGCCTCGCCCATCATGTTCATGACAGACCCGACCCTGCCGCACTGCTCGCCGTTCCTCTATGGCATGGGCCAAATCATGTTCACCTACCGCGGCGAGCAGGTGGTGGAGCACACGGGCGGACTTCCCGGTCAGACGAGTCTAATCCTTCGCCTGCCCGAACGTGATCTTGGAGTCGCGATCCTCACAAACGATTTCCTTGCTGGACCACACTTTTTCCAGGCGGCGGCTTATCGTATTCTCGACGATCTGCTGGGTCTCGAGCCGTACGACTACGAGAAAGTAATCTTTGACCGTCGTTTCCCGGCCCCTGTCGAGACCAAATGGCCAGTGAACCCCTCCCCTCCCAAGGAAGGTTTCCAATCCATCCCCGGACGATACTTTCAGCCAGGCTACGGGGATCTGGACATTCACCTCTTTGACAACCCTACTGGGGACTGGGTGGGGCGTTCCATAGTCTCCCAACTAGCCCTCATGGGTGTGATCCCCGACGCCTCGTCTCTCCCCGAAGCAAGTTACATTGCCGTCACGACACGCACGTTTTTGACCCATTGGGTCTTTACCCACCACGACAAGGGAGTGTTCAACGTCACCACCTTCGCCTTTTTCGATGCCGCCGATGGCAGTGGGCCACCTCTGAGCGATCTGAGCGCCCAAGGAGCTGCAGTGTTCAATGGAAGGGGTGTGGGGTTGTTTGGCCTGGATACCGCCGGTGAAGGTGCTAAATCGTGGCCCGCGGTGGATGACGAGTTTGCCGAGGAGCGAGCTGGGGTGTGGTTTGGGCGCCAGTAAGGAGTCGATTAATGGATCCAATGGGAGTCAGTTAACTCAAAAAAGCGTATAAACAGTGATGCTTCAGTAAGTAGTCGCGCAGCGAAGACGGATGAAATTGAATCGGGTGCGAGAGGTAGCGAGGGATGACCCCACGCGTCAGCTACTGTCACTGAGCTACCATTATCCCAATGCATGTACTACATGTACCTTGTGCTAAGCTTCTTGCTGCTGCAAGTCGTAGTAGTGCTCTGTAGATTGTCAATACTAGAACCATTTTAGAATCGCCTCGGCTGCCCTCGTACTCACTCTCCGCGGCGTTAATCGCCGCCACATTCGACATTGCCTTGTTGATAGTCTCAGTGTGCTCGTCCTCCTCCACCGAGTCAAACACGATACCGCCACCAGCCTGGAGGTAGACGGTGCCATCCCTGAAGGTCATGGTACGAATAGCGATACACGTGTCGAGCTCGTTGCGGTCAAAGTCAAAGCGGCCGACTGCGCCGGCGTACACGCCACGACGCTCCTGCTCGAGACCGCCAACGAGTTGGATGGCCTTGACCTTTGGTGCACCGGAAACTGTGCCAGCAGGGAAGATGGAGCGGAAGGCGTCAAAGCGCGACTGGTCGGGACGGAGGATACCGCTGATCTGGGAAGTAATGTGGATGACGTGCGAGAACTTTTCGATACGCATGAGGTCGTCGACCTGGACTGTCTGGGGTTGGCAGACGCGGTTGACGTCGTTACGCGCCAGGTCGACGAGCATAATGTGCTCTGCGCGATCCTTGTCCGAGGCGAGGAGCTCGGCACCGAGGCGGGCGTCCTCGGCAGCGTTCTTGCCACGCTTGACAGTACCAGCAATGGCGTGGTTGTACACCTTGCGGCCCTCGACCTTGCAAAGGGTCTCGGGGGAGGCGCCGACGAGCTGGACGTCCTTGCAATCGAGATAGAACATGTAAGGGGAAGGGTTGACACGCCTCAGGTGACGATAGACGTTGAAGGGGTGGAGGGCCGTCTTGCGGGCCAGACGCTGGGAGGGGACAGCCTGGATAATGTCGCCCTTGACAATGTGCTCCTTGAGCTTGGTAACAAAGCCCTCGTAGCCGGCCTTGCCGACGTTGGAGATGGCTTCGTTGCCGAGGGTGATAGGGGGTTGGACGGGGAGGGGCACCTCGGGGGCCTCGAGCTTCTGCCTGACAATCTCAATCCTCTTGCCGGCCTCGGCGTACAGCTCGGGGAGCTTGGAAATGTCCTCGCCATCGGGCAGGTAGATGTGCGACACGATCTTAATGGACTGGAAGATGTGGTCAAAGATGACGAGCGTCTTGGTGATCATGAAGAAGGCCTCGGGGAGACCGGGCAAGGGGTCCCGGTGAGGGACAGCAGGCTTGGTGACAGGCTCAAAGTGCTGGATAGCGTCGTAGGTGATGAAACCGACGGCTCCGCCAGTAAAAGTTGGCACCGCATCGAGCTTGACGTAGCGGAATGGCTCCAGTTCCTTCTCAAGCGCATCGAGCGGGTCACCCTCAACCTCCAGTCCCTCACCGGTGCGCACAGTCTTGACGGGGTCGGCGCCGACAAAGCTGTACCTGGCGAGGCTCTCGCCGCCAGTGATCGACTCGAGCAGGAAAGAGTGCTCGGAGCCCTGGGCGACCTTGAGGTATGCTGCGACGGGGGTGAGGAGGTCGGCGGGAATGTCGACATAGACAGGAATCAAGTTGCCACGCTTCTCAGAGGAAGGGGTGACGGGAACCTCGGTCGAAGCGATACCAGAGTAGCGAGCAGCAGCCGGAGGGGCCAAGGTGGTGGGGGCTGAAGGGGCGGTCTCGAGGAGGTGCTTGACTTCCTCGAGGGACGGTTTCAAAGTCTGGACGAGGTCAGCATTGTGGGTGAAGGTAGTGTGTGGTGCAGAGAGGAACTCACTGGCTGGGTCATGACGGGGGGAGAGATGTTGGGGGAAGGAGGGAAGGAGGAGAGCAAGGGAAGACGGGGGCAGGGAAGACGAGTTAGGTAAGACGAGCAAGGACAACGATCCGAGGAAGGATAGGTAGACACTGCTCTTTTAAATGGTTGTGTTGTGCGTGTGGTTGCGTATGATGAGTGTTGTGCGTGCTGTGTGTTGTCTTGAGATACTGTTCCGACAAACGGGGCGAGTTGGTTGATGACACCGTGGCCGCTGCACTGTGTCTTTGCTGGACATGAATCTCAGTCGAGCGCGCGTATAATCGACTCGGAACGTCGGCACGCGGGGGGTGTGGCCGGGGCTGACTGTCGTCACGTGACCTTCACGTGGCTCCAGCGTGGCAGCCGGTCGGCCGTTTACCGTCTCTGGCTTTGGGTTTGTGTGACGGCAGGGGCAACCCATGCACCCACCCAGTTTGCCCATCACAGCAACCACACACACACACACACTCTGTCGTCCCCCCCACCACACCATCTCCATCCACACATCTCTCACTCTCTCTCTCGTCCACTCACCCACCTCGACCCCCACCCCACCCCAACCGTCGCCCACACCCATAGGACCGGTGCATACACTCGTGGCCTCCTCTGCCCCACCTTGGCCGTGTCCATCGCCAAGGCGCTCCCATCGCAGCTAGCACACACCGCGTAAACCCTCCGCGCGCGCCTCCTTCGGCCACACCGTTCCCTTACCATGTCCATCCCGCCCCCACGTCGGGCACAGACCTATGACGCCTACACCGCGGATGGCACAGAGTACGCCGATGGGGCAGGGACATCACAGGTGAACGCTGCACGGAGCAGAAGCATGCGCGACTTTGGTGAGTGGTTTGTGGTTTTGTCACCTTGGGTCCCAGTCTCCACCGACGTGCGCGCGACGCCAACGCCGTCATTCTCCATCACCCAGCTTTGTATCTTGGCAGTTGGCCCTCTCTTGGGCTGCTGCCCCAGCTGCACACCACTCCCTCCCCCCCCCCTTCCCTCCCCCGCGAACGCGTTTGCGCAGCTCCCGGCCCGATGGTCGCCAAAGTGACGTCTGTGGGACGCCTCTTTCGCCGCCGCCGCCCCTTGACACTTTGCCCCTCTCCGTCCTTTTTTCTTGTCGTCACATCATACTCACCACCTCCCATCAGCCCAACCGCTGGCTCTTCCAGAGCTCGACATGGTCGACCCACCCCCCGCACCGCCGTCGTATGACATGGCAATTGGCTCCTTGTCACTTGACTCTCCCGCGGCCCCCGCAAGGTCTGAGCAGCTGCCCTACGCGCCAGTCGACTACGCGTCGCAGCTGTACGCAGACTATCTCGCCGAGGAGGATGAACAGCCGGGACCGCTGCCTGGTAGCAGCGCCGCTGCGGCTCCCAGTGCAGCAGCGATCCGTCGCCCTCGCTCCGACCCCGCAGACATGGAGCACGACTTTGGCAACCTTCGCCTGACGTCGGCGAGCCCGCCGCCGGGGTCGCAACCGCATCAGGCTCAGCGCCAAAACACGTTGTCGGGTCGAGGGCAGTCCGGGCAGTATCCATCGCCTTACGGCGGAGGTGCTCCCCCACTGCGTCAAAGGTCGGTCACCGACGGCTACACGTCAAATCGCACCGGCGACCCTGCTGCAAGTGTCTACTCTTTGGACTCTGGGATGGGCGCATATGCTCCTCCACCCTCAGGGCAAGGCCGAGGGTATCCCGTGGCGCCCAACGCCGGTGGTCAACCAGCAGGCGGGCCGGGATGGGGAGCAGCCAACCAACAGCAGTACCCTCCGTCTGCAGAGTACCAGAACCCATACTACTCGGCGGCCAACGACTTTTTGGGCATGCCACAACCTCAACAGGCCCAACCAGGCTATCCCCCCGGAGGTCCTCCACAAGGAGTTCAGCCTGCTGGTCCACCGGGTGCGCAGCAAGTGCCGTCACGCCAGGCGAGCATGTCCAACCTCGCGCGGACCAACACTTCTAGATCCACACTGTCCCTCTCGTCCATCTCCTCGGTCCCGCCCCGCATGCCCACCGAATCTGTTGGCGCGAGTTCTACCCGTCGGCGCGGCGGAGCGGTTGCCATTGACGTCAGCAAGCCTCCATACACGCGCGAGTTTGTCGACGACTATCGTAACCGCATGAAGGTCGACCCGGACCCAGAGGCACAGTTTGCGTTTGCCAAGTACCTGATTGAGGCCGCCAAGAAGATCGGTGAGGAGTTGGCGGCCCACGACCCGCGTGCGGGTCGCAAGTACCGAGACTCACTTCTCGCGGAGAGCTTGCGAAACGTCAAAAAGCTCGCAGAGGGCAGCAAGGAGCCATATGCGGACGCCCAGTTCTTCCTTGCCAACTTGTACGGTACAGGTCAGCTGGGACTGCAGGTCGATCACGAGAAAGCGTATTACCTCTACCTCCTCGCGTCCAAGCTCAACCACCCAGCGGCCACGTACCGCGCCGCCGTCTGCTGCGAGTTGGGTGCAGGGACAAAGCGGGACCCGAACAGGTCCGTGCTGTTCTATCGCAAGGCAGCGGCCTTGGGCGACACGGCGGCAATGTACAAGCTGGCCCTCATCCTGCTCAATGGTATCATGGGCCACCCGCGGAACCCTCGTGAGGCGCTCGTGTGGCTCCGTCGCGCTGCAGCCCAGGCCGACGAGGACAACCCACACGCCCTGCATGAGTTGGCGTTGCTCCACGAACGGCCCAATAATGGCACCAACGGTGTGATCCCACACGACCCCCACCTCGCCCGCGAGTACCTCACCCAGGCAGCACAGCTGGGCTATGCTCCCGCGCAGTTCAAGCTGGGCCAGTGCCACGAGTTTGGCACTCTGGGCTTTGTTATTGATCCCCGCCGCAGTATTGCGTGGTACACTCGTGCCGCAGAGCGCGGCGATGCCGAGGCCGAGCTCGCCCTTTCGGGCTGGTACCTCACAGGATCAGAGGGCGTGCTCAAGCAAAGCGATACCGAGGCCTACCTCTGGGGCCGCAAGGCGGCCAACAAGGGATTGGCCAAGGCCGAGTATGCTGTTGGATGTGAGTGTGGCCAACGGCGTTCGAACGTGGAATTCCAGCTGATTTTCTCAGACTATACCGAGATCGGTATCGGTGTCAAACAGGATATCGAGCTTGCCAAGCGGTGGTACATGCGTGCAGCGAGTGAGTAGAACATGGAGTCCGCTGGCAAACCCTATTTCGGGAGACTTGGCAGTTCCAGACGCTCCAATATGCGCGGTACTGACACTCGCGTTCCAGGCCAGCAAAATAAGCGCGCCATGCAACGTCTTGCCGAGCTCAACAGTAATCGCGGTGGCAAGGGCAAGGGTGCGCGACCCACGCGTAAGGACGCCGAGAACGAGTGCGTCGTTATGTGAGGCACTGCAATCACCGTCTATCGAACCCGGTCCACCCAGCCCGTTTAACAATTTACAATCATACAACTATCGAGCGACTGGCCGGGGACATGGAGGAGAGGTTAGGTCAAGCGTGAGTGTGGAGGGGCATCCAACAGGCAGGCATATATACAGCCAAGATCTGCCTGGAGCGGAGCGGAGTGGGGGAGTGGGGGATGTGCAGTCATAATGTGTTTTCTTGTACAGCATGCACAGCATCGAGTCCGACAAATCGAGCCGAGACCACGAGTAAACTGTGTCTTTTGTATATGGCAAGTGATGGGGTAGTATGCTTTGTTTACTTCTTCTGATAGAACTCCTCGAGACCCTCGGCGACACTGGCGCGGAGCTGTATGTGGTGTCAGCTAACCCCATGTCGGTGAATATCAACCACTATGGGACTCACGGGAGGCGAGATGGAGTTCTTGGCATCAAAGTACGCCAGCACCATGTTGTCCGCCAGCCACTTGTCGGCCACAGTACCCAGCACTTTACCTTTGTACTCGAGGCCAAACTTGCCGTCGCGGGAACGAGTCACGATGAGCTCGTTGCCCTTGGGGACCGATCCGGTAGGGAACATGGCCTTCAAGGCCTGGAGAGAGGTGGCGATGCGCTCGTCGTCAGCCGGGGTGAGGAGACCCTGCTGGCGCTGGATCTTTTGGCGCGCGAGGAGGGTACGCGTGAATCCGTCACGGAGGTGGGAGAAGTCGGTGTTGCGGAAGGGGACTGGGGAGTGTTAGTCATTGGATTCTCAATTGTTTGGGAGTGGTCTTTGCCCCTCCTCCTCCTCGCTCCCCCTCTCTCCCCCTCCTCATATACCCACCAATGCGGACAGCCACGTCAGCTGGCGAATCCAGCAGAGCCTGGATCATTCCCTCTCCCGCCGGACCCGTAATTTCTGTCGCGCTGAAGTTGCTCCAACCCGGAAGCGAGTGGAGGCTGTTGCGCAAGACATAGTCGTTGACATAAAAGCCCGCAGAGTAGACCTTGAAGCTGAGGAACGAGACGGTGCGTACGCCGAGACCGACGAGGGTGAGGGCAGGTGTGGAAGCCGGGGTGAGGGTGAGCGGGTGGGCGACTTGGGTGGCGGGGTCGACTGGGGGACGTCAGTGTCAGTGTTCAGTGAGAGAGTCGTCATTGTCCGTCGCGGGATTCGCCGAGGGTGGTTTGAGCTCACCTTTCACGTCCCCGTCCACTGGCGCAGGAGCGGCGTCGCACTGGATGGCATATCTGTCGACGATGAGGGGGAGGGCCGCGCGGAGTTCGCTCTTGTCTGTAAAGGCAACTGTCAGTGTACTGTGACACAAATGTTGTGAGGTTTCGTGACGCACCAAGGGCATAGGCTCCGGCGCCGGTGGCAAGGAGGACGGCTGCGGCGACGGCGACGCGTGTGTGCGAGGCGCCCGAGGCAGCTGTCCTGCTACCTGGGGTAGCATGGGTGTTGATAGAGCGAGTTTGACGCGCTGCTGAGCGTGCCGCGCGGAGGACGCTTGCGGTGAGAGGGCGAGACATACTGGGTGGACGGGAGACGGGAACAGGCGGAAATGGGTCAGGTTAATGGATGGGGGGAACCGAAGTGCGCACGTCGATTATTGACGGCTGCGGGAGAGAGAGAGAGAGAAGGGGGGCCATCCTTCTCGTTTGCTTTTGCCTTCAACTCATTCTCTCTGTCGTCTTCCACTCTCCCCATGCCATCCAACGCCTTGGACTTTGGAACGCTCTCAAAGAGCTCAAACATGAAGCGCAAGGTAAGCACACAATGCATGTCGCATGTACCACACATGTCCATCGGTCGCTGACGGCCCCTAGCAGAGCTCTGTACGTGCCTTTGTCCCCCATGCTACCTCTTTCTGCCTGCGCGCGCCGTCCCCAGTCGCTGTCGTCGCGTCGTCGTTACCACACGACGCGCCGTTGCTTCTGGTGTACGCCGGCGCGCGCGTCAACACAAAACATGCGCATTTATTCATTCCCAAGACCAGCCAATATGACCCACACATATGCCCCCCTACTGACACCAGCCCAAGTCCCTGCTCGCAGCGCTAGGCAAACCGGCCAGCACGCGTGGATACAACGCGCCGCCGTCTGCCTACGCGCAACACCAACCAGGATCGTACGCTCCGAGTCTCGCCTCGTCAGACGAGTCGCACGAGACCGGGGGTGGATGGAGCAACTATGCAGAGTCGTCGCGTGGACCTGGATCGGCTGTGCGATCCGTTTCTGGATCGACGACGAACAGCTTGTCCGTCTACTCGCGCCAGAGCACCACGCCTCGGCAGATCCGCCGCGTAGACGATGTGTACCATCTCGTTCGCGAGCGACTCGTGGCATGGAGCTACCTCATGCAGTTCTACAACGGGTAAGTAAACCGCGTCGAATACCCACCGGCAGTCGGCTGATAAGTGTTCTTCCCAGTGACGTTCCCTGGCTCAACAGCATCCACGTCGCGCGTTCCCAGCTTGAAGCCGCTATGGGTGCAAAGGCCCTCGACGAGCGCGCACGTCAAGAGTACGCGCTAGGCCTGTCCCTCGCTGCCCTGTTCGACATTACTGGTGCTGGCGACTTTCTTCGCGCTCTGTACAAACTCATCGACGAGTGGGAATCGTGGGCCGAGCAAGGTGGAAGCAGCAGGAGTGTGATGCCTGGGCCTCTGCGCAACTTTTTCCGTCCCCAGCGCCAAAAGCCTCGTCCTAGCGCTGCCCAGAGTACGGCGACGGCAGAGGTCACTATTGCACCTGTGGATGCCCAATCCGAGTCTTTCCTTGTGTTGGCTGTCATGGTGAGTGAGACACGCTCGGTAGTAGCTGACCATTTCAGCCCTTTACGCCCGACTACTTCCAAGTCCATGCATCGACGTGCTCGATCATGCGCGACGTATACAAGAAGCTTCTCGCCATGGTCCTCCCGGCCTCGCGTGGCGGACGCGCCAGCACTACAGACTTTGGCACCAACATGCTCCTCCACCAATCCACCTTTGTTCTCCTTGGCCCTAATGACGGCAACGGCCCGGCCACCGATTTCGTCTCTGACGCAGCGCTACTCGGATCGGTAGAAATGCCGTCAAACCTCACGCTCGTGGGAGAGGGCCAAAAGCTCACTCCACCCGTGATCGACCTGCTTCTCAAGGTCGACGCCAGGCTGAAGAAGCACTATCAGTACCTCGCCAAGGACGGCGACACTCTCGCTCGTGCTGTGCTCGACACTGAGCTCACAACTTTGAGTCAGACGCTTGCCGGGGGCCCTGCGCTGCGTTTCACCGCGCCCACGCCGGCCACCTGGACCGAGGCCAACTAGCTCTAGTTTGACGCCCGCCGTCAGCCAAACCGATTTCCGTCTCTAGGTTTATTTTCGCTTTTCGCTCTACTACTTTCTCGCCTCTCACCTATGTCTTTGACCTGGCCAATAAAAGCCGGGCACCTGGGGCCACACGTTACGCTTATGCCCTTACCGCCACGATGTGGAATGGTACCCGTCCTGTTACGTTATATTGGATCTATATTATTATATGTCGTGTGTAGGGACGACCTCTTTACTCTCTTGCCTCGCACGAATCACATCGTGGCTAGTCTCCCTCTGAATGATATCATATAAATGCGACATCAGCACATAGAGTGGCATTGTTAAATGCACACATGCCCAGACCAGATCTCCCAAGCTATGTTACACCTTGCCTCCTTCAATAACACGGTGGTACTCCGACTCCCTTGGGTTCCGCAGCTTGACGTTCTCCAGCGCCCTTTCCCTCTCGTCATCCTCCAAGCCAGCAAGGATCATGAGAGTGTCTATCTCCTCCCTCAGGTGCCTATCCAGGTGTCCTGCCCACCGATCGGGCAAACTCAAACTGGCTGGCGATAAGCAATTGACCCCATCGACGAAATACGTGATTCCCAGCGGAGCCGTTTCGGCAATCCTTGCTACGAGTGGCCGGAGGAACCCCCATGGAGGTGTGGACGCCTGGCGAGTCTCTGCCGGCTGGCCTTTACGAACGTGGTGCTTGAGCTTGAACCGCAGCCGCACGACAGCGACGCCGGGCGGGAAGACTGGCACGGGAATCTCGAGGCGGCCGAGGGGGGACATTGTGCAGAAGAAGACGAGCTGGAGCCACCTCAAGTCTTTGGGCAGCACCGGTGGGGCTGGTTCGGCGATGATTTCTGAATGGGCGAGGGTATCGGGAACGAGGAAATAGACGTGGTGTCGAGCGGCAGGGTAGCATCCTGCGCCCCGGCGGAGACCGTACGCGCCCGATATAGTCGCCACCTGGACGTGTTGCAACAGACTCGACAGCGCCTGCAAGTCTCGAGCTGGGATATCAGGTTGGTCCAGGATCGCAACCCGCTTTGCCCTCTTGAGTGTCTTGCGGTAATTGTCATCCTTCAACGCCGCTGCTCCGGGGAACCGCGACCCGGACCTCTGGTCACCGGCAGGCAATTGGTGGCCGAGAGCAGGGATGTCGCCATAGTATTCCGACTGAACACCATGACGGGCAGTGATGCGCACATCGGAGCAGAAAAGGTCGTCTACCATGTCGTGGTATCGGCGGCAGGTTCTCCGCAGAGCGATGAGGACCGACCGGGGCGCAAAGTGGAGTATGGACTCCATGACGTGAGGGTAGGCCGAGTGATCCAAAAGAATCCCGCTGCCGTCCAAGCCGTTTGAGGTTGAGATGGGGGTTGACGTCCAGTTTGAGGGGGAGGTAGACAGCGACGGAGTGTATGTGTCCTCGACTGGACTGGACGCGGCACTGGTACGACTCATACCCACCGGTCCGGGAGAGCGGCTGGGACTTGGGGTGAAGCTCCTCCGCTTCTCGCCGTTCTGCACCGAGGGGCTCAGGTCGCGTGCCGGTTCCCATTTCCCAATCGCGCCTACATTTTCGGCTTCACTCATACCAAGGGTGAGACCCGACATTGACATTGACATGGTCGGCATCGAAGGCATTGAAAACCCAGAAAGCTTCTCCCTCAACGAGGCGCTCAGGTGGTGGTGGGTGGGGGACGAGCCCCCGGCGAGGTGGTCCAAGTCGATGGCGGTCAAAGAGGGGTCGCCAGGCAAAAGCAGGTGGGAGCTGGCGGTGGCACTGGGGGGTTCCGCCGTGGCCACTGTTGGCGTGGATGTGGACGTGGACGTGGAAGTGGACGGCGCAGGCATTGGTATGGGTCTGGTGCGGAGTGAGCCGGTACGCCACCCGCGCATCGGAGCTTCGAGCTCCAACATTGGTGTGTCGTAGTAGTAGTGTGCGCGTGTGTGTGTGGGTAAGTGAAAGAAAGGGCGCGTGGCAGGGTGTGCACAAGGTGTGGGTGTCTCCAGGCCGTTCCCAAAGTGAGTGAATGAGTTGAGAGAGTATGTATGTGAATGAAAGACAATAGATGCAGAGGCCAACGACGATGATGGCACCGACGTCGGCCGGGCGTTCCTGTGTCGCCTGCCGGTGGTGGCGTTGGTACGTATCGTCCGATCTTGAGTACTGGAACCAGACGGCAAGACAAACGACTCGACGTGTGATTCCTGCCTCGTCACACGCCCATCTGGGTAATCGGTGCGTGCATTCTGTACAGTCTGTCACTCTACACTGCTGCACGCAATGTTATCGCAGCGTCAGAGCCGGCGAACGGGGGCACAGTCGTCGTGACGCCAGGAATGGGCCAACACGGTCATGTCCGCCGATGACCGCGTCTAGGTGGGTTAGGGAAAGCACACGGTAAACCGGGCCGTGAGGAGACGGCCACAGCCTGACCTGGCCCGAACTGCCTCGAGACAGACATGCAGGCAGCGCACGATGCACATGGCACTGCTTTGCAAACTCGCTCAACTGGTACACACCAGTGGCCAGAGGCTATATCTGGATGTGTTTGGAAAGCAAGTCGCCGCTGCCGAGTACCCACATCAGAGCACCAAAACAGCGGATTTAAACCTTCCTTCCCTGTTGCCCCATGTCGTTGCCACCCGTCAACCCGTTCTTCGCCTCCTTTGCTGCCCACAGGTTGTTTCTATGATATGCATAATGATGATCCCGAAACGACACCGGTTCCCCAGTACTAGTCCGAAACTCTTTTGAGGGTGGGGGTTGGTTGGTTGGTTTGGTTGGTTGGTTGCTCTTGCCTAGGTATGGTATTTGTTTTGGCCCGGACGTTCAGTCCAAAGCACAATTAAAAGAAGGAACTCTATCGACTAAAGGCTTTTGGTTTGCGCTTAGTCGACAAGCTCGAGGGGGCGGTACACGGGGTCCCACATGCGCGACTTGATGTAGTCCTCGAGACCGTGGCCGGCCTCGCCATTGACAATCTTGATGGTCATGGGGTCCTGGGCGTTGTTGTCCTTGACAGCCTGGCGGACGACGGCGGCAGCGACCGAAACGGAAACGTTGCGGACGTCGGCGAGGTCGGGGAGGAGCGAGGCGCCGGGAGCGTTGTCCTCGAGAGCGGGGGAGAGGTCCGAGAGGGCGTGGACACCGGCCATGAGCATCGAGGGGGAGATGGTCTTGGAGCGGGCGAGGATGGCACCGAGACCAAGGGCGGGGTAAATGAGGGCGTTGTTGGTCTGGGCAATGCTGTACTCGGTGCCGTTGAGCTCGACGGGGTTGAAGGGGGATCCGGTGGCGACGAAGGCCTTGCCGTCAGTCCACTCGAGGGCATCGGCAGGGTCAACCTCGCAGAGAGCGGTGGGGTTGGACATGGGGAAGATGATGGGGCGGTCGACGTGAGCGGCCATCTCCTTGACAACCTCCTCGTTGAAGGCGCGAGTGTGGGTCGAGGTACCGATCAGAACGGTGGGCTTGACGTTGCGGATAACGTCCATGAGGTTGACCTGGTGAATGTCGGGGTTCTCGAGGTCCCAAGTCTTGATCTCCTCGTCGGGGCGTGCGTACTCGAGCTGCGAGTGGCGGAGCGAGTTGCCCTGCGACTCGAGCAGGAGACCGTTGCGGTCAACACACCAGAAGCGGCGTGCGGCCTCCTGGCGCGAAAGGCCGCTGAGGAGCTGCAGACCGTCCTGGACCTGGGCGGCAATACCCATACCGGCGGAACCGGCGCCGTAAATGACGATACGCTGGTCCTCGAGCTTCTGGCCCGAAGCCTTGATGGCAGCGAGGAGAGCAGCGAGGGCGACGGCACCGGTACCCTGGATGTCGTCGTTGAACATGGGGATCTTGTCCTTGTACTTCTCAAGGAACTTGTACGCGTTGTTCAGGCCAAAGTCCTCAAAGTGGATAATGGCGTTGGGGAAGAGCTCGCGGCAGTGGGTGATGAAGCGGTCGACAAACTGCTCGTAGTTCTTGCCCCTCAGACGGGTACGCTTCCAGCCCATGTACAGGGGGTCGGCGAACAGGGCGTGGTTGTCGGTACCGACATCGAGGACGACGGGGAGGATACGGTTGGGGTTGATACCGGCGCCGAGGGTGTAGAGGGCCGACTTGGAGGTCGAGATGGTGATACCACCAACACCCTGGTCTCCGATACCGAGAATGGCCTCCGAGTCGGTCACGACAACAAGGTCGATAGCCTCCTTGGTGTCATTGCAGTGGTAGGCGACGTCGGCGACACGGTTAATGTCGTGCAGATGTGACTCGAGCTGGGCGCGCATACCGTCCTGGTTAGGGAATGACTTTGTGGCGGTCAGCACAACGTAAAGCAAAACAACAACAAGAGACCCCAGCCACCGTGCGCCTCAGGAACCCCGCGGCCGAAAGCCGCAGGTCCTGGAATGGTGCAAGATAACAAGCTGCCAAGCGGTCCCCGGAGCAGGCCGGTAGTCCTTGTGGGATACGTACGATAAAGCAACCAATCTGTGTTGTATGTCAACAACAGTTCTCATCTGCCACACCCAGAGCGTTACTGGTTACTCACGGGACGACGGAACAGGCTCGAATAGTTTGCGACGGCCTCGGCGGCACCAGGCGTGTACAAAATGCCGAGGAGCTCTTCCAGGTGGTCCTGCATGATACGGTAGAAGAGGACCTGGTTCTGGTCACGGAGCGAGCTGACGTTTGTCAGTTGACTGCAATGACAAGCGCGGCCGGACACCGGACGCTCATGGGGGCTACTCACGCAAGGAAAGCGTGCTTCAAGATGGTGGTGGGCTGCTTCTGGAGTTGGTTCCACGCACGCCACGACTGCTTCTCGATACTGTGGACATCGTAAGGCAAGAAACCCTCGAGACCGAACACAGCACGCTCCTCGCGAGTGAAGCCGGCACCCTTGTTGAGTGCAGGAGTATTTCTGTTAATTGGTCAGCCCAGCTCTACACGTCGCCTCTTTGCCGAATTCGTCGCCCACTCACAACAAGGCCGAGCCCTTGAGGTTTGTCCTGATAGGAATGTAGTTCTTGTTCTCGGCGAGGATGACCTTCCTGGAGAGGTCACGACGGGAGACGGGGGCCGAGTGGATGGGGCAGCGGAGAGCCGGGCGGGCTGCGCGTGATGCGAACATGTCTGGTGGAGGTCAGAGGGCTGTTTGGACAGTGTGGACGGGGATGGGGGAGCGGCAAGCGGCGAGCGGTGTGCAAGCGTAGTGGTGTGTGAGATGCAGAAGCGATGGAACAAGAATGGGGTAGGGGGGCCACGGTCTAGGCGAGTAGCGAGCGAGCAGCGAGCGGCGGGGAGCATGACGCAAGAATATCCTCTCGCTCGCGATCAGTGTCAGATGACACCAAAGGCACCACCACACACGTGATATGGGAGAGAGACCACCACCACGGCCACGACCACCACCTCCACTTCTTCCACCACCGCCGTTGGTCAGTTACTCACCTAAGAGAATGCTCTGTGTACAGAACAAGAATCAAGGATGGTGGTGTTCAGGTGTAAAATATCTCTGTCGTGTCCATATCTATGCGTCTGCGCCTGTCCCCCCACAACTGGCGTCTCTTCGCCCCCAGCCGACAGAACCTGCAGTAGCGAGCTGTTCAAGGGCTGTGATTTCGACTTTGGAGTGACCTGTTTTCGAATCTGCCCACGATTCGCAAAACACGCTCACGCGCAGGTACGCAGGCCGTCACAGGCACTCGAGCGCAGGAGGGAGCGACCGGAGCGACGACACACCCAGGATCACTCTCTCACCCACGGTGACTACTCGTGTCCGCCCCTTCATTCCCTGTGGTCAGTGTGGGTCTCTCGTCCTCTGCCGCTATCAGCCGCCGGCTCGTGCATGCATATGCCCCTTCCACCCACACACTGCAAAGAGCGCGACTTGTCCCGAAGAGCCCAGACGCGACACATGCCGCACAGCATGTGCTGCTCTCGCTACTCTGTCTAGCATTTCGAACCGGGTGCCTCGTGTCGTGCTGCCAGTGCCGCGGAAAATTCTCGGTACTGTTTCGTTCAAGGCCGCGCGAACAAACTACCCAGCATGCAGCCGAGGAGGAGAGAGCCCCCTATCAAGCGATACACACACACCCAGCACAGCAGCGACGCTATCTTTGGCAGAAGCAGCGTAGCCACCTCACCCCCACCTCGGAAAGAGTCGCACCTTGCCATACTACGCTTTACTGGACATTCGAAAACACAATCACATGTCACGAATGCCATGGGTATTTAGCGGGGATCGTCACTTCAGGTGCGCGCTCTAAGGGACGTTTGAAGCGGGCTGCAGTGTCCGCCAAAAAAAAAAAACAGTGGGAGAGGGTCCTCTCAGCTCTCACAGCGGCAGAGGTGTCTCAAGCACTGTCCGCAAGGGGGTCGGGGTTCACAGCAGGGGGCTGGCCCACAAGGGCCGTGAACACCGTGGCTTTGGCCGGCAGCGTGCGGCACTGGCTTCATTGGCCACTCATGGCGGCCGACAGGCCAGAGGCGTCGCGGCGTCGGACACCACCCCTGGTGGACATTGCGATACCCTCCTCGGTCTTGGCCGTGACCGCGCGTGTGTGGATGCCGCCGACAGGTTGCGTCTTTGAGCGCCAGCCAGGGCACAAAATGGTTAAAGTGGCATGGGTAGGAGACAAGTTCGAAATCATGAGGAAAGGGTCGAAGAATGGCGAGAGGTGACTGCCATGTCTGGCCATGCTTAGGGCCCGGCCGAGATATGATATGACACCCCATGCTCGCGTGCAGGTTTGAAGAGTTCGAGAGTTCGAAAATGATCTCGAGAGGGTGACGGAAAGATCCGGGAATTGGTCGTAGGGAAGTTTGTGCGCAGCCCAGTGGACCAGACCAGTAGTAGCGGACACCGCGGCAGGCCTTGACGTGGCCAACAACACTACATACGTGGCTGGATCGCCAGTCATGCTGTGACGTCTCCTCCGTCCAGACTCGGCAAGCTACTCGGCCATCAGTGTTGTTTATTGTATGATCTGCGACGATCGGCACTGTGTTTGGCGTAGTCTTGGGTAAGCCTAAAAAAGGTAACGCATACGGCCAAGCGGAAACTAGCACAGACGATGGAGCTCTCAGCACACGACTGGTTCAAGGATGCGAACCTCGATACCAAGTAACCCAACAGTGGACAAGGACGTTTCTATTGTCCAATGTCTTGGATTAGAACTGACTGGGCGAGCATTTATCATACTTACGACCGCCGCCGGTGTGCGCCAAGATTGCCAACGGGGGGCTTAGTCGGGGCCCTTCAAGACTCGTAACTCGAACCAAACACGCCGGGGAGCGGGCAGAGCCCCAGAGACCCCCCACGCACCACCTCTACCCCTCCGTCAACATGGCCTCAGCATGGCCGTGCACACGCATGCATCCCACAACATCGGCAACACATAGAACTCGCAGCACGCCGCTCTTGGTAGCCATCCAAATATCCACACCCCAAAGGCTGTTCAATGTGCGCTTGCCGTTAATAGGGCCCCCCCTTCCCACCGACGCGTTGTTGAATTGATTTCTTTCGCTCGCCACCTGGGGTTTTTTCCTGACCCACGCCACCCCTCATAAACGCTCTCCACTAGAGCCCAATCGCATCGCTTCTTGTCACTTCTTTCCATTCCACCTCCGTTACGTCGCACACAACTACTGTACCATGCTCGCCAACGTTGTCGCCCTCGCGCTCCTCTCCTTCGCCTCGGCGCGTATCCCCACTGCACTTCCGTCGGTGACTCCGGCGTGCGCCGACACCTGCTCCACCTACTCGGCTTGGGGTAACTGCATCGACAGCACTGTCACTTCCGAGTGTGTTGACGTTTGCACCACGGTAAGTGTGCCAACGCGCGGGTGGATCCAGGAATCCTGTACCGTTCCGGTACAGATGTACAGAGGATGGACCCGGCGCAATGTTTGGATGATGACAAGAACCACGGCTCACAACCCCCGCAGCAGTCGGACGCCATCCAGACCTGCCTCACCTGCCTCGGTTCGGCCACCTCGGCCTCGTCGCTCCTCACGCGCTACTGCGCGGCTATGACCACTGGCACCGTCGAGAGCGCCACTGCCGAGTCGTCCGATGCCAGCTCGGAGACTGCCGCTTCGGCTGACCCCACGACTGACGCGGCGTCAGTCTCGGCGTCGACCTCAGAGTCTGGTAGTGACGGCACTGCGGCGGCGACGACCAGCGCGGATCTGACGACTCCCTCTTCTGAGCCCACCACCTCTTCTGCGACTGTGGAGGCTGCTGTAGCGACCTCGGTCTCATCCACCCCCTTCACTGGCGTGACTACTACGTGAGCACCAAGAGCGCGCGGCACGGGGCGTTTTGCAATGTCGCAGGCACCAGTAGCCAGTACAAGTAAACGTTTGTTAACACTCTTCAGTATCGCCACTTCTTCGAGCAAGGCTGCTTCCTCCTCCTCCTCATCTTCGGTCGCCAAGAGTGCCACTGTTGTCTCGTCGGCCGCTACTTCGTCGTCGACCGCCAAGTCGGGTGCTCGCGTCGCCGCCGCCCCTGGAGCCATCCTTGCCGTTGTTGCCGGCGCCGTCGCTCTCCTCTAAGTTTATACAAGTACCCAGTGTCATAAACGTAGGCATTGGACAATGGATATTGGTATATGAGACGAAAAGGGGGTGTGGGTGGCCTATGAGCAATGTTGCGGGTGTGTGGAGAAGCGACCAGGGAGGGAGGGGCCTTTGGGCCAAGAACCGCAGCAGTTGTAATGTTCGGATTGTGGGGAGCTCTTGCCATCTCCCCTGCCAACCACTGTGTGTGGCTGGCCATGCCCTCAGACTAGTAGCTGTGCTGCTCCTCCCTGCCCAGAAATACAGGGTGCACCGGTACCCCGGCTACCGCAGCTCCGCAGTTGACGAGAGGAAAGAACGGGTGGGCAAAGACAAATTAGTTGGGCGAATAACATTCAAATAAGAAATTTCTAATAAAAATAAGAAAATCGGCATTCCACCCAAACTGCCAGCCCGACCTAGGGTTCCCCCCTTCAACAAAACGTCCTGTTTGTTGCTCTGCATCGTCGTCGCAACGCTTCCGAGGTCGCGAACGGCCCAAAAGATGGAGATACGGCGAATCGAACGCCGGTTACAGACAGGTCGCTGGTTCTCGAGCTGAAGAAGCTCGAGCAGAACCGAATGCGAAGTCTGTGTCTTACCACTAGACGATATCCCCGTTTTACACGAGGTAGTGGGCTGATTTTTGCGCGCCCCGTGGGTATATAAAGTGTTCACGAGCTTAATGTAAGATTCGAACGCTTTGCTGAGCTGTCTAGCTATATGAGCCTGAGAATGTGGGCGGGGAAGTTGCCCGGGGGGGGTTTGGGGGGGGGGGGGCGAGGACCGAGGACCGAGGACGGAGGACGAGAGAGGAGAACGGAGGAAGGGGGTAACGACGAGTATGTGACTCAGCTCACCTACGGTGCGGGGGGACTCGTGATCCCAGAGTGTCCTGCTGCGGGAGGGTCTACGGAGACAGGCCGGCGGCCATCTCAAAGCATGGACATATGGACGTGTGTGTGAACCGTGGCAGTACGAGTACCACCACAATACCGTGCCGCCACACACACGGCCGCAGTGTGTATAACGATCGTCCTTGGGATCAGCGCCGCCACGGCAAAAGGCGCTACAAGGTCTATTAGAAATGTATTTTTGGGGCCTCCAGTGGTTATACCACCTGCCATATGGATCCCTCAAGCATATACCGACTGTAACGACATGCAATCCACTGCATTCAGCACTCGAGCAATGCATGGAAAATGTACAGAGCGCTGAGCATTGTGGCACAGTGTCTCTCGCCTCGGCGTCCTTTGGCAGCAGCCAAATGGGTGGAGGCCCAGGCACGGGCAGAGCTCGCTGACCGGCCCGCGGGAGTAAAATTCTGACGACAGAATGTTCAGAAATCCTCAACACCCACTCGTCACCCCCTCAACACCACACCTCCATCTCCAGTCACGAGCACGCAGCCATGGTCGCGACGTTTGACCCCCTCTCGCCGTCGCAGGCTACCAGCTCGCGCCACCCGGACAAGTCCACGTTCGGCACTCTCACCCGCGAGCGCTCCTTCCGTCACCCCAACACCCAGGGCCCCGACTACCAGGCCCTCGAGGAGCTCGTCCGCCCGCACATCGAGTCCTTTGACGCTCTCACAGAGGGTGACGAGGATGGCACTCCGGGCCTCCTTCAGCTCGGTGTCAATGACATTGGCGAGAAGGTTGTGTTCGACGGCAAGGCCTCGGAGGACATGCCCTTTGGAAACAAGATTACCTGTGGGTCGAAGCACACCATTCTCCGGTGCCGCTGTTTTGCTGACAGATGTCAGACCGGATAGCTCAGGTTGCTCTTGGCAAGCCTCTTGTCTCTGACCGCGACAAGAATGCCGTCGAGCGCCGTGTCTTCCCCACCGAGGCGCGTGAGCGTCTGACCACCTACCGCTCGCGCCTGACCGTGACCATCAAGTGGAAGGTCACGACCGACGAGGGCACCACGCGCGAGTACGATGAAGTGCGCGAGTGTGGTCTGCTGCCCGTCATGGTCAAGTCGGCCCGCTGCAACCTGCGCGACATGTCCGCCTCGGAGCTCGTCCGCCACGGTGAAGAGTCGGCCTCGTGGGGTGGCTACTTCATTGTCAACGGTAACGAGAAGATTGTTCGTTACCTTGTCCTCCCCCGCCGTCACCACGCCATCAACCTCTACCGTCCCTCGTTCGCCAAGCGTGGTGTCTCTTACACCCCTTACGGTTGTCAGATCCGTTGTGTGCGCCCCGACCAGAGCGCGTGCACCAACACCATCCACTACCTGTCCAACGGTGGCTCTACCCTCCGTTTTGCTTGGCGCAAGGTCGAGTACATGATCCCCCTTGTGCTCATCCTCAAGGCGCTCGTCGACGCCTCCGACCTCGAGATCTTTGAGGGCCTCGTTCAGGGCGAGTACGACAACACCTTCCTTACCGACCGTGTCGAGCTGCTTCTTCGTGGCCAGAAGACATGGGGCCTGCAGACTGGAAGCCAGTGCCTCGACTATCTCGGTGACAAGTTCCGCGTCGTCATGAACTGCCCCGAGGACTGGACCAACAGCCAGGTCGGCGCCTTCCTCCTCCAGAAGGTTGTCCTCGTCCACCTGCCCAACCCCCGCGAAAAGTTCCGCATGCTCATCTTCATGCTCCGCAAGCTCTACTCCATGGTTGCCGGCACTTCGTGCCCAGACAACCCGGATTCGCCCCAGCACCACGAGGTTCTCCTCCCTGGTTTCCTTTACGCCATGATCATCAAGGAGCGCTTTGACGAGTCGCTCCAGGCTGTTCGTCTCCAGATTGCCCAGGACATTCGCCAGGGCCGTGCCAAGGACTTTACCAGCGCCAAGTACTTCCCCAGCGTCCTCCAAAAGGTCAACTTTGACGTTGGTGCCAAACTCTCGTACTTCCTTGCCACTGGTAACCTCGTCTCCCCCACCGGTATCGACCTCCAGCAGACTTCTGGTTTCACCATTGTCGCTGAGAAGCTCAACTACTACCGTTACCTCGCCCACTTCCGCTGTATCCATCGTGGTGCCTTCTTCGCCGAGCTCAAGACCACCACGGTCCGTAAGCTTCTGCCCGAGTCGTGGGGTTTCCTGTGCCCCGTCCACACGCCCGATGGATCGCCCTGTGGTCTTCTCAACCACTTGTCGCACACGTGCCAGATTGTTACCAAGACTCTTGACACGCGCCACATCACCGCTCTCCTCTCGGCCCACGGCATGACCCAGGTCTTCGCTACCTCTATCGACGGTACCAAGAACGTTGTCATCCAGCTCGACGGTCGTGTTATTGGTTGGGCTACTCCAGCCAAGGTCAAGCAGCTCGCCGAGCTCCTCCGCAAGCTCAAGACGGACGGCGACTCACGCGTGCCTCTCGACCTCGAGGTCGGTCACGTCCCTGTCACCAAGAGCGGCCAGTACCCCGGTCTCTACCTCTTTGGCTCGCGTTCGCGTTTCATGCGTCCCGTCACGTTCCTCCAGAACAACAAGCTCGACCACGTCGGTACCTTTGAGCAGGTCTACATGGACATTGCCATCACCCCCGAGGAGGTCGAGAAGGGTGTCTCCAGCCACATTGAGCTTGCACCTACCTCGATGCTGTCGGTCATTGCCAACCTTACACCCTTCTCCGACTTTAACCAGTCGCCCAGAAACATGTACCAGTGTCAGATGGGTAAGCAGTCCATGGGTACGCCCTCGACCGCTCTCCAGAAGCGTACCGACAACAAGATGTACCGTCTCCAGACTGGTCAGACACCCATTGTCCGCCCCGTCCTCCACAACAAGTACGGTTTCGATTCGTTCCCCAACGGTACCAACGCCATTGTTGCTGTCATCTCGTACACCGGTTACGACATGGAAGACGCGATGATTCTCAACAAGTCGGCCCACGAGCGCGGCTTTGGTTACGGTACCGTGTACAAGGCGGACATTTTCGACCTCAAGGACGCTGCCCGCTCGCGTACTGCCGCGCCCACCCTGCACTTTGGCATGGGTCGCGACGTCAAGGAGGACCACGCGTGGCGCGAGATTATCGACACGGACGGTCTCCCCCGTATCGGTTCGCGCGTCAAGCAGGGTGAGGCCCTCTGCGCGTACGTCGACGACGTGACGGGTCGCACCAAGGTGCACAAGTACAAGGGTGACGAGACTGCGTACGTTGACGAGGTGCGCGTCTTGGGTTCGGACAATGGCGACTCGGAGCTGCAAAAGATCCACATCAAGCTGCGTATCCCGCGTTCGCCCATTATCGGAGACAAGTTCTCGTCTCGTCACGGTCAGAAGGGTGTGTGCTCGCAAAAGTTCCCCATGATCGACATGCCCTTCACCGAGAGCGGCATGCAGCCCGACGTCATTATCAACCCTCACGCGTTCCCTTCGCGTATGACTATCGGAATGTTCGTCGAGATGCTCGCCGCCAAGGCCGGAGCCCTCCACGGCATGTCGCAGGACGCCACCCCCTTCAAGTTTGGCGACGGTGACAGCCCCGGCGAGTACTTTGGCGAGCAGCTCCGCCAGGCCGGCTACAACTACCACGGCAACGAGCCAATGTACTCTGGTATCACTGGCGAGGAGCTCCGTGCCGACATTTACACCGGTGTCTGTCTTTACCAGCGTCTCCGTCACATGGTCGCCGACAAGGCCCAGTGCCGTACGACCGGTGCCGTTGACCCCCTCACGCGCCAGCCCGTCAAGGGTCGTAAGCGTGCCGGTGGTATTCGTTTCGGAGAGATGGAGCGTGATGCCCTGATTGCACACGGTGAGTACTGGCGCAGATCAGTGTGGTGTGGGTTGGTGGTGGAGCGGGATCAAAAAGTGCCACTGTGGCACTTGCCGATCTTCCAACTCCTCCTGCAACAACCTTTCTACACTCTTCTACACTCCTTTCGTGTCGTTTAAAGTCGTCTAGAGTCACTTTACTGATTTAAAAAGGCACTTCGTACCTTTTGCTTGATCGCTTGATGAACTGCTCCGACTACTCGACAACATGGGTGTGCCGCTCTTGTGGCTCCCTTATCTCGACTGGCTTCGACGACCTTGCCGGCCGCACCGACGGAACCAACGTCTACTGTCGTTCGTGCGACCCCGAGCACCCCGAGGAGGTTGGCGGTGGTGCCAACGGTGCCGTTGCCGCTTCGCCCGCCGCGCAGCCCGTCGTCGTCAAGGGCGACAACAGTGCCGCCCACCGCAACGGCAAGATGGACGTCATCCCTGTCCCCTACGTGTTCAGGTACCTCTGTGCCGAGATGGCGTGCATGGGTATCAAGCTCAGCGTTACTGTCGTCTAAGCGAAACGACACAAGCATCACATTTTTGTGGTTGGGTTTTGCGGGAAACCGGCGTGTTTTTTTCTCGCCCACCACGAACATTATACAACAAAATTCACAATTGCGGGTCTGGTCGGGCTCGCGCATCTTGTATACCCCCCATCTCCTTCATGCATTCTTCTGTATCGGCTTGGCGAGCGTCTTTCGCAGCGCTCTGGCACACTTGACATGATCGGGGTTTCATCGGGACGCTGATAAGGAACTCAAAGGCCAGTTTGCGGAGACACAAGACTCGCGATCATAAGTCGAAGTTCAGCAGGCAGCTGGCAAATGGGGGACATCGTCTGGGGCTCGTCTTGCTGGCCATCGAGGACGAGGTAGCGTTTGATTCTCAAGTTGGCGGCCATGTTACGATCGATGACGCTGTGACGCCATTCGCTTAGTCTGCACTTATCTCGTCTGTACTTGACAGCCCAGTCCATGTCAAGGCTTTGGACGTGGTAGTTGCACTCTTTTATAGCACTTATTATGAGAGCAATCTCACGAGCTTGCAGTCTGTGGGACTTGAATGTGAGGACGGTCGTCGTGGATTCCTTTAAGAAATCCAGAAGCAAGTTGACAATGTTTGCAGGATACGGTGAAGGTCGTCCCAATGTGCGTGCCGCCATGGACAGCGAAGTGAAAGGCAGTCCTTTGAGGACGGGTAACAGTGCCTCGGGAGATTTGCGGGAGGCCAACTTGTGCTGAAAGTTGGCACCAACGCTCTTATAGTTCTCGATGAACAGTGACACCACGGCAGGAACTTGAAAGACCTCGGATAGCGAGTGAGATTCAACCATTGGCGCGCGCGATACGAACACAACTCACTGGGACTCGGGATCCCGTGAACCTGACATAGGGCGGCGTACACAAAACAGACCAAGAACCAGTGTTGCCAACCTCTTTGAGCTTGGGGAGCATACGCTCTCGGTGGAGTTTGGGGCTCTCTTCATTCGGTGCAAGGGCCACGATGTCAAACCGAACTGTTTCGCTCGTAAGTGGTCAAGATTATTGCCGGCATGGAGAGCCTACCTGTGTCAAGAGAGTCGTCCATGATGAACAAAAGACTGGAGTTGGAAACCCAGGAAATGGCTCAAGATAAAATTGAGGAAGATTGAGTAGAGAACAAGGAAACTGACAGCGAGTTCAGCCTTATATACCTGTTGCGTACACACGGGTAACTGGTCGTCTGGGGCATAGATCAGGCACGAGCACTTCGCGTTGCCGAAGGACACGATCACCACAGGGAACGAGTCAGTGATCAGTGTCCTTGCGGTGTGGAAATTGGTACGGGAGCGGGGCCAAAGAAGGCTGCCCGCACCGCTAACTCAGGCAGCGCTTCCCAAGCTCGTGGGGTACCATCAGAGAGCGGCAGACTGCTTCATGTGAGCGATCCAAGTACCCAGAGGAGTGTATGCATGAACCCTGTTGTAGTCATTACCATCTCTAAATTTGCTGTCGTCATCCACGCTGTTTACTTCCACAGACCACGCAGACGGGTGCTAACGCTCGCCCAGTCGTCCAGCGCTGGCCTCACGTCAAGGTAGAACGACATGACACCCGGGCGGGCAGGGTCAGGACGGCCAGTGTAAAAGTCGATAACGTAGCGCACCTGCGTGCCGCAACGGTCGACATACCAGTCGTGACGGTCAAATGGCGGTGTGTATCTGGGAACAAGCGTCAGCTGACGAAAGCAATCACCAAGCTCACCCAAACACAGTCTTGAGCCACGCCTTGGGCGAACGCTCCTGCGGCCTGCCGACAAAGCTGCTCAGCTTGATACCGCCAGGACACTTCTCGCCACCCATGCCTGCCTCCCAGGCCAGGACTTGCTCCCATGCGCGCTCGTTGACGGCGTTGTGGATTGGGACAATGGTGCGCATGTCGGCCACCTTTGGGTCGTGGTTTTTCCTCAACATGGCGTTGAAGAACTGCTGCTCGGAAGGGTATACCCAGTTGCCCTTTGCCTCGTGCTCGACACTCTCGCCGGCGCCGGTGGCGTGGTCGCTGGGCGGGACGGCCTGGCCAGCGCCGACGGGCTGCTCAGGCGAGTCCGTGTTGTGCCGGTAGAATGCGCCGGCACCGCGGGGGATAGACGAGATCTCACGCTCTGTGCTGAGCGGTCGCGATGCGGCGGCAGTACCGGGGGCAGTGGACGAGCCAGCGACGGGCTGTTGGGCGCCCTCGGCGGCGGCAATCCAGACGGAGCGGGCGGACTCGTTGACGGGGCAAGTGTCCGAGGTCACGCCCTCTGGGATGGGTGGGTGGTCGGGCGGCATAACGGCCGTCTTGCGAGAAGGCGCTGCCGTCTCAGCTGGCTGTGGAGCCGATGATTCTGATACTGGGAACCGCATGGTTGTTATTGTTGCGAAAGAGACGTCAAATCGCAAGCAAGACATTGCAAGTGTCCGACTTTTGGCGACAACGGAAGCAAATCGGAACCTCCACTTTCGAGGTCCAGGTGGCCGTTGGTGCAGTGGACAGTGCGATGCCGCGGGATGGCAACGGGTCGGAATTGCAACCAGAAGGCAGTCAAAGGGCTACGTTGGCTCGAGAAGAGACAAGACAGGACAATGCAGCTGGGTAACTGGGTTACACATAAAAATAGTGCATGCGATAATTGAGTTGTGTTGTTCTTCTGCTTCTTCTGCTCATATGCCATTTTACGAACACTAACGGCCATAATCGGCCCATTTTACCATCCTCCGCCCGCCTCAAGGACCAGTGACAAACTTGACATCGCCAGCAACGTTGACGAAGATGCTCTCCGGCTTGCCGTTGGGGAGGTAGTGGGGGTCACGGCCAAAACGTCCGGTGGGGAAGCCGTGGTCGAAGGGGCACGCGGCCTCGAGCTTGGCGATCTGCTCTGCGGTGAGAGTGATGCTGAGGTCACGGGCGTTCTGGCGCAGGTGCGAGACCTTGGTACCGCCAATAATGGGAATGCAGTATGCCATCTTGGAACGGGTCCAGGCCATAGCCACAGCAGCAATAGAAGCGCCGTTGCCAATCTCGGCAGCGACCTCGGCAAGGGCCTCGGACGCCTTGATCTCGGCCTCTGTAGGCTGAGTGTTGCCACGGAGAGCCTTAGCCTCCTTGATCTGCTCGGGGGTCTTGAACTTTCCCTGGCCAATAACACCCCAAGGTGCGAGTGCCATGCCATACTTGCGGCACATGGGGATGATGTCACGCTCAATGTCGCGCTCCTTCAGGTTCCAAAGGCCCTGGCTGTAGAGCCGTCAGCAAAGGCAAACGGTGCTCAGGCCTGCGTCCCACTCACAAAACAACAAACTGGGCCAATCCATGGGCACGAGCGTATTCGTTGGCGGCCGAAACGATCCACGCGGGAGTGTCCGAGATGCCAAGGTAGAGAACCTTGCCGGAGCGCACGAGGTCATTGAGCGACTGCATGAGCTCGGGAATGTCGGTCGAGTGGTCCCACCAGTGGACGTAGAGGAGGTCAATGTAGTCGGTCTGGAGCTTGCGAAGTGAGTCCTCAACAGAGTGCTTGAGGGACTTCTTGCTGTTTCCAATGTAGTTGACGCCGATACCAGGGTAGCGACCCTCCTTGCGGATCTTGTACGGGGAGGTGTACTTGGTCGCGAGAACAATGTCGTCACGGTTACCGCGAGCCTTCATCCACTCTCCCACAATGAACTCGGACTGCTCATCCTGGTAGTTGTTCGCAGTGTCGATGAAGTTGCCGCCAAGTTCGTAGAAGACGTCGCTAAGAGAGTCAGCGTTTGGAACTACGTCTGCCTCATCCAGCCACGTACAGGAACTCCATCGATTCTTTCAGGCCCATGTCCTTGCCGCCCATGAAGGGCGACCACTGGTCACCAAGAGACATAGCACCCAGGCAGAGAGGAGAAACACGGACGCCCGCAGAGGGAGACAGCAGACGGTACTGGGAGAGAAGGGTCTCGCCCTTCGGCGCCGGAGCGAAGTACTCGAGCATGGCTGATGGCTGGTGAGCAATGTGGCAGTGGAGGAAAGGTATAGATTCAGCAACACTCACAAACGGGGACATTGACGTCGGCCGGGGTGTAGTCGTTGGCGGAGGTCTCGTTGTAAGGAGCCATGTTGTTGCGGCGTTGGGGGGGAAGGCTGAAGGCAAGCTGCGTGGGTGATGATGCCTCTTGGTCTGCCTTTTCTTGTGAGTTATATAGACACTACCCACACGGCCTTGGAGACCGCGGGGACGCACACATGCTCGCCGTCGGTCTCACGTAACCCACCAAGAGGCCTCCGGCCTTGCTCAGATGCTCCGCTGTCATTGCTCAGAACGGGCATTGCCGAATGACCTCTGCCTCTGGTGGAGGTCGCGCAGCTGGCCGAGGTGGAGGGCCGACAGAGATACCTTGATGACGTCACCGACAGCACGACATTGTCGGTGTTGGACGCGGCGTGCGATGGCATGGACCGTGTGAGCGGCCAACAGTGTTTCCTGGCCGGCTCCGAGGGCCTCCATGTTGACACATAACTCCTCCGTGGGCGAATGAACGGACTGTCCCTGTGGAAAACGCCAAAGGCAACAACTGTGTATCAAAGGTCCGAAACGGTTTCCCCGAAAACGTACAAGATCCGACTGAGAATATAGATCTCGCCCTGCAGCACGCGTCCTCTTCTACATGTGTGCGCCAGAGCATGTAAGCGCGTGTGCTGTGAATCTACTGTGAGTGCTGGGACAATGCGGAAGAAATCCGGAAGAAACCCGGTTTCCCAGCAAAATGGCCCGAACAACTGTGTGGAGGCGGTCACTATCCCCGTGGAGGTTGTGCTGCTCAACGGTGGAGGTGGTCAATGGAGGTGGACTCGAGAAGACACGTATTACCTCCAACTACCCTCCAACTACCCTACCACGACCAGGGAGCGCCTTGTGAGGTGGATGACGACGCATTAAAGCTGTCAATGCGCTGGCTTCCACCTCGTCCGCTGGCAGGCAGGTGCATGGGCAGCCCAGCTGGGGTATTTCCCGTTATATTTTGCACGGTGCGGACATCGGGGTGAAATTTGTAGACACAGCCACGACCACGAAGAGTAGGCTCTACTGCTGTTCTTCGGCACAAACAACCGATTGCGTATCTGCCTCAGTGTATAAATGTTGGTTATTTATCGTATTTTTTGGCCTTTTTTGGTACGATCGGCGACCGCGCCAACAAGCGGCCTAAGTAGCAGACTTACAAGAATTCAGCCCGTAACTTCACTCTGAGTGCAATACATAGCGCCTGGGGAACCTGAAGACAAGAAACCAAATGAGTTGACAAGAATTGGAGACTGAGACCGAAAAAAAAATGGGAGAAACGTCCCTGCTGAAATGTTGCGTTCCACCTGCTCTACTTCTACCTCCTACCAAGAAAAGGTTGAGGCATGCTTCCCGCATGCTCTACTGGTCTCCTAACGACGCTGAAGAGATTCGAACTCTTGAGTGCAAAGCACATTACCTGATGGTTCATCCATAGCAAGGTAACCCGATAACCACTACGGGACAGCGCCAGACGATGAAAAGCTATTTCTTTGGATTTACGAGTCTTTGCACTTTTTCGGTCAGTTCATGCTTGCTGGAGACGACTCTATGCACTCCGAAAGGCTATCAAAATGCTATGTGTTATTACCCCTACATTGCGGTGCTTGTAGGTTGGTTAGTTGCAGCAGGATCCTTGGGAGGATCGTGCGCATGCAGGTGGCGTCCAGTCTAGAGCTTGTCTCCTCACGTTTGCTTCTGGCCCTGGGCCCTGTTTCATGCAGTACACGCTCATAGGTCTACACAAGGTCATGCAATGCATATCATACACGTCCACCTAGTCAAGACTCAACGCACTCCTCTCACTCCTCCCAGTAGCGGGGTAATACATGCTCCACTCAAACTCGCCGCCTGTTCCGGCACTAACGAACCGACCAGGGTTGAAGACGTGGCAACCTTCATATGAGATCTCGTAACGCTCATACTTGTCTGCGAGCGCAATAGCGGTGGGCATGGGGTACAGCCTCAGCGCGTGGTCATACTCCCATAGTGTCGGGCGGACGCTTTGTGGCAGGGGAGAGAGGTGGGCTTGGTCGAGCACAGTCTGGACAAGCTGGTGAGGTAAGTAACAGGTCCGAGTTGATGAAACTCACATAACGCTTCATATCGGCCCCCTCGTCCGCAGTCTTCTTGACGAGGACCAGGTTTCGCAGCAATCGGCCCATGAGGTCCTCGCGATAAATGACAATCTCTTGTCCAAAATAGCGCAGGCGGCAGGGGTTGGAGACAAAACGAGCCTTGGGGATACGCTGCATCAGGCGACCAGAGAAAGTGCTTGGCAACGCAGGACGGGGTAGTGTGCTTGAAGACCAAGGGTCGAGGGGTCCTGGAACAAAAATGAAGTGCGACAGATGCAGGAGGGGGAATGAGAGGAGGATATCGGTGAGGGCATTAAACCCGTCTTGCGCGTTAGCCCTCTCCAAGCAGCAAGCACCCACTGATGTAACGCTTCATGCCACCCTCGCCTTCCCAGCCACGCTGGCAAAAGTTGCCACAGAGAACAAACACCATTGGGCGGTACTCAACCGCTTCCGCATAGCCTTCGAACATGCGCCGCAAAGCGACCAATGTTCGAGGGTGGTCAAGCCAGACATCCGAAAGAACAACAAAGGACACTTGAGTGTTGGCCAAAACTGTTGGCGTATACTTGGCCTAGGGCAGTCAGTTACCCGTCCCCAACCCAATTGCTCACCTCCTCTTTCAACGACACTGCTCCTCCGCCGAGGAAATCGACATGCCCATGCAGTCCTCTTGCCACCTCACGCTGCTCGCTCGGGGGATGACCCATTTCAAGCACGCGAAAGGTCTCGTCGATAGTGTATTCACCCTCGGTGAGGACCATGCAGCCCTCGGTAAACAAACCTTCACCTGCCATCTGATGGGGTCAGTTGCCACCACAAACGTTGCACCTACCGCATCGGCCATATCCAGCACCACACGTCCCTCGCCGTCCTCCAAACAAAGCTGGCCCTCTGGGTTGCGCGAGAGCATGCCGAAGAGAAGGAAGAGCTGACCGGCACGGCCTAGAAGGTTGCGAGTGGAGGTCAACTGGCGTGTCAGAATCCCATCTCAGGCGTGGTACGTACCTTGTAGTAGTTGGAACGGTCGTGTCCGCCGAGCGCAGGTGGAGTGAAGTTCTCGTGTCGCGAGAGGATCTGGGAATAAGCGTTGCACGGCGAGCGGTCCCTAAGCTCACCTCTTTGATGATACTCCATCGCTCTCGGAGGTACGATGCTCGGCTCGCCGCTTGGCCTGCTTCTGATGGCTTGGTCTTGGACCTGCACTGGTTAGCTGGCCTCCGATCTCATTGAATTGCCACGTACGTCGTAAAGCCTGAGCGGACGGCGTCAAAGTGCACAGCAGGCATGTCAAAGCTGTCGACAACAGAGAAGTGCGCCTCCACATTGATCTCAGACGGGTCCGCCACCTGGGTGTCGTCGGTTGCGCCGAGCTGGAGGATCTCGTACGCGCGCTTAAGGGCCGGCAAGGAGACGAGAGGTGATGGATCTGTCGTGAGCGCCCATTGCAAGGGTGGGGTGGTAAGCTCACCTTCTCCCTTGAGATACTCGCGCGCCCAGAATTCGAGGCCAGTGTTCCACTCGTCCTGTTCAATTTCATTCTGTCTGTGTTAATCTCGGTCGAGTGACCGCCATCCTCTACTTACCTCTATCAGAACTTGCTCGATGTAGGCCATCGCCGGGGCCGGTAGGGTGAGCGAGTACTTGGTCGAGAAGACCTGAATGGGTCAGCGGTAATACGAGTTTCGGTAAGCTCACCTTGACGATCGCTGCCCGCAGAGAGTTGGCCATGGCGGGTGGATGAGGATGATGGAGGAAACCAAATACAGTCGGTCGCGTTACTTTGGGAGGAACCTCCACATGAGCGCGCGCCAGCTGGACGCGTCGAAGGCAGGCAGGCCTATAAACAAGATAGGTAAGCGGCAATAGGCATGGCCGGGGCAAAACGGAAGGCGTGCTAACCGGAATGACGATCACACCAACAACATCATAGCGGAAGCAAATGAGCCTAAGTGGGGGTGACTAATAGTGTGTCGATCGCGTTCCACCCACAGTGCTCATTCATGATACTCATTGAACCCCCTGGTGAGACCGACCGTTCAGCACAACCCCCCATATACCACACCCCTACAGCCAACAACAACCATGGCGCTGCGAAAGCTCCAAGCGGAGATTGACCGCACCATCAAGCTCATCACGCAGGGAAACGACCTGTTCGATGAGACCTTTGAGAAGCTGGATCATGCCACAAATGTGACCCAGGTGAGTGGTTTCGATGTTGTTAGGCAAGACGACCTTCCTCCGTCCTCACACACCTCCTGGGCCACCTGCTAACCCCTTGGCAGAAGGACAAGCTTGAGAATGACCTCAAGTCGCAGATCAAGAAGCTCCAACGCATGCGCGATCAGGTCAAGGTGTGGCTTGGCAACAGCGACATCAAGGACAAGAACCCCTTGTTGGAAGCAAGGAAGTCCATTGAAAGTGTGAGTTTGGCTGTTTATGGGCCTTCAAGGCCCTCGAGTGAGCTGCCTTGTGGCTGTGAGGTGGTATGAACCATCCTGGGTGGCAGCATCCGCGAGGCCTTACAAGCCGCATGTCGGCGGCGATCTCGAGTCCCTTCCCCCTTCTTTGCCGCCCAAGTGCTGACGTTTGCTTCAGCGAATGGAAAGATTCAAAGGTACGGCGCATTCACTGGACGCTTTACTGACATGCAGCGCTGGAAAAGGAGTTGAAGATGAAGGTGAGCACTGCCAGGGAGACGCCGATCTTCTTCACGTCTGCACCCAAGCTGACAACCTATAAGGCCTTCTCCAAAGAAGGCCTCATTGCAGCCGCTCGCCTCGACCCTGCTGAAAAGGCAAGGCGAGAGATGATCGACTGGATTGGCAGCACAACCGAGGAGCTCGCGCGCCAGATCGAGCAGACTGAGGCCGAGGCCGAGACTCTGCAAGCGACCGGCAGGAAAAAGAAGTCGGGCGGCGACCGCCTGGCTGAGCTCGACCAGCTCAACGAGCGTCGGCAATGGCACATTGGACGCCTCGAGATTGTGCAGCGCATGTTTGAGAACGGCCAGCTGTCCATGGAGCGCGTCGAGTCGATCCAGGAAGACGTCAAGTACTTTGTCGAGGCCAACACGGAGGAGGACTTTGACTATGACACTGGCATCTACGACGAGCTCAACCTGCAAGACGTCGAGGATGAGTATGTTGGTGACTTTGCCGCCCACGCCGAGGACTCGTCTACCATCGACTCGGCATCCATTGCCGACATCCAAGAGACCAAGACGCCGACCAAGGAGGACAAGAAGTCCAAGTCTTCCGTCCATGGTGACGACCAACCACCAAGTCCCGTGCAGTCCAAGCGCGGAAAGAAGGCCAAGGAGGAGAAGGCTGAGGCCAAGGCTGCCGCAAAGGCTGCCGAGGCCGCTGCAGCTGCTGCTGCCGCTGTGGCAGCTGCCGCCATCGCTACGCCTCCCACACCGGCCAAGCCCGCTCCCTTGCCGCCGATCCGGTATGCCGCCGCTGCCGCCGCTGCTGTTGGTGGACCCAACCCTCCTCCTTCGGCTCCCTCAGAGTCTTCGCCTAGTGCTCCAAAGCGTGAGGCCACCCCTCAACCCGAGGACGACCTTGAGCTCGAGTCTGAAGCCCACGACGAGTCTTCCAGCGGTGCTCCTGACGTGTCATCCCAGACCAACGGTCACGGCCCTCATCTGTCGCTCGGCCCCTCTGCGTCGCCATCGCCCGTGCCTCAAGACCCTCATGGTGCCAATGGCGGTGCCGACCAGCTGTACGCCCATGCCGAGTCGTCTCGCGCGGCTGCCGGCTACTCGTCCAGCCCCCGCAAGGAGGGTGTCCTCGAGAACCTCATGCAGAGCTTTGGTGTTGCCAAGGACATGGCTGAGCGCCGTGCCAACGACCCCAACGAGCTTGCCTCTTCCTGGACGTTTCCTATCACAACGCACCGTCGCAAGTGGATGCCGAGCCGTGAGTCTACGCCCTCCGTGAATGGCCACTAACTCTCCAGCCCACGGTATTACCACCCTGCGAACCCGATCCAGACGCCTTCGTACTACCCGCAGACCAGGCTGCCACTGCTCGAGGACAAGAACATTTACCAGCGTCTCGAGCTCGACCAGCTGTTCTACATCTTCTACTACATGACGGGAACATACGAACAGTGAGGGTTTAGGTCTCTGAGCGCTCTAGCTGACAACCCCAGGTGGCTCGCTGCCCAGGAACTCAAGCGTCAATCGTGGCGTTTCCACAAGCAGTACCTCACATGGTTCCAGCGTGCACACAACCCTCAGGCTATCACTGAGGACTATGAGCAGGGCGGGTACTACTACTTCGACTGGGAGAACTCTTGGTGCCAGCGCCGTAAAAGTGACTTCCGTTTCGAGTACCGGTGGCTGTCAGACCACTAGTTGTGTAGCTAGCGAGACAGATAGTAGATATGCAGTACTGCAGAGCGGTACAAAAGAGGTTGCGACTTGCGGAGTAGAGTAGAGATAGTACTGGCGGCGGCTGACTAGAAACGCATAGGCCCATTTGGATAAACGTTTAGCACAACTGAACTGTAATGTAAATGCGGCGAGTATAGGCCCCAATTGGAGCCATAATGTAGATGTGCACAAAGTCATAACATGTAAAACGAGGTTCACAACAACAAGGATGTCAGATGACTCTGCGACCGCCCGACCCTCTACAGTCGAGCGGAAACCAGCAAGCTGGCGCAGTGTCGCCTGTTTACTCTCACCCCGCTCCGTTTCTCCTCCCCCGTTGTAAAGTAGGGGTTGGAGAGCGCCCCAGTGGACACATCGAGGTTGGGAGAAAGAGAACAAGACGCGGTGCGCGTCGGAACTTTAAGCTGGGCCGACAACGGAAGTATTTTTGCACGTGACGGGCGGAGGCAAACCCATTTGAAGGTCTCCGGCCCTCCCGGCGTTTCGGCGATTTGTCTTTGTGTTCTAAACTGTGGCGGGTTGCCGAAATGGCCCAGGCGGTCGCCGCTGGCTGGTGGTCGACACTTCGCAACCACACCTTACAACTCTTCTCTCTAGCAAAACTTGTGCGTGACGACCCCGACCTCGACCCCATAGCGTGTGCTGACCAACGCGCTCTTCCCCCCATCGACGCCGACATCTCGTTGAATCTTCCCATTCCCCTCCCCCCTTCGACTTTCGACCTAACAGACAAAATGGTTCGTCTCCAACCGAGAGCCCGGTGGAGCAAGGTGCCCCCTTCTCTTTCGCGCGCGCACACACAGTCCAGGAAGGAGGAGGATGGAGGAGGGATGAGCAAGGGAGAGAGGACGAGGAGGGACTGCGGACTGTGCTGGAGTGTGCGCGCGCCAGAGAGGGAGAGACGGCGCCTGCTTTGCCTGCGTTCTTTCGGCCAACGCACGCGTAGAATTGCGCTCACACAAGCAGGCTGAGGAGTACACTACCGGTGAGGAGGCCGCCGCCAAGAAGGCCGCCCGTTCGTTCAAGAAGTACACCTACCGCGGTGTCGAGCTTGACCAGCTCCTCGACCTCTCGAACGAGAACTTCATCGACGTGAGTATACCCAAGGGACATTTTAGCTCGACCGAGCTTTCGACCCCCGGCCAAAATTCCAGTGCACCGTCGTATGACCTTTGGCTGACAGCCTCTCCAGATCGTTCACGCTCGTGCCCGCAGGCGCTTCCAGCGCGGCCTCAAGTCGCGCCCCATGCGTCTCATCAACAAGCTCCGCAAGGCTAAGAAGGAGGCCGGCCCCAACGAGAAGCCCGCCACCGTCAAGACCCACCTCCGTGACATGATCATCATCCCCGAGATGATCGGCTCGGTTGTCGGTGTCTACGTGAGTTTTTCATTTCTCGACCCCAATGGTCCCAGAGAGAGAACACCCCCCACTGACGCTTTTTTTCAGAACGGCAAGACCTTCACCACCGTCGACGTCAAGCCCGAGATGACTGGCCACTACCTTGGCGAGTTCTCGATCACCTACAAGCCCGTCGGCCACGGCCGCGGTGCCAACATGGCCAACTCCCGCTTTGTTCCCCTCAAGTAAGCGTACGATACGCTTAGGGAGAGGACTTGTACGACGTAGGGATGCACTCAGTGCTCGTCAGAGCGGTTTTTCGAGCCTTCGGAGAGAGAAGTGGGATCGGGCGGCACGGCGTGTCAGGTTGAACGTGTGGTGTCGTGTGAGCAGCCATGAGGCGGCACTGCAGCATGTGTGCGGGCAGCTATGGGGCTTTGTGCACCGCGTAACTGAGGATATCTGGCACGGAATGAGTCTCGCGGGTCTGAGGATATGGAGTGTGGAGTGAGAAGCCGGGGGAGATGGATGGCAACCATCCGAGATTAGACTCCATACACGTTCTGTGTCCCACACCTCCTTCGCTACGACGGCCGCGGGTGCACTCTGGCCCCACAGGCTGTCGTACACCGACCTCCTGCTGTGCATGATGCGTGTATTTAAAGCAGCGCATACAAGAGAATACGTACGGGGTTGCAAGTGTGAGCCACAAAGATCGAGAGCAAGAAGAGCTTGGGAAGACGCGAGGCCGGTGGGAAAGCCGCTAGGACCACAAACCTCTTTTCCGCACTGGGAAACTTGCGACCGGCCAGTGGCTCTTGCACTCTGTCATTTGTGTGGCACTCCATCAACGCACACGCTCACACCATGTCCGCGACCTCTGCTCCGCCAGACCCATGCACAGGAGGCCAAACCCACATGCCCAGGCTGCAGTCTCCACATCCCAGTCCTGCAGGGCTGACAGGCGCGCACACAGGCGCGCGGCGGGAGAAAAAATCAAAGTTCAAGCCCACCCGCCTCGTCCACGCCTCCGCTAACTCTCCGCAACCCTCCCTGTGTCCCCAGTCTCCAGCAACATTGCCCAGATGGCAAAAGAGAAGGCTTATACACCGTAAGGGAGTCGAACCCCTGCCGCGTCGATGGCAACGACGCATGATACCGTTTCACCAACGGTGTAGAGATGTCAATGGAAAAGTGATGATGGCCACGGATCGTCAGCTGCTTTTTCTCGTGTATGTTCTTGAATTCATGCTCTAGAATGGTGCAACTGGGTGCTTTGGAATGCGCTGTATCCTGAGAAATGAACTCGACTTTGATTGAGAAGATGGGAAGGAGCTGGTGGCTTGAATGGCACGATTTGTGGTCGTCGGCATGAGGAGATGAAAATGGCGACCTCACGCTGCTAATTCCTTCCTGGTCCATTCCTGACTTCGAGTACAGGTCTTCTCTAGGGGCTGTGCTCCTTGGATATTACTGTGTACGTCTCTGCAAGACCCTATCGACCTCTCTTGATCTCACTTGGTGATACGATGCTTGTGGTGTCAAACAATATGTGGCAGGAAGTAAGTGCAACATGGCGCGCCAGTACAGCTCCATGTCCTCCTCCTCTTCCATGCAACAAATATGTGACTACACTGCACATGTCACCGTGTAGGGTACGACAAACCCCAGTGTCTAGACGCTGTGCAAGATCCATGGCAATGCGTTTGGCCGTCTTTGAAAGATCTGCTGACGCAATAAAAGTGGCAGTGCTCAAGATCTGGTTAAATGCTGACCAGTTTCCCGTCTGCTTCCAGTCACCCGGGTGGCTATCGCATACAAAGAGCCTGATCCTGGGATGGAGCAGATGATGGCACTGTGATGGTAAGGCGGGGACGAGGGAAGCGAGCTGAAGCCGTGACGCTCTGTCAACTCTGCCTGCGGACCAAATAAACCATTTGCAGAATGTATTTATTTTCAGCTCCGCCTTGAATCAACTATAGTCTACGTACTCTGGTCTCGGTTACCAAACGATCAACAAGGACGTATGACAACATTCTACAAGTCAGAGACGGTTTAGAACTATATTCTAGCCAACGTTCACATCCTCACGTTCCCGTGGTTCCACAAAACACAGCTTTCGGTGGCTGTCCGCAATAAAAAATAAAAAATGAAACAGCCAGCCCTTTGATCCTTTCAGAGTCTCATAACGTGATCCTTGCCCCAACGACCTGAATTCGGGTCACGAGACGGATCCCATGTGGCCTCGCCTGTGATATGTGAGTTGGAGGGACCTGGCCTGCATAGCCTGCATACTCGGGGCACCATTCTTCTCTTTCGTTTTATTAATTCTGAGCCAGGGCAGTGTGCGTGTCCAGGAGTGGCAGATAACAAGGCAGCAGCTGGTACCCGTACACTCGACATGACCCTCGAGGTCCAACACCCCCCCCCCCAAGTGGAGACGCCGTGTTCGTCACCATGTGCACTATGCACTTGGCGCTGTGGTATTATGGCCTATGTACTTGGCAGTGGCACAATTAATCTAATCTCCGCCGCGCGCGCCGCCTTTCCTTGCTCACGTCACCACACCAACATGCTTCAACGGCGCCAGCGCAGTGAGCAGCAGTGGGCGCAGGTGTATGCCAATGCCAACGTTGCGCCGTATCGGGCAGTGCAGTGGTGGGCGCAAAGGGCCAGGCGCAAAGGGCCAGGCGCAAAGGGCGCGCGTGTATCCCGCTTACATGGAGGGGAGGCGAACATTCGAGACCTGTTTTCGAAATTTCGACAGAGTGTGCGCAGACGGGTCCATCGTCATGTGTCAGTCGGTCGGTCGCTACTGCGCCCGTTTGTCCGCCCGCGACGCGGGTCGCGGACTGCAGAAACTGGACAGGTGCCCGCCCTTTCCAGTCTGGAAGTGGCGGTTCTGTACGGGCGGTGGCAGTGCGGAGTCAGCGGCCCAGCGGCCCAGCTGATGGCTTGCCGCCGTCAAGTGCGTCAAGGGGCGAGGTAGTGGCCTTGTGGAGCGCTAGCTGCCAACGTCACTGGGATCCACTGATCCACTGATCCACTGATCACCTGCTGCTGGAATTCAGACTGAGACGGGGTACTGCCTGCCACCAAACAGCACGCTCTGGGTCAATTAAAAATCGTCAATTGTAACCCGCAGCACGTGCTGGCTCATTGCATCCACTGTACCCGCGTCTGCATGGTCGTGCTGGGATACAACCACCGTCTCTCCGCATACACTTTAGCGTACAAGTAAACAGCGCCAATGGTCTCGGTCTCTGAATATCTACTATATCTCACCATCTTGGGATTAACTGTTTCCAGACGTTTTGCTCAAATAAAAAAGAAAATGGCTAAGAGTATGCCCGAGACGCGCTACGTACAATGAACGAGGTCATGTCGTGCTGGTGGAGGAACGAGCCATGGCACCATGGACTGATTGCACCGAGGCACGCGCTAGTGATGTTGTGTCTGGCTCTCTCGGTTTTCTTTTTCAGAGCAGTGGAAAGGAGGTCAGGTCATATGCACAAGGTTTATGCACGCAAAGAAAGCACCAAGCACGAGGCGCGCCACCGCCGCCACTCGCGCCACACCGACGTTGGCGCTTGACATTATACAATTCTAGCGTGCGCGCGCGATCAGGCGCGGAAATGGCCACGAACACAGCTACACCCGTGCACGCCGGCCGTGCCCACACCCGCGGCTGGCGCGCACATGGACGCGATGCACGATGCACGATGTTTTCGGTACGTGAGAGCGATGGGCAAGATGTGCCAGGCGAAACCAGGAGAGACAAGGAGAGACCAGGAGAAGCGTATGAGCGGCCAAGGGGCCAAGGGGGCGGGAGATTGCGCGAGAGATATGGGACATATGACAACGGGGGCGGTGGGGCCGTGCGTGCGGGGAACACGGGGGAGGCTGAATCGGGTTTTGTTGTTCCAATACGACGCCTGCCGCCCCCCAGCCACCGCCGCAAACGGTCATGCTGCGAGGGCGGGGAGGAATTCAGATAGAAAGATAGAGAGATCTCTGGCAGTACGTCGTGGTGGTGGTGGTGGCAGCGGCATTGGTGATGGCAAGTACTATGCATAGGGGGGGTGTTGCCAACCGCGGGAGGAACAATGTGGCTAGTCGTACAAAAATGGTGGATGGAACACTGCTGCTGGTTGCTGGCTACTGTTTACAAATTGTTCTTCTCTGGGCAACATCGTGTGCGCCTCGCTGTCTCTGCTCTTCGTTCTCTGTTCTCCGCTTTGTTGCTGCTGCTCTTCTGAATGGCTACTGTGGGACACAATGGGTGTGTGTGGTTCGTTTGTCGTCAAGGGAGGTCATGTTCATCTGTGGGAAAACGTTAGCCACGAGACCTTTCTTTTTGGGCTGCTGTGGCGCCGGAACGTGTGTGTTCGAGGAATGGGAACTCTATCCCTCCGCCAAACGAGGCTTCCCTCCCTCGACATGTCCACGTCTGACTGTGAAACTCACCTTTTTGGTATGTGCTTCTCACAAGGACACCGGGGGGTGGGAGGGGATCACTTGACTCGTGCGGTGGTGGCTGCCGCGGCGCCAAAGCTGGGGCCGATACTTGGTCCGCTCTTCATGGAACGGTGACGGCGGAGACGCCAGAGGAGGGCCAGGCGTGTCCAGAGGTGATGTGTGCGCTGGGTGAGGAGGGCTGAGCGGGTGGTCTCCTGCGTGAGCGAGTGGCCGACCCAGGCGTAGAAGAGGGTGACGCGCTCGGGGGAAGGAGGTTCGCGGCGGCCAAACCAGATGATACCGTCGTCTTCGTCGTCTCCGGGCTCGTCTTCGTCCTGGACAGACTCGTCGTCGTCGTCGCTGGACGCATACGACAGACTTGGGGTGGCGGAGCCAGACGCGTGTGAGCGGGGTGTGGGCGAGCCAGTACACCGCTCGAGGCAGACGTGGCCTGGATAGCGGTCGTCGGCGTCGCAGTACTCGTTGTCGCAGTCCGAGTTGTCGTCGTCCTCGTAGGCGCCGAGGTTGCTGACACTGCGCTTGCGTGCGAGGGGAGGGGTGTTGGTGCGCAGGATGGGGTTGCTTGGAGCCTTGGACATGCGGCGGAGGGGAGCCCCGCGGAGTTCAGGGGAGGCGCTGCGGGGGCAGGTCGAGAGGGGAGCGGCGTCGACCAGGGCGGCAAAGTCGGAGACTGAAATGGTGGACACTGAACGAAGCAGTGACATGGTGTTGATGGGGTGGTTGGTGTGGTTGGGGGTGATGTGGTGGGGGGCAGTGGAAATGAGAAGGAAGAAGAACGGCCGATGGGAGAAGGACGGCAGCCTGCTCTTTTAGAGGTATGTGGTGCGTGGGTGTGTGTTGTGTTGTGTGGCGAGGGGTGGGGCCGGCGGCAAAAAGGGAGTCGCTCAGCGCGTGCACCCGGATCTTTTGTTTTGTGCGCTGTGCTTCGCGCGTTCGGTCGGTCGGGATATGCGAACGCTTTTGCTTTCTGAGCGGGTGGTTCGGGCAGGTAGGATGTGGTGTTGAGCTGTGTGTGTGTGTGTGCGGGGTGAGGGTTTGTGTTGTGGAGTGTGGGTGGGAGAGAATGTCGATGGGAGATATATATATGCTCCCAGTCCCTTTGCTCCCCTTCCTGTGCGCGCGGGGTACACACAAGAATACAACACCCACAGAGCACAAGAGGTACAGAGGCTGCACGCTCCCATGTGTCATTATGGCATGCTGCTCTCCTCCTCCCCCCCCTGTGCGATGCGCGATCGTGTGGTTTATGCTGCTGCTGCTGCTGCTGCTGCTGGATGCATGCCGTGACGTATTCCTGGGACCCTGCACCACCTGCACCACCGCCGCCGCCGCCGCCGCCTCTGGCAGTTCTAGGCTTTTTGGGCCATTCGCGGCGGGCGGTGCGCGGGAGAGAGGGAGAGAGAATGGCCTGGCCCAAAAGCGGCCGCGGTTTGGCTTCCGATCTCGTGTCTGCTGCGATAAGCTCTGGATCCACTCCCCCCTCTCTCTGTGCGCGTCTCTTCTGTCGATGAGAGAGAGCGCCATGGCGGCAGCCGCTGCACTCTTCTCCCTCTCTCTCTCGTTGTGCTCCTGACAATATGCGTCCAGCAACGGGAACACCAGCGGAATGTCAGTGTCACGACGACACACAATCGAACGACAAAAAGCCAGCGGCGGCGGCAGTGGCTGCAACGGCGCGACGGGGCGGCAGCGACAAATGTGCACAGCCGGGTTTGTCTCTCGCTGCCAACGCCTTCCGCGATCCGCATGACCAAAGAATGGCATTCACCACACGCCTTTACGCCATCCGGCACACCCAACAGCCGCTCGCCGCTCTCGTCGGAGGTTTGGGGCGACAGGCCACAGGCCAGAGGGGGGGGGGGGGGGGGGGACGGAAGAGGGAGATATGCAGGTTATAGGTGGGAGATCTGCGACGCGAACCGCGGCTCAAAAGCACAGAGGTCGCTGGGATCGATGACCCCCTCCTTGCCCCGTGCTTCCTGCATGCGGCATGCCTTGCTTTGTGTCGGGTCAAAAGCCATTTGGGAGCCGAAGCAGTTGCTTGGCAAAAGTGGGGTGGCTTTTGCCCTCTCCCCTCTCCCCCGCTTCCCTCTCCCCGGCGTCAGCACACACGATTGCGGGGTTAAGGTTTGAGCAATCTGGAGAGACAATAACCTATGAAAAGAATCTCCAACCAGGGAAAGCGCACAGTACGTCAGTATGGTGGGTACTGTGGTACTGTGAGCATTGTTGTAGTACACTGCATTTGCTGCGCGCTCCTGGCATTTCTGGCATTTCTGGCACTTCTGGCACTTCTGGCACTTCTGGGTGCAACATGATTTTCCATCAACAAGTACACCCCTGCCGCCACCCCCAGACTCGTATCGTGAGCGGAGCGCTGGCGGGATCTGCTCATCTGCACACATGCACATTCCAAAAGCAGGCTCCATTTTCCGCGGTCGATCCGCCGTACAGCACACGTACAGGCCACAGGCCACAGGGTATTCAGCCCCGCGCGCGCGCCGCCACCCTCCGTAAAGCATGCACTATAGGAGTAAACGCGCGATAACACGTTTGACGACGGAGTGTGTGGGCGACTGGTCACGGGGGTGTGGAGCCACCGTGTCTCCCATGAACAAAGAGAAAAGGGTAAAGAATGGATAACAGGGTTAGTTACCGGGTCCACACCCAACAAGCTGGATCAGCTGATCAGCTGACACCCACTGGCCAGAGGCCAGAGGCCAGAGGCGACCCCCGGCCGGCTGCTGGCTGACACCATCTCGCGTCTTGCTTCTTCTTCTCTCCCCCCCGCTATCGTACTCGCCACCAAAAACACGGCTGCAGGCACACAACACACACCTGACGTACTTCCTTGTTTTGGTACAGCCCAACATGCCAACAGGCCCGACACAAGAGACAACAGCCACGGTTCACAGACACGGTTCACAGAGACGCGCGGCACGCATCCCGTGACCAGCCCTCTCTCCGTCTCAGTCTCAGTTGTCTCCGTCCGTCGTTCTGACGCGTGCTTCTTGTCCACACACGTCCGTTCCATTCCCCGTCTCCCGCGTCTCTCTCTCTCTCTCTCTCTCTCGGTCTCGAGGTCTCTCTCTCCGTTGGAATCCAGGCCCGCTTCTCGAACCGCAAGGGGCGCGCAAGTCTGTCAGCCTGTCTGTGTTTTCTGACAGTGGACGCCGAATTCCCCAACTTGGCCGAGGGTACGCGGCGCTTCTGGGCTTCTGGGCTTCTTGACCAAAAAAAGCGGTGATCTGTTCGAAACAGCCAGCACCGTCGTCTCTTCTCGTGTTCTCAAGCCGAAATGCAAAAGCGCCAGATAACAAGTTGAGCGGCGACGCACGTCCAAAAGGCGGGGTACCGAGGTACCGAAGCGCGCTCGGGGGGGGGTCCGTATTTCCCGCTCTTGACAAACCCCGACGAATAGAGTGTGGCCATCAGACAATGCTGGTCCCTCTGTTCCTCTGTCCCAGACAGCTGCTAATGGTCCACGGCAATTGCATGCATAGCCTACGCTGCGCACGACTTTGATGTCACGTCTCTGTCTACTACTTCTTCTCCTCGGCGGGGGGCGGGGGCGGGGGGATCTTGAAGTCCTGTTGGTACGTTAGCACAAGAGTTCACGAGTCTGACACCAGTGTCGACGCGTGCGTGCGCGCACGCTCGCGCTTGCAATTCGTCCTCGTCCACACGTCTACTCACCTCTGGGGTGCTCTCAGTGCCGGCTCCCACCTGCTCCCAAGGCGAGGCGCCGTCCGCAAAGTTGCGGAAGGCCTGGGTGAGCTGCAGGGGCTCGTACACGACGCGCTTCTTGACCTCGTCGTAGCGGACCTCGGTGTAACCCTGTTGGATGTCAGCGTTGTCACTAAAGGGAGTTTGATAACCCCAGCTGAGTTGAATGCGGATTTCCAGCTAAGCTCAACGGGCAGCTAGCTACTCACTGTCAGAGGGAAGTCCTTCCGCAAGGGGTGGCCCTCGAAACCTGGATATCAGTTAGCAATCGTCGCCCCAGATGTCGCTCCATATGTGTCGAGTATGAAGTCAGTGAATCTCACCATAGTCGGTAAGGATACGGCGGCTAATTTCCGTCAGCCACAAGATCGTCCAAACCAAGATTACCACCAAAAGATAGCACACTATCTTTTGGTTCCTCCCAACTCTCAACTCACAGATCCGGGTGGCCGCTGAAGAAGACACCGTACATGTCCCAGACCTCACGCTCGTACCAGTTGGCACCCGAGAAGACCTCGACAGCCGAAGGGACGGGGGTGATCTCGTCGGCGTAGGTCTTGACGCGGATACGCGACTGGTGGGCGACCGAGAGGAGGTTGTAGACGACCTGTACGACGTTAGTACTGCGCGAGTCTTGTTCAGGTGGTGACAGGGGGGGCCGCCCAGCTCCGCCACGCAGCCCGCCCCCTCCCGCCGGGGTCCTCCGAATGACGCAGGACCCAACCTCAATTAACCCACCTCGAAGCGCTTCTCGCGAGTGGGGTAGTCGACGGCGGTAATGTCGACGACCTGCTTGTACTGGCACTGGGTGTGGTCACGGAGGAAGGTGAGGGTCTGGATAATGGCCGAGGGGGGAACGTAGAGGGTGAGCTCGTCCTTGTAGACCGAGAACTGCTGGATGTATTTGGGCAGGCAAGTGGTCAGGTACTGGCCAAAGTTGTGGAGGGGCGAGTTGACCGTGGCAGTCTTGTCGGCGGGGTTGACGCCAACGGGCTCCTTGAAGGGAGGGGTCGAGGGCTGGGCTGTGGTCGAGTGTTAGTACTGGCACAGAGAAGGGGAAAGGGGAGATCGCCATCGCGCCTGGTGTATGTCCAAGGACATGGACTTGGGACATATGGACGACGACGGATATCCCGGGAGGAGCAGCTCGGAGACGCACCCGAACGGAGGACGGCAGAGGTGGCGAGGGCGCGGCCGGCGATGACTGGGCGCGAGGCGGTGCGGAGACCGCCGCGGAGCGCAACGAGCGAGGACCGGGCTGCCATGGTGGTGACGCTGGTGGGGGTGGTAGCGGGGTGGTGGTGGACGAGTGCCGATGCGCAACTGAACGAAGACGGTTGGCTGCACCCTGCGCGGGCGGGGGGTCAGGATGCCACACCGGGGGCTAACGACGGCGATACACGGCGATATGTATATACAGGGCTGGCTGGCTGGAGCCCACCGTACGGTGGGTGGTGTGCCTGGGGTGGTGTGCGTGGGTGGATGCACCCAGGCTGCTGCCCGCCCAGCCAGGAGTGAGCCCAAGGCTCAGTCTCTACGGGTGGCGCGCTCTCTTGCGGAACAGACGGCGACCATCAAGTGGATAGCGACCAACGCCAGTCAAACACCTCCTCCAACACCCTCTCGCAAGGAGGCAAACCCCCCTTATACCCCCCTCCTCCCCCCTCCATCACCACCACACGGGTACGCGCTCACTGCGTCCACCCGCCCCATCCCCCATCTCCCTCCCCCCTCTCCCTTCCATCAGCACCTCCCCTCCACCGGCTGGCACCTTGCATCCAGCCCTCACCTCAACCTTCCGTCCCGTTCGAGCTGTAGTCTCCGACACGCCACTCGCGTTCCACACAGACCGCAAGGCAGCTCAAGACACTCCGGTCACCAACGCCAGCTCTGCGCGGCGTTACACGCTGGTACCACCCTCGATGTGCGTTTGCTCGTCGTCCGAACCATCACGCGATCATGGCGCAGAGGCCAGGGGGAGGAAGGAGGGGGAAGGAAGGAAGACTGGGCGACCTTCCTTGCCCCTTCGCCCACCGCTGCGGCCCGCGCCAACGTAGCCTCTACTTTTGCTGACCACAATCAAACAGGAGCCCAGCATGAACCCTTCGCCTACCGAAATCCATGTGCAAGAACCTAACCCAGAGCTCCCAAAGTCCTCGGCTGCGCCTGTGAGCGACACCCCGACCGGCGCGGCGGCCGACCGTGCTCTTTCCGCCGTTGGCAGTGGGAGCGCGGCGGTCAAGCCAGATGCGCCTAACGGCAACGGGAGCACGTCCCCCACAGCTGTAACGGAGGCCAAGATCGATACAACAGCGAACGCGGTGCCGACCAGGTCGACGCCGAGCCCCCAACAGGCGAGCGGGGCGCAGACAGACGTGGCGGTTTCGGCCGCGAGTGGAGAGAAGGAGGCGGCCGAGGCAGCTGGGAATGGTGCTCCAGAGACAAAGGCGGAGAGCATCGACAAGCCAAAGGACGGCGGCGATCAGTCGACTCACCACCCCTTGGTGGCCAGCGCCGTCCCCGGCCGTGTTCCCACGCCCTCGTCGCGCACGTCGACACCACCACTCACCGCGGCGGCGACCAAGAAGAAGTTCTCTTCGGTTTCCGTCAACAAGGAGTTTCTCTCAAAGGCCGCGAGCCCAGTCCCTGCTCCTGCCAAGCTCGGTGAGTTTTGAGAACGAGGGGTCTGTGTGCGTGCGTGTTCCACCCAGCTGACTAGGAATCACAGTGCGCCCAGCAGCTGTGACAGCGCCAGTGCAGTCTGGCTCCAAGCTTCTGTCCACAAAGCTCACGACTGTCCCTTCCTCCAAGACGTCTACCTCACCAAAGCCGGCGGCAGCGACCACAACATCATCGACCACTTCCCCATGGGCCAAGCCCGCCATCCCAACCGAGCCGACCCCGCTTCTCCAGCATCCCGCGCCAACGCGCCACGGCTTGCCAAACGTCGCCATGGGTTCCGGACAAGGACTTGGAGCAGCGGCGAGACGTGCATGGGGACCTGTTGTGGGTGGAGGTCATCATCCTGGAGAGGGAAGGAGTATGCGGGGAGGACCACCACCGATGCGTGACTTCCCCACTGCCAAGGAGGTTGCAGAAGGTGAGCTTTGAGGAAAGGTCTCTTTGAGCTCTTACTAACAGCTACCAGTCAAACGTGCAGCCATGCTCAACGCCCAAGCTGTGGCACAGGCCGAGGCCGCCCACAACCAGGCCATCCTGTCGTCTCTGAACGAGTTTACCCATCTGGAGCCGAACGCCCACCGATGGGACGAAGAGGATGACGATGATGAGGTGATTGACTTTGGAGACGGCCAGACGTACGACATCAAGGAGCCCGAGCCACCTGTGCACGAGGTGCCGGTGACAAAGTCGGAGCGCTTCCAGGACGACTTTGACCGCAGCTGGCCCAGGCGTCCCTCAGAGTCACGTACTCGCGATTCCGGACGTGTGCTCTTCAACGCTTCGACGAACCGTCACGAACCAACACAGGGTCGTCAACCTCCTCCTTCCTCGCAGCAGCATCCAACTAGGCTCATGTCGCGAGACCTTCCTCCTCACGCCGCCCACGGCGGTGCTCACGACAGGGCCCCACCCCCGCATCTGGCCGACTCGGGTCGCATGCTGCCTCCTCACATGGCGGCGTCATCTGGTCCTGCTGGTCACCAACATGCTCCAGATGCGACAGCTCGCTCGTGGCGTGCAGCCCCGCCCGCCCGCGACGCCCCACCTCACGCCGCAGAGCACCACCCACCACCTCCTCGCGCTCCTCCAGCTGCTCGTGCTCCTCCTCCCCCTCCTGCCGCGCAACAACAACACCACGCACCACCACCGCCCCCTGCTCCTGCTGCTGCGGCATCAGTGACTTCACCAGTCAGCAGCACTGGCGCTCTCCCTGCTACCACCGTTGCCGGCGACACCCAAGCAGCTGAGATGCACTCGGCGGCAGAGAAGGCTCGTCTGCGCCGCCTGGAGGAAGAGGCTGCGCGTGAAGCAGCAGCCGAACGTGCGCGCCAGAAAGCTCGCGAGCTTGCCGAGAGGTTCGGCCCAGCGCCCACTGCACCTGCGTCCGCGGACAAGAAGCCCGCCAAGGCGGCTGCCGCACCACCAGCACCAGCTGCTGCAGCGGCCACTTCACCCGTGGCCCCTCCCCCCGGCCTGCCCAAACCTGCTCCTCCCCCCGGCTTTAGCAACAAGGCCGCGCCGCAGGTCACTATTGCCACTCGTCCTCGTCCCGGTGCTGCCGAGGCCGCTGTCCCCGCCGAGCCGCGCGCTCCCGACGCGGCCCCCCACCCTGCAGACCAGGCCACATCCTGGCGCCGTGCAGCTCCAGTGGCACAGCAACAAGCCCAGCCAGAGCACCGCGAGCCTCGTGAACAGCGCGAACCACGCGAACAGCGGGAACCCCGTGAACAGCGCGAGCCCCGTGAACCTCGCGAGCCCCGCGAACCCCGTGGCAACAAGGGACGCCGTGCTAGCAATGACCAGGGCCCTCGACCGGCGGAAGTCGCGCGCGAGCGTCGCGCACCCCGTGACGGACCCCCTCCTGTTCAGCACGGTCGTGAGCTCCCACCGCACGTTTCACCCAACGACATGGCGCCTGCCCCCTCAAAGCCGCCTGGTCTACCAGAGCCTACGCACACGACGGAGATTGCCGCACCGGTCCCCCAGCCCATGTCCAAGAAGGAAGCCAACTTTGACGCGATGCTCGCGCGTCTGCAAGCTGCCATGGCCAAGGCGCGTTCATCACCGTTTGCCGAGGAGGCTGAAGAGAGCGACGAGGGTCCCAACGAGACGGCCCGTTCAGCCACTGTGCCCGAACCAGCGACGGTTGCACCGGCACCACCTGCTGCGCCGTCGTCGGCGCCATCGTCCGCCCCAGCGTCCGCTGTGCCCAAGGCCCCCAAACCCAAGCCCCAGCGGCCCCGTCTCCCTCACCTCCCCGCCGAGTACTTTGACTTCACCGAGCCAGAGATCCCTCGCTCACCCCCGCCTGCGTGGCGGCAGTACACGGTCAAGGTTCCCAAGACTGCGCGTCCCATCCCCAACATTCCTCGTTGGCGTTTGCGTCTGGCGGAGGGTCTCCGTATCCCGGCCCCCAAGGGCTGGATGATGACCTTTGAGCCTCCTATCCACTACCTCCCGCCCCACCTCACCCTTCCCGACATTCTTCTCCCCCAGCCCATTGGCCGCCGGTTCGCAAAGCATGTCGACACTGGCCCTATCGTGAGCATCTCGCCGCGCTCGTTGGTCATGTTTGAGCGCAAGAAGAAGCGCCGCTCCAACGAGACTCGCCATCTCGAGATTTCTGTCCCGGCCTCGTCCATTGCTCCCGAGCCGTCGCAGACGCAGGCTCCCTTGGCCGTGCCGTCCGAGACGGAAGCCCTTCCCAAGGACCGCCGCTTCCTTGTCGATGGTGAGTCTGTTCCAGGCTCTGCCGACAAGCCCGGCGTCCGCTTCATGGTGTCGAGCGAGCTCGATGGCGACAGCCTGCTTGAAGAGGTCAACAAGATGAGCCTGGAGCACATTGGCGAGCTCGAGGACAAGGGATCCTCCAAGCCCATCAACAAGTCTGGTGAACCGCGTCCCAACACGCCGCCCTCGACTGCTGCCCAGGTGCGCACCAACCCGACTTCGCCCAGCACGGCGGCCCAGGGCCCGTGGGCCAAGTCTGCTCTGTACCCGGTCACGTCGCCTGCTCGCGGTGCACCGCAGCACGAGCACCTGAAGAGCGTGTGGGAGAGCACTGCGACGACGACGACGGCCACGACGACTGCACCCCCGTCAGTCCCCAGCCAGCCCGAGACGCCGCTGTACCCGACTCTGAACGCTCCCATCACTGCGTCGGACCCGACCAACGGCCAAGGCGGCCTGAAGCAGGGCTTCCCGACCATGGGCGGCCAGCCTGCGTCGTCTGCGTTCTCGGTCCGCTCGGCATCCCTCACCCAGCCCGGGTACCAGTACATGTCCTCGGGCGGCGCGAGCCCCGACGGCGGCATGGGCATGCAGTACGGCCTCATCGGACGTAACGGCACGGGCGGCAGCGCCAACGGCTTCCAGCAAGGGCTGTGGACGTCGCCGTCGTTTGGCTCGTCACTCGCCACTCCGGGCGGCTACCGCAGCTTTTCGGGCAACAACAACAACAAGGGCGGCAGCGGCAGCATGGACCAGAAGGGCGGCAACAATGCGATGCAGGCGCCCTTCTCCCCCGGGCCCGGAAAGGACGGCCAACCCGTCCAAGTCCCCTACCTCAACGACTACCGCTACCCGACCCAGCCCGGCGGCAGCGGCTTCCAGCCCGGCGGCGGCGCGTTCAACGGCTACCCGGGCGCGCAGTACCGCAACCCCAGCCAGCAGCTGTACGGCCACGCAGGGCATGCGGGCCACTCGGGCCACTCGGCGCACGCACACGCGCACGCGCACTCGGGCCACGCCGGCCCCGCGGGAGGATATGGCCACACGGGCTTTGGCACGCAGATGGCCAACGCGCGTCCGGCGGGCTCGCGCTTCCCGAGCGTGAACGGTGTGGGCGTCGGAGTGGGCGTGGGTGTCGGCGTGGGTGTCGGAGTGGGCGGCGTCGGACTCGGCGTCGACTACCAGGCCCAGGCGATGGGGTACGACCCCACCGGCGCGGCGGGATACTACTCCCAAGGCGCGGGGTACGCGCCCGGATACGGCGCGGGTGTCCAGCAGCAGCAACAGCAGCAACAGCAACAGCAGCAGCAGCAGCAGCAGCAGCAGCAGCAACAGCAGCAGGGCACGCGCCGCTCCGTTGGCCGGTTTCAGTAATGCGCCAGCAGCGGCGCCAGCAGCGGCCGCGGCGGACTGAGGACTGAGGACCGAGGACCGAGGACTAAATGACTGAGGGACTGTGCATAGCGATATTGGTACAGAGAGCGAGAGAGCGAGATGCCGAGACAGCAGAGAAGCAAGTACGCATCTTTATGGCATATATGACGTTTGTTCCCATGTGTTGGTGTTTGTTTCGTTCGTTAGCTGCGTGCGGACGCGGGGCGCGCGCGCGCGCGCGCGCGGGTGGCGGCATAGCAGAGCATGTTGCGTAAATGGGTTCCCCTTGTTCTTATTCTATTCCTGTGTCTCTGCCTATTCTATTCCGTGTACCCGTGTCTTGCTGTTCTATTCCTTCGGCCTCGCCGTGCCAGAGTGATTAGTACGAGTAGTAGACGCCGACTGACAAGGGCCGTAGACAAGAGGCAGGACTAGAACGGGGGGTAGGTAGGACAGGAGGACATCTCGAAACGAGGCCCGTTTGGGCTTGTGGCCTCTCCCCCTTTTGGTATTTCTGGTACTTTGGGTGGGTTTGATATTTTGGATTTTGGATTTGTTGTAGGTACCGTATACCGTGTACCGTAGGGGGAGCACAAAATTGAATCGTGCCGAGGAAGGGTCACAACAATTTACATTTTTCGTACAGAGCACACACGCGCGGTGGTGGTGGGTGGGGGGTCCCTGGCGGTCTGGACGGCCTGGACGGCCTGGTGAGGTACTGGGGGGGGGGGGTGAGGTACTGAGGTCCGGTGCTGCGCAGCAGGAGGGCATGCGATATGTGCACGCTTTGCAAGACGCGTAGCATGGTGCCCGGCCGCACAGCGCGGACCGAGGACAGCGTCGACTATCGCTGATCCACTTGTCGCTTACCGCTGTCATTTACTCTGCCAGCGACGTCACCAGCAGCGGCGCAATGATGACGGCGGCTACTGATTTACTGATCGCTGACCGCCGTCATTCATCTGCGCCAGCGGTCCCGCAAAGTGATCATGAACGCGCCTGGCCAGACGCCGGTGCGCTGGTACGCTGGACTGGGGTCGGCGCGGCCTGGTGTTGGCCATGTACATATACATTTCGCGCCTATAGCCATTCCCCCGGCTGCTCCCCCCAGCGCGCCCGCGCGCGCCTCTGACGCGTTTCTGCGCGACTGGACGCGCATGGATGAATTGGGCACTGACGTCCTCGGTCCATTAGTCGCATACCGCGCACCGCGCCGCTCCCGGGCCAGCCCAAGTTGGCATACCTCGGTGAGATGTGCGATCAGAGGCATCAGAGAGAGGCTTATATGTGTTAGTGAGGACAGAGAGAGAGAGGGGGTCTGTTCCTCCCCCCCCCTTGTGTGCTTCGGGCCTGACGCCGCTTGACCTTTTTTTTTGCCTTTTTGCCTATAGCTGCTTCTCTTCCCCTGCTCCCAGATTAATTTTTACCCTTCAATAAAAGTCCTGGATCGCAGGAAAGAGCAACACTTGCCGCAAGCCAGTTGGGCAGTTGATCAGTTGAGTTGCCAGCGGGAGTCATAAGCGTCAAGCTGCTAAGGCTGCTAGCAGCTAGCAGCCGGCGTGTGGCCGTATGCGCGGTATGCACACATGCCAAGGACGATCACAACAAACACCGACACCGCGCTAGTCGGGCGGTGTGATGATGGTGCCAAGGCCGCGCGCGGGTGCGGCGCGGCCAACAGCCACAACGGCCCGTGGATGAACGCTATCACGGAAGCGAGTGTCTTTTTGGTGCATCCATTATTCCCCTTGGGCGAGACCCCATGCAGATCGCACGGTGGACGGGGACGGGGATGGCGAGGCCGAGCATTTCGAGCGTGCACGGCGCCGGGGGCCGCGGACGCGCGCGAACGTGTTGCACGAGAAGCGGCGCGCGGCGGTGAGGGAGACGACGGTGCCAACTGTTGCGCAGCAGCACGGGCACCACCCGCACTATCTTTTTTTTTTTTTGCGTGCCTCCTTCGGCATCCTGGGGGGCTGAAGGTGTCCCCACAGGACTGGAGTGCTTCCGACCTGCCGAAGGGGGAGTTTGGAGCTTGTGCATGTGTTCTGTCGGGAGGCGCGGCAGTTGTCAAGGCCGGGCGGAGGGAAGGACACCGTTTGGTGTGGATACAGTGGGTATTAAGTTTGTTATAGACGGGGGAGGTTGTTTATCGTCCAGAAGAGCCATTTGGCCGGTCTTTAGGGATCACCCCTAATGCGTGCCCTAATTCGGCGAGTTTGGCGCAACCCCCCTTGCACACGCCCTGTGCGCCTGTGCCCCCGCCCCGTCCACAGCCACACCCACCGCCGCCGCCGCCGCAACGATCTGGCAGCGCGAGCGAGCAAATCCATCGACACAGTGTGCGTCCACAGCATCTCTCTCTCTGTCTCGCACAGCCACACGTGTTCTGTATCTCTGCGTGTTCGTTCCGTACCCCGTCTCCTTCCACTGCCCGGGTCCCGAAGTACGGCAAAACATTGTCGTACCCGAGATTGCACGCAGTGGCCCTCACGCTCTCGCATACCAACTCGGCTCCCGCGCGGCCGCCTCTCTCCTCCCTCCCTCCCCCTGGCCCTGTGCTTTTGGCCTTTTTTACCCTTTTGCCCTTTTTTTGAACGGCTTCCCGCGCGGCCAGTGCGCCAGAGCCGGCAAGACATGGGACAAAAGCCCTTGTTTGGCCTCTGGTCGCTGGCAGCTTTTGGCTGGAGAGGAGAGAGAGGGAGGAGAGGTGTGTGCCTCGTCTCGCTGTCGGTTTATCTCTCTCTGTGGTGCAAAAGCTTTCAAGGCAGAGCGGTTGAGAGGACCCTTTTGCTGGCGCTGTTCGTTCCTGCCGCCGCCGCCGCCGTTGCTCCCCACCCAGGCGCTGGCACACTCCTCGTCGTCGTCTATACACACACACATAGGACACCGCGTCTCGTCGTCGTTGGCACATTACACTCATCCAGTTCACCACCACCACCACCATCATCAATCTCGAGTAGACCAATATCGACGACAACGCGCCCCCCCCCCAACGCCCGCACACGTTCATCCGCTTGGGTTGTTCCTTTTGAGATCCCCCTTTTGGGTTCCCGCGCCTCGCAACGAGTTGACCGACACATCACATCGTCCTTAATTTCCTCTCACCACCGGCCAACCCACCACCCGTCGTGTTCCCCTCACCTCCCCCCACCCCTCCCCCCTTCCCCTTCCCCTCCTCGGCCATGGATCCGAGGCATCGTGCGCCGTTTGCGCATCAGTCGTCGTCCGTCGACCTGCGGCGGTTCGGCCAGTCCCAGTCCCCACCACGCAGCACCTGGCCTCTCGCGCCCGCTGCCAATGGCGGCAGCGCCAATGGACATCACCTCGCCCCTCCAGGCGCTGCCAACAACAACAATGGCCTGCTCAACGGCAACGGCATCCACTTGAATGGCAACGGCGCCGCCGGAGGACCAGGCTACTTTGCCCCCTCCCCACCAGCGGGACCCTCCCGCCTGTCGCAACTCACCGGCGCCGCCGCTGGTCTGTTCAACGGCCTCAAGATGGAGCGCAAGGTCAGCGACGTCGACTATAACGAGAAGAGCAGCGGTATCGCCAACGGCTTGCTGGGAAACGGAAGCGGACACGCCCACGCCCACTCTCATGGGCTGGGACTCGGAAACTCGGGTCACGGGCACGGACTCGGACACGGTCTCAACCGCATGAGCCTGTCGGGTCTGGGCCGCGACCTGACCGACGCCGAGAACATGCAGCGGATACAGTCTGCACTGCCCACACCGTCAACTGTGCGCTTTGTGCTTCTCTGTACACTGTGGTACGCCGCCTCGGCCGTGTCGTCCAACACGGGCAAGGTCATTCTCAACAACTTCCGCTTCCCCGTCACCCTCACCATTGTCCAGTTTGCGTTTGTGGCTGGCCTGTGTTGGCTTGGATCCCGCCGCGAGCTCAACTTTACCGCCAGGCTCCGCAAGCCCACAAAGCAGATCCTCACACATACCCTTCCCATGGCCGCCTTCCAGGTCGGCGGCCACATCTTTGGCTCGCTGGCAATGTCGCGTGTCCCCGTCAGCACGGTTCACACCATCAAGGTACGGATATTTACCGAACCCTAGCAACTGGATAGCTAACGTTCCAGGCGCTGTCCCCGCTGTTCACAGTGCTCGCGTACGCGTTCTTGTTTGGCGTGTCATACTCGCCTGCGACCTACCTGTCGCTCCTGCCGCTCACCCTGGGTGTCATGTTGGCGTGCTCGTTTGACATTTCCTTGTCCAACGTCCTGGGCCTGGTCTGTGCGTTTGGCAGCACCATTGTGTTTGTCTCGCAGAACATCTTCTTCAAAAAGGTCATGCCCTCGCCCGGCGCGCAGAATGCCGACGCACACGCCGGTCCGCGTCTCGACAAGATCAACCTGCTGTACTTTTCGTCCGGCATGGCCTTCCTCCTCATGATCCCCATCTGGCTGTACTCGGACGCCTACCGTGTGGTTTCACTCTGGTTCAACCCGGCGGCGGCGACCAACTCGGCGTCAGTGTCCACCGTGGTGCTCTACTTCTTCATCAACGGTACCGTCCACTTTGCCCAGAACGTCCTTGCCTTTGCCATCCTGTCGTCCACGTCGCCTGTGACGTACTCGATCGCATCGCTCGTCAAGCGTATCGCCGTCATCTGCATCGCCATTGTGTGGTTCAAGCAGGCCGTCCACGGCGTCCAGGCCGTGGGCATCATGCTCACCGCCGTCGGCCTGTACATGTACAACAACGCCAAGCGCGACGTTGAAAAGGGCGAAAAGCGCGTACGTGCCCTCGAGGCCGCTCGCGACGGCATGCTCCCCACCTCGCGCGCCGAGGCGCGCATCCTCGACGGCCGCGACACACCCACACCCGAGCCCTACCTCAACGAAAAGGCCCACGCCTCCCCGCGTCCCACGTACAACGGCAACACGTTCACCGTGCAAAAGGCCTCGGCCCTGCGGCCCCAGTACGCTCCGCCACGCAAGAGCGCACAGGTCCCCGTCGCGGCTGAGCCGTACCCTTCGCCACCAGCCAGCACGGCCTCGTCGCCGCCCTTGCCGCCGAGCCACATGGGTGACGAGCCTCGGTCGCCTGTAGCTCTCCCGACCGGCGCCTAGGAGCACGGCGCGACCGCCTCAGCTTGTGTCTTCTTTCAATGATCTTTTTTTAAACAAGTAGCCGTCTTCAATGGTGTGTGCCCCAGACACAGACCGCAGGCGCAGACGCCGCCGTTGCCACGGTTTCGGACACGGTTTCGGCCACCAGTCTCGGCCACAGTCTCGGCCCACCCGGACCTTGCCTTGCACATAACATCCCCCCCCCGCCTCACCCACACCTACTCCAATGGGAACACTGGCACGAACATCCTCACGAACACCACAAACCCCAGTGTACAAACTGAAACCCTAGTATATAGACACGTTAGATGGTGAAATGCACATATGGACTCTTTCCACCGGACCATTCCACGGGGCATACCACTCGGTGTGGGTGACGAACAACGGAACAGGCGATCCGTTGGCCGCTGGGGCTTTGGCGGGGGCGGGCTGGGACTGGAACACTGCGGCGAGAGGCTGCCGGACCGAAGTTCGGCACCGAAGAACGGCCGCCACGCACGGGTTTCGTGACGTCTTGGGTGTCCATTCTTGGTTGAATTGCGGCATGCAGGCGAAGCGGACGCGGGGAACGGCGCCAGATTGCGGATACACTGCCACGATATAGACTGACACAGTGGAGATTCAGATAGGACAGCCAAAAGAAAGTAGGCACAAATGGACGCTGGAGACCTAAATGCTGTAGCAAGACGAGCATGCCCAGACTGTGCCAGTTGGCCAGTTGAGACAATCAAGACAAGACAGTCACGAAACGTGTTATGCACGCCACACACGCCTCTGCTCCTCTGAGCAGCACCGAGGGCTCGATGGGTCCGCTTCGATTCCCACGCCGGCCTATCTGGCTATCTGCCCTCGGGCCTCGACGGTGCGTGTACGAGTGTCAGCTCCAGCTGTCTTGGTAGTGTCTCCGATAGGGGGAAGGGCGATGGACGGCACTCGTCGCTGTCGGCCACGTCGGACTGGATCTCCGCTGCCACACGACGCTCTTGATTCGTACTGTACACTACAGTACTTGGTAATGGCCATTTTGTGATGCGGCCAAGCGGTCGCGGCCAAGCGGTCGTCTGAACAAAGTTGATGCGCTCCGGGTCTCTGTGGCCGGCCTTGCGGCCTCGCGGCCTCGACGAAACACAAATACTTGCCCCGACGCGGAGACCCCCAGTGCATAATGGGTTTCTCGTCGACGCCGACAGCCGCGCGCACCGCGCATTGCGTTGCGTGTTGAAAAACCTACTATGGCCCCCGCCGCCGCCGCCGCCGCCGCCCGTTGCGTTTTCATGCGTGTTGAAAAACCTACTAGGTCCTCCGCCGACGCCGCCGCCGCCGCCCGTTGCGTTTTCATGCGTGTTGAAAAACCTACTAGGTCCTCCGCCGACGCCGCCGCCGCCGCCCGTTGCGTTTTCATGCGTGTTGAAAAACCTACTAGGTCCTCCGCCGCCGCCGCCGCCGCCGCCCATTGCGTTTTCATGCGTGTACCAAATCACTGTCCCTCGCGGCTAATGAGGCTATTAGGAAATGGCTCCGTATACTCCTGAAGACGTCCTAATGCGTGGCAAACCTCACGCCAACGGAAGTGTTGATTAACCTAATTCTAATGATGCTAATCCCCGCCGTGGTTCGGCGATGGCCGACATATCTGGGGACAATCCGGTTACGTAGGAGAGCAACCGGAGATCCGCGACAAGAGATGTTGGGATATGGTCGTCCGTTTCTGTCGTCCTGTTAAACATCGCATCGACGCCTGAAGCCGCTTCTCTTTCGTTCACTTCAACACTAAACATTGGACGCGTAAAGCACGCAAGACGCAAGCCGACAGACCGTACACCTCGTACCAGCGACAACCTCACCCGATCTCATCACCACCGGCCCTCCCCACACACCATACGCATCATGGCATCGACCCCCAACCCCAACCACAAGACAAAGGCTACGCCGCTCCCGCTCCGCGGCGCCGAACACGTCTTCGACTTTCCCTCGCTCAACCTAGACTACAAGCCCTTCTCCAAGAAGACCGTCACGCTCGTGGACCTTGACGTGCACGTGTACGGCCTGGACGAGATCCGGGACAGCCAGCGGCCCATTGCCGTTGTGATGCTCTCGCACGGGCGGTGTAACCACGCCATGAACATGGAGCCCATGGCGTCGGGCCTTCTGGGCGAGTTTGGACGGCTGGAGCGCGAGGACAAGGGCCGGCGGGCACGCACGCGCGATGTGGTGGTTGTTACGCTGGTGAGTGGCGCCCAACTCTGCTCTACTTGGGCACACGGCTGACAGCGCGTTCCAGGACCAGCGCAACCACGGCAAGCGCACGCGCTTCCGTAACACCAACCTCTCGTTTGACGTCAACGAAAACCACCTCATCGACATGATGGCCACCATCTACGGCGGTGTCCAGGACCAGCAGCTTGTCATGGACTTTCTCCCTGCGTACCTGTTCCCGCACAACGAGCGCCGCATCGACGAGTTTATGGCAGCCGGCGTGAGCATGGGCGGACACACGGTGTGGCGCCTGCTGCGTGAAGGTGAGCAGCAGTAACAAGACAGCAGCAGCCCTGACCCAACCCAGACCCGCGCATCACCATTGGCGTGCCCATCATCTCGCTCCCGTCCGAAGTCCTCGGTGCCAACTTTGCCGCGCGCGCCACGCAGATGGGTATTCCAGACGCCGAGGTCATCTACCCCGCCAGTGTGCGGGCATGGTGCGAGCAGCCGTTCGACCCGGCAGTATACAAGGGCAAGAAGATCCTGTCCATCCACGGCGGCAAGGACACGCTCCTGCCCCTCCAGCGCGGCTTGCCGTTCCTCGCCGAGATGGCGGCCCAGTCTCCGCCCGGGTACGTGGACATGTACGTGGACCCGCCGGCCGGCCACCAGAGCTCCAAGCCCATGGTGGTCCAGACTGCCGCGTGGCTCTGGAAGTGGGGGTTGAGCGAGGCGGCGGCGGCCAAGGCGAGGCTGTAGAGTTTGCTCGTACGCGGCGGAACATGAGGGGGGTTATATATGCTGCCAATCGCTGTTGTCCACTTGTACATGGCCACAATCGCGTTCATGGAAATTGTATCAAAACTGCCAAAAAACGAACAAACAAATATTTCTTCTGATCACGCCGCTACGCCTTGTTCTTCTCCGCCTCGGGCTCCCACCGCTTGTACGTCTTGTACGACTCGCGCGACCACGGAATGTTCTGCGTGAACGGGTCGGTGACGTACCACGACAGGTCGTTTCCCGGCTCGAGCTCCATAAGCGAGAATCCGTTACCGAGGTATGCAAAACTGTCTCCGTCAGCACCAACCAACCCACACAACGGGGTGTGCCACACTCACGGACTTTGGGCCTCATACTCAATGTCCATGTCCTCGAAGCGCGGCTCCTTGATCATCTCGAGGAAGTGGTGCTTGCTTCCCGCGTGGATGGCGACGACGGGCGCATCCACGGTGCCGCCCTTGTACCAGCTCGAGCATCCGCCGCTGCCCCACGCCGTCTTGGGCATGAGCGCGTTGCGGTGGATGTTGATCTGGCGCGTGCGGTCGGCGCGGGGCGCGATGGCCCTGATCCCCTCGGCCTGCATCTTGCTGATACACTTGAGCATGTAGATGCTGAGCCGCTCGATGACCTGCGAGACGCTGCCGTGGGCGACCGGCCCCGCGGGCCCCGCCGAGATGAAGTAGTTGGGATACTCGGGCACCATGAGCGACATGTACGCCTCGGTGACCCCCTCGCTCCAGCGTTTATGGAGGTCGGCGCCGTTCTTGCCGATAAACGGCATGCGCGGGAGGTACGACGTGTCAAAGCCCGTCGCGCACACGATGGCGTCGACGGCCACCTCGCGCCCGTCGGCCGTCACCAGGCCCGTGGGCGTGATGCGCACAATCCCGCTCGTGACCACGTCGACATTGTCCTCGCACAGCGCCTCGAGGAACCCGTTGCCGGGGGTCAGGCGGCGGCAGCCCGGGTCAAACTTGGGCACGAGGAGCTCGGCGAGCTCGGGCTTCTTAGCCAGGCGCGCGCGCATGTCCGCCGCGCCCACGTTGATGGCCATGGCCTGCTCGGGCGTGTCCTTGAGGTACATCCTGAAGCGCGAGTTGACCGCGTCCTCGACGTCTTTGCGGTACTGCAAAAACTCGGCGGGGTTCTCGGCCCAGCGCTTCTTCTCCTCGGCGGTGTATGCCTTGTTGGCACCACCTGGACCCGCGAGCGCGGCCGCAGCGCCCATGGGCATGATCCACGCCCCCGAGCGGATAAAGCACGTCATGTGCTCGACCTCGGTGCGCAGATGGGGGATACACTGCACCGCCGACGAGCCGACGCCGATGACGGCGATGCGCTTGCCCTTGTAGTCGTACGACGAGTCCCACTGGGCAGTGTGTACGAGGTGGCCCTTGAAGTCGTGGATACCCTCGATGGCCGGCCACTTCCACTTGCTACACCCCGTCAGCACAAATACGCTCTCTCTCATATACCCACTTGAGCACACCACTGCCGTTGACCAGGAAATCCGCGCGGTCCTCAAACTCGACCCCGTCGGGGCCCTTGACCTTTACGACCCACTTGGCCTCCCCGTCGTCCCAGTGCGCCGCCAGCACCTCGTGCTCGACTTTGAACTGGTCGCGCAGGGCGTACGCGTCCACAATGCTGTTCATGTACTCGTTGATCTCCTTGGATCCCGAGTAAAAGTGCGTCCATTCCGTCGACGGGTGGAACGAAAACTGGTATGCGTGCGAGGGCACGTCGCACGCGCAACCCGGGTATCTGCCGTCTCTGTCAGCTTGGAGCGTCAGGGCAATGCTCAGCTGTACGTACGTGTTCTCATACCACGTCCCTCCCAGCTCGGGGTTACGCTCATACACGACGTGCTCGACGTTCTCCATGTGCTTCTGGATCTGGTACGCGAGGTTGATACCGCTCGCGCCGCCGCCGATCGTCACCACGCGCACTTTGCGCCGCGTGCCCATGGGCACGTCGGGGATCTCGTAGCCGATGGCCTCGGCGTCGCCGTTGGGCCCCATCTGCTCCGTCTTGGACAGGGGTGCGGTACGGGCGGTGGCTCCGTTCCCGTTGGACGTCGCGGGAGCGTTGACGGTCATGTTTACCGATTGTCGTAAAGTGCGAGCGCCGTGGTTGGTGGGCGCAATGCTCTACTCTATGCTCTGTGTGTGAGCGAGTGTGAAGAACGACGCTGCTTGTTAGCTACATGGGCTGTTAAGTACCGGCCTACGACCCATGGTCTTGGCTGCAGACGATACATGTGGGCGCGTGATCTTGTGCCAGCACGCCGAAGCCCGCACTCACCGAAGCCGCCGCGGGCTGTCTGTCACAACAACAGCGCAGCCGGCCCCCGCGGCGCCCCAAGGGGACAGACATTACACCTTCACTGGCCCCGCCCAGCCGCCGGCAACTGACGTTCCGGGCGGGCCCCAGAGCAAAAAGTGGTGCTAGTGGCCGTGGCAAGCGACCAGAGCAACCGTATGTAAGACAGGTGGTGGCAAAAGGTCGTACAGCGGGCGGACATCGCCGACGCGAAACAGTCGTTCACGTGTCTCCCAGCCCGGTGACCCGGTGTTCGGTCTCCAGAGTCCGCGACGCGCGCTTAGCGCTGCCCGCGGCCGAAGGTATGATGGGACACGCACATGTCGTGGCCAGTCTCCATCGACCCACGACACATACCTTGGACTGGACGTTCTTCCTTGTCGTGTTTGTGGTCATACACTTACGCTTCCTGCCACTCTGACACACTAGCTGCCGTCCCCGCCAGCAAAACGCCCGCGAGGTACCCAACACTGCGTCCAATCTACGACTGCAGGTAGAAAATGTCCTTTATTGAAGGTGACTAACACTCCCCGGGAACCAGGTTGTTAACAGTCTGGGCCTCGGCGACTTTAGCCAGGGAAATGAAGCCAAGTGAAGCGCGGGATCACGGCTGTGGGTGAACAAAACGGTTGCCGAATGCCACTTCACTCAGTCAACGTAGCGTCTTCCAAAGGCAACGCATTTGCTCAAATCATATGCGCTACCATTCTGCTTCTACAAGTCGAGATCTAGGTCAGCGCGACCCTCCTTCTGCCTCTGCTGCCAGTCCCTGGCGCCCTCGTACTTCCAGTTCCAAGGCATGAACATCTTGGAGTTGCTGCGAGTTAGTGATGACCGCACAAACAGTTGCGACGCACTTGACGTGTCCACCGTTGTCCTCCTTGGGGGGCATGGCTTGGACGCGGGAGAAGGCCTGTACAGTCGAAGCGCGCTTGTAGCGAACGTCAAAGACCTGCTTGAGAATAGTGTTGACCTCCTCGAGCGAGACAGCACCCTGTACATGGTCGAAGAAGGCACCGATTGCCTCGCCGTCTTCAATGGCCTGGGCACCGCCCTGTCCTTGGTCTGGTGGCGATTAGCACAAGGCCGCAACTTTGGGTTTCTTGGCTTACGAGGAAGCATGGCGTGCGCTGCATCTCCGATGACAATGGCACGGCCCTTAACCCAGTTGTCAAGTGGGTCCTGAGTTGTCAGCGTGGTTCGAACACCACACGTTGCGACTCACCTGGTCACGGAGCTGCCAGAGTCCCGGAGCTTCAGCGCGGCTGAGAAGCGTCTGGAGCCATTGGGGGAAGCTCTTGAAAGCGGCCACCATCTCGTTGGTGTTACCGGCCTTGTTCCAAGACTGGGACGACTCCTCGGTCATAAAGCCTGTACGTCAGCCATACGCCAGGCAGATGAAATTACACTCACTGTCGGGGCACACGGCAACAATGTTGAGAACAGTGCGGTCACGGCAAGGGTACATGATGATGCGCTCCTGCTTGTCCGTGATAAGAATCTTAAGGTAGCCAAACTCTGAATTGAGGAGCTCGATAGCCTCAGGAATATCTTTGATGGTGTCACGGGGCAGAAGGCAGCGGTAGGCCGAAAGGCCTGAAGGAGAAGCAATCATCTTCTCGCCGGTAACAGCCTCACGAATGCGGCTGTGGATCCCATCGGCGCCGACAATCAGGTCACCCTGCACGACTTCACCGTCCTCCAGAGTCACAGTTCCAGTATCACAGTTAACAGCCACCACCTTGGCGCCGCCGCGAATGACTGGAACGGAACCAGGGCCCTTCCTGCTCAAAGTAGCGGCCCTGAGGGCATTGTGCAGGTCAACGCGGTGGTTGAGTGTCCAAGAGGCACCGGCAATCTTCTCGGGCTCAACATTGACTGTCATGTGCATCAGTACCATTCCACTCGGTCATGATTGATACTCACCCTTCATGTGCAGCTGGTTGTCCGCACCGTACTCGTGCAAGCCCTTGCAAATAACACCGTGGTGCTCGAGCATGTTGACACCCAGCTTCTTGAGAATCTTGGAAGCGTTGGGGGCCACGTGAATTGCGGCACCAACCTCCGTCTTCATGCGGGTCTGCTCGAGGACGAGAATCTCATGGCCCGGACCACGGAGTGCGAGGGCAGTGGTGAGACCGGCGATACCTGCTCCCACAACAATAGTCTTGAATGGCCTAGGTGCCTTTGGGATGATGGGGAGCTGAAGCCAGTTGTCCAAGCCTTCACCAAAGTAGAGGAAATTCATGCCACCGTGTGTCTTCTCATTGCGGTCAAGAGGATGATTCTATACGTCAGCCCCATTGCTAAGACAGTTGGACCCACATGAGTGAACTTGCCGGAGCCCTGTTCGTCCTTGGGCGAGACTTCAAGGATAAGCTTGCCGCCCCTGTCGACGGTGACGCTAGTGGGCCAGAGTTCGACTAGAAGATCATACTTCTTGTGGGGCTCAAGCCACTCGCGGTCAGCGGTGGCGTACCTGCGGTAAGGCAGAAAGTCCTTGTGACGAGGGCTGGAGGTCTCAATCTTGCGGAGTGAAGCACGGAGGTGTCCCTTGCATACGGGAACGTTGTCACCAGAGGAGCCTGGAGTGTCAGGTTTGCCCTCTCTCAAACGTGGCAGTTGAGCTCACCAGTGTAAAAGACCTCGTCACCCTTAGGGTCAATATGACGAAGCGTGACCATGACGTCGAGGTCAGGAGCGGTGTCAACGCCCATGCAGAGGTTGGCAAGAATGTGACCGGTGATCTCGGTCTCTTCTTCAAAGGGAGCTGTCTCAAACTTGAACGACTGGCCGGTGAGACCCTCAGTCTCCAGAGTGCTTGCCTCATTCTGAGGCTCAGTTCCAAGGGTCATGGTGTCTGGACGGAGGTGGAACTTTGTGTACTCGGTACGGGCAAGCGGCCACTCTTGCTCATCCCGGCTGGTGAAAGTGCGCTCGGCAGCAGTGTTGTTGAATCCAGGGTTGCCCTTGCGAGCCAGCAGGTTGACAGCCGGAACCTTGACGTTTGGACCTTCAAGCCATCCTGTTCCAGTCAGTATGTCCCTAGGACGTGAGTTTACTAACCGCGGTCGTCCTTGCCCTTGAGCCACGCATCGAGGAAGGACTTCTGGAGGGCGACGTACTCGGGCTTTGCACAAAGTCAGCTCACCCTTGCGGAGAACTCGTGACTTACGAGGTAGAACGGAATGTCGTGACGTCCGGAAACGAAGTGAAGCCACTTGTTCTTGGAACCAGCCTCGAGATAACCGACCACATTTCCACGCAGGTGGAGGGTAATGCCGCCGAGGTTGGCAACACTGAGCATGGGCACCTCAATCTCGCTCAGGTTGTACTCGCGGGAAGCGTAATAGGGGTCGTCAGAGTAGCAGTGCTCCGAGTTGTCGATAACTTGATCCCTGCGGTTGGCCTTGAGGACATCGGCAGGGAGGTCACCCTCGATAGTGTCGGGTCCTGAACATTAGAATCACAGCCCCCCCCCCCCCCCCCCCCCCCCCCCCCCCCCCCCCCCCCCGGTCCACTTACCCCACCTTCGCGCGGCACGGCCAGCCAGGCCGTACTGGTTGGTGATGACTTGACGGTTCCACCAAAAGGAGATAAAGCCGTTGGAGTAGATACCACCCTGCCTGCAGCGGTCACGCAGGTAGTCTGTCATTCCCTCCCAACTGAATTTGTCAGATCATAATCGTTCGTATGAGAACTTACGGGACAATGCAGGTAAGACCCTTGGGCTGGCGGGCAGCCACACGCCATTGCGAACCGGCATAGTAACTTCGAGTTAGACCGCTTAATTAAAGGTCTGCTACTCACCTAATACCCAAAAGTCCGACCTTGCCATTGCACCAAGGCTGCACAGCGGCCCACTCAATGCACTGAGCAAAATCGGAAGCAGTCGAGCTGCTCATCGTGTCCATGAAGCCAGGGGACTGTCCAAGACCGCGCTCGTCAACGCGAACGACGACATAACCCTGCGTGGTCCAAAAAACTGGGAGGTCAGTGATTGTTTTCAGGGATGGCGCGACCTACACGGATCAGGAGTCTCCCAAGCGGAGTACTTGCTGCGCTGCTCCTCTGGCACATCGTTCCAGGACGCTGGGTGGAAGTCGCTATAGGGAATGTCCTTGCCGTCTAGGGTCAGCGGCGTTGTCGAGGGTATAGCTTAACTCACAAGGTCCCATGGTCATCAAAACCGGGTACCTAGCACCGTCATTGGTATCCTTAGGGCGAAAGACATTGCAACGAGCGAGACCGTCAGGGTTGATGAGGGGAATGTCGACGTTGATCTCGGCAACATAAGTACCTTCGTCGTGGGTGGTGAGGAGAGAGTTGAGCGCTTTGGTCATGTTGATGGGGGTGGGTGGTGGGCGAAGGCAACATGGATGACTGCCCTAATATGTCTCTGGTACAAACCATCATTTGCGCACTCGATCCCCTCTTGGCCTCTTGGGTGCCCGGATCTCGGCTGGTTTTAGACCGCTGTATCGGCCACATGGTCCGTTCGGAACACAAAATGAATTGCCGAACGGGTTGGCAGCGGCGAATGGAGATTCGGAAAGTCGTTCCGACCACTTGTACAGTCACCAGCCCAAGGCTCACTTGCGAGAGGTATCTTAATGTACAGCAGGAAATAATTCGTCCTACTCACCGTTATCCAACAACAATGTCCGTCGAACAGAAGATCACAGCATCCCAGGCTTGCCACATCGATGGTCGTGCAGGATACTTTCGCTTTCGTCAAGCACAGCTCCAGGGCCTTTACAGTGAGGCTTCCCAAAAACACCTTGAGGCTAACCTGCAGACCTTGTGTCTAAAAACAGGGACGCATTCGTTGCCGCTTTGAGGTCTGATACACAAAAGAATGAGTTTGAAGCTGTCCTCGAAGTCAATCTCGTCCTCAAGCAACTACGCGCTGGCTTTGAGGCGACTGCATTCGATGTGCTCACTGCCCGTGCCAAGGAGCAGTATCTCAGTGGCACAGTCGAGGCACCTCAGGGCACAGTTTTGATTGTCGGGCACTGGACAGGTCAGTTGAATGGCTGGGAGGGCTTGTAAATGTTTACTGACAGCGAGTAGCTCCGCTGGACTCGGTCCTTGGTCCTCTTTGCGCGGCCATTACTGCCGGTAATGTCGCGGTTGCGGTTGTAAGTGACTAGCTGGGCTTTTGTTCTGACCGGACCTGACACCATCCGCAGCTCCCTGCCCCAGCCATGTCGACCTATGAACTCCTTATCCAACTGTCCCCTCGGCAGTACGACGTCGAAGCCTACCCAGTTCTCCTCGGTACTGAGGCCGTCATCAACAAGGCCCTCTCTTTCCGTTTCAACAGCTACTATGGCACCGTAACTGACCACGGTCTGCGCCAGCAGCTTGTTACCGCCGCGACCCGCGCCGACGCGACTATCAAGGTGTTGCCTTCGGCCACCAATATCCGCAAGCACAACATTGCCATTGTAAACAAGACTATTCCCGAATCACAGCTTGTGCAGGTGGCCCGTGAAGTGTGCCGTGCGAGCTTTGGCTGCGTGGGTGGGCAAGGCTTGGGCCATGTCTCAGTGGTGCTCGTCCATGGTGAGAGGCATGATGCTTTCTCCCGCGAAATGGTCCGTGCGACCCGGCACCTGTTCCCCTCCTCTGGCCGTCACGCAGGAATGCGTGACTTGTGTCCACTCAATGTCACCGAGACGGAGATCTCCACTCTTGGGGCAGCCGTCAAGGAAGGAAATCTCGTCTGCGGTGGTGAGTGGGACGCCGCCACCGGCTGGTTCGCCCCTACCATCCTCGAGAACGTCAATGTCAAGTCGTCTCTCTTGGCAACTCCCTTGGCCGGCCCGATTCTTCCTTTGGTGCCCTTCCACAGCACTGAAGAGGCCATCAGGATTGCCCAGGACATGTAAGTACTTGGTTCAAGTGAAGTGCTGATCCTCCAGCACCGGTCACAACCTCGCGGTCTTTGGCACCCAGAAGGACAAGTAAGTCCAACCCGGCCCGCTGAAGCCTGCTGACCAGCAGGAACTACTTCACCGTTGCCCTTTGTCCGTCACGCGCCACCACCGGATGCGTCCTGGGAGATTTAGGTAAGTAATGATCTTGACTTCACCGCAGCCGTTTCTGACACGCAGTAGTGGGCCTTGCCCCTGGTCCGGACAACGACCGTTACCCCGCCAGCCTGTTCACCACCATCACTGTCCTAAGCGAGGCAGATGCCAGTATCAAAGATCTCTTCCCACCATACTCGGCCTGGCAGATCTCTTTGTTGGACAAGATTTTACTTCCTAAGTCTCCCAAAGAGCTCAAGGCTAAGCGACCGATGCACCAGTCGTCTGTGGGTCGCAACTTCTTCCTTCAGGTAAGTCAGTGATCTGGCGGCTTGGCGCTAACATGAACCAGGGTGCAATGCTGTCAGTAGTGATCATCGTGTCTTTGCTTGGAGCGGCTGGTCTTGTAGCGTACATGTTTTTGAAGTAGTACCCCTTGGAGCCCATGTTGAAGTGAGGAGCAACAAATTCAAGTGTTTTAGTGCGAGTGCTGTGGCTGTGGCAATAAGCATCAGAATGCTGGAGGCAACACTAGAAAGCCGAGCACTCGTAATTATGGATGGCTAGAGGGTCCGCTGTCTGGCATGAATTAATACATGTTTTCCGGTACTTGGAGTTACGAAGAGAAGTTTACTTGAATGCGGAAGGCAAGCATGTACGGTACGGCACTGCGATCATTCAAAGCAAAAGTGTCGAAAATCTGTCAGCCAGCGCCCGGGACTATGTACAAGGAAGGGGGCAATGGAATTGTGTTTTGATTCATAATGGCCAATGCCAACTCAGTAAAGGCCGCCAATCTGGTAGGTGAAGAAACCACTGAAAGGTGAGCCAACTGCGCGCCAGGCCGATCGAATGATACCCTGGCCAAGGACACCGTTGAGCATGACGTTGACGATGACCCACTCGACCGGGTTCGAGCCATTGGGCCTGTTATTAGCCCAAGTCACCTATTCTTCTCTCACCTCGTTGTCATGTCCACATGCCTGTCCAAAGGACGGTAGTCGGGGTTTCCGGGAGTGGTAGGCCAGTTGTCTTTGGATAGTTAGTCGAGAGCAATCTCGCATTCGGGGTCGACAACCTCACTTGGGTTCTCGTACTGGCGCTCTTCGTCGTATGACTGAGCGGGAGGTTGGAGTAGCGGAGAGTGCTCGTTGATCAACTCTCCGCGCATCTGGAGCATGGTACGGGTCGAGACGGTAGTGGAGGACATGGTTATTGAAGCTCGGGGGTCGTGAATGGCCCGTTCTGACGGCACATGTGGCCATTTGAACGGGGGGGGGGGGGGGGGGGGGGGCCAATGGGTTCGGTGCCGCCAGACAAGCTCGGAATGTCTGTTCCGCAAGCCGAGCCGGCTCTCCCTGAGTTTGCCGGCTCTTGCCGAGGTGGTTTTTGTATACAGCTCCTTTCACAACCGAGAGGTCTCGACGGGGCGACCGCGGCCGTGTCATAAGAAGCAAGCACCAATCGTACAATACATCAAAGGTGGGCATGCACAGGTCATGCACAGGTCAGGACCCATTCCTCCCCTCAAAGAGCGAGCATGACCTGAACGGATGGTGGGGTAAATGATTACGTAATATTGTTTCCCTGCTCGGCATACGGCTGAGCGCTGCCATCCCGATCGTTTGTCTAGTACTCTCATCACCGTGACGCATCTGCTCACTACATGACCATGCCCCCACGAACATCTCGCCACCCATCGCCGGAAACAACTTCTCCAGTCATCCAAACAGCCTCCCAGTCACCCAGCCGACCACCGGATGTAGCATCCTCTACTGAACGGCCCACAAAGCGTGTCAAGTATGTTCGCAAGGCATGGTGAGTGACGGCCCCTTCCCTTCCCAATCGCTTACACCAGTGAACAATGTCGACGCCGCAAGCTTCGCGTAAGGGATCTTGCTAAAGCAAAGCGTGCTAACCTTCTAGTGCTCTGGAGATCGCCCTTGCGACCGTTGTACCAACAGTGACGAGCATTGTTCGCTCCTTGACGTGGACCCCGAGGACATCGCCCGTCGCACCCAACCTCGCCGTAATGTTGTCGAGCTATTACTAGGCCGACTGGACACCCTTGAACAGTCCACCCTGTCTATCCAGCATGCCCTTGCCAGCTCTGGTATCGATGTTGATCATCATCAGCACTCTGCTCGTGCTTCCGACACCTCCCCAGTCCACTCTGCCGACGCTCATCCGCGGCATGAGTCTTGGGAGATTCCAGGACCATCAACCATGCCGAGCCCTGAGCCCGATGAGTACGCTGGTAAGTGAAATAGTCTGACATACATGTGAGACTGTGTGCTTACCCACAGCTGAGACGGCCTTTACGCATCCGGTCCCGGCATTAGGGGCTATTTTTGCCAACCAACTCAGTACCGCAGGCGTTGAGGTACCTCCAGTGTCAGCAGCACCGAAACGACGGCCGGCTCCGGACAGTGAAGGTCATGACCCAGGCTTTGCACCTGGTCCCCAAACCCATGCCAGTCCAGCCACATCGGTCGCTTCTCACCTCAAGCCGCCTCCAGGACCGACTCTATCTGTCCGCTGTGGACTCGTTCAGTGTTTTCTGCCTGTCCCTGCCCGACATGATCAATACCTGGACGTATTCTTCTCTCAGGTCAACACCTTTGCACCATGCTTGAATGAGAATGATGTTCGCCGACGAACAAGCATTGTTTTTGACCGAGCATTTGGGTTTTCTCAAACCTCATCACCCACCCCCGATGACCCAATCCTGCAAGTGTCCCTGGCCCCGTATCTCTCACTCATGATGAGTATCTACGCTTGCGTCGATGTTATTCGAGAGCAGTCAGCGACGACCGCTGGCTACGCTTGGTATCGGCAAGCGCAAGAACTGATAGGCCGGCGCCAGATCACCACAACGGGTTCCGACCTCACCGGCATCCAGATCTTGATCCTTCAGTCCATGTTCCTATGGTATCGAGGCAACTTTGACTCTGCATATGCCGCCGTGGGCCGTGCTTGTCGTTTATGTTTCCAGCACGGCCTCAACAACGCAGCCCACTGGACGGCCAAAACCCCCTTTCGTGTCCACATGCGTCAGCGTGTCCTCTGGACCACCTACTGCATGGACAGACGTATCGCTCTTACCTGTGGACGACCATACGGAATGCACTGGCAGGATGTAGCGGTCGGACACCCAGACGCACTCATCGACAAGCATGTCTACCTTGACTCGCCACTTCCCAACCCATCACCTCTCAGTTCTCTTCAGCCATACCTGAGCGAACATGTGGCTTTCGCCAACTTTGCTGGCCGAGCCTGGGATACCGTGTCTTGCCCAACTGTTCAGTTCAATGATCGCTCCGAGGCAATTGAGCGACTTGATGTCCAGATTGAGGACTGGGTAGCCAAGTTTGAGGTTGCCGCGGAGCTCGATGAACCAAAAACTCCCACCCAGAAACAACAGCGTCTGGTGATTCGAACGGTGTGTGTCCTCCCCCGTGAACATTGCTGACACAAGCTTATGCTCGACTTACGCCTTCTCCTGCGCCGCAGAGACATGTTGGCCGCTGATTGTGACGAGCGCTGCAGCACACTGTGTGGTGAGATTGCTTGCAGCCTTGTTCAGTCTGTACACGCGGCATCGTATGAAGTCAGCTGGAGTCTGTCACCCTACCTCAAGACGCACGCGCCAACAGTCTTATTCTCGCCCATCATTGCACTTGCGACCCTCCTCATCCGGAACAGCACACCATCAGATCTCTTGGACATGTGCAGGCTTCGATTCAAGCAGGCTACAGAGGTGATTTCCCGGTTGTCACCATACCTCCCAGCAGCTGCCCATGTCGAATCGCAACTGAGCGAGATTGTGCGCCTCACCAACGACAGCCTCAAGGTATGTGACAGCAGGCCCCCAGGAGTAGGCCTCCTGCACGACGCCGCCACCATGCTAGATTTTGGTGACCTGTTCACAAGTGAAATCCATCACTTGCTGTCGAATAGTGGGGGTTTACCCGAAGTGAGACCAGGGGCTATGGTAGGCGACTCTGTGCCGACCAACAGTACCGTGGAGGGTGGCGGGGAAGAGTTTGCATGGGACGCATTGTTTGCTTCCTTTGGTACCGACACGTTGTTCTAGATATATATGATGATGTATACATTAGCTGAGCCCTATGGACATGCTTTGAGTCTCCCGTGTTTGTGAGACCAGTGCTAGGTAACTCAGGATGTACTCATTGCGAGCTGGCTGATGATGTGGTGGGCGTCAGCAAGACTTTATATTACACTTCCTAATGGGCTCGAAGCTTAGCCCACTAATCGTTTGGCCTTTTGTGTGACGGGCAGCAGGAGATACATATGTATGCAGAAGGTTGCAAGCACTCTACGTCACCCATTCAAAGCTGGAAGTAGGGCGGCAGGGTCTCCTGATAATAGGGATGACGAGCTGGCATGGACTCGCAGCGGAAATTCGGCATGGCCATTCCGACAACCTCCAGAGCTCGGATCGACGATCCCGAGACCTGACATCACGCCTTCATATTCTTCGACTCTACAGCCGGCTTCTCCAACTGCTACACAACCACCACCATGACCGTCACTACATCGCACCCCACACCATGCTTCTTCTTTGTAAGGCTCTAGTTCGGTAGGCCGCATTCTGACGCTCTCACAGTCCCATGGCTCGACGATGATGCTAGGCGAGGATTCGAAGCCAGGTCGCTTCTGGGAGAGCGTCGGTGTGGAGGCCAAACGACGCGGTGTCAAGGGCATTGTCTTCATGGGAGCTCACTGGGAGGTTACTGGTGATGCTTTCGAAGTTGCTTCCAACCCCACTGAGCCCATGAAGCAGCCCATTGGTGCGGTGGAAGCGAAGAAAGTAAGGCAGCTAAATCTAATAGCCTAATTCAGATATGCTAATGTGGCACAGTACGTCAACCTCCCCTGTCCTATTGATCCCGACCTGGCTGCCAGGGTCCGCGACCTCATGGTCGCCAAGGGCATCAAGACCAAGCTGAACCCCAACATTATGCTCGTTCACGACATCTACATGGTACAGTGTGTTAGGTTTGAACTGTGCTGACGGTTTGAAGGTTCTGCGTTGGATGTTCGGCTCCAATGGACCGAGTAGGTGACTCATGCGTGAATCTCAACTGAACGTCTTACAGCTCTCCCCTTCACTGTCATTTCGTCAAACGCATACTACGACCCTTGGACCGTTGTGGACATTGGATCTGCCGTCCGTGAGCTCCGCTACGAGAACTACCTCATTATCGGCTCGGGAGGCACTGTGTAAGTTACTCCCCTCCGGGACTTTCTGACCCGCAGCCACAACCTTTACTGGAACAAGTGTAGGTTGTCAAATCGCTTCCATATTGACGTCCGCTGACATAAGACAGGGTCTAACATTGTGTTCTACAAGGACAACTTTGCCCAGCAGGAACCAGCCGCAGAGTTTGCCGTCGACTTCCGCAATGTCGCTCATGACGCTCTCACTCAAAACACTGGTCCGGCCCTGCGTGCGGCTGCCATGCGTCTCATGAGGCACCCCCAGTACCGTGATGCACACGCCACCGATGACCACTTTGCTCCTGTACTGTTTGTAGCTGGTGCTGCGGGAGGCCAAGACGACAAGGGACCTAACACTGCTCCGGCTGAATGCTGGGAGCTGATCAACATGGCAAACACTCAAGTACGTTGAAGCTTTCTCATTTGGTGATTTTCCAGCTGAAACGTCCAGTTCCAATTCGGCGAGTGGGAGTAGGCTTTTGTTGAGTAAGAGTTACGTAGCATCAGACTACCGGTTACCTGTTGAAATGCATGCGATACGAAGCAGCGACAGACACGATGAACACCAAGATAGATGTGATGATGGGGTTTGAGGCTCCAGCCTTCTTTCAAGATGTAGGACAGCCTTCAAATACATACATATGTAGCATACGAAAGGTCTTTTTTCTCCACCGGCTATGAGCATCCTGAGGGGCGGAAGTAACTTTGGTCGTCTTTTCTGAGCTGCACGCTCAGTAACAATGACGACGCTGCTAGTGGAGTTCTCATGAGAATTATTAAGATGAGAAGGGGAAAAAGAAATGGAAATTCAATTTCATAAACTGACAAACGAATGCTTCACAGCGTGTGTCTTTGTACTATTTGAGGTTCATAGGAAGCATTCAAACCCCTCTCAAACTCCCCACTAGTTATGGACACGTCCAGAAGTCATCCGTCTCCACTTCGCATTGAAGAAGTAGACGGGAATGGCGAGGAGAGATGCACCGGCCAGAATGCCGGCGAGAATTCCGTAAGTCACTGTATCCATCAGCTCTCGGCGACAGCTGTGACCCCCAAGCTGACTCACCTTTACCAGGACGGGTGTTGAGCAGGTCGGATATACCAAATGTGATGGCAAACGCGACCACATTCTTCAAGCCAACCGCAATGACCAGAGCGGGGCCGGCCGCGAGGGGACAGACCTCAACGCCACTAAAGTGTCAGTACAAGCGTCTATGAAGGGATAGCCCGTTCGTATGTACTTACAAGGTGGTGACAACGATGAGACTGCTGACGAAGGAGAAGCAAAAGATCGAGTTCATGATGACAACAGTGGGCCAGCCGTACTTGGTGGGCTCGTCGTCGGCAAATCCGTACACAATCGTGGCAGCGATTCCAACAAGGCTGGGAAGCTAAAAACATAAGCGGGGAATGTCAGGTTCCGGACATGCTCACGATAGTAACTGCACTGGTCAGCTCTGTATCTCTAATGGAATTGACTATGCTCACCGGGGAGACGGGCCTCGGGGGTGTGAATTCCATTGTTGGCTTTAGCATTGCGAATGGCGACAATGTCCATCATCTTTCCAGTGAAAACGAGAGCTGCAATACCGGCTGGGATTTGTCCAATTTGGATGAGCTGGTTTTGAGTTAGCAAAAGGCGTGGCTCGAATGTGGTGGCACTTACACCCGCATTCGCTTCAGGCCATCCGAGAGGACCGATAAGGATGTTGGCATAAGCTGTAGGGTATCAGCACTGCTTCAATGCTTCAGTGACACTTACTAAGGCTGAGACCAATGTAAATGGCGAGCATAACACCTGCCCAAATGACGGCCCAGAGCTACATGATTGTCAGCACTTGAATTCCAACCAATATGATACGCACCATTCCAGGAGATGTGAGACACTGAAGCATGCTGACATATGAGCGGCCGGCCATGCCCCATCCACCTGGAGTGACTCCGTTCCAGAGACGCATACCCTGACCAAAGGACAGAGGCGTCATGTCGAGGTCCATCTCCTGCTGAATCTCGAGAGCCTCGTCATCGGACAGGATACGTTGGACACCATACTCATCGGTAACGAACACGTGACCCTGGACTTGTCAGCTGTCAACAGAACGTAAGAACTTACATTGATGTTCGCGGCAGGGCGGTTGAACCGCGTCTCAGGTACAAAAAGGACCGCGAGAAGGATGCCAAAGGCGTTGATGACGGCGAAAATGCCATAGTCTTGAACTGTCAGCGTAGCCCAAGACCAAACCACTTACACCAGCGCCAACCGAGACTGCTGGCTTGGTAACTACTGGCAATAGAAAGAACGTTGGAAAGAATGTTTTGGGTAGTCCACTCATTGTCAGTTACGGATCCACTGTTGCTTTAACGCACGTAAATACCGAAATAAAAGCCCCTCTCGTGGGTGAATGTCATGTCGGTGATAATAAGCGGCAGGAGGCTCTCCGTGATACCAGCACCCAAACCTTGGAAGCACCTGGCAGTGAGGTTGGAGTGGAAGCTCGTGGAGAGGGCAGCACCAATGGTGGCGCCAAGTAGCATCAATGAGGAGAGCAGGAAAGTTGGACGGCGTCCAATAACAAGGGCAAGGCTGCAGTGTCAAAACCACATTACCGCATGGTGGACTTACGGAAGGAAAACAAAGTTGCCCAAGCCCACAAAGAGACCCGGCCAGGTAACGAGCTTGAGGACATCGGTGGGCGAAGTTCCAGTGGGAATGTAGTAGTGCATGAAAGTTGGAAGAACAGGGCCAATGCCACTAACGAGAGACAAGGACATGACGGCTGCAAGGTCAGACTCGGTAATCGAATAGTGAAGAATGTTGCTCACAATACCAGCAGATGGCAATCAGGACAAGGATCTTGCGTTGCTTGGACCAGTTGAGGGGGTCACGAGGTGACACACTTGTGACATGTTAGTCAGTGCCACTAGCTCAAGTGGCGGATGATCCGCACCTTGGAATAGGAATGTGCCTGACGTGTCCACTGTGATCGAGCAGGTGAACATCGCCATCGATCATGGCAGCATCCTTGCTACTGATTGGCGCTTCTTTGTCTTCAACATAAGCCAAGGTCGGCTTGCGATCGTTGTGTTCGTCGGGAGTTGGAGTCGCCATTGCCTGTACGCAAGAAGCTTGAAGGGGTTAAACAAGTTTCCCAACATTCCTTGCGATATTCAAGTACTGTTCTGGTGGCATGCATGCCAAAACCACACGGATCATCACAGGCGTGTCACTGGGCCCAGACTTGGTGTTGGAACCCCCCGCGGGGCAGCAGTGCCATTGTGGAGACTGCCGAAGACCGAGACCGATCGCTCTGGCAATCCCCGGCAGGTGGAGAATCGGAACCTCGGGGATTCGGCAAACTTCATTCCTTTTCCTCATCCCTCTCGGAACGCGATTCGAGCCCGTTCAGCATATGCAACGCAACCGCCTGCTTCAAGTACTTTACAGTACAGTGAAACTTATCAAATCCGGGTCAAGGGGAGATTTCAAAAGTTACCAGTTGGCAGGTGGCCGGTTATACAGTTATAAATTTAGTGGAAGTGGAGAGCGTCGAGGTAGGCCGGTGGATTGGTGGCCTGGTGGATTGAAGCGTGGGTCGTCCATCCATCACAAAAACCATGGGAAGTGTTGCCCATGCTAAACTCATCCGCACAGAACAGAGCATGGCTCCTGAGTAAGAGCTGAAGGGCAATGCCGACGGTCTGACTACAAGCGCTAGGAGTTGATCTTTGGAAATGGCACGATCACGCGGACAATTATCCAGTGGTGAGAGTGATCCACCGAAGTGCGGATCTGGTCTACGCTCGATAGTAAAGGCTTCAGATAAGCTTCAGAACCATAATGAACAATAACTATGTATCTACTATTTTCCTCTGGGACGGGGAGTAGCAACATCTGAGGACTTGAAGCCACCCTGTTCCAAAGTCTGTCCATTGATCACGGCAGGCTTGGCAGCTGAAAGAAGAAACCCTGGTCAGCCACGGCGCCCACACAACTGCTGCTGATTTGGATGTGGGACTCACCTGTAAGCACAAAAAGCATGCGAGCCCAGTCGTCGGTCTCGTTGTCCCAGCCATGCATGGTGCCCCGCTGGACCATGATGTCACCTGCGTTGAGGGTGACCCTCTCACCAGAGTCGAGAGTACTGTTCGTCAGCATTCAAAGGCATCATTCACGATGGCATTTGGCACCCACTGAACGATTTGGCCGTACAGGACGATTCCGTAGTCGATGGAGGAGGTGCGGTGCTGCATCTGCATATGTATGTTAGTCTAGTTGAATCCCCTCATAGCAAGTTATCCACTCACTCCACCCTCATTAGGAGGGAAGTCGACGACACGGAGAACAGTACCACTGCCATTCGCGAGCGAAGTAGCACCTTCCTCCATGGGATCGATCCACTCAGCATTGGTCACCGAATTGTCCTCGGCGGGAACCCTCGTGGTAGTGAACAGGACTTTCATCTTGTCATTGAGCTTGGACCCCGGCATCGGCTCTGTCGCAACTTGCGACGAGCGAATGTGGATTGCTTTAGCCGTGACCGGGTCGTGGCCTGTAACATAACGCATAAATGGCCCCAGAGACGGCACTGCGGCCGCAGAAGGTGTGGTCATCGTGGTTGACGAAGAAGCGCGCGTGGAGAGCTCAAATGCGGCTGGGGTAGGAGGTCTGGGACTGGGCTTGATGGGCTGCAAGACAATGGAGAGGGCTAAGCACCTGGTATTGTATAACCATTCAGCTAATTTATGTAGATTCAGGTGGATATTGTTGTGACATCTCGGCCGCGGAGTGGAAACAGGGATCTGCCAAGCCGAATCTCGGAACTGGTCACCTTAATTCCTTAATTCCTTCGCTGTTCGCACATCGCCGCGATTCCGAGACGCTCACCACTGCAAGCACGCGTCGGTCTTAAAAGGCTACGTGCTGCTTCATGCATACACCACACAAGATACAACTCACCTCAAAACGCTCTCACCCGCATACACAATGGTTTATTCTGTCGGCGGTATCGAAGTGGTCAGTAACTGGCCAGGTTGGACTGTGGCAAAATAAGAGCTTAGACGCTCACACCTGGCAGATTCAGCGGCCTATTCTCGCTCCTGAGACCGACAACGGTCCCCCCAAGAACAAGTTCCACTACGAGGGTCTCCAGGAGACGTCAATTGTTCTTCCCAAGGGCCACCAGAAGAAGGCAGGTGTCTCGCGTCCCCTGCCTTGCGACATCCGTTTCGACCGTGACCAGAAGGTCGAGCTTCGAGATGGCACTCACATCCGTGTCGACATCTTTCGCCCTGCCGACCTCCCGGCCGATGCCAAGATCCCGGCCATTGTCATGTGGAGCCCTTACGGTAACCACGGTGTTGGTTTTCCCAACCTCGAGTGTACGTACCATTCAGCAGCTCATTTTCGGGGGTTCATCTGACCGGTTTCAGACCTTCCTTACCGCGCCTGTGTTCCCGAGAGCCGTCTGGTGAGTTGGAAAATTATAACTTCTTAAACTCTGTACTCATGCGCTTCTTCATAGAGTGGTTACGAGAAGTTCGAGGGTATCTGTCCTGCCGACTTTGTCCCTCGTGGCTACGCCATTGTGAACGCCGACTCACGTGGTACTTGGGATTCGGAAGGTGACATGGTGTTCCCCTCGTCACAGGAGGGTCGTGACGGTGCCGACCTTGTAGACTGGGTCGGTCAGCAGGAGTGGTGTACCGGAAAGGTCGGCATGGCTGGCAACTCGTGGTTGGCCCGGGCCATCTGGTTTGTGAGTAGATGGGGTAGTGTACCTCTTACTTTTATAGCTTGCCACTAACACTGTTCAGACTGCTTCGCAGCAGCCCAAACACCTCGCTGCCATTGCGCCTTGGGAAGGATTGTCAGACTTCTACCGCGAGTCTGTGAGTCAGCACAGAATTGCTGATCGCATGCTGACGGACAGTTCTGTCGTGGCGGTGTTCCCCACACTGCTTTCTGGGCTGCCAATGGTAACAGCTTCCGTGGTTCGTTGTTGTTGTCCGTCATGTGTTTGATCACAATTGCTGACAAAATAGGGCGTAGCAAGATGGAGGACCCATTCACCATGCTTGACAGGTACCCGCTTGTGAACGCCTACTGGGAGGACAAGCGCCCCGACCTCAGCAAGATCACGGTTCCCAGCTACACTCTCGCGTCGTACTCGACCATGTTGCACGTCTACGGATCCTGCCGTGGCTTCAGGGAGATGGACTGCAAGGACAAGTGGCTCCGCTTCCATCCCTGGCAGGAGTGGTATGACCTTTACGCCGAGACCGGTGTTGTTGATCTCGCCAAGTTTTTCGACCGTTATCTCAAGGAGGAGAAGAACGATTGGGAGTCGACCCCGAGGGTCCGTCTCTCGCTGCTCCGCATGAATGAGGACCCCATCATCGGCCAGGCTGAGGACAACTATCCCATTCCCCGCACCGAGTATATCAAGCACTACCTGAACAATGCCACCATGTCGCTCGACGCTACCGCTCCCAAGGCCTCCACTAGCGTCGAGTACCTCTCCACCAGCGAGGGTATCACCACCTACGACATGAAGTTTACCGATGCCACCCAGCTCGCTGGCTATCCTAAGCTTGAGCTGTACATCTCTTGCGAGGACCACGACGACATGGACCTCTTCATCCAGCTCCGGAAGCTCGACAAGGACGGCAACGAACTCAGCCAGATCAACTACCCGCTACACGAGTTGCAAAAGTTTGGTGTCGAGAAGGGTGATGTCCCTTGGGTCAACATTGTCCGCCACCTTGGCCCCTCGGGTGTTCTCCGGGCATCTCACCGTGAGGTTGATGAGTCCAAATCGACCCAATACGACCCATTCCACCCTCACACCCGTTCTGACAAGATCCCCAAGGGCACGGTTGTCAAGCTCGAGATTGGTATCTGGCCCATGGGTATCGCTTTCGAGGCTGGCGAGGGTCTCCGTCTCTGCGTGTCGGGCCACTCGCTCGTCCTGCCCGAGTACCCTGGTCTTACGGAAGTCCAACACAACGTTGGTACCTGGAAAATCCACACTGGTGGCGAGACTGCCTCGTACCTCCAGGTTCCCAGGATTTAGAACATGTACAGAGAAGAAGTCAGACCGATGCATATGCACACGAAAGATTGCAGATCGCGTGCGATTTGTTTTGCTGGATGCCAAACATTGCCGCGCCCCAGTCACCGAACGCTGGCCTGCATTATGGCGGCACAAGTGTGCAGTAGCGGGTATTTCTTCCGTGTTTTATGGGTTTTTTTTTGGGATCATTATTGTAGCGATGGCTGGCTGCAACGGGGAAGGCAAAATTCAGTGACCAACCTCTTACTTTCACATTCTGTTTTCTTAACGATGGGAGGGCTCCAGAACGTGATAGCTGTTGGTTGCTCGTACTTTGGCTGGGTGAGTTACATTCTGTTCACCGCCTTCGGCCAACTCCCCAGTCAGTCCACATACATAGCGAGGATGCTGGCCACTGCCTTGGCAGAGACCCATCGCGCCCTCCTTGACGGACCCCACACCCACCGCCCCACCTCTTTGCCTTTGTAAGTTGTAGTCTTATCCGCCAACTAACTCCTCAGTGGTAGTCTCGATTTGCCGTTGTCCCAGGTGCAGAGCACAAGGGTTTTGTCCCCCTCCCTGTCGATATGGCCATACAAGACACAAGGTCGTCACACTTATCGGAGTCTCTGCCTCACCTCACCTCCTGCCCCAGTGTCACCCACCACAACCACGCACAATATATGGCTGCATGCAGAAAATGTCCATATTGAAGGTGACTAACACTCCCAGCGCTGAGGACACTGGGTCGTGTAAACATTATTCGGCGCGTGAATGAACACGGCGCCGGCCCGAAAGAGAGAAAACAGCTATAGCCATGTATGGATGGGGTTGGGGATACGTATGGCCCGCTTACATGACGAGGGCGAGGCCGGCAGCGACGACACCAGCGGCGACGGCGAGCTTGCCGGTCTGGCGGCCGACGGCGGCGCTCTTGCTGGTGGTGGTGGAGGAGTCGGACGACGAGCCGCCAAGAGTGAGGTTGAGGTTCTTGATAAACTCGGGGACGCCGACCGAGACGTTGTATGCGGCCGGGGTGGTGTCGTTGGTGGTACCGTCCCAGCAGAAGGCGTCAAAGCACTTGGTGCAGTCGGCGGAACGGTTCGAGGCGGTGGTGTAGTTTGCGCGGTCGGTGAAGGCGCACGCGAGGCAGGTGGGCCACGCGGCGACGGTGCCGTTGAGGGTCATGGACATCTGGGTGCTCTCGAGCTGCGCGACGGCCGACGCGTTGGGGTACGCGAGCTGCAGAGTGGCCGTGTTGGACATGTACAGCCAGGGGTAGTTGGGCACGTAGATGACGAGCGGGGTGTCGGTCGAGTTGCAGCCAAAGAAGGTGGGGCGGGTGTTGAGGCCAAGGTTGATGAACGTGTTGGTGCTGGGGACCTCGGGGAAGCTGGGGGTCGAGTTGGTCCACTGGGCCTCGGCGACGGCGGCCTCGTAAGTGGCGAGCATCGACGCTCCGTCGGGCCACGTGGTGGCGGTGTCACCAGCCGAGTCAAACGCGACGATAACGTCAACAGCACGGTCCTTGGCGAGCAGGGGCGAGATGGGGATGGTCTGGTCGTTCTCACCACCGTCAACGAGGGTGAGGGTCGACTCGTCGGCAACAGTGTTGGCAACGAGAGACTCGCCGACGAAGGGGTTGGGGATGGTGGAGACGTTCTCGGTGACGTTGTTGAAGATGGCGAGCTCCTCAGCGGTGGCGCTCAGGAGAGCGGTGATGCTGATGCCAGACGCGGCCATCTCGTTGAACAGAGTCGCAGAGGTACCCATGACAAAGGTCAGCTGGTCGAGACCCTTGTAGCAAGTGCCGTTGGAGGCACCGGCGCTGACACCCGAGCCGAGGTACTCGATGGGGGTGAAGTAGCCCTCGATGCTCGACTCGGTGCCGAGCGACCACGAACCAAACTCGTGAGGCGAGAACTCCCAGACGACCGAGGTGATGTTGCCGGAGGCGGCGGGGTCCTCGAGGCCGACGGCAGTGATGATGGGGTACGGCAGGCTAGCGTTCTGGAGCTCGGCGACCTCGGACAGGAGCTGCGAAAAGGTGATGTTGGGCGTTCCGGCCATGCGCCACTTGGTAGGGAGCAGGTGCTCGCCGAGAGCGAGACCGTAGACGTCGGTGACCTGGACAGGGAAGCCCGCAGCCTGCTTGGCGGCAGCCAGAGAGAAGAGCTCGCTGTAGTAGGTGGTAATGTTGGTGCTGGTCGGGTAGATGAACGACTCGGCGAGGTTCCAGACGTCCTTGGCGAGGTCTGAGGGCAGCGCACCGCCGTTGGCCATGATTGAGCCGACAGCCCACGAACCACCAGACAGACCAGTCATGTACGACACGGCATCCAGCCAGCCAGCAGTACCGGCAGCCTGGGCCTCGGGGCTGTTGGCCATGAGGCCCTGGGTCTGACCAAGGGTGTTGCTGAGAGTCTTGTCAGAAGTCTGGTCGTACAGCTGTCCGTGTTCACTCACATGGTAGCACGGTAACCACCGCCCGAGAGCGCAAGGCCGATAACGGGACGACGCGCGGGCTCGTTGAGGCCGACCTGCGAAGTGAGGGTCTTGACGGCACTGTCAATCTGTGCCGCACGGTCCGCGAGGTACTTGGTCTCGCCGTCGGCGAGGCCCTGTGAATGTCAGTGAACTGAACAAATCTGTCGTCGAATGCGGCAACAGTCGCAACACAGGCCACAGGCCCCAGCCACCAGCCACCATGCAGCACTCTCCCATCCACACTCACGCTGGCAGGGCGGACCCAGGTGACGTTGGCCGGGCAGTCGACCTGGTAAGGGGCATAGTCGGTAGCGTCAAGGCGGCGAACGAGCGAGTTGCCAATGGCACGCTTGGCATTCTCGATGGCGGTGTTGCGGAGCGCAAAGTCCTGCTCAGAGACGGCACGGACAGCGGCGACCTCACGGCCACCGAGGGCGGCCAGGAGCGTAAAGGCGACGGAGAGGGGGAGCATTATTTGGTGAGGTGATGGAGCAGGGGGGGGGGGGGGGGTGGGGGGATCAAGTCGGGGAACGAGTGAGGGGTATCGACAGAGGGCGGGCGGCGATGTCAAGTGACAGGCGAGAGATGTAACCCGCGAGAGATATGGACAGAAGCAAGACGAGGCCGACTGGAAGAAAGTGAAGAAGAGCGGGCAGTGTGTTGCTGCTTAAACACACTCAGCCTTGGCCGAGAGTACGCGGCTGCTCTTGGTCCGCTTAGCGCGCACCGCGTCCACACTACCCACATCGCTCCATAGCTCCAGATTTAGCTTGTCTCCCCCGGGCTCACAGGGAGGGCCCCAGAGCCAGAGGCGGAGTAGCAAGAACCGTGCAGGCTCAGACTGTTGCTCGAACAAATGTTGCCAGAGGTGCAGCAGCAGACGTGTGTCGCTCGGCCTCCTGTACACTTTTCTCCTGGTGCAGGATCTGTGTGGCGCGTGGGGTTTGCGGCGGCGCCGCAGCTTGTCTTGTCGCGTCGGTCGTGCCGTCCTGGCCCGGGGCTGCGACGCCTCTCGGCTCGTGGTGCATGCCTGTGGCGTGTTCTGCAGGGGAGGAGGAGGGGGGGTGGGTGGGTACTTGTCCGGCATTCATATGCAAAACGCGGGGTTCAAGGAATGGCCAAAGCGTCGGCCAAGGTATGCACTTCTGCACCCAGCGTTCATAGACAGACCAGGCGCGTCAACAAGAGGACGATCCGTGTGGTTTGTCTTGCACCGTTTTTTCTCATTTTACTGGGTGTGTGCGGCTCTCGTCCCGGGTGTGCCTGGGGCCTAATTGAGGTCATTTCAGTCATTGACGGGCCCGGATTGCCGGCTGTGTCATGACGGTTTGCTTGTTTGGTCCGACACCACATGGGCGATGGGCGATGCGTCGTTTGTCGCAGCAGGCATAGAGCCATTATTTTTGGTCTCTTTGGGTCTTTTGCTCTCTCCACACTCGAGGATCCTGGAGCTAGAACCTGTCCCGCAGCCCGGAACGTCTGCTCACGGACCGACATGAACCTGCATGTATCCATCACACACCTGAACCGCAGCCTGGAGAGCTACTGGCCTGCGTGCCGCGTGCCGCGTGCCAAGCTGCCAACCCCTTTGGTACACCCGCCCCCCCATCAAGGTGGCAAGGTACCTGCCACCACATCTCCTGCAGGTATGCTATATACTCGGAGCACAGGCAAACGGGGCCCGCCGCCGACGGTTTGCATATAGGCTCCTGGCCGCTCCTGGACACCGCGCGGCCGTGCGAGGGCCGAGGGCCGAGAGAGGGCCGACTCCGGAGTGCCGGCCGGAGTGGCGGAGCATCAGGAGTCTGTTGGGATGAGGGTGTCCCAGAAGCCAGAAGCCAGCAGCAAGCAGCAAGCAAAGGATGAAACGTGTCTCGATCGCAAGCACATGCACGCGGACCACTGCGGCGCACTCGCCAAGCCGGCCGGGACGATGGCGCGGACATGAGCTCATGACGACAGCTGGAGACGCCGCCCACGCGTGACGCCGCACGCCATGCCATACCGCCGCCAAAAGGGGGATGCGGCGCTGAGGCGCGCGTTTTATGACATGAAGAGAGAGAGAGAGTGGTGGACGCACAGACTGCTGCTGGCCATTCCAATTGGGCGGTGCAACCCGTGGGATGCGGTGAGCTGGCTGGGTGTAGCTTTGGGCTGGTAGCTGGGCTGGGTTGACTGCGGCACTGCTTTGTGTGAAAGACTCGTATTCTCAAAGCACCTGCCTGTCCCGCGTATTCGTGGCAACGAGGCGCACAGCCACACATGACGTTTGTATCAGAAAAAAATGTTCTATGTATAATACTACACATACGGGGGTCACCCAACACAACACATACAGGTTCTATTCCTTCTCTTCGGCTCATGGACATGAGAGCCGAGCACCGTCCGCACCGCACCGCCATGACGCGCCCGTTCTTCGCTCAAATATCCTCGTCGCTGTCAATGGCATTACCATGGCCGTTGCCGTTGCCATTGACGTCGCGGCTGCGGATAAAGTTGCCGCTCGGCCGCGGGGTCGTGCCTTCGCCACGGGACATGCGCCTCCAGCGGCGGTTGGCCTCTTCCTGCTCGCGTTCCTCTTCTTCCTGCGCGACGCGCTCGTAACCCTCGCGCTTGGCGCGCGTGGTCGTGTACCACCACCACACCGAGATAGAGAGCACCGACACGCCCGCGGCGCCACCCGTGACGGTGAGCACGAGCCATGCCCAGCGCTCCCACCATCCCGGGTCGTACGGAATGAGCACCGTGTCGAGGACAATCACACCGCCGCCGAGCGTCATGCCGCCAAGCCAGAGCTGGGGCTGTGGTTCCGTGTCGCCTGCGGTGACCTTGGACCTGGAGATGCTGTCGTCGTGGCCCTTGCGCCAGCGCACGCTCGATCGGCCCGCACCGTTTGTCCGCGCCCCGTGGTCCGTGCTGCCTGACCGCGCATTGTGGACACCGACAAGCCACTCGCTTTCACCCCATGCACGAAAGGCGAGCTCACCATACCGTGCACTCGGAGCCAGCAGCGTCGGGTACACGACATCGTCCTCGAGGGCGAGGGGCAGGCCGTCGCGCGGGGGATAGCGCGGAGCGTGCTCGACGGAAGCCTTGGGCAGTGGCGTTCCGAGGTTGGACGGGATGATGTGCAGTTTCAGGAGACTGAGCAAGGCGTCCGGGTCCGACGTGTACTGGGTGAGGTTCAGGCGAGAGAATGCCTTGTCGGTTGGCATGAGGATCGTGTATGCCGGGAGAGCGAGCTCGGTCGGATCGACGGGGGCAGGAGCGTCCTCGTCAGAGCCAGAACCCTGGGGCCGGATCGCGTTCTCGAGACCCACGTGCTCGAGCTCGGCAAGGGACGGCTCGCGACCCTCGAGGATCCATCCAAACCCAGCCTTGGTCATGAGCTCCTCCATGACGCGCTGCTTGGACCCGCGAATGAGTTTTGCAGGAGTCATCTGCGCGTCGGCAGGGAGGATGACACTGTCGATAATGTGGATCACGCCAGTTTCCGCGAGCATGTTGTCGGTCACCAGGCTGGCTGGGCGCAGGTCGCCGTTGGCAGGCAACGCCTTGCCCGAGTCATGGCCCTCCCACTTGGACGGGGACTGGAGTGAGACGGTGCCGTTGTCGCCCTGTTTGTCGAGGACAATGTTGCCGCCCTGGATCGTGCGCAGAACCGTCTTGCCAGATTCGACGTCGGGAGTGTAGACGAGTTTTTCCACCGACAGGTAGCGAAGGACCCTGCGCAGCTCGTCGCGCGACTCGGGAAGAAGGAGATACTTCATGACCAGGCCCAGTTGGGCAAATGCCTTGTTGCGGGGCACGAAATAGGTGGTGCCCGGGTTGGCCTTTGTCGTGCGCTCGAGACCAGCAGCATACACGGCCGCAATGTAAGTGGAGAGCTGCAGGTCGGCGACGGTGGTCTGGAGGACATCAAGAGGGGGCGCGAGAAGTGACGAGATAAAGTAGATGACACTGTCGCCGCTCTTGACTGGCGAACCTACGACCATGGCGCCCCCGAATTGGATCTCGCCGGCATCCAGGTCCCATTCCGGGTGAGCCTTGGAGCGTCCTGAAACCTCGACGTGGAGACGTTGGCGCTCGCCGCCGAGAGCGGCGGTCCGCAGCTCGGTGGCAAGCAGCATGCCGTCCTCGAGAGTCTTGGGCGATACCTTGCCTGGGACGACGTGGTACTTGAGCAACGCTGCAAGTGGCGAGTTGTCAGGCGGAGGCGGGTTAGGCTTGACAACATCGCCGGGAGCGTCGCCGTCGTCAAAGGAGACGGCGGCGCTTTGCGGTTCCAGAGACAACATGCCGGGTCCGTTCCACAACTCAAAATACTCGATCGCGTCGTCGGTGGGCGCGAGGATGGTCCACTGGTGGGTATTCTTCTTTCCCGGCTCGCCAATGTACTGCGAGGAGAGGTTGGCCGAACGCAGGAGCGACACAAAGCGCGTTGCGTTGCGCGATAACAGCACTTTTTCGGCCGAGTTGAGCAGCTCAAATCCCTCGGGAACGAGGACTCGGGGCATGATATGGATGACACCTGGCGTCAGCTGTCAACCCGAGAGTGGGTAAGCTTACCATTGGAAGTGAAAATGTCCACAGTCTCTGCTGCAGTTCCGTTGACGACCAGGCCGCCGTCCACCGGGGCCGACACGTTGAGCGCGCCATTCACTGCGTTCACTAATGTCAGCTCTGGAGGTGTCCATCTGTTAGCTCACCAATCGTCGGCTTCTTGCTCCACGTATCCTTCCAGCCCACATCGCGATCGATCGCAAGGAGGATGCTCGGGCCCAGGACGCGGTTGAAGCTCTCGCCACCATACCCTCCTTCCAGGTACGAGCGCTCGACGTCGTCAAACGCCGCCTCGAAGGCATCGTCGCTGGCCGCAAAGAGGGTGACATGTGGTGCCTTGTCGATCCACGGTGGGAGCGGGGTCGGGAGGGGTTCGGGCGAATCGAGGAGCTTGGCCAGGTAGGACAGCTGCGGGAGGCTGCGGATCGTCTCGACGAGGCTCTTGGGGGGCTCGAGTACGCCGTCGAGGCCGACCACGACGCCGTTGGGTACCCATCGCAAGCCGACCGGCTTCTTCTTCTTGCCGTCGTCCTGGTCCTTCAAGTGGTGGCTGCCATTGTCGGGCTCCTTCCATCCACTGCCGTCCCAGACGCCAGCGCCGCCGTCGCCGAGGTGGTTGACACCAATTCGACCGCGGTCGCCACCATGCTCGCTTCCGGGCCGGTCGACGCGGATCCGCTGTCCATGTGCACCCAGCAGTCCATCGGTGGGGACCGGAGTCCACGGGTTTCCCGGGACGGGGTTTGGTGGCCGGTCGCCGAGCGGGTGGAGGAGAGACGTCTCGGTCGTGCCGAGCGAGCGTTCCCACTCGTCCTCGGTGAGGGTATAGTTGAGCATGTGGTACAGCAGGTGCTGCTGCAGTGCCCAGTTCTGGTTGTCGCTCTCGGTGCGGATCTCTTCTTCGGCACTCCCGGGCGACGCGGCGATACGCGCAGACAGAGCCGCCTCGGCCTCGTCGGTGGACACGAGCCACTCGGCGAGTCCCGCGGAGCCGAGCCAGCCACCGCTCCGCCCGTCCCCGGCTGGCCGGTGGGTCTCCTCCCACGCCGCCCAGGCCTTGTCCGTCGGCGCGAACACGGATCCGTTGAGGCGGCTCAGCATGGGGATGAGCTTGGCGCGTTGGAGGAGGTGGATAAAGGTACCGTGCTGTTCCGATGCCGACAGCACGGTCGTGAGGGTGTCGCCCATTGCTGTTTGGGGTCAGCTGGAGCTCGCTCTTGGGGGGGCTTTCACAGTTGAGAAATGCATGGGACGCGGTGCACAACACCACCAACACGCCAAGGACGCGAGATGGGACAGCCATATTCCAGCTCGCCATGGCGCGTTGGCAGGTTGGTCGCGGCACCGGGCACCCGCGACGCGCAAGCAGGCCCACTCACCGTGGACGTCATCGCCGAGCTTTGTAGGTTGTGTTGTGGGTCGATGCAAGGACAGCTGGTCCGCCGCTGCTGACACAGCGAGGACGAGGAGCGCGAGAGCACCCCTCATGGCTGAACAGTCGTGATGGTTGGTTGTATCGTAGTCGAACGACTGGAGGTGAAGTGAGCGATGTGTCGAGATGGGGCAATCACACACAACAGACGCCCTACCTGCCGCTGATATCGGGCCGTACCCAACAGCCGCGGTGGGAGAGGGGACGGAAGCAAAATGCACACGCTGCGGTGGGTGGCAAAACGCAGCAGCGGTGGCGGATCGCCGCCACCGCTCGCTGCCAGGGCGCTCATGCAACTGGATAAAATGGGGTTCTCGCCACCCACATTCCATATGCACCCTCGACTCGGATTATGGCGTCAATTCGTCAACAATGGGCGTGTGGTGTAACTTGTTCGTGAAAAGACGTCACAGCCTGTGGGGCTTTGCGGAATGCAACCAGTGATCACGAAACAACGTTGTTGACTTGTTTTTTTAACCATGTTTCGTTCGTTCACGCCGTCTGCCATCGGGAACTGCATAACAAGGAATCTGGAAAAGCAATTTCGAAAAGTAAATTAAGTAAACTCGCCAGGCCACGGGCCACGGACCAAACCACAGATGGGGGCTTGCATGGCGTCCTCTACAAAGCAACGAAAAGAAACCAAAAAAAAAGGGAACAGAAAACCGGAAAAAACGTCGATACGTGGGGGCGTGTGTGTATGTACAACGATAAGAAAAAAAAGTGTCCGTCCCATCACCTCACCTCCAACCTCCTACCCCCCAAGTGACCCAGATCCCATGCGTATCCTCACGGGAGGAGCCCGCGCGCGTGCAGCATCTTGTGCCACCTGCGAAACAGTTGTCAGCGACGCGAACGGGTTGCCACATGAGGCGTGTGTTGTGAGACTACTCACTGCTCGCGCTTCAAACGCTCCTCTTCCAGCTGCATCCTCAGCCGGTTGTTCTCGAGCTCATACGCGTTCCGCTTCGCCTTGGTCTCTTGCAAGTCGCGGCGCATGGCAGCCAGGGCCGCGTCGGGCTGCGGCAGCGTCATGTCATTGTACATGCCGTCCAACTCGGCATTGAAGGCGTTGTAGATCTCCTCCACCTCGAGGTCCCTGCGACGCAGCTGCTCGCTCAGGAGCGTCTCGCGCTCCTTAGCGCGCGCGAGCTGGCCCTCGTGCATGGCCACACCTGCAGCCGACTGAGCCTCGGCTTCAGCAGTCGTGCGTGCCAGCATGCGGACGCGCTCCGAATCAGCCAGTGCCGCAGCGAGCTTTTGCTCGAGCTTGTCGCCCGTTCCGAGGATGGAAAGCATCAGGTCCTCCATCTCGACATCCGCCTTGGCCATGGCCGTCGGGCTGTCGTCCGAAACGGACAGCACGTTCTGAATGTTGAGCGTCTGGGGTGAACGGGGCATCATGGGGGACCGCGACTCGATACCAACAGTGTACGTTTTCTTGAGGGCGGCCGTATCGATGCGGATACGGCGAGCGAGCTTGCGGGCGTCGGCAACGCGCTGGCGGGTAGAGTCGGCAGCAGTGGGAAGCTCGGCATGGTCGCTCATGACAATGTCGTGGTCGTCGGTCGTAGACACGAAAGACTGCACCGTCATGGTGGAGGCGGTTGAGACGTGACGTGAGGGACTGAGCACCCCGGCGCCGGCGCTTGAGCGACGGTTGGCCCGAGGCGCAACGCTGATGCCTGATGTTCGGCGGCCGCCACTGGCAGGGCCGAGAACCGAGGTCGGGCGCGACTGATGCTCAGAGGTCGCCGTGCCGTCACTGACTTGTCTAGCCATAGGCGAGTCACTGGTAGACCGTTTGCGGGGCGAGAGGTAGTCTGCAGCGGCATGCTGACGTTTATGGGGAGAGCCACCAGTAGGACTGTTCTCGTCACAAGGCGGGTTGGACGTACTCCTGCCACCACGAGGGCTCTGCTTGGGCGGGGCGCCAAGACCCAGGAGGCGGGCTGGAACGGCGTTGACAGAGTGTTGCGGGGACGGAATGGGGCGGTGGGCTGGAGGCTCTGGTGAGGGAGAGGGGGGCAGAGCACGCACCGAGCGCTGCGGTGAAGCTTCCCTCGTGGCTGAAACGGACGCCTGCACGGCGAGCGCTGTCGACGTCAAGTAGCCGACGGGAGGATCATGTAATGTGTAGCGCACAGGTTCGTGTCCTGTTGTTGAGAGGTCGGTGAGGTCCACATAGTCCTCAGAGTCCATGGTGGGGTCAGAGGAGGAAGAAGCTTCCGCGTCGGGCTGGGCAAGAGGAATGGTCGCAACAACTGGTGAACGTTCTGCAGTCGGGATAGGGGGCGGCAGAGGAGGGACATAGCCGCTGCGCGCGGCCATACCCTTGCTGGGTGTACGAGGACCACGCGGTGACAAGGTTCCCGAACGAGACAAGGTGCCATGTCGTGTGGGCGAGTGGAGGGAACCCATCGAAGAGTCACGCGAGATACCACCCTCAGTCTGGATGACACTGGATGCAAGTGTCGGGACGGGACCGCGCAATGCACGGCCTTTAACTGGAGACATGCCACTGTCGGTGATGGACGACAGCGTACTCAATGTCTCCTCGATGCCACCACCACCACCACCGCCCTCGGTCATCTTGCGCTCGAGCTGCTCACGCATTGCAGCCACACGCGAGACCATTGGGGTCGTAGTAGTCTTGACTGGCGTTGGCGGCTTGGAGGGCGTGGAGGTCAAGGCGACCATGGAGCGACTGTTGTAGCGCGCAAGGTTGAGTCGAGCATCGAGGTTGTCCGTCTCTGTGTCCGGCTCCGCCTTGACAGGCGACTTGATGGGCGACATTGGAATGCTGCTGTCCGAGTTTGAGCGCGAATCGCTAAAGCTGGAACCACTCGGCGACTTGGGAGACTTGGGCGCGCTGCGACCACTTGATGAAATGGAAGTCATGTCCGTGGATGCCCGGGTGAGGGTAGACGAGCGGCTCTTGATAGACTGGGAGCGCTTCGTACTCGACGAACCAAAGCCATCCGAGCCACTGTATCCGCCACGGGTGGACGAGGTGCTGCCGCCCCAGAGGTTGCGGGCAATACCGTCGCTGCCAAACACACGAGACGCGCGCTTGCTAATCATCGAGCCAGGAGTGCCGCCGCCGAACGAGCTTGCCCTAGTGTGGCTGGCCTTGACCTTGAAGAGACCACCGGCGTTGATAGCCTCGATAATCTTCTTGTTGATCTCGCCGAGGGAAGAGGCTGTGCGGTAGACTTGAGTGCCAGTGTTGGTCACAGCCTGCAGCTTGCACACCGCCCCAGGCATCGGCTCGAGGCGAATAATCAGAGTTGGGCCGCTTTCCTGCGGGAGTGGCAACTCGGGAATGTCCTCGTCCTCGGCGATCTGGATGACAACCTTGGCCTTCTCCTGCGCTCCGACCCAGCCGGCACGATCCCAAAGGTTCCAGTACGCCTTGACTCGTAAGAGCTCCTTGTCAAGATCAATTTCATCCGTGCAGGCAAGGACGCCACGGGGCACGGGCTTGACCTCGGCGGGCTTGAGCTTGGTGCGGCGCAAAGCCTGAGCCGCCCAGATGTTGTGGACAAAGCGTAGCTTGTCCTTGCGCGACGTGACCGGATCAAAGCCGATCGGGTGAGGCGGGTGGATGGTGCTGTATTGGCGCAGTGTACGGGCGGCAGACCACTTGTCAACCTGGTCCGCCAGTGCATCAGACTTGGCGTTGAGGTCCAGGAAGAGCTGGAAGTCTGCCATGTTAGCTAACGACAACGATGTTAACAGCTCACCTCCATTGCCCATGTCCATCGCCACAACGTCCTCGATATCGACGGCTCCGCGGAAGCTAAGCTTTTCCTTTCTTGTGCCGTCCTTCTCCCTCACAGCGACACCACCACCAGACTTGACGAGTGCGCGAACGTCATCGAGGCCGGTGACCTTGCGGCCACTGACCGTGCTGGACACGCGCTTGGTAATGAGAAGCTTGTCGTCAAACAGGAACAGGGTGCAGTGGAGAGCGGGCACAGCGCCATTATCAGCGGTGGGAGAGCCCAGGCCGCCGAGGTTGAGGGTCGGCGTAGACATCTTGCCGTTCATCATGGATCCTTGTCGGCTGTGTCGTGCGGACCCGGGGGCAGCATCTCCAAGGACATCCTCGGCATCGATAGAGTCGACAAAGTTGCGGTTGTTACTGAATAGATTGGCCTGCACATTAGGACACGACAACCAAACTTGTACTCACGGGGAACCCTTCGACGTTTCGTTGCAGACAGTACTGGACTGTTGCCCTAACGGTCTGCTCATCCGCTTCACACCGGGCGATCCTGGAAGCAATCTCGGTGGCATCAAGAAGTTTGGTTCGTTGGTCCGAGAGAGGTGACATGCACTTGGCCATGGCTGCTCGTCAGCGGTGTTTTCTCACAGCCTTTTTGACCTCACATTGCCAAAGGAGAGTGTATCGTGGGACACGCTGTACAGGCTCCATGAGCAGCTCGCGCAGACCAATGTTGCCGATGCCGGTCGTCTGGTACTTTGTGCTCTGCAAAACGTCAGCTGCCTGTGCACGTGCCAGCAGACATACCTCAATAAAGCTAACAAAGGTGTTGACCTTTTTGAACATCTCCTGGAAAGTCTTTTGTGCCTCGTCTTGGTTACCAATGTAGGTTCGGTATGGGTCGAGCGTCTTGATAGTCTTGAGCTGATGCCTAGTCAGTTGCTTGACCCCAAACATCATCCCACCACAACGGCTGTTGTACTCACGTGCCTCAAGCAGACGTCTCCAACAAGGTTCTCAGCCTGGCCTGACGCCCACATTTCCTCGAGGTCGTTGAGGAATGTTTGGGCTGCTGGAAGAACCGCGTCGATGTTGCTGAACAAGATCTTGGCCTCGTACGCGGGGATGATGACCGAGTAGCCCTGCTTTGCAAAGTGACGAAGTGGGTCGGCATAGCTCTGCGGCAAATTGTCAACAACAACATCCGTCAGACGACAACAACATTGACCCGTACCGTCTTCAGGGCCTTGATGCGCGAGACATAACTCCTCTCGGTGCGCACGAGCTCCTCGATGAGAGACTGGAGCCGACGTTCCATCTCATCCTTCTTGTTCGCCGACCATCCAGAGTACGAGTCATCGTCCCCTTGGGATTTACGAGAGGGAGTGAGAGGAGGCTGAGGGGGTTGGGGGAGGGCTGTCAGGGGGTCAAGGGGCCGTCCAAGTTGCGAGAGAAGCGTGGTCGTCTCCTCGCCGTCACGCTCGACGACAACGTCACAGACAAAGGCGCGGCGAATGACCTTGCTTCCCGTAGCGCGTTCGACGGATGCAGTGGAGCTGTTGAGGTCGATGGACTTTGGAGGGAGGGGAGGGGGTGGTGGAGAGGGTGATTGACGGCCAGACCCGCGACTACGGGGCCGGAACGGCGACGCAGAGCCGATTGGGGGGGGCATGGTGCCCGATGGGTTTGTCGAGGGGTGGTGGTGTTGAACAAGGCTACCGTTGGGATGTCAAGTGGGGCGAGAGTGGTGCGTGCAATATATGGGTGAAAGAGTTCGGGGGGGATGATGTTCGCATGGGAACATGGGGTGCATGTTTGGCTCCTCGTGAGCGAGACGGGCCCAGAGCGCCAGAGCGCCAGACGCCGCGCCGGCCAAAGCGACCGAGCAAAGTCAGGCGCGGGTGACGGAACCAAAATATTAATATAACGCGTGCCGGGAGACTGACATTTTGACATTTTGGTCCCGTTATCAGGCTCACCATCGAGTAGCCCCTGGCGCTCATGACGTCCGCTGGTGCGTTCCTCGGCCCACCGCTCTGGCCAGCACATACGAGGTCGTCACGTCCTATACAATCGCCAGTCGCCATCTCTCATTTCACCCCCATCGTGCAACATCACACACCATGCTGGTCGCATTCTAGACAGCTGGAATACCCCCCACCTACTCCTATTATACACAGATGGCATCCACACCACCCATCACCCCATCCACAGCAGCTGCCTCTCATCCCTCGTCATCGGGCGACGGCATCGCTACAAGTCGGCCAACTTCGACGTCCAGTGGGACCGGCGCCGTCCCGATGGTCCGGGCGTCTTCATTCACAAACAGCCCAGACGAAGACCCAGAGGTTCAAGAAGAAATGGTCAACGACTCTTCGTCCAACGTTTGGGGAGACTCCAACGTTCAGCAGGACGACGGCAAGACCACGCACGAGCCGCCCGTGCGACCGCCGCCGCTCTGGAGGGAGATGAGCGACCAGGTATTCGTAGACGGCGAGGACCCAGAAGAAGGACCTAGCGACTATTGGCGTAGACCCTCACCGACACTCTCACCCGACCATACCGTCCCCGTCGACAGCCCCTGGCTACGTGGCGGCGACATTGCGGAGGAAGAAGACTCTCAGGACGAGGCCGACGCGGCCGAGCACGCCGACGCCGACGCCGCCGAATACTCGAAACGTCTCGAACAGGTGCTCGCTCTCGGAGACACGCCCGTATCGTCGCCTACAACGCGAAGAGTCAATGGCGCCCACCGGCATGATGACGACACCGACGAGGAAGGCTGGGGCGAGTACCAGTCGCCCAACGGCGCAGGGTACGACGCGGCAGTGCGCGATGTGCTTCGCGACGGCAGCGAAAGCGGAGTCGTGCACGACGAAAAGGGAGAGGAAGAGTTCGGTGTGTTGCACCAGGCTGCACAGGACAGCTTTTCAGATCGCACACCGTCTGTTGTGTCCTTCTCCGGCCTCGAACGTTCAGTGCGCGCCAGTCCAAGTGGCCCATCACGCAGTTATATCCGTACGTTTCATCCGTCTCTACCGTGTGCGCCTACTGACACCCGACTAGACCCCTCCGTCTCTCGTCTGCGTTCCCAGCAGCAGCGTGCGCGCATCAACAGCTCCAACTCTCTCTTGTCAATCACCTCAACAGCACGACACGCTCGCATTCCGAGCCAGTTTTCACAAGTCTCAATCTCGCGCTCAGACTCGTACTCGACTACTTCGGGGGCCGGCCAGTCGCGAGTGGCGCCCGCGAACACGGACGAACTGGGCGATCGCGGTCCCGCATTCACGTTCCACCCGCTGCGCCACTTGTCAGCGCACCTCTTCAACCGTACCAAGAATGGCGTCGAGACGCCCACACGGCCTGCGCCTTCGCGCAAGGCGAGCTCTGTCCTGGGCTTGTCGTTGTCAAGCAGTAGCGGACGTCCCGAGTCACCGGCGCCGACAGATGGCGGACTGGGGAAGCCTACGGTCATGGATGTCCACGGCATGATCGCCGTCGGTACAGAATCGGGCTGGGCCGTTGTCTATGGTTTCGGACAGGATGTCCGCTGCGTCCTTGGAAATGACGCCACTGTGGCCTCTGGTGCAATCACCGCCATCACCATCTGTCCCGATCAGACCTATGTCGGCGTGGGCCACGCCAATGGTAACATTTACTTGTACGACTTGGAGAGCCCCGCGAAACCCGCCCGCACCCAGCTTGCTCTGCCTCTCAAGCAGGTGCTTTCCGGCCGCAAGGAAGGTCACTTGCAAGGCAGCCGGATTTTGCACATTGGCTTTGTGGGCAAGCGTCACACTGCCATTGTCACTGGCGACGAGCATGGGCGCGCGTTTTGGTTCAGTCTCGGTCGCGTCATGGGTGTGGACAGCAACGACGCTGTCCGTATGTTGGGTTCGTATCCGGACCGCGACCGCCCTGCCGATGTGCCTTCCTCGCCTGCCCAAACCCAAGAAGGCCAGGGCTCTGCTCCTAGCTCGATCCGCTCGCAACCGTCCAAGCGGCCCACGACGCTGTTTGCTGCTCTGCCGCTGCCGCTGGGAACCCAACCACACACGGCCGACGAGTTTCACTTTTCGGCCCTCCTCACGCCCGTCAAGCTGGTGGTCGTGGGCCTCAAGCCGTCAGCCAAGACGTGGTTCCGCAAGATGCGCGACGCCACGTCTGGGCCATATGGCGGGTTTGTGGGTTGCGCGGCATGGCTCAAGGCTGGCGAGGTCGCTGGTGTCAGTGGACCGGACAAGGTCACGTCCGATCCCGTGCTTGCGTACGCTTGGGGAACATCGCTGCGCTTCCTCCGCGTCCGTGTCAACGTCACACCACCCGTCGACAAGAAATCCGAGGCTGTCAAGACCCCCGAGTTTGTCGAAGGAAGACGGTGGGAGGCTCCGCATGCGATCCAGTCGCTCCATTGGTTTGATCCAGAGGTGGGGTTCGATGCATGCTCGACAGAGGCTAACCCGTACAGCACATTCTCCTCGTTACAGCTCACGAAGTGATTCTCCTCAACGTGCGGTCCATGACCCCGGTGGAAAACACGCCACTGCAGACCAAGCTCCTCACGTCACATGACTTTTACTCTGCCCTCAGCTTGCGCAAGACGTTGATCGACGCTGTTCCTCCCGCCATTCAGAGCAGCTGCCGGACCTACCGAGGCAAGCTGTTCCTCCTTACCAAGGCAAACGTCCAAGTCGGCACATTGCAGCACTGGAACGACCGCGTGCTGGCCAATGTGCACCGTGGCGATTTCCTGGCGGCCATCAACTTGGCGTTGGCATACTACAAGGGTCGTGCGCCTGGAAACACCATCAACCTCCCCGACGACCCTGAAGGACGCCGCGATGTTGTTGGCACGCGTGTGCGAGAGCTGATGCGCGCGTCACTCGACTGGGCCTTTTCAGAAGAACGTATGCGCGACGATACGCACTTTTCTGCCGACGGCCGCGGTGTTGACCTCACTTCGCTGTTTGAGGGCCTGGCGACCGCATGTATCGACGCATGTCTCGCCATGGATGACATGGACTTCCTCTTTGACGACACGTACGAGCACTTTGCAAGCGTGGGCATTCAAGGCATCTTCCTCACTCGACTCGAGGCCTATGTCTTTGAGGGCCGCATCTCCGAAGTGCCCCCCAACGTCGTCCAGGCCCTCATTGCCATGCACGACGACAAGGAAGAATACGCCCAGGCCGAGAGTGTCATCTGGCACATCCAGCCCCACTCGCTCGACATCAACCAGGCAGTCACTCTGTGCGAGAAGCGTGGTCTCTGGGATGCCCTTATTCACGTGTACACTCGGGCCATGGGCGACTTTGTGGCACCCATCGTCAAGCTCATCAGCGTCGTCTGTGATGTCCAAAGGCACCGCCACGACCGTCCCAGTCTCGTCGGCGACGACTTTGCCGACGAGGAGCGTCTGGCGCCAGACGCGTACAAGCTGTACGCGTACATTGCCAACGTCCTCTCGGGCCTGTGGTACCCCTCTGGCGAAACGATGCGCGACGCAGACGGTATCCGGGCGCGTAATGCCGCGTATGGCTTTCTCTTTTCCAGCTGCAACCTGTACTGGCCCGAGGGCTCGACCGACCTTGTTGTCACCGAGCAAGACGACGACGGAATGGGTGAACCTGCGTACCCGTACCTCCGCCTGTTACTGCGCTTTGACACCGAGGCCTTCCTCCACGCCATGGACATTGCATTCGAGGACCCATACCTCAACGACCCCAGCAGCGCCATCAACCGCCAGAGCATCATCAACCTCATGCTCGACGTCATGGAGACGGATTTCCACAGCTCGGACGTTACATTTTTGCACATTTTCGTCGCGCGCAACTTGCCAAAGTACCCACAGTTCATCTTCCTGCCTCCCTCAACCTCGCACCGCATCCTCGTCTCGCTTGCGGCGGACCCAGACCAGTCGACGCGCGAGGACCGCCAGCTCGCGGCAGAGTACCTGCTGTCGGCGTATACGCCGCATGATGCCGACGAGATGCTGGCGCGGTTTGAGCAGGCTGGGTTTTTTCGTATCCTGCGCGCGGCGTACCGCCGCGACCGCAAGTGGGCGCCGCTCATTGACACGTTGCTCAAGGATCCCGAGGCGGATGACTCGGTGTTTGCCAACCTCGACGAGATTATCATCTCGAGCAGGCCTGGAGGCACTGGGTTTGTGACCACTGAAGTGACGCGCGCCGTCGAGGACGCTCTCCCGCACCTCTTTGACGTGTCTGTGCGCCAGACGGCGCGCTTCATCGACCGGTCTGTCCCCGGCCTCCACGATGCGGCTATTGACGCTCTCGAGGGCTCCGAGCACAAGCAGGCCGCATACCTCCGCTGCCTACTGGATCCGTCTGCCGAGGAGGGCGAAGGCGAGTCGGACATTTATGCCGCCGAGCAGCAGCTGCCCGTGTCGACGCACGTCCACCAGGCCGCAAAGCAAAAATATGTGCGTCTGCTCGCTCGCCACGACCCGACTGCTGTGGTTCCGTTCCTGGACGCGCGCGGCCGCGACTTCTTCAACCTCAAGACGCTTGCCGAGCAGCTCGAGGAGGCGGGTCTCCCCGAGGGCCAGCTGTGGGCGCTGGACCGTGCCGGTAAGCGCAAGGACGCGTTCGAGACGGTCGACGCTGTGCTTGCTGCGCGCGGCGCGGACCTCGCCGAGGGCCTACAGCGCAGTTCCCAGGGCGACGTGCACATGGCGCTCGCGACGCTCGACTCGGTCGCGCACATGGCTGTCCGGCTGTGCAAGGAGCACACGAAGAATGACGACGTCGACGTCGAGGACCTTTGGTTTGGCGTGCTGCACAGTATCACCGAGCTCGTGCACTCCATCTCGGCGTTCAAGCCCACCGCCACAGCAGCCGGCGACGACCACGACGACGCGTCGCTCAACGCACATACCCTCGACGCGCTGCGCGGGTTCGTGCAGGACACGCTTCAGGCCCTGCTGTCCACGTCCTCGCCCCGGCTCTCATTTGCGCGCCTGTTCAAGCGCCTCGTCGAGGCTGCGCCTGCCGGCTCGTCGTCGTCGCCCAAGAAGCAAAAAGGCAAGAAACACCACCGTCGGCAGTCGTCGGCTACGGGCGGCGCGCGCGCGTACTCCGAGTTCCGCGCCATCTTGACGGGCATGCTCGACTCGTTCCGCGCCGACAGCGAGGCGCTCGCCCTCAGCATCCGTCTCGTCGAGGGCGACGGGTTCGAGCTGCTCGAGGATAAAGTGGCCATTAGCAACAAGGGCTGGCGACCCCACAACAGCGTCTGTGTCGCGTGCCACAGGGGTCTGTGGGTAGGCGGGAAGGGAGGTGTTGGTGCCGAGGGGGTGGTGGTGCGTGCGGACGGCGCGGCGGTGCATGCCGCGTGCAAGGAGTAGGTAGGTTCTTGGGTGTTTATTGGTTAGATCGGAATAGATATATCGCATGTATGTGCGTGCTCGGTTTACATGTGTGCGTGTGCAACAGGCCCAAAAGGCGCGAAAAGAAGGGGAAAGCAGTCTCGGTTGGTCGTGGCGTAACATTGGTGCCAACCTTTCTCTCGCACACTATACTTGAATTTATCTTGCCGTCGAGGACGTTTGTGCACTCTACCAGCTCAGCGACAAGGGCTGATCAGCCCCGGCCCCGGCCCCGGCCTTCTCGTTGGCCACCACCCCGGCCTTGAACTGGTCGAAATCCACAATCCGGCCCTCGAGCCGCGCCTGTTCCGCTGCAAAGACCAGCAAGTGCGAGTCGAGAATGTCCTCGGGCGTGACGCCCAAGCACGTCTGGTCGAGCTGCGTGATGGCGCGGCAGAACGTCGACGCCAGGCCCTGGTCGCGCCGACAGTGCCCGTCCTCGGGCTTGGGCGGGTAGTATGTGCGCTTGTTGCGCGTGGCAAAGTCGAACACGGTCTGGTGCAAAACACCAAAAAAAAAACAGCCCCCATCAGCAATCGCACACTCCAACACGTCAAGGCGTTTCACGTACAAAGGTCAATGCGTCGCCGTCCAGCTCGCCCTTTGTCCCCTGTATGACGGTGCGGCGGTCGCACTTGGCCTCGCTGAACGCGCTCATGGTCATGGTGGCCGTCACGCCGCCGGCGTACTCGAGCAGCACGACCTGGTGGTCCACCACGTCATTGTCGGCCTCGTACACGCACCGGCCGTAGGGGCCCGACTCGAGCCGCGCCTGGACGTTGGGATACGTCACGTCGGCATCGTGCATGACCTTTTTAGACCACTGCAGGTGGTTTGTCAATAAACAGGAATGAGGAGGGAGGGAGGGGAGCGCACGTACGTTCAGACGACGGCCCGACGCCGTGGCCGGGTCGAATGCGTCGAGGTAGATCTTCTTGGCGCTCCACACACACTCGTCCTGGGCCGGACACTGGAGGCATCGGGTGGCGGCGCCCGCTGCGGCCGGCTTGTTCTTCTGGTTGAAGTGCGCCAGTGAGCCAAACGACGACACGCGCCTGACAGGCAGGCCAGAGAGGTAGAACGAGAGCACGTCGAGGTCGCTGCGCGTGGGTCGGTGGTCAGTCTCGGGGCTGGTGTGGCAGCGCCACGCCCCCCTCCACTCACTGGCAGCACTTTGTCAGGAGGGAAAACGAGCTTGTGGCCTCGCGTCCCCAGTTCCCACGGACGTAGCTGTGTGCGAAATGCTCGTTGCCCACGGGGTTCATGTGCTGGATGTTGATAATGTCGCCGAGTGCGCCCGAGTCGATCACCTGCTTGACGAGCCGCGAATAGTTGGAGTACCGGAGCACATGGCCAACGGTGAAGATGACGCCCGCGGCAGACACCTGGCGCACCATGCGCACGCAGTCGGCGACGCTCGTCGCCATGGGCTTTTCGCACAGGATGTGGTACCCCAGCTGCGCAAACGCCGCGACGACGGGCGAATGCATCTGGTCAAGGACAGCGACGATCACCGCGTCGGCAAACTTGGGCCGGGCGGCGACCTGCGTCCAGTCTGAAAACAGCTGGTCGGGCGTGAGCCTGCGGCGGGTGAGCAGCGGCCTGCAGCACACTATGGCAGAACGACGTACCGGTGCGACCTGGCGAATATCTTGCGCCGTACCTCCCGCGGGTCCGCGACGGCCACGACCCGCGCCTTGTCCGGGTGCAGCAGCGCGTAGTTTGCGTAGATGACACCGCGCTGTCCGCCGCCAAGGATGATGAGCGTCGTGGGCTTGTCGTCGCTGATGGTAACAGTCATTCTGGGTGATGAGTGTGTATGTGTCCAAGTCGAGTGTCCAACTGGGGAAATGGGGGAGCTTGGTGATGACAAAAGCACCACCTCAAGGTCATGGGAAGCGCTACGCATCAGTTCGCCCCCAAGGGTGCGACGAGAAGCACGACATCACATCAGAAGGGGTAGGATGAGACGATCATATTGTGATGGTCAATGTGGGGCCGGGTACACGGCGCCTGTCTCTGCATCAATGTTTCCATGGTGCCAGTTTTGGCGCAAGAACCATGGCCGTGCATGTCGGTGCATAATGATACCACCAGCTCACCGCCTCGCACCGGTGGGGCTATCGGGATGCTCGGCATCCTCGAGCCGACCACCATGGTACGTGAGCATCTCGTCCTGCTGCATGAGTGCAAACTGGCGGTGCTGGGCCGCCGGTGCGCCCGGACGACCAAACACCTCGCTGGCCTCGGTCTCGGCGCGGCCGCCACCGACATGCGTGTCGGTAAACTCGCCCCCGTGGTGGTGGGCTTGGGCCTGGGCAAACGACGCGTCGGACACGTAGCTGTCGTCGTCGACAAACTCGAACCCTTGCATCTGGGCAATGTGCTGGGCGCCGCCGAGGCCGCTGCCGCCCATGGTCGTGTCGTCGAAACTGTCGCCGTCGTCGCTGTCGCTGTCCTCGTCGTCGCCAATCACGCGGCCGGGCTCGTCCTCGGTCGTCTGGATGTCAGACCCAAAGGACGTGTTGGCCACCGACCGCCGGGGCGCACGCGGGCGTACTGCGGGCTCGGCGTCGCTGGCGACACTCGTGTCGAACAGGCGGCGGCCGGGTCCCAGGTCCGACGGAAGGATACTGTATCGTCCCAAGCCCTCGGGCGTGGGCAGGCGCGGAGATGGCTCGTACCCGCGTGTAATCTCCTCGAGGAGGTCGCCGATCTGCTTATCGTCTGAGCCGAAACCCAAGCCCAAGCCCGAGCCCGAGGCGGACGCGCTTGAGGCGGCAGCGGCGGCGAGACGAGGAGGAGGGACCTTTGCGGGCGTGCGCGCCAGGTCAGTCATGGCCTGGGCTCGCGGAGGCAGCGGGAAGCTCATGGTCACCGGCGGGGACATTGGGAAATCAAACTCGTCGTCTTCATCAAAGATGTTGCGCGGGGCAGGGGCAGGGATGGATGCCGAGGACGTAGAGGGGCCACCGACGGGGGCATGGGTGGCGGCAAAGACGGAGGTGGCCTTTGGAGTCGGACGCATGTACTTTGCGTTCAGAGGCGTGGCTGTCAGGTCGATAAGATGTGTGCTTGGGCGGGGACGTGCCGGGGAAGCAAACCTGGCGGGTGCACGGGGTGTGGGCAGATCGCTGTCGTCGTCGTCAAACACGTTGGACGGCTGCGCCGGCGCGCGCGTGGGTACTGGTGCCGGAGCCGGCGCGGGCACTGGGGGTTGACGAGGCTGGGCAGCAATGGACGCCTGTAGACGCGACGTGAAGCTCGGCAGTTCGTTGGGGTCCACGGTGCCCGTGCTCGCGTCGTAGTTGTACTCGTCGGCAGGGAGCGGCGAGTATCCACTTGGCAGTGACGGTGTGGGCATCTCGCTCGAGTCGTCGTTGCCAATCCGCAGCGCGCCCAGTTGGGTGTCGACACGGTCAAACGGCGAGCCAATGCTCGACTCCCAGCTGTCGTTGGCCTTGCGCGGCAAGGGTGTCGACGATGTGGCTGGGTCAAACGCAAACGACCCCTCTGGGAGCGTCATGGTGTGCTCGTCAATCACACTGGGCTCGGCAAACGAGTTTGTAAAGGACGGTCCTTCGTCGGCGGTACCGCTTGCGCGTGCAAAGAAGGTGGCCCAGAATGCAGCGGCATCACGGGTCGGACGATCGTCGAGACTAAACTTCTTAATGTCGGGGAGGATACGGCTGGTGACGATCTGGTGGAACTTTGCAAAGTTGGCATCAATCTCTTGAAGCAGGAGAGTGTTGAGCTGGTCGATCTGTTCCATCTGTGCCGAGACGGATGACGACGAGCTGACGCCCGGGATCGTGAAGAATGGAGGTTGAAGCAGGATGGCCTGGTGGGGGTTCCCCTGGGGGCCCGACGATGCCATGGTGTGAATAGACGGGGAGAGTGAGAAGAGTGCAGAGTCGCGCGTATGGGTCGATTTGTTGTTGTCAAACGACGATGGCGGCTTGAACGCGTCGGTGAGTCCACGTGGTTTGTAAAATGGGTGGATTGGATAAAAAGATTAACTCTGGGCGGCGTTCCTTGTTGCAGCCATGGCGAGCGAGGAGACAAAGCCGGTGTTCAATCGCTGTCGTCTGCCTCTCTCCATTGTCCTTGTGCAGTCATCAAACACCACTCAACTCCATCACACCTCCTCTCCCTCGCTCCATCGTCGTAGAGCGGACGACACTTCCCACATCCGTCGGCACCCTGTACAAATTGTCGGCCATGGCCCAGCTCCCATCGGTGGACACCGACTCGTCCATGTGCAGTCACCTGCGGCAGCTCGTCGAGCGGCGCCGGACTCCATCGGGGGTCAAGACCGAGCCGGGCGAGACAGCGAGCTCGGGCAGCCGTGCGCTGGAGAAACGGTATACCAGCGTGGTACAATGGGGGGCGATGGACCAGGGCATCAAGCGGCGTAAAGTGAGTGCAGTGCACCACCATGGGCTTTTACCGAGGTGGCGGCGGCCCAGCGGTGCTGGTGGTGGTCAGCCCAACACCGGCATTGGCTTAGCTTCCGAATATGCTCCTGCGGTGGGACAGATCTCTTGTCACACAGCCCGACGCAAACGCAAATTAACAAAGCGGGGACAGGGTGACGAAGGACTGTTGACTGACGCTGTTCCAGACTGCTCCACCTGCATGCCACTCTTGTTCAGCATCGCTCGCGCGCCCCTGGGCATGCCTGACGTGTGACTTTATCGGCTGTCCACCGTTCAGTGCCAGCTCGAGCTCGCAGGCGCGTGACTGCCTCTTGAGCCACTTTGCCGATTCCACTCGCTGCGAGTTTGGTGAGTAGACCGACGGTGGGGCGAGGGTGGTGGTGGCCATATGCCATGCGCATCTCGGTGGTGGCCGAACACCAGTTTACCCCGCGCCGCCGCCGCGGCGAAAGTCTTTCCCCTCCACTGACACGAGTCCACAGCCGTCGACCCCACCACGGGAGCCATCTTCTGCTCTGAATGCGACGACTGTATCTATCCCGACTCGTTCGAGGCGCTGTTCCGCACCACGTGTATCCGCATCGAGGAGGAATACGACCAGAGCCGCGAGGGCAGCCTGCTCGGCGGTGGCCGGGGCCGCGGCCGTGGGCACTGGCGGCCATGGGACGGCGAGCCCGCAGTGGACATGGTCAAGTCTGCATGCCGCGGTGAGTGGAACAGCATGATCTGCTGCGTGTATAATGCTGACTTGTTAGGCCTCCGCCCGCTTCTCAACCTCTCTCAGACGTGTTTCCTCAGCGCCATCCTACAGGCGCTGGTGCACAACCCGTTGCTCAAGGCGTACTTTTTGTCGGATAAGCACAACCGGCACGTGTGCCCCGGTGCGCGCGGTCTGGCTGTTGGCAAGCCGTCGCTCGGCGAGACTCCGGCCGGCACGCCGGCCGGCACGCCCGGCGACCGCGAGCGCGGCTGCATGTGCTGCGAGATGGACCGGGCGTTTGACGAGTTTTATTCCGACGACACCACACCCTTTGGGCCCATTACGATGCTGTATGCCATGTGGCACGCGTCGTCGGAACTCGAGGGCCACGGGCAGCAGGACGCGCACGCGTTCTTCCTCGCGGCCCTGGAACAGATCCACCAGCACGCAAAGGGCCAGCTGTCGAGCTGCAACTGTATTGCGCACCAGACGTTTTCCGGGTCGCTCGTCTCGGCCGTGACGTGCACAAAGTGCGGGGCGTCAAACACCACCGTCGACCCGACGCTCGACATCCAGCTCGACTTCCCGCCCGTGGACGGCGCGCCCATCACGCTCGCGACGCTGCTGCGCCGCTTCTGCGCCGAGGAGCGCCTCGACCACGGGTCAAAGGGGTACGAGTGCGGCAGCTGTGGCGGCGGCAAGGGCAACGTCGCCACGAGGAAGATGAGCATCAAAAAGCTGCCGCCGGTCCTGGCGTTCCAGCTCAAGGTGGGTGGCGTGGAGGGTGACGGAAGGAGACAGGTGGCACGTACTAACCCTTCCACAGCGCTTTGCGCACAACTCGACGTCGTCCAAGGTCGAGACACCCGTCAAGTTCCCCTCCCACCTCAACATGAAACCGTACGTCGAGCCCAGTGCGGGGCCGGCATCCAAGGCGCCCAGCGTCGCGGGCTCGAACGCGCCGCCGTCGCGCGCGTCGCCCGACACCACCACCACCGCGTCGCCCACCAACGAAGACACCCTCCCGTCCAGTCTGTACATGTACGACCTGTTTGCCGTGGTCACGCACGAGGGCAAACTCGACAACGGGCACTACTGGGCGGACGTGCGCGACGGCGACGAGTGGTGGCACTGCGACGACGACAAGGTCACGCCCACGACGCTGGGGAACGCGCTCCGGCAAAAGGCCTACATGCTCTTCTATGTGCGTCGGAGCCTCGCGTACGGCCAGCCGATGAGTAAGCTGTTGGCGGCCAATGGCGCCGGCGGGGGTGCGGGCGGTGCGGGCGGTGGTGGCGGTGGTGGTGGTGGTGGTGCGGGCGCGGGCAAGACGGTGAATGGCGGCGGGGCCAACGGCTCGTAACGTGTGTGTGTGTGCTTTTTTACGACGAGAGAGAGGCCGAGAGACCGAGGACACGGGTTTTGTCATGTTTTTTGTATTGTCCCATTCTTTTGTCATCTGCGGATCCTATGCATGGTTGATGCTTTGCATACAGGCTGGCCAGGATGTATAGGTACAAAACGGGTCCGGCCGTGGAGTGGATTGCAAGTGGGGGATGAAGTGGGATGGGACGGAGGTGTGGGGTGGGATACAAGGGAGGAGCGGCGGGAGATTGCAGAAGATTGTTTACACGCAGAACGATTTTACTTTTTTTTGTGGCAGCGCCAAAGAGGGGAGATATGTGTACAGCGCAACAAGGTTTCGCGCCGTCGGTATTGGGGATTCGGGGTTTGGGCCGAGTCCGAGTCACATGACGGCGCATAGCGGGACAGTAGATGTGGGAGCACAAGTGCGGTGGTGGTGGTGGACAGGTGCAAGTGTTGACACGAAGGGAACATGGTCGACAATAACGGGTAATGGGGTGGGTGGGTTGTCGGTGGCGGGAGTGGGGGTATTTCCGGAAACGATGCTCTGCTGCGAAAGGTGTGGTTCTTAGTTTTTGACAAAGAGGCTCGGTTGGAGCACGTTTGAGACCCTGCGAGCCACTGGGACACAGTGTTGAAACAGTTGGTGGGTATGGTCGGGAGACTACGACCAGATGGACTTGCCGGTCGAAAAGTCAATGGTGGTGGTGGGCTGCGCGCCCCAGTCGGCCGTGAGCGTGGCGGGCAGGAGACCGAGGTGGGAGAAACTTGAAGTTGGTTTACTGGTGCGGGCGGGGGAACATCCCATGTCCACGTCGAAAGCGTGCTCGTGCTCGTACAGGTTTGACGGCAGCGCGAAGTGCGAGGAAGACGGGGCATAACCCTGCTCACGCTTATCCTCACGCCCATGCTCACGCCCACCGCCACCGCCCGTCGACATGGCCGAGAACCGGCCCAAGTTCTCGCGGACGAGCTCGTACAGCTCGGCGTCTGTCAGGTGCTCGAATCCCGTGCGGGCGTTGGGACTGGCGGAAGCATGGTGGTGGCCAGTGGTGGTGGCCTGGGCGGACGCCGGGGAGAGCGTGCTCGGCGGCGTGGTGGAACTGCGCCTGCTGTGGCTGGTCGACCAGCCCGGCTCGCCATCGCCAAAGTCGCACAGGTCGAGGATGGCAGGGAACGAGGACGCGGGGAGTTGCGGGGTGGTGGTAGCGGAGAACCCACTGGCACTTGCATGGTCGCGCTCGCGCTCGCGCTCGCGCTCACGACGGAAGCGGCCGCGTTCCGCGCCGATGGGCTCAATCGTGCCCGTGCCCGTGTCCGACGATAACGACTGCGCGGTGCGCGTGCCCATGCTGCGCTCCTCTTCTGCGACTGGCGCGAGGAGGTTGAAGGGCACAGAGGGGCGGCGCGAGCCTGGTCGCGAGGAGGGTGGCACAGGGTGGTGGGCCGAGGGGTGGACGGTGAGCACGTCTGCGGGGGCGTTACGGCCCGGCGAGTCGATGACGAAGGGAGGGTTCTTTGGGGCGACGAGGTCGTGGTCGTGCCCGGCGGCATGGCCATGTTCAGGGACAGAGCCTGGATGTGGTCAGCTTCAGCTTTGTACATGCCCTGTGCAGCGGCCAGCGGAGCACTCACGCTGGTTACCACGCCAGTTGCTCGGCTCACGGGGTGCTACCTGACGAGGCTCGGGGAACGAACCTGACATGCGGTGGTGGCCACGAAAGGTGGTGTTCAGTGGGCGAGAGAGGTTTGGCAGGGATCCTGAGAGTTTAGAGCCACGACAACATTGGGGAAACTCACCTCTGCGCTGTCCGCCATTCTGGAGCTCATAGCGCCCGTGCATCGCCATGTCGCTGCCTGGGTGGTGGTGGCGAGGAGGCTGAGGCTGCTGGCGCAGGTCCCACTCGGACCGCGAATGCGTGAGCCTGCCAGGCGCATACCCGTGGCCATACCCATGTCCGAAGCGCGCCGGCGAGGGCTGACGCGAGACCGGCGTGTCGGGCAGGCGGTCGAAGGGAGTGGCCGGCGGCGTGCGCGTGGATCCCGACAGCGACAAGGCCGGTGACGGCAGCGGCCTCGCGTGGTTTGGCGCAAAACGGGGAGCGACACCATGAGCTGCGGGCACCGTGGGCACGACCGTGCCGAGGGGCACCTTGACCGCGGCCCAGGTGGCCAGACGCAGCCAGAAGCGTTCTGGGATACCGCAGCCGTCCTTGTTGCCTGGCTGGAGGGTGAGTGCTGGCGCGGTGACGTCGGGTTTGCCACACTCGGCGAGGATCGTGCCCATCATGACTTTGGGGTTGGTCTTCATAAGACTGTGCAGCATGGGTGCGTATTCTGACGCGGCGACGGTGGCGGGGTTGACGCCTGGGCCGGCATACACCGTGATGGGGTGCGGATAGTCGGCGTTGTATGGGGTGGGCAGCGCAAGTTGGTCCTCGGAGTACTGGGGCGCAGTGAGGGGGAAGGGCTTGGTCTCTGGCAGGCCTGCAGTGGGGACTGGCAAGTTGGCGCCAATGTATGCAGGGCGGCGGCGCTGGGGCTCTGGGTCCGTGAGCATGGATGCCGGGGTAGACGACCATCTGTCGGTGAGGCCGAGGAGCTTGGGGAACAGATTCGAGGTGTGTGCCGCTGGTGTGTGTCAGTGCCACAATCCCAGTGTCTCTGCTGCCACTTACCGTTCTTTTGGTCATCCCACGCACGGCCTGTAGCAAGCGTGCTCGTGTCTCCAAAGTGCCGGGTGATATTGTCGGCATGGGGCTGGGGCTGACGGCGCTGTGACGATCCCTGGGGCACGAAGTGGGATGGCTGCGGCCAGTCGTCGGAGCCAAACGAGGTTGAGGGAGGCTCGGAGCACAACGAGGGGTCGGTTGAGGTGAGGTGGCGATCGGTGACTGAACCAGCTCCATGGAGTCCCCAGGGGGTCTCCTGCGTGCTGCCACGGTGGTCGGCGTCGGCGGCGTTGGTACTCGCGTCCAAAGGGCCATGCTGGGCGGACGCACGGGCACGGGCGCGTGCTGCGGATGGGCTTAGCAAAAGGGTCCACCGGGGGTAGCATTAGGTACACCTACCTTTGGCATATGCGGCTCCGCTCCGACGACCACGACGACGCGTCCGACGCTTGGGGCCCAGACGGTTTGGCGGGCTGGGTAACGAGGTGCTCATCTCACCCGCCCGGGGCGTCTTGCCGGGGACCTTCTTGGGAGGTGAGTCACCCATGAACATATTGTTGGGCCTGGGTGGACGATGACGGCGATGTTTGTTGGGACTTGGCATGCTTGGTGTGAGAGGTGGATGCAGGGAGGAAGGTGCAAGGTGCGACAGAGGGGGTGGTCAAGACAGCGGCAGTGTAGGGGGGAGTGAGTGGGCGGCTGTGAGGAGCTGGCCTGGCTGGTGAGGAGGATACGAAAGGAGGGAGGAAGTGAAGGCGGGAGCTGAGGAGTCGAAGAGTCGAACCGTGGACAGACAGTGTGGGCGATGAATTGAGTGAGGGTGGTGGTAGAGAGAGAGAGAGGAGGGGAGCGGGTGAAGAGGATGAGTGAGGGAGTGAGGGAGAGAGAGAGAGAGAGAGAGAGTGGATGAGTGAAGAAGAAGAAGGAGGAGGAGGAGGAAGAACCGCCAGGCAGTGTTTGTATCTTGGTGCTTTCTGGTCGGCGACGATCGTCTCTCCTGCTCTCGCCATCCTTTTGGCGCTGTGCGCGCGCGCGCGCGGGGTGTGTGTGTGTGTGTGTGTCCATCGGTCCATGCCGCACGATGTGCTGGACTAACCCCGTGCAGCATGTGTGTGCGACACGACCAGCCTCTGATCCTCTGACGATCCTTTTGGCCCGTGGGCAACCTGTCCGAAAGAGAGCTGAAGAGAGTGGGAGAGAGAGTGAATGCCCCAGATCCACCACGAGTACCATGTCCAGAGAATGCGACAAGACACGCTCGGTGCACACTGCTGCGAGTCAATCCACACTCACGCGAAACTTCTGGGTCGTTTGATGACAGCACCGAGAAGATGCCAGTTTACAACAACAGCCTCCCAAGCCCCCCCGCGGGTCATCGGCCTCCTTTGACTCTTAAAGGACCAGACAAGTCGTCCGTTGACCCCCCGCCGCCGGCAAAGCACGAGCCCGCACGGATAAGAGAGAGAGAGAGAGAGACCCCTGCCGGGACGGAGCCTGCCCAGCTGAGGGGGGGAGGGGGCGACGGGGGTATGCTATGCACTGTCCCTCGGGGTGTATACCAGGAAGAGCACCTGCGTGGTTGTTTCCCGCTGTTGAGGCCCGGTTGCTGGGGTTTGCTGGGGTTTTGCTGGCCGTCGGCGGCGGCGGCGTTTGCAAAGAAGAAAGAAGAGAAGATTAGTGTGCGAGGGCGTTGAGGACGATCAAACAAAGAAGCAGGAGGCCCGGGGCGGTCAGTGGCCAGTGGGGGGTCATCAGTGGATCATTTTTTTCACACGGGCACATACGCACCAGCCCGTCAGACGCACAAACAGCACGACACAAGAGAGAGCGCCCAACAAAGAGTACAAGAGCGAGGGTGGTCTCGAGGTGGTGGGGGGTGCAAAGGACGCAAAGGATGCAAAGGACGCAACAAGGGCAAGCATGTCGATCTCTTGTCTTGCAAATATACCCCCGTCCACGCCCACGCCCCAGGAGGGGGGGGCCCAAGCGACTGCCCGCCCATTCCTTCGATTGCAACGACGTCATAGGGAAGCACACAAGAGGGTAGGGTCACAGAGCACACTCATGGGCTGTTAGTGCATGTAGTGGTCTCTGTGCACTAGCAGGTTGTTACACGATCGCATTCACCGTAGCCTCACTTATATCACTTGCATTGTGCACAGGCGCGCACACGTTGGCCAGAAGAGAGACCAGAGATGACGAGATGACGAGGGAGCCCTTGGCCGGCGGGTGTGTGTTTATAGCTTGCAAACTCAGGCTGACTCAGGGCGCGGGGGCTCTGGGCGTGCGCCGGGTGGGTGCTGTTTTGGGCACTGGGCGGGTTCGCTTGGCGTGTGGGGGGGAGTTCATATGGCCGGCCGCGCGCGTCCAAACGTGCATTACTGTAATGCGCGTTTTATTACGCGCGCACAAAGGAGGCAGTGCAGATTGGCTGGAACCGCGACGGCTTGGGGAGAGGAGAGGGGGGGGGGCCTCTCGATCCGGGGCTGAGCATTAAAGCGTCCCGATGCAAAAGTGGTGACTTGTTCTCCCCCCACATCTCTCTTCCTCTTAACCCCTCACCTCCCTCCTTCCAACAAATCGCATCACAATGGGTTGGTTCAGCCACGACGACGAGGACGAGGTAAGCTGCTCCCCCCCACACCCACCCATCTATCTCAGCTTTCACCGCTTACGTCTCCAGCGCAACGCCTACCAGCAGGTCCAGAACGCTCCCCACCAGTCTTCGCTCAGTGAGTAGTCAAACGCAGAAAGAAACGTGGGCAAACGAGGCAACCAAAGCAGGCCAGCGCTCGCGAGCCGGACCATACCTTACCTTCACCCCCCGTGCCCACTGCTCGCATCCACTGACACGGTCCCCAGGCCACGAGCTCATTGCCGGTGCCGCGTCGTTTGCCGCCATGAAGGCCTACCAGGACCACCAGGAGGCCAACGGGTACGTCGGAGGCGAACAGCCACAGCAATGGCAAGCACAACACCGTCCGCTGACACGCGCTTTCTTCACAGCAAGCCCCAGAGCTTTGAGCTCGGCAAGGACCTCATCGCCGCCTTTGCTGGTGCCGAGGTCGACAAGCTCATGTGAGTGGCTCCCTCCCCCCTCCCTTACTCCTTCCTCCCTGCACCTAATTGGAGCTGTGGCCCCAATTCCATTGTACCATTGTCCATTGATCTCACTTTCCACTTGCCGTGGCTTGGAATGTGTGCATGTGTGGCATGCAGCGGGCGGGCACGTCGGGATTGGGGTGTCGGCGTCGGTGTGGCTCGGTGACGTCGTTGCGGGGCGTTCTGGCGTACACTAGAGGCCGCAGCCTTCCCATTGTGATATACACCCCTCCACACCCCCCCTCCCCCCCACACACACCCCACTGACACACTCCAGCGAGACCAAGGGCCTCGACGCCGTCGACGCCCAGCGCGCCAAGCACCAGGCGCAGGAGCAGGCCAAGCAGGCCCTCGCCAACTCGCAGCAGTTTGGCCAGCAGCAGTACCAGCAGCAGCAGTACGGCGGCGGTGGTGGTGGCGGCTACGGTGGTGGCTACCAGCAGCAGGGCGGTGAGTAGCGAGTAGCGAGAGCTCTAGCTGGAACTTTGGCTGGAACTTTGGCTGGAACTTTGGCTGGAGCTTTGGCTGGAGCTTTGGCTGGAGCTTTGGCAAGAGCTTTGGCAAGAGCTCTGGCTGGAGCTCTGGCAAGAGCTTTAGCTCGAGGTGTAGCTGGCCTCAACATTGTTTTTGGCTTCAGCTTTTGGCCCGAGTTTCTTGCTTGACACTTTGGAACACGGCTGACGGCGGGTCATCAGGCTACGGCGGTCCCCAGGGCGGCTATGGTGGCCAGCAGGGCGGCTACGGCGGTCCCCAGGGCGGATTCGGTGGCCCCCAAGGCGGCTACGGCGGCCAGCAGGGCGGATACGAGGGCGAGCGCCGTGGCGGTTACGAGCACGAGGGCCGTGGTGGCTACGAGCACGAGGGCCGCCGCGAGGAGCGTCGCGAGCACGAGGGCCGTCACCACCACGAGGAGCGCCGCGATGAGGGCCGCTGGTAGATGGCAGCTGGGGCCTCCTGGCCAGCTGGCCAGGGCTGGCTTGACCCGCCCCAGACGAAACAAAAACGAGAGGTCGGGGAAATGTCGCGAGAGAGAGGAGTTTTAACAGCAGATGAAAGTAGTCTATGCGGACTGCACGGGGGACGCGTACAGGCGAGACATGGACTGAACCGATCGGACTGAAGAGGACAGGACGCAGGGGGTGTGAGCAAGAAGAAGCCGTCGCGAGGTCGCGACTCGAGCTTGACCGGACGCGCGACTTTTGCACCCCGCTCCTCTCCTACTGATCCATCCATCGATCTTTGACGTGTCGTCTGTTTGTTCTCTAGATTCTCCGGAACCGTAATCTCCACGACCAAACGTCGCAGAATCGGCTTGGGCAGGGTTTCCTATGCGCAGTCGCGCACGTCTAGCGAACCCTTATCGCCCTATGGGCATGTTACGAGAATAGAACAAGCTTAGAGGCGGTAAGCATGGGCATCGAGGGGTGGCCGAACACGCGTGGAAGCTGGCCGCTGGGCTAGCTCATGGTTTTACGTGGACGGAATGTACTGTACGCCAAACAGCTCGATTCATGTTCTATCATTTAGTGGCACTACCAAGACTATGTATGTGTCCAAAGCATCTCGCCACACTGTGTCTCTCTCCGCTTCTCTCTCCCTGTCTCTCTGTGTCCATATCTACGTCTACCTCATCCACCTCGTCCACCTTACCCCTGGTCCCCACCCTTACTTGCCCTTGCCCTTGTCCACACCCACACTCGTCCGCGCCGCGTCTGCAGGCGACGCAAACGTCTCGGCGAGGATGAACGCGGCAAAGTTGGCGTCGGTCCAGTAGTTTCCGTGCGCGGTCACCATGTCGAGGTAGTCGTTGACCGCAGACGTGGGCAGGGAGAAATCAATACTCCCACGCGGGTTGAGCGCGGCGAACCGCCGCTCGCCGCGCGTTCCCGCCAGCTGGGCCGGCTCGCCGCCCGTGAGCTCGATCCCGGTGTCGGCATCGGCATCGGCACCGCCAGCGTCCTTGAGCTGCTTGCCCTTGCCGCCGCTGCCGCTGCTTCCACTGCTGCCGCCAAAGTACGACGGCAGGTACTGCGCCAGATCGGGCATCTGGGGCATCTGCGGCATCTGCGGCATCTGGGGCAAAGCGGGAAGCGGGGGCAGAGACGGGAAGCTGGATTTGGCGACCGAGGGAATGTCCAGTGGCGGACGGGTCTTGGCGACCGCGACGTCGACGGTGGGGTTGAGCGCGTACGCGACCGGGTCGGTGGTGTAGAACACGTTGTACAGGCTGGGTGTCATGTTAGCTGCTGCCGTCTCACATGACAATTTATCAGCTCACCAGTCCACGGCCAGGCAGCCAAACTTGCCCGAATGCTGGTGCGCCTCGTCCCGTGGCGACTCTGCGGTCTGTTAGCTGCTGCCACACTTTTTCTTCGTTTTGGACGCACTCATCGTCCGCACCCGCCCGCTGCGCGCGAGCAGGTGGCTGTGCCGCAGCTTGAGGAAGATGGCCAGCGGGCTGCCGGCGAGGTAGCAGTTGTGCGTGTTGAACACGAAACGGTCCTTGGCTTCGTCGATCACCTGGCGGGGCATGTCGACCGAGGCCGGCACGGAGGTGGGCTGGTTGGACAGAATCTCAGTGGCGAGCGCCGAGCCGAGCGAGTGGCCGATAATGTGCACGCGGCCGCCGCGCTTCTCAAAGTCGGGGTTGCGCGCAATCCACAGACGGTACAGCTTGTTGGCCTGCTCGCAGACGGCGCGGGTCATGTGCTTTTTCTCGTCGGACATGAACAGAGGGATGTCGAGCAGGACCGAGTTGGTGACCTCGCGCACGTACGGGATCGACTTGCCGATGGTGACGTCTGAAATGGTGAAAATGTTGTCATGCTCAAACTCTGCGTTTTCATTTTGCGACTCGGTGTCGAGGTGCAGGTTGGCGCGCCACTGGACAGGCAGGATCTGGGCGCGCCGGTCGCGCATGATGGACGCGAGCGCCGGGTCGAGCGACTGCTTGCGCATGCCCTGGCGCAGCTGGTTGCTGTTGTAGACAAAGTTGAACGACTCGTACTGTGTGGCCAGGTTTTGTCCGATGCCGTGGATGACGAGGATGAGGTCGGTGCATGGCACGTCGTCAAAGCGCGTGTGCGTCACAGGTGCGTTGGCCTCTTCCAGAGCCCGCTTCTTGAGGTCAAACTCCTTCTTGACGCGCAGGAGGATCTCGGGCAACAGCTCGCCCTCGACCTTGACCTTGCCCTTTTTCTTGTCGTCCTTGGGGGTGGTGCTGGCGCCCGTGCTCGGCGTCTTGGCTCCAGTATCAGCCGTCACCTCGACGGGGTCGTCTGCATCCTGCTTGTCCTCGAGCGCCGCCGTGTCTAGCAACTTGGTCGACGCCTTGGCCTCTTTGCTACCGGCCTGCGCGGCGGCATATCCACGGTACACATAGGTGCCACTGGGCTTGCTGCCAAACGACGAATACACGTATCGCGACATGTAATCGAACGCTCCAGACCTGGGGTTCTTTCAGCACACAGCCCGCTCCTCACACTCACGCAACAACGCGGCACCGGTTCTCCGTCTCGTAGATGACTGCGAGTCCCTGCCCGAACCGGGTTGGCAGCGGGTACTTGAGCGTCTCTTCCGCCGACGGGCCGAGGATGGCCGCTGCGGCCAGCTTGTGCTGGTACTCGTCCAGCCACGGCTTGGTCGCTCTGTCTCCGTCAGCTGCATTCCATCGCAATGACATCAGCTCACTGGTATCCATTCTCAATCTCCCGCGCCAGGTCCCACGTACACGGCCGCGTCTCGGCGCCCATGTACCACGTCCCGCGCATGACGGGGATGCGCGGGCCCGTCTGCGGCCAGAACACCGGGTGCAGCGAGAGCGTGTCCAGGTCGACCTCGAAGAGCGAGTCCTGCCATTGCCATCAGCCATCAGTCTGATGCGTCTTTGGCGGGTTTCGCCACCCACCTGCGCAACGGGCACACCGGCAACCGTGTCCAGGCGCGACGGGTCGCTCTGCGCCTGCTCGATGATGCTCCTGTACTGCTGCTTCTTGTCCACAGCCTCTGCATCCAGCGCCTCGGCGTCGGATGCGAGCACAGGCGTGTCTGGGCCCGCTAGAGCAGCCTCGACCGTGGCCTTGCCCTTGGTGGCCGTCTTGGAGTCGCCCTTGGCCTTGGCCTTGTCCTTGTCCTTGACGTCCTTCTTCTTGGGCGCCGGCTTGAGCTTTTGCCCCCACTCGCCATCCTCGAGGCCCCAGTGCGCCACGATACGCTGCCGCTTGTCATCTGGCATCGCGTTCCAGCTCGCCTCGATGCGCGCGTTCTCGTCCGCAGAGAAGGGCTTGTACGGCTGCGTCTCATTGGCTGGGATGGGAACAATTGGCAGGTCGAGCAGCTTGGAGCCCGTATGCACCCAGCGGAAATCGAGCTCGGGAGGCGCCGTCAGTACCCTCGGCGCATCGCCGGTAGCGTCGCTGGCCATGGTGGTGGTCATGGTGGTTGGGGACGTGTGAAGATTGCGCGTCGTTGGGATGATAGACAGATAGTTGACCAGATGGTGGTGGTTCCGGTAACCCTGGTACCTAGCCGCCCGGGTTGTTGCTGATGATCGCCTCAAGGTTCCACGCGATATGGACCGAACAATGGGGTTCAGTGATGACCGTGTCGCCAGTAAGCGTCCTGCCGTGGTCATGACCTGAAGCGTGGTGATGCGTGTGAAGATGCGTGTGAAGATGCGTGTGAGGTAGAGAATGCGAGAATTGAGGTGTCGACGCCGGCAACGGACTCTCGGTTGTTTGTTGACGGGACTGACGTCAGGTCGGCGGCAGAACCTTCGACGGCGCCCGGGCATCGTTAGGGATGGCCAGGCGGGGTATGGCCAGGCCCTAGACCTAACTTGGTCATTTCTGCATGTCTCTCAGTCTCTCTCTGTCTCATATATGTCTCTCTATCTACACTAGAATACAGTACACGCCCGGGAGGCCACTCTCCATGAATCACCTGTGGTGACGGCGCTGGCGACGGCCCGAACCGCCGCCCATCGAAGACTTGATGCCGCCAAAGTGCTTGAACCCGCGGCCAGGTCCTTCCTCGGACTGCGCAGGGTGCAGGGCGAGGTGCTTGTCAGTGTACTGTGAATGTCAGCTGGGGAAGGCGATCCTTCTGGTAGCGGCACATACGTCCGAGAACGCCTCCAGTTGACGAAGCAGGGTGGTGAGGTAGTCGGTGAGCTGCACGTCGTTGTATTCCGTCGACAGCTCGGCCTTGAACTCGGTGGCGTCCATGACTGGCAGAGTCGCGACGAGCGCCGCGATCTGTCGCAGAATGTCGTGGTCGACAGTAGCGGTGCCTGCAAGAGGTCAGAGATATACCAGTCTGTCTACCTCACCATCAATAACGCCCGAGATGTACTTGACAAGCACGACGATACGGTTGTACAGCATGGCAATGGCGTTACGCTGCATGGTCAAGCTGCCGACCTCTGGCACGGTGGGTCAGCTCACACGACCATAGGTGCCTTAGCTGTAACTCACGGCCACTCGTGTCGCCATCGCCGCCGACCTCCTTGGTGATACCGTCCACGGCAATACGCTCCGCCTCGCCCGTCTCGACGCCGACCTCGAGCTGGACAAACTTGCCGTCCCCGTCGGCGCCCTCGGTCAGCGCCGACTCGTACACCGTAAAGGGGAGCGCCTGCGCGTCCTCGGGAATGTCGGGGTTGAAGAGCACGAACACGCCCGGGCCGGCGTCGCTGGCGACCACCTGGGCATGGATGGCCACGTCCTGCGCAGTGGGCGTGCTGCCGACCGAGTACCATCCCACAACGCTCTGCGTGGGGAAGACCTGCGAGACTGGGACGTGTCAGAAGTGTCTGGTGTCGGGCCACTTACACTGCTCGCGACGCGTGGTAAAGAATTCCTCGTCCAGCTTGATATCGTGGTTGTCAAAGTACACGAGCTCGAACGAGTTGACAATCGACACCTCGCGACCTGTCTGCTGGCCGAGGAGCACGCCAACGACTGTTGTTGGTGTTAGATCGGCAGCCACCAAACCAACTCACGCTTAGGGTCCTTCTCGATGGACGTGAGCTTGGAGCGTGTGTAGTGGTCTGAAATGTTCAGGATGGCCAGAGGGTGACTGCAGAGGGCTGTCAGCAGAGAGGGGAGGACAGAGGTCAAAGACCGTGGCGTACAGGTTGATGGCGAGGCCAGAGTTGGCGCCTTCGGCGACAACGACGCTCGAGGTGGCCATTTCGGGTTCCATTGTCGCTGTACGCGCCTGGGATCCTGGGAGGGAGACTGGGTGAACGACACAGCAAGGAGGATGCTCGATGGTGATGATGACACCGTCAACCTCCACACTCGGCGCGTTTGGTTCCGTCAACCTCCACCACCACCAGTACATGAGATTTGACCACAACCATCTCTCTGTCTGCAACAGCACCATACCATGGCCGAGCACTTTACCCAGGCCAGCGAGTGGCTCGTCTCCACTCCCGCAGCCGCGTCGCTGTCCACCGAGACAAAACTCGAGGTACGTCCCTCCCTCCTCCGCGGAGCTCCAAGACTCACCGCGTAGCTGTACGGCCTGTTCAAGTTTGCCAACTCTGGTTCTGGCCCGTGGGTGAACCCCGTCGCCGCAAGGGCACACTGAAGTATACAATACTAACTCCTGATGAAGGACGACACCCAGGCCGGGCATGTTTGCGTTCGAAGCCAAGGCCAAGTACGACGCGTGGACACGCGTTGCTGCCGAGTACGCCGGCCGCGAGCCTGACGCACGGGCGCGATACGTCGAGATTGCCCAGAGCGTCGGGTGGGATGAGGACGAGGGCGACGAGGGCAAGTCGGGTGGAGGTATCAGCCTTGGCCCGCCCATGAGCGTCATGGCTCACGAGGAGGAGGTGTCTGGCGGGTGAGTTCTGTCGCTACCTCTTGACGGTACACGGAACTGACAGCGACATGCAGTGAGAGCAGCCTCGTGCACGACGCTGCGTCCGACGGCGCGGTCAACGATCTCAAGGCGATCTTGCTTCTCGACCCCAGTCTTCTGGACTCCAAGGATGAGTTTGGGTTCACACCGCTGCACCTCGCGGCCGACCGGGGCCACGCCGACGCCGTTGCATTGTTGTTATCAAAGGGCGCCGACAAGACAATCTTGGATCCAGACGACCAGACAGCTTTGGAAATCGCCACCGTCTCTGGTCGCGATGATGTTGTTACACTTTTGGCATAAGCACACATTTTTATGTATGTACACAAATATAATGGCAAAAACAAAAACGCGCAAAGCATGCTTCTCTTTACTTCTTCCACCCGAAGAATCCCCTTAATGACCACGAGCCCTTGCTGCCCTTGGCCTCGTCCTCGGAAGTCGGCTTGACATCTTGTGCTTCGGGCTTGCCGGCTGCCGATGACGATGGCACCGCACGACGCTTGCCCGAACGCGCCCGCACGGGGGTCTCGCCTTCGGTCTCCTCGTCCTCGTCCTCCTCCTTGACCACTGGTTCCGGCTCGAGCTTGCGTTTGCGGGTACGGGTACCGAGGGCTGGAGGCGCTGCGACCTCGGGCGGCTCCTCGTCAACAGGAGGTTCAGCCTCATCCTCAACCATCGGCTCTCCGTCTGGCGCTGTTTCCATGCTGCGTGTCACCCGCCTCGTTGCAATGACAGGCGACCCAGAGGCCTTTGGCAACTTTGGCGCAGAAGGAGCTGGGGACGGCGGCTCAAGACTGGCGGCAGACTTGCGCGCCGAGCGGCGAATCGACGCAGTGTCGGGCTCCTTGAACGTGACGAGGCGCTTGGAAGGTGACGGCGTGAGCGTTGCCGGGTCAAGAGGCGGCACATCGATACTGGCCGTCGAAGCACGTTTACGGTGCCGAGTGGACCCCTGAGAGGACAGAAATCCGACGCCAGAGTGTATGGGTGTACCCTCCGGGTCGGGGGTACGGGCGAGGGTAAACGAGCCGATAGACGATCCGCGGCGGTGCCGGCGCCCCGAGGGCTGGGACGAGCCGGCGCGGAGAGGAGTACCCTCCCGCCAGTCTGGGTCGGGCGTGCGATTAGTTGACAGGCGGCGTTCACGCGTCGGCCTCTCCTCAATGACACCCTCGCTGGCAGAGAGGACAAAGATGTCCTCTTCGTTGAACACGGAAATGCCAAAGAGGCGGGAAGCCTTTTGGAAGATGACGGGCGTGAGGTGGAACGCGAGCGCGCGGCCTTCCTCAAACGCCTCGTCAAATGTGCCGACACCGAGGTCCTTGGCGTCTTCGGCACGAAGCTTGTCGGGGCCTGGCACGCAGCACTGCGGCACGAGGACGATCGCAGTGAGGTCGCCGTCGTCGATTTGGACCTTGCGCGGGTGGCAACGACTGCGAGTGGTCGGAGGTGAAATGTCGGAAGGGACGCTGAGTCGCGACTTGCGGGGTGCACGCTTGGTGGTTGGCTCAGCCGCCTGCGGTTCCTTGTCGAAATCCTCCACGGGGTGGTCTTTGGTGTTGTCGGTGTGCTCAACCGGTGGCTCAACCGTTGGCTCAACAGGTGACTCAACAGGTGGCTCGGGCTTGGTGTCGACCGGTGTTGGTGTGTTGCTCCCAGAGCTCTCAGAGGACTGAGGCTGCTCAGCGTCCGCCGGCGGACTGATTTCTTTATCCAGAGGCTGGTCGTCTTTAACAACTGGCGTCACCTCAGGCTCGCTGCGGTGGGCCTCGCGAGGGACCTCCGGTGGGGGCGGAGGGCGGGCCTTTCCGTGGAAGTGCTTCCAGGCCATGGGGGCTGCCTCGGCAGCAGGAGCAGGAGCAGCAGCTTTGGCAGGGAGAGCAGGTCCTGGGACAGGCTCAGGAGATATCGCTGGTGACGGTGTGGTGTCTTCGGCCACGGGTTCTGGAGCAGACTCGGGCACAGCGACAGGACCAGGTGTAGGGAACCTCGAGTCGTCGAGCTCGTCGACTTCCTGCTCGTCGACATCCATGCTTTCGTCCTCAGTTGCGGATGTGGACTCTTCGGCGGCAGAACCATCGCCCACAGGTGGAGCCAAGCTATCCGCATCAAGGACCAAGTCCTCGTCAGAGTGGTCCACTTCTGGCGAAGCTGAACCCTCCACCACCACGACGGCGGGTGGCTCGACCACAGAGTGGTCATCGGTGATGGTGGCTTGCGGTGAGGCGAGCACGGAGTGTGGTTCCTTGGGCTCCTCGGGTGCCTCTCCCGCGTCCACGAGAAGAGGGACGGCACGAGAATGTGACTGCTGGGCCTCCTGTGTCTCGCTCGCTTCCGCGGCGGGCTCTTCGAGCTCCTCTGGTTCTTCATCCGATTCGACAAGCTGGAGGACGGGCGGAGGCTGAAGCTCGTCGACCTCCACAGGCTCCTCAGGCTCTTCAGGTTCTTCTGCCGAGTGCAGAACAGGAGACCGTGGCTGGTCGAGTTCGGCGGGGTCCTCGGCAGGCTCCTCTGGCTCCTCTGGCTCCTTGAGCTCCTCTGGCTCCTCAGGCTCCTCTGACTCCTCTGGCTCCTTTGGCTCCTCTGGCTCGTCTACCGAATCCAAGAGCAGAGGAACAGAGTCTGGCTGCACCTCCACCTCCTCCTCAGGCTCTGTCGAGCTCTCGGAAGGGGCAGTGGCACGGTCTTGCACGTCAGCTGGGGTAACTGGCCGAGTGGCGAGCTCGTCGACTTCAGACGGGGTAGGTGGTGTCGATGGCTGATCGTCGTCCACAACCATCGGCTCGTCATCGTCCTCGGCGACAACCGAGCCTTGGCTCTCGATGGGTTCTGTCTCCTCGCTGGGCTCGCGAGTCTCGATGGGCTCAGACTCCTCGCTCGAATCGCCGGTTGCGGGTTCCTCGTCCTCTTCAGAATCGCTCTCGACAACAATGGGCTCGTCACTGTCGGGCAGGTGATCCGCCAGAATAGGAGGTTCGTCGTCGACAGTCGCTGGTGGGGCCTGGGGAGCTTCCTGGACAGGCGCCGAGAGCGGAAGCTCTACGTCAGGCGCCCCTTCAGTAGTTTCTGGGACACTTGAAGGCGGCACGACAGCGGCTGTCTTGTCCCCGGCTCGAGGAGTTGCAACATTGTCGTCTGATAGTCAGTAACATGCGAGAGGGTTATCCCACTCACCTCCATCAAACACCTGCAGGTCCGGCGTCTGCTCCGGGGATGAGTCACTCGGAGCGTCGGCAGACACCGGTGAAGCCTCAGCGTCGTCCCCGTCCTCGTCAGCAGAGTCGTCATCGCTGACGTCGATAGGCGAGTCTTCGTCACCGCCGATAGGAGTAGCAACGTGACCAGGGGAGAAGCCGATGACTGGGGCCTCGTCCTCTGCTTGTCTAGTCGAATCGGATGGAGCAGGCGAGGGGCTGATGGCTGGGGTCTCATCTGCTTGTTGCCGTGCCACGTCGGATGGAGTGGCTGGAGTGCTGTCGGTGCGACTCGAGTCGTCGAGCTCTTCAATTTCTGGCTCTCCAATGTCGTCATCATCCTCGACCTCTTCGATCTCGGGCTCGCCGATTTCCGGAATGTGGTGGGAGAGTTCAGACTGGGGCTCTTCAACCTTGGGCTCCTCCTCGACAGATGGCTCTTCAACCTCAGGGCTGTTGTCGAGCTCCTCAATCTCAGCTTCCGCGGGAGGCTGCGGTACATTCTCCACCTCCATGGCAATTGTCGTTTCGGAAATGACAACGTGTGGCGCCTCGGGGTCCTCTTCATCCTCGACAAAGGCGGCATAAGATGACCGCACCGTGAACGATGACGATGCATCTGGCTGTATCGGAGCAAGAGGTGGTAGAGCGGCGTGAAAGTTGTCTGCGAGCGCCGGGTCCAGCGGAAACGTATCGTGGTCGAGGGCTGGGTCAATGGGGATGTCGCTGAACAGGAAGCTGGCTTCGTGGTGTGGCAGTTGGCTCAGAACCGCCTCAACCATGCCAGGGGCCATCGGTTGGGAAAAGTCCATGAAGGAGTCGCCGAGGGAGGGCACTTGGAGCGAAGGGTCTGGGAACGAGGTCGAAGGACCTTGGAAGGAAGTGGAAGGGTCGTGGAATGGAACCGGGGTGGTGTCGAATGAGGACGAGGCGAACGAGTGCGCACTGTGACTGAGGTGTGACTCGTTCCAAGCCACAGTAGACTGCGGGACCGGAGAGTGATGCGACGCTGCGGCGTCACCGTAGGGAGAGAGGTGTTCGCCAGAATATGGCACATAGAAATGGCCCAAGTCGTCCGTCGGGTGATAGGGAATGTTGAAGCCGGCCGGTTGGTCGGTCGGCACAGCACTGTCTTCGAGCTCATCCCGCTCGTCATCCATGTCGCGGTGATCCAGATCTATTCCGTCGTCGTCTTCATCGTCGTATGACTGCTGCGAGCCGCCATCGCCCTCATCTCCGCTTGCGTCGTCCCCATACTCTTCCTCTTCTTCTTCATCATCGTCGTCGTCGTCGTCCGATGACAGAACGATTACGTCGTCGTTCGAGTTGGATGGTTGCCAGCGTTGTGGGGGAGGTGGGGAGGCCTCCTCTTCCTCATCCTCATCGTACTCGGCTTGATTGTCTTCGTTGTCGTCCTCAAAGCGGTGGTTCGCCTGGTCGAGAGGGTGTGGTGCCCGCGATGACGAGTCTGAACCTTCGCCATCATCGTCATCCAATTCGTCCTCCTCATAGTCCTCCTCACGAGTGGGAACAGGCATATAGGATGCTTGGGCAGCTGCTTGGGCGAGATAGGGGAACTCTTCGCCGTCGTCACCCTCGATAGGTTCCTCAGCCTCCTCCGAGCTCTCGGGACCATCGTCGGCGCTCCCATCGCCCTCGTCATCCTCTTGCCCGGACCCTTCATCTTCAGAAGACGATCCGACCATGATAATGTCATCGTCGTCATCTTCTTCTGGAGTTGCAGCGGCGTTTAGAGTCGCGGTGTCGGGGCCAGGATGCAGGGCCGGTGACGCTGATGCGGCCGGGACATGAGCGGTGGTCGCGAACGGATCAGGTATGTGTTGTTGATGCAGCTCGACGTGTTCACCCTGCTCGACTAGGACTGTAAGCTCCTGCCTGCCATTCCCTGCAACCTACCATAGCCATCGTCATACCCATAGCCGTTGGCGCCCTCGTCGTCCGCTTGACTGTCGAAGCCCTCCTCGTAGCGGCCATCGACGTCATGGTCCAAGCCCTCGTCGCTCTCCCCAAACAGGCTGTTCTCCTGGGCGTCGGAAACTGCAGAGGCACCAGGGGAAACAGAATGCAGCGACGTGTCCTCAGCTTGAGCCTCCGGTGGTGGGAGTTCGGGAGTCACGGCGCGAAGAGGCGAGGGGGAGCGTTGGGGTGACCATGACGCCTCGGCGCCTGACAACCGGCGGTGGATTTTTGCCTGGATGCCATCGAGCCAAGCATCCTGGTCGTTCTTGGTCCAGATATCAAATGCACTTGGCCCATACCGCCGTTGAGCGGCTGTGCCGTTCAGAGCCGGATTCATGGTTGTGGGATGGGGGGTAATGCGTGGTGTGGAGACGAGTTGATTGCGCGACGGGCGCGACGTCAATGGGATCAGAGAGTGAGCTAAACGCGGACATCAGCGTATGTCCGGCGATTTGTTTACATCTACCGCGCGGGGCAATTTGTGCGAGTTGAGCGCCTTAGGAATGCCAATTCGATTAGTGCAAGGCTTCAGAAAACTAAAGGGAACCTATCGACAGATTAACAGATTGACGTTTGGAGGTTACACGAGGATAGGCGGGTTTGAGTCGCTTCTTATAGCAAAACGCCACAGCCGTATGTCGATCTCGTTGCCCATTGTAGAGCGTCTCAAACACTTGGTCGAGTGCTTCCGGCAGACATCACTCGCGGCGAACCGCGCTGTGCTGCAGGTTCAAATTGACCCACCCGTCATTTGAGTGTCAGAGACACCAAACTCAAAGCAGCTATGGCGACGTTTTATGTTTTGAGCAGTAATCCCGCTATAGACCTTCGGCGAGAAATACCAGTGCTCATGCAACCTTCACAGATCAGCAAAGACACACTGAAGCAGCCATCGCTCCCAGCATGCCGTCTGCACCCACATACTGAAATTAACCCCCGTCCACAGTGAACGATACAAGCCGTACAATGGGGGGTTGAGGCTACAGGCGATACTCGTCCATTAAGGTCGACTCACTCAGACACTGGGAGATCCGGGGAGAGTTACGACCCCGGTAAAGAAAGGCAGAAAAATGTTTCAAAATCGTTTCTCTGACTTCGCTATCCGCAGCAGGCTCCATGCTCCATGTGCCGCCGGCGTCATGTAATCATTTGCTCAGGCAACACTTTCTATCACACTGGGCTCGCCCGCGCACGGTTTCGGGAAATGTGATTTGAGCTATTGTGCGAGGAATACAATAACATCCAGACACGCCACATGTGGCGGCGGCATGAGGTGCCGTGAGCCACGAGGGTCGAACTCGGAGTGCGGCCGATGTTCAAAGAGCTGCTTCGCAGCTTGGTAGCTCGATAGCTTGGTAGACAGTACAGGGTGACGAGGTGCGGCTGAAGGGACAGGTTTTTGGACGAATTTCATGGAAATTGCAGCCTTGCCCACCCCGGCCACCCCGCCAACTTTGGGATTTCTGGGACTGATCGCAAGGGCCAGACTCACCTCCGTGCCTTCCATCTTGGCGCTCGCGGTCTTGACGCGCCAGACGCGTCATGAGGCATGTCACCCCGCTCAGGACCGGCCTGCCCAGCAATGGACGTGGACGGGGGTTGCAGCACAAAGCATGCCCCGCGTTCACCCGAGTGCCGACGATCTGCGAGATCCCTCCGGCTTGACTGAGGACGGTGCGGGGTAACATTACCGTCCGATAACTGCCGACCCCGCCCTCCACCATCCGCCACCACCCGGTTACTAGATGTGCCTTGCCTGTTAACTAGATCACGCGTTACCCGAGATGAACACCACCGGCCACACCGCATGCGGTCTTGCCTTTCCGGACTGAATAGGACGGGTCATACCAGACGGACATCCGTCCGCGCTGGCGTCTGTTGCATGCTACCACTGCCCACCGGGGGTAGGGCCGACGGACCCGTCCGGCGGCGGACCAACAATGGTGGTGTGCTGGGACACCTTTGTCATCGGCAAGCTCCTCGCCGGCGGCGCTTGCTTGACGCTTACCGGCTTTGTTGCACAGGGATGGTGGCAGCCATCGTGGAGCGCACGCTGGGAGCGTGGGCGAGTGAGACCGTGGCAACTGTGTAGCGTGTGGCCAGAAACGTGTGCAGACGACTGTGTGAGCCGTCTGTGGACCTGTGTAAACCATGCGCAGATCTATGTGTAAACCATTTGCAGATCTATGGAGCTGCAGGCATCTGTGATTGAGAATGAAACAGCAACAAAGCACCTTCGGAACGTTTGTATCTAATAACAGCTTCGCATGTTCATTTTCCTATGACAGTTGCACTCCTAAGCAACTGGACTACCACTACAGCCTACTTGCTACAGCAAGTTAAGCGGAGCCGTCAACCTTGGCGGCGTAGGCGATAAGGTCGCAGACGCGGCGCGAGTAGCCGTACTCGTTGTCGTACCACGAGATGAGCTTGACGAAGTTGGCGTTGAGGGCGATACCGGCCTTGGCGTCGAAGACCGACGACTCGGTCGAGCCGAGGAAGTCGGTGGAGACAACGTCGTCCTCAGTGTAGCCGAGGATGCCCTTGAGCTCGGGCGACTCCGAGGCCTTCTTGATGCAGGCCTTGATCTCGTCGTACGAGGCACCCTTCTCGAGGCGGGCGACGAGGTCAACAACCGAAACGTCGGCGGTAGGGATACGGAACGACATGCCGGTAAGCTTGCCGTTGAGCGAGGGGATGACCTTGCCGACAGCCTTGGCGGCACCGGTCGACGAGGGGATGATGTTGGCGGCAGCGCCACGGCCACCACGCCAGTCCTTGGCCGAGGGGCCGTCGACGGTCTTCTGGGTAGCGGTGGTGGCGTGGACGGTGGTCATGAGACCCTCGACAATGCCGAAGTTGTCGTGGATAACCTTGGCGAGGGGAGCAAGGCAGTTGGTGGTGCACGAGGCGTTCGAGATGACCTTGTACTCCGACTTGTACTGGTCAAGGTTGACACCGCAGACGAACATGGGGGCGTCGGCCGAGGGAGCCGAGATGATGACCTTCTTGGCACCACCCTTGAGGTGGGCACCGGCCTTGTCGATGGTGGTGAAGACACCGGTGGACTCGACAACGTAGTCGGCACCGTCCTGGCCCCAAGGAATAGCCGAGGGGTCACGCTCGCCGTGAACGGTGATGGCCTTGCCGTTGATGATGAGCTTGCCGTCCTTGGTCTCGACGGTGCCCTTGAAGCGGCCGTGGGTCTGTTCCGTGTCAGCTATTGGTCAAACAGAGCAGTGGGAATGGAAAGCCACTCCAGATGCCTGCCGACGCCCATGGAGACGCGGGGCAAGCTACAATGCGCCAAGAAGCTGGATGAAGAGGGGAAGACTTACCGAGTCGTACTTGAACATGTAGACCATGTAGTCGAGGTCAATGAAGGGGCTGGAAAGTTAGTTTAGTTACACGAGGGGGAATGGGCCAAATACGGGACGGCACTCATCATTGCCGACCGACGAGCCCAGACATTGTGTAGCCAAGGGCCGGACTACATATACAACAGAGAACCACTCACTCGTTGATGGCGACGACGTCCAGGTCACCGTGCTCAATGGCGTTACGGAGGACGATACGACCAATGCGGCCTGTTGGTCAGCGTTGCCGAATGACGAGCTCGCAGTGCAAGCGGAAAGTCAGGTTCGCTGCGCGAGCAGAAGAGCCAGACTTGCAGCTGCAGTGACAGCGGCTATGCACCCACCAAAGCCGTTAATTCCCACACGGATGCTCATGATGCTTGAGTAGAAGGTTTTGGTGAAGTGGATGAGGTGTAGTGAGAAGATGGAGAAGAAACGAGAGATACGGAGCGGTGTGGACGCTTAAGAGTAGGTGGGTGCGTGGGTGATTCGCGGCGGGGGGGTGAGAACTCTTTGGCTATTGGTCCCGCGCCAATCCCCCTCTCCCCTCGGGCTCGAGCGCGCGGCGCACATTCAGGGTCTCATCTAGTTCGGGAATATGCAATTGCAAGGCAATCCCCACCAACTTCGCGGACAAGCCGCCAGTGTGTGTCCAGCCAACAACGTCATGGCTTGACCGCACCAACTTGCCCCCCGCCTGAACCCGCCGCCGCCGAGCCTTGCCGGGGTTGTCAGACAATGGGTTTGTCAGATACACGGTCAACATCCACAAACAGCGCCCAGTTCAGATCCACAGCGTCAGTGGCACACAGTGTGCGTCAAGCTGTATACAATGGCGACGTCACCCACATGCTACACACCAGGCTCCGCAGCGTCCCCATGATGCTCCGCAAGGTCTCTGCCGCCGGTCCATTGTCGTATAGGGGCGGGGCGCCAGCCACGTCGATAACCGGCGGTTCAAGTCACAGGGTGTCGTGAAAAGGCTCGGCACTGGCACCGACCACGATGGTCTTTTCATTCGCTCCTCACCACGTTTACCAACCCTCTCCTCAGGTGGGATGGTCCTTTCTCGACTCGTTCCATGGCCCAGTCAGCCACTCGCAGTGCGGTGTGGGGACAACGAGGCGTTTTTCAATGACCAACCACTGCCGGCGGCTCTTCGAAATGAGATCCTGAGTTTACCAGACTGACCAATCACATGACTGTGCTGGCAGGGGCCTGCCGGCGGACTGGTCACGCCCTGTGCTCATGCACTCGCTCGCCCCATTTCCTTCTTCTCGCATACGTCCCTTGGCCTCGTAGCCCCTGCCTGGCCTTGTTTGGCCGGCCCGATCCCATCGCGACGGCGTGACGGCCGACACGCAAACATGGGGGCATAGGGGGGGCCAGGTTTGACAAAGTACGTGGAATTCAGCCGGCGGGATTCGATAAGAAATGGCATCTAGGAACATGCCAGAAACGAACTGGGGTTCGACCCAAGATCTTGGCGTATCGTTTGCGTCACATTTGCAGTGGCTAGACGTGACGTGAGGCCACCAGCAGACGCAAACGTCAAGGAATACCTCACACTTGTCAGGCGCTTGTGCAAATGGCGCCCGACGCGTGGCAGTGCCACCAACCTGCGCCCCCACTAATGCCTCCGTCCCGCCGATCCCTCTTTGCCTTCCCTCCTTGCCTCCACTCCTTGCCTTCCCTCGCCTTCATTGTTTTGACCTGCAAACGGGTGAGTACACCTCTTTCACATCCGCATCCTCTGTCTCCCATCCGGTGTCTTCAGCTTCGTCTTTAAACGGGAAGCTTGCCTTCTGTGTCATCTCGTACAATATCTGTTTGCCTCCCATAACGTCCAACCATCCAGGGCTGTGTGAGCCCGCGAGTCTTACTGGCACCACTTTGTGGGCTGTGGTGCAAATAGCGCACCTTTACGACCCATAACATCCGAGTTTACAATACAAGGCTACTGTGAGGGGGCCACCGTGCACCGAAGAACAGAGCGCATTGAGCGACCTGAAATCACGATCGTCCTCGCTCTTGACCTGTTCAGTTGACTGACTCGGAGTCCTTGGTGGTGGGGAGGAGAGCCGCTTCGTTCTCTTCCGCCTCGTTCTTGTTCACCTCCTTCTTGACCGTCTCTTTGTCGCCCGTCTCCTTCTCGCATGTCTCCTTTTCCTCCGCCTCCTTCTCTCCCGCCTCCCTTTTCACCTTCTCAAGGAATGCTTTGGCCTCCGAGGCGTCCCTGAGCCGCTGACGCACGCTCTGTGTCTGGTCAGTGAAATCCACGGTCCATCATCTAAACATTATGCACACACCTCCAGTCTATGCTGTACAGCTGGGGTATCCAGGGGCACGCCCGCGAAGGCTGGCGAGAGGAAATAGAGGCTTGCGTTGCGGATGTCCTGAAAGTTAGTATTCGGGTTATAAGGAGTGGTTACCCACCTCCACCGCCTAATGACTGTTAGCAAGTGAGTTTCTGGGGCGGGGGGGGGTGGGGGGGGGGGGGGGGGGGTCTGGGGTCTGAGGGAGTTCACGTACGTCCTTGAGGTCGCGACGGGCTTCCTCCAGCAGCGCTTAACCTGACGATGGTCATCGGAGGCTGAGGGGCAGTGTCCATCGCGGGGGGGTCCGCAGATGCACTTGTGGGTTCGGACTCGCTTGTAGAGGGCTCGTCGGAGATGGAGTGGCTTGCGGTGGATGTTGGACTGGTGCATTCCGTGCACAACGATGAGCTGGTTTCCACCTTCTCCCTAAGACGCTTGACAATGCTAACAGCCCTGGTGCGACGGTCAAGAATATCGTGCATCTTCTTTTTATTAGCTGTGCTCGTTCACATCGATACTCACGAGCCTCAAGGAGGCAGGGATCTGTCCCGTCGCCGTGCACACAGCCTCAATCTCGCCCCAGCAGACTTTGCCGTCCTTACAGTCAGGCCCGGCTACGCAAGTGGTCGTTGGACTTACCTGGAGGAACGATTCGGCTTCTTCCTCGGCTCTAGCCAACTCTTCTTGGAGTTCGTTAGAGGTTGGGGCTGAGGTTGAGACTGCAATTGGAGCTGGAAGGGGAGCCAGTGTGTCTGCCTGGCAAACAACTGCAGCTTCGGTAGTAGGTTGAGACGCAAGAAAAAGGGGTTCCAGAGGCGGGGGAAGTAGAGGCGGGGGGTCCATGGCGGTCAAATTGATGCAACGAAGACTGAGAGTTGATGGGAAGTGCAGAGTGAAAAGAAGTGTGTGTGTGTGTGTTGGATCTTTGGATCTTTGGGCTGTGGGAGTTGGGGCGGTGCTTAGAGAACCGTGTTTGACCATGTGTCCATTGGGGCGGCGATCGTTGTGGCCCCATGCTCCACTCCATGGCTCCACGGCGGCTGGGGCCGATGGGCGCGATGGGGCTAGCCTTGCTCGTGTTTTCTTCTCTTCAGTCTCTCTATGTATGTAGCTCTGTGCACTACAATGGCATTTAATCTTCTCACAGTCACACGTTAACCTCCTCCCCCGAGAACAGTCATCTCCGCTTCAAGGAGCTAGCCAAATGTCTGCGATCCTACTCCACTTGCTGAACACGACAGACACAATGTTGCAGGTAGGCTGTGCAAGGGCGCAACTTGAGCTTCTGAGCTTCTGATCGCCGCACAGCCACACGTCACTTCAAGCTGAGTCACCCTCTTCTTCCCACAGACCCCACACTCTTTGCCTTCCTCTATTTAACTCTCCCCCTCGCCCCTCATGGCTTGTTCCAATCCCCCCTCCTCGACCCTGTCGACACCTTCACCATCCTCTCATTTTATCACCATTTTATCCCCATTTCCTCCAACCATGACCAACGTCACCATCATGGCCACCAGGCCAGAACATAACCTCCCTCTATACAAGGCGGCCAACAAGGCCACCTTTTACTCGCCACCCGTGCCGGCCGGGGACCTCGTGGCATATTCAGGTGTCCACCTTTGTGGCGCTTATTGCAAAGACGACGACCTGAGTATCAACAAGCCCTCTCTGCTCTCTTTCAACATCTACTAATTCCGCGCAGCTCCCCAGCCAGACGCTCCAGCAGGTCGGCCCACCCAAGGCGCCCCCTCCTTTGGCAGTCCTCCCTCCTGTGCAGGACGCCAAACTCAAGACGAAGCTCCTCGGCAGTCTCACATTTGCTGCCTTGGATCTGAAGAAACGCGTCGACCACCGTCTTGGTGCGAACCAAGTGGTCCACGACGCTGGTGCTGGGGGCAACTGTTTCTACCACAGTGTCGCCCATGGTCTCTTTGGCGACGCCAACCTGCACATCGCCATCCGCCAAGCTTGCCAGACCGTTCTTCCCAAGGTCCGTGGATACCTGGAGCAAAACAACCAGGGAATCTACGAGTACCTTGACGAACAAGGCAACAATCAACAGTGCTCCTTCGAGGAGTATGTTGCTGCCACTGGCAAGGTCGGCATCTTTGGTGGCGAGACCGAGGTGGTGGCGGTCATGGCCGCGTATGGTTGCAACATCACCATCCTTGCTTCCAACGCAGCAAACGACCCACCCGTGTACAAGGCGGCCGACATGGCCAACTTCTACACCCCACCCGCGCCGACCAGGGAGATCGTCCTTGGATACTCGGGCGCCCACTACGTCTGTGTGTGCACCACAGCATGCCAAGGCGGCGACGTGAGTATCCACCCCTGTCCGTTGTTTCAACACAAACTGATACCGTGTAGCTCCCCAACTCGCCACAGCATGTCAAGGTTCCACCCACAACGAGCTCCATGCCCTCAAGTATCCCCCCGGCCCCCATTCCCTCCAGGCCAACACTGGCGGTTCCGCCTCCTCCGCCGCTCGCCCCGTTGCCTGTTCTCGCAGGCTTTAGTGTCAACAGACAGGCAACCGGCAAGGTCACTTTTGCCCCCCTCGACCTCAGCAAAAGGGTCAACCGCATTCTCGCCGCTCGTGTGTTTACACAAGCCACACTCGAGCAGGCGGAGGCGGATTTCCGCGTCCTCGCCACCTATTTTGAGCGAGAACAGCCGACGGACCTGCTGGCGGAGCTCGACGCCCGCCAAAAGACTGGTGGCACCCGCGGCCCTGGCGAGAGGCAGAGGGCCGTGTACAACGCTCTTGCCCATTCGCTTTCGCAGATGACAACGCGCAACCCGCATGCATCTGCGACCGCAACCAAGAGTGCTGGAAGCTCGGCCGCCCTAGTCCATGGCAAGAAGCTCAAGAGTGAGTTGCAACGAGCCTAAACCCTTTGCTAACTGTTTCAAGTGGCCTACCAGAGCATCCTCGCCATGGACGGTGTCGCGGACAGGGGCGACGCTACCATCAGTGTCATCCAGCCAGTGTCCGCCTCGGGCGCAGCCATGCCCATGTGAGTACAGATTTGTCCATGATACGCAGCTGACCAGTCAAGCGTCAACGTCTACAAGAACATTACACAGCTTCAAGTAGACGACGGCGACCACGGCAGACAGCTGCTCATGGACATCCAGTCAATTCTGGACAAGTCGAAGCGTGAAAGGGTTGCCCCGAAGGCAGCTCGCAAGGTGGCGAAGGCTGCCATTGCGGCCGCCAACCCATCCGCCGAGGCGCCGAGGTGAGTGACGAATGCACACAAACACAGTTGTGATTGTTGACACAACGCAGCTCCGGCCAGTGGCGCTTCAAGCCGGCCCCCTTCCGCCCCCCTTCTCCCTGGATCCGATGTCGCTCTCCAGGCAGGACATCATCAACTATCTCACCTCCAGATTTGTCTCAGAGGTGATGATCCACTTGCGCTGGAGCCGCACCAAATACATCAAGGCTGGAGCTGCATGGCAGCAATTGGCATACAGCAACAAGACCCATACGCAGCTTCTCCTTATCCTCATTGCGCCATGGGTGCAGCACGACCCTCACTACCTCTTCGTGGCGGGTGTTATTCCTAACACCAAGCCTGCCTTTCACAAGTCTGGCCACGTGAATTATTTCAAGTACGCTAGGTCGCCAAGCCCAACCACAAACGACATGGTCTCGGGCGATCGCATCACGAAGGAGGTCAAGGACTGGTTCAAAGAGGTGCCCCGTTTCCTCTCCAGCTCCCAACCAGGATGGGTGCAGAAGACGGCGGACTTTGTCGGCCAACAACTTGGCGTCAAGATCAAGACTCGACTGTCGGCAGGCGGCGAAAGGTTTCACCAGAGCGGTGTTTGTCTGTCGGGTATTGAAAGTCGGCGCAAGCTCGAACAGTACGGCCTTCGCGCGCCCGACGCCACGTCCGCCTCCACTATATCAAAGTGGCTGCTTGCCGTCTGAGCCCTGCCTCGCCAAAGCCTCGATGTCAAGTACTACACCGTGTTCGACCGCACTGCAACCATTGGCGAAGAAAAGACTAGGCGTCCCGTACGTTATGGGTTAATCATGCGATCAAGCTGACCAATTCAGGCTATTTGCGAGTTTGGTCTCGCCCTAGACTTCCACAATCCGACCACCACCACCATGCTTACCCCCGGTGTCGGTATCAGGAAGTTCACGGATGGCGACAACGGCACCGTCAAGGTGCCCCTGGACGAGCACAAATGCCACCTCCTCTGCCGTCAAGGTGCAAATCTGGCGGAGGAGGTGACATTTGTGCTCGTCCAGGGGCACCTTAACTGTGCCGTTGTCGCCATCCGTAAACTTCCTGATACCGACACCGGGGGTAAAGCTTCCGCCAGATTTTGGCGTACAAGCTGTCGTCACAGGACGTCACCTTTGACGAGGTTGGCCTGGAAGTCGCCCACACGTTTGGCTTTCAAGGCGAGCCGGTCGAGGACCTCCTGGGCATCATGTCCGAACACCCGCGCCAGAGGTCGACATGGAGGTGGATGGTTGCTGTTGTTCTTTGGAATGTGAAGGATATGAGAAGTGAGAGATGAGGAGAAGATGCAAGTATACAGAGGGAAGACATTGAGGGAAGGCATAGGAGGGAAGGCATCCCATGCACCACAGAGACCAGTCCCAGGCTCGACAGCAACCCATACAGCGTACAGTGGCAGGGGTTACAGTGTACAGTGTACAATGATCGCCGTCCAAACACACACACACACGTACACACGGTCCTCCCAGCACTGCTGAAACCCCCAGCAGCTTCTCTTCACCCTTCACTCTTCGCTCTTCACTCTTCACTTTTCACTCTTCACTTACCATCTGGCCTGCCTCCTATCATATCGACACCCATGCCAGTGAGTCTCACCCGCATGGTCGGAACACAGGGAGGCTGCGGGTTACGAGCACTCCATTTCTCGTCACTGACCTCTCAGGTCAAGTTCCGCACTCTCGAGGTCGCCACCTCTTTCACCATTTCCATTCAGCCGCCTGACCTCCAACGTCCAGACGTTGCGTCACTTGTGCTGCAGGCGGTCAACCCCAAGATCACCAACCGCCTTCGGATTGTCAAGGACCTGTTCGATATCATCTACCACAGGCAGACCAGGGCGGTCAAGGGGGAGATCGACAGAAGGACACGCAACACGGTCCTCTGTCAAGCCTGCACGTCATTTTTTGGCGAGCTGACGGGCGGTTCGTGGCCAAAGGGTCGAGACCGCAAGAACCAGACCCTTCTGGTTAGTTGGCTCAAAGACAGCCGACTGTCGCGTGAGTGCGGGGTGCCGTCGCGCCGTCGGGCGGTGGTGACACTGACTGGACTGTAGGGTACTACCGAACTCTACCGGCCATCGTTCGCGGCGAAGATTGGACTCTAGTGGCTTCGTCTGGCACCATCCCGCTCAATCAGGGACAGGTGCCCAACGTGGCGAAAGCTGGCACCAGTCACCAGCAAAGCGTACTCGCCTTTGCTCAAACTGCACAGACCGCCGCTCCCCCTCCTCCCCTTCCACCACCACCACCACCACCACCACCACCACCACCACCACCACCACCACCACCACCACCGGCGCCGCCCTCTCTTCCTCAAGCTCCAGCGCAAGGAGCAGCTGTTCCTCAGGCAGGCGGAGTGGCCCACATCTTAGACGGACTGGTAGTTCCGACCTCCGCCCCGAGCCTTGACGAACTCGAAAAAACATTGGCAACGGCCGAGAAGGAAGCCCAATATTGGTTCGAAGTAAGTTCAACTCCCATTTACTTGACCTGACCGTAAGGAGGGAGAATACTGCCATAGCGATATCGTGACGACGTGCAAGTCGACGGGACAGATCCCTCCTAACTTTAGACAAGTGGGTACATCAGTACAGTAGCAGTGAACGCACTTGACTGACCAACAGCGCATGCACGACATTCTTGACAGCCGCGGCAAGGCTGTTAGTATCGCCAAGAAGCTCAGGCAGAGGGTGGAAGCACCCTCCACTCTCTAGCGACCTGTTATAGGACACGGGTCCATGCCATCGCCACAGACCACAGCCACAGTCCTGTCACACCTGACACCCCTGCCTCCATCTACCTCCATCCACCTCCATCCACCTCCATCCACCTCCGTCCACCTCCGTCCACCACCAGCGAGGTGGCCCAGTCCGACCTCGATGCTAAATGTCCAGGTGTCCGCAGCTCATGACTTCCATCTATGCACATTCTAATTACAAATCTTCCCACACAACATTGTTCTTTGCCCATCCCCTTTTACTTCCCACTGCTGCCGTCGTATTCGCGAATTGTATGCGGACCGTGCATCGTGGTGTGGGTGGCGAACTGTTTTTACCCTCCGCTCGTGCTCTGCGCCGATGCATTTACCACTCGAGCTCGTTGAGGCCGATGTACTTCTCAATGAGACCCATGTAGTAGGGCTTGAGGGTAGCGGCGTCGGCGAGGTCGTCGGACTTGGAGTAAAGGTCGTAGGCGTTGAATGCCTGGACAGCGCGGAGCTGGACCTTGTCGTCCTCGTTCATGAGGTGGGTGTAGGCGCCCTCGCGGTGCCAGGGGTAGAAGGAGTGGTAGCGGAGCATGGAAAGGCCCTCCTTGGGGATGGTCGACTGCTTCTTCATAATGTTGAAGATGTACTCGTCGTGGCCCCACGAGAGGAGGACGTTGTCAAGACCGCAGCCAGGCGAGTAGATGCCACACTCGGTGTTGATCTTCTCGTCGTAGTAGTCCGGGTTGGCCTTGAAGGTGTCGGGGTAGATGATCTTGTCCGAGAACTTGCAGCCGACAACAAAGGTGTCGCCGACAACGTCCCACTGGCCCTCGGCGCCGAAGAAGCAGAGGAGCTTGCCAAGGTCGTGGATGAGGCCAACCAGCTGCATCCAGTCGGGCTTGCCATCGCGACGGATAGCCTCGGCGGTCTGGAGAAGGTGCTCAATCTGGCCGACCGAGGTGTCGGGGTCCGACTCGTCGACAAGCTCGTTCAGGAGCTCCATGGCCTCCCAAACGGTCATGCTGGCGCGAACCTTGGCCTGGAGCTCCTCACGGATGCGAATGTTGTACTCGAGGGTCTGCTTCTTGTGCTGCTCCTGCCAAAGGTGTCAGCCCTGAATCCTCCAGGTCGTCAACGTGAAGGACTGGGGGGATGTGTGGGTCGTGAGGTTGCTGCGGCCCCGGTAAAACACCAGAGTTTATCCGCCGCCACCACACAACACGCCCACATTCCAATTCCTTCTGGCCACACAAATGCGCCAACGTCCGCTTGTGGCGGGCGTGAATACTTACAGCGTAGAAGTTCTTGACGCGGTCGCATGCCTCCTCGTACTGGCGGAAGCCGGTCTTGTCCTTCTCGGCGTCAAACTGGGACTCGGCGGCAAAGTCGACCTCCTTGTTGCCCTTGAGGATGTTGACAGCGTCAACCTCGTCAGAAACAACGTCCAGCTTGGTAGCGGCGGTCTTGACGTAGTCGGTGATCTCGGGAGCGTGAACCATTGTGGAAAGCGAGTTGTGTGTGGTGGTGTGATGTAGAGAGAAGACTGAGAGTGTGATGTCGAGAGAGTTTCAGGCTAGAAGTCTTTTAACAGACGAGCTCAGTGTCCGTCGCGGGGGGTTCGGTGCATTTCTCTCATACCCATACCAAATCATCCTGCGAGGATTGCATCTCCCCTGTCCCCGACGTCGGTAGGAGCTGGTCTCTCACCCAGCATGTCCTCCGGTGCCGGGCCGGCCACGAACTTGTCGCGTGGAGGGCCGTCATTGTTGTCACCGGTGATGGGCACTTGACAGGGGTCTCGTTACGGCGGTACGGCACCGGTGCTGTGGAGACGGTGGAGCCGGCAATTCCACACGGTCTTGGCCTGCGTTGGCCTGTCACAACGCTGGCATTTGCTCAGCGGTACGCCTCCACGGCCTCCACAGTCAAGAAGCGATGGAGCGTAGCGCTCTGAAAGCAAGAGGGTCTCGACGGCGAGTCCGGGGGAGTGAAAAATTCAGGAAAAACGTGGGGCCAAGTCCGCGAAGTGGCCGCTTTTCTTCCGTATCGGTGCCACCGCGGCCCTGCCCACCTCGTACTTAGCGCGCACCATCGCGTGGCAGCTCCGCTTTCGGACCGATATCGGATGCCAGTTGCTACGACTGGTTTTGCGATGTGATCTCGGTCAGTTACTACGGATCTAGACACACAGAGATGGCCGACAAGGACACACCGTGTACGGAGTGATGGAGTGAGCGTGGCTCAGTTTGTTTTGTAGCTATGGCTGATATAACGTCTTCATCTACATCTCCATCGTCTGTATCGCACTCTTCTTCACCCACGACGCCACAAGCGCGAGCGTCGTTTTCCGGCGAAACGCCGCAGATGCGACGGAATGCCGTCAAGCTCCGGAATGTCCAATCACGCGCCGCGGCCTGGGTCAGCGAAGAATATCGTAAGGGTGACGTCCCCGATTCCAGTATAGATCGGGACGTCGGTAACCCATGCCGGGCCTGCATGGCGTTTGGCGCTAGGCTCCACCTTGTGGGCATGTGGGGGACCGGTGGAGAGTGCCGACGATGTGATGAGGTTACAGACGGCTAGCATGACTGACCTGCTGACCGGCATGCTCGGAACGGGCGGGGCCATGTGGGGTACGCGAGCAACTATCTTGGGATGCCAACGAGCGCGTATAAAGTCGACTGTGGGGCCAAGAAATGTTGTTGACCAACACGAGCACTTCGCCAAGGCTTCCCCCAGGTTTGACCCCGCCCTGCAACCTTTCGTCCTAGTTCGACGCCGCGTCTGTCGTTTGACCTTTCACCAACTCTTCCCCCCTCTATTAGAGTAAGGCTCTACTCTTCGTCTGTCACCTCCTCCTTCAACTAGGGAACGACCCACATCCCCTGCTCTCTTGCTCGTCACCTCTACCTCATCGACGCGTCAACAACAATGTCCGAATCAGGACACCAACAACAGGATGTGGACACCAAGTCTGAGAGCCATGACTATGTCACGGCTGAGATGACCAACAACGCCCGCATGGCTACCGAGAAGGAGCACAATATGACCCTCCTTCAAGGCATCAGGCTCTACCCCAAGGCCGTCGCCTGGTCCATGCTTATCTCGACCTGTATTGTGATGGAAGGTGAGTGCTTCTCGTGTCTCGTGCCTAGGAACGCGGGAGAACACCAGCATGCCGTTCATATGCAAGACGGTGTCTTGAGTGGTTGTTCGTGCAACCTCTCGCGGCGATCAGACTGTCTTGTCTCATGCTTGTTGGATTTTACACTTTGTTTCATGCGTCGTGGATTACTCCGCTGGCTTGGCACTTGCTCCACGTGATGAGCGCCACTGACCTGCCCAGGTTACGACGTCTGTCTTCTTGGCAACTTCTACGTGAGTGTTCTACTTTGGGAATAGTGTGAAGCACATAAGCTGATATACACCCAGGCCTTCCCCCAGTTCAACCAAAAGTACGGCCAGCTCAACAAGAAGGGCGAGTACGAGGTGCCCGCCGCTTGGCAGGCTGGTCTGTCCAACGGTGCCGCCGTCGGAGAGATTATTGGTCTCTTCATCAATGGTTATGTCTCGGAGCGTTTCGGCTATAGGTACACCGTCATCACCTGCCTCGTCCTCCTCTGCGGTTTCATCGCCATCTTCTTCACTGCCAAGGACATCATTGCTCTCCAGGTCGCCGAGATCCTCGCCGGTATTCCTTGGGGAGTTTTCCAGAGTAAGTGTGGCGGAGTGGCACAAAGGGCGCAAGCACATGGGCACACAGACACACGATACTGACTCTGCCCCAGCCCTTACCATCACCTACGCATCCGAGGTCTGCCCCGTCGCTCTCCGTGGCTACCTTACCTGCTACGTCAACTTCTGCTGGGGCCTGGGCCAGGTCATCGGTATTGGTGTGATCAAGAGCATGCTCGGCCGCGAGGATGAGTGGGCATACAGGATCCCTTACGGTGTGAGTAGGCCCCAGACGTGGTTGTCGTGCGTCGGCTGACTCCTCCCTCCCAGCTGCAATGGATGTGGCCTCTTCCCCTCCTCATCGGTGTCGCTCTCGCTCCAGAGTCGCCTTGGTGGCTCGTTCGTCACGGCCGTTACGAGGATGCCAAGCACGCCCTGCTCCGCCTTACATCGCTTGACCGTGAGACCGACTTTGACGCCGACGAGACCATCGACATGATGCGTCACACCACTGAGCTTGAGCGCGACATCACTTCTGGCTCGTCGTACTGGGACTGCTTCAAGGGCACCGACCGTCGCAGGACCGAGATCGTCTGCATGATGTGAGTGAACCCTGTGTCTTTCGGTGTAGTCTTGCTGACGCGCATCTAGTTGGGCTATCCAGAACCTGTCCGGTAACTCGTTCAGTGGCTACTCGACCTACTTCCTCGAAAAGGCCGGTGTCGCCAGCTCGAACGCGTACAACTTTGCTCTCGGCCAATACGCCATTAACTGTGTCGGTGTCTTTGGCGCCTGGGGTCTCATGGCCTGGGGCATCGGCCGTCGTTCGCTCTACCTCTACGGTCTCTGTGGTCTTTGCGTCGCACTCCTCGTCATGGGCTTCATGGGTCTCGTCCCCGCCGCTCACCAGCAGTCCGCTTCGATGGGTAGGTCTCCATTGCGTTTACGACGCTAACGTTGAAGCTACGGGAGCAATGATGATCGTCTGGGCCTCGTTCTATCAGCTTACTGTCGGTACGGTTTGCTACTCGCTCGTTGCCGAGCTCTCGACTCGCCGCTTGCAGATCAAGACCATCGTCCTCGGCCGCAACGCCTACAACATCGTGGGCATCATCTGCAACATCCTGACGCCTTACATGGTGAGTTTAAAGACAGACAAGCTCTTGAACAAATGCTAACGACTCTTCTAGCTCAACACTGATCAATGGGTGAGCATAGATGCTGCTGGTGTAGTGGAGAGTGGCATGATCGGCGTGCCGCAACGACGGAAAAAATACTTCCGCCGTGACGTTGATCGTCGCCACTTTGTCCACACCGCCGAAGCAGACACAATGAGAACTAGAGCTGACTAAACACAGGACTGGGGAAACTTTGCCGGCTTCTTCTGGGCAGGAAGCTGCTTCTTGTGTATCATCTACACCTACTTCCGTGTCCCCGAACCCAGCGGCCGTACTTTCGCCGAGATCGACATCCTGTTCGAGCGCAAGATCTCGGCTCGCAAGTTTGCCTCCACCGAGGTTGACGCGTTCGATGTCTCGCTCTCGCACGAGGAGGCCAAGCCCGAGACCTCACACAATGAGAAGATGGCGCTCCGCAGCACCACCTCGGCCTAAACCAGGACCTGAGTGGATGTTTGGAGGTGACAGTTGCGCTACCTGGCCGTCGTGATGATGGTCAGGCATGTTGAAGGAGGTGAACCTGTGAGAGGTTCAAATTGGGTGTAACAGACAGAGGGTGTAGTACCAGTATCTCAATTATCGTTGCTTTATACAATAACTCTAATCCAAATTTCAATGCTATTTTGTTTGCATAAGATGAAGCCTAGCCTCGGCGACGCAGCCTACGTAAATCACCCTAACCTACATGGGGCATGCGGGCTCGTCTGCTCAACACCCTGTTGCCGGGCGGGCGACATCGGTAGGACTGACGGGCGATTCGTGGCACCGGATGATGGAAGTTGGTTGCACAACTGTCTGGAATCCGACCGACTGTGTGTCCCCACACAGCGATCCGCGCCATCCTACCTCAATAACATCATAAGCTCAAGACGGCCATACTAGTTAATCACTATGCAATGCCAGCTATGCCATGCCCATCTCCCAGGTTCTGTTCACACATGGCCCCACATCCACGTCCATGATTCAGGACGAGCATTGTCTGCTCGCAGCGCCGAGTGGCGTGAGACATGCGGGTTATGGCATGCATCACGCCACTCGAGACGTGCTTGCTGTGAAATGTGTGGATGTGTGCTCAATTCGTGTTTCCTCGCACCGTGTAGTGCATTGATCGCACTGATCGACCCCGCTTGAGGGCCAGGCGAGAACCGAGTATGGCGATCAATTCCTGTTGGCGCATCCTCATGTTGTGTTTCTCGCACACGGTGTCGTCGCCAAATCGGCGCTTGCTTCTAGCTTCTAGCTTCTCACGCTCCCACGCCCATCCTCACACTCCTTCTCCTCCAAAATCAAGCACAGGGGAGTGTACAGTAACACTCGCAACGCTGGACACTATGCATGCTGTACTGGAGGACAGAGCTCGTCATAGTGACATCTGTCAACAACGCACAAAAAGACGGAGATGGCCCGGCTGCCCGGATTTTGAGGCCGTTTTGTCAGGGCTCGCTGGTTGTTGATTTCCTGGATGCACTCAGCGGCGGGCGTGACCGCTTTGACGAAAGATCAAACTCCCATCAATGCCACCATCGAGGTCGCCTTGTCCCCACGTCACACACACGTTACCCACGCCTGTTGCGATGCATACGTCCGCTGGCCGCTAGGCCCCTGCACATAGCGATGCGCCTTGTGCCCACGTACTCGCTCGTATTCGGCCAACGGACCTCCATCGCTGTCGCATTCCTGACTGGATTTCCCTAGACGTCGACCAACCCTTTTATCCCGAGAGAGAGCCAGCCAGCCAGCCAGCCAGCCAGCACTGGCCCCCTCTGCGCGCGCGGACCAACAGTGCGCCATCAGTAGGCAAAAATCAGCCTCGCCAGTTGGTCTCTAAACAAACCCGTTGAGGTGTCGTCGTCGCTCGTGGTCAGTCCACTCTACAACAGGTAAGTGGGCTCTTCCAGCCGCACGCACACACACTGTACCTGCTATATATACTGACCCCCAAGATTTCCAGCAATGGGCAAGAACAACAAGAAGACCAAGAAGTCTAACAGCGCGTCTGCCAGCGTTTCAAACAGCGGTGCTGCTACGCCTTCCTCCGAGCCCATGACGCCCGTCACTCCCCCTACCCCCGACGTCGCTTCGGTCCCCACCACTGACAGCAAGCCGGAGGCCACCGCCGACACCGTGGAGGCCCCCGTCGCCGCCGAGACCATCAGCATTCCCACACCTGTCCGCTCCCCTTCCCCCGGCGCCGACGACGTCGCTCGTGCTCTGATCAAGAACCTCCAGGCGACTGTTGCTGCCAAGACGGCCGAGTCGGAAGAGGCCGCTGTCGCGCTGGCAAAGCACGAGGAGACGGCCACGGGCCTTCGCGCTCAGATCACCGAGCTCGAGGCCCAGGTTGCAGCCGCTACTGCTTCTGCTTCTGCGCAGGAAGCCTCCATCACCGAGCTCAAGGCTGGTGCGGACACCGCTGCCGCCTCCCACTCGGAGACGGCTGCTCAGCTCCAGCAGGAGTTGGAGACTGCGCGCAACTCGGCCCAGGAGACTCAGGCTCAGGCTGACAAGCACGCCGCCGATGTTGAGGACCTGAAGAAGCAGCTCGTCGAGGTCGAGGGCAAGATTGCCGTCGCCACTGAGGAGGCTGCGTCGCTCCAGGCCAAGGTGACCGCCAGCGAGGAGGCCGCCGACAAGCTGCGCAGTGAGCTCGAGGAAAAGTCCAAGAGCCTGCAGGACAAGGCCGACGAGCTTGCTTCGCAGCAGAAGGCGACCGAGGACATTAAGCAGAGCGCTCTTGACAAGGAGGCCGCATACGAGACTCAGATCAAGGAGTGAGTGTGCTGCATACATACAAGGCCCGAAAAACTGACCGTTCCCAGGCTCACCGCCGCCCGCGACCAGCACCAGACCGATGCCCAGACCGCCCGTGACGCCCTGTCGTCGGCACAGGAGCAGCACTCGACCGCCTCTGCTTCGCTTGCCACCGCCGAGGCTAACCTCGCTGCCCAGCTTGCCGAGCACGAGGCCGCCATCAGCAAGGTCACCGAGGAGCGCGCTGCCCTTGTTCAGGACCACCAGGCTGCCATCACTGCGTCTGAGGAGCTCCTGGCCCAGAAGCAGAAGGAGCACCAGCAGGCCGCCGATGAGCTCAAGGCGTCGCTCGCCACTGCCACTGCCGCTCACTCTGAGGCGACCAGCAAGCTCCAGTCGGAGCTTGACAGCGCTCGCCAGTCGAACGAGGAGCTCAAGGCCAGCCACGAGGCTGCGTTTTCCACTGCCAACCAGGCCACTGAGGAGCTCAAGTCGGAGCTGGAGGGCGCTCGCAAGTCTGCCGACGAGCTCAAGGCTAGCCACGAGTCGTCCCAGCAGCAGCTTGTCGACAAGGAGCAGGCCCACGCTGCTGCCCTTTCGCAGAAGGAGGAGGCCCACGCCACCGCCTTGTCCGAGAAGGAGGCTGGTCACGCGACCGCCATTACTGAGAAGGACGAGGCCCATGCTCGCGTCGTCGACGAGCACCTGTCCACCATCAGCACCCGTGACGAGTCCATCATCAGCCTGAACGCTTCTATCGCCACCCTCGAGGCCTCCGTCACCGACCTGAAGGCCCTCGTCGCGACCCACGAGTCGACCATCAGCACCCGCGACGGCGAGATTTCGGTCCTCAAGCAAACCATTAGCGACAACGAGGAGCGCATCACTCAGCTTTCCGCCGACCTCGAGGCCCGTGCCGGCGACGTCTCGGCTCGCGATGCCGAGGTTGCCTCTATCAAGGAGTCTACCAGCGAGGCCGAGGAGAAGCTCGCCGCGGCCACGGCCGACCTTGCTGCTCGTGACGAGTCGCTTTCGCAGATCAAGGCTGAGGTGGCCGCCCACGAGGGCACCATCGAGTCGCTCAAGAGCGAGCTCGCCGACAGCCTCAAGGCCAAGGACGTCGAGATTGCCGAGGCTGCTGCTGCCGCTGCTGTTGCTCTCGCCGCCGCTGTTGCTGCTGGTGAGGCGAGCACCAAGAGCAAGGAGGAGGAGCTTGTCCAGGCCCGCGAGGCCAGTGACAAGGTTTTGGCCGACCTTGCCGCCCGTGTTGCCGAGGTCGAGCAGCTCAGGAGAAAGGTTGCCACCAGCGCTGCCACTGTTCAGGGCAAGGAGACCGAGATCAACGAGATCAAGGCCTCGCTCGCTTCTGCCACTGAGGCTGCCGAGGCCAGCGTCAAGAGCAAGGACGTCGAGATTGCTGGGGCCGCTGCCGCCGCCGCTGTTGCCCTCGCAGCAGCTGTTGCTGCCGGCGAGGCCAGCACCAAGAGCAAGGAGGAGGAGCTTGCTCAGGTCAAGGCCGAGCTCGCTTCTGCTCTCGAGTCGGGTGGCAAGACGGCCGCGGACCTGCAGGAGCAGATTGCCCAGGCCAAGTCTGAGCTCGCTTCATCGACCGAGGCCAGCGCCGCCCTTGTCAAGAACAAGGAGGGCGAGATCGAGGCCGCCAAGAGCGCGCTCGCTTCCGCATCTGAGGCATCCGACAAGGCCGCCGCGGACCTGCAGGCGCGCCTGTCTGGCGTTGAGGCCGACCTCGCTGCCCGCAACGAGCGCATCGCCCAGCTCGAGGCCGAGCACGCCAAGGCTGTCGAGTCGCACGCGTCGGCGCTTTCCACCGCCGAGGGAACCATCACCTCGCTCCGCGGTGACCTGTCGACCCGCGAGGCGGCGCACGCCTCGACCACCACCGAGCTCACCACCCTCCGCTCGCAGCTGGACACGCACACCTCGCAGCTCTCGGACGCGACCAGCACCACCGCCACGCTCGAGCAGGAGCTCGCGACGCGCGCCACGGCCCTCAAGGCGCGCGACGTCACCATCCGCTCGCTCGAGGAGCGCCTTGCCACCAGCGCAGACGCGTTCACTGCCCTCCAGGCGTCGCTCGATGTCAAGGAGAGCGAGGTGGTCGCGCGCGAGGCGGAGATCAAGGAGAAGGACGAAAAGCTCGTCGGATACGAGGACACGACGCGCAAGTCCCGCGTGACCATTGGCAGTCTCGTGGTCACTGTTGCCGCGCTGGTGGGGCGTGCTGTCTTTGGCATGTAATGACGACCGAGTACGAGGAGAATGGAGGTAGACGGTGGGCGAATCATGATAGTTCCGTGCAATGCAGCATTACGATCCAGGACGGTGGCAGGGGTTGGGCGAGTGGCCGCGAAGGGAGGTGGCATATGGGGTGCATCGTGGGGAATGCCTGTCCTGCTAAGAGTGGATCAAACTGCAAGATCTGCGCCTATACACTTGCCACAGCACACCGGGCGCTGCGTTCGCTGCTCCAGTTTGCATCCGTGAGCGGTGGAGGTGGTGCTGAGTGGAGGTGTTATTGACTTCTCTGTCCATCAACCATCTTCTCAGCTCCCACCTTTCACATCCTCCAGTTTGCGTGTCATCATGGCAGAGGGAACCGAGGGTATGCTTTCCTTTTCGCACTGCCACCGTCTGACTGTAGCTCGTCTTGGTACAGACGTTCCCACACCCACGACTCCTGGCACAAGTTCCAGCGTCCCAAAGGACACCACCGGGGCGTCAACGCAGCTCACGCAACCCTCTTCGCCCGAACCAGATACCAAGGCCCAGTCCTCAAGCATGCCCGACGATGCACACAAGCCCTCGGACCCAACCGACTCCATAACCAAGTCCTTGGACATGAGCGCAAGCACCAACACTAGCCCCAACGACAACGACCTCGAAGACGCCATCCTCCAGCGGCTCCTGGACAACAGCAAGCCCGACGGCGCGGGCCTCGAGGCCGACGAGCTGATTCCGGCCATGTTCAACGACCTGTTCGGCAAGGACTACGAGGCGACCTTGGCGGCGTTGCAGCCTGACAAGCACAAGACCGAGGACAGCGGCGAGGGTTTCTAGTGCCGGCATTGTACATGTATAAAGGACGTTTCATGCACCCCCTTGTATCACCTCTCTGGCACGCCCGACCATGCACCAAACACCATGCACCACTGTAGCTCGCTTGGAAAAGATGGTATTAGTGCATTGGAATCATATGCTTTGTCTACGGCAGGGCAATTCGGGTCTCCGCGTACAGTCTTCAGGTGGGAGACCACAGCAAGCGCCTTTGCTGCCTCGTTACTTTCACACTACACCACACTTCACCTCACACACACGACATCCCTCTCCCACGCCCACGCCCCCCGCCGTTCACCTCGACGTACCCCCGCCCCCTGTCGTTGCAAAGATCCCCGTCGTCCTTGCGATCCAGCCCCATACCCCCCTGAGCGTGTACCCTTGGTACCGCATCCACACGCCGGCCAGCGCGACAATGCTGCTCGCTCCCAAGCTATACAGTGCCAACGAGCGCATCCTCTGCGCTGAACTGAGGGCCGAACTGGGTCCTCGGGGCGTGTATGACTGTGGCGAGAGCGCAACGCGCGTGATGGCCACCCACAGGTTGGGCAGGGGCCCCGAGAGCGCCGACACAGCCAGCGGGGCCGGAAGACCCAGCCGACGACAGTAGACGTCTGGCTGCACTTCGTGGCGCTGCTGCGCCAGATCGCAGTCAGACTTGGTGGCGACAAAGATGGAAGGGATGTGGTCGAGGGAGTATTGCTGACGCAAGTTGGAAATGTATGAAAACGAATTTGTGTCGCTCGAGTCGTGGATGAAGATGAGGACGTCTGCCTGGTCGAGACGCTTGGTGTTGCGGAGCATTTCAGACTCATACTTTGATCCAAACTCTTGGAGGACAAGGTACTTTTCGGCACCTTCAATCTCGACGCTGTTGACCACTGAAAGCACCTTTGTAGTCGGCTCATACGCTGACATGCCGTCCTCGCCACCGCGGAACCCCTTGTGCACAAACGAGCGCAGGAGCGACGTCTTGCCGGACCCTGTTGCGCCAAGGACGTAGCACAAGAACACGTTGCGCGTGACCTTTTTAGCGCGACGGTCGGCCTTGCGCGGGCGGGTAATCTTGACAGCTGCAACGCACGGCAGGTCCGCGGCAGGTGAAGACGAAAAGCCCAAGTAGGCCATGTAGTTGAGTGTGAGCTTTGGGTCGAGGAGGGTAGTCATGGACCACTGTGCGAGCCAGCCCTGGAGAGTCACGCGGCCCTGGTCGTCTGTGATGGTCGTGTCGGGGAAGCCCTGTGCGCGCCATGGGTTTCCGGGCGACGTGGAGAACAGGTCGTCCAGTTCAGAGGGGGACAGAGCGCCGTCATTGTCCTTGTCGTACGCCTCGAAAATATCGGTGAGGAACTGGTTGCCCAGGTGGCTCAGCTCGACGGAGCAGTCGTAAGGAACATCAAAGCGAGGGGACAGGAAGTCTTCACGCAGGTCGAGCGACTCGCCATAGCCAAACTGTCGCAACACGGTCCATGTTGTCTCCATTCGACCCTGCTGGATAAAGATGGTGTGCAGGTACAGGAACCCGAGCTCTGTGAGACCCTCCGGCGTCGGAGACATATGGCTGGGCCATGGGTCGCCTTCGTGCAGGGGTGTGTTTGGTGCAGTCAACGGAGAGGGTAATGGCAGGACGGATGCTGGGTCGTACGCGCGCACAAGATCGAGGATACCTTCCAGTTCTTGTGTCTGGAGAGGAGTCGAGAAGCATCGCTGCTGTAGAACTTGTTAGTTTATCCCTCCGCAAGATTACCCAAACCCTTATGGGAGAGAGATAGGGTTTCCGACGAGTGCCCACCTGGAACTGGTTCAGCTCGACAGCATTCAACAAGCCGTCCTTGTCGACGTCGCTGATCTTGAAGATGCGTTTCAATGCCTCGAGACACTTGGGCTTGAGGATCTACCGGCAAATGTCAGCAGTCTGCGCTGGTAACCTTGCAGGTACCCACGTGCTCGCGCGAGTCGTAGAGAGGTGCTGTTGGGTGAAGAACAGCTTTTTGGGCGAAGTAGAAGACCTCGGAAACATTCAGGGGGAGCAGCGCACTGCATTCGACCACAGTCTCGACCTCCTGTGTGATGTTTAGCTTCTCGGCCTCCACAGCAACAGCTCACCTTGAACTCGCGCATGAGTGGCGCAACCTCCTCCTCGAGCGCCTGGTTTGTGACCTCGCCGCCGCGCAGGTCAATCTTGTTTCCAACAAGGATAACGGGGACCTGGACGTCAGCTTCCAACTGATACATTCAGCTCACATTGATGCCCTCCTTGCGGAACAGAGGCAGCCAGTACTCGGCCACACGGTCAAAGCTGGACGGCTCGGAGATTGAGTACACCAGACAGATGACGTGGGCGCGGCCAAGCTGCGACAGCAGGTGTGGACGCGAGCGGGGGTCGGCTGGAGAGTCAGCAACGGTGTCGTATTGGATACACAGCTGGCGTGGAGCGGTTCTCGCGCTCAGAGCATCGAAGGTTGTCTCACTCTCGGAGCTCCGCACTGCTCCGATACACAATGGAAGCACGTACATGATGTGTCCACAATGGAGGTAGTCACGTTCTCCGGAGTAACCTCTGGTGGGATGGTGACCTCTGGGACGACATGTTGAACCTGCGTGACGTGGGCATCAGCTCAAGCCTCTCGGCGGTGCAGCCGTTGTTGGTATCGTACTACCCCCTTACGCGCACAGGGAATGGAGCTTGGCATACTCACGTTGGGCACAAACGACTCTTTGATGAGAGATGTGATGATCGAGCTCTTGCCGACGCCGTCTGCGGTCTGTGTAAGCACGGCGGGTCCCTTCTACTGAGGGATGGAGGTTGGTACGCACCGTCGCCGACAAGCACGATGCGGACGAGTTCCCGTCGCGGCATCTCGGGCGGCAAGACGAGGTCGGGGCTGTGAGGTCCGAGCGCGGCGTCGAGCGAAACGGCGCCGAACGCGCGCGTTGGAAGCGGGGGGTGTGGGCCGGTGTGTACGGCGGAGTGGGTGGTTCGAGAGAAGCGTGGGGGGAGATGGGGGTGGTGCGTGTGCGCTGTGGGCGAGCTGTGGGTATGCGTGGGAGAAAGTGTATTGAAGACTGATGTGTGGATTGTGATGGCTCTGAAAAGAATGCCCAACAGACACTAATGGTCCGACGCGATTGGTGCCGAAGAGGCGACGCGGCGGCGAGCGGACGGAGACAGATGGCCCACAGGCAGCTGAGGGCTCTGTGGGTGCTGCTATGCTGCTGGCAACATCGAGCCACCCAGTTCCATTCAACAACAATCCGTGTCTCTCTTCGACGTGCATAACAACTAACTCTATCTTTGTGCATACGACACTGGCGTGCACCCACACCAACAGATAAACAACACACCACTCGGCTCACCCCCGCGAGGTACACACCACATTTCAACAACCCCCACAGCGCCGTGTCTTGCTTTCGCCCAACTATCCCGCCACCAGCTAGATCACCACCATGAGCTCGGGCTCGTCGCGTCCAACCTCTGTCCGCGGACTGTACAGTAGGTACACTCTGCCATGAACCCATCCAACACGTTATTCTGACGCGTCAGCGCCGCCGGCGGAGGAATGGGTCTTCCTTCCCCCCACGGTGTCGCCGCCCGCAAGCGCTCCGGCCCCAGCCCCGCCCGCGCACCTCCCCACCCCCTTCACGCCCGAAGACGACGATATGGTGGACTTTGGTCTTCCGGGCCCTGTCCAGATGTTTGCCTCCCAGTTCCTGACCACGGCAATGGGCATGCCGTTTGAGGTGGGAAAGACACTGCTCCAGGTGGAGTACCGGCCAAGGAAGAAGTACGCGCCGCTCGAGACCGACGCCGTGACAAGCACACAACAGCACCGGGACTGGGGAGCCGAGGACGACGCACTGAGTAACCCGGACGAGGCCGATGTGTACTTTTCCGACCGCCTCGAGGCGCCGTCGAACACGTTTGTGCCGCCTCCGCCTCCTGCACCCGACGCGTCGGGCTATCTCGATGACCGTGAGTGGCGAGGAATAGGCTGGAGTCTTGGAGTATGACTGACTCTGCTGTAGCCTCCCCCTCGTGGCTACTCAAGGATGACCCAGACATCTCACGCGGTAATGGCGTGTGGGGTATGATCCGTCGCATCCGCGCGACACCGTCCGAGGGCCTCCCGGCACTGTGGAAGGGCCAGGTCGTGGCGACTGTCCACGCCGTCCTGTCTACAGTGTTGCAGCCCTCGATCCACGCGATCCTGTACACTGCCGTTCCGTCGAGTGGCACCTCTCTCCCGCTCGACTTCCCCCTCACGGCCCTGCCGCACCCGGTCGTCCCGCTCGCGATCCAAGTGGCCTCGCACGCCGTGACCCAGTTCCTCATCTCTCCACTGGAGATGTTGCGCACGCGCTTGATCGTCATGCCGGCCAACCTGCCCAGCACGCCCAGCAGCCTCACCCTCCTGCGCCGCGCCATCACAGAGGAAGGCGGTATTGCCGGACTGTACCTGCACGCCAACCTGCTCATCCCCACTCTGCTGGAACACACCATCCGCCCGCTTATGACGCTGTCCATCCCGCTCATCATTGAGCGGTACTTTGGCATCTCGCCCGACCTCGCGCCCATCAGCTACTCGATGGCCGACCTGGGTCTCAACATCGCTGCCATCCTCGTCATCCTGCCCATCGAGACGGTCCGTCGCCGTCTTCAGCTCCAGTCCCGCTCCGACGGCGAGTCCAAGAAGATTCGCTCGGTCGTGCGACTCCGTGAACGCGACTACATCGGCGTCGTCGAGGCCATGTGGCGTATCGTCACCGAGGAAACGTCTGCGCCGCGTAAGCGCCGCATGAGCGAGAAGGACGAAGGAGGGTGGTTGTCAGGCGTCGGACAGCTTTACCGTGGTGTAAGTGGCAAATGGAACTGTGGCCGGAAGAAAACCCAACACGCTGACGTATACAGCTCGGCATGGCTGTCACGGCCCACATTACAGTGTTTGGCCTCGGTCTCGTCAGCGCAGGTCTGGGAGGCGGCCGTGGAGTCGACAGCGCCGGGTGGAAGGAGATCTAATATTGTTTATGCATGGGGCATTCACGTGCACTACAAGAGAGCGTCTACCAGTCCGGGTGGTCGGGCTCAGCGATATCGCGCATACGTCCATCCACGAGGGGACAGATAATGGCCACATTCTCGTCTAGCGCCTTGAGCTCTGCGCGGCGCTTGTTGTCTAGTCCGATTGTGTTGAGGGACGGCGTGGCAGTCCTGCTTGGCCGTTCGCTCGCCAGCGTGCTGGCCAGTGTGCTCGTCGGCGCCGTGCTGATCGGCGTGGGCGTCGCTGAACGGCTGGGGACTGCCGAGGGTGCGCGGCTGCCCAAGTGCCTCAACTTGTCGCCCTCGCACGGGTCAACGTCGGCCATGTGCTCGTGCTTGGCCACATGGAGTGCGTCGCGAATACTGACCCAGTCGTGGTGGACAATGTGCCGGCGCAGCGCGGCCCAGGCATCGCCAGTCTGGGAGAGCTCGACCGAGGTCGATTCGGTCTCCACATGGATCTCGACGGTAGGCGGGTCCGTGACCACGAGGGCCTTGGCTGGCGACGATACGACCGAGGACACGGGTGAATGGTGCTGGTCATACGCGCGCTTGAGGACGTCAAACGTCTTGCTTGAGAGATAGTCGTGGTGCGCGACAACGAGTTGCTTGTGCCTGTAGATGTACGACGAGCCGAGGAGGAACGAGCGAATGATGCTGCTCATCGTCTGGCCGTTCTCGTGGTCAATGATAAACTTGCGATTCTTGAGGGCTTCAAAGCCGTCAAACCCTTCCGCCATGTATTCGCGAGTGATCTGAGATGTGTTGTCAGCAAGTGCCGGTATTGTGATCACTTACGATACGGTATGTCCTTCCTCCTTGCTCGTTCTTAATCTCCTCTCCGAGGATGAGGGACGACTTCTGGACCTCGATACGTGTCCCGTCTGGGCCGTCGGCAAACTGGACCATGTCGGGCGAAGGATCCTCAAGGTGCTCGCACTGCTGGACAGTGAGGTGGATCGAGTTGACCCTCTGGCCAGGCGGCTTGCGGTGGTCCCACTCAACAGCCATGCCGGACACGACGGGGAATCGGCCCTCTTGAGCGGGCCAGCGGCTGAGAGCACTCTCCATTGTGTCCCAGATACCCTTGCCATCAATCTCGAGACACACGACCGCGTCGTCAAAGGGGAAAATCTCGAGAATGTCGCCCAAGGTGACAGTACCAGGACCGTAGCGTGAGTCGCCGCGCAGAGTACCGCCACACAGGATGACGGCGTCCGCACCACAGCCGCCCTCGTTGGATGCAGCCGCACCGTCCTTTTCCTTTTCAAACTCGACATTGTTGCCCTCGATCAAGCTCTCGTCATACGCATGCAAGAGCACGTCGGCAACCCAGTCGCCCAGCCCGCTCTCGCGAGTGCGCACCAGCTCGGAACGCGCGTCGAGGGGGAGAAGGGTGTAGCAGACGGGGTGCTTGAGAGTCTTGTTGACGGTCGCCAGCAGGCTCTCGACGAGATGGTCGACCTCGGGGCAGGTTGGGGACGAGGGGATGACGTAGTGGTGTTTACCCGTCAAGGTGGCAATGGTACGCCGGCGGATGGCGTTGGGGTTCGGGGGAGACAGTTCCAGGTTGGCAGAGGACAGGTCGCGGAAGTCGGTGCCACTCTTGATAAGGCTGGTGGTTAGCGATACCCATCTAGCTTCCATTGACCCACCGGCAACCCTTGTCCTGCTCAGTGCCAGCCTTTCCTTGGCCGGTGTAGCCATCCCACGACTGTGCTCCCTTTCCAATCTGTCGTTAGCTGTCGGCCAGGGGTATTCAGCTTACGTAGTAAACCTAAGCACGTCAGCGTTGCAACAAGCAGAACACCTACGTGATCATGACCACCAATAAGAAGATCCACGCCGTGCTCATTCTCCACACCAGGTCGGTCCGACACGGCGCCGAGCTCGTTGCAGAGTCGAATATCCTGAGTAGGTCAGAAGCGTAGACGGATTTTGAACCTACGTTGGGGATACGGCAGTGGGTGAGGGCAATGATAATGTCGACGCGGTGGGGTCCCTGTGGGTCACGCAGCTCCTTGGACAGCTCGATGCCGACCTCCTTCATCTGCCTGTAGCGGAAGTTCTCTGGCCAACTGGGAATGGTCGCGATCCAGTCTCTGCCAAGTGTCAAAAACGATCACTCCCCCAGGCCCAGGCCCAGGCCCAGCCAGACTCACTCTTCCACAAGTCCAATAACACCAATCCGCACACCGCACCGCTCCGTCACCCAGTACTTTTGCAGCGGCACAGGCGTCTTGCCCGTGTCCGCGTCAATGACGTTACTGAGGAGCCATGGAAAGTGCGTCGCTCCTATGAGCTTTGTCATGTGTGGATAACCTGTGAACCCGTCAGGACAAGTATTCTCAGATGGACCACCTCCACCGCGCGAGAACACGCGCTGGGTATGTCGCGCGCGACCTTGTATGGCGTTCTGCCGCCGGCCGCCGGCTCGGCTTGCACACGCCATCGGGGACCTCGTGCGCCACGGACGTACCAAAGTCGAAATCGTGGTTGCCTGGGTGTCAGCAAGGTCTTTGACTGCGACACGTACCTGTGACGGAACAGTCGACCTTGAGGGCATTCAACACGGGCACCTGGGTGTTGTTAGCTCTCACGCCCCTCTACTCATCCCCGACCATCACCACTCACCATGTGACTGCCGCGCGTGACGCTGCTCTCGACCGAGGGGCTGAACACGTCGCCAGCGAACAGGACCAGTCCATCTTTGGTCTTGCCGTCCGACTGCGTGTTCCACTTGTCGCGCAGCTCGTAGATGAGCTCTGCGTACTGGCCCACAGTGATCTCCGCGCCCTCAGCCGCTGCTGGGTCCTCTGGCGAACCGGGCTGCGCTACCCATCGTTGGGCCACGCGGTAGACGTCGTTGAAGGCGAGTAATGGGACGTTGACAGACATGGCAACGGAAGTGAAGTGGAGGCAAAATAAACGAACAGGAATTGCCAGTGGCCAGTGGGCGTGACTATGAGTTGGTGTGAGATGAAGAAGAGTGTACCAGGATGACAACAATTCGGTGCTGTCGTCGTCGCCCGATCGGTGCAGGGCCGGTCACTCACCACTAGCGGAATGCGGGGTCTCCGCAAAATGTCATCACGGTCCAACGGCCAACGGCATCATGTGCCTTCCACGCCTTGTACGCTTCTTGTACAACATTCATTTACGCACCGGTATCTGCTTCTTCCCAAAGGGTCATACATCGCGCCGACTCGTGTCTTATTAAGAAGTGAATAGACAGTAGCTGACACCTATACAATGGGGCAAGTGACGCAAATCACAAAAAGGAGAGAGGGGGGAAGGAAGGGGTATACAATGCAGGGTGGGTTGCGGGGGTTTTGTTGGGTTGTTGTTTGTGTGTTGGTGGCGACATGCCATTACTCTCTCCACTGGTTTGACTCTAACCATTCTCCCTCTACCGTCCTCCGGCTCATTCGGCCATGACCTCCACGTCCTCCCAGTCATCCTCGTCTGGGCCTGGGACGAGTCGCTGGACAACTCCTCCGGGCCCGAGGACCGTCACCTCAGGAAGGGCAGTGTCCTCGTCCGCGGGGTCATAGTTTTCCACACGCTCCTCGAGGACGTACTCGGCGTCAATCATCCATTGGCGAATGCGATGGAGAATTTCCGAGATAACACGCCACGATGCCAGCATGAGCATTCCCGCAGATGTGACGGGGTACATCATGCGGAAAGCCCAGCTGTTGTCGACGTTCGGCAAGGGAACACCCATAAGCTTCAAGCCAGTGCACATGCTGAGGAGGAAGACCCAGGGGAGAACAATTGGGACGACGAGGTAGAGCGCGATCGGCAAGAGGAAGCGGTTGACCGTCTTGAACTTTTGTCGCAGGGGACGCCTGAATGCGTCGCGGAACCGTTGGCCGAACGGCAGGTCGGGACCGTGCTCCTCGTGACCGGCAAAGCCGACAGCGCCAACGTACATGGAGATCATGGCGGTGCCCATCGCCCACGCGTCCCAGATATGGAGAACGGGGGTGAGCTCGCTGGAAAAGCCGTAGCGTGCCGGAAGGGAGATGAAGAGCTCAAAGTTGACGCCGACGAGGAGAGGGAGGAGGAAGTAAAGCGTAAAGACCGAGTATGCGCAGCGCGCTGCGTTGAAGACCCCGCGCTTGAAGCGAGTGGACGTCTGCGAACGACGGAGACGGCCAGCGCGGCTCCATTGCACAATACGCTTCTTGGTGCTGTTACCCAGAGAGTATGATCCCCAGCAGACGTAGCCTCCGACGAGCCAGTTGTAGCCATCAAAGATGGGGGCGTCAACGAGAAGGCTAGTAGCCAGGCGGCCGACAGCGAGCGGAATGAAGAAGAGCGCGGCAGTAACGGCACTTGCAGACAGCAGTCCGAGCGCAAGCAGGACATGGACTCGGGTACGCCAGTAGTCGGGGAGCGTAACAACGGTGTAGTCCTTGAGCGGGTTACGGCCGGCGCGGCGAGCAGCACGGTCCTGACGGAGGAGACGACTCTTGTCGGCCTCAGTCATGGGGGAGCCCTTGTGGTCTAGGGCAATAAACATGCCCTCGCGGCGGCGCTCGGTGAGGGGAAGCAGTTCGACGCGGTCATTGTTGGGCACACGCGCACGTGTAGCACGGTTGTCGTAATGGCCGAAAAGAGCTTGGCAAACGGCATCAATGATCAACCATGTCATCCTCGCCCTCTTGGATTGGGGCCCGGGGTGCGTGTCGGGACCAAGAATTAGAGACGACAGGGAAAGCCAGCGGACAGTGTAGTCCCACCAGACCTTGAGTCCCTTCTTCAGACGGTGATACACGCGGAGCCCCTCCCACGACGGCGGCAGGATGAGGTGGAGGAACAGCAGGTCGAAGGGTACAGACGACAGGGGGCGCCTGATAGGTCAGTAGAGCGACAGACTCGCAACCCACTGTTCAAGATGGAGAGGAAGGAAGTTCTTGCAGGAGCTGCTAACGTAGCCCAGCGACGAGATTAGGGCAGGGACCATTCCGCAGACCGAAAATACGACCAGCGAGTACATGCAGGCGGAGATTGCAAGCTAGCGAGTCAGCGTCATGGTCGGGGTCCAACCGTCCGACTCACCCTTGGGATCTGGGCCATGGCAGGACGCTCCATGATGTCCTTGACGGGAGAATGGGAGGGGTCCGAGGGGTCACGAATAAAGTACAGCGCACCCTTGCGGCAGATGGTCCTGACGTGTGCCAGGAATGTGGCAAAGGAGAACATGAAGATTGTTCCCGTGAGCCAACCGACGAAGAGAGTCCCAAAGGGGCGGACCGCCAGTCGCTCGAGGCGGTTGCCAAGGGTTTGGCCGAATAGGCCCAGAATGCTGACGTCGATAATGAAGCCCACAAATAGTGGGAAGACGACAATCTCCAGTGTCATGAAGAAGATGACCTGACGGTTAGCAAAGAGCAAAAAGGAGTCAACGCACCTTCATGAACACTTGAACGTTACGGGCCTTCTCCACAAAGCTGTCGGAAAGCTGCAGAAGGTTGGCCGCATCCGCGACGGCGATGCAGACGATACCGATGGTCACGGACACGTAGCCCACGAGAAGGCACCAGAACTGGTCGACAGCGTCGGGAGAGGCGGCAATGCAAATGTAGACAAGGCGCATTGTTTTGTACACGCCATACGAGGCGCCACCGACAAGCTCAAAGGCGTTCAGGACTTTGGCGGCAGCAGCATCCACGACGGGTGGCAGTTCTGAAGTGACGTTGACGGCCATGAGACTGCTACCGTTGCCCGGGGTTCCAAAAAGTTGGGAAGTCAGGTTGAAAGGGTTGAACTGGTCGAACGTGTTCAACTCGAGAGGGGGAAGACCGAAAGACTTGACAATCCAGTCCACGGCGGACTTGGCAAGAAGACGAGGAATTGTGAGGAAATCGGTGACAATGGTAGCGAGAAAGTCCAGAATAGCGTCCACGCAAATAGCGATGATCCAAGTGGAGCCAACGAATGCGTCGCGGGCCAAGCGGATAATGTCGGTGGACAGAACAATCTTGCCAATGATGATAGGAAGACCGACAAGAACGAGGAGCGTGAGGGCCATCGAAAAGCTGACGAAGATGTGCTGCAGCGTTAGCTTGGTAACAGGCGACCAACTCACGTTGTGCAGCAGACCAGTAAGAGGGCCGATGAATCCAACGACCTCGAAGATGCCATCCCAGTCATCGGCGTCGAGTGGACGGTCGTCGTCGTCCTCTGGAGGAATATCGACGCCAACGCCGTCAATTTCCATAAACTCTGCGAGACGCTCGGCCGCCTGGATGGGATCGGGAATCGGGTCGTCATCCTCCTCGGGGTCGGCGTCCCCATCATCTCCATCATCCCCATCATCACCATCATCTCGGTCCCCATCTCCATCGCCATCGCCCTCTGCGTCAGCATCCGTGTCGAGATCCTCCAACTCGGTGTCTGTGCGTGCAAGGTCTACCGTCGGCGGCGTGTTGATGGGCCCAGAACCCGAATCAGAGTCGAATTCGTTGGGCAGCTCCTCATGTTGCTCCTCATGTTGCTCTTCATGTTGCTCCTCATGCTGTTCCAACAGCACTCCCATGCCACGATCAGTGTCAGGCCCAACGGTTGCCAATGGCGAGTCGTCTGGGTGTAGCTGGACGGGTACCCCTTGCGAGCCATATAGGCGCTCCACACGCTCAATAGGGGGAGAGTCGAGAACGGGATCGGAGGCACGACGGAAATCAGGCGAAGCCTCAGGGCCACTGCCTGTGTTGATCACCGTTTGTAAGACCTCGTCGTCTGCCTGCCGGTGCTGCTGCTGCACGCCTTCTGGGGAGTAGCTGTGTCCCATCGGGCTCACATCACCTGCAACGTGAGGGATGATTCCTCGGCTTGTGAGGTGCCCATCGGTCGTTTCGGTCAACTCCGAGAAATCGGACACCCCTCGTGCCCAGACCATGCCTGGACGCCTAGGCGAAGAAGGACCGGGGCTGCCTCCGACTGCGTCGACCGGTACGTCGACCGGTACGTCGGCAGATGGTCGTGACGATGGGCCAGGCTGGCGCTCCCTATCGCGCTCCTGGATCTCGTGAACCAGATCGCGCAGGTCCTCGGGCATTGACTCGAGAGGCACGTCCCGCCAGTCATGGAAATCCGGGACGGGCGCAGCGTGCAGCTCCTCCGCTATGGCGTCTGCGCCGTCGACGGTGGGGGTCTCGAGCTGCTGCTCGGGGGGTGTATAGTCCACATGAACACCAGCAGGAACAGGGCGGACCGGATGGTCGGTGGACTGGTCGTCATTCTCATCCGTGCGCACCTCGACCACGGTGTCCGCGTCTGCGTTGTCGGCCCTGTCGCTGGCGGTGCCGTCGACATGTGTGCCGGGTACAGTGGCAAAGTGGTTGTGCTCATAATCGATAAAGCGTAGAGCCTGGCCGTTGCGGAAAACCCAGTCCTCGAGCTTTGGCTCTCCTTCTTCGTCAGGAACCACACGCGTGTTCCAGTCGAGCTGCCCGATCCATTCTCGAAGAAGGATCAAGCCGATCAGGCCGGCTGCGATAGACATGGCCACAATCTGGCCGCGGAAAACAAAGGCCACAAGGCTATCCCAGTCAGTTACATCTCATATGACTGACTTGACCCACTTCTTGCTCTCGTCTACGAGACGATCACCCAACCCAGAAAGGACGTTGTATGTGCCGTTGGTCGCAATGGCGCCCAGAACGCGCTCGCGGCCCGTGGCGTTCGCCGAGGTCCAAGTGGAGTTGTCACTTGCAGTGAGATCCTCGTAGCTATCTGCGACCACATTGTGGATGCCGTATGCGATACTTGGCGATGTGCTAGAAACGATGAGCACAGATCCACGGACCCCAGGGGTTTCTTCTTAGCTTCTTGCTTCGTTCGACTCACAGGTAGTTTGCCATGAGGATAATGAACCACAACGTGCACATTGTGATGCAGGGTAGAAACACTAGCCAGCTGACAATGGCCAGACAGATGCGGAGTACGCGCCAGGTGAGGCGTCCGGCCACCAGGAGCGACTGACGAATGTAAACGATGGCCGGGATGGCGGAGGGAAGGGAGGAAGGATAGACTGCCAGTCAGCCAATGTGCACCAATGTGCACCGTCTTGGGCCAGTAACATACCTTTGGTGAACGTGTAATGGTGCCCGCAGATCTCGCAGTAACGCTTCCTGCTATGGGACAGCCATTCTTGGAGGCTACGACGTTATCAGCTCGTGTGACTGAGACGAGCACCGAGTGGCAAAGCGGCGACGACACCACTCGGCATGTTTACGCACCAGTCCGAATGGACATATCGCACGGAACCCGAGCACTTGCAGGGATATATGAGAGGCTTGGACTCTTCGGCTTCGCTTCTGCAGACGCGGCAGAGGTCTGCGCGGGCATGTTAGTGACTCGAATAGAGACTGAAAATGCCCAGTCGTGAGGATCAACCTACCGCCCTCTTCGTCCCAGGACCACGGTTCAGGCCCCATCATGTCCGCCATGGTGAACGCTGGTTATCGCATTGACCAGGGCGGCGTCGGGCAGGTTGAAAGGCGAGGGGGGCGGGAGAAGGGTAGCTTCGGCAGATGGTGACGGCCGAGGCGGCGATGTAGAGTAATGCTGCTGCTCGTTGATCAATGAGACCCCCAGTAGAGCAACGGTGCCGCACAACGCCCCGCGCCGCCTGAACGCGCGCGCCCGTTGTCAACCAAGCGATGACGGAGGCGGAATCTTAATAACACGTCATTCTTAGGCGGCGGCGCACCGCTCTCGCTCTTGGCGCCGGCATGTTGCTTGTTTGGTTCGGTTCACAGTTGGCCGCATCCCATACTCTCTCTCGCACAGTCCCTTCGCTCCCACTATTTCTCTCAACGGTGCGACACCGGTGCTCTGTGGAAGTGCGACGTTCTATACCCAACAGTGGCAGCCGAAATACACCCCGACCTCTTGTCACGACAGAATGCTCCGACTGTTCTCGATGTCATCCGCGTCTTCACGCAGCACGTCCACTACATGACTGTGCGCAGTCAGACGACGACGTCGTCCGTTCCCGGCGAGACAACATTGCGCAAGTTGATTAACTCGCCTTACCCGCACAGTTTCGGTGCCCAGCCTGCCAACGTTTTGCTCCATGGATTCGCAACCGCCCTGCAACGCGTTGTGGACATATCCGATCGGACGCGCAACCGCCTGACAGTGTACCTTGAAGCAGCCAATGACAGCGTGCTCCGTGGTGTTGACCTGGAAGTAAACCCCCAGCAGTACCTCTACGCTCTGTACTTTCAGTCGGTGAACTCGATCATCCAGAACGCTTCCCATTTTACACCTGGCGACGTACCAGAGGGCAACTGGACGATCGCCACATCCGTCGGTGGTGGGCGAGGGGTGGAGTATCGAGTGGGGGACGAGTTGGTGACTGTTATTGAGATCAAGCCCTCGTCAGCAGCCGGCGACCGCATGATCCTTTGTGACATGCCAGAGGCCGCACCAGACGCCTTCGTTTCCAAAAACGCCCACCAGCAGCCCATCGGTGTGAAGATTGGGGAGGCACCCCACACCCTCGTAGGCGGCCATCTCTTCCATGTGAGTAGATGGGGGCCCATTAAACGAACACATATGCGCAAGACATATTGCTTACTCCAGCTCTGGACGCAACTGGCCTCGCGTGAGATCCAGTATTCAACGTTCACCAATGGCAACGCCTGGCTACCCCTTCGCGTGATGGATCGAGTCAACGTCCTGGATACGGGACTGACCTGTGCGGACCAAGCAGGACCGTTTGATCCCCTCAAGACACCATTCGGGTACCTGCTGGCGTTGAGCCTGCTGCCGGCAGGACATTACTCTCGGCCGCTTCCACCACCCATTCCAGTTCCACCAGCACGGGTGACACCCGCCGCCGCACCTGGACTCCACACAGACGTGAGCCAACTATTAATTGGTCTATTCTAACATCAGCCTGCCATCGATAGCGTCTCGAGCTCAACCTACGACTCAGTCTACGAACCACCCACGAGTGGGGTCCGTAGCGATCTAGATCAGCGGGGCGCGTATGCCGTCCTAGACTCTGAGCCGATACCGCGGTCAAGGCCTTGTTCGCGCAGAGCCAACTCCCATTTCTTCAACCCATCGCCGTCTACCTCGCACAGCAGTCCTTCCAAGTCTTCTTCCAACTTGCCTGGCGAGGGCCAGAATTTGCTTCGTCAATCGTTCCCGCGCTCGATCACGATTGAGCTTGTGGACGAGGTCCTGGGACCGCACTCACTGGACATGATCGATATCACCAGTAGCGCTGGTGTAGTCCTCACCAAAGTCGACAACGGCGATCTTGAGGCGTGCGTAAACCTGGTGACGCCAAGTACCCTCGCTCCTGCACCCATCTCGGTGTCCGACACCACGGCCACGATGGCCATCTCTCGCGGCCTTGGGCGCGGCGGTACATCGGACGTGTACGCGGCGACGCTCGCCGCGGCACCTATCGCGGCCAAGCTGTCTTTCCCCTTTTCCGAGGCGATGCGCCAAAACGCAGACTCGACAACGATGCTTTCGGCGAGTCACATTGCCGAGCTTGAGGTTCCAGTGAGATACCATCTAGCAAACGAGGCGCGCGTGCTTGGCGGGCCTCTCTCGGCACTGCACGGGGAGGCGGTGCCCCAGTTCTTTGGCACCTACCGCGGTATGGCGCCCGCATCGGCATACTCTCAGCAGTGGGCGCTTGCGCCTACGGGGCCCCTCGAGTTGTGGGCCACGCTCGTGCAGCGCACCGAGCCAACCAATGTCGAGACGATGACCCACGTCGACAAGCTCGAGGTCGTAGCCCGCTACCGGCAGATCCACGACGCAGGCGTCATACACGGGGACGTTGCCCCGCGCCACTGGCGCCGCTCGGCTGCGGGCCGCATGCTCATTATCGACTTTGGCCACGCGACTATGCGTGAGGACCTCCATGAAGCTGACTTTGAGGGGTGCGTGGCGGGTGAGATGATGGAAGTAAGGCGCATGCTTGGTCTGGGGGAGACGACTTGATGCCCGTGTATGGTGGTGGCGCTTCCGAGTTGCATGTTTTGTTGATACTTTTGAATGCTTGTAGCCTGTAGGCATAGTCTGGTGTTGTTGGTTGGCATTGAGTCTGCTACGACCTCGCAACAAGTGACACCGGCAGTGCTGTCTCAATGTTGTGGTCGCGAACACTGACAATGGTCTGATGCGTGGAACAATGGGGACATGGCTTTGCATTTCCATTCTCTGCTGAACTGCTGACTAGATTACTGAACAACTTCGTAAATTACACCGGCGAACGCAGGGAGGGTCACGGTCGCGCCAAGGGTCGCCGGGAACGAGTCCTGGGTGCCCACAACGAGCTTGGAAGTGGCATACTTCTCTGGCAGCTCGTACTCGACAGTCTCCTCGGTAAAGTTCATGACGACAAGGAACTTCTCCTCCCGCAGGTACGCGAACACGCGCTCATCCTCCGGTGTGAGCTCGCGGTAAGAGCCGTAAATCTGGACACAACCGTCAGCTGATGTTGGTCAAAATAGCAGCTGGCTCCTCACCAATACATCCTCGTGCTCCTTGCGCAAGGCCAAGAGCGTCTTCCAGAACGAGAACAGCGAGTTGGGGTCATTGACCTGGGCCTCGACGTTGCACTCGAGGTAATCGGGGGACACACGCATCCAAGGAGTGCCCGTCGAGAAGCCGCCGTTGGCCTCAGAGTTCCACTGAACGGGGTTGCGGGCATTGTCTCGTGCCTTGGCGTACACCTTCTTTGTCCACTGCTCGACGTCCTCGCCACGCTCACGGAACCTGGGCGCGTCAGCTGCTGGCACCTTTGTGGCTGCTTCACTCACTCCCTGACAATGTTGCCCGTCTGGACGTCCTTCCATTCCTCCAGCGGCCAGTCGTCGGGAATATTGATCATGCCAATCTCCTGGCCCTGGTAGATGTACACCGTGCCGAACTGGGTGCACTCGAGCATGGCAAGGAGGCGGCCAGAGTCCCAGCGGAACTCGGGCTTGTCGCTAGTCCAGCGGGAGATACTCCGGGGCTATTGTTAGCGACTGCAGCTGCGCAAGTGTCTTACTCACCTGGTCGTGGTTCTCGAGGTACAGAGCGTGCCACGCCCCCATGTCACGAACGCCTTGCCACTTGCTGAACGTCTTTTTGAGCTCGCTGAGCTTGTAGGGGCCCACGACGTGGCGCCACATGCCTGTTCCAATGATACCAATGTTGCAGTGGTCAAAGGTAAAGCCCATCGAGATTTCATGGTTATCCGGGTGAGTAAACTTGAGCATGTGGTCAGGCTCGACCTGGTTGAGCTCGCCAACAGACATAATGTCCTTGTCGTACTTGGACATGACCTCCCGGTCCATCTCCTTCAGGAACTCGTGCAGCCGGGGCCCGTCCGCACGCCGGATCTCTTGGTATGGCTTGTCGGGGTTGGTCACTGGTGCATCAGGGAGCTCCTGGTTCTTGCTGATACGACCAATGACGTCGATCTACGGGTCAGTTCTACTGCCATGGCAGTCAGCTCAACTCACTCGGTAGCCGTCAGCTCCCTTGTCGATCCACCAGCGCATCATGCTGTACATCTCCTCGCGGACCTCGGGCTCGTCCCAGTTGAGGTCAGGCTGGCATTGGTCGAAGATGTGCAGGTAGTACTCCTGGGTTGACTCGTCCCACTTCCAAGCAGGACCGCCAAAGACAGACTCCCAGTTGTTGGGCTCCTTGCGGTTGCCGTCGGCATCATACTTTGGTGGGCGCCAAAAGTACCAGTTGCGCTTGGGGTTGGTCTTGGACGACTTGGATTCGAGGAACCACGGGTGCTCCTCGCTGGTGTGGTTGGGCACGAGGTCGAGAACGAGCTTCATGTCGCGCTTGTGCAGCTCGGCAATGAGCGTGTCCACATCGGCAACAGTGCCGTACGCTTCGTGAATGTCCTGGTAGTCTGAGATGTCATAGCCCTAGCCGTTAGCTGCAGTATGGGTGGAACTTAGCTCACCATGTCGCCCTGGGGCGACTTGAACATGGGGTTGATCCAGATGGCATCGACTCCGAGGTCCTTGAGGTAGTCGAGCTTAGCAATGACACCCTTCAGGTCACCGACACCATCGCCATTGGTGTCGTAGAACGAGCTGGACGTCGTGGTCAGCGACGAGGTCCCGTCAGTTAAGGGACACGACTCACGCCGGGTAGACCTTGGTGCTGTCAGCATTGACTGGTCATCCACAGAAGCGAGCTGCATCTGGATTGAACTGGACGTACTTGGTACACGACAGCGCTCTTCCACCACTTCTTTGCAATGTCGCGCGTAGGGATAAAGGCAGTTTGCTTCTGGGTCATGGTTGGATATGGAAGGAGGGGTATGCTCACAAGTGGGGTTAGCGTGAGGTGCCCACGGCAATGTTATAAACGTCCCAGCAACGTCGACGAGACAAAGTCGGAGGACGTCCGAACTGGGCCATGTGGGGTACCATACCTGCGCGTATGCGCGTCTGCACGCTACGGTAACTGACGGGGCTCTGCAGTGCCTCTCGAAATGGGCGGCCTTGGCGCGCAGGGCTCTTGGGTGGGCCATATCCTGGGGGCCGTTCTGGCCAGCATGCCAGGTGCAGGGCCACGTTGGAGAAGCCGAGAAGCCGACGGAGAGTGCCGGGCCTCGCGGATTATCGCCACTGCGACGAAATGGTTGGTCCGCCATATATCGGTGCCGCTCCGAGGTGCCGCCGAGGTCGCGCGTAACCTTCGTCTGCCCCCATGGGGTTGGAGCCACCGCCTGGGCCGGACCGTTTTCGGAACATGGTTAACAGCGTTCTTGCTCTGGTGTCGGCTTTGCGGCGCGACAAAGCGTCGGCGTTCTCCCCTTCGCCCCCGGAGTGATGTGATCGCTGCGCGGGTGGGCGAGTGGTTGCCGTTTAACATATAAAAACTCCAAGACAACATGCCCGCCTGCTCTACACATACCTGCGACCCCAACATGACTGTCGACATCATCCCTCCCGCGTCCCAACGCCGTTGGTGGAAAGAGTCGACCGTCTACCAGAGTGCGTCAAACCCCTCCGTGGTCGAGACGTAGCTGACATTTCACAGTCTACCCCGTACGCCCCGTCTGGTTGTGAAAACGACCCCCCAGCGCTAACTGAACGTCAGGCATCGTTCAATGACCATGCCGACAGCGGCCACGGAACGCTCCCTGGTATCATTGAGCGCGTTCCATACCTCCAGGAGCTTGGTGTCGACATCATCTGGCTCTCCCCAATCTATGAATCGCCGCAGGCTGACAGTAAGTTGACAATGTGTCACACGCCTCCGGCCTCCGGCGGGCCGGTAAACCGGTTTATGAATTATGCTGACCAGACACAGTGGGATAGTAAGGAACTAGCACGGGCGTGCTCCGGTGGCTGACCGATAATAGCGATATCAGTGACTATCAGAAGATTGACCCACGATACGGCACCCTCGAGGACTGGGACAATCTCCGCGACGCATGCCACGAGCGTGGAATGAAGCTTGTCATGGACCTGGTTGTGAACCACAGCAGCAACGAAGTGAGTCTTGAGAGAGTGTATGCGCGTGTGGCACGAATTGGCAGCTAAATGTGTCAAGCACGCGTGGTTTAAAGAGTCCCGGTCCTCCAAGACCAACCCAAAGCGCGACTGGTACTATTGGCGCAAGGGAAGCATCAACGAGAAGGGCGAGCGTGTGCCACCCAACAACTGGGAAGCCATGTGGGGTGGCTCGACATGGGAATACGACGAGGAGTCGGACGAGTACTACCTCCACCTGTTTGCCAAGCAGCAACCCGATCTCAACTGGCTCAACCCCGAGGTCCGCGAGGCCGTCTACAAGATGATGCGCTGGTGGCTTGACCGTGGAGCCGACGGTTTCCGCATGGACGTGATCAACTTTATTGGTATGTCCCACACCCTCGTCGTTTGGAGCTGACCGAGCAGACAAGGCTCCCGGCTTTCCGGACGCGCCCACTACCAACCCCTACACGGTGTATCAGCCCTTTGGTCCTCTCTCTGTGGGCCGTCCCGGTGTCCACACGCACCTCAAGGAGATGCACGAAAAGGTGCTCAAGGATTATGACTGCTTCTGGTGAGTTTCTTGTGGCGGTGGATCTCTCGTGGATGCGTGGGGTGGCTGATGAGGCATGCCTGCTCACGTCTTCAGTGTCGGCGAATGCCCAGGTGGCGATGACCCCGAGGCGTTTGCCCAGTACTCCAAGCCCGAAAACAACGAGCTGCAGATGGTCTTCAACTTCCACCAGTGAGTTGCATGATCAAGCTTAGAACAGCGCTAATCAACTATCAGTCTGGGCTTTGACAGGGCTCGCACCAGCACCATTGGCCGCGGGTGGAACCCGGACTGGAAGTTGAGCGACTTTAAGCAGGTAGTCAACACCTGGCACGTTGACCTCCCCAAGGAGGGTGGCTGGATGAGCAACTATGTCGACAACCACGACCAGCCGCGACTCCTGTCTCGAATCGGCAGCGACCACCCAGACCACCGTGCCCGCAGTGCCCAGGCTGTCGCCGTGTTCCACACGACCCTCACTGGCACCATCTTTGTGTTCCAGGGCCAGGAGAATGGCCAGATCAACATGCCCCATTCGTGGGGAGAGGAGGAGTACAAGGACATCGAGTCAGTTGAGATCTTTGAGGGGGAGCGCGAACGCCTGAAGCGGGAGGGAGCCACCCAGGCCGAGATTGACGAGCGCATCAAGTGGGTGCTGGGCAACCTCCGCGAGACGGCACGCGACAATGGCCGCACGCCAATGCAGTGGGACAGCAGTGAACATGCCGGCTTCTCCAAGGGCCAGCCATGGATGCGCGTCCACGACGACTACAAGCAGTGGAACGTCAAGTCGCAGGAAAACGACAAGCAGTCGGTATGGTCGTTCTGGCAGGCCATGCTCGCCTTGCGCAAGAAGCACCTCGCAATCATCTATGGTGAGTTTATCTTGCACAAATCTCTAGCTGACATCCAGGCAAGTTTATCCCTCTCGACGAGTCGTCCGAGGAGAACTACACCTACATCCGCGAGGACGAGGACACTGGCGAGAAGCTGCTGGTGGTTCTCAACCTTGCGCGTGGTCCCGACCGTACCGGCTTGCCGATCAAGGTCGATCTCGCGTCCATGGGCGTCGACACCTCGAACGCTCAGTTAATCATTGCCAACGACGGTGCAGAGGTCGGATCAGGTATCTCTGGCCCCTTGGACCTGGACAACTGGGGTGCCCGTGTCTACCTCCTCCAGCAGGGACGGGCGGTCCTCAACTAGAATGTCGACCTGAGCTCGCTGTGTGTATACATGAATACCGCGGTTCGACGACAGCATCTGGACAAAGAGCGGTTTGTAGCAGTACGAACAATGCATCCCGAATAGCGTGCCTACGTGTGTGCTTTGGTCATGAAGAGATGTGGGGGTCTGAGAATAACTTCCGAAATTACATTTTAAAGTAGGAATATTAGCGGAGTGGCTGCTCTCTGGTCCACCGTTGCCGCGGATCTCCAGACACAACTCAAACCTGGTTGTCGTCGTCGTCCTTGCGCCCGTTGTAGGAGGTTGCCTATCTGGTCACAATGGCATGTGAGGGGACGTGAGCCTCAGAGAGGCAGTTACCGAAATGAGGACGTCACACTCTCTGCCCACTGAGTCGACGCACCGATCTATAGCTTCCCTGGTGCGATGTACCGCTCCAAGCGGCAAGCACAAGCACCTCCCAACACCCAGACATTGCCTACATAGTCACGTAGCTGCCCCGACCTCGCTTACATCATCTGAGAGCTGTAGAGCGCTCACAACATTGACCGGCGAAGCAATGTCGTCCTGCTCTCGTGGTGTAGTGGCTATCATACTTTCTTAGGGTTCCGTTGGATCTCTAATCCTGCTTGCTATGGAAGTGGTCCTGGGTTCAAATCCCGGCGAGGGCCTTGCTTTTGCCCCCCTGGGACATGTGCACTGCTTTTGAAGAGCCCAGCGACGTTGGGAAAGAAAGGAATGGTGGTGGTGATGGAGGTGGTGGTCGGCGGATTTGGTGTCGGTCGGCTGGCGAAAGGGCGCTAAGTGTATATCCGCATATCCGAGGTTGTGTGTCCTCATGGAGGCCCTCCGGCGGTTTGCGAGCAACATCTATGTCTGTCCAGGGCCCTGTACGCCCCGTGAACACCGAGGGGCTGCGTGGGACCCGAGTGCCCACCGCAGATGTAGATCTCGACACCGGTATTTCGGCATCGGCGATTTTGTTGGAAAACCGCCACACTCGCCTCCGGGTTGCTCCTCAATCATGTCAACGAGTCAACAAGACACTCATATCCTCTCCATGCATGCCTCGCCTCTCCAGGAGGCTGCACAGGCAAAAGCAAAGGCCCTCGCCGGGATTTGAACCCAGGACCACTTCCATAGCTGTAGAAGGATTAGAGACCGACTGGACCCTAAGAAAGTATGATAGCCACTACACCACGAGAGCCGTTGATGAGTAGTTTTTGTGCTGTGCGGCCGCGGCCTCTCGTGTTTGGTGTCTCTTGGATGCGGTTTAACACGCTCCTCTGGGTGATTGCATCACTGTGGATGGTGGCCCGACATGGGGGTGCTCTTGGACTGTATTCTGGGCCCCCGGAACACCCACCACACATGACTTGAGGGTACAAACTAGGTCCTGAAATGAAGTGTCCCAGAGGCCTGTCTATTGGCCGACCATTGGATATTGGACGACCCATAGCATGTAAGCTGAACAAACGTTAGACATAGCTCATCTAATTGTTCTTGCGCGAGAGCGTCATCACTCGCCGACACGGCGATGAACCATCACTTCATCAGAGCTATCATTGTTCTTCATTCATTTTCATCAGGAGCGTCGCTACGCTCATGACCTTCGTCCCGTCTCCGGCCCCCATGACCCGCTGGGTTCAATTACAGCCCCGTGTCCAGCACTTCCCCCGTATCGACATCAAAGTCCTTTCCCGCAACAATGTGCGCCTTGAAGCACTCCTCCAGGCGATCCTGATACACGGGCAGGCTCATCTCCCCGGCGTGCTTGTTGAGCGCGACAAACGCGTCGTCGTGCACAAACGACGGCCAGTCGCTTGCGGCCACTCGGGCACAGATAAACGCATACCGCTCGCGGTCCTCCGGGGACCCCGACCAGTCGACCCCCCACTGGCTGTCCTGCGGGTGGGGCGGGTAGACGTCCAGCGTGCCGCGGACGGTCCACGGCCACAGGTCGCTGTAGCCGCACCCGCCGCGGCCCCAGAGAATGGAGAACTCAATCGATTCAAAGTACCGCCGGCAGGTGAGGTTGGCCTTCCACTGTGGCGCCATATCGTAGGTGTTTTGGTATGGTGTTGGTAGGTTGTGGGAATAAAGGTATGAGAAAGGTTGTCCGTTGGTGGGTGGTGGTGAGAGGAAGTGAAGAAGGTGCGCGGCACAACAGAATCATATGTATGTATGTTACGGCGGTGTCAGTCTCAGATCAGCCCATTCCTTCAAAGCAATCACTGTTTGTGTCCCGCCTACCAGGCTCTGCATCGTGTTGGACGACTAGAGTCCACCGGAGACTGCCAAAGTGAGAGTGATGGGAGCGCGAAGGCGCCACTTTCGTTGGCCCCGTTTGATCCCCTTTGTTCGGAGAAGGATAGACCACACACGAGGCGGGGGGTCTGGCAACGGTTGGGTCGTGTCTCGATATGCGCATGTACACACGCATGCACTATTCTGCTTCTTCTCGTCTTCTCGAGTGACAGGAAGGGGGTCAGTGTAGTTGGCGTGTGAAGTCTTAGGACCCAGGCCGAAACCACCAAGGCCGAAAACACACACAACCTCGACAGGCCATAACACGGGGGTTCGGCAGCTGGGGCTGTCCGGAAGGGTATCGTAGTCTGGCTATCTGGAGGGGCGGCCACATAAAACTGTCCAGCCCGGTGTGGTCAACGACTGTTTGATGACAGTGATTAGTTTGATTGTTCAGTGATGGTGCTGGTGAATGATGGTTACGTCGCCGACCCCACGCTGACCAGCAACCGCTGGCCCCCAGCGAGGTCAGGTGTGGTGAATGATATGATGCATTGTGAGGGGAAACACAGAGGGAGAGAGAGTATATTACAACTTGAGCATCTCGGGTGGGATGCTCATACGGCACAGACGGGCAATCATGCCGCCGAGCTGGACAATGGTTCCAACACCCTCGAGGACACGCATGTGCGTCCAGCCGACTTCACGGATAAACTCGAGCTTGGTGTACTCTGGCAAGTCGTCGAGACCCTTGACCACGCGGAAGACGGTGACGACAATGTCGACGGCCGAGTATCCCTGGTCCCACAGCTTGTTGATGACCTCGAGGGCCGCGTTGATGTCGCCGGCCTGGCACGACTTGATCATCTTGCGGACCTGGACGGGGTGCGGCTGGTCGCAGATCTTGAAGACGTTGTCCTGCGAGACAAAGCCGAATCCGGACCATGTCGACTGGAGGTTGTTGATGGCCTGGCGCATGTCGCCCTCGGCAGTGAAGATGAGGGCCTGCAGGCCCTGGTCGTTGTACTCGACTTTTTCAGCGGCGCAAATCTCCTCCAGGCGCTTCAGGACCTCGGCGTCGCGCAGCTTGCTGTATCGCAAGATGGCGCAACGCGACTGGATGGGCTCGATGATCTTGTTGCTCATGTTGCACGCGAGCGCGAAACGGGTCGTGTTGGAGTAGATCTCCATGGTTCGCCTCAGCGCCTGCTGCGCGCCGGCCGTCATCCTGGAGAGTGTGAGCAAGAGCGAAGTTGAAGTGGGTGAGGAATGGAGCAGCTCAGCTGGTGCAGACTTGCCAGCTGCAGCAATATAGCCAACCATGGGACGGTGTGATGGGCGTGCGGTACCGCAGCTGCAATACAACAATGACCGCGTTCTAGCTGCACACGCGCGAACACCGTACACAGGCCAAAGGAGCCTCAAGCCTCGACCACACACTCACGAATCCGCCTCGTCGAGAATGACAATCTTGTGGCGTCCAGGCGGGAGCGTAACTTTACGCTGCGCAAACGACTTGATCTTGTTACGGACCACATCGATACCGCGCTCGTCGGACGCGTTCAGCTCGAGCACACCTTCACGGTACGCCGAGCCGAGGAGGGCGTGGGCGAGACAGTGGATCGAGGTCGTCTTGCCGATACCGGGGAGACCCTAGTGGGCGTCAGCAGTTGGCAGCGGCGAGGGTGACGTGGGCAGGCGACGAGGTGGTGGGGCAATGTCCGAATCCTTCACCTCGCCTTCACTGGGGCTACCTGCCAAACTCCAGACTCACACTAATGATGATGTGGGGCATGTTGCCGTCCTCGGCAATGACCTTGAGGCGATCCACCGTGTCACTGTTGCCGACAATGTCGCCGAGGAGAATGGGACGGTACTTCTCCACCCTAATATCCAGTCAGCGGCCATGCCTTCCTCTGCGCGCTGCGCGTCGCTCTCTCATGTGTCTGTGGGTCTCCGCCAGGCGCGACAGGCAGCCACAGGCTCGCTCGTAATCACGGCGGCGAGGACGTCGGACCAGCTGCGACTCACCAGGGCATCTCGTACCCCTCCGCATCCGAGTGCTTGGCCGTGACGGGCACTGCGGCCGACGACGATGCCATGCTTGTTGTTGTTGGTGTTTATTGTGAGTACAGTCAACTCGAGGTGGACTCACCGTCATATTGCATCGGACGCGACGCGCCGCAGCGGAATCAAATAATGGGTCCGCGGTGGTGAACGGTGGGGTGCGCTCGAAGCCTTACCGATCCAGCATTACAGACCCAGCTTTGTTTGTGTTCTTCAAGACATGACCATGCAAGAGTGTAGTACATACAACGCGGGATCCTATGCTCTCGCCCTCTTCCTAGCTACTACTACGACGGTGGTGGTGGGGGTGGTGGTGGTGAATATGACTTCCTCTCCTTTCCTCTACAGTTCACGGAACCACGGATCACAGGGGGCTAGAGGCACGTTGCACGCCACCTCCACTGGCCCCGTGTCCTCCGCGCCGCGGCTGGCGACGACGGTCAGCGCTGCGTGGCTCCTTCTCCTCCTGATCAGCCATGCCAAGGCCAAGGCCGAGGCTGCGGCGCTTGGACGCGCGGCCGCCCGACCGGCTGGGAGTCGACGGCGCCGCGCCAACGTTGATGGTGCCGTCTGCCATTTCGGCGTCGATGATGGGTCGCTTGCTGCCGATGGGACCTGTCTGTGCGGGGCCCGATTGCGGCGGAATCTCGAGTGTGGTGGGGATGGAAAAGTTGAATGTGGACGTGGGCAGGAGTGTGGTCGATGACGAGGCAGCGCGGGAACCGAGGTTGCGCTGCAGGCGGAGCGGCGGGGGCGCGATACCGCGCATGAGGGATGGGGACGAGGTGGGCGATGAAGAGGGGAGGGGAATGGGCGCAACGATGCCGTCCGAAGGCGAGCGGTCGAGCGCGAGGGTCGAGCTCGACGCTAGGCTCGATGCCTGGCGCCGCGGAGCAGGAGTGGGGGCCACCGGGGACTCCTCCTCCATCATCTCGGTGCGGAGGGACGAAGGGCCAGGTGTGTCTCGAAGATGATCACGCGAGTCGCGCGCAAAGCCAGCACCGGCGTTGCGAGCGGGTCCGGGGATCGGCGCTGACGCTGGGCGCTGCGGGGCAAACTGACGCGTAGCGGCAATGTGGGACAGGGGCTGCGCCTGGATGTAGCTGGGCGCTGGGCTGTTCCAGGCTGTTCTTCATCATCGGCGGCAAACGCAGCCATAGCAGTCTGTGATCGTCAGTTATGTTTGTCCCCCTCCTAATCTCAAACATTCAAAACCAACCTGGCGAGCCTCGGTCCAGTCCATCAAACGCGCAAGCGCTGAAGCGGCGTCCTCGCCCGCAGCAATGTCCGACTGGAGCTTGGAGAGTACATCGGCACTGTGGTGTCAGCAAGTGATGGCGGTTCGGGGGCGGGGGGCGCCGAGTGCGCAACCAGACTGTGGGCGGACGTGTTTGCCGAACGTCCGTCCGTTTGGGCCCATGGGGCTGGCCTCGTTAGGGGGAGAGGAAGCACTTACAGTGCAGCAGAGTATCCGACCTGGTAGGCATGCTGTGCGGCGAGTCAGTGTTTTGCCACCGGGGAACAACCCTTCAAGCGGGGAGGGCTGTCAGGGGGTACGCACCTTGTTGAGTGCCAGCGAGCTCTTGTATAGCGTGGTGATGCTCAGCGCAGCAGCTGTTTTGCGTTAGCTTGGACCCCAAGGGCGTTGGATGGGGGTCAACGGGGAGCATGGGCAGCGTGGACCAGGATTGATGTCAACGCGCGGAGAGGCGTCACGCTGCCGGACCGCTGAGGGGGAGAGAGGGTGAGTCATAGCAGCGATACGCACCTCTGAACTTGTCTCCCATATCACGCTCTGCGTCGGCAAGGCCAGGAGGGAGGGAGGAGTTGAGGGCCGAGAGGTCCATCTCGGCGAAGGGTGTGTGGGTGTGTTGGCGGCAGAAGTGGAGCGGAATGTAATGTAACAGGTGTTTGAGTGGGTTGTAAGGGGGTTGTTGTAATGATGAAAGGGAAGGAGATGGGGTGTGAAGGAGAAGGAAGAGAGACGAGCCGACTCGCTGGGTGGCGGCGGCAACTCGTAGCGTCAGGGGGTTGGTGCTCTCGGAATCAAAAATCCTGCCGCCTGGGTTCCATTTGAATTACCTTTCCTAATATCCTAATGCCATGTTTTGGCTGAGAGGGGGGGGGGCCGTCCTCAACACTAGTGGCCGAGCACCATCTCACTGCAGCTCATTGCCCCGTTTCAACGCTTCGCTGTTCCTGCACCCTTTCCTTCACTTGGTACAAGTGCATGCCTCTGCTCTGCAAACTGCGCTACAACAAGATTCCACGTCTGTTTTTTGGGGGACACTTCCCTCTCCAGATATCTACCAGCGCTTCTCGCCGTCGTACTCTGCGTAGAACTTCATGACGTCCTCGACATCGTTCTTGGAGCCCAGGAACACAGGGCAGCGGCCGTGGATGTTGGTGGGGATGACGTCGAGGATACGCTGGGTGCCCGTGGTAGCGAGACCGCCGGCCTGCTCGGTGAGGAAGGCCATGGGGAAGGCCTCGTAGAGCATACGGAGCTTGCCGTCCTTGCTCTTCTTGTCATCGGGGTAGCCAAAGATACCGCCGTACAAGAGGGTACGGTGGACGTCGGCGACCATGGAACCAATGTAACGGGCCGAGTAGGGCTTGCCGTTGGCCGGGTACTTGATGCTCTCGAGGTACTTGAGAGTAGGGGGGTAGAAGTGGAGCGAGTTGCCCTCGTTGAACGAGTAGATCTTGCCGCGGTCGGGAATGCGAATGTCGGGGTGGGTGAGGATGAACTCGCCAAGAGCCTCGTCGAGGGTGAAGCCGTCAACACCCTGGCCGGTGGTGAGGACAAGGTTGCACGACGAACCGTACCTGCGAGCGCGTGTCAGCTGTGCTTCTAGAACAAGGGGGGTGGCTGATCGGGAAGGCCCGGACGCCGGGAACCAGGCCGCCGTTTAGGCCCAGTCAGAATCACTCACATGGTGTAGCCGGCAGCAACCATCTCCTTGCCGGGACGGAGGACGTTCTCGACCGTGCCCTGCTTGCCCTCCTCGACCTTGTAGACACCAAAGATGGTGCCGACGTTGACACCGGCGTCGATGTTGGACGAGCCGTCAAGGGGGTCAAAGACGACACAGCTGAAGGATGTGGTCAGCCACCATTTCCAGAATTCCAAAGTTGTGTGTGTGTGTGTGTGTGTGACGAGCTGTCTGCATGGGCCCGAGACGAGACGTGGATGCACGGATCCTCGGACATGACGTCCGATCGGACTGTGGTAACGGCGGCTCCATGGGGTCTCCATCCGGACCACCCACGGCATTCCGCTTGCCGGACGGAGTGGCTGTCACCGCTCTGCACCCTTGTTCCGTCCGCACGCGACCGCCGTTGAGCGGAGCAAGCACGGCAGTCCCACGCCCGCCTGAGGGCAGGCGAGGTGCATGGCCAGCGGGCGGTGCGGTGCAGACGACGGAAGACGGACGCTCCGAGCACTGCGTGAGGAAGGACGGAGGGAGGGTGCGAGTCGCCCCCATTCCAGGACACACTCCCAGCCTCCCCCGCACTCGCAACCCTTCCCACCGCCCTGGCCCACCACCCACCACCATGCTATGCTATGCTACTGAGAAGGGGGGGAAGGAGAGTCTACTCACTAAGTGCCCTTGGATCCCTTGACGATGATGGCCTCGTCAATCTCCTCGGAAACCATGACGGAGACCTTGCCAGAGGCACGGAGCGCGTTGACCATGATGTCGTTGGAGAGGACGTCGAGCTTCTTCTGGTCCTCGCCCTGGACGTTCTCGGCGCCGGCCAGGCCGACGAGGTTGATCAGACGGGCCTTGCGCACGTTGGACGCAATGTACTTGGACGTGACCTTTGGGGAACGTTAGCAAGGGCGAGAGAGGGAGGGAGAGAGAGAGCGAGAGCCAGTGGGGAGCAGGTTCGGCTAAACTGGACTACAGAGCCTGGAGCAGCGAGGAAGGCGCCTGTGGGAGCGCGTTCGTTCGTGCTGCCTTGTACTGCATAGCTCGCCGGTACTCACCTGGATGCCGACGAGGAGCATGGTGAGGTCGCCCGAGGCGCGCTCGCCCAGCTCCTGCTGCTGCTTGAGGATGTGGCGGGTGAGGGTGATGAGGTCGGTAGGGGGAGCCTCAAAGTCGGTAGTGTCGGCCATGGTGGATAGTGCTGTTGTGGATGGGATGGTGATACAGAGAGGAGAAGGAGGTGGGAAATGCAATGCTTGGGATAGGAGAAGAAAAGAGAATGGACGACCGGTTGCCCCAAGGTAATAAACTCACGGAGCTCCTCGTCCTCGCAGAGACGGAGACGGATATGTACCGAGGCGGCCACCAGACCTCCTGACTGATCGCTCACAGCTGACGGGTAGCCGGGGAGGAGGGACGCTGGCTGGTACGCTCTGGCTGTCAGGGAGACACACCCGCCCCGCCAGCGGTACAGCGGTCCATCGCGCGCCGGATAGCCGTCGCTGTCTGCTCCGGGCCGGTCACACCGTACACGCACCGTACACCGTATCCACCCGGGATCTGACGGAGTGGGCACACTGCACACCTCGGCATTATCGGAGCGTTGCGGGGCAACAACCCTCCTAACATCCCCGCGTTTGGAGGTACGGACGTGGGGAGCGGGGTACACACCCGTGTGTCGATTAGTCGCCTATCAGTGCATAAGACGGCGGCGATAGAGATTGATATTGATATTGATAGCACACAGGAGCAGTGTCTAAGGGTGGACGTGTTGCGGACGGACGGGGGTGTCTTCTGCCGGCGGCTCTCACAGCTGGAGACCAACCGTATAAATGAACAGTCCTTGTTTTGAGGTGAATCTAAATGCATAACAATCCAAAATAACCAAAGCGTGTTGAGCGCTACTACCAGTGTACACTACACCACCCGTGTCTCTCTCTCTCTCTCTCGTGCTCGTCGTCGTCTCATTAACTCTAAATGTCGGTGGTGGGCACCTCCTCCTCGGTGAGGGCCTGGCCGACGCGCACCTTGTCTCCGGGCTTGACCGTAAACTGGAAGTTCTTGGGGGCCTCAAAGACGAGCACAACGGTCGAGCCCAGACGGAAGCCGCCCATCTCCTCTCCGGGAAGCAGCGGCTGGCCCTTGAGGACCGAGGCCTGCGAGTAGACGGCCTCGGTAAAGGTGTGAGCCGGGTGGGTGCGAGTGCGGGTGTTGGTGCGGAGGGTTTCGTCAAAGTTGATGAGGATGGAGCCGACGTTGGTGGCGCCCACGGGGACCATGGAGAAGAAGCCGTTCTTCCAGCGGCCCAGGAGGGCGACACGTTCGTTGAGGACAAAGAGGTTGCGGAGACGGTTGGCGACGTAGGGAGAAACGGAGAAGAGGTCGCCGGTAAAGTGACGACGGCGCTCGACGACCCAGGCGCAGGGCGAGTGGAAGCGGTGGTAGTCTCCGGGAGCGAGGTAGATGACACAGAACATGAGCTTGTGGTCGGGACGGAGGGTGCCAAACTCGTGGGCGCGGTCGGTGGCGCTGCCAATAGCGGAGCGACCCATCTCGGCAGCGACCTTTGCGTCGTGGGCAAAGTCCTTGCGGGCATCGGCAACCGAGGCGTCGTGCTCGTCCTCGTCGCGCTCGGTGCTGTCCTCGCGGACCTCGGCAGCGCCGTCCTTGCCCATGAGCGACGACAGCGAGTATGGAATGTTGTTGATGTTGGCGAAATGCTCGTCGTCCACCACGGGGGTCTCGCCGCCACCAACAGACGACGAAGCGGCTTGCCTGTCAATCTGCTTGGTGTGGACCGCCTGGCCCTCGGTACCGAGCAGAGCCTCGAGAGAGTATGTGATGCCCTTGACCTGCTCCACCTTTGAGCCAACAATGGAACCGAGGTGCAGCACACGACCGTCGGCCGGCGACACAAGCTCGGCGTCGGCAATGGGGCGGGCGTTGGGCTTCAGTTCACGGTAAAAGAACTCTCCCAGTGAATCGTATTGCGTTAGATCTTCCGGTACACACTCGTCGAGGTTACAGCCGAAAATGTACGAGTAGAGCTTGAAGCCATAGGGACGGAACCAGACAGGGAGGACGAGCGAGTTGAGGTAGCCCCACAGCTGCGACATGCTGCGCAGAGGGAGCGCACCCATGATACGGACCTTTGCATCGTGTCAGCAACGAGCGCGGCGTGTTGGAGCGGGGGTGGGAGTGTGCGTGGCAATGCATGGATGGTGGTGGCGGTGGACAAGTTGGTAGGGAGGGAGGGAGGGGGGGGAGAGAAGGCTGCGAAGCACGCCACAGTCGTAAGACCTGGAGGGGTCACTCACCTGCCATGGGCCATCGATGGAGGGCTTGAGGACGGCACCGCCCTCACGCTGGGACACGACCTCTGGCTCCTTGCGTTGCTTGCGGTACTGAACGGCGACGAGGACGAGGGCACCGAGGGCGATGGGGATGGGGAACCATTTGGTCGGCGTCCTCCACGCGCGCTTCACCTTGCCTGCAACGCGTTTTAGCATAGTGTCGGGGTGTGGAAAAAGCGGAGGGGGGTCGTGCGACCAAAGTTGGTGACGGGACAGGACACGAAGCCGGGGGTAGGTGGACTGCACCGGCACACAGACGCATACGCTCGTTCGTCGTGCGACCCGGGCCGCGACACCAGTGGTCCAGCGAGGCAGAGCGCAGAGACAGACAAGAACCCTGGCTCGCCAGCTTCCCTCACAGCACGACACCTATCGATGCGCCGATGCGGCGCTCAGCCTCCACGGGGCAGGAAGGGGCAGAGGCCAGCAGGCAGACTAGACTAGACACACTGAGAAAACGCGACTCACTCCTCAACGACTCCTTGCCTCCGGCGGCAGCTTCCTTCTTCTTGAGTGTGCCGTCGGTGGTGTCGCTTGCTTCTTGCTTCTCGGGCTTGGGCCTGGAGGGAGGACGCGTCGAAGAAGAGTTTGCGCGGACCTGGGTCTTGACCGGAGGGCGAACGGCGCTGATGGACTGCGAGCGGACGCGAAGCAGCAGGGCGGGGCTTCCACTGCAGCCGGCTGCTCGGGGCAGGTATGCAGCGGCGCCGAGGCCTGCGGACGAGTGCCGCAGAGTGACGAGCATGGTGTGTGTTTGGGTGAAAAGAAGTGGTGAGCAGGCAACGTCATGCGCCATGGTAGCTTGCGAACAAGTTACATGGGCGTGGCCTGGGTGGGAGTGCGGCGCGGCGAGGGGGGTGCGTGGGCCAGCGATTTTTGACGGGTCGATGGGTTTGGCCCGTGCCTGGGCAGTTGGGCAAAACCAGACCGTCTCTGATCCTCGATGTTGACACCATCGACCCATCGCGCCGACCTGCTCCTTTTGCACACCCTTTTTCTTGTCATCGCCCATACCTCCCCCCTTTCTCTCTCTCCGGCGCCAAATGGGAGACGTCCAGCGCGCCGTAACGTTTTTGCGGCGCACCTACCCCCTCCCAGAGCCTGACCCCGTACGTGTCTGGTCTCGCTCCTGCGCAGCTACGTGCAGGCAGCCGGCCGGCCGGCCGCCTTGCCACACCCCTGACACGGACACACGGTCACTGACGCCGCCTCCAGGTATGGGTAGGCGAGTGTGTCGCCGCTCTCCGCGATGACGGCCAGCCAGCAACCGTCGAAGCCGTGCACGAGCAGTACCTCTACAGCGACCTCGGCGCCTCCACACTACCGCCCCCGCTCGGCGGTGGCGGCATCCCCACCAGCACCAACGAGCACGACGCTGCCCGTCTCGAGTCCAGCACGCTGTTCGCCACCCCGACCATTGTGCAGCTGCACACGCTGTCCGAAGTGGGGGCCAGCGCGTTTGCCCTGTCCACAACACTCGATCAGCGCCGCGACGTCATCACGGGCGCGACGCGTATCCGTCGCCTGGGAGACGAAGACGACCAAGACGGCGAGGCCGGCGTGGCGGACGGCGTGCCCCCGCCGTACCCGCGGAGCATGCTGGCCATGGACGTCAGCGACGGCCGCACGGCGATGAGGGCGTTCGAGTACAGGAGGATACCAAAGCTGGTCCTCAGCGAGACCCCGATGGGTACCAAGGTGAGTCAGTTCTGCGTCACCTGTGCCTTCCTTCCAGTCTCTTCCCTCCGCCACACCATCAATACTGACAACCGCCAGCTCCTTCTCCACAACGTCCGCTGTCTCCGCGGTACTCGTGCGTAGCTAGTTCATGAATGTCCCAGCGCACTAACTACCGCAGTCCTCCTCGACCCCTCCAACACCACCGTCATGGGCGGCGCCGTCGAGGCCCTGGACGCCGGCCAGCCCGAAGCCTTTGTCGCGAGCCTGCAAGCGCGTCTCGAGTGGGTCCACGCAGTCCGCATCTGCACGCACCCACCACTGACATACCCAGTGCTGCAAAGGACGGCTCTGCCGCTGCTGCAGGAGCCGGTGCGCGGCGCCGGACACTGCCGGCTCGCGGACGTGGGCGCGGTCGCGCGGCGCCGGCACCGGCGCCTGCTCGTGCTCCCCCACGCGCCGCTCAAGGAGGTACATCTGCCGCCGGCCGCGCGGCGCGCCTCGCAGCGATACAAGCTGCGCGTGAGGAGGAAGCTGCCGCCGAGGAGGAGGCCGCGGCGCTTGAGCAGCACGAGCCATTCGACCTGACGGGCGACACGACGATTGGCGACACGACGATTGGCGAAGACATGGACGACGACGAGTTTGACGACAGCTTTCTGCGCGAGATTGACGCGGCCGAGGCGCAGGCTACCACGAGTCAGAGGAGGGCCGCCGAGGCCGCTAGGACCAGGGCAAGGGAGGCGAGGAGGGAGGCCGAGATTGAGATTATTGAGATTTCCGACTAGACGACCCCGGGTGCCACACCACGCGCGCACACACGCACCACCACCGTTGTGCCACATTGAGAGCCATTATTGCCACTGCACCACACACCTGCATGTTCATACTTTTCTTTATGTTTTATTACCACAAGCATGCATCGACCATTATGAAGTTCAAAAGAGGTTGACGCGACGGCGGCCCTCGGGCGCTCTATGTGGGAAGAGCCCCGAGTCAAAAAAGAGTCCCAAGAATACAGACATATAAAACAACAAATACCCCGTTGAAGGGTGTATATAAACTCTTAGAGAGCTGGACTCGCTCTCTCTCTCTCTAGTCAAGCTTGCCGCCAAAGCCCTGGACGAGGCCGAGCACGAGCGCGCGGCGGATCGTCATGCCCTCCTTGTACCTGCACACGATCCAGTTGCCGTTCCCGCGCGACGCGGCGGCACGGACGACGAGCTCGGCGGCCATGCGGCCCGTGTTGATCCTGTTCTCGCCGTCGGCGTCGCCTCCGGGATCGAGCGTGGCCTTGAGTGCGCGCCACGCGTCCTCGAGGAGCATCTGCTCGGGATCGTCGGACGGCGCCGAATCCGGGTGCGACCCGCCAAAGGGACACGAGAACGACTGGCATAGCCTGGTGGCGAAGATGAGGAGACCCGGGTCGTTGACGACGTGCGAGTCGGAGAGGTGGCAGCATGCCTTGAGACGCGTGAGGAGGTCGGGCTGCGTGGGCGGCGATCCTGCGGCCGCCTGTGCAGCGGCTGCGGCTGCCTGTGTGGCGGGAGACATGGGTGACGCCTTGGACGACTCGCCGTTGCTTGCCAGTGCTGCGGGCTGCTGGGCGCCGACTTGCTGCTGCTGCTGTTGCTGCTGCTGCTGAGGGTCGTTTGTGGACGACGCCGAGGGGTCGAACATGTTGAAGATGGGGAAGGACGCGGGGCTTGGGCCCTTAAAGTCCAAGTTGCCCGCCGAGTAGTCAAAGTGGGGCTCGGGAGAGATGGGGAGCTGGAACGGCGTGGGCAGGTTGAAGCTGTATGGCGCTGGCAGGTCGGTGGGGTTGGAGAAGAGGGGGATGGCGCCGGCAGTGGACGACGCGGCGTTGTTGTTGTTGTTGCTGTTGTTGTTGGGGCCAGACGCGGGTGGGGGCGGCATGTTGCCGGCCATGGGGGACAGTTCCGCTCCATCGCGGCTGTTCTCCTCCTCATCCGACATGTCACTAGTGTCCGGGTCGGGCAGACCACGCAGACGGCGTTCGCGCTGGCGGGCCTCTTTACGGGCGCGCACACGCTCGCTCATAGGCACACCACCGTCCTTGAGCGACTTGCCCCGACCAGTTGGGCCAGATCCAATCTTGGGGCGATCCGCATCAGGGAGGTTCAGGAGTGCACGCAGCTGGCCGTTCTCAGTCTCGAGGATGAGAATGCGCTCCTCGAGCGAAGCAAGGTGCTCTGCGCGACGCAGACGGAAGGCACGCTGGACCTCGCGCGCGCGGGACGGGGGAAGCTGGTCATTGGGTTTGCGGCCGCGAGGCTCGTGACGGTCCTGTAAAGGCGGTTAGAAACTGGACTCTAGTTCTCGTAATTGCGGTGGATGTGTGGGGATATGCCACGGGTGGGCATGGAAGAACAACGTGGAAGGGGGGTGGGAGAGGTCATTGGGATCGGTGAAGGGGAGAGTAGGAGGGTGCATGCAGATAGTAGCAGACGGGTGTGGGTGTGTGGGGTAAGGTGGAGGTGGATGGTACTGAGTGAGATGGCCACGAGGGCGAGATGACCCAGGTGACCAAACACACGAGATGGGGGGAAGAGAAGGGATGGTTGTGTGAGATCACGCACCTTTGGCGGTTGGACCGAGGGCGTAGAGGAGTTTGACGCTGGCGCGGTAGTTGCCGACTCGTCCATCGTGACGCGTGGCCTGGCCTGCAGTGTCTAATGCCGATGGGCGGGGTAGGTGTGAGGAACGGAGTGGTGGATGGGGTGGTGGTTGACAATCGTTATCGATTGCACATGCACCGTGTGGGCGTGGTGGCAATAGATGGTGGGTGGGGAGGTGAAATCGTTTTCCAGGCGGGGGGGGCGAGAAACGCACACTGCACGGCGGCGTCGCTCTCGTCTCACGGATGCGTCTGGCGGTCGTCTCACATCGGCGATTCACGCGGATTTATTGCCAACCTAGCTTTGAGGCAGACACAAAAGTATTAGAAGCGGGAGTATAATATGTATAATGTGCCCATAATAAACTGCCTCATTCCTAATCCCCCGCCCTGGTCCGATCACGCCGGGTGTGGCGAATCTGAGCGCCAACTTTGGAGAATGTGGCATATGGATTTCTCCGCCACCGCTTCCAATAAACGCGCGCGGGTGTGAAAATGCCATCCCAAACCAAATCATCGGCCACTTTCAAACAAAAGGCGACAGCGATCGCTGGCGAAATGTGAATACTTTTGGAATTTCTAATACGGCGATTCACTACATCAGCCACTAATGCATTGATTCACGTGCACTCCACACAGGGCGCAGGCCGCAGGCCGCAGGAGAGGCCAAGTTGCACACAACTGTACACACCAGATCGATCGGGCGTCCAAAAACCCAAAGACGTCACATCGCATAGGCCAATTCGCCATGTTGCCGGATTTTGTGTGTATTCGGCGCGACCCTCAGGCCAAGATAACCCCACACGATATGCCAATATGCTTACCCCGCACGCACGTGAGCGACCGGTCGGTCCGCTCAACTAATTCGTATACCAAACTTTCGTCTCCTTTGAGACGTGCCGGCGGCACTGGGTGTGCAAACCCTTGCCGCGGCAGTGATCGTCGCCCATTTCCCTGCGTACCACCATTTCCCATTGTCGTGGGCTGCGAGAGGCCACTGCATCCATCTCCCACATCGCTCCATCTCCCACATCGCATACGTCTGCTTGGGAGGAGACCACGCGTTGCCGCCGGTAATTTGACCCGCAAATGCAGGGTGGAGAACTCTCCAAACCAGCCGAGCCCTTACTTAGGCCTCTGCAGTGGGCATGGCGTTGCCAACTGCAACTGCACCGCTATCCTGTTCGCCACGCAAGGACCACATGGGCATTGTGAAGGTGCGAAAGCGTGCATATCACCTTTTGCCGCCAAGGGAATGCGAGGTCAAATCTGATAACTCTAGAGTAACGCGGGTCGTACAGCCCCTGACTAGTTCTACTCTCAACCTTCGCACTGCTGTGGCGAAGACTGATGCGAGGGCACTCTTCCAGATGTGTGCAGAGAACCTTCTGGAGCATTCAGCACATACACGTCACACGTCCTCTGCGGACAAGCATGTGGTCAAGCGTGGCAAGCATCGCGTTGCCCCGTGCACTAATGATTGTGCATACAATGCCAATGACGCGCGTCACCTGAGCGCCTGAGCGAGACGCCACCATGTGGAGCGCTCTGAAAATGCAACAATACGGCTCTCGGATTTGCCTCGGCTTTACTCTTCTGGACACATTATCTGTTGCATATATCTGCTTCCAAGGTCGGCAAACTCCAGATGAATCCACCCTTGTATTGATCATTGAGGCCTGGAGCCGACGCCCGGATAACGAGTGGAGCGGCCCGTTGCGCCTTTGACCTTGATAATCAATGGACACACGAACAAAGGTGGGAGAAAATTGCAAAAACGCCCTCTCCCTCTCCCAGATCCTGTTGATCTGTGGAGCAACGGGGAATCTGCCGAGGGGGCGGTTCGCCAGGCGGGGCCATCTTCCACTATCTTTGCGATAATATCACACCACCACAGTACCCACTTGGGCCCGATGAGATATGTTTCCGGACAGCTCACGCCATCAGCCACAAGCCGACGTGTGTTGGGATCCCAATACCCAAGTGCCTTAAGCTTGTTTCTCGCCAATTAAGCAATTCTCTGGTATTTTGGAAGTCTGACCACACGATCGGGGCCCAGATATGATACCGAAGTGCGGACAAGTTCAGTGCGTCTAGAGCGCCCACTTTGCACGGGTGACCAGGCACTTTCGTATAGCCCACAGCAGCGATGTGGATTATCTGAATCTAGTTGTAAAATCACGTAGCAGACATCACACCTGTGCGTCTCGGCAGTGTCGCAACTGTGTGCAAACGAGCACATTGGGCACTTGACGCATCGGAATGGATCTCCTGGTACGACGTAGCCAAGCTGTGAGGCAACGCGGCGGCGGCGGCCGCCGCCGCCCGTGCGTGTGCGTAAATGAGATGAGATTATTCCATACAACTCAGCGCAGACGTGTCACACTTCAGCCATCTGTCGCTGCCCTCAGCAAAGACTTCGGCCCAGTGTACCAGTAGTGTGTGGCGGCCACAACACCCTCCTCGGGACGACTCGACGTGCAGCGCTATAGACTCGGAGAACGGAATGGACATGCACCCCGGCCCGGGGTGATTGCAGCCCATCACGAAGCGTCAGGCGCAGCACATGCGGAATGCGTAAACCACAGAACTATCGCACTCCTGAACGGCCCTCACTCATGCACTCACGGCCTGCCTCGGTCCGAACGTGGGTCAGGCGGAGCCCAACGCCAACCCGCGCCGACATGCCGGGCCGTGGGGGGGCCGTACGAATGGCGATGCCAGGCGACGTGCTAGCGTGTACTGTGCATGACATGCCATGGCATGACATGACATTTGCAGCTACTGCGGCCACCGCGCCTGGCACTGCGGGCTTGGCTCAGCTATCAGCTGATCGGCTGATCAGCTGGGCATTCTGCAGAAATCCGTGGGATGGCGTGACGAGCAAAACCACGATACAGGCGGTGGGCAAGTGGGGCCGGCGGCCGCTGGAAAAAGTGTGCAAGAATCCAATTTGGGAGGGACCGCAGCAGTGTGCTGATGTGCGAGTATTTGGGAGACTATTGGAACGCAACTCACACTTGCATAGGCGGCTCGGATTGGCATATATGACATGCAGACCAATTGGCACAAACTCATGTCTCGGAACCGGTGTCGTTCGGAACTAACAGTGGTACAGTGGGTGGGTCGGGTCGGCGTGCTGTGGGTAATGTGGATCATGGCAGCAGCGAACATGGACATCGGCTCGAGTCCATCCTAAGGGTCAACGGAGACGATGACGACAAGTTAATCTGCGGTGTATGTCTGTTGCGATGCGTCACAGCGCACAGCGCAATCAAAACAAAGCAACACTACTGGTGAACGGCGTAATGCAAATACATATGCTTAAATGCAGATATGATTGATATGTTACAACAAAGTCGGCCATGGTGGCCATGGTGGGTTGTGCACAGCGCACCAACGTGAGGGATGGGACTCAACTCACTGGCGTGCTGTCGCTGGTGGATGTTGTCTCTACTGCCTTTCTAGGACGACCACGGTCGGGTTTGGTGGATGCTGGTGGGCTGTCACTGTTGACCTCCTTCGGTCCAGTCTCGGATGCGGCCGTCTTCCTGGGTCGCCCACGCTTAACTGGCGATGGCGGGCCGTCGCTGCTGACGTCCTTCGGCTCGGTCTCAACTACAGCCGTCTTCCTGGGCCGCCCGCGCTTAACTGGCGATGGCAGACTGTCGGCTTTGTCCTTGGCATTGACGACGGCCTCAGTCTCAGCTGGTATCGTCTTCCTGGGTCGACCTCGCTTGACTGGTGCCGGTGGGGTGTCGTTGTGGCTGTCTTGAGCCGCTGGCGCAGGTGTCGCCGCCACTGCGTTTGATTGGCGTCGCCCTCGCCTGCCCTGGGTGGGAGAGCTGTCGTCCTGGTGCTGGAGCTGGAGCACTTGGCCAGGAGCCGCGTTGGCATTCGGCACGATGGCGACCCCGGCCCTCCGCGTCGGATCCCTCAGGAAGCGGTTCATGTACTTGCGACTCTTGTACCTCCTCTTGTGCATCACGGCGTACGCCTCTGGGTCGCTCTCCGCCAACGCCTTTTCCTCGGCGTCCCACACGCGCGCATGCTCGATCCAGTGCTGGCGGTGCGAGTTTCTCCTCGCGCGCGCCCGGCGTGCGCCGGCGAGCAGCTTCTCGGTGATGAGCATTTCAGCACGCTCGTTCTCCGCGTTGAACAGGCCGCTAACCAACTCCTTGTATTCCCTGTTTGTAGACTCCCAGCTCTGGTCGGGTCGCGAGAGGGTGCTTGACCACTCACCGAGCCCCTCCGGGTTGTCGATGTCGAGCCGGCGCCAGAACCCAATCTCACTGCGCATGTCGCCTATCCAGTCCTCTTGGCGCAGTTGCATCTCACGGCGGAGCTGGCGGCGACGCACGCGCGAGCGAATCATCATCGAGACCTTGATAGGTTGCGGCTTCATGCGAGGCAGGGGCGGGTTGAAGTAGGTTGCCCGGATGATGGAGCCGCGCCAACGGGGCTTTGGGGCAATGGCTGCGATGGCTTCCTTCTCGGACTGGGCCAAGGCAAGCTTCTTGGCCTTGCGCGTGGCGTTGTCCTTGGCTTGAGCTTCAAGCTCGCGAAGACGGGGTGATGCCAATGTGATGTCGTTCAGGAGGGAATCCTCGGCCTGGAGAAAGGCTTTGGTACGGAGGAGGGAGGTCCATTTCCTCCCTGCGCGCCAGCGGTCGCGCACCGCGTCCAAGAGGTAAGGGTACGTCGACGAGGAAGCATACGTAGAAGGAAGGGGAACAGGAAATTCGAGTGGCGCTGAGGGGAATGCAAGTCGCTTGTTGTTCCGTCGCTTGAGAGCCGGTGGTGGTGGTGGTGGTGGTGGTGGTGGTGTTGATGGTGGTGGCGGTGACAGCAGAGGCTGAGCGGTCTTGAGTGCTCGGATCAAGGAACGGTAGTGTGCCCATCTCGTTGGGATCCTGTGGTCATAGTCGCGGATAAACGTAGGGCGAACAGTGACAATGGGTGGCCGGGGTGCGCGAGAAGCATGCTGTGGGATGACTGGTAGAAACCTGGGACTGTTGGCCCATAGGACGGGTGTTGGCCGTGCCATATGAGAGCGATGCGGTAATACAGAGTGGAGGTGGAACACAACTTTTGGCAACTGAACGCGCGCCCTGACCTGGCCTCGTTGCGAGAGACACCTCACGCGACAGTCCACCTCACAGGTCATAGTTCACAGAACACACACAGGCAAACGACAGCACCCAAGGCCAATATGATCAGTCGCAGCAGCACGATGTATGAACAATCAAGCTGCAGCTCGGTCCCTAAAGGTGTGTTCTCAATGGTGCATGTTCATAAAAGTGTGGTACAGAGTTTGAGGAAATGTCTTGCCGTTGGTTTCTCCACAACCTCATCGGTCGACGACCTAGGCCAGGATATAGAATAACGGAATCCCAACACACACGCACACGCCCCGCCTCACCTCGACACGTCGACGCCTCAACCACTGTATGAAGGTGGGAAGCGGAGCGTCTCGGCTCAAACAGCGAAGCGCACACGCGGTGCTGGGTCAATCGCGAGGAAGCCGTGTCCCGTCGACAGGAAATATACGCCAATTGCTCTCAGAGGAGTGCGGCGCTTCCAATCAGTCGAACGCCCAGAAGCTTCACAGAGTGAGCCGCTGGGACCGGGCCCGTGAGGAGACAACAACAAGACGACGGCTCGAATTTTGTAGCGTCCACGGCCGCCAGCAGCGGGTGCGAGCGCGGCCTGGCGGGCGAGACCCCGAGATCCCGCGGCGATATGGCCCTTGTGGCACTTTGCTGGTGGAGGTCGTCCACTTGGCGTGTCTGGTGATTGTTGTCCTGTCGTTGCTTTCAACCAACAGTCCATGCCTGCAATGCAAGGGCAGAGTGAGTGCAGGCATCTAGCGATGGCAGGTACATTACCAATGGCTATGGTCCTAGGGAATACGACTTGTGATGGCCCCCAAACCCACCACTCGTGCTTCACCACCAGTCGTTTTCCTCCGGGCGACATGTCGCTTCCGCCTATGTCCTTCACCCTCTACGCATCCCACATACCCAACCAGGCAGCTTCCCGAAGCACATGATCAGACTAGATCACCTTCCTGTTGGTTTCCAATCAGCAGAGAAAAAACAGTAGCAGGTCATAAGGAAAATATCGTTCCGATTACTCGGAGACACTCCTGGCGGCTCAACCACCTGCCGTCCACATCTGCCAGAGGCCAAAAGGGATTGCTTCGCTATTGCGAGGCTCTGTAGCTTCCTGACGGAGAATCGAACTCCGATCTCCCGCGAGTTGTAGATGACAAGCGAGCATACTAACCGTTATACGATCAAGAACTGGATGACATGGTCATCCTCTTTTCCGGCGCGCGCCGACGGCCTTTACAGCTCGTCCTGAAGCATGCATGCAATGCAGGGAGCAAGGGATCATGCTGGGGCTTGATGTGTAGCTGATGGATGTCCCGGAATCTCGATTCCTGGTGGTTGCGGCGGTGTTGAAGACGGACCGCGATAGAATGACTTCCGTTGGAAAGAGGTCATGACGATTAGGTTGTGCAGCCGAGATATGCAAAGTTCTACGGCGACCTGTCCCTCCACAGCCGCCACCACGGCGTCATCTACACCACTGTCCATTGCCATGTCACTGTTTCCAGGTCCCATACAGCCATCAGCGTCGCTATGTGCGGCGCACGCGTGAGCCTTTGACAGGACGGACCTGCATCGGCGGATCGGTGGCAGATGTGCGGCGACTTGCTCAGCTATCGGGCGATCGAAAAGTGCTTTGAGCAGGTGGAGCACCTTGTTTGGCACGGGATGTCCGGCAAGTAGCTGTCTCAAGTCTGTACGGGTAAGTAGTCCAGACAGGCCAGACATGCATGGTAGCCGCAGACGGCGCAGGACGTTGACGGTGACAAGACTAGCCGTCGTACATGGGACGGAAGCAGTCTTGATTGTGCCTCGCCTCGGAGACTTTTTAGCATCCAGGTGCCAGGTGGGTGGCCGCACGGGTGGACGGAATTCAGTAGAGAGAGGGACACCGGCAAATGCGGGAAGCTCCGCGCCCAAAAGGTCTCTAATTACAGCCCGTCCAAGGCCGTGTCAATCGGCCAGCTAGCTGCAGGGATCCACAATTCTTTCTTTCTTCATCACCCTCCATCCAACAGGTCAGCATGGACAAGGGCCCGTCCGCTCCAGGGCCCACCACTGCGCCAGTAGTGAAGCGGACACGCAATGGATGCTTGACGTGTCGACGACGACGCGTGAGTTGATTCCCTGATCACAAAGCACAGGCCCCAGCTGACGTCAGGTCAAATGCGACGAGGTCAAACCCATCTGCGAAGCATGCCAACGCCTCAGCAAGCAATGCCACTGGCAAGACCAGGAAGGTCCCCTCCGTCGAATGTCACACAGAAGGCCCAACGCGACTGCGTGTAGAGCGTGTAGAGGCAGAAAAGTCGGTGATCAAGGTTGTTGTTGAAGGCCGCTTCGCTGACTGGGACACAGCTCAAGTGTGAAGGAGATCCGAGTTACGGTACCTGCTCTCGATGTCTTGCCAACGGCATCCAGTGCGAGTGGGGAGAGGGAGACGACCGCACCCCAGTGTCGCAAAGGAGGCTGGTACGTTCCAGTCACTCGCCTTCGCAGCCGTCCTCGTCCACAACACATCCCTCCCCTCACCACTCGCGGATTCACACCGAGATTTCGACGACCTTGGCAGACACGGAAGCCCTCGTGGACAGATACTTTGAGGTGGTACACCGTGAGTTCTACGTCTTACCTTTGAATGCTAATCCACCAGACTTTGGCTTCTTCACCTTCATCCACCAGCTGCGCTTCAAAAGACTCTTGCAAAAGGGTCAAGCGCCTCGCGACCTTACTCGAGCCATGGTGGCCAACGTCCTGCGGTGAGTTGACTTCAGTCCGTTCCCCAACTGACCGTGTTAGCTTTGCGTGCGACCCCACTCCATCCAACATTAGCCGCTCAGATAGCCTCATCAATTCGCTCGTGGCATCCATGATGCCACAGGTACTGCAAGGCTTTGGAGTAATTCAATTGATGGTGAGTTTTATAAAACGTTGGGTGGAAGCTGACAGCAGGCCCTGCTCCTCGTTTGTCAGGTGGAAACGTGTCGTGACAACTACTCGTCCTCGTGGCTGTTGACAGGCAACTGCGCAAGGTGAGGGCGTATGGTCGTGACCCGTGAACTGACTCTGGTCGCAGAATGATGCAGATGATGTCCCTCCATGTGTTTGACAGGACGTTCCCAGACGACATTTCCGAAACGCCTCTCTCGCCACTGCTCTCCGCCGAGTCTCTTCGTCGCGTGGCCTGGTCTGTCTTCTACCTTGACTCTCTGGTCGACGGTGGACGAGACGGCTACAACATGGTCGATGTCAACTCGTTCCGGGTCCAGCTACCTTCCAACGAAGCCTGTTTCCTGGGCAACGATAACGTACGGACTGAGCCACTCATTCCAGAACCGGGTCGCGACAAGTCCGAGGTCATTGGCATATCTGGTTACCTCGTGCGCGCTGCCTGGCTGCGACGCCGTGTACTCTACATCGCCTTCCGCATATCACATGGCGAAGGCAACATTCCAGATGTCCAGGCCGAGCTTGACCACATGGAGAGGGACATCAACTGGTTCATTAGCTCGCTCCCACCGCGTTACCACTTCTCCCCCGACAATTGCATCCTGCACCGCAAGCGGCTTCCGGCCTTCATTGTCTTGCATCTGTTGCGACACAACCTCTACGTCATTCTTGGTAGGGCCAAGCTGCTCTTCTACAAGAGGGACCCTATTTTTGAAAACATGATCCCCGGAGTTCGCCGGCAGCGCATATCCTATGCCCTGCCAGTCGCGGGCATTGTGGAAGAAGGTCTTCGAATGGGCACGCCGTTTGACCCTCACGCAGGTTTCCACGCGTATGTTGCTTTGGAAAGTGAGTACTCCCGATTCATGAGTCGCAACTGACGTCAGTTCTTCTGTTTGAGCCTCGACGTATTGCGGTAACGGACCCCAACGAGGATCCCAAATCGGACCGCTATGTCAAGGCCATTCCACCATTGCTGGCCCTCATTCGCGACTTGGGCCGGCGCTCCATCAGGATTCACTACTTGGTGCGTGTTGACCCTGACGGCAGATTGCTGACAATCAGCATGCGGAGGCAGTCCACCGCCTGCTCCGTTGTGAATTCTTCTACCTCCTGAGTAGCTACGACCTGGAAGTATTCAGCGCCGAGTACCAACCCGTTGGCCAAGACGAAGCCGAGTTTGACTTCCGCGACTTCCGTGGTGCCAAACTGGAGCGGTTGCGCCGAGACCCTCGTCAACAAATGCCGACAGCGCCCATCGGGGACGCCGCATTGTTAGAGTTCCCCTCCGACCCCCAGCCGCTCACCCTCGAAGCGGCCAATTCGCCTCGAGTTGCAGCTCAGGACACCAACAGCACCACGCAGCAAGACCGCCAACCTGCGACCCGCCACGGTACACCGCCAGAGCGATACGAGCGTCGCGAGCGTCCAGTTGGTGCTGGACCGCCTGGCGCGTTGGACCACTTGCATCGTCGGCTGGAACCCTCAGAATCAGCGACCCACCCTTGGATACCCCTCTTTGATCCGAACCCCGTCCAGGGAGGGACTCTGGACCTCTCGTGGCTGTGGGATGAATCTGGTGCGGGGTTGCAGACAGGAGACCCAGCCGACTTCTGGGGACAGATTGGTCAGTGATAGAATAAGCACCGCAACGAGGCGGGCAAGGAGACGATGAACACGTAGAGAAAGAGTAGTAGCGTGAGCAAGCTCGGTTGGTAGCTGTTCGGATTGTCTACCCCCATTGTACAGACATAGCATTGTGAGGGATGAGTATGCACACAGTCTGTGATGCGACATGTGCCTCGATGACCTCGGGGCTACCGCGGGTCATGGACGAATCCCGGCATGATATAAAAGTTGTGTAAGAGATTAAATTAACTGGCTACGTGAACACGGGCTGGCCACCCTCTGGTGTCTGGATCCAGGCGCGCTGCATCTCCACATCCTTGTCGTTGAGAAGCGGGGCCTCCTCCTTGGACAGACCAGGGAGCATGGCACCCGGTCCCCAGACGAGACCGTTCTCCGTGACGTACTCGTCCCAGTGAGCGAGCAGCTCTTTGAACTTTTCAGGCTCCTTGTCCGCGAGATCGACGTTCTCTCCGGGATCGTTGGTGACGTTGAACAGCTCCCAGCCATACTCGTCGTCCCAGCCAGACGACTTGCCGCCGTGGGTCTTGGGGAGGTGCACAATCTTCCACTCGCCCTTGCGCAGCGCCGCCTGCGCATGGAGCTCCCACCCAATGGGCCGCGTGGAGGGGTACACGGCCCACTCGTCGCCTGCTGCCGGGTCGGCATGCTCTCCGCGGCCAAAGTAGGCAGCCCAGCTGCACCCGGTCATGGCGTGGACGGCCTTGCCGCGGTGGAGGACCTTGCCGTCGCCTTCGGGCTTGAGGGAGAGGCCTGCGAGGTCGAGGAATGTCGGGGCGAGGTCCATGCAGGTCATAAAGGAGCGGTTGAGGCCGCCGGGGGTCCAGTTTTGGGTCAAGGTTCCCTTGGCCGGCTTGACGATGGCAGGGACGAGGATGCCGCCTTCGGACGGGAAGCACTTGTACAGCCTCGACGGGGCCGTGGACGCCTGGGCCCAGAGCGGGCCAAGCCTGCGATCGTCAGCAATGGGTATATGGGAGGGACCTCACCAAGTGTACGAGTTCCACTCGCCAATGTTCTCGAGCGAGTTGTCGTAATGGTCGTGAATCGCTTTCCTAATGTTGTCGCCGAGAACCGCTGCACGTCAGTATACCGGCCAGGGCGCACAGTACGTACGGATCGCCTCCAGTCTGCGGGTGGTGTCAGCACATGGTTCCCGCCGCAGTCTTTTGACCACCAACTCACGCAGCACCCTCGGCACCGTTATCCGACATGAAAATGATCATCGTGTTGTCATACTCGCCCGTGTCCTTGAGATGCTGGATGACCCTCGCAATGTTCTGGTCCATCTGGTCGACCATGCCGGCGTACGCCTCCATGGCACGCACCGAGCACTGACGCTCGTAGTCGTTGAAGTCGTCCCACTCGGACACGTTGGTGGGCGTGACGACGTCATGGGGAGTGACGTCGGGGGGAAGGATGCCGAGCTCTACGAGTTTGGCAAGGCGCTTCTTGCGCAGTGCATATGGACCGCCATCGTAACGCCCACGGTACCTGCGGGGATCAGAATCAAGGACATCAGGATCGTCGGCTTTCTGAATTCGCCACACATGGCGTGCTGGTGGGTGCTCACTTCTCGCGGGTCGCCTTGGGGGCTTGCAGCGGCCAGTGCGGCGCAGAGTAGGCAAGGTATCCAAAGAACGGCTTTGCCTTGTCCTCGGCGCTCCGGTCGTCCAGGTAGGAGAGGAACTTGTCCGTGTAAGTGTTGGATGAGTAGAACTGGTCGGGCGCGTCGGTGGTGTTGGCCGGTACGTGGACGCGCTTGCCGTCCTTGGCATGGATTGGGCGGCCGCCGGCACGGTTGCCCGGTGCGCCATTCTCGAGCACTGGCTCCCAGCCGTAGTGGTTGCAGCATCCCGGAAGCATGGCGAATGACTCTTGGAAGCCGCGAGACTGTGGCCCATTCTCGACGCGGAGCCCAAGGTGCCACTAAACGAGGTGCCTTCAGCGTTTGGTCCCACACGAACACAAACTCACCTTGCCCGCGAGGAACGTAAAGTACCCGTTGTCTTGGAGGATCTCGGGCAGACAGGGCACCTCAAAGTTGAGGAACCCCTCGTGGCCAGCCTTTCCGCTCCAGCGCTGAGATCCCCTCGCGTTCGACTTGAACTCGAGGAGACAGCCCAGGCCTCCGAGATGGGCGTCGGTCCCGCTCATGACCATGGCCCGCGTGGGCGAGCATGCTGCCGCAGTGTGATAGTTGAGGAGCCGAACTCCCTCCTCGGCCAGTGAGTCGAGCGCTGGTGTCTCAATTTCCGCGCCGTAACAACCGATGTCGCTGAAACCCTTTCCGCGCCATGGTTAGTGTCGGATGATAATTATCGCCAGTTCACCGCGGCTCACCAGATCGTCAGCGATGATAATCAGATAGTTTGGCTTGGAGATGGTCATGTTGAAGCTGTGTGTGGGGGATCGCGACGTGCGCCGTCCACCGGCCACCTTATGTACACCTTGTCCTTGCTGCCCATGCACACAGCGGCGCTGCGTCGCTCGCTCGCTCGCTCGCTACGAGGCCGAGCGCCCATTATGTGTGATATGACGTGCATGGTGAATGAGGTGAATGTGCTCTAGGCTCTCGGATACCGCCGTGCGCCGAACGAACCGAGCGGGGCCACATGGCTGGCCACATGGCTGACACGTGGATGGCACACAAAGCTTTAGACTCTGCGCTAGCTGCGGCTTCTCGCTGCGCTCGCTGCGCTTTTGCTGCGGTGAGGCCCGCCGCCTGGCCCATTTACCAGGCGCGTTAGATTAGATGCCGCTGCCGTCCCTCTCTCCCGTCCAAGACAGCGTCCTGCTTTGGACGTCCCGTTTTCAAAACAAGCGCCAGTTTTCTCTGGCTGACATTTCCGCTCACGTCGGGGCTGGACGACGAAAAGTGCTGGGCAACACTTGGACATTCCACGAGCTTATGTTGGCATCGTACTCCTCTGTCACGACATCGCACCACGCGATGTTCTGCGCATAGGGTATTGGGCTCTCAACCCATACTCTAAATACAGCAGCTCACGTCAGTGGTCAGTCGGTACAACCACCCACTGCCACTTGATCTCAATAACAATGCCAAAGAAACCGGGCTCCAGATGGAGCAGGATGACGCCCCTGCTGGCGTTCTCTTGCTTCTGCCTCGTCGTCGGCGACCTGCTTTTCGGTTACGACGTCGGCAACTTTGGAGGTATTCTTGGTAACCCCGTGAGTAGTCTAGTCGTACACCTCCTTTTGACGAGCGTATGGTCACTGACACGGACAGGGCTTTATCCGCCAGTTTGGAAGCAAGAACGCAAATGGTGTTTACAAGCTCTCGTCCCTCCACACCTCCCTCTTGGCATCTCTGGCCTTCATCGGCAAGTTTCTGGGATGTCTGGCAGCTGCGCCCTTGATCGAGCGATTTGGCCATCGCGTGGTGTTTGTCCAGTTGAGTGTGGTGTCTATCATCGGAGTCATCAGTACGTGTCGAACGAGTGACCCAGCTGACCCCGTCTTCAGTTGAGATCACATCCGCTGGGACGGGCCCGGAAACTGGGCGTCTAGCTCAACTCATTGTCGGACGCATTGTCGTCTACGCTGCGATCGGACTGGTCGAGATCTGCGTTTCGTGAGTGTCATATCCGCCCGGCCTTGTGCTGACCCTTTAGAACGTACCAGTCAGAGATCGTTCACCCAGGAATACGCGGATTCGTTGTGACAACGCTGCAGATGTTCCTCAACTGCGGTGGCCTGCTCGCATCTGGCCTGAACCGGGCGTTCCGGTTTGACACCACCAGCACAGGTTGGAGGACTGTCACCGGTGTGCAGCTCATCTTCCCTGTCCGTGAGTAGCTGCGTAGCCCGTTTGCTCGTGCCACGGTTCCACTCCGCTGACATCCTGTCAAAGTCATTGTCGCTTGTGTGCCCTTCATTCCCGACTCTCCACGATGGCTTCTCTCCCGGGACCGCAACGACGATGCGATCACTTCACTCCGCCGACTCCGACCAGCCCAGGAAGTCCAGTCCGGCCAATGCGAAGAGGAACTTGCGAGTATCAAAGCGGGGCTCACGTCCAACGTTCACAAGAATTCATGGATGTCGACTCTCCGTGGTACCAATCTGCGGCGGACCATGCTTGTGGTGATGTTCTACACCTATGGCCAGATCACAGGTCAAGCGTTCGTGTCGACCTACGCTGTCATCTTCTACCAGGCCAACGGCTATGCCGCCCATGCGTTCACATACCCCATCATCACAAGCGTGTTCAGCATCCTCTCTTGCATCCCGTGCATGCACTTTGTGGACACGGCCGGTCGCCGGGTAGTCTTGATGACAAGCTACTTTCTACAAGCCCTGTTCCTGTTCCTCGTGGCCGGCATGGGCAGCCTGCCCAACAAGAATGGCGCAGAGAAGAATGCTGTGGTAGCATGGGTCATGCTCTTCGGTATCAGCTACAGCGTAAGCTACTTTTCTCTGTGAAACGAGCTGACATCCAGCTGGGAGGTGCCGGCGTCCCCTACCTCCTAGGAGCAGAGCTTCCCAATCACTCTGTTCGCGAAAAGACATCCACAATCGGCACGTCCATCAACGTGGTATGGGCCTTTGTTGTCAACTTTTCAATGCCCTACCTCTTGGCTGCAATCAGCGTCAAGGTCGGATGGGTTTTTGGCAGCATTTCCGTCTCTGCACTCGTCCTCACCTTCCTGTTCCTTCCAGAGACAAAGGGCATGACCCTCGAGGAGATTGACGACGTCTTTGCAAGACCTTTTAACCCCTTCCGTTCATCAAGGGTTCGTGAAGATGACGAGTCGGAGATCGAGCAGATCGAAACGGACCGTGAAGGCAACAATAGTAAAGGCATAGAGAGTCCCCAAAGTGTAAGCCAGTCAATCGCTCCTCCATAATTGTCTGTATTGTCGTTGCATTCGCATTCTGCATGGCGGAAGATTGCCACACCTGCACCAAGAGGCACTTGACTAACACATATGCTGACATCCTCAGGGCGAGGGAAGCCTCTCACACGTCCACGGGTGAAACAGGCTCGCACCGTCTGCGTGTGTAGTCGCGCACTGATGGGGCGACGGCAGTTGCCAGTTGATGGAGAAGCCGATGATCCCACTGTAAGATCCATTCCACAACCGTCCGCTTCCCCATCAGTGCACCTGTCTCACTCTTTCCTTCGCTCGCTCTCTCGCTTCATCATTTACTCACTGCCCGCCATGTCTTCCTACTATGACTCCAGCGAAGTGGTAAGTCCAGACGGTGATGCTCCTATGGCTGCCACGGCGAGCAGAACCGCAAAGCAGCCTGACGCCATAGGCTTCGCCGATCGATCAACACGGACACTACAGCGACCTGGTTCTAGAGGGACTCACACTCGTCAACGAAGGCAACGTGCACCAGCGTTTCCCTACCGAGGCACCCAGCTACGGCATCGTGATGCCCAACATGTCGACCTTATTCGTTATCGTCGACAAGCCCGACGAGCTGAGCATGTGTGGGATCAAGGAGGGCGACGGGGAAGAGTACTGCTCTTGCATTCCTCGCAATCCTGATCCCAGGCGGTGTCGCCACCTGTGGGCCATGGAATTCTTCCTCGAGCGCCAACGACGCTCTCCCCAGCCCAACCTCGAAGTGCGATACCCAGGTGTCCGTAGTCCAATCCGCCGTGCCAACACCACTCCGCTCCAGATCGATCCACTGGCCGATCCCGAAGGTCTCTGTATCTTTCTTCTCCTCGCCAAGAGCACTGTATGGCTCGACCTCTTCGATCGGTTCACGAGCACCTCACCCCTCTTCTACGCCCTGCGTGACTTCTTCAAGAACGTAAGCGTTGGTAAACACGTCGACTACCAAGCTATCTCGAGCGCGTACAAAGGTGAGAGGGCCTTGGGTTGGTTTGTGACTGACTCCACAGGCCACCCGTTGCTCAGCGGCCAACTGTATCAGTATGATGCGGGTGACGTGCTCCACTCCATGTTGGAACACTTTGACTTCCTCACCAAGCAAGACCATTTCACCCATCTCTTCAAGTGGACAGCCCAAGTCACCGCTACTTGCGACAACTGCAAGGCGGGCCACACGAATCCAGACGAGAAGGTTGGATGGAAGAAGCTCGCGATCCCGCGAACACGCAGCTCCAGCACCATGGCCAGCATCTTCGATCTCGTCCAGTCCTCTGAAGTCGCGTACAAACGTATGCGGTGCAATGGGTGCGGGTACGACACCTTCCACAACATCACCCAGTCCCAGACCTCGTGCGGCAAACTCCTCCTCATCGAAGTCATCCCCATTCTGCGACCAGAGCCAGTCAAGCCGTTCTCCATTCCACCCTCGGTGACCGACTCGCACGGCGTCCACTGGGAGCTGGTGGGGTTCCTCTGTAACGCCAGCGGCAGCATTGAGGGCAACTATACTGCCGTCATCTACCACATGGGAAGACTGGTCGAGTTCAACGGGCATCACGAGACGCCCTGGACGTTCCGCGGACAGCCGTCACTCCGCCCAGTCCTGATACTCTACCAGCAGGCAGCTGAGGGCCAGAGTCGTGAGTGCAATTGGAGATTGCTGTATTTGGTTCTGAGCTGACCTACCGTCCAGCACACACTCTACCCCCCGAGGACGACTGGGCGTCGAACCTCAGCAGCAGCACTGATACGCTGGTGAATGAGCGGCGTAGGAGTGTCTGATGAGCGGGGGAGAAGGTGCAAACATTCCATAGAATGACAGAACTGCATGAGCATGGCATGAATACATTGACCTCCTTTCGTCTACCAACACGTCACACACGTCTGCACCATAGGTCAGACTGTGGACTCATAGGACTGGCAATCGAGCAAACCTCCATTTTGTCAGATTTCTCTGATTTCTGCTGACCAGTTAGTGATATAGTGACCGGACGTCGGAGGACCACGACAGCACGCTGCCAAGATCCTGTGACGGTCTTTAGAGTAGGTATCTGCAGTTTTATTCGCCGAGGCGGCGACGCATCCCAGGCAAAGACGCCGAGCGCCCCAACCATCGCTATTGTGCCCACCATCCTCCCTGTCCAAGGCATCGGGTGCCTCTACTTCACCGGGAGCTCCGTCATGGCCCCACACCTTGCTACATGCTCAACTACAACGTATTGGCCTTCTTAGTTCAGTGGTTAGAATTTTTCACTAGTACCACTCACTCCTATGAGTTGCTAAGATGAAAGGGTCACCCGTTCAATTCGGGTAGAAGGCAGGAGCAGCTGTTCAAGTGCTTGCTTTTTAGTATCGCCGGCTCCCTGCCTTACAGCAGCACCCAATTTGGAGAGGGGTAACGGGCAGGGCGTTGTTGGACAGCTTGGTATCGCTTTCCATGACATGACCTCCTTCAGAGTTCGAGCAGGTTCTCAATGGTGGTCGTGCATTGTTGACGAGCCGAGCGGAGAGGTAGTTCCTTGGACTCTCTCAGCGGTACGTCGGTGCATGCACAGGCATGCCTAGGTGGTGGCAGCGTGTGGTTAGCAAACGTTTGAGGTACACAGTGCCACGGTTGTCGACCGCCCGCCACCCGCCGCGTTACAATTGCGTTCCTCCTGCCAACTCAATTCTTTCCCCCGGTACCGGTCTTAAGGCCACCAGAATAAAATTTTGTCAAGCCCTCTTAGTTTAGTGGTTAGAATTTTTCACTTGTATTTACCTAGTATTAGGTTGCCAAGATGAAAGGGTCACCCGTTCAAACCGGGTAGAGGGCATTGCTACATGTGTAGTTCTCTTTTGCCAGTCATCGGAGTACCGGTCCTGGCGACGTTCTTTGACACCGTTGGGGGTCCAGAGAATCTAGCCGTATGGCTGCTTAGGTGGATATTCAGGTTGTTTTTGTACCGCGCAATCCTCCCGGCTGACAAAACGCAACTATTTCCCGCTCCTGCAACATCCTGCCATATTTTGTCACACCGCTATTTCTCAACCATCCAATTCCTAAGGCATCGTCCTCAAAATCTGTACCAGAGTAGTACACATGTAGACCTATCTGTGTTAAATGGATGGGAAGCTTAACAGAAGTCATGCGCCATAGCCACCCTGTTACTCTCCGTCGGCGAGTGCGTATTGCCTCCTCCCCGTTCTTGAGCTCAAACGCCCTTGACGCAAAGTCTTAAAGCATCAACAGGTTGCCTTCTTAGTTCAGTGGTTAGAATTTTTCACTAGTACTCGTGGTCTCTTGACTCCTGCTACGATGAAAGGGTCACCCGTTCAATTCGGGTAGAAGGCAGCACGCTCGTAAGAGTGGACATCTTTTGACTTTTTTGGAACGCATAGCTATGGGAAGTTGGGCCGAACAGATAGCGCAATATATGCTGTGTGGCAGGATTCTCTGGCGTTGACGATTGCAAAGGTGAGGTTGTGGCCCATCTCCCGAACATGGGTGACCAAGTGCCACAGTCAGAACGTGGAGCCGTCGGTTGGAGGTGCTGCGCCGTGCAACCCCTCTTAGCGAGAGAGAACCACAGATGCGTCAGCATGGAGGATAACAGGATGCGAGACGGGTCGCCCTCCACTCTCGCTTGGGGTCTTGCAGGAGATCACAAGGTTTGTCAGCTATGTGGGTGCGAACTACTCTGCATTGACCATGTTTGGACATCCGTTCTGCATCGGTTACCTGCTACGCGTTGGAGCGTGCAGGATCTAGTTCCAAGTCTCCAGGACACCAGATGCTCAGGAAAGGAGGCGTTTTGCCTTCCAGGGGCCATACAGGACTCTTCACAGGAGCGCAGGAGTGCACACTCCTGACGGCGTCCACAGCGGTTTCGGCACAAGAAAGCACCGAGGCTCATGAAAGTCTGGCGGTGCAACATCTCGTCCGGTGACCGATATCTGTATCGGCCGTCGCGGCATAGATGGTAACCCGGTATCGTTCGCGGTGTAACTAGCCCGAGACTGCATCGGTTGTCTTGATATCAAAGAGGATCGCCTAGTATCGCAAGTGAACGCGGAGGAAGGACTGCCCCGGCACCCGGCGGACCCCCGATCATGGTTTGCCGTGGGTGACACGTTGGGAGTGTGGTTCTTGAGGGTGGCATTTTGAGACAGGTCTTCTTCTTGTCAAGTCTTGCCTTCGTCCAGTCTCACACCATGCAATCTGCTACCCTTCTCGTGACCGTAGTTGGCGATCCTCTCAACCCGCCTGCACTGCTTTTCAGATTGTCCATATGTGAATGTAATCCCGTGGTATTCAATTCTTCATATTCCTACTTCTGAACTACTTCGGAACGCCTAAAACTAATGGAAAACAATAATATACTAATGTAATATAAACCCAAAACCTCAACGAGCAGCTGGCTTGTCGCCACTCCTGCTGATACCAACGACGCGGCCACCTACAACCCGTCCTCGGAGCATGGAGAAGAAGACCTCGCTTGCGCGCCTGTCAAAGGCCGCAGAGAGAAGGGTGTGCTCGTCCCCGTCATCGGTCTCATACTCCTCGCGCTCGCGGTTGGCGTCACGACCACGGGGGTGCTGGGGCTCCTGCTTAACCTCGACAGTGTCAGTGCTTGCCGTAGCCGTGGTAGCAGTTGTGACGGTCGTTTCCGTCGTCATAACCATGGTGGGCGTTGGGGGGGTCATGGGTCCTTGGTCCTCCTCGTCACTGCTATCGGGGGTGGGCAGGATGCGCATACGCTTGCGTGCGGATGTCACGGGTTCAGCAACATCGGTGTCTGAGTCTGAGGGAGAGTCAGCGGCTGAACCCATGTGGTCAATGTGGGGGTGGGCCATTGGGAAGTGCGGGGGGATTGTGTGGCGGCAACCGGACAGCAGTATTCCGGGAAATGGAACCTGAGCTGCTGATGTCCGCCACTCCCTAAATCGCGGCGACTCACCTGGGCTATCCTCGACGCGTTTTCGGCGCCTGGAGGCGTCGGCGCCGGCTCCTGTTGCGAGGAACATGAGCGCTTCTCCTGCTGCGCGCTCGCGTTCCGGTGAGGCGGGGAGGAAGGGTACCGGCGCTTTGGTTTCCGGGCCAGCGGCAAGACCGAGAGAGAGGCCCAGTCCGACGCCGAGGCCGAGACCGCGACACTCGCAGCAGCGATGGGCGAGGCCCTCTCCGGTGGTAGTCTTCGGGGGGGTGAGAGGGTCCTGACCGGTGGTGTGGTCGACCTCGTTGCCAAGATCCACCTGGTGGGCGGGATCGCGGCCTGGTGGCGTAATACTTCGCCAACTAGCCACGGTGGAGCGCCACTTGTCAATGTCCATGGGTTCGGCGCTCTCGCGCGACTGGAGAGCAGTGTGGAAGAGATCTGCACGACGACGCTCTGCCTCGCGTGCAATGACAGCCTCCCATGCACGAGCACATCCTGGCCCAAGGCCGTTGCCCAGGTTGGTCCAGGAACCCGTGCTTGGGCCAGCGTTGGAAGTGTCCATGGCACTTTCGCCACTAGAAAGGGCACAGCAGTTTGGCGCACCGCACGACTCGTCGCGCTCAACTTGCTGCCGCAGTTGGAGGTATGCACCCATGAACGCCGCGACGGCAGGGCGCGCACCCGGGTGCAAGTAGAGCGGAGCGATCTTGGCGACAAAGCGGCGTGCGCGAGCGAGCGTGGCGCGTTGGTGGGAGACGCGCTTGCGGAAGGGTGGGCGTGTGAGGGGCTGGGATGGTGACAGGGCGGGTGTCTGCATGAGAGCTGGAGCGGGCTCGTGAGGTGGGGAGGATGGTTGGGCAGCAGTGGAGCTGGGGGCTGGAGCCGTCATCTGCGGCGGTGGGCATGCGCTTTTGGAGGGCATCGAAAGTGACGCGGGGTTGTCGATGAGACTGCCCGCTGACATAAACTTGCGGTTCATGGGCAGTTGCGTCCGTGTGGCAGCTGGGAGGGGTGGGGGAAGCATTGGAGCGAACATGTTTGTTTGCGGGCCGTCGAACAGCTTGCCGCTGGGATGTGTTGTGTACTATAACGTGGATAAGGTGATGCTGTGGTGCCGTAAAGTAGAAGTAGTCTCAAGGAACTGGCTCCACTTTATTGTTGTTCAAAGGACAGGCGGAGGGACCCGCATAGTGACCGCAATGGTATGGACTCCTGGAAACATCGGCGCCGCGCGGCAGGCGCCGGGAATCGGGTGGTCGGGCTCTCTGAGCGCGGCGGCGACGACTAAAGTTCAAAGGGGAAGGGTAGCAGCACGTGTCGTATCTGTGCACGGATAGCATGTGGAATGAATGGCATTGCAGTGAAGTGGCAGTCATTGCCTGTCCTGGCAAAAAGAAATGACGCGCCCTGGTCCACGCAGTGGCCATGACCACGATTGCACAACATGGGAAGCCCGGGCCTGATTTCGCCGGCGGGTCATCTTTGATTGTGGAACCGCGGTCCCACCACATGCAAGACGGCGGCGGACGCGGACTTGCGGGGCGGTCCTCTTCGCGCTCTTGCCCCCTTCCAGTCAGGCCCAGGCCATGCATGCGGCGCCGTGGTGTGCCGGTGTTCGGCGTCTTACCAGCGGCGGCGGCGTCTTTCGCCTGCAAAAATGTACGCGGAGAATGGCCCGTGATCGCCATCGGCCCTGCGTTCTCCGAGGTACCAAAAGGCAGAAAAGCAGGGAACACCGGTCTAGAGGTTAGAATTGGACGCAGTGATCGCAGTGGTGAGTTGTATGGGCCCTACTACACTGTTGTTGGTGTTCTATGCGATCCGGCCCGGGGCGGCAACGTCAATGGCATGGGCACGCCGCATGGACGGCTCCACTATTCGCCGCAGGTACCAAAGCAAAGTGTATCCATGAAGCTTCTTGCGGTCGCCTATTGTGGTCGTGTGCTCTTTTTAGTCGCATTACCATGAGCAATCTGGCGACTTTATTGTTCTTGCTCAGATGGTGAAGGCTTGGCGCGGCGATGCCGACCGCCGCCGGCGGACGATGCCGCGGGGGTATGCCGGGATCCCTCTATCGGAGAACTGTTTTTTTTTGTTCGATTCCGGCACAGACCGTCCGCGTCTTGTGTCTTGCTTTGGTTCTCCCGAACCTGGGAGATGCAGACAAGACATATGCGTCCGTATCCTTGTGTACGTGTGGCGGTAGTGGGTATATGCGTACTCGTAGGTCTGTGGTGCCTCAACCGATGCATACCGTTTTAACGGAATGTATTTTGAACTGCCAGCCTCCAGCAAAACGGCCACTATTGACACCAACTCCCCAGTCGTCATGGAGCGATCCGTTTCCGGACCGGATGTCAGATGACCCCACACAGAACACAAGCGAACGACCAGTGCGGTCTATTGTGAGCTGTTCGGGTGCGCCGTGGTGTGATTCTCCTGCACTCCACCCCATTTCCGCAATCTCCCGGTAACTGTGGTAGGTTAGTCACCAAAACACTTCGCCTTTGCCGAGGTGGTAAAAGGATCTCCTCCACTTCGCATGTGATGACCGGCCGCTGGGAGTGGGACAGAGACGAGGAAAGCATCGACGTCACCGAGGTGCCGGCCAAGCAAAGAGGCAAAAGGCTGTTCAATCGGTCCCAGAAGTTCTGCCTGCGCCAATGCCTCTTTCAATCGTTCTCCCATCCCGGCCACACAAATCTCCACCAGTTGTATGATGACTTGGACACATGACGTCAAGTTACAGCATCTTCCTGTAGATATAGAAGTCTTGTATGTATCTTGGTTTGTATTGAAAAAGTCACAAGAGTCAATCCCATTTGTCGAATTTACGTTTTGACCGATTAATATCTGATTTATGTGGTTTCTACGATCTCTACTGCCGCCAGGTGTGTTTGTACCTGTGCAGGACCCGTCGAACCACCGCCAACCAACTCATCGCTGACGCTGCATAATCACTAATATATCAATACGAGGCTATATTCTTCTGCTCTACTCCTCGTCGCCACTGTCGGCCATGAACGCACGCAAGTCTGGGAAGAAGTCGGCGCCGTCGGAGGGGGCGTACTCGGGTTCCTCGTCATCTCCCATGCTGTTGTTCGACGAGTACAAGTCCTCGAGTCCCAGGATTTTGTTCTCGCTAGCGTTTCTCCACTCGTCGCAGTACTGCTTGGCAGCGTCGAGGGGCAGATAGAGGCGATGATCCTTAAGCCGGCGGTCCAGTGCGGCTGCCTCGAGCCCCAGCCATGGCGCATGACCGTCCGCCTCCGGGGAGAGATCCTTGTTGACAATGTACTCCACATCGTAACCTTCCTGGACAAGGATACGGTGGAGATCAATCTCTCCACGGAGGGTGAGCGTGTTGCTCAGCTGTTTCCCGCGCTTATTGGCAGCCTCGACCCACACCTTCGCCAGCTGCCTGGACTCGATGAGCAGGTACTTGCTGGGACCCGGAAGGCCGTACTGAAGAGCGCGGCGACCTGTGCACGTGTCAGATCCGTTCATCAGAGTTTGACTTACGAATGGCGCCGCGAAGCTCCTTCTCGAACGACTTGTCGTTCAAGACCTTTGCTTGGTCCTCCAGAGACTTGCAGTCGGGGCGGACGTCGGGGATGGCCTTGGCGAGCATACGCTCGTAGCGCGCCCGGGTGTCGGCGTTCTTGTCCTTGATTTGAAGTGTATTTTGCCGTAGGCGTCGGCGGCGGTAAAAAGCACGACGGTGCGTGCGGTTCTCCCAGTCTTGGCGACAAATCGCACCTGGCCGTCCCTCAATCCACTCTCGAACCTTGGCGAAGGTGGTCTCGATGTTCATCTGGCGCGGTGAACGCGTAGACTTCGAGCGAGAGCCGCTGGCCGTGGTGTCGGTAATCGCCTCGGCAAGGACCGAAGAGCGGTTTACCGAGAGGGCTGATGTTAGTGGTTGGTTGTCGAGTAGGACTCATCAAGCAACACTTACAGATGGCGCGGGGCCGAAGTACTGCATCACCTTCAGGTATGCAAAGTCTTGCGACTTGGACTTGGACTTCGTGCTGAGCGCGAAGTTGACGAGTGCTCTCTCTTGGCCGATGAGTTTGCGAGACGAGGCGTGTCGTGGACGCGCTCGCGGGTGCGCAATTTGGTGGCCTGGTTGGGCAGAAGGGGGCGAAATTTTGTGCTCTTTATCATGCGCCTGAACGCCTTGTGGACATGTTTTAACGTCTTCGCATTAGAACAAATTCGGCCTGTGCGATGTAAGTATCATGAAGAGGAGGATTGGTGACTGGTAAACACCCACCAAGTGCGGTGTAGACGACGACCAGGAGAATATCGGGGTCGCTTGTTGTGGCCGGCTCTTCCAATAAAAACAGCCTGGCCCGCTCGAGGGAGAGGCCAGCAGGGTCGAGAACGGCGTCGAATGTTACTTTGACAGCGTTTATAATGTCGTCCGAGGGGGGCGATGCCAACGGCACAAACAAGGGGTTGGCGAGGGCAAGGTTTCCCTCCCTGGACTACTTGGGAAATTGCTTTAAAGCGGACACGAGGCTTTGCATCTGTCAGAATCTCTGCCTTCTTAGTGGTACCTACGCGTTGGGATGGAGGGGCATGATACTGGTTGGTGCCCGGAAAGAAAAAGGTGGATGTGGAGAAACGGACAAAGTTGGCGTTTGAGGAAGAGGAAGAAGAGGATAGCAGGGATGGATAGTGGGACGTGTGATGCGGTGCCACTTTCAAGTCGTGCGCGAGAACGTTTTGATTCCGTACCAAAAATATCGTAACAACCGTGTGTGTTTTATGCGTTGGGTTATGATATAAGTACCAGCGAAGGAGGACGATAAAGACTGGTCGCTAAACTTTGGAGCTATGCCACAAGCGATCGATGCAGTCCCCTTGCAGAAGGATGTAGATTTAAACGTGATTTTATCTAAACGTGGTAAATCCACAAAATATTAGATTAAAACTTGTCACTTGCATGCATACATCTACGGTATCGCAACATCATGTGAGCCAAGTATCATATTAATGTATGCAAAACTGGTGGAGGTATACGTGGTTGGGACCGGAGGCTGACTGAAAGTGGCCAGTGGCGCCGCGCAGATACATACTTCAAGGGACTGTTTGGACTGAGGGCAGGGCAGCGGCGAAGACGAGACGCATGACCGAAGAATGCCCATCTTGGGCTGCTATTTGTGGGGGTACCGGTCCTGAGGTGACTCGAGTCAGAATGATGGACAAGAGAGTAGCTCACGCCTCCATTGCGCGAACGCCACTCAAGCGAGCTCGATGTAGGCTTGTTGATGTTGTTGTACCAAAACACCGTTTGCCCTGACCCACCAGCCCAGCAGTCCGTATCAGACTGACTGGACCTGTCTGCCTCGTATCATTCATCAGCTGCGAGTCGCCAGAGAAACTCCAGGCCTGCACCTGATCTATGGGAATGGCGAGGTTCTGCCTTTGAAGTTTGACCGCCTCCTTCACCAACTTGATCGCTGTCGTCCTCGCCGTCTAAGTGCCACGGTTGTCCCTGCCGCATCGCAACTGATGCGCATGGTCGTCAAAGCGTCGGACGTGCGTGACTGCTAACTGCTGGTGCATATCCTCCTATCAAGTACGTTTGTTTCTTCTCCTTTAACTGCTCGCTACCTCCCGAGAACTCCTCGGATAGTGACCGGAACTGTACAATAGAGAAGAGCCTTTTACAGGGGGGGAACGGGGCCGACGTAGCCAGTAAGGCGAACGTGCACCGCCTTAATTTCGGTGTAGTTCTCCTGTGTCCGGCGTCAGCGTTTGTTGCAGCACGTCGAACGTCGAAGAGGATCATGAAGGTTTGTGTTGAAACGGGAAAAAAAGACCACAAAATTTCCCCACAACACCTCCAAATTTCACGATTCGTCCCATGCGACGCGTTTGCAGTACTCACCATGGCGTACTCTCCCAACTCGCGGCCGATTCCACTGCGTCCGTCAGCTTCTGAGCACAAGAAGGAGATGTAGAAGGCGATGAAGATGTGTAGGAGGTTGTTGTTGCGTGGGTGTGGCGGATTAGCGGAATCAAAATTTGATCCCGCGGTGCCACATTCACAACCTCCCCAGGCCACACCCACACCCATCCGCGAACCACGTAATCAAAACTCACCTGGACTTGAAGCCACCGAAGGGAACCTGCGAGTGGAGCTCGTTGTAGCAGTTGACCCAGACGGTACCGGCGTGGAGGCGGGCGGCGACGCGGTGAGCCTTGGTGATGTTCTGCGAGAAGACACCCGAGGCAAGACCGTAGATCGAGTCGTTGGCGGCGGCGATGACCTCGTCCTCGGTGTCAAAGACGGCGACGACGACGACGGGGCCGAAGATCTCCTCCTCGACAATCTTCATGCCGGGCTTAACGTTGGTGAAGACGGTGGGCTCGATGAAGAAACCGGTCTTGCCGTGGCGGACACCACCGGTGATGACGTTGGCACCCTCCTGCTTGCCGCACTCGACGTAGTTCATGATACGGTCGTACTGGGTCTGCGAGACCTGGGGACCCTGGAAGGTGTCGGGGGCGAAGGGGTCGCCGACCTGGACCTTCTTGGTAACCTGGACGAACTTCTTGACGAACTCGTCGTAGATACCGCGCTGGACGTAGATACGCGAACCGGCGCAGCAGGTCTGGCCGTGGTTGAAGAAGATACCCTGGGCAGCGTAGCGGACGGCGTCGTCGAGGTTGCAGTCGTCGAAGATGATGTTGGCACCCTTACCACCGAGCTCGAGGGTAACCTTCTTGAGGTTGGACTTGGCAGCCGACTCCATGACCTTGCGGCCGACAGCGGTCGAACCGGTGAAGGCGACCTTGTCAATGGTGTTCGAGCCCGAGAGGGCGTTGCCGACGGTGGGACCGTAGCCGTTGACGACGTTGACGACACCGTCGGGGATACCAGCCTCCTTGAGGATCTTGGTCATGTAGCAGGCGGTGAGGGGAGTAAGCTCGGAGGGCTTGATGACGATGGTGCAGCCCGAAGCGAGAGCCGGGGCGAGCTTCCAGGCGAACATGAGGAGGGGGAAGTTCCAGGGGATGATCTGGCCACAGACACCGACGGGCTCGTGGCGGGTGAAGGTGAGCTTGTCGTTCGACTGCTCAATGACCTTGCCGTGGACCTTGTCGGCCCAACCGGCGTAGTAGCGGAAGCAGGCAGCGGCCTCGGCGGCGTCGAAGCCCTTGGCGGCGCCAAAGGTCTTGCCGTTGTCGAGAGCCTCGAGCGAGGCAAGGATGTCGGCGTCACGCTCCATGAGCTCGGCGACCTTGATGAGGACCTCGCCACGCTTGAAGCCGGGGGTGTTCAGGCCCCAGACCTCGTTGAAGGCCTTGCGGGCAGCGGTGATGGCGAGCTCGACATCGGCCTCGAGACCCTCGGGGAGGTCGAGGAGCTTCTCACCGGTGGAGGGGTTGACGACGCTGTGATGGGGTCAGCATGTGGGGACGAGGGGTATGCATGCGGGTGCTGGGCACTGTTGGACGGCCGACGGGGCCCGGAACAATGGACATGCCACAGGTGGGCGGTGGCCTCTCGGCATGGCAATTGTGCCGAGCGGTGGGAACTGCCGAGCCCCATGGGGATCCCGGCAGGGGGACCCATGCGGCTGAGTCACATAGTCACCTCTGCTCGTCACCATGCCCGTCACCAACATCGCACAGAGCAGCGTTGCGGGACACACGAGAGAGTAATCAAGCGGGGGATCCATGCAACCAGACGCTGCCATCGTGATCGCTGGATGCTGGGAGGGAGGAAAGAACACTCACGGGATGGTCTTGGCGTTCTTGTCGACCGAGTTGACCCACTTGCCGTCGATGTAGAGGCCGACGGGAACCTCGACGGTGCCCTTGTAACCGGCGTGGTCAAAGGTGTGCTTGAAAACAGGAGCGGACATGGTAGTGTTTTAGGTGGGAGAGAAAGGGAGTCTGGGGAAAGCTACAAGACTGCGATGGGCGGGGGGTTCTTATACCGTCGTGGTTGTCCGTCGCGCCTACGGGGGGCGGGGCGACCACCCACAGGCGATGAGCAAGCGAATCCTTGATGCCAGCAGTGACCATGCCTCTGCTTCTCTTGGGTTCCGCCCCCCACTGCCATCTATTCTGCCTGCCGCCTCCCCTAGCTCCCCCGCGCGACCGCCGTGAGATGCCGCCAAGTCCCTCATGCCCTCATCAGCCACCCCTGTTCCCCCCCTCTCACGATGGCAGAGCCTGAAAGCGTGCCACAGGTGTGCGTGGCCGCGTAGTCCCTGGCCCCCCCCTTCATTGCTCTTTGCGCGTCCCCGCCGACGGTTATTGAACTAATCGGGTCCTCGCTCAGTCAGCTGAGCGGTGTAGGCAACTGCCAAAGTAACCGGCCCGTCGCAGCCAAGCAGCGCGGCCAGCGCCCACCACCCGCAGAGATCGAGTGTGGGGCGGAGGCTTGCTGCCCACTCAAAGCCGTCCTCTGTCCTCTCCTCGCGCGGCTCCTGAACCTGACACCTTTACGATCCTCACACCGGGTCATGTCATGCCTCGCCCTCCGCCCTGGCCAGATAGTTGGGGGCTTTTTCCGTGTCCGTGATGTGCCGACCGTGTACATGCACACCTGCGTGTTGGGACCACCAAACGTCCTCCTGCTCCTCGTTTTGGCATCTCGGTGGTATACATGCACCGAGGATGGCGGACGCGTCGCCGCTGTACATCTCTCTTCTCCTACCTTCTACGCCCAGTGAGGGTTGCATGACGGCCCAACCAGGAAGCAAGACGCCAGCACGACCGCCTCGGCACGTCCAGACCTGACCGGTGTCTAGACGGTCCCTGCCTGCGCCGGTGTAAAGTTGACCCGGGAGGTGAGATATCGGTGAGTATCCACTCTCCACACCCAACGGCCAGGAAACCAACGGAACCCCGGGCCGGAACATGGGTTGAGTAGTTACTTTGTATTTTAATGTAATTTATCCGATTTTTGCCACGTGGCGCCGATCCCATCTCCGCATTCTCTGTTGTTGCATGTCTGTCGCGGCCTTCCTCCAACATCACTTGTCAACAAACTCGCCACACTATGGACCAGGTAAGTCACGTTTATATAACTGGAACTGACAGCCGCAGGACGCATTCAGGTCCCTGCTTAGCCAGCCTCGCGCTGGCGGTTCGGCGTCAGGATCTGGCTCGGCTTCTGGCTCGGCATCACGGTCGCGCGGAGTGCTCGGCGCACCTCCAAAGAAACGAGGATGGGGCCTCAAGCCCCGTGAGGGGTGAGTGTGGCGTGTCTTGAGTTGGTACATAGATCTATGGCTAACTGTTCTTTAGCTATGAGAAGAAGGACGAGCCCAAGGAAGAGGAAGAGCCCATGTTTGCGCCGCGCGCGCATCAGAAGAAGCAGTTGGTTGCGCCTGCCGACGTCGCGTACAAGGACCGCGCCGAGCTGCGTCGCCGTGGCGGGGACACCGAGTTCAAGCATGTGAGTTATATATGCGTAGTACTACTCTAACCCCCAGGTCGAGAAGCTCTTGGAAGACTTTGAGCGTCGCAAGGAGGAGGCTGGTGTCGATGCCGACAAGGTGTGTAACATGACTCTGACGTCATAGTCCCGCCGTTTTTCTAAAACTTCACTGACAAACGTTAGGTCGAGCAACAGCGTGCTCACCTGGGCGGAGACGCTGAGCACTCGGTCCTTGTCAAGGGCCTCGACTTTGCCCTCTTGGCGAAACGCAAGGCGGAGCTCGAGCGCGAGAAGCTGGCCAACGTAGACGACGAGCTTGACGGCCTGGCGTCCAATGTCGCGAGAAGCAAAGCCGTCGAACGCGAGAGGCAAGCAATTGCGAGACAGGAAGAAGACGAGAAGCGCAAGTTCCAGAGCAAGGTGAGCTTACTTCCGACTGTTGAAAAGCTGACATTCAGTTCAAGTCTATTGGGCAGAAGCAAGCCGACGCCGATGCCGCCGCTGCGGCCAAGGCTGAGAGGAAGAAGAAGAAGAAGGCCAAGGCAGCTGAGCCTGAAGTTCCAAAAGCCGCCCCTTCAAAGCGTGCTCCTAGTCCCCCCAGGCGTGCGCGTACACCACCTCCCGATCCTGAGGACGAAGACGATATCTTTGGCGACGTCGGTACCTACGACCTGGCCACGGGTCGCGAGGACGAGGAAGAGGGAGAAGAGGAAGACGAAGACTCTGAGGACGACCGCATGGATGTCGACGATGGCAAGAGGTCAAGGTCGAGGTCGAGGGGACGGTCAGTCGACTCTCGGTCAAGGTCCAGGTCCAGGTCCCGCGACGACCGTTCGAGGTCGCGTTCGCGCGACCGCTACCGCGACCATTACGATGATGACCTCCGTCGACGCGACGACCGTCAGCATGGCTATTCCCGGGACCGCTACGATCGCCCTGCGCGCCACGACGACCGGCGAGACACCTACTCGCGCAACGACCGAGAGCGGTACACGCGCTACAGTCGGTCGCCCGAGCGGGATAACTACCGTGACCGCCACTATCGCTCTCGCTCACGCTCACGTTCTCGTGATTATCGTCGGGATCAATCTCCACCATATCGCTCTGAATCTCGGTACAATCGGGACAATCAAGACCGAGACCGATACAGCAGGCGTCGGGACAGGTCGGACACTCCCCAAGACCGCCATGACGAACGACGAGACTCCCGTCGCTCAGACAGGTACGGCAGTCCCTTGGAATCACGCGTGCGGGGCCGCGACCGCGACAGTCGCTCACAATCGCCCCAACGACGAGCCTCCCCCTCTCGGTCTCCATCCCCGCCTCCTCGTCCTGCTGCCCGTCGCCGGTCCAGGTCGCCCACGCCGCTGCTGCAAGCTACCATCCCATTCTCGCGCTCACCGACGCCCGAGTCCGAGGACGAAGGCCCAGTCACCAAGCTGCGTCCTCTTGCTGGCTCTGCCATCGCCGACGTCCGGAGCTTCCTCGCTGCCGACCAGGAAGGAGCCAAGGACGACGCACGTCGCGCTAACAAGGCGAAATGGCGCGCGCAGCAGGGCCTGTCAATGCAAGACGGCGTCGACCCTGGCTCGATCAAAAAGGACGTTCCCGACAAGCACAAGGCGAACCGTGACTACCAGCTGGTCATGAACCGTGTGAAGAAGCAGGACGCCCAAGGCGACTGAGCCTGTGAGCTGGTACCGCCGGCCGGGCACCGGCCGCCGATGTTTACCCAGGAGTCCCAGCGAGCAGGTGTGCGCTGGACAGCTGGGTTCCCACGGGGAAAGACTGTAGAGCGCGGGGCGAGTCGGGGCATGACGATGAAGACTTACTTTGTTCAAGAGGCGGGGGGGCTGCGGGGTATGGGGGCGTTGCCGCATCGTTTGCCTCAGAAACGCAGGGGCTGTCTAGCCATTGTGTGGGATATCTTGGGAACACGCACGCACAATCCCGGCGGCGTTGCGTAGCAATGTCGCTCCGCAAAGTGGGGTTGGTGGGGAGGTCGGAATGCAAGCGCAAGAGCAATCACTCACACAGGGACCAAGAGACGTGGGGACCCGCGCGGCGGACCTTTGTTTAGTTGGCCCAATCACACCCCAACGGTGCCCGGCTAACGTTTGTTCCGGCCCACAATCTGACGTCGTCTTGCCATCTACTCCACTCCGCACATCCCCAAACAACGTACCTCACTTCTCATTGCGGGCCCCAAGCGATCCTACTCTTTCCGACTGTGCCCACACGCCCAAGCCCTCTGCCTGCAGCTCCCTGGCAAACCAACCGATCGACGCCACCGAGCCTCCCACCGAGCCTCCCACCTCTGTACGAAATAACCCACCGAAAGCACCGTCACCGTCTCTTCCAGCCATGCCCGCCGCGCCCGCCGACTCGTTCGCGCTCGACAAGTCCAACCCCGTGCTGGCACTCAGCGCCGCTGTCGGTGGACTGTACGTCCACCGTTTCCCGGCCGGCACGCCCGTCCCGCCCGAGCTGTTCAGCAACGTCGGCGCCGCCGACGACTTTGTGTCCGTGACCCGCGTGGGCAACGAGCTTTCCATTGTCGCAACAAAGGGCGCGACGAGCAACGTCGGCATGCCCGAGCCATCGGCCGAGCACTGCGGTGGGCCATGGACGGCGATGAAGGTCAAGGGACCGCTGGAGCATCGTGAGTGTGCCGGTCGCTGGCTTGTGCTTCTGGACCACGCGGGGGGGCGGTGTACACCAGCTGTTTTGTGAACGACGTCGCCCACCGCCGTCAGGTGTCCCGTTGGGCGGGTACATGATGCTGTGAGCATGACGCTAGCAGCGCTGCAAATCACTTGCATCGAGCTGGGGGGCGTGGGAGCATGTCGAACCTCCAGCTCAAACCTCGACCCACACATCCCAACTGAAACACCGCACCCCGGGCGACGGCCAGTTGTGCATCCTTCTTGAGAGCTTGGGAAGCGCTTGTCATCATTGGGAACCTCCACCCCAGGCCCAAGCGAGTCTAGGACGTGCGCGGGTCCATCCCACCCACTCCGCCGCTTGCGGCCGGCGGATTAACTTCCCAAGCTCGGGGGCGTGCTTGCTCTTGGTCACGGGGGTGGTCTTGAGACGTACATGCGGTTAATCCGTGCCCATTTCCGTCCTTGACTTGTGGCGGCTGAGTGTCGCCGCATCGTGTTGTGTGGGTGCGTGCGTGTTCAGCCACTTGGACAAAGGAGTACGACCTACGTTGCCGGCATGATCGACCGAGATCACTCTGGGAGCTGGGAGGGAGGGAGGGAAGGGGGTCACATTTGGATGTCCGAGACTGGACTGGACCGGGGAACACGGCCAGTTTGCGGCATGGGCTGACCTTATTCCAGACATGGTGGGCGTGCTCAGCGCGCTGACCGACTGCCTCAAGCGCGCCGGGGTCAGCATCTTCGCCATCTCGACCTGGTGAGTGGTACCCAGTCAGAGCAGGAATGGGGTCGGCGGTGATGCCTGCCCTTGTTGGTACGCGTGGCTTCAAACCCGATACCAAGAGCTACGACGGCACTTTGCGCCGCTCGCGTCTCCCCGCTGTGCTCCTGGTACTGACTTGCAGGGACACGGACTACATCCTCATCACGACCGACACGCTCGAGAAGGCCAAGACGGCGCTCCAGGCCGACGGGTGGACCTGGAACGCGACTCGCTTGGGCTAAGCAGTGGGCAGTGAGCGAGCATCGCCAGCGACGGGTGGAACGACTTGAAAGCCACAAGGAGCGGAATGAACGGGCCATTGGGCCTGTTTGTCACCAGACCGTTCGCGCCGGTGATGGGCCAGCAGAGCGACAGTCAGCAGCAGATATGATGCGTGTGCTGGGAGATATGTACATCTTGCACCGCGACCAGCAACAGACCACCTTGTCATTGGCCACTGGACCCGCTGCTGACAGAAGCTAACCTTCTCCGCGACTGCACACGCCGTACACCGCACTGAGGACTGGGCTCGTCGGGACCCCGCTGACTGCTACCTCACCTCCCTGAACACCAAGCGAACAGCGACACGACTACAAGGGCGGCAAGACCCACAAGTTGCGAGGCGTTCGGTGAGTGCAGCGCTGGGGCGGAGCGACCTAGATCCGAGATTTGGACGACCCGACCGCTCACCATCGCCATTCCTCGCCACAATCCAGGTTCCTCGGTTCCCCAGTTGCGGGCTTTCTCGTCGTCCATGGCTGTGTGCCCCGCGTGGCACACCTTCATGGCTTGATTGGCTTATTGGCTTCTCGTTGCCGGGCGGGCGCCGGCACGAGTTGATTGTTCTCCATGTCGGGTGTATGGGCGTGTGGGTGGGTACACGCCAAACGGCCACACCAACCCGCGGCGTCTCCTCCAGTGGGGGTACATAACAGGCCGTTCGCGCAGTCGTTCGCTTGCAGAACATGCATGACAGTCGTGTACCACCGTGACTCGTCTGGTCTGGCCAAACGTTGTGGACCTCCCACCTGCCCACAGCCACTTTGGCTCGCCATGGCCATTGATGGACGCTGTCTCACTATACCTCAGAACACTGCACCAGGCCGAACGCTTACATTGGTATTTGCACTACCAGCGAGTCCCTTCTGCGGTGGCCAGCCTGCGAGACCATGCTCACCTCGCCACAGATGACATCGCGAACCAAACAAAGAGATCACCTCGCCTATGGCAGTGGCAGTGGGTGCGCCGGCGCCCGTCAACTAGCTGAAGCGCGAGTGAGTTTCTAACCGCGTCCCAGCGTGGCAAGAATATAGACATGTTGGCATTGCATTTACTATTGCTTGAATGCGTGCAACCTCATACGGGTCGGTCGCGAAGGACTACTATTCTGTACTTGACAATGACGGGGGGGGGGGGGACGCTACTAGACACAACGACACAGTGGCACTAGGCCACTGGAAACTCTGACAACTCCACTGCTACACACTCTGCGGGACACGGGGACACGGATTTCCAGGCGCTCGTTCGCGTCTAGTAGTATCGCCTACGGCCAGCGCCGACCGGACGCCAGTCAATGGCCTTGCCGCCTGCGCGCTGGGCAGCGCGGAGAGGCCTGACGAGGCCGCCGAGTTCCTTGGCGCGTGCCGGGTCGGGGTCGCTGGCGGCGTTGTAGAAGTAGTGGGACTGGAGGGGACGGCCCGACGAGTCCTTGCCGTTACGCGCGACCTTGCCGAACATGGGGTTCTCGTCGAGCTCGTCACGGCACCAAGCGGTCCATACTGCGTCGTTGCCCTTGTCACGGAGCGAGGGCTGGGACTCGAGCATCATCTTGACCATGTCGGGCAGGCTGAGTTTGGACGAACCCGAGAAGACGATGGTGTTGACGAGGAGCGCGGCCAGATCCATGTCCGCCGGGGGAGGAGGGATCTCGAGAGGAGGAGTGGCAGGGCGCGACTTGGCGCCATGAGTTGGGGCAGGGGTACCGACACGCGACGCCGGGCGGGATGCCGGCTTGACAATGTCCTCGGTTGATGCGACGAGCTCCTTCTTGACCTGGATACCGGCCGGAGCAGGGGACGAGCGGGGTGGTGGCGAGGACATGCCGGGGGTAGGTGCGGGGCCAGAGAGGAACGCAGGTGCAGCAGGGGTGATGGGTGCGGCAGGGGCGGGGAAGTCGTCACAGTCAGAAAGCGGCGAACTAGCGCGCGAGCTGGAGGGCGAACCAGACGCGGCACCGGGTGTTGGGGCGAGGACGATGGGCTCGCCGAGCATGGGCTCATCTTCCTCATCCTCCTCCTCCTCCTCTTCCGAGAAGTGCTCCGCGAGGACAGGTGGTGACGATGGAGGGAGTGACAGAGGAGTGACCGCACGGCGGTGAACGATAGGCTCAGGCGTGAACAGAGCGCGTTCACGCTCTTCGTCCTCGTCTTCCTCAACCTCCATCTCAAGCTCCTGCACGCGGATTGCGACGGTGGCGCCGTAGAAGTCGACCTCGACAGGTCCATCAAACTCCTCTACTGTGCCGGTCATGAGGCGGCGACGGACACCGGCAAACTTGACCTTGACGCCGTTCTGGCCAAGGACAAGGAGACGGATTCCGGACGCGGTGCGCTCCGCGGCTGCGTGAACACGGGACGCATGGCGGGCGCCACGGTCAAGGCAGATGGTGCGCGCGGGGCGGTCCGGGAACACGAGGCGGGGGACGAGCGAAGTGGGTGCCGCGTGGACACCAGGGCCGACACGGTGTGGGCGGTGGCGACCGAACACGAGGGTGGTGGTGTCGTCGAGGACGACATCGGTGTGGGGCTTGAGGCGGGCGGCGCCCATGCGCGGCGATGATGAGAGCGCCAGACGACGGGGAGACGAGGACGCGGCGACCGTCGACGTGCCCGGGGTGGGTGGTGCACGGCGCAGGGTGGCGTGGGCAGGGTAGGATGAGGGTTTGGACGCGTCGCGGTGAGCGGCGGACATTGCGCCGTGGTCGGCGTCGGGACTGGGTCCGTCGCTCGACGCGTGGGGAGTGAGAGGCTGGCGCTCGCGAGTCTTGTCAGATGCGGCGGGGGAGGATGAGTTGGAGGAAATCTTGACGCGCTTGCTGGGGCCGGCGACCACGACGATGGGGGACGCGACGCGTTTGGCAGGCTGGAGTGCGCGGTCGCGACTCTCGAGGGGCGCTGGTCGCGCGAAGAAGGACATAGGTGCGGCCATCCTGGGAGGTAGATGGATGTGGGTGCGGTGTCGGTATCTCGGTAGGTGAGAGGGAATGTGTGGTGTGAGAGCAAAGAGACAAAGACACAAAGACAAAGACAAAATACCTTCCGCCGTCGTCGACGCGTCGAGCGCTACCTGGGGCCATGAGCCAGCCAGCTGTGCCCAAACCCACCCCCTGGGTGCGCTCTGATGCTCCCAGCCTACCACAGCGCGCAAGTCACGAGGGGAAATCACGGAACCAAATGACAAAAAGCCAGGCGCGTCCAAACAGCGGGAGCAAAAATATTGCCATACATTGCCGTTTTGGAGACGCGTGGACGCCACAGACGGCATCGAGCTCCCTGAGAGCGAGATCAGAGATCAGAGAGCGTCTGCAGCAATGTCGGCTGGACAGTGTGTACAGTGGCCCAGTGGCCAGTGGCAAAGACAAAAAGTGAACGGTGTTGCATCGATGCGTGCGTGCAAATGCTCTCCCCCCTCCCTCCCTCTCCCCGACTGCCCTACTGTCGGCCGTCTAACTACTACGTGATCCCCTCTGTCTCTCTCATACCGTCCAATTACATGAATCCCTTCTGTCCGCGCCTGGCCATCTCGACCACCTTCCAACCGCTGGTGAGCTCGTTGTCGATCTCACTCTCGACACGGGTGAGCACCATGGCGTAGCGGCACTGCTCGACGCTGTTCTCGTCGCCAATAATGGCCTCGCCAGTCTTGGCCGAGCGGAACATGAGGATCTCCTGCGAGGCAAACGAGACAACAAAGACGGGAACGTCATTCTCCAGCAGCTTGCCCTGCACAATGTCGACGTGCTTAATGTCCAGAATCTTCGAGTCGGACACCAGGCCCTGCTTGATGTACTGGCCCATGGTAGCCCAGAGCACGTTGAACGTCTAGGTGGGGCGTCAGCAAACAGACAGACCTATCACGAAAAACCATCCTATGCCCTGTACTCACAGCCTCACCACACCACTGCTTGAGCGATTCCCTGTCGGCCGAGAGGTACGCGTCGACAACCTCGGGGACAATGTACTCGCGCAGCTCGCGGGTGAACGAGTCCATGCGGAAGTCGGGGTCAATCTCGCGGATGGTGCGGATGACCTTGACAGTCTCGTTCTCGTCAAACCAGCCGCCAATGGTCGAGGTAATCGACCGCAGGGTCTCGACGGCGGGCGACTCGGACTCCTCGTAGGCCTCCTTCCAGCGCAGGTAGGTGGGCGACTCGGTGATGAACGCCATGCGCGACGACTGGGGCTCCTTCTCCGAAGACAGGACGAGGGCCTCACCGGCGCTGCGCATGTTAGCAGAGTACTGGCAATGAGGGCTGGGACACGAGTAGGCTGAGGCGCGAGGCGGTGAGGCGTTCGTTCCACAACCCGTGGAACCGCAACTCTTCGCACCGTCTCCATTGTGCCGACCCACAATCACCCCGCGCCCACCTCCCCAGACATTAACTGGAAACTGGTACTCACTCAGGGTTGGCCGCAACACGCTTGCTGGCCTTGCCAGCCTTGGCACGACGAATCTCACGCCTCCTCCTGCGGTCCTCCTTCTCGGTGTAACCACCGTAACGGAGAGCGTTGCCTCCGGCATCGTCGAATGCCTCCTCAAAGCTGGCAGCAATTTGCTTGTACGCCTCGGTGTCACGGAGCGGGGCGGACGCACGGTCGGCATACAGAGCGACGGCGTTGGAGTAGAGCGAAATGGCCTTGAGGATCTCAGAGTCCTGGAGAGCACGGCTGATAATGTCGTTGGCCGTGTATCCGGCCTTCTTGAGGTCGAGGAAGGCGGCCTGCAGACGGGGGTTCTCCTTCATGAGGTTGGCCATCTGTGGAATACGTTAGCAACGTGCTAAATGGCAAACGACGGTGGAGCTCTTCAGAGAACAGGGAGCCCTGGAGAAACGACAACAACAACACCACCGCTGCTCTACCTGCTCTACTTTCTGTACTCACCCTGTTACGCTCGTAGAGGGTGCGCGCCTTCCTCATCGCTGTGCTGTCGGCAAGCTTGTCGACGTCACCCTGGAGCTGCTTGACGTTGTTCTGCCAGCCCTGGTTCTTGTCGATCTCCTCCTTGAACACCTGCATGAAGACCTTCCAGGGGCTCTGGGGAGGTCCATCGTCCTCGGCGGTCGACCTCTTCTTCTCGTCCTTCTTCTTGCCAGCCTCAGACTGCTCGTCCTTCTTGCCGTCTGCTGACTCGGACTTTTGCTCGTTCAGGCGGACGGCGGTCGACGACAGGCCACGACCGTACAGCGCAATGGCGGCGCGGGTGCGGGGGACCGACGAGGGCCCAGTGGCGACCGCGCGGCGGAGGGGTGCGCGCAGAGCTGCAAAGGAGGCGGCGGGGTTCATGGTGGGATGGAATGTGGTGGAGAAGGACGGACGCTCGGGCGGCCAATCTGTTGAGAAAAGTCCACAGGCGGCTGAGTGCCGGCTGGGCTGGGGGAGTCAATATTTGATCCCGTCGGCCGTCTGCATCACCTTGGGCCGGAGAGAGCCGAGCCGAGAGACGCCGATCGGATGACGAAGGAGACCTGTATGCGGTCGGAACACGATGATGCATGCGTTGGTTGTGATGTACTGTACAGTGTCTTGTCTATTGATCTACCTCCTCCTCCTCCTGCTCCTGACCCACTTATACCAACTACTTGCCCTCCGACTCACTCGCCCAAATGGCGCTCGCAACCTTACTCTTTTGCCGCAGCTTTTTGCCGTAAAACACCAGCGCAATTGGCGCGGCAGCCAGCACCAGGCCAATGGATGCAGCTACTGTCGAGGCGACGGGGTACCCCAAGTGCGTGTACATGGCTGTCGCAAAGAGCGGGAAGATGCTGGAGAAGACGTTGCGCGAAAAGCTTTGTGCAGCTTGTGCCGAGGAGCCTGGTGGGCGTTAGACACTGAAGTACAATACTGACCAAGGACAAACTCACTGTACGTCTCATACGCGTCGGCCAGGTAGTTGAAGACGCTTGAGTACATGATGTAGATGCCCCAGTAGCTCAGACAGAGGAACACCGCTGGCACAGCCCAGTGGATGTGGGGCTGGCCGGTCCACGCAAACCCGAACATGCAAAGAGGGAAGAGGAGTCCACCTGTGGCAGCCCAATACAGGCGTACCTCTGGTGCCGCTCGTCCATCTGGTGCTCTGGCTGCGGCACGGGCGTACAGGTACTCTGCGTGATAGTTGCTGATAAATCCAAGAATGCCGCCGATGAGGGTGCATATCTCGGCAGTGCCCCTCAGTCCAGAGTTCCAGCCGTACTGGCCAAAGACGAGGAGGACTGAAGAGGTGCCGAGGAAGACGCAGCCCCAGGCAAACCCAACCCAGAGGGACATGGCGGTGACAATGGGTTCCGTGCAGAGATATTCTGCGGGAATCAAGGTCAGCTGGTGGCAAGAAGCATACAGCAGCTCTACTCACGCAGTGGTCGCAAGGCGACGATGAAAAGTTGTTTCAAGCTCTTCTTCTGGAGCTCGGCGGCGGTGACATGCTTTTGTCCAGTCTCCTTTGTCAACCTCGCTGCCCTCCTCGCAAGGATGACGTCCGACCTCGTCTCCCTCAAAACCGCAAAGTTGACCAGACACGACAGCGCAGCCGCAATCCCCTGGATCCCATAACACCACCTGATGCCCAGCTTCATCCCGATCCATCCAAAGCACACGCCACCAAAGGCCTGCCCGGCGAAAATGAAGATGGCAAACACGTTCATCATGGGTCCGCGGTCGGCCGCGCGGTAAATGTCGGCAATGCTGCCGCCGACCATTGAGTTGCCGACGCTCGAGACCATGCCTTGGAACCACCTTGCGGCGAGCAGGCCAGAGTACGAGTGGGAGAAGATCGGCGGGATGAACAGGAGCGCATTGCTGCAGAATGTCAGCATCCCACAGCAGATGAATGGCACGCGGAGGTTTGCTCACATGGTACTTGTGACGTGGTAAATCACGTTTCGGCCAAACAACTCGCTCATGGGGGCGAGCACAAGTGGCGTAATCGCCACTGCAAAGAGGTAACAGAATCCGCCGACGATGTACCCCTCGTGTGTAGTGTTGAACCACGGTATGCCCCATTCGGCCATGACGCCTGTACTGGTCGCGTTGACAGCCGTGAGAGAGGTGAGGTAACACACGGCCAAGGTGGTGGCTGCTTTGCGTGTCGAAGACCAGTTGTATGGGCACTGTAAGTTAGTATTGCATACCATTAAGCGTTGGGCGGCTGGGTCCTCACCTCTGGATCGTCTTTACGCCACTCGACAATGACCGCCTCTTCCGGTCCATTGCCGAGGTCTACAGTCATACGCTCCTCCAAGACGCCTTCTTCACCTTTACCTGCACCGACGTGGGCCGGGTGTCCGTGCTGTCGGACGCTCGAGTGGAGGAGCATCTCCAGCTGGGTCGCCGCCACTCCTGACAGGTGCGAAGTCGTGACCGTCAGTGGGCCGTCGACCTCGTCCGTATGCACTTTAGTTTGCTTCTCCGTGCTGCTGTCCGTTGGGTACGTGGTTGACCGTGGGGTTTCTGCCGGAGACGGGACACAGGTCGCCGCCTCGTCGTGCCACGACTGGGCGCTGGTGGTGGCCGTGGGGCTAGGGGGTGACTCGTGGCCGTTCATTGTGAACGAGGATAATGGAACTGGGATTGTCCCGGTTCTTGAAGATTAAGGTGTGGGGTCGTAGGCGTGAGCTTCCGGTATTCGGTAACACCCTTGTCTGTGGAGGCGGGGTGACAGGGAAGACAGATGTAGATGGGACTTGGACTTGGGACTGGGTGACACACCTTGTGCGAAGGTTCCTCATCCCTTTTATCAACTTGCAAAGACCGCCATTCAGCACCGCGACTCGTGACCGGTCTCCATCGCCCTTACACATCGTCACACTCGGCACTGTCCATTTGCCAGGCGAGATTATGTATTGGAATCAGTCAGCAACATGCGACATGACATGCGCGTGGCGGGCAGTGAGTCGGATCGGACATGAGCGTAACTCGATCCCAACAAGGGCGAGAGGCTGCAGGATCCCGGCCGAGCGGCTCGTCCGCCAAGACACCACACCCAAATGTCACGCGACAGTTTGGCCGACAACGCGACAACGCGAGAACGTAGGCGGAGGCTGAGGCTGAGGCTACAGTACAGCGATGACGATCGTCACCGGCCGGCTGGATCAGTGGAGTGTATCGTATCGGGCTGCAGCTGACAAACAGCCGCAAGGTTAATTGCGTTGTTGCGATGATGTGTTGTTGATGTTGCTATGTTGCGTTGCTGCGCTGTTGCGATGTTGCTATCGTGCGTTGTTGCGAAGTTGCGTCGTTGCATGTACACATGTGCTAGCTGCTAGGCTGTGGCATTGCCATTGTGCAAAACACGGATCCAACAGATGGACAGACGTTCATCTGTGCGCTCCGTCGATCCTGTCAGCCTGTCCATCTCGTGTGTGTCCCTTCTGGTATATTGGTAAGCCGATCCATGGGATTCAGTTCCAAACTGACAGCATGTTAGAGGTGCATGCCAGCCCGCTGTATATTAGTCTACATGCGCCCACAGAGATCAGTGCATGTGGACCCCAGTATCTCAGGCAAAACCCTCGCACAGAGAGTTGACTGCTTAGGTGGCGCCGAGAAACACACTACGCCTCCAACGCTGGTCGCGGTCGGCCAGATACTGATTTCTCTCGTATCGCCGCCAAACACAGGTTAGGTACGGACACACAGATCGTCCCTCGACTCTGCGTTCAACATTCCCCACAAAACGACAACGTCCTCAACACATCCACATGTGCAGCTCCGTCTCCCTCCAACGCTGCAAATACACGTGCATCCCTGCATGGGCGTTTTGTAACCGCTGCTGTCGTTGTCCCCAAATGCACAAAGCCGGCCGAAATGCGAGGGCTGCGACTGGCTCGCTGGCTGTGGGGTATTTGCCGACAAATGACGTGTAGCAATGATAGAGCGGCCGCCCCGCACTCCCCATTGCTGTGAACGTTGCAGTCTGGCCCAGTCTGTGGGAGATTGCTAAACGCGGCGCGGTATCGCCGTGTGCGCAGACTTATCCCCCCCAGGTGCTCTGATAGATCTCATCTCCGTCGTCTTTCTTTCTTAGCTTCTTACACACCTCTCAACCTCGCAAACCAATCTCATTGACAATGGCCCTCCGCCTCTCCCTCGCTGCCGCCAGGCGTCCCGTCGTCGCTGCCCCGCGCGTCGCTGCCGCCTCCACTGGTGCCGTGCGCGGTCACGCCGTCGCCGTCGACCCCACCCCGGCTTCTTCGTCGTCGTCCTCGCTGGCTTCCGACGCCCAGAGCGGTGTGAGGCACAACTGGAAGCGTGCCGAGGTGCAGGCCATCTACGACGGACCTCTTATGGAGACCATCTTCCGCGCCGCCAGCGTCCACCGCCTGCACCACGACGCCAGCCGTATCCAGCTGTGCACCCTCATGAACATCAAGAGTGAGTTTGGTTCTGCGGCTTCCTTTCCTTCTTTTCGGGTCGTGTCGGTCCTAGGTCGTAAGCGCGCGACGCCTCGCAGTCGGCGGGCGGATACATGCCACCGAGTCGAGGATCTGGCTCGCTGTGGACGCTATGGTGGACGGACCAGACGCTCGCTGCCACCGGTTACGCCGGCTACACTGCATGCAATGCCGGCGGCACCCCATTGTGCCATTGTCGGACCTCCGCACCCACAGGACCAATCCGAGACTTGGATAACCGACTCGGACCTTGGTCCACGGCTCACCGTGCTCGAGTTGCAACTTGTCCACCGGGTTGGGTGCGATGCACATCCAACCTGATTGGGAGGCAGATGCATGCCGAAATGTATCGCGGCATGACATGCACGTGTGGTGCCGCATGCGCTGCGCGGTACTCACCACACTTCCCCACGACTCCGTCTCCAGGATCGCCGTAGACGGGCTTCAACGGATCAACGGCTAACCATCGCAGCCGGAGGATGCACCGAGGACTGCAAGTACTGCTCGCAGTCGTCGTCGTACAAGACCGAGACCAAGGCGTCGCGTTTGGTCGCCATTGAGCCCGTCCTCGAGGCGGCTCGCAAGGCCAAGGCCAATGGCTCGACCCGTTTCTGCATGGGTGCCGCCTGGCGTGACCTTGCCGGCAAGAAGAGCGGCTTTGAGAAGATTCTCAAGATGGTCAGCGAGGTTCGCGCCATGGACATGGAGGGTGAGTGGAGAGAGCAGTGGAGCCATCGACAGCTCGATGCACATTGAGAAGGTCCAGGGCTGATCGTCAGTCTGCACCACCCTCGGCATGCTTTCCCCCGACCAGGCCAAGCGCCTCAAGGAGGCCGGTCTGTCGGCGTACAACCACAACCTCGACACTTCGCGCGAGTTCTACCCCGAGGTGATCACCACCCGCTCGTACGACGACCGTCTCTCGACCATCGACGCCGTCCGTAACGCCGGCATCAGCGTCTGCTCGGGTGGTATCCTTGGTCTTGGCGAGAAGGCCGAGGACCGCGTGGGCCTCATCTGGGAGGTGTCCCACATGCCCGAGCACCCCGAGAGCTTCCCCGTGAACACCCTCGTGCCCATTGAGGGTACCCCTCTTGAGGGCAACGACGTGAGTACAATCGACTCGGGGCCAGAGGGTCAAGAGGTCACGCAACGCCTGACTTTGTAACCTCTTTTGGCATGACGCACTTGCTGACTTCTACAGCCCGTCCCCGTCCAGACCGTCCTCCGCACCATCGCCACGGCCCGTATCGTCCTCCCCAAGTCGATCATTCGTCTGGCTGCCGGTCGCCACACCTTCAGCGAGACTGAGCAGGCCATGGTGAGTCACTCCAGCTGTGAACAACCTGAAAGTCGACAAGCTGACAATCCACAGGCATTCATGGCCGGTGCCAACGCCATCTTCACTGGCGAGACCATGCTCACCACCCCCTGCACGGGCTGGGACGCCGACAAGGCCATGCTCGACCGCTGGGGTCTCCGTGGCATGCGCTCGTTCGAGGACAAGGAGAGCGTCGAGGTGCCCGGCGAGGCCAAGGCTGAGGCTGCTGTCTCGGCTTAAATCCGCCGGACGGGATTTAGGAACAGAAGAAGAAATGGTGTGGGGCGGATCTTGAGGATGGAAAGCGCAGCGAGGACGCGACGAGGTGATTAGAAGTGTGAAGGCGACAACTTGTAGCAGTCAAGACGTACTGCACTGCGGATAGAAGTAGACAGATACCAAAACGAACAAAATGCAGACGCAATTGCAAGCAGACCACCGTTGTCGAGTTCCTTGTGGCCCATGGACTACCATGAAATACATTTTACGCCTCCCCCCCTTGAGCCGTCTTCCCTACTGCACGTCCTTCTCCGTCACCTCTGGGATGGGGATACCAGCCGCGACAGCCATGGCAATCGTGCTGAGAGCCTGCTTGTACATTGGCGCATCGATCATGACTCCGTCAAGGCCGTACGCGCCCTTTCCGGCCTTGTCGTTGAGCTCGAACGAGAGCTTGACTCGGGCAGCCTTGAGGATGGCTGGGGAACTGTCAGCTAGCTAAACCGCGTGTTGCGAGGCTTCTTAGCTGTGGGGTGAACATCCGCCGCGTGTACTTACATGCCTCGGACGGCGCGTACGCGCGCTGAATCACGTCCACCTGGTTCGGGTGGATCGCTTGCTGCGGGGTCAGAGACTCGGACGAAGACGAGGAGGACCCACCTTGCCTGTAAATCCCAGTCTGCGTCCCTCCTCGCTCTCGACACGCAGCGCCTCGGGGTCCTTGTAGTTGACGCACACGAGGTCAATGGCACCCAGGCCAAATGCCTTGGCGGTGACCACGAGCTTGGAGCGGTGGTACAGGAGCTCGGCGCGGGACTCGGTGCGTGCGATTCCGACGTCGGCGCAGTCTATGCAGTTGTCAGCATCTGCTTTCACCCGCGGTTATCCGCCTGCCATGTTCTACCCACAGTCCTCAGCAGCAAAGAGAAGGGCATCGAGATGGCCTTTTCCTGCGGCGGCGATGCGCTCAATCTTGACCATTGCCTCGGCGCTCTCGATCATACCGATGATGCGGAGCGGGTTGGCGCCGCCGCGGCGTTTCTCGGGAGGACACAGCGCGTCGATACGCGAGACGACCCACTCGATTTGGTCTGGGTCGTTGGTCTTAGGAAGCGCGACGGCCTCAATGTTGCGCGTGCGCAGCTAGCGGGATCGCATCAGCGGAGCACAGAGGCCAGAGGCTTAGGAAAGGGATGTGGGCACTCACCACCGTGTCCAGATCGTCAATCTCAAAGCCGGTGCCGACGGCGTTGATACGCGCCATGACCTCGCCCTTTGGTCTGCGCTCCGAGTCGAGCAGCTCGGCGACGAGCTTGCGTGCTGCGGGCTTGGCGGACGGCGAAACGGCGTCTTCAAGGTCATAACTGATCGAGTCCGCCGGCGAAGCGAGCGACTTCTCGAGCATACGCGGGTTGGAGCCGGGGACTGGGGCGTGTCAGTAATGTTGCATCGAAGGCGCCGACTGGACGCAGCCGGGCACACAGGAGATGAGCGAGGTACACTCACCATACAGCATCGCACGTCGCATGACGGGCGCGCGCTGAGTCGCAGTTGACATACAGCGCGTGCCAGTGATACGCGATGGGCCAGACTTGAGGGAGGCGAGCATAGTGGTGTGGGAGGATGAGGATGCAACTGTCCCGTCCCAATCCAGAGTTGACGAGATGCCGATGGTCAGTCATGGTCGGATTCGTCCGATTCACCGCCCAGAGTTCCAGAGATGCCGAACACCGGATCGCGACAGGACAACTCTCAGGACTCGGCAACGCTTCCCTTGGTGCAGGTCGAGCTGTAGATATGTAGATGCTACAAACAACGCAAAGAGTAACCCCAGTACCAGGAAGAACACGGACAACAGCCCATGCCAGCAATAAATGCATACCACAGCTTCATGTTACAGCACGGCCGGGGCAAAGACTGCCGTCGCCTTCATGCCCACCTTGTCGTCCTGCTCCGCCCACAGAGTTAACTTCTCGCCGCGCGTGTCCCAGGCCGCGTTCAGCGTGATATCGCGGTCGACATACATGGGTGAAGTGGCACGGTAGTCGAAGCGGGTAAAGTTGGTGGCCGTGTCCAGTGCAGCCTCGGCACCGAGTTCCACCAGGAGCGTCGCGGTCAGGGGACCGTGGACGACGAGATCCGGGTGGCCTTCCTTCTTCAGCGTCCACTCGATGTCGTAGTGGATCTTGTGGGCGTTGAACGTCAATGCACTGTAGCGGAACAAGAGCGGTGTGGAAGGCGTGTATGTAAACGTGTAGTCGGGCTTGGGCATGCCGACCGCTAGAGTCCACCGTCAGCGAAACCGTCCGGCGTGGCATATTAGCATCACTTACTTGACGGCTTGGGCTTGGGCTTTGTCTGGGCAGCCTCGTCCGGAAGGAAGACGTGCGTGCGGTGCTCACGGACGGCCCACTCGCCCTTGGGTGCGTCCGTGGCCTGGTACTCCCTGACCTGGTTGACAAACATCATCCCACTCTTCTCGCTCACATCCGGCACGGTGATGGTCTGAGTGACCTCCTTGCCAATAGGAAGCCCGCGGTCGGGGAACCACTCAAACGCACCGCCGGCCCACATGCGACGCTTGTAGGGTGCAGGTGCATTGTACTCCTGTTCGAGTCAGTACGGCCGGACAGACTCGACACCTTGGGATAGGAGGGTCGGAATTCGGACTTTCCCGCCCACAAACTTACTGTCGACGTTCCATCCTCTGCGAGCTCACGCATCCAGTCTTGGGGCTGGAAGTAGATGAGGTGGTGAGCCTTCTCGAGAGAGCCGCCAAGGACGGCAGGAGCGGTGCCAGCAGCGACATCTGTTTGACGCGTTGGGAGGGTGCGGAGGAGTTGCAGAGCGCGGCCAGCGTCAATGACGTCGGTGGACACTGTAGGTGGGCGAGACGTCATGTCTTGAATGAACTCCTTGACTGAGCCGCCAGTCTCTCGCCAGTCGGACCATGTACGGGTGGCCCCAAGAGCCACATGCTGTCTAGACGCGCGTGGAATCGTGTGGATGAGCTGTCGGGTGAGCATCGTGGTGGTGTGTGAAGAAGGTAAACCGACGTCGCGGCAACCGGAAATAAATGGCCCCCCTTTTGGGTCCATGGAAGATGCCGGTAAGCCGACCGGACACGCGCCGAGCTTCTGATATCCGACAGAATCAAAGACAAGTCGCGTCCAGCCGTCTCAATACCTGGAGCTTATTTGGAGGCCCTGCTGAAGGCCAGATGAAGCTGAGAGTGGATAACATACATGCTTGTGCCGTCCTAACCACGTCAAGGACGGAGAGGTTTGTCGCAACGATGCAACGATTGTGCAGTGCCTCTGAAGAAGGCCCTTTGGTGTATCTGATGCTAAACGGTACTTTGGTTGCTGACCACGGACTACATCGTCACGGATGTGGTCATAGCGCAAGCGTACATCCAGAGTGCAAAGGTGAATGCTGGTGAGAGCAAAGTGAAGTGACCGGCTCGGTCATTTCGGAGGTCCCCCCGGCCACACCGGTGTTAACTCTTTCACTCTTCCGTTTCTAACTCACGCCGCAACGAACGTCATGCTGCCAGAACCAGGACGTTAGCACCGCACCGCGCCTGCCACAGGGAAAACATGCATGTCCATTGCTTTCAGACGGAGAGCTCACTCCGTCTCCGCTAAACCTAAGTGTAGGATAATCTTGGAAGAATTGGGATAAACTTTTGAGCGTTCTGCCTAATGTTTTTGCCCAACAAAAAAGTTGACCCCCAGTCTATGTGCCGCCCAGCACAGAAAACTGGTGTTGGATTGGTGCATGGCATGCCAAGCGGCCCTTGCAGTGACTAACGCGTTGCGAAGAACACGGAGTTTGACTGTTCTGTTCCGGCAGTCCTCATTTCTTACTCAGGTTGCGTTCCGGCCGGGCAGTCCAAGAAAATGTTGCTATGTGCAGTACAGATGTATATAACGGACGAGCACTGTACCTCTTGGCGTTTTCCCTCATCTACTGATGTCGACTTCGACCCAATAACATTAGCCAAATACAATCATGGACACCCTCCGTGAATCAGTGAGTAACCAATCTCCCCTGCAGACGTTCAGCAGCTGACTCGGTAGTCCCTCGGCGACTTCCTCCGCCTCGTTTCCCGCAACCAGTGGCTCCGCCACCCGGAGGAGAAGCCCGACTTTGTTGTGCCACCCCAGTACGCCGGTCAGCTGCCTCTCACCACCGCGCAGACCAATGTCAGTGATGACACCGATGCCCCTGCCACAACCGAGACGACCAAGAAGGGCGGAATCCCCCATGCCACACTCGCCGCCAACGCCGTCATTGTGACCTGGTACGGAGACAACGACCCTGCCAACCCGCAGAACTGGAGCTTGCCCAAAAAGCTCTGGGTCCTCTTTGTCATCATGTTCTACACATTTGCGGTCTACGTTGGCTCGGCGATCTTCGCCTACGCGGTTTACGATGCCGCCGAGTACTTTGACGTCAGTGTCACGCTTGCCACAATCAATGTGACGCTGTTCGTTGTTGGCTACGCCCTCGGCCCGCTTGTTCTCGCCCCACTCTCCGAGGTGGCATCGATTGGCCGTAACCCACCTTACATCGTTTCGCTCGCCATCTTTTGCATTCTCCAGGTTCCGACTGCGCTAAGCACCAACTTTGCTGGTCTTTGCGTCCTTCGCTTCCTTGCTGGGTTTGTTGGATCCCCGCCTCTCGCGACCGGTGGCGCAAGCATTACCGACATTTTCTCTCCCCAAAAAGCTGGCTACGGCATTGGGATCTACGGTATCGCTGCAGGAGTTGCCCCAGCCCTCGCCCCGTCCATTTCTGGCTTTGCTGTGATTAGGTTTGGCTGGCGCTGGGCCTTCTGGGAGCTCCTCATCATGTCCGGTGCTGGTCTCGTTTGCCTCTTCGTTGGTCTTCCGGAGACCTCTGCCGACAACATTCTTTACCGCCGCGCTCAGCGCCTCCGCAAACTCACCGGCAACGAGTTCCTCCGCTCCGAGGCCGAGCTGGCCGAGGCTGAGAAGTCGTTTGCCAGCGTCATGCAGGAAGCCCTCGTCCGCCCCATCGTCATGACTCTCACCGAGCCCATTATTCTCGCCATCAACCTTTACGTCGGTCTCACGTACGCCATCCTCTACTCGTACCTCGAGAGCTACCCAGTGGTTTTCGCCGAGGGATACGGCTGGAACCTTGGACTGGCAGGCCTTCCCTTCCTGGCTATCACCGTCGGTGGCCTGGTCTCCTACGTCGTCTACTGCCTCTGGTCCTACTACTCCTGGGAGCCAAAGTTCGTGGCAGCCAAGGGCGAGCTTGCTCCAGAGGCCTACCTTCCGCTGAGTCTCTATGGTGCCTTCTGCTACCCGATCTGTCTCTTCTGGTTCGCCTGGACCGCCAACCGCACCTCGTGGGTCTCGCCAACGATCGCCACTGGCATCTTCGGTCTGGCCGACTGTTGGTCGTTCATGCCCTTCCTCAACTACCTCGCTTTTGCGTACCCACGCTACGCTGCCAGTGCGCTTGCATCCAACGACTTTGTCCGCTCCCTCATGGGCGCCGCCATGCCCATTGTTTCCCGCCCCTTGTTCCACAACCTCGGCGTCGACTGGGGCAACTCTCTCTTGGCGTTCATCACTATTCTGTTCATCCCAATCCCCTTCGTGCTGGTCAAGTACGGTCCTTGGCTGCGTTCTCGCAGTCGTATGGCCGAGAAGTACGAGTCGGATAATGTGCCTCGCAAGAGTGAGGGCGCTGCCGTGTAAAACCACGTTTAATATCGACAAACATAGTCATCCCTAGAGCAGTCTTATGGCTGGCGTAGATTGGTAGATTTGAGATGTACCCACTATTCACACATGTTTGGCACATTCTGCATCGGCTGATGTTTCGGTCTGACCGCTTTGTCGCTGCCAAACACTCCCCAGGCGGCCTCACAGCCCGAGATTCCAGCCACAGAAAGAAGACATCGCCTTCTTGATCGTATAACGGTGAGTATGCTCGCTTGTCATTCAGCTCGCGGGAGATCGGAGTTCGATTCTCCGTCAGGAAGTTCATTTTTGGCCTATCCAGCCCCTCTGCGGTGTTGGGGAGGTCTTTGCGATGTTGGACGACTAGAGAACAAGCCGAAAAGTGACCTGGAAGTCGGTTCGGCGAAAAGTGAAGTTGATCGCCTCAAGTGCCACATCCGCCAACTTTTTTGTCGTCTTCACCATTGTATCGCCTCTGCTTGTCACCACACCTATCCTACCCATTCCAGCTTTTTTGTGGGGTAAGAGGTCCATCTCTATTTCCCTGTGTTCCCTTTGGAGCGCTGTCCATGCAAAGCGGCGGTCTCGAGAGAGGTCTCCGATCGGCCCGGCACCTCCTGGAGGACTGTCATCTGGTTCTTGATCGTATAACGGTTAGTATGCTCGCTTGTCATTGAGATCGCGGGAGATCGGAGTTCGATTCTCCGTCAGGAAGTACACAGAGCCTCGTACAGCGAGGTTGAGAAGTCAGCTCAGGTTGACAACTCGCTTTTTACCCCCAGGGACCTCGAGTCACTATCAGTGTGATTCCTCCAAGTGGAGGTAAGTTGCCAGGTCATCTAGGCCACCCAATGACGTCACGGGTACATCCCCAGTCCGTTTGCAACACCTTGCAAGTAAAAGGAAAGCCCATGCATCTGGAGGACGATTCAAAGATGTGGTGAAAGCGGATGGATGTGGTGCCACTCTCTCTCGCTTCCTTGCCGCGTTGCAGAACCGGTTAACTCCCGGGAACAGCCGCTGGTTACCGCGGACACATATCCGGCGGCGTCCTTAAGTTCGGGCCGATTTATGGACTGGCTGTCTCTTTCACTCCCATCACCTCACCGTCCCTATGCCTATCTCGATCGACTACACCGGCAAGCTCGTCGTCGTCACTGGCGGTGGCCGCGGTATTGGCCTTGCCATCACCACCGCGCTCGCCAAGGCCGGTGCGGATGTGGCCATCACCTACACTTCGTCCGACCCCTCGGCCCGGGCTGCCGAACTTTCGGCTGCTCATGGTGTCCAGGTCAAGGCTTTCAAGTGCGAGGTGACTCGCAGCTCTGATGTCGATGCTATGCTCGAGGCCGTCGAGGCCGCCTATGGCAAGAAGGCCGACATTGGTGTTGCCAATGCAGGTGAGTGTAGTCCGAACCATGTTGGGTGGTTCCAAGGTTTCCGTGGGCGACTTCCCGCCGAGTTTGCTCCGGTGTTGCTCTGCGTCTTGAAATGTGTCGGTATGCTGACGTGTCCAGGCATCACACTGTGGAAAGATGCCCACGAGAACACCGATGACGAGTTCAAGCACGTCTTCGACGTCAACACCTTTGGTCCCTTCTACTTTGCCCGCGGCCTTGTTCGCAGCTGGCTCGGTCAGCCTATCGATGTCGCCAAGGGCGGTGACTCCCTCAACGTGCCCACCATGAAGGCCAACCTTGGCAAGCAGATTCTGTTTGTCTCGTCCATCTCTGGCCTCGTCGCTATGACGCCCCAGCGCCAGACTGCCTACAATGCCTCCAAGGGTGCCCTCACCATGATGTCCAAGTCGCTTGCTGGCGAGTGGTCACACCTCGGTATTTACGTCAACTCGATCTCGCCCGGATACGTCCTCACCGATATGATCGCCAACCCTCCTGACGAGACCGCCAAGGCTTGGGCCAAGGACTGGGAGAACCGTACTCCCGTCGGCAAGTTTGCCACTGCCGATCAGATCGGCGAGTTTGTTGCTGTCTTGCTCTCAGACCGCCAGGGTGGTATGGGCTTCATGGCCGGCTCGGACGTCGTCCTGGACGGCGGTTACACTGTGTTCTAATAGAATGATATTTGTATGTTGTTTGGGGTCTGAACGTGCGCTCTTAACCGCTTAAGCTTTACATTTCTCTACTGACAACATGCGACTACAAACCATCCTCTAACGGGCAACCGAGCTTGCTCTCCACACCAGCCAACACAACGCGCCTTCGACCTGCAGGACAACGCCCTGAAATGTTAGCACATGCTCCAGCAATGTCACTCACTTTGTCATCGGCGTCAGGCTCTTCCAAGGGGCGTGCAGCTGACGCTTCACCGCCAGCAAGAGGGGCGATTTAGCGACCATAGCCGCAAGTCTCGATGCGGTTGTACTGCCATCCCCAGTCGAAGTGTTCAAACAGCTCGTCGACCCCATCAAGCTCGGGCACGAAGAAGATGGCGTAGAACAACGAGATAGTGCCCATGCCGCCAAAGATGTAGCCTATCTTGCCGCCAAGGCCGCCGTACGGCTCGTTCATGATGTACGGGCTGCAGAATGAGAAATGCCGGGGAGCCAACGATCCGGCCGACGTAAATGATTGAGACACGTTTAGCACGGGTGGTGCGCTCACCGGGATTGCAGATGACCTTCTGATACGTAGTCAAGCAAAGCGTGCCATCGTCCGCACGCGCTACAAAGTCATTGAGCCACGATAGCAGAGCTTGCAAAGACCTGAAAGATGAGGAGTCCATTTGGCGAGCGTTCGTGGCCAATTGCTAGTGGCAGAGCAGGTGCCCCAGAGGAACGACCACTCACATGCCGAAGGTCAAGTCACCGCATGCAAAGGTTACGGCGCAGAACACCAGGAATGGCGCTGCCTGGTGCCAGTCTTCTCAAAATCCCATGGTCAAGCCAGGGGCTTGCCGGCGACAAGGTCATAGGAAGTGTGCGATGCCAAATGTTCTTAGCGTCCGGCTCTTGTTCTTCAGTCGGCGGGGTCTGTCGATTAAGGAACCGATTCCTTTCAAAATGGCCCATCGCGACGTTTCTAGACCAGCCCAGGTCCCTGCATTAGGAGGCTACTTTGTAATTGGGATAACAAACCCCTTGCTTGACACTAACGGCCCTCATGAACAGAAGCCATTGCACTGCAGGCCAACGGACTTGGGCTCCACCCCACGTCTTGATAACTCACACACCGTACACAGTACAACCATACACACCGCATCTCCGTGCCGGAATTTTGATCGTTTCTGCTCTAAGGCAAGCCGGCGCTCTAATCTGCACGCATGTGGCACTAATATTGGACGCCTCAGCCGCCACAGGCCAGGCCGCCGTTCAACGCTCAGTTCACTGTGTTGGTGTCGGTGTCGTATCAGGCAAGGTGCCGAGGAGAAAGCATCGAGCGGCCGTTTGAGGCGATTCTTGGGCATGGCGCCCGGACGGGCAGGACGGTGGCGAGCGAGCCTGGAGGAGCCGGTTCTACAGCTCTACAGCGCATGGAAACACCGGCCGGCCTTTTGTGGGTCTATTATGTACTTACTGTACCCATGTACAGTATAGTATGAGGATCAGGATGTGATTAACATATTATTAGAAAACAATACTAATTCCAGGGCAGCGCCGGTCACGCACCTCCGCTACTCCGAAATTGACCGACATTTCCCCGGTATATAGCGGGTGGGAGCGGTACTTCGCGCGGCAACATGTCGCATGAACTGTTAAAGAATCTGGGGAATGTGGTGTTCCTGGGCCTTCAGTAATGGGCAGTGCTGTTGAACGGGTCGGAGCAGAGCGTGCCGACACTGTAGTTCGCTTGAAGTCCGGTCACGGAGGCCACAACTCGTGATCGCCAGGTATAAAGCAATGGGGGGATGGGTGACGTGACAATCACCCCCCAACTCCTCTCAACAGCATACCCATCACTCCCCCCACACACATATTCACTATGATCGCCAAAGTCAAGACCGTGCTTGAGCAGCTCGAGGAAGTTGTCAAGGTCGATGCCGACACCTTCGACTTTGACTACATCAAGACGCTCCCCTTTATCCCTCATGACGCGACCAGCAACCAGGGGTTCATCCACGAGTCTCTCATCGACCCTCGCAACAGGGATGTTGTCGACCAGACCGTCCAGGAGCTCAAGGGACAGTCGTGGGAGGACGTGTACGCCGTTTGTGTACGTTTGTTCATTCGTACGCCACAGCGATATTGAAGTTGACTGGGATCAGGTGGCGCGTATTGCGAAGAAGGTGATTCCTTTGATCTCTGGTCGTGTGCTGGCTCAGACCTCGACCTCGCACGCATACGACACCGACTACATTGTGGGCCATGCCCGCCTCTACGCCAAGTCCTTCGAGGCTGAGGGCATCACTCGGTGAGCAACCTGCTCTCCCAGGTTTATACAGGTGACTAACCCATACAGCGACCGCTTCTGCGTGAAGATCCCAGTCACCAGCGCGGGCATCAAGGCGGCACAGATCCTCAAGGAGGAGGGCATTCCTACTCTTGGCACAGCGCTCTTCTCCCTCCACCAGGCCATTGCTGCCTCCCAGGCTGGCATGCACGCCATCAGCATGTACCTCAACGAGATTCCGGCCCACTCTGTCGCTGGTGTTTACCCCGATGTTGCCGACCCCGCGACCCAGGCGCCAATGGCTGCCCGCCACATGCATATCCGTGAGACGTACAACCGTCTTGCCAAGGAGACTGGCAAGCCCCAGCCCCAGATGAAGACCGCGTCGTTCTGCGTTCCCGGCGATGTTCTGGCCTGTGCCGACCTTGGTGCCGACCACGTCACTGTCGGAACCCCTATCCTTACCGACCTGATGGAGTACTCGACTATTCCTGAGTACCGCCCGGGCATGTGGCATGTCCCCTTCAAGGTGCAGGCCGAAGACAAGGAGCGCGAGTGGCACGTCTGGGCACCTGGCAAGCCGTCGGACGCCAGGATGCAGGCTCTCCTCAAGGTCGACCCGGCAAGCAGCGTTCCTGCCGACAAGTGGACCATGGCCTCCACAGACGTGGACTACACCGCGCCTGGCGTGGTGGACCAGTACAACGAAGCGGACCCTGCCACTCGCGACCGCCTCGCCATGGCCCTGAAGTTCTTCAACGGCAAGGAGACTGAGAGCAAGGAGTTCCTGGAGGGTCTGCAGGCTGCGGCTTAGAAGTTGTATCGTTGTGGACAATATGTTAGTGATTTATGACATGCTCCAGTAGTGCCTCGTGGGGACTCTGCTGCGCACTATATGCGGCTTTTGGCGAGGCATATGTGCCGAGCATGCCGGGAACGGTGCCGAGCAGTCCGTGGGTGGGCTTGGCAAAAAACCCTTTGTTGACAATCGCTGCTCCTTGTGCGTGCCTCATCGTCTTCCTGACTGTCCAACAGGTAGGCGGCGGCAGTTGGATGTCTACCGCATATCCGCGACCTCTGTGTCATCTTCATTATCGTTCATTCACCTCATGTTTTGCTGACTTGCCTTCGCAAAATGGCCCAAACAGCAGTGCAGGAGGTCGCACAACCTCATGCGTGTCCGTGGCCTGGGTGTACCAAGGCGTACAAGCGTCTCGACCACTTGGAACGCCACCAGAAATCCCGTAAGGAAGTGACTGCTATTTTGACAACTGATCTCTTCAGACTCGGGAGATCTCAACTATCGCTGCCATATATGTCACAAACAGTATTCAAGAAGGTGGGGGATCACAGGCCCGCACATGTTTGGCTGACTCCTAGTGACGTGCTGAACCGCCACCTCGTGCAGACGCACGGTGAGCGCGCCGGAACCGCTGGACGTCCTCGAAGAGCAGCATGGTGGGAGCGTGTTTTGGGGCCTCGCTAATGACCTCCGAGTATTGCGTGTGTTGACCAGCGTGTATCATGTGACGGTGTACCACCGCGTGTGTGCTCGCGTTGTCGAGAGCAGTCACGACCATGTCGATATCGCCACTTGGAGATGGAGGCCCGGAGCCAGCCCTACATTGTCGCACCTACGGTCGTGTCCTCGTCAACATCCACCAACTCGACATCCCCATCAGACACACCACAACTCATCGCGGGGTCCGCGTCCTATGCCCCAGTGGGTCAAGGGTCAAGCTTCATGGGAATGGATGGTCAAGTCCGCACACCTTACCAGGCCCAGGCCCACCAACTGCCCGGCGACTCGGCCCGAGATGGGGACACCGCACCGGGGACTGGCAACCCACCCGAGTTTGCCCCGGACGGGCTGCAACCCATGGACAACGAGTCCAATCTCTCTGCCAGCCCATTGATCAGGACAGGAGCTGCATGGCCTGAATATTCCCCTACACCGACAGAGCAGCCCTGGTTGACAGAGTTTTTACTGTCCGTGACAAAACCGGATCAGCCCAGCGCCCAGTTCGTGTCGCCACTGGCCACCAACTTGGACTGGGGTTTTGCAGACTTGAACGTAGACATCCTTGGCCCTATCGCTGCTCGGTCATCGAGTCCGGGACGATTGCCTGTGCGACACGATGGCCTGATGATGGCTGTCTTTCCTGAAGAGGTGGGTGGTGCAGGCAACCACCCGCAGTTCCATCACTCGCAGGTGGATGGTGGTTCCTGGGTAGGTCCCTTGTTTTAATGTTGTGGCACGCTAATAACAATCGCAGCCACAGGTGTACCACTCCCACACGCCAGGCGTTGGTGCCCATCTGCCCCACACGTCAGGGCATGGTCTTGATTTTATCGCTCCTCCAGGGAGGACTGTCAAACCCACGGCAAGGCTCATGATGCACACGCTCGCCACCCACGCACACCGTCCAATGTGGTCACCACCCGACCTTCGGAACTTGCCCTCCGAGACTGTGCTCACCTCATGCGTCAACCTCTACCTAGCCCATTTCGCGACATGGCTGCCGATCGTCGATTCCCCTAGTGGCAGGTTTATGACCGACAAGGCAGCGCCTCTGCTACTCAAAGCCATGGCGGCTGTGGGATCGGTGTACGCACGGGATGGTTTAGAACGACTTGCTGCTCCACTCGCCGAGATGGCCAGAAGAGAAATATTGTTCATTGTGAGCAGTACATGTTGTCCTCTATGCTGACTGCAGTGCGAACATGACCAGCGCTTCGTGTACGAGCTCGGGGTTGTCCAATCTTCGCTCCTGCAAGCTGTTTATGGACTGTACAGTGGATCGCCAAAGCTTCTGCAGCAAGCTGAGACTACCCGAGCTCAACTGGTGGCATCGTGCAAGGGAATGAACTTGCTCGATTCGCAGGTTTCAGTGGTGGACCAGGTTGGGACGTCGAGTGTCACCCCAGACGACATTGGCAGGGCCCTGAAGATGGATCACAGGCGACGCAGGCTGGGCTGGTGCATCTTCGTGGGTACATTTTATTCTGGGCTTCGCTGAATCATATCAGCTATTTGATGCTCAAATGGCGTGCATGTTTGGGACGCCTGCTGCGATTTCCATGTCGGATGTCAAGGCGCCACTGCCAACTGTGGCACCGGATCCTCGTCCCGCCCAGCCACTGTTTGCCCAAACCATGGCTGTGCTGCTTGAGAAGGGAACTATTCTTCAACCATTGGACGATATTGGGTTTAGCTGTATTGCGTACGCCATGTACAGGTGAGCGTAACCTACTAGGTGCAAAAGCTGACGACAGACTTTGTCTCGAGGCAGCGGCGAGCCAGGCGTTCGGTCGCACACCCCCTGGAAAGTACACCCTTAGAACCACGTACGACATTCATCCCCAGGCGGTTCTTGACCAGCTTGCACGCCACACGCTCAACTCACCCGCACCGACACACCTCGCCGTCTCGTGTGCTGCCCTCGCCTATCACGCCCACTTGCACTTCACAGACCCCAATCTCCTCGACCAAATCAAACTTGCAGCAGGGAAAGGTAGCGCTGAAATTAAGGAAAGCGCGCGCATGCGGATAAGCGGTTGGATCAAAGGGAATCCTGCCGCTGCACGACATGTGTTCGCCAATGCCGCCATGTTGAGTGCACTCATGAACCAGTTCCCTTTTGAGTGAGTCTCCCCATTGCAAAACTCGACTGACTTCTAGCACACCTACCGAACTCGTTTGGGTGTTCGATGCAGCCCTCTGTATGTGGGCCTGCGTCCGGTTCTCCGATCTCTGTCTACCACGCGATCCCAGTGCATCTGTCCCCATTACCTGGTCTCCAACTCCTGCGTTGGACGCTTGGGTCGAGACCGGAGACGCAGGGCTTATTTTGCCAGGAATTGGTAGCCTGCCAGGGCTCCCGTGGGCCGCCGTCCTGCAGGCCGCTGCTGATCGGCTGGAGGTAATGTCCTGGGGTCTAGCAGGAAGGTACCGTAAGGTCCTCCTAGGTTTGATGGCTGAGGCATAGCGAGGCTGGGCCACATGTTAGTTATAATCTTTAGATGCAGAAGGTTCACTTCTGGCACTTATCACCAATTTCATACTATTTTTCTGTGACAGGCTGGCCTTCTAGCTTCATCGTCCACCACGTCCAAGGCGCCCAAGAGACCACAATCGTTCAGAGATAGTCGCGAGGCGTCGCGACAATGCCAGGAAAGACAATGTCAACCTGCTCTCGTGGTGTAGTGGCTATCATACTTTCTTAGGGTTCCGTTGGATCTCTAATCCTACTTGCTATGGAAGTGGTCCTGGGTTCAAATCCCGGCGAGGGCCTTCTTTTGCCTCCTGTGCATGCTCCTTTTGCTTTAGAAGTGGTTGGAAGAGAGGGCAGATGAAGATGTAGAGGTCGGAGGAGATGGCGGACTGAGCGGGGGGTTGCTGTGGCACAAGCGCGCTAGCGGGAAATTTGCTTCCGTGCCGCGATTTCGCCCCCCGCCACACTGCGTCGTGTTTGCTATGTATCTGCAACAACCCCTCTTCAATAACAACGACGGCGCCTATATCACATGCATGTGAGGCTGTCCTCCTATACCTGAGCTGAGTGTACAGCGCGGGCTCGCTTAGTGGGGAGGGGGGGAGGGGGGGGCGGCGAAAAATGACACTAATTTCCGGTCGGCGAATTTCAATCAACATCGTCCTCCGCCAACTCCAACCGACAAAACGTCTTCCTACCTATCCTCAGAAGCAAAAGATGAAGGCCCTGGAGGCCTAGAATAGCAGGTACTTCCTGACGGAGAATCGAACTCCGATCTCCCGCGAGTTGCAGTGACAAGCGAGCATACTAACCGTTATACGATCAAGAAGGCGATGTTGATGTCTTTGGCGTTGGCGGCGGTTTCGGCCCCACTCTTCTTCGGGCCATAACTTCTCTGTATCTGGCCCCTGGGACAAAAGAGGTGCAGGTGTAGCATCTCCAGTATCTACTACGTCTTCCTGGAGTCCAAGAGGACCAATAACGGATTGCTGACACAAGTTCACCGGGGATCAAAAGTTGGGTGTATCGAGTCTCCTGAAAACCGTCAGGCCACTGTCTCCGTGTGGCCGTGTGACTTGGACCTGACATCGTTTTCCACTTCTTCAATACAAATTGCAAAGTAGGTATACATGCCGGTGTATCCATTGTGGGTGGGAACTAGGCCTGCGGAGATGCCGCTGGACCGAAGTACAGCGAGGTACGCACTGGGCGCCGGGGAAACAGATGGCGAGCCCGAGCGACGCCACACAGGAGATATAATGGGTCCCCCCTCGACGGACTTCTCCTCTCCATTGCCAGCTTGGATCATGGAAAGCTACTCTCCCTTCCAGCAACTAGTACATTGCCTATCGCACAATATCAAACATCACAATTCCTGCTTGTCCACAACCACCCTTCCTGTTGCTGTTAAGTTAGGCTGTCGGAGATTCAACCTCCAGGCATCCACCAGCACTCACGGAGGCCGCCCATTCTAAAGACCTGCTCATCTGGAACCCTTTAAAACCCCATCCGCGGGTAAACCGCCAGTCCACTATCCTCAAAACGGGGATATCGTCTAGTGGTAAGACACAGACTTCGCATCCACCTCTCGGTCACCTCGAGAGCGGCGATCTGTCTGTAACCGGCGTTCGATTCGCCGTATCTCCATTTTTGGCCTTCTGTGCATGTCCTTCACGTTCTGAGATGATGTTGGGATGCAGAGGGTGTGCAGGGGTGTGTTGAAGAGGACGGAGAAGGTTGTACAGTGCATCGGGCGATTTTCTGCGGAGTTTTGTTTATTTTCTACCGCCACATCTATCCGACGATGCGCTCTCAAGAATTTCACGAAAGTGCAGGTGGGCAAGGGACTTGCAGTGTCTTCCTAAAGAGTGCTCTCATACGGCATGAGACTGCTTCATGTCCCACAGAACAGCTGGGTAGTCCCGTCCCAGATGCAAGACATTCGTAAAGTGCCATGTCCCTGAGACAGGTATGCAAACATCAATAATCGCTATGGCTTAGTGGGAAAGCGCCAGGCTCATACTTCTGTTGTGATAACCTGGAGATCCCTCGATCGAAACGAGGTGGCGATAGTTCTTCTGTTTTTGCTTCTTGTGAGGTGGTAGGTGTTGGTTGGAGATGAGGAGGCAAGACGACGTCGCAGGGGATCCGGAGGTTAGTCGATTTGATAGTGGCGTGACTGAGCGGCGACTTCTTTTTCACCGTTTTGCTCCCCAATACGTCCTTAATGTTGCGCTCCGGGTTCACATGCAGTGATGAAGCATAGGCTCCTCGTTTGCACGCTGGTGGTGTGTATTGGTCCCAATATAGGTCCTAAGAACTCTCTCCACAACACAACCAACTTGGTATTGACGTAAACTGGCCCGGGTCCGAGGTCACCTTACTTCCCCTTGTCCCTGCGGTGAGCGCAAAAGAGAGCCTGGAGAGCCTTCGGAGTCTCCGGAACCACCAGCGTGCAGGACATCCTTGAATGTAAGATCGAGGCGGATGCCAACTTCATCTTCGACGCAGGACGCCGGACTGGACCCAGCGGTAACGGCCCACTGTAATCAGCACCGTGGCCAGAATGCTTGCGTAGCAATGCATACAGACAACTCCGAGATGCACGGGTGGCAAAGACCAAGCAATGCTATGTAGGGCCTGCACCTGTCGATGACAGATTTGAGACTCTCTGATGAAGTGGCTGAACGTGTCGGGCCGCAGAGACCGCAGTCTGTCTACATACGTGTACAACAACGACCATCCGTCCAAGCAGCTCAGAGAAATGCACTGCCCAGGTCAATCCCAACGGACATCAAGCCGGCAACATCTGGCCGTGTTGTTGGCGTGGACGCGTAACCGAGAGATTGAAAAAGACACTCACAGGCGCCGTCTTCAAGCTGGGTGTTAGATGCTGAACATCGTCTGCGTACTCCCAGGTAACTAGCTTCACGTCATCCCGAGCCTCCGCCTTTCTCCAAGATCACCCTGCTCTTACCGAAAAGTAGTGCATGGCAAGTAGCACACATCCATCATCGGAACCGGGCGAAAAGTGCGCCACAAATTCACCGAAAACACCACTGCGCCCTCCGTCACTCCTCCAACTTCATCCAACCATTCTGGCGTTTCTCGCTTCACGACAGCTCAAGAAAGCGCAGATGCATGCACAGGAGATGCAAAAGAAGGGTTTTGCAGCCACTGGGGTTCGAACCCAGGATGCATATGCATGCCAAGACTCCAGCAATCGCTGGAAGAAGCTCAGAAGAGAAAGTTTCTTGAGTGGCACCCCGTAACCACTTGGGTATAGCTGCTCACGGAATCGACAAAACCATGCATGCTTGTGAATGCTGGGTGTTAGGGATCCTCAAGAACGTTTGGAGAGACAAGTTGAGATGCAGTGAAGGCAGCGGCTTTTGTCGACGATTTGATGTATTATTGCTCATCTCAGGCGTTGCATGTCGATCACCGCGGTCACGTTGTCCAGTGTCTACTCTACATTCCTCTCTACGACCAACCTGACGCCCTCCATCTATTCAGGCTCGCGATGCGGCAGAGGAGGCAAGGCAGACGTGTGAGGAGAGCGTTGAACATGTATTCTCTTATAGCCCACCAACAGAATGTGCCACGGGCGACCAGGAAAGATATGTGGGTGGCAGTTGGAAGGGTTCAATGGAAGTGAAGAGGGACGATGAGACCAAAGTGCCACGACGAGCAGGGCCATTGTGATGTCAGCCCCCGCCTCGTCGAATCCCTTGGATGCTTGGACCACGGCGATCCATCAGAGCAAGAGAAATGGCGATTTTGGTTCTCTCTTCCAATCACAATCAGCCAGGCAACCACTCCTCTGATCCTCTGACCAGGACGTTTAACCTCAACTCCACCGAGCAGGTCATGAGAAACGCGGACCGAGATTGCGGCAAAGCATCGTAATCCTGGCGTTGTCGCGCATTGACTTTGTCCTGTGCTGTGCCTCTGTCTTGTGAATAACCCAGTGCAGTTCGCCGACCAAACCCTTTTCGTTCAAGGCAGCGTTACTTACAAGAGTGCATACTGTAGTTGTCAAGGTATGCTGCGTACCTACGTCTGTCGTTGCATGGGTGGAACCAAACATGTGTGACTGCGGGGACAAGGGGAAGCATGATGTTGGCTGACCCGCCTGAGATGACCAGTTCAGGGTTCTGTTGGATGCCAAATCGAAGTAAACAACCTTGCTTTCAACGGGCAAGCCACTTGCTGACAATTCATGGCATCGCATGGCCGCCACCACTGGCAACGGACGCGATCCGTGCTCACGCGAGAATCGGACGCGACCCCCGCGACGTAAACATGGTAATTCATTCGCGTCCTCTCTCTCAGTTCACAGCTTTCCTCAGAGCAACAAAAACAAGAGCTAAACCGATAGAAGCTAGACTGCGCCGTCTCCCGCTGGCTTCTCGGCGGCCCAAACACCTACAGAACCCTGTTTTTGATCCAACGATCACCCTAGGCTGCCAAGACCCAGCTCACCTTAAACTTGTTTCTCTCCCCATAATCCCACCGCACACTACACACCAGCATCGACACGACGATGCCGCGCCGACCACCTGTGTACAGCCAGCAGCCGTATGACAACGGTGATGAGGTGAGTGCGATTGCTTGGCTCATGTACTGCCCCCGCACGCCATCGGAGGTGGAGCGCGGACATTTCTTGATGTGGAACCCTGCTGCGCTTCATTGCATCATATATGATGTACGAACCCATGGGAGAGACATGGGCACAACCAGGTCCACAGGTTCGGCTCCATGCACCTTCCCAGTGGGGGCCAGCGCAGGCGGAGAGCGACAGGACTGTTTTGTTGTTCATCTTGCCGTGTTCAGCGGTGCCTTAGCCGAGAGCCTTGGAAAGCTTGCGCACGTCTTTGGCTCTGGTGCTGTTTCTTGCCGGCTGTTGCCTGACCCGCGAGAGAGACTTGTTATGACGCTTGCGCTGACAACGTCCGCTTCCCTCAAAACTCGACCCACATGTGTACCACCACCATCCCGGTCTAACACACCTCCGCCGCATCCGTGGACACACCATACCCGGCAACTACCACGTCGTTTTCTCTCTCTTCTGGACACTTTTCCCCTCTCAACGTCTCTTTTCATTCCGACGGCGATTCCTGTATCGTTCCTTCCATCCTCCCTCGATCCCTCTCCTTCTCACCTCCTTCTGCGACTCTCTTCCCTTGTTGGCCGGCTCCCCCCATCACCTTGCTGCCCCCTCGTCACTCGTCGCATATCTCGACTTGGTCTGGTGTCGACCTCGCCTTGGCGCCATCCCACACGCTATCGCACCGGCCATCCCGGACCCCGCACTGCCTCACTGTCCCCCGCCCCTGCATCGCAACAACAACTCGATTTCTTAATCGTCTTACCTTCCGCCCATCCCTCCCTCTCATTGCGCCCCGTGTGTATTCTCAACACGCACACGCACGCACGCCGTCCTGCCGTCCTGGATCCCACAATCTAACAGTTGATCCAACTCTCGCCCTCACCGTACACCTCCTCCTTCTCACGGCCCTCGATGGATGAGCGCCTCCCTCTCGGCGTCACGTCTGGCAGCGCTTCAGTCACAGGCGTCCCCCGCGTCCCACGCCAAGGCGGCCTCGCAGAGCGATACGACAGCGACACCTATCTCGTCTCACACGCTGGTGGCGACAACGGCGGCTACTCGAACGGCGGATACTCTCCACAGCCACCCATGAAGGTCGAAGAGGACCAGATTCCCGTCCACCACGGACATCGGGGCGACAGCGCGTACGCTCATGGGGGCGGCTGCGTGCCTTCCAACCCCAAGAAGCGCCGTGCGCTCTTCATCGGCGTGCCCATTGCCATTATTGTCATTGCTGCCATTGTCGTTGGTGTCGTCGTCGGCGTCACGCGACACAAGTCAAGCGGCAGCAGCAGCGGCTCGTCGTCGTCTAACGACGGCGCAGGTGCCGGCGCCAGTGGGAGCGGGACAGCGACGTCGACCTCGCCATACCCTACAATCTCGGCCAGCACCGGCCAAGGCGGTGACGGCAGTACGGTCACCACCGACACCGGCGAGACGTTCACGTACTCTAACTCGTTTGGTGGATTCTGGCAGCAGGACCCGAACAACCCCTACAGCGTCTCCGGCCAGGCCCAGGCCTTTACGCCCAAGCTCAGCGAGCCATGGGTCTGGGGCGAGCACATTATCCGAGGGTGAGTTGCTCGCTCGAGATTCCTAACTGACAACCAGTGTCAACCTTGGTGGCTGGCTCGTGACTGAGCGTGAGTGCGGTTGGGGTTTCGAGTAAAGCGCGCTTCTAACTGGCCACAGCTTTCATCGTGCCCTCCCTGTACGAGCAGTACCAGAACTCGACGCCCCAGGCCGTTGACGAGTTTACTCTTTCCATGGCGTGAGCTAGCATCGCGAAATCGCAGCTGACGGTGGCAGGATGGATGCCGATCTCGCTACCAAGATGGAGGAGCACTACGCCACGTTCATTGTGGGTTTTGTGTGCTGTCGTCAGACCCCAAGCTGACAAGACCAGACCGAGAAGGACATTGCTGATATTGCCGCGGCCGGCCTGAACTGGGTCCGGTGAGCTGTTGTGGATGAACCTCAGCTGACTTGTAGCATTCCTCTGGGCTTCTGGGCGATTGCGACCAACGCAGGCGAGCCGTACCTCGAGCGCACGTCCTGGACCTACTTCCTGCGTGCTATTGAGTGGTGCCGAAAGTACGGTATCCGTATCCTGCTCGACTTCCACGCCCTCCCTGGATCCCAGAACGGCTGGAACCACTCGGGCAAGCAAGGCTCCGTCAACTGGATGTACGGCGTGATGGGCATTGCCAACGCCGAGCGTTCGCTCGAGTACCTGCGCACTCTGGTCGAGTTCATCTCTCAGGACGGCATCAAGCAGGTCGTTCCGATGATCGGTCTCGTCAACGAGGTCATGGCCGCCACCGTCGGTCAGACCGTCATGGGCAACTTCTACTACCAGGCCTACGAGATGATCCGCGAGATCACGGGCATCGGTTCTGTCAATGGACCTATTATCGCCATTCACGAGGGATTCCTCGGCATCGCAGCCTGGGACTCGTTCCTCTCCGGCGCGGACCGTCTCGCACTCGACCAACACCCGTACCAGGCTTTCCCGACCGTGCAGAACAACTACGGCTGGGAGTGGCAGATTGCCAACGGATGCGGCTGGGGCGGCGGCACCAACGACACCCAGTCGGGCTACGGTATTGTCGTCGGTGGCGAGTGGTCGTTGGCCATCAACGACTGCGGTCTCTGGGTCAACGGCGTCGGCACCACCCCAAACTACGCGACGGCGTACGGATCGTGCGCCGACTTTGACCAGTGGATGAACTACAACGACACCATGAAGCAAGGACTGTACAATTACGCTGTGGGCCAGATGGACTCGCTCCAAAACTGGTTCTTCTGGACGTGGAAGATTGGAAACTCGACCGTGCTCGGATACCCATCTGCCCCGCAATGGCACTACCAGCTGGGGCTGCAGCAAGGCTGGATCCCGAAGGACCCGCGCGTCGCCGGCGGATGGTGTAAAGCCAACGGATACTGCACTGGCTGTGCCGAGTTCAACGGCACGTTCCCAGTCACGGCCACTGGCGCCGCCACGTCCGCGACCATCATCCCTGCCCAGGTGTCGAGCTATGGCGCGTGGCCACCTACGTCGATGGGTCCCTCATTGAACTCTGCCGAGATCGCCATGCTCCCGACGTTTACGCGTACCGCACAGCCAACGACCCTGCCCATGGCCAGCCCCACGTTCAGCGCCGAGGGTAATGGATGGTACAATGCCCAAGACACAAAGCTGGCCTACACCACCGTGGCCGGATGTCCTTATCCAAAGTGAGTACCGCGTGAGGTCGCACAAGCGATCGAGCTCGCAATGGCAGCGAAGGGGGGGTGCGATCATGGGTGCCGGTTGTGTTGTACCCCTGCACCCAGTTTGGCTCCTCCACCATTGATGGATAAACAACGTACTGACATTTCCACAGCGCGTACAACGCCACTGCCGCATCCGTCCCCACCGAACTCTGTACCGGATCAGCCGTGGCACGTCGCGCGCAGATCACGCCTGCTCCCTAATTCTCATTACTAGAGACGTGAGAACACAAAGAAGAAACGGTCCACGTTCCAAGGACCTGTGGCTCTTTCGCGATACCCTTCCTTGGACCCTCCCCGGTCCACCCACCTACCCCCCTTTCTCTCAATGGACACTCGAAGCGCGTTCATGTATACTTAGTAGGATGCCAATTATGGTTTATAACCGAAGCGAACGAACGATCAGACGGAGGCATACATCGTATATCTATATCGAGCGGAGATCATTAACAAGACTGGTCCCACCACCACATGTGTAGGGGTTAGGGGAGCACGGTGGGTAAGCTACAAGGGCCGTATACGTAGAAGGGTCGTGCGGGTCGTACGTAACGCACAGCGTGAGCGCGCTGTCTCAAGTCTCAGACCGCATGGCTTTTGGCCATACCTAGGTCTAGACCGATGCCTGGTGCGAAGGAGGCGGGTAGGACGTATACGCCTGGGCATTGCCGTTATTCGCAAACGCGACGTTGTGGCCGTGATTCGTGCCCACTGTGCCGGGGGGAGTGGCACCAGGTACCGCGCCGGCACCACTCAATGGCACGCGCTCGCCTGCAGCGGTGCCGCCTGTAGACATCTCGTGCAGCGGGAGAGGACCCTCGTCGGGCGGAATACGCGGTGCGTAAGGGCGCCAGGAAGAAGGGGCTGCGAGGGGCTGTGCTGGTTAGTGTGCTGTTGGCTGGAAAGAGTGGGCTGTTTGAGCAGTTGGTGGAGACTTTGCAGAGTACAGCTCTGCTCCGATAGCAGTGGCCTCCTCCCGCATAGGGCCTTGCCATGCTTTGTCCTTTCAAAGCGACTCACAGGGTAGTACTGCCTGTATCCCCACCATCCAGCCAGGATACCAATGATGGCACCAGCTATCACGTCGGTTGCATGGTGGCGGTAATCCATCGTGCGGGAGATGGAGATGAGGGACGCGCAGCAGAGAGGCAGCAGCAGAGTCCACGACTTGATGGTGTAGCCGCGCTGGTTGGTGATGCGAAACTCTGCAGTGGCGTCAGTGGCAGTCGAGACGGTGGACTAGTGTGAGGTTGTCGTGCTTTGTAACACAAGAATCCCTCGTTGTTTGCGATGCGACTCACTGGCTGCCAGGTACAGAACCAAGTACCACATGCCCGTCCACGCAAAACTAGAGTGGCCCGAAGGGAACGAACGGAAGCCATCCTTGAGCAAGCTGGTCTCGGTGCATTCCCTCCAGCTGGTGAGACCATGGACGGGGTTTGACTGATAACTCTCCGGCAGTTGGCAGCGGCCAAACAAGTCAGGTCGAGGGCGGCCAGCGGCGATCTACCCATCAGCATCACGTAGTAGTCGACAACCCCCTTACCGTACTCACCTTCAGAACGTCTGTAAAGGTAACGCTCAGTCCAAGGGCCAGGACGAGGCCGAGGAGGCCGTTGTGCGCGTCCCAGAATGACCGACGCATGGCCCTGTTACATCAGCTTCCATACTTTCATCCGGTAGTCTTGGCATGGAGGTGGGCGTGGGATAGATCTCGACAAGGCATTGTGGGTGCGTCATGTGTGGCATGGGTCAGACACCGCTTGTCCACTGCGCCACTGCCCAGCGCCATTCTTCAGTGCTTTGAAAGGAGGGTACTTACGCCAACAGCACAATGATGATTGCCGGTCCCAGACCTGTGACCACTGCCAAGAGCCACACGGGGACTCGCTCATGCAGGCGGTATGGGTGTGCGAGAGATGTGTCGTTTACATCAAAGAGGCGGCGGTATCCGTCGATCTTGTCCACCAGGTAGAACAGGCCCTGCAGGGAAGTGTTAGAAGAAAGCAATTCCGGAACTCGACAGTAGAGGTAGCGAGCACCGCCCATTGGCACAGCATGACAAGACGAAGTGAACGTGTAAGAGAAGGAAGGTGTTTGCAAGGCATGATGAACCCATCCCCCAGCGTCCCCAGCGTCTGCTATACGGCCGCGGACTTGCGAGCGACGCGCGGCCAAACAGGTCTGGACGCGAGGGTGGAGGTCAACCTCTGGTGGAGGTTGCGTTTCGCCTCTCCCTGCACGTCGCCCCTGGCGATGGGCTTGGCGCGAGGTTGTACTCGCTGGTAGCAAGCAACGTGCTGTGCGTCGTGCTGTCACACCAACGGATGGCTTCAAAATAGAACCAGTTGGGGCCAGCACCGCCGGGGGACCAGGGGGAGTGGTCTTGGGGGCACGAATGCGGGGGTCTGCCACTGAATCCGCTGAATCCAGCCAGCTCGTGTGACCCCTCGTGTGAGGCTTTCCAAGATGCAAGCACCGCCGGGGCCGAGCACACCACCGGTATATGCCTCTGCCTCGCCACCACCAGCTGGATGGTAAATTTTGGGCGTGCACGTTCTGGTTTTCGCTCGCGGAGCTGGGGCTCTCCCGCTTGTTGTTGTGTCTTCCCTCCCGCGGCCAATTCAAGAGGGATATGGACTCACCCAAAGAGCGATTGTGATGATCCAGTCGGGAAGGTAGGACCAGAATACTCGTTGGGGGTAAGAGGTCGGCCCCCTGTCGCGAAAGGCGAACCACTTCATGTTGTGGAGCAGTGGAGTAGATGTGAGAGGTGTGTTGTTGAAACGATGTGGGGCAAAAGGTGTGTGCTAAAAGTAGAGTCGCTTGTTGCTGCCGGGAGCTTATTTCTCATGCAGAGCCTTGCTCTTGTTGGCACCCCAGCGTGCAAACGATCCAACGATCCGTGGCGCGTCGTGCCCTGACGGAGTGGAGCGGATGTCATTAGGTTGCCGATTAATGTTTCTTCAAATCCCCCTTTCTAATAGACATTACTAACACTTCCTTTGTGTTGCAAAATGCTCCCGTTCTGTCCGTTGACGGCACAATGACGCACTGGACGAGAGGACGAGCTGCAAGCAGTCCTAAGCTGGCTGGGTGCCTTTTGCGTTCACGGTGCACAGCCAAGTGCTTCCCGCCCACTTGCTGTTGTTGGCAGTTTGTTCTCTCTCTCTCTTGGCCGTTCTTTCAACATCCTACCCAACACCATGAGCGAGCTCGAGAACATCCCAGAGATCTCAGAGACGGTTTACCACACCCCGGCATCCGGCAGCCCTCCCCCGCCATCCTCCTCGCCACCAGCAGCCGTCGCAGTCGTAGTCACTTCAACCGCGCCAACCGGCTCATCTGGCCCCTCCTCTGCCTCTCAACTCAACACTGCCGCTCAGGACCCGCTTCTTAACCCGCCTATCGCGTCACCAGCCCCAGACCTCCTCTCCCCGAAACCTCAACGGGCACGTTCGAGCTCCCCAGGCTCTGACATTAGGGCTGCTACGCCGCTCGAGCACCAGGTTGCGGGACATGCCGGCGTCATGGCAGACGAGAGTGGAGAGCTGGTAATCAAGGTACGTTCGTGTTCAAGGAAGGTGGAAGAACTAGCCGCTGTTCGTTGTCGAGTACACTGAAGGCCACTGTCCCATCTCGGTTGTTGTGTCGTCTGCTGTGCGTGTAGATCGTCGTGCTAACGCACATCAACCTTGCCGTAATCTACCTCCTACCGCCTGGAATTCGTACGCTCATTGTCACCTCACCGGTTGTTGTCCTCTACCTTCCCAACACCAACGGCGCCACCATCTCATCGCACATCACATCACATGGCGGCTTGGACATCGTAATCGCCGGATCTCTCCCCACTGTGCAGCCTGCCCTCGCTCGTGAGATTGCTTTCTACACCCATGTCGCGTCGGCGTCGCGCCACAGCAGTATTGGCATGCTTCGTCCCTTCCTTCCCAAGTTTTACGGTACATTGCGCCTCGAGGGAAGGCAGGAGGGCGGACGCGTTGTCGCCATTGATGGCGCGGGAGAGGTGCCCGAGGTGAGTGCAAGGCGACACTATGGGAGGTCTTGGCCGCGACAGCTGTAGCGTGGAACGCAGTGCAGCTCTAAAACGAGTGTTGCGCTGTCTTCTCCTGTCGCGCTGGCCTTTCTCAGTCTCTTCCTCAGTGACCCCGTGTTGACACACCCAGTCGGTCGTCCTCGAGAACATTTCGCACCCCTTCACCCACCCGTGTATTCTTGACGCCAAACTTGGACAGACTCTGCACGGTCCGGACGCCACTCCGGAAAAGGCCGCGCGTATGGAGAAGAAGGCTAGGGACAGTACTATCAAGGAGATGGGAATGAGGTGGACCGGCTGCCAGGTGAGTGACAGCTGCATCACCCCACTCCTACGTGCTGCCATCCAGCTGTGGTACCTCTGACTCTGCAGACATGGCACGCTCCAACCGAGACCTTCATCTCAACTCCCCGTTCATTCGGGTACGCGCTTACTGCCGATCGCCTCCCAGAAGGCATGGCTCGCTTCTTTCCCCTTCCGACCGACACAGTCCCACATCTCAGCGACGACGAGACTCCCAACCCCAACGCTCCCGAGCACTACACCGCCCACGCCATGCCTCCGGCACTCACCGCCCGTGTCCTGCGCCTCCTCGACGAGGAAATCTCCCGCCTGGAAACGACGCTCGAGTCTGTTGAGATCCGTGCAGTCGGCTCGAGCCTGCTCGTCGCATACGAAGGAGACACCGAGCGTCTCACCCTCGCCCTGGATCGGTGGGATGCCAAAAAGGTGCAGGACGCAGCCAAGAGCTTTGCGTCTCGGGACAACGGCGATGACGAGTCGGACGACGACGACGACGACCTCCTGTCGTCTGAATCAGACTCGGACGACGACTCTGACCTGGCCGACGACGGGTTTGTCAAGGCCGACAAGAAGCGTGCGCGGCGCGCCCCGCCCATCGCCGTGCGCCTCATTGACTTTGCCCACACCTGGCTCGTGGACGGTGACGGCCCCGACGCAGGCGTTCTGCGCGGACTGTCAACTGTGAGGGCGTTGGTGAACGGCCGGTTGGAGGAAGTGGAGAAGTGGATGGCGGAGCACTCTCCAGCCACTTCGCCTACGCGGGGCAAGTCCGCAGTCGCTGGTGCTGGTGCCGATGCCGGCGCTGGTGCCGCCCAGCCTGCCTCGCAGCCGATTGCCGACAAGACGCCCAGCAGCCCTACAGCGCCAGGACGTCCCATCACGAGCCCCAAACGCGCGGTCGTTGCGCTTCAATAACGTGAGAAGCCACGAACCAAACAACCGACCAACCCATCCTCGGCCCACCCGCTCCAGCTATGCGTGTTATTGGGGCATTGTGCTGTATCCCCACACTCTCTTTATCTAGTTGCAGGATCCGAGGCGAGCCTTGACGACAAGGAGCTTGGATGCCGCTGCGGAACGCATGTGGACATTGAGAGCCTTTCAATGGCTATAGTAGCTGTGCTGCTAGTAATGCAAGGTCAGAGTCATGTAAGATGTTCAGTATCTTTTGTTACATTGTCTCGTCCTGTCGAGAGACGGTCAAGGCGGCGAGGTATTGCCCATAACGCCGGACTCTGGAACTGGAAAAATCTATGGTGCATGCGTAGCCTTCGACTACCACCTCTGCCTATCTGCCGCCTGTACCGCTTCGCTCGTTCACTCGTCACGCGGTCCGACGCGCGAGACGATGTACTGACGCACGCGCTTCTGCTCTTCGCCACCCACACCGTCAATCTCCTCGGGAACCTCGTTGTCGACGTTTGGCTAGCACACACACCGTCAGCGTTCCCTCTCTCTCTCTTCTCGCACACGGCGCCCACTCACACGTTCACGGTCCGCTCCCGCCTCGATGAGGATCACCGCCGCCTCGCCGTGTCCGCTCTCCAGGGCCAGGTGGAGCGGGGTGTTGCCTGCCCTGTCGGCGGTGTTGAGGCGGGTCTTGGGGCGGCCCTCGGGCGCGCGCAGGAGAATGTTGAGAAACGCGCCGTTGCCCGTCGTCGCGGCGCGGTGGAGGGGGTGCTGGTTTGCGCGGTCGCGGGCGTTAATCTGGAAAGCAAAAAGCGTAAAGCGTCAGGCGCGGTTGCACAAGCGTGGAGGCGGGCAGCAACAGAGGAGAGCTTACTCACGTCGGCACCGCGGGTGATGAGAAGACGGCCCATCTGGGATACGTGTTAGTGATGATGCAGTGAGTTGTACACTCCGAAATGTCATCCAACTCACAGGAACGTTTCCCTTGGAAGCAGCATAGTGCAGTGCCGTCTGGCCCTTGTCGTTGGCGGCGTCGACCTTTGCGCCGGCGTCCAGCAGTTCCCTCGCCGACTCGGACTGGCCAGACGCCGCAGCGACGACGAGTGGGGTCCATCCCAGTGCGTCGCGTGCCTCGACGTCGGGCGAGTTGGAGAGGATCAGCTGGGTGACATTCAAGTTTCCTGCGGAGGCTGCCCAGTGCAAGGGGGTGCGGCCGTCCTGGAGGGAACGAGGGAGGGCAGGGCGAGAGGTGAGAGTGAGCGTGTAGTGTAGCGACAAGTGGGGGAATGGGGTGTGGCATGTGGGAATGCACGTGCACGGGATAGGTTGTTGTGGTTGTCGTATAGCGATGGAGGCCAAGAGAGGCGGTGTCAGCCGCTGGAAACGAACAGCGAGACCATGACCAACGTACCTCATCCTTGGCATTGATGAGCTTGGGGTTTTCGGCGAGAAGGGTGCGAATGAGACCTGGCTGGCCTGTGGTGTGAGCTCTGGAGTAGAAGACGAGCTTACCTTCCTGTGTAGCACGGTGTATGCTAAAGGACATTGTGGATGTGGTTATGCGTGAGAGAGAGAGAGAGAGACAGAGAGAGAGTGGAAAGTGTCGGTCGCAGCAGCAGCCGTCGCTTTCGTCATCGTGGGTGTGGATATATTTACCCCGCAAACGACACTGGCGGCTTGAATTGCGGGGAAGACATGCCCCCCAGGATCCCAGGCACACCATTTGTTAGCCGCAAAAGACGGCTGGTCGGTGCTCTCTCTCACCGTACGTACCGTACCGGCCGTACCACCGTGGGGCACATGTGGCCCATCATGAGGTGTCCGGTGTCCGGCATGTCCGGCTTCAATACTGCACAGCCGTCGTCGTGTCGTGAATCAAAACATCCACAGCACCGACATCCTCCTCATCGTCACACCGCCCTTCTTCATTAACTGTACCGTACTACTGCACTCGGCAGTAGCTGCATCCACAACTCCAACTCCAACACCAACACCGCCGCCGGGCGCGCTTGCTCAGCCAGCCGCACAGGTCAACTTGCCCTCAACGCCACCGCCTGGAGGCTATTAGGCATACGAGTGTCAAACAGTCAACAACCGTCCCTGGGCCCTTTGCATCCAATCTCTCCATTGCCCATTCTTGCTCTCTCTTTCTTTCACCCATCACCTCTTCACCCCCCCACCATGCTTCTCTCAAGCGCATTCACAGCGCTGACAGCGCTCCTCCCCCTGGCTTCTGCGCTGCCCCAGATCAGTCGTAAAGGCAAGTACCTCTTCGACCCGTCAGGCAACCGTTTCTACATCAAGGTAAGTGAGCGAGAAAGAGAGAGAGCCAGCCCACCGAGGCGGTGCAGTGTGGCTCGCCCCCCAAGCCGTCCACGGGAAACGTCCGTGCTAATCCTCTTCCACAGGGCGTGGCATACCAACCACAAGGTGCTCTTGCTGCCTCGAGTGAAGCCAACGATGCCAAGTGGGTTGCACCATCGCGTTGTTTTGCTAACCCGGGACAGTGGTGGCTTCCCCGAGCCGTCGTCGTATATCGACCCCCTTTCGAGCGGTTCCAACTGCACCCGCGACATTCCCTACCTCCAGCAGCTCGGCGTCAACGCCGTGCGTGTGTACAGCGTCAACTCGTCCCTGAACCACGACGACTGCATGAGTGCCCTCGACACTGCAGGCATCTACGTTCTCCTGGACGTTTCGCTGCCGCTCAATGGCTCGATTGACCGCGCCTCGCCGGCATGGACCACCAACCTCCTCGACCAGTACATCACCACCATCAACAAGTTTAACGGCTACTCGAACGTTTTGGCCTACAACGTCGGCAACGAGGTCATCAACACGGTCAACAACACTGCTGCTGCACGTAAGTTTAGCTGGAGCGCCGCGGCGTGTGCCGCTGGGGGCCATTTGTTTATTTTCGGTACTGACGCCCATTCACAGCCTTTGTCAAGGCGGCTGCGCGTGACACCAAGGCGTACCTCACTTCCATTGGCTCCAAGGCGCTCGTTGGATACTCGGCCACCGATGGCGAGCCCGACTTCCGTACTCAGCTCGCCGACTACATGACCTGCGGCAACGACTCGGTCACCATCGACCTGTATGGCCTGAACAATTATGAGTGGTGTGGCGACTCGACGTACAACACTTCGGGCTGGAACACCATTGTCAGCGACTTTACCAACATTACCGTGCCCGTTTACATGTCCGAGTACGGCTGCATCACCAGCCCTCCCCGTCTGTGGACTGAGGTTGCCGCGCTTTTCTCTACCCCCGTTTCCGACGTCTTCTCTGGCGGTGTCGCGTTCTCGTACTTCCCCACCAGCGACGGCTACGGCATGGTCACCTTTTCGTCCGATGGCAACACTGTGACCACCTCGGACGACTTTACCCGTCTTGCTACTCAGTACAACGCCACGTCGCCGCCCAACTCGCCCGCACAGAGCAGCGTGACCGCCACCGAGCTCACGTGCCCCGACGAGTCGAGCAGCCTCCTCGCCAGCACAAACCTCCCGCCTACCCCTCAGGAGTCGGTCTGTGACTGCATCAACTCCCAGGCCCTCGCGTGCCGCATCATCGCTGCCACCGCCGACTCGCCCAACAAGATTGGTGCGCTCACCGACTATGCCTGTTCGCTCCTCGGCTCGTCCAACTCGACCGTCACCTGCTCCTCGATCGCTGGCGACGGCACGACCGGCGTCTACGGCCAGCTCGCCATGTGCTCGCCCGAGATCAAGCTCAACTACGTCATGAGCGCATGGTACGAGTCCAACGGCCTCGCGTCGTCTTGTGACTTTGACGGCAACGCCACGCTGTCGTCCAACATGCCCAACACTGCCGACGACGCCAACACGGCCGCCCAGGCCTGTCTCGCCAACCAGTCGACCGTCGTCACTCCGACTGCGCAGTCTGGCAACGCCCCGGCCGCGACCTCGACGGCCTCGACGGGCTCGGGCTCGGGCACCACCTCGTCGTCGGGCAAGGCCAGCGCTGCCGTGGCCGTCATGGGCATGCCCTCGATCGCCGTCCTGGCCGTCACCGCCGTCGGTGTCGTCCTCGGTGCCGCGGCCATTGTCGCCTAATCGATCCTCTCTTTTCGCCTAGGATCTGAAAACAGGAGAGAAGAAGGCGTACAGAACATTGCTACTCAGTCAACAGCACCCTCATAGTTATTCTCGTAATCTGGTTTGATGCAAGGACAATACCCACTTAGGCTCTTGGGGTGGGGGGCACAGGACACAGTGGACCACATGGTCACTGACCACCGACTTCAGAGATGAGAGTATACATATAGGGACACAATTTGTGACAACGCAAACACCTGTGACACAACGATGGTGGTAGATAACGGCTTCTCCCCCCGAACCCCTCCCTTACATGATCATACACGCTCCCCTTTCCATCTCATCCACATCGTCTCCCCTCCACCAAGCACCTCCCCTCCCGGAACCACCATTACCGTTCCCGTCCCTGCCCCTGCTCACCCCTTTTCCGCGCGAGCCGCCACTCGCGCCGCCGTCATCGACCGTCGCCTCGCCAGCTTCCCTGGCCTCGCGCCAGATCCGCGGCGGCGTAGTGCCCCTCCACGCCCAAAACGTCTTGAGCACCGGCCGCACGCGCACCTCGTCGGGCGAGTAGGCAAAGCACGCCGCGGTGTATCCGTCCCAGCCGGCGCGGGCGCGTGTCCGCGCCGCCAGCTGGGTGTACGCCTCGTGTGTGAGGCGGTGGCAGTCGACGAGGGAGATGGCGGCGGGCGCGCGGGACCGCGAGAGGAACGCGCGCAGGACGGCGTTGCCCGTCTCGGTGCCGTCTGCTTCGAGCCGGGCGAGTTTCGGGAGGGCGTTGACGAGACGCAGGAGCGCGGCCGGGGTGATGTTCTTTGCGGACCCGATGCGCAGCTCGACCAAGCGCGATTCGGTGAGTGGGGAGCCGGAGCAGGCGCCCGGGATGAGTTCGTCCAGGAGGCGATCGCACACGCCGCCGTACCGACCCGTGGCGTCCAGATCGAGACGCTCGAGCAAGGGCATGGACCTGACCAACCGCGCGAGCGTGGGCGGCGGGTCGAGGTAGAATACACCTTCGAGCCCGGCGGCCTCGAACCGCGTAATGTTCGGGATGCGGTCGACGAGCAGCTCGATGGCTTCCGCAGTGAGGTTTGTGCAGCTCGAGATGACGAGGTGCTTGAGCGGGGACTCGCGGTCGTCAAGACCAGTGATGTAGTCTTGTATATCGGACATCCCTAGCCAGCGACAGCCCAGGAGGTCCAGGGTGTGGAGGTTGGGCAGCTCGGACGCAAGGTGCTGGAGCAGGTGACCGCCAGTGGTCGAGGTCAAGCCGGCGATACGGAGAACTTGGAGTGCGTTCTTCTGGCTGCGGCTCATGGCGACGACAAACGCCTCGATATCCAAAAACTCGAGGCCCCAGCAGCGTGACACGTCGAGCTCCTCGAGGGCAGTAACGTGCTGACGAACTGCGCGGAGGACGTAGTGAAGAGAGAGCCTCAAACCCTTGACGTTGAGCTTCTTCAAGTTGGGTGACACTTGGACCACGGCAATGACATCCGATGCCGACAGGGTGTGACACCCGCGCAAGTCGAGGGACGTGAGAGACGAGTAGGCGGTCGAGAGGAGGGGGATCTTTGGGCCGTCCACGAGCTCGCGCCCCGTCAACACCCAGCCAGTTACCGCTTCGAGACCGCGGAGGGACATGTCCTTGATGCATGGGCGTGAGTGGGAGAGAATCTGGCGGACAGTACCGGGGTGGAGCACGGCGGCGAGAGGCGTAAAGTCGGCCGTGGCCCAGAGCTGGCCGTCGAAACAGAGCGAGCGCCATTCCTTGGACACCTGCTGGGTTAGCATAATAGCAGTCTGCGACAACCCACCCTGCTGAGCCTGATCAGTTCACGTCGGCCTCCATTGTCCCCGTCCCATCGACCGGTGCCGCCTTCGTCCATCCAAGTGTCGAGTAGAGCCTTGAAAACGGCTACCTTGAGTTCGCGAGGGAGCTTTGTGCCAAAGTGGTCGACGCTCTTGGCCACTGGTGCGCGGTAGCTGAGCGTACCCCACACGAGCTCGTCCGAGCCCACCGGGGCCGAGGGACTGTGCAGTCCAGCAGTGGCGAGGACGACGTTGAACGGCGGCGTCTGTGATGTGAAGCGGTGGTGCATACGCGCGTTGACTGTACGCTGGAGTGTGGAGCCTTCACCGGGCAGAATAGAGCCGTCGTCGAGGTAGCTACTGTCGTTCTGGGCCGACATGAGGGAAGTAAACGCGAGTTGGACGCTCGGCGCCTGCGACCCAGCCCGAGATGCCAAAGCTGGGATGCTGGCACTAGACCCGCTAGTGGTTGAAGAGAGAGACTGAGCACGGTTGCGCGTGCGCTGCTTGGTGATAAGCGACTTGAAGCGTGAGGGAGGGGGATCATCTTGGGCGGCAGAAGAACCTTGATCGCCAGCATCGAGGGTGGCACGGCGACGCCGGAAGGGAGCCTTGGAGCGGTCGATCCCACGGCGTACCGCCGCCCCCAGTGAGCGGGGCGTTGCATTCCCTGCCCCAGACGCAGACGAAGACGCTGATGCGGACGGTGACGAAGTGCTGGAATAAGGAGAGAAAGAGCTGGTCGCTGGCCACTGGGCGCTGTCTGCAGCAAACAAAGCCGGTGAGGTCGATTCAAGGGGGGCGGCAGCGGGGTTGAGTGCGGAGACGTCCGAGCCCAATGCGGGGGAGGCGGCGGCGGCGTGCGGGGGTGCAATGCCCCTGATACCAGCGTCCATAGCATCGTGCTGGGTGGCGACCCCGGCAAGCGACAAAGGCAGCGAGGACGAGGTCACACCGTCGTCTTCGTCAATGGCCGCCGATTCGTCTAGGTCGAAGAACGGCGCTGAGGCTTGGCGGGTCCGGAACGTGCTCTTGGGAGACTGGGTGTAGCTTGTGCCAGTGTATGACTCGGGGGCAGCGGACCATGCTGAGGAGCCTGACGGGTCGGCGTGTCCTGACGAGGAGGATAATGAGCCTGCCCATGGCGATTGGAAAGTATATGAGGGTCGTTTACCCGCAAGTACACCAAGGATACTGGGTGTCTGTGGGGTCTGGAGCGGTGGCGAGTCCGAGGCCTCGGACCATGCGGTGTCTGAGCGTGGACGCGAGGGAGACAGGGCCGGGAGGTCTAGGTCGTCGATATCCGCCATCGCGAGCGCCATATCAAGATCCATCTCGAGGTCAGAGTTGTCGTGTGACGCTGGTGGGTGGGTGATTCGGGGTTGTTGAGACGATGAAGTGGAGGAGACCGGTGTCGTCGGTCGGGACACCGGGTGTGTGGGGATAGGGAGCGGCAGAGTAGCCATGATGTCAGGTGTGATGGAAGAGTGTGTGGCGAGGAAAAGGAAACAGTAGTGAACAGAAGCGACAGTCGGTGTGTGGGGGTCGCGGCCGGGCGAAGGGAAGCACAATTGGCAAAGTGGGCTTATCGCAGAGGGGGCTGGGAATGAGAAGGAAGATGACACCACCCCCGATGGACCGATCAGCCGGGCACGATCTCCGTTCGCTGTTGCAGAGTGCAAGAAGAGGTGTAGGAGGGGGAAGAGGTGGAAGAGCGACCTTCTGTGATCCTGTCTGAGTTATGGGAGTGGTCTAAATTCTGTTCTGATCACAAGGGGCGAAGGCGAACATTCCTCCGCATGAGGACGGACGGCTCCAACTCTCGTGCTCACACGCACGTCACTGTGCCTGGTGCGTGTGGGTGGCAACATTACAATTCATTTCCTAATCATCATTGACTTGTAATCCTGAATTGTAACAGCCGCGGAGCCTTTATCGCAGAAACCAATCGAGATTCCGGGCAATGGAAGAACCCCAGACGTTATGTGTTTCTCGGTGGGTGTGGGTCCATATGCACCACCAAAGCAGCGTGCGCAGTGCTACACCAAGTGGTGCCTATGTGAACGGGAATCTTTTCTTGGATCTTGGAAGCCCGTGCTGCCAACAGCTGTTTATTGCTCCCAGCGCGCCGTCGAAAGGCGTTATGTACTACGCCACAGTGTGCGGCTCCACAGTCGCTCGAGCAGCGTCACAGATCACAGATGACACAGCTATCTGATTCCCTGTTCCGGACACCAATTGAGGGGAGATCCAGTTAAACAGTTTCGCCAAGTGTGAGCACAGAAAAGCTGTACAGGCAGCCGGCTACGTAGCCGGCTGTTCGCATTGACTGTGCTTACCATGGAAGCACCGATGACAACATTTTGCAGCCCACCAGATCTAAGAAGCTCGCTCAGGGCACCAAAAGGTGTCTTGAATTCGCCAGTCCTCCTTCCTTTATGAACTCCTCATATCTCACTTACCACCAGACCCCAGACAACGTTGACAGGAGCACGACGATAACTGGCCTTGCGCTATTGCGTACACGCGTCCATGACCAAAGCCATATGCCTCCGACATTTCCACGGCCGTACGTGACGGCCGTAATGCGTAAACGATGAGATGTAACCGTCGTGGCGGCCGGATCCCGAAATCCGCTGGCTGCCCATCGTTTATCTCCGGTTCATTCATATATCACCCCTCGAGACGCGAGTTGTTTGTTAACTACTCTCGCACTCATCATGACTGTCCCGCCTGACTGGTACTCACCATACGAGGGCCCAGAGCTGTACCCATCACCTCTGACACCTCCCCACTTCCTTGCCTTTCTCCGACCCCCGACCAACAAGCCGCCTCCCAACCCCGCACGTCCACCCCTGGCACCACCTCCGCCAGGGTGGACGAGGAGCTACCACGCCATCCCCGCCGCATTTCCACGCCAGCTACGTGAAAGTGCAGGGCCCTACGGACGCGGGTCGCATCCTTACCGCCTGTCAGAGCCGCCAGCAAACGAGAGCAAGGATTCGCGCAAGGTGCGGATCGCGGAGGAGGGATTTGAATGCGCACGGATACGGCATTCTGCGACTGAGTGGTCGTTGGAAGAAGGTCGACAGGCCAAAGATGGCGGACAGAAGGGGTTGTTTCTCTGCGTTGAACGATGGCGTCGGGACGTACCCGGAGGAGGGAGGACGATCGTCTGCACTCATGCCTGTGGCATGCAGAAGGAGGTGAGTTAGCTGTGGCTCCTGGGACGTACGTTGACAGCAGCACTGGCACCCGGTCTTCCACAACATTCTCAACCGGGCAGGCACTGAGGAAACTGCCATGTTCGGCACTGTTCGTTCATTATCCCAACATGCAATGGTCGAGGTGGACGACATCTGGATGCTCGACGACGTCCACCATGGCGCCTCCCTCGACCTCAACGGGGGCCTTCTTGGCCCAACACAGAACTGGGACGACACCGGCCGTGACGCCCTCAATTTCATCCTCCATGTCCTTCCCTCAGCGCAAGCCCAAGACCCAAACACTTTGGCATGGGAGCTCCCTTGGGCTCCCGAGGGAGCGGCGCCAGCGGTGAAGGTGATCGGGTTTGGCGGCTCGCTCGGCGGCTGTGCACATATTATGGCAGCTCACACCCGCCCGGACGCGTACGAGGGCCTCTTCTTGTGTGATCCCATGGTACCACCACGCCTGGTGACTCCAGAGGTGTTCAAGGCGGAAGGCATGAGTGGAGCCTACAGACGCGGCGCAGCAGCGCTCAAGCGACGGGATACCTGGTTCAGCAGAGCAGTAGCTCGCGAGAGCATGCTCTCGACTCCGTTTTACCAAACGTTCCACCCGGCCGTCTTTGACGTTACTGTCTCGCACGGTCTCGTTCCTGTTGACCCAGCCAAGCCTGCTGGCGAAGTGACTCTGGCCACGGCGCCGTGGTGCGAAACAGCCGTCTTCGTCGAGCCCATCTCCCCCGCTAGAGCTTGGGACATGTTGCCCAACCTCCGCGTGCCCATTGGTTTCCTCATGGCGCGGGATCCTGAGCGCACGCTTGGGGAGGAGACAACCCACGAACTCGTGTGGCGTCCGCCCCTCGCTCGCAATGAGCGCGCCATTGACGCCGACCACTTGATTCTGCAGCAGAATCCGGTAATGACAGCCGAGTCGGCGTGGCGTTTCCTTGCGACACTGTCTGCAGGAGAGTGGGGTCGCTCACCAGAGGAGATTCGTGCTACGTACAAGCCAGAGATCGTGCGTGCCAAACTGTAGAAGATGCACGAAGGCAGATGCATACGGTCCCCCAAGAGCCATCAACGGCGTAGCGGAAGCAATGACCTCCACCGCGCGCCACCCCCTATGATCCTATGACGCGTTGCCCATCTCCCATTTCCGTCCGATCCGACAACTCTTTGTCGCTTTCACATCTCACATCCTCCAAGTCACGCGCAGTAACATCGAGGGGATGGTAAGCGAAGAGCGCTCCACAGCAGCTGCCATCATTCCCGGTATGCCACCTCCACCACAGCGCAAGGCAACAGGTATGTGTCCAGTCTGCCCTCCAATCACGTCAGCCACCTCAACTACCTGGCCCCTCACGACGTCCCTAACATGCACAGCCGACGAGCCCGTCTCCATCGCCGCCTCAGCTTACCCACACATCATCGATGCGATCTTGTCCCATTCGTCCTCCTGGCTCGCCCTTCGCTTCACCTGCCGCGAGTTCCGCGACCGCGTCGACGCGCTTCTGTATGCGCACCTGGTGGTCACGGAATCACGAGCGGGCACAGTGCCAGACGAGATTGTGCTTCTAGTCTCGCGACCCGATGGGCGGCTCCTTCCACCTTTGGGCCATATGGATGCCCATGTGCCTTCAGATGGCGACTTCTCCAGTGCACTCGCCCACCCTCTTGCCCAGCAGCGTCAAGAGCGACAGAAACGCTGGCAGACCGTGATGGAGCGATATACTCGTGTGGTGGACGTGTTCGATTTCACGCACCCAGGCTGGGTACCCGACCACCTCTCGAATGTGCACACGTTGCGCACGCACGTACCACCTTATGCGTGGGCTCCCATCCCGTCAGAGAGCTTCCAGGCGCGCGTCCCGGCGTCCACGGCCGTTCTCTTTCCTTCCAGACCATGGCAGAGCGAGCACGGTACAGAGGGTACCTCGTTCGTCTCGGACCATACACGCAAGATTGTCTCCCACGTGCCATATCACCCGGACAGGGGGCCCGCGTTCGCCATCTCTGTCCGACCCCTGGACGGCGTGGACTGGTCGTTGCAGTTGGGCATCACAGACCTTGTCCTGGTCTTCCATGACCAGACTCCCGGTACCGCGACGTACAAGATCGACTGGGCAGTCCCAGCCTCCCCGACAATAACGGGCGGCGGGTTCACGGGCACGTACCCCACCTCCCCGAGGGGCCGGTGGATGAGCCTAGTTTGGAACATTATCCGTTCAGTGGAGGGCAGGACGCACATCCCACCACGCGTCACTGTCGTCGACTATCCAACCGAAGTGGACGTGTTTGGGTTCAGGACTCCTGAGCAGTTCTGCCAGACGATGATTGAGATTAACGAGGATGACGACGATGACCCTATTGCTGGTTTGGCGGATTTTGCGAGGGGGATCTCGTTTGTGAGTAGGGCAGAGTATCAACGTGGGCTTGAGGAGGAGGTCTACAAGTTGGAGATGGACCCGGCCTTTGTGTATCGTGCGCCTGGAGTTTTGGATTAGGGCTGCAACTTGGGAATATACATACATAGGTAGATGTATCTGCATGGGTGGGAGCCACTATCAACACCGTCTGGTCCCGTGGTCATTCGTACACACGCCGTCCGGTCGGCTCCGGAAAGGCACCTGTCGTTGACCTCATCGTTGCAGTTGGGCGTGCGCCTGGTCGGGGGACCTGAAGGCGCTGTTTACATGAACAGTTCCCGCCGGAGAGACAGGTTGGGGGTTGACATGTCGGCAGGATCGGCGAGCAGTCGCCCGAAGACCGGAAGGGCACCCGCCGAAACCGAGCTCGCGTCACCAACATGAGGCGCAGCGACAGTGTATAGCGCCAAATCTCATGACGCGCCCCAGGATCTGTGGCCGGGAGCCATGGCATGTATATGGTGATGCGAATGACGTCGGCATGTGACTAGCAGGGCTTCCCGGAGGGATGAAGTGGTCCAGGTGCTAGGTGCTGGAGAAAGACTATTGCCGCTGGCCATAACAAGCGCACAATGTTCTCGTGAAACCGGCAAGCAGACACGGCTGCTGGTGCAAGACGAGGACCATATGGTATATCAAGCACTTATTCATCATGGGGAGGACATACGGGAGATGAACAACCACTGGGGCACGCCTTCCTCAAGTCGGCAGGCAACTTTGCGGCCATGAAAAACGTCCCAGAAATCGCCGAAAATGACGTTCTTATTCTTTCCTCTGACCGACCGCCCAGTGATCCAGCTAACATCATGGACGGAAGCGATACCAACAGTGTAAGTCATCAAAATTCTGGGCCTCACGCCCAGGTGCTGTGTACCCACCATACACACGGGCAGCCCAGATGGGCTGTGGATGTGATTTCGGTTTCCGACGAAACAACCCTGGATGACCGATAGGAAGCGAACCCGACCCGCCTGAAGAGGGAACTGGGCCGACCTCATGATGCCCTTTTTGGCACAGCTTCAGACTCATAAACAAGTAGTTTCCCTTCGAAAGGCCCTATGATTCTATGAAAGTCCCAGCGCCCTCCTGCCCCTCTAGCCGGCTTGCCGATATCTAGATCGGAGTCGGACAATTGCTGCCATCCGCATCACCTCACCCGACTCACACTCACGACTGTAGCGGAGGCGATGTTCACAGACTGGCAAAGTCCTTGCTTGCACCCACCCTTTCCTATTCGGACTCGGAGACCGTTCGGACTCGTGCCGCCATCGGCAATCGGCGATGACGCTCCTGACGTCGACCACTCCAAAGTCACAGTTGGGGAACGCCGGTGAGATCCTCCGCCGTTGGCCGCCAAGGTGAAGGGCTCGGCCAAGGAGTGAACATACTGTAGATATAAACCAGTGCCATCCTGGCTTGAATCGCTCAATCCAACCATTCCCCGCCTCTCTCTCATTGTATCTCCATCTCCCATCGCACCCACACTCCGCATCTGCACCGAGCCTTACCCAGCGCAACACCATGCCTTTCGGTTCCAAGAAGGACGTAGTAAAGGCCAAGGCCAAGCCCAACCCGATCCATGAGCTCCGCAACAACACCGCCGAGTGGTGGTACAAGGACCCCGGCATGCGCGCCCTCGCCTTGCCCATCTTCCTTGGCTTCTGCTCCTCCATCCAAAGTGGTAAGTGAATTGCACCGGGTGTGGCATTTCCGTGGCGTGACCATTGCTGTGACCTGTCGCTGACATTCTGCAGGATACGATGCCACCGTCATTGCTGGTCTTCAAGCCAACATCGGTTTCTGGATGGCTCTCGGTGTGCCCAGCTCGATTGTGATTGGTGCCATCGTCGCTGGCCAGCCGATCGGCTCCCTCCCTGGTCTCATTCCCGCCGCCATTGCCACGGACAAATTGGGCCGCAAGAAGACTCAGTTTATCGGTTACGTTTTCCTCGTTGGTTCGGCTTTCTTCCTCGCATGGGCCAAGGGTGCTTGGTTGATGTTTGGTGCCCGCGTCTTCCACGGTTTTTGGTCTGGCGTCACCTCTGTCTCTTCCGGCCCATACACCACCGAGATTGCCCACCCTCGCAACCGTGCCGTCGTCACCGCCCTCATCCAGACCTGCTGGTTCACAGGCGCCGTCCTCTCCGCTTGGGTCTGCTTTGGTTGTCTTCACATCGACAGTGACTGGAGCTGGCGTCTCCCCCTACTCCTCCAGATGGTTGTTCCCGTCATCGCTCTCTGCATCATTCCCTTCGTGCCCGAGTCGCCCCGCTGGCTTACCAGCCACGGTCGCCAGGAGGAAGCGCACCGCATTCTCGCTCGCTACCACGCCAACGGTGACATGAACGACGAGCTGGTCCTGTATGAGATGAAGGAGATCTCGGCGGCGCTTGAGATCGGTGCCGCGTCCAAGGACGTCTCTTACGGCGCCTTCATCGCCACCAAGGGCATGCGCCACCGTCTCCTTATCTTGATCGTGAGCACGAGGAACGTGTTGCAGTGACAGTAACTGACACCTTGCAGACCTGTGGTTTCGGTTCGCAGATGGTCGGTAACGGCATTATCACTTTCTACATCGTCCCAATCCTTACTTCAGTCGGCATCACCTCGGGCACCGACCAGGCCATCTACAACGCGTGCTTGCAGATCTGGAACTGGCTCTCAGCGGTCGCCGGTGCTCTCGCATGCGAGCGCTTTGGTCGTCGCCCCCTGTGGCTTACTTCCATCGCCGGCCAGTTTGTGTCCTACGCCATCATCACTGCCTGTTCGGCTGTGTACGAGGAGCAGGGTAATGAGAGCGCGGGTTTCGCTGTCCTTGCCTTCCTTTACATCTACTTCTTCTTCTACGCCATTGCCGTGAGTATTGCTGGTGTTTGATCTCGCCAAGTGGCCCTTCTAACTTCCATGCCGCAGTTCACCGGCCTCACCTTTGCGTACCCTCTCGAGATCCTGCCCTTCGAAATGCGTGCCAAAGGCTTCTCCATCATGCTCATCTGTTCCATCTCCGGTGTCATTTTCAACACTTTTGTTAATCCCGTGAGTTGCCCACCAGCGGCTGGCGAAGTGGCCAAAGCCTCCCAATCCACAGACAATGCTGACCGTTTTAGATTGCCATGGCAGCCATCGCGTGGAAGTACTACTTCGTGTGGATTGGTTGGTACGTTTTTCCCGTCCGCTAAGCGAAAAAAGTGTCTTTATTTCACCAGAACTAACACCTCTTAGCATCACTGTCGTCGCCGTCATCATGTACTTCTACTACCCGGAGACCAAGGGCCTCATCCTCGAGGAGATCTCTCGAATCTTCGACGGCCCGCAGACCGGCAAGGACATAATCGCCGCCAGTGGACCTAGCGCCGACACCGATGAGGCCAAGGAGAAGGAGGAGGCCGCCGCCGGTCGCCTCGACGACAACATTGCTCAGCTCCACTTCCAGAGTAGCAACCAGGAGGTTTGAGCCTGAGTCATTCCACTGCCTCAGCCTTCCACGTTCCGCCCACATGCGCTTTTCGTAGGACCCTAAGTCGCTTCGCCTCGCCTCGCCTCCCCCTCCTCCCTCCCCCTCCCACTAGCTCGATGGTTGTTAATCCGAAGTGCTTGTAGCTGTCATGTAGCTGAGCATGCATTCTACCGTGGTCCCTGACTCGCTCTTACCAAAGTGCAGTGTGCGCGGCTTCCATCTCATCCATGAAGGGCCTGAAGGCCTGGCTCAGTCTGAATGTCGTGGCCATGGCCATGGGAGTTAGTTGACACGGTTAATGAACAATGAGTGAAGGACGGAAGCTGATGTCATGTGAGCACCACAGGGAGTGAGTGGGGCGGAGAGTCCACAAAGAGGCCACGGATCCCAAGAGCTTTACGCCCAGGATCAATAAGGTGTCGATGTTGGATGCAATATAAATGCTTGTCTGCTAGGTACCCCAATCAGCTGCGTATACCTCACTTGGCCGCCGCCCAGCGCATGACTCCCTCCCATACTGCCAGAGCAGCAGCGTTGGTCGGGAAAGCGCGAAGAGCAACTGGGACGAAGCCCTGTAGGGGTTGTCAGTGCGGTCTAATGGGTGCAAGGCAGCACTCACCCTGTAGAAGTTGCGCACTCGCGCCTGGCTATTCCAGCCCAGACCGCGCTTCCCGTCGTAGGTCTCACCCCAGACCTTGCGGTACGCGTCAAAAACGCCCTTGTACTTGGGCGTGGTTGGCGAGTCGACCATGATGCGGTTCTTGATATTGTCCATGGCTGGAGTGTGAACAGATGACTCTGGACGGATAAGACTTACGCAATGCCGCCAACCAGTACATGTTGGACGCCATACCACCAGCAAAGAAGTTGATTGCACCAGGGGACATCTCCCAAGTGGTGCCCTTCCAGCTGGAGAATAGGCGGTTGAAGATCTCAAATCCTGATATCTGTCAGAGAGGGCCCAAGCGGATGCTGTAAATGTATTCACCTCCAAACATGGCTGCAAAGCAGGAGCGGTACATGAAGCTCGCACCGAGGCCGCGCCACATGCCGGTGATGCCCTGCGCAGCGACCGTCTGGCGGACGACGTCAAAGGGGCCCGAGTATTGCTTTGGCAAATGCTCAGGTTGCACGAGCTGCAGCTGGAGCTTGCACTTGATCGTTTCCGTAGGGTGTGCGACCGAGGCACTGCAAAGTCAGCCGTGCTTGAACACTCTGAGACTCGAGGTCCCGTTCGGCCCCCAAGCGCAACCGACTCACTTCGTCCATCCAGCAAAGAGACCCGCAATGCTGTGGCCCAGGATCGATAGCCTGGTTCCCGCAGGTCCATCTTCTATCGAACCGGGAATGCGCTCAGCGAAGCCATTGTCTTTCAAGAAGGCACGATAGTTGTGCAGACTGGGTCACGTCAGCCTTTGTAGCTTCTCCAGTGACTCACCTGCCCATCAAGATCGAGTCCGTAATGCCCCACGATATTGCTGGAACCGAGGCCCCCTTATACAGTGCTAGCGGCCCCTCTTTGGTCACTGTTCGGGTCACGCAGTTCCATGCGCCGTTGAAAGTTCCTGGAGGTGCGCATTGCACTGCTGTTAGCCATGCGCGACGGAAGTGCGCGTACATCTTGTCTGGTGAAGGGTCAGCGTAGCTCACGACAACAGCGCTGCTGCAAGAGCTCACCTTGATAGTGTCAAATGGGTGTCCTGGTACCGTTAGCTGTCTGCCATCAAGCGCCGCTTAGCTCACCGACTACCAGCTGCGAGGGAACAGACGTCAGTAAGCGGCCCAGTTCCACAACAAATGTTGTTGACAAACCTTTGTCCAGCTGCCCATATCAGCACCGCGTCCCATCAACACATCCAAGCCAACTCACCCAGACAGGAGACCTGCTGCAAACCCAAACAATGGCGAGTGGCCTGTTGGTGGAGGCCTGGCCGCCATACTCTCGCCCTCGGGGTCGAGGACGGCTTCCGGCACAATCTCCTTCACTTCCTCTGCAAGTCGCCGGCGCGATGGTCCTCCAAGTCGATCCTCCATGCTGTCCAGAGTCGGGGGGTGCGGTGCTGGCGATGGGCACAGTGGGGCACGCGGGGTATAAGGGGTTCAATGAGGGAGTGTGGAGAGTGAGTGAGCGACTCTGACGTGCACGCTGGCTGTATGATCGAAAAGAGCGACGACGGTGAGAGGACTCGGCCGGGTATGTCATCCGCGTGGTGCCCCGCAGCTGGCCCGCTAAACCGGCCCGCGGAGCCGTGACAGAGTGTTTCTGCCCACCTGGGCTGTATGCATGCTGTCTGTTGGATTGAGGTGATGGAAAGGCAGGATGACACTGCCAGTTACCAAGAGAGCTCGAGAGTTCGCTCAGAGTGCGTATATTGGTGCGGTTTTGTGAAGAACAGAACTTGAAACGCCGCCTCCGCAAGGTATTGTGATTGCGCAGTCTAAAGTTTCGGTGCGGACGGCCGTCCACTACGATTGCCTATGGATGATGTGGCGTGAGCCTATGGGCAGGGAAGGTCAGCGACTCTCGTGTCTCGTCAACAACGATGCTTCAACCTGTTGCACGCAGTACAAGTCGTGCATTCCGGCCCCATTGATAAGAGTAGGCCGGGCCGATGTGCGGAAGTGATAGCAATATTCGGAAGGCTTGCGAAGGCGTCATGGCTGGCTCGAACTGTGAGTGGCTAGATCAGTGAGGACAAGGCAAAAGGGCTCTACTGGAAGCAGCCTCGGACGTGTTTCGTGGCCGAGATTGGGAGGCGGAGTGGCAAGACTTGAGGATAACCCAGAGATGGCGCTCAATAGATCGAGACGGTGTAAGCGGCATCCACGGAGGTACCACGCTTTGGTGACTGTTTGCCTTCCTTCTGCCTTCCACCATTCCATTCCTTGGCACCTAACCCTCGTTCCTCGATGTGATGCAAAACAATTGACCGGTGGAAATCGGGCGGGAAGTATACACAGTGGCACATATTCATCGGCAACAACACAACATAAGCTACTTCCGCCTCTGAACCTTTCCAAACTAGTGGTGGGTGAACACTGCCGCAGCCCTCGCGTGCTCCTGGTGTTCCTCGTCGGACATCTTGCCCTCCACGTGATGGTGATGACGCTCCGCAGGCTTCCAGGAGCCTGAACGCCAGGCCGGGATCTTGGAGCGATAAAGTTCGTCCACCTCCTCGAGCGAGATACCCCTGGTCTCCGGAATCATGAAGAACACGTAGAAGAAGGCCACAATCAACACTCCGCAGAACACGAGTAGAATGAGGGGACCAATGTCGGCCGCAATGAGGGGACCTGGCGATGTTAGCTTCCTCTAGAAAAGGTGGTTGCTGCGAGTTTCCATGTGTGGCTCTTGCTTAATGGACTTTTAGGCCCAAGCTTGCAAAGGATCCCCAACCGCTCAACATGACACTTACTGAAATAAGACAGCATGAAGTTCCAGAACCAGTTGGTGGCGGATCCCAGTGCAATTGCCTTGGGACGAACGCGGAGAGGGAAGGTCTCGCCCAGCTGGCTTCTGTTAGCAAGGTCTCGCGACACGAACTTAATTTCACTCAGCTGCACTCACCAAGACCCAAGGGGTTGGTCCCCAAAACAGACTGAAAGCTGACACGTGAAGGAGTGCAAAGGCCACAAGGACGTTTCCGCCCATGCGCTCCTTGCCTGCAGGGACATTTGGACTGTCGGTGAAGAAATGCCCGACAAGGCCGGCAATAATGGCACAGCAGGCCATGAAGGCGGCACCGATGAGCAGCGACTTGCGACGGCCCACATGTTCAATTGTCCACATGGCCGGAAGGACCATGGCGAATGAGACACCACCCATGAGGACTTGAATCGTGTACGAGTTGAGAGTTTCAATCCTCGCGGCCTTGAAGAAGACCGGTCCGTAGTAGTAGTAGAAATTCTGGCCGTTGAGCTATACGAGGTTAAGAAAAGAATGGTCAGCCAGCTTTCATAAAGAGATATGTGTGCTACCCACCTGAAAATAAAATACAAATAATAACACGATTAAATAACATTTACAAATGTCGCGGTGTCAGCCAAATTGGCGAGGTGATTCAGTGCCCGACCCACCTGCTGCAAAAACTGGATCATCATTCCATTGAGAGTTCGCTTCCACATCATCGAGCGAGTGGAGAAGCACTCAAGCCAGCTGGCCTGGCCGTCGGCATTCTCCGCAGCGACCGCCTCTTCGAGGTCGTCGTAGATTTCGCGGGCCAGCGGGTCTTCGATGTTGCAGTCGTTCAGTGCTGCAATCGATTTGAGAGCGGCCTCTTGCTTTCCCTTCCCAAGAAGCAGACGCGGGGACTCGGGAAGAATAGCTGCCCCGAGCATGAGCATGATGCCCCATATGATCTGAAGTCCGATGGGAATGCGCCACGATCCAGAGTTGGGCATGGCATGGGTGGCCAGGTCGATAATGTACGCGAGGAACAGGCCCGAGATGATCTGGACCTGGTAGAGTACTAGCAGTGTACCGCGGATCTTCTTCGGTGCCGCTTCTCCAATGTAGAGGGGTACAATGGCCGAAAGAGCACCAACACCCAGGCCAGCAAAGAAACGACCGATGGTGAGCTGCACAAGCCCGAACGAGGCGGTTTGGATTACAACCCCGACCAGGAAGATGGCGGACCAAAACATGATCGAGTATTTTCGTCCAAGGCGGTCGGAGGTGAGAGCTGTGGGTTAACTAGGGTCGTGTCACAGGGCGGTGGACTCACTCTGAAGGAGTGCGCCAAAGAAGGTACCAGCGGAGAGCAACGATGTGATGATACTCTGCTTCTGAGAGCTGAGTTCCCAGGAGTCTGTAGCTCCATCGTAGTCGCCACCCATAGTTTGGACGAAATCCGGCATAATCTAAAGGATCAGTCTTGCCACTGGTTTCTACCCACCAAACAACCAGAGATATAACCAATGTCATATCCTTGAGCGTCAGCGATCAGGCCCACCTCTGCTTTCAGTGACTTACCAAACACCCAGCCGCCAAAGGCAGCCATGAAACAGAACACTATGGAGCGCGGGATGGCCATGGTGATGTGGAAAGTGTTGCGGAGGAAGGTTGGAACAGCTCCACTTGGCGCCCCGCGACGCCTTCTTATGAGTTCCCCGCGGGGTCCTGCGGTCATCCTTGTGGCGAAAACAACGCAGTTCGCGCGCTCTACTCCCGACGTGCGACAGACAACCGTGGTGAGGCGGCCGCAAAGTGGCAACAGGGCGAGAGAAAGAGGAACACCTTCGGGGGCCTGTTGACAGCCGGGCTTCATCCGTTCAGGCACTCGCTGACTTTGCCAAACTGCTCAACCGGTTGCCAAGTTGCCTGGCCATTGCCATCTCCGCACATCATACCTGGCTGCGACCGCATTTTCAGACCGTACAGTATCTTGCAAAAGTGGTTCCTGTCGGAACCGGGGTGGCCGTTGTCGACCAGCGGTTGTTTTACATCCAGGCGAGGGATACTGCCTATCAAACGGCCCATCTGCTTGGAAACCCGAGCAGCGAGCGAAAACATGGTTCTAGACCACTGGCCACTGGAGCATGTCACATGTTTCGATCAGATTGTAACAATCACGCAGGAGCGAACATGCGATAGCCACCTCGATCACAGCTGTGATAGCATGCTACATATCATTACGTCTGAAGGAGGCGCAAAGTCGTCCACAAAACACCTTTAACAGAGCAGAAATGATGAGTGCCAACATTTCGTAATGCATGCCAGGCGAACAGTGAGGCGTGCTGCGGGTGTGTGCATGCTTTTGGCAGCGACCAACATATCCATGGTACCCTCCTCTCAAGCCCCTACCACGTCGGGGTGGTGTGTTACGCGGCTGACGTCGAACAAGCTATTGTGAGGTGCTGGTCACACGACCAACAGTCTACTGAATAGCCTGCATAGCTGCATAGAGCACCGAAGCAACGTTGACGTCGCGACCAGGCTGTCTTCAGGCACCACCACGGACATCACGACTGCGGCTGTCGGCGGGAGAAGGTTGATCCGCTGCCACGCAATTTCAATCGACATTCCCCAGCCTCCAATGTCTTCTGGCTTCTGGACTTGTTTCCAGGGAAGGAGCATTCGACTGTCAACTCTAGACTAGTGCATGCTGCTACAGCCTCGCTGCCAGTTCCCTACCAACGCAGGTGGGTAGCTGCCGTTGCCGTTTGCCATGTCGCCCCTGGAATCGCCATTCACGAACCCCTTGCTCCGACTCGTGAAACGAACCCAAGCACAGCCACCTAAGCCGTGCTCTCTCAAGTCTTCGAACTGGCTCTGGATGACGTGTTGAGCGATATTCCTGCCTGCAGCAGTTGGAATGTATATGAAACTCGCACAGAAGATTGCGGATCCCCACATCAAAGCCCGCCCCACAGATGACTTGATCGCCGTCCGCCGGGCGCTGGTCGCTGGCCGTGTTTGTCAACACAGTGGAATCAAATGTCCGGATCAGCCCCATCACCTTTTCCTTCCATCCATTCCTCCATCACCCTCGTTGCGCTAATTGATCCAATCATTCCCTGTCCATCTTACAGAGTCATGGATGGCACGGCGAAGCCGGTCCTTGGTGAGCCCAGGTCACCTTTGGGGAGCGACTGGAAGGGTGGGTCATGGCTGCTTCCTTGTATCCGTGTGCACCCACCACTGACGTCTCAACAGCACCTGTCACCATCAGCCACCAACTCTTCCCTCATATCATGGACCTCATCCTGCTCAACCCAGCGTCCTGGATTCCCTTTCGAGCCACTTGCAAGGAATACTACTACCGAGTCGAGCCGTTGCTCCACCGACACCTGGTGATCACCGACACCGACTGGGATCCACGTCGCGTGTGCGGTCCTGACGGGCAAATGTGTGACGACCGTGAGGGTCTGGAGCACTTCCTTATACATTCACCCCATGGCAGGCTCCCAAGCTTCCAACCGCGACGATTCTACGGAGGTCCGAACGCGCCCAAGGCAGACGAGTCCCTCGCCGCCTCAATTTGTGTCGACACACTCGGTGGCGAAGTTGCCCGGGCCAAACGTCTCCTTCGTCAAGCCCAGGTCGTGGATGTGCGTGCATTGCTTTACGCAGGTAACTGGACATCCAAAGCGCTCGGCAAGGTCGACACTGCGCGGTTTTTTATTGACTGGGGCATTTCGTATTGCCGCCCCCTATCCGCACGCCATTGCACCGTCGAATTACCCATCCACGCCAACAGGATCGTTCTTGTCCCACTTCTGAATGTCTCCCATTGCTGGAACGGCCCCGAGTGGGTCCATGGGCTATCGACCGACAGTCAAGATGTTATCTTTGAAGACTACGGGCTTCCAGCGGGCACCCTCGAGGTCGTTTCCTTTGTCATCGGCTTCCAGGACAACATGCCATGCTGGATACCGCTTGACGTCACTGCCTACCTGACATCACTGAAGCACATGGTCTTTATTTTGACAGAGAACCAGGGTCAAGACCAGACGGTAAGCCCAGATACAGTTTAGACGCTTACATTGCGCAGCCACAGGCTCGTCTTTGCCCAACAGACTGTTCATGTCATTGGGACGGCTTTCGGGACGCAATTTTCCATGTCCTGGCGGCCATTACCTGTAACGATAACCTGCGCCTCACTATCGTTGACGACAACATCACTACCAGCACCTCGGAGCTATCCAAGTTCTTATCCCAAATCCGCACAGCCGTCGAGGTGCTGGAGACCAAGACTCCATCAAAGATCATCAGCGATCGCATGGCCTTCATGCTGTCCCGAAACGATTACGAACAAACTCTCTCGGAGGATGACATTGCTATCGAATTTCCTGATCGCCACCTATGGTAAGTCGCGTGATACATCACTCAAGTCTGACTTAGCAGGACCGGAGATGTGTGCGACTATTCGAGCCCGTACCGTCAAGGCGCCACCGTCCTTCCCGATACAGACTTGTTCGATCAGCGTCGCCTCGGCAGCAGTCATGGTCGCCTCGCGCTCCTCCCTTAGGCCAACAGTTCTTCCTCGCAAGCAGGCACGCGGATAAGGTCAACTCCAGGTTAAACTCACCGTCGACAAAGTTTACATAGGCTGTCGCCGGCTGGATTCGGCAATGGTTCCTTCCCTGTGGTCTGCACACCACATTATGCAAAGTCACATGTATCAGAAGACGTGGCGAGGGAGTTGGGACTCGAGGCCGCATTTATCACCTTCGCTGGGGGTGCAGGGTTCAGGCCCTTGCTGCGCACACCCACTCATTCTTCATTCTGTGCTGTGCTCAACCCATCTCGCCTCTGTGTTCGAGTCAGAGCAGTGGACAATGTTCTGCAGTCCCTGGCCCGGTCGGGAACCGTGATCGGTGTTCAGATACCGAGGCGTTCGGGATGGACTATGGGGATGGAGATCGGTCAACTGAGTACACCAAGCCAAGACTTATCGGCCTTCACCAATCGGCTCAACTCCGGCATGACGCCATAACGGTGTTGGCATTGGACCATGTGCTCCTGTGCTTCTATCTCGACTCGGGCTAGTCCCAGTCACGACTAACTACATATACAAGCGGCACTCCTCGCTGCAGCACCAACTCATCATCCACCATCCATATCCTGCTATCCACCATGAGCAGCTCAGTTGGCTCCAATGTACTGCGCACTGCCGTCAACGAGTACAAATCGACTGGTCTCCGCCGTGACGAGCTGCCGAACGACCCCATCGACCTCTTCCGCACATGGATGGAAGACGCGCTGCGTCCGGACCAAGCTACCGGTCGGTCCACCGTCTCTGCACCTGATGCAGTGTCAGTCAGCACGACGGCAGCGGACGGCGTGCCCTCGTCCCGCACAGCCCTCCTCAAGGGTCTGGACGACACGGGCTTTATCTTCTTCACCAGCTACAACTCGCGCAAGAGCCGCGAGCTAGAGGCCACCCCGTTCGCTGCGCTCAACTTCCACTGGCGCGAGCTCAACCGCCAGATCCGCGTCGTTGGCCGTGCCGAAAAGGTCACGCGCGCCGAGAGCGAGGCCTACTTTGCGACCCGCCCACGCGCCAGCCAAGTCGGGACGTGGGCTTGCGCCCAGAGCCAGCCAGTCGGCGAGAACGAGCTGGCTGAGGCTATGGCCGCGGCGGAGGCCCGTTGGGAGGGAAAGCAGGTGGAGTGTCCAGAGCAATGTGGAGCATGGCGAGTGGTGCCGTTGTGAGTTGGCGTGGCTTCGGCAGGTTCAGCAACTGACACCTCGCACAGTGAGGTCGAGTTTTGGGCCGGGCAACCCACCAGACTCCACGACCGCTTTCAGTACGAGAGGCCTAGAGACGGAGGGGAGTGGAAAGTCCAGCGTCTCGCCCCGTAGGCAAGCTGTGGGTGATCGGACTGTCTTGGGTGATCGGACTGTCTTCGAACCCGCGGAACGGAGTAGTCTTTCTTTCCGATTTTCTGATCTCCAGCAAGACCCCAGATCGACTCTGCGGCATGCATCTGCACATGGAAGCACCTTGTGCCACATCCAAACGAAGCATAGCGGCAGCCCTGTTCTGGAGTGGATTGAGGACGAGAGTGGGCGATATGGGTGGTGGGGGTGGAAGCAAACTGGTGCGCCCCAGTCCAGTCACCCACCATTGCACTCTTGTCCGACACGCTTTCATTCTCGGCAGTTCCAACATCACCCACTTCACGTCAACCACCTCACTGATTACTGTTATACGTCAACCCCCTTTTTGATCCACAGAGCACCAGCTCGCCCTCGACGCAACCCTCCCACCCAGATTGCGATTGCAGGAGTGACGATGGACGGTTCCGCCGAACGGCGTGAAATCAGTGAGTCATCCCGAGGAGTAGTGGGCTCCCAGGCCCGAATATGATTACCTCCACTGACGCGTCAGTCGTCGACACGTCTATCGTGTGGGCTGTGACAATAGACCACAAGCATTTCCCACACATTGTCGACTCGATTCTCCTTCACCCAGCCTCGTGGATTCCCTTCCGAGCCACGTCCAACGAGTATCGCCGCCGCATCGATGTCCTTCTCCATCGCCATCTCATTATCTCAGACATGGAATGGGAGCCTGGTCCAACCTGTAAAGAGGAGGGTGAGGATAGCAGAATCATTGTCTACTCGCCTCATGGTCGTCTTCCGTCATTCAAGCCACGTATCAGTTATCTGGCGGGCCACATAGTACCGGTCACGCTACCAAACAAGAGGACGGGCGCCCCATCCGCCGCGAGATCGACCGCTCTGCCGAGTTGCTGCGCCATACGAAAGTTCTCGACATGCGTGATTTCTTCAACGTTAAAGGTTGGGTCTTCAAGGCGGGCGGACAGCTGGACATGGTTCGCGTTTTCACTGAATTCACGCCGACTGGTAAACCTGTTACCGGGCTCTGCCCCGACAGCCCAGCCACGTTCGACTTTCAAGCCAACACGATTGTACTGGTGCCCCTCATCAACCATACCATGTGTGCCGATTGTGCTGAGTGGGACTGGCATGCTGTTAAAGTCCAGATACCAGCCGGAACACGCAAGGTGGTTTCGAATCTCACGATCAGAACGAACGGAAACCAGGTCAGGTGCACGGATTCCACATACCCATAGACATGGCCAATCTTCCAACCTCTGTAGAGGGAATCGTCTACTTCCTTCCATGGGAATACACTTCGGAAGGTACTCGTGCCGTAAGTACCAGTACCAACTTGAACTGACCCCACTCAGCATCCCGACGATGGCTTCATCACAAGAGAGCTGTTGAACGGACTGTTTGTCACGTTAAGAGCTTCTCATCCCCGCTTGACCCTTGTGTCCAAAAATGGCTGGGATACCAAGTCGATGGTTACATGTCTCATTCGTGCGGTGCGTCCCGTTGGTAGGGGGAGTGTCAGATGTCTCGACATGGAGGAGTACAGGACAGAAACTGGGCTCTCCGACTCGGACATGAAACTCGAGATTCCTGAGTATGAGAATAACCCATGGTACGTGCAGTCGTGTACGACGTTCGCGCGTCTGACACCGTCAGGGATGGCAACATGTCCGACTACAGTTCGCCATTCCGCCCAGCCTCAACAATCGTCAAGGACGAAAGTGCTATCGGCCAGCATCGTCTTGGAAGTCGCGATGGTAAACTTATCGTACTGCCATGGTGAAGGTGAGTGCTCTCAGGGAACTGTGTGGTGCTGACGATTATCAGTGAAGCTGCTCGAGGCTCCCTTTGTCTACATCCCTATCAGCCGCTTGATTTGTGAACTCTGAGCGGGCCGGGCCTCGTTGAATCGTAACGCCGTTCTTTCGTTTGGCCTTTATGGCCGCATGCATGTACATAATGCCTTACGGCACTGAATGTCCCTTGCGCCAATTCCCGAGTCCTGCACCCCAGTATGAAAGCGGCAGCGCGCCAGCCCCAATAGCAACAACTTCCAGGTCCACCAAACGCCTCCACCATGGGTCGCCGGCCAGCCCCACTTGCTATCGTCGCATCTCTGTCCCCCGTCTCCTCATTTGTGGGCCTTTGACGCAGTCTTAAGCGCGTATGCACTACATTTCCAGTTTGACAGGAGCCTAATCGGCTGTCTGCCGCTGTGTCGGTCTATGTTGGCCGGATGCAGCCACCCAAAACGTCTCGGGCGGACGGTGAAGCTCACTCCGCAACCGGCACCCCTGCCGATACAATAAGAAGTTTCCAGATTCCATGCATCGCACACAGGACAACGACAATCACCGCACTCCCCATCACCTCTCTTCTCGTCTCCCATCTCACTTCCTACAGTTCACCGGATAGCGTCGGTCATCCCCAGACGCATCCACCAGAGCCGCCACTCGAGGTGAGTCTTTAATTAGGAGGCACCACATTGACGTCATCAGGCGCACCACGATATCCCGTCTAGTCGCCTTTTCCAGTCCTAAACTCTTGTGGGCAAACGACATTCGCATGGGACAGCGCACTCGATATCCCAGTAGGTCTTTCTCATCCTCCTCCATCCCTTCTGACGTCGTGTGCAGCTCGGCACCAAAGCGACCGGGGCGCTCAAGAACGTGATATCGCCCCTAAACGGCGTCGCCACCGGAAGCTGGCGTCCTCCACATCCTCCACCATGATGGTGCCGAATGACAACTGCCATCCAACCTCATGTCTGCGGCAATCTGAGACTGGCCATGGCGATGGCCCACACCCACTACCACTTGCCAACAACCCAGTTTTTCTCCAGATCGATCACTCCCAGTTCCCGCACATTATCGACACTGTGATCAGCTATGCGACGTGGGAAGCGCTGGGGGCCTTTGCATCCACGTCGCGATACTACAAACATCGCATCGAGGCCATGATGTTCAAGCACATGGTGCTCTCACGCTACGCGGACAAGACGTACGGCGTCGCCGTTGGTTCCCCGCACGGTCCCCTCCCCCACTTCCCGCCGCTCAACTACAACTACACCCATGCGCTCCGGCATCCGCGGGCCAAGCGGCGCAAGGCCGGCTTCGACTGGCGCGGCGCTGCACTGGGGTATGCGCGCATCGTGGACGTCTGCGGTCCAATCGAGGAGCTGATCGTATGGCTCGGTCGAGCCATGACAAGCCCCGAGATTGTGCGCGTGTTTCCGGACACCAAGGGCGAATGCTCCTACGCAACTAACATTCCCATCACCGTGCCGACGCTCGTCGTCGCACCCGGTGGTCGGTTCAAAGAGTGCTATGCGCCAATTGCGCTGGGCGTTTCCAAGATAGTGATCCACCTCGACGCCGACAAGCAGCCCTTGCCCAAGTTCCGCTCGTTCTCGTGGCCCATCCAGCGCATGTGGTTTGAGGAGCCGGCGGAGCCCCAGTACCCACCAGTGGACGACAAGCACTCTGTCTCGCGACACGTGGTCATCCTGTTCTCACAGTCGCACAGGAGCATGGGGCTCCTCCCTCCTGGTGCGCCAGGATTCGGCAAGACGCGGTGGGAGGGCATGGTCCAAGTCCTCAGGAGCAACAGCTACATGGCGTACGCATACACCCTGGTGGACCTGGACGAGCTCGACCCCGATTGCTTTGACCTCCTGGACGAGCTGGAAGGAATGTCAATGTCGCAAAAGTTGATGGCAGACGTCGCTGGGGCTCCGGTGTTTGGGTACCTGGGTCGGACCATCAAGGCTCCGACCATCACCTTTATGACGCGCGCACAGTATGCAGCGCTCCCCGGGGTGCACCGTATGGAGCTTGATGTGTGAGTGATCCATCTTTGTCGTAGTAATCTGTAGTTAGCTATCCGTATTGTATCACGTTGAATCACTACTAGAATCTATGTACACACGCCTATTTGAAGGGGTTACTGGTGGGGGCGGTTGAGTCACCTGTTTGGTGCCATCATAAGATCGCCCGGCCGCTGTTTACATCTTCCTTTCAGCACCCTTCCATCCACAAGGCCATAACACCCATCCGCCATGCCACCCCAACGATCGCTATCTGTACCAGTTCAACATTTCGAACCCTACAAGCCCTACCGGAAGCTCACAGACCCACCTCACCGCCACCCAGCCTGCAGGCTCCTGTCGCGAGCCGAACCACTGTCGTTGGGTATGAGTCTTGAGCACACAATGACCAACATTCCGCTGATGCTGTCGCAGATGAGGTGGCCTTCTACTTTGCCAAGCTCGCCTACTCGACCGCCGCCATCGATATCAACTACTTTCCACACGTCGTCGAGGCAATCTACGCTGCGTGCGACGCCGAGGCCCTTTTCGTGATGTCGCAAACGTGCCGCGTTTTCAGAAAGTGGGCCATGGACGACCTCACTGAGCACGTCGTCGTTGAACGTAAAGGCAACGAAGTGCGGGTCGCGTCAAGCCTCGGAAACGTCGAGGCGCCCTTCCCCATACTGGCAGTACGCCGGTTCGCCCTCAGAGCCACGGAGTTGGCGCGCAACGGATTCGAACGAGGACAGCAGGCCAGTGGCATCACAGGCCCCGCCGAGTGGGATCCAGCGCAAAAGGTATTCTGGGCGAGCCTTACAGAGCGCACTGTCGGCACCCTCGACTTGCGAGGCCGAGTCCCCACACCTCTATACGACCGCAGCAAGCTCATGTCTGTCGAATACTTGCGCATCTTCCCCGAAGCGTCGACCCGACTCTTTGCGTGTGCGGCCTGGAAGTACTGCAACCCAGCCACCCTCGTCCTCTTCACCTATGCCGTGAATTACCCGGTGTGGGTGACGAGCATGTTTACTCCCAAGATGGGCATCTTGCACATGACGCGCCTCACCACCATCATTATCAACATCGACTCTCTCAGCAGCGAGTTCCAAACGTCCACTTTGGGATTCGACGTGGAGGCTTTGCCACGCAGCGTCAAGACCGTGATTTGCGTGGTGCACCATTCTCAGTCACCCGCACTGGACAACGTTGGCCGCCTTGGGGTGCGCGACGAGTGCCGCCGCCTAAGCCTCGCATATCTCGCCGTCGTTGTCGTCGGACAAGGCAGACGATTCATCCCCGACTTTCCACCTGAACTGGACGACTTGTACAGCTACCGCGCCTCGTACTCGACTGTGAGGGACGAATCGTGCCGAGACGGGTGGCGGAAGTTGAACGAATGGGAGCGTCGGTCGCCTGGTATCCTCAACCGGCTTCGAACCGTGCTGCGCAGCTCGAAAAAGTACAGGTACACGGAGCGCATGGCGGCGCAGAGGCCGGAAGGGCTCAAGCTGGAGACGGGTTTGACCAAGGGCAGGGACAGTAGCCAGTACAAGACCGGCCTGCCTTGGGGTATGGTCCAGCCGTAGATCCCATACAGGTAGTTTTATAGTTTCATGTGATCCTACAGGCCAACAGCCAGGTCCACTGGCCACTGGCCGCTGTGCAGGGCAACAAGGTCCAAAGATGCAGAGGTTGGGTGGCAAATTCCGACCATGACTACGAGCAGCCAGTTGGACAGCACGTCGCAGCTCTGGAGCTGGACGGGTATTATTGAGAACTCCCATGCATCGTGAATCGCTACAGCATTATAGATTTGTCCTGCCTCGTAAGGAAACAGAGTGTCATTCCATGGCTTCAAGGGCATACTCATACCTTCCAACTTGGTTACGATACTGCTTATGCGACAGAAAGACAATGCACATCGACGGTGACATTGATACGGGCTCCTGCCCGAAATCACCGCACGGCACGAGTCTGCCCACAGCAGCGAGTATCTGCTGCTCCACGCGCCAGAGCGTCACCGAAGCCGGCACGCCGTGGACGGCGGGTAGCACGTGTTCGAGCCCGACGACGGTGTAGTGCACTCGCGGGATGTTGACCGCCATACAGTCCAGAAGGGGGGCGAGGAGCGGCGGGACTTGAGGATGCAGGAGGGCGACGTCCTTGGGCGCCGGTGGGTGAGTTTGGCTGTGGCTGTAGCTGTGGCCGTGGCGGTCCACGTGGGAGAACATGAGAATGACCTGCCGCAAGCTGTGTGGGTGGCGAATCTTGCCCAGGCTGCCCGAAAACACAGCGGCGCGCGCGGCGGGCAGGAAGCGCACGTGGAACGTGAACCGCCGCACGCCGGGGGGCAGCAGTGGCACAGAGATGCACAGAGGCACATCTCGCTTGGCCGCGGTGGCGAGCACCGTGTCGGATACAAGGGCGAACGCGATCGTCGTATCGGCCTGTGGACCCATCACGCACAGTGCCGGCCAACGGGCGTCCGGGAGGGGCAGATGGAGGAGGCGAACGAGTTCGATGTTGGGCGTATGGCATACCAGCCACAATAGGTAGGGTGCGTACCGCGTCAGGTCGTGGTGGAGCGACAGGATCTGCGTGTATCCCAGCACTCGAGCTGGGAAGCGCGACAAGAAGCCGCCCACGGCGGGGACTCTGCCTCGCGGGCAGGACACGTCCACTGATACATCCGACTCGTCATTGGACGCGTACTCTGACGGGCGGGAGACGTAGAGGTGTCGAAAGAAGCGGGCGTCCACCTTGTCTCGGAACGATTTGGAGACGAGACGTAGCGTAAGCCTCATGTGGCGGTCACTAAACCCAACCACTCGGTCGCTGATCCGGATGTGCGAGCCAATGTTCAGTCTTGCTGTACGCGACGACGACGACGGCAGCCGGCGTTCGTGGCACAGGGGGCAGGTCCCCAACGACGCCGGCGCCGACATGTTGTGCAATGTAAAGCAGTGATGGTCAGTGGGGGTGAGTGGCGGTGGAGCAAAGCACCGTGTGAAGAAAGCCGGTCAGGCGGGAACATGTTTATGCATTAGCCTCGGTTCATGGTGAGGTGGGTACAACTAGTGCGGTTTCGAGCATCTTCTTTCGTGGTCCTTCGGCATACAGACATGCGAGTCATGGGGCTAGCCGTATTAGCGTGGACGTAAGAACATCTTAACTCACCATACAATGGAATGGTGTATTGGTATTGGGTTTCGTGCGGGGTTCGTTTCTTTCTTTGCTTTACTGGACTGTCTCGAGCTCAAACTGCCTGGCGTTGACAGACTTCTCGTACTTGTCGCGCGACATGAATGTGATGTGGGAGAGCGCCTCCTCAATCTCCTCGTCGTCCATGATGTGGCGGCGGCGAAGTTCCGTCTCGACCGCTTCAATGACGAGGTGGACGACCGTGTCGTTGCGGAAATCAAAGAATCCCGTCGACGATGGCGGGCTGCCGTGCCAGTCGGGTTCGATTCCGAGCCATTCCGGCTCGAGCTTCTCGACGCCAACGAGCGTAAACTTGACGCGTGGGAGGGTGTAGGACATGAGGTTGACAATAGAGCTCATCATGCCCATCCACTGTCCACTGATAGCTTCGCCATAGGACCGACCGCATCCGGGTGAGCTGGCAGTAGGGGAGAGGAGGACGGCGACGTTGGTGAGGTTGGGCTTGTGGGCCACGTCGCAAAGGATCAAGTTGGCGCGGGGCAGCCACCAGCTTCGGGGCTCGTACGCGACGTTGAGGACTAGTCGCTCCGTGCTATCCGGCACGGGTCCAACGGACGCAATGGACGGGTACGACGATGACTCTGGCTCACTGAATTCGGCGAACGCCACGACGGTCTTTGCTTGTATCGGGCACAGGGACGTACCCCGCCCCTCTGTGTCGGGACGCAGCCGGACGGTATGCACGTTGACGAGCTTCTCAGAGAGGTACTCGAGGTAGAGCTCAAGGCCGTTCTTGCCTGCGCCAGCAGCTCGATACGTCACGGGACGTGCGCCGACAGGACCGACGAGGTCGACAATTCGCGTACGGGCGAGGTCGATGGGAGGACGGAAGCCGAGTTTGCAGCAGTGTGGTGAAACGTCGAGGTAGGATGGGGACGAGGAGCAGTGAGGACGGTTGGAGATGGTAATGTGGGAGGCAAGGATGCCGTCTACGCGATAACGCATCTCGGACGAGAGGCCCCTGATAGCGAGCAGGGTGGGTGGCGAACTCGCCTGCAGGACAGAGTCCATAATGTGGGGAAACACATCGCAGTCGAGCGGGGCGTCGTCGTAGCGGCAGCCTGTGGGCTCGCATGCGGGCTTGCAAGTGTCAGTCATGGTGTTGAGAGGATGCGTGTGATGGAGAGAATGGGCATGGGAGACGTGTTATGTGGAGTCGCGTATGGGCATTTTGGGTGTGCGTGTCTTGTGACCGGGGGAGCTCTACAATGCGATTGTGATGTCACGGGGTGCGGTGGTTGTTGCGTTGGCCCCGGCCAATAAACCCTGACCCCAGACAAACTATTCGGATATCAGCTCCAGAGATAGTGGAAAGCGTGGGCCGTGGCTGCGGCGCCGTGGCGCTGCATTGGCAAATGTGTTAATGTGTGTCTCCCTGTTTGTCTTTGTCTCGTCCAGGCGATCCCAGCGCACCGACGCGGGCCATGGAGCGTGCATAGCGTGTAGAGCGTGGCTCGCACAACACGTGGATGCCACTGTGTGTGGGAAGAGCGCCTGGCCGCAGCGAGAGCGACAGCAGCCCCCCGAACAGTGTCAATTTGCGGAGGATAAGGACACGAGTAAGGAACGGATGCCGTATCTCTCCCATCAGCCATTGTGTTCCTCGATAGCAGATGGACGCGCTTTCAAATGCCGGGCGCCGGGCGCTATCTTGGACCGTGTTGTGGCCACGCGCAAGCAAGTACATAGCTGCTGCACTGGACCTCTCACGTACATAGGTATATCACGAACAGCTCCATGAATCCATGGGTTGGGAGGCCAATTCGGAGCTTGCCCACTCTTGCCACCCACCATGTGTGTCTCGCCAAGATTGTCCCGAGGTCACGGGTCCCCAACAGGGGGGTTCCCATTCGGAAAACACGGGGTCAATCCGACTCACTCTCCACAGCCACAACAACAGGTGCGCCCGGCTTCGGAGTCCGTTGTGATCGGTCTTCAGCAATTCCACACCCATTAGCGTTAGTTGCACATTCATGGATCCCACAAGGATCCAAGGAGCTGGTCGTTAATGCAATGCTGCGCCTGTGACGTCAGTGATCGCCGGCACCGCTCAACCGACAGATCACAGTTGTCGGTTGACGCCGAGGCGCACGCGTGCTGTAGGGAAAACGCATCTCCCTTTCTTGTTCCTGTCTCTCTTGATGTCTTGTCTTCTTGTCTGTCGTCTTGTCGTCTTGTCGTTTTCCAGTCATTCATCGTGTCGACGAAACGTCGGCGCAAAAAAAAAAAAAAAAAAGTGATTCTCCGCCAGGGAGTTGAACCCTGCTCTACCGCGATATTCCAATTAGGAAACTCCCTATTGAGAGGCGGTTATACTAACCGATATACTAGCGAAGATGTGTTGCTTGTGCTATTGTTAGAAACACGTGACCAGATTGCTTCCACAGTATGATGTCAGCAGTCCCCCAAGCGCTACCTATATAAGATGATCTACCGCTAGTATGCCATGCATCTCCGTTTCTCTTTCACTCTATACCTCATACCCTCGTTACCTCGCTGGTACTGTCTGCAGCAGTGCTAGCATCGACATCCGAGGCTCTCTTTTCTTACAGCTATTTTTCTATTGACCATCACCCGACGTAGGCAGCGTACATGGCCCAGGTGGCCCCCAGGCGAGCCCCGGTTGCGTTATCGTGAGAGCGTGGCAAAAAGCAATGATAAAACGGTGTTTGGGCGGGAAATTTAGCCCCAGAGGGGAAACAAGGAAGGAAGAAACAATGGTGGTTGGTGGTTGAACAGGGTCTTTTCGCCGACCTTCCTGCGAACACGGTTTTCGCCACTTGACTGGCTTCCGGCACGCGAGGCGGGGAGTTGAGGCCATGCTGCAGTGAGGAATTGCGAGTAATGGTATATGTGTACAGCACAGAGAACCTTCCAGCGCGCCAGCGGTGTTTGTGGGTGGGCAGTGTCCGGACTCACACGTCTACTTGGCGGACCTAGGGCAAGGGCGGGCGCTCTGGCGATCCATCACAGCTTTGTAGCCCCTTGCACACGTCACCTGCAACTTGCTTCTTCTCCATCACCCACATATTCTTCAATCTCTGCCATCAACTGGCCCTTCGACCATCCATCACCGGCGCGGTCACATTTTACTCGTGGCAGTGATCATGGACATGCTCCCTCCAGCCATGAGTGACACTGGTAGGTCGGGTGGCGGGTCCCAGGTGAACGACAGTTGACTCAACTATAGGAGATCGCCCAACCAAGAGGGCCCGCTCCACCGGCTCGGCACCCGTTCCTTCAAACCACCTCGCGATCGATACCACGGTCAAGCTCGACTTCAACATGTTCCCTCACATTGCTGAAGCAATTCTTAGAGAGTCGTCTTGGGAGGCACTCGTTGCTTTTCGTGGCACCTCACGCAATCTCGCTGCGGTCGTTGACAACATGATGGCCAAGCATATCGCTCTCAACTACCACGGCAACGCTGTCCACCCCGACAGACCATTTGAAATCAAGACTCCTCTCGGACAGCGCATTCCCTGTCTCCAGTCACAGCATCAAGTGGGGTTGCAGCACAAGGCCCATGGCACTACACCACTTCCTTTTCTTCCATCTATTGTTTCCCTCCAGAACACCCAGGTCATTGACCTTGTCGACTTTAGGTGCAGCTCGACCTGTCACTTCTGCGTTCCCGGCGAGTTCGACAACGTCAAATACGTCCGACTCTACCAGGATGTGATCACAGCATTCCCCAAGCATCTCCACCTGGAAGCTCCTATTGTGGTCATTTTCTGCGACTTGCGTCCGATCAAGTGGATGCATGAAGAATGGGATGGATCGTATTACTCGGAAATGGAAGATGAGGAATGGAATTTCGACGTTATCGCTTTACCCATCCGCGTTCCCAGCAAGTCCAAAAAGCTCGTCATCAATCTGCGATACCAAACCTCAAAAGGTTTACGATCAATTGACAATGTCCCTCCTGAAGACGACGAGGGCCGTGTGGGTTGGAACTCCCTCACGGAGGTTGTTATTATCTTCACCTCTTGGAATTCTGCCGGCTCAGGCGAGTCAAAGGCCTGGCGTGGAATGGGCCGTCCGTCTTGGTATCGTCTCAATTGGCTTGCACGCATCGTTTTCCACCTCCTGAATTACGCCCAGATCAAGCTCACCATTGTCGATTTTGAGAAGGTCGACTCCCAGCGGCTGTTCAAGCAAAACTTGCTCGAAGAGGGACAGTCAAACCATTCAGCTCTGGTGACCCATCTACAAAGACGCCTCGCCTTGCACCCTGAGTCGGAGGAACAGCTCAAGCAACGCCTGCATCTAGCCATCGAGAGCATCGAGTTCCTCACCATTGACGAATACGCCGAGCGCTTGGACCCCGGAGACCTGGAGCTCGAGACTGAAGCGACGTTGAAGCCACTCTGAGTCGCAAGCTGTACGACGGACACTTCAGCCCGGGAAGTGGACCAGTCGATGGGAACAATGAGAGGCCATACTGTTTGTGGATATCCCAGAAGCCGCAATGTATATAAACGGTAGCAGATACAATGTTGGATACCTCCTATCTGCAGTTGTGAGCCCCTCTTGGGGGCGCCTTTTTTCTTGTCGTCAACTCCGTTTTGATGCCGATGCCTCTCCTCATTGCCCGACAACAACTCTCCGCATCACTCACTAGCGTTGTAACCGTCAATATTTGTTAGCAATTGTCTTGTAAGTGAAACGGCAGGCTATGTAGTCACCCCGTGACTGATAAAGCGCAGCAGCAGCACTTCTCCCATGTCGTCTCCACGTGTCGTCGTCGGCAGCGCAACGGTCCAGCGGGACGCGCTGCACTTTCCCCACATCATCGATGCAATCCTTGCGGCGACGGCCTGGAAGGACCTGTACATCTGGCGCTTGACCTCACGCTCGATACGTGACCAAATCGACCGAATGATGACCTCGCATGTCATTGCAACGGCTCTGTACCCCGACGACCCCAGCGAGGGACTTGATATGACGTCGCCGCCCAACCGTGGTGCTATCCCTGGTCTCTTGGGCTATTGGTTCGAACCCAGCTATGACATCCATTATCCGGGAAGCAGAATAACATCTTACGCTCTCCTCAATGGGATCAGGACACTGGATGTCTATCCTCCGGTCAGCGGTGTCGTTGACCAGCTAGAGGGTATAGGCAACTCGCCGTTCGGTGAGACGTTCAAAAGCCTTCAGTGCCTTCGTTTCCACCCCCGTGTTCTGGCCGACTACTCCCACGACCTCTCTTATCACGCCCCAACAAAGGTCGTCATCTTTGGAGAGGTGGCATGCGTTGAGTGGTACGATAGTACTGTCCCTACGTACACATACAGCATCCGGGTCCTACCCGGTTCTCGCCCGCTCGAGACGTCCAGACCATCCAAGTTGGTGGTCAATATTCTGTACCACCGGTCCTCGCAGCACAATGGGTACGAGGATGAGTTCTTTGAGGACCGCGACCTGATCCCCACAAGCCTCTCTGAGTCAGTCATCGTCTTCAGCAACTGGGGCCCCTGGACCGAGAAGGCTCCACGAGACTGGTCGCCAAGCGTTTTGGACGGACTGCCACCATCGACCGCACGCCGCTTGTCGCTTGTCGACTTCATTATCCGGGTGTTTCTCAACTCGGAGACAGCCAGAGTCACCATCGTCGACTTGCAAAAGCCCGATTTCGAGTGGATGTTTAAAGGAATGAGCCAGGACGGCGAGTTATCGGAGCGAGATGCTCTCACCCGTGAACTTCACACCGAGATCAATTACTTGGAGACTGGCTACCGTACGGAAGATTACAATTACTTGGCGACCTGCTACCGTGCAGCAGATCACGCAAAGTGCCAACTGCTCCGCTCTCTGGTTGACAATGTCGAGTACCTCACCCTTAGCGAGTACGGTGAACGAATTGGTGCTACCGAGCTGCGTCTGGAAACGCATGCGGATCCTAGGGGGTTGACTTGCCGCACAATGGTGTCCGCATGTAGTTGATGCACGGCACTCATGCTGTTCCCCATGTTGTTTCCCGGTGCCGACAATGTGCTGCCTGGGGATGGGAGGGTGAACTGACACGCCGCGTAGCGCAGGATTTAGCACCAGTGGACAAGCACCACCCGCGTTGCGCCCCGCCACCCAAATCCCCCTCGGGGCAGAATCCTCATCCACATCTTTGTCTTCTACCGCATCACCCATCACTCGCTCATTGCTCAACCCTTCAAGAGTCATCCCAAATCACACACCTGGATTGCAGTACCACCACGTCCCATTCGTCCCGGAGGACATCCATGGGGCCGCCAGGTATCCGTCCAGTCCGTCGCTACCGTCCCAATGGGCCGCGCAGCAAACTGACGTGTGTCACAGACCCTCCGAGATCGAAACACCATGTCCGAAGTTCTGCAGACTGGGGAGCAAGACCCGAACCCGCATCCTCCTCGCAGATCGACGGGAACGAGGGTCACCATCGACTTGGCAATGTTCCCTCACATTGGCGGGCTCATCCTCCAGATGACCGATTGGAAAGACCTCTTGCCTTGGCGTCTCACATCCAAACTAGTCTGCGCTCAAGTCGACAGGCTCATGACCTCCCATGTGATTATGGTCGACGGCCCAGAGCATGTTCTTCTCAAGTCTCCAAAAGGACGGATCCCAGTACTTCGGGACTTTGTGTACAACCGGCATTCGGCGGATTCTGGTAATGCAGGACACGGCCGCCCGGTCATGGCCCTCTCCAAGACGACGATCCTCGACCTCTACTTGCGCAAAATCGATTACGAGGGCGGTGGGAAGCCTTCGGAGCCATTCGAGAACCTGAAGTACATGCGTCTTCATGCCTTCGAGGGCGACGACATCACCAGAACCGCAGTCATGTTTCCGGCACAAACGCTTGTCACATTTGGGGACATGGGCCTCCTCTTGCAGTCTCAAGTGACTTTCCGTATCAAAGTTATCCCAGCGGACCATATTCCGAGCTGCGCCACCAAGCTGGTCATCAACATCAAGTTCCAAACTGTTACGCGGTACCATGTTGACGCCTACCAGTCCGTCACCAGTGACACCAGTCTGCTTCATGACGGGCTCAGGGAGGTGGTGCTTGTATTTAGCAACTGGGGACGTCCGGTCTCATCATCTTTCGTGAAGAAGTGGCCAGCTGTGGTGCCGGCTAACGAGCGGTGTCTTTGGGTCGTCATGATGGTTATCACAGCCATCGTGAGGGGTCGTAGCAAGGTTACGATCGTTGACTTGCACAAAGTTGACTTCCATTGGCTTTTCGGAATGACTCCCCCGAAAGATGTCGAATCGCCACACCAGGCAGCCCTTCTTCAGGCTATCCACCCAGAGGCTCGTACTTCAAAAGGTATTTCCATGGTTCGAGGAGATGCTGACTGGCTACCCAAAGACTATGCACCGTGGACGCACCTCCTTTCGCAACTCGACGTGTCGGCACTTGAGTTTCTCACTTTGGAAGAATACGGCTTGCGACTGACGCCTGAAGACCTGGAGCTTGAGATCCAAGAGTTCTGGGGTTACTAGTGTGTAGCATGTGGTGTGTAGCATGTACAGTACTGTGCAGGCCAACTGTGACCTCTCTGGTTCTTACTGTCGGGTAAAGCTGTATGCCGAGGAGGCTTTTCGGCAACTCACGGCGAGGCGAGTGGCGTAGATGTCTTTTGTTTAAAAACCGGCACCTAAATTGAATTCTGTCATCTCTTCACCATCGCTCATCAACATCCCAGTACTGTAGCTATCAAAGGTGAATATATGCAAGGCGCCAACAGGTTGGACTGGCTCAAGAGGCAGGTTGCTGACTGACAAGAGTCGATCCACAAACTGCCGGCGCACGCCAAAATGAGTGCGCCAACACCATCGCCTCCAAGGGCCTCCAACTCTCATGCCATGCTGGATTTGACCATGTTCCCACATGTTGCGGACGGTATTCTGGGTGCATGTGACTTTCATGACCTGTTGACCTTGCGCCAGACGTCACGAGCTATGTGCGACCGCGTCGACACACTCATGACGGCGCACATGACGGTCAACGCCAACCACCTTGACACCATGGAGCCCCACTTGACAACTCCCCTGGGAGTTGTCCCTGTGCTCAAGTCCTGCGTTGGGCAATGGAACATGCCGGACCGGTTGACCTGGACACACAAGCGTGTGTGTGCAGCACTGTCAAGGACGACAACTCTCGACATCACGAGTATTCTTGCTGCGTCTGAGCGGTTGGCGCCGACGCGCCTCGGGACGGCTGAGCCTTTCGCCAACCTGCAGTGCGTGCGCCTCTACCCTATGATCCTGCACGATTACACCTCCCACCAGCTCGCCTTCAGTGCTCCCAAAGTGGTCGTGTTTGGCGCCATGAACTATCACTACTGGCGGGACCCGTCCACCAGCCAACTGGACGGCATGGTCAAGTTCTTGCCTACCAGTGTGCTTCCCAGGGGAACCCGCAAACTTGTCATCAACATTACCGGTGAAGACATTGTGTGTGGGGTCGACGAGCCACCCGGGAACGATATGGACGCCATATCTTTGTCGCTGACCGACGTCGTCTTCATCTTCGACCGACACAGTTTTCAGGGTAATGGCCAATGGAGGTGGGGGTTCCCGAATCCTTCTTCGAAGAAGCGCATGTGGTTTGTCATGTTTATCCTGCACTTTCTCGGCGAGCCCTTGTCGAACCGGAGTGTCACGTTTGTGGACTTTGACAAGATCGACTTCAACTGTATGTTCTTGGGAGAGCCACGGTCACCAAACGCCGCTGCCCTTACGGCCGCTTTGCATCTGTTTGTGGATCAGCAACGCGCCTCTGAGACCGGCACAAGGAGCAGCAGCTTCAGCGATGGGTCTCGAGCCAGTGAGCTTCAGCAGCTCCACGGCCGCATCGACTCGGCGGTCCATTTCGTCTCCCTCAGTGACTACGCTGGGCGCGTCGGTTGGCCCGAGGTGGAGCTTGAGAGTCGGCCGGATGTTCAGAAGGATGATTCCTTATCGCCAACGTTTCAGAGCCTGCTCGACCTTCAGGCGCTCATCGGCTAGACTAGAATCGGGTGGAGCACCAGTTTGGTCCCTTGGGCTCACCTGCTCCCGGGCATGTTCCCCGCATTAGCTTCAAAGGAAGTCGTATCCTTTCCATGTGTGTCTCCAAAGAGATTCTGCTGCCTAGCTGCCTACATACTGTATGTCATGCATGCATGCCTATTAAGCCCCTGAAAAGTCTCAGATGTCGCAGGTGGTTGCACGCTTGTTGCGTCTTGCTCAGTCCATCTACCCAAACGCCACTGTCGTCTTCTCTTCTCTGAAGCAGTCAATGTCAACTGGCCAGGCCATGTTGTTCAAATGTCATTCCCGGACCCGGTACGCTCCTGTATCTGTGTTCTGTATCTGTAACTGCGTTGCCTGGACCGTCGATATGCTGGAAGCGTTTGGAGCTTACCGTCAAGGCCCCCCCGACTGCATGCTTAAATCGACGGTATCCAGGAGTCAGGTGAGCCCAAAGGGCCAAGGGACTGGAGCAGGGACATATGCCCCGTCAGGACCGAGTGGTCGCGGCGGAGGCGACCGACGCGACGGATGACCTAAGAGGATCTCTGACCCGAGGCCTCCTTTGGGTCAGACGGCGCCTGATGTTCATATATGCCCAGCATGCCCAGGGCGTACTGCACGTGCGAACAAAGTCTTGTTAGTCGTAGCATTCGCTGCTTGCTCTCAATATGTTTCCTCACGCGAAGGGCGACACACGGCAACACCTCCTATCTCCAGTGGCAAGTGGTGTATACAGCCAGTCGTAACGACCTGGTAAGATCACTCCGCGGTCTGCACCCTACCAGTCCCTCGCCACTACTGATTCGCTGACAGCGCCAGCTGTACAGCTGTAAGTTATCGATACCCTCACACCATGCAGCAGAGCTCTTTGGCCCTGATGGCCGCGGATGGCGGCTCTCTCACCCTGTGCACGTCGAACAAATGCTTGGCGCCACCCTGGCGCTATGGGATACAGTCGCCGACTGGAACAAAGCTACGGACACATTGAGCGTTGGAAGACGCTTAGCGTAGATCCAGAAAAGGCAGGACACAGTAGAACAAGTCGACATCCTTTGGTATGTGGAACTCGTCATGGCGCATCAGACCTGTGGGGCTGACCTACCGCAACGATATGCTGACGACACCACTCGATTGTCCACAAGGTTATCGCTATCAGCGGCACGCGTCAACAGACTTTGGAAGATTGGAAGCTCCGCACCTTACCCGACTCCACTTCGTCTCTGACCATGATGTCATTGTGCAGCGTCTACGGCCGGCTGTCAAGTTGTACCGCGTGGTGCGGCCGGGAGAAAGCTCATGATGGATGAGTGGAGCCATTCGGCGTCGTGCATGTGCGCTCCTTCAGGCAACTGACCAATGACATCGCCCTGGCCAAGCCCAATGCGGGCACGTTCATTGCATGGTTCGTCACTACCTGAACAGTTCCCGCCAGGTCCGTCAGACTTCCGCCGTGTTGCTGCCCACGAGCGGGCAGGACACAGGTACAGGGGACCGATGTGGCGTCATGCCGGAGAAGTGTAACGTCGATTGGACCACCAGCGGTGAGCACATGCGTTCAGTTGGCCCCGAGCCGCACTCGCTGCTGCACTAATGAACAGCCGACCATCTCTGGGAAGCGAATGCATTTCTTGATCTCTCTTCACTCCACCAGTCGCACGACCACGCACACGACTTTGTGCATCGTCTCAGCCTTTCAGCACCATCTTGAACAGACCGATCCGCCATGTCCCACGATAACAACACCAACAGGCTTGACGCCGCGGGCGGACTCCAGCCGCCGTCTCCCGATCTCCCACACAAAGAGAACGAGGACGAGGGTACCATTGTCGACACCGAGTCGCTGTCCAGCGACACGACCGCCCGCGCCAAGCAGGAAGGCATCAAGCCAGCCTTCCTCGCCAAAGTGGAGGTGCTCAACCACGCCATTGCTGAGATCGGCATGGGCCGATACCAGTACGAGCTATTTGTCTCGGGCGGTTTCGGGTGGTTTGCGGACAACATTTGTGAGTTCAGACATGAGACACACGGGGCATCGAGGGAGCGATACAGATACAGATCTGGAGCTGAATGCTGACACCGTGCAGGGCTGCAGGGTATTGCCATTATCATGCCCGCCGTCGCCAACGAGTGGCGTGGCTACCCCACCGTCCGTCTTGCCACCCTCGCGCTGTATGTGGGCCTCATCATTGGAGCCACCTTCTGGGGATGTTCCTGCGACATTATTGGGTACGTCCACACGTTCAGTGCCCCACCCACCGCCGAATGGTCTTGCTGACACTATTAAAGTCGCCGCCTTGCCTGGAACAGCACCTTGTTCATTGGAGCCGTGTTTGGTATCGCTGCGGGCGCAGCCAACAACTTTGTGACCTTCTGCGCCATGATCGCCTGCTGCGGATTTGGAGTAGGAGGCAACATGCCAGTGGACGGCACCATGTTCCTCGAGTTCCTCCCTGGAAGCCACCAGTACCTCCTCACCCTGCTGTCGGTATGGTGGGCGGTCGGCCAGGTGGTCGCTTCTCTGATCGCCTGGGGCTTCCTCGCCCGCTGGGGCTGCGAGACGCCTGCGGCTGGAACCTTCTGCAAGAAGGAGGACAACATGGGCTGGCGTTACACGTACTACACCCTTGGCGCCATGATGCTGTTCCTCTGGGCTGTGCGCTTCTTTGTGCTTCCCGTGTACGAGTCGCCCAAGTTCCTCGCCTCGATTGGCAAGGACCACGAGGCCGTCGAGGTCATTCACAAGATGGCTAAGCGCAATGGAAAGACTGTCGAGTTGACGGTCGACGACCTGTACCGCGCTGCCGCCCCGCATCTCACGGCCGACGAAAAGCTCGCGCAGGAGAATGACCGTTCAGCCACCACCAAGTTCTCCACCTGGGAGCTGGTCAAGAACTCGTTTGACAACCTTAGTGCCGACCACGTCACTGCTCTGTTCTCCACCAAGCGCCTGGCCTGGTCCACTACGCTCATCACATTCTGCTACGCCGCTCTCGGTCTCGCGTACCCGCTCTACAATGGTTTCCTCGGCACATACCTCGCCCAGAAGAACGCCGAGCTCGGCAACATGAACCTCAATGACACCTACGCCTCGTACACTTACCAGGCCGCTTGCGGTATTCCTGGCTCGATCGTGGCTGCCTTCATGGTTGACTGGTCGCGCTCAGGACGCAAGGTCGCCATGGCCGTCTTCACCCTCTGCGCAGGCATCTTCCTGTTCGGTTTGACGGCCTCCAGGACCCAGGTCCAGGTCAACGCCCTTACCTCGATGGCGGCGTTCTTCGAGAATGCCTTCTACGGCGTTCTGTACGGATACGCGCCCGAGCTCTTCCCTACCCCGTCTCGCGGTACCGGTGACGCCATCTGCTCGGCCGCGAGTCGCATCACCGGTCTCTTCGCCCCCATCATTGCCGTCTACTCCAAGGCGGCTCTCACTCCCAACGGACCCGTGTACGCGTCTGCGTCGATCTTTGTCGCGTGAGTTGTTAATGTGGCACTTTTCGCTGTGAGACAATCGCTGACCACCGCTCAGCACTGCCTGTGTCATGTTGCTCCTTCCTGTGGAGACGCGCGGCAGGACGGCTCTGTGATCGGCCCACCTTTGGTCGAAGGCTGACGGATGTGGGATGTGGTGGCGCGATGATCTTAATGTACCGTAAACGTTCAGTGGTCGTCAACCGACCCAACAGAACATGGCAGGCTGTAGCACTTCAACACGACATAATGTACATTTATAGGATCATGAATAACTGTTTTCCTCGGAACCTGGCCGTGGGCATGGAACAAGAGTCGGTGCAGGGGAGGGCCTACTGGCGCTATCATCCGCCACAACGGAGAACAGGGGACTACTTTCCTCTTAATGTTGACCACTTAACCCAGCTACATACTAGTGCACGCAACAATGTAAAGAGCCCACGTATGCGTCATTGCATCACCAGGATGCGGCGAGGCAGGTCACCTCGCTGACCACTGGGCACTGGTGACGACCCACTGCCCCCAGTTGATTTACAGTGTGGGGTCGAATATCGGACCCGGCCTAGCGGTGGACTGAATTGTTTCATCCCCAATCTCCTCTCCCCAACTTGCTGCATGGTCTCCAGCCTCCGGCGACCCCAGTAGAGGGACCTCTGTCAAGCAGATCCTTCATAGGTGCTGATGGAGGTCCTACTTGGCTTCATCCTACAAACGCGCCGTGGGGTTCCGACGACTAAACAATCCGCTTGCCAGAGTGAATCATACCTATGTACAAAGGACGAGCACGGTCTCAGCCTGAGTCGTTGGCGACGGATACCCATACACCATGTTGATCTGGTGACGTATTGACAGAGATGTAAGTGCTGTGCACGCACTCGTGTGATCCCCTAGCTGATCTGCTGGCTGCGATTGCAGAAACATGGCAAGACTTTGGCGTTGGGCACGCGGGCCCATTTTCGCCACCCATAATCCATACTAGCTATATACTAGTCTTTGAGCGCGACTGCCTTCCCTTCGTCCGTCTCTTGCGTCTTCTCTCCTACTTGTTGAAACCCAAACATCCTTATAATCCATCAGTCCTTGTCGTCCCCCTTCAAGCATGTCCGAAGGCGACCACCTGGGTCGCCCAGTCCCAAGCTTACGCCGGCTGGGCACCTGTACGTCAAACCCCCAGGATGTCATGATCGAGGCTGACCACACCATCAGTCCCCTCTCTCTTCGGACTGGCAGACATTCTCAACCACAGCAACCAAACCACACCTGTCAAGGCCCGTCGCGACCACAAACGCGTCCACCCTGTCATGCCATCCGCTTCGCCCCCGTCCATGCTGGCCTACAACCTCCCAGCTCAGGATGAGGACGCCACCCCACCGGCTGGCAGCAGAGTTCTCCAAACTTCCCGCGACGTTTTCAGCCCACACCCCGGCCCTCCACTTTCTTATGAGACACCTGTGGCCCACATGGCCTACATGGCCAGGCGGGCTCCTGCGATCACAGTACACACGGCCCATGTCCGCCAGCAGAGTTCACCAACTCCCCGTCGAGTCATTGGAAACCCGTCCCCAACCGACCTGGCCCCCACCATGCGCTTCCCACTCTTCCCCACTGAGGCACCTTTCAAGAACCCGGCCCACATCGCTCGACCAGCTTCACCAGTGGGATCCATGTCGATTCGCCGCAAGCCCGTGCCATACGACTTGCCGCACCAGCACTCGAAGCAGAACAAGCCGCGCGTCAAACGCCCAGCGGTTCTGGACTGGCAGATGGTCCCCCACATCGTGGACCGCATCATGTTCCTGTCCCTCCCCCACAGCCTTCATGTCTGGCGCCAATGCTCGCAAGAGTTCAAGCGTCGTGTCGACAAGGTCTTCCACCACGCCACTGTCTCCAATGTGGGCTCAATCCACCGCAAGTGGTACATTGCGACCTTCCGTGGTCTGCCTTCCTTCACCGCACCATTCCCTCGCCCGCGCCACCCTGCATTCACCTCTACCCGCATCCTTGACTTTATCGAGGGTGTAAACGTATCATGGCACCCAACTAGTATGGGTGACCTCCAAACCATTCGCGTCCTCTCCAACCCGCGCACGTCTCTCAGGCCCCTAGACATTGCTCCCAAGTTCCGCGAAGCCGAGTACTGGATCGCCAATCTGGTCATCTTCCACACCAACCGCATGCCCTACTTCCCAGGTCACTGGGACGCATCCATCATCGGGTTTAACAAGGTCGTCGTCCATCTCCGTGGCTGCCGCCTTCCAAAGATGGATCGTATCCTCCACCAAGCCGCACACGTCGTTCTCATCTTTGGTCCGCAGGGCATCGAGTCCGACAAGCCCGCCCCACCAAACTACATCAACGACATTGCAAGCAGCATCGCCAACATTCTCAAGTCGGCCAGCCCAAGGCGTGACGGCTCGGGGACAGGGCCCATGTGCACCGTTGTTGATTTTGACTCTGTTGAGCCCGAATGGACTGCCCTTGCCCTCCGCTCCACTGCGCGTCAAGGTGGCCCAGGAGTGTACCGCGCCATCGAGCGCGTCCTGTGGCAGGACCTGCTCGCCAAGACGGACATTTCCAATGCCGCCCAGCTCGAGTTCAACACTTGGCGTGTGAATGCCACCATGAAGCGTCTCCGATTCATGTCCCTGTCTGCGTACAAGGCGACTATTACTGCCGAAGAGAAGGCCACCGAGTTTGAGGAGTACGTTTAATAGGGCTACGTTTACAGCCTGCACTTTTCTTGCCATACCAAACACCACTTTCCAAAATAATAGGGTCATTAGCTGCCTGTAAACTTTCAGTAGTATGCGCTGCGAAATGCATTCAGTGTCTCTTGAAACAATTCACAGTGGCTGGCGGTTTCAGGCCGCGTTGCTGTGGGGGTTGTGAATGGGATCAAGCCATGCTCCAAGCGCGCTAATTTCGTCCACTCGGCGGCGATTGTTTTCGTCAACCGCCCATTCCCTCTGTTAATACACTCTTTGCTCCTCTATCGACACCTGTTCCTTGTTTGCAACATGGCATGGGATTCCCATGCCCGCTTCAAGCCTCTTCCCCCTCCCCCGCACTCTGGTAAGCATCAATGTGCCCGTGAATGTGGCTCGTCAGTGAGCACTGACAGCAAAAGTAAACTGTCCTCCAACGTCCTCCTCCCCGCCTCCATCCACACCCACACCCACCACCGTCAGGCCTCGTCCTTTTTCTCTTGCAATCCCAGAATATACCCCAACCAGCCCTCACAAGTCTACATCCATCACATACCACGCTTCCTCAATCACCTCTCGCCGAAACCTCCTCAGCCCGACGCTATGGCGCACACCGGACCCGGGCACGCCGCCGCCCGTCTACCAGCCTCGCCGTGTTCTCCGCCACCGCCCAACCACCCCTACGGCTCTCACATACCACAGGCTACCCAACTGGCAAAGGGCCCCACACCTCGTCGAGACCATCTTTGACCTTTCCGTAGCCGACAACTGGGCGGGGTGGCGCGGCGTGAACCGACACTTTCGTTCGCGTGTCAACACCCTCCTTTCCCACGTGGAGGTGTTCCGCAGTCGTGACCTGGGACACTACATGACCCACTACACCAATTCTGAAGGGAGCAAGCAGTACCGCTATCCAAAGGAGTACGTCGTGTACGGTCCTCGCATGAAAGACACATACATCGCAAGACCAACCCGCGTCCCTCACCTCCACACCCCCTTCCCTGGCAGGTCTCATGGCCCTTTGGCCTCCACCCAGGTGCTAGACTTTGGGCAAGCCGTCGTGGTCGACTGGTACACGTTCATGAGGTACGATTTGCCCACTCTCCAGGTCGTACGCGTAAAGTCTGGTCCTCGGTCGCACACCAAAGTCACCCCCATCAAGCCGGTGAGCCGGCCACTCACCTGGGTGCCCAAACTCGTCGTGTTCGGTACCCACCACATGCCATTCTACCCTGGGGTATGGAACGCCTGTCCCATCGGGTTCGAAAAGGTGGTCATCAACGTCTCGGCGTGCAGCTTCCCGTCCATGAGCCGCATCTGGCAACAGGCCACCCAAGTGGTCCTCGTGTTTGGCCCACAAGGCGAGCGAGCCTCAACCGCCAGCCAGTACTACACCGACGTCGTAGCCCACACCATCGCCAGCATCGTCCTACCCTCAACATACATGATCTCGTTTGGTGGACCGGGCCCGACCTGCACCGTTGTGGGGTTCGACGACGTTGAGCCTGAATGGCTCACTTTCGGACTCCGGTACGGCGACACCGACAGTCCCACCGCTGGCCTGTTCACCGCCATCGAGCAAGCGTTCTGGAAGATGGTAGTGGTCGAGAATCATGACCAGGTTACGCCCAATCAGCTGCTGGAGTATACCCAGATCATACGCTCCTCCATGCGACGGATCCGGTTTGCGACCCGGCTCGAGTATGAGGCCACGTTGAGCGAGGAGGAGCGCAGGGTCGAGCTGGTGGAGTAAGAGTGCTGCTGCGGGACGGTCCTGCCGGTCGTTTTCCTGTAAAGTAGCCGAGTTGACTGTGTTTGAGTGGCTGCTGTCTGCTATACCCCTTGCACCCTTTTATGGCAATGCTTATTCTTTTTCTCCCTTCCGCTGACGCATTCTCGCAGCAGAAATATGGCTAAAAGAACCTGACGCGATATCCGACACCTATATCCATTGTGAACCCTCCACACGGGTCGAACTGACTGCCTTTCAATGGAGCCTGTGACCTTTGCTAAGCTTGTCTAGCCCTTGAAATAATCTTCATGCTGGCCCCTAGATCGAGCGGAAGGGTTACCGAAAGTAGGTGGATCCTTTTAGGTGTGACATTGACTGGCAGGCGTTGAAGTGTGTTTGACACATGTTCGACAACGTTGCGACGAAACCGTAGCGGGTACCGTCGTTGTACTGTACAGTACGCTCCCAGGAATTCTCTGAAGCTCGAGAAGCGCACCACCAGTTCTTCTGTCGGCCAGTATTTCGCAGCTGGGGCTAAGACTGAGCCGCTTTGTGAAGCCAGCGCCGAAGGGGACAACTATGCTGGTGACCCAGTCTCATAAGCGACCTTTCATGGTCAAGATACGCTCCCGGAATCGCAGCCGTTCCCTGAAAGGGTTATACTGTACCACGCATCACAATCTACGACTACGTCGCCAATAAGTTTCATGGTCCAACACACGAAGCACGGCAGTCAGGTCCCTGGAGCGATTAGGCTCCGCAGCTGGCCGCGCAGGTGTTGCCGCCATGATAGCCGAGTTTCAACTACTAACTGCTCCACCACGGCCACCACGACAACAGTGCACACGACCACTCGCAGCCTTTCACCTCCAACAACGGTTGGCGAGGGGAAGTTGCCACACTGGTAGAACCACTGAATTTGTGTACAAAGCATGCTCACCTCATACAAATGGCTACCGCTGCCGGTAGACAGGCGCAGTTGCGAGACTGACATCCTCACGTACATTCACCCGTGGGCCGTGGCAACCGTCTGTCGAAGTGTTCAGTCCTCGGCGACATACACCTCAGCGTCTGCCGGCGGCCGGGTTCTATGAGCCGACCTCTGTGCTTGCCGGCGCCCGCCACCTCCACCGCGTGTGAAGGTCTATCTATACCACACCTCCTCGGCCATCATTTCGGAGGTGGGCGGTGCCTAGAGCTCATTGCCAGTCACAAGACCATCGACAACACCACGTTCATGAGAACCAAAAGACTCCGGCCGCCGGCTACATCAGACTCAAGACGTGAATCCAAATGCCGCCTGCCGGCCCGGGCTGATATCGGGCTGTCCGGCGCCTTCCCACACTGTTCTGCTCGGCGAGACAGACAAAGACTGGGACGACTGGGGACGAGCCTGCGCGCCAAGCAGCCCCCTTTCCAACTCCAGGCTACGAACACTTGGCAAGCCCCGCGTTGCACCCTGCAAAACGAGACTCGTTCCTAATAAGCGAATTAACCTTGATTTGGCCCCATTAGGAACGCTGCCGGATGTACGGATCCCGGCGCCCGACTGCGGGTGCATCTGACGGGCGCCGCGCCTGAAATGCTCCCGATAGACACCTTTGCCGTCAACAGCTGAGCAGGTCGGTCGCCGAGATGGCATCTTGTTGTTTCGTTCCCCATGCGCTCTTGCTCCATGGCCCGCTTGGTGGGCTGTGCGACGCCTGGGGAGACTCTGAACGAGTTCCCGCGTTAGAAAGCAAACTGATGCTTTCACTTTGTCCACTCACCCTCACGCTCGTTAACCCCCCCCCCATCACCTTTACCTTCCACAATGTCAGAGCAGCCCTCTGGCGTCCTTGAGAAGGCACCGTCCGCCGGCGACCTCACAGAGGCTGGATATGACGGTCCCGACCTCACCCTCAAGCGCTATCCGTGGCGCAGCCGTGTCACGCCTTGGTCCCGCATCATCAATCACGAGTACAAGGGATCGGGCACCGAGGAGGACCCCTATGTCGTCCTCTGGCTGGAAAACGACGAGGAGGACCCCCTGAACTTTTCTGCCAAGAAGAAGTGGCTGCTCACACTTTTGGGTGCGTGCCGTTGGCAGGCGCTGGAGACTTTTGACATCACCGCTGACCCAACGCAGTGGCCACAGGCACCCTCGCCGTCGGCTTTGGTTCGTCCATGCTGTCAGCAGCTATCGCGAACCTTAGAATCGCGTTCCCAGGCGAGAACTCCATGCTGTACACTATGAGTGAGTGAGGAGGTTGCGCTCTGGTTCGAAGAGAGGTTAACCACACTAGTCACTGGCTGTTTCGTGCTCGGCTTCGTCGTTGGTCCTCTGGTGAGTCTAACCCCTTGGCCGATCCACGCTCAAAACACTAACATTTGTTCAGCTCTGGGCTCCCTGCTCTGAAGTGTTCGGCCGCCGCTTAATCTTTGTCATTTCTTACATTCCGTTTACCGCTTTCAACGCCGGCGTGTGCGGCGCAAAATCGCTCAACGCCATGCTCGTGCTACGTTTCTTCGCCGGCACGTTTGGCAGTTCGGCCATGACCAACTCTGGCGGTGTCATTGCCGATCTGTTTACGGCCAAAGACCGCGGAATGGCCATGGGCGTGTTCGCTCTCATGCCCTTCCTCGGTCCCTCCATTGGTCCTGTGGCGGGCGGTTTCCTCTCCATGAAGTACAAGTGGGAGTGGACCGCTTCCGTCATTGCCTTTTTCTCAGCCGCCCTCACCCTCATCACCTGTGTTTACCTTCCCGAGACCTACGCGCCCGTTATGCTTCGTGCGCGCGCCAAGAACCTTTCCGAGGTCACTGGCAAGGTCTACCGCTGCGAGCAGGATGTGCGCAACCCCCTCCGCACCAAGGAGCTCTTCCTCAACCAGCTTCGCGTTCCCTACGTTCTCCTCTTCACCGAGCCCATTGTCGCTGTCATCAGTCTTTACATGGCTGTCATCTACGCCATCCTCTACATGCAGTTCACGGCCTTCCCCCTCGTCTTCCAGGGGTACCGCGGCTGGAACCCGGGAGTGGCCGCCCTGGCCTTTATCGGAGTCACTGTCGGCGCTTTCATCGCTCTCACCTACCTCATGTTTGTCGATCAGCCACGATATGTTCGCAACTTGGAGAAGGAAGGCTACGCCACTCCCGAAGCGCGTCTCCCTTCCTGCATCGTCGGCGGCATTGTCCTGCCCGTTGGCCTCTTCGTCTTCGCCTGGACCTGCGTGCCCGTCTCCATTCACTGGATTGCGCCCATTATCGCCACCGTTCCGTTCGGCATGGGTATCGTACTCCTCTTCCTCGGCCTCAACAGTTACCTCGTCGACGCGTACCTCATGAAGGCTGCCTCGGTCCTTGCTGCCGGTGCCGTCACACGTTCTATTCTTGGCGTCGTCTTCCCTCTGTTTACCTACGACATGTACGAGGCCCTCAACCCTAACTGGGCGGGTACGCTCGTCGCGTGTCTCGCTCTCGTCTTCATCCCTTGCCCCATGTCAGTAATCCCCGTCTGTCGCGCGCAAACTCGCTCTGACAATGCCCAGTCTCCTCTTGTTCTACGGTCGCCGTATCCGCCGTATGACCCAGCCTGGTCGCGACGCCGACGACCTTGGCCGCATGCTCGCCAAACTTCCCCACCGCGGTGACGCGGAAGCTGCTGCTGGTACTGCTGCCGGTACCGCGGCTGGTGCGGCTGCGGCAGCCGGCGCCGACGGCCCTTCTGGTTCTACCGAGGAGCTCGGCGACGAGGACGCCACTACTCTGGGCGGACGGCCTCAACTCTACCGCACGTTCTCCGTCGAGAGTGTGGAATCGGCCGAATACGCACCCGTGGATCCGTCTATCAAGTCGGGCCACGAGCACCACTAGACAAAAGACACGAAGAGGAAGGAGGGTTCGTGGGGAGCCACTCGTGTGCCAGTAGGCAGGGGAGTGGTGTGGAATAGAATCTCCGTATATTCATCATGCATCGTTGCGCCTTTCTGATATGGCCACTCGTTGATAGCAAAGGTGAAGAATAGAGGCAGACCGTTCGGGTCGGCTGTGTCCAAAGGGCCATGATCCCGCCCGGTCATGCATCCCTGGGCATGCGGGCATGCAATCGAGAACGACTGCCGTGTCTGCGATGACGATACCGTCAGAATATCGTAGTGGTCGAGGTCGGCCTATACGCCACGTACGCCATCAATTGAGTGTTGAGGCACACCGTGGTGGAATATTGACGTATGTGGCCGGTGAAACGCCACTTCTGAGGTCCGTGGTGGGCGAGTTCCTTGCAGTTCCTTGCACTAATGACAGCCAACACAAGACATGAGACATCACTTGATCAGTCGGTTCCTTGCAATGTCGCGGCCCCAGAACGTAGGCGCGTTTGTATACATAGCCTGTCGGGGTCTCACTCTCACAGCTCCTGTTCTTCACGCCCACACATCTCGTCGCCATGGCCACAACCAGCAAAGCCAGCCCGCCCGTAGTCATCGATCACCTCGGCTTTCCACACATCATGGACGCCATTATGGACGCGCTCATGGAGCAAGCCAGCACCCGAGACCTCCTCACACTGCGGAGTGTGTCCAGATCCTTTGGTCACCAAATCGATTCTCACCTGTTCAAACATGTTGTGGTCGAAGCAGTGGGCGGTCACCCAGCCAAGCCACGCTGGACTGTTCGCACCCGTGATTCAACAACACTCGTCCTCCACGAAGACCTACACCGGCGCCTCCATGCCTTCATCCAAGTACTGGACGTCCAGTCTGCGGCAGACATGTACCGAGCTGCAGTGGCGGATAAGGGCGGCGTCCAGGTGATCCGTGTACAGAACATTCTTCCGACCTTCTACTACATCATGGCGTGCCACACACTGGTCGTTTCGGGCGAGAGTCGGCAATCAACCTTCACTGAAAGTGATCGACCAACGCAACAAAAGGAGATGGGCCAGACCCGTCGCAAGATAGTGCTCCATTGGGAGTATCTCGACTACCCCGTCTATCTGGAGCTTCTCTGCATGCGCAACATGCTCAATGATGTCGACTGGGTCCTCATGTTATCTCATTGGCAACAACCACGACACTCGAGACACGAATCGGGCCTACGCGGCCTCGAGTTTGCCGTATCCATCGCTAGGATTTTGACCACACGCTATGGACACCGCGATACCTTTACATTCGTCGACCTCGCGCATGTTGACCCGACGTGGCTGTCGTTTACCAAGGCCACGTCGAATGAGGCGCAGTTGGGTGAACTCATCGCTGCCCGTGTTCCAGGTCCTCCACTGGTCCCCGAGGACAGGATCAAGTTCATGAGCGGAGAACAGTATGCGGCGAACCTTTCGCCAGAGCAATGGGGCCTAGAAACAGAACGCAGGGGGATGACAATGTGTACGTGATAGTGTAAATAGCCAAGGTAGGTAGCATGGATCAGTGTCAGTGTCGTACACCGAGTCTCTCTCCTTCCTCACACCGCTCATCTCTCACTTCCAGTGCTCCAGTGCGCAAGCGCCCTCGTCTATTGCAAATGTGTGGCCAAATCTCGAGCCCTTAGTCGCCACGTACAGGCAGGGTGCTCAGAGGATATGTATTCGCGGGAGTGGCGGTCACGTGACTGCCCCAGGTGCCACTGCACACCGTGTCCACGGTGGTTGAGTCACGTTTGATCAGTGTCCGCTTCGACCGCTTCACCTTTCACACATCCTCACTCCTCGACACATAAACGAACCCTTTCCACTATGCGTCACAAAGCTGGGAAACCTCCATCGATGGGTCCTACTACTATCGATTACGCCTTCTTCCCCCATCTCATCGACCTCATGGTTGACCATTGCGATGCGTTTGGCCTTCTCAAGCTCCGTTCCGTCTCTCGCAAGATGCGCGAGCGTGTCGACCCCGTTCTCTTCAAGCACGTCGTCTGTCAACCCTCCACGCGCAACAAGAAGGAGGAGGCCATGTGTGTGATCCGAGCCGCAGCAACCTCCGCCGAGCCTGCCCTTGTGTTGGACGCTAAACTCCACAAACCCCTCGTCTCCAAGCACACCAAGGTACTGGACGTCCTCAGCGGTGCCGATATGCGTTGCACACTTCTGGAAGAGACCAGCATTGATTTCCTTCGGTTAGGTAGCGTGCTGGAGACTCCCCTGTCCCCTTCCCGTGTCCTCGTTCTGTTCCACCCCTGCGAGAAATATCCTTTCGACCACGACAGGCACTCTGGGACGGCCCCTTTGTGCTCCAAGATTGTCTTCAATGGTCTGGATGCCCAGGACAATGCGTACAACGTTTCTTACTACTACGGGAACCACCAGGCCGACTTGGTCTTTGTGTCGTCACACTGGTCTCCGCCACCTACGTGGGATAGACGGTCGCCTGCGTGGCCGCCGCGGTATAACCCAAAGCCTGCGGGGCATTGTATTGCTGCAACCATAATCGACATCCTCGACGACAGTTCTTACCGCGATGACACGCCTGGTCCAGTGGTCGCCTGTTCCCTCACCCTCGTAGATTTCGAACATATAAACCCAATATGGCTGGGCTTTCAACCCGGCGCCACCAACCAGGACCAATTGCTGGAAGAAGTGACAGAATACTGGCGAGGATACTGCCGCTACGACGACGCTTCCATGTTGGCATCCAATCTCACCAAGTTCCGCTCTCAAATTCTCCCCAACATAAAGTTCATGACGGGCGAGGAATACGCGGCGACCCTCTCACCTGAGGCCTTCCGGCTGGAGACTGAGCATCCTCTGGCCCCATAACCAACCGGGCGTTGGAGACGGACGTACTCTTGTATAAATACTCAGTAATTCATGTCGATTGCAGGTATACATGGCCCACGTTCCCCTCCGTATGCTATAGAAGATAAAGCCGTGAGCCTGGGAACCAGGTTGGGTGGAAGTGGCAGAGAGCTGGCCGAGCTGGGAGGATGTGTATCGCCACCCGTGCAGTTTGCCTCCGTGTCCACACAGCTGACGTCGGAATGACTGGAGTCCTTGTGATCATCACGCCACGTTGACAGCTTCCCTTTCGCACACTCGTCCTCAGCATCCTCCCCTCCAAGGCATTCCCTCACCATGCCACCCCGCAAGGCCAACTCGAAGAAGGGCAGAAAGACTGAACCCAGTCCTCCTGCTCGCGTCCCACACGGCACGGCCGTGTCCATCGACAGTAACTACTTCCCGCACATTATCGACCGGATCATCCACTACGCCGACGCGTTTGCCCTTCTCAAACTCCGTTCTCTCTCCCATTCGTTCCAGGACAGGGTTGATCCAGTTCTGTTCAAGTATGTCACTGCTCAACCGATCGAAGCAGACAACCGGAGCCCGTGTCTGGTGGTTCGCGCAAGCCCCGAGTCAAAGGACGTGGCCCTCCATCTTGACCTCGACATTCACCAGGACCTTATCAATTTTTACACCCGCATTCTGGACGTGGTCGACGTGGAGGCGAGGCAGCTCGACCTACCAGATATTCATGTCGACACCATTCGTGTTTCGGGAGATTTCGTTAATGGTCCCATCTGTCGTTGCAACAACTTCATCATATTCAAGGAATACCCCTTGGACGAGTCCTCTCTCCCTTGCATTGATCCGGGCCCGTCAAAGTCTGTTTTCAATGGCACTCGACTCCAAGACCCTTCGAATCTATTCTTCCCTGCAGAATTCTTCTGGGAAATGAATGATATTGTTCTCACCTTCAGCGACTGGTCACCACCTTCAAACCGAAGCGCCTACCGTTACACGAAGGAGGGCGTGGTCTCTACCCGTGGGCGGCGCTTTGGTCCGAGTCCTGTCGGATTTGATCGGCTATTCACAGCCTGATGGTAACGCCTTTGTCGATGGAACGTTCACTATCGTCGACTTCAATCTCGTCGATCCAAGGTGGTGGGGATACGACAAGCGCGGCCCTTCAAACGACCAGCAACTGCTCGCGAGTTTTCCGCCCCATTCAGGAGCTCTCGTCGCACCCAATCCGGCAAGCGTCGACCCCAAGTTTCACCCCAACAGTTTATCTACGAAACTTGTATTTATGACAGGCCCCGAGTACTATGCCACCCTGTCACCGGAAGAGCTGTGGCTCGAGACGCACCCCCCTGTGTGTACCATGTGAAATGATGAACTGCATGGTACGTTCGACACCGAACACCGAAGACCAGCCTGACGACCTTTTTTGCAGGTTGTGGGAACCCATGCTCCCTACTGTCGACATTCCGTCACCAGCCTCGCCAATCCACACCGCACCGCTCTGTTAACATGGTCGGCCTCCTTCCGTCTCCTCCGCAGATATATCACCTTACATGCACCCCCTGTACCCTCCAACATGTCCGCCGCCGCCACACCAACCCTTCGAAGTGTCCCCAAGATCCAGAATAGCTGCAGCGTAGCAGCACTGGAGCAGACGACAGCCGTGCCACTGCCCGAGCTGCTCTTCCATGTACAAGCATGTCGATAATACGTGCTCTCTTTTCAGGCTACGTCGGTGACATATGTACTCTCTGCCCAGTACTTTCGAGCCGCAGTGTACTCACCGGTGCGCACGCAATCGGATGTCCAACAGTTGCGAGGTGGTCGTCCTCCACCGATCAATTCCCGGGGCCCCGAAGGGCCATGCCTATGGGCCCTGCCTCCCCTCCGGCATCTCTCGGCTCGCCAGCACATGTGCCTCTCGGACCGGGGGCATTCAGGCTGGATAATGTGCGCAGTCGGACCGACATGCCGCCGGTTACAAAATTCGAAGGGACACGCCTCTGGCTCTGAGCGTCTGGCGTCTGGCCTCTGGGCATGCGATGACCGGTGTGGGACGTTCGGTCGTTTCGGTTTATGTCTCAGAGTGCGGGGGAACGTTGCGCAATGATCGTAATGAGGTGCTCGATAGTGTCGGTACTTATGTGGCTGACGTGGACTCGGTTATCAGCACTTGTGCGATGGGGTACTTTTCTTTTGACACGGTATGCTGTCCACTCCTCAACACCCACCACGCCAACACATACTGACACATACTGACACTTGTCTGCGACCAGCTCAACGGAGCCTCATCCCTGGTGTTTGTTGGCGGTGCCGATAATTTGGATCCTGGACCAGGCTGCACTTCAACCCCAGGTGGGCGGAAATTGGGACACGGCATTGCTCGGCGCCAAGTATCTTGACCGCGCACGCACCGACGTCGTTTATGACTGTACTTGGCACCCAGCAACCAGTGCGCACAGGCGCTGCTTAGCGAACCAGGCGGCCTTTGAGCGCTAATTGCCAGCACGATTCGTGGCCCCAAACGCACTCCTTGTACCCTTGTGGGGCGCCAGAAGGATCACCCCCAGGAGTTCGGCAGAAACCACCAGCGGTGACCTCCACCGCCCGGCTAAATCTCCCCGCGCCCGGCGTTCACTCATCGCCCAGTTGCCGGGATTTGCCCCGCCCACGACGCTATCATCTTAAACGGGAGCTGTCTCCACCTCTTACATTTCCCATCGTCCATTCCACCCTCAACTCCCAAAATGTCGCCCGCCAGCAAGGACCAGCTCCAGTCGCAGGCGTCCACTCGCCTCAAGCACCATGCATCCCAGCTCAACAGCCGTCACAGGAACCCCAACGCACTCAAGTTCCAGGCCAAGCCTCCCCCCGGTCTCCCTGTCCACATCACACCGCTCAACCCAGTCCAGTTCCTTCTGCGCTCTGCCCTCATTCGTCCTCGTAGGGTAGCCCTCAAGCACCCGGGAATTGGTGTCGAATGGACCTACGCCGAGTGGTGAGTCTCACAATTATGCTACATCTCCCATCCGCCGTGGCTAACACCTGTCAAAGGGCCATGCGCGTTTGTGCGCTCGCGTACGGTCTCAAGGCCAAGGGTATCAAGCGCGGCGACCGTGTGGGTATCATCTGCCCCAACGTGCCCATGATCCTCGACCTCATCCAGGCCCTGCCTGCCATCCACGCGGTCATTGTCCCTCTCAACATCCGTCTCACCAAGCCCGAGGTCAACTACATTCTCGATCACTCTGGCTGCAAGCTGCTCGTGGTCGACCACGAGTTCAAGCACCTTGCCGCCGACTTCAAGGGCGAGGTCATCGTCTCAAACGACACGGGTGGCCGTGACCCTACCGACCCCTACGAGATTCTGATCGAGTCCGGCCAGCACGACGCCGACACTCTCGGATGGCAGGAGCTCGAGCTCATCGACAATGAAGACGCTAACCTTTCGATTTGCTACACATCAGGCACGACAGGATCTCCAAAGGGAGTTGTCGGGACGTTTAGGGGGACGTACTTGGCAGCTATGGCCAACGCGATGGAATCCAAGCTCGATTTTGAGTCCAACTACCTCTGGATTTTGCCGGCTTTCCACGCCCTGGGGTGGACTTTCCCCTTTGCCGTCACAGCCGCCACAGCCGGACAAGTTTGCCTCCGCAGCGTTGGTGATTATAGCGAAGTGTGGCAAAGTATCCTGAGGGACAAGATCAGCACTATCTGTGAGTTAACATGAAGGCAATCCGACACGCAAGCGATCCGACACGAAAGCAATCCAGCTGACAGCATAGGTATGGCTCCAACTGTGGCCATCGGAATCATCAACAGCTCTTGGGCTCGTCCAGTTCCCCACGCTATCCGTGTGCTTCTTGCGGGTGCAGCTCCGTCTGCCTTCCTCATCAAGACGCTGGAGACGAAGCTCAACATCCGCGTAGTCCACGTCTATGGCCTTACCGAAACGTACGGTCCCTTCACTACCTGTATCCAGCACCCCGAGTGGGACACCGAACTGGACGAGGAGGAGTTCTTCAGGCGCAAGGCAATGCAGGGTCACGCGTTCGTTACCGCGGAGGAAGCCCGTATCGTCGACCATGAGGGTTCCAACAAGGATGGCCTCGTCGACGTGACCCCCAACGGCAACCAGGTCGGCGAGATTGTCATGCGTGGCAACATTGTCATGAAAGAGTACTGGAACAACCCCGAGGAGACTGCCAAGGCCTTTGAGGGCGGATTCTTCCACTCTGGTGACCTCGCCGTTCGCATGCCCTACGGCATGATCTCTGTCCAGGATCGCTCCAAAGACATTATCATCTCGGGCGGCGAGAACGCCTCGTCGCTCTCCATCGAGAGTGTCATCTACCAGCACCCCGATGTCCTTGAGTGCGCCGTTGTCGCTCGTCCGCACGAGAAGTACGGCGAGCGTGCCCACTCGTTTGTCATCCTCCGCCCGACCGCCACTTCCAAGTGGCAGAACAACGCGGACGGCTTTGCTGTCGACCTCAAGAGCTTTGTCAGGCCCTTGCTCCCCGGTTTTGCGCGTCCAGAGTGGGTCGAGATTGTTGCGGACCTGCCCAAGACGTCGACCGGCAAGATCCAGAAACACGAGCTGCGTAAGCGCTTCCCCAAGATCATCCCTGGTTAGTAAAGCAGTTTGTATAGTTGAACAAAACACGCAATAAGGAGAAGTAAGGAAGAAGTTGGTTCACCTAGGTTGTAGCGAGGCCCTAGCAGATACGGAGGACGCTGTGTTACGGCGCATGCATAGGTTCATGACACTGGAAGAGGGACGGATAAAGGCAGTCCCAACACGGTGACTTCGCAAAACTGACGCGCCTGACTTTTTGCCACCGATCGCCACTGATCCTCCGATCCAGCCGTCCGCGTTTTGCCACCAGGCCAAACGTGACCTTCTGGTTCCACCTCTTCATTCCTCACTCCCCCTTCGTGCGTGTTACCCATCCATCCTGTCCACACTCGGATGCCTCCGCATCCCAAGATTGTCATAAACCCCCCACCGAGCGACACCCCTTCCTCGCTGGGCGATCGGCCCAGTCTCCGTACAGCCACCATGAACCTCCTCTCGCGTCTGTCCTTTACTGGACGCGCTGGACGCAAGGGGTCTTCAGACAATGACAAGGATCAATACCTTTCTGTACCCGAGCGCAAGGACATTCGCCGCCCTCGTGTCCCCAACAAGGGTACCTCGCGCCCCGTCTCGTCCGCCTCCACCGAAACGTCGTGTTCCACAGTGTGGGAGGACAAGACCAAGGCCTTCCCGCAGCTTCCCAGCCTCCCACAGCTGGCACCCCTCGTCCATCCTCCTACTTCAACCGCGACTCTCTCTTCCAGTCGCCGTCCCTCGCCGCTGCCCAAACTCAAGCGTGCTGCTACCGTCAAGTTCTTCAACAAGGGCAGCAAATCGGCGAGTCTCACGCCTAAGCGTAGCATGGATGCCTGCCTTTTACCACGTCTGCCCAGCTTCAAGTTCGACCCTCTTCAGCTTCCGCCTTCAGGACAGAATGAAGGCGACCCACTTAATCTCGCGGATGCCCTCGAGCTCGAATACCAGACGCGCCAGACGTCTACCACCGCGGTCGCTCCAGCCTCAGCGCCGGGCCTCGAGTTCAACCCCAGCACCCTCCCTGCCACTGGGTTTGAGGGCGACGACCTGGCTGAATCTCCCCAACTTCCTCCCATGCCTCCACAAAAGCAAGCTTCTCCCCAGCCTCAGGCCAAGGTCTCCACCATCCTCGACATGCTCAACGTCACCCTCTACCCCCACATCGTCGACAGCATCCTGGACAACCTCTGTGTGGAGGACCTCCAACGCCTCCGTCGCTCTGGTGACGGTTTCCGCGAGTGGGCCAACTCGTACCTTTGCTACCACCTCGAGCTCCATTCTGACGTGTTTGGCAACAACCCAACGTCACACACCCCTCAAGCCACAATCTACCGCCACTGGGGCGCCAAGGAGAAGGGAGCGTTCAGCATTCACCACACGATCACGCCCGACATGTGCGCGGTGGGTCGGCAGATTCGAGTCCTCACTGTGCGTGGGGAGGAAGCTCCATGCCTTCTCTCCGGCTCTCGTGCCGCGCATGAGAGCGTAGTCTTCGCTTCCGCTCAGCCGACCCTCTGGGATGCCCAGGCCATCTCCAAGCTGAAGCTGCAAAATGTGCAGGTCATTCGCATGTGGACCGACAAGATATCGTCCAAGGGAATTTACCTTTACAACACCGAGGCTGAAGAGCTTGTCTTGGTCCGCAACCTCCCCAACACCTGGCCAACCGAAACCCCCACGACTGACGGCTTTGTCGCTTCCAGTGCCGGTGTTCTGTTCCACAAGGCCGCACTTCCTTCACAGATCCAGCGCCTCGTCGTCAACCTGCAGTACGACGACAAGTACTGTGGCGGCCGCTTCAAGTGGTTTGCGTCTCCTCACCAGCTCACCGAGGCCGTCATCGTGTTCAACGGACCGTGTCTCAGGAACCCCAGACAGACCGCCGAAGTTTGTGTGCGCGGTATCGCCCTGGCCCCCATTCTCAATGAATTTGTCACAACTTTCCCTCTGGTCAAGTACACCTTTGTCGACCTCGACGAGTTCAACCCCTCGTGGCTGTCGTCGACGTATCCAGGCTCGAAAGACCCATTCAAGGGCAGGGGTGATGCCAACAACACGCTTTCCAGGATCGTTTACGCTCTGTGCGACTTGGTTGCCACCAAGATGCCCCAGGCTAGGCCCGAGTGGGTGTTCAGTACCGTCTCGGAGCTCGTTTGCTGCTACACCAAGGCCGAGTATCGTGCCGCTGTTGGCGAGGACCAGTACCACATTGACATGTACCAGGAGGAGGAGAAGTGATAAACTAGTGTTTTGTATGGTGGCTAGTGTGCATGGTAACAGTGCTTGTAGTAGTTTGTCGTCTGTTTCCAACACACGAATACAACGACAGTGAACATATGCGACGCATGAGACGTATGAGTGGAGCGTTGCACCAGGGGTTGCGTGGTGGGGTGTGTGTTTGGTTCTGCGCACGGACCGCCTAGTTTTGGGCTGGTGTTGTTGTTTCTCAGTCATCCATCCATCCTTCGTTCCTTCTCTCTACAAACGTCCACTCACCATGACCTCCAAGTCGCGTCGCTTCTCCTTCTTCGCCTTTGCGTCCCTCGCCTCAGACGACCCCGATCCACCTTCCCACGATACCCAAATCTTTCCCAAGCTCAAGCGTGGCATCGGCAGCGCCGCCCGCAGGTTGTCCATGCCCATATCCCCACCGATGTCGTCCTCGTCTTTGCGCTCAGGCACCACATCGACAACAGCGTCAAGTCTCCTCAACCGCACGGCTCGCGATACCCCACCACACACCCTAACCGAGTTCCCGAGTTACGAGGAGTGGGTAGCCCAACAACGTCAAAAGGCCTCCAGCCACCCTCGCAAACAACGCCTGTCTTTGCCCATAGGGATGATGACTGGACCTTCCCTGGGAACGGAGGAAGGCTTCACGGACGCCTTGCCACCGCCTTCCCCGCCCAAGGTTCCCCGTTCTGCTGTCGACAATGCCTACCCATCAACCAACCACTCGTCCGATGTCCCTCTTGGCGCGCTGGGTCGCGTTCATGTGCCGCGTGAAGGCGAATGGCTGTCCCAGATCACGCGTCCGCGTCACCTGTCGGAACACACATACGACCGCGCCACCGGGATCTCCGTCGCGTCGTCAGCGAGTGAGGTCGAGGACGAGGACGAGTTGTGTACGCGCACATCCGTTGTCAACGCACACGAAGCAATCCAGTATCACGTCCAGGACCCAACCACCGCCGTTGCCTTCCCCGCTCTTTCAACGGCCGACGACTCATTCTCGTTGTCCAACAACACTTTTGTAACCCAGACGACCTTGACCTCTTCCCAGAATGGTACAAGGAGAAAGCGTCGTAACACCGCCGACGACGCCAACCCCAGCACATCTTCGCGCTCAAACGAGGGCACTAACCGCCGCCGAGGGATGAGCGAACAAGACTTTCTCACGGTGACAACCGAGGCCGTGGCCGTCGCGTTTGTCCAGGCTCAGCAGGCCATCGCTGCGTCCGGTGGCCAGTCACGTCCCGGTCAAGGATCCGGCAAGGTGTCCTCTGCTCCTGCTACCCACCGCTGGTCGAGTCGCGACGAGCATCAAGGTCAGCGAACCGGCCGCTTCCCGTTTCTGGGTAGCACACAAGCACGTTCGCAAGAGAAGAAGCCTCGGCCTCGGCCTCGCTCCGCCCTCCCTTCCGTCAGCACATGGGCACAGCTCCACCACCAAACTCTTCAGTCTCACCACACTGTCTCCATCCCCGCCCAGATCGTCCTCAAGGGCCTCGGCGACAACGAAGACCGCTCCCATGACGGCCAAGGTCAAGCCCCAAGACCCTATTTCAACCTCCGCGGAAGCAGGTTCGAACTGCCACGGCTCCTCGCCCTCGACAGCGAGATTCTGGACGAAACCATGTATTGGCAGTTTGTCCGCAACTCTCGCGTCGTGGATGTTGTAGGCCAAGTCCCCAACCTGGTCGCCCTCGCCAAGAAGTTTGTAAACGTCGAGACTGTGCGCTTGCACCCCGACCCTGGGTTCATCTGGAGTCTGCCTGTGCGCGCTCGCAAACTGATCATTTTCACATCGACCTTGCGCAGGCACTGGAGCCAGTTTGACAGCGCGTACGGCAATGTCAACAGCTACTTCGAGGACAGGTCTGCAGGCTACCTTGCCCGTGTGGGACCTATTCCCAACGGCTTCGAGCGTCTCGTCCTCAATGTTCGCTACGACGACAGGGACCTAGACTTTCCAGACGCCGAGCTGGAGCAATTCGCCACGCCGCCCAGCCTCCGCGAGGTTGTCCTCATCTTCACCCAAGACCTCTCCCACGCTCCCCCAACCTTTTCCTTCAGGCGCCAGAACACAACTCTACTCGACACCGCCATCATCACCGTGAGCAACACATACACGCGCATCAACTACACGCTCGTCGGTGTCGAGAATCTGTGGCCGGCTTGGATGGGCCGTGCCAAGGCCCCCTCCGAGATGTCGCGTTACCAGATCGAGAAGAGTATCGTCGACGTCGTGCAGCGCATGCGCCCGGGAAACGTACACGAGCACCCTATCCAGCACATGTCGTTCTATACGCATGCCGAGTACCGAGCCAAGGTGGGCGAGGAGCAGTATGCCCTCGAGACCGTCGTCGTCCATGACGTGTAAAGCCTTCAACTCTCACTGTCTGTCTCTCTTGTCACCACTTTGCACAGCAAAGACCAGTTGTATGTATTACACAAGGATGTATGCCGTATCCTGTATCCCGGACCGACATTGTGACTGATCTGACCAGCGATCCGCGTCACCACTGATTCCATCACAGCACGAGCCGGCCCTAACCAGGCGGTTTTCCGTACGCATATGCACCACCCAGGCTGCCGTTGCGGTGCAACACCGCCACCCCTACACTTACATCTTTGTCACACCACACGCACACTCCGTCACTCGCGAGCATGGCAGAGCCTAGCTTGAAACGGTTTGCATTGGACGGCAAGTCCTTTAAAATTAGTCGGCCAAAACGATTACGTCAGCAACATTCGTGGCCCCCTTGGCCCAGCGGTACGGCGTGTCTTTCCTAAGGACAAGATCGTGGGTTCGATCCCCGCAGGGGGTTGCATTACTTCAGTAGAAGTAAGCGACAATCATCTTTTGCTGGTCTGCAGATTTGGACGAGTCACCGGTGTCTTGGCGGTGTTGGCAGGGCCGAGAGAGTTGTTGGGCGGTCTATTTTTGAACACCGGTGGGGAAGTCCATCACGCGAGGTGCTTGTTCCCTCTGTATCACTGGTGGTATCTGCCTGGATTACATAGTCCAGCCAAGCATTTACCATTAATACTTGCCCAACAGGAATGCAAACAGAGAGGCAAAACGAGTTGAGTGTGAGGAGGAACTGACGCGACGGCAAGTCCACGGATGAGGTCATGCGGATCGCCCCCAACTGCGACGCCACACTTTGGTCATCCCTTATGCTTAGTCTCCAGGTATGCACAGCCCTTTCTCTCAATCGCCCATACCTCCAACACACAAGGCATCCACGGCACTGCAGTATCCATGGGCGACCAGGTCTCCCATCCAGACGTTGAGTCGGCGCACGGAGCGATTCCCCAGGCCAAGGACGACCTCACTCATGACGGGACAAACATCAACAATGACGAGGTCCCCCCACTCCGGACGCAGCCCACAGACTACGTCGCCAAAACCGTCGCCATCAATGAGACCCAGGCCTTTCTGCTGCGTGTCTGCCTCGGACGCCTGGGTCTTGTTCATCTCACGGGCTTGTTCGTCGCCTTGTGCATGCTTGTGGACACCAAAGATAAGACGTTGACGTGGTTCAACATTTCTCAGCCGTTGGCTGTGGGCACTGCCCTTGGTGCCTACACTTTCCTTACCCTCTGCACTATCGATGGGCACAAGCCGGACAGCAAGTATGGGCTTGTGAAGACTGTGGGCATTGCCTACATACATGCGCAGGTGTTCGTTGTCGGCCGGTGGAGTGGTGGGGAGGGACCAGAGCCTTACAGTCGTGTTGCCGTGAGTGTGCTTGACGTGAAGAGATACGGGGCTCATCCATACAGATACTGGCATATTTCCTTGCGCACATTGGCCGCTTTGCAGCCGCCGCCATCGAACTAGCCAGGGTCAAAATTGAGGATCCTGCAGACACTTGTCGACGAGCAACCCGTTCCGCCCGACTCGGTATGCTCGCTGGTGTGGCCGTCACGGCCGTCTGGTGGAAGCTCGAAGGCCCCTCCCAACCTGAACAGATGATTGATGTTGCCATCCCCATGGGCCTCGCTGTCGTCTCCCTTGCACTCTCCGCGTACACGACCCACGACTTTGCCAATGTTGTGCGCCTCGGTCCGGACAAAGTGTTCAAAGCAGCTCTCATGTTTGGAAACTGTGGCAAGTGGAAGAGCAAAGCGAACAGGTTTGGGACCGAAACTCCTATCGTCAGGTCCCCATCCGCTCCTCCCTCGGCTTCACCTCCCAAAGAGACACCACCCCCACCCCCGCCAGCATGGGAAGCCAAGCGCCGTTCCCTCGTCCGTGTGCACATATGTGGCATGGGCTTTTGCGGCATTTCAATCTTCATTGGCACCTTGTTTGCCTTCTTCCCCTTCCCCGCCCAGCCTGTGACCTTGTTCCTCGTTGTGGCCACCCGCCTTTGGGCCCGCTACACCGTCGCAAAGGGTGACTACCCAAACGTTGGCATTCTGGTCGCCGTTGTTTCGGACGGCCTGCTCACACCGGCCATCCGCGCCGCTGTGCTCTCGGTCTGTGGCCCAGATGCCATCCTGGCTGCGTACGGTCCCGATCCCGCTTTGATTACCGACATGGCCGATGTTATTGTGAGTCAAACAAATGGAGACGGGAACTGACATCACAGGCATGGGCACCGGTATCCGTCCGCTTTATGCGCAACGCCTGCTCGGCTGTGACCATGAGGTTCTGTTCGGCGCCCTCGCCGAACGGATACAGGCCGTTCAGCGAGAGACTGTCCGCTGGCATCTTCGCGGGTAGTTTCATTATTGCCTGGCTTTGGACGACATTCCTTGCTGGATTTGAGGACGACGACGACAACTCGGCACCATACCGAACGTGGTTTGTCCCCACACCTCTGTACGCCATGGCTTTGTCAATTCCCGCGCTCCTCCCTCCCCAGACCGAGGCGCTGGTCAAGATCCCAGCGACCAAGGTCGTCCTCGCATCGCTCCTTGAGGGTAACGCCGCACTGTACGCCAACGTGTTCAAGCGCATGGGAGTCGCTGTCCATGCAGACGACGACGGCTATGTGAACAACAAGATGAACGATTGGCCTGAACCCAACTGGGATCAGCTCGCCGCCACGCCCAAACCCAGGTGGCTCCGTTGTGTGGACATCATTCGCGCGTCCCGCGCCAGCGTCATGGTTATATCGTACGTGCTAGTCGTCCGAACGCAGTTCGTGCTTGCGCTAGGCGACATGGCTTTGGTTGTCTTCGCCTGCCTCCCAATGACGGCCATCCCGACGGCCATGATGCTGTATCGCCGCACACCTACAGCAATCGGTCCTCTTGTCCTCCTTTTGGGAGTCACGAACGGCGTGGCTGTCGGCTGTATCGACGCATGGTACCGGACCGAGCTGGCGATGATCTTCAAGGACTCGGAGGCATTCATCTCTGACATCATCGTTCTTTATCGCCTCTGTGTAAGCGTCTGACATTCGCCATCGGTTCATATTTGCTGACTCGACGCAGGTTTCCGCCGCGATCTGTACATCGTGCTTCGGGACACTTTCGAACTTTGGCTTGCGCGGATGGTCGCCCCGCCACCGCTGCGCCGTGGGCGCGGCGCCCCTGGGCTCGTTTATCGTCTACTGGTTCACGTCGGGCGTACACAAGCGTGGATGGGAGGCGGAGCAGCTCGACCCAACGTTCCACCACATCTTCAGCGGCTACGAGTGGGCCCTTTTCTCCGTCAGTGTTATCTACGCTATCACGGCGTCCACGCTGTTCCTCAACAGCGAGTCGCTCATGATGTTCCGTTTGCCCCGGGATGAGTTCGCGTTTGCGGCCATGTGGGGAAGTGGCTTCAACGGCGGCCTTGACCTTGCCCAGAAGCTAGGCGTACCTGTCCAGCTTGAGGAGGGCGTCGGTAAGATTGCCCTTGCGGATGATGGTGAACTTTCAGCCGACCTTGGTAGAGATGGCAAGGAGGTGGCTTGAAGCCAGTCGTCTAGTACACTCCGCCTAGTATAAATGTGTTGTGCGACTCGTTGATGTTTACACATCCTTATTCAGCTGCAGCACGTTGTGTCATATTATGTTGGCCCATCCGGCGCCTACAAATTGGCCTTGGGCGGCTGCGCAAGCGACGCGTAGACGGTCCGCTCAAACGCATAGAGAAATGGCTGCCACGGGTCCGGGTCACGCCCAGCCACGAGCATGTTGGTGCCCACAACACCAGCAATACCCGACTCTGGATCGATCCAGTATGCCGTCTTGGCCACACCTCCCCAGAATACCGATCCAGCCTTGCGCCTGCCCGGCGCGTCGGTGAGGTTGAGGCCACAGCCGAGCGAGTGGGTGAGGTTGCCTGCGTTGAGGACATAGGGCGGCTCATCGGGCATCCACGCAGTGATAAACTCGGACATGAGCTGTCTGTGGGGTCCGGCAGTGGGCTCGGGGAGGGCACTGGTGAAGAGCGATTTGTAGACGAAGGGTGAGAGCAATGCCTTGGGGTTGGCCCGGCGCGGGTCACTGGCGAGCACGGCGCGCAGGAACTTGAGGTAGTCCTTCTGAGACCCGTACAGACCCGCGCCGCCGTGCATGATCTTGAGGTCCTCAGGCTTGGTTGCGCGACCCATGCCAAAGTCGCCGGGGATCTTGTAGATTGATCCGGTGGAAGGCGGGACGCGTGTGCACACGCTCATCTTTGTCTCGTGGATCTTTTCCGTTGGGTAGAAAGTGACAGTGGTCATGCCCAAAGGCTCGAAGAAGGCCTTTTTGAAGTATTCCTCCAGCGAGGTGCCAGACACGCGCTCAATCAGGATCCCAACCCAGTCGGTCGCGTGCGAGTACGCAAACGCAGCCCCAGGCTCAAAGACGAGTGGGGTTGTGATACCCTCGACACCACAGTTGAACTGGCTGGCAGGACCGTTTGCGGCAAAGTACTTGGTCGCAGGGGACTCGAGGAACGCGTACACGAGACCTGATGTAAGCATACGTGGGCTGGAGAATGGTTGTCACCATGGTGACTCACCGCTTGTGTGGGTCAACAGCATCCGGAGGGTAATCTTAGTCGTTGGATTGACGAGGATACCGTTGCCTGCATCGTCGTAGCCAGTCAGGAGCTTGACAGTGCCCAGCTCGGGAAGCCACTTCTCAATCCCTGCGGCGCTGTCAAGCTCGAGCTTGCCAGCCTCGACCAGCTGGAGGGCGGCAGTCTGACGTCAGCCATCGTGTAACGTACATTGCAACTCACGCTCGTCAGGATCTTGGTCTGCGAGTACAGCTCCACAGCTACGCATCAGCAACTATCTCGACCTCTCCTACCCACGAGTGTCCTCGGTCACAGTGCCCTTGTCGGGCTCGCCGTGTACACGCTGGCCAGCCTGGTTGAGGTAGAGTGTCTCCTCGGCATTGGTAGCTGCAAAGAAGATGGCAGGAAGGTTTCCTTTCGCGGTCTGCGCAGACAAGAGGTCGTCCAGCTTTTGCCGCGTCGCGAGGCGAGGTGTTGGTGGGGCATCACCCATTATGGTACTGTCGAATGATGTAGTGAATGCAAGTAGAAGGCCATGGATCGTGTTAGCTCTTGGAATCACGGTGGATGCGGGATTCGGCAAATGAGGTGACGACAAAACCGGTCAATGGGATTGCCGGAGCCCCAGACGGCCATGTCCGCTTCAATCGTGGGGTGGGTGGGGCTGCACTTCGCGGTGTCAATGACATCAACCTCATCTTGTGTGCATCGTTGGAGTGCTCGTCTGGCGTTCAAACTTGCACTGCTGGGTGTGACAGGACAGTCGAGGACCGACTTTTGAAGCTTGGAGAGATCGTATGGCCTGGGACAGCCCGTCAACGTCATGGTCACAGCGAAAATCGGACTAGCAAGGTTTAGAAAGTATCCGACTGGGCAGTCTCTGACACAAGCGACACCACAGGATCCAGAGCATGTGCTCATGAGACTCGCAACGGGGGACCACGGCGAGGCGGGAAACGCTGGCCTTTGCCTTTCCAGCTATGTATGTCGCAGAGGTGACTCACCGCGAAGGTGAACTGCCCGTCGGCCCGTTGCCGTGCGCAAGTGAGTACGGCAGTCGCACGAGGCAATGCAGCCCTTATTCGGCGAGTCTCAGGAGGACGGGTCGTTTGATTCGGGCCATAGGGCCATAGCCAAGATCCTTGTGATCTGCCACTGCAGACTAGTACGCGGGTGGAGCTACGGGAACTCTCGGTGATCGGTGACCTCTTTCACACAGCTCAGCTGATCTCGGGCACTATGGGGGCGGTGCGGTCAGTTACGATCCATTCATGTGGCCTCTTCGTTCCCGAAGAAGAGCTAACAGCAATGTATCACGTCACCTCACGCGAGTGATAACTGGTACATACTATCCACACTGGCACTCCTGTCACGTTGACATCAATCAGTTTGGAGCAGTTATTCAGGGATTTGAGTGGAATAATTCTGAAGTTGGGGTTTATTGGTCATGCACAGAGCCTGTGGCTCCAGACCGAGATGCACTCGGGTCAGTCTTTGTAAGGTAGCGCCTTGTCTTGATTCTGAAAGGCTGGTCCCAATGCAGAAGCAAGTGGCCCAAGGCTGCCTGCCATTCACGTGCCTATTGAACTGTGCCCGCGCTTCCCCGCAATGAACCATGACCCCACATTTCTCTACCTTGAGCCGAGTGCTATGAGCCGAGTACCCTTGTTCCGGCCAGTCCCAAGTAGAGGTTGACTCCAATGTCATTTTGAATGAGCAAAGTGGAGCCATGGACCGCAACTATCCGACATCGGTTATGAACTTCGCTCCACAGCACCGCCTATTGGAGTCACGTCTAATCGCAGGCACGGAGTATCACATCGCAGTGCATCCCTCCCCTAAGAGCTGTGTTTCTGGCCAGTTACGGAGTGTGTATGGGCAGCCGGGTGCACCGATGCAAAGGGTGAGCAAGGAGGCCTCCCGTACTGCTGTGCGGCCTGCAGCCAAACCAACTGTGCACTGTCCTCAGGAAGGCTTCAGCGGCAACTCGCCCAGACGGAGCCACTGTTCGAATCCTAAGCTCAACCTTCTACACCATGAGAGCGAGAGCAATCATTGCCAGAACCCCAAACACCGGGAGGGAGAGCTGGACGGCAACGCTTGCCTTGGCTGTCGGCGAGGTGAACGTAGGGGACGTGCTGTCTCCGGTCCTGGTGGGACCTTGGGCGGTGCCAGATGCTGACATGGTCCCCTCCTGGACGGGAGTTCGGTTGTTGCTGACGTAGGCCGCCGTGGACTCGTTTCCACAGCTTGCCAACTTGACAATGCCGACTTGTTGCTTCTCGTACTGGAATGCGGTGTAAACATTCTTCAGGAAGGTAGTTCCAAAGATGATATTGAAATATTTGACCGACGACAATGTTCGACTGGCACTGCCGGTTGGCCAAAGCTCACCCAACTGAAACAAACATGTTGTCTTGAATGATGTACTCCATGCTGAGAATGAGAATAGGAACCAATGAAGCTGATAGGAGTGCCCACGTGGTAGAAGGGGCGGTACTTTGTTGTTGTGTCTGGCTCAGAGACACGGTGGACCAAAGGCGCGCAAAGAACACCACCTGGGGGAGCGAATGCGTACGCCAAGGGCGAAGGCTGCAGCGGCAGCCACAAGGTTGGTCGGCATGGCCCTCTGTTTGGAGAGGGGGTGGGAGAGGTTAAAAGACATATTCAAGACAAGGAGGTGCACGCTTTGTACCCCGCCGTTTCCTGTCATTGTCGGAAAACACAAGTGTCCAAGCAGTCACGAATAGCATGGAGGGCTGGGCGTTTGTGCAGTATGACGTTTCGAGTCCTTGTAACGAACCTCAGCCCTAAGAAGCATACTCTACCAGTCCTGCGGGTTGCCTTAGGCGTATTGGAGGGCAACGTAAGCCAGTGCTATTTCTTCTGGATTGTGGGAGCGGTTACATGCTGCGGATCTGATGCCCAGCGAAGCGTCGGCATATTCGGCATGGATCGCAATGAGGAACCCGCTCTTGTTACCCGCGACTTAAATCCACAGGGGGAGCATCATGTGGTCGATGGATTCCCTTTGGATGCATTCAATGGCCGTTTGCCTAGTTGATCGTCGTGGGCGTAGGGCTGCATCGCTTTCTGGCCTTTGCCTCAAGCGCGACTATTTGACTGCTTTGCGCAACTCATGCCACACAAACCCCCAGTCATTCAAACTCTCGTCCACTCGTCACACACAATCATCAGCCAAGATTCTGCCATGGCGGCCGTCGTGCTTGTCATATTATGGGCGTGTACCACCACCGTACTGGTACTGGCAAGCTCAGCCCCGACCTTGGCATTCAACATGTCCTTCAGCAGCATACATCCGTTTTTCAACCCTGTGCCCGCCCGTTCTCAATCCCTCAATACGAGTTCGTTCCCTCGCTGGAACGACACCTTCTCAAGTTCCCCGTGGAACAGCTATGTTCCAGGCATGGTTGGCCTTGGAGACTCGCTTACCGAGTCTAATTTGGGGAACACTACTGCTACAGTGAGCGGTCCACACCTCAACATCTTCTGGTACGGAGACGCCGTGTGGGTTTGGGGGCATATGGACAGCAACACGACCAGCTCCTGGTCAAGCCATACGAAATTTGAACAGCCGATCATGCTCCTCATCGACTCAAACTCAGACCTGCTGCCAGTTCCGTCCAACGAACAACTGGCATCGATGACAGGGATGAATATACAGGGCCACGCAGGATATTTGGACCAAAGCTCGGGGGACCTGTCTTTCGCCGGTGCCACGTTTGGCTTCGCAATGCAAACCGAAGCGTCAGTACAATCTGACCCCTCGAACTGACTGAAGCAGGCCCACGTTTGAACAAGTCCAGACAAGTACAGCTTACTGGGTTGTAAACGGCACGCGAAACGAGTACTTTCTGTACTCTGGCAACTGGACGGTCGAGGATCACATCGGTGGCGTCGGTAAGTACATAGCATTTCTGCCTACACACGTTAACAAGGATAGGTGGCCAAGACCGGGTTCCCTACGACCATATGCTCGCACATGCCCACAACAGTGACAACCCTGAGACCGCCTTCAATGTACCTGACAACACTTCATTTTTGATCATCAATGGAACTATCGGTCCAGCTCACTACGCCATATCCGTGACAATCTCCCCTGCGCCGATGTCCAACCCGACACTTGGTCCTCAACCAGAGGTGTTCAACTTCTGGGCTGGCCGCGATGCTGTTCTCCATTACGCGGTTCTGGATCCATCGAAACAGTACAACGTCACCATCATGGGGTGGGGTTCCGATTCACTAGGCCTGACCGATTTTGGCGTGCACAGCGTAACATTTTGGTCCTCGCTTTAGTGAGTGACTCCTCAAGCGTTCTGTTTCTGACCCCCCAAGCGACTCTGGTACATCTTCCAATCCCAACAATACGGCTACCGCTCCTGCCAGCAAGGGAACCAGCTCCGGGACTATAGCTGGTGCTGCTGTGGGTCATTATTCAAAATGTGACTGACACTTAGGTCGGCGGTGTGATCGGTGCGATTCTCATTGCCGCTTTTGCCTACTTTGTCGCATCGCGGCGGATCCGCCGACGTCAGCAAAAGCTGTACGTCACGGCACCCTTGAGATGTTCTGACACGCACAGTCGTCAAGGGGACCCTTCCGAATTTGTCGTGGACGAGAATGGAGACGCTGCGGCGTACACTCCGTACGACCACGAGCTCATGTCGCCAATGTCGCAGTCGTCCAAGGACTCCCGGTTGATGTGAGTGTTATCAGTGGATCAGCTGACAAAGAAGTGGTACTGCAGCTGGTGCATCAAGCTCGCGAACACCAATCGAGCATGTTCGGTATGAACAGGAAGAAGACGGCGGTCTGGTAGAGCGCGTCGAGTTTGTGCCGCCTCAGTACAACCCAGAATGGGCTGGTAGCTCTGCCAACGTCGACGACGCACTGCTTCCGGGCCACAATGAGCATGGCTTTGCCTCAGATACCGGCGTGGGCAGCGGTATGGACTTTTCAGCCAAGCGCCCAGCTCCTTCTGCCGATACTGTTAGCCCCACCACCGACTCGGCCACCAACTGGGGTTCACCAGTGGACAGTGGATATTCCGCTGCCCAGATGAGCCAGAACTCCAGGGAGCCGCTACCAAAGTGGGACACAAAGGGTTGGCAGCGGTGAACTACAAGGCACGGCTGTTGATGAAAAGGAGAGCTACATACTGTTCCAACCGCGTTTGTAAATATTGAACATTCTTCTACAAAGGGAGCGTATAGTGTCCATGGTTGCACTACATTACTAACGACAGAAGAGAGACAGCCAGCACGACCATTGTGAGACTGGACTCGGCCTTGTGGGCCGCATCACCTGCGGCCTTTGTTGTGACAGTGGGGGCCGCCGTTGAAGCCGATGTTGAGCCTGTGACCTGTGGGGCCTGTGTGGAGCCTGTGGGGGTATCCCACCCGTCGGCCGCGGTCACGGTGGCAGAGTCCTCGAGAACTTGGGAAACTGTCCAGTCATTTAGACCTTGGGCTAGCTGGGCAAACCCAACTTGGAGGGGTTCGTATTGGAATACCGTATACACGTTTCGGAGGAAGGGGATCCCAAGTGAAAAGAAGGGGGTGGCAGAGCTGTCGGCTGTGATATGCGATAGGCACATTGAGTTGTTGTATATGCCTGTGGGGTCTATTGTCGATATCAGGTGGATAGGGTTCACCGAGACCTCACGGCCCGCAATGGTAATGGTCACAGCTGTGGACGAATTGCACGGCACGAGGTAACGTCCATTGTAACGATCCGGGACGCCGTATGTAGGACCTTTGAGATACTGCACAGACCCAGGGATTTGCGCAAATATCTCGGCCGCAGTAGCCGCTGGAACTCGAAAGGCGTCCTCCCCAGGGTTAATGGACGCAATGGTCGGTCCAGCTGGGGTGAAACCCCCAGAGGTCGGTGTGGTCGATGCTGGCAGGGAAATGTTGTGACCGTTTACCACCAGACCCTGCAGTTCGACGTCGAAGTTGCCACTGCTGGGTGCCCAAGAGAAGTTGCCTTGGTAGTAGCTGTTGTTTGTCCCGCCAAACGTGAGTTCGCCCACGTGGCGCCCCGTGAAATCCCAATTACTTGTGTAGATGTAAGGTTCCAAGTTGCCAAAGTAAATCCCCAGCACCGGCTCTGCCCATTGTGTTGACACCGTCTTCATGAAAGATGGAGCCAGAGCGGTGTCGTTTCCGGAACCAAGTGCAAGCAAGCCCGACATCTGGGCAGCGTAGTCAATGGTGAGGTCCTGCAAGTACGTCTGGTTGTCGGTGCTGAATGTTGAGTCCAAGAGTACTGGTGAGTGGTCAGCACGGCCGTATTCACATGTATTCGCACCGAATCCTTGCGATTCCACCGTGTATCCACCCAGCGACAGGACGTCGGTCGAGACCGTCCAATTCAGACCCTCCAGATTGGGCAGCGTCACGTTCCTCTGAGACTTGTATGTCGACGAGTTCTGGGGCATGAAAAACAGATTGTCATCGTAGCCTTGGAGGTCGCTGCCTTGGAAGGTACCCCAGAAGAGAACTGTGTAGTCGAATGACGTATCCAGAGTCAAACCGATTAACTGGGGTGGCGTTCTTGTTGCATCAGCTAAGCCTCGCGAATGACTTACCCAACTGATACGTTCACGGCGAACTTGTTTGAAAAGCCTATATACTGCATCCTGGGCCGTATTAGCAAACCAGCACACACCATGTGTCTCACGTAGCATTATGTGGGGCCTGGGCTTGCTGTCTGACGTTGACGCTTCGATGAGGGAGCAATGGTACACTCAGTGATGCCCCAGGTGCCGCGAACCCAGCAACAAACGTTGCCAAGGTCATGACAGCTACCGCAGCGGCGCGTACACGGAAGAGCATCTTGTTTGGTTCGGTTGCAATGTCGCAGGTTGTCAGTGTTGTGAGCTTGTGAGACTCGTGTTATAGCTCGGTCCAACGTCGTGCCGGGCACGGCCAGCGGGTCAGCCGGTCGAGGATCCCGTGGCCGGTGTGGCCCGTCGCGCCTGGCTCGTTTCAACACCGCTATTTTCGGTCTGTGGTGCGGAGCCCATTCGACTTGGCACACCCGCTGCTGCACTCGCTCCCGTTGCCTTGTGCTTTGCTCGTCACATGCTGCGGCCCCGAGGCAAAAGCAACCTCAATGTGGTACGTACATATGCCCCCCTGAGCCACAGGCACCCGCGCTCGTTATCCGCGTCCGGCGGTCGGTGGATCGGTGGGGGGGTAGTTGGATCCGGTTCGACCCCGTGTGGCATCTGTTCGTCAGGCGATTTTTGCGTTTTACGGAGGCACAATATGTGTGCATAGTTTTGCTTTCATGCCCACTCTGCACGGTTGTGGACGGACATGGGCTGATGCTGTCGGTACCACTTGCTCATCGGAGAGAGGATGTGAGCGACAATGCTACACTCTGGGCCTGTCACATACACACACCCTTCTGATCCAGCGACCCAATGGCGCCTTTGGCACTTCTCATGGCATGGGCAGCTGTGCCCGTGCTAGCGATGGAGCCCAACGTCCTCTTCAACATGACGTTCACCGACATGAACACATTCTACTCGCAGTTCCCCCTCCGCTTCGAGTCCCTCGTCGCGAACATCTCTTGGGGTTGGAACAGCTCCTTCTCCAACTCTTCATGGAACAGTTACGTTCCAGGAATGGTGGGGGAAGGCGAGTCCATGTCCACAATCAATGCCAGTGGGACGGTCACGGCCAATCATCCTAGCCTCTCGTTCACCTTCATTGGCAGCTCAGTCTGGCTTCTGGGAGATTATGAGGATGTGATGCCCGACGCGTGGGCCAATGGGTCCGCGGTTGGCGATCACGTCCCATTGACTCTGGCCATCGATGGCGTCCTCGAACCCACAGCAGCGGGTCCACCAGATGGGCTTTTGGCCTATTCCACTGGGCTCGATAGCGGATACCATATCGCCTACGCACTGCTTCTGGACGACACCACCGTCTTTAAAGGTGTCACTCTGAACTTAGGTGTTCAAACTCAAGCGTGAGCTCATGACACGAGGCCGGCCACTGATAATCTGTCCATCATTTGAGAAAATGAGCAGCACCACCGAATACTGGGTCGTGAACAGCAGTCAGAATGAATTTTTCGTCTCCTCAGGCAACTGGACGGTCCAAGACCACATCGGCGGTGTTGGTGAGTTGATGGGAAACCACTGTGCAGTGCTAAAACCTTAACCCCAGGCGGACAGGACCCAATTCCTTACACATACCTGCTGGGGGACGACGATGCAGGTTCCTCCACTGTTTCGTCTACATCTTTCAGCATTCCACCCAACTCATCGTTCATGATGGTCAATGGTACGATGGGCCCAAACCAATTCATGGCCTCTATCAACCCATCACCCCGGACGCCTTCGGACGACCACAGGGGCGGCCCTATTCTGAATGAAATCTACAATGCGTGGGCTGTCCGTGATGCCGTGCTCTACATGGCCTCGCTGGACCCGCAGAAGGTGTACAACATCACCATCACAAATCTTCGCGATGCGGCGTACAATGTCACGCAAATCGGCGTGCACAGCGTCACGTTCTGGTCTGGTCTCTAGTGAGCAATATTCCAAGCTCCACGCTGACAGTAGCGATACCCCAGGTATCGGAGTCGTTAGTCCGACAGGCCAACCCTTGAGCCCAGGAGCTATTGCTGGCGCCGTCGTGAGTAAACCAGTCTGGGACACGGCTGACGGTAAAGCTTGGCAGTGTAGTCGGTGTCCTTGTCGTCGCCATCCTCACGTACATACTGGCTGTGCGGAGAACCCGCTCCGGGATTCGAAAGCAGTGAGCAGCAGTCGGAACAGAGCGTACTGACCCACCACTTTCCAGGCTCCAGGGAGATAAGTCCAAATTCGAAGTAGAGGAGAAGGGCGAGGCGGCCGACTACACTCCTTATGGTACGGAGCTCGCTCCCTCGCTCTCCAACCAGTCTTCGAAACTGGAGTCTCTCCTCATGTATGTTTCGGCTGCTCGTTTGCGCCCTCCAGTCATTCCCACTCACACGATCACCAGTGACGATGTTGCGATCCCAGCTGGCATACCCCCAGCGGTCCCCGCCCCCCATCTTCCAATCGAGAGGGTGCGGTACGAACAGGAGGAGGACCAAGGTATCCTTGAGCGCGTCGAGTATGTGCCGCCGCGATATAACCCGGAATGGGCGATCGCTTCCAGTGCGGCAGACTCGCAGCAGTCACTTCCTGAGAATGACAGCCACTATGACTATGCTCTCTCACCTGCAACCATCATGAGGAGCTTAGATTCAGGTTCACCTTCAATTGTCACCGATTCCACCAAGTCTCCATCAACCGGATCGCCTGTCAGCCCAGTGACAGAGTCTTCTTGGGCCAACAGCCCGTCGACAAAGGTCGGAGATGTCGAGCCTCCGCTGAACAGGAGCCAGAGTGAGCTCAAAGCACGGTGGGATACGAAGGGTTGGCAGCGGTGATGCGACCTGGGCGTACATAAAGAACAGGACAGTCGCACGAGTGCCTCCTACGTACGGACTACATACATGCATGATGTGAACTGCTGCTGCTTTGGACCATGCCGGGAAGCACCGAAGTCATCAGCAAGACTGGACCGCCTAATGCGACTGGAACAGGAGAGAACTGGACGTGTGTTGCTGGCGCCATTTGCAGGCAGGGCGGCACTTGGCCTTCTGGCGCTCCCTGGGGAGGATTGGCGATCCTGTCAGTCTCATCCAAACCCAACACTCGCACACTTGAGTTTGGTTCATTGGAAGAAGAGGAGGCCAATCCGCCATGTGTCCCATTGTGATTGTTTTGACGGCTCGGTACCGGTCGCTTCCGGCGATCAGGCCTGGCGAGGCTTTACGTTATGGACGTTTAATAACCTTAGTGCGAAACTTACCTGTTGCAGAGGAGGGAGGCTCACGTAAATGGAACCCAAAATGTCTGTAACGACGGCCAACGCCACGATGACGAACCTTCAGACATCGCCCATCCGGTGTCGATGTGGCAGGCCGTCCGCCCCATATACGAAGCACCGGGCTTCACATGGTCGGCATGGCGCATGCGAGGAAGCTGACCCTTTTGTGTGTGAGGGCGGTTTCGAATCTCGGGCACATTTATTGCCCCTTTGTCAGTTACTTAGCGAACATGGTTGCTCTGCTTTGGCTGCAACCCTGCACTCATACTTGCGGTCATTACACGGAGGCAAGCGACGCGTCTCATGACCATCCGCTGTTGTGCCAACATACAGGGACGGAGTTGCTGAGAAGACGATTCGCCTGGCAGTTGCTGCTGAAAGATGGTACTTCATTTGACATTGCGGACAATGCCCTCAGGCTCACACCTTTGCACAGGCCAAGACATTTGCTGCGCTGCAGAACCACCTTCGCCCCCGCGCTCTCGACAAGACGTTGACGACTGTGGTAAGAGAGGTTCACCCTCCTCATAGGCCAGGCGGCATCGACCACGCAAGCCACTCAAGTAAAATCCCATCTGGGCAACAACCTCCGCCCTGCATCGGCCGTCGGCGGTCGTGTCAGCACATGCTACGCCTTCACAAGCTCTCCCATTGTGCTCACCGCTTGAAACAACGCGACGGACCTCGCGTCCACCCTGCCCGGCGCCCCGCCGCAGCACAGTACCTCCGCCCTTCCTGGCGGTACATCTCTCTCCAGGGTGTGTAACACGTCCCGAAACCCTTGCCGGCTGCAGATTCCTTTTGTTCTCTCTCCTCAACGCCTCGTGGTCGACCTACATCGAACAGCACAACGACCCGACCGTTCGGCTCATAACCGAGCGGCCAAGTTCCATCTCACTGACCGACGGCCGCCGCTGAGGTCTGACTGCATCTGAAAGGCCACCTCGTGCCCCGGTTATTAATCAGTTGCGAATGGCGTTGCGAATGGCGTCACGGCAACAAGCCGTACACAATACTCACCATTGATCTCCACGGCGCTCAAGGAGGGCCGTGCGGTCTTCACATGTGGACCTACTGTATGTTTGTATGCACAGGTGCGTGATCAGTGAGCCGCAGCAACGTTTATTCCTGGCGAGGCGGCAAGAGGCAATCAGCGGTACCCGGACATGCCATGTGACATTCGAACAGGCGAGGACGTCACCTAACATGCAAGGTACTCATACTGAGCCACCATGTACCATTGAGGCAGGGGCAGAAGGATCGCTGGAGAGATTGAAATGTTGAGTGATCACCCAAAACGTGGGTCGTGTACCCTGGAAGAAGACCGATTCCCGGCCTTTTTTTTGGCCTGTCATTTCCGCCAACTCCATCTGACATCTGGCGGCCGCATTCTGACAGCGATACCGAGACCTACGTAGGTCACCGGCGCCCGCCTCATTGTGGTGGTTTAACACAGCCCTCGTGAATGGAACGAGAGGAGCAACATCCAGAAACACAGTGTCACTACGCTGGGAACAATGGCCGTGCGTCCAGGGTGACGTGAGCAACCATGTCAGCGGCGTTCTCCATACTGTGCCGGGTGTGTTCGGCGAACAAAAGTGTGAGTATGAACCGGCCCGCAACATGTCACCAGCCGGTCCAGAACAAGCTGGACACGGTAGCATAGCCGGCATACGTGGGATATAACACAGATAATACATAAAGGCCGACCAGCAAAGCACCCCAAGGCATCAACACATACACACACACACACACCACAGCACAAATAACAACAATGACAGTCTTCACCAGCGGCTACACCAGCGGCAACTACGAAGCCTTTGCCCGCTCGCGCAAACCGGCGGGCGTCGACGACAAGACCGCCTGGTTTGTCGGTGCCGGCCTGGCCTCCCTCGCCGGTGCGGCATTCCTCATCCGTGATGGCCACATGGACGGCAAGAAGATCACTATTCTCGAGGAGGGCCGCCTCGTCGGCGGTGCCCTGGACGGCATTGAGGAGCCCGAGCGCGGCTTTGTCATTCGCGGCGGCCGCGAGCTCGAGGACCACTACGAGTGTCTGTGGGACCTGTTCCGCTCCATTCCCTCGCTGGAGGTCGAGGACGCCAGTGTCCTGGACGAGTTCTACTGGCTCAACAAGGACGACCCCAACTACTCGCTCTGCCGTGTGACTGAGAAGCAGGGACAGGATGCTCACACTGGCAAGCTGTTCACCTTGAGTCCCAAGGCTCAAAAGGAGGTGCAGGCTCTGTACCTCACCAACAGGAAGGACGTTGAGAACAAGCGTATCAACGAGGTGTTCACCGACGAGGTCTTCAAGTCCAACTTTTGGATCTACTGGCGCACCATGTTCGCGTTTGAGGAGTGGCATTCGGCACTGGAGATGAAGCTGTGAGTTTAGCTGCTGGGTGCTGGAGTGTCATTCTGACCTGATCTTCAGGTATCTCCACCGCTTCATTCACCACATCGGTGGTATGCCCGACTTCACCGCACTCAAGTTCACAAAGTATAACCAGTACGAGTCGTTTGCGCTTCCTCTGCGCAAGTATCTCATCGACCACGGTGTCCAGTTCCAGTTCTCCACCACTGTCACCGACGTCGACTTTGACATTACCGAGAAGCGCAGGCAGGCGACACGGATTCACTGGAGCGTGACCGACGGCGAGAATAAGGTGCCCGGCGGTGTCGACCTTGGACCCAACGACCTCCTGTTCATGACGATTGGCTCCTTGACTGAGAACTCTGACAATGGCGACCACCACACCCCGGCCAAGCTCAACGAGGGTCCCGCCCCTGCCTGGGACCTCTGGCGCCACATCGCGGCCAAGGACCTCTCTGGCGCATTTGGCCACCCCAACGTCTTTGGCGCGCACATTCCGGAGACCAAGTGGGAGGCTGCGACCGTCACCACACTGGACAAGCGTATTCCCGCCTACATCCAGAAGATCTGCAAGCGCGACCCCTTCTCCGGCAAGGTCGTCACGGGCGGTATCGTCACCGCCAAGGACTCGAAGTGGCTAATGTCGTGGACCGTCAACCGTCAGCCGCACTTCAAGAAGCAGCCCAAGGACCAGATCGTGGTCTGGGTCTACTCGCTCTTTGTCGACACACCGGGCGACTACGTCAAGAAGACCATGTCCGAGTGCACTGGCGAGGAGATTACGCAGGAGTGGCTGTACCACATGGGTGTGCCTGTCGAGGAGATTCCCGAACTGGCCGCGACGGGCGCCAAGACGGTGCCGACCATGATGCCCTACGTGACCTCGTTCTTCATGCCCCGCGAGGCCGGTGACCGTCCAGACGTTATCCCGGAGGGATCGGTCAACTTTGCATTCATCGGCCAGTTTGCAGAGTCAAAGGTAAGTCGGCTCGCTGGTGCTTTAACAATGGATGCTGACGATTCCCTCAGTCGCGCGACTGCATCTTCACCACGGAGTACTCTGTTCGCACGGCTATGGAGAGCACGTACCACCTTCTCGGCATCGAACGCGGTATCCCCGAGGTGTTCAACAGCACATACGATGTTCGCACTGTCATTGCCGCAGCGACATCGCTGCGTGATGGCCAGCCTCTGCACTTGCCCGGACCAGAGTTTGTCAACAAGTTCATCTTCCGTGCTCTGGAGGACAATGTCCTTGGCAGCATCATGGCTCAGGAGGGCCTCATCCCAGACGTGGCCAAGGAGGAGAAGAAGGAGTAAATTGCCGTAGACTATATAGCAAGTAGATGAATATGACAGTCATGACACCATGGACCAGGTCAGGTGTGTCCCCTCCGTCCTGCGGTGTCAGTTGATTCAAACACTCGGCAGGGATAGCTGCGAGAGTCAACAACGCATGATCCCAGCATGTGCTGGGACAAAAATCAAAAGGAGAACCACCTTCTCAGGTTGTTCGTCTTCTCCGCCAGGGAGTTGAACCCTGCTCTACCGCGATATTCCAATTAGGAAACTCCCTATTGAGAGGCGGTTATACTAACCGATATACTAGCGAAGATGCTTATTGATATTTTGGACTCCTCACGCACGTATATAAGGTGTTGTGGTGAAGAATCTGCGCAAGGGAGCAGTCGAGAGAGTACTTTCTTGGTAGCGAGCGTAGCTGTGGCATTGATGTACAGCATTTCATGGAGTCAGAGGCCTGGTTAGAAGCTTATGTGCCCGCTGGACGACACTTTATTGAATGGATTCTGCGATGTATGTGGAGGATATAGAAGAGACAAGCCGTTGTGAGGTGAATGACTGGGCAATAGGCTCGTTGCTGGTTTGGATGGATGACTGACAGAGGGTTCACAGAGTCTTCAAACCTTCAAACTCTCAAACGTCTCTGTTGTAAAACTGTGGCATTTTGGGTTCACCAGGCCCGTCTTGTCGAGTTTGCTTTGATTCCACCACGCTGCACGGAGTATGCGTTTGACAGGGATGTCACATCATCAACGTTGGCTGCGAGAACGTGCCGTGCGTTTTTCCCGGCGGTATGTGGCGGCGCGTTTCGGGCGTTCTGGGGTCGGCGGCCACTGTCCGCCGCCAGGCCTCGGCGGTAATGGATAGCCGCTTCACGCGTCCACGTTGGTCCTCGCCGAGGTCCCTATGCCATAGCGGGGTGGTGGAATGTAACACGGTTGGCCCATGCGCTGACACACAATACAAGCTACCACCTGACTGGCCACATTTGCAGGCAAGGAGAGGCTGTACCCATGCCATACCTGACTGGCCTGACTGGAGTGTCGCGTCAGCTGTCCTTGTGTTTCATTTCCACAGTACACGAAGGCGCCACGGATGCGCAATGGGGTCGTTCCCATTATGACTTCCGCGCGCCACGTCATGTCCACCCCCATCCATGCGGTGCCCCATCCACCAACAGCCGGATTTCCTTGGCATTTTTGGGCCCTTTTTCGCGATAATTGCAGAGGGGCCTACACGTGTCCAACGCCACCGCATCAGCGAGCTCTCGCCTTCACGCTAGCGTGCATAACAATGGACATGGAACAGCGGGGACCTACCCCGAGTGACAAGTATGCATGCGCCCAAACCGGGTCCTCCCCCGTTGTTATCGCTGCGGCGTAGGACATCCGGGTAACAAGAGCCGGCGAAGGGTTCTGATTTCGCGTGATTTGCGGAATGTTCCGCAGTGGCAAACGGATGGTCACGATCCGTGCGTGTGCGAGAAGCAAATGGTGTGCGTCGTGGGTGATGTTGTTGTGAAGTGGCGGCGATGCATGGTACATGCCTCGATGTTACAAGGGGCAACAAGAACGCCAAGCGATCTTCGGTGGTCGCCACCGCGGGTCGTGGATGCGTGTGTGGCGTGGTGGGGCCAGGGTGGGCTGAACAATGCTCTTGTGCATCTCTCGATATGGACGTATGGACGTCCTCCCCACGCGCTTCGCTAGGGCACTGGGCTTGGCCACCCGTATCCCACAGGGAGCGTTACCCGGTAGATTATTTCAGCGATGGTCCGCACAGTCTTCCTCTTAAGCTCACACTCTTCCTCTTTCCAGCATGACTTGGTCACTTCTAACGCCTACTCCCAAACCACACGTTGTGGCAACTTTCAAAGCCAAACCCATCGCCTCCACCACAACTCCCCACATCACCATCAACGCGGACATGTACCCAGACATCATGGACGAGATCCTCGAGCGTGCGGACCACAATGCCCTCCTCCACCTCCGGTCCACCTCACACACCATGCAGGAGCGCGTTGACACGGCATACGCTCAGCACATTGTTATCAGTCCCAGCCCCGCCGGATACATCATCACCAGCCCGCGCGCCATCGTCTCCAGCAGCCCTACCTCTACCTCGCCCACACTTACCGGCACAAGTGAAGGCCGCGTGCCGAGCTTCCGCCCGCGCGATCCAGACGGGTGGGACTACGACCACGCCCCAGACTCTCATCTCTTCGAGCACACCAAGTGCGTCGATTTCATGGGCCGTATTTGCGTCCCGCCCGGTGCGCCCCTCGCTTCTGCACTCGCACACGTCCCCATTGTTCGACTCCGGCCCGGCCGCACCACCAGTGCGGCTGGCTCGGGCGACTTGCCGGTCGCCATTGGCGTGAGGCCCGACACGCAGGTGACCTTTGCGGCGTTTGGCAACGAGCCAGGCTGCGACCCCGGTGCGCAAGTTGGACTCATCGCGTGTGACCGGCGGCTCGTGGTCATCCTGATCTGCGACGCTAGCCCAGGCCACGCACCTTACGGCCAGCTCGAGTGGTTCCCGCATCACGTCAGCCTCGAGGAGGTGGTGGTCATCTTTACTGTTATCGGTGGCGCGCCGCGGCCGCCGGTGACTAACGTGGCCGGCGGGGCAACGACTGGTTCCAGTTCCACTTCCAACGCGACTGAGGATTCCAGCGCCGCGGCGTCGCTTCCCGCAAACGACATTCCACCCTCATCTTCAGACGGGCCCGCGGCCGTAGATGCGCCCGCGGCAGACGTCGCGAATGTGACTCCGGCGACTCTCACACCACCTCCCACGCCGCCTTCGCCTTCGCCCTCTGTGACCCGGCGTGAACCCCTCGGCATCCTCCAGAACCTCGTCAGCATGATCGCCGTGCATGGCCAGCGTGTCAAACACACCATCGTGGGCCTCAAGGCTCTCGATCCCTCGTGGGTCGGCGTCGAGGACCAGACCGACCCAGACGCGCCCACCGCCACCAGGCCCGCCACGCTCGCCGACGTCCATGCCGCGATCCGCTCTGGCATCGCGTCGTTTGACGTCCGTAACGTCCTCGATGCCACCAAGCACAAGCAGCAAGTTCTCGCCAACCTCACCCTCCTGTCGCGGGAGGAGTATGCCCACATGGTTGGCCAGGAGCAGTTTGAGCTTGAGACGGAGGAACAGGACGGCGGTGAGTAGCGAGCGCCCCCATCATCGATCCTTTGGTCAGAACGACTGGTTGACAGCTGCGTGGTAGCCACACCGAGGCCACTGGACCTGTCGAGGTGTATCCACCTGGCGCCGTTTATGCGCCGTGGCCACAGTGGTGATGTGTAGATAGAAAGCACAACGAAATTGATACGACCCCTCTCTGCTGTTCATCAAAAGTTATACTCCATAGTTGTCGCCATACACACGTAGCCTTGTTGTTAATGTTGATGTTAATAGTTGTACCTCGCGAAGACCACGTGCGTTTGCATTGCACTTTCTTCTTCTTCTGACTGCTGCATTACATACGGTACAGTATTCACAATACACTTGCTGCAGGAGGAACACCAGCTCCGCTCACCACAGCGGCCTACTGGCCGGCCACGGGCTTGACAACCAGGCGCATGGAGATTTTGCCGTTGATCGAGGGGCGCATCGTGATGAGGGTGTGCGGGACAATGGTGTACGGCTCGGCAGGGAGTTCAAAGTTGAAGCTGCGCACCAGCACAAACAGCAACACCTTGAGCTCGGCGAGGGCGAAGCGGTAGCCGATACAGTGGTGTGGGCCGGAGAGGAACGTGAGGAGGTTGCCGTACATGCCGGGCACCTGGGTCGAGGGGTTGGTGTCGCGGTCCGGGTTGAACTTGTCTGCGTCGTCGCCCCAGATGTCCTTGGAGCGGTTGAGGGAGATGATGGGCGTGTGGAACATGGTGCCCTTCTTGACGGTGAGGGCCTCGATGGTCGATCCGTCACGGCCAGTGACGGGCGCGGAGAGGGGCACAACGGCGTCCTTGAGAGCAATGCGGTACGAGAGGGCGACGGGGTCGTCGAGGCGCAGGACCTCGTGCACAAACTTCTCCAGGTACGTGAGCGCATTGAGGGCGTCGATGCTGGGCTCGTCCGTGTCAATCGTCATGAGCTCGGCGCGGAGCTTGGCCTGGATGTCCTGGTGGATCGCAAGGCGCCACAGCGCCCACGACATGGCCGTGCTGGTCGTCTCGTGACCCGCAAACATGAGCGTGGTGATCTGGCCCATGACCTCGTCATCGGTCATGCGCTGCTCGGGCTTGAGGTCGGGCGCCATGTTGGCACGCAGGAGACGGGAGAGCATGTCGCGCGTGTCCGTGTCTCCAGCGGCCTCGAGAGCCTTCTTGCGCTCCGCGACGATATCGTGGCCGAGCTTGTCGGTGATGGTGCGGCTATCCTTGATCTTGCGCGTGGCCTTGGTAGGCAGGTTCTTGAATGCCGGGTAGGTGATCTGGAGGAAGTCGAAGATGTTGGCCTGGTTACGAGCTGTCAAGAGATCGGCGTAGCTGGTACCGAGGGCGCTGTCCGACGACGACAGGTCACGAGCGCCAAAGCCAGACACCCCAATAATGTCCAACGTAGCGTGCGAGACGAGCTCGTGCACCTCGACCTCTTGGGGCTTCTTCTCGTCCAGACTAGGTTTGCCCGCCTCGGCAGCGACAGCATCACGTAGCTTGTACGCCACACCGAAGAAGTCGGGAACCATCTCGCGGATAGCCGTGACGCTAAAGGCTGGGTTCAGGACACGCCGCTGACGGCGATGGTTCACAGGGTCGGCAGTGAGGAGACCGTCGCCAAGGATGTCACTGAGGATGCGCTTCGTGCGGTACATTTTGCCAAAGGTGTCAGTGTGCTGGAAGATGTGGCCGAGGGCGACGGGGTCATTGAGGGAAATGTGCTGGGCACCGAGAGCGTAGCGGTAGCGCATCACCTGTCTGGGTCAGATATCGCGGAGCAAAAGCGGTGCGACGTGCGGAGGGCTCACCTTGCCATACTTCTCAAACCACTCGGTCTGCACGTCGCCCGTGTTCTTGCCCATGATCTCCTTCTGGTTACCCCACAGCAGGTTGGTGGGCTCGGGACCAGGGAGGTTACGACCCGAGAAGCGGAGGAGCTGGAGGGGGTAGAGATAGAGGTATGCGAGGCCCGCAATCACGGCGAGACCGCCGGCAAGACCGGCGAAGAGGATGGCCGAGTTGCGAGCGATGGAGACGAGCACCTCGACATACGGCTGGGACGTCGTCATGGTGTGCAGGTGTATGACGGGAGCGTCAAGGATGAGTGGGAAGCACGCTATGAAGCGCTGTTATATACCGTAGGTCGTTGGGATGTCCAAAAGCAACACGGACACGCGTGTACCGAATGCAACAGGTGGAACTCGCCGCCAGTTGGGCGTGTCGGTTATGTCACCCCTGTCATCGCCGGCCATTCACTGGATCACTGGATCTCCGCGCACATGTTAGACTCATTTTGGCCACAGCGCACAGCCGCGCACACCACGCACAGAAGCGATCGGAACCGACTAGACACCCCCCTTTTGCTCTCACCCATATCTACATGCATACTGTAGACAGACGCATCGCGCAGCACCAGCGGCCAGCGGCGCCATGTGGGCTTGCAATGCATTTTTGGGTTCTTGCGGCACACTGTGATGGTGCCTGAGGGAATATGACGATTGCGTCCGGCCGGTCCCTTTGGGGCCAACCAGCCGGCGACATCGACCGTGATGACTCTAGTACTCTAGACTCTCTCGTGGTGTCCAGCAGGACTGTTTTGCTACGCCTCTCGTCCCCACGGCCCCTGTTCCTCTCACACTCATGGCCACCCCATTTCAGCACCATGGGTGCGTCAGTTGTGAACGTTGGCCAAGGCCAAACCTGACGGCGGCTTTCGGCGTCTCAGGGGGGTGCACGCATTCCTGCATTCCGTACCTCTCAAAGGTCAGCCCAGCACGCGTTGGGCAGAGGGAGGCTAGAAGGCTCTCAGCTGCAGGCATGTCAGGTAATGGCCATGTTTTGACAGGTGAGCTGCTCCTCGTGCGTACGCCCATGGAGGGGTTATTGACACCAAAATGTCCAGGCCTGAGCTTCACTTCAGCAGGGATGCGTAGGTGCTCACCATGCAAAAATTGTGACCATTACGTGTTGCGCAAGGTGAGAGCAGCCGTGCATGCCATGGCACGTCCAACCGTCCCAGACTAGAGATCCAGAGATCCAGAGACCTCTGAGTTGCAAAACACTAACACACCTCCATGTGGGTGTTGACTCTGACGGACAGTCTCGCTGCGTTGTCAAAGCAGCGACAGACATGGACCGCCATGGCATTCCGTCCATCGGCTGTCCAACACCATCTCCCAAGATACCCTATGGCACATTCCAACAGCTGTCAACCTCATCGACCAGATCACGCGACATCCTATCGTTTCTCCTCGACAGCTGCAGAAACTACTGCATGCTGCATCTCCTTGTCTCCTGGTCGTTGTCTACAAAACACGATAGATCGGGACAGTGACGCGCTTTAAGCCGAAATGACGTAATCCCTAATGGGGACCCCATCGGCTCCATCGCACGCCATGATTGTGGTGTCTCGATATTTCGCGTTGCTTTATGTCTCCAACTCCACACTCTGACTGCAATTCTATTGTTCACAAACCCTCTTACACTACCGTTTGACAGCCTTTCCTTTATTACTCGACGTTGACCATCGAAAACTGCACCCCCTGCACCCCTCCAATGGCCACAGCATGAGTGAGACGGCTTATCTCGTACCCACCAATGCCCACGCGCCGGCAAAGGTCGCGCCATGCGTCCTTGACCACAGCCTCTTCCCACATGTCATGGACGAGGTGATTGCCACCGCTCCCCCCGAGTCACACATTGCCCTGCGCGCCTGCTCGCGCGAGTTCCGTGACCGTGTGGACCCCTTACTGTTCAACCACGTCGTTATCGCGCCAGGCGACGAGAGCGGCTTCCTCTCGGTCTCTGCGTCTGGGGGCCGGTTCCATCTCCGCATCGTCGGCGACGGCGACAAGCTAGTGTCTCACAGGGACCGTGTCGTTCACCCAGCCCTGCCGCCGCTACTAGAGCACACGCGGGTCGTCTCCCTCCGCGGCCCTGTGGACCAGTATGCCGGCTCCTTGGCGTGGTTCTCTCCCAACCTCAAGCGCGTGGAGGTGCTGCGCATCCTGCCGCCCATGCCCCGCCCGTTTACCATCTGGCCCGATACGGTGCGGGGTGCGAAAAAGTTGATTGCGTTTACGTGCATGAGCCGTGGCTCGTTGCGTACCCTCCAATCGGGGGCCACAGTGTATCACCCGCCTGTCGCCATGATTCCGCCGGTCCCACTCAGTGTCCGGCAGCTGGTGCTCAACGTCTCGGTCCACCCTGACGACCCTTGGCATGCCGACTCGACCATCCAGGCCTTGATGCCGCCCTCGACGGTCAAGAACATTGTCGTCCTCTTCGTTTCGGCACTGCCGCCCGATGTCACTCCCAACTTGGGCATGAGCAACCTCACCCTGGGGGTCACGGTGCGCTCGCGGCTCAGCCACTCGGCCCAGCCGCTGGGTATCCTCACCCCCATTATCCGCTTGATGATCATGAACCCCGAAACAAAGGTCACTGTCGTCTCGGCAGAGTGTCTTGGCGCTGCGCCATTTGGTTTCGACCAGAGTATCCTGCCGTCGGAGATTGAGGGCATGATCAAGTCCATTGCAGCGGATATCCTCAAGGACGAGGGATGGGGCAATGCCGATGATCCGGCAAAGAACCTGACCTTGATGTCGCTGGGCGAGTACCGCAAGACGGCGGATCCGCAACAGTTTGTCTTGGAGACGGAGGAGTAGAGGGTAAGTGAGGGTGAGCAGAGGTCCGGGATCGATCAGGGGCTGACATTTAGGTTGTCGCATACAAGTTGTGTCCGTATAGGTTGTTTTGATCGTTGTTGTTGTGTTACAGTGTGTAGAGCGAATGGAGTTTCGGAATGCCTCTCTCTTCTAAAGTGCGCGATCTGCCTCGCTGTACCACTGTTGCTGTCACGTCAAGTGTCGCGCACAGTGGTGTGTTTCACTGACATCATTGAAAACAAACCCATGATGCGTCCGTGGCACCGGCACACAGGTCAATATGAAACCCGGCCATCAGCTAGTCATTTCCCATGGCAGCGCGCACTGAGTCCAAGTGTAGGTTAAAAGCGGTTCGTCGCCCCAGCTCCATAACAGACATTCCCTCCCAAGCAGCGTCAACATGGCCGACAGTGGATCAGCGCAGCCGATAGTGTGGAGTGAAGTCCACAACGGCCGGTCGGACTCAAGCTGGCTTAACGCCCTAGTGGAAGCTGCAGCCCAAATTAGCCTAGACGACAGTGGCAGCTCTGGCACCAATCCACACGACGGCACTGGCTCTCACGACATTCCCATGGATCAAGCTGTCTCTCCCAACGTCGATATCGCCCCTTACAGCAGAAACGAAAGGCGGGTCGCCAGGGTGTTGATGGACATGGGGGAGGGGATCCCGACAGACCTTTGGGCTTGGTCTCCCAGCCCTCCCCCGCACATTACCACGTTTAACGTTGCTTCGCCGGTGCCCCAAGCCAGCGCCGCCGTTGCCGCCGCCGTTCCGGCCGCCGATGTCCCCGTCGTCATCAGGTTCCCCCTGGCTCGCACATATACGGATGGCACTGTCAACTCGGATTTCGTCATGTCGCAAATTGTTATCGAGTACCGTCCCCCCATGGCCGGCAACAGGGTCCCCAGCCCAAACCCCGCTGGTACCCGCCAGCACATCCCCGGTTACCTGATCGGCCACTGTCACATCGGCATGCCACAGAGCACGCTCCAGTGGATCCTGGACGGTGTGTTGACTCAGATCGACATTGAAAACGGCGAAACCATCACCGTCAACCGTGTGGGATCCGGCCCGGACCGTGATGGGTACGCCTGGATCCCGTCGCGTTGGACCGTGTGGCCAAGCTCCACACCGGGAGTACACCAGAGACAAGTCAGGTTGCGCGTCTTACCGACTTCTTGCGCATAGCCCAGTGTAGTGTCAAGGGCAAGGCTCATTTGACCATGTGCCTCAGGCGAAAGCTGGCCCCTACCAGTAGTGCCCCGCGGTATCTAGCACCGACCCTGTTCGCACACCGTCTCGTCGGTTTCCGCTTTGACGAGTTCACATCTCAACACTCGCAAATGCTGTGACCCATCCTCCCCCTCTCAACCGCCAACACCTGGGTCGACGGCGTCATTTGTTTATGCTCCACTGCCGTCCTACTGTATACTGTTCGTTTGAGGATGCAAGAGATTGTAACGCATCCAATACTTTCTACACGCATTTAATGGCGATTTTTGTGTGGGTTTCCCCTACTCCTTTCTTTCCATTTTCTGGCCTCATTGTAACCGTGCCGTAGCGTTATTACCCCCGGATTGAACTATAAGGACACTGATTTCGCTTGCTTGATTGACACAGCATTGGTTGTGGGCCGTTGCTGGCCCCATCAGCGTGGACGCTGTTGGCTGCGACGTTGATGAACCGGCCAATTCCGGAAGCGGCCATCGCTGCCACGTTAGCCTGATCCGTCCACCTCACAGAAGCAAATGTGTAACCACCGCACATCAATCACAGATTTGCCACCTCGTACACGCACCATCAATGGTTATGTCTACCCAGCTGTCAAGTCGAATCGACCCCCACGCTTTTCCTCACATTATCGATGCCATTCTCGAACATGCCGCCACGGAGTGGTTCACCATCCGCCTCGTATGCCACGCCTTTAGGTCACGAGTGGACGCCCTGTTGTTCCGACACGTCTACCTCAGTGCGACGGACGCGGACACCCTTGTCTGGTTGCCGTATCGCAAGATGGTGGCGCTACCCTTGCTGGTCAAGCCGGCCACCTGCCAGCATCGCCGTTGGTGCAGCTGCCACTTGCCGGACGTGGCCGAGGTTCTCCCAAACTACGCCTGGTGCAGTACTTCCAGTGGATCGGAGCTTCCATTGCTCTCGCCTCGAGATTTGGTCAAGGCTCTGCACTGCACCCGCGTCTTGACCATCGTCGGTCGCATGGACGTGTTCCACCCCGACTTCGTCGCTGGCTTGACCAACCTCCACACGATTCGCACCAGGCCGCACGTCCACAGAATCTGCCAGCACCGCTACGGCATGCCCAAGTTGAACCCCGTCTCGCCTTGCTTGCCATTCGTTGCTCCTCGGATGGTCGCCTTTGTTGAGCTTCAGAGATGGCCCCTCGTCCGTTGCAACGGGCTCATGTTCAGCCGGCCTATCGTGGTGGACGGAGTGCAACGCCTGGTCCTCAACGTTGCCTTTCAGTCGCCAATGCACAGCAATGACGGCGGCTTCCTTGCAGACATCGACTATCCAGCCAGTCTGCGTGAGGTCGTGGTCATTTTCAACCCGTCTACCACGACCGATGCCTATATAGGCCTTTCCAGTGGCCTGACAATCCAAGCAAGCCTCGAAGCGTCGCCCGATCGCTGGTTGCAAGACGTCGCCACTGGATTGTCCCTTTATCCGCAGATCGACTATTCCTTTGTCGATCTACCTCGCGATGCATGGGGACCGACAATGGAGCAAGTCGACTGGGTCGATGTCCGTGAGGCCTTTGTGGCTGCGCACAAAGCAGCCCTGCATGACAGGGGATACGGTGGTGACGAAATACAGAGTGTATTGCACCGTGTCCGCTTTTTCACGGCCACAGAGTACGCGCAGTTGGTGGGTCAGGAGCAGTACCGGCTCGAGACGGTGAGGTAGACATGCAAGTGTGCAAGTGCGGTCGTCCACGACAGTATCATGCAGTAGATTCGACCCAAGGGGCCCCATGAGTGGACATTTGGTTGTATTTGTTGGGCTTTGACGAGTGGTTCGATATGCAGCTGTGCCGACCAGACCGGATGCGTACAGCCGAGCAACCAGGGTTTGCGCTCATCACATAAGGTCGCAACGCCAACGACAACGCCCACTACTGCATGGCCCCTTGTCTTCTCTGTGCGAGCCTGTTGTGCGCAGCAAGCCTCAGACAGGGCAGCCGAGAAATCAGACCAAGGGCTCGCGATCCCGCGTTAATCTGACCAGGCGCCACCCCGAACAGCTTGGTGTAGCCTACATGCAGTTGCATGTCGACTTGCTGGAACCGGCGTCCTTCATTGCCGATAGATGACCGTTGCGACCCAAAGTCTCCCAAGCGCGACGGCGTTCCTTTGCACCCAGTCGCCGGGAGGCATGTTGGATACAGGGTCGTGACGATCCCTCAATCCCTCAGTGTGCACCAGTCGTTCCCAAGTTGACAGTTTCCTGGTACAGTTCCTGTAAGGCGGTCTAGTCCTGGGAATTGTCACCTGTATGGTTGCTCAGTCTTTCCAGTGGCCAGTGGACGGCCGCGGACTGTCATGACGCCCGGGGCCCAAAAACATATACACATCAAAGGTGAAGGAAACACCGACCGACATACTGCGTTTGGTGCCGGCTCAAAACATACACGATGAGTTACCGACTGAATGCATCGTCGAGCTACGTCTGTAGCAGTGGACCCACAGTCCCCGACCATCGTCGTCTGGTGACTGCTGCATTGGTTGGATGTTTACTGAATCGTCTCCAGAGCGTACTGCTCGACTCCCATGACGGCACTATACTCCTCATGCGTCATGAACTGGATGGTCTTGACAGCCGCAACCACCTGCTCCTCCGTCCACTTGCCCGCGACCAGGACGTTGCGTACGCGGTCATGCACAGTGTCGATAATGCCCCTGTTACCTGCGTGCCCGTTGCTCTTGTTGTCGGCTCCTACTCGGTCGGGCGTCACCGTCCCTCCTCCGTCGGCTGGTCCTACGCCAAACCAGCCGGCATGTGGCTTGGTGACCCCTACGATGGTGTAGCGTACGTGCGGCGGGCCATTGCTGAACCCGTTGGCAATCTGCAGAATGATGTTGTTGAACTGCGCAGTGCTCATGGCGAGGGGGCTCGGCTGCCACTCGTCCGTGTCCCAGGGGGGAGTGGGTGGGCGATCAGGAAGGCTCATAGAGGGGACAATGAAGACGACGTGGCGGACCGAGGCGGGAATGGGTATAACCTGCATGGAGCGCGAGGGCGACGCAGGGTCAAGATGGAGGTTGATAACCAGACGTTCGACCCCCTCGTAGACAGTCGTCTTGAACGCCGTAAACGATATCAACGACCTCAAAGTCGTGGGCCATGTGGAGGCGCGTGGCTGATGGATGGTCGGGTAGCGGTTTCGGATCACTCTTGCGTTGCGACATGCGGGCAAGAGGGAAGCAAGCGATCCGGCGCTAATAGGAGAGACAAAGTCAACGACCGTCGCGATGGACAGAATCTCGTTGATATGCTGTTCTCCGTCCAAGCCACATCCCTCGTACAGTGTTGGGAGGTGGGAGTGAACGCTAGATATTTCCAGGCGCCGGGTACTGTTACCAGCCTCCGTGACGATGATTCGCCCCAAATGCTTGTCGACCACTTTGCGGTATTCTCTTGAGGACGAACGGAGGGCGATGAGTGTTGAGTATGGTGCGTATGCGATGATGGTGTCCATGGTGTGTGTAAAGTAAGAATGAGGAAATGCGATAGTGTGGTGTTGAGCGGAGTCGAAGAGCATCTGGCTGTGAGAATGGCCCGTCTGTGGGGATGACACTGGTCTCTTGAAGAGATACCCGGGGGCTGGTGGTCGCAGGTGCGCGAGGCACGATGTCGCTCAGCGGGATGGTATGACAAACCGGGGGCACAAGAGTCTTGAAAGGAACCGTCGATCTCTGCCGTGGAATGGTTCCCTGACATCCGCACCTGTGGCTGCACGCTGCGGTGCGACGAGGACAATTAACCTTGTCCTTTTACTCGATCGTCTCAAGCACAAACTGGGCGTGGCCCACCTGTTCCCGGTATTCGGCACGCGTCATGAACGTAATGGAAGACAGGGCGGCCGCGGCAGATGCTGGGTCCCTTCCGGACCACTTTTGCAACGATTCCAGGACGGCGTCCAGAATGTCCTCCTCCACCGAGCTGCCGCGGTCCGAGGAAACACCAAGCCACGCCGGCCGCAACTGGTGGGCGTCCACCAGGGTGTACTTCACCCGCGGTATAGATGACGCGATACTAAACACGACTGTGTTGAGCATGCCGGCGCGTCGGGTCGCTTGACGGACTTGGTTGACCTCGTCCTCGCGGTGTGTCGTCTTTGCCGTGAAAATGATGACCATCTCGCGCAAGGAAGCAGGGCAAGAGAACGGTGTGACGTACGCCTGTGAAAGCCAGACGCGCGCCGGATCATAGCGCAGGACAAGGACCGAACGTCCCACACCCTCTGGCGCGGGGCACACGTCGGCAATGGCAGGGTGGTCGTGTCGTTGCTGCCGGACCTCGGAGAACGTCGTGAATGTCACCAGCGTCGGGGCGACGAATGGACACCAGCCGGGAAGCCGGCCACCAGGGTGACGGCGCAGTCGCACAACCTGGATTCCCACAAGAGACACGTCCAGGAGGGACCGGCCCATGGCCTGGTCGCCCATATGGCCGAGCACATCGACGATCCGCGTGCCCCGCAGGGTGCGAACGTATTTGTCCCTCTTCTTCGACGGCGGCGTTCCCTCGGGAGCGAACAAGCCGGGAATGCGGCCTAGCCGACCGGTCACCGCAGCTGGAAAGTGGCTCGTAACCACAATGTGCTCGGCCAGCCGCGAGTCCGCCTCGTCTTGAAACGCGCGCGAGACGCCCCGAAGCGCTATGAGGGCAGACCGGGAGGCTTGGTCGAAGATGTTACGTACGAGGTGCGGGTAACCCTCATGGTGGATGGTTACTGTCTCTGCCATTAGGCAGGCGGGGCGGAGCTAATGGACTGGGGCTCGGGAGACGAACCGCAGTTGATGGTCGACGGATCAACGTGGACCGCTGGCGTTTGTTGTAACGGCGACAGAAGGTGGAAGACAAAAGGTGAGAAATGTTGGGGTGTTGCGTCACTGCTGCACACCCATTTTTCGGCCCGAAGGGGCCCCACATGGTTGTTGACGATTGCCTGTGCTTATTACGTGGCAGCCACTGCATGCACGACAGTGTTTGTCCAGGTCCATACATGCAGTGAACCCCAGCTTTGACGTACTGCGCAGGTACGACCTCAACATCCGTTTAGGTGTCTTGTCCAACAGAACGGCTGCTGTTGTCATCGAGAAAACAGCTAGTGCTACACACCCAGAAGTTGCCGATCCGTCCTGTTCCGGGAGCAGTGGTCGATCTGATCAGCGGTCCTTATGTCATCTGTGTCCCCAAGTGGCACTGGCGGAACCTCTGGGAAGGTGTCTAGGTATCCGTCTAGCTCTCTTGCTCTACGCTTCCCAATGTACAGTTATCGGACGGTCCTGGAAGATGAGTCCGGATCAACAACACTGGTGTTCGGAATGATTCTCGGCTAAACCCGTGGAGACTGGAGACACTCGTGACCCGTTCTGCACATCGGATTCCTGTCTCCAACCACTCGAGCTCTCGGCTTATCTCCTCTCCCCACTCCCTCTCACTCCTGACCTCCCGGGCAGTGCAACATTGCCTGACCGACTTCCGCCTCGCTTGCTGACCCCTTACAATCTCGAAGCCCTCTTCACTGTACTCCACCCTCATCACCAATCTCCATTCCATTATCACCATGGTCCGCGTTGCTGCTGTCCAAGCCGCCTCGGTTGGCTTTGACCTTCAAGCGTCCGTTGCCAAGCTCCAGCGCCTTGTTGCCGAGGCAAAGGAGAACGGCGCCGAGCTCGTCGTGCTTCCCGAAGCGTTTCTGAGTGCGTACCCCCGGCACTATAATGTGGGAGTTGGGTACAGGACACAGGACAATCGCGACTGGTACGGCAAGTACGTCCAAGTGAGTGCTGTTGGCTCGAGGTTGTGTCCATTCACTGGCGGCGTCGGCGTTCACCCATGCCCACGCACACCCTGCTGCATCAGCAATCGATAGGGTCGACCCTATTGCTGTTGAACTACAGTGCGGGAGGTGGGCATACATCCCACCCGTCCAGCTGACCCGACATTGTTTGGTCCCATTTGACTGACCTGTCATCCCAGTCAGCCGTCAAGGTGCCCGAGGACGGTGTCGGCCGCGACTGGAACGCCTCTGCACCCCTCCAGGCTCCCGGCGACGACTTTTGGGCGTTCCAGGTCCTGTGCGAGACGGCCAAGTGCAACAAGCTCTACCTGTCGGTGGGCATCATTGAGCGCTCCCTCACGGGAGCCACTGTGTGGTGCTGCAACCTCCTCTTCAGCCCCGAGGGAGTGTGCCTCGCCAAGCACCGCAAGATCAAGCCGACTGGCGCCGAGCGTGTCATTTGGCATGAAGCGGACGCAGCCAACCCCGTCGCGCCAAGGGGTGACGCCGCCGCCGAGGCGAAGGCTGCGGACAACATGCCAGTGGTGCAGACCACGCTGGGCAAGGTCGGCGCGTTGATCTGCTGGGAGAGTGAGTGATATGGCACTTAGAGATTTACTAACAGGGCAGACTACATGCCTCTCGCTCGCTACGTGATGTACAAGAAGGGTGTCGAGCTGTGAGCACTCTCGGCGCCAAAACTGCCCATGGCCTCTACTGACGTGACGAGGTACCTCGCGCCCACTGCCGACGGCCGCCCGACCTGGGTATCGACGATGCAGCACATTGCCATGGAGGGCCGTTGCTTCGTTGTCTCTGGTAAGCCACAGCTGTCCCTTGCCCCTACTGACTCTTGGTAGCAAACCAGTACCAGGAAAACACCGACATGCCAGCCGACTACCCTGCCAACGCCAACCCGTCGGCGCTGTCGTCGGACAAGGTCTGGTGCCGCGGTGGCTCATCCATCATTGGGCCCCTGGGCGACATCCTCGCTGGTCCCCTGTGGGACACGGAGGGTATTCTCTATGCCGATGTGAGTGGCAGCGCCGTCAAACCAGTATGCGTATATGCTGATGTCAGATCGACGTGAACCAGGTGCTGGGTACAAAGGTCGACTTCGACCCCGTGGGACACTACTCGCGCGAGCCGCTGCTCATGGGCCTGATTGCCAAGCTGTAGCGGGGAGTACATAGTGTGAAATGTTGAATGTATATTGATGTGCTTGTTGAGGCGGCAACTGAAGCGGCACGTTTGGGCAACCAGTACACAAGCTGCACGACGTACATGTTCACCAGTCCAGCTACAGTTTACTACGAGTTGCGAGTTTGGAGGGTGGTTGGGGGGGGGGGGGGGGGGGGGGGTGAGAGGCCTGTGTGTAGCGTGGCGAGAGAACGCAATGGGACATGCCACGAGTGCCTACGCAGGGGTGCCAGGGACCGCGGGGTTCAAGATGAACACTACCACCCCGCCAGCAATAAGACAGTTGCCCAGGAGGGTCCAGCCCCAGCCGCGATAGAGCGCACCCTTGCCTTCCTCTGTGATGATGGTGCGCACAGCGTCAAACACACCACGGTAGTGAGGTCCTGGACGCAGCGCGACGACCTCCTCGTCGGCAATACGAAGGGGCTCCAGGGCGGCGACATCAGGGCGCTGTGCCTCGGTGTCGACGTCGGCGTCGGAGGTCGCCTCTGCGTCGTCGGCCGGCGGGGCATGGTACTCGCGGTTCTCCTGGACCGAGATCTTCATGACGAGCACCTTGAGCGGCACAAGCCAGGCGGTGCTGATGATTGGGAGGGTGACGCCGAGGGCAATGCGGAGGTTCTGGTTGTCGGGCAGGACACCGGGGGCGACCAACACGCGGAGCACCATCTCCCATGCGCTGACGAGAACCAGGGTCGCGAGCAGACCAGGGATTTTGAAGAGGACCCACGGCCTTGAGCGCTCATAAGGCGTCAGGAGCGTGCGGAGGGCTCCCCAAGGTGTGCTGAGAGTGCGGTACGGCGTGACAATCGCCCTGTTGACGAGAATGACAACCGGGACGGAGAGGACGACAGCGAATGGAAGGACCACCAGCGGGGCCCAAACGGCCACGCGGCCTCCGATCAGAGACAGGATACCCCAAACCGCGAGGAGCAGGATGTTGACGACGGCGCTGGTAAGGATCAGGGCGTACACGCCCCTGTACACGCCGAACCAGCCTTCGAGGCTCTTGACGCGGCGGAGGGTGCTGAACACGCCGGTAAGGCGAGGACCAACAAAGCTGGGGGTGGTAAGCAATGCCCCCGAGTCGCAACCACTTACACATCCTCGTCGCCGAGGCTGACACCCTTGGGGGTGTAGTTTGCCCTCACGCGGTCGAGAGCGTTGGCGCATGGGAGGAGGACCAGGAAGACGAGACCGTAGACGACGACAGTGAGCACGGCCGGGACGATGGCGGGGAGTTTCTCATTGGGGTCCTCGAGATACCCTCGACGCGCCAAGGTGTTCGCATTGTTGCCAAAGAGATGCGTGAGGCCAGAAAAGGCCTCCGGGATGCCAAAGTGGATGTGCATGGTGAGTTGGGGGGGGAAAGATGGAGTCTTGCGAACCACCCCCTCCTGTCTATGTATAGGCGGCGACCAGCGTGAATGCGCCACCATGTGCCTTAACGCGAGAGCATACGTCAGTGGTGGCAAACACAGCTTGGAACAACATGTCAGGTGGTGCAAATGGTGTGCCGCACGGCCGCGCGTCGTGCCGAATGGAACATGCTGCATGCGAGATGGTGAGTGCGGGTTTGCTTCGCGGCCATGCTCACGCGGTGTGCTCAGCGCTCGGTTGCGACCTGTTGCCAGTGAATCAGAGTGGGCAAAATCAGGCCGCATTGAAGCTGTACTGTACTGCACAGTGCCTATATGCATGCCTTTGGGCCTGGCGCCTTGACCCTGCTTCCTGGGATGACGCTTATCCGGTTGTCACCACATAGTGTTTGCCCATCAGATGAGTGGCCAGTGGAGTGGATCAGTGCCATCAGCCATATGCCATACACAAGCACCACGGGGTTCAGTGACGCCAATATCGTACGGGAACTGCTAGTGGCCTCAAAAGGGTTCCCACGGACCCTTCTATGCAGAGGGTTGGCGCGGTACGGTAGAGGGATACCACACTACAGAAGTATCTTGTAAAACGTATGAAAAATAGCAGTACACCAATGAAGACGGCCAAGGGCATTGTCTCATTGTGAGCTGGGCTGCAGTGTACGCAGTTTATGTGCTGTACTCACCGCGCTCTACCCCAAACCAGTCATTTACCAGCTGCTTGGCCACCAGTGAGGCAACAGCGTGGTCGGCCCCCACTGCAGCAAGTCCGCATCCACCCAAAGTGCCACACGTCAGCAGTAACCAGGTAGTGACACGCAGGCATGACTTGCAACCGCAATCACTCAAATCGACACCCGTCACAGCACACGTACGTCCACAGCCAAACACAGAAAGGGGTGGCGGAATGTCCGGCGCAGCTTCAGCCAGGTGTGGCTTGCCGGAACTACTGTCAATGGGAACATACCAAGGTGGACATCCGGCGTGTAGACATCCGGCCTTGGTAAATGGGACCGGCACACTGTGCCGGTTGCAACAACAACACCGCTGTCGATCCTGCAGACGCCCGAAGAGGGATGCATCGAGATAAGATTGATAAGATGATTTCTGCGATCGAGTAATGTTTCTAGCGCGAGAACATGACTGCCACCTCCTCCTCCTCATCACCATTTTGTTACACCTCACACCACTCGTCACACCTCACACTACTGCACCACGCGTGCCTCGACTTGCCATACCAAAGCTACATGTCGAGCTTGCACCCGGACCGGGACTTGCTAGTGACACCGGAACACGACCTCCTTTGTTGGCTCATAGTGGTGTTCGATTGCGAAGATAGTTGCAAGAAGAACGTTAGCGGTGCTGCCACCGCGTGGTCCACACCGCGATGGCTTGGCGAGCCTGGTGATCGTCATCGTCGTTGTGCCGATCTGTCCCGTCATCATACCTTCTGCCTGTGGCAACAACAGATTCCAGCAGCAGCAGCACGCACACGCATTCCTTGGGAACGATGCTAGCGTGGCCATGCATCGGGTCGCAGTCAGCTGATCGCTGATCGCTGAGGACTGCGCAGTACGCAGTAATGATTCGACTCGATATGCTGGCCGCAAAAAAATCGTTTCCGCAGTAGAGCCATAATTCGGAAGGAGACGGGCTATAATGGCCAAAAATTCGGATCTACCGACGCATGCGGATCATCTCACGATCTCACGCCATCAGTCGTCTTTATCTATTCGACATCTGCCCTGGTGCAGACCTTTGCAGTCCTGGCCTGGACGCTCACAGCAGCAGAGCTTGCCGCCTGGCCGCCTGTGGCTCTGCGCTCTGCCGGGCTCTGCCGGCTCTCCCGGTCCTGTTACCCCTGTAAGGGATCGATCAAAGCTGCGACTGCTCTTCCGGTGGCAGTCTCGGTTCAGTCGCCAAGCAGGCACGCCCATTGGCACACGACCTGCAACTTTTCAGTTCTGACCGTTGGGATGACGGGCGGTCTCATCAGGCATATGGCGGTCCCTGGGGCCCAAAGCACGCAACGCGCTCTGTATGTGCAACTGGATCTGTGGAAATGCTTCACGGAGTGGCCGCAGGAAAAGCCAGAGGCCAGAGGCCGGCGGCATGCATAAGGCCTCGCTGTGAACGACGTCAGAAGCTTTCGTTCATCCCCCACTCCATCTCACACCACCAGAACATGGGTTACACAGGCCTCATCGGAAAGGGCAAGGCCTCCGACGACGACAAGTCGTCCAGCAGCAACAACGACGCCGAGGCGGGGCGCGTCAGCCTCCACTCGATTAGCAGCGACGACAATGTCGAGGGTCGCAGGAAGATTGGCCTCATCTCCGCGACCGCGCTCATCTTCAACCGCATGATTGGAACTGGGTGAGTACAGAAACCAGTCGCCAGAGTCGCATGTGTCTGACACACCGCCAGTGTGTTCGCTACGCCCAGCACCATCCTGGCCTTGAGTGGCAGCGTGGGCATGTCGCTCATCATGTGGGTCATTGGCTCCATCATCGCCGCCGCGGGCATGTGGGTGTACGTCGTCTGGGGTTCCGCCATTCCCAAGAACGGAGGCGAGAAAAACTACCTCGAGTACCTCATTCGCCGCCCCAAGTTCCTCATTACCTGCGTCTTTGCGTCCAACGGCGTCCTCCTCGGCTGGGCCGCCGGCAACTCGATCGTGTTCGGCGAATATATTCTCCGCGCCGCCAACCAAGAGAACCCGGGCCAGTGGACGCGCCGTCTCGTCGGTTTCGCTGGCATTACCTTTGCCTTCCTCCTGCATGGCACAAACGTCCGCGCAGGCCTGTACCTGCAGAACGTTCTCGGCATTTTCAAGTTTGTCGTCCTCCTCGTGGTCATCATCGCCGGATTCGTGGCACTTGGGGGTCACATGGCCGTTCCCAAGCCCGACAACTTCACAAACGCGTTCGAGGGCACAACTGCGAGCGCAAGCTCGTTCTGTTTGAGCTTGTACAACGTCATCTGGTCGTATGTCGGCTTTTCCAACGTCAACTATGCGCTTTCTGAGGTCAAGAACCCCCAGAGGACGATCCGTATCGCTGGCCCGCTCGCCATCGGCATCACCACCGTGCTGTACCTTTTGGCCAACATTGCCTACTTTGCCGCCGCCACAAAGGAGGAAATTACCTCCTCGGGTACCCTCGTGGCAGCTCTCCTCTTCCGCAACGTCATGGGTGCCAACGCCGAGCGCGCCCTGTCTGTCTTTGTCGCTCTGTCCGCGCTTGGCAACGTCCTGTCGGTCATCTTCTCGCAGGGCCGCGTCAACCAGGAGCTCGGCCGCGAGGGTATCCTCCCCTTCTCCAAGTTCTGGGGCAGCAACAGGCCCTTCAACGCTCCCCTTGCCGGTCTCTTCCTCCGTGAGTTTGCCATATACTCGTGCACAAGGAACTTTTCGCTGACCTGTTCCAGACTGGGCCATCTGTCTGATCACCATCTTCGCCCTGCCCGCCGGCGACGCGTACTCGTTCGTCATCAACACCATCTCGTACCCGCTCTCGGTCATCAACGCCGTCATCTCCTTTGGCGTCGTGTACCTCCAGTTCTTCCCCTACTCGGACTGGCGCAAGCCCGGCTGGGTCGCCGTGGGCGCGTCGGCCTTCTTCGGCGCCGCCAACGTCTTCCTCTTCATTGTGCCCCTCACCCCGCCCCCGCCCGGAGGCGAGCCGTACAAGACCATGCCGTACTGGACGCACGCCGTCGCCGGCTGGGCCGTGTTCGGTATTGGCTTCCTGTACTGGATTGTCTGGGCCAAGATCCTCCCGCAGGTCCTGGGCTACGACCTCGTCCGCGAGAAGGAGGTCGGCAAGGACGGGCTTACCCGTAATGTGTTCAAGCGCGTCAAGAGGGACTAGAGAGGGATGGTTTAGAAAGTAGAAGTGTTCACGAGTTACGACTTGACGTCAATAGTATATGTACAATCCGGGTAATGAGATTTCACATAGATTCATTTTCACTGTGGTCATGGTGCACGGAGGGGGAGTTGAGCGAGTGGAGATATGAAAACAGGGAGCCAAGTCGGGTTTGTCTGTGGTTACACAGTTTCAGGGATGTATAAAAGGTGCGAGTGACGGTGCGGGTCAAGAGTGCTGGGGCTTGCCACCAGGCCATAACCATGACACGAGTGTGTGCTGCTGGGGGGGACTTTGTGGGCCTGCGGATAGCGGAAGGTAACGCGGTAAATGAGGTGGCGACGGGTGTGCCACATGGTACCCAGCGGCAAAGATCCACACGTCAGGATAGTCGTCATCTCCCATAGCTTGAGATCTTAGGTGGGACGCCACCAGGAAGGGGAGCGGACCGTCTCCAGCTGAAACTGCTCATCGCTCACTGTCTTGCGGTAGTCGTCCACCGTGAGGAAGTCAAAAGTGCACGGCTCGGTCCAGTCGTCCAGATTGGGACCAACAGCCACTTGTATGCAGTGTTTTGCAAAACGCTCTTGGGTGGGTTTTGTGCCAAAGGTTGCGGTGCACGTTTCGTCCAGGTTGACAATCGTAAAGTGAATAGGGCCGGAGCGCGGAGCGAGCTCATAGTAGAGCTGCAAGTGCAGTGTAAAGCCTGCTCTCGATGTGGCAGCAGTGGCGAGTTTGCAAACGATCGAAGCCTTGGATGAACGAGAGGAGCGATTGATAATGACCAAATAGCGCTTGCTAAACCACGCTGCACCATTTGTACCGACGTTGAGAACGAGTCGCTGAAAGGTGTTCTTTGGGAAACGCAATTTGGTGACTTCTGATCGGTCGGAGAACAGCAGCACATGGCAGAAGCTGATCACCTCTCGAGCGCCGAAGAGGTAGCAAGTGGCATCGTTGGAGCACGTTAGCATGCGAACTGTTCTCAGGTGAGGAAGCCACTATTTAAAGAATTCGTGGGTAGCCGCTGTCTGGTCGCTTTCCGTGTCGATGATCCTTGTGTTCTGGATGGGCAACTGAAGCCAGCAAGACCGAGATGCTGATACAAGCAAGTCGCCGAACGATGGGCGCACAATTTCACGGCCGAGCAGTACGGTGCGTTGACCATCGCCACGTAATAGAGGCAGAGGGCCCAAGATGGATTGAAATCTGATTCCTACGTCGTAGCCATCGTCGGTGGGGTAGCAAGCATGCTCAATCATGATATGTCGAACAAGTATCTTGTGGACCCTGGTCTGGATTTCTTTTGACGTGGCCCGAAACTGGAGAAGAACGGGATATGTGGAAAACGATATCACGAGGTCGACGAGGTGAGGAAAGCGCAGTTGATCGAGGACGCAGCCGTCCAAACTGAGGGAAGCCATAACGGTAGCTTGACGCTGTTTGTGGGATAATGGAGGTGAGAGAGGATATGGGTGATTGAAAGGTGGTGAGAAACAGAGCAGCAAGTGAGTGAAGCGTCAGTGCGCACATGCGCATGGGAAAGGGGCGCGTGTGACACTGACGAGAGCGACGCCCATCAGTCAGTCGTCCGCCAAGTCGTGAGAGTTGAGTGCGGATCAGTGGATCAGTGATCAGTGGCGTCATGTTCTCCAAGTCTCTGTCCATCAACCAGGAGAATGAGGTGTGGCCAAAGATCACAAGTGGCATAGTATGTAACAATGACATGATGGTGCTCTATTCACATGGTCTCATGTCCGTCCGTATCTGCTTTCAGAGGTCGCATGTCCACTCATCCGGAAAGACGGTCTCGAGTTGAAACTGCTCATTGCTGATGGTCTTGCCGTACTCGTCAACCGACAGGAAGTGAAAGGCGCATGGCGCGGTCCGATCCTCAAAGCCGACAGACATCTGTATGCACTCCCTGGCAAAGCGCGCTTGGTTTTTGTTGAACATGTTGGTGTTGGTCTCGTCGAGGTTTACAATCGTGAAATGAGGCGGGATAAGGCTGGCAGGAAGACCGTCGCCGAAAGATAACCGCACTTGAAAATCGACGTCCTCGGAAACGGTGGCAAGTGTGCAAACGATTGGAGGCTTTGAAGAACGGGGCGGCTGATTGACAATGAGCAGAAAGTTGGTGCTAAACCAGTTTGGACCTGGGTGCCCGTAGACATGAACATTTAGCACGAGACGTTGAAACGTGCTGCTGGCGAACTGAATTGGAGCAAATTCTAGCCTTCGGTAGTCCGATTTTGTGAACACGGGACAAAAGCAGATAATGTCCGGAGCACCCAGGTTATGGACAAAGAGATTGAGGTGGTCGCTGCGAATCGTTCTCAGGCAAGGAAGCGACTCCTGAAACGCTTCGCGAGAAGCAAATGTGTCGTCACATTGTATGTCGATAACGGCCGTGTACTGGGCAAGCAAGCGTGTCCACTGCGGTAGAGGATGGAGGCCGGGGACGAAATCGATAACCGGGGGAAACGGCAATGGGCCCAAGAGGGATCGAAGTTCAAACCTTTCCCTTGGCAGAGCAGCAAAGTCGGCGGGGCGGTTCTCAATCACGATATGCCGAAGGATGATCTTGTCGACCTTGGTCTTCAATTCCCTTGACGTGGCCCGAAACGTGATAAGAACGGGATACGTTGAGAACGAGACCACGAGGTGGACGAGGTGAGGGAAAAACCGATGATCGAGGGCACTGCTGTCTGCGCCATCGGCAGCCATGGTGGATACGTGTTGTAATACCGCTCTTGATGCCAGTGGATGGACAAAAGCGAAGTGTATGTCAAGAGATGGAGGTGTGTGAGAGACAATGTCGGTGATGGTGAGAAGCAGTGACCAGAGTCCAGTCATCAGGGGAAGAGGGCGCCGGTGACACAAACATTGGCGCCAGTGCCGATCAGTCGTCCGACGTCAGTCAGTCAGCAGCGTGTACGCAGCGTTCTTCTCTCCATTCTCTCGTGTCTCATCGTCTCCATCCATCCAACCACTGCTGCCCCCAGCTGCTCAGCGCCTTGGTTCAAGCCAGTTCAGCACATCGTCCGATACAACCAACCAACCAGCCAACCCATTCCTCCCCCCCCCCCCACGCCTACCCGGCTGTATCCACCGCAAACTGGCCCTTGCCCACCAAATCGCAGTACTCGCCCCGACTCAAGAAACACAGCTCTGGACGCACGTCTTCCATCCCCTCGTCGTCGAGATGGAACTGCTGCGCGAGCCCGCGCAGCTGCTCGTCCACGGCCGCCACCGTCTGCTTGCGGACCTCGTCGGGCTCGGCGCCCGGCAGGCCCAGGCACACTGGGTCGAGCTCGTTGAGCCCCACAAACGTGTATTTCTTGACGAGGATGTGCCGGCCCATGGCGTGGATGATGTGGTGCAGCACTCCCAGTGTGTCGGACGACTCACACGACCACAGCTTGGGCACGCGCGACGTCATGGCCAGCTTGGTGAAGACGATGACAAAGTCGTCGAGCGTGTCGGCCTTGCCGTACGGCGCGATAAAGGACGCCGGCAGCGTCGGGTCGCCGTTGGTGTACGCCACATTGACGATGAGGCGGCGGACGTGCGCTGGTATCGTCGGCAGGCGCGGGAGGAGCGTGCGCGGTCTGCGGGCGGGCAGGAGCGAGCTGAAGACCACCACCGTAGGTGTGCGGAGGGGACACGAGGCCATGGCGTCGTCGTTGCCGCCGTCTAGGCGGAGCACCGTCGTGCCCGGCATGGCGCGCGAGAGGGGACACAGGACGTCGGCGGTCATCCGCCCGCGAACGTCCACCACGCGCGTGCTCTTGAGCACGGGCGCGCACCGGCCCAACATATTTGCAGAGCGGGTGTCGTTGAACAAGACGTTTTGGCCGGCGAGACACGGGAGCCGGCCGCCATCGGCGCTCTTGACGCGCACATAGTCATATCCGCTCGAATCGGAGACGAGGTCCAGCACGACGTGCTCGGCGAGCAGGGCGTCGGCGCGGTCCCGGTATGCACGGCACGTTCTCCGCAGAGCGAGCAGCGCAGGACGGGGTGCGTATGCGAGCACCAGGTCGAGAATGTGTGGGTAGCAGAGATGGTCGATGCGGACAGGCGGCAGGTCGTCGGTGACGCAGGCCGCGACAGTGGCTGTGGCTGTGGAGCTGGCGTTTGGTGGGGTATTGCTCGGATCTGACATGGTAGCCAACGAGCGAGTTGTCGCCACCGGTACACCCTTGTCGCTTATGGGATAGTGGGTAAAAGACAGGTGGGCTGTGAGACAAGACGGTCAAGGTGTCAGTGGGCGTGTGGAGCGTCCAATTCACGAGAAACAGACGTGTCTATAAACTACTCGATCTGTCATACCCGCGCCCACACTGGTTGCTCTGGCCGACAGGGAACGCGAGGAATGCCATGTCGGTGATGATATTCCGAGGGTGGGCCTCAAAGTGGAGGCGGGGCACCACTGGGGATCGCGCGGTTATCACGGGTTGTCTACTAAATGACCAAATGCCAGCCAAACTCATGAATGGCGTCTCGCCTCCTTCCCACTGTTCCATCGACTTGTGAAGACGGGTGGGTACACAGAATGGACAGAGGGCAAGGACAAAGGAGAGAGATTGCTCTCTGTAGTGGCGCAGAGGCCATTCTACGATACACCAATCACCCTGACGCTTGGCTAGCATAAGGCGGCCTGGGCCGCGTCGGGGACAGTATCCTGGGAGGCGCATGCACAACGGCACGTGTAACACAGAGTGTCGGCGTAGTTCACACGCACACAGCAAGCAGAGACACATGAGCAGGAATGGAAGGTATGACGTCGTCACAGGACCAGATCTCGGAGCGGAGACATGTGTTCATCTTGGCGCCCGGCAGAGACCGGGCAAGGTTGAAAGCAAGACATGACATTCGATAAGCGCACAGCACAGCACTATCATGAGCATTCGATGGGGGCTGATCACAGTGTCCGTCCACATTAGTGTTCCCCATCCGTATCTCCTCGTCCGATGTCCGGGAGCAGGCCGGGACTAGGTCTAAAGCAAGAGTAAGACGCGAGCATTTTAGAGGAGGATGGCGACGCCAGCGGCGGCGAGAATGGCACCGGCGACAGAGGCGGAGAGGGCGCGAGCGCCGCTGGCCTTGCCCGTCTCTGAGCTGGCAGCCGACGTGGCAGCAGCGGTCGAGTTGGCCTGGAGGTCAGCTTACAACTTCAAGGTGTGTACACAAAGCTGATACTCACAGAAGCGGAAGTAGTCGACGCGGCCGAGCTTGTGGTCGAGGTCGAGTTGCTCGCGTAGGTGGCCTGGTCAACGCCCGAGGGGTAGGTCACGGTGGTGGGGGTGGGGACGGCGCCAGTGAAGCTGGAGGGGAAGCCGTCCTCGACACATGCCTGGGCGAGCTGCTGCTGGGCAGCGTTGAGAATGTCGATCTGGTACTGGGTGACAGTACCCGCGGCGAGCCCGTCAATCTGGGTGCAGTTGATGCACACCTGCAGGTTGGTGAGGATGGTACCCTGGAGGTGGTCAGCCGGTGTGAGCAGTGCAAGGCGGTCAGGGCAGGAGAGGGTGTGCAGTGTGGTTTGGCAGTGGTGGCTGTGGGAATGGTGCAGCGGTTCATGGAAGTGCCGTCCAACTCCGCGAACTGAAGCGCACAGCTGCAGCTTGTCCAGCGCAGGGAGGCCATCCCCCACCTGCCCATCTCCTTTCCACACCATGACACCATGCACGCCGCCAGTACGTCCATCTGCGCCGCACACTGCGTGCATGCAAGCAGACAGCAGACCACAAGTGCAGTCCCAAACCCCTCAACCGGTGGCGTCAAAGCCTAGGGGACCGGCGCGCGGCGGCGTTGCAGGGGCCATGAAGCCGTAAACGCGTCGGCGGTCCATCCCCTTGGAGGGATGGCCGGGATGGACAAAGGCGCATGGCGCACGGAGGAACGAGGGTACGGTACGGGCACCGCGTTGGGAGGTGAAGAAAAGAGAACAGGTGGTGGGTGCAGTAGTGATGCGGGCCGCAGTCGCGCGCGTGGGCATGTTGGGTGATGGTGTTCACACCACGATCCCTCGACCCACCACGACACATGGCCACATTGCTCGACGGCCTTGACAACATCGGCGCTGCCAGTTCCGCAGTCGAGGCTGCGCACAACCGCGGATCGCCTAACCGCGGATCCCCGCATGCCACCCTCTCCACCCTCGCTTCTCGACGCACGGACCAAGTCCTAGGAGAACCAGAACCACACACAAGTACACAAACACGGCGCGCACAACTCACGTTACAGGCGCCGGCACAGGCCGAGTCCGAGGGGTTGCCGGGGCAAGTGCCAAAGATGGACTTGTACGTCTCGCACTGGGTGTCGCACGACGACGGGATGGCCGAGAGCGGGAACGACGAGTTGTCGGCGCGCTTAAAGACGTTGATGGGGACGGACGCGGCGGCGACTGTAAGGGAGGGGTTAGTTTATTCCATGGGATCCATCATCACTCGGAATGTGCTGGGCGTGGGGAGACACATGGATGGATGGACGTGGATGTGTAACGTACGCGTTGCAGAGCCGAGGAGGAGGACGTTGGCGAGGAGCATGGTTGTGGGTATGTGTCTGTTGGGTGACAATGGAGTGAGAGAGAGATTGAGTCGAAAGAAGGCAAAACGTGGGGGAGGTAAATGAGCCGTTGGGATTCCGGGGTTGCTGGCAATTGCTCGTTGTGTCTTTTTGGTCGGCACGCGCAGGATGTCTTGGCCCGAGACGGCAGAGCTTGGCACCCACTCATGCCACTCAGCCATCCGTCTGACACAGACGACACACAACACGTGCAAATGCATATACATATATGTACACAGCTTCCGATGCCTGCCGTCGTGTCTCGGTACATGCATGTAGTTCTCACCTACACACTTTCTGCCTTCCAAGAGAAGGGGGGAGGGAACTCCCAAAAGCTCTGCACGTGACTTGTTCGCGACGCGCGACGCGTCCCGCCTTGGCGCGGCGGCTGCCATCCGCGCTAACGGGATTGGTGGGCCCACCCACTCGTCATGACCATCCTGACAAACAGCAATGTTCAGGCCGTTCAGGTCAGGTCGTTCTGCGACATGCCGTGACGGTACGTGACGTGCGCCTGTCATATCTTATCTCCTGCCTGGCACAAGCATGTACATACAGTACATGCATCCAGCCCTTCTGCTGTCGGGCAACGCGCGTACGAACTACGGGGCAGCCGAAGCCGCAGCCTCGTTCCTCGCCCGCACGTCATACCACACCACCGCGTCCTCGGGCTGGACGTCGCTGTGCGCCCACCGCCGCACCCCGTACCACCAGCTCAGGTCTGCACCGCAGTGGCGGCAGAGGGCGAAGGCCCAGAAGAGGTCGGAGCACGGCTCGTGGTAGCCTGTCGGTGGGATGTCAGCTTGGTTCCAGGACGATTGGGGGACAGCTGCATAATACGAGGGACAGTGTCGTGTGTACACTGCCAACAGGGCTGCACTCACGGTGACGAACGAGCTTGGTCTGCGAGTCCACGGGGCAGACCCACAGGGATTCGGGCCAGGGGAGGTTGCGCAGCGTCTCGGGCGTAGGCAGTTTCGGGGTGGTGGTCATGGTGATTGATGGAAAGAGGATGAGTGTTAAAGACAGGTGTAGGGGATGGGGGGAGGGGGATTGTGCTGTGGTGAAGCAGGCCTTGATGGTGATGGACATGGAGGCCGGAATGGGACCTGGAAATGGAACAAACACGGCGGCGCGTTGCTGATGGTGGTGATGATGGACCTGTGGCCTGTGGCACCGCGTCTTCAGAGGCAAGTCTCCTTTCGGTGCCTGTCCTGCTGCTCGGTATTCTCGTCTGGCGTGAGGTTGGGAATCGTACCAGTGGCCCGCTCATCGCTTGGTCTCGAGCAGGAACTGCGCCTCGCCAACCTCCTCACGGTACTCGTCGAGGGTGAGAAACCTGACTTTTTTGGCCACTCGCTCCAGGGCCTCCGCTTTGGACATAGCGCTGCGTCGGTCAGGGCCGCGGGGCCGCGACATGTCGGTCACCAGGCGATGGATGAGAATGTCCTTGGCAGTCGCATCCGGGGGGTCGCCGTTCGCGGCGCCAAACCAACTGCGACGCACAATCTCGTAGTTGACAAAGGTGTGCGGGTGGGACGGATACCCCTTGGTACCTTCAATGGGGGTGATGACCGGCCAAAGCCCCGGGCTATTCGCACGGGCAAGCCTGTCGTCGGCAGTGAACTGCGGGTTCCGATCTTTGGTGAAGATGAGAGTGACAGGGCAGATGGGCAACATGAGCTTTGACCCAAGCAGATTGTGGTGACTCGTGTCGAGGGTGATGTTGACAACGAGCCTCTGCGACGTTTTTGGATACCCGCGAAACTGGGCCAACTCCATGCCGTAGTCGTCTCGAGGCGGGCGAAGGCGTACAAACAAGATGCATTCTGTGGGGCCCAGGGGCGTACCCACGTCGAGATCATGCTTCTTGTCGTCTCTGGGGAACAGGCGAACAGTCTTTAGAGAAGGTAACTGGTTTGTCCTGACCTTCCTGTCGTGCGGGTAGGTGATGTCCACGACTTGCGAGAAGGGCAGAAAACGGTCGATAATGTGAGGCTCGAGGGGAAGCTTGAACAGACTGCTGTCGTTACGAGGACAGCCTTTGGACGAGATTGATCCCAACTTGGCGTCTCCTTGGGGTGCATCGAGTTGGATATGGTACGCAAGAAGAGGATCGACCTTGTCGCGGAGAGCTCGGCAAGCGGAGCGGAGGGCCAAGTTGCTTGCGAGGTCCGTGTGCCGCAGGATACCATCACAGATGTGAGGGAACCACGTTGCAAAGAGGTCCTGCGGGGATTCGGTTGCATCGGTAGACATTTTGAGATGGTGGACGCGGTTACTGCAGAAGGTGCCGCGGGAGAGGAGCTATGGATGGAGCACCGAGGGAGGGAAGAGTGAACGGTAGAAGACACAGATGGATCGATGCCGTCGGCTGCCGCTTTTGGTCCCGCGATCGTTGATGTTATCGTCCGCCGCGTTGTAGCAAGATTCCTTATGTTACTTCGTTAACATTACACAAGGACTACATAATGGTAGCTCTTCTCGCATGGCTGGGCACAGCGCCCAGTCTTCTTCTCACATCTCCGTCTCCAGCCTGGACTGTTTGTCGCCCACCTGTGCCCGATACTTGTCAAGAGAAAGGAACGACACAGACTCCTTCAGATGCTGCAACGCCTTCTCCTTGGCGCCAAAGGATGTCGACGGACGCGGAGGCGATGTAGTCCATGTCCTTGTCTCGTTCCGCAACAGCCTCGCAGCGCCGCGGTCAAGCATAATCTCCGCCGTCGAGGCCACAGGATCGTCGCTGGGCTGGAATCCAAACCAGTCACGAGGTATGATGTCGAAGTTCACAAAGGTGTACCGCGTATTTGTCTGGAAGGCAGCGTTGACCGGCCACAGGTACATCGTTTCACCCACCTGATTGTTGAACCCAGCCCGTGGGACGGTGGTGCCGAATTGCGGGGCGGGGTCCGAGACAAAGATAAGGACCATGTGCTTGAGGTCGTTGGGAAGGTGATAGAATTCCAAACCCCTGGGAAGGCCGTAGTGGGATACATCGATGGTGAGGTTGAGGACTAGCCGCTGAATGGTTTTGGGGTATGGAGGAATGGGGCAAGTGCAGGTTATGTTTGGCCCCACCATCTCCGGAGGCCCCATCCGCGTAAAGGTAATGTACTCGGACGTCTGGAGCACAGATGCCAGCTTAGCATTCTGTCCAAAAGGAAAGTCTCGGACTGTCGTGAGAGCCGGGCAAAGGTGGGTCTTGATCTTGCGGTCAGGAGGATATGTCGTGTCCACCACGCGTACCAGAGGGAGATAGCGCTCGATCATCTCCGGGTTGAGCGGCAGCCTGAGGGGTGTGCCGTCGTCGTTGTCAAAGGCACGGTTCTTGGACAGAAGGTATCCTTGAGGGGAACCATCACGGGGCGGATAAATGGCTATGCGTTCCATCAGTTGCTGATCCAGATGATTCTTCATCGCTCGGCACGTGCCCCGAAGCGCCAGTCTTGCTGAAACCGAGCTGTACCCGAGGATGGCGTCGAACAGATGAGGGTAACAGGCCACGTCGAGCATGTCGGCTTGCAGTGACAACTTGGATGCGGGTGGCAAAAGGGGGGGGGGGGGGGGGTGTAAAGGCTAACCAGACGTCGGTGGTTGATGGATACAGGTGTTGATAGTGAGTGTAGTGACGAGAAACCCTGGTCAACGGCCACCGGCAAGACTCCTTCCTGGTGGTCCTGATGTGGAGCGGGGATTGTAGCAGGACGGATAGAGGACGTCAGAGAGAATGCGTGATTGGGAACGACGAGTGTCAGGTGTTGGAAGGAGAGACGTTTTTTGCCTGCCGTGTGCTCCCTCTTGCTCGCCGGATGGCGGGCCGTCAGGTATATCAGGGGCCCCATCACACACGCTCGCGCCTCGTCCGATGACGCTCATGCGTCCACATCACCACACCATGGCATGACCGCAACATTTACACTCCAGTCTCCAGAGCGAAGCGCTCCCTTCCAACCTTGCTGATATACTCTGCTACAGTTAGGAACTCTACACCCTCAGCCCACGATGGTGCGACCTCTGATCTGGGCGCCTCCGCGGCCACCAAAAGACGAAGGTACTCGTGGCCCAGGACCGTGGCGTCCTCTTGCATCCCTAGCCACTCTGGCCGAAGGAGCTCAAAGTTGACAAACGTCACTGCCAGGCGGCGCCCCTGCTCGGTCATGGCCTTGGCCAGGGGCCGGAATGTGCCCATAGCTGGCGGGCGGTACGCGCTCCAGTACCACCGATCCGGACCCAGGGGGGTGGCCGAGGACGCGTCGCGAAAGATGACGGTGCAGTGCATGTCGTCGGGATAGCCGGGGGCGAGGTCGACGCCTTCTGGCCATATACCTTCACTTGTATCGACGAGGACGTTAATGACCAGCCGCTTGAGGGACGGCGGGTATGCTCGTGAGCGGTCCACTATGCCACATGGGTGGCGGCAGGTGGCGTAGATGATGTACTCTGGCGCGTCGAATATGTCCAACTGGGACTCGCCGGCGTCCCACTCGGGCATGAGCCGGACGGTCGTCAGACGTGGCATGTTGGTAGAGGTTACCAAGTGCCGTGTTGGTAGCCCGGAGGCTGTGGATGGGTCGACGATGCGGGCAAAGGGCAGGAAGCGAGCTACGACATGGTCGTTCAGCGGAAGGCGCAGTACTTGGGCAGCAGTGTCGTCGTCGGCCGAGGGGGGACCGTCAAACGTGTACTTGGCTGCCGAGATGAAGCCCTGGGGGAGTTGGATTGTGGCTTCGTTGAGGACTATGTGACTCCATAGCTTGGCGTCGATGCCATCGCGTGCAGAGCGGTTGAGTAGACGGAGGAGCAATATGTCGTCGGCATATTCGAGGAGCAGGTGGAGGATGCCGGTGAAGCCAGGTGTGTCGAGGTGGGTAGGTTCTTGTGGCTGGAGCGGCATGGCGGGAGGCGGCACCGATGCTTCTCAGATGTGATAGCAGTCGAGGGGAAGGAGAATGGAACAGTCGTGAGGAGTGAGTACACCGCTATGTGTACAGCGCAATGGTTCCCACCGATGACAACATGGCCAGATGGTGCCTGGACATGCCGTGATGCCATTCCTTCCCATTCCGACCTATCCTGGTACGGTCTCCAGCTCGAACTGCTTGTCCCCGATCCGTACGCGATATTCCTCTAACGACAGGAACTCGACGCCATCTGCAACCATCTGTACCGCCACGTCCCGCCACTCTGGTCCCATCCACGGCTCGGGATGGGTGGTAGTCAATCGAAAGGATTGGAGTACATCGTCGACCAGGACCTGCGTGAGCCGCGTCTTGATGTCCACTGTAGGTGTCGACGTAAACTCGCGCCCCAGCCACTCGCGCACCAACATGTCAAAGTTGACAAACGTAAAGGTCGTAAACCCATAGCGGCATTCAAACTGCGGCGGAGCCGGGATACGTTGGCCCATGAAAAAGCGTAGTTGGCGGAGGATATTAGTGTCGCCCCAGCTGCCCAACAGCCTGTGCAGCTCTTCCTCTGGGTAAGGCGCAGGGCATTCGCGGAAGATGACGGTGAGGTGTTGGAGTGTGTCTGGAAACAAGCTGAACACGAGGGAGCTAAACATCATGAGCCGGTTGGTTCGGTGGACGCTGGCGTTGATGACGATCCGCGTGGTCTTGGCGTGACACGGTCCCACACAGGCATTCGTAATGGCCCCCATTATGCCAACTCTGGGAACTAGACATGTGAAGAATATATACTCGGTAGCAGGGAGTGGAATGCGTGTAGGACCAGGTTCTGCAGGGATGCCACTAGCCCCTTCGAATAGCCGCACAGTCTTAAGGTTGGTGAAGAACGGACTCAGGTCGGTTACGTCTAATCGCTCCAGGATGACGCGATCGACAATGTGGACGTGCCGAAGGAGATGCTTCTCAGGATTTAGGACATAGCCGACCGGGAAGTGGAAGCGGTCTGGCCGGGTGGGCGAGGTGCCGTCCAGGACTACGTGGTGAAAGATCATAGGGTCTATCTTGTCACGGAGCGCTTTGCAGGTTGAGCGGAGGACGAGCTTGGTACCTATGTCGCTCAGGTCAATGACGCTGTCAAGGATGTGAGGAAAGGAGGAGGCGTCCAGGCAAAGTGCCTTGGACGACATGGTGGTGACAATGCTGATGTGTCGATGTGTGGACGCGAGTCGGTGAGAGTACAGAGTCGGGCTGAAGATGCTGCTTGCTGGGCACGTAGCCTGACACAGCCGCGTACAGCCGTCTATATCGGGGACTTGAGATCCATCTTTCCATTCAGCTTGCGGCGCCACCGTCATGATGTCATCACGTCGTTGACGTGTGTTTGGTTCCGTATGGACCACACCCCAGTTGTCTGATAATACCGGCCTCAACATGGTCCACCTCTATCCATTGCACAGTACACAAGTCTACACTTTCTAATGAGCAGCAAGGGGCCTGCGCGTCTGCTTCGGCGCATCCCGTCCGGGGACCAGAACCCTGGGGGCATTGACCACACCCACTTCCTCCAGGACATACTCCTCTGACCACCAGTCCAGATCCGAGCGCCATGCGTCGGCGCCGATCCAGTTGGTCTTTCCGGGCACGAGATGGATGGGGCCAAACGCGTTGTGGCGGTCACCAAACGCTGTAATGTCCAGGCGATGGGTGCCGGGGGCAAGGACGCCGAGGAGACACGAGCGCGGTTCCGTCATGATCAAGGCGTGGCGCTTGCCGTCCAGATCAATGGCGAGCAAGGGGGAGGCAAAGTGCGCCACGCGTAGCGCAAGAGGGGTGCTGCCGTCCGACTCGAGGCTGCAGTGGTATGTCGTGTTGCCGGTGTAGAATGGCAGTCCCTGGCGAGTGATGTCGCCCCACGCCAATGGTTTGGCGGGGACAATGGTCGACGTACGACCGCGGACGTCGACGCCAAAGTCGCCGAGAACATAGACGCGTTCAAGGGCCGTGAGCGGGCCATACTGGTACACGAGCTCAAGGACGTGTTCGCCGACAGCCAGGTCCGGGAGTGGGATCGTGCGGATATCCCTGTCAACCCACCATCCGTCCGGAGAGGACGGAACGGGCGAGCCGTCCACCGAAATGTCGACTTGATGCGGGACCTCGATGGCAAGCTTGGCACCGACGACGGCCGCTTCAGAAGCGAACGAGAACTTGAGCCTGAGCTCGCCGACGGGAGCACGTTGTTCCTGCGTGATGGTGTACGGCTGTGGGATCTTGGCGCCCTTCTTGAAGAAGCCCAGTTTCTCTCGAAGACTCTGATCAATGGCCAACACCTCTGTGGTCGGTTCCCATGTTCCATTCCAGCAGTACTCGGCATGGTCCAGCAGAAGCGCGTTTGGTTCCGAGAGCGTAGTGGAGAGGAGGGTCACATCCCTGTCTTGCTTGAACTCGGTGCGCAGAACGATTTGGGGCTGCGGGTTGGTCCTAGTAGGTGGGTGGAGGCGGAACAAGCTGCTCTCGCAGCCGTCAAACCAGTACGTGAACTGGGTCGAGCCTGCGGCGCTGGTCGACTCAATGTCCCAGGTCTTGCCAGTCAACGTATCCAGCACCTCGACAGCCCATTCGCCGCGCAGGCTGATGTCGACAGGGCATGATTCCTTGCGGTCCGTGTTGCAGATGAACAGGAATCGGTCCTCGCCATCTTCACGAAGCTGATACATGAGAGAGTCGGCGCGGTGACCTTTGGTACGGTACAGCGTTGTCTCGCTGATGCTCATATCCAGATCGCGGTAAGGCTGCAGAGCGGTGAGGATTGCACCACGGGCCCAGCGGAGGGTCTTGCCTGGGAGCGACACTGGCTTTTGCAGGGGCTGCGCGTCGATGAGAGTAGGCGTGCTCCCAGCCCAGATGACTGTACCGCCTGCAGCTGCGAATGCCTGAAGCCTTTCAAGGGTGGTGGACCGGATAGTCCGCAAGTTGGGCACCACGACGACCTCGTAGTTGCAGTCGCCGACGGGGAGGGTCTTGCCGATGTCTGCCACCTTGCACTGGCGCGGGAACAGGGACTCGGCGATGAAATCGAAATCCACAAGGCCAAACAGCAACCAGTTGGTCAAGTCTGAGAACGCCTTTTCGCGCTCCTCGCATTCGTCGGCGTTGGCATCCTTGGGGCCATTCGCCAGCCAGTAGCTCTCCACAGGGTGGATGACGGCCACGCGAGTCACAGCTTTGCCTCGTGTGAGCGCCGAGTTGACGCGAGCAAAGTGGGTTTCCATGGTGTTGTACTCGCGCCACCAGGGGGACTGGTACCCGATACAAGCAGGATAGTCGCGTTTGGCCTCGCCGGCCATGGTCGACCAGAAGAGATGCGGAACGCGGAAGGTCACGCCAAGCGCCGCTTGCCAGTCACCTTGGCCCTTGTGGCCTTCAAACGTCCATCTCCAACCTGTCACGCCGTACAGTTCGGACATGACACCAAGTCGACCTTGTTGGCGAGCCACGGAACTGGCCTGTTTGGCAGTGTTGTATTCCTTCGAGTCGCACAGAACGTCGATTCCTGGGATGCCCATGTGCTCGTACGTGCGCATCACGTCGCCAGTCTGCGCTGTCTGCGAGCCGAGGCGGGGCTCGGCATTCATGTGGCCCGTGGAGAGGATACCGTTCTTGGAACACCACTTTGCAAGCTCGCCAATGTAGTTGTCGGCGAACAAGCCGGCAACGTGGTCGATGAACTGGTAGCGGGCGAGCGCGTTGCCATCGCCACGGTCGTAGATGATATCGGGCAAGATGTCGAGCAAGTCAGTGCCGTGTGCGCCCTTGAACGACTCGATGATCCCAGCCGTCCAGGGCAAGAAGACGTCCTGCTTTCCGTCCCCAGTATCCAAGGTACTGATAGGGCAGTACTGCGGCTCATCGGTGAACATGGACGGCACAGTGTGCCCAAACTCGTCTCCGACCTTGTCACGATACACTTCATGCGTGAGGTCGATGAAGCGGTTGGTCATGTCGGCACGTAAAAGGTCAGGATACGTCTGGTTGCCAAAGAAACCAGAGTCGGGGAGAGGCTCAGCATAGGCATACCACAGCCTCTCTCCGGCAGCAACAGACTCGCCGTCCTGGAGTCTGCGCGACGACGCGAGGGTACCATCTTGCAGGCGGATAGCGTATCGGCCGAGCAGCGTGCCCAGCTCGCTACGCACCGGCGCAGCGTTGGCGATGGGGAATGTACTGCCATTAGCACCAATCCCACACAAGCACCACTCACGGTGGGGTGTACCCAATCTCCTCGCCATACGCCCACGGCGTCCACAGCAGGTGCAGTCCACGGAGCTCGGGATGACCCTCCAGGACTTTGCCGCCAGCGAACCCACTCGGCCAGCGGTCCTCATCGTACAGACACGCCAGCATGCCCTTTTCCTTTGCCTTGTCGACACAGGCGCGGACAAGACTCATAAACTCGTCTCCCATGTACGGGATGTCGAGCCCCACACGCGTGTGCATGTGGAAGCCGCCCATGCCCATTTCCTCAAACATGTCGATCTGGGCCAGCGTCGGCTCGAGCTTTTGGGCCGTCACCCAGCCCCAGAATGGCGCGCCGCGGTACTCGGAGGGCGGGGAGGCGAAAATAGATCGCGAGAAGGGGGCCGAGGACGTGGGGTACGTCAAGGGATTGGCTGTCGTTGCTATCGTCATCGTGTGGTGGTTGTGCAGGTGGCAGGTGGGAGAATGGAACGTTCAAGTGTGGAGAACAAAGTAACTACGACGTCCAGAGCCTTGGGAGCAAGAATCGCGGGGCTATGATGGCCCGAGATGAGTCTAGGACGAAGGCTAGGACGAATGATGCCCCGCAGACTCATGCGTACGCGCAGCGCGAAGGTGACGGACAGTTCCGTCACTGGTCGGAGGATCGGTGCCGACCACCGGCAAGTCACCGGGCCGCCGGCCCCCACCATCATCGGCAACATCTTTCGTCCGAGGATGTTCCTACTGCCCAGTTTCTCAGCACTGCGGCGACTCGGTCCCGACTGGGCAACCTCACTCGGCGCCGAGTTGGTGTTCTGCGCTGCACCTCCAACCCCACATACAGGGCTCTCTGTCCACGTCTTCGCGTGGCCGGAGGGTTCCATGGATTCATGTGCGCGGGCCCCGCTGCCGCGGATTTGACCGACCCGCGCTCACCAACATCCTCCAAATCCACCGACCATCGCCACCTGCCAAGCTTCTTGTGCCTCCTGTTGACCAATGACCGACTAATATGTACCCGGAGATGACTGCAGGCACGTCGCTGGCGACCCCACGGGTGACGGTGCGCAGTACATAAAACACAGGACTCTGAAGTTGGCCCCAACAAGTCCCCGTGGAGCACCTTTTACCCCTTCTAACCATTTCTGAACATGGCGGAAAAGGACATCACCGCCACCGAGCTGACCCATGTCGAGTCAGTCGGAGTCGACAAGAAGGACTTTGTATACGATGAGGAAGTTATTATGAAGTCGCCATTCGACGACTTTGGCGCATGGAAGACGGCCAGCCTCTTCCGCTACGCGACGTTTATTGCCCTTGTGGCGGCATTCTCCGCCTGTGCCGAGTGAGTCACTCCCGGAATGCAAGCAAACAACCTGGCTGACACTTCCAGTGGATACCAGATCGGTATGACGGGCAATATTGTCGCCAACGCTGGCTTCATAAAACAGTATGGCAGCGACTACAACGCCAAAGGCGACCTTATCCTCGCCGCCGACCGCGTCGCCGCCTGGGGAGGCGTGCAGAGTGCCGGCCAGGGATTCGGCATGATCAGCATGCACTTGTGAGCATCCCTCTTCTGACAGAAGCGCTGACATTAGCGTTGCGGATCGCTTTGGTCGCAAGATCTCCTTCTTCTCGCTGTGGGTCGTGCTCGTCGCCGGCGTGGCATGCGAGACATTTGGGAGGATCTGGCAGACATGGCTCCTGGCCAAGCTCTTTTCAGGCTTCGCAGTCGGCTCAGTCCAGTTCCTCACTGGAAGCTACATTGCCGAGATCTCACCGGCTCGTATCCGTGGTTTCTTGCTCATTTTCTACTCCATCTGGTGAGTTTCCATCAACCGTCTCCACAGGAAACTGACAGAAAGGTATGGCATTGGCCAGCTGTTTGCCACCCTCGGCCTCAAGCTCCTCAAGGACCGCGACCCGTACAACTACCTCGACCTTATTTACTCCGAGTGGGCCATGGTCGGCATAATGTTCATGGTCTACCTGTACATTCCCGAGTCGCCGTACTGGTGTGCCACGCACGGTTTCCACGACCGCGGTCGGGCCATCATTGATCGTCTCCACGGCCGCATCGACGGCTACGACGTCGACTTCCACTACTCCATTGTGCGCAGGACTGTCGAGATGGAGCAAAAGGCCGCGCGCGAGCTGCATGGCGAGAGGAAGTCGTTCTGGCAAGATATCCTGGACACGCGCGAGATCTTCTATGGTGTCAATGGAGTGAGTTCACTTGCGAAGGCTTCGCTGATAACAGTTCCGTACCCTCGTCGCTTTCATGCCTGCGGCTACCCAGCAGCTCACCGGTCTCCAGGTGGTAAGCTGACCTGTTTTCGCCACCAGCTAACACTCCAGCTCTCCAGCTACTCGAGTTACTTTGCCCAGCTAGCTGCCTTCGCCGACCCATTCATGTTCACTCTCCTCCTCTCCATCGTGGCCATCGTGACCACCATTATCTGTGCCGTGGTCGTCGACTTCGTTGGTCGTCGTAACCTCTTCCTCGGCTCGACACTGGTCATTTGGTGCTGCCTCATGATCATCGGCGGTCTGGGTCTGATGCCCGAACGCAGCCACTCCATGAACCAGCTCACTGTCTTCTTCTCCCTCGTGTGGCGCATGGGATCGACCGTGCTCGGTGACCTGGGATGGTCGTATGTGGCTGAGACGGGTTCGATGCGTCTGCGCGCCAAGACGGCAGGCTTCTCGGCCGCCGGTGGTGTCTGCTTTGGCCTCATTTTCAGCACTACCGTTCCCTACATGGTATGCTACTCCCGCTGCTGAACCAGTGCTTACTCCAGATCAACGCAAAGTACGCCAACTGGGGTCTCAAGACCGCCTTCTTCTTCGCGGGTGTCGGAGCCCCGTTCTGCCTGGGCGCCATCTTCATCATGCCCGACACGTCGCGTCGTACTGCTGCAGAGCTGGATGAGATGTTCGAGAAGAAGATCAAGCCATGGCGGTGAGTTGTTCACGAGACCTTGTGGGTGTTTAAACAGATGACTGACAGAGTACAGGTTCCGCTCGTACGTCACGGACGCTCAACGTGCGCTCGAGGCCGAGCGTGAGCGCGTTGGCACCAACGATCCTGCGGCGGTCATTGCGGCCGCTGCCAGGGAGTCATGAGCGGGAAATTAGGTGGATAATGCTGCAGAGGGAAAGAACGGTATTGTAAAGGGAATGCAACAATGAAGCCAACATTGAAAAACTACGCACCAGGGCCTGGGGGGCTCAATAAAGATCAAGGTGGGGCGAAGGGCTGGGGGGTTCAAACATATGCCACATACCCTCACCCGAGAATTGACTGTCACCAGCTTGTTTCCTGTTCAGGTTCCCTGTTGTCTTGAAGATTATCCTGGTGCCGACCCTTTCAGATACAGTGACCGCGGGGGGGACTGCATGGGAAGGTTTTAGTGGTATTGGATGTGACACAGCCGCAAGCGGCGACGCGGCATTTTATTATAATATTAAATTCTTGATCGTATAACGGTTAGTATGCTCGCTTGTCACGTGACCTACGTCTCGCGGGAGATCGGAGTTCGATTCTCCGTCAGGAAGTTCTTTTTTGGGCTTTGGCAAGGCTCGTTTTGTTTGGTGCGCTTCTAGTTTATGACGCGACCCCTCACAGTACTCAGTTCGATTCTCACCCAGGTACCCAGATTGGCACTGTTTCTCTGTGTGTTGCTCGACAAAGTCCGGAAATTGCCAAGCTTGTGACGTCATGCCACACCCGGAGCCATCTTGTTGAGAGCAAGATGCAACAGCAAGTGGCAACGACAGCAGGTGATGGGGAACGCGGGTATTGGCCGTTGGAGATGGGTTATGGGTCCCAGCATATGCAGCGGTGGTCAACGTCAGTCGCGTTTTTGACTGCGGGTTGTGCCATTTGCATTTTACCACAACAGCCCCTGGCGGCGGCGGCGGCGGCTGCCTCCGCCTTTTGAAATGTGGGCTGTGCTTTTAAAGAGTGGGCCTTGGCTCTCACAAGCGAGTGCCTCTCTGGCGGGTGTCCCGTGATAGCATGACGCACTACTTTGGGTGTGTCGTGACGGCGGCTCGGCGCGCGCTGGCTGTGGGTGGGCCCGTTGGCTGGCCATGGCTGGTGGGGTCGACCGCGGGTTGCGCCGGACCAGCACAACACAACCCCCTCTGGTTCACCTCCTACTACTGAACCTTGGTCCATCCGTCTCGTCAATGCCCACTCCGCCCACCACACTACCTCTCCTGCAGCAGTCTCCATCATGAAGAACGAACTCGACAGCAAGGAGGTCGAGTTTGGGACCATTGACCTCTCCGACGTTCCAACCTATCAAGTCGAGAGCACCGACACGCCAGAACGGCGATCCCTCGGTGGCGATGAAGGTGGAATCTTCAACGACCCGCGTGAGTAGTGCTCTTGTTGCACACCCGCGCTGACATGCACAGAAGCAGACGGGCTCCACCGGTCCCTAACATCCAGACACATCACATTCATCGGATTTGGGGGCGGAATAGGTGTCGGTGCGTTGTTGGAGCACGTTGTTTATCAAAACAAAAGAGACCCAGGTTGGCCCACCAACGCTAACACCTTGCAGGTCTGTTCGTCGGTATCGGCCAAGCCTACGCTATTGCTGGACCACTCGGTATCTTGCTCTCGTACGCGATAACGGGTACTCTGGTGTGGTGTGTTGTGAGTAAATGTTCAAGCCCACACAGGTACACAGGGCTGATGTTAGATCCAATCAATCGGAGAGATTGTTACAAAGGTGGGTTTCGTATTGCGGCCTCGCTCGTGATGGCAAGCGCTGACCACGAGTAGTATCCGGTGGACGCTAGCTTCCCCGGGTTGGCGACACGCTTCGTAGAGCCGGCATTGGGCTTTACTGTTGGTTGGACCTGTGAGTTTTTTTGGGGGCGGAGGCGCGTTCCTAAGATGGCCGTGCTCAGCTAACCGTCGCCAGACTGGTTCAACATGGCCATTTCAGTCGCAGTCGAGGTGACTGCCATTGCCGTCCTGGTGGAATACTGGACCGAGAGCATCAGCTCTGCCGTTTGGATCGCCATCGGCCTCGTCGTCATCTACTGTGCCAACTCGCTCCCTGTGCGGTTCTACGGAGAGACCGAGGTCTTTACTGCTTGCATCAAGGTGATCACGCTCATTGGACTCATGATCTGTGGTCTTGTCATCACATGCGGCGGTGCTCCCGACCACAAGACTAGGGGATTCGAGTACTGGCGCAACCCTGGTCCAATCAACGAGTTCCCTGGTATCAGTGGTGACCTGGGACGCTTCCTGGCCTTTTTCTAGTGCGTGCGTTGTTTATGCCCTGCGCTGACCCTACTAGCACCCTCACGTCTGCAGCCTTTGCCTATGGTGGTGTAAGTCTGTCCTAATGCGAGCTATTGCGCTGACAGAAAAGACTGAAGTCATCGTGCTTGCTGGCGCCGAAGCCAAGAACCCGTCAACGCAGATCCCAAAGAACGTCAGGCTATTCGTCTACCGCCAGCTCTTCTTCTACGTCGGTGGTGCTTTCATGATTGGCCTCATGTAAGTATACTCCAGTCCCCATCAACTGACATACCAGGCTCCCTTCCGACCAGCCTGAGCTTGTTAACGGAGCTGGCAACGGCAACTCGTCCCCCTGGGTCATCGCCATCAAGCTCGCTCAAATCAAGGTGTTGCCGTCAATCGTCAATGCGGCGATTATCACGTCCGCGGCATCTGCAGGAAACACGTACCTGTACATTGCCGCACGCACCCTGCGCGGATTAGCCCTCAATGGACACGCCCCGAAATTCCTTGCCAAGACAACGAAGCGTGGTGTCCCGTTGTTCGCTGTCGCCTGCTCGGCGCCGATTGGACTGCTTGCCTTCCTCAGTTCGGGAAGTGGTGGAGCTGCCCAAGCGTTCGATTGGCTCCAATCGCTTATCGCCCTCAACAACACGCTCAACTGGGGTGGGTTCCTTTGTCAAGCGAGCTCTTGCTAATGTTCAGGCATGCTGTCGCTCGTCTATATTCGCTTCTACAAGGCCATGAAGGCACAGGATATCAGCCGCAAAACCCTCGTTTGGCACGGCGTTTTGCAACCTTACGCCGCGTGGTTTGCGCTCGTTTTCTGCATGGTCGTCTGCCTCTTCAAGGGCTTCCCCGTGTTCCTCAGTGGGAGGTGGAACGCACCGGATTTCGTCGCAGCGTACATCAGTGAGTGCTGAGTCGCTCAGTGATCAGGGACGCGTCCCGCAAGAATTGTCTGACTTGTTCTTTTTTAGGTTTTGTGGTATACATTATACCATACGTCGGCTACAAGCTGCTCAAAAAGTCGAAGGTGGGTAACATGGCAACTGTCCACCGCCAGATGCTGACGCGCTGCTAGATTGTTCCCGTAGCAGAGGCCGACCTGAATTCAAACATCATCAACCCCTGGGATATCTCCGAGGAGCGGCCCGCAACGAAATGGTACCACAAGGCGTGGCGTTCCGTCAGTCAGTGATCAGTGGAACCAACTGAAACGGAGACGTGGGGGTTTGGCGACATCACACAGGAATATATTTAAACAGACCCACAATTTTGCCCAAAACTCATTGTATTCGTACATGTAACAGCGATTTATGCGTGCTGCTACTACCGCCAGGGCACACGGACAGTTGTATCAAGATCGGATGGTGTCGAACTCACAGCCTCACCTTGACGCCCTGATCCCGGCTGCGAGCTCATCGAGGCCAGTACACTCCACGACAAACCGGCAACAGGCTGTGAAACGCCTCTGGATTTTGGCGCACCGCTTGCATACACGTCTACAAGCTGCATCAGTCCGCAGATCAACACGTTCACTGCCAAACGAGCCGCTATCCTGGAAGATGTCGTGCCCTGGATCTGCAAAGGACCACACGACACTCAAGGGCCATCAGTCGCGCCTGGCCGGGTCCTTGCCCTGGGTGATACTGGCACTTTGTTTGATGAGTTGTAACAGGTCTACACTCACAAATTGGAGACACATACATGCACTGATGAACGGAGGCCACAGACACTTTAGAAGCGCAGACGTATCTAGACCTCTCAACAGCCACTCCTACCATGACTATTCCACTCCAGGCCACCACAACTCGGGACGCTGCTGCACCACCAGCTCGTGAACCACTCTACCAGCGTCTCCTCGATGCCGCGCGCGACCGCCATATCACGCCACCCATCACCCGAAAAGACACTGTTGCATGGAATGGTTGCTCCCCCGGCAATGACGGCCACACGGATGGTCACCCGCAGAGAGTCACCATTGAAGCCGCTGCATACCCGCACCTCATCGACAACATTATCCGCTACTGCGACCGCCAGACACTGTGGTCCATTGCGGCCACTTCGCGACAGGGACTCTGGAGCGCACTGCGCCATGTCGCTCAACATGTCACCTTGACGGACCTGCAGCCTTCCCGCGAAGAGCGGTTTCGCGCTGGGCCAAGGGCGTGCGGTGTAGAAGTCTGGAGCCTGCTCGGTCTGCTGGTCATTACTCTCGAGACAGACAAAGGTACGAAACACGCTTTCCACTGGACTGTTCCCGCCACAACCAACCCAGGCGACACTGCCAACTGGAGCGAGACGCTGCTCCTTTTCCTCTTGACGCATACAAAGATTGTAGACCTCGAAGGCCACTTTGGCACGACATGGAACTGGGTCAGGAAGCGCCCCGTTGCGTTTCCAGCCATGCTCGCTGTGGCTCTCAGCGGGGTCCACACGGCACGACTCTTCCTCGAAGCGGGTCAGCTTCTGCACGAGTGTCCTCTGAACACCAAGACGCTGGTCGTGTTCACCGCCGCTTATCCCCAACGCCAACTAGCCCAGGGATTAACGGACATTGTCCCGGACCAGGTTGAGACGTTGGTGCTCACGCATGTGTTCCACGACTGGAGTGTCTTCACCCAGGGCCACATCCGCCGATTCCCGTACAGTGTCAGCCTAACTCTCAAGCGAGTTGTGATTGTGTTGAACATCCGTGAGACCATGGACAGGTTGTCCCATCATCCTGGACTCTTTGCGCCACAGCGACAGCAGTTCGGTGTGCTGCAGGGGATTGTGAGCGAGATGCAGCTCTGCCTACCGCACATTGCCCACACCATTGTGGTACCGGTGACCATTCACCCCAACCTACTCTGCCAACGTGCGCCGGCGTCGTTCGGAGAGGTGAGGCAGAGATTCTACATTCAGTTGGCTGCCCAAAGACAGATAAGCATGAGAGCTGCGGTATCAGTTGTCCGCCTCCTCTCCATGGACGAATACCGCTCGGAGACGAGCGCGCAAGACTTTGAGATAGAGACCAATCCTGAGACAGTTGATAGATTGTGGATGTAGTATATTCGTCGACCCGGATATGTAGCTATCGTTTCCACCCTTCAAATGCGTGTCTTGAGACCTGGATGCCTGTGAACAGGGCAGTGACACGTAGAAGGAGGCTCGGAAGATTGAGGTAGTGGAGTGCCACAAAACGATCCGCACGAAAAATTTGATCCCGCCGCGCCTCCTCTCCCTCTGCCATCCACCACCGACATTGCCCAGAACATCCACCTTCCGCGTCCAAAAGCAACACCTTCAACGCATAGCAAAAGAGAATCGTTGTGGACGAGTTAGGAATCGAACCAAAGACCTTGTCAAGTAGGGTAGAAGATGCTAATGACACGCTCTACCAACTGAGCTACACGCCCAACGGAATAGTGATGTTGAGGCCGTTTCCGCGCGGATTTTCACTGACAGGAGAGAAACAGATGCGTTGAAGCGACAGTCGCCGAAGCCAGGCGCTCCGAAAGAGAGTCTCGTGGACGTCTTGGACCTCCTGGGAGGTTACTGAATGCTTGGGCGGCACAGACATGTCCACACGCTGTCATGTCGTGACGTGACAAGAGCTGCCAAAACTTCATTTCCTTCACTTCGACGATGCCATTTCTTCACCGACCGTCCAGCCAGCAGCCTGCAGCATACCGATACCCCAGCCTGCGAGTCGGCATTCCATTCTCGCAGGATCTCTGACCTTCCGGCGCGTTGAAGGACCACTCGCCGTCGCTGACAACTGGCAATGGTGGCCACTCGGAATCTCCGGCAAACCCCTCTCACTCCACCGGGCCGCCTCCACCCACCTTAGTCACAAAAGCACGACATCGATTTCACTACGTCATCGGCGATTTTAATCTTATCGCCCCAGAGCGCCAGAGCTCCAGAGCAACGGTTTAGTCAGCCGTGTCGCATTTGTAAGCCCGTGACCACCAAGCACGAAATCGCTCAATGTCTGCTGGGCAGTTAAATACCGAGGCTCCCACGGCAACGTAGCCTCACCACAGCATCTCATACCATCATCTGTACCACACGCCATTCGCATTGAACTATCCCAAAACGTCCACCGCATCACTTCCAATAATCTCACGTCTCGCCCAACTGGCGCGCATCGCACCCACAGCCCACTTCCCCCGCCCAACACACCACATACCCGCCATGACCGTCACTGCTGCCCCCACCGCCTCTACCCACTCGACCTTCCGGTACCTGGACCCCAAGAGCGTCCAGCCGGGCAAGAAGCTCTGGTCCAAGGTCGACACTGGAGGTTACGCCGGTTTTGGACGTGTCATCCTTGACCGTCCCGTGTACAACGCGCGCGACAACGCCGCCGACTTCCGGGACGTCGACCGCACCGGCTTTGCCTTCCACGAGTACCCGTCCGCGATCCCCGGTGACCGCGTGTTGGCGGATGGACCCGAGGTCCGCGGCGCGTACTATGCCGAAGTGGAGGCTGCGCTCCGTGCCAAGCTCTCAACAGGCGACAAGGTCAAGCGCGTGATCATCTTCGACCACACAATCCGTGTGCACGACCCTGCCGCGGCCCGCCAGCCCGTCCAGAGCGTCCATGTCGACCAGACCCCCGGTGCCGCCGAGACGCGCGTGAGGCGGCACGCCGGTGCCGACGCCGACGAGCTCCTCAAGGGACGGTACCAGCTCATCAACGTCTGGCGCCCGCTCGAGCACGCCTCGTCCGATTTCCCTCTCGGCGTCATCGACTGGCGTACAGCCAAGAACGCCGACCTCGTGCCCACCGACCTCATGTACCCCGTGCGTGAACCCGGAGACGACGGTGACGACCGCGGAAAGGAACGTCTTCCCGACCCCAACACGTTCGACAGCCTGGAGGGCTACCGCATCGGCGGCGAGACGTACAATGTCCTCCCCAACGACACGCACCGCTTCTACTATGTCAAGGACATGCAGCCCGAGGAGGTCATGTTCATCAAGTGCTTTGACTCGCATAGCGAGGACAATGGCGGTCCCGAGGGCCTGGCCGGTTTCACCCCGCACACGGCGTTCATCGACCCCAAGACTCCCGCGGACGCCAAGCCCCGCCAGAGTATCGAGGTTCGCTGCCTCGTCTTTTACGATTAATTCTTAAAAATGTAGCTTGCAATGTAACAGTGTGATCATATGTGATGTGGGTTGCGGCCATCCGTGAGCAAACGTGATGAGCATGAGTTAAACATTGTCGGGCAGCGTGGAGCAGCGGAGGGAAAATGAACGGGAAGGGAGAAGTTGCCGGAGGGGTACCCCAAGTCGGTTGCCACCATGTTGTCCTGTCATGAACATGACATGCAATGTGGCTTGCTGTTCCACCCATCTTGGTACAAAGGGCCGTGTTATGCGAGGTTACCCGGTGTCTTGGACAGGTCAGCGCGTTAGCAATGTAAGCGCCTTGCGTCTCAATAATGCGTCCGAACGTTGGTGTATGAGCTTGTCGCCGATATGCCTCATTGTCTTTCCTAATACAATAACTGCCAGCTATTCCCGGTACCGCTTCCAACGGACATCCCCAGTGGGCCAGTGAAGGTTTGGTCCCCTGGCGGGCACCTGCTTGCGGGATCCAGCACCGTTACTAGCAGCCGCAGTGCCTATCTCCATGCCATGTTGTCTACACGACCTCCCACTCGGTTGTAACCGACTCATTCTTGCAGGCCTTTCTCACGGTAGCGGCCATGAGTGGGGGGCGGGGGGAGGCAGCAGCGTTCGTTCCCCTGACGCCAGGTGTAAGACCACTGCGCTCATGTCGATCTTTCTGGGGACCGAGGTGCCTGCCATAAGCCTATGTCCCCGCCGAGTGGCACACAATGGCTACGCAACCGTGAATGCTACCTGGATCGTGCTTTCGACTGCGGATATCCCGTTATTGAACTCGTCGCGAGGCGAGTGTGTGAACAGGTCTTTGCATTGGGGTCTTTTCCCTACATGTCACCAAGAGTTCAAGCGTCCAAAGTGGATAAAAGGCGACAGCATCGCGACTCCGATCGACTTACCACCCCGGTGTCTCGTTACTCCACCCCGTGAACTCGTCCGTAAACAAAGCCCAGCGAAGACGACCAACCATGCGCTCCGCCATTCTTGCCATCCTCCTCGTCACCATAGGTGTGGCCGCAGCCCCTCTGCCTCCGGCAACCCCGCACCCTCCTCGTGACGCCGTCGGCGGGAGAGCTCCGAACCCGGGCGACCCCGAGATGCAGAAACGGCTCAATCCGCGGCCACCCTCCTACGCACCGCGTAGGGCTGTCCTTGTCCGTTCTGAGGACGACAATGAGAAGGGGCTCGAAGCTCGGTTTATCGGTCTTGGGCCCGGGCTCGTCACTCCTCCGCCAAAGACTGACCACGAGGGCGGTTGGCATGACAAGCGCGATGGGCATCCTGGAGAGACTCACAGAGGTCCAAGCTCCGATCCACCTGCCAACGCTGGGCGTGGCAGCACGGCATGCCCTGCTTCTCCTCCTGGAAAGCGCGATGCCGGCGGCGACGTGGAGGCACGGTTCATCGGTTTGGGTCCCGGTATTGTCGAGCCTCCCCCCGACGACAAGGCGTGATGACAGCACGGTATGGCTGTGCCATGCCGGTAGGCCTAAGCCTGTGTCAAGAAAGGATCAGCAGTCACTTCGACTGCTCCTGTTGTATATTTCAGGTCATCTGTATACGTATGCTATAGCACATGCTATGTACCCAAAAGTACGAATTACAGAAACAGCTACTATACGAATGGCATCGCAGCTCTTGATGGATCGGCTGGGTGTTCAAGCTATTTTCTGAAGTATTCCATCCATCCCCACTGCGCCACTGCCCAGACAGGACGTAACCACGCGGCTGTGGCAACAGACTCAGTCTCGAAGGAACACTGAAACCATGTTGCTTGAATACTCCGGGAACATGCATGTCAGTACGGTACACGCATCGTCGGACACGGGGATGCGTACACCAAGGCCTATCATGACAAGCACTTGAGAGTGCCTGGACCGATATCTCGCGTCGGTATGTGTAGCTTGTCAATGTCCCAACGCCAACGTGATGGCTTGGCTACACAGCGTCCACCCTGCACCACGGAACTGGGGCTGAACCCGGCCGCTTGCCGTGGAATGATACATGTTATATAGCATACTATTGCGCCTGTATGTTGTTTGAGTGTCCGGTAAAACAAAAGTGTCCAATGTTCTCTCATGAGAGTGGGGGAGGGATTCGTGGTGGTGGTGGTGGGATGTTTATGCCAGCTTGCCGAATGCCACAGAGGGGGGGTTGTACGAGAAGACCGAGTAGACGTTACGCATGAACGGCGATCCGACGACGTACGAGTATCCGTTGGCGGACGAGTCGGTGCACGAGAACGAGAGGATGCAGTTGCCGGCACCAGGGTGGTAGTACTCGGGCGCGTTGAAGATGTCGCGCTCGGCCATGGGGTACTCGACGCCGTTGAAGGTCCATGACAGGGACATTGTCTGGTTGCATGGAACCATGATCTGGGTGCCGTAGTAGGTGCCGTTGACAATGTCCTTGATCTTGTCGCAGAGCACAGGGCCTACACGGTTACCCTCGTTGCCCGAGTCGACAAGGGTAGCATAACCCAGCGACTGGTTGAGGGGGAGGTCGACGCCGTTGACCTTGATGCCCTGGAGGTCGACAAGCCAGCGTTGCGGGTCCGACGTGACAAGGTCCATGGTGTTGAGGTCGCCCGTGTAGCGCGACGTGTTGATGCCGCCAAGAGTGAGCTCGCCGGCGTTGTAGGTGGTGCCCTGGCCGACGTTGCTCATGTTCACACCGGCCGGAATCGTGGGCTCGCCAAAGTAGATGCCGAAGCGGGGCTCGGGCCAGTAGTAATGCGCCAGGTCCATGCTGAGTGACGTGTTGGTGGTCAGAGGCCACAGCCAGCTCATGCCAAAGATGCCGGCAACAGTGTCGGGGAGGTAGTACCAGAGAAGGGAATCCTGGACATTCATCCAGGTGAAGGCGATGGTGTCGGAACCGAGACCGATCATGTCCACGGCCTCGACACCAGAGCCGGAACCAGTGCCGTAGTTGACCTGCACCGACTTGTTGTCGCTCTGGTAGGTGGTAGACTGGTCATAGTTCAACACGGAGTGTCCGTTGGTCACGCAGGCCTCGCATGCGTCGGTCAGGACCACGATCTCCGACGAACCCGTGTCGAGCAGCAGCTCGATATCCTGAGGGGGAGTGCCGATCGTGACGTTGACCGTAAACTGCTGCTGATACGCCTTTCCACCAAGGATTTCAGTGTCGTTGCTTGCGTCAACGGAAGAGGCACTGCTCTCGCTGTCACTGGAGGTAGAGCTGCTGTTCGAAGCCTGGACACTGCCGCCAACAATGACGGGCAAAGTCTTGACGTTGGCGAGGTAGTTGTAAGGACGGTACAGCTTGTTGCGGAAACCACTCTTCACGTTGAGGGGCAGCACAAGCGGTGTGGTGCGCTTGGCGAAGAGCTCCTTCATGGGAATGGCCTCGACAGCGGGGAGGACAGCCGCGAGGGCGACGAGAGCGGTGTCAAAGCGCATCGTTTGCTTTTGCTTTTGGAGGGGCGTAAGAGTGTCGGAGGCAGTGTCGGTCGTCTACCGGATCTCGAAGCGTCGAGGACTGTCGGGAGGTGGAGAGAGGTCGAGGGAGGTCGAGGGTGTCGCACACACAGAGATGGTCGAGAGAGTTGGGCGGAGGGAGAGGTTAAAGGACGAGATCCGGGGAGCAGTGGTCTTATGAACGGCCTGCACCTGCCGGCCGCCAGCCAAGAGGGGCAAGCAGCAACAATGCGCAACATGGTGTTGTTTGACGTTTACCCCTGCAACTTCCCCTCGGCAGACGCGCCTTTTCCCAGTGCCTTTCAACGCGCAACGCGCGCCAGAACCAGAAGCCATGCATCACCTCACACAGACCTCTCGGTATCGACACGACACCCACCTTGACGACACGCTACCCCCGCCCTATGCATGCAAAAAACCCTTGGCGCGCGATTGGAATTGGCAGGTACTGCCTTTTGGGGAAGTGCTAAATGACCGCAGAGGAACGGCTTGTCCCTTTCAATAGGCTACCTCGTACCACTCGATATTGCCTGTTGGTGCCCGCTGCGTACTCTGGTGTCCGAGATCAGTCCCTTTTCCACGATCAGTACAATGTTGATTCCATTGGAGACGACGTGCATCCTCAGCCACACCCAGCCCCCGCACATGGACACGTTTGGGTGGCCCCACAATGCGCAATGCCAAGGCACCCCTTTTGACGACGGCAGACCCTGCTTACTCCAAAGCAGGACAAGCCAAGAGATGGGCAGAGCACAGAGCGCAGAGCGCAGCTGGCCCAGCTGGCGGTGAGCTTGGGCAGATGGCGCTACTGCTGGCGTGGACGCGCCTGCGTTCATGCGTTTGGCGCCGTTGTTGAGACCTCGCGCTCGAACAAAACTCTGAAACGTTACGTCTCAAACGCTCCCGGTCCCGTCCAAGGGCCAAGCTGCCGTGGCGAGAGCAAAGCATTTGCCCACACGACCAGGAAACCCAGATGCGCGCGGACCATGCCACTTGTGGCTTGTGCAAGGCCCATGCATTTTGGTTCGTATGCGGGCTCCGTAGAGACTGTGCAGTTGTCTTGTTTCGCGAACGCACCGACGCGCACATGGTGTCGTTGGGGGGGGTCTGTGTCTCTGACGCGGCGGCGTTGGCGGCCCTGTACCTGCAAACCTGGCGCTAGCCGCTGTTTGGACCTTGATCGCGTTGCACATGGGGCCAATTTGAACCATTTATTGGTGCTGGACACCACTGCCGGCCCAAGGCGGTCGTTGCAGCGACGCAGCGGGCCCCGTAGACGCCGTTTCCATGGAATGTTGGACGGATGAAACGCGTCGAACACGGGTGCCAATTTGAAAAGCAAGGGCAGAACACGGGTCGTTGCAGGGACATGGACCGACGAGGAATTGAGGAAACGACAGCCCCGTTCCTGTTCTACGCCGTCCACCAGTGCTGCCCAGATACTCCGAGAAATAATAGCCCTTGCGCTTGTCTCTTAGATCATTTGAGCGTCTGTTTGATTGCGTTGCAGCGAGGGTGTTTGGCCTCTCGTTGCTATGGTCACTGCTGGGTTCGCGGTCTGAGCGTCGGGGATATGACGACGAGAGCACGATCATGTACCATGTTCCGGGTTCAACCTAGTGTTGAGATGGAGACATGACACAGTCGTTGAAGCTTCACGAAGCATAGAGAACCGCAGGAACAGCATATCTGCATAGGGCTTGCATGCTTGAATCTGGACATCTGGATCTGGACCTGCGTGCGGTTTTGGTTTGTCGCGCATGGAAGGACGGAGTCCGTGCCGCCCCACCCCAGCTTCCGTTGCGTACGTACTGCCCAGCACATCCCCCTCATAAACGGGCCGTGGACACGTAAACGTTGGGCCGCGGACACGTAAACATTTAACAATGCAGTGGTATGTACCCAGCTTGTGCCAGTACATAACTTTGGGCAACCTGTGAGATCTGAGATGGACGTTGAAATGAGCTGAGTCTCTATGGCAGTACGGAAACTCTGGTCAGGATTTCGGGGCCACCCTTCTCTTCACTCTCGTAGGCTTGCGGCCAGTCGAGAAGCAACCGCGAGATCGCTATCCAGAGATTCAGAGAATGTCCAGGACCTGTCTTGTTAGCTTGTGGAGGACTGAGGGCTGGAGTGGCAGCTTCCATTGTTAGCTTGAATCGCGAATGGTTGCCGGTGGCCCATTGCATTAGGAAAAGCTGTCACGGCCAAGGCTTCCGCTGAGCTACTAACGACCACACAGGGCATAAACGAAGTGGGGAACTGCCCCCTGCCGGGATCGAAACCCCCATTGTCGTCATGGACAACCGCCTACAAGAGATCGAGGTCTTCCCTGTACGGCCTGCCCCCTGTCATCTTCCCCCACGCACCCTCTCTCCTAGCAGTCTGGTGACCCATGACGTCGCTTCCCACCTTGTTCGGGACAAGACCCGTCCGTCATTGCCCACTTTGATAGCCGCTTTCACCAACGACGACGACAACCCCTTTACCGCCAGGACGGTCGGGGGTCGCTCTGCTCCTCTTCCTACGTGTCCTGTCGGTCCAGGGGTCAAAAGAGAAGCTCCAGTTGTGCTACGAGCTGGAGATCTACACCGTAAGGGAGTCGAACCCCTGCCGCGTCGATGGCAACGACGCATGATACCGTTTCACCAACGGTGTTGAAATGTTGAGCAGTTTGTCATGGAGAAAAAAACTGGCCTCACCGTTTCTTGCCACTTGAGAGCCTATTCCCGCTTTTAAAAGCGCTTAGAAGGGTGCATGAAGGTGCTGGACTCACATTTAACATGTTGTAGAGTATCTGACAGCAGTGGGTGAGGAGCTCGTGGACCCAGCAAGGAAGGAAGGGGCACAGGAATTGAGTTGCGCAAGTGTAATCGATTCGGCGACTAGATACGCGGATAAATTTCGGCTATTACGTCACACCTCTCCCACGGATGCATCGCCCGCGCACGCGAATGCGATGCCCTTCCTTCGCGACGCATACTCCGCGGCGTGTCTTGCACATTATCCCCCCACAATGAGCACCGAACCCAACACAGAAGGCGACGTTATAGGCAAGGTCACCACCGGATACCAGGCGTGGTTTACCTGCGATGGCGACCGGTCGCCCATCCGCGGCTGGTGGCATTGGGCCCCCGACCGACTCAACATGGTTAAGAAGGACAACTCGGGTGTCGTTTCGTGGCCGGCCATGCACCACTATCCCAAGGGCTACAACACAGGCTTCCAGCCGTATCCTGATGGAAGCCCTTCACAGCTGTTCAGCAACTATGACCAAGCGACTATCGACGCCCATTTCCAAATGATGGCCGATGCAGATATCGACACTGCCGCGCTCCAGAGGTTCAACCCTTGCGGTGGCGAGGGCCCCGTTCGCGACGTGACGACCATGATGGTCCACCAGGCCGCTGAGAAGACCAAGCGCAAGTGGTACTGCATGTACGATGTCTCTGGATGGGGACCCAACATGCAGCAGGAGATCAAGAACGACTGGACAAGCAAGATGTGCGAATACTCCCAGACGCCAATGTACGCTCGCCAGAACGGCAAGGTCGTGGTGTGTATCTGGGGCTTTGGTTTCAACGACGGCAACCACGAGTACGACCAGGAGACGTGCATCGACGTTATCAAGTGGTTCAAGGGCATGGGCTGCTACGTCATCGGCGGCGTGCCGACGTGGTGGCGCAAGTGCATTTCGGACTCGCGTGAGGGCTTTGGGGAGGTGTACCGCTCCTTTGACATGCTGTCTCCTTGGATGGTCGGGCGTGCCTCCAAGATCCGCGACCTGGACTGGTTCTACCACAACGCCAACAAGGGCGACCAGGAAGAGTGCGAGAAGCACGGTATCGCGTACCAGCCCTGCGTCATGCCCGGCGACCTCTCGACCGGTTGTCGCAAGCACGGTGATTTCTACTGGCGTCACTTTTACAACACCACGCGTCTGGGCTGTGCCGCAGTCTACGTCTCCATGTTCGACGAGTACAACGAGGGTAACCAGATTGCGCCCACAGCCGAGTCCAAGGCCCAGCAGCCCAAGGACTTTGACCACCCGGCGCTCGACGAGGACGGCACACCGTGTACGGCCGACTACTACCTCCGCCTCACGCGCGATGCTGGCAAGATGTTCAAGTCGCGTACACCCACCGCCCTGCGCGTCACGGAGCCATGGCCTGGAAAGGGCCTCTGCCATGCGCGTCACGAGCTCGTCCTCAAGGCCCGTGTGAACGGCCAGTTCGTCTGCGCAGAGGGTGGTGGCGACAAAAACCTCGTCGCTAACCGCACGAGCCCAGGCCCCTGGGAAAGGTTCACGGTCGAGCAAACCAACCAAGAGGGTCGCATCCACCTCCGTTCCTCCAACGGCAAGTACGTCTGCGCCGACCTGTCCGGCGGCAACGGCCAGCCTGTGGGTCTCCTCGTTGCGAACCGCGACTCGCCCGGCCCATGGGAAACGTTCGACCTTGTCGAGGTTGATGGAGGCGTGATCGCTCTGAAGGCGTCAAACGGCAAGTATGTCCAGGCGTCAAACGGCGGCAGTGGCCCCCTCATTGCTGGCGGTGATGATCACGGATGGTGGGAGCAGTTTGATGTGGTCGAGGAGTAGGGAGGGAGAGTTGTGCACACATAGAGTTTGATACACGAGTGCGATACCGAATTGTCTCGCTGTGATGCGCCAGGGAAGCGCTGATCAAAAGCTTTCATTAGTGACACTGCTGCCTTAACATGATGACACTCGGTTCTGCAACCTTGCTACTGATGTGGATGTTTGACATTGACACCCAGTCCTGATCTGAGTCGAGGGGGTGCGGAATAGACCTGGCAGCACGTATATATCATGCCCTCGTCAACTATCCTCACCATACTCCACTCACACTGCAGCATGGCCAGCCCCACCACGCCCCCACCCGCTCCTCGACTTGACGAGCCAACTGACGTGGGTGCTTTCCACCCTCACGGGTGGCTCGACCCGGATATGTACCCGCATGTCATGGACACTATTCTCGACCACACCGCCCCGTTAGACATCTGCTCGCTTCGCAACACGACCAAGCACTTGCGCGAGTCCATCGATCCCTACTTGGCCCGCCACGTCGTCATCACCGCCTCACCCGATGACGATATTCCATATGAGATCCACACCCGACTCGGGTTCATCCACCTGCCGTCCCCCTTCGAGTCCGCTCCGGACTATGACAAGGAGCGTGTTGTGGACATGTACAAGCGGACGACGGTCCTCGATGTCGTCCACGACGTGGACTTTACGAAATCGAACCTTTGGTGGCTTCCGGACCCCAAGGTTGTGACGGTCCGTTACCACAAGGACAAATGGTTCCCGTGGCAGGGTGTAGAGGAGCAGGGAGAGTTTAGAGAATGGTCCAGCCTGCCCTTCACTGCCCAAAACGTTGTTTGTTTTTCCGCCGTTGATTCCCGCCTGGCTTCCTTTACCTCCTTTCCCACCACGCCGTGCAGTGAACGAACGGTGCTCACCGTGGAGTTTCTCCAGTCTATGTCGATGTCCTCTGTGCTTTTGTTCCAACCATATTTTGTCAACGATGTGGCTGAGGTTGTGGTCCATTTTATGGCCTACAAGAACCGCATGAATAAAGACGATGTCTACGATGGGACCATCAGCGAGGACGACCTTGCCGATTTGGACCCGGAGCGTGGCAAGGTACTGGGACTTCTGCAGGACATCATCATGCTCAAGTCCGGCGGCAGGGATCATCGAGCCCATGTCACCAAACCAATGTCCACCTGGGATCCTGTCATCGAGGCGAAGACCAAGTTCACCATTGTAGGCGTCGATGAGCTCCACCCCAGGTGGCTGGGCCTTCCGGACCGCCTTCCTCTAGAGGATCTTGTTAAGCGCATCCGCACTGTCCTCAAAACCGGCTTCGCCCAAGAAAAGTCACCCATGGCTGATGTCGACCTGGTCTGGCCGTCCATGTCCTTCCCCACGAAGGACGAGTATCGCCGCAGGGTTGGGGCGAGGCAGTTCCAGATGGAGACGGAGCGGTAATAGCACACAGCTTCAGACCCCCAACGTGCCACCAGGGCCGCAGATCTCAAAAGATACCTCATAGTAAACCATGCTATACCCTGTGCAAACGCCAACTGGCTGCAGACAACTACCTACCGGCGGTCAGGTTGTGACGTATCGCCAATGTTACCTGCTGCGCCGAGATGCCAAGCCGAGACTTTGCCACCGAATCCCAACAGGCCTCAAACTCACAACCCTAAATCTGGTGGGGCGTGAGACCGATCGATATCTCAACACAGCTTGCATCTGTTGTGTACATCCAACACGACGACACATAACAAAGCTATGCTCCGAACGATCTCGACCTCTGCATATAGAAACCACGGCGACACGTGCGTAGCTATAGATACCCACTGTACCCCTGTGGCAGTATTCGCCTCAAGCAATGTCCGCTGGGGGCGCACATCTGCACTTGGATCTGAGCCAAGCAAGCCGATAACTAGGCGCCAAGCTGCGTACTGTGATAGCGCCTCTTAACCGTCATGCAGTACATCAGCCCCTTATGCTGCGGGCCCCATACTAGCTCCATGACCGCCGCTTGACTGACTGCTCAATTCAAGATATATAGGATCTCACTGCTGCTGAAAACCCACTCTGCTCCCACCAAACGAACAGCAAATCGACATGTTCAAGAAATTCATCCTTGTTCTTGTGCTCAGCCTTGCCCTCGGTGTTCTGGCAGTCCAGCCCAACCAGGGACACGACATCGCAGCCCGCAACTCGGCCTTTTTCCCTCGCGCTGCTCCTTGTAAGTCACCCGAAGGCACTGTGGCACTGACTGACCTACAGGTGTCGGCCCCAACTGTGCTATTGCTGCTGGCCGAGCTCGGGCTCCTCCCACTCCCGTCCGCCCCAAGCGTGGTGCCAAGCCCTCTCCGGTCCCCACTAGCCTCCCTGCTCCTAACTGTGACTGGCATGACACTTGTACCGAAGGCTCAATCGACTTTGGCGACGCCTCCATCATCGTCCCCCGCCCGCTCGTCCCCGGTGGCGGGTCTGACAAGCCGGCAACTCCTGGTCCAGTCCTAACCGCCAACTGCACCAACCTTGCTGGTGTAGACGTGAAAGCCACGTTGGACATCAGCCAGTGCATGTACGTGCCTCCACTGAGAGTGCGTCTACTGACGCACAAGCATGCTGTCAGCTGCAGGGGCCTTGCAGTGCCAGTACAACACGGCCGGTATCGACGTCTTTGCGGGCACTTGCTCAGTCTGCTTCCTCGATGCCGACACCAAAGTCACTTGCACCTGCCTGGTTGGCCGTAAGAGCATTACCAGCACGGTCGATACCAGTGAGTGCGACAGGCTTACACGTGGCTCGGTTTGACTGACGTGTTAGGGACCTGCATTGGCAACAGTGACGGAGAGCTTACCTGCAAGGAGTCAAAGTAAGGGGATGATCAGAATTGGACATAGAACACTCTTAGGACGTAGAAGCACACATGCCTAATGGACAATGCAAAGGACAGTGCTGAATTCACAGTGGCAGGAAAGACCAGAGCACCCAGCTCGTGGCAGGAAAGACCAGAGCACCCAGCTCGCGACATTACAAAGCCAGGTTTTGCGCACTTGTACTCACTCCTCAGGGGAAGCAACCATGTGAATATCACGGTACGCTGATCATATCGTTGCTTGATGGCAAACTAGCTCAGTTGGTTAGAGCGTACGCTTCACACTGCAACTGCACCGGCATCGCCGTCTGCATCTGCATGTAAACGCGTAAGGCCGGCGGTTCGACCCCGCCGTTCGTCATTTTTGGCGTTCTGGAGAGCACGGAAGGGGTAGGTGCTACCTGCAGAGCTCCTTAAAGGTCGCAACAGTTCTCGTCTGATGTTGAGAGGTCGCCCACGTTGACGACTGACATGATACGTCGCTGTGGAGTCGGCATGAAGGAGCCCTGCTTCACCTCCCCAAAGAGACCTTGTAACTCTCACAGCCATGGCATGCGTGCTTAGCCCGCCGTACATCACAAGGAGCAAAGGAGAGTGTCCACTCATCACTGGACACGAAGAAACGAAACATAGATCGGCGATTTAGCTCAGTTGGTTAGAGCGTGTGCTTAACACTTGGACGCCCAGCGTCAAGAGTTGCGCACAAGGTCGGCGGTTCGACCCCGTCAAACGTCATTTTTGGACACTGCAGAGCCTCCTACTCCTCTTTTGCATGCGCAAGTGTGTTTGGGGATGAAAGAAACGCTGTTCTGACGTTGAAGCAGTCGGACATTAGTGGTTGCCGAAAATTCAAAAAAAAAATCACCGAAAATGGTTTCAGTGCCACACTCGTCGTCGTCCGCCATCTTGGCTTGATGGAATATAAGGCGCTTCATCTGTGATCCTTGATGGCGAGGTGGTACATCATTAGTGCGCCATCAGACACTGACAGCCAAAAGTGTCGCATTGTCAATCACGACCGCCCTTGCCTATCTGCCGCCAGCGGTTACGAGTCCGCATAAAATGGCCTCGTCAACAGCCACTCCCTCCCTCCCCCATGAACCCCACCACAACCATGCCCTGGAACGTCAACCGCAGCTACTACAGTAATCCGGACAACTGGTCGAGTCAGCAAGCCCAGTGGATGGCAGCGCCTCGCAAGTGCTGCGGCGATGTCTATGGCCAGAACAAGGGCGGTAAGAGCCATAGGAAGGAAGATTGAGGCCACGCAGACTGACTTGGGCGCAGGCTACTGTTTGGTGGGGCCCATGAATGGGTCACTCAAGTGCAAGTACTGTTTCAACGCGTGGAACCCAAAGTTTGGCACTCTCGGTTTCTAGCATGTCTATGCAGTGTCTTGGTCTAGCTTTCTGCTGCACGTGGTCGAAGTTTCCAAACATTGCCGCCTCCATCTCGTCCATTGTTCACAAGGCATGATATTTCTGAGCCTTGGCTGCAATCGAATGATCATCTTACACGATGCCAGCTCTTTGATTTGCTCTCTGTGGTAGCCGAAACCTACCTATTAATCCAACCCAGTGAATGTTGTGGCACTCCAACCCATTCGACACGAGGATCTCCCAGAATACGTGCAAAACCGAAATCCCAGGTGAGCCCTTCGTCTCGTCTGCCTTTCCTAGGGAGTCGAGGGCTGTTGTCCGGGGCGCTTATGACAAAGCTTCCGTCTGTCAATATGACTACTGTTACCACTCTCGTCATGATATCAGTGACAACTGAAAGCGAAAACACAGACATCGGAGGTCATTTTGTCTTCCCACTGTCCTCCGGCGCCAATCCTCCGGCGACATTGCCTTTCATCCTCGATGACTGCCAGCCTTCCGCTGTGTCGTTTCCACCGCATCAACAGGTGTTAACTGGCATGCATGAGAGAGGAGAGGGCGCGGCGACACAGCTAAAAAGCCATGCATCAAAACACCGTTGGTGAAACGGTATCATGCGTCGTTGCCAAGTGCAAGCTCGACGCGGCAGGGGTTCGACTCCCTTACGGTGTATATCCGCGTCCTTGAGCCTCCTCAAGGGCCTTACCTTTTGCCTACAGGCCCTCCTGGACTCCCGTGAGGGTTGAAAGGTCTGTGAGGGTTGTCATGTTGTTGAATGAGGCGGTTGGAGCCATTGTCAGCAAGTCAGGCGGGCGATGGCGGAACGACTCACCACATCATACTTTCTCCGGCCTGTCAATACCGCCAAGGTGCGTCCCCTTGGAGAGATACGGTGTGCTCTGGTGTCTGGATAGGCCCTGTGATGGTCGCTTTACGTGGTGACGTGGTGGATTCTGCGAGGGCCGTGTCGCGGCTCGAACAGCCACAGTAATAGTGAAAAGTGGGTGGTTCGTCTCCAGCTTCTGGCCACACGTTCGTCTCCTTACGTCCGTCCACCCTTTTACTTCGGCCCACAAGGCCCCTGGTTCTACAGTCACCAGAACCCAAGGAGAGTTAGGGAGTTCTCTCGTCATGCCATACACCCAATTGAGGAATGCGCTGCTGAGCCAGGACCAGTAGGCGGATTTTCAACCCACCCTCATCCTGCAAACTCTCCTCTTCTTCCATTGTCCGTAGACGACGTCAAACCACCACGCAGATGCGTCTCTGGGCCAAAAGAGAAGGTATCCTACCCCACCAGGGCTCGAACCTGGGACCTCGGAGTATGTAAGCAAGTAACAGCTCCACGCGCTAACCAACTGAGCCATAGGGTAGTTGGTGTTGGTCTTTCTGAGATGGCAAGAAATTCGCCGGGAGACTGATGACCTCGCTTTGCCCTGGTCGACAGGCAGCTGGACCTTGTAAGGTGCATCCCTAGTACAAAAAGTATCGTTTACATTGATAGCAAAGCTGCAGTGGCTCGGAAAGGCCTTCTGGTAAGAAGAACGCAGGTTCCCTCCAGACCGCCACATCCAACTTTTAACCGCCACTGGCAGGGGTTCCAGGGGTTCCGCCTTCCCCAGGAAACAAGTTGCGCGCTCCTGTTCATCTAGTCACACTCTTGGCCCATTGGACCACTGTCTACGTTTACGTTCACATAGTGCACATCAGAGAGGGAGCATACGCAGACTACGATCTCGCGTATCACCTTCGGCAGTGCTGGGCCTTGGACGATGATTCCGCCAGGCACTGCGCGACATTGAGCTCCTGGCTGCTCCTGGCATCGCCTAATGCCCCAAGAGTGCAAGAGATCTGTGTACCTTGGTCTGACAGGTTACTGTACTACTTTTAAGTAGACCTACGTACTCGGTGGTCCACGTGTGGCTGGTGTCTGTTTCGGTGAGCAACGTTGTCACAAGCTGACGGTGGGTGGGGTCGCGGAATGTACAGTCAACGTGACTAACCTGTTTTCTCCGGTGGACGATATATAACGTTCATCTACAGCCCGCATTCTGTTCCATATTCTGTTCAAACTCTCAAGCAACACGCACTATGAGCCCCACCAAGAGTACGTCTGGAACCAATGAATGCTCATGCAAGTTTCGACTCCTTTCCAGCCCCTCAGCTGGAACACGAACATGCCAGCCCCGGATGTCCCCGCTTCGGCTCTCGTTTACAAGTTTGCCAGAATGGAGCTGAAGTTCGACACCGATGCGATGCGCGGCAAGGGTTTGGCCCCATACCTAATGTGGGCTGCCTCCTCGTGGCTGACACTGACGGCAGTACGATCCACCCTGGCACCGAGCAGAACACTGAAGAGTTCTGCACGTCGTCTTATGGTTAGTATACATATGCGGCAGCGGGTGACTGACAGGCAGATGGTCAAGTCCTATTCGAAGGGGAAATCATGGGCCGCACTGGGACAGTCGCCATCTACGAGCGTGGCACCACGTCCAACGGTGACGTCAATGCTGAATGGGTGATTGCCACTGGAACCGCTTCGTAGGTCGACTGGTTGCTACCCGTTGCTAACTGATCAGTGGTCAGCTCAAGGGCATCAAGGGGCATGGCGGCTACGCGCTGAAGGCCGGGAACGGGGGCAAGACCATTGCTGGCCACCTTGAAGTTGACTTCGATTCGTGAGGAGATGTCGGCCAAGTCGCCCCCCAGACCGACGAGAGCTTTCTGGCCACCTGTGTGTAGTCGATTAGTGGATGGATGGATGTCGGAGACGAGGAGACGCGGAGACGGCTCTACTCCATGTGCGGGACGAGAAACCAAGTATGCAGATGAAAATGACATTCGCTGGTCGCGTTAGTGGTTTTGGAACACGCCCCCTCTGCGCGCCGATCAGTTGACTCAACCCCGCACACGCGCGCCTCCACTTTCCATCCCCGCATTCCAGACATGGCTTTCTGCTTTCGTCGTCCTGCTTCTTCTCTCCTCACCATCACTCATTGCCTCACGATGCCGCCAGTCGTGGGTGGCCATAAGCGCTCGCGTAAAGATAAACCACAAGCCTCCCCGCAGCAAGCTCACGAGCCCCGCGTCACCATCAACCACACTGCTTTCCCATACATCATCAGTGATGTCATCACGTTCAGCTCGCGTCAAGCTCTCCTCAACCTTCGCCAGACCTCCAAGATGATGCGCACCCGAGTCGATGCTATTCTGTCTCACCACTTGCGCTTTGAGTTTGTCGACCCTACCCGCCCTACTGCTGCCCAGCTCCCGGCGTATTATCGAGGCCCTCGCACCCAGAACTACGAAGGAGACGAGGAAATTACAGGCAAGCTGGTCGTCACTCTCCCCGACGGATCACCCCTCCCTGCCTACACTCTTTGCAACAACTACCAACCGGGACCAGCAACCCTAATCCAGCGTGCAGTGCGCAAGCGCTTCGAGGCCTCCCTCGCCCATACCCGCGTCGTTGACATTTTGGACTGCTCAGAGGTTCCCTTCGCCCGTGCACTTTCCGATGTTCCAGTCGCGCGCTTCATCCCCGATGATCACGGCCGCCACTCCGCGATCTGTCCCGTCAAGGCTCGCAAGTGTGTTGCATTCACCTCTGTAATTGGAAAACGTAACAGCACCTATTGGATTGGTAGCCTCCCTCCTCTACTCCCACGCACGGTCGAGCGATACGTCATCAACCTCGAAGTCAACCCAGACACGTACTGTGCCAACAGCCTCACCCACACTTTCGACATGTCAACTTTCCTGGACAGCCTTCGAAACCTCCCTGAACTCGTCATCATATTCTCCACGACCGACCGTCAAGTCCCCACGCACCCCGGCCACAGGCCTGCAGCCGTGCCGCCTCCTCTCGGCTTGCTGCGCAGCTTCTCCCTTAGGAGGACCGAGTTCCCTCACATCAAAATCACCTTCGTCGGCGCTCTTGCTCTCAATCCCAAATGCTTTGGCTTCTTGGACGACATGGGCGAGGACACCCTCCAGGTAAAGCTTCAAGCCCGTATGGATGAGGAGGCGGTGGCCCATCACGCGCGTCCGTACGTCGCGCGCAAGGTGAAGAGCCTGCCCCTCCCTGGCCCCATCACCTTCATGACGCTCAACGAGTATCGCGAGACGCTCACCCCCGAAGACTTTGCCGTCGAGATGGTTCAGTGAGGAAGGAAACACCTGTCTGGTTGGGCTGAATTGCATGTTGGGTGTTGTACATAGCATAGTTTGAACAAAGTCTGTACATCTGTAGCCTGTGGATGGTATCATCATCGTCATGTCGTCACGCACCATCAGCAGCAAACACGAACACAATACATCGCTCTTCTATCAGCTAATCGTATCTTCTTAGGTTTCCGTACAACTTCTAGTGGCATGCCAGGCCACGAGCAGAGCTTCCATTCAGAACACTGTTGAGGTCGAGCTGCCCTTCATACACGAGGTGACCGAGGAATGCACCGATGACGATGGCCGAGCAGAGGTAGGTGTTGTACGTCATGGCGACGAGCATGAGCTGGACACCGAAGTCAGGGCTAGTTCGCAGTTATGAGACTCACAAAGTACGAGATGGCAACCGATGCCGCATACATGGCCGCACGGCGGACGCGGGCCGAGAGGGGGACGTCGGTGCTGCGTTATCAGTTGTTGTCCTTCCGAGCATCCTCCAATAAGATCCGGGGTGGAGTGCAGGACCGACGTTCCGCCATCCAATGCTCTGGGTGCTATAGAGCACTGCGGAAGAGTGCACTACGCGTTCCCTGGCGGCAGCACCCGATGATCAACTCACACGCCAAGCTTGCCCGATTCGTCTGTCGGGACCGCAGAGTAGCTGGCCACCGTCGGCGGACGGGGCTGAGCGGCGAGCTCGGCGGCGAGTCCCCGTTCATACTTGCGCGAGTGGGCGAGGAGGGCCGCATAGCCGACCGAGATTGCAATGATGGCAAAGCTGAGGGGTTTGTTAGCTGCTGCGAACAGCCAGCTGCGGCGCGGCGTTGCCTGTACAGCGCGCGGTGATAAACGGGATATGGTGGCGACGAGCTTGAACCCCGTGCAAAAGACACGGCGCACGACGAGGAGATCAAAGGACATACCAGGAGAAGACCATTCCCGCCCAACCGGAAACGTGCCAGGAGCGAAAGACGACGCATGTGTCGGCGACCTGATGGTTCCACAGCATGTTCATCTGTGAGCGGACGGACGTCAGCTCGTGGTGACGGTAGTTGAGCTCTTGGCAAGGGCACGCACGCTGCACTTGGCCATCGGCGTGTCGTTGCTGGGCATATCATGCCCGCCGTGTCCGCTGTGGTCGCCGTGGTCCATTGTGTTCAAGTGTATAGCCTGTGTTGTGAGAGGATTGCGAGGAACGAACAGAGCGTTGTTGAATGTTGGCAAGGTTCGACAACGTTCATTAGTACTCTTTTCCAAATAAGATTAGCAACATTCTTGTTAATCGCCACCCACGTCCCCCGAAGGTCACGTGACTCGGGTTCTTCCGGTGGTCCGCTCGTCTGCCATGCAAGACCACAAAAGTCAATGAAAGTTGGCCACACACTTTACACCAGTCCACTTCGACCACTTCATCACCAGCATCATGCTCGCCGCCCGGCTAGCCCGACACGCTGCCGGGACGTCTCAAGTCGCCCCTAAACTCTTGAGGGCATCACCCGTGTCTGTTCGAGGCTCGCGTGCGTTCACATGGTCGCCCATCGCGCTCAACAAGCCGAAGCGGATCCTGGTGCGCGGAAGGCATGTAGCTGTTCCAGACGTCGACTACCTGGGCCAACCCCTTGCGGATTTTGCAAAGACACTTCGTCAACAGGACCCATATGATCGTATTAGGTTCACCCCTCCCCCGTCTGTCAGATCCGGTGTGGGGCTCTCCGGCGACTACCAAATGGATGGTTACATTGTGAGTCCGCTGCCGAAACTTGAGCTTCCCTCTGCACATGGCTTCAGTCGCCCTTCAACCTCAGATGTAATGAAGCCGTATCACCTGTGGATCCTGACTATCACAGTATGATGCACTGGGAACTGGTGGTATGACATTATCAAAGCACCTCATCCCGTGTTACAGCGTCCACTTCTATATCGACCGGCACCTCAACATAACATATGACCGTAGATACCCCTCGGGTTGGCGCAGGAGTGGCTTAACATGGTCTATGTTCAACATCGCTGCAGTGGGCAAAGAACACTGGGCACAGTGAGTACCCTCGTCTTGGACCGCGGTTGGCAGAAGACTCACTGACACCAAAACCAGCGGTGCCATGCTGCTTCACTACAGCCAGCACGAGCGAGAAACGCTTATACCTGGCGCCCTGGAAGGCAACGAATTGTACGAGACGTCCTTACTCGATGATGGCCGCTTTGACGGGAATGTGCCACTCTTCGCCCGACCACCACCTGCTCTGGGTCGTGGCGCGGCAGACAGGATTCGCCAGATGCAGCCCTTTTTAGTGCGGCCCTCCCCACGGTTGTTAGAGGCACCCGAGGCAAAAGGAGACCCTGTGAGTTTGCTCTATCACTCTGTCCCGTGGCTTATGCATCAGATGGCCTATGCATTCCCTCACTACCGTGAGTTCTAGATCAGTGATACCCAGCTAATCTCAAGGTGTCGTCTACAGAGTCGTAACGGACGATGGAGGAACGCATGTGTTTGACCCGGCCTACATGAAAGGAGGAGGCCGCTTGAATGATGAGCCGGTCAAGAGTATTGGACCTCATTCCGCCAGGGCTCGTCTACCTGGTGACACTGGTCGTGTACGTATGAACGTCGCGCGCCGAGCTAACAACGACAGTGGAAGGTGCCGTTCTACATCGGTTCCGCATCGGGGGACAATAGCAAAGAAATAGCTGGCTACAACTACCTGGACGAGCCCGCCGCCGCAGAGTTCCATAGGGTTGTCCTGCAGACAATGCAGGCCGAGATGTCGCCCGACACCTGGGAAAACCCTCACATGTTTCCCCTCAACGACCCGACACATAAACGAGCTGCAGCAGTACCGGTCCTGTGAGCTGATCCGCACATGCTGCGCGACTGCGCTTGAGGCAGAAGCTGACGGACAGAAACCATTGGATTACGGTTGTGCATCAGAAGAATACCGACGAAGTGCCCCCACCGCCATTGTTCTTTACTCGTCCACCACCCCCTCCGCCGGTTCTCTCGGCGCATTTGCTCACGAAGTCGCCACCCCCGAAGCGCCCCGTACGGCCCATACAGAAACCGCCCGCGGCACCAGTGCGGACACCCCTCAACCCCAACCTCTTTAGGTCCGATCAGAGCCGCCACAAGGTCACAAGAAATGTGAACGACGCGCTCCGCGACAGGGTCCAGCAGCAGCAGGCTTCGGCGCGGACAACACCAAGGGAGGCCGCCGAAAAGCGTCTGGCAGGGAATGGCCCCCTTCCAACAGTCGATGAGATGCACGACTACAAAGGCTGCTATGCAGTCTTCGACCTCGAGCCACGACCTGAATACCTCATCTATGCGCGCGCAAAGGATATCGACAATGAGATCAAGACGCGATACCTCGAGGAGTCGTTTGCCGCCCACCCGGACAAGGGAGGCACCACCGAGGACATGGCAAAGATCAACTTGGCATACGAAAGGGTTGAAACCGTTGCCAAGCGCATCGCCTACCACAACAAGACAATAAAATAGATTCTAGCCGCCCATGGCTGGTACAAGCATGCACATACATCACCCACGTCCAGACTCTCCAATCTCATATCTCCCATGACCTGTCTGATATGCTTGTTGCGAAACGAGGCCACAGTTTGTCCAACGTTTGACGGTTAACCCTCAAATGTCCTTCACACGTTCATCCGTCGAACGCCGTCTGGAGGTAAGTCACAAAGGCAGCCGCAACCTCTGGCTCAGTCCACACACCCGCGCTACGGGCATTGGACCTCTGAGCCTGGGTCTGGGCAGCCTCGAACGCGCGCTTGTGGCGCTGTAGCTCAGCAAGCGTGGGTCGCCTGTTGGGCGGGAGTTGGAGGACGAGAGAGCCTGGGGACAGTGCCGGCGGGGAAGGGACTGGGAAAGTGGTCGCACCCGGTGCAGCCGTGAGGTGAGCGAGGAGGGCCGAGACGATGGCAGTCGTGGTGGTAGTCAACGTCTGCAGGGTGCCAGCTGGTGGGACTGGGCGATGGGCTGCGGCCGCTGTTGGCGCCTTCTTCACGCCGGTCGTAGCTGCTGCCCAGATCTGGTCGGCCGGGAGGTCCTCGTCCCATGGGACCGTAAAGAGGGGGCTGTCCCATCGTACCATGGACGAAGGCTCCTCGTAGCGCTGTATCAAGTTGTCAAAGCTGCAAATTGTCAACAGTGCTACACACTGTGTCTCTTGTTGCCAGCACCTTGGTACTCACGTCTCCTGGGCATACTTGTCCTCCTCGGACCTTGCATCGTGCCATTCCTTGCATTTTCCGGGCGGAGCAGCGATACGGACAGTTGCTACGCGCACGCCGGCCTCGCGGGCTGCACAGTAGAGCTGGTACCGAAAGCCCTTGATGTAGTTTGCAGAGTCAACAATGGTGATCGTGCTGGGGTTGAGGGAGCGTGTGGCTGCCGTGAAGAGCGAAGCGCGGGCAGGCTTCTCGGCCCGTGAGTCTGGTTTGTTAGTCCAACCATACAGATGTAGATCAAGTCTCTGCCGGTCGCTGCCCGAGACGGACGGGTCGGCTGTCTGGCGGCGACACTCTACGAGAGGGAAGGGGAATGATGAAAGACGCCGCCGAGGCGACTGAACCAAACCAGTACTCCGTCGAGGAGCCCAGAAGCACGGACAGGGAGCTGCGCGACGCTCGCTCACTCACCGTCGTATGCCGAGCGTGTAACGTGCGAGCCCTCGTCATCCACCACGACAATGGTGAAATTTGAGCCGCTGCTGCCCGAGGCAACAGCGACGGCGGCACGGCGCTCAAAGTCGGCGGCGAGTTCGCGTGCGCGTGTTGTCTTTCCGGAGCACGGGAATCCGGATATGGTGACGAGAGCCATCCTGAAGGTGATGGACAAGAGGAGCGCGACGCCGAGAAGGAGGAGGTGACTGACGTCGAGGCGTCATGGCTCCGCGAAATGTAGCGCCTGGCCATTGACTTTTCGATTGCTCCGCGGTCGATTACGCGCGTCTCTCGGTCGTGTTCTCTTTCCTCCCAGCCCCAGGCTTCCCTTGTTTCCGCTCCGTCACCCACATCGCACATTGCTCGCGTCCTTACCTCGTCGCCATCGTCACTGTCATCGCCAACGACGACCCAGCTGTGTACACCCCGTCGCGACGTCTTGCCAGAGAGCATTGCAGTCCAGCCCCACCGCTCCACATGCCGCCCCGCAACGACGGGCGGCGCGAGACGGCCCAGACCTCGTCGGTGCCCTCGGCACTCTCGACTTTGTCGTCTGCGGCCAACGGCACATTCTCCCTCGCCCGTGAAGCCGTCATGGCCTCGGTTGCGCCAGACCATCGCCGCTCAGAGAGCATCCGCATCCTTACAGACTGTGAGTGTTTACCGTGCATGCCGTCGTGGAGGGCGGAGCGGAGCACGTCGGGCCCACCGAACGGGCTCTCACCCTTACCCGGAGTCGCGGACGCTCATTCGCCGCTGCTGTCCACCATACCATGCCCCGAGACACACCACTGACAACCTAGTGGCCCCGTCACTCATGCAGTCCAAGTACACCACACCGAGGGGCACGCCGCCGCCTTCCCTCGGTGCCCGTCAGCCGCGCGCTCCTCGACAGTCTCTGCTCCGGTTTCCGGGTACGTCTCGGCCCAAGCCGCCCCAGACATCCACCGCACTCGCCATCCTGGAGAATGCCGAAGGTCTCTCGCGGCTCTCATTGAATGTGACCGCTGCTGGGCCTAGCGCAGACGGGTCGTCGTCTGTCTCCCTCATCCGGGGATTCCGGGCAACGATCCCCAGCTCCGAGTTGAGCAAGTCGCGCCGTCGCTTGCTCCGTGGCGAAATCACCGACGCCGACATGGGCGACGAAAAGCTCGGCCTCAAGAAGCTCGGCGACCGCGCACGTGGTCTGCTCACCGAGGGTGAAGAGGATCACGACCTTGAGAATGACAGCGAGCTGGGCGTCGGGCGTAAGAGTCGTCGCAGGAAAAAGAAACGCGATGCGAGGCGCGAGTCGGCTGCCCACCACGAGACCAAGCTTCATCTTGAGGACCTCCTGGTCCAGGCAGACGAGATCGCCCAGGACAAGGACAATCTGGCTGTCAGGCAGGTGCGTCTACATTGCTAACGACAAAATTACATGCCCGCTGACACTCCCAGTCTCTCATACACGCAGAGATCTACGAGGTTGCCGCCAAGATCGATGCCCTCGAGGAGATTCGCAGGCGACTGGAACAGTCGCTCTTGAAGCTGCAAGAGGAAGGGTTGGAGCTAGACGATGAGCTCGAAGGTGTGCAGGAACTCATGGCATCGCCGCTCGTAACCTCGGCAGCTGGCACCAAGGCGCTGCCGCCCTCTGTCACTCCGCCCGCAAAGAGCTCGCGCCGGCGCAAGGGACCTGCGTTCCTCCCCTCTGAGCACGACGAGCTGCCGTCTGGCGTTGCCTTCATGGTGAATTGACACTACAATGTATCATACACTAACCCTACAGACTATGGAGGGTCACCTGGGACCTATTACAGGACTCGACTTTGACGAGCCATACGGCCTGCTCGTGACCGCCGGCCAGGATGACATTGTCAAGGTCTGGGACCTGTGCGACGGCGAGCAAATCGGCGAGCTGCGTGGACACAAGGGCTGTGTGAAGGCGGTTCAGGTCGAGGACACACTGTGTCTCACTGGTGGCGCTGATGGTGCCGTGCGCCTGTGGGACCTGCGTCTCGTCGAGGACTACGAGGACAAGCTTTCGCGCCAACAGATCGAGGCCCGGGGTCAGCCCGCCCTCGACCGCATCGCGGAGCAGAACGAGCAGGACGATGACGAAGAGAATGTGGGTGCCGATGCGGCTGGTGGACCATGCGTCCGCACGCTCGAGGGCCACAGCAAGAGCGTCACCTCCCTGTACTACGAGGACTCGACTCTGGTCACTGGTTCGTCGGACAAGACGATCCGTCAGTGGGACGTGACCACTGGCCAGTGTGTGCAGACCATGGACATTCTGTGGGCCATATCCAACCCCCCGGCTGCACCGGCTACGCCGCGCAAGCCCCGCCTGCGACACAGGAGCAGCACCTCGTTCGGCAGTGTGCAGTACGACGACATTTTGCCCAACCTCTCGTCTCCCCTGTCCACCCTCGAGGCTGCTGAGCCACCATCGACTGCCTCTCTCCTCTCGGGCCAGTTTGCCGTCCCCACCCCGCCGTTTTCGGACGGTACTTGGGATATGTACCAGGACTTTGTCGGTGGACTCCAGTTCTGGGGTTACGCCCTCGCCAGCGGCAGCGGCGACGGCGCTGTCCGTATGTGGGACATGCGTACCGGCCAGGCCCACAGGACTCTTACCGGCCACACCGCGCCGGTTACTAGCCTCCAGTTCGACGAGCAGTACATCGTCTCGGGCTCGCTGGACAAGACTATCAGGGTGGGTTGACAGCTTTGCCTGCCTGCCAGGGCCTTTAGCTGACTTTCTCAGATATGGGATCTCCGTATGGGCGCCGTCGCCGAGCTGCACAGGTACGAGTACCCGGTCACGGCCGTGCAGTTTGACAGCCGCAAGGTCGTCGCGTGTGTGGGCGAGAATGGCATCGAGGTGAGTTCAGCTTCCTCACTGCGAGATAGACATGAGCTGACATTTCAAGGTGTACAACCGCACGACACTCGCACACACGCGCTTGGTGGTCAACGGACACACCAAGCCTGCCGAGCGGATGCGTTTCATCGACAAGTATCTCGTCAGTGGTGGGCGCGATGGCTGCGCCAAGGTGTGGGCCATGTAAATGCATCAGAGTCATCGGAAGCGAAACGAGAGTGAGAGGGCGAAATGTGTGGCAGGGCGAGCACTAGGAGAAACCCGCATGGCGGCATTCTGGGGCGGCGATGGCAGAACTGTGACCAGGATGGAGAGCAAGGAAGCGTAAAGTTGGCATTGCACGTCTCGGTTTAAGTGCATGTGGCCTTGAGCCTGCAGAGCTTGATGTTTGCATTCCTCCTCGCACCAGTCGAGGCCTTTGCCAGCCACCCCTGGGTGCACGCACCCCGCGCCGGTGGAGGTGCGCGTATTAACTTTGGCCGGTTTTGTGTTGGTGATGATAGTCTTGGCCATCGTCTCCCCTTGCTCCTCACCCACCTCTCACTCACCACCATGGCGCCATTCGCGCTTGACTGGCCCACCGCGGCGGTCATCCTTGGCCTCGCCGCCTTGTGGGTATACCACTCGGGGCAGAACCAGCATGCCGCCTGTAGGTGTCACGACTGTAGCCGGATCCGCGCGGGACATGTCCCAACACCAACACCAACGGTCATCGCGACCTCGGCCCCAGCAATACAGGCTGTTGCAACCCCGGTTCCGAGCACGAGTCCCAGCCCCGTCGTACCCGTGTTCCCCTCTGCTCCGGCCGCGTCTCTGGTGAGCCCGTGTCCTACGCCCCCACTGGAGATTGTGCCGCCGAGCCTGGTTGGCTTTGCCGAGGAGAAGGCCCAGCAGGTGCAAGACGAGCAAGACGAGCAAGACAGGACGGCAACTCGTATCCTCGCGCCGACGCCTGTACAGGTTCAGCGGGTGGCCAGTAGTCTTCCTTGTGCTGCTGAGTACAACGAGGTATGTTCTCGGCCTCAACTCTCCGCCTGACTCCTAGACACCCAGGCGCAGTCCCCTTCAACCTCTGGACACCGATTTCCGCGAAGTTGAGGTCCCGTATACTCCTCCCTCTGTCCCCCACCCGTCAAGCTCGGCCTCAGACTGGCGCGCTCAGCGTGACACGTCCGCTTCATCCTACTCATCTGGACCATCCGCGTCAGCAACGGCCTCTGTGACCTCGTCCCAGTCGCCCGTGGTGCGCCCGTTCGCAGCTCAAGCGTCCCCCGCGACGTCTACACCGGGTACCAGCCATGAACGGCCCTCGAAGAAGTTTGAGCTAGGAAAGAAGCGCGGTGACTTCCATTGCAAGGACTGTGACAGGTGGTATGGCACACAGAATGCGTTGTTGCAGGTGAGTGACTGCGGGTCAAGCTCCCGACTCGCACCAATTGTGTTGACCTCTTGTAGCACAAAATCGACAGCCACATGCTTAAGTCGGACCGCAGCGACATTGGTCGTCCTTTCCCCAAACACCAGGTGCAATTCCACTGCCCGCTGTGTACGAAGGCGTACAATACCGACGCACACCTTCAGCAACATTTGGCGCACGTCCACATGGTCATTGAGCAGCAGAAAAATCAGGAGTGGTCGTCTGGGTCTGGAACTGGCAGCACTAGGAAGGATGCCAAGGCTACCAAGCCTGATCCTCAGGTGATGTCGTCTCCGGCCTCTCAGATGAAGACGTATGCCGAGCGTGCTCTGGAACGCGCAGCACGGCGCCGCGGCGAGGTTCCCAACGGCCGACCCAGCACCCCCGAGAGGCACTTTGCCTGTCCCTCGTGTCGCGCCACGTTCTCCACCACAGACGAGTTGACGGCACACGCTGCCGATCCCTTTGCCCATGGCTCGCAAGATAGCCCGCATTGGCCATCCCTCGAGCGCGGCAGGCAAGAGGGTACGGAGCCTCCTCCTCCGCCCGCCGCCGACGATTGGGAAGCCCTTGCCCGTGAAGGCCGCAACCCTCTTCCTCCGCTCACTGTCACGCGTTTGACTGCCAACCTCGGTGGTATCAAGGCTCGTGTGGGCCACTCGTGGGCTGATTCGGACGAGGAGGGCGAAGAGGCAAGCGACCGCCTGCCCGAGACGCCTCCCCATGTCTCGCGGCACATTCGCAGCAACTCTGTGCCATGGGGAGGTCCCGATTCTCCGGCAGCCTCTCTTATCGCCGTTGAGGAGCTTGAGGTCGCCAGTGTAGTGAGCACGGATGACTGGCGCCGCACGCACGCCGCCACGCCGCCGCCGCCCGCCAGCCCCGACGTGACTTTTGCGAGTAACGCTGCTCTCGACTCTTCACCCGAGAGGAGCCCGCGCCTCGCTCTGGCACTGGACATTGCGCCCGAGATTGAGATCCAGCCCGCCATGTCTCCCGAGGTGGTGATGGCTGTTCTGGAGATTGAGACGCTGGTACATGCCGAGCCCAGGACTGCCGCCGATGTCTCGCCTGAGATCGCCAAGGCGGTTCTGAAGACGCCAGCAAAGCATGGCAACGACCTCCTCCTCCTCAAGACCCCAGCTCGCGTGGCAGATAACAGTGCGGGAGGGTTCACCCCAGGTTTCACCCCTGGTGCATCCGTCGATGCTGCTGGCGCGGGTGAGTCGCCGGGATTCTCCTTCACGCCCACCCCGCACAAGTTCTCGTGGTCGCGCTCGCACTCGCACGACACCACCCCGTCTCGGCGTGGAAGCCAGCCGCAGTCGCCTGCGTCCCCCGCGTCCCCGGCCCCCGAGTCGCCGAGCCGCTCCGTCTCGCCGGCAAAGTCCTGGGCTGTGCCTCTGGAGCGCATCACCTCGACCACCTCGAACGCCAGCCACGTCTCGAACGCGTCCCACGCGTCCGCCTCGTCAAGCTCCATCTGGGGCCCACACGCGGGCGCAGGCAAGTACTTTCGGGGCGGACTCGTCCTCGACGCCCCGCCCAGCCCAGCCAACGAGCCGGCGCCCGGCGCCGGTGCTGGAGCCACGTACTCTGCCACGTCGGGCAAGAAGGTGCTCCCCGGTTGGGAAAACTGGCCCATCCAGGCGCAGCACGCGCCGACGTCCCAGTCCCCCGCGGTCAGCCACGCCGCGGCCGCCAACGCGGCTATGGAGCCGTCCAAGGCCGTAGCCAAGGCCAATGCGGACAAGGAGAACCGCAAGCCTGCCGCCGTGCCACAGTACGGGACCATCACGCAGATCAAAAAGGCCACGCCGCCCCCGCAGGCCCCGCAGCCGCAGCAGCAGCAGCCAAAGCCCAAGGCCAAGCCCGCCCCTCTGACAGCCGCGACGGGCCCCAAGTCCCAAGCGTCCAGCGGCGGCAAGGTCCCCAACCCGTCCTTTACGGTGCCCCGCGGCGGCGTGCAGCCGATCTACGACGGCTGGATGTCCCTCGACGACGCGGCGCGCCACCGCGCCGCGTCCCCCGCCAGCTCCGCCACCAACTCGAACGGCACGTCCACGCGCGGCCCGCGTTCCAAGGCTGGCCACAAGGTGAGTGTTCAGAAGAAGCGTGTTCAGACGTTTCAGACGTCCGTGTGGGCGTCGGCGCCGGCACTTGCTGATACATGTCAACAGGTCAAGGCGGAGCGAGCCGCCGCCGCCGCGGGCGACAACAAGCCCAATGGCAAGAAACCCAAGTGGGACAATGGCGCCGGCGCCGGCGCTGCCGCCAAGGCTGGTGGTTCGTGGAGTGCGCCCGCGCCCGCGCCCGTCCCCGCCGCCGCGGCTGCGGACGACGACGACATGTATGGGGGTTGGTGAGTTGTCGCCTGCCTCCGCGGCCCCCACATGGTTCAAGGGTGTAACCCATACCTCATAGCTCATAGCATCCGACCCTTTCGTCTCTTCCCCAGCCGGGAGGGGGTGGGGTGGCTGAAGTACTGCATACAAGCCCGTACAGGCGTCTATGCTATGCTACAATGCTACAGAATGCACATTCGGCAGCGTGAGAGGATGATTGCGCGTCGTCGGGGTACTTTTTGATCCTTCTGTTCTCGTCGCTTGTTCTTGTTCTTCATTCTCGTTGCCCCGTCTCGGCCGTGTAGACTCGCTCGTCGGGTAGTGCCGAGCCGTGCGGTGGAGGTCTGGGAGACAGGTCAGGCGCGTGTTTCGGCGCGCGGACAATGTGGGCCGCTGGCGGTGGTGGGCGGCGGCGGCGTGGGGTTGTGTGAGACGTGGGCGATAGCGAGGTTGAGGCCCGGGCACCACCGTACTCCCCGTTGTAACCGCTAAAACGATTCATGTTGGCCTCGTTGCTGCCGACGCTCGCGTCGCCCACTAGCGCCGCGACGGACATCACACCCGATGGCTGCATGGGGGGCGACGGCTCGCGCCTCTCAGTCAGGGGGAGCTCGCGGACGATGCTGGGCTGGTCGAAATAGACGTCGGCGAGCGGGTCGCCCTGGCTCATGAGCAGGCGGTCCGGGAGGAGACGCGCCAGACTGAGGCCGGCGCCGGGTGTCAACGGCGTGTGAGTGCGGTTGCGCGAAACCGGTCCATGTGCGACGGCATGTGGTGTGAGCGGCGTGACTGGTGTGCGGGGCTCGTTCACGGCAATCTCTTCGCCGAGGGTTGACAGGTTCATAGACAAGGTGGATAGGCCTCGTGGCGGTGCGGGGGTGAGCGTGATGCTATCCATGACTTGGGCCTGGGCGGCGCTGGTGGGTGTGAAGTCGGCCGGGTTGTCGAGGGTCATTTCCATGTCCATGGTGGTTGACTCGACATCGATTTCGAGCGAAATGCTGCTACCGGACTGTTCCAGGAGGTGGGAATCGGCGGGTGTGGGATGGAGACTGGCGAGGAAGTCGTTGATACTCGGGTTGGGTGGGCCCTGCTCCTCAAACGAGAAACCGTACGCACGCTCCGAGGTGGCGGATGCGTCCGAGGAAGGAGTGGCAGAGCGCCGGGGAGCACCCGTACCATCGCCCGGGAGGTTCATGCGCTGGTGGAACTGGGGTCGAATGGCGAGGAGGGGAGTAGGGAGTGGACGTGGGATGGCTTGGTCGTCATCCGAGTACGCATCGACGGTATCACCGTCCGAGTCGACGACTTTTTCTCGTGGCGAGTCGACCTGCTCGATAGCGTCGACGGAGGGTCGCCCGAGAGCCGGAATGCGCAAGACGATAGATTCGACATCATTCTTGGACGCGGTCTTTCTGCGCTTCTTCTTGGGCTCGCCGTTGGCTTTGCGAGGGGAGGTGTCTCCAGTCTCGTTGCCGGCAGCCTGGCTCTTGCGCCCCTTACCTCCTTTTCCTTTGCCTTTGCCCGCGCCGAAAGTAGTAGGCGGGCGGTTCTTACCTTCCTTTTCATCAATCCACGCGATCCACTCTGGCGGCAATGGCGCCGTAACAATGTCGTCGTCGCGGCAAACGATGCGCACACGGTCAAAGCCGGGGTCGGCCATGCGTTCAAGGTACTTTTGCACCGACCCCTCGGGCCGTGCCGCAGTTGCAGCTCTGCCACCCATGCTGAAGGGTTTGGCGACGAGGTCACCGAGGCCGCGTTTGCGCAGGCAGATGGAGCAGCTGCAAATGCCTATGCAGACGGGGCAGATGAACGAGCGGGAATCCTCGTCAAACTCGAAATAGTCGTATCGCGCGCAACATGAGGTGCAGAACAATTTGCCGCACTCGGGATCGACGTTTCGGCAGCGCATCTTTGCCTTTTCGGATTTGCGTCTGCATTGGTGGCATGCAAGGCCAGGAAGCATCTACGTCGTCAGCCATGATCCAAACCATGTGGGCGACTTACAGAGTAGTGGACCTTCTCGCCACGGACCTTTGGCGGTGGCGTTGTTGGCATTGGAGACTCTTCAGAGTCTGACACGACCTCGACAACTTGGCCGTCGTCGTGCTTGGGCTTTGCAGCCTTCTCGATCTCTTCCAGCGTCATCCATCGAAAGGTGGGACCGACGCCGCCATACAGCTCGTCCTCGCCCTCTGCCAACGGCGCACCCTCGCCGTCGCCAAAGCGCCACCGCCGCTCCTCACCCAACTCCCAGTGCGCACAGTCGACGTACTCGCCCTGTTCAATGGCGCGACGTTTTCGTCGATCGCTTCGGAGTTCTACACACGCCAGTCGCTGTCGCGCACCCGGTGGAGGCAATGTGAGCACATGGCCCGAGCGGTCAACAATCTCGCGATGGCGATGGACTCGACGGCGGGGAACTGGCGTAGACTGGGCGCCAGTGTTTTGTGACGAGAATAGTGACCCGGCACCCGAAAGGCCGAGCTCAGCAAGGAGCGAGTTGTTGTTGCGCATGTTGAGCTGTCGCTGCCGCTCATCTTCCAGGTCAGCGACTGCGGCGGCTGGGACGTCGACGAGCGACGCATACTCACATTCCTCTTCTTCCTCGTCACTGGACATCACGTCGGCATCAGGCGACCGTGACATCTGTGTTCTTGACCTTGACCTTGATCTGGTCCTTGTCCTTGTCCTCGCGGAGCGCGAGGAGGATGGTCCCGGGTCGCCGAGTTGCGCCATATCCTCTGTACCTGAGGCGGGTCGTGGTGGGGTGCCGCCTGGTGTTTGCGACTTTTGGAGCGGTATAGGAGCTGGGGACAGTGATGATGAGGCGATCACTTCAGATGGTATCACTGGAGGCGTCCCGGGACGTGGGCTCGCGCCCAGCGCCCCGTCCGTGGTTGGCGGCAGGCGATGGTTACCGGGCGGTGGAGGCGGTGGAGACTGTGTGCCGTGGGCAACAACAGTGTCGAGGGATGCGGACTTGGGCAAAGGCAGTGTCCCTTTTGGTGCTGGAGAGGGATATTCAGAGGTAACAGGATGGAGGATATGTGGGATGATGGACGAGAGGCCGTTGGGGGAAGGGGATGATGATGAAGGTGGATGATGGATGATTGTTGTTGCTCGCTCGCTCCCTATTCCCATAGTGGACGCCCACACCCGCACACAGTCATCGATTACAAGAGCCCGGGTATCATGGCCAACGCGTATTAATGTACACGGCATTTAAATGTTCTTACGTAATGCCACGTGCTGACGACCCACGACCCACGTGGGCGCTGGGATTATTACATTATTATTTATTGCTTCCCCCCTTTCACTCGTCCCCACAACTTTCAGAGCGGCGCGTGAACTGTGAGAGATTGAGAGAGAGACCACACCTCGTCTGTCGTCACCACCCGTGTATCGTCTGCCAGCAAACGCACAGAGGCGCTCTGGAGCTATATTCAAACCGACGCGAGGCTCCACCAACCCACACCTGCCACCGCCTCTCTCTTCAGACACACACTCGCTCACATTTGCCACCACCCGCTTTGCTCTCCATCCGACAGGCTCAATCCTACCGCCTTGTCTTTGCCCCCAACACATTTCCCAGGTTGCGCCTCCACCCGCGCGCGCGCCACTCAACGCACTTTGCTCTGTCACACCTCGGTAGCCTATAATAGGTCACACCCCGCCCACATCCTCTGGGGTCTCCATCCAGTACCTCCCACTCACCGACCCCCACAACTCGTCCATCATGGCCGCTCACGGTGAGTCTCCTTCGTCGTTCATCCGACCACCCCGCGGCCACCACGCTCCCCCTGCACGCGCCCTCCTCGGGTTTGGAACAGGGTGGATGGTTGTGTCGTGGCCCGCATGTCGTCTCGTCGGCCCCCGACCACCCCGCACAACCCTTTGTACTGACGCACACGCCACCTCAGACACCGTGCCGGCCCAGAACCTGCTCGCGCTCATCCAGTCGCTCAGGAGCACCCCGCCGCGCCTCATCCTGTCGCCGCCGACGCAGCCGCGTCGCGCGAGCGTCGCGCTCATCCTGCGTATGCGTCCCGCTCCCGACCTCGTCTTTGAGGGGAACATCCCCGAGGGGTATGTGGGGCCCGTCATCCCCACAGAGGAGTTTGGCGTGGGGCTGCCATTTGAAGAGTTCTTGCGTCTGAGTATGTTTCTGTTGAGAGAAAGGGGGTGTGGCCTTGAAGCTGACAGTTTGCAGACTGGGTCAACCACCCAGGTACGGTTCCCGAGCTGCTATTCATCCGCCGCGCGCCGAGCGCGAATGCGAATGGGTCGGGTGGTCGCTGGAGCAGCCACATTGCCTTCCCCGGCGGTCGCCACGAGCCATCAGACGAGTCGGCACTGTACACTGCTCTGCGTGAGACGTGGGAAGAGATCGGTATCGACTTGGCCGAGAGCGACTATGTGCAGGTCGGTCGCCTCGACGAGCGAGAGATCACCACCAGCCTGGGCAAGCGCCTGCTCATGATCCTCAGCCCATTCGGTGAGTGCAACCTATTTGCCACAGACACACACACACATGACATGTCTCAGCCTGCCCCAAAAGTTGGGTGGGTCGGACACGAGACCTATTACCCGAACCACACCGGGTTCTTCTTCTCCGTGGGGCACCGATGAACCTTAGACGATTCCGGCCTTTCGCACGTTATGCTGACATGCCTCCGCAGTCTTCCTCCAGACTTCGCCCATCAGCCCCACTCCCGAGCTTCAATCTGTTGGTACAGGTCGCACGAGTTGTCACTAACGATCCCACAGTCTGAAGTGTCGACTGTCCACTGGATCCCCCTGTCTTCTCTCAGCCCGCCGTTCGAAGCAGACGAATGGGGCCACATCGACATTGACATCTCCACCCGCCTCTCTCCGCGCAACCAGCTCGTGCGCCTCGCTCTGCGCGGTCTCGTCGGCACCATGCAGTTTGGCTGCATCCTTCTCCCCGACGAGCCCGACTACATTGCCGAGGGCTTTGACATGAACATGGATTTCTTCGAGCCACCTGAGGGTGGCAGCGGGACGTGGCTCGATGCCAAGACAGGACGCCGCATGCTCCGTCTCTGGGGATTGAGTCTGGGCATGACGCTCGACCTCGTTGCACACTGTCCCGGAAGTGACGCAAGACTGTCTACTCCTCGCTCACGGTCCAACTCCAAGGGCTCGTCGCCGGACCGCGCCACCCTCTTTGGCCCTCGTACGCCCGTCACCGTGGTGTCGTCATTCGACCAACACTGGTTCCCTGACGAGCGCTCTACGCGCTCTAAGACATCAAACACCAGCTCGGGCGGCAAAGTGGGCGTGGCGACACTCTCGCCCAAGCTCAAGCGCAAGGGCTCGGTGCAGATCCTCGAGACGCGCCGCCGCGGCGTCGGACCCGGCGTCACTGCCGTCTTCCCGCGGTTCTCCTACCCGGACGTCAACTTCTGGATTTGGGTCTTTGGCAGGCGGTACCGCCAAGTCGTGCGGTCGTGGGAGGAGTCGGTTCACGGGCCCGACAAGGTGTCAGACCGCCGGACAAACTGGAGCGGCGCGGCGCTGTCAACATTCTACCAGGCCGTGCGACACGCCCTTGTCGTAGCCATCATTATCCGTGGTCTCGCCGCCGTGGGTGTCACTGCCGGCCTGACGTGGTGGGTCCTCCGACACCTTGGTGTGGGCATGGGCCACGCCGCGACCGCTGTCAATGCTGTCACCGCCAGCGCTACCGAGTTGTGAGAGCTGGCCCGCTGGCGTTCAGGCCGGCTACAGCTCCCTCCCTCGGCTTAACCCAAGCTCTGGTAGCCGACAGACCCCCGAGTACCCGTACCCGACAGACCCCCGTTCACGAGGCGCCGTGCGCCGCCAGATATTTCGCCCTTGACGGGCGCCACCGGTCCCAGAAGATCAGGACCAAGGACCATCAGGACCAGGCGTTCTAGACACGACGCAAGATACAAGAGAGAGAGAGAGAGAAGCAAAGGAAGAAGCAAGTTGTTTGGTTGTTCACGCCCCCGCTCCCCCCATCCCCAGCACACGACATTTCTTTGTCCAACAATGATTTACGAGCCCACGCCACCTATGTTACGCCTGTAGGCATCTTTTATCCCCCATTTTTATCCACTGTATCGCATGTATAAGCATGTGTTACGTCTACGTGCAGGTCTGCTCTGTCCAGTGCACAGCTCGTCCGGTGTTTGCGCCTGCCCGCACGCCATCGACAATGAGAAGCAGACATGTCTGCGGGTGAAGGCGACCCAGTCTCAGCCTCGTATTGAAAGAAGCTGCCCAGCCTGGAATGCACAGATCTGGCAGAGGTGGGAGGGAGAGGTGGGTGGCCACTCCAGGCACTCGCCACCGGCCATAAACTCGCGCCAGCGTAAACACGCCTGCACCCCTGCCTTTGCGGGAACGTGGAAACGCGCTCCAACGATCCAACCCTCCATCTCGATCACCTGATCACCTGCTCCGGCGGCCAGCTCAGGAACGTTGGGGCAGAACACCACCCGCTGACGACGCGTACGCGTGCACGTGAGCGGCGCGGCGCGGCGCGGTGCATGCGTGCGTTGGAGCACCGCCAGTGCATTTGGAGCAGACAGCACTGCATGACGGAATGTGTCTGCGATACACTACAAACGGGGGGTCATGCGACCCAAGAGAGATGAGATCGAGAGGCGCCACCGACACATGGGGAGACGAGACGCGTCCGTCGTGGGTGCATTGCTCATGTCATTGTCAGGGTGCTGTGCTGGCCCGGCGGGGTGGTCGAGGGAGGTACAGTATGGGGCCGCGTGCGGGGCCTACAACTCAGCCACATATCTTTGGGTGCATCGGTTAATGGGCTGAATTGTCGCATGGATAGTAGGATACCTGGTCATGCGAACATGCAGGCATGCGGACACGGCGTGAGGAAGGTATACAGAGTGGTGGACCGTGTTTTGCAAGAACCAAACAAGACTGGTGGCGCGGACGATGCCCCCGACCGCGTCTCCCATTCATTCCTCTTCGCATCTATTCTATGTAAAGTGTTCGTTGTATCTATAAATTTCTGTGTTCCTTTTTCCTCTTCTGAATCTTCTAGAGTCGTCCTGCTGGTGTCTCCTTCCTTTTTGGTTGTTTCTTCTAATCTTCTTGAACGTCACTGCTGCTGGATTGTTTTTTTCTTTGATTTTTTTTTTCGTGATTTGTTTTTCCTTCTCCGATGTCGTTGTTTTTACTTGCTTTCTCTTTTATCTATTGACATCCATTGTCCTTGAATTATTGTAGTGGTCGTGGCGGCGGGGCTGAAGTCATGGCAGACGCTGGACGCGGTGCCGATCATGTCTGCCAACCCACAGCGCTATGTACCTCACTCGCGCGTGAGGAGCACGGCGAGACAGTCTGAACCCTCGGGCGTCCAGACCTTGTCGACCTTGGCATGCGGGACGGAAGCCAACACCGCGCTGAGCTTCTCCTAGGTCCAGAGACAGAAGAAGCGGGGGGCATCGACCTTGACCTCGGACCACGCCTCACCCTCGCCCTTGGTGAGCGTGAACGCGAGGGTGCCGCCAACCTTGAGCGCGGCGACGGACCGATGGAGGACGGCAGCAAACTGCGCGCGGTCGAGGTGGACAAACACCGCGTTGGCGTAGATGCCGTCCCAGGAAGTACCCAGGTCGTCGGCGACGACGTTTAGCTTCTGCGCCGTTACCCCGCGGGCCTCGAGCAGGTCGATAAAGGCCTGGGCGGCGTCGGAGCGCGTGACGCTCAGGCCCAGCGCGGCGAGCTGGTCGGCCTGGTCGCCGGACCCGGAGCCGATCTCAAGTACGCGCGTGCCACTGCCGGCCTTCTTAATGGACGCGGCGAACTCGGTGAGCGCGGGAGTGGCCTCGGGTTTGCGAGACTTGTCAATGTACAGCGCGGCGGTGCGCTCGTACGTCTCCAGAGTGAAGTCGTTAGGGGTCTGGTTAACGGCCAGGGTAGGGGCGGGGATCGTGACGGTCATGGTGATGGTTTGGGGCTTTCTTGGTTCAAAAGTTGGGAGTGGGGAGCGTGTTGAGGATGTGGTATGATCTCAGTTGACCTTTTATGCCCGTTCATCCATCGGTGCCTGCTGTGTGCAGGTGATAGCCACTGCCGACAGCTGGCAGCGTTTGCCCCGCATATCCCAGCGGCCCCGCATGCCAGTGTACACGCGACTGGAGCACGCAAGTGCAAGTGCGCAGTTCCAGTTGGGTTTCGCATTCCGTTTCGACTCGACTTGATTCTACGCCAAGAGCAAGACGGGCAGGCAAACACCATCAGTCATCTATGACCTGCCGCCACGCACTAATCGCGTCAGCCAACATGACGTCAGTGACAACCGACTAGGCCGAGCGTGCCGAGTAAGTCGCAGTCAAGGGGAGTGCATGCAGCACGCGGGGACGCGTTGTGTGCGCACGCCTGGGTCGCTTTCGTGTGCCGACTTCAGCGTACATGTGTATGAGGAGAACGAGGACAATGAGGATGTCGCAGGCACGAGACTGGGGCGGATTAACAAATTATTGACATCATTTTCGAGTCGTGTCGATCGCCTCGGCCCAATCGTCACGTTCGACACCGGCCCAGCCAGCTCGTGGCATCGAGGCTGCAAGGTATTCGTCCCACCCCATCGTCTGTGTCTCTCCCCTTTTCCGCGTCGCAATCCAGCAGTCCTTCAGCACACCGCGCTGCACGTCCAGGCCCGGTACGCAAGTGGCCACGGGCCACCCAGCGCGCCACACGACCTTGAGGCTGCCGACGTTGCCCATCAGCGCGTGCCACCGCACTGTACGGACGCCAGCGTCGTCCAGGAGGCCCAGCATCAGCGTGAGTGCGCGAGAGAGGTATCCCTTCCCGCGCGCGTCCGGGTGCATGGCGAACCCCACGTCTCCCTGCATGCCCCTCGAGCCCGGGTACGGACGCCAGTCGATCCCGCCGGCAAACTGGCCGTCGACCTCGATTGCCCAGCACATCTGTGTCCATGTCGGCGAGTTGGTGAGGGCGACAAAGTCTTTGGCGTCTTGGATGGTGTATGGGCTGGGGATGGTGGTGTATTTGACCGCAAGGGGGTCGATCGACCGCTCGTAGATGCGCTGGGTGTCGGAGGGTTGCTGGGGACGGAGGGTTATCACACCATCCGTGAGCACGGGCGGCGGTTGGATGACCTCCATAGTTGTTGGTCTTGTACTGATTGAAGGTGTTCCCTTGGAGTGCAAGGCAGTGGGTGAGTGGTGAGATGTTGTGATCGCAAAGTTGTCTCAAGATTGCTATGAAGTCGGTCGTTGCTGGTTGAGTCAAAAGACATCCGAGTCGAAGCTTTGCCCGATACATACTACTCTGTCTCGGCCCGGCCCGAACAGGCAGTAGCGTTCAACAAGTAGCCTTTGCAGACATGTACAGAGAATACTGACACAGAGGATGCATGTCCGATATCTTGAGCCACTATGTCCTACCTACAGCACAGTGCAAGGTGCACTTGCTCACCGCGGCCGGTTTACCGACTCGCCCACAAACCCCTCTCCGGGGGTACTTGCAGCGCGATACTCATCCCACTCCATCGTGTCTTTGCCCCTCGCTGCCGCGTAGACACCCAGCCATCGATCATCTTTCCCCTCTGCACATGCACATACGGGACTGGGAGTGGTGGCGGAAAGCCGAACCGCCAGGCAAGCCGCAGACTGCCCCAGTTATACACGCGCGCATCCCACCTGATGTGGTGAACGCCGTTCGCGTCCAGCAGCGCGAGGACGAGGGATACCGCGCGTGAGAGGTGTCCCTTCCCCCTAGAATCTGGGTGCATGGCGTAGCCCAGGCCGCCTTCCCGACCGCCCGAGCCCGGGACGGGTCGCCAGTCGACAGACCCGACAAGCAAGCCGCCGTCGGCGTCCGAGGTGATCCCCCACAGGATGGCCGGGGACGTAGGCGACATGGCGTCGGAGACGTACTCTTCGGCCATGGGCATGGTGTACGGTATGGTGTAGAGCATCTGGTCGAGCGTTATGGGGTCGGCGTTGCGCTCGTAGATGCGTTGAACATCGGAATGGACGAGTGGGCGGAGGGTGATGACGCCATCGGCGAGGGGAGGGGGTTGTTGGGCCTCCATTTGAGTGTGCTGCTTTGGAGTAGGACGGCTCTTCAGAGCCTGGAGAGAGGTGGGGGGAGCTTGGGCGGCATGGATTCTGGACACGATGATGTGCTGTTTTATGTGGACGTAGCAGTGTCGCTTAACGCTCGAGTCAAACACTGTTGCTGTTGTTGATCCCCGCGAGCCATCTCTCCGGACGAACGACCGCGGCCGACGGACCTGACGCGGAATCGGCCTGACTGGGCCATGATGACCTGTTTGTGGTATTTGTGGCCTGTGCCATATCCTTGTCGAGTAGACACCACCAGTACATGCACAAGTATTGCATAAACAGACTCAAGCGACTCTCATGGCTACGACAAGTACTACAAAACACACTTCGAAAGAACGAAACAACTCAACGTTGTCGCGCGGCACAATGGAAAAGCGTCCACCGTCTACATAAGCTGGAACTCCGTGACGGTGACGCGCTGCTGAACGAGGTAGACCATATCGTCAATGTCGAGGTCCGCCATCTCGTTATCATCGTCATCGTCATCTTCGTCCGTGTCGTCGTCATCGAGGTCACCGCCCGGGGTGTAGATGGCGACAGTCTTGTTCTTGTCCTCCTGGAAGAGGGTCTCGGGCTTGACGTTGGGAGGCGCGTGGAAGACGCGGTAAAGGGGGTGCCTGGTGAACGAGTAGAGGTTGTGGATGTGGCGGATCCACTCGGGGTCGTCGGGACCAACAGCCGAGCGGGGGAGGGGGATGATAACGTTGCCCTGGGGTCAGCTTGAAAGGCCGTGAATTAGAAAGCTCACGAGAATCATTCCAGTCTTCCAGTAGTGGTCGTCGACCATGTTGCCCTTGTTGGAGTCACTGGCGTGCTCGTTGTCGGATCCACCCGAGTCACTGGCCGCGGCCTCGTCCGAGCCGTTGCTAGAGCTCTTGTGGCTGGCCACAGAGTCAGAGTCGCCGCTCATAGCTTCATCCTCATCCGAGCCGTTGCTAGCTCTCTTGTGGCTGGCCGCAGAGTCGGAGTCACTGCTCATAGCTTCATCCTCATAAGAGTCGTCGTTGCGGTCCATATCGATCCCCATAGACGAGATCGGGACAATGGCCTTTGAGTTGTCGTCCGCGTCCTCGTTGCCGTCGACCGAATTGTCGGGGTTCCCGTCAACGTCAGACTTGGAGGCGCCAACCGCGGTGACGAAGCTGGCGTTCTGGGCAGGAATGCTGCCGTCCACGAGGTTCATGTCAACAAACGAGGTGGGGTTGAGGGCGCTCAGGCGCGAGACGAGGGGCTTGGGGAGGGTGACGACGCTGCCCGCAGGCTCTTCGCTGGCCTCCGAGTCGTCGCTCTCGGACGACGCTTCGTAGTCAGAGTCATCTTCGTCATCCGAGTGGGCTTCCTTGGTGATTGGACCGCCCTTCTCAAGTGAGAACTCGTCGAAAGTGACCTTGCTGAGGAACTTGGCCTGGTCGTCGCGGGACATGTCGACAAAGCCCGAGGCGTGCATCCAAGGGAGCGTCTTCCAGTTCTGTGGAGTGTCGTTAATCTCGCCGGGGTCGACAAAGATGCTGGAGCGTCAGTACCAAGTCGACGCACTACGACCCACCCCTTGCCTTGCGCGCGCATCTTCATGAGGAAGCGGACACCCTTCTCGACGTCGAGGTCGGCAATCATGCCCCAGGTGACGCCGAGGGCTTCCTCGTCTTCGAGGTGCTCGTTTCCCTCGCACATCCAAATGGGGTCGCGCATCTTGCTGCCAAGGAGCTGGAGGTAGGCGCGAACGTCGGGGAAGCTGGTGGGTTAGCGTACGACTGGGCGGATGACCCCACTCTTCGTAGTTGTCTTCGGGGTTGAGGTTGAAGACGCGCATGTTGGTGACCATGCCCTCGGTGGTCCATCCACGGCGTTCGCGATCGGCGACGCGCTCCATGTTGCGAGCGCGGGCGAGAGCACGCTGGCGCATACGCTCGAGACGGTGACGCTGGACATCTTCGCCACCGGCGGCGGCGAGGAAGTTGGCGTGCATCTTGCGACCACGGCCCTGCACACTGGAGCGGTTGGTGCGGCGGGGGGGAGGGGAGTGGTTGTTGCTGCTGCGAGTGGGGGAGACGGGGGGCATTGTATCAAGAATGGAGGAGTGTGAGAAAGAGAGAAGGCAGGTGAGTCAACTTTGGAGGGAAGGCCATGTTTACGCTGATCGTGTTTGTGGCATTTGGTGGTTGACGCGACATCCACTGGTGGGCCACTCGCGCACTCGGTTTTTCAGTTAAACGAACACCGCAGTGTCTTATGCCGAACAACGCCCATTCCCCATCTCTTGTGCTCTACTTTTGGGATCCGTTTCACAGCTTTAATAAGTATAAAACAGAGAAAGCCGAGGGATGCACACACAAACGTTCGGGAAACCCTTTCGTGCCGCCCTACAAGCTCCATGACATTCTCCTTCTCTCCAATCTTCCCACCGTCGTCCTTCTCGTTCCACACATTCAATGCATACAGCAAACAACAATTAGTGCATCTCGGCAAGCACGGCAACAAACCATCTTAGCTCCCAACCCACTTGCCCCGGGAGCACCTCATGGCATGCTCTGATGGATCCTCAGAACCGTCTGAGACCTCCCTTTTGGCACAGAGGTCAACTTCTGTACCTGTAAGGACGTGGTGAAGTACCGGACGCTACTCGAGGGAAAGCATGGCCCCTACGTGCCAATGAGGGGCGTGTCCAGGGAGGTTTGTGGTTGGCGCAGTTGGTGTCATGTCTTTCAACTGGGCGGGACGACAAGTCGAGCTGGTACGCGGGGCGGGCATCCGGTGTGTGACCACAGGCGCCTTCATCGCCTTACAATGGTGTCTAGCGGCCAGCGGACAACTGTGCCCCGCGAGCAGCTTGTACCTGCTGACTCTCATGGGGACTGTTGGTTTGGTTGTGTCTTCACCAGTGGCCACGACACTCGCACGTAAAAACTTGTCATGCCTGCATGCCGCCCTCTGTATGTATCCCTTCCTCCATGCCGAGCGTGTTGGCCGCTGCACAGGCCAACAGAAGTCAGCGACACCTGTTGCCGCAGGTGCCAACAGTAACCGATCTCGACATGTCGGTTGGGAAGCCCGATGTTGTTTGTGACGGTCAGAAATGCGCACACGCATCAGTAATCCACATCTGCTGCCCCACTGTGAACACTTGCACACCTCCGAACGTCCATGCGAGACCTGCATAGTAGGGTAATCTCGCTCCTCTGCACACCATGCAACGCTACGCCACGCTATGCATCCCTATGGTACATGCGTCGACAGCACCCAGCTCACCAAACCAACGATGAAGCCAGTTTACTTCTTGCCGCCGGAGATGTTGCGGGCACCGACACGACGACCGGTGGTCTTGGTGTGCTGACCACGGACACGGAGACCCCAGTGGTGACGGAGACCACGGTGAGTGCGGATCTTCTTGAGGCGCTCAAGGTCGTCACGCATCTTCTGGTCGATCTGGTTCGAGACAATGTGCGAGTTCTTGCCGTCGTTGAGGTCACGCTGACGGTTAAGGAACCAGGTGGGGATCTTGAACTGGGCGGGGTTCTGCATGATGGCTTGGGATGGTCAGCGGTGAAGCGAAAGAAAGGGGTGGAAGAAGCGAAGGGCGACGGCACGCGACATTTGCGGTAGCGGTCGGGTCAGGACAACAGTGTGCTGTTTACGCCAACGGCACAGCGTCGGTCGCGCAGACGCAGAGCACGCAGGTGTAGACCACCAACGTTCCTCGCGCAACATTCGCTTCTTCCACCACAAACACGACGATTTTACTCACTGACAATGCGCTCAAGCTCGTCCGAGTTGAGCTCACCGGCGCGCTTGTTGAGGTCGATGTCGGCCTTCTTGCACACGAGGTTAGCGTAACGCCTGCCGACACCCTTGATCTCGGTGAGGCTGGTACACTGTCAGCAAAAGTTCGTCCCGGAAATGGGTCGAGAAACGGTCCGACGACAATTCGCCGTTTGGGCTTCCTTGCGCCTGTGTCCATTTCTCGAGTCCCAATCGCACGCGCGCCAGACTCACGCGAACATGATCTTGCCACCGCCCTTAACGTTGGTGTTAAGGAGACGGAGAATGTGCTGTACACTGTCAGCGGTCGGCCCTCCAGACGTCGAAAATCCAGCCCCTCCATTCCGTCCTCCCAATCCGTCTCTCAAGTCTCCCCAGTCCATCTCCTCCTCCTCCAACGCGTACGAACCTGGAACTGCTGGTGAGCCCTGTCAAGTCAGCATGGATTCTCTCGGGGACGTCGTGTACGCACTCAGGGGGAGCGAAGGTCGACATGGCTGCGATTTTGATGGGTGGGTAGATGTTGGAGACGACGAAGAGAATATGCACGGCGTGCAGCGCACCTGCCAGAGAGAGCCGCCAGACAGTGAATTAGGTAAGCACACGTGGACGGAGTTTAGATCGACCCAAAATTTCGGGGTTTTGGCCGTGTGGCAGAATATGCTTCCGTCGCCCATCTCTTGCCTGGCGCATGTGCGGACTGTGTCAACACATGCACAGGCGCACAGGCTCTGCTCGTCGCCGACTGCGAAGACCCCGTCCGAGCATACTTCATACAACCTTCCACACCTTATCAACTGCATTTCCACCCCTCCTGCGCGAGAAACAGGCAGCACATTGTTGTTGTCTTGTGAGGCGGCAGCCCTACCCCTGTGACCCCACGCGATCGACCTTGCCGATCCCCAGCGTGGTTCACACTGATGTACTGTCTCTGTGCCCTTGGACTAACCCAGATTCTCCTTCTCGTCCTTGAGGACGCAACACAACATTGGCCGAACCTGTAACCTCGTGAGGAGGATGTCAAGGCGCCGAGCGACGCGGCTATCACTTCCCTCGACCAGTCGCAGGCTGTCCTAGTTGGAGGAGGTCAAGGGCTTTCAAGCGCGACCATCGATCCCGGCGGCTGTGGACCCGTGTCTTACAACAGGACAGGACCAGCTGGCCGTTGGAGCTCCTGTTTGTTGGACAACAAGGCTTGCAGCTTTCCCCACACGCTGTCCCACCATTATGGCTCGCAAGTTGGCTGCCCGTGTGGGGTACACGCACACCACAACGATAACGGTGTCTTCCGTTCCCACGTCATCAGGAGTGCGCCCAGCAAGCTCACTTGTAGTCCTACGCAACAGTCTCTGCATCGGACAAAAGGTGTTCTCAGGCGCTCGTCTGTGAACGAGAAACATGTGTATCTTCAAGAGCAAGAGTTTCTGGCTGCTGGCTGCTGGCTGCTGGCTGCACGCAGCTACGTCGGTAGCCTGCAACCTGCCCAAGGCTGGACGACGACGATAGACTGATCGTCATTGTTTGTCCTCTCGATGTAGCCTTTTGGTGTGTGCACTACATGGCTTGTTCCAACAACTGTGCGGGGAAGGGGGTAATATGGGTGTGTGAGCCCAACAGATCTCCCTGCCGGTTGCGTTCGTGGATACCCGACGATTGCACCAGTTGCACACTGCACACTGCACACTGTTCAACGTCTTGGCGCTCTGCAGCGCGCGACCTCTGATACGATCGTGCGATCGGCTGTCAGAGAGGCCGAAGTGTTGCAGTTACAGTGTCTGGGGAGACATTGCGTGAAGGGGGTGTCCCCGCCGGTCCCCATGGGGTCCCCCGTTCCTCGCTCAGCGATGGATGTAGGAGAAGACACCAGGGTGGCGCGTGTACGTGGGCGATAACGTGGGTGCATGGGACATGGTACATGGGTTCGTGGCATGGGACGTGAGAGGACATGGTCTATGGGAAGACGGGTTGGAGAGCGGCTGGAGAGTGCAGAGAGTGCCGCAGGAACTGGCCTGGGCCGAGGACAGTCGGTGTTATGTGCCGTCGACCTTGGCGGGCTCCTCGAGCACGGTCTCAAGGCTCAGCGCCTCCAGAGACGGGGTCGCGGGTGCCGTGGACCCGAGGCTGGCCGGCTTGTCATGGTCGTCGGTAGGGACGCAAAAGCTTCTGCTCGTCAGTGGAGAACGAGTCGTTGCTGCCATACATACCGGTGCGTTGGGGCCAGGTTCTCGAGTCTGGTTCGGAGGGCGTCCGCTTCGGGGCGGGCCGGCGCTTCGTGCCACTTGAGCGTCACGGGAGTCGGCGGCGGCGCCGAGGGGATACGCGCAGGCGAGAGTTCGGTGCGATGCATCGTGAGATGAGACGAGTGCGCAGACGAGACGACTTGGTTGGTTGGTGATGCTGATGATGAGAGACGAGGGGCAAACGATGAAGAAAGGATATATGCACACAGAGGAAACGTTGGATAAAAAGCGGGGCAACCAGGTGGCGATATCTGAACAATGCGGGCAGTGCGGGGGTGGCAACCCATTGCCGGTGGATACAGTCCGCTCTGGCCGCACGCTTCTGAGGTCTTGATCACTTCACTCACGCGTGCCGTACCGGCCCGGTTCTTTGCAAGCAGAAACGTGCGACTACTGCCGCAAATGCAGCGATAATGCAGCTCGTGTGCTCGGCACTGTACCCACTGTACCCAGTGTGCTGGTCGGAGGGATACGCCCGCGCGCGCGTCACTGCGGCTTGCGCCATGCGGATCATGGGGCGGGCGATGCCGGCCGCCGTGATGGCGTATTATATTTGGAAAGTGGTCAGCGTCGTCGCTGGCCGCTGGCCGCTGGCCAGATGCTGCTGGTTCAAGAATGCACAAGCGAGGGAAAGGCGATGGCAATCGGTAATGTGATCGTACCCTGGCACAAGTGCTTCTGTCGCTAAAAACGTCCATGCTTGTTGTTATCTCTGTATTCCTACAACGTTATGACACTATATACCCTCGCGTCTCCTTGATGAGCACGCCTCCAAGTCTTTCCTCCAGCCCCTCCACTGCGCGGTTGTCACCTTTTCCCCGGTACGCTGCGGCAAGGCGGTCGGCGTTGTCGGTGGCACTGTCCCCGTCGACCCCCGCGTCGTCCCTAACGCACGTGTCCTGGTGCTCGGTAGCCTGCGGATAGAATCCATCGTAGGCACGAGCGGACGTGGGTGTTACCGCCGGCTCGATAGGGGATAGGAGGCCACGGAACCTCTCGGGGGTGTCCACTGCGTCGGCCGTTGGACTGTTCTCGACATCTGGGAGATCGATGTTGCCATCGACTCGGAGCGCCCTAGGCCGCTCGGGATACTGGTCGGCGCCACACCGGCTGATGGACGACCGCTCCAGATGCCCATAGTGGCGCGGCGAAGGGCGCCCGTGGCTGTGGTCGGTGCTTTCCTCCGAGTGATCGCAACCCGCAGCCGGATACGCATCCTGGCCCTCGCGATCCTCCTCTAGTTCGGGTAGGGCGACGGACACTCTCCGCGCCTGGGTTGGCGGAAGGACTTTGGCAGATACGCGCCTGACCTGACCACTTGCCCGCCGAACATGATGCGCGTGCATCGAGACCGACAGCGCACACCTGTCCGCGACCCTGGCGCGCTCCTCCGTCTCGGTAACGAGGGCGGCCGTGAGGGGCCCAGCGGTGTGCGGCGACAGGATCTTGGCCGTGGACGGGTATTGGGGCCACTCGGCTAGTGGGAGGGACAGGCCTATGGACAGCGGTCGAGGTCGCGGTGCCATGGTGGTTGCTGATGGGGGATGGGATGAGCAATAACAGAAAACAGGCGGCGAGCTACATTACATACCGCCACGCGCCGACAACCCAAGTTGCATTTCCAGGCTGCTCCGCATGTGTCAAGTGTCAGTCCGACCCAGCTCCGTTCAGCGAGGGTGGCATGTACCCTGAGGCAATGGCAAGAAGCAAGGAGACGGTGGGGAGAGAAGGGGTACGGCATGCAATTGCTGTGAGTGGCGAATGCCCGTTGGGGGGGATGTTGCGCAGGGGTTTGCCGCGCAGTGGAGACAATAGGCGCCCAGTTTCAAACAAAGATTCCTTTCCCCCGCGCCACAGCCTGGGGTTTCCTCCATCCTGGTTCCTTTCCCCTCAACAAGCCATATGGAGGCTGCCGAACGATCCATGGAGATGATCTTATGCTCCCTTTTCGTTCTGGTGTACTTCTCGAGACATGCGCTTGAGATGAGTGGCGGCAGTGCCACTGGGCGATAGACAGCCTTTTACGGGGATTTTATTTATTAATTTTCGCCGCGACGGAGATCTGTATGTCTCAAGCTCACCAAATGGCCACCCAGCCACCAGACTTAAGCGCCCCACGGTCCACGGGCAGTTGGACTAGATCAACCAACCCAGGAGGCTGGGTTCGGAGGGGAACACGGAGTGCAGAGACAGACAACGGCTGGAACGCGGGGGGATGGAGCGGTGGGTATATATTTTGAGTTTACGCTCTGGACGTGTGTCTCACGGTGAAACGCGCCATACCACCGCGCACAGTCCATGTCCTCCAGGCCACAGCTGGTACCGGCCGCTGTGGGATCCATATCCCTTGCCTGCGCTCGAGTACTGGTTCAAGGCCTGTGCACCGCCATTGCGACAGTGCGCGGTATTGTTTCTCTCCCTCCCGTGTCCTGCCAAAAAAAACAAACAAACAATTTGAATCCAACTCGTGACATGCAAAATACTAATAATTTTTGGACAGCTCTCTACGTCGCCCACGCCGCCCAGTCGGCCAGATCCTGGTCTGTCCGCGACCACACGAGCCCTTGTCGCAGCGACCGCCAGTGCCTCGTCATGATATCCCCGAAATCGAGTGTAGCCCAGCTTCCCAGCGGCGCGGCCAGGAGCGTGGAGGCACACCACACGGCCACGTCCCAGTGAAAGCGGGGCATTTCTGCTCGCGGGTCGCGAGGACGCAAAATGTTCGTGTACAGATGCTGCTCGAGCGCCCGCTGGAAGATGCGGCGCTCCCTGCGGGACGCGGCCAGACCGGCCTCGATGATGTTGAGGAGCGGGACGGTGAACTGCTGCGGGACGGTGAAATCAAAGGTCTGAGCGAGGAGACGCAGCACCGCGACGCTCAGGACGCGGTAGCCTGCAAGGTTGAGCGGGGCGGGAACTGCGAGGGGAGAGATACACCGGTGCTGGTCCATGAATGCGCGCCGGAACGAGGCGGTGACCTGGTCGTCGCCGTCCAGGCCCAGCATGCTGAGCACCGTCGAGGACGGCTGGGACAGGGTGGGGCGCGTCTCACTGGCCGCGGCGGTCGGCCGCGATGTTACTGGTGGCGCCTGAGTGTCAGGCTGCCTAGATGTGGGCGGGAAGCGTGGCTGCTCACCTACATGGTCCATGAGGGGCGAGAAGACGTGCCCAGACGGCGCGGCGGCAGTTGGCGCGGCGGCGGGCGAGACTGCTCGGCTGTTGGCAGCGGTGGGGGACGGCGTGGGCAGAGGTTGAGACGGAGACGGAGCAGGGAAGGCCGATACGAGACCAGCTAACCGATTCATATTCTCCTGGAGCGTACTGGGGACAGGATGTTGGTGGACGTCGGCGGCAGTCTGGTATAGAGCAACTGCGGAGTGGATGGCCGGGACGGCCTGGCGCACCGCGTTCTCTAGTTGACTGACCGGACCCGACATCGATTGAAACTCGCGGTCGGTGATGGGCATAGTTTGCAAACCGCTGAGGATCTCGTGAATGGACAGGCCTAGGAGGGCACATCTCGACCTCAGGTTCCCCAGAAGACTGTTGACCGCAACCACCCTGGGACCGAGATGAACGAGGTTATGCTCAGGTGGGGGTGGTGCGAGGACATTGGCGGTTGGGTCGGCAGACGTCCTCATTCCCGTCTGCCCACCGGTCACTGGGGTCGGGATCGGAAGCGGCGTAACACTCGGTGTGACAGGGTCAAGATACTGTGTCGACCCAGCCCGTGTCGCCGTCCGCGTTGCAGTCTGGAGCACTGAAGGATGCGGCGTTCCCGGTCGCGGCGGGGGAAGAGGGAACAGAAGCTGGGGCGGCGGGTCGTCCCTCGAGCTCGTCGGCGCGGACAGGTTTCGACGACGTGGCGAATCGTTGTCGTCCACCACCGCCGAGGTCGACGTCGAACTCCAGAGCAGTTCCTCGTGCTCGGGGAAATCGGTCACGAGAGGCGGCGCACTTCGTGGTGCTCCTCCACTGGCAGCGGCGGTGCGTTGGCCCGTCTCCAGGCGGAAGATCCTCTCTGCGGCCCAGTCTTCGCGCGGTGTGGCGGAACGGTGCGGACTCCTGCCTCCTACCGGAGGCAGACCGGGGGAGAGCTGTGGGTGGTGGGTACGCCGCGGCTGCGGCTGGATGAGTGGGGCTGGGGGAGTGGACGGCGTGTAGGTGATGGCATGAGGAAACGTGTACCTAGCAGGACCAGGATGGCGCGGGGTCGGTGCATGTTGGCGCGGAGGGGCCGGTTCAAAGTCACGCCCATAGTCGGCGTTGGAGGTTGGAGAGGTTGGGACATCTGGCAGCTCCCTGTTGGGGGCAGGGGGTCGCGACTGTGGCTCGACGGTGGTTGCACTTTCGCGGTCTCTGGCAGCAAGGGCATTTGGCGCTGGGCGCCGGCCACTTGTCCTCGTTCCAGTAGCGACCGTTCGCGCCCTTGCCACACCTGCCATATTGACCCGCGTGGCAGTGGTGACTTCCGCGGTGACGGTAGACATGGTCGAGGTGGTATTATCACTTCCCTCCGTCGGCGTGCGAGCATGCGAGCGCATCGTGGTGAACACGTGAGTGTCGCTGGTCGCCGTTGTGGCTGTGGCGGGCGTAACGGGCCCGGGACTGGCAGAGGGACGCGGACGCAAGAAGTTCAGTTCATTGGGCGGCATTGGGTGAACCGCGAGCGGCGCTGAAATGTGCGTAATCTCGCCCCGGTTGAACGGGCTTCGCCTCCTCATAGGTGATTCTGGAGGACGTGCAGCTCCAAATGGAGCTGTGGAGAGACGCGGTGGAGAGGACTGAGGCCGGCTTGGAGGGTCGGGGCTGGGACTGCTGGTGTTGTTGTCCCTGTTAAACAGTCGTGAGACTTGGCGGCGCATGTTGAACGGCATGTTGCAATGCTTGGTTGGGATTCTCTTCGTCTGAGAGACTGGTGACATATAACTTGGGGAGAGACTGGATCGCCATGCATGGTGATGTGTCAGTGATGGTGTGAGCTTGTCGCACGAGGGTGTGGTCTCATGTGATGAGCGGTGGTCATCAAGGACATGGCACTGTCAAGTGCCACAACGATGAGCGGCTGGGTTAATTTCAAGGCGTTTGAACCACGCACCTGCCCAGAAACACCAGTCGACCGCAGTTTGAGGTTCATCACTCCGTGTCAGCTGGTCGTGGGCCGTGGGGTTGCAGTGGGACTGACTGATGGTGTGTCCAGGCTGAAATACGAACCGTGCAGAAGAGATATCGGCCGATATCCAACGTGAGACCACCTGCACGGTGTGGCTGATGCCCTCTGAGACATGACACGACCTTTGCAGATGTCACACACACAACGATACATCCTGGTGTTTGACTTTATGATTAACTTCTATGCATCAGTGGTGGCGCTGAGACTGGAGCGAAGCGCAAAGCCTGTACTCTCGAGTCCCCTGCATCACCGGTCCCAGCCCAGCCGAAACGCTCCTCACCCCTCGCTCCCCGCGCATCCCTTCACCTAGTTGTGAGGAAAGTACGAGCTGTAAGCGTTCAAAGCGGGCTGTCCGCCCAGGTGGATGTAGAGGACGTTTGAGCCGGGCTTGATGGTGCCCTCCTTGATGAGCTCGATCATGCCGGCCATCGACTTGCCCTCGTACACGGGGTCAGTGATCATCGAGTCGGTGCGCGCCGCCACTAGAAGGAACATGTCAGCTACACACTTGTCCTGGCGCCCGTCCACATGTACCCACTCTCGATAGCCTTGATGGTCTGCTCGTCGGGGATACCGTAGATGCCGGCGTTGAACCTGTCGTCCAGAATCACGTCCTCGTCCTTGATGACGAGCTCGGGGTCGAGGAGCTTGGCCGTGTTGCGCGCGATGCGGGTGACCTGTGTCCGTGTCGCCTCGACTTTACCGCTCGCGTCGATGCCGATGACTTTACGGCCCTTGCCCTCGGCGACGGCGCCGACGATGAGGCCCGCATGCGACGAACCCGTGACGCTGCACACGACCAATGTGTCAAAGTAGATGCCCTGCGCAGCCTCCTGCTCGGCAAGCTCGACGACGAGGTTTGTGAATCCAAGACCACCAAGTTCGTGGTCGGACGCGCCCGCGGGGATGTAGCTGGCAGAAAGTGTCAGTGAGAGTCGGTCGACCTTCCCCCCCCTACTTTTGACACTCACTAAGGCTTGCCGCCCCTGGCCTCGACGTCCTTGAACGCCTGCTCGGTCGCGGCCTTGTGGCCAATGTCAAAGTCCTCCTGGTTCAACCGCACGTCGCCGCCCATGATGCGCGACAGGAGGATGTTGCCCGTCTCGGCATAGAGGGGCGGGTCGATGGGAACCCACTTCTCCTGGACGGTCACGGCGGTCATGCCGGACGCGACGGCCGTGGCGGTGACGGCGCGCGTGTGGTTGGACTGCACGCCGCCGACGGACACGAGCGTGTCGCACCCCTTGAGCTTGGCGTCGGCGACGAGGTACTCGAGCTTGCGGACCTTGTTGCCGCCGTAAGCCAGGCCCGAGTTGCAGTCCTCGCGCTTGGCGTAGACCTTGACCTGGCCGCCGAGGGCGGTGGTGAGGTTGGGAAGGTACTGGACGGGGGAGGGGCCAAACTGGACACAAGGTTAGCAGCCACAGTCACAGCCACAGGAAAATGAGGTTGGGAACCGAGGGCGGAACTGGAACACACATGCGAGCTGCACTGCACACGAGGAATAACTGGGTTACACGGCGGAGGCCTCCCGTTATTTCCGTTGTTTCTCCTCAAAACACTACCCACTCCCGAGATTACAACTAGTGGATTCGGACACGGAGCGCAGTCACCGAGAATGTGTGATGCCGATGATACAGATAACGACACGCAGACACCGACTGGGCCGACTTGACCGACTATTGACTATCGACCTCACCGACGTCCGACATCGGTCGGTGTCTGCGAGGGGTCTCTCTGCTGATCTGCTTCTGCGGCAGAAATAGGTCGTCGACAAGCTAAAAACCGCATTTCACTGCCAGTATCCAAAAGCAATGGACCAGGGCAGGGTCCAAAGGGTGTGGCAAGTCCGACAGCGGAGACGCGGCCACGGCCGACGCCGGTCAGTGCGGACGGGCGGGACGGACGGGTGCGCCACAGCGTGCGCAGGTCCGTCCGTCTGCGCGTTCCAGCGGAAAGACAAGACGGTGGTGGGGTGGGGCAGGAGGGGAGGGGAGGGAAGACGGAGTGGCCATGCCATACACGTACGAGGAAGTTCTCCTTGGGGATGCTGGCGAGCTTGGTCTTGTACGTCTTGGACATGGCGGGCTGGATGAGGCGGAGAAGACGAGGGGGGGAGAGAATCTCTGAGAGAGACAGAGAGAGCAAGTGAGAGAGAGAGAGAGAGAGCGAGTGAGAGAGCGTTGTCCTATACCTCCCAGCAGTCGCTTATGAACACCGAGACGTGGTGGGCAGTACCTTGAGCATCGGGCAAGCGGCAGGCGGGCAAAGTAAGCCGGGCAACCAGCACAACGCACTCGGCAACGCTTCCATCGCTCAGCGTCTTATCTCTTGTCCGGGCTCCGGACTTATAATCCAGAAAAGTCCGGCCCAGTAGACTTCTCAGCTCTTGCGCTCGCTGGACCTGTTACGTATTATGGCTATCATACGGCGTCCACGTAGCATTCATCCGCTGGGCCCTCACGCCCTCTGCCAGCGGCCTGCGGCCGATATGATAGTTCATATCGCTGCGAGGAGGGAGAGGCCAGCCACGGGGGGATAAAACACGCTCGGCGTCCATCATCCATCCACATTGTTCCGGCGCGGCACGTCGAGCCAACAGCACGCGCGCGCCATTCGCTCGCACCCAGATGTTGCCCGCGACAGGTCCCCCATCTTCGTTGCCCGGTGCCCGGTCGGGCAGCGGCAGCACTCGTGTCTTGTTGTGGGTTGCTTCTGACGCGAGAGAGAGAGAGCAGGACGCGGGACTGGTAGCCCCCCCCATCCCCCTGCAACCTGGCCAAAAGACCTGATATAAAAACAGCGAGGTTTATCCTGACCGCCTCTTCGTCTCCTCGTCTCCCGTTTAAACGACACGCGAGCACTGTGCGCCAGCGCACAGTACCAAAGTGCCCTGTACTAGCTGTACTGTACCGTGCGCGCCAGCCCGCCTGATATCGATGGTTGCCATGGGGAGGGAGGGAGCGCTTACTCGTGCAGTCCAGGTGGCCAGATGGGTGCCTCGAGACCTCGACCGCACCGCACAGTCTATGCCCTGCACGCCACGGCGCCGACAAACACTAAACACCCAGTACCCAACCCATGTCTTGCGACCTGCAGCACTGCGTGTGGTGCAGCGCGGTCTCTGGGGTCTCCGTGGCAGCGAGTGGGGGTCCAGTCTCTCAGGTCGCAGGTCGCAGTCCCGGCCGCCCATGCCCCTATCGTTGCTCTGCTTTCTCTCTCTCTCTTCTGGCTTCTGGTCTACCCGACGCCGGCGCCGGGACGGGGTTCAGGTGCATTTTGCATTTTCATCGCCGGTGAGGCTGGGGTTGGGCTGGGGGGGGGGGACTCCACGGGACCACGCGTGGTGCATTTACGGCGGCCACGCGCCGTCTTGCCGTTCTGTGTGGGAAGAGAGGAGAAGAGAGGAGAAGAGAGAGAGAAAGAAGAGAGATGGAGGAAGAGGTCTCGGTTCTTGTTGTTCTTTTACTCTCATCTCCTCACTCTCACTCTCACTCTCACTCTCACTCTCACTCTCACTCTCACTCTCACTCTCACTCTCACGCTCGTTCAGTAACTTACGACCCGCATCCACCGACGTTCACTCTCCGGCTGCGCCTTGCCTCCCTGCCGTCCCTCCCCTTGCCTCCCCTCGCCATCGCCCTCGTCCATCGCCTGTCGCCGCCTACGCCTACTGCCCTCCACTCCCCCCCATTCCCATTCCACACACTGCAGCCCATCTCGTGCCAGCACATTGCTAGCATACAAACAACATCTCTATATACGCATGCCCATGCCCACGCCTCCACCCCCCGCGCACGCCTGCGCGCCTGCGCCTCCACCTGCCTCCCTCCCACGATGACCATTAAGCTAAAATGCTACTGTATACACATCACCGCCCACACATCACCGCCCAGACGCGACTGGGACTCGACGCCGCGCCGCGCCGCGCCTAGACGATCTGCGGGGGCGGGTACATGCCCGGCCCATTGCTGTATCCCGACCCGGGGCCCTGGGGCAGCGAGCCGACGAGGGGCCCGCCGCGCTCCCCGGACGTCGGGACTGTGGACGATGGCAGCGGCCGGTCGACTGGCGCGAGTCCGGGACCCACTCCGCCGACACCGCCCACGCCTCCCACGCCACCAACTCCACCAACTCCACCAACTCCGCCACTACCGCCGCCGACGCCGCCAACGCCGCCCGGGCCGACACCGCCGCCGGGGGCCGACGCATACAGCGCCGGCTCGACAGGCTGCCATGGCAGGTCGACGCCAGCCCAGGGAAAGTCGCCGACGATAAAGTCCAGTTCGCCATTGGGCATCTGTGGGGGGTAGTCGAACGCCTGGGATCCGGGCGGGACGCCGACGCCGTGCGGGGCGACGGAGACTCCGTCGCCGCGGTCCGAGTGGGCGACGTCCGAGCTCGAGTAGCCGCCGCTGTGTGTGCGGCGGTGGGCGCGACACAGGCGGCGGAGGTAGCGCGCGTGCAGGGCCGGCGACGAGTGCGGGTACGCGCTTGCCGACTCGAGGTTTTCAGACACCTTCATGATCAGGTCGGACGTGTACTCGACCTCGCCCGACTCAAAGTCGTACAGCTCGGGCGTGCGGCACAGCGTCCACAGGAACGTGGCGGCGTACAGCGCAAAGTGGAGCATGGTGTCGGACGCATAGGTGAGCTGCGACTTGCTGAGGTCGTTGATGCGGAGGAGGACAGACGAGGCGGCGTTGAGACAGTGGTGGAAGGCCGGGATCGAGCGCAGCTGGATGGCGCTGCCGTGACCGTGTGTTGGCAGCGCCGGAGGGATGCGTTCCTCGGGCGGGATCCGCAGCGTCTGGTTCAGGATCATCAGGTTGAGGTTGAGCCCGAGTGACGAGTACCACACGCGAGGCTTGTGGACGTAGGCCGGGGTGCCACCGGCGTCGAGAATCTCCTGGATCCACTGCTCCGAGGTCGCCTCCCACTCGCGGTTGAGCGTTTTGGTGAGGACCGACAGCGTCAGCGCAGTCGGCTGCGCGCCGTCGGTAAGGATGTCGCGGTAGTGGAGGAACCGGCGACGGAGGTCGGCACTGAAGGCCACAAACGTGTCCATGAGACGGTCACGCGACGAATCGTGATCGCCCTGCTTGAGCCACAACGTGCATGTCGACACGAGCGGGTCAGTGTGCGAGATGAACATGGGCTGGCGGAACTGCATGTGGAAGATTGAGTTTGTGGAGAAGAGCGACAGCCTGGGGAATGTATGAGTGCCTTGACCATTATGCTTTGTCGACACAAGAGTACTCACCAGAGCCGTTGACGGAAACGGAGGTCGCGGCGCTGTGCGCTGCCCATGCTGCGTACCTCGTGGTGTGAGGGTATGCGACCGAGGTCGAGCTCCTTGGCGAGCACAATGGCCTGGAAAAGGGTCAGATGTATGTCATGGACGTCCCCGGCTTCTCCACTTACCCGGTTGAAGTAATAGGCCGCCTTATCGTCATCGGGCTCCTTCCAAAGGGACAGGGCAACAACGGCCTGAACGACATCGATTGTGGTCACCGCCTCGGCAAATGCCCACATCAGGTGGTCACGAGCCAAGATGACAATCTGCTGGTGGGCCGAGTTGTTGGCCAGCGGCATCGGCTCGTGGCCTAGCACGCCCATGTACCGCGATCCGATGCACACTAAAGAAAGGTCAGCAGCTGTGACTGAAAACTGTATAGCAGCAACGCGTTTTTTTGGGCCGCAAGCCACAACCCCCGACACGAGGCACGGGGGAGAGGATGCAGTCTCTCCTTCTCTCCTCTCGTGTACCGGTACTTACAGATCACAGTGTAGAGGAACGGCGAGTGGTGGCGTACGAAATCTGCAACGTGTCAGCGCGCGCCACAAAATTTCCCGCGCGTCGTTTACGCTCTGCTCTGTAACGCACCGTGGGTGTGGACAACGGGGTCGATCACAGCCATGGCCGTGTTGAAGTTGTTGACGAACAGGTCAAACAGGATGCGAGCGTCATCGAGGGTAACATAGCCAAGTGAGACGGGGTCACCAGCGTGGCCGTGTCCGTTGGCGGCAGGGGGTGGAGGCAGGACGGCACCGTGCGAGCTTGGTGGTCGCTCACGGCTGTGGTTGCGCTCGCGAAGGAGGTGCTCACGATCGCGTTCGCGCTGTTCGCGTTCACGCTCGAGCTCGAGTTCCGTAGGGAGTCCATCCGCCTCGGATTCCGTGTAGATCTCGTCCTCGTCGCCGTCCCACGGCTCCGAGTTGACCATGCTGCGAAGGGACATGGATGTAGGGATCGACGGGTGCGGCGGAGGGGGTCCCTCATCGCGGACACCGCTGTGGTGGTGTCCTGGATGGTCGCGGTTGGGCGAGTCAAGAGCCATGAACGGGTACCGTGAGACGCCGGCAAAGAGGTTGGTGTCTGGCGATGCGCGGTTCCAGTAGCCCGTGGTTGGGGGCGCAAGGTTGCGCGACGAGCTTTCGTGATGCTGGTGCTTTGCTGGGGCGAGGGGCATCTCGGGGTGACCGTCCTGTGGGGGACTGACGGACAGTGTCAGTTGCGATGCATACAATGGATGCGTGGGTGGGACAAAAAGTCGGACCTCGGGCTTTGGCGTGGCGCGGCATTGGCAGCCCGCCGACCAGGTCGTACTTTGCGCCTCCCGAAGGCGGGCAATCAACACATCCTAGGATAACAAAACTTACGGGTTTTTACGCTTACGGCCACGGTTGTGTTTCTTGAAGACGCACTCGAGGGACATGCGAACGCAGCGCGCACATGGTTTGATGTGTTCGGGGTCATCAGCGGCGGGATGGCAACGAATCTGTGGGTAAAAAGTCAACACTTTTGTTCTACACTCCTTTGTTTCGGCTTGGCGTGACGAGACCCCCCGTCGGTAATGATGGGGGGGGGGGGGGGGGGGCCTGTCAGTCCAGGCAAGGATACTTGCCTTGTGCCTCCTGCACTCGTTGCACGCTTGAGAGCCACGCTCGACGACGCGGAGTTTGGGCTTGGATTCGTTTGCCGGCGAGCTGTTCTTTGAATCTGGCGAGACGGGGCCGGAGCCTGGCGGGGCGTGGTGCAGGTCCATTATAAGAGCGTGGATGCGCGGCGGTGACGGGCGAAAGCCGGGCGGAGGAGGAAGGGGGGGCTGTGTATTGGGTGGGCGCGGAGTGGATTGAAGGATGCGCTGAGGGGGGATGGGTGGAGTCAACCGTGCTTAGGTGGTGGTGGGTAATGGTGTGTGACGGATGGATGATGGTGAGAGGGATGGGGGGGATGGAGGATGGAGGAGAGGGATGTGAGAGAGAGAGACCGAGGAGGCAAGGAAGGGGGGAAATACACGCGGCGTACGGTGCAAGGGGCGGTCAGCAGATCGGCCCCTCACAGCAAATATGGGCCGGGTCGGGTGGGTGGTCATTTTTCGTTATTTCGCACCCCCACTTATTCCATATACAGTGTATACAGTCTCTGCGGGTGCGCCGGCTAATTACAAGGGGCATTTGGGAAAAGGAAAAAAAAAAAGAGCGAGCGAAAAAACAGTACTCTTCATTGCCTAATGCATCCAATGGGTCACAGTACCCACACTGCTGCATACAGGCATCGTGTCTCATGGCCGCCCGCTGACGATGCCTCTTGAAGATTTGTATATGTGGGTGTCGTGGGCAGGAGGGGGAGGGGGGGCCACGTCGGCGACCCATGTCTGATCTCGGATTCCGTTGGTTACCGGCGTCGGGCTCTCGGCCTACACCGCCTGGCACAGGGGTGGGCATCTTGCTCCATGACACCCCCCCTCCCCTCCCCTGGGTGCATTGTCGGGGTATCTCCCGTGTTCAACGGCGACTCCGCCGATAGCAAGACCACCTGTCCTACCTCTTCCCTATGTATAGTTATCTGTCCTGCCCACAGATCACCTGCTTCTCCCCATTCCCATACACACACATCACCTCTACAACTCCCGTCCACAGCGAACAGCCTGCAAACCATGTACGACGCAGTGGTCCTCGGCGCTGGCGGTGAGTGAATTTTTGACCTTTTTTTCTGCCAAGCTGCTCTACCCCCTCTATTTCCTCCCTTCCCTGTGCTCCGTCCCTCGCGTGTCGGTCGGACCTGCCCACGAGTTATCGCGCGGCCTCGCATCGCCGCGGCCACAGGACCCCCCCGCACACCGCGCCCACGGGTGCCCAGGATCCATCCCCCCAGTCTAAACCGGCACTAACGCCGGGACAGTCTACGGCCTCTCCATCGCGACCGAGCTCACCAACCGCGGCCTCAAGGTCGCCGTCGTCGCGCGCGACCTCCCAGAGGACCTCACTAGCACCGGGTTTGCTTCTCCTTGGGCCGTGAGTCATGCACAAGAGCAGCGTGGTGCGGAGAGCTCTCCCGTGACAGCGTCATGACCTCATCCTCGTTCCACGAGCACAATCCACACCATCGGGTAGTCGGGTACTTGCCACCATCTACCGGGTGCTGTGAGGCAGGTCGGACGCAGTGGCGGCCACCGGCGTCGCTGGCGTGGGCGGGGTTGGGTTCGTGCGTCAAGCCATTCGGCGCACAACTTCTGGCGCATAGCGCTATCTGTCGAGCATAGCCGGCGCCGGGGCACAGTGTGTCGTCAGCGGGCGCCTTCTCCGACATCCCTTCCCCTTGGTCTCTGCCCAACATATTGACCATCTGCAGGGCTGCAACTGGTGCTCGTTTGAAACCGACGGCAACACCCCGGCTGCCGAGTGGGATGCCATCACGTTCAAGGCACTCGGACGCCTGGCGGAAGAGTACCCGAACATGTGCAAGAAGATTCCCTTCTACGACGTCTGGACAAAGGACTTGGGACTGCCTTGGTACGCGGACCTAGTGTTCAACGTGAGTGCCCCACCGCCTGTCCGTTTGGACGAGATGGTTATAGGGACCGCTGCGGGTCGTATCAATGGCAGGAGGGGTACGAAGCGCCTTCCCTTCCACCGTGCATCACTTGTTCTGCCACAAGACTACAGCATTGCTCACACACCCAGGCCGAGCTGCTCAAGGGCACCCCGTCCAAGCCGCTCCCCGGCGGCTTCCCGCACGGCGTCAAGTTTGAGTCGTACATCCTCCACGCACCCGACTACCTCGCGCACCTGGCCAGCGGCCTGCGTTCGCGCGGCGTGCCCATCATCCGCCGCCGCCTCGCATCCCTCGACGAAGCATACGACCTGCCCGAGGTGGGCCGCGTCGACCTGGTCGTCAACGCCCTTGCGCTGGGCAACAAGACGCTTATCGGCGTCGAGGACGACAACATGTACCCGGCGCAGGGCCAGACTGTGCTCGTCCGCGCGCCGCTCGTAAACACATGCACCATGTCCACGGGCGACACCGTCAAGAGTGCGCGCACCGCCGCCAACGACGATGCCATCGCGTACATCATCCCCCGGCCAGGGCCCGACGGCCACGTCGTGTGTGGCGGCACGTACAACCGCGACAACTGGATCACGCAGCCGTCCATGGCCGAGGCTGAGCGCATCCTGCGCGCGTGCTATGCGCTCGACCCGCGCCTCGCGGGCCCGAACGGCACCAGCTGGAAGGACATTGAGGTGGTCGCGCACAACGTCGGCCTGCGGCCGTCGCGCGACGGCGGCGTCAGGCTCGAGCTCGAGCACCGCGAGCTCGTGGGTGCCGGCGAGAAGAGCGTCGCGCTCGCCCCGACATCACGCTCGTCCCAGGGCCACCGCCAGGTGGCCGTCGTCCACGCGTACGGTCCCGGCGGTACCGGATACCAGTCCAGTATCGGGCTGGCCACCAAGGCCGCCGACATTGTCATGGGCCAGGTCAAGAACGTTCCCCCTAGGGCCAAGCTCTAGGGACCGAGACGACAGACGGCTTTGTGCAGCTGTAGAAGTGCAAGGAGAAGAAGGAAAGTCTCTGCTATCTGAAGAATATCTCGTTTCCCAATTTTTATGTTATCTTTTGGCTCCTCTGCATTCTCGGCTGCGTTTGCTGCGTCCTGTGCTTCGTGCTTCATCTTCGTGCTTCATCCTTCCATCACCAGTGCATGCGATGATCCGCCCATCCGGCGTCCGTCTACAATCCCTCTACAACAGACTGGCAGACTGGCTACTGCCACTCTCATTCGAACACTCTTACAGCAACGGACGCGCACTCTGCCACACCTCCAGCCCGAGGGCCCAGGTTCCGCGGCAGCCGAATCCCGAGGCATCCATCCACTCGCGACTCGGCGGTTACTGCACTGCACCTTGCGCCGAAACGAACGAACACGGCGCCACACCGAGCTGGCCGCGCCAGCATGCCATGCAGCACCGAGACAACATGCCCATATGCCGTTTCATTCCGCGCATGCCCATGGCCCCCATGGCCCCAGGGACCCATGACCTCAGCCAATGCCTCTGACAGACACTCCTTCACCCGCGCCGCTCGCCGTGCTCGCGATCGATCGCGAGCGGAATGTCAACCACAGAAAGGGGGAAAATACAAATCGCGACGACGCGAAAATACAAAAAAAAAAAAGGCAGCCACATGCGAGATCACAGATCACAGATCCACGCCAGGCGCTCACTCCCACAGCAACGCCGTCCACGACCAACGCTAATCGATTATTTCCAAAAACCCCAAAGCAGCCCGCGCTCTGCTCTGCTCTCGCTTGCTCCCCCCCCTCTCCCCGCTCTCCCCCGCCGTGGCCCGTGGCTCCCACGGCCTCGCAATTGGGTTTGCTTCCATGCGCCGTGTCTTTTCACTGGAGCCGTTCCCACAAAGCTAGTCTCGAACAACGCGCCAAGCAGCCCAACGCCCCAACGGCCAACAGCCAACGGCCAAAGAGGCTAAAGGCTAAAAGCCAAAGGCCAAAGGCCCACACTTTTCGGCCGTGGGGTCGGGGCCGGCAACTGAATCAATGGGCGAAAAGTGCGAGAAGTGGGCGCGCATGGGCGCGCATGGGCGCTGGGGGTGGGGGTGAGGGGGGGGGGGGGGGGGGGGGGACCTGACGATCCGGTGACCTGGTGAACTGCGCGTGAAAAACACAGTAGGTAGCCGGTGTATGACCCGATCCGGTTTAACGGTTTCCGGGTCGGACTCTCACGCTCACGTACGTATTGTGTAAACGTCTGGGCTCTGGCTTCTGGGCTTCTGGGCTTGCGTGGCGGCCTCGCGCGCGGTCGGGGTTGCCCCCGCTTCCCCGCTCTCGCGCTCGCTACTGGCCTCTTGATGTCTTTGTGCATGTCTTGGATTCCGCGCTCCCAGCACAAAACAGCAGCCAGCAGCTCGTCCGGTCGCCGCGGCCATGGTCGGTGTTGGCCCTCGGTGGGCTCGGTTTTGGGCTCGGTGTTGGTGTTTGGGGGCGGGGATTGTCAGGAGCGTGCGTGAGGGGGGGGGGGGGGGGGGGGGCTCGGAATCCAAATCGTTCGCCGGCGGGATTCGGGCGGGCTGGACACTGCAAAGGGCGATCAGACGGTGGTGCGGGCGACGAGCGTGTGGTTGGGCCCGTTGCGGCAAGAGCGCCGGGTTGACGTGAGCGCTGGGCATGGCATGGTTTGAATTGAATTGAAATTGCATTACGCGTGTGTTTATCTGAACAGTTACTGGAACACTGTTGACGGGTATCTATACCCAAGATACAACTCTCCGGGGTCCCTTGCTCGCGTGTTTTCCTCTCTCGTCATGTCGGCCGCCACGGGGCCTTCCTCCGAGCCATGGCACAGTACATGCGCGCTCGCGCTCGCTCCGCACACTCGCGCTCAGAGCGCATACCTGAACTGGAGGTTCTCCATGTCCGTGCGGTCCCCGAAATCGCCCTCTGCGGGATCATACGCCTGGCCCCGCTCCTCGAGCACCTTATCCCTCCGCCGGTTCTCGCGCATGTACCACAGCCGCAGCGCGCCGCACATGGGGATGATGGCCGCAAAGCAGATGACACAGGTGAGCATGCCAGTCCGGTAGGCCGGCGTCTCGTTGGCGTTGAACAGGTGCGGGCCGGCAATGTTGCCCGTCGCGTACGCGATGAACACCATCCCGCCGACGGTGACGCGCTTGGTGTAGCCCGTGACGTTGGCGCCGGGCGCGGCGATGCACAGGCCCAGAGTGGCGACGTACGATGTGAGGATGTAGTATCCGAACACTGGAGCGTCAGCTGTAGCGGAGGAAAGGGACCAAAGGTGACTTACAGAGTGCGCCACTTTTGCGTGTCGAGTACTGAATGACACTGCCGACGAGGGCAGGGAGCATCTGGAGCACAGGTTAATGGGGCCGAAGAAGCAGAAACCTCGGAGTGAAGGCCACTCACATATACCATCATGCAGTAGCACCGCATGTCTGGCCACCTGCGCGAAATGTACGAGGCGCTGAGGGGGAAGAGGAACTGGAGCGTCGCGCCAGGGAGGCCAATGAGGATGGTTTGGAACGCGGTGTAGCCGTAAGATTGGAGCTGAATGTTAGCTGACGTGGCGCAAGGACACAGCTTACAATGAGATGGAGCTGCAACGTTAGCCCGTGTTACAGACAGATCCCAAGCAACTCACAAAGTTGGCCACACCGCCATTGGGAATGCAGATGCACAGCACGATGATAAAGTACGCCCACCCCTGTGGGTCGATCCACGGGCAGACAGCCTCGCGGAACTGGGACCACTTCCAGATCTTGTTGTGGAGCGAGCTCTTGTTCCCCCTTACCCGCTCCAGTGCAATCTTCTTCTCCGTCTCCGAAAACCGCGTGTACGTCTCGGGACTCTCGGGGCAGAGGCACAGAAACACGACCGCAAACACGGTCGTGATCATGCCATTGAGGATGAAGATCCAAGCCCACGGACGCATGCCGTTGACGTGCACGTGGCCCATGCCGTAGCTCAGCAGCGCGCCGACAAACGATCCAGCGCCGTTACAGCTGTACCACAGCCCCACGCGCAGCGGCTGCTCTTCCCGCTTGTAAAAGCGCGACACGAGGAGGACGAACCCCGGTGTGATCAGAGCTTCAGTCACGCCGAGGAGGGTGCGCAGTGCCGCCATGCCGGCAAAGTTCTTCGGAGCGGCCATGCACATGACAAGTATTCCCCAGCCGAGGATCATCGTGCCCATCGTCTTGGAGATTGGCAGCCGTTGAAGGAGCCACCTGTGCGCGCTGTCAGTAGACGCCTAGGTTGCCGAATCGGTCTCTCCTGAAGAACCATCCACCTTCCCTGCACGCAGGTACCCGACCGACCACCATCCTCTTGCCGAGAAGGTCCCCAGGACGCCGATGCGCAAACCTGGTGCAGCAAGCCAGCGCCGGGCGCCGAGGTCCGAGCCATCCCTCATCGGCGCCGAGTTTTGATCCAGCAAAAGCACTCCTCAAAGTAACTGCGCGCCAAATCGCACGGGGTTGCCGACGCGTATAAACGAGGTTTGGGTCTTTCCTGAACCAATTCCTGACCACCACGGTCCTCACTCCACCTCCACCAGCGGGCCGTGTTTCGCATCAAACGAAAAGACTTACATTCCTGGAAACTCGAAGACGAGGTAGCCGATAAAGTAGACACTGCCCAGCCAGGCGTAGTCTTCGGCGGTGAGCTTGAGGTCTTTGCGAAACGTGAACACGGCGGCGTAACTGGGCCATTTAGCCAGGGGTCACACGAACAGAACAAAGGAAGCGGCGGCCGACGGAAATCTCACCTCATCGCTGAGCGGTCGATGTATTGCAGCAAGTATGCGCACATCGTGAGCGGTAAGAGGACCTGGAGAGAATTGTCAGCTCGGCCACGGAAAAGGGAAGCGGACCCACCTTATCAATCTTCCTCAGCACATGTCTGTTATCCTCGTCAGAGATATGGAGGACCAGCGGGTCCGCGTCCCCATCAGCGATGGCGCGGACCGCTACGTCTGCGGCATCCTCACGGCGCGCGTGGCCGTGTCCGAAAATCCCATGCGTGTGCTTTTCCTCCCTGGCCTTGCTGCCCGTTGACGACGAGGACGGGTGGTGGGAATCGTCGGGCTCGGACGGTGATGGCTTGTGACTGGAAACGGTCTCGATGTCGAGCTCAATGTCTGGCGACGACGGGGTGGCGGCGCCGGCACCGCGCACAGGCGGGTATGTCAGCGACGGCGATGACATGGCCTAGAGTCTAGGTCGCGACCATGTCGTGTGCTGCTGGAGCTGAGGTGTTATGAACAAAGGCTGGATGTATCAGTTAGGTTTGAGCAGTTGACCCGGTCCCCATCCAGGGATGCGTCTGATCGCTGACGGAGAGACCCAGGCCCACACATCTATCCGGAACGCGCCGAACGCCCAGAACTAGAACAGGGACCAGACTGGGCGTGGGGCGTGGAAATACAAGACACACTGTACATGGGGACGGTGTCGGCGCTGTCGGCTATTTCCCCCAACGTGGTTGAGTGGAGGGCCCGTATAATGTCACGTGATACTCCCTGGTCCGTGGAATTAATTAAAATTAAATGACATACGAAAATTAGATCATGCGAGCCAATGTTGGGTGGCCGATTTAACGCCGAGTTTTGTTTCTTACGTAATTTCCACGGCAACTGGCGGAGCGGCCCGCGCGGCCCACGCCGCCCACCCACACACCGGGCCACCGATCCCACCGATCCACCGAACGGCCCAGAAAAGAAACCACACCCTGGGCTCGCCCGCGCCCCTGGTCGGCCAATTCCCCGTGGTGGGTAAAATGGGGCCAATGGGTCGCCGATTCGCCGAGTGTCTGTCGTGCATGTGGGAGCGTCGACTCTCCCCCTCTCGGCCTCTCTCCTCCGCCGCGTCCGGCACATCCCCGGCAACACCCCTGTACAAGCCTGGCCATGTTGTAAGGGCTGCTCTCGGTTCTTCACTCTGCTCTGCCCACCGCCACACCTCGCTTCCACACTCGCCATCTGGGTTCTTGTATTCTCATCTCTCTGTCTTCTTCCCACACCCCCCGCTTTTGGGTCGCTCGTCTGCCTCCCTTTTTTTTTTCTTCTTGCAACTGGCCACCACCTCACGTCACGCCCACCGTCCACCCTCAACCATGCCGTCGTCCACCGCGCCGCCCATGACAGATATCGGCCCCAGTGACATGACAGGCGACCAGCTCGCACGCTCCACGACACGCGTGTTCGCCGAGACGCAGTACGGTGGCGTCACTGGAGGCTGCGTCGACAACGGCTGTCAAGTCTTCCTCAGTGAGTACCCGAACATCATCCCGCGGCGGGGAGCTTTAGCTTGCCATGTCCTGCTTGTTACTCCCACACCGCGGCGCTGGAGTCGGTCGGTGGTCAAGCAGTCCAGTGTGGGTGGCTTTGGCTGACTCGGCAGATGTACCGTACGGCCGCGACGTCGCGCGCTGGGAGGACCCGCAACCGCTTCCTCGCGACTACAAGTACCCCGCCGACAAGGAATACGTCGTCGATGGGCTGTACTGCGCACAGCCAAACCGCGCGTATACCCTGCAGAGTGAGTAAGAATCGCACCATAGGCCACTGGGGTGTTGCAACACAAACACGGGGTTCTACATGCCGTTTGCCGCTTGTCTTGCGTGATACCGTCTTGTAGATGTTGCTTTTCTTCTTCCTCGTGCCACAGGCCAACGCCCCCGGGTGCCGAGGTGTGCACTGCGGCGTGTGGCGTATTCGTATTCCGCGTTACAGGCCACACACCGGCTACTTATGACGCTCGACCGCCACTCCATGGAGTGGTGGCTCGAGAGGTCCAACAGCCACGGCCACGGCCACGAAACGGACCCCAGCGCCACCACCTCGGCAACAAACCCCCCACCCCCCTCCTCCTACTCCCGGGCCGTCGGGGGATGGCATGCTGTTGCATGCCACCCTCGCTTGGGAAACCCCGTATTCGTAATCAGGCTGACACCCGGCACAGTTCCAGTCCGCGACCGCCTGGGGTTGGGCCAGCCCACCGAGAACCCCTTCTTCGCCGACATCTACGTCCCCAGCGACGTGCGTCTAGACGACAGCCTCAGCCTCGAGCGGGACCTGCGTCCCGTGCGTGTGTTTCTGCACGGCGGGTTCCTGCAGTTTGGCAGCACGAGCGGGCAGCATTACAACCAGCAGTTCTTTGCTGCGGAGCACTATGGCGAAGTCCGCGTGTTGCTCGGGCACCGGTACGTGGCTGTTTTTGTGGCGGCGAACGTTGTGGTGCGCGGTGTGAAGGCTGACATTTTTTATACAGCCTTTCGGTCCTTGGTTTCCTTGGGAGCGAGGCACCTTTCGTCTCGGGAAACTTTGGCTTCAAGGACTGCTGGCTCGGTCTGCAATGGATCCGGGACAACATTGCATCGTTTGGAGGTACGTTTTTAAAAACGCATTTTGCGAGTGACCCAACCGGTGCTAATTGAAAAACAGGCGACCCGGCCCAAATCCACCTGTCTGGCCTGAGTGGCGGCGCACACCTCGCGCACCAGCTCATGCACCGCGTCGCGTACGGTGCGAAATTCGGCGAACGCTCGCCCTTTGCGAGCGTCATGCTCCAGTCCAACGCGATCCTCAGCGACCCGCTCACGCGGTCCGACCGCGCCGACCAGTTTGCAGCCTTTGCGCGCGAGCTCGGTGCCGACCCCAGCTCACCGACTGTGCTGGCCGACCTGCGCGACACTGCCAAGTACCCCACGTCGGCACTTGTGCGTGCCGTCGAGCGCATGGGGACGCTGGGCACGTTCCGCGGCGTCGTCGGCGAGGACGGGGACGGGTGGGTGCGCGCAAACCAGATGGCGTACCAGCGTTCGGGCGGCCTGGGCCGTGACCTCGCTGCTGCCGGCGTGAAATGCGTCATTGTAGGCGACGTGCGTGACGAAGACCACTTCTACACGGCCGTCCACGACGTGACCGCGCCCGACACCCTCCTCCCCAATGTGGCGCGGTACTACCCCCTCCCGCTCGCGCGCGCCTTGCTCGAGTCGTACCCGCCGCTCCACGCCGGCGCGACCCCCGCCGAGTGCCAGGCGCGCCTGGGCCGCGTGCTCGCCGACGGACAGGTCCACCTCCCCGTCCGCCTCCTCGCCGCCGACCTCGCCCCGTACCTCCCGGTCGTGCGGTACACGATCGAGATGGCCCCCAAGGCGCTGGGCTACGACGGCCGCGTCCCGCACGGGGCGGACCTGCCCGTCCAGCACCTGAGACTCAGTGTGTTGTCCCCAGACGAGACCAAGACCGCACTGGAGTGGCACACGGCTCTAGAAGCAGCCGTGGCTCCTGCGCTGGTGGGCGACGGCTCGTTTGTCCAGCGCGGCCAAGAGGAGGTCCTGGCCTTGCAGAAGAACGGCTCGACGGCGTGGTCGGCCGATTGGCGCTGGCCGTCGCTCCGCGCGGCGGAGAAGGCTTTGCGTGGGGTTGTCCACGAGGAGAGTAAGGTATGATACGATATTGGGGGTGGGGTACAGTGCTAGATGGTTGTCTGATTTATGATAGAACAAAACGTTAGGTGGCGAAGAAAGAAATAGATAGATGCAACATGGTGGCAGTTTGGTCCAGCATTTTATTGCCTTCCCTCTCTGTCTTCTCCTTCCTCGCCTGCGATGGGCTCGACCTGCACCATCACCCACATGCCCCTCTAGTCTCTGACAAGGCCTAATGGTCTGTCAAAGTGGTCTCGCTCACTATGCATGCATCCGTCGCCGTCGTCTCCAGTCCTTCGCCACCAATGGCCGTTCCTCCACTTTTGTGTGCCTCCGCCACGTGTCTCCCCCGCGTCGCCTAGGCTTAGTCGCCTCGTCGCCGCGTCGACGGCCCAGTCCGTCGATGTTCGACTCCTCGACGCGCTCTTTTCATTCCACAACACTCTCCAACTGCCCCACACTCATTATGGCCCCCCCGACCGACGCAACCTCTGTGTTGGATGCCCAGTGAGTAGATGGCAGCTGGCCGACGCGAAGTACGTAGCTGACACGACACAGGAAGTCGGTGAGTAGTGGAGGTTGCAATGATCAGTGCAGCGCCTTTCGTCTTCGACCACGACGATAACGCTGCACCGCGGACTGAAGCGGATTCACCACCGAGTACCATGGACAGAGAACTAATGGCAGGCGCCCGCGGACCTCAAGGCTGTCGCCGAGTTCCTGCGCGGCAAGCACGGACCAAAGGTCCGTCGCGGCGTGCTGAACGGCAAGCGTGTCGACTACTTCAAGGGTGAGTGGGCTGGCTGCAAGCACGTTCGGCTGGTGCTAACTGGCCACAGGCAAGACTGCTGTGCGCGTCCTCATGGGTCCCCAGTACCAGAAGCTCAAGAAGGTTCCCGCCGTCAAGGATGAGGCCGAGGCCGCTGCCCTCATCGCCCAGATCCTCCCTCGGTGTGTGCTGCCAAGGACCTGTCTGTTGCTTCCCGCTTCTTTGCTGACCCACCTCTCCTCCTCAGAGCCTTCTTCCTTCGCGTCGACCGCCCCGTGATGGACCCGCCTGCCAAGAGCGGCATGCCCAAGCTCCTCAACCTCGCGCCCCAGCAGCAGTTCGACCCCGCGGTCCACTACGCCTGGTTCTACGACGGCTCGCCCCTCTGGACTATTGTGGGTGGTATTGCCATGGTCATCGTCATGCTCGCCGGTGTCATGTTCCCCCTCTGGCCCGAGAAGCTCCGCATCGGCGTGTGGTACCTCTCGGTCGGCGCGCTGGGTCTTGTGGGCGCGTTCATCGTCCTCGCCATCATCCGTCTCATTCTCTGGTGTCTCACCAAGATCGCCATGCCCAAGGCTATCTGGATCTTCCCCAACCTCTTCGAGGATGTTGGCTTTGTGGGTAAAAGTGTCTCGAACATTGCTGACCCACACAGGTGGACTCGTTCATCCCCGGCTGGGCCTGGGATGAGCCCAAGAAAAAGAAGCTCCGCAAGGTTGGCGAGAAGCGCAGCAGCAAGAAGGACAAGGCCGCCGCCGCCGCGGCTGCTGACGGCGCTGCTGGTCCTGCCATCACTGCCCCTCCTGCCGCTCCCGCTGCCTCCACTACCCCCGCTCCCAACCCCTCGGCCGGCCCTGCCGCCCCCGAGTCGGCGGGCGCGAGCACCGCTACCGCCCCGGCTCCCCAGCTTCGCAGCCGACAGGCGGCGACCGTGGAGGAGATTGGCGACGACGAGTAGCGGCGTTTTTCTGACAATGTGCAGAGCAGGCGAGCAGCAGCAGCATGAGCATGTATGATGTGCTTTGGCGTGGAGGCGAGAGTCACTGATACTCAAGGGGCCATATGGGTGTTTGCCCACTGGCTTGATCGTACTGACGAGGACGCGAAGGCGCGTGCCATCGGCGCGTGCCATCCATCAGCCATACGGCCAGGTCCCCCGTTCAGGAATGTTGGCCGCGCGCATCAATCTCGTCGGCTGCTAAGAGCGGGACACCGACTCACTGATGGCGGGACGCTGTCACTGCCCAATCGCCCAAGCACTGATCGCGACTTGTTTACTTCCCACCAGGCATAAAATGTTGGCTCAAGAGGCTGCGAAGAAACACACTCCCCACAACCCTTTCGCATTCACCTCGTTTGCACCTTGTGTCTGCTCTTCCCAGCCCAACGGTGCGTTTCTCACCCTTTTTGTTGTTGTTGCCTGGGAAGCTAACCTTTGCAGAGTGACATTCACCACTTGACTCAAGTCCAAGAACACCTCAACCTCCCAACCATGACCACCTCGAACCTCCCTTCCACAAGTTCCAGCAGCCTCGCGCAGGCCTTGGCAGCTGCCAAGGCCTCCGCCAAGGCCACCAACAGCCGCGTCCTCGCTCTCATCGAGAACGGCACCGCCAACGTCGAATCCATCCCGTCCCCGAGCGTGTTCAGCAACACCGCTCTGCTCGCCTATGACATCGAGTACGACGACTTCAACCTACGACGACTTCAACCTTGCTGCAGCTGATGGCGGGGGCGTGGACCCGTACCACGTCGCTGTCGGATGTATCAACCCGAGCGCGCTCTACGTCCCCAACACTGGGCCCGTCAAGGGCGGCGCGGGGCCCGACGGCCAGTGGAACACCCCAGCGCACATGCTCCTCCCGCCGCCGCCCACCCCCGAGCCCGAGTCGCGGTCCCCGTCCCGACGAGCTTTACCGTCGACGGCGAGCTCGAGGAGGTGCTGCGGAACCTCGTGGCGCAGGGCGTCGACCTCACGTCCTTCAATCTGGACAATGACCCCATGGTCATCGAGGAGGACGCTGTGTCGGTCGCCAACGACGCGACTCCCCCTCCCCTGGACCTTCACCTTGCCGCGGCCGCTGCAGCCCCCGTCACCCCCGCCGCCGCTCCCGCCGCGCCCCAGCCCGACGCATACCTCCACACCCTCGTCACCGAGTACAACACCCTGCTCACCGCGCAGGCCACGCAGCTGCAGACGGCCCACAACGCAAACTACCTCGCTGCAGCGCATATCCGGACCCAGGACGCCCAGATGCATACCCTCACCGGCTCGGTGGCGAGCCTGCAACAGCTCACGGTCGTCCTCCAGGACAAGCTCGCGCAGCGGGACAAGCTGCTCGCCAAGGCGTATGAGAAGAACTACAAGCTGTTCTGGGACCTGCGCGGCGTCAAGGACGAGCGGGATGCCATGGAGCTGCGGCTCGCGCGCGCCACTGCCTCTGCCTCTACTTCTTCCGCTGGGGCTGGGGCGAAGCGCAGGCGCGTGGACGACGCGGACGACGCGGACGACGCGGACGGAGTGGCAGCAGACGAGGGACCGGCGGAACCGGACGCAGACGCAGACGCAGACGCAGACGGCGACGTCGACATTGACATGGATCGCGTAGATGACCGCAGCGACCTGTCGTGCAGCGATGTGTCGTGGGACCTCGAGCCCGAACCGGGGCAGGAGGGCAGCTTACCGCCTTCGGCGGCGATTGTGGACATGTTCGCGGACGCGGCGAGCCAGTAGGCCAGTAGGCCGCTTATAAGCTTATACTGCACATGTAATATGATTCAAAGGCGGACCGTGGCAGTGGCACTTGGGGTCGTTGAACAGTGGTGCCGCACGCCCGAGAAGTCAGTAGTCAGTAGTCTGCGTTTGCGTTGCTCGCGGCCACCGTCTAGAGATAACAGTAGTGCATGCATGGTCAGGGCTTACCACGGCCACAGGTGTCAACCTCTGGCCTCTGGCCAGCCGAGCTCGGAGCCAAGGGATCCCCAGAGTCGCACCGTGCGACCCCTACACGTCTCACTTGTTACGCAATGTCGCACGCACCCTTCCGACCGATCGCACCCCTTCGAGCCCCTCACACGGCTCATGTAGATTCCCAACAGCTACAAACAAACCTGCCTCTTGCATATCCATGATGTCCATGTGCTACTTGCTGGTCATTACAGTGAAGTCGCCCGTTGGGCGACGATATAGATATATGCTCTGGTAGTGTCCGTCCTGCAGTCCAGTGTCCTTGTGCTCTAGGCGTGTGTGCCCTTCTCGGCAGCGTGCTGCGCCGTGTCGCGGCTGCGGCTGCGGCCGGCACCGTGGCCGGTGTTATTCTCGTCCTTGTCGTCCTCGTCGTCCTCGTCCTCGCCGTCATCCTCGGACCACGCAGGCCCCAGGCTGTATCCCAGCAACCGCTCGTCCTGACCAGGCATTGCGCGGGCGACAAACGACGCCACCGGTCCCGCTGGTCCTGGTCCTGAACGCGCGACGGCGCCGGCGCCGTTGGCTACTGATGCCATCGTCGCATTCTTGGGCTGGCGGAACGCGAGCGCGTCAAAGTCGATGGTCTGGTACTTGCCGCCGGCGAGATCGGTGCTGGCTCGACTGGCGCCGCCGTGCCAGCTCCCCGACTTGGAGCTGCGATGCTGGGTGCGCGCGTTGTGGTTGTTGGCGGCCGCAGCCGCGGCGGCGCGCGAGAGGGGGTGGTACCACGGTAACCTGCGCTGGCGGCGCCACTGGACGTACATGTACCCGGCGGCGAGGACGAGGATGGCCGTGATGCTGAGCGCGCAGGTGAACGCGCCAAGGCCGTTCATCATCGATTGGTGGCCGCTGGCGCCGTCACTAGAGTCGGCACTGCTGGGCGCGTCGTCCCCAGTCTCAGAGGACGTCGGTGGCAAGTGTTGAGAAGCGGGGGATGCCAACGCCGCACTCGACCCAGCGAGGAGGAGGAGGAGGGCGAGCATAGCTGGCCGCGGAGGGGGTGTACGTTGCCGTGGACCGTGGTCTAGAAGAAGAATGGATGAAGAGAATGGGATAATGGATAAGTACGTGGGGGGGACATGGTCGTCACTCTCTTTGTTCTGTTGTCGCGATCAATGTCTCTCCCTCCCCCCCTGGTGTGCCCGTTGGTATGTATCATGGTGCCAGGGGTCGAGCAACCCAGACGACGACGAGCCGCCCTCTGTTCCCCACTGATCCACTGAGCGACCGGTCCGTGTCCAACGACACGCCGTCGCCCCACAGCCTGGCAACAGTGCAAACCATGGGCTGAATGCAGAATGGTACCTCGACGACGCAGAGAACGGTCTGGCTGCCAGAACAAGGCCAACCGACAGGCGAGCCTTGCTCTCGTCAGAGCATTGAGATGTACAAAGTGCAATTCTGTGGATGTTGTGGTGGCGGCTCAATTCTTCCCTTGTCCCCCCTTGCGTTTCCGGGTTGAACGTGCCTCTCCCGCTCTCAGTACGAGTCGTGTCAACAAGGCCCCCATTGACGGGAACAGGGAACCCCCACAGTGACAGCAACAGCAACAGCAACAGTGCAGGCATGTGGTGCATATAGAGAACGAGCCTCTCGTCGTCCCATTGCCCTCTCCATGTCTGCGTTCCCTGCCAGGGTGGACGGAGTGGTGGGTTTGCCACAGGAGTCTTCCTCACCAAACAAGCAGAGCAAGACGACTCTGAATTTCTGGATCTCTGGTCTTCGGTCTGGCCTGACGCTTCGGCATACCGCGTGTCGGCGTGTCCTTATCCTGGTCCGTTACCAGGCAAAGCACCATCAATAGTCTGTAAGTAGACAGGACTTGACTTGTACCGGTGTTGTTGTTCTGAACGATCAATGCTTTCCGGATCCGAACAAGCAGCCGAACAAGCCAGTACATTTGTTTGCCCCGACGCTTCTACGACGACCCATATCGGGTCCAAAAGCCATCAAGTCTGAGCACGATACGCAGCCTGAGATCGATATGCTGATATGCTTCAGTATGCGTCTTGCGTTGTGCACGTGTCCACAGACTATCTGTGGGGGCTGCTGCAGATACCATTTGCACAGCTCACACCTCTATTCGGCTCCGGAATCGCCACTGCAGTGGCGCAGTGACGCGTTTGACACACGACGTCATTCAACTTTCTGTGTTATTTGCCACCCGTGGATCTTTTGCCATTCATGCCATATAGCAGGGCACTCGTGGCCCATGGCTCCCCCAACTCTTCAAGACACCACTGCACAGCCCACTTGCTAGCATGCACGGTCACACCAACGCCAACAGCAGCGGCGACCGCGACAGTGCCAGTAGCGATGCCCATAGCCCCGATCGGAATCGCAGTCCCCATACCCGCCCAAGCCCATACACACGTACCCGCTCAACTTCAGCTTCACCTGGGCACCAGTACCGCTCTCCACGACAGGACTCGCCACCCCTCACGGTTGGGTCGCCGTCAATGGAGTCCATTGACAGTGATTTCGAATGGACCGACCTCGGTACTGGCAGTGTAGAGGTGGCCCTGGGACAGACATTGGTGCCCGTGCACACCGAGGCAGCCAGGGCACCATCCCAGGCAGCGACTCCCACGTCCCCAGCCGCACCCACCTCGTCGACTACCTCGGCCCACTCACAATGCGACGGGTGTCGCGATCTTGTGCAGTCGCTCCAGCCTCTTATCGCGTCTCTCGCGGCCTCTGAGGCTCAGCGGGCCGCGTCAGACGCCCGTGCCGATGCCCTCGCCGCCAAACTGGACGCGATAGCTGACAGGCTCGACAAGGGCTCCGAGGCGGCACTCACGGACCATGCGCTGCAGGTGGTGGGGTATGCCCACACTGAGACTGTCAACGCGAGACTCGACGCGATCGTCGAGCGTTTGGAGAGCACCACACTGGGTGCTATGCGTGTCGGCCAACTGGCCCAAGTCGCCCAACTCGGCGAGCGGCTCGAGCTACTCACAAAGACGGTGTCTTCCGACTGGGCCAGTTTCCAAGCTGCCCAGGCTCAAGTGCTGCGTGTCAGTAGCGCCGTCGACTCTCTCGAGACCAAGATCGACACCGTCATGACTTGGATGAAGGACAACACTGTCCATACCCAACTGGCGGACCTTGCAGTGGACTTGGGCGAAGCCAAGAAGAACACTACAGCCATGAGGTTCCAGCCTGAACCTCCCTCTACGACTGACCAAGGTGGCCAGGGCGACAACGTTAACCGTTCTCCCAAGCCCTCCGGCTTCTGGATCCCCGTCACTCCCCCGCTTCTCACATGTTGCTCGACTGAACCACCCTGCCGCGATGACCCACTCCTCGGCACCGACGCCACAGCTTCAAGTGATGGCGGCAATCTTCCTCCTGGTCGCCCGCCCGTATCGTTCCCCCTCAGCGCTCCCCCGACGCTGTCACCTGCTGGTGCCTCTGTATTCCCCCTTGGCCCCAGTCCACCCGCCGACACTTCCCTGCCATCGAGCCATGAACGGATGGACGAGGACAAGTTCGCCGCACTCAAAGACAATCACTGGCCATGTGACTACCGCGAACCCGCAACAGCCTATCTCGCACGAACGAGATCCATGACCAGGAGGCGCAGGGAGCAAGACCTAAAGGACACGATACGGTGGTTTGGACAGCCTACCGCGGCCCACAGGCGGGTGGAGACGCATGACACGTCTGCAACTACCTGCGGTACCTCTGGAAATACAGCCGAATCCACCGGGGCGAAGGACTCGAACGACAAGGGCAAGGTCGGTGGATCAAAGGGCCTGCCTCACTGGTACGCCAAGGCTGAGGAAGCCATACTGTTCAATTCGCGGCCACAAGCTCCTGCCAACTCGGGCATGGGTGCACCTACTGCCCCAACGGTGTCGGCCTCTGCCTCTTTGCCCGCCGTAGACAGCCAGCCCGTCGACACCGTTCCACCACCCGCGGCACCTGACAACTCTTCGTCGCATCCGGAAAACGATGCCTGGAACGCCCAAGACCCGCGTGACCTCGACGACGTCCCGGCCAGCACGGCCGCCCCAGGACCCTCACCCGCAGTCTTCGCCGAGACTGACGCATACGAGACGGCACCTACCGAGGGCTTCCTCTTTGGTGGACCCGACTCGGCGCTCGCTGCCGCGGCCGCCAAGGCCGAGTTCGCCGATGACAACGACCTCGCGCTCCACGCTGCGATCCTGCTCAGCCACGAAGCGGGCAGAGGGACCGCGACGGGGGAGTCGGAGGACGTTGACGAGGAACAAATGGAACTCGACGCGTAAAGAGGATGGCCATAGCGTGAAAAGATGTCAAAAAAAAGGGCCCAGCAAAACAGAAGTCGGGAGAACGTTGCGAGGTGGCGGATCGTTACGAAACCCACACATAAAAAAGTATATAAATTGGCCGTAAATGTGCAGCCCAGTGCTGCGCGCCACATACTATCCCGCAGTAGGTGATGTGATGGTAAAACTATGATGGTATGGTATGAATGATATTATCAGGCACGCTTAGAGGATGAACACAGTGAGCGCCAGGCCAAGGACCGCGGCCGCACCAGAGCGGGGAACACCAACACGTGCTTGGGCGGCCGACGAGGTATTGCCAGTAGTCGCAGACGACGTGGCGGACGCAGAGGTAAACGTGGCAGTGGCCGTAACCTCGACGGCTGCGGTCTCGTCAGACGTGGCGGGCGCCGCGTCGGTGCCGTTCGAGGCGAAGAAGTGGGTCCAGCCCAGCGTCTCGCCGCTGGCGGTGAGGGCGCGGGCCTGGAAGTAGGTCGCGCTCACATCCGACTGCTGGAGGGTGAAGCTGGTCTCAAAGCCCGTCTTGGTCACGTTGGCGAGTGAGGTGCCCTTTGCCGCGTCGCTGTCGGACCCCAGCAGCTCCCACGAGGAAATCTCCGTGGCACCGTTCCACGACACGTAGATGTCGTATGTGGCGGCCGTGTCGTCCTTGGTCACGTTCATCGCCGGCGTCGTGGTCGGGTATGCAGTCCAGTTACCCCTGCTCGCGCGGTAGCCTTGCACGTTGCCAACGCCAAACTGGGCCGACCACAGCATGGTGCCGTCGTGGCTGTACTCGGAGAGGTATGGCTCCTGGCCCCAGCCCATGAGCCAGTTGCTGTTTGGCTGGAGCTCCATGCTTCCCTGGCTCTCCGAGAGAGACGCGTTGTACGGCAAGGTCTGCTCGGCCAGCTCGACAGTCATGCTCGTATAGTCCATGGTCAGGACCATGCCGCGCGACTCGGTGGCGTTCTGTTCCCAAGACGTGGCGGCGTTGTCAAAGAGCGAAATGGTCGTGTTGCCATCGCGGAACCGTGCGTCGTGCTGCCACTCAAAGGTCGTGTTGGCACCCATGGTGAACGACGAGTTGCTGCCGCCCAGACGCCAGATGATGGAGCCGTCCGTGCCGTCCAGGTAGTACAGGGCCTTGCAGTGGCGCGACGAGATGAGGTAGTTGCCCGAGTCGTCCTTCTCGATCGCATTGATGTGCTGTCGTCGTTAGTCATTGGCATTCCCGCTTGTAGACTTACGAAGTAGTCCCACGGCGAGGTGGCGCTCACACCGGTCGAGCCCACGCCGGCATAACATTCGGAGGGGTTGACATGGTCGAGGGAACGCCAAGTAAACAGAGCCTCGCCTTCATACTTGTTAGCAATGTTCGACCCTGGTGTTGCCCCAGATACTGGCCACCACGCCTGGTACCCGACAAAAGCACTCACCAGTAGCAATGTCCACCTCCTGCATGTAGCCAACAAGGATGTATCCGTCACCGGGGCCACTCCAGGTGGTCAAGTTCATTTGCTCAAGCACGTAGACAGTGAACAAGGCCGTGTTGTTGTCGGTGAGCGCAAACTGTTCAAGTTAGTGGCCGTGCGACCATGGTGCCCCTCCGTCCCTTCCCGTACCTCGTGGAAGTCCATCGTCGAGTTGGCCACAGTTGTCGAGCTGCGCAGACAGTGTCAGTGACGGCTGCGATCCGCATTTCACCATTGGTGATTCAGGGCCGGGGCCACCTGCCAAGCAAAAGTCCAAGATCGGCGCAGGACAGACACCCTTCTGTCTTCCACTCACATGTTGGCAATGACACTGTACGTGTCGTCGAGGAGGAGACCGTGTCCGCTGCCATAGCCAGCCGAGTTGAACGAGCCTTGCCACAGCGCAATGACCGTGTTGTTCTGGTACGTGTACGTGGCAAAGGACATGGACTCGCCGTACGCGCTGCCGTCCCAGATCAAGTCGCCGTACGCGTCGTAGATGTACGGGCCAGGAGCGACAGCGTCGGTGCCGCGCGGGGCAATGAAGATGGATCCTTCCTGCGGCGTCTCGGAGGGGAAGACGTTGAAGTTCCACATAGCGCTGTTCCTGTAAGCCACAGGCCACAGGCCACAGCAAAGATGACATCTGCGAAACGGAAGGCTGAACTGTGTCGTCCACTCTCCCCCTCTGTCTGTCTCGCTCAAATGCCCGCTAGGACGATCGCCAATGCCCGCTAGGACGATCGCCCAGCGCTGGCTACTCACGGCTGGGAGCTGGACGACTTGAAAGTCTGGTACGGTCCTTGTCCAAGCGCGCCGCTCTCATAGTCGGTGGAAGAGTTGACGTAGGCTGCCGCCCGTGCGCTCGGTACGGCCAAGGCGGCCACGAGGGCGAGTCGCAACATGGTCGTGCCGCAGAGAGACATAGTTGAAAGAGGGTGAAGCCGACGAGACGAACGAGACAGGACCCCCGACGGTGGTTATATTAGACGTATGTGAGGTAACAGAGAAAGACAAAGCGACCTCTTGATCTTGTCGAGGGACCGCCAGTGTTCGTATGCAGCCTTGCTGCGCAAAAGTGGGCCTACTCTCCCGCACAGTGTGCGTGCCTCCGTGGGGTAGTCTGGAGTCGAGAGAGTCATTATACGACTGCGGCCTGCGGCGCGGCCATGTGCTCCCCAATGATGACGAAGGGCTTGGTCTCGACACCCCACCTCCCGCGCGCGGTCATCAGAAATTCGTGTCCTCTGTCTCAGTCGCAGTTTCAGAAGGCGGCGCCACTGCGCAGCGGCGCCAGCCGGATCGTCTAAACTGCCGAGCGCGCCCGACCGGCATCCAAAAATCTCACGAATAAACAGTGCCGAGGGGCCCGCTGCACAGTCCGTTCTTCGCGGCCCCGGGTGGACAACGACTGCGCCGGCCTGGCAGACGAGGGAGAGGACACTGGGGCAGCTAACAGAAATCCGCGAAAAGCCATGTCGGTGGATCGGAAACCATGAAGTGCTTGATGCCGAAAATGCTAAACTCAGGCACACATTACCAGTTGCTAAAAGCCAAGAGGACACCAACCACAGCTCGTACGGACATGGGTTGCTGATGTGGCGACGGCTCAGAGACACCGTCTACTCAGCAACGCAGATGCTCTCGTCGCGTGTTTTGGCGGTCTGATCTCAAACCTGGGCCACATGGTCACATCATCGCTGACTCTTTGGCACCAAGACCAACGAGTCCAACAGTTCGGCGATCAAATTCGGGACGCCCGTCGGGACCTCCTGTCTTCAGGAGTCAGGAGTCGAGAGTCTCAACGACAACGACACTTCACCAGTGAAGCCAACCGACCTTTGAGCAAGACACACTGTCAGGCAACTTGCTGCCACCGCGCAATCACGCAGGGAAATGCAAAAAGCATCGGCTCTCGTGGTGTAGTGGCTATCATACTTTCTTAGGGTCCAGTTCTGGTCTCTAATCCAATTCGGATTCGTTCTCCGTTCTCTAGCTATGGAAGTGGTCCTGGGTTCAAATCCCGGCGAGGGCCTTCTCTTTTGGCCCCTAGAGGTACTCATGCATGCTCAGAAGGCTCTGTTGGACGTGTGGACAAGGAAGAAGGCATCTATGAGATGTGTTGGCGGTTCGGAGATGTTGGTGGGACATGGTTTGGTGTTTCGGGCGTTGTTACGCTTGCCGACGATCCCCCCGATTTGCCGCGGCTATTTTGAAACGCGTCGCGATGATGGTCAAACTCTTGCTCTGGCGCTCTCGAGGACTCGGAGTCCAAAGGCCAGACAGACAATGAGGAAAATGCCCGCCAGCAGAGCGCAACGTCAGTGGATGGATGACAAGGGAGCCATTGGGAAGAAGTAACATTTCTCTATTGACACTTGGACTTCAGAAAGGTTGCCGTTGGTGAGGTATATTACCCAACGTGCGGCGTTGGACGCGCTCGTGGCACTAACCGGGACACCCTGTGCCCATCACTTACGCCTCGTCCGTTACCTCAATGGACACGTTCTTGAACTCTCGCGTCGGAACTCCACGCTCAAAGAGAATATCCAGCTCGCGGAACGACCGGCCTTTAGTTTCCGGGAGCCGGAAGAACGCCCAAACGAAACAGCACATGCCCGTGCCAAACTACTGAGGTTAGCATGGTGCAACTGCCAGTCCCCGGCGGAACTTACCCAGAAGAAGCCGGCCTTGCTTCCCCAATTCCAGGCCGTTGCATTCAGCATGTACGTGTTGAGAACACCGGCGAGGAGGAACGAAGCGTTGTGTGCGTTGCGGGCGATACTGACGGTCTTGGCTCTGAGGCGAGTCGATGACACTTCACCCACAATGACGCACGCGGTCGACTGTTCGTGTCAGCAAACGGCAAAGACGAACATGCTCACGGCGACGGAGAAATCGTATACGGCCGTCCAAACACAGAGGAGCCCAGCCATTCCCCAAGAGGCTGCGGGGTGCGTATTGACAGCAAAGGTGAGGAGGCCGACGCCGAGGATGCTGTCATGGTTTAGTGACGGTCGTGGACAGCGGTGTGCCTACCAGAGATTGTTGATTGCGAGACCCCACAGGAACATGGTTCGGCGGCCAATGTACTTGAAGTGTCAGCTTTTCAAGTGCTGGGTCGAAGAGATAACTCACGGGAAAGGCAAACCAGGAACAGACGGTGCCGACGATCGCCAAACCACGTAACCCGAGGTTGATCCTGACAGACTCGGTCGTGGAGAGGCCGGCTACGTTGAGGTCAGTTTGACTGTGCACGACACAGTGTTGAGATTCAAGACTTGCCTTGTTCACTATCATTGTCAGCCACCGCCATCCTGCTGGACAAACTCACAAAAAGTACGCCGGGTGGTTGGCCAGGAGGGAGCCGACCAGGACAGTGGACGTCCAAGACATACACGCAATTTCTGTGCGGCGGGCATTCGTCCCCTTCCAGAGGTCCTAGTGTGTGATTAGGACGGCCACCAGAGACGGAGCTCGACAAGATACTCACCCAAGTTCTGATCTCCTTTGTAGTCTCCTTTTCGTGCTGGTTGGTGCGGACCATCATGGCAACAATACCCTCGACCGCGTCATCGTTGCGGTGTGCATGGGACAGGAGGCGACGCACACTCTTCTCTGCCCGTCTGAGCTTGTTCCGACGAACAAGCCACCATGGAGATTCAGGAGCCAGAGTCACCAGGATGAAGATTGGGATGGGCCAAACCCACTGGATGGCGAATGGAGCCTGGTGTCAGCCGATGCCAATGCAGCCAGACATACCTTGTACGCCCACTTGTCCTTGCGGCCGTCCAGTCCCATCACAACGCCAGCACCGACCAGCTGGCCAGTGAGCCAGCAGAGATTGGTAAACCTGGATGGTGAACTTTGTTCGGTTCACTTGGGACTCACGCGAGCAGGTGGCCACGGAGGTTGATGGGCATGACTTCACTGGCGTACGCAACAGCCGACTGCGAGGTGGTTAGGGATCGTCGCTTCCGAGATCAGCACGAAACTCGCCGAGGAAAAGGCACCCCACGGCATGCCGCAAAGGAACTGCAACGTCGTCAGCGTTTTCTGTCTCTGCACGCAGATCTTAGTGACTCACCTCGCCAAGGAACAGTACCTGCACGCTAGGTGCAAAAAAGACGACAAACACAAAGGCGGTAATGCCAATGAGTCCTAGCTGGATAGTGCGTTGACAGCCCCAGCGGTCCTGACACCAAGCCGCGATGAAGATGCCTCTGGCAGTCAGTTTCACTACCTGTCGGTGCGGCGATACTCACACAAACTCGCCCTGGTTGTCTCAGCTCAAGTCACTCTCCAACGCCAAACTCACAAAGCTCGCTCCCAATCCTAGCATAGTTTGCCATTGCGCAGTCAGTTGGTAACCGTGCTTCTTGTTATCGTAGCGGCCGTATCGTTCACGGAATATGGGGAGGGCTATGATGACGGATAACACTGGAAATGGTTAGCACGGGTATTCCAATCCCTAGTGAACGGTGATCTCACACGACGCTTGAAACCCTGCTCTGTCAGTTGATGTTTGGGGGACAGCAACATACCTGTCATGATCAGACAGAGCGAGATGGCCATAGACCACCGCACACCACGTCGATAAAGCTTGATGGCTGTCCACAGGGGCATGCCCTTTTCGACGACCTCGGCCTCTGTGGCCTCGACAATGAGCATGTTCCACTTCACCTCGCTATCCTTGGACTCTGGATGGATGGTTAGCAGTAATATCACCTACCACACACTCACCGTGACGCTCCAGGTCCTCGCCCACGACCACATCCTGGGGAACGCCGGTTTTGTCGTCCATGTTGCACGCAATCATGGGAGTGAGATGCTGCCCTCGACTCCTGCTCTTATAGACTGTAGAGGAACTTTGTGCGGTGTCCAGATGGCCGGAGGAGTGATGTTGATCTCTGTATCATCGGCCGAAGGCAATGGCTATTTTTTTATTATCTGATAGCCATTCCTGGTTGCGGAGAGTCGCTTGCGGCATGCACTCGTGTGGTGACGCATCTCAAAGCCCCAGCTCCCAGTCCCTCATTTCAGTGATCAACTCAGGCCCACATACCGCTCTGTTTGTTGGCGCCCACGTCAGGAGCGCAACAACACAGCAACGTATAGGGGCCATGTTGTTGGATATTTTTGGATTTGAGGGGCAGCAGCAACGAGTTTGGGGTCTAGCTGAATGCTTAATGCGTCACTGCAGTCAGGGAGTGGTCGAATAGCCCTGTCAACCGAGTCCTTAATGGTGCGAGGTCGGCGATTTGCTAAGACGGTGCCACTCTCCGGCCACTCCGTAGATGGCCGCGATGCCACAAAAAGGCAAAGTAGCCCCCCCTTGGAATCGAACTGACGCTCAATCACGTGACAAAGCGGTTCATCTCCGGGGCACCCACGTGAAACCCACGTGGTGGTCTCAGGAAGCCTCCGCTCGTCACACCCTGCCAGCGAGGCCTCTCCTCCTCGCAAGCACGCCGCGCACCCTCTCCAACGACATTCCAAGCGACTCGCGCGTTCCATCTTGTCGTTCTTGTCCTTACTCCCCCCCCACCACCCCTTAATAACCCCTCTAGACGAGTACCATGAACGGCGCCAACTTCGAGGACATCGAAGACCGCGATGGTATGTACTGCGGGACACACCCCGACCTGCTGGGAGCTGCGCGCACAACCCGGCTCCAATGGAACGAAGACGCTGACGTGCAGGCGTCCGATTCTCGTGGAACGCTTGGCCATCGAGCCGTATCGAGGCCACGCGCACGGTAGTTCCCATCTCTGCTCTCTACACTCCTCTGAAGGAGCGTGAAGACCTCCCTCCCGTCCACTACGAGCCTGTGACCTGCAAGGCGCCATGCAAGGCCATCCTCAACCCCTTCTGGTGTGTACATTGGTGTGGTTGCTTCCCCGCTCGACGTCTTATTCTTGCCACCGAGATGAGCGGGCAAATGCATATCCATCGCGTCGCTACTCATGCTAAACACCTGCAGTCAAATTGATGTCCGTGGCAAGATGTGGATCTGTCCCTTCTGTCTGCAGCGCAACCCCTTCCCTCCCCACTACAAGGAGATCTCGCAGACCAACCTCCCTGCCGAGCTGTTGCCAAAGTACACGACCATCGAGTACACTCTCTCGCGCCCCGCCCCTGTGCCTCCCATCTTCCTCTACGTCGTCGACACTTGCGTTGACGAGGACGAGCTCAACGCTCTCCGCGAGACCCTTGTGGCCTCGCTCAGCCTCCTCCCTCCCAATGCCCTCGTCGGCTTGATCACTTTCGGCACCATGGTGAGTTATCCGTGGCTCTATTTGACGACCACTCACACCCCAGGCGCTCGTCCACGAGCTCGCGTACGCCGACTGCCCGAAGGCGTTCGTCTTCCGCGGCTCGAAGGAGTACCAGCCCAAGCAGATCTCGGACATGCTTGGCCTGAGCGCCTCGAACCGCCCGACCATGCGCCCCGGCCAGCCCATGCCCGCCCCCGCAGCATCGCGCTTCCTCCTGCCCGTCCAGGCCGCCGAGTTCCAGCTCACCAACATTCTTGAGAACCTCCAGCGCGACCCCTGGCCCGTGGCCGACAACAAGCGTCCCCTTCGCTGCACTGGTGTCGCCATGGGTGTTGCCGTCTCGCTCCTCGAGACTGCCTTCCCCAACACTGGAGCGCGCATTATGCTGTTCGCCGGTGGCCCCGCTACCGACGGTCCCGGTCTCGTTGTCTCGCCAGAGCTCCGCGAGCCCATCCGTTCGCACCACGACATTGACCGCGACAGCGTCAAGCACTTTAAGCGCGCGACCAAGTACTACGAGAGCCTGGCCAAGCGCGCATCGCAGAACGGCCACGCGGTCGACATTTACGCGGGCTGTCTTGACCAGGTCGGTCTGCTCGAGATGAAGTCAATGTGCAACTCGACCAACGGTTTCATGGTTATTTCCGACTCGTTCATGACTGCCATCTTCAAGCAGACCTTCCTGCGCACCTTTGCCAAGGACGAGCAGGGCTTCATCAAGATGGGCTTCAACGGCACGTTTGATGTCCAGACCACCAAGGAGCTCAAGATTTCTGGTGTTATCGGCCACGTCATCTCGGCCAACAAAAAGTCGTCGTGCGTCGGCGAGACCGAGATTGGTATCGGTCAGACCTCGGCCTGGAAGGTGTGCTCCCTCACCAACAAGTCGTCGCTCGCCGTCTACTTTGAGGTTGTCACTCCCGCTGGCCAGCCTCTCCAGCCCAACCAGTCGGGTCTCATCCAGTTTGTCACCCACTACCAGCACGCTTCGGGCCAGTACCGTCTGCGTGTCACCACTGTTGCTCGCACTTTCCACGAGGGTGGCCACCCCAACATTGCCGCCCAGTTTGACCAGGAGGCCGCTGCTGTCCTCATGGCGCGCATTGCCGTCTTCAAGGCAGAGATTGACGACTCGCCCGACGTTCTCCGTTGGCTCGACCGCATGCTCATACGCCTTTGCCAGAAGTTTGCCGACTACCGCAAGGAGGACCCAACGAGCTTCCAGCTGGCGCCCAACTTCTCCATCTACCCGCAGTTCATGTTCCACCTCCGCAGGTCCCAGTTCCTCCAGGTGTTCAACAACTCGCCCGACGAGACAGCGTTCTACCGCCACGTGCTGAACGACGCCGACGTCAACAACTCTTTGGTCATGATTCAGCCTACTTTGATGTCGTACACCTTTGAGCAGGAGCCGCACCCCGTGCTGCTCGACTCGGTCTCGATCCGCCCCGACGTCATCCTCCTCCTCGACACCTTCTTCCACATTCTCATCTTCCACGGCGAGACCATTGCCCAGTGGCGCAAGGCCAACTACCAGGAGCAGGACGACTATGCCAACTTTAAGGAGCTGCTCGAGGCCCCCGTCGCCGACGCCCAGGAGCTGCTCGAGGACCGTCTCCCCATTCCCCGTTATGTCGTGTGCGACCAGGGTGGCTCGCAGGCCCGTTTCCTGCTCTCCAAGCTTAACCCCTCCACCACCCACACGTCGGGTACGGGCTATGGCGCTCCCACCGGCGGCCAGGCCATCTTCACCGACGACGTCTCCCTCCAGGTGTTCATGGAGCATCTCAAGCGTCTTGCGGTTGGCGCGTCGACTAGCTAGTAGAGTTTGTATTGCGGGCTACATGAATGACATGATACGGCAGCGTGCGGGGATTTGTAAGTGGGGACAGTAGCGTGTTAGTAGTGAGCAGACCATGCCAACCACACTGTTTAGTACGTTTAGTGTGTCATAGCATGGTTTGCCATTCAGCAACAGCCAAACGAGTCACGTCGGACCGGGCCGACACGTTGCCAAGGACCAGAGCAACAGCGACCATCAGTACATATCAACACTCATCGTCCCAGCTCCTCTCTTGTCACATCCATCCACGTCACCAAACCATGCCATCCACCCCAGTCGACCTGTCGAGCCTCACTCTCGTGCGCTGCACGCCCGCCCAGTTCGACGTTGCGGCACACAACGCCCACGCCGAATGGGGCAATGGCTACAGCATCGACGAGTTTGTCGAGCACATGAAGGGGTTCACGGTGAACGCCAAGGCCAACGGCTATGCCTGGGGAAGCAATGGGCAATGGGTTCCGTGGGCCCTTGTACCCAGGAGCGACCCCGGAACGATGAACATGTTGGCCCATTGCCATACGTGAGTGCCGAGCAGAGATGTTTGGTCAATAGTCAATACTAACTGTCCTCAGGTTCCGCCGCGACAGCCTGGTTCTCCCTCCCGGTTCATCGACACCAGAGGACGTCGCGTCGTACGGCATAGGCGCAGTGTTCACCCCGGTGTACGCGCGCAAGAAGGGATATGCGCGCCACATGCTCCGCTTGCTGCACTACATGCTCGCACCAGAGACCCGCCTGGCCCCGTTCCCTGCCGAATGGGGAGCCCCGCCCGCCGCCGACATTCGCATCGGGGACGCACGCTTCAGCGTGCTGTACTCTGGCATTGGCGAAAAGTTCTATGCAGACTGCACAAAGGGGGCAGAGGACAAGGGCTGGGTCCACCCGCGGCCGCGCGTCGTGACGCGCGAGTGGAAGGTGCCGGCGGACGACGCTGGGACCGAGGTGGCCGGTGCACAGTGGGTCGAGAGGGACGGGCTGGGCCGTGTCGAGGCCGAGATGGCCAAACGTATACGCCTCGAGCTGTCCACAACGGGAGATGCGTCCAAGACGCGCTTAGCAATCCTGCCAACGTAGGTTATCAGATTCACAAAACGGGACAATAGATAGCTGACATTCCCCAAAGTGGTCAGTTGACATTCCAAGTCGTCTTCTCGGACAACAAGCGACCCGGCTCAACCAACGCACTCTTTCTTCCGGCCGCGGCCGGCAGCGACGAGCAGCCATTCATTGCGTACGCCCTCACCCTCCCAGACGCAGGCAAGACGTCGACCCGGCTGGTCATCACGCATGTGTCCCACACAGCCGAGGCAAGGGTCCCATTCAGCGCAGTTCTCGCCGCTGCCTGGCGCGAGGGAGCCACCGAGGTCGAGCACTGGGGCGACGCCGGCTGGGACGCTGAAGGTGACGGCGCAAAGCTCCTGCCCGACGCGAACTGTCCTTGCATTGCAGTGTATGGCCTCGCCGACGACGACGTCGAGTGGGAGTGGTGCGAGAAGTAAGTCGCCTTGGCCTTGGCCCACTGCCCAGCCCAGCCCTTGGCCATCCCCAGAGGTACGGACACGGACACGGACACTGACAAGCGAACAACACAGGTATGCGTGGTGCTAGATCCTAGGCTCGCTTCGATTGCGGCATTAGAACCACCCTTTGATGCACGGTTTGATCTGATGCTATAGGCTTGCCGGCTAGCCATCGGCGGGGGCATGATGAGGGTTGGGTTTGAATTCTAGTGGCACATGACCCCGCCCATTGTCTTGTGGAGCCAAAGCCTCCGAGTGTGTCGGCCAAGTGGCGTCATACTCCGGGAGTGCTCGGTGGGCATTGCTGCTGTTGCTGGTTGGCTCCATTGTACCCCCGTCGTCCTCTGGGTCCTCTGGGAACATGGTATATAACCTCACGACTGCACCCCGTCTCCCCAGCTCAAGCATCAGTTGTACTCTTCACCATAATCGCATACCCCACCCCCATACCCAGCCCGGTCTTCGCATAGACGGGCTTCCACCCTTCCCCTTACCCACCCACCCACCACCCCACCCCACCCCCGCCACTTGTTGCCACTACCATGTCCCCCTCGGACATTGGACGGTACGTGCGCTGCTCGCACTTACGGTAGCCTCGTTCTTGTCTCCGGTTTCTTTTTGCCTCCCATGTTGCAGTTCGAGCACACCGTCTCAATCCCCAAAGTCGCGATGCATTCCCCCCCGACTTGACCGTACGTACTCCGTACCGGATAGAGCGCACAGGGTGTAACCGTGGAGAGACCCCTCGTCTCTTTCGACTCCTCTCGACTCGGCGACGCGCCTCTCGCTGCAAGAGCGCCCCTCTCGGGCGGACGACATTTATATGCGCGTCAGCTTCCACCTTGGTCGCCTTGGGCCGGCTCTCGCCACTTTGTGGTTCAGCCCAGGCCTCTACGCTGCAAGAGCCCACCTACCGTGGGGACGGCTTTCAACCATCGTGTGGTCAGCCACACCTCTCGCGTCAAGGTCTCCCCTCCCGGGAGGATGGCCGGGCCCAGTTCTGTGAGCTGTGGTTCGTGTCACGACAGGACCGCAGTTGCCTGCTGTAGTCTCTGTCTCTCGCATCAAGCACGCCTGTCCAGCGGCGCCCGCCTTTCGCGGGAACAACGTCTGTCAGCGGCGCAGACCTATAGGCCTGAAGACGACTTCCGTTTCTCGATTGTTGCCTGTGATTTTCTCGGTTTCTTCTTTGATGCTGCTTTCCCTTCGGGTATGGTTGTGTTGTAGAGATTCAAAGGATCGTCACAGGCCTCTCGCAGCAAGTACGTCTGTCAGCGGCGCACGCCTCTTCGCATCAAGACCAACAGTCTAAGCTCGACGTTTGCGTGTGCCTTCGCCACTTTTTCTCGGGTTCCCCCGCCCTCCCCCTCCCCCCAACCACCTGTACATATATCGTTAAAAAATCACCTATCGTCGACTGTCGCCAGCCTTCGCCTCGAATGGGACGCTCTGATCTCCGTGACAGGTAGAAGAAGCTCGACTCGACTCGCGTACGGATACGACACACGACGTTCCCCGACGTTCCATGTTCCGTTCTGTTACGACCACCCGACCCCGACATCCCTCTGTTATTGTGCTTCCCGTGCGGCGTTCACGGATGGTCACTTCGCCTTGGGCTCTGTTGTATAGCATTTCCGTGTAGCATGTACTTCATTACTGCTCCCTCATTGGGTCGTTTGCAATACGGTGCTCGTAGTGTGTTTGTTGAAGGGACGATCGATGTATAAGTGGTCCGCTCCACAGATGTGGCACCAACGTCGGGCGGAAATTCGGTGCCACAATCGCCGCCCTTCCCTTGATCACAAGCAACGTTGACCCTCATTTCCCCCTGTCCACACCCTAAACCTGGGACTTTAAACGCTTCACTGGCCCCATATGGACCGTGGAGATGCATTGTGGCATCAACTGGTGCTGCTGCATGCTTGGTTGACCGAGAACACGGATTGTCCTCACCTCCACCTCATGGGCCCGTGAACATCTTCATCACCGGTCGCGTGGCCAAATGGTACGGCGTCTGACTACGACTAGTTGATCAGGAGATCGCGGGTTCGATCCCCGTCGTGACCTGCTACGAGCTCAGCTCGAGAGCATTGCTTTTTGGATGTTGTAGCTCCAGAGGTGGATGTGGAGTGGCAACAGGCAGAAGTAGGTGATTGGACGAAAGCAATGTCATCACTTGTCGCCCCCCCCCCCCCCCTTCCCATGTGTGCTTCTCCCGCTCACCGCAGTCACCTCATTCCATGGCACAACTAGTAATACAGGTTTGGACACACATTCCTTGGAACAAACTACAGCTTGGCCTCGTCGTACCGCTCATTGGCCCAGGCGCCATCCCACCCAAGCGCACTGCGATCCCAACCGCGGTGTGACTCGCCGTCCTTCTCCCAGCCGGTGGCCGTCATGATCTTACCCGCGACACGCACGAAGAGGGACCCGTCGACGGATCCCAGGCCGCGGATGGCTTCCTTGCCAGCATCGTCATGGGCGCCGGGTACGCCACCGGCAGGGGTACTGCCGTACAGCTGGGAGTAGTAGACGAGAGAACGGATCGACTTGGGAACGTGCGACTCTGCGCCGCGTCAGATACAACTGGCTGCCAAGGGATACATACCGTTCGCGATGAGGGCATTGTCAACAATCTCGAGCCAGGGGTTAGCGTTGCCCTCGCCGTTCTTGGCACGCGTGAGCGGGCCAGAGGGATTCGCACTGGCCGACATGGCAAAGTCGAGGTAAAGCTTGGGCTTGCCGCGAGTCGCCAGGACCTGGAACACGGTGAGGGCATAGGTCTGGAGAGTGGTGCGCCGGTGGTGCTCTGGCAGGGCAGCCATGTAGCACGGTATGAACAAGGACGACGTGAGGAGGTGCATCTGGTCGTGTCAGTCATCGACTCCAACCTGCGGCTCACCAAGAAGAAGTCTACACGGCAGTTGTAGCCGGGCCGAGTGGTGGCACCCGTAATCAGCGTGGTCAGCCACGCAAGTTCTTGGTGGCGCGCCTTCCATCCCTTGTCCGACATGTCGCTCAGGTCCCAGCGCGCCACAAGGCCCTGCACACCAGCAACGTGCTCGGGCGTGAGGAAGTTGCGTAGGCGGGCATTGATGAGAATGTTCGTGTCGTACGGGCCCGGGTCAAGGTCAGCACGCTCGGTGAATTCGCGGTAGAGCTGGATGAGAGGCTTGGAGGGCTCCCTAGGCGCAGGCAGACCATTGTGCGGCCAACCGTCGGGGTACAGAGCAGCGGCGCTCTCAAGCGCACAGCAACAGGCTTGGGCGAGGCCCTCTGCGAGAATGACCGGGTCGTTGAACTCGAGACCGTAGCCAACGTGGATGAACGGGTGGACCAGACCTGCCGCGAGCGCAATAATCATGCGCGGCCCCTGGGTACCGCTTCCAGAGTTGGCCTCATGCGAGAAAATGTACTGCTCAAGAACTTTCTCAGGGCCCAGGCGAGCAACTTCGTTGTGGAAGAATGCTAGGTAGCGCGAATACGCACTGACGTGTTAGTCGCAGTGCGATTTTGTTTACGGGTTGCGTACTCTTTGTGACCAAGCCACCTAGAATCCACCCAGTTCTCACGTGTGATCGTGTCCGGCAACCCGGGCACATTCTCGATACGTCCATCCTCTGCGGGGTCGAGTGCCGCGTGCTGCCCGCGCTCGCTTTCCCAGTCACGCTGGAGCAAGGCTGGGCTCGCCCCGAGGGAATAGCGGGCAAGAGCAGAGTGGACAAAGTGGTTATGGGCGACTACACCGTCAGCGCGTTGACAGGCGTGGGACATGTACATACAGCGTATAGGAGGCGAGTACCACATATCGTACCGCTGGTCATTCTCGGTCAGGACACGGCGAGTCGTTTCCGTACTCTGGGGAGTGACGCCAGAAAAGTGGAAGATGGAGGAAGGCTGGGCCGACGACGGTGGAAAGTTCTTGGCCAGAGCGGGAATGGCGCGAAGGTCCTTCACGGCGTAGCCCATGGTGGATCGTGGCTTGAAGATGGTTTGTAAGACCCGAGGCCGAATGGAGGGCATGTAAGAGCCATCCAGTAGAAGAAATATGTATGCGCACGATGGGAAGTTGTGCTTGATCAGTCAGCAGACAGACGACGAGGATCCACTCGGCCATGAGAGAGCATGCGTTGCCCGACGATCCAGTTACTGGAGCGACCTAACGGGCCGAAGCCGCCAATGACGTCAGGCCAGTTTGAGCCATTCGTGTGAACACCTGATTACCGTAGTTATTAGAGGTTGATTACAAACCTCAACGTTGTTCTTCTAATCGATCAGGTGCGTCGAGGGTGGCACAGATTGATGCACCACTTGCATCGTTTGCAACGTTACAGCACCGTGGTACCGTGGGGCCCGTGTACCGGTGACGGCCTGCTCCATGTGAAGGGGATTGGGACGCTGGTCTGCGCCCACCACCAAATCCAAGCAGAGACAGTCTTGGCATTCGAAAAAACGTCTGCGCCCATGATATAAAAAAACACGAAAACAAGAGCTTTTGCACATGCTGTTGGGGCACGGGTGCGCCTCGCTGTCGGGAGAGGCTTCTGAAACGTACAAGTACATCTTGGCAGCACCGCCATGACCGGCAAACCGAACAGCCGTCACAGCTGATCTCTCGAAAGATGGAGAGCCCAACGTACATAACAACAAGACGTCGAGACCATTTTCCCCGGCGCCCCCCCTTCTCTCCACTAACCATGCCACCACCTATTCCACCACCTATCCAACCACCTATTCAACCACCCATTCCACCAACCACCAACCTTTCTACCAACGAGATTTCGCGGAGCCTCGTCTATCTAAGACGAACTCGCCAGCGTCTCCTCGTCGGCCCCCACGCCGTTCTTCATCTCCCCCACTCGACACACATATCTGGTGGAGCCAAGAACATCCAGTACTTTGCGCTCAGTCTCTGGGACCACACGTTCGGTCAAACATGGGAAATGGGTCTGGTGAGTCACAGAAAAAAAATCAATTTATTTAATTGTGATCTAACCTCCACAGTCATACGTCGAGTTGCTCTTTGCCCTGCTGCTCCGCCACCCTTATCTAACCAACATCCAGCACCCTGGAGCTCAGCAACCTGCGGGACCCCAGGTTGTCGGCGGCCGGTGGCCATTCCAAGGTTACTCGCTCGACTCGAAAATCGGCGAACTGCACCGCGCGAGCTCCTCCCCCTTCCTTGCCATGAGACTGGTACAGCATGACCACCTTCAAGCGCAAGCTCTCCCTATAGACGCTCCGCGTCCACCTACGACGCCGCGGTGCGGCGACCCGATGAGTTACCAACAACAAAAGCCACGCTTCGCATACCCGCACCTACGTCAACGACAGCGGCCCTGTTGACAGGGACACCTTTGACATAAATGACCGCACTGGGAGGTTTTAACCCCTCGTATCCAACGTCCCAGTCCAGTCATTTATGTCAAGGGTGTCCCTGTCAAGGCGGCAGACCTTCCTCAAATGCTTCAATGCTCGCACGCCGTCACAGTCGCCCTCGCGCAACGTGCCACCGACCATCCTAACCAGCGCCCCGCCCGCCCACGTGAACTACGGCGACCAGAAAGGGCGGAAACTATGTATATGGCTTTACGACATGGGTACATCGGCCGCATGGTGGACGGCTGAAGGACCTAAGAATATCCTCTATGTACATACTGTGTCTAATTGTTTGCCGCCACACCTGCAGCGAAACGGGCGTCGATGTCGCTATGTCCATACCTCCCCTCCGTCCCTCGGGATAGCTCCGTTCTCAACCTCACTGATCACTGACGGACACCATACCCACCACCTTCGCCTACAAACCCCTGAGGGTTAGGTCCCTTCACCTGCCGGGCTGGAAGTCGATCAGCGTCAGCGAACCTCCGACCACTAGGACGCCCCCTTTATGTACCAATTTTGGCATTGTGCAAAACCATGATGCATTCCTTCCCAGCGTCCTTCAATTTCAACAGTATCACAACTCGACCACTCCCATCACCATACACTACACTGCTCACACGCTCACACGCTGTCGGCCCGCTCGACGTGCTCGACATTGGGCTTGTCCTCGGCGACCTGGCCGTGAATAGCAGTGTCGAAGGCGTCGACCTTGGCAGTCTTAAACTTGCGCGCCGGGGTCTTACGCTCGAACAGGATATCCAGCTCGGCAAAGGTACGGCCGGAGGGCTCGGGCAGGCGGAAGTAGTGATAGACGACGCAGAAGAGACAGGTGGAGCCCCAGAAAAAGCCTGGCGAGTTAGTCGGGAGGATCATCGGTCATGTCCACAAATGCCACAAAAAATGTTTTGGGGTTTCCTGGCATTGTGGGATCACGACTTACCTGCATAGTTCTTCCAGTTCCACGCTGTGGGGTTGATCATGTTGGGCGTAAGAACGTTGCTGATAATAGCGGCCACGTTGTAAGCCGCACGACCGAGAGAGACGGTCTTGATCTGCAGACGACGAGTCGACATCTCCGCCACGAGTGAGAAGGCGATGCTGCCGACCGAAACCTGGTAGACAGCGGCCCAGCCCAACATTGTTGCTCCCGTCGCCATCGAACGCTCATAGCTCTTGCTGTCCGGGATGAGGCCGAGGAATCCGATGGTGTAGAGCATAATGCAGAGACCGACCAGTCCGGTGATGAAGAGGGTTCGACGTCCGACACCGCGGGACATAATGAACCAGGCGACAAATGTTCCAACCGTGTTTATGCCGTACTGTCCCATGGCGAAGTCGTAAGAAGTCTCTGCAGGGAGGCCAGCTTGCGTGAACTACGTGTGGTCAGCGATGTCCCGCCACTTTTGCAACAAACTTACGAAGTAGGTGGAATAGTTGGAAAAGGTGTTACCGGAGAGGTTCTGGCTCGCCCAGATCATGCACACCAGCTCGGTCCTGCGACGGTTGACACCCCTGAAGCAGTCGAGGTAAGAGGAGCCGGTCGTGATGTCCTTCTCGAGCTCGGTCGTGTGCTTCATCATGTCGAGGGTCTCGTCGACGTCAAAGGTTGGGTCTGCCTTGGCCGAGGTCAGGCGCAGCAGCGAGGCTCGCGCCTTGTCGAACTTGCCGTGACGAACGAGCCACCATGGCGACTCTGGAGCGAAGTAAATGCCGATGATGAGAGGCGGGTACCACATCCACTGGAGACCATAGGGAATGCGGAAGGCCCACTCGTCCGTCCTGCCGAGCATGGAACGGATGACACCGACGCCGATCAGTTGGCCGATACCTGAGCGCAAGTCAGTAAAGCCACCTCACCCCAAATCACATCATCAGACTCACCCCAACAACTGTTTCCCCAAGTGGTGACATATCCACGGAGTGCGACTGGAACGACCTCGGAGGCATACGAGATGGCAATCGACTGGAACACACCCCAGGGAATACCTAATCACTGTCAGTTTTGGTCGTGTCGGTGGTGTGATCGGGTTTGATCGGCAGGAAAACTCACCGGCGAGAATCTCAGCGACCAGGAGGATTTGGATGTTGGGAGCGGTGAAGAAGATGGCGGTGATGCCGGTAAGCCAGACGAGGCATCCGAGGATGACGGGCTTGTATCCCCAGCGTTCAGTGGCAAAACCGTTGACTGGAGGTGGAGTCAGGAACATTGCTCTTGTTTTTTTTTTTTGTCTCCGTGTTTATCGTTGGAGTGACTTACGGAAAAGACCCAAAATCTGACCGCACTGAGCACCGTTCGACAACGAGGTCTGCCAGTGTGCCGACACTTGGTAACCGTTCTCCTCGCCTGTCCAAGTTCCGTACTTCTGGTTGAAGACTGGGAATGCGTAAAAGTTACCGATCTGGCATTTGTCAGCGTCTACTCGCGGCGCGCGCAGGGTGCAACTCACGAGCGAGATGTCATAGCCTTCCATCGCACAGCACATCGAGATGAGCATGGACCACGCAATGGCCTTGGGGTAAAGCTTGATACCTTGCCACAAGGTCATATTGTGCTCCTTCTCAGTGGCAGCGCGTGCGTTGGCGACCATGGAGTCGCCCACTGGGGCAACCTTGTCGTCCATAACGTCGCCTTGGTGGTCGGCGAGCATGGTGGTTTGTTTGCGCTCGAGGTAGTGGTCGTACAGTAGTACGAGTGAGGATAAGGAGAGGGAGATTACCCTTGATGGTGAGTTGCTGGGGAGAGGAGTGGGGGCCAACGGTGCCCCGTGGAGCAGTCTTATAACAAACTTGACGCGACTGGACAATCCTCGTCCATCTGATTGCGTTCCACTTCGTGTCCGTATCGGCAGGTCAGGGTGGCCCCGGGATTACCCCACTGCAACCCCCCCATGTGCCATGCGCCGCTTCCACCAGCATCAGAAGAGCAACATTTGCCCCGCTTGATGCCCCTTGCCTTGATTGCCTCCGAGCGCCGAGGGACGCCTCCTTCCATCTTTCGGTCCGGAGCTCCACCAAAGCCAATGCCGAGGCAGGTCCGCTCCAACGCCGATCACGCATCTGCTGGAGAGCCCACCTGTTCGGTTAAGGTGCTTCTTGGCTCCAATGCTGACAAAAAGCTAGGAACATGGCCGTCGATTATGCCAAGATTGTGGTAACCGGGAGCTCGGCCGGTCCGACAGATGGAGAGTCCGTTGCGCGGAATGTTTCAGTTGATTGGAACAAAGTCCCGCCACCAATTGTCCGTCATGCGGACACACCAACAGCAGCTCCCAGCAACAACTGTACCTGCCAGAGGACAGCTATTTCTGGCGTGTCGGTCCGGAAAGAGAGAGAGAGAGGGAGATACGAATGGACAAGTGCATCATGTGATCAACTGCGACAAGAAGCCCACTTGATGTGAGTGGCAGAGTGTTGTTGGAGGCTGGTTGAAAGCGGTCCGAAAATCGCCAAGAAACGCAAGAAATCCGCCAAGGTTCCTGTCGTCACTACTGTGCCAGGCCACAAGGAACTGGCAGGTGCTTCGGGGTCTGGACTGCTTGAATGTACGTCACCATAGTCGATAACCGGAGATCATACGGCCGTCTATTGCCTACTCATGCCCTGAAGCTAGATGGATGTTGCAGTCTGCCCACCGGCCACACCGGTACACCGGCCGACTCTCCATCTGCCAGCAACCTCCGTGCTCGCTGGTAGTGTACAGGAGAATGCAAAGTAACACATATGCTAAAGTCTACCAATCCGTGGCCTGGGCCTCGCCGTCGTCATACTCTCCCGCGCCGTCGTCCTCATCGGCGGCGTCCTCGTCGTCGCCCTCGGGCTCCTCGACGAGCGTCTCGCCACTAGCCTCAGCCGCGGCGATGCGACGAGCCTTCTCCTCCTCGGCAGCCTTCTTGGCCTTTTCGGCCTTGACATCTGCCGTCCAGCCACCGCTGACGCCGGAAAGCCAGTCCGAAAAGTACGAGCATCCTGCCGGGTTGACCGGACCGTCCTCCTCGCAGAAATTGAATTGCGGGCAGGTACCGCAGGGAGCCTGCATCTCACCCAGAGGGATGTGTAGGCGACGGGTCGCACGGTAGACCACCGCCTGGTCCGAGAGGTCGATGAGGGTCTGGCGGCCGTCGGCGGAGAAGAACGGGTTGGACGAGATGCCCATAGTGGCCATGCCACCAGATTTGGACTTGAGGGTAAAGTCACCGCCGTCAATATCGTCGGACATGACGGAAGACACGTCCGAATCGTCGTCAGAGGACGAGCTGGACGAGTCCGAGTCGGAATCAGAGTCGGAAGAAGAGGCAGAGGAGTTGTCCGAGTCGTCAGACGACGCAACGGCGCGGCGCTTGCGCTTGGGCTTGTCGTCGCCAATCTCGCGGAGGTCGTCCGAGTCGTCCGAGTCGTCATCACTGTCGAGGCGGCTCTTCTTCTTCTCCTTCTCCTTCTTCTTGCGCCTCTCCTTCTCCTTGCGCTTCTTCTCCTTCGCCTTACGCTTCTTCTCCTTTTCCTTCTCCTTCTTCCGCCTCTCCTTCTCCTTCTCCTTGTCCCTCGCACGCTCCCTGCGGCGCCGTTCCCGCTTCTGCTCCTCCATCTTAGCCTTGAGCTTCTCCCTGTTCTTGCGTTCGCGCCTGTCACGCTCAGCAGGCTCCAGGTCGTCGTCCGAGTGCGCGGCGCGCTTCTTGCTGCGCTTGTGAACGGGTTCGCCGTCCGAGTCCGAGTTTTCGTCCATGGGAGTCACTGAGACACCGCCGACGGGCTTGATCGCCTCGATAAGGCCGTCCAGTTCAAGAGCACGAGCAATTTCCATGACGTTCTTGACAGTGAGCTTGGCCGAGGTGACCTTGTTCATGAGAATGTGGCGGAGGAGGTCTTGCGGGCTAGGGAGGGCGGGAGTCTTGGAGACGGGGTTGATTGGGTTGGGGCACAAGCTCGAGATGGCATCCTTCTTCTGAACGGGGAAGGTCTGGATTGTTAGCTATGGCAGTGGCCTATTAAGCTCACCTTGTGCTGGACATAGTTGAAAACGACCATGCGGAGCGAGTCGACAAACACAGAGTCGTATTCTTTGCTCTCGTCGAACCAGACACCACCAGCGATATCCTCAGGAGGCTTCAGATGAGCCAGGATGTAAAGGGGCATCGTGGGAGCCTAAAGATTGTCAGCTTCCTTTGCCACCATCAATAATAACGCACGTTGACACTCTTGAACGTCTTGATCAACCCGCTCTTCTCCAGCGCCTCCAGTGACTTGAAGACCTGCGACCTCGCCATGAGCTCGGCGCTGACCTGGTTCGCGATGGTGGTCTTCCCGATACCTGTTTGTCAGCTCAGTTCGCACACCAGATCCCTTACCCTTGTTTCCCGCCTTCTCGACAATGCTGAGGACGAACTGCTGCTCTTCTGTGAGCGTGTTCTGCCTGCACGAGTCAGCGCCGTCCAACAACCATTATAATCGACTAACCTCTTGGCATCCTCAACAGCAACGGCATGGAAGATGAGCACGTCGTCCTTGTTCTTTGTCGCGGTGAACAGTTTCTAAGACACCGTGTCAGCTGCACCACCCTATCCAATAGCTGCCAGCTCATACACACCAGCCTAAGAATGTTGTTGATCGAGGTGTTCATCTCCTTCTTGGACAGGCCCGGAATTGCAGCCTCAATTTGGACCAAGGTCATGGCCTGTGGGGAGTCAGTCTCTGCCATCCATCGTGTCTCGGGGTGTGCAACATTGCAGACGTACCTTCTTCTTCGAGGCCATGACCTTGTTGTAGACCTTTTGTTCTGTGCTTGAGAGCGTGGCCGACATGGCGGGCAAGGTCTACTGGATCTTGTGCCGCCAGGCGATATGAGAGGCCGCTCTTGAGCAGTAAATGTGGGGTAAGGTTGTGCTGTTGAGCAGGTTGATGGAGACACACACAGACCAAAGACTAGTTCCAAGTGCGAAATACAAACGCAGATCGAGTAATAATGATGTGTTTATTCAACAAACCGGTGGCGCAGAGAACTAGAGACGGGATCAATTATTCAAATTGCGCAATATGATCTCTCTTTGCATGGGCCAGTCTTGACGGGAGCATTCTTATCATCTGACCGATCCACCCAACCACCCCCGTATGACGCCCCGCTCCGGTTACCCCGTTCAGTGATCAGTGACATTATCGGCTCACAACCATTGAACGACCGCATTCATCGACCTCCCTCCTACCGGCCTCTCGCTCCACCTCTCGTGCTTCAGCTCCTGCATACACATAGGAGAGGACACAACTTCTACCCATATTCCTGTCGCCCGTTTCGAACGGTACTAGGCGACCTTCGTGACCGACAGCATCCCGCTCGGCCCATCGCCCACCAACCTACCCATTCACTTGGTCTCAGGACCAGTTAGTTGACCGGGGTGCGCAGCCCATGGTTCGCCCATCATGACCTCGCATTCTGATCTTTTGGACGGCATATTTGTTCGCCTTGGTAGCAAGTTAGTGATGACGGAACAACTGTGGACAGCATACTAACGTCATCACAGAGTAGAGGAGACTCGAGACCAGGCATCGGTGGATCTCCAGACCTACGTGAGTGTTGCACGGCGCCACCAGTCACAAGGATTCTAACAGTGTAGATCAACTCGTATAGCCAAGAATTTCCCGGAGATGATTCAAAGAAGAACGTGTGGAAGGATGTCTTCCACAGGACGTTTGATCTGACGAGGAGCAACTATGTCAACGACAAGCTAGGGGCGATTCTTGCAATTGGTTCGTCAAGTACATCGCAGCACGGCTAACGATCCAGATGCCATGCTCCAACCCACAAATGAGGACTCTCCCGAGCGCGCGTTGAATAACAATATTCGTCTCTATGGCTGTACGTGATACGGCGAACGTCGGCTGTGATGGCTCTTGTCACTGACCCGCCAGACCTCCGACCTCTACTCACGTATCCCGACTCCAAGGTCATGACCAACGCAGCCAATGTCGTTGGTAACATGGTCCAGATTGCCGGCGTCAACCTCGGAGAGTCGTTCTTCACCAAGGAGGTTGGCCAGGCCCTCCAGATGATTGACGGTGAGACCAAGGCTAAGGTGAACGTCGCTGACTCTTCGTAGATTCCCGACAAGACGTCAGCCGCTTCAGCGCCGTCCTTCTCCTTCACCAGTTTGCGATCCATGCTCCCGGTCTCTTCCATCCCTTTGTCCCGCGTGTTCTCGAGAAGATCTGGGGCCCGTTGAGGGACAGCAGGGTGAGTGCAGTTTGGTTAACTGTTACCTGTAAGCCGCATAGCTGACGCCACCAGACCATGGTGCGCGAGCGTGCACAGATGCTTTTGTCGGCGTGTCTTGATATTGTCAAGACGCGTGAGAGGTCGAGCAGCGAGACTTATCGGTCGATCTTTGAGGAGGCCAAGAGCGGTCTCCTCAAGGCCAACTCTGTGGACACGATCCTCGGTTCTCTGCTCGCGTTCAGTGCAATGCTCCAGAACCAACAGATTTCCATGGGAGAGTTCTACAGGTCCATCTGCGAAATCACACTCAAGTACCGTGACAGCAAGGACACCGTTATCCGCAAGGCCGTCATCACCCTGATTCCCAGCATGGCAACGTACGACAGCGACGAGTTTGAGGTTCACTACCTTCACCGCAGTATGGCCTACCTTCTGCAGGCGCTGGGCAAGCCCACCGACCGCGACATTGCGTATGTCGCCCTTGGCCACTTGGCCGTGCAGCTTGCCTCGAAGACTCGTCCCTTTATCGATGACATTGTCAAGATCATCAAGGAGCACCTTCGCATGCGTGGCAAGAAGGGCGCACCTTTTGAGGCCCCCATCTTCCAATGTCTGGCGATGCTCACGACTGCGGTCGGCCCGATGCTCACTCGTCAAATGCACGACATTCTCGACCTCATGTTCCCCTGGGGCCTCTCCGAAGCTCTGTACCATGCTCTCGAGGTGATCTCGAGCCACATCCCCCCTCTCCTCCGAACTATTCAAGGTAGGCTATATGGCCGGTCTACTGGCTAACCTGCAGATCGCTTGCTCGAGGTCCTTTCCATCATCCTCACTGGCCACTCCTTCCGGCCACTCGGCGCACCGGTACCACGCGGGAAACTGACCGACATCACGAGCAATGCGGTCTTGCTTGCTTCTGGTGGTGGACAGTCGGCAGACACGATCGCGCTGGCACTCAAAGTCCTTGGTAACTTTGACTTTGGCGGCCACACCTTGAACGAGTTTGTCCGCGAGGCTGCCCTTCCTTATTTGGAGCACGACAGCCCCGAGGTCCGCAAGGAGGCTGTCCTCGCGTCTACCCAGCTCTTCATCAACGATCCTATTTGCAACCAGACCAGCGCGCACTCCATTGAGATTGTCAACGACGTGCTCGAAAAGCTGCTCGCAGTCGGCATTACGGATCAGAGTAGGTGTTCAGATCTTGGAACACTCACTGACTATTCCTCAGATGTGGAGATCCGCCAGGCTGTTCTGCAAAACCTGGACGAGAAGTTTGACCGCCACCTTGCGCAGGCCGAGGACATTCGCTGCCTGTTCGTTGCGCTCAACGATGAAGAGTTCAAGATTCGCGAGCTGGCGATTGGCATCATTGGTCGTCTGGCGCACCACAACCCGGCCTACGTCATGCCGTCGTTGAGAAAGTCGCTCATCAACCTCATCACTGAGCTCGAGTACTCGACCAACAACAGGCAGAAGGAGGAGAGTGCCCGTCTTCTGTGCCTCCTTATTGGTGCTTCGTCGAGCCTTGTCAAGTCGTACGCTTCGACCATCCTCACAGTCATCTTGCGCATTGCCCGCGCGGCCGATACTCCCAACGCAGTCACCGCCTCGTGCGTGACCTGTATTGGCGAACTCGCGCGTGTGGCGGGTGAAGAGCTCGTGCCCAACGTCAAGAGCATTCTCGACCTGCTTATCGAAATGCTCGATGACCAGGCATCGACGATCAAGCGCAATGCAGCTCTCAAGACGCTTGGCCAGGTCGTCTCGAACACTGGAGAGGTGATTTCCCCCTACCTCGACCACCCGACTCTGCTGCCCATCATCTTCCGCCTTCTCCGCAGCGAGACGTCGCAGGCCATTCGCCTGGAAGCCATCAGGACCATGGGTATGCTTGGTGCCCTCGACCCGTTCAAGCACAAGCTGCTGCAACAAGTGTCCGACGACGGCAACCCCGAGACTTCGGGCCCACGCCCGACGGATATCACGCTCCTGATGAGCTCCCAGGGCCCATCCAACGACGAGTATTACCAAACAGTGGTCATCAACGCGCTCGTCAACGTTCTCAATGACGCCAACATGAAGGAGCACCACTACGACGCCATCAACTCGGTCATGCTCATCTTTAGGACCCAGCGCCTGAAGTGTGTCTCGTTCCTGCCCCAGATTCTGCCCGCGTTCCTCAACGTGATCCGTCTGGGTAGCCGCGACTCGCAAAATGTCTTCCTCAAACAGCTCGCCCAGCTCATCACGATTGTCAAGCAGCACATTCGCAACTATCTCGGCGACGTGTTTGCGCTTGTTCACGACTTTTGGAACCCCAACTCGACGTTGCAGATTACCATCATTTCGCTCGTCGAGGACATTGCGCGTGCCGTTGAGGGCGAGTTCAAGGCCTACCTGCCGCAGCTCTTGCAGCAGATTCTGCGTTCGTTTGACGGCGACCTCACTGCTCGTCACCTCTCGGGCCAGCGCCTCGAAACCCTGCTCCACATTCTCCGCGCGTTCTACGCCTTTGGCTCGAGTATTGAGGACTACCTCCACCTTGTCCTGCCCGTCATTGTCCGCAGTTTTGAGAACCCGTCTGCTCCGACCGAGCTCCGCAAGGCCGCCCTCAACACTACGGCACAGCTCTGCCGCAAGGTCAACTTTAGCGACCACGCCTCGCAGATCGTTCACCCGCTGATCCGTACCTTGGGTACCACCGACATTGAGCTCCGCAACACGGCCATGGACACGCTCTGTGTCCTTGTCCTTCAGTTTGGCACCGACTACGCCATCTTCATCCCCATGGTCAACAAGGCGCTTTTGGAGAACAAGATCGTCTGGCCCACGTACGACAACCTCGTCACCAAGCTGCTCAACCGCGAGAGGCTGCCGCCAGACCTTGGACCTGTGGAGCAGTACGCTGCTGACAATGCGATCGAGGCTGCTGCCGCTGAGCAGGGAAAGCTCCCCGTCAACCAAATGTCGCTCAAGGCGACATGGGACTGCTCAAACGTGACGACGCGCAAGGAGTGGCTCGAGTGGCTCAAAAAGCTCGGTGTCGATCTCATGCGCGGATCACCATCACAGGCCGTTCGCGCGTGTGCCAACCTCGCCGACCAGCACACTGCGTTTGCCCGCGAGCTGTTCAACGTCGCGTTCGTATCGTGCTGGACCGAGCTGTTCGAGTCGTACCAGGAGGACCTGGTCCACAACCTCGAGCAGGCGCTCACCAACCCTGGTGTCCCGTCCGAGGTCGTAAACGCCATCCTCAACCTTGCCGAGTTTATGGAGCACGACGACAAGACCCTGGCGATCGAGCCCCGTCTGCTTGGTGACTACGCTACCGCGTTCCACGCGTACGCCAAGGCTCTGCACTACAAGGAGCAAGAGTTCTTCGTGGACGCCTCGACCGCTGTTGTCGAGGACCTCATCAGTGTCAACCAAAAGCTCCAGCAGAGTGATGCGGCTTGGGGAACACTCGAGTACGCCCAGAACAACCTCCAAATGACCCACGATGTGCTTTGGTATGAAAAGCTTGGTCGTTGGGAAGAGGCACTCGAGGTCTGGAACGAGCGTGCCCTGGACCCCGACACGACGTACGACGAGGAGAAGATCACCATGGGCAAGCTGCAGGCCCTACATGCCCTGGGCGAGTGGGAGGAGTTGTCCGACTGCGTCCAGATCCGCTGGCCCAACGCCGCTCAAGAGGAGAAGAAGCTCATTGCACCCCTGGGAGCGGCCGCAAGCTGGGCCCTGTACCAGTGGGATCTCATGGACGACTACATTTCGGCCATGAAGAACGACTCTGCCGACCGCAATTTCTTCAAGTCGATCGTCGCCGTCCACCGCAACCAGTTTTCGTCTGCCATGCGGCATATTCTCAAGGCGCGCGAACGCCTCGATGCCGAGCTCACAACTCTTACAGGCGAGAGCTACGGACGCGCCTACGACGTCATTGTGCGCGTACAGATGCTCTCCGAGCTTGAGGAGATCATCTCGTACAAGGACCACGCCGATCAGCCCGAACGCCAGGCAACGCAGCGCAAGACGTGGCAGACTCGTCTCGAGGGATGCCAGCGCGATGTCGAGGTTTGGCAGCGTATCCTCCAGCTCCGCTCACTCGTCCTTACCCCGAGCGAGGACATGGACACGTGGATCCACTTTGCGGACCTGTGTCGTACTTCGGACCGCCTCAACCTTGCCGAAAAGACGCTTACAAGTCTGGTGGGCAGCTCGTGCTCCAACCTCGACGCCGAGAGCCGGTCACGCGCACCCCCGCCAATCGTGTTTGCGTACTACCGCCTCAAGTGGGCTCAGGCGACTGCCAACGACTCGAGAGACGAGCGCCACGAGACGCTTGGGTACCTGCGCGACTTTACTACCACCCTCTCAGACGACATGGGTCTGGGTGCAAGGGATAGCCAGGGTCACCTCATCCTTCCGGACGCCAAGCTCTATGGCGAGTACACCAAGCTGCTTGCGAGGTGTCACGTCGAATTGGGTCAGTGGCAGGCCGCTATCAGTGACAGCAGCTATACCACCGACCCCTCGGCTGTGCTGCACGACTATGCGCTTGCTACGGAGCTCGACCCGACGTGGTACCAGGCCTGGCACACTTGGGCTCTGGCCAATTTCGAGGTCATCACGAGCCTTGAAGTGTCGCAGCAAGGCCTGTCGTCTGGTCACTTTACGACGTACATTATCCCGGCTGTCGAGGGTTTCCTGCGGTCCATTGCACTCTCGCCCGGCAACTCGCTCCAGGACACGCTCCGTCTCCTCACCCTCTGGTTTACATATGGATACCAGCACGGCGTCAACCAGGCCATTGCTCAGGGTATGGCCACTGTCAACATTGATGTGTGGCTCGAGGTCGTGCCGCAGATCATTGCGCGTATCCAGACGCCTCGCCAGACAATCCAGCAGCTCATCGTCCGCCTCCTCCACGATATCGGTCGCGCACACCCTCAGGCTCTCATCTACCCGCTTACCGTCGCCTCCAAGTCGAACGTCGCGAGCCGCAAGGCCGTCGCACAGGGTATCATGGCCAAGATGCGCGAGCACGCAGCGACCATTGTCGACCAGGCCGACCTGGTTTCCACCGAGCTTATCCGTGCGGCCATTCTGTGGCACGAGCAGTGGCACGAGGGTCTCGAGGAAGCGTCCAAGCACTACTTTGCCGACCACAACGAAGAGGCCATGTTTGAGGTTCTGGAGCCTCTGCACGACATGATCGAAAAGGGCCCCGAGACGCTCCGCGAGACTTCGTTTGTGCAGAGCTTTGGTCACGAGCTCCGCATGGCACGCGACTTTTGCCGTCGTTACAAGCTTCATGGCGACACCAACGACCTCAACCAGGCTTGGGATATCTACTACTCGACGTTCCAGCGTCTCGCGCGCCAGCTCAAGTTGCTTACCGTTATCGAGCTACAGTACGTCTCGCCCAAGCTCATGGCTGTCCGCGACCTCGACCTTGCCGTGCCAGGCACGTACCAGTCGGGCAAGCCCGTCATTGGCATCTCGTACGTCTTGCCGACGTTTACGGTCATTTCGTCCAAGCAGCGTCCCCGTCGGTTCACCATGCGCGGCCGCGACGGCAAGGAGTACACGTTCATCCTTAAGGGTCACGAAGACTTGCGTCAGGACGAGCGTGTCATGCAACTCTTCGGTCTCGTCAACACGCTCTTCAGCGCCGACCAGGAGAGTGCCAAGCGCCACCTCAGCATCCACCAGTTCTCCATCACCCCGTTGTCACCTGGTGCCGGTCTGATTGGATTCGTGCCGCACAGTGACACCTTGCACACCTTGATCAAGAGCTACCGTGACTCGCGCAAGATCTTGATCGATATCGAGAACCGTCTCATGAACCAGATGGCCGACGACAACTATGACACCCTGCCGCTCATGCACAAGGTCGAAGTGTTCCAGTACGCCCTGGACAATACCACTGGTCAGGACCTGTACCGCATCCTCTGGCTGCGCAGTCGCAACTCGGAGTCGTGGCTCGAGCGCCGTACCACCTACACCCGTTCGCTCGGTCTCACGTCCATGGTCGGATACATTCTCGGTCTCGGAGATCGCCACCCGTCCAACCTCATGCTGGACCAGATCACTGGTGAAATCGTCCACATTGATTTCGGAGACTGCTTCGAGGTCGCCATGCAGCGCGACAAGTATCCCGAAAAGGTGCCCTTCCGACTCACCCGCATGCTCATCCACGCCATGGAGGTGTGTGGAATCACGGGCACATTCTCGCGTTCGTGCGAAGTGTCCATGGAGGTGTTGCGCGAGAACAAGGAGTCGCTCATGGCTGTCCTCGAGGCGTTTGTGTACGACCCATTAATCAACTGGCGTCTCACGGCCGCCAACAACCAGCCTGGTGGACGACAGGCGGCACAGGATGTAGAGGAGAGGCAGGGCGGTGGATACGTCGGCCCAAGAGGCGCGGCGAGGGCGGACGAGAGGGATATTCTTGGTGGTGAGTGGGAGGGCTGCTGAGGGCTGCCGATGGCATGGGCATGCCGAGGACTTCCGAAGGCTTCCGAAGGCTGCCGAAGGCATGCCGCCGTGGGATGAGTGGAGCCGTGGTGCCGAGGCACTGCCTGAGTTGAGATGGAGACACGCCCCATCGCACCGTCGCTCCGTGGCACCGTCACTCGTGGCATGGCCGCATGCCTTCGGCATGCTTCCCCTTTCCCCCCGCTGACACCCTATACAGAAGCCGACAGGCCAGAACAGATGAACGACAAGGCCCTCCAGGTCGTCGAACGCGTCCGTCGCAAGCTCACCGGACGCGACTTCAAACCAAACGTCACACTCGATGTCAAGGAACAGGTCGAAGAACTCGTCTCCCAGGCAACCAACGTCGAGAATCTATGCGTTGCGTTTGTCGGTTGGTGTAGCTTTTGTGAGATTATTAAGCGTTTTGAGTGTCCAGAACGTCTTGCTGACGTCCCACAGGGTGATTTTGAGTTGGAAAGTGGAAGGAAGGTGTTGGAGGGTGGTTTTTGGTGGTCGAACGGAAGCAATTTTTTGCTTCCGCAGTTCACCGACCGCGATAAGATAGCCGTGTTTGTCTCAATATATCATGCATGCATACAATCGTTAGGGCTTTTGGGACCCGTAGCCAGCGTGCTAGAGGCAAGGATGCCACATGTGGGATTCCATTAGAGAGAGGGGGCGGGTTGAGGACGCAGGTGTAGGGGAACACCGGCGGTGTGGCCACGGACAGGGCCATGATATATTCGCGGCTCTGTTATTCGTGTGCCATTGCTTCGGCGAGGGATTTCATTGTGTAATGGACAACGACGGCAACTGGTCGGATGAGTGGCAGCGTCAATGCCAGTCTCACATACCCGCTTGCACATACGTCCATGGTACTTGGCGCGTATGTCACCTAATTACAGTATCCTACATTACTCCCGCCTGCCGCCATTCCTCAATTCGTGTCCACTCCACTGAGGTATCAAGTCCCAAGTTCCCAGACTATCCACAGCCACCGTTTCCTTCTTGTTCCTTGTCCGTCTGCTTTACAGTGGGGCTGAATCCTTGGCCTTGGTGTCGCGCTGCCTGCAGGCGGACGTAAACTTGGAGACAGATTCCTGAAACTGCTTGCCAAGTTTCTCGTCCATAACTTCCTTCGAGAGGCACGCCTCGTAGTACTGGTCGAGGTGGAGGCAAGTCAGGCGCTGACACACAGTCAGTTTGGTTAGGCATTTGTATGTATCGCCGTGCTCACGTGCAGATCGTCAATCTCGTCCTCGAGGTTCGCGGATGCGTTGGCTTGGGAGGCCACCACCACCGGGGCGACAGGGAACGAGATAGCGGGCGTGGCTGCTGCCGAGGCCAGTGGCGTTGTTGGGACTGGGCGGCGCTTGGGCGGACGACCTACCAGTGCGTCAGCTAATACTCATGGATAGGCAGGCCCGTAGCTGAAGACGTACGGAGGGGGACGTTGTCATCGTCCTCGTCGGACGAGACAACCTCGATGGGGACAGCCTTGCCGTTGCCGTCGCCGTCGCCGTTAGCCTTAACCGACGAGCGCGTCTGGCGACGCCCACCTGCAACACCGTCAGCGAAATTTACTCCCGTGATCTGCCTTCCCTCCTTTCCTTTCCGTTCCCCGACTCGATGGCAACTCACGGAGCTTGATGAGAGGGATGTCGTCCTCTGACGAACTAGAGTCGAGCTCGTACACCTCGACCTCGTTCGCGTCCGAGTTCGAGTCGGCCGCCTTGGGGGTGTCGGTGGGGCTTGGGTCGGCCGACTTGGCACGAACAATGAAGCACCAGTCGCTGCCACTGTCGCTTGGGGAAAGAGGGAGGGGCCTAGGGGAGGAGGAAATTGGCGTGGAAAGCGAGGCGCAAGACGTGCTGTAGCTACCTGCACAGAATGGGTGTTGTCAGTGGAGCCCCAAGTGGTGGCACGTTACAAGGGGGAAGGCAGGCTCACTGTATGGGCACATGTTGGTTGCGTAGTGTCAAGAGCGAGTCCCAGTTGATGGAAGCACTTGGAAGCTATGAATGGGTGATGGAGAAGTGAATAAGAGAGACGCAAGGACGAGGAAAACACAAACTGCCCAAGGAAAGACCAGTGCAAGGACGGATGGATCAGCCCAGGTGGCCAGGTGGCCAGGTGGAGCTGCCACACGGGCCCACAGAACGTGTGTGTGCGAGGACAGCGTCTTGGTCAGTGTGCCATCGGGGCACAGCGAACGTCAACACACGCATGATGTCGCATCCCCACGCTTCTGCACGGGGGCACGGGGCGTGGGAGGACAAGATGTCAGCGCACCCATACTTGTACAGCGCCATATGTACAGCGCCATATCTCGTTCTTCTTCTTCCCCATCAACCCCCAACACCACCCCCAACACCACCCCCAACACCACCCCCAACACCACACCAAGATGGTACGTCTCACGCGATCACTGAGCTAGGTAGTGCAGTTCTGACTCTTGACTCAGATAATGCTCATCGTCTACTTGAACCCCTGCATCCTCAGCTCTGCTCCCTTATCACTCATTCTTCGCTCTGGCAATACCACCTCGTCTCCCGTCCCCATCTGGTCTGCGCTCCTCCTGCCCGCGGCCTCATTGATCATAACGGCTGAGGTGGCGTTACCAATCCCAAGTGTTCGCTTCCAGTATGAGCAAGATGAGCCGCTCTCCGAAACGAAGCCCAGCCGCCTGGGACTCGGGCACGGCGGGGTCATTGGTGGCGGCCGACGACGAGGTGTTCGGCATGACGACGGAGCGCCCATTCTCGCCCGCTCCACCTGCTCCACTCCGCCCCTTCCGCTCGACTTTGGGCGTAGGTGTGAGCCCCTCGTTTGTGCGCCCGACACGTCCCTTCCCATCCGCTTCGAGGGCTCCTCCCTGCACCACGGCCGCGTCAAGGGAATGCGCTTCGCTGCAAAGGGCAACGTCAAGTCCGAGGCCAAGGAGCGTATCGAGTCCATCCTCGGCCCTCTCCCCGACCCCATCGCCGACCTTACCACGGCGTCGCGTACCTACGACTCGGGCGACTTTGTCACCGCCCTCACGGACGCGATCGCTTTCCTCTTCGCGGTCGAGCGCAAGCAAAAGGACCAGGCCGCGTTTGAGAACCGTCTCTCAGGCGTCCCTTGCCTTTCTCGCTCCGCGGGCGGTGGCGCGTTCTCCGTCGTCTCGGGTCGTGGCCAGGCATTCTCCAAGTGGTTCGTGTGGGACATGCCCAAGCCACCAGTCTCGACTGGCGGTCACGTCACTGTCTTGTGCCCCGACGAGGCGACGGCCAGGCGCCAGGCAATGGAATTTGCGTCGTCATCAGCCTTCTACAACAAGGGAAACTCGCTGTTCAACCTCCCCGCGCGGTACCTCGCCAAGCGCGCTGAGGCTGGCAACGCCAGGCAGTTCCCGATTGACGACGCGATTCCTGGTCTGGCCATGCGCTGGTTCCGCAAGGGTGGTCCCGCCGAGGTCGACGCCATCCACGATGCCGTCGCCACTGGCAAGTTGACCCGTCGCTTCAAGTTTGACGGCGACGACGTCACGGTGCCGGTGCCGGAGGGACAGTCGGCTGACACCTCGGCGTTCAAGGCCAACCTCAACAAGCTCAAGGCTGTTGTGCAAGAGGCCGAGTACCTCCTCATGACGCCACACGAGTTTGTCGAGAAGGAGACTGGCAGGCGGGCATTGAAGTACTCAATGTACCGAGTCCGCCAGCTCGACGTTGACTTCCAGCCCGTCGTCATCAACCCGTACTGGTTGGGACTCTGGCTGGGCGATGGTAACCGCCGCAACACCGTCATCTTCAACTTTCACGAGTCGGAGATTAGGGCGTTCCTCATCCAGTATGCCGAGCTCCTCGACAAGCCCGACAAGACCGCACTGGGTACCGTACCGACATCAAGCGCATCCCCCCGAGCTACCTGTACAACTCGCGGGCGGTGCGTCTGGCTGTGCTCGCCGGCCTGCTCGACTCTGATGGGCATTACGACGAGGCAGACAATTCGTTTGTCTTCGCCCAGTCGGTCCGCTGGCACGAGCCCATGTTTTGAGATGCTGTGCAACTCGCCCGCGGCCTTGGCTTCAAAGTCCAATCCCACCGTCTCACCAACCGTATTCCCTACCTCGACGGTACTTACGGCGACGCGCTGCGCGCCCGCATCACCGGCGACAGCATCCACGAGATCCCTTGTCTCTTGGGCAGGAAAAAGGCGCTCAAGAGGATCTTCCAGCAGCAACAGAGCTGGATCTTCCAGATTGCCGAGGAGGAGCACCCCAAGCCTGCCGAGCAGACTCTCTGGTCCATTGCGGTCGACGGCGACAACAAGTTTGTGCACGACGACATGTTGGTGCTGGGAGGCTTCACCATGCCGGCGCATGAGGAGCTCAGGGCACAGGCTACAAGCCTGCGAGGCCAGATCAAAGCCGCCCTGCGCTTGCCCGTCGTCGACTTGCCGAGTCCATGCAACAGCTCTCGACGATCATCGCTGTCATGGAGGTGCTCGATGAGAGTGCTCGTCGCCAGCAGTCTGTAAGTCGTGCATCACCAACGTCCGCGACGCTAACCCATCCTAGCACCCCGAGCGTCTGCTCCACCTCCATGCCCATATTACGGTACTCTTCGATGAGGCGAAGCGCGTTGGAAAGTCACCACTCGCATCCAACGAAGAGATCAACGATGTTGCCAAGCGCATGGCAGGTATCCACCTCAACGAGGTGGCAGCGCGGCCAGTCAGCACACCGCGCGTACGTTGCAGTCCCTGTACACAAAAGCTAACAATATCAGATTCGTCTAGCCGAGGTTCGTGGCGGGATCTTGGCTGTTTTCACGCAGATGGGCGAAGGTGTTGAAGCCCACGGAGGAGCAGGAACGTCGGCTCGCAGAGCTCTTGGCCGAGTGGCAGGCCATCCGTCACAAGTGGTACGAGTGGCGGTGATGTGCAGTGATTCCCTACCTGTAATGATCCATGTAAATCACCATGCACGAGGAGTGGAGGCTAATACACGTTGTTACCAATCAGACCCGTGTGGGTGTACTTGTTTCCATGCTTCTGCTCCCAATCCTAATGAGGCTGCCGCCTTCAACGACGACAGCAACTCTATTCGCAGCAACGGCTCCGAGGACGGACGGCAATGTGGCGCTCGTTTTCGGTGGCGAGGGCTCAGGCAATACTGAGCCCCCTCCCGACGCAAATGACCCAAGACCACGCCCCGTGCAGAAGCTTGGGGACGGCGATGTCATGCGTGTGTTGACGTTCGGTGTGCCCCAATGACGAAACGAGCAGTGTGATGTCTTCCCCCGCATCCTGACCGGAAGCCGTCCGCGCACACACCCGTTCGGTGTGCCCGTGTGGCGTAGCTCCACCTGGGCTGATCTTTCGTTACACACCCGTCCTTGCTTTGGAGCGTCCCTTCGTCTCTCTTTTTCACTTCTTCTCCATTACCCATTCACACATACTAAGTGCTTCCATCAACCAGCACCCGCCCTAGACACTACGCAACCAGCATGTGCCCATCCAGTGAGCGTGAATTGCCATGTTGTTAATGCCACCAGGGGGGCCCCACTGATGACATTCTTCCAGGCAACAACAGCTCTCCCTGCTCGCTCTCCCTCGCACCTTCGTCTCCCCCTTCCACCCTCCCCTTTACCCCAAGTGACAGCGACGGCGACGGCGACGGCGACTGGTGCGTCATTGAGGTCGCCGAGTCCACCGACACAAGCCCCGCCGATTCGCCCAAGGTCGCGACTTCCGGCAACGTCACCTTCGACGGCAACACCAGTGGCAACGGCCTCGGCAACATCGTCCAGGCGGAGCCCATGTCCGACCACGACGGGTTCGACCTTTGTACGTTTTCAGCAAGTTGTGGCCTGGCGTATCCAAGAGCATCCAGCTGACACACAAGTAGGGGGCGAGCCCATCTACCGCACGGGGATCGGCAAAGAGGACAACACTGCTCAGAAGAGTGGAGCACCCAGCGCTACATCTGGTTGCACGTGTGTTGCCCAGACCAAGGGTACCAAGGACGGCTCGGACAGCACCGTGTCGGCCAACGACACGGCCGCCGGCTGGGGTGCCACCGACCAGGGTGGTGATTCCGTTGCCGAAACCCGCAAGGTGAGTGTGCTGTGCCGTATCCAAAATGTTGGCAAGGCTAACCAACCACCAGTCCTTCGACGCTGCCTTGGATGCGTGGACCAAGTCCCTGCGTAGCAAGGACGGAAAGCATGGCGCACATCACGGAAGGACTGTCGATGCCCTTGCTGCCTTCTTCGCGGCTGTTAAAGCTCGTGATGCGCAGGAGGAGGGTCGCAACCAGTAAGGAGTTCAAGAAGGCAGTGGGCATTATGAGAAGGCCGGACAATGAGGAGCTGGGGTCGCGGACAGGGTTTACATGGAATGTGCATGCCTGGACACAGAGTGTGATGTAGACATTGGACAACCGTCATGTATACTTGTCGCTCTAGATTTGGCGGATGGACGGACTGCTGCTGCACATTGTCGCAACTTGCGTGTGCAGCGTGGCACAAGGTGCCGACTCAGGGTATGTAGCTATCAACGGGCGAGAAGCTCTCGCACCCCCATGTCCACAACATTTTCATAATGCAGACACACCTCGGGACGCCACTATGCCTTGTATAGACCATCTCTCGGCCTGTGCTGACGCTGCAAGTGGGTTGAGGGTACTTGGTGGCATTTGGCTTCAGTGCCACTTTTCCGTTTTAACCTCCCCGGCGGAAGCAAATAGCGAGACGCGGCGGATTTTTCATTTTTGGCGTTCTCCGTCGTGGGGACCTCTGGCCTCTGGTGGGCATTGACCGCTCATGGCTTCCCCACCCCATATTATGCGGTGCCTATTGGAGGGACGAAGGTTGCTGGAAGAACACGTTTTGCTATGCATCTCGGACGCGAACGGGGTAGGAACAGCGGTGAAGGAAAAAACCAAGTGTGGCAGACTTGTGCCCTCTCACATCAGCCCGTCTCGAGCCTTCTTCTTCCTCCTTCATTTCTCTCTTTCATCACAACACCGTTGGTGAAACGGTATCATGCGTCGTTGCCATCGACGCGGCAGGGGTTCGACTCCCTTACGGTGTATATCCTTTTGCTATTCGTCTGTTCTTGCATGTCTTGCATGTCCCCAAGGCAAGGACGTCGAGAGGACATTGTTTTTCTTGTTGCCAGGACCTCTTGACCTCCAGACGATGGCTGTGTTGTGAGGGAGTCCTGACCCTGGGCGTGTCACGTCGCTCCGAGATCTGGATGGCCTTAGCCCTCTCTTGGCTCTGTTAGCGCCATTGCGGTTGGCAGAGCAGCCGTTTGCGGGAACTTGCACTGCAGGAGACGCGGGGCCGGAGACTCGGAAGGCGGGCGCGGTGCGAGTACCGACTGTCGGCACTGCCGACTGCCGCTTTGCACACTTTTGCATACACACCATGACCCCGGCGCCTGTGTCAGTTCCAGACCGACCCATTCTCTTTCGCAACCGATCATTGCCAGACAACCAGGGTGGCGGGGGTGGTGATCCACATGCTTGTGAATTGCCTGGCTACCGAGCAAAGCGAGTCGAGACCCGTTGTAGCAGGCCGACACCTAAGCGAACGCAGTTTAAAAAAAGGGGCGTCCGATTGAACACCGATTGGTAGCAATAATGTTTTCCAACGACAGATGCTGTGAGACTCATTGAGCGCCAGCGGCCTGTGACACGGTCCTGCTGACTGATATGTGCAAGAGTGTTAATGGGATGGCTGGCGTTGTCAGTCGGCCAGCTTGGCTTGCCGTCGGCTGTGAATGTTCATGAACGGAGAGACGGACTACATCCTGCGAGATGTGTCGGGCCGCAATACCCTGCCTGGTCTTTAATAATGGAGACTGCGCACATAGGATCTACATAGGGTTGACCGATGCCAACCTAGGTACCTCTGACAAGTCACACTGGCTTCCTCGGTAACGCTCAGTCAGCTCCGACATGTCCCTCGTTGGCCGGATGGTCCCGTACACTGTTGCTCACACTCGACCTTGGCCTCACATTCGTCCTGTCCCATCGCATGGGCCAGCATGACCCCATCGGCCACCCCTTGGCCTCCCGAGTCACATTTTAGAGACGTCGGCTTTCCGGTGTCCTGTTCTGCTGCGGTTTCCGGGCCACAGGACGGGGGCCGGTGCCAAGATAGCCAGCCGTGTTTCCGACTGAATGAAGAGATCCGATCCCAGTCCACCGCCTCCCCCACCCGACTTTGAGACGTGCGCGTGCTGGGCAACATCCAGGAGCGTGTGGGCTGTAACGAGGCAACGAGGCAATGGACCTGGGACTCTGCTGTCGACTGCCACTTCTCCAACCTTTGAGCCGAGTTGGACACTGCAAGGTTCGGACAGGACGGTCTGTGGTCTGCGGTGGTGTTCCTTTTTACAAGACGCAACACCTCCAGATCTCGGTGTACTTGGCACAGGAAAGGAGCCACCTCTGTAAGACCTGTTGGCAATTGTTGTTACCATCGAGAAACACGTCAACAAGGGGGAGCAGTGGCCATGGAGTGGCTTGGCAACGAGCACCACACTTTTCCAGTCTCCAGACACCACAGCAGGCAAGTATTTTTGGCTTTGTTGTGGAGCCTTTAATATGTTTAATCTGCGCTTAGGTTTCCATACTTTTGGCGACCAATTCCAGCAAATCTCACCCAACTGAACGACAGTGGACAGTGGACAGGCTCGTATGCATATAGTGGGGTAGACGTGTATGAAGGTATTCGTGAATCGTGGTATGGTGACACCTGCTCTTTTGGGGCACACCGTTTGGAGACGAACGCGCAAGATGTGTCTGGCGGTTGGTCCAAAAAAGGCAGCTTTTGAACAGATGTGGTGCTGACGCCAGTCACAGTTTGGGTGATGACGCCAGCCAAGTTACCCCAGGCACCGTTCTCGGCATGTCGATCGGTGTCTGGACATGAGGGGGGTTTTATGTATGCCACAGATCTCAGTGGTTTCGCGCTAGCGGGAGGGACCTTTGCCGACCAACCTCCATCACAACCGTATCGTGTATGGGCTGTGATAGAGAGGCTCGCGAGAGGGAGAAAAGAAGACGTGTGGCAACACCCGAGAAAAGCGGCGGCGGTGTTGACGCCGACGGGGATGTTTTGGTGGTGGTAGTAACAACCGCCAGCCAGCCGAAGCACAGGCATTAGCGGTAGTGATTGTCGGGATGCGACTGCCGCGCGGCGTCTTTGCCAGCTGTGGATGTCGTCGCGGAAGGTGGGGGGCTCTGTCCAGGAGATGCGGCTTGGCGCTCATTCTGAAAAAAAAAAAACATGTCAGTGTTGGTATTCTCTTATGACTGGGTTGCGACTGTGTCTCGACTAGAATCATCCGGAGACCTTTAAGTCGAGACTTGGAGAAAGATCTGTGTGACGCAGCATGGTCGGCGACGACGAGCATTGTTGACTGCGTCGCCATAAAGACTGCCACCTGCGACATGACACAGCTGATGCCATGTAGGCAACGCCAATTCAGATGCCCACAACCCACATACGCAGTGTCCACCTGCACGGCACATTCATACGCCGGGTGCAAGACAACACGGCGCGAGCGAGGCAGGCCTCGCTCTGGCCATGTGTGAAACACGACACGTACCTTTCGAGTGTTAAGCTTGTACCCCTGGCGGGCAAAGTGGTCGGCCAGCTCAGTTGGCTTGGGCAGTCCCGGAAAGCTTTGGTGCTGTCAGCGGTATCCACAGGTTACCAATGGGTTTCCGACGCAACTCACTTGCGCGGAGAGTAGACCTTGAAGTCGGCAGATTGCCCGTGGACCAGCGCGGGCATGGGGCCGCTGTCAGGCGCAATGGCCCTCATGTCAAAGCAGCGGAATCGAAGAGAATAACTAGGTCATCAGCAAACGCCCTTTCCGTCGTCTCCCAACGCCGTTTGCAGTGTATCTGCCACTTGACAGCAAATGCAAGACAGCGTCTGTACCCACCTTCCTTCGTTGCGTATACACAAGTCCTGTGGGAATGACGTCAGCACTCTGTGGCGGCGTGCGTACTTCATCTTGCACGGAACGGAGCTCACGGTGAAAAGGAACCACAGGCCCAAGCCGCCCTCTAGAGCCGCCACACGAACACCTGCGACGTGCAGGTTGCCGTACAAGTTGCGGCCACTTATCTGCCGCCGTGCCCCTGGTTTGACGTCTCCAATTGGCTCAGATCTTGGTGTGCGCTGGAGTCGCCCACTGCCTCCCGCCTTGCTCTTATCGCTACCACGGGAAGTGGGGCGCGAGGCCGACGGCGCAGTGGGTGTCGCGGTTTCCTCTCCACTGGAGTCGCCCTCATCAGTGTGCGTTTCGCTTCTGGGAGTCGGGACCTTGCGGTCCGCTCCACGGGGATCATAGCCGTCGTCCTTGCTGCTGCGGCTGTGGAGGCGGACAGAATCAGATTCCGGGGATCTCGCGCTACTGCTCGCCTCGTTTGATCGTCGGGAGGGCGACGGCGTTCGACGTCTGGCGCTCGGTGACGGCGGCGAATCTCTCAGTGGCCGTGAACGGTCAGAGCGGGGTGTTTGCACATCGGCACTGGGAGGACGGAGGTCGGCGACACAGACGAGATGGGACACTTCAATGTCGCTGGTGGTGGTGGTGGTTAGCTTGTGGGGCGACCATCAAGGGCAAAAGGCTTACGTTGGGTCCACTGGCATGCCTGGTCCGTTGCCGCCGGCGGCATACTCGCGCACCCAAAGGCGAACGATTGGGCTGGGAGCCAGTGGTCGTCGGTCCTTCTCCGTCTTACGACGGCCGTGGACTGGTTCTTGCGCAACCTCGAGCCAGAAACTGGTGGTGATGATGTCAGCACGCAAAGCCATCTCTCAGGCTTCCTATGTTGCTCTCCGCTGCGCAGTCTGCGCAGAACGGGGGCCGCCAGAGTGCGCACGGGCGCCCAGCCTCGTCGGAGGTTTAGATCCCCATCGCACGGCCGCCATGGCACTGTAGACACAAAAGCACGCGCGCACTGTGTATGCGTGGGTGGGTTGTGAGTGCGTAGGAGGCTTGGCTACCACCCCCAACAAGGCATCTGGCCGTCGTGCATACGCTCCATGCGTTGTGCATGCTTCTTGGTGACTCACCTCATCCATCGTCCTGCAAACATGCCTGCCCGCACCAGGGCGACCGGTGTCCACCCGGGCGGTGGGTCAGAGCCGGTGCTGCCTTCGTGCTGCTTGGCAAGCAGGGAAGACATTTGAGCGACGGCGCGAGTCGATGCGCCCGCGTACAGATCAAGGACGGTTGGGAGGAGGGAGGGGGGGAGGAGTGAACGGGGGAGGACGGACGGGGGGGCGGGGGGAGGGGGACGCGACGGTTGCGCTGAGTGGGGGAGCAGTGACGGCGGGCTGAATGTTATGACGGTGTGATCCCTGGATACGGATATTTCATGCGGGCCGTTGATGGTGGTGGGTTGGAGAGGGATGAAGAGGGATGGTGGTGGGTGCGACGACTGTGGATGGAACACGGTCGTGTCGAGAAATGAGAAAAGTGATGCCTGGAGACAATCAAGACGAGGAGGATGTTGGGCTCAAGGGAAGCGAAACGAGGTGGCGCGGGGTCGTCGTTTGTGTGTCGTAAGGGCTGCCGCGTGCGTTTTTCGATCCACCTTCTACTGGACACGCCCCCCGTATGCGTGTGCAGAGAACACTCGACGAGGAGCCAAGCTGTCGCGCGTGCGCAAAGCACGGAAATGTCGCAGCGCAGGCGGATGCACTGAATGAGATGGAAGAACGCAAAGGATCAACCGTCCGGTCGGGCGTGTGTGGGTGTGTGTATGAGGTGATGGTGCCTATTGCGTTCTTGGTCCGGAGACAAGGTCTAAACCGTGAGGTTGTGGGGTCCGATTTTGCCTGAAAGCTTGATCCAGCGGCGAGTGGTTGGAAGCGATGTCTTAGGATCCCGGGGATGACGCCGGGAAAGTTGCGCACAAGGTTGCGTTGCTCCTTGCGCTCTGTTGGTTGCCTTGCCTCCGATGCTGCCGCGAACAGTGCTCCGCCGGTGTGTTGGCAGAAGAGGGAGAGAGGGTTGTGGAAAGGGCCGCCTTGGACGGAAGATCGGGGAGATCGCGCGGATAGGATTGTCGAGGATTCGAGGATCGACACCGCTGTGTCTTGTGCGAGCAGACGTTGAGGGTGCGCGCGCGCGGGGGCTAGCGGGGAGCAGAGCGCAGCAACGAGAGAAACAGACGAAAGGGTAGGACACGACAAGGCGTCCAGGAAACCAGAGACCAAAAAAAAAAAAAAGGTGGGACCTTCGTCCAGGTACCAAAACCCCCGCGCTTACTCTGGACAAGGCAAAAAAGGTTGAACACGAAGTGATGCACAGGGTCCTGTGGATTGGAGAGGGAGTGGGTGGGCGAGGTGTAGGTGACCGATCCCGGGAGGTGCTCAGATTCAAAGAGATGTGTCTAATGGTGGAGATGTTCCGTCCAACAACCTCGACGCGCGACGTGTGCTCAACGACAAGTTTTTTCTTCTTCTTCTTCTTCTTGCTTGAGAGAGTGACAGAAGGAAGATGAGGGAAGAGGGGCTCGTTTGCACCGAATGGCCAAGACACGTTGGGGCCCTTGTGCCTGCGTGCGCCAGTGTGAGCGCCAGTGATGAAAGCCTCCCCTGTAAACTGTGCGTGCTGGCTCAGGTGTTTGTCGAGGAGGGTAGTCGGGAGGTGGACAGGGGAGGTTGTTGTGTGGAGTGAGGAGAAGGTTAGGAGTGACATCTGCCTGGTTGTGTTGTTGCTGGCCGACTACTTGACCCCCAACCTCTCCCAGCAATAGCTCCGGACGTCCGGCTCAAACTCGGCCTGTGCGTCCAGATGATGATGATGCGTCAGGAAAATGGCACCTGGACAAGGCTCTCGCCTTGCGTCGTTGCCTTCCTGAAGGCGTCGGAGGCTCTCATGAGGCGGCGGGGAGAGGCACATGGTGGCTGTCCCGAGCGGCGAGCGGCGTGCACGCGCGCGCACAGAAACACCTTCTGGGGCATATGCCCACCGCCGTCCGACGCCACAGTACTCTTGTGGCTGACTCCCCCCGCTCGGTAGCTGTCCAAATCTCACCGCGTTGATGGTAGACGTCGACGCCAGACTGCCCGGACAGTGCCGTCCGCTACAATCGGACACAACAAATTACAGGCAACGCCAAATGGCGCCGTAAGCCTGCCGCGGTCGACGCTGCGCTGGAACACGCGGGAGATCGGGAGATCACACAGCACAGCGCGGATGTCACTGATCACTCACTCCCCCGCAACACGCAAAGAGTGGCAGGCAGACGCGTCTGGGGTACGGACAGGAAGATTGTCCGCTGAGAGCCACGCCTTGCCGTTTCCTTCTGACCCTATGGGGATGTGCTCCACGTACCTGTCGACCAGTTACCGAGAAAATTAACAACGTCTGGAGACCGCGTCCATGGCCTGACGCGTTTTGCGGGACGACGAGGATAACGGTGGACGGACGCTTCTGCCCACCACCTCTGCTTCTGGCGGACATGTCTCTCCCCTCGTCATTTTCAGTTTCCGAGCCCACGCGTTGCCACTCGGTTCCCTTTGCACCCTGGTTTGGGCCATGACACCCCTGTCCGTTGTCCCCGATCACCTCGTCATCCCCATTCGCTCCCAACGATGGAATGACGCACTCTTACGACGCGCTCCTCGGCCTTCTCTCTTCCTTTCTCCTGAACATTGTTCCTTCGGGCCAGCAGGGAAAAAAACATAATGTGGCAGGTGGCATGTGCAGCCATATGGTACACAGACTCTCGTCAGCGTGGTCCCGTTTCAATCCTGGCAGAAGGCATGTATGTATACAGACTGTTGGGGTTCCAAACAACAACACCCAAAGTGACTAGCCTGCCCCTTTTCCTTGCGCGTGCTGGAATCTCGGCCAACATGGGGGTCAAAGTGTAGAGGTGTTGACGGACAGGAATACGCGGGCGGACGTAGGTTGGGGAAAAACTCCCGACCTTGAGGACGACAGGTTGTTACGTCTGCATGCCGTTGACCTGCCGAAACGTCAGACGAAGCCGTCAAATCGCCGAATACCGCAGGCCGAGCTGGACCTCGCAGGGCCCAAGTGAGCCATACGATCCCATAAGCAGCTCGTCGCTCCCTTCTGGGCTGCCTCTGGTGTTGTTCCTTGGCCCCACGCCGCGCCACTCCCAGACACCAGAAGGACCAGAACTGTGGTCCAGCACGAGCTGTGCGTCCCCCACTCTGTTGTCAAAGGTGTATTCTTGGCCACCCGGCCACTCTGCACAAACCCGCAACCAAGCAAGGAAAGGCAAAGGCTCAAGCCGCACCCAAAATGTCCCTTTCTGGGGGGCCACGTTCGAGACCCGGGACGACCAACTCTTGGACCCTCCTGCACGGACGGTCCGCGGGTGGCAACACGTCGTGTCCCGCTGCAAGGGCGTGCCGAACCGTGTCTGCCGACGTGGCATGGCTTGCAAAACGACTGTACACGGCGTGGAAACTGTAAATGACGAGTGATGAGGGGGGAAGGAGGACAGGGAAAAAACGGAGGTGGACAGGAACGGGAAACGAGTGTGCACACCCATGTGCATGTGGATAAACCCAGTCAACACAGGGTTTTATTTCATCATCGTATCATCGCATCATCTTCACTCCACCACACCTTGATGTGTTGATGGAGCGGGGTGGTGGTGCGGCCTCACCTCGCTTGGCTCATGTCATGTCGTACCCTCCGCCCCAATTCCTGTAGACATGACGGTCCGACCATGCCATTCACCGCGTTGGCTATTTTGGTCGTTTCCACCCCAGATTTGGTTGTCTCCACTTGCATGTCGTAAACCCACACGGCCACACGTCAGATGGATGTGCGATGGAAGAACCCAGGCGCAAGCGTGGCAGGCAGTTGGGATATAGGATATCTGCTCCAAGTCCGCTCCTTCTCCGGCTTCTCCGCGGAAAAGTCTTGTTGAGAGTGGACGGGATTTCCAACGAGAGCCAACAACACATCACATTGGCACCGCGGACACCGTGGCGGCGACAACGTGGGGCTCGTTCCAAGCCCCCGTCCACTTCTGAATAACACCACCCCGCCAGGTCCGCCAATGCAGCTCCATGTGCCAAGCGGATGGCCCCACAGTCTGCCCAAATGTGAGGCCTGCGGTCTCGTCGCGAACGATGCCGAGATGCCGCGAGGCTGCAATGCTGCGATGCCGCGCCCAAACAGAAGGGTTCCGTGGCGGAGCCCAGCTCTCCGACGGCGGCAGGGAAGACAAGAAGCATGACTCTTCCCCCCCTCCCCCCACTCATCTGATGGCACACACATCCTGCCCCTTCTGAAACCGTCAGAAGGCGTGTTGGAGGCGTGTCGCGTTGGGAAAAGGGACACGACCACCAGCGTCGCGGTGGCCCAGGCCAGCGGCCAGCGGCCAGGCTTAAGGCTTTGCTCCCCGTTTCCGGAGGCGGGGCCGGAGAGCGCTGCCAGACGATAAGGTTGCTGCTCGCCGACAGCCGCGTTCGGCAAAGGGTCTGGCGACGGAAATGGGGTTAACACGGTGCAAAAGCTTCGCCGGATGCAACGTCGGGACGTCGGGTTACAGTACGTCTGCTCGCACAACTGGGCACACGACCTCGACATGCGAGATCCAGGAACGCGAACGCACCGCTGTCCGTCAAAACCGGTCAAACGTTGAAAGATACAGAACGAGTGGAGTGCGTAAGCATAAGCTGCCCGCCCCCCCCCCCCCCCCCCGCCCCCGCCCCGGGCCCTCCTGTCGATCGCGATTACCAACGCACGTACCCAGTATTTACAGATCACGGATCACAGACAGACCAACCAGGCTCTTGCCATTAACAACATTGTGCTGGCTCCTTTCGTCTTCTCCACAGGAGATGCAGCACGCAAACGATAAGATCATGATCATCTCGGTCCAATAAAATATTGCAAAACTCGTCACTGATGCTGCTCCGACGTTGGAGATATCGGTGCCATGACATGTGTCTCCTACTGGTGTTGCACAAACCGTGTGGTGCATCCTTCGCACCAAGGATGGACGCCGGGGCCTATACTGTGGCACCCGGTACCGGTGCCCGTGCCGCCTGACGCACTCGCCAGGTTGCAGCTTACGAGCTTTAGGCCGCGCGCTTGGTCTTGACGCACACGGCCTCGACGTCGCGCGCATTGTACTCGAGCTGCAGGCCCGCGTCTGCGTAACTCTTCGCAATGTAGTCGGCGGCCCGCTGAGTCTCGCGGCGGAGTTCGGACGAGATTTCGCGCCACATGCTCGCGATGAGCGCCTGCGTTGCCGGGTCGTGGGCTCCGCCACTGGACGCTCCGTGGCCCTGGCCGCCGACGCCGCCGACGCCGCCGCCGCCAATGCCGCTGCTGCTCTCGTCGTCGTGTGTGAAGTGCTTGTCGACACGGCGGGCCATGGCTTCCACCGACTTGCGCATGTCCTTTGCGCCCGAGTCCTTGAGCACCTTTTTCAGCGCAGAGCGGTTGTATGACGAGTGGAGGTGGACCTCGTTGGCGGGCATGGTCTTGAGCGCGCGCTCTACGCCGTCGAAGAAGTCCTGAAAAAACAGTCAGTCGATGCCCAACTGGAGGTGCGTCCAAAACAAACTCACCATGAGACGGGCAAAGCCGCGACGCAGCATCATCTTGATGTACGCCTTGCGGTTCTCCTCGTACAGGCCCTTGGCGCGCTGGAGGTACACTGCAAGCGACGGGATATTGAGGTGCGCACCCTCTTCCACAAACACGTGCAAGTTCTCTGTGGAGGAGAGAATGTGGTCAGCAAGTGCAAACGGCAAGCGCTGATGGTAACTCACCAATCATCACCACATGGAAGTAGAGCTGGCCCTTGTCCTCGCCCGAGCTTGTTTCGGCCGCGACAATCTTGGACACGTGCTGCAGCGACCCGAGGACGGACGCGACCACGCGCTCGTACGCGTCATTGACACGCTTGCGCACCTGAAGCTCGTCGCAGTTGTCGAGCTGGCACTCGATGCGGTCCACAAACACGGGGAAGTGGCGGACAAAGTAGAAGACTCCGCGGCGCTTCTTGATGGAAATCTTGGCTCCGTCGATGGCCTTGACTTGCTCGTTCTGAGAAATGTTAGCTGAGGCGATGAAGGAGCAAGCAGCTGTATACTCACAATGAACGCGTCAAACACCTGCCTCTGGCGTCCGAGCTGCTTCTCCAGGAACTGCAAGAGGAACAAACTCGTGCCCTCCTGCTGTGCGTCCGAATGCAACTGCTCAGTGGTGGCAATGATGCCGACGATGGCCGCCGTGTTATTCTGGATGGCGGCGTCGATCCAGTTTTTAAACTCGCCATCGACAAAGCCGAACATGAGGTCCATGACGGAACGGGCAATCTGGGCCAGGCTCGAAGACAGACCGCTGGCGTGACGAGCGGCCTGGCGGCGAAAGTACGTGTCGAGCTCCATGTAGTCTGCAAACGTCGACTCGGTGTCTGCGAGGTGGAGGAAGGCGTTGATAAAGTCGTCCTCGGTCACAATCTGCGAGACCACCTCGCCCATGCCGAGGCTGTACATCTGAACTGGGTCAGCGACACAAGGAAACACACACCCACCTCTGACACCTTGCGCGTCGCCACGTCGCCCTCTTTTTCCTTTGCCTTGGACCCATTGTGGTTTGGCCTCCTGGACACCGTCTTGGAGCGCACGACACCGGCACCGATGGCGGTAGACTTGACGGGCGCGCCGGCCGCCTTGGCAAACGCGACGTCTGTGGCGCCGTTTTGGTTGGGCTTGAGCGCCTTGATGAGGTTCATGAGCAGCTCGCTCATCTCGGACTGGTGGAGCTTGGAGATGGTCGTGATATAGTTGAGGCAGAGCTTCTTGTACTTGTCCTCGTCCATGTCCTTGACGTAGAGCACGAGACCTTCGTACGTCATGAGACTTTGCCCCAGCGTCATGTGCGGGATGAGCTTGAGCGAGCGCTTGGTAGCCGTCTCCTTGCGGTAGTCGGCCAAGGTCTGGTCCGACTGGTGCTTGAACGCAATGTCGAGGTACTCGAGGATCCTGGTCGAGAACGTGGTCGAGGCAGCGCGGTACTCTTGGATATGTGCGACCGTAGCAGCGACCTCGTTGGCAGTGTCCCGGCTGGCCTGGAGGGCCTTGTAAAGGGACGCGGCGGCGAGCTCGAGGTCTTGCACGCCGCGCTTGGTAGACGGGCTGAGCTGCAGGAGCTTTTGCAGGTCTTCCTTGGGCACATCTGTGATCTGGAGGAGCTGGCGCATCTCGTTCAAGAGAGCGTGCTGGTTGGACGTCTGGACCTGGAGACCGCGGTTCTGGCCCTCGATGTACTGAATGTCCTCTGAGACAACGTCGAGCTGCATCCGGTATCCGGTGAGCTGCATGTCAATGTCGTCGAGCTCGGCGAGCGCCTCGTCAATATGTGAGAGGACCTGGTCGATGCGGTCGTCCGATTCCAGAAAGGCGTGGATGTTGGCCGATTCGAGCGCCGACAGCTCGTCTAGCAACCGGCCTTCGATCGCGTCGGTGCCCTTGCTCCTCGCCTCGCCCGTCGCAGCCGTCGCGGCCGTCCAGTCAAAGCCCTCAATCATCTCCTCGACGTTGGCCATGATGGCGTCACCGGCCTCGTCGTCGTCGTCGTCGGCGAGCATGATTTCGGCACCGAGGTATCCGGTGCGAGATGTCAACAACACGTCGCGCGAGTACGCTGTCGTGAGCGGTGGGGGGTGGAACGAGACGCGGCGTTGGGGGTTATCAGACGAGACCGGCTGTTCACGCGCCTGTGGTGGAGCGAGCGACGAGCCAGGTGGCCCCAGGCTCGAGTCGTGCGGTAGTGGTTCACTCCTCGTCGCTGGCGTCCTCCTTCCAGTTTCCGATGGTGGCTCATTCACGACCGGCGGGATGAGAACCTCGGGTTCGTCTGGGGGCTGTACAGAGACGGGCGGGATGAGGACTTCTTCCTCCATCTCCATGCCGCCATAGGGGTCTTCCTCGTTCAAGGGCTCATGAATCGGGGGGATGCTCGAGCCCGACGGCCGGCGTGCCATGCCGATCTGGGTCTGGTTGTTGTTGGGGTAGTTGGACGTGGCAGACGCGAGCCTTTGGTCGACAGGCAGCCTGTCGTCGCCGCCAGACCCTTGCCTGCGCGAACCAGGCCGTCCGAGACCGATGCCGTAGTTCCCGACACCGGCAGTGTTGGACGGGCCAGACGGTGTAGTCGCGCCGTTCCGTGCTGCTGCAGGTCCACCAGACGAGACGAGCGCCTTGCGGCCCTCAAACCCGTCCGAACTGCCCACTGAGCGGCCTGCGTCGCTCGAAAACGACCCGCTGCGTTCGCCACGGCCCAGTCCGCGGGGCGGCAGGAGATCCGAGTGCTGCGACCCTGGCGACGCCGACGATGTGCCGGCTCCGCGCATACGGGACGATGCGGGGGTTGCAGAGTGCACCATGGAAGCGGGCGGGATCATGGGCGAAGTACCTCCCGACCCGCGAGATGGCGGACGACCGAGCGACCCTCCGTGGCTCTGTGCGACGCTCGGCGCGACACTGGGCGCGAGCGACGAGACACTCGGGTGCTGCCTGTGTCCGCCATATGGCTGGCCTGGGGGCTGCGGCGCGTGTCCAAGCCCGGCGTCCGAGGGGATAAAGTTGACAAGAGGAGGGTTCTGGCCGCGGCTCTTGCGATACATCTGGACAAAGTTGTTCAAGAAGACGGTGAGGTCGCCGCGGTTGTCAGTTGTCCACTGGTACGTCCGCTGCGTCATTGTCAAGGCAAAGTGCAGAGGCTGTACGTGGAACGTTAGCCTCCAGTTGATACGGGTGAAAGAAGCTACCCACCCCAAGCTGCTCGACCTGGCGAGTATCGTCCAACGACCATGTCTTGCCGACCGAGAAGCTGCCGTTCGAGTTGCGACGCGCCTTGTGCATCACGCACTTGCCCATCTTGGTCACTGAGACAAGCCGTCAGTGAAAAGAGTTTACCAGCGGCTCCGCGCGGGGCTTCCCCAAACCCACCTGCAAGAATAAGGAAACGCGTCTTTGCGCCACCAGAATCATTCTCATGAACTTCGAGATAGTCGACGAGGTTCTCCTCCGAGTGTCCCTCACTGTCCGTGCGCGAGAAGAGCGAGGCCAGGATGGCCGCCTTCACTTCGTCGCCATCTGGCGGCGGCGGAGCGCGCGGCATTGAGGGCGAGGTGGGTGGGGGCCGGTGGGTGGAGACAAGGTTAGGGAACGTGGTGTTGTCGACGTGGTGATTGTTGTGAACGACCCTCTGGCCGCGGCAAGAGCTCGATGACGACGGCGGGGGAATTAGAAGCGGGTGTATATTTTATTACAAACGTGTTTCTAATATGTATTAGCAATTCGGCACAAACGGTCACCTCCACCTCGACGCCCCGAGATCTGCTGCTCTGGGCGAGTCAATCCACTCAATCCCGAACAGTCAACATTCTCTGACATTTTCATCACCACCATATCTTATCCCAGCATGGAGGACCTTGACGTCAACGATTTCCCACCCATAGGCCAAGGGACGCCTTCTACCGCCTCGAGCCGTCGGACATCGTCCAATTCGCCCACAACGGCATCTCCCGCAATCAGCCTCGGCGAGTGTGCACCTACACCATCCACACAACATACATCCTCTGCTGTCGCCGCTGGTATCCTGCGGAACACGCCTCCTCCGCCTCTCCCTCCCGCGGCACCTCTCCCGCCCTCCGCCGCCCTCCGCTCGCTCCTGCACACGCGGCTGACCGTGACGCTCACCGACGGCCGCGTCCTCTTCGGCACGCTGCTGGTCATTGACGCCGCGGCGTCGCTGCTGCTCACCAACGTCCGTGAACGCCGCATCCTGCCGCAAACGCCCGTCGGGCTCAATGTGGCGCAGTACTATCCGTGGTCGAGGGAGAACGTCAACGGCAACGGCGAGGCGGACTCTGCCGAGGAGCGGCCGGGCCAGGTGCGGTTCCGCGAGCTCAGCAGTGTCCTGATCCCGATGAAGGAGGTGGTAGGCGTGGAGATTGGCGAGGGGGATGCAGAGTCCTGGGGGAGGTTCTCGGGGGTAGTGTTTGACGGCGGTAAGGCGTTGCCGCCGGTGGTGGTGGGAGACAAGGAGGCTGGAGTGGGTGAGGAAGGACGCAAGGTGGACGACGAGGGGCAGGGGCACGTCCATGTCATGGCATGGTAGGTTGTCTGTTGGCACGAGTCGACTAGCTAACCTTGCAGACGGCACTCAAACTCGTCAACCCGTCTACTCCCAGTGTCTACCGCTATCAGCCCGCAGTAGCAGAGACTGGGCACCACCTCGTCGTCCCATTTGGGACATGGCGACGTCATTGCGCGATGCCAACGTCGTCAACTGCTAGATCTCGATCCCGGAAAAGAAGCCCAGCTTCGTCCATCCTCCATCGTCCATCGTCCAGCTTCTGGGGTCGACCTTCAGAACAGACCCGATGACCCCTGTTGGCTCTGCACCGCCTGCATCTGGGGAACACGACCGCGCCTGCATAGCACAGCAGCAGGCAGAGCCAGGAGCCAGGAGCCAGCTGCGCCGCGCCCACACGAGACCACACAACCCACACGAGCACACCCCTCGCCATTCTCCTGCATACTAAGCAGATCCCATCATCGCTTTTACTTTCTTTCTCCCCCCCCCCACGTTTGTAAAACCCATCTCGACAACCCCATAATCGCATCACCACACACTATACTGTCGCATGTATCCAGCCCCACTGCATGCCCTCGGTTGATGGATGCCCTGCCCTGCTGTGGGCAGCTTGCACAGCGCACAGCAGTTCCCTAGAGTGGCAGGCATGGCAGGCGCCGGCAGGCAGCCTCTGCAGCCTCTCCCCTCCCCACGTACTCCAACGTTGCTGATGCTGGTCGCCCCGCGCCCCGCGTGCCACCTGCCACACTGTCCCAACAGCTGCTCATGAACGCATGAACGACAAATGCACATGGAAAGAGTAGGAATAAAAGGAAAATTAAGGAAACCACGGACGGGGGGCGGACGCAGCGGGCGCCAGACGTGGTGCTGCGAGGCAAACTGGGATGGGGATCGGGGTGTGATATGGTGGGGGTGGAGAGGATGTGTGGCATATAGAATAAAAAAATGGTCCGTGTGCCCGCCGTCCCCGCCTCGCCCTTCGCCTCCGGTGCCATATATGTTTAGGACGACGAGGAGGAGGGGCGCGGGTGGGTGGGACGCGGGCAACGATGCACATGGCAGGTGTCGTGGTGGTGGTGGGGGGAGAGGTCTGTGTACATATATAAACGACGATGAGAGGACAGGGATGGGATGGTGACGCGGCACATATGGGTGGGTGTTCTGGATTCTGGGTGCGGGTTCTGGTGCAGGTGATGAGGGGGGGACGTGAAGGAGGCTTGGAGGCGAACAATAGTGTCCCTTTGAGGTAGAGAGTTACAGAAGAAAAAAGCGATTGCTGTCTATTTTTTGCGTCTGGGGGTTCGGTCGGGTGGAGAACGTCATGAGGGAGGGGAGGGGAGGGGATTCGTGCTGTGTGTGCCCGGCTGCGCGCTCACACAATGCCGTGGACCTGGCGCTCACGCATAGGGTCGATCTGCTGTGGTTCCTCATACACCTCGTTGCCCGTGCCCGACAGTGACAGTGCCGAGGTCTGCCTGCGATGGCTGTTGTGCTGCGACCTGGGCGACGTCGGGGCGACCTGTACCTGGCCAAACTCGCTGCACGTGTAGGAGCGAGTCGCGTGGTAGCTCTCGCGCTGGCCTGCGGTCTGCTGCCACGAGGGCCTCCCGCCGTGGGACGAGACTGGGGAGATTGGCTCGGCGAGGTTTGTGGAGACGCTCAGGGGACGCGGCATGGTGAGCTGCACGCTGCGGCCTTGGTGGGGTGCTCCGCTGCTGGACCGGGGCATTGAGTACGGCCTGGTCGGTAACGAGGACATGGACCCCGGGCGAGGGAGGCTGCGGGACGAGGGAAGACCCAGCGTCGATGGGCGGGGCGAGTTGGTCCTCGAGTCTGACCCGTTGGTGCGCGAGTCCGAGCTGTCCGAGGAGCCATTTGGCCCCAAGTCTGAGGGTGTACGCGGACGCAGCGCATCGACTGACGCCTGGCGAGGGATGCGGCCCATGGAGGTCTGGAGACGTAAGGGCGGTTGTTCCAATGCGTTACTCGTTGTCGACGTTGACGAGTCGCGCGACAGGTCCGTGATGATCGGGGACAGCACTGGCGCAACGGCTGGGGTATTTGCGCCGGTACCGTTTGACGAGAGAGAAGGCGACCCAGAGGGAGTGGACGCGGCGCCGATACGGGGAGAGTTGTCCTGGGTCATCGATGACGATGGGGAAGCGGCCGGGTATGTTGAATAGAAGCTCGGTGGCTGGAAATTGGACGACGGGCGGGTGACGAGCACTGTAGGTAAGGGGAAGGGGAGGTTAGAAATAGATGCAAAAGCGGTGAGTCTAGCACAGAAAACGCACGCGTTGAGCTTGCCCGACGGGGACCCATGGACGAGTGGCGCGAGTGCATGTAGGTTGGTGGCCGGGAGGTCATTTGCCGTGGTTCTCTGTAAAGGACAAGACGTCAGCATACACCCCAATGCGAGGTCGCCAGTTGCGTCACTCACGGTGGTGGGATCTTCTCTCCTCGTCCACGACACATACGCCACACCACGAATGCGATGATGCTTGCTGCAATCACACCCACTGCAGCGCCAGCGATCGCTCCGATGGCCGCTTTGCTTAGTCCGCCTGAACTCGTCCCTGCTACACCTGTAAGAATCGCAGAGACGTCCGCCGAGTACGTCGTGGTAGCCGAGGTCGCCTGTATCACCGACGACGCAGAGTCTGCTGCAGACGTAACAGCGGCACTTGTTGCAGCAGCAGCCGATGTTGCAGCCGCACTTGTTGCGGCAGCCGATGTAGCTGCTGCAGACGTCGCTGCCGCCGATGTCGCTGCCGCCGATGTCGCAGCACTAGAGGCGGCCGCTACTGTCGATGCGGCCGCATTGCTCGTTGCGGCAGCCGCCGCCGTCGACGACGCTGCCACGGCCATTACAATGGGAGCGTGGGATTCAAGTCAAGACTGCGTCGGAGAAAAGAGTAAATGGCGTATGCGACGGGGTGCTGTGACGATTGTGCGGAATGTCCGTTTTTGGTTGCAGCGAGCGAAAGCAAGTGATGTTGAAGGGGGGGATGGAGATGGGGAGGGTGAGAGAGAGGTGTTATGTTATGAAGACGGGGTTGTTGACCTGCGGAGGGTTGTTGAGGGCTGCTGCGGGTTGCTGCGGCCTGACGTCCCCCTTATGCGATGCGATAATGCCTGCGCGACCAGACTGCGATGAGAGAGTCGATGACGCCGGTGCGTTCTTTCGGCCAACGAGTTGGGTGTGTGGGGGTTTTCGACAAGTGCAGGACAAGTGTACAATCGAGAAACGTGGCCGTTAAAGTGTGGGGGTTGGGGGAGAGTTGACGACCGCAGCAAAAGTCAAGCCGGACGGACGGGGGAGGGGCCAGCAGTGCGACTTTGACAGGGACAAGGGAAATGCGTTTCAACGGACCAACGCCGCCGCGGCGCAGCGGATGGGATGGTGTGACGATCGGTTGGCTTGGCGGACGGTCTTGTTGACGTCAAGGGCAGGCTAAGCGCCGGGTGCAAGAAGTCGACGGCGCTCGTTGGGCCACACTGGGATGCGAGGGATAGAGACGATGCGAGAGGTTGTTAATGCAGGCAAGAGGGAGCGAGTTGGGAGATGGGGACGGGGGGATATGGGGGGATGGATGACGAGGGCGGCGGCGGCGGCGGCTGGCGGCGGTGCGTGCGAGCGAGCGAGTAGAGACTGGAGGAGAGAGGTGTGAGCACAGAGCGTCTATAATGGGCGCCGGCGGACGACCGCTGCGGGGGCGCTGGCGGCGTTGCTGATGGTGTTGCTGACGGCTGCGAGGACGAGTGTGTTGGCCGACTCACAGGACTGTGTGTGTGGAACTACTGTATATGCAAAAGGGATGAAGAAGGCCCAGGGCACAAAAAAAAAGCAAAACGATGGCGAAGAGGAGGGAATGCGCAAGGAGATTGGGACGGACATGGCTCTCTGTCTGGTAGCTGTGGTACTCCTCTGGGTGTGGGAGCTGCTTGCTGGTCTGCCTTGCTCCCCCCCTCTCCTCGCTGCTCTCCTCCTCCTCTGTCTGTGTGCTCCATGTTGCGCGCAGCAAAAGCGCTTCCTCGCTCGTTCCGGCAACCAGGGGCAGAAACCGCACATGCTCTCGTTGCATTCGCAGCGCTGTCGGTTTCTTGCTTGTTTTGGGTGGTGGCCATTTTGCCCGGATGACGTAGTACATTATATTATTGTATATTGTGTGTATTTCACCGCTCCGTCTCGTTTTTCCGGGCAGGCGCGCGGGCGGGCGGGGCACAAGGCAGGCAGCTGCAGGCAGCAGGCAGCGGGCGGGCGGCGGGGGGGGGGGGGGCTTTGGCGGCATTCGTACACGCTCTGCAAATACGGGGCTGTTGTATACACGTATACACACTAGACTGCATCTATCTCTGGAACATGCTCTCATTCACATTCTCTCCCTCTCTCTCCCTAGGCTCTCTCCGGTTTGCTGGCGCGTTTGCCGCCCTTTGCATATACGATGCACGACCCCCCCCCACTTCTTTGCACTACACATGTACACATGTCTACGCTGTGCAACACACATTACAGCCCCTTTACAAAACAGCTCCAAACTGCATGAATCTTCGGCCAACACGTCCCCCTAATTCCCCCCCTCACACTGCCCTCGCGCTTGGCGGGTCCTGTGCGCAGTCCCCTTCGTGCCACATGGCTCATGCCCCATCCATGTGGCTCTTTTTCTTTATTTCCATCCTCCCTCTCCCTTGTCCGCAGCAAA